CATCTGCACTTCCCCAGCGATTCAGGTGAAATCACTCTGAAGATCTGTAATGTGATGCCTCAAGACAGCGGTATTTATACTTGTGTGGCAACAAATGAGCTTGGAACAGCGTCAACTTCGGCTACAATAAAAGTACAAGGTAATGGATTTCTTGCTGGGTTTTTTGTATGTTTGCTCAGCCAGAGCTTCCATTGGTTTAAATCATGGTGCAATCAGCTTTTGAAATGTTTTTGGTTTAATGGTACATGGGCCTGTATACCACTTCAAAATGTAGGTGAGGAATCCACACATGCCAAAACTATCCCTGCCTGTGGAAAGCTGACATGCTAGCTAGGCTTTTGCAGACCAGGTTGGTTGTGTATGTGTGTGATATTCAAATGGGTAATTCCTCATTTGCATTTGAAATACTGCATGTACTTTGTGTACTACTTTCTACATGGGAAATATTAAGTACATGGGAAATAACCAGTTCTCCCCTCCACATGCCCCCATCACTACAAATTTATCTCTTCCCCTTCTTCATCTCTCTAAACATATATATACACACACAGTTAAAGTGATATAATCCTAGAGGGTGAACAGCATACTTCCCTCTACCACCCTAAACATGTATATCAGCTCTCATGTGTACTATTATTTGCAAGAAGAATTTAGACAACAAAGTTAATTGCCCACAATATTGGTATATAGCATGGCCCATTGTCACCAAACGGGTGCTGGCTGGTGATACTTGGATTAGATTAATTGCAGGTTTTGTGGGAGCAAAGACTGAGGAATTTGGACTAAAATTTTGGGAGGAGTGGAGTTAGCGCCCCTGCCCCAACCATTTCCCCACCCATCCAACCTGCCATTTATCCTGCAGAGTAAAGCATACAAGTACAGGATCAGATTCTAGATCTCTGGCAGTCTCTAATAGTTGTGTCCTGATACATGTCCATCAGTTCTGCTGTACCCATGATTGCTCTAGGAAACTTTCTCTGTGTGTGTTTTAATAAACCCTCTTTCACGTGCTTTGCAATGCAACTCTCTCCTGATTTTGCTCCCCTGCCTACACCCCAGGTGTCCCTGCAGCCCCAAATCGCCCTATTGCTCAGGAAAGAAGCTGCACCTCGGTGATTCTTCGCTGGCTGCCTCCATCCAGTACAGGGAACTGCACCATTTCAGGTTACACAGTGGAGTACAGAGAAGAAGGTATATGCTTAAGCATTCCATACTCATAGTACACCTTTGGTCTGCAATTGATTGCAATAGGATGATCCAGGTTGTTGTACGGAGCTGCTAGGCTGAGCTAATAGGCTTTGGTGCCTTTTAATTTGGGGTGTTGCCTATGCTGCCTCTTTCAGCTAGGGTTGTCTGGCGCAACTGGGAGGTTGTGAGCAAGTTAGCAGCAGTGGCTTCGCCATTACCTTTCCCTCCCATCTGCAAGTGGGACAAGTCGTGTCCCGTGGCAGGCAGGAGAATACAAGTGAGCAGAACTGGCTCGAGGTTTTTGGGAGCCCTTAGGTAAGAAGCCCTAGTGACCTCTTTCCTCCTCCCTGCCACTACCCACTACTCTCTCTTTCTCTGCCAGCAATTGAACAAGCAGTGGCAACTGCTGTTCCTTCCCTTCACTCCCATGGCTTCTTTGCACTGCCTGCTGTGGGCCATGGCAAGAGAAGCAACAGCAGGGCCAGGTACTTCTGCTGGTCAGCAGTGGGCCTCCAGCTTAACCATGGGCCTCAGAGGATGCAAATGCAAGTGGAGCAAGGGAGCACCAGTATTACATGGGGTTGCCAGCCTATTTAAGTGAAAGGCGAAACCTATGGACTTGATCTGGCTAGCCTGTTTTCAGTCATCCTGACTCACACAGTCCAGAAGTGAAGGGTTCTTCAACTGGTGGTGATCACCACATTGGTCCATACACCTGACAAAGACCAGTGAAAAATGCATGACCAGCATGCTACAGTAAGCTGGGGGAAGGAACCTCAGGCCCATGGACCAAATGTGGCCCTCCAGGCCTTTCTGTCTAGCCCTCAAGCAAGACTCCTAGGCAGCACACCTCACTGCCCCTGCTTCCTGCCTCTCTCTAGTGTTTTTTGCCTGGCTAGAATGCATTGTTGAACTCTGATAATGCCTCTTGCTTGCCGAGATGGAGGACAGAGAGGAATGTTTCCCTGTTGTACATTTTACATTAATGGTTCTTCCCACTTTTGCCTCTGGCCCTGCCCACCACTGGCATGTGGCTGCCAGAAGATTGCCCAGAAGAGAATGGGTAGTAATTTGAAGCTCTTAACAGCTGGGTCTGAAGTGGTAGAACAGACCATACCACTCCAGTCCACAGAGGATGAAGAGTATTACTGAATACTTTCCTGTGCAAATTTTATTTATTTATGTATTTATTCAACTCCCTACCAATAGAAAAGAAAGTTCTAATGATTTCCCCGTTGCATTAGTTTTCCACTTGGAATGATTTTTTAAATAGGGTGTTCAGAAATAATGTCTCTTACCTCTAATCTAATATGGTATAGAACATTCTACAACATCATACTACTGCATGTTTAAATCAGGCAGCACAAGAAGACAAAGTGGTTGCTACTTTTCTTAGCTTTTTTTTTTTAGCACAGGTGACTTCTAAAAGAATCTGTATTTCTTTTCTTATCAATTAGGGCCGGATTAAAGCTTAGTCTCGGTGGGGTGGGGTGGAGGGGATGAGTCAGTAAGGCACAGCATCCTCCCGTCTCTAAAATCTATAGTCATGTTCTTTTAAAAAATGTTATCTTAATCTCTCTCTGCATAACCCGTAGGCTCACAGGTCTGGCAGCAGTCTGTTGCCTCCACCTTGGACACCTACCTCGTTATTGAAGATCTCACACCTGGATGCCAATATCAGTTCCGAGTCAGCGCCAGCAACCCCTGGGGAATCAGTTTGCCCAGCGAGGCCTCTGAATTTGTGAAACTTCCAGAATACGGTGAGAACATGGTCAAAAAGGGAAGGATACTAATTTTCAGAAGAAATAATATTAGAACTGGTGGGTCAGAGTTCTGCTTCAAAAGCTAAAGTTTGTGTTATTATCAAGCTTCTTGTTGGCATTTTGTAGTCAACTATAGATATCTGAGGGCAACGTATATATGATTGTGTCTTTTCCAATCAGCACACATGTATTTAGATCAGCTCTTTTCTTTTCTTTTCTTTTCTTTTCAAGGTGTAATCTTTAGGCTCCGGGTGCACACTCGGTGGCATGCCGTCTCACATGATTTTCTTTCTTTAAACTTCTTCCTTTGTATTACTGATGTGTAATAAATACTATAATTGGCATTGCAACCAACTCTATTTCCCCATCCCTTTGGGTTTCACAGACTCTGCAGCAGATGGAGCCACCGTGACCTGGAAAGAGAACTTTGATTTCGCCTACACAGAACTGAATGAGATTGGAAGGTGAATTATTTCACTAAATGAGATTGGAATCAATTATTTCACTAAAACACACAAGCCAGGTGTTAAAAGTGTTTATTTTAAGTTATCTGTTAAGGCAGTGGGTGCATGATTTATGAATGAATAACGCTTATTATCATTTCTCTCCACAGGGGTCGATTTGCTGTTGTAAAGAAATGTATCCACAAAGCCACCAGGAAGGATGTTGCAGTGAAGTTCATCAATAAAAAAATGAAGAAGGAGGAGCAGGCAGCACACGAGGCGGCCATGTTGCAACATTTGCAGCATCCTCAGTATATCACTATTCATGACACCTATGAGTCACCTTCCTCCTATATATTAATTTTAGAACTGTAAGTCTCTTGATGGAAGCTAAGCTTCTTGTTTGTTATACTGAGGGAATCCTTCATCTTTGCAATCACACATTTCATGATTGTAATGAAAACGATTTCATTTCCCCATGAAAAGAACAATATTTCAGATGACTGTGAATGTCAGATTCACACAATCCAGTATGTGCATTGGCCGGGGGGTGGGTGGGGGGGATAATAAATCAGTGCAAAATAGCATGCACTTAAATAAAGAGTCCTATACTGTATTTAAAATGAGATAGCCCTTATTACACTGCAATATATAAGTATTTTATTTATTGCTTTTTAAAAATGCCACTTCCATTATAAGGTGCTAGTCGCATGTTTGAAATATTAGCAAGCGTTTGTCGTTATGCTAGATTTCTTTTCACGGTGCATAATTGTTGGCTTTTAGGATGGATGATGGCCGTCTCTTGGACTACTTAATGAATCATGATGAATTGATGGAGGAGAAAGTAGCTTTTTACATAAGAGACACAATGGAAGCCTTACAGTACCTTCACAACTGCCGAGTCGCTCATTTGGATATAAAGGTAGGAAGCTTGTGTATATCGCTATCTATCATGGTGAATTCCAAGCATTCAGTTTGTTCTAAATTCAGGTGAAGAGACAATCTACCTATAATGAAAACACTTAAAAGTACCTGCTTTGTGTCACTAATCTGTCCTTCTTTCAACTACTTCTTTATAGCCATATTTGTGATGAAGGCATCTGGTCCAAATTTCAAAAAATCTTCAAGCAATTCTGAGAATTCACTTACAGGATGTCACTTTTTCTGTTTTAATATCTTGTCATTAACAAATGACATATAACCAGTGCTTTTTTTCTTAAAAAAAACCTTTAGGGATACTCTCATTTTCACTCAAGAAAATCACCATTTTATAGTTCAAACTGGGAAAAATAAATACAGTAAAGTACAAAACTTCACAAAATGTTTAGGGGTATGCATACCCCTGTGTACCCTCAGAAAAAAAGAACTGCGTATAACTCACATACATCTTCAATGTTTCCCCACAAAGATCCCACATGCCAGTTCTTTCCTTCCTTTCACATAAAAGCTCCTTGTTGAAAAATGTGTAATTGGGGGTGTGGGTGTGGAGGGGGGTGATGAGATCTCATTTCATTTGTCCACATAACTTTGCTTATACCTTGATAGAGATAGTTACAGGTGGGTAGCAGTGTTGGTCTGCCGTAGTCGAAACAAAATAAAAAAATTTCTTCCAGTAGCACCTTAGAGATCAACTAAGTTTGTTATTAGTATGAGCTTTCGTGTGCATGCACACACGAAAGCTCATACCAATAACAAACTTAGTTGGTCTCTAAGGTGCTACTGGAAAGAGTTTTTTATCTTGATAGAGATGTAAACATAAAACTAATTTATATGTTGCATACATGAAGCTTAAATCCTTCCTTAGACTGGCTCAGAATGTTGTGGAAGATGGATACTTCAGCAACATACACACATGGATTAAGCAGTGTAGCAGAGGCTTATTCTTGTTTTTTAGTGAAATGGCCTGAGTAACCAGACTGTCCACATGTCTGCACTGCTGCTCAAAACATACACAATGTTGGATTATAGCCGTTTTGTTGACTTTTCTACTTAACTAGGGTTTTTCCTCAAACTACTCCTCAGACATGAGCTTATATCTACATAAATCTAAGATGTAAAATATTTTCTGTAAGGTTGTACATGATGCTTGCCATTCACCCACCTCTACCTAGTGAGCATTTGTGGCCTGTACATCTTACAGGCTGGTCTCCTGTAGTGCCTTTTGTTTTAAACATCACTGTACTCCAATGTAGACAAGTTTCAAAATGTCTCTATCCTTCAGCTGGTATCCATTGAAAGCTTTCACTCAAGTTTGTGCATTGTGCATGGTGCTTTGCTGGGTGGTCGATCTAATTTTATAATTAAGGCTGCAATCCTCTATACATGAAAGTAAGGCCTATTGAACACAGTGGAACTTACTTCTGAGCAAATATTCATTGAAATGCTCTGTAAGTACCAAAATGCAAAGCCTCCAAACTAGCTGAGCAAATACTTATGGTACTTCACTTGGGACATATATGTGTGCTGAAGAAGAAGTGCCAGCACACACATTGTTGGTACATTTTTTCCTTAACAGGAAAAGCAAAAGAATGTATGATCTGAAAGACCACAGGAACCACATATACACTGCCTTGGGTTCTGTGGTGGAAGGCAGGCAGGCTATAAATGTGATAAATGTTGGCTTGAACTGATTTATAATACAAAAGCAATGAACAATGGAACCTTTTTTTTATCCTTGCTCTCCACAGCCAGAAAATTTGCTCATTGACTTGCGGATCCCGGTGCCTCGCGTTAAGCTAATAGACCTGGAAGATGCTGTTCAAATCACTGGCCATTACCATGTTCATCATCTGCTTGGAAACCCTGAATTTGCTGCTCCAGAAGTTATCCAAGGTGCTCCTGTTTCACTGGGCACAGATATTTGGAGCCTGGGTGTGCTCACCTATGTCATGCTGAGTGGTGTGTCTCCCTTTCTGGATGAAAGCAGGGAGGAGACTTGCATCAACGTGTGCCGAGTGGACTTCAGCTTTCCCAATGAGTACTTCTGTGATGTAAGTCATGCTGCCAGAGACTTCATCACTGTCATCCTTCAGGAAGACTTCAGGAGGAGGCCAACAGCAGCCACTTGTCTGCAGCACCCTTGGCTGCAGTTTCACAACGGCAGCTATTCCAAAATCCCACTGGATACCTCACGCCTATCCAGCTTCATTGAACGCCGCAAACACCAGTTTGATGTGCGGCCAATTCCCAATGTTAAGAGCTTCATAATGAGCAGGATGAACCCAGGAATATAATGCAATACAAGTACTTTGATTTGACATTGAAGCACCGTGGCGTGTGAAAAGAGAGAAGGTGGAATCTCTCTATGTCTGTGTAAAGTATTCTAGTTGATGTGATGTCAAAGAAAGTGTATGTACTTTTCCAGCAGTTGCATTATCTAACTGGTTAGAACTAGAGGCTTTTAGATGTTGCATATGCAACTCCTCGCGTGGCTTATCTTGCAATGATGAAGTCATGTCAAATACAGAAGAATATTTTAGAAAACTACGTACATCATTTGAAAATGGTAACCAAAACACCATTGCCTTACTTTTGAAAGGCAGCCTTCTAAAAGACCTGGACACCCTTGCTGATCTTATTAAACTTTAACTCATGTATTTGAAAGGCAACGGAAAGTAAAGAAATAAAACTAGGCTGACCCTCCACAGTCAGCATTTCCTGAAAACAACAACACTGGACTGGATTTGAGATTTTGCAGAAATAGTTGCTCCTCAAGTCCTAATGAAGCTCTGTTTCACTAAGAGAATTCCACTTGTCTTCAATAAGAATTAACCTTGTGGCAGAATTGTTTTTTATGGCCCTTGTGCTATCATAATGTCAGCTTTGCCTGTAAAGTGACTTAGGTATGCTGTATTGGTCAGGATCATAGTATACCTTTGTCAAAAGTCCTTTGGATTCTCCAGCACTCACATGTTCAAAGCTAACATACTGTAAAGTAGCAATGTGCTACAGCTGAGATGGTAAATTCACTGGAACAAAAAATGTTTTGATGAAGCACAATGAGACATTTTTTTAAACTAAATTTTTATAGCTCTTGTACAGACTTTTTTGTGAAACCTGTGTGTTGAGAAAAGGCTATGTTACAATAATTACTGTTATCTGTAAACTAGATGTCAAAGACTTTTTCTATTGCAGAATGTTTGTTGAATTCTCATATAGTCTGTAAAATGAAAAGGAATCTTATTCCTTTTTCAGTTTTAAAAGTTGATCAGTTGTGAAATCAATCCAAAGTTGGCCAAAGTGTGGTAAACATAGTGGGTCCATCCTTACAATTATTGCTTCAAAATTAGTCTTGATGTGTGAGACTGGTAGTTTACTGCATATTTGTACACATGCATCTCTCTTCCTAGCTCCAGAATCCTAACTTCTATGCTAGCATATTTGTTCCATCCCAAACTCTGGTGTTAAATAACAATTCAAAAAAGACTATTAATATTAAAAGTCATTGTAATGGTCCATTATTGTGAACTAAACATGCCACTAACTTAGAATCATAGAATCATAGAGTTGGAAGAGACCACAAGGGCCATCGAGTCCAACCCCCTGCCAAGCAGGAAAAAAACTTAATAGCCCCTTATAAATCATTAAAGTAATTTCAAACTTAGAAGCTTTTGAATAATAGTTCCAAATTGCAGTTATCTCAAATTAATATTGTAAGAACTAGTCCAGCTTTTTACACCAAGAGGAATTTAGTGCCAAGACAGTGACTGACCATATCCTAATCATTTAGAAATCAATCAGCAATTCATAGTTAACTTTTTCCTCTATCCCACCAACTAATCTTCTATAAACCCTGCAATGTGGCAATGGACCTAGTAATAATCAAAGGCATGGTGAGCTCTCTCATTTTGCCTATTCAGTTGGCATCCATTTGTTGAACACAATATACTAATGGTTCTGGCACATCTTTTAGTCACTTGTGTCCTAAGTAGCTGTCAGGACTAGGCAACCTGGTAGCCAAGTGACAAGGGTTCTGTAGCCTCTCAGTGGCACCTGACATATTATATTCACCTGGAGTATTTTACCGTTTTCTCCTTTCTCTTGCCCACAACCCCAAACAGATCAAATCAGGAGCTGGAAATGTTCTTACTACAGTGAGAGTAATAAGAAAGGTGGTGAACACACTGATGTCTGGTGAACCAAGAAACAAGCCAACAAATCAGTACAGAAAAGGAGAAAGGTACTTGACTTAGATTTTCTGGCTAGAAAATGTGGTTCAACAAAACAGAGGGCCTTTCCATAGGGAAAGAAGCTGATGTCCTTTAACTTTTCAATGAAGTGTTTTTTCCTGCTATTTTTTAATCAAGAGGTTTGTTATACTATGACCATCCAACCCACTGTTATAATAAGGAATGTGGGGATAGGATCAACTCTTGAGGTTCCTTTTAGTTGCTACAATTTCCTCAAGGCACCGACAATCATCCAGAGGCGGAGCATATCAGCTCAGGTATAAACAACGGCCAAGATCCAGCCCAAGGTACCCATGGCGGAATCCCACTGTAATCAATGGAAGATATTAGTCACAACTAAGTAGTCCCAGTAGCTTCAGTGTGACCTAGGCTAGCTACAATCCTATGCATACTTCATGGAAAGCTAGTTCCGCTGAACACAGTGGGTACTTCCTTCCGAGCACGGGCAGCCCAAAACATGTTGATGTCAGAGGCAAAGGGACAAGATGGTGTCTTTCCCCATTCTATGTACAAAAGCCAAGGAGACTTTAGCTCCGCTGATGGGTCAGCATCCTCCACTGCACCTGAGTGCCATGAGCTAGTTCAGGGATGCATTACAGGCCATGCGACACAAACAGCTCTATCTGTTTCCAGGCTTTCAGCATCTGCGCAAGGGCTTCTTCACGTTACACGATAACAATTGAGCCAGCGCTGCTTCTGAATAAACATACGTAACATAGTGAGACCAGACTGCATGTCATGGATCACTTCACTGGAACCAAGGCCAACCTCAGTAAAGCATAACAACTTTTAGATACGATAAAAGAAATAGATGTGGATCTTTGCCACATCTCCTTGTTCTTTCCAGCTGCAGTAGCCGCATCAAAAATGCCTACTTACTTTCTACTTCTGTTCTTCTACATATACGTGGAAGAGTGACTGTCAAAATGTGTACCTACTTTTGGCTCTTTTATTTGTGATTCTGGGGAAATGCAAAAGAGATTACTTAAGCATCCTTGAAGAACAAACCTCTATGGTACATTAAAATCCCTATGGAATAATCACCTGTGGGGGGGGCGAAATACCTGAATCTGTGGCAAGCAAATAGGCAGGATTTAAGACAAGGACTGACTGCTGTTTTATCATGAAGTCTTGAGAGTTGTTTTCTCAGGCATAAAGCAGTTTTTGCTTCAAAGGGCTTTGTAATGTGAATGTAAAATCTACATTGAACCAGAATACCATGGATGTCTTATCTTCTGCAGCAACATCAATAACATCCAAGAGGCTCAAAGGTCATTTAGGCATTATGTGTGACAATTCCTGGCATCTTGCTTTTAATCTTTTGTAACAAAGCAACTTAAGACTGGCTGCATATCTCTGTGTTCATGTGTGCCCTTCATCCTCTGCTGATTTTGTTGGATATGTCATCTGCAGCCGGTAGTTGTATGCAACAAAGTGTGACTAGCCACGGTTCGGGACCATTGGATTGTAACTAGGAATTACTATACACAACTTAGTTCTCAGATGAATATCTGTGTGCCATTGCATGGACGAAATCTTTCCTATCCATTTGTAGAAGAAAATCCTCCACAGGGCTCTGGTTTCTCCCCAAAGCTGATTGTTTATGGACTGACACATCAGAAAATGGTGCTTTCCTAAGAGAATAAATGTCAGATCCCTTTTTTTTGGCTCCCCAAGCTGGTTATACAATTACTGTCCAATATCAAACTGCTTCTAGAATCGTTATACTAGTGACTGTTAACATGCCAGGATTCTGTAATTTCTCAGCTTATACTCTGAAGCTAGTAGTAACAAACATCTGTTCTACTTAAGCCATATCTTATCCTTATGCTCTCTTTTTCAGTGCTGGTGCTTTTGCATCTTTCTGTCAAACCACTGAGTCTGCTTTTGCTAGCATGTCACTTCAAGAGTATACTACTGGAAAAAAGGTCAGACATGTAAAGGGCACAGCAGACTACTAAAAATACACTTTTAAAAATATTTGCAACAATCATTTCTGTGGTGGTGGTAGGGATTGTATTAAGAGCTTAAAATATTTCAAGGTGCAAATGAATTCCACAGCCTTAATCATTTTCAGTCTTTTGCTGGTCTGCCTTAAGTGTTATCTCATTATTTTATTATTGATTCTGTTTTGTATGCATATGTGTTTTCTAAAACATTTTGTAAATATTTTATTTATACTTCTGATTCTTCATGTGTAATGTTGTAAAGTGATTTCCTGCTGTCACATGTTCTTACTCTTCTGCAGTATAAATATATATGTTATCTACAGATGATAAAATCTACATTTTAGGCTATTGCCTTCCTTATAAATACAATATACAAAAGATTCAAGTATGGGATTTTTATTTTTTAATATAAAAGCAATTCTGCTGATAAAATCCATTAAGACGGATATTATAAAGACAAGCTTTTATTTTGACTTATATGACACTGTATAGTATGGGGAGAGAACACAGAAGAAATTGTGAGAGCTGCCTGCCATGTAAAGGCATTAGATACAACTGAAAGGGGGGGGGATGCTGAATGAAAATCCGTTATCTATACTACTTTTCTTCCCTTAAAAATAGGATTTATGATTTCTGACATATGTGCTTTAAGACTGTAATATGAACCTTGAAATAATGAGAATTGGTTAGCTCTACTGTGTTCGGGCAAATTTGATTTTGACATTGCTAACACTACCTTTTAAAAAAATACAAAATTTGCTACATGACGCACACCAAAACTGTTAATTTCCACTGGTTTATGTTGATCAGATTACTCACTGCTAAAGGTGGTAGTTTTAGCAAAGCCTAAAGATTAAACGTCCACAACAGAGGACGTCCTTAATGTGAGCAATGCCCGAGTTCTTACGAAGCGAGTAAACCCGAACGTGCTATAAGACCCTGAAGGCGGTTATTGGTTCCCAGGTTGGTGCGGCTGAAAATAAATAAATAAAAATAAGTTAACTGAACTAACCAATTGCGCCAGATAACTCGGTTCTGCCCCCTTCCCCAATAATTCCCGGCTACGGCCATGCTCCCAGGTCCTTATTTGCACAAAAGTTCGAAACACATCTCAATCGGGAAAACCTGTAGTCCTTTCTTTAAAAAGTTCTCCATCCCTGAGAAGCCCGAAGCTTCTCTTTCAAAATGGACCCTATTCAGTATTCTTCCGACGCAAATGTTGCTTCCAGTGTCGTCGTCGTCGTCCCTCCATCCATCCTAGTGCTGCACTCCGAGGGATTTTTCCTTTGGCGATGGAGTTTTTATTCGGCTTTGGGACGCACAGGCGGCGCTCCCACTGCGCGTGCATGGCCCTCTTCTCGTACTCCCCTAAATTAAATTTACTCACCGGTTTCCCCTCAAACGTTCCAAGGTATGGGCGTAGCTAAGGGGGGCAGCTGCCTCCCTAGATCAAGTAAAACAATAGAAATAAACTGACCAATCACGTCGGTCCTACCCCCCCAACATTAATCCTGTCTACGCCCATCTCTCCTCTCCTGGGTAGCTCTATTCTGGAGACCGGGGTGGGGGTGGGGTCGCCGCTTTGTGCCTCCACACCAGTGTCTGGTAGATGATGTCCACACGCGTTCACCCGTACACACGTGCACCAGAATATGCGTGTAGTAGTAGCACAAGCAACTGCAAAACAAGCCTCCCTGCCTTCTCCGCTCCTAGGAGCGGAGCATATACAACCTTCACTACTCCTCCAGTACCAATTGCACCCCCTTCTTTCCAAGCAAATAGCGCCGGCCAGGATGCAAGAGAAACCCAGGTGCCACTAATGCACTAGTAGGTCTGGTTGGGTAACGAGAATAGTCACCCCTAGCGCGCATGTGCACGTGGCGCCCCGTAAGGAATCGTCCCGTTTCCTAGCGACAGAGGAGGGTTGCCCCGCCCCGCCTTGCCTTGCGTCATTACTCGGCGACTGCCCCGGCGGAGCGGCCCGTGCTGTTCTGCGTATGTGCGCGCGAGAGCCTCGAAGGATGGAAGCGTTAGCCTCGGAGCTGTACGGCGTGCAGGCGGTGCGCTTCGGCGAGTTCGTGCTTAAGAGCGGCCTCGTCTCCCCGGTCTATGTCGACCTGCGCGTCATCGTGTCGCACCCGGCCCTGCTCAACAAGGTGAGCCCCGCGGGCGGGAACGGGGCGCGCGTGAGGGAGGAAGGCGGGCCCGAGGCAGTTGGAGGAGGGAGGTCGAGAGACCAGCGCCTCGTGTTTCTGTTGCAGCTGGGGGTCATTATAAGCACTGCTGCGCAGCTGTAAGAACTGGTCCTGACTGGGGTTTGCCTCTCCTCATTTTTTTTCTTCCCCCTTTTAGGGGAAAAGGGTTTACAAGGGTGTAAGCGGGGGGGGGGGGGGAGCAGCTTGCTGCTATCGAATTTGTGTCAGCTTCTCTGTGAGCTTTTTCAGCAGCACAAAAATGCTTTAATGCCTCTTCTAATTTAGTGCCCTCGATACTAATGGACAACAGCTGTCATCACCTCCGGCCCTAACCATGTTGACTGGGACTGAGGGGAGTTGGAGGCCAGCCATGCCTGGAGATTTGGAAAGCCTGTTTTAAATAAGCAGACAAACATGGCAAGAGTGTTAGAAGAGTCAGATAGGGACCACGAGGGTCATCTAGTTGCTGGGGAAGAGGGCAGCTGTCAAAGATGATACAATCCTGCCAGCTAGTAGTACTCCTGGAACCATGTTGGAGTGGGTTTTTCCCCTCATGCATAATTGTCTGTAGTGGAAGGTGAAGTAGAGGGATATGGGTGGAAGAAGGGTACAAAGAGATAAGAACATTGATCTGTCTTGTCAGCATTGTTGCAAAGGATACCCTTCTCATACCTTATCATTTATTCAACCAAATAATTGTGCTAGCGGAACCCAACACAAGGATTCCCACTAGTGCAACAGAGATCACACAAAATACATGATTCTTCCAAGGAAATAAATAAGCTATCACTGCTTGTTGCTCTTCAACCTACAGTGGTGCCTCGCAAGACAAAATTAATTCGTTCTGCGAGCTTTTTCGTCTTGCGATTTTTTTCGTCTTGCGAAGCACGGTTTTAACGGTATTAACGGTTTTAAGAAAAAGGAAACAAACTCGCAAGACATTTTCGTCTTGCGAAGCAAGCCCATAGGGAAATTCGTCTTGCGAAGCAACTCAAAAAACGAAAAACTCTTTCGTCTTGCGAGGCATTCGTCTTGTGAGGTACCACTGTAAATACAAAGAACACAAGCATAATTAGGTGATGAAGTAAGCATCATGTGAAGAAACAAAATCCATATGATCTTTGGTGCTTATGGTTTCACTTTCTGGTAATTCTTTGTGGACTCTCCTTATTTTATTGACAATGTATTAATGTTTGGTTATAATGGTAGAACCTATTTTATATTTAAAACAATTTCTTTCAGGTAGCAGGTTTCCTTTTTCAAACAGCAAAGGGTGCTGCAATCAAGTATGACACTGTGTGCGGGGTCCCATACACGGCTTTGCCCCTGGCTACAATCATCTGCTCAACCAACCAGATCCCAATGCTTATACGGCGAAAAGAAGCTAAAGACTATGGTAAAAAGAATCAAATTTACCTAGATCATAATATTGGCATTATAAGCAATGAATATTCAAGACAGCAAAAATGTTAATAATAAATAAAGTTTCCAACTTCCTCGGTAGCGTATATACAGTTTTTTGTTTTAGCATACCTAGAAAGGTAATAATTTGATGTACATAACACGCCTGTGATTTAGGAGCCTTAGTGCAGAAGTTTTAACCACAAGCTTTTATTAACTGGTGTAGTGCACGTGTTATTTTTAATAGTACAATGGTACCTCTAGTTACGAACTTAATTCGTTCCGGAGGTCCGTTCTTAACCTGAAACTGTTCTTAACTAGAGGCGTGCTTTCGCTAATGGGGCCTTTTGCTGCCGCTGTGCCACTGGCACACGATTTCTGTTCTCATCCTGGGACAAAATTCTCAACTCGAGGTAACTCTTCCAGGATATTAGAGTTTGTAACCTGAGGTGTTTGTAACTCGAGGTACCACTGTAGTAGCAATAATATTTTCAGTTGAGCTGGCAAGGTTGTTGTTTTGTTGTTGTTGTTTTGTATTGGTAGGTTAATGAAAAATGCCCTTTTTTGCTTCAAAAGGTACCAAACGTCTTGTGGAGGGGACAATAAACTCAGGAGAAACTTGTCTGATCATTGAAGATGTAGTTACCACTGGTTCAAGTGTTCTGGAGACGGCAGAGACCCTTCGGAAAGAGGGGTTGAAGGTTACAGATGCTATAGTGCTTTTGGACAGAGAGCAAGGAGGGGAAGCCCTGTTGGAGAAGCATGGCATACACCTACACTCAGTATGCACCTTATCTAAAATTCTCAAGATCCTTGAGCAGCAGGAAAAAGTTTCTCCTGAGATGGTGGCAAGAGTAGAAAAATTCATCCAGGAGAATATTATTAAACCACCTGAGCAAAATGGTACTCCTCCTGTGAAAAGAATGTGCAAAGAAATGAGCTTTGCTGCTCGGGCTGAACTGCCAGACACTCATCCCCTCGCTGCACAACTTCTCAAGCTGATGGAGAAAAAGCAGTCTAATTTGTGTCTTTCTGCTGATGTGACTGACTCCAAAGAATTGCTCCAGCTCGCTGCGACTTTGGGCCCTTCCATCTGTATCTTGAAGACTCACATTGATATTCTGGATGATTTCACCCAAGAAATAGCCAAGGAGTTGAGAGCACTTGCAGATAAGCATGAATTCTTGATATTTGAAGATCGCAAGTTTGCAGACATTGGAAATACTGTGAAGCATCAGTATGAAGGTGAATTTGGCATAACTACCAACCCCTCTCTCCTCTTTTCAACCTATAATGTGTTGCATATCTCTATAGGGCTGCATATGTTCCTAGTACTCTTAATTTGAAATGTTGATGTGGCCTTCGCTGACTTGAAACTAGCTCTTTATTTTCAAGCCTTCAAGGGCCTTGCTTTTGAGCTGACTTTTACAGTGGTACCTCGGGTTAAGTACTTAATTCGTTCCGTAGGTCCGTACTTAACCTGAAACTGTTCTTAACCTGAAGTACCACTTTAGCTAATGGGGCCTCCCGCTGCTGCCGCGCCGCCAGAGCATGATTTCTGATCTCATCCTGAAGCAAAGTTCTTAACCTGAGGTATTATTTCTGGGTTAGCAGAGTCTGTAACCTGAAGTGTATGTAACCCGAGGTACCACTGTATTCAGATTGTATGCTATATTGAGAAAAATAATACTGAGGAAACCAAGCCTGAACCTAGCCTACAGGGTGCTAACAAATATAGAATATTGATATTCCATATTGTGATAGTAGTGTGTAGTTATGACCTTGATAGGTGTGGGAAACATGACTCTGGACAATATTTCTACAGTGGTAATAAAAGTTGTGGAAAGGGTATCCCTGGTCAATCTCTTAAGTAGTTATCTGATTGCCAAAAAGACGCTTAACTAATACCTTGTCTGCTTTCTGTTTCAGGTGGTATTTTCAAAATAGCATCCTGGTCAGATATAGTTAATGCTCATGCTGTTCCTGGACCTGGAGTTGTTAAGGGATTGAAAGAAGTAGGGCATCCTTTACAGAGAGGGTGTCTCTTGATCGGAGAGATGAGCTCAGAAGGGTCGCTGGCCACTGGTGACTATACAAAAGCTGTGGTAAGTTGGAGCTTTCATCTCAACAAAATGTCTTAAATGGTCTAGATCCTCCCCCACCATCTGGGATGGGGTAGCTCTTTTGAAAAGCAGCATTTCTTGGATTTTAAAGTGCTACTCTAAGTTTCTCCAGTTGGACATAGCCAGCAAACATATTTGCTGGTGCTTTCTCTGGAATAGAATGGAGGCGTAGCAGCATAATACTGCAGTGAAATTCATGTTTGAGAGAAAATAGTGGGAGTTTACACTGCTGAAAAATGAAAAACAAAGTTCTTGGGGGAGTGTGGGTAGGAATTGAGGAAAATGGGGTGAGGCAAAGGAAGCAAGGAGGTTGTATTTGTGATTGGCATGCTCATTTGCTATTGAGATAATGGTATCCATTGTGAATGGAGGTAAGTGGATTGTATGATGTTCTGATCAGTATAGTCTCTTGATTCTTTATTGTTTTGTCTTGATTTTGTTAAGGCTGCAAGTCTTTGTGCTTGCATAATAGCACCTTGTTTAGTATTTGTTCCTCCATTCTAGAGCAAGAATGTAAAGCATTTTCTAACTGCTCTTGTTTATTTGTTTTCCTTTAGGTTAAAATGGCTGAGGAACACTCAGATTTTATTCTGGGATTTATTTCTGGCTCCAGAATTATTGACAAACCTGAATTTCTTCATCTGACTCCTGGTGTTCAGATGCTGGCTGGAGGTAAGAAATTCTGTGGCATTTTGATGGTACAAAATGTTTATGAAAATACCAGAATAACTGAGATAATTCAGAGGTACGCTCGCAAATATTTCTGGTTTGTATGCTGATGAGGGTGAGAATGCAGTCAAAGTCCCCAGTAGTTCCTGTTCAGATTATGCCCTTCCCTTGAGATTGCCTTTAGATTTGTATGTCTGGTTCTGCATTCCCTAGCCTTGGGTGAGAGATCACATCCAAATAGTCTCAGAATTGCCCAATTCATGTACTACAGTGAGGAGAGTGGGGAAGATGATGAACAGATCTACAGAGTTGTAATGTAGGAGTAAAACATACTAACTGTTCCACACTAGAAGCAGCCAAATAAGTGCAGTATCATAAAAAACAATATACAAGCTCCCTAAGTGTTAATAATGCTCTGTCCAGTATTTTCTTATTTCATTCACTGAAAACTGTAACTGGATATTAAGGTTACTGGAAATAATTTCCTACTTATCTGTGCTTGTATGCAAGTTCAGAATTTGTAACAGCAGACAAATCACATCTCTCACATTTGTTTCCATGTGTCGGTCACTTGGTTCTGATAATAGTATAGCAGGTTTCCACTTCCACAGTGGAACTCTCCTCTGTAGCCCCCTGAGCTATACTGCAGGGTGCTGGAGGTCCCTCCAGGGCAGATCTTAAGGGTCTGTTGGGAGAGGAATGGGAAGTCCTGCTGTATGAGTGGATCTCTGCATTCATAGTCTTGGTTGCAAACCAGTCCCTGCTGTTTTGTATTACAACCTTGCCATGCTTTAAATTATATGCAAATATCAAGGCATATTTGCCATGGATATGCCAGTGAGGCTTTATGTTTCATATTTAATCAGAATAACCCTTTAAGAAAGCTGTTATTTTGTGCTATTTGGTTATTATTATTTGCTCTGATGTGCAGTACCTCATGTTGTTGATTATCTCATCTTGGTTAAATCCTTTTAGGGCATGCTTTTTTCCTGTGCACACTTAATAGCATTTTAATAATACAGTGGTACCTCGGTTTACGAACTTAATCTGTTCCGGAAGTCTGTTCTTAAACCAAAACCATTCTTAAACCGAGGCGTGCTTTCCCCAATGAGGCCTCCCGCCGCCGGTGCCCTTCCACCGTTCAGATTCCGTTCTAAGACGGAGGTAAAGTTCTCAACCCAAGACACTGTTTCCATTTTTGCAGAGTTTGTAAACCAAATCGTTCTTAAACCGGACTGTTCTTAAACCGAGGTATCAGTGTATAAGGATAAATCTGTACCCAGTGTTAGCGTGGGGAACACTTTTTGGAGTTCACCAGCATTCTTGAAACTCTTTTATGAAGCAAACTACTGGAGAGCAAGCATAACACGGCATATTTGTGATTGTGATCCATTGCAGGTGATAAGCTTGGGCAGAAGTACCTCAGTCCTCAGGAGGTGATTGGTAAAAGAGGTTCGGATATCATCATTGTAGGCCGTGGTATCTTATCTGCGCCCAGTCGCCCAGATGAAGCAGAGACTTATAGGAAAGTAGCATGGGAAAGTTACTTGCAGAGAATTGGTGTCAGTGCACAAAAATAGCACAACTGCTGTGTTTCATTAAGCAAGCCGAATTCTAAAAGCAGGAAAGATTGAGAAGGTAATTCTTTGTTGTTATTTTGCCTAATGAATGTTGTTGTATGTTAAAATTTTGCTATAAATTTATTTGAGAATCAGTACAGAAATTGTAAATTTTGACTCTGAATTCAAACAGCTGTGTGTCGTCTGCTATCCCATTTTTAAAAACACTTTAAAGGGCTTTTTTTAAAAAAAAACTCCAGTGGTTTTGCGAACCACAGAGCCATGAAGATTGTGAGAAAAGAGAAAGCCGAGCAAATCCTGATCACATTGCATTTGCAGTTGTTTAAAGTTCTTAGTTGCTGTTCTCAGTTGTGTTAAAATGTAAGGACTGAGTGTGATAGGGCGCTAGGCCCTCTTCCACAGAGCAGTTTCTCCATCCAGCATTTGGTTCTTTAGATCATGATGTGAAATACATTTCAAAATCTTGCTCAGGTGCAGGAATTGTGTGCCTTAGATATTAATATGCTTGTGTACTATGTGGAGATGATGCATTCCATTAATGATCTGCTACCTCAAAGAACATTCAGAATCCTTGCTTCTCTAATAATTGCCTCACTGGTAAAATGCAATGGTTGTCACACCAATAAACTTCAAAAGGCTATGTTTAAATGATATGAGAATGGGAAGGTCTTTTTGTACATTAAATACTCTGGATGATACCCAGTGGCATGGATATCCTCTTCCTCCCCCTGAGTCCCCCCAAATCTCTCATGAAATGTCCCCAACCCTCTGGAGTAGAGGAAGGGCAAGTTCCACTGTGAGCAGAAAAAAAGAAAAGAAATTTGTATCATTGTATAAAATTTAAGCCACCAGAGGGTGCTATAACCCTTTGTGTTTTTCAAAAGTTTCTTTACTTAGGGTTGCCATGCATCCGGAATTTCCCAGACATATTTGGAATGCCGCATTCGTCAGCAGTGTCTGGGCAGAAATCATCCAACTGGGAAAATCTGGACATATGGCAGCCCATGTGGGCAATGCCAATTTGGCCAATTTTTCCTTAAAATAGCTGCAAAATGTCAATTTTTTGCAATCTTGCCAGAAAAAGCACAACTTTTCTGTCCGGATTTTCACTGTTTGAAATATGGCAACCCTACTTTACATAGATTTGTTTATTACTGTTTGGTCTTCCACAATAACTGCCGAGAACTAAGAAACTAAACTTACCTATTGTTTACGACTTGACAACTATTTTTGCTGGAATATATGTGTGAAAGCAGCTGTCTGCTGTATGAAATATTTGTGACTTGTGCTGCTTTGGAACAAAATAGACAAATGCAGATGTACTGTTCTCCTAACCATCTTTAGGTTCATGTAGGCTCAGCACTACTCTTACCATCTATTTGAGTTGCACCCCCTTTCTGCCATTGTCTCTGTATTCAGTGTAATATCTGTGTTGATATAAGACAGTTGATGGGTCTAGCCATACTTTTAACATTTCCCTAGAGCAGTGGTAGGCAGGGAGCATTTTTAAATGTGCCTGCATCACTCATATGGGTTGGTGTGAGAAAATAGAGAAAATACGTATTTTTCGCTCTATAACACGCACCCAACCATAACACGCACATCGTTTTTAGAGGAGGAAAACAAGAAAAAAAATATTCTAAACGAAACAGTGGATGTATGATTTTTGTGGTTCATGCTGTGGCCACAGACATGTGATCTGATGGTGAGTTTGAGGTAGCCCAATGCAAAAATCCAGAGGATCCGTGTGGATCCATGCTTTGTAACCACATTTTTGCTCCACTGCGGCCCCAGGCAACAGTGGGTGAGTGATTTTTTTGGTGCAAGCTGTAGCCATGGACATGCTATGTGATCTGATGGTGAATTTGGGGTGACCCAGTGCAAAAATCCTGAGGATCCATGTGGATCCGTGCTTTGTAACCACGTTTTAAGTGGGGAGGGAGGAAAAAGCACTCGAGGGACAAGGAACACGCGTGGGGTGGGTGGAGAAGGATGCTGTTAATAATGCAGAAGAGGGGTATAAGGGGAGAAACAAGCAGGCTCTGCTTCTCTCCCTCCCCCCGCCCCCCGGCTCGCTGAAAAACTTTGCTGCTATTTAGCCAGCTGAGTGGGGAGGAGAGAGGACAGAGAGCCTGCTTGCTTTAAAGGAGCCAACCGGACAGGAGCCGCTTACACTCGTGTAAGCAGCTCCTTTCCTCTCCTGCTTTGCTCCTTTAAAGCAAGCAGGCTCTCTGTCCCTCTCTCCTCCCCACTCAGCGGCTCTTCTCCCGCTTTGACAGCCACGGAGGAGGGAAGGAAGGGGAACCATGGATCCTCTGCTCACGACTGCAGCAGATCCCCCCGCTATCCATAGGCATTCGCTCCATAACACGCACAGACATTTCCCCTTACTTTCTAGGAGTAAAAAAGTGAGTGTTGTGGTGCAAAAAATACGGTAGATACTTCTGAAAAGCAATAGTTGGAAATGATTGAGAGGGAAGTGTCCAAGGCTGTCCCAAGTAGAAAGAACTGTTTAATTGAAGTAGTAGATATTTAACAGAAAAGAACTGAGTTTTCACTTCAGAAAACAAAAAAGGGGAGTTCTGTTTTGACAAAATGATAGTAGTTGGATCTCCTTTGTTTTGTTGCACATACCTCCTTCATTTAGATCGGACTTATTGTTAGCATACATTACTATTTGTATGTGCTTGGCCTTAATTGGCATGGTTTTGGAAGCGGCCAAGGGAACAATGCTTTTCATTCAGGCACATCTCTGTAAAGAAATCTGTGTCCAGGGTTAATGTGTCCTATAATCTCTAATTTTACATTCCCTGGCTTCCTTCCATATGTTAGCAACATGAGATCTAGGTCACAATTTGTTTGTGTGTTTTTTTAAAAAAACTCATTTGCATTATATACCAAAAGCATTCCTAGCTGAGGCAGTGAATGAATTACAGGGAGACGGGTGCTGGATGTGCTAACCTCTGCTAGTTTATAAAACAACTTGAATTTCTTAATTCTATCTTTTTTGTAAAATAAGTGGGGGGGTTTTAGGTGGCTAGATTTGACTTTTATACATTTAAGCTGATGCAGTCTTTGGCGTTGTGGTCATTAGGTGATATTTCTTGTTAGACTGGTTGCTTGGCAAACTTCTGTGCCAAGGAAATGCAGTAGCTTAATGATGGCAAAAATATTCATTCTGCAGTTATTTACTGGCTTGCAGTACTTGTTGAAGAACCAAATCCATCAGAGATTTTTACTTCCTTCAATAGTAGGCACTGAGCCAACTACCCCAATAACAGTGATTCTCCATATCTGGCTGTTATTGAAATGCTCATTACAGATCATTATAGGAATGACACAAACACTTGATAGCCATTTAAATTCTGTAGTTCTGTCCCATTCTCTGTTGAAGTGTTCAATGGCCATTTCATTCAGAAGATGTAAGTGGCATGAGGTGCTTTGCAGTACCTAATTGTTGTTGTCTTCAAGTTTCCACTCCACCTTTAATTTGGCTGCTTTACGCTTTCATTTTGAGATGAAGCTGGAGCCAGTTTATTTTAACAGTGAAGGACAATTGTACAACTCTTCTCATTCCTCCATCAATCCTGGCTTTGATTGATGAGTGTTCTATTTTTACATGCCATGGGCTGTTCTCTTCTTATTGGTTAAGGTAAAGGTAAAGGTACCCCCACCCGTACGGGCCAGTCGTGTCCGACTCTAGGGTTGTGCGCTCATCTCACTTAAGAGGCCGGGGGCCAGCGCTGTCCGGAGACACTTCCGGGTCACGTGGCCAGCGTGACGAAGCTGCTCTGGCGAGCCAGCACCAGCGCAGCACACGGAAATGCCATTTACCTTCCCGCTAGAAAGCGGTACCTATTTATCTACTTGCACTTAATTCTGCTTTCGAACTGCTAGGTGGGCAGGAGCTGGGACCGAAAGATGGGAGCTCACCCCGCCGCGGGGATTCGAACTGCCGACCATACGATCGCCAAGTCCTAGGCACTGAGGTTTTACCCACAGCGCCACCCGCGTCCCATTCTTATTGGTTATGTTGCCATTATAAAGCTTTTAGAGGCCTTGAGGGAAAGGTGGCGTATAAAAATGTTAAATAAACACAGTTTGATGCTGGGTAGCAGATAGTAATTGTGTTCATTGTAGCAAGCTTAAACAGCCTATTGGTCTATGTCTGAAAATAACTTGGTTTTCTCCTGGCAAATGCATTTTGTGACCTGTAAGGGTCAGAATGAGAGAATCAGTGGTAGCTTGGCTAGCCTTTTATTTATTTTATATTGCCTTCTGCACTGAGGCTGTGATACAACAGTCTCTTAAGTTACCATAAGAAATAGATATACTCTAATCGTCAAGAATATCAGTTTCTTTCTTTTTTAAAATTGGAGGTTTGTTTTGCAGGCTCAACCAATGGAGCAAGAAATTCTTTCAGGCATTAGGCTACACAATTGTAGTTGTAGCCTTAAATTCATACTTGATGTATCTACACTGCACATGTAGGTGTTGGGAGTGATAGATTAACTGGGAAGTTTAAGAAACTGTCATTAAAGTCCTAACAAAATTCAATTTGCAGCTGCCTGCTATATTGAAACTGGACAATGTTTGCAGTAATATTGTATGTACAAGGGAAGTGTACAGTGGTGCCCCGCAAGACGAATGCCTCGCAAGACGAAAAACCCGCTAGACGAAAGGGTTTTCCGTTTTTCGATGCGCTGCGCAATACGAATTTCCCTATGGGCTTGCTTCGCAAAACGAAAAAGTCTTGCGAGTCTTGAGATTTTTTTCGCCCCCCCCCCTTTTCTAAGCCGCTAAGCCGCTAATAGCCTTTTAGCCGCTAAGCCTTTAATAGCTGCTAAACCGCTAATAGCACTAATCCGCTAATAGGGTTGCTTCGCTAGATGAAGAGACTCGCGGAACAGATTAATTTCGTCTTGCAAGGCACCACTGTATAGACCCTTATTTTTTATAATTGCAGAGTCACGAAATGTTTTGAGCACTGTTCTTTCCCCAGTCATTGCAAGAACTTGAAGCAGCACTTCATTAAAATCATATTTGGGTTTGTGATAATGGTCTTTGTGTGCTTAAGACCTTTCATACGTGTCACGTTAAACCTGAGCTGCTGCTGTGATGCTGTGGTCATTACTTGGTGGAGTAGGTGCAAATGGCTACCCTATGTGCTTTGCAGTTGTCATTTTGCTACATGTCGACTGCGTGGAATAATATGAAATTTCTCCCTTCCTGGGCTGCAGTAGACCCACCACTCACTTGATTTTGCTTTTCAGCCCATCCAATTGTTTGCCTGCTGCCACACCTCTTCATTATAGATTATTGAACAGTGAACCTAGCAACTTTGCCCCTTGGACAAGGTGACACAGCATTAAGGCTGATTTTTTCGCGAAGAGGAAATGCAATGTCACTGCCAACGAACAGTAAGCTTTATAAAACAAAAGTACTTTATACACTGCCTCTCTGTAACTAGGCATTTAGAAACCTGATCTTAATACATTTAACACTGTGCTTCTTTAAAGATCTTTATTGTTCAGTGTTAAAGTAGATTAGGTTAAACCTAACGTGTCATATAGTGAGAACTAGTGAGCAGCCTTTAGAGGACCTCTAGTTGTCTCCTTTGCCAGCATGCAAAACTGGTGACATTGAACAGAAACAGAGATTATGTATCTTAAGTTTTGTGGTTAGTTGAATTATGCAAACATTACAGTGTCCACACTTGGGTTTATTTTATTTTCACCATGGGTCACGTAGTGAGCAAATAGGGGCTGATAAATTCAGGTTAAAAAGATTAACAACCAGATGCTAAGCATGTGTAGAATTTCAGATAACTGAGCAGTTTGTAAGTGTACAGGTTAACCTAAAACTGATGGGCTGAACAAGCAGTCTTCCTTGTTTATATTAATTTAAATTCTGATAAAAAGCCCTTAAATATAGTGCAACACATCTTTCATAAAAGAAACTTGATCATGGAAGCAAAGGAATAAGTATACTCATAGCACATATATGCAATTGCTTTTATTTTTTTTTTAATATAAAAATTTATTCTAAAAACTGTTTAACACCTGGATATTTTTTTTTTAAAAAACCAATGCTTCCACCACCTTCTCCAATGCTAGTTTTTCTCCCCTGAAAACCAGCAGTGACACAATACCCCTATGAAATGGACCTGCATGTTTTTTTCCTACCGAGATATGGCTGAAGCTGCTATATGGCACATTGTTCAATAGGTTGGCGCTTCCAAGGCATCAAGAACTCCAGGTCAGTGACAACACATTCTGAGCACATCAGCGGGGCTTGGGTTAGAGATCTGCAGAGCACATGGGCTGCTACCCATTTGTCCTCAATGTGCAATAGAAGCCATCTCCTGACATTCAAGTCAAAGTTTAGAATACTGTCCCACTGTAGAGGATTCAGTCTTCCTTTTTGGGAAGCGGTGAGGAAGCCAAGCAATTGTCAAGCATTCCACTCTCTCTTCCACCTTCAAGCATAGTGTCAATCAACTGTACCATTATAGGTCCTGTTAAGCTTGTTGAATGTGAAATCTAAGCTATGGGTGGAAATAGGTTTTCGGTAAAGAGGGTTTGAAGCCTACAAAAAAGAAAAAAAGGAAGTGATATAAACTGTGTATTTACAGGGAGATTAAACTCTGGACATGCAAACCAAATGCAAGTTCTGCTAAAATCAATGGAATCTCATTTGTTTCCCCCTCCCCTTAATGTTATTTTGCTACTCTTTCCCCATGCACTCCTAAAGTCTGTAATAGTGTTGTGTAGGCCTAGGTGATGTATCAGTGCATCACCCAGGACCAGTATGACAGCCAGACTGCGATAGAGGCGTCAACTAGCACTGTATCACTGGTGAAACCACTGTCACTCCTGAGTCCCTCTGCCATGGGGGTGGGGAGGGGGCTGGCAGAGGCCAGCTGCTTTGTCCCTTCAGGAGTGACTGACTAGAAGAGCCCTCCAGTGTGAAGGTGGAGGCAGCCCCCCCCCCAACTGAGCGAGCCCTGATGCCTCGCTTGATCGGGGGGGGGGGGGGCTGCCTCTCCCCACCTGACCAGCTCAAGGAAGCCACACTGTCTCTCCAAGCAGGCAGGTGGCAGCCAAGCGCATGGAGCCTGAGTAGCACATTCTCAAGCTCCCTGCATCTGTCTGCCTCGTGTCTTCTTCATGGAGTGACCAACCGCCCCAAGAGCAAAGCCGCAGCCTGCCCTCCTGGGCAAAGGCAATTTGAGCTGCCAGTACATTGCGGCTCTTCAGCTGCCCCCAACACAGCCGCTGCACGTGTTTGCATCCCTGCACCTGAGCCACCTCTGCCTCCCTGCACACCATTCTGGTCTCAAGCAGCCCTCATGAATCCTTCCCTGAACAGAGTAAAGCGAGACTTTCCCTTCCTGCTCTGTACTCCTCAGTGCACATTTCTTCCCACCCCTATGCACGGAGCCCTTTTCCAGCTCTTTCCTGGTTCCCCCCATGAAGTGAATGCTTACCATTTCATATCTTGCCCGGGAACGCTCACTTTGGAATCTGGCAAATTCCCGCCTGTCATGAATAGTGACCAGCAGCTTCCAAATTGCCAAGAGGACAATCCCCAGGAGCACAATGCTGCCTACCACAGCCAGTAAGATCATCATGGCATCAGGGGCAGTGCTACACTCTGGCAAGGAAAAGAAATGATTATCATTGATAAGGACACTGTCTAAATCCAGTGTAAACATCAGAACTTGCCTTTTCAAATACAGGTGTTTATCAAGCCTGAAAGGTTCAGAACCAACAGCAGAATTTATGATGCAGTATTTCAGAGACAACAGTTAACTATTAACATATGATCAGCTCTGCTAATTCATTTGCAGCATATATATTGTTGCAGCAGCTGAGTTTTTATATATCCCCAATCCAGCAAGTGGCTACTTCTGTGCACATATAAGGTCACTGGATGGGGAATTTCACATGTCTTTTTGCTTGCTGCATGGGACAGCTCCATATGTATAGCATTTTTAAGAACGGGTGGGGAACCTCAGCCTAGGCTCTTCCCAAGTTTCACCCTTTCCTCAGCCACACTCTTCCCAGGCCACATTCTATTTCACACGCTCCTTGAGCATGTTTGCCTGGCTCAGAATGCGTCCTTGAACTCTGATAATGCCTCTTGCTTGTCTAGGTGGAAGCTAGAGAGGGGAATGCAGGTGCGTATACAAACTGGCCTACTTTACATAGATAAAATTTACATCCATTGCTCTGCCCTGTCCACCACTGGCATGCAGCCCCAAAGTCACCTAGAAAGGAATGCCATCTGAAAATGATGCCCCACCCACCTCAAGCTCACAGCTCAGCTAATTTGACAGGAGGCCAAGGCCAGGGCAGCAACTGCATTCAATTCCCTAAAGCTAAGGTAGGGCACAATACTGCCTAACTTTTCAACTACAAAAGTATTAATTTTTTAAATTTTAAATCCAATATTGGACTCTTTCCCCGAAGACTGGAGCTATTTAGATCAGGAGCTTTAGATTATCATGCTATACCATTGCTTATCTAGATTCTTTTTTACTTTGGTCATAGTTAGACTTAAAAATAAGGGTGGGGATTTGGGTCTAGCCAATAAGCTCCAATTGGCTCAGATGTTTCTTCTGGCAAGAATGCTTGCAACACTGAGGTAAGTTGACTTCATCATCCCATCACACAAGATTCTTCTGATGTGCTCCAGATGTGCCTGGCACTGATTACTGACCATCAACCTTCATCCCCTCTCACTAGTATTCTGTGGACCACTCCCTATGTGAATCTGTTCTTCTGGCTTAACCTACAAGCAGTATTTTCCCCCATAGTGAAAATTAATTAGTGGGCAGAGCAATCCAAACCCCTCTTGTGCTCAGCTGTCTCCTCCCAGCTAAGCTGGACTCGGCTGCCTTCAACAGTGCAATGCAGAACTGCCCCTTTGAAATATACAGACACTATGGGCAGCCAGTGAAAGGTCTCAAAACACGGTATATGGGGGGCAGGGAGGCTGAGCTAGCCTAGGATCCATCAGCATCAGGCTCCATCACTGCACCATCTCCAGGCTGGTGCAGCAATTTAAACCCTCACTTTCAGCCCTGGCTGTTGTGCATGGCAGGGCTGTGGAAGTGGCCCCACCACACTAAAGCCCCCAAAGGGGGAAGGCTTGGTTCGCCTTAAATACCTAAAACTGCTCGTGTGTTTTCTGCACATCTGAAAAGGGAAAGAGTATTTAGGGACAACATCCAAGGTCTTGTACCCTTAGTGGTGTTAAAAGAAGCAAAATATTCTAAGGGATTCTACAGTCAAGTCCACAACCAAACTTTTGCCTTGGTGGTATGGACAAACAGCACAAAGCATGCACGATATAACAAACCTGGTTCCTTGAGAACAGTGATGTTTGTCTTTCCACTGGTGAGTTCCGTGTAGGTGAACTTCATCACACAGTCCTTCACTGGGTAAGCACACAAGACTGAATGAGGGTCATCAGTTTCTGGAATAAAATGTAACACAATCCTATTTATAACACAAAGATTTAAAACCCTAGCATATTGCGGCATATGTTGAAAAACATTTCAACCTATAACATATCCCCAGCATTAGATGCTCCCTTTGTTTTGCTGGGCATTTGTTCAGCGCATCAAAACACATGTTTGAATTACCATTAGTTTGACCCCAGAAATGGAAGAATATGTTGAGATTCTAAGTCTCTTGGGTCTCTGGATTCCTTTCAATATGACGGCCTTCCTGTTGGTACATATGGAGCAAATTAGGAAACCATTCAAATGTCTAAAATTGTTGAAACCATTAACATAGTGAGTAGGTGAAAGATTGACTCGGCTGCATGCCTAAACATTTTGAAAGCTATGGATAAACACAACTCCAAGATTGCAAAGGAGATGTTGGTATGGCCCTGCCCTCCTTAAAGAGGAATTTCTATGTGTCTCTGAAAGAAGGCCAAACAAAACTGAAACTTGGAAGGCTTTCTTTGGAAGAGGAAGTTTCATTTCCTTATGCCAATCTCCATGGAGGAAGTAATTGTCTGGAAATAAGCTTAATTTTGCAATCCAGTTGGGGCACAGGGAGTAGCGGGGAGATGGAGATTAAAATATTCAACACTGATAAGGTCAATGTTGTGCATTACAGAAAAACATGCTGTGATAGATACGCTGCATAGGGTCAAGTGAAGGCATTAAACTGAATAGTTATGTGGCCGGAGATCTGGGGGCAGGTCAGAAAATTGCATCCTCAGGCAGGTCTCATTGGCAAATCTCTCACTTTTGCCCATATGGGTTTGCAGTTTTTAAACACTACTTTGTCCCCTTGGGGAATAAGCAATCAAGTTTCTAATGGGAGTGCTTAGAAAAAGCAAAGCCACACTATGTATGTATGTATGTATGTATGTATGTATGTATAAACTTTGTGACTACCAGCAATATAATGACGCCATACAAAAAGTATTTGAAACATAGTTGAGCAATGCCATAGCTTAACAAAATTATAGCAGGAAGTAAAAAATAATATTCAGTAGCCTAGGCCAAAAGCCTGACAATAAAGTTTTGTTTCCACCACACAGCAAAACACCAAGGCCCCTCAGACTTACGAGTGTCAAAGCCTGGGTGTGAAAACAAGGAAATCCCATTCACCCAGCAACTGCATGTTTCCATTGGTGGATCTGAATGGGTGAGGCAGGATTGTATGGGAGGATTGGCCCTTCAAGTATCCTTGAGCAGGTTACTTTTCATCTGCCTGTGCTCCTGCTCCCATGTTAAGAATCTGATGTCTTCCCTTTTCATCTCTCTTACTGTGTGAGCGTTTGGCTGCTTGGCAGATGGCTTGTGGACCGTGTCAGAAGCACAGACCTCTGCAGTCGCCACAAAGAGCTTCTGTTTCAAAGATGCCTCAACCTTCATTACTCCTGATAGCAGATGGCCCACAAATCCCTACCTGTACATGTACAACTTCAGACCAAACTAAGAGCAACTGGTATACAGACATTCAGTCAGGAGAGGAATCAAATGTAACCCTGCTAAACATCTTGATTCAGTAGTGCATCACTGGAGAAGTTCTGATGGACCTTCTAAAACAGATGTCATGGAGGATGAGACACCTAGCCATAATGGAGGCTATGCACTGTCTCCATGAACTGTGGAGGCAATGCTGTGCCATGGTCAGAGGCAGAATAATTCTGAATTTCAGTTGTTGGAAATTGCAGGAGGGTACTCTTGTGCTCAGATCCTGCTTGCAGGTTTCCCACAGGCATCTATCTGGTTGGCCGCTGTGAGAACAGGATGCTGGACTAGAAGGGCCATTGGCCTAATCCAGCCGGCTCTTATATTGTTATAAACCAGTTGTTGCTGAATTGCATCTCCCATCATCCCTAACCATTGGCCATGCTGGCTGGAGCTGATGGCAGCTGAAGACCCAACCACCTCTGGAGGACCATGGGTTCTCTATCTGCTCTAGAGCCTTACCAAGAAGTTAAACTAGTAAACGTTAACGAACAAACTCAAACTAGCATGGGGACAAGCCAAGAAGGATGCCTTCACCGTGGTATGGCTCCCCTTTACATACACAGCACAACAGGACAATGATCTATCCCCACAAACAGCATACGAATCAATTTGGCTAACCTGACCCAACAACCTACCCCCCCCCCCAACAAGCCACACCGCAATCAACTGAATGCAGCCAACCAAGCTTGGGACCGGACCCCTAACCTTTCGCATTATCAATAAAAATAAATACATAAACAAAGGACCTACCCATGTGATGCTGACACAAACCCCCAACACTAATAATAGGCAATAGAACAAAAGAACAAAATGTCCACACACTCTTTCCCCCCAAATGCAGTATGTCAATGACAAAAGTGTCTCTCACTAAATGTAAAGGAACTGTGAAAAAGACTGAATTGAAAGTGGAGGCAACAGATGTACCTTAACCGTTCATTTTGTAACACAAAAATCTTTAACAAAAAACTAATTAAAACAAAAAACGTAAGTGGTATTTGAGGGAAAGCAGTGTATCCCACTGTTTCTCATGCTAGTTGTTTGGAACACTGCTAAAACCAAGTATCAAGTTCACTTTTTGAGCAATAAACCAACAATTTGTAAAGGCTCCTAGGGTCTGATCAGACATTCCATCTCATCATTTTTGAACCCAGCTACAGATTTTCAGAAGAATGCACACGAAAGGCCTATCTGGTTTAGGCTAATAAGTAAAGCCCTAATAACAAAAGGAAGATTGAGAAAACGAGGCTCCTAAATGATGCTGGCTTCAATGCCAAGGGATTGCACTCTCTCCCGTGGATTCCTTTTGCTTTCCTCTTGCCTTCGTTTTTGAATACTCCACAGACAACAGTCTCATTTTGAGGCGCAAAGTGCTGACAAAGTGGAGATGTTATCAAAACTGCAATCAATCCACTGTGTTTGCATTTCAAAAATGTGCTGAATGGTTTTTATTGCCAGAAATTGCTTGAAGGGTCATTTTTGAGAGAAAGGGGGAAGTTGGGGGAGGAGGAGGGGCAGACACGGCTGTTTCAAGCAGTTTCTCCCCCCACCCCCAGTGGATCATATAAGGACAGGCTGTTAGATGAAATGAAAAGGCCCATCAGATGGGTTTGCAGGAAAAACCCATCTACTGCAGGTTTGGCCACTGCATGTGAAGGTGAAGCAGAAGGATCCATTCTCCTATATTATTCAACATCTATATGAAGCCAATGGGAGCTGTCATCCAGGGATTTGGAGCATGGATGGCACACATATTTCTCCCCATTCCGTCTGAATCGGGAGAGGCTGTGAAAGTGTTGAACCAGGGCCTGGAAGAGGCTGGATCCCAATAGGCCACTCTGGGGCAGAGGTGAGGAAGTATGTTTGAAGGAGTCCAATATGATCACTATGCCACCATAGTTATGCTCTGTCCAAATTGTGGTGGCTACAGAAGCCATAGAGTCCATGCCTCTGTTGAGACCCCATAAAGGAGCAAGTAAGGAACGCAAATGTTTCAGTTCAATTCTACCCTAGACTTATAAAGCTGGTGCAAATCACTTCCCAAAAGTGGATCTCCAGAATTTTTCTGTTTACACAGGAAGAGCTTTGCATGCAATTCAACACAATATTGGCTACGTTATCTCTGCAGAGCTTAAGCATATGAGTTTGGAAAGCAGCTTCAAACGAAAAGCCTGCATTTCAGGGTTATCTGTATGCATGTTGTTATCTGAAGTTTATACAAATACCCAGAAGGGCTTTCAGGGGCATTTTTAAGAACACACCCCCACACACCCCGCACCTCTGTGGCAGTTTTGGATGCCATTAATGAAAAAATCTGGACTTTTCTCCCTAGGGGTTCATAATGGAGTCACATTTAAATAGCAAACAAACTCACCACAGACAGACAAAGAGGAAGAAAAAAAGTATGTTGCAACATTTGCAATGGCAAATAGTCATTGTCTGTGAACTGGTGGGAGTGGGGTTGAGCCACAAGTACAGCTGAGCAGCTACAGCTGTGATGGTCCGTCCCCCCCGCAAATGCCACACACACACGAGAAATGGAATGTGACAAAAGCTTTAAGTCCAGAGATACCAAACTACTCAGTCCACATGACAATGTACTCCAGACAGAGAGTGGCTGGCTATATCTGTTGCCATTAGATCATGCAACAACAATTTTCTTTTAACTCAGAGGTGGACTGCAACTCCCATCAGCCCCAGTCTGCATGGCTAATGCTAAGGGATGTTGGGAATTGTAGTCCAGCAACAAGTGGAGGGCCACAGAAAGACCACTCCTGTTTAACTGAAACTATTGTCTCCTGTATCACTAGCCAATATATCTATACAACAGGATCACCTCTCAGCTACTTCTCTTCCTACCTTATGCACACAGTTGTTCTTTAATGTTCCTTTCCCTTACAATTCTAATACATTCAACCATTTGTCTACATTTTAAAGAAATACATTCCAAATTCCCTTTCCCCTAAAGTGGTGAGACTTTGATAAGCAGCATCAACTTCTGCCAGGATTCTGCCTAGTTTATCTTGCCTGTACTTACTGAGAACATCCACTCGAGTAATGATCTCGTCCCGGCAGTGTTTTTGGCAGGTCTGGTTGTCAGCCAGTCTTCCTGAGTTAAACAGCATACACTCAATGCAGTCCCTTAGAAAGAGGAATGAGAGGAGATTGATAGACTTCCCTTCAAATCACATCTGCGTGCAGTGGAGTCTGCCCCCATAGGGAATGGGGCACTGCCCCACCAACCTCCGTTTACCCTCGGCCGGTCCCCACCTGCCTTCTTGCTTAGAACCAGTCCAGGGAAGTGGCACTGCCACCAGCTTCCTCCTCCTTAGTCTCAAGTGTTCCCATCGTAGAACTCAGCAGGAAGGAGGATGGGAGCGAAACTAGAATTAGTGGGTTCTGTCTGTCACTGGTTTTGTCTATCCTCTCTGGCTCCACCGACTGTTGGCCTCCCTGTATTCTGCCCCACAAGTCTCAGTGCACAGTAGCAACCACTATTTGCCTGGGGAATAACATGGACAGACGTTTTCTCAAAATAAAACCTTTCCCCCTCTGTGGCAACCACATATAAAGGCTGCTGCTGATTTTATTGGTACAGGGGACATGGCTACACATTTGTTTCTTGTATGTAAGGAGAAACGGTTCCCATTCAAGAAGAAATAGTCACTCTCTAATAATACTTTTTAAAAAGGAAGAAAGGGGAAGTGATAAGAAGAACCCCAAAAAGGATTTGCACTGGGAAATTATATTTAAGACAGTCCTGTTTTGTAGAGAAGGTATCCAACCTTTGGAGGCTAATACAGAGAATTAGCCGGTTAAGGCTGTGTAAAATTGAAATGAAAAAGAAAATGCATATTGCTTCAGATCATTTTGCATTCTTTCATGCATTTCATTATACACAATACTATTAATGCATGCCTCCACAACATATGAACTGTCAAGCTGAAAACACAGCATACCAGGCACATATTACAGCTTCATAAACCTGCTTTTGCTATATGATTTGGAATTGGGGGGAAATGGAGGTTGTCAGATACCTGACAGGTTCCAGTACAAAAGCAAGGAGTTGCATTCAGCTTGGGGGTGGCAGGGTGTCACCAGCTGTACAAGCCTGAACAAGTGCCATTAAGCAAAACAAACATCCATCAATGCAAACTAAATGGATGTTAGAACTATAGAACACAGCAACATAGGAAGCTGCTTTATATCAAGTCAGATCATTGGTCCTTGTCCATGCAGACTGGGAGTAGTTCTCCAGGCTCTCGGCCAGGACACATTCCCAGTCCTGCTTGGAGGTGTCAGGGATCAAACATGGGGCTTTCAGCTTCCAAAGCAGCTGCTCTACCACAGAACTACATCCTTTGCTGCCTTGCATGAAAACAGACGGTGGATGCATAATCCTGGGACTGTTGAGTCTCCTACCCTCTAGCTCAAACGGATTCCCCCCAATTCTACCTTTTTAACTGCTGAGGCCAAAAACTGAGCCAAAGACTTCAGGTATGGAAAGTACTTCAAAGCTACAGTCTCATCTACAATAAGCCGTAATAAGCACAGTGGACTCATGGATGTAGTCTTGGACATGTCACATGTCTCAGCTGCAGATTCCCCAACTGGAAAATGGGAATATTGATGAGCTACCTCACTGAATTCTAGTGATAAGTAAAGTTCAAGCTGTGATGCATCATCGCTTCCTGATTTTTTGTAGGTATATCGGCAGGTGGGATGGACACCAATGAAGCTGGAGAGCGACATAATCAGGCACTGTCATCAAGTTGTTATTTGAAGGGTTTTCACTCTAGCTAGCTCACAGAATACCTTTTTGTGCTGCAGACGCCTGGGCAGGTAGGGCATTTCTCACACATCTCTCCAAAGGCACCTGGTTCTGTGCACTGGCACTTCCCACAAATGCAGTTGCCTCGGCCACTGCACATCTGGCCATCGTTGGAAAGGCACTGGCCCGTCTCTGTCGAGCAGTTGCAGTTGTCCCCGATGTAACCACGGTGGCATTTGCACTCCCCACAGTGGCATTCCCCATGACCTAGAGGCAAATTAAACAGAACAGGCGTCACTTATGCTGCCAACAAAATGGGGACACAGTTCCAGAAGACAGCTGAAAATCCAATTAAGAGGCAGTCATGCTACCCAAGAGGCAATGTGTTCAATGATAAAAAGTCTTAGCTCAGCCATAGACTCACTGTGAGACTTTGGGAACATCACTGTTCTCACTGCTGGTCTAAAAAATGGGGATATTAAATGAGCTACCTCACAGGATTGGGTTGAAAGCAAACACATTAAAGATTGCAATACTGTGTAAATTAAAAGTGTTATGTAGTAGTAAAAAGGGCAATAGCAGGAATGAATAATTAAAAACTGACTATGGAGGGAGACATCACATTCAGCAAAAAGTGTCACCTACAAACTATGGTGTAGTTCTCACAGGCTGCACATGAGATGGTAATCCCATCTGCTGTCAGCTGTACCCCGTCAAACTGCAGGTGGGGACTACCTTTACTGATTCCTCTCCACAACAATGCAAACCAGCCAACCAACAAGGATAAACAAAGCACATGTAACATACTTCTGATGCCGACAAAACAAGCCTTGCCATCCTCTACATAGGAATGTAGCAAAGCCCCAAATCATCAAGGTGGCCAGACATCTTATTTATAACACATGTATCCCTTCCCTCTTCCCTTCAAGGGTATCCAAGGATGGTCCATTTTATCCTCAGCCACTGCTCTGGAGATGACAAGTTCCCGCAAGGTCTATCAAAGTCTCTCTGGGCTAATGGTTGCATGTGCAGAATGTGGTCCACTCGTGCAACAGGACTAGCCCACCCCTTGGCCTCTAAATCTGCTTTGGAGGGTAGGGGTGGGGAGAAAACAGAGCAAGTTTAGGGAAGGGGAGGGGAGGGGGAGAGAAAGTCCCATTGTGGAGGTGAACCTCATACCCCACTTAGCACTACATGGAATTCCACTCTTGGGCTCAACCCCAACACACTCAACGCCAGAACTCAACAAAGGCTAAAATTAATTGGCATGAGAATAGCTACACAAGGACTGCTAGACTTAAACGTAAAAAGTAACAAGGCTGTACATTTGATATGTTCCGGAATAAAGGACACTTTTAAAATGGGTGGCATCTCATTTGTAGATCCCACCTGGCAAGCGTAAGCTGTACAGCATACAAACCAAGGGGCTAAGCAAGAAAACTAAAATAGAAGCAAGTTCCTAGTTATTGTTTCAAGTGGAGCAAAAGTTCAGACACTCTCTTTTTGGCTCTTGATTATTTCCTGATGCAGCTGAAGGAATATGTTCTTAGTTAAACCCCACCCTCTTTTTTTCATCCTCGTCTGTTTTGCACTAACAAATATTTAATCTTATTAAATATTTTCATCTCAGAGTCTCTTTCCTTGTTTTGAAATAACAGATTCTACTTTGCGCCAACACCAACAAACATTAAAAGGCTACTACAGACCTTGCAGCACTGCTGTTGACAATATTTTGCAGCAATCTCTCCCTGGAGGAATCATTTCTTAGCTGCTTATGATAAAAACCATTCACAGAGGTCGCGACTTGCTATTTAGGATACTTGGAAATAAGACGATCTTAAAAAGCAGGCGTATCTGAGCCAACCAAACAACTCCAGGCCAGCCACTTTGGGATGTTCAACATATTTGAAAAGTAGATGTCAGGGCTGCCTCAGGTCTCAGCTCACAAAAGACCAACGCCAATCTCTTCTTATATACAAAAGTGTTTATTGGAGTTCATTGTTTGCTTCACATCCGAGGCTAGACCGTTGAAGTCCCCTCTGAGTCAGTCCCTCCCCTGCACCAATTTAAGAGGCTTGCTCTGCTCCACCTCTTCCTCTCTTTCCTTTTCCTCAGGGTCTTCCTGCCCGCTGGGGTTTCGCCCCTCCTGGATTCCCCTGACGCGGAATCCCCAGCTTGCTCTTCCCCCCTCCTGCGGGCTTTGGGACCTGGCCCCTCCTCCGGGCTCCCTGTACTTCCGCGCGCCTTCACATTTGAACTTGGCGCGTGCGCCCAACCTCTAACCTTCCTTTTGACAGCTACACTACTCCCTTCACTACTCCCCTCCCCTTCCGGGAGGGTGGCTTGCTCCGACCTCCCTCCCTTCTCTGCTGCCGTAGCTGCTTCCCCTGATACACTGGAACCTCCATCCCCTTCGCTGCACTCTGGCGGGGAGGCTGGTCCTGACACCCAGCTGCCACTTTGGGATCCCCCGCTGGCCCCCTGCTCTTGACACGTTCCCCCTGGGGCTCCCCTGGCCTTGACCACCGGTGCCCCCTTCTGGGAATCCTCTGATTCGCTGGAAAGACTCATGGAATCTCTTGAGTCATTGTCATCCTCTTCCTCGCTGTCCTGGGATTCATCCCCATCGCTCTCCATCTCCTGCCTACCCTGTGCCTCTGTCCCTGAACCCCTGACAGTAGAGGTCCCTGGCTCCCCCTCCTTAGACATTCTGGTGGGGGTTGGGGTGTGTGGAATCTGCAGTAACCTTCGTACTAGTCAACGAGGTTACATTGGAAAGAAAACTGATATATAACATAATGCCTTGATTTATGTAATCCCACCCCCCACTCCACTCTATTCCAAAGGTGAGCAGTCTTTGTTTTAATTTATTGCTATCTCATGTGAACCTCGCACCGCCTCTATGGAGTAGATTAGGCTGAACCCAACACTCACTCCTGCTTTCCTCGTACATGTCTCCTGGAACTGTAAGGGCATTGGACAAGGACTACATCACCCTAAAGTTTTGCATAATGTGAAGCAGGATGGAAGAGGTACATTAGCAGTAACCTAAGGGCTGCAGGAGGGACGCGGGTGGCGCTGTGGGTTAAACCACAGAGCCTAGGACCTGCCGATCAGAAGGTTGGCGGTTCAAATCTCCGTGACAGGGTGAGCTCCCATTGCTCGGTCCCTGCTCCTGCCAACCTAGCAGTTCGAAAGCATGTCAAAGTGCAAGTAGATAAATAGGTACCACTCCAGCGGGAAGGTAAAAGGCGTTTCCGTGCGTTGCTCTAGTTTGCCAGAAGCGGCTTAGTCATGCTGGCTACATGACCCGGAAGCTGTACGCTGGCTCCCTCAGCCAATAAAGCAATATGAGCACTGCAACCCCAGAGTCGGCCACGACTGGACCTAATGGTCAGGGGTCCCTTTACCTTTACGGGCTGCAGGCCATTTCAACCTAAGAGGTTGTGGATACAGCCCCACCAGAGTTTCTGGGAATCCTGTGAATGCTGCTTGACACTCCAAAACCAGCATCACTTCCAGAGCGGCACATAACACATAAATTATAAACAAATTGCAGCAAAAGCGCTTGAGTGCTAAAGATGGCTTATTACGCAGGCAACAACTTTAAAACATCCAGGAATATAGACTCTGGTTCAACTGTGAAATTCCCAGTACTAACCACATAGGGTTAAAGCCAGTCGACCAGCCCATGTCCCCCATACCCGCCTGACATCATAGGTGACATCAGGAGTGGGGCAGGTAAGGAAGCAGCTACAAAGAAAGACTTGCAAGCTTGCAGATTAGAAGTAATTTTGCTGTCGGCAAGCCCCACTTTGTCCATCTGAAGGTGGCACTGATGGCAAGGTTGACTGCCAAGATACTAAACCAAGTGGTGTTTTGTTCATTTTAAAAAAATGAATCGTCAAATGGGACTGTCCCTCCTCTGTGGTAGCAGGTAGCTACTGTGGTATTATTAAGTAAGGCACCACCCAACTTTTCTGAAAGTGTATTTGATGGTTTTGTCTGTTTCTAGAGACAAATGACAACAAAGGCAGGTAGCTCTCAAAAGTAGCAGTGAATGCTCCTCCTGCCAGATGGGAGAAGTGCATGTATTTTGACTCAGATGCAAACTGAGGTTTTGTGCTGTGGCGAATTCCATTCAGAAAGAGAGGCACTGGTTAATTTTTGTTGTTTCCATTATTGCAAGGAAAATCTTTGGACACTTAAAAAGTTTGCTCAGTTGGAATTACTGTGAAAGAAATGAGCTGCAACTGGTTCATTTCCAAGATTAAACCAGCTTTCAAGACACAAATGCGTCAAGAATTCCCAAGTCTGTGGCAGTCTGTTTGATATTTCTTATACACACACACTCCAAATTAAGAGAGAGGGAGAGGCCAGGAACCTTTACAATATGTAAAAGGCTGTCTTGGAGAAGCATTCCGACTCTAAAAATAAATGCTGGAAAAGCATAGCACCCTTCTGCAGACATAAGTCTTCCTGGTGAATTGGAATATAATCTCAGCCCAAGAAGGGAAAGTGCATTCTAAAAACAAGTCAGAGGTGTCAAAGCAACATACAGAGACTGGGTGACTAACATGTCTGAAACAAGGCGTTCTGCCTACTTCAGTTTTTAAAAATGCTACGGCTGAAATTGAACGATTGCAGCATGTTTCAATTGGTGAATGAGTTATGTTGCTCTTCAAACAAAATATCAGCTATATGATAGTAAGGTACCAGTATCAAACGTTGAAAGCATTTCTCTCTCTTTTGGGGGTGGGGGTAGTATCAAGAAACATGCATCTGTACCCTAGCACCCGTTGCTGTTAAATAAATATATTTTGTGCACTTGATAAACCCACCATTCTTGTTTTGGTTTTGCATCCGATTTATTAATGCCGTTTGCTAGAAATATTTCACTTCCAGCTTTGCCACAAGGAGCGTCCAACTCTGAAATGAGATGTCAGATGTTTCCTGCTCTTCCACTGAAAGCAGTAAACCTAATTCCATGTTTAAAATCAATAGCCAATTTTATTAGAGTGCTCTTAAAAGAGAGCAGACTGACAACCTGATCGTTTCCATGTAATATTCTCAGAAGCTCTCTCCCCTAGATCTCTATGCTTGTAAAATCAGTGGCAGGCAAGAGTACAGTCTGAGCAGGCAAGTGATACACAACTGCCCTGCACCACCACTGGCCTGTGTACATATGGATGCAGGCTTCTGTGTGAACAGCCCCAAGCAGGATGAGGGGTTTTGTATTCAAATCGGAATTATGCTCACACTTCAACGGGGTCAATGCAGTAGCTAGTGATACACACATCTGCACCTTTGGAAAAGAACCAAAACAGCTGGGAAGTTGGGGTGGGGGAGGGAGTGAATCTACACCTTAGCCTTTCCACACTACTGAGCCCTGCTCACAAAACAACTGGTCAGCAGGATGTAAATTTCTTTTAGGGCTAGGCACTTGTAGCACAGACTACAACTTAAATGTGTTGTAGGACAGAGTACAGCTGCAGGTTAAACAGTTGTGACCAAAGACACTTATTTATGTCTTTCTATGGATGGCCATTAGTGTGGGATGAATACGGAATGAAATGGACCTTTGTGAAGGTTGGGTGTTTTTCAGCAAGCGATAGCAGACCCATATTTTTGCAGGATGAAAACTGACCAATGCCTTCGCTGAACAACTGCAAATGAACAGCTCACAGTAAGGTAACAGCCTCTCTGTGGGATAGTTCATAGCCACCACCTTAATTACAGCTGTAATATGTAAACTGTCCTGATATTAGACAAAACAGAGATAACGGTATCACTCCAAGCTCGGAGTCCTGCTGCTAAATTACTGCCACAGGAGATGAGAACACCATTATTTCCATCTAGCTCAGGACTGTCTACACTGACCAGCAGCAGCTATCCAGGGTTTCAGAAAGGGCTCTCTCCTGTTCTACCTAGAGGTGCCAGGGATTGAACTTGGGACTTTCTGTGTGCAGAGCGAATGCTCTGCCACTGAGCCACAGCTCTTCCCTTAAATATTATTGGTTTTGTTATGGTAAAAGGCCCTGCAGTTTGCCTCCCGTGTACTTTAAATTACATTCCCAACTCCCAGGAGATGAAAACAAGACACACAGGCCAGCTAAATCAACAGATTCATGAGTCGGGAACTTGCAGCAGTTTCACCAAAGCTATTCCCTTTCTCAACAAGGGAGATGGATACATGGGACTGACTCAGACTCAAATTCCGAGATGCATCCTATTGCAGCTAAATAAGCAAAGACTGGGAGAACACTGCTGTCTTGCTGTTGTTCAGGGGCTTGGCAGGACGCTGCCCTGGCCTCCTTTGCCCCCATTTCATGCAGGAATCCTTGCTAAGTGAACAAGGCACAACAAAGAGACCATCTCCCTTCATCTCTTCCCTCCCCCTCACTTTCCGTTTTTCTCCACTCCTCTGCCTTTTCAGCAGGAGTGTCAAGAGCACAATACAAATTAAGAGATTTGGCACAGTTTAAGACACAGACCTCCACGCTGCAGCTTTTCTGCAATTTGTTTACAAGGACACATGCCAGTCCTCATCGCGTTTGTCTGGGTTTTTGAAAAAAGGAAAGAAAAGAAAAAAACAAGTTGAACCATTACAATTAGATTAAACTGGCTGAGTAGCATTTTATATTTCCCAAATGGAAACTCCTAGAAAATAAATAAATGCATGATTGCCCTTATATATATATTTAAATGGTGCTGGATGGGAGCTCTAACGCAGTCCAATTAAGTTTCCCGCATGGAGAGAGATGACTTATACAGAAATAAGGCAAACAAGCTAACTTCTGTCTCTTGCACCTTAAATCATAATGGGACTCCCACTAAAGTCAACAGCAGGACTCCTACTTATTTTAATGGAGCTGGATTGCACCCTTATAAATGGTTGGCCACTGGGCAAACAGGATGCTGGCCTTTGGTCTGATCTAGCAGGGTTCTTCTTATGTTCTAAAGAGAGGGATCAGAAACTTCAGTTGTGCTCACCACTACATGGTGGGAGAACAAAACACTACTGTTGAGAAAAAATGAAGTGGTCCTCAAATTATCCCTGAGCACAATTCAAAGTGTTGGTGTTAACCTTTAAAGCCCTAAATAAAGACATATATATTGGTCCAGGTTAATTTAGGGCAAGGGGTATCCAACATGTTTTGGACCACAACTTCCCCCAATCCCATTCAGCATGGCCAATAGTCAGGGATGCTAGGAGATGCTGTGGTCGAAACATCTGGGGGGCATCACATTGGCTATCCCTGATTTACAGAATGCTTTCTCTCCCACAGAAGACACTACCCCCTAGAATGCACAAACATCATCTGAGGAGGTGGGATTGCTCCAAGTCCCATTGTTAGCAAATGTTAGGTGGTAGTTACAAGCAGCGGGACCTTTTCTGTAGCAGCCCCCTACTGTAGAACTCTCTCTGCCCTAAAGTCTGCTATGGCAGCTCTGCACTGCTTCTTACATTGTTAGTGAAACATTGTTAGTGAAACAATTTTTATATTGTTTGCTGTTGTTTTTGTCTAGAAGACTCTAATTTATAAAGTTGATACTTGGGGTGTTTTACTGTTATTTCTACATAATGTTGCATGCTGCCTTTTTTGTTTGGTGGGATTCAAGTTTTTAAAAATAAGTACAAACTTTAGAGGAATGCAGGAAAAAGCTTTGAACTTTGGAAAATCTAGAAGGTTGAGTTTAGAAACAGGGTATGACGAGAAGCAGTTCCTTCTTAGGCAAACAAGTTAAACAGCTTCCAACAGAGTTATTTCCATGACTCAAGAAAGGAGCATTAGCTTCTGTCTACATTCCAAAATAGCACAAATAAGCACGCATCACACACTGCCACACCATGAATTTTGCACAAGGTAGCAGAAGCTCTCCCAGATGTTTTTCCTGGGATGGCAGACTACTAGGGCTAAAAGAGATTAACCAACTGTGAAGATGGGCAAAGCTAGAGCACTACCAGACTCAAGAGAATAAAAAAAGATTCCAGCAAGACATGAATCTGCACAGCTGCTTGTATATTGTGAAATCAGACTGTGCACTATCTATAAGCTTCTGAAGAAAACCCAGCATCACTTTTCCCAACTCCCACAATTTCTGCTTTTTGCTTTGAAACAAGAGGGAGGATGCCTGAGCAAGAAACCATCATAGAAACAACTGAGCCTCAGGACAAATAATTAAAAAGTTAAGCCAACTTGTCCTCCCCTGTTCCACTATCTTCTGCCCACACACACTACTGTAACTGGGAATTCCCAGGATTCTTTGGAGGAAGCCATTAGCATTTAAGGTGATGCGGCAAGGCTTTAAATGGATGGTGTAGATGACGCCTTACGCAGCAAGTCACACAGATACACAAAGCAATGTTGCTGGACATGCCTCATTGGGAGGCAGTATTTGGAAAAACATGTTTCTTCCAAAACATTACACTTCTTTAGACTGTCCAGCACCCTCAGTCTTGCCAACCCTTCTCATATAAATCATTCAGCATTCACAGATGCAGTTATTACTGAGAACACCGTCTTTTTCCAGTTATTCCTAATGCCATTTATTTTGAGTCAGCATTTTCCATTTAGTCTGTGTTGTTTTGTTTTTTTACAAAAACCACAGACTTCAGCCACTACAGTTGTCTTCATTATTATTTATTTGCAAATTTAACAAAGAAGGGAAACAAAAAAGAAATTTTAAAAAATGAAGGGAGAAAAAGAGGCACTATATAAACAACAACAATAATTAAAAACACTGTCAGTTCACATTAAGGATACCTTGATCATGAAGTCATTACAGTCTTTCCACCATCCCTCCAGTTTGCTTCCTGTCTTCACACACACCCTTGTTTTTCATGCTCTCAGCAGGGGCTAAGAAATGACTGGAGTTAATTTAGCAGTTGGCAAAAAGCAGGCGTCCAACCCTTCTAGACTCTCGAGTTTTGTGACCTTTGCACATGTTAAGGATGAAGGCTTTCCTTAGCAAAATTATTCAGTCGCTCCTTTTCTGCAGGCAAAAGCTTCAAATAACCTGTGAGTGTTCTGAGCATTTTTTCCTTCTTGATCAGATGACTAAAAGTACTGAATTTTCATGAAGGCCATGGAAGCTTTCATTAAGACAACTTCACAACAAAGTGCTATACACTAACCATAAGCCACTTACGTGCCACGTTCCTGTTTAAAACACAAAACTATGCAGAGGTCTGTTTTTACATTCCACCTCAGCCTTCACCATGTTGACTTGACTTAACAGGGCAGGTATGTCAACCCATGTGAATATAAGCTTGCTGTTCCACTTCAAGCTCATGGCACTTTAAATCAATGAGTCTTTAAAGCGCCACTGCACTCATTGCCCTAACCACCCACTCAGGCCCCTAAAAACAGAAACAAAAGTGGGGGAAGCAGTGGATGCCTTTATAAACTCTTTAAGTGTGCATTACTGCCGCTTCCTGAAGAATCAAAATTTACAGGACTAGATGCTCACTGGGAGAACAAGGAACATCATAGATTCTTGTCTGCACATTCTCTCACGCACCCCAAGTAAACCATAATCTGTTTATTCCCAGCATTCATTTTTTTAAAAAGGATATGTGCCTAGCATTTGAAGAGCCAGATATATGGGGCAAAAATGTACAAACACTATTCTCCTTTCTGTGTGAGAAACCAGACTGCTCCCCCTTTTCAATTTTTGGGTACCCCTTGCCCACACCAGAAAAAAATATTGCAGACACCCATGTCAGGAGTCCTGTGGAAGACCTCTCTCATATCCACATGAACAAGCAGTAACAGAGCTGTCAGCTGTGGAAGGTGGAACCATTCAATGCAGAAACACACAGGGGCCTGTCAAAGACTCAAGGGTCCAAGGCATAGGGAGTGGCTGGAGCAGCGTGGGACCCCTTGACCCTACCAAGAGAAAGCTGTTAAACCACCTTATAATACCAATCTCACACATTCGTTGTTTTAAACCTAGGGAGAGCAAGCCCTGCCCTATTATGGGCCAAGCCACATGGGATATTCAGTCACATTGCCCCTGTCATTCCTCTCCCACCCCGCCAAAAAATATAAATAAATTACAGAACATATATCACCGGATGCTGCTCTCTGCAGTGTAAACTGCCATGGAAACAGCTCATTTACTTTTCCCAACACGGTGCATTCTGCACTACATGGGGAAACATCCTACCAGATGCATGTAAGCTATCAATTCTTGGGATTAGCAGGGGAAATTGTCTTGGTGGGGGGAAAGCACCAGGGATGGAGGTGGTGGGGAGAGGGGAAAAGAAAGAGGGCGTGAATGCACCACAGGGCTCAGAGGAATGTGCAGCCTCAGAATGTTGCACAGCAGTGAGCCAAAGGTGTGATATGTGCTTAAGAGCACAAAAGGAAATCAACAGTTGGGGAAGGAGTGTTAGTGGCAGAGCACCTTCCTTGCATGCAGGTCCCAGTTTCAATCCTGGATCTCTATTAACTAGGCAGGACTAGAAAAGACTCTTTTGAGACCCTAAAGAGCTGCTCCCAACTAAGCACAGGCAGGAGCAAGCTAGATGGGCCAATGTTTTGATCTGGTATAAGGCAACTTCCGATGTCTCTGTGTAACAGGTTAAGCCTCTGTGCCTCATCATTTCCCGCACATTCTGCCTTTCCCCCCAACTTGAATGCTGAGTATAAATGCAGCAGGTTCATCGAATCCATAAATTTACAGGTAAGAACAGCTTACACGATAAATGTATAGCTGTTATAACCTGGGCCAGGACTGGAGGCGAGAATGTCTGGGGAAGGGAGTAAGTGGGAGGCAAGGAGAAAAAGTTAAGGATTGTGCTGAAATCTCCCTGCTTTTTGACAAGCCAGTAGCAAGAGTCAACTAATATGCTAAGCAGCATGCCTTACTGAGATGACTGGATTTCAATAATCCAAAAGGGATGCGCAAACAAGGGGTCATTATAAGCAGAAACAGAGATCTATTTATTTTGCACCCGTCATCTTTGTGCAAATTGTGAATTTCTTTCACAACTTTGCTGACTAGGAAGTTTGATTTTTTTTCTCTTCCCTTGGAAAGGAAAGTATATGGGTCACAAGGATTTCTATACTCGAGGAAGTCTCCTTTGCTGCTCCAACCATCCTAGATGCATCCAAACAATACTTTGCAGTATACTGAAAATAATAGTTGGATTATCAGTTCAGCTGCCAAAATGGTCTTTTGGGTTTTCACAGTTAAAAAAAGTTGGTGCATGCAACAGGAATTCACTACTTGGAGGGGCTTTGTATATACACAGCTCATGTCTTTTTAGTGCTGCTGCCAAATTCATTCAGATGCTGAACAGTTGCTTTCCCTTTTTATAGGCTTTGGACATGAATGGAATAGTGATTCCTGTGCTACCAGGATGGCGCTTTAGTGCTTTTCTCATCAATTAAAAAAACAAAGATTTAATCCTTCCCGCTATGTTCATGCTATCTTCAATCTAATGCCAGCAGTGCAATACCACATTCCCGTATTGGGGGAAACAGCTCTGCTGCTACCGCTTGCATCTATTTCTTTACTAAACAGGACTAAATGAGCATTTGAACATGCACATCCAGCACAAAGTTATTTTAAACCACAAATTTCAAGTAAAGGTTTCAGAAATCAGAGGTTAACACGGGGGAAAGGGTAGCTTAGCAGATCTGAAAAAAGGAACAAAAACATGCTAGATAAGCACATTCAGAAATACAGTAGCACTTACTCAGCACATGCACATGTTTTAAGATGATGCATTAATTGAGGAGAGAGGTTTCAACATCGACAGTGATTACTCAGCCGGTAGCCATTTTAAAAAAGCATGTGACAGTTGCATGATTTCATTCCACATGGCAGTGCCAGATGGGATCTAAGAACTGCCTTTTTTATCAACAACAATATATAGTGCATCCTGTTCAAGTACAGTGGTACCTCGGGTTACATACGCTTCAGGTTACAGACTCCACTAACCCAGAAATAGTACCTCGGGTTAAGAACTTTGCTTCAGAATGAGAACAGAAATCGCGCGGCAGCGGTGCGGCGGCAGCGGGAGGCCCCATTAGCTAAAGTGGTGCTTCAGGTTAAGAACAGTTTCAGGTTAAGAATGGACCTCCGGAATGAATTAAGTACGTAACCAGAGGTACCACTGTAGAATGTGAAGACTCTTCCCAGCTAATGAGTCCCAACTACACAGGAGAGGAGAAAATATATCCAGAGTCATTCGTTAACCAGCCAGTGGAAGAGCAGGGGGCACAGAAAGGGCAAGTATATTTCAATCTAGATGGATGAGTTGTGACCCACATGTTAAGAACTGGTTCATAAGGGACAACTGCATATTCTTGCCTATCATCAGGGTTCCTTCCAACTCTTATGATCCTATGATTTCTGATTTTGCCTGCTAGCTCAGTAGAGAGCTGACAAGCAACAGGTGTGCCTGCTAAGCAGAAGCTGCAGCCCAAGATCCAGGGATACCACCTATGTATTCTTCCCTGTCAGGTCCACAGAGTTATTAGAAAGTATGCAAGCAGACAACTGATCCTTTAAGCTTCACTTACAATTTTCAAAATGACTTCAAAATGCAGGATGTGCCTTAGAACCATATTCTCAAAGTCCAAAACTGCTCCACCGTCGCCTTGCCTTAGAATCAGGACTACTGATCAGGGATGCACACATACAAATGTGTTTCCCAGTACTGTACCAATCATCAAAGCAAAAACTCTGCACTGCATTGCTTTCAATGGAAACTGTATTTGGAGGTGCATCCTTCTGAAACCAACACACTGCAGACAGACAGCATACGTGGATTCTCATCATCTCTGTACTCTGTTGCTTTCAGAGGACTGCACAGCTAAAGGTGTGCTCTACTGAAAGTAGCACACATTTGCATGTATAAATCCTAAACAACTGATGTTTGAATTTTTCATGATCTATACTGGTATCATCTATCTCCAAACTAAACCCCGGACCCGCAAATTATCTATTAGGTGAAAAGAAGGGGTTCCAGAAGGTGTGAAACTCTCCTTGTACCCTTAACTAGGTATACAGCCTGTTCTTGCACATACAGTATCATGTGAAAGGGGCGATAAGTCATTGTGCTAATTCTGGAAAAATCCAGTATCCATCAGTCTTGCTCACATCTGCTCTGGCTTCACATCACTTGGGCAATATGTGGTTAAGTGGTTAATTTTTTGCCCACTACTGTTTTTTTAATTTTTATGCAAGCAAGGGGAAGTTCCCCTGCCCTCCCCCCTGAGCTGTTTGCCATTATGTTAGTGGTGTTCTGTTGCGTTATTACAAGGATGGGCAAAAGACAGATCCCAGCAGGAAAAACAACTCCTGACTTTTTATAAAGGGGGTTAGGCAAAAGCAATTGGAGGATGGGAGAGGGGAGGGGGAGAAGAGATGCCTGCAGGATGGGGGTGGTGTCAAACTGAACCCATAAACCCCTAGAGGGAATAAGGCTGATGACCCCCAAGACACGTACATAAAGCATCAGAAGAAGAAGAAAGACTGCTAAGCTATTGGAACTCCCAAGCACAAAGAATATCTTCAAAATCTAATGCACGTAGTGGAAGCCGCCCCGCTACAACTAGCAACAAACAACAGGACGCCACTTCCTGCTGTTCATGTCAGTCCTTATTACATCTGAGGGACCTAAATCTTGACCCCACATTTCTGCATGTTAACCCATGTGGCAATAATGGCTAGAAGCATGCCACGCCTAATCCTTGTTAAGAGGCACTTGGAATGGAATTCAAGTAAAAGCAGGCCAGCAGACCCCAATGCTGGCTCACTTTCTTTTAAAACATGCCTGGGGAATCCATAAATCTCTGCCGCTAACCAGAAGTGTCACGGGCAGGGAGGAATAAATGTGTCCATTTCAGTCTCTCGTTTTTCCAATCTCACGGTTCAGTCCAGTACATATTTCCACACCAGGTTTTCAAAAGTCTCAATGAAAATGTATCAGTATTTCAGCATATGTTTCTCCTGCTATATTCAGTTTTGAAAGCCATCTTCCCTAACAAAATGCATTTTTGTGTGCTGTTTTTTATCCGCACCCCCCCCCCCAAAAAGCCACATTTTTGTATACAATCTTTGGTTGGAGAAGTGCATTAAGAAAATTTGAAGGAACATAAATTTTGAAGCATAGCTGCATTTCAGTTTGCATATTGTTTCAAAAAGCGTGAATTTGTATGAAAATGTGAAACAACGCAAATTTCTCCCCATCCCTAGTCATGAGTCAGAAAACACACACACGGTTATACTTATCAAGATGCAGTAGCCATAAAGGAATCTAAAAGGCATTTGACCCGGAAAGAATCAGGAGTTCAGCAGTGAAGGAGGACAGCTTGTCTGAACTGCACCCCTCCTCCAGAGACCTCAAAATCTACAAGGATTCAAATGCATCAGCAACATATCAAGCATAAAGAATGTGTTGCTAGTTGTTTGGATCCTGATCTCTAAAGCAGACAACTAGTGCCAAGAGACTGCATCACAAAAGTTGCAAGAGGCAGGAACTCCAGCTGAGAATGTTTCAATCGTAATGAGCAAACTAAACCACACAAAAATAACATGGCTACCCCTCTGGAGAGAAAAAAGATTCTGTAACATTTGGGGCTTTCCCCCCATTCAAACATTCCTCTCCCTGCTCTACTACTGTGTGTAATTTTTGCAGAATTTTCTAAATTATAAGATATGGCTGAACTCTGATAGCAGGGGGAGTTTGCTGTTCTCCTTTGTGGTTACCGTCCTTTAAATTATTTTGGATCGTCCTCAACTGATGCCAAATCATACCCTTTTGTTGTTGCCCCTATTATCATAACCATTTCCTCATAAAGTGCATGAATTATCTTATTTTACTTGCATGAAATATAGCATTGACATGATTCAACACTCCATGTGGCTTAAGATTCATTCCCCAATGTATGGGCTACTTTCATCCACAAACCATACTGTCTCCTTTTGACTTGCACTGCAATTAAACATACTGAATCACTCCTGGGAAAGCTTCCAGGCATCCAAGTCATCATATGCTAGCTATAAAACATGCTTTCACCTTCCTTCGCCATAGTAAAAAGAATATTATATGAGCCCTGTAAATTCACAATCAAAAGCACTATCCATCCTGAGATGGGCCCACCAGCTTGCAGAACTTTGCAGATATATCTTATTTCCAGATTCTCTGATCTGCACATAATTTTTAAGCTGCCTCGCTGCTGCTGATTGCTTTTGCAAAGTTTCTGGATTCTCCTCAGGGTGTTCTTGTCCTTCTGGGTTTGTCTGCCACAGAGTTTAATGACTGCCAGAGTTCAATTTGGCACTCGAGTAGCTAAAACTGTGGAGGTGGTTTCGATCAGCTGCTTCTGCTATTCACATCCAATTCAAGGAGCAGCATAAAGAAAGAAGAGCAGTGCCCCAAAAGGATGGCTCTAAATCAGGTATGGGGAACCTTTGGCCCTCCAGAGGTGAACTACAACTCCCAAGAGCCCCAATAGGCATAGCCAATGGCAAGGGATGATCAGACTACCCTTTGCAGTAGGCAAAACCCAGGACAGAATAGTCCCAAAAATCTCCTCCAAAAAAAGAGGAACCTTTATTATGCCTACCTGAAGAGAGAACCTTCCCAGAAGTGCTCATCTCCCTAGGGAGGCTCACCTGGCCCCTACCACTAATGGCTTTTCAGTAGTGATGTGGAGTGGAAATTTTCCCAGCCCATTATTTTTCCACATTTCCCCCCTGTTTCCTCAAGTTTATTTAGTAACAAGGAACGGGTGTGAATTGTAAATACAATATTAGGCACGCTTGGTAGTTTCAGAGTCTTGAGTCCTGTTTACTAAACAAAAGTAAAATGAATGTGCCAAATTAGATTCCTATTAAGGGCACCTGAAAATGTTCTGAAGTAAATTGAACAATGACCAAAGGAGACAACCTTTGGAGGGACTTACAGGTCTAGGGACTTTGGGCAGCACTGTGAAAAATTTCTTATGTATCAGCATTTCCTTAAGCTACTTTGGATATTCTTTTGGGTGGAAAACAACTAGCTGCCATAGTTTCAAGTCAGTTTTTATTATGATTGAAAATACAATAAAAATCGCTTCCCCGCTCCTCCACATGCAGCTGCTGGGTGACCTTGGGCTAGTCACACTTCTCTGAAGTCTCCCAGCCTCACTCACCTCACAGAGTGTTTGTTGTGGGGGAGGAAAGGAAAGGAGAATGTTAGCCGCTTTGAGACTCCTTAGGGTAGTGATAAAGCGGGATATCAAATCCAAACTCATCTTCTTATAAGGTTGTTAAAAGAATTACAAAGCGAAAGTACATGAAGTGCTTTAAGCATTCAAAATGCACTATATAAAAGGATGAGTTTTCCAATTTTTTTATATTTTAGTAAGAAAGCAAAGAGAAGGATAAGCCTGCATTTAGCAGGACTCTAGTCCTCAGTAATGATATTACATTCAAAGTTCCAAAACACCATTCTAACAATAGCAACGGTGCTTCATACTTCTGCTAGAAAACTTCACACACACTAAACAGCATAATTACATTATTTCTAAGCAAAGCTATAGGGTTCTAGCTTAGCAGTAAATGTGGCACTAGAAATCCAATGTTTCCAGATGTCAAATTGACATCTGGACTAGGGAGAAAAGGAAGCCAAATTGCAAGAAGACAGGTAACACGGTTCCTCTTAAGGTTAATCTAAGCCATTTTCTTCTTCATTTCCTTTACTGCCACCACTGTAGCTTGCAGTATTTAATCCTTGAAAAGAAGAAATACTGCAGACCTAACATCTGCAGATTCGTGAGTGCCCAGTATGACTCAGACTCAGATGACTACTTAAAGGTGGCTCTTGCTACACAGGCCATGGAAAGTATGCTTCATTTTGCAAGACGCTGCAGTGTTGTACGAGTTCACGCTTACAGTGATCAAGGCTGAACTGCAAAGTCAGGCAGTTACCACAGCCATTTTACCACCGTTCAAGCGGTATATAAATATTGCAAAATAAAGGAGTATGTATCTCGCTTGCCCGCCCCTTATTTCTGGGATGGTGTACATAAAGCTGTCTGCATGTATGTAAACATTTTGCAAGTGTTGTCAAAAGGATTAAAAAGCTTAAACTCTACAGCATGGATTGGGGAACCTGTGGCTCTCCACAGATGTTGCTGGAATACAACCCCTTACCATTAGCTATGCTGACTGGGGCTGATGGAAGTCCTAGTCCATCAACATCTGGAGAATCACTTCGCCACCTCTGTTCTGGTGGCTTGATCTGCACATTATTACCAATGCATGATCACAGTCAAATGCAGCACCATTTTCCCTTCTCCCAAATAAACATTTAATAACACAACACTCGTGGCGTTTTGTGGGTTTCCTCGTCCATTTCACCTCATTAGCTGTTGGCAGAGACCTCAGAGCACAACATACATAACTTAATGTTACCAAGAAAGTGTGATTTGGGGCTGCAAATCAGGAAGTGATCTGGCCGCACTAGTTTCACGTGGCGAATATGGCTTTTGGAACATGCTTTCTTTTGGTGACAACGTAGGTCTAGCATATGAATCACATTTCCCTGTGCTGAGAAGAGGTCTTGGTGCATTGGCTTGTAAGTGAATGTCTTTTGAAATGTTTTTGCATGATTGGGGTGGGGTGGGAACCTGTGACCCTTCAGATGTTGCTGGACTCCCCTTTCCCAACAGTCCCATCCAGCAAGGCCAATGGTCAGAGGGGATGGGAGTTGTGGAGTTTGACCATTTCTGCAGGGTCACCTTTGGCTTAAGAAAACGATTAACAGAAGATCTCGGGGAGAAGAAACTGCATGGCTCACCCTTCACACCTGAGAGCTCTTACAAGATTCGAGTTGGACAGGAAAATGCATTATTAGATTGCCTCGCACTTACCTGAACAGATTACACCTTTATATCTTGGGCAGGAGAAGTCATCGCACTCGCAGAACAGCCCGTAGATCTTCCCAAATTCGCTCTCGAAGCAGACACAGTGGTTGCAAGAGCATTCCCCTCGGCCGTTGCAGACCCGCTTCCCTTCAGCTTCGCGGCACATGTTCTGGTACATGTTCCCACTCTCGCCTTCCTCACATTCACACTTGGCTCCCACGTGGCCCGGATCACAGTCACATAACCCACACACGTAGGTGCCGTTCCCACTGCACTTGCTGCTGCTGTGCTCTATCTGTTTGGTACATCCGCACACGCAGTTGTAGGTGACAGTCACCTCCAGAGTGTCCCGAAACCAATCCGGCCTGATAGTGAACGTATGCGAGGTGTTCTCAGCGGGGCAACTCCGAGCTTCTACTGATATCTCAAAGGAAACCTATGTGGGAATAGTGAAAGGTAGGAATGGGAAGTTATCAGAAGCCTTAAAAAACTCAAATGTTTTGGCAGAACCAGCTCTACCGTTGGTCAGGTTGAGGCAGCTCCCTCAAACAGCAAATGCTGGGGGAAGGGGGGGAGAAGTGAACCAAGGAACATATATCAAGTCAGGCTATTGGCCCATCTAGCTCAGTATCATCTGCACTTGACGGGCAGCGACTTCAAACGGGGTCTCTCTCAGACAGAGACTGAACATGGGACCTTCTGCATGCAAAGCTTTACTACTGACTGATGGACCTTCTCCTTAGACACCCTGCCGTTCCCCTGGGCATCCTCAGCTAGCCTCCTGCCACGCCAACCCCACCCCTAGCCCTGGATGTAGTGTTGGATGCTGTTCTGCTGCCACTACTGAAGTAGGATTCAGCCACCAGTCTGATCAGGTTCTGTCTGCAGAAGGGCAAAAGCAAGGGAAAAGGAAAAAGCAAGGGCAAAGATATCCCTTCTATTGCAGCAAACACTCATACCATTTCAAGCAATGGGAATATTTTTGTTAAGTTGTTCTTATTTTGTTTTGAAGGAAAGCTCCCTCCTCTAGCTTTAGAGCACAGATCTGCAAGTCTTCCATCCTCCCTGTTACATTTGATTTTATTCTGCTACCATTGCTCTATTCCAGGCATAGGCAAACTCGGCCCTCCAGAGGTTTTTGGGACTACAACTCCCACCATCCCTAGCTAACAGGACTAGTGGCCAGGGATGATGGGAATTGTAGTCCCAAAATATATGGAGGGCTGAGTTTGCCTATGCCTGCTCTATTCTGTTTGTGTATGCTACTCTGGGAACTTTTTTTTTTGAAGAATGTGTTATAAATGCTTAATAAATAAAAGTGCAATTATCTCTGCAGGCTAAGGGAGAAGTCGGTCTGAACAATGATTTCCTGTTTTCAGGTTGAAAACATTGTTAGGGCTTGCCTTAATTCCTCCGCTCCCCCCGTTAATTTTTGTTGCATTATTATAGCTAACCTATACACACTTACCTGGAAGTAAGGCTCACTCAACTCAATGGGACTTATTCTGTGAAAACATGCATACAGTTGCACTTTGAATTGCAACTATGAATTCTTTATTAATGAAAATGAACAAAATGGTGTTGTTTTTAAATGATTGTATCCACAAGCTACCAAATGCCCACGATATTATGATACACAATCCCCCCCAATGCCATATGTTTTTTAAAACACATGGCATAAAAAACCTGTCAAACTGATAGATTCTGCAATGATACAAACTAAACTCAGCACTAGATATTTTTCTCTTTGAGAAGTGAAGGCTTAGACCGCAAATAAGTGTTGTCTCTTTTATTCCCCCCTTTTCTCCCTTGCTTTTTTTCTCTTTTTTTAAATGAACACAAATTTGCAGGCTGCTTGGAGAATGCAGAACTGTTGCTAATAAAACAAGGGACAGCCCACCCCTGTAAAACACAGCGGCACAAATGGAGGAAAGGAACTGATTTATGAAACTTTAAAGTAATTACATATGTCAATGCAGCATTTAGCTTTGCTCCAGGTTTATCTATCAGCCGATTTCTGATGTACTTCGAAACAGGCTTGGTTTGAAACACACAGTGGGGAGGGGGCAATCTCTTGGCTCTTTCAAAGGGTCACTTAGAATTCTCCGTTTTATTGAAATCCCAGCCTGCTCTGCTCTTCTGTGCCAGATGGCAATGTGCAGATGGGACACTGCAGCAAGTTTCACTATTAGTAACCCCAACAGTGCTGTCCTCGATTCAGAAAAAGCATAGGAAAGCCTGATCTAGAGACTTGCAGGGGTATGAAGGAAGGAGTAGGTCTCCTCCTTCACAAAGGAAAACAGATCAAAGAGTCAGAGCTTAAAAGGTTTGCTGGGAGGAGCCCCAGGATTACACGGACCATAGAAGTTTCCCAATCCTGTGATCAGAGCAGATCAGAACTCACAATATCCAGATTCTGTCTTCTTCATGGGAACAAGCATGAAGCATCTACAGCAGGCTTCCTCAACCGTGGCCCTCCAGATGTTCTGAGACTACAATTCCCATCATCCCTAACCACTGGTCCTGCTAGCTAGGGATCATGGGAGTTGTAGGCCAAAAACATCTGGAGGGCCGAGGTTGAGGAAGCCTGATCTACAGTGCCTTCTCCCAATGTGTGGTTTGATATATTCATTTCTGCTGGATAATGATGGCACATATTGAAAATGCCTATGCAAATAGGCCTTGTTCATGTCACCCATCTGCACTTTCTCTTTGCAGGGCAGCAGGGAAGAGGGGTCCAATTCAAGGCCTTCTCACATAAGTGTTTTTTTGGTTTTATAAAACATTTTTCCTTATTTTTTTCATTAATAACACTCCAATATGTGCCACATTATTACAATGTCAAATCATACCAGATCATAATACAATTTAAAAAGCCAATTATACATTTCCAAATTAAACAAATTTGGTGACTTCCTGTGTTCTGATCATCCGAAGATAATTATTCCTTGGTCCTTCTCACTTAAGTGTTAATGCACATAGGCCCCAGTTCACACTGAATATTTGACACACTGCGCTGGATGTAAGCAAAACCACAGCTTGCATCAACATTCTACTGTGCATAAAATCCACAGGCTGGGGCCACGTGGGAAGGCGATTATACTAACAGCTGAGGAATGAGCACTGGAAGCAAAGAAGGCGATTGTTTGCAAATGCTGCTTTTCTGACTTCTGTCTGTCAAGAGAAGGAATCTGCTTCCCCAGCTCTCTCCAAGCACAAATGCAAGGGGTTGTGAGCATGCCCCGACAATATAAACTCACAACTAGCCAAGTACAGATTAGTGCTCACTGATCTAAGATTGCAAAGTTGCTCCAAGGTAAATGGGGGATAAGGCATGCGCAGGAATGTGCTGCTACCATGTGAGCAATGCAAGGGAAAGTAGTAGGCCAGCTGATGAAGAAGTTCAAAATGAGAATAACACATTAAAATGCTTTTACCATTTTCAAGATAGATTACATAATGTATGGAATGGAAAGCTGCTTCCCTCAAGCCCAACACGTTGTGGCCTTCCAGTTTCAAAGCAGTCCTCAAACAGAATTCACTGGCAGAATTTGGTCTCTCTTTTTCAATATCAGATCTGGAAGCAATCCTCTTAAACTCCTATCTCTAAACTAATAAAAACTGAATTTATGTGCCACTGTTGAGGGCACAGCCCACCCAAGGCAGCTCAGAATATCAAAAACATAACAACGAACAATCTTACAGCCATCTAAAACTGACAAGGGCAGCAACATTAAGTTATCAAAGCAGAATAGCAGAACAATATAACAACCAACAACAGCTATATTCTGCAAGGTAGCTCCCTAGGTGGAGGGATTTTTTTTACAAAGAGGCCGTTTGAAGAAGGTGGGTTTTTATAAATTCATGGTGCCGAGGTCACAGGCACCTCTGAGAGGAGGGAACTCCTATTATTGAACTGCCTCAATTATCCCTTTCATGGGAGCCTGATGGCCCATATACAATTCTACCACGATTATTTCCTATCCTGTCCACTGGATAAACAAACTCACCGTGTCTCCTATCTGAAGATCTGCACACTTCCTGACTCCAGGGTATGACAAGCCATCCTGACACGTGGCGGTGAAAGCCAGGTTGAGGTCCTCAGGGTTATCCCAGACAGTTAGCTCTACTTTAGATCGGATACTCTAGAAAGTGAAAAGAAACAGAGTCCCATCAGTTAAAAAATTTTAAAAGCACATACATCATTTCACTTAAGACATTTGTGGGAACAAACTATGCACTAATGGGCACATCAAATTATATGAAACAGCACAGTGATCTAAGGTTGCATCCATAGTAGCGATAAGGAGCACCTCCCTTCTTCATCAGTGTCACATTCCATAGTTCTTGATGCCAGGGAAGGTTCCAGTTTCTAGCTTTAAGAAACATGTTTAGGTTGTGAATCATAGATAAACATAAGTGCTACTAAAGAATCCAGAATTATTGGCTGAGAAATAAGCTTGCCTCTTTCCTGGAAGACCAATCCCAATTTTGTGGAAATAATTGGGCATAACCACCACATATGAAAGGAAGTGCCTTGCTTTCCACAGTTTCTTCAGCACAGAGAGAGGTGAAGTTGAGTGATTTATTTTATGAACAGCATATGAAGTAAGATACCACCAACAGAGTAATTTGCTGGCATTTTCTTTCATTCCAGCTGAGACTGAGAGGAATGGAGGTTCATTCCACAGAGCGCTCCAAGAATCATCCTGTATTTGAATTTAAAGGCCCTGAGATTTTACTGCTTGTGTATTTGAGGATGAAGGGAGGTGTGTGTGTGTGTGTGTGTATATATATATATATATATATAGATATATAGATATATATATAGATATATATATAGATATATATAAACATTATGAAGAAGAAAAATGGCTCTTTTAGTATTATTGCAATTTTGTCTAATGTACATCTCAAAGTTGTTGAGGGGTCTGGTGGCTTGGGATATTATAACAATCACTGCACTTCCTAAATCTGTTCTAAGGATTCTTCCAAACCTCTTCACCTGCAGTGATGTTTGAACTGACTAAATCCCCTACATCCCCTCTCCAACCAAGAAACTTCATGGAATATAATTGTCCTACTGCCAAGCCCAGAGTTGCTTCTCCACCACTTGCCCTTTTGCCTGCACTCCTTCTCTGTGATGCTTCACTCACTGCCTAGTTCCTCTTCATCAGTATTCCAGTGTTAGCAAGTGGGCAGTTCTGTACTGGCTTTCCAAGGAAGGAAACAATGAGTTGGGCACACGTAACTATAATGGTGACTGATTGTTTATCCTTCGCTCATTACCATTGCTGTAAAAATAAGTTCAAACCTTTTATGGTCCCCCACTCCTCCCTTCAGGGTCTTTGTTTATAAGCATTCTAAATAGCTATAAAGATTCACTATCATAGTCTGGTGTCTTTTACAATGAGATAAACAGGATATCAAGTATTTCCAAATCAAAAGCAGAGTAGCAGAAAGTCTCTGTGTTGTTGGTGGTGGTGGTGGTGGTGGTGGTGGTGGTGGTGTGTGTGTGTGTGTGTGTGTGTGTGTGTGTGTGTGTTTTAAAAAATGCATCTCTGTTGAATTCTCCAATGTTAACATGGCTTGTTTTTCAATAGACCCAGCATGCTGCTCTCAGGATATAATTGGACTCCCAGCTCTCATCAGCCCTTGCCAGCAAGACCAATGGGCAAGGACAATGAGAGTTGTAGTCCAACAGCTTCTACAGGGCACCAGGTTGGCTATGGCTGTCTTAATACATTAAAATACCAATGAAACTGGAGTCTAATTAGTTATTATTATTATTACTACTACTAATAATAATAATTACTTACACCACACCCTTCTGGCTAGGTTTCCTCAGCCACTCTGGGCGGCTTCCAACAAGAAATTCTTAAACTCTAAATAATTCCAAAATTCTTGTGGCATACACAGCAACAAATCATCTGCTGCCCACATGCCAACTATCCTCATCAGCCTCCCACACAATCAAAACAAACGGAGGAAATGGGCATCCCTCATACATGCCATCTCCTTTTCCTGCTGTGATCTTTAAAACAAAAAGATGCTGCCAGTCAGAACCGGTATTACTAGGTTGAATGTGCTGCTGCCTTTATTATTCAACATAAATCTACCTTTCTTATCAGGGCAGGGTCTATCTATAAGTCAAATACAGGAAAAAGGGGGCCACAAAAATATTAACAAGTAGCTGCATGCTCATGAGTGGCCAATTTCCTTTCTCCCAGCAGCCTCTTTTATGGTCCCAAAGAGCCAATCGGGGGACAACATGGACGTTGCATAATGCAGCTTTGACTTCTAATAGGCATCCATGCAGCCGAGCTTAACCTCTAAGCACTGCTCCATGGGAAGAGACTAAAAGTGCTTTTCTGGCACTCATGAGGGAAAGGGAAGTAATCAAAAGGAAGTAATAAACACTCTGGAACAGCACTTCTCTGCGTTGAAACATTATAGAGAAAACAGTCAAGAAACAGGATTAACAATGAGAAATCGGATAACAGGAATTCAAGCCAAGAGATGAAACCGTTAGAGCTCCTATTCTGGCTTCAATCCATCAAAGCAAAATAATTTTATGTTCTTATACAGCACCTATGTACAAAATCACCTACATACAGTATGAGAAGATCCGACCTCACAATCTCTGCCAAAGAGCAAGAGAAATAATTCGAAGTGGGTAATTTGTGTAAGCAGACAAATATCTGTTCATTATTTTTTTACTGCATTTCTATCCTACCTCAAAGTGATTTTAAGCTTTTGGAGCTTTTTTCATCATATTGCCATGCATCCAGGCTTCCCATGACATTTGACTGATTCGGCAAAATTCCCCCAACGCCATTTTTACACCCGAAAACCAGGACATGTCAGGAATTTTCCTGACATATGGCAAGCCTGGGCTAGTGAGGATTTGAACTCCAGTCTCCTAGGTCCTAGTCCAACACTCTAACCACTGCACTAGACTGGCTCTTCTGTGGTTCAATAGAGAAATTCAAATGTCACAGTTACCAGGGCAGGGGATGGCTGGTCAACAATGATGATGGAGGATGTGTGAAGCAAGAAGAAACAACTAGACTGACAATCTGAAGAGAAATGGACTGTAGTAGTAAATTTAAGGAAATCCATAGATTTACAGTGCAGGACACAAGTTCAATTTTCTTACCAGCTAGGTGGCATCATCTGCACACACCTCCTTTCATGATATGCTTGCAGAGTGGCACAATGTTATGTCTGCTCCCCAATAACACACTTGAATGCATCTTTTATTTTGAGACTCCTTTGTAAACCACTTCGAGAGCCTCTTGGGGCCACAGACAAGGATGTAAGTATTCTAAATAATTAAAACATACAGACGAAATTGATGACATCTAAACACCAAAAGTGAAAAACTCACATTGTAGGCCTTGACTATAAGCTGGATAATATTTGTAGAGTCTTGATTTAAAATCTCTACTGTCGTTCCAGGAATGAGGGCAGTAAGGTTCTTTTTAAAGAGAGAGAGAGAGAAGTACACAAGAGAAACAAGTTATTTAAAAACAAAGGAAATTATATCCTCTCATAAGTTTCATCAATATAATTAAAAAGCCACAATTTTTTAAACGGGAAAAACATTGGTCCTTGGAGACTTCTGTTCACTAACATTAATTAGGTGGAGGAGAATGGGAAATTTTGTTGAAAGAGACACAAGGTACTTTGAGCCTCTGAACAGTGCAGAGACATAATTCACTTTTAAGTAATAAGATTTAAGTAACGGCAGGCTGGGCTGAATACACTACTGTTGGCAACGTTCCCAAAATAAGGATTAAATCCCATAGCTATTTTTGGTGCCTTCATGATCACCAATGTTGATTTATTCACTTTAAGAAGCTTAGCTGCTTTTCACTGAAGCGCCATTCTGAAATTAACTGAAGAATGAAATTGGGAGGAGGGCGCACTGCAGAGCTGCTTGGGGCTGCAACCCTAACCCCACTTATTTGGAAGTAAGCCCTACTGAATGCCAACAGGACGTACCTCCGAGTAGACACGGTTAGGACTGCAGCCTGATTTGCACAGAGGCAAAGCTCCCAGGGCTTAAAGCCAGATCACAAGCACATTCTCAAGTACTTTTTAACTCCAAGCAGCTCTTCCTTCCTCCAAAGTACTAGACGTCTTAACACATTCTCTCCTCTCACCCCAGAACTCCAGTGGCAAAACTGCTACCTTGCAATCTTAATCAGACCTGAAAGAGTCCTTTCAAGCTTCTCAAGATTGGGGCAAGGATGGGGAAGTTTCAAAAACAGTGGATAAATCTGCAATTGAGAGCTCCCAGTGTGCCTACATGTGTGAAAATATGCCAAATTCCTGCATGTGTTTGTTTGTTTGTTTGTGTGTGTGCATGCATGAGAGTGTGGTCTACATCCACCTTGGCAAGAAACCCCTGGAGGAGCCACAATGGGGCAATGCAACCCTCATAAAAGATTATCCACCCCTGGAGTGGGGTGACTTTCAAGGCCCACTCTGACTCTACTGACTTCCCCCTTCACTTTCCAGCAGGTTTCAAACAGGAAATCAGTTCCTTCCTCTTTGCGCCCAACACTTACCTTATAAAGAACATAGTGACTTTTCGTCACTGCAAAAATTAGGTGTATATTGTTCTCGGCTAGTTTCTCTGCAAGAAGAGCAAGAGAAGGATAATCCTAGAAAAAGATAAAGAAAGAGAGACCAGTGAAAGACAAAGAAAATGAATTATGACTGCTTTGCAACTTTAATCGTATTTGCCTGCGAGTAAGTTTCATTGAAGTTAACAGGGCTTCCTTCTGAGTAGATATGCATAGAATTGTGCTTTAAAAGACTCCAAGCGTATACAATTATAGCTAAGCACACACATCTGCAAATAAGAGATTTCCACACTGTGGATGTACCTATTTCATATTACGGCATCCGTGTGTCAAGGAACGGAACTCTGTGGCCCGTCCAAACTAAAGCTGTATTTCTGGTTTGCCATCAGTTAAGTGCACTCACTATGATCACGTGAAAACCAGGCCAATTCACAGGGTTGTTATAGAGGTAAATTACAGAGAATTGCCAGGGCAATTACCCAAAATAGGCAGCAATAAAATTCAAGTGCTTTTATTACAGTAAAACAAAACAAAAACAAGAGCAGGGCAAATTAGTTAAAACTTGAAAGGTAACAACTCAACCCACCCACACAATGGCATACATGAAGAAATGTGCCTTCCGCTGGCACTAAAAACTCAAAAGCATCAGTGGGGTGACAAATTTCATAATCAGGGAGCCACTACCAAGAAGGCCTCCCCTGTAGAGCTTAATACCCAGGAAGGCCTATATGGTATAGTGGACACTTCATCACTTATCTAGGTTCCAAGAAAATTAGTCGCATTAAGTCAGCCAAGCAACGAATTAATAGCCATGCTGCCCAATTCCCCACCAATTATGGGGTCAGCCATTCTCTTTACCCTTTTTCATTACATCCCAAAACCTCTTCTCAGGAAGTACTGCATAGCTTGCACTGAGCCATCATGGCCACCCACCCAGGCTAAGAACTGATTGTAACCATGTACCCACATTATGTATTCTCAGACTATTCTCTGCACTCTCAAAAGAAGATATAAACCAGTGGAGCTCTCCCTTCCAGCAGCACCCCCCCATTACCCATACAAATGGCAGTGAAGTAACAGCAGGAGAAGGCAGCATCTTGCCCCAATATAAACAAGTGGAGGAAAACCTCTCTCACGTCACACGTTTGGCGCAAAGAAGAGAGTTCTGACAATAGCAATCCACTCTGTTTAGGCCATGCATCAACTACCTCCAGCTCAGAGCAAAGCTTAGTATGAATGCGCTATTAAGAATACTGTTTATACCCTCCACTTCTTGTTACATATAAAATTATAGGCAAGATGCTGAATAATCTGTACAGACAATTCTGAATACCTAATCTTTAGTGCCATCTGAATCCCACAGAAATTAACAAGACATGTATTCCATGAAGCTCATTCACCTGGGAGTTTAGGATTGCAGCTTTAAGCATTTATCTATGTACATTAGTATTATCCATTTCAATGGAAATTAGACATGCCAAACTTTTCACTACTTCCAGCCCGTCCTGTGTGGATCGGCCAGTAATGTTCCCATTTTACAGATGGAGAAACTGATGACCAACCAAGGCCAAGTCTCTATTGGAGCAGGAATTTGTATCCAGGCCTTCCATTGTGAACCACACTGACATTCTTCCAATACTGTGGTGACAGAATAGATTTTCATGTGATTTCTAGGCTAGTACACAAATTACAGAAATGGCCAATGAATATGTATATTTACTGACTTTGTTTACTCAGGAAAACAAAGAAATGTCCTGTGGAAGGATTCAAGCCCATTATCTAAAGACAGCAAGTTAGGAACACTTTCAACATGGAGGGAGGGGAACATTACATGCTCATTAAAGGGCACAATAATAATTAGGATTTGCAATTTGCCTGGCATGCAGAAAAACAACCCAACAGCTATGCAAGAACAAAGCGGCTCTTCATCCAGAAAAGCCGAAGAAGGAAAATAGCTATCTGCAGACCTCTCTACTGAATTCAAAGTGTCAAATCAAGGTTTACCTTGTCCTTTGCTTACCAATATTTTATTTATATACCGAGACAAATAAATGGAAGAACAGCACTTAGCTAGTAAGGGGCAAACAGAAGCTGAAACACATGACTGCTGCTGAAAGCATAATGGAGACAAGTTGCACTAAGACACAGTAAGTTGTGAGACATTCACATAGCCACCGTCTTTAAACAGCAGTTAAGGGTTTGGGGTAACAAGTTGTTCCATCCTGAAATGAAACGCAACAAGGATCAGTGATACAGAACACTGATAAGGAGCAGCTGTTTACCTCAGAAAACATTGAGGAAAGAGTTGGAATGAAGCAAGGGACTCCATGCAGCAGCTTTTATATACACTATTTTGCCTCATGCAGGGCTCTGGAGACACAAGCGAATGTGTTTTTAAAGCTGTCCAATCATCCAAATGTGAAGTCAAAACAACACTGTGGCATTCAAGAGACCCTCAGAATGATAACTAGACATTTTACACATCCATTTCATTGCTATGCATTCTCACCAGTTGATTGGAAGCGGTGTATTCGTTGGCCTCATTCAGGTGACACTGCCCATCATGTGGCTGCACCAATCCACCCAGCTTCCCATCCAGTGCTATGTGTGGGACATCATCCGTAGTGAACACCAACAAGTGAGAAGCCTCCTTCCGCCATCCAATCTCCTTCTACATTGAAGCCAAGGCAAAAGAAGAAACCCCTCAGCCTTTGCTCATGCCAACAGACAGTTTCTTTCTGCACAAAGCCTATCAGGAGATAGGCACTGCTTAAGTATGATCAATAACACAGATAAAACTATTTTGTAAAAGAGATAAACAGAAACAAAGCCACAGGAAAACAATAAAAACAGAGCAGAATTATAACCATAACCTTCAAATTCTGTAACCAGAAATTCTAATGCATGTATTGTAATAAACGAAGCAGAATTGTAAGTAAAAATCTGCAAATTCAGTCCCTGGTGAGTAACTTGGAATGCACAGCATAATCTGTGCATGACATTATCTGCAGCAATTAAAATATGCTCTTCCTGCCACTGGTAGGAAGATATGGAAACCCAGTCCTCCAAATATTCATCTCAGTGGAATTAGGCATCATCCTTTTGATAGGAAACCCTCTTAAACAATTGACTCCTGCTTAAAATGGGCAAATGGTTGCTCTAGGCATTCATGCACAATGACGTTTCAGTGGTCAACATACATGTCGCAGCCAGTAGCTGACAGCATGACCTTCAGGTCCAGCAAGATGCCACATTGGCTGTGAAACAGGTACAATACCCCAGTAGCCTGTGAGACCTGCTTATTTGAAGGAAATATCCAAAAGATCAAATGCTGCAAAGGACAGGCCAAAGCAAAATATAAGATGCCATGTATGCACTGCAGCAACTAACTGCATTTTCCCTTGGATATATTAGTTTAGGGAAGTTGTGCCCCCTTTGAGGTCAACACAGACTTGGTCAACTTGGAAAATCAGATTTGCTGACCTCAAGTCCTGTAAGAGTTCACTAATCATGCAATCGTTCCTCGGGGGGGTGGGGGATATTCTATTGCAGTTCCCAACTCTAGAATCATAAAAAGTGGCATGCATTTTACATTTGCTCCCAAAACTTAGGAAAGCAGCTCAATTTTCAGAACAGCGAAAAAAGGTGTGAAGAAATAAAATTTAAAAAGCCATATGAGACATTATTATTAGCAGCAGGTGTAAAAAAACCAATGCTGTCTGTAGTGCTCCCTGCTGAACACAGGAAATAACTCAGGGAAGTGACAAACATATTATCCTTTTATTATGCTGACAGCAGTTTGAATAAAAATTGTCTTTCTGCCAAGAGTGGAACTTTTGCCAACCTATCCAAAAATAGTATCAACAGATTCTTAAAATAGGCTGTCATGCCATCTACCTTACTAATATACAAAGGCAAAAAAGGACATGAAAAGTATTTTACTACAAATGCTGCACCCAAATCCCAGTGTCAAATGCAGTCATTGTTCATAAACAAGAGGCATATTTAGGATCTACTGGGAAGGAATGCCACTGATGGAACGGCCAGCCAAAGGGACAAGTAACAATGGCACTGCAATTTTTCTTCAGATGGAGACATATACTAGGGATAGTGCCACCCGACAGATACAGGACACACAAATGTGCCAGACCTTTTCTTTTTGTGCTTCGAAAGGGCAAACTAGCACATACACGCTGTGGTGAGATGCACAAGTCCCAAGTCACAAATCTCACTATAGAGATGTATAATTTCCCCAGCTAACCTAAAAAGTACAAATTCCACATGGCGCACAAAGATATTCTGAGAATTCATTTATCAGTGCCATTTTTTAAAGTATGTTCTCACCACAAACAATCAATTAACTTCCCATCTCCAATACCTGCAACCCCTACAGGCTACAAGGAATGGCAGATACAGTGGTACCTTGGTTTGCAACCGCTTTGGATTACAACCGTTTTGGATTACAACCATGTCAAACCCGGAAGTGCATGTCCCTTTTTTTTAAAGATTACAACCCATTTTTGGGGGGAGGCCCCATTGGCAAAAGTGCGCCTTGGGTTACAACCTGTTTGGTTTACAACCGGACCTCCGGAACGAATTGTGGATGTAAACCAAGGTACCACGGTCAACCATTCACAATCTGCCAGAAGTTACTCACCTCACACACAGCAGCCTGCAAGATTGCGTCAAAGCCACCTTCTGGGGCATCCCTATTGCGGGAAACCTTCTGTTTCTGAACCTCTTCATTAAACCGGTCAACTTTATCCGTGAGGGACAAAAGGTGGCGAAATCCAAAGGATGGGACGCAACTGGGAAATAACTTGTAACTAGAAAAGAAATGAAACATCATTGTGAGTCATTTGTCTGCACAGTAAGATAGTAACACCAGAGTTTGCGTCGCACTTCATACCTACTAAAGCTGATCAAGAATGCAAATTCAGAGCAACTTTCTGGCTTGAAAAATTACTGAGATTCTGAATAATGTGCAATACAGTGACACTGGAAATGAGGAACTTAATTTTGAAACTGAATATGCCCCAGACAAGAGTCTCTATAGAGACTTCTTTCTGAGTAAACTTGGTACTGGCTGTTGTTCAGGATTGAGATTTTGGCATGAACCAGGAAAAAAGCAGGCAAGCCTTAGGCCTGCTCCAGTTGGACTGTCCCTTCCAACCTACCCCAAGAGGGCAATATTCCATCAGTTGCCCTGTGGGGAGGATCCTGATGACTTTCCAAGTAGTTAAACAATGTTTATTGTATTTTTAAAATACATAAATTTAATTGGAAGCAACCTTGGAAATATTTATATTCCAAAAGATGGGAAATAAAGAATTGTAATAGATACATAAATATTTGAGTGCATGTAATTTACAGGAATAGGAGAGAAACTGGCCTGCAATTCCATTGGGGCTATATCAGGTGCTCATAATGTGTATGCAAAAGAGCCCTACAGATTTTTAAAAATTATTATTTTCCCCCTCCTTGTCATAGTGTCACTATCACCTCGGCAATGTGAGAAGCCCACCAGGGAAGAAGAGGGGCCTGAACTGGTCATGATGAACAACGGCTGCTGCTGCTGAAAGCTGAGGAACAGATGGAAGGAATGCTGGAAAATTCTCTGTTTTCAGTCTCTGTCACTCTGTCTTGTATTTACATGACTGCTTTATGTTCTCATGTGGTCGAACTGACAAGCTCATTTCTCCGCATGGTATGTGCTAGAGTGAAGCAAGTCTCTCGAGTCTCCCCACTTCAGAAACTGAAAAACAACTATCCCATTTGAAAAGGACTTATTTGGTTTGCTTTCACTAGTTCTATGGTTTCAGGAGAATAATTTCATTTTAATCATGCTACTTTCTCTTATAAGCATGAACAGGAGTCCCTAGAAGCTTAGCAGCTTCTAGTTCAGTTAGCTAATACTCTGTGATTTGAAGCTTAGCAGAGATCTTATGTCAGTGTTAAGTTGGGGTGGAGGCTTTGGCAAATTGGCCATCATAAATAACACAGAACCTCAATATGCTTGTTCTCTCCTCTTCATTCTCAGTAGTCATATATGCTACATACTAGGGGTTGTATTAAATGAGGCTAAACCAGTCTGAAAAACAGAGCTCTGTGAAGGGTGTAGAGGTGTCTCCTAACAAGTCACAGCACCCTTAGCAAACTACAGCCCAGAATTCTTTGGGAGAAGCCATGAATGTTTAAAGTGGTATGATACTGCTTTAAACGTATACTGCAGATGGGACTGTGGTTTGCAAGCAGAAACCATCCTCCAACCAAATAAGCATACCCTCTTCTCCCCTTCTCTTACCAGTCTTAATCATAATTTTAACATTACATCTGCACTGAAAGTAACCCCTGGTTTCAGGTCACTGCCAAATCATCTGCCAACCAGATTTCAGATCTGGTATCAAATCATGTTTAAGTTGGAAACCACTTAATGTTGGAAACCACTTTATGGTGAACCATAAATTAGGGAAGCAAGAAAAAGGGACACTGGTAATTAACAGCAGCAGAGGGGGTGGGGGGGGAGAGGTGAAGGAAGAACTGCCTGTCTCCTGATTTGAGAAACTCCTGATTTCAAAGAAGAGTATACAGAGAGTCAGCATTGTATCTCCACCAGGCCAAAGATACTGACTTTTGTAGTAGGTTATGAAAATGTGGCCTTGAGTGGGTGTGATTAAACGGGCTCTGTAACCATGATAAGTTACATTAGAGAAGGACATACGTATGTTTGGTATTTTGCCTTCCTTGTAAATTTGCTGAAAACCCTGACTTCCCCTGCTGTCACTTTGGGGTTGAAGTGCTTTTCTTGTTCTGTGTTTCTAGCACAGAACAGTTTGGACGATGTACACTAATTACACACCCCAAAAAACTGTTAATTAAAGTGCAGGAGATTTTGTCTACAAATAGTGGTTCACTTTACAGTTCTCTTCCACAATTTTGTGGTTTCATTCTCCTTTTTTCACACGCTTATCTGCCTAATTCAGGTGTTCACAGTCTACATGCAATGACAAGTCGCACAAATCAGAGGCCCACTGACAAGCCTCACACCCTCCAACACATCCCTTTCTCCAATCTCAGCCTTCCATGAACTGGAGAGCCAAATGCTAAAGTGAGGAGCTTCCTCTACTTGTGAAAGCTGCCTGCCCGATTTAGAACGCTCGGGGCTATTAGCATCCCTGATTCACATCACTTTTCCCCCTACAAAGGTGATGTGAATGGCAAACAATGACTGCATAGATGGAACGAGCACACAGACTGCAGGGATACGTAAACCAGAGAAGAAACAGTAGTATCCAGTATCCCTGGAGCTTTGTGCTGCACAGAGCCCAGAGCAGGTGAGCATGATGTCGTGCATAATAGGCCTCGACTGGCTGACACGAGGCAACCGTAAGAGCGAAAATGCTCATTGTCCAGAGCCAAGCATTCATTGACTGCCAGTTTAATTTCAGCAGTTTGGTGGATTCCCTCATGCCCAAGCTTACTGACACTGGATAGAAGATAACAGGGGTTCCAGATGTGGGAATGCTTTGAAAAGAGGAACATGCAGTTAGGTTGCTCCTAAGTCTGCAGTCCTACAGGTACTTACTTGAGAGTAAGCCCCACTGAACTCAGCGAGACTTGCTTCAGAGTTACCATGCATAGGATTAGGCTGCAACTTTCAGGGAGCACTGTATTTTAAAACTAATCTGCATCCGTGCAATGGACGCTACAGAAGACTCCCGCTTTAAAAGAAGAAAGGTTCTACTTTCATGGATTTAGATTCAGGAACAATACTTGCATAGCTGATGGTCTTTTCAATGCTTCAGAGCACGTTCCTCACCACTAGCGACCCTGTTACCCCCTTCCCCACAATGATGCTGGCCAAAAATATATAAATTGCTATACAAATTCAATTTGGGGTAGAGCATGGGTAGGCAAACTAAGGCCCAGGGGCCGAATCCGGCCCAATTGCCCTCTCAACCCAGCCCACGGATGGTTTGGGAATCAGTGTGTTTTTACATGAGTAGAATGTGTCCTTTTATTTAAAATGCATCTCTGGGTTATTTGTGGGGCATAGGAATTCGTTCATTTTTTGCTTCAAAATATTGTCCGGCCCTCTACAAAGTCTGAGGGACTGTGGACCAGCCCCCTGCTGAAAAAGTTTGCTGACCCCTGGGGTAGAGCAAAATGCAAGCAAGGCTGCCGAGACTGGTGAAAAATACATATGCATAAAATAATTTGTTATTTGTTTTGGATGCAACACATCCGCTCAAAAACAAACTGCACACAAATGTGCATTCTGGCTGTGCCAGGAGTGTGGTTGGTGTGATGGGAAAGGGGTGTGTAAATGCAGTGTGTGTGGAGGGGGCTTGAGTGAGCCTCCAGCTTCTGTCTTTCTTATATAAGCTCTCCTTTTAAGTAAATGATTTTGCCTGCAGGAACACCTATACCTAACTATTAGGGTTAGGGTTAGAAAAGTCTCCCAAAGTGTGTTGTCAACAGAGCTTTAAAATCTCTTAAAATTTTTTCTTTCTAAAAGCCACAGGAGAGTTGCTAAATTATCAGGAACCACTGGCTTCATGCCAAATAAATTTGCCGTCACTAGGCACTTGTTTGAAATCCTGGAGATTGCTCCAGGAAAAAAGTATGAGACAGTAGTTGTTAACTGCACCAAACATCCCTGCAAGTTAGACAGTAATACTAGCTGGGATCCAAAGAACTACTTTCAGCTGTGTAGCTCAAAGGCTTGTGATCATTTGGTAAGTTCAGGTTTGTTTAACTTTTACTCTTTGGCAGACACCACTCACCATGTATCAACTACTTTTGCAAACCACCCATTCCCCTTTGAGTTGCTTGCAGGTGTTTTGCAGGCCCACACAATCTGGGACCCACTAACACAACTGCAGCCCTCCAGTCTAGAAGGGACTCGCAATGCTTGGTTTTGCTGCCTTTCTGGGACCTGTAAAAAAAACCAGGAAGTTGTCAAGCCACAACAAATGGTAGATGACCCAGTTTAGCTTGGTGAGTCACTCATCTATGCAGGCCTGGTCTTCTGCCATGCAGTCAGAGGGGACTTCCAGCCAAGAAAATCCTAAGCAAAGCACTAGACTGAACGGGCCTTTGGATCCTGGCCACTGCCCTAATTTTACATACACAAATGCATAGGCCAAGAATATAAAGAATAATATTTTCAAAAACCCAAGGACCAAAGTTTCCACTTCCCAAATGTATTTATATCTGCACAGTTTAGAATATATATATATATTTAAAGGAATATAAAAACACTGCATCGCAGATATCATGATCCTACACAAAATTCAAAATAGACCTGTTTTTTCAAATGTGAGGTGTCTACTTTTTAATGATCCTGCAAGCTGTGAGGTCTTGCAAGCCCTTCCCTGCAGCCATGGGATGTGCTGCAGGTTCTAGCTTGCTCTGCTCAATAGGAAAGAAATCTTATGTTCTTGCACATTCAGTGCCAAAGCAACAACTGTAGCAGCTGCTGGCCCTTTGCTTACCCAGTGCAAGGGTTGTTCTGGTATCTAGGTGCTGTGTAAGAAAAGGGAGAAATGTTTTTGTCCACGAAAGAGCCAAATCCAAGGCGGAAATTGCTGGTGAGCTTCCCCATCTCTTCAGCCAGCGTGGTTCCCAGATTCCGGATGTTGTCCAAATCATCCTTCATGGAGAGGGAAAGGTCCATCAAATAATACAGGTCCACAGGGTAGTCCTCTACCTGCCGAACGTGCACATGGAAAGGCGTTGGATCACCTGTGGAAGCAGCAGGTTTGTGGCAGGTTAATAACAAGCAAAAGGCAAGCCAGTTGTTTCCTTTCTTTGCCTTTTGCATTCACTCAGCTGGCGGTGCAAAATCACCCCCTTAACTGTTACCAGAAATAGCCACAGATTCATGCCTGAAATATGAATACTTCTTCACAAAGTTTCCTGTTGCAACATGTAATTGATATAACATGCCAAAATCCAGACAGCATACTTTCCTTTTTGTAAAATCTGTAAGAGAGCCCTTCCATTAAGGCTTCAGTAGCAGCCTGGCAATTGCATGGGGGAGCAACTGAAGCAATTACTCAGTTAGAAACATAGAACTGAAGCGTTGGAAGGTACCCTGAGGGTCTTCTGGTCCAACCCCCTGCAAAGCAGGAATCTCTAAAACATCCATGGCAGATGGCCATCGAACCTCTGCTTAAGAACGTCCAATGAAGGAGTCCACCACCTTCCGAGGGAGTCTGTTCCATCAGCAGGTGGTATCAGGGCCACAACAATAACCCTGCAGTGCTACTCTGATGTGGCTGCTCTTTAGCTTGCATCCATGCGAGCAGCCAAGCCACAACAATATTTCCCAGTTGTGAGACTTGCAGCGACTGGCTGGGAGCCTTTTCTTTTTTCTTTTTCTTTTTTTTGTTTACCAATGCACTCAAGCTAGTTCACTGCAATAATAGTGGATTAAAATCAAACAGATGCAATACTAAAGAGAAAGGGAACCAGAAAGGAAGAAGAAAATAAGCAAATTCATGTACCATGGCTGGTGCATGAGACAGTTCCAAGGAAGGTGCCAGCCACTGTCTAGAACAATGGAGGGAGCCCTGCTGCCTTGCCTCTCCCTCAGAATGGCTGCAGATGGAGAGCGTTCGGAGAAGAACCAAAATAGAAGTATGTTTCCATTAAGCTGATGGAAGGGGCCCTTCTCTCTCTCCCTCTGTGGCGTTTGCCCATTCCTTGTGATTTTGGTTGTATAGGGGGATGGAAATGGTTAATGTAGATTGACTAATGAGAAAGCTCAGAGGCGGAGCCTACCTGGTTTTGAGGCTCAGCCCAGGGGTTTTACCATTGGGAGATAGAGGAGTCAGGGTCAGACAGAGCCAGGAAAAGACGAACTTTAAGCTTCCTTGTTGACTTTACAACCTGACTGAGACTCAATATTTCACCAGAAGAAACCTGGTTGGTGGTAGCAGAAGAATAAAGCAGTGGTGTGCAGGTCAATAGTCCGTGAAACGACCGGGAGCTCTGTATGAACGCCACTCTCTCTCTCTTAATTAAGTGGCATGGAAAGAATGTGGACTGGTGATTACAGGACCATGTGGTCCTGCAGTATCCCAGCTCAACAATGTGCCTTAGATTTTCCTAGGGTTTGGGCACCTGTGTTAACTGGGCTAGTTGGGGACAGGAGAATATCAGCACTTCTATGTTCAATGTAGAGTCAAGCTCTGCTCTGAACCATCAGTTGCTACGTCAAATGGTTCAAACAAAAACTGAAGTTAAATCCAACATATTATAATAGGCTACTACAGTGGTGCCTCGCAAGACGAAATTAATTCGTTCCGCAAGTCTCTTCGTCTTGCGAGTTTTTCGTCTTGCGATGCACGGTTTCCCATAGGAATGCATTGAAAATCAATTAATGCGTTCCTAGGGAACCGCCTTCAGACCAGGTCCGGGGACAGTCTGTCCCCGGACCTCTTCTGAAGGCTGGGGGGGGGGGGCAAGGGCTTTTCTTCCCACCCCCAGCATTTTAAAAAAACCCGGGACAGCGGAGGACTTCTCCGCTGTCCGGGCGATCTTAAAATGCTGGCGGGCGGCATTTTAAAATCACCCCGGGACAGCGGAGGACTTCTCCGCTGTCCGGGGCAATTTAAAAGCCCCTGGGAAGGCAGGCAGGGGGGACAAAGACTTTGCCCCCGCCAGCCTTCAGAAGAGGTCCTGGACCTCTTCTGAAGGCGGGCGGGGGCGAAAGTCTTGCTCCCCGCCTTCAAAAGCCCTCCGGGACAGGCAGGCAGGGGAGCAAAGACTTTCGCCCCCGCCCGCCTTCAGAAGGTCTTCCTCCCCCCGCCCGGCTTCGGCGCCCCGTTCCGACGCCGGGCGGCGGCGGCAGGTCTTCCCTCCCCCCCCGCCCGGCTCGGAGCACCGTTCCGGGCCGGGCGGCGGCGGAGGTGTTCCCTCCCCCGCCCGGCTCGGAGCACCGTTCCGAGCCGGGCGGCGGGGAGGTCTTCCTCCCCACCGCCCGGCGTCGGAGCCCCGTTCCGAGGCCGGGCAGAGGCGGGCGGTCTTCCCGCCCCCGCCCGGCTCGGAGCACCGTTCCGAGCCGGGCGGCGGCGGCAGGTGTTCCCTCCCCCCGCCCGGCTCGGAGGAGCCTTCCGAGCCCGGCGGCGGCGGGAGGAGGTGTCCCCGCCCCGCCGCCGGGCTTCGGAAGGAGGTCCGAGGACAGTGGGGAAGACGCGCTGCGCTTCCCCGCTGTCCCTGAGATTTCCCTATGGGCTGTCGTCTTGCGAAGCAAGCCCATAGGGAAATTCGGTTTGCGAAGCGCCTCCAAAACGGAAAACCCTTTCGTCTAGCGGGTTTTCCGTCTTGCGAGGCGTTCGTCTTGCGGGGTACCACTGTATAACACATGCATCCCACTGCCACCTTTTTCCCCCTCCCACTGAAAAGACAGGATAAGCATTTGAAAACTGAAATCCAGATGCCTCGTAATGGTTGGTTCTAATAGGCTTTGCCTGGGAGCACTATTCTGTCACATCAAATGACATTTCTAGCTCAACAGATCAGGCTCTCTTTCACAGCTGGGTGAGTTAGATCCAGCCACCCAGTGCAGACCCAAAGCAAGATTTTCACCTCCAGACTGGGCCAAATTAGAGAACTGGGCCAAAACAAACAAGATGAATTTTAACAGGGAGAAATGTAAAGTATTGCACTTGGGCAAAAAAAATGAGAGGCACAAATACAAGATGGGGGACACCTGGCTTGAGAGCAGTACATGTGAAAAGGATCTAGGAGTCTTGGTTGACCACAAACTTGACATGAGCCAACAGTGTGACGCGGCAGCTAAAAAGCCAATGCAATTCTGGGCTGCATCAATAGGAGTATAGCATCTAGATCAAGGGAAGAAATAGTGCCACTGTATTCTGCTCTGGTCAGACCTCACCTGGAGTACTGTGTCCAGTTCTGGGCACCACAGTTCAAGAAGGACACTGACAAACTGGAACGTGTCCAGAGGAGGGCAACCAAAATGGTCAAAGGCCTGGAAATGATGCCTTATGAGGAACGGCTAAGGGAGCTGGGCATGTTTAGCCTGGAGAAGAGGAGGTTAAGAGGTGATATGATAGCCATGTTCAAATATATAAAAGGATGTCAAATAGAGGAGGGAGAAAGGTTGTTTTCTGCTGCTCCAGAGAAGCGGACACGGAGCAATGGATCCAAACTACAAGAAAGAAGATTCCACCTAAACATTAGGAAGAACTTCCTGACAGTAAGAGCTGTTCGACAGTGGAATTTGCTGCCAAGGAGTGTGGTGGAGTCTCCTTCTTTGGAGGTCTTTAAGCAGAGGCTTGACAACCATATGTCAGGAGTGCTCTGATGGTGTTTCCTGCTTGGCAGGGGGTTGGACTCGATGGCCTCTTCCAACTCTATGATTCTATGATTCTATGACTGTCAAGGAAGTAGAAAGCAGATCAACTCCTAGAGCACTCAACTGAAGCAATCCTGTTTATTGAAATATCTATTTTGCTTGGTGTAGAAACAAAACAGAGTCAGTCTCATTTACTAACTGCTCATTTTATAAATGCTTCTCCACCACTTACACTAAGGGCTGTTTGCAAACGGAAGCCTTGCTTGTAACACTCAATTATGTCCTGTTGCGTCTTGTATAATGTTTTGGTAACAGCTGCACAACACAGGTATGCAGCTAGGAAGTTATGGCTTCAAGGGTTTACAGACATAATCCTTCCTTTCTTCACAACCTAGCAAAATAAGATTAAATCTACTTTGGCCCCATAGGTACGCACAGATTTGTGGACACCCAGCAGTATATGCTCATCATCCAGCTTCCTCTTAAGAACTGCCTGATAGTGAAAGCCCTTCACCATAAGGTCCCAGGGCAGGTCACAACCATACGGTCATATAACATTAAAATCCAATAAAATCACTTAAAACAAACTGATGAATGTACATCAACAACAGCAGTGGTCCCACAAAAAATGGCAATTCCACATGGCTAGCAGAGTAACTTAGCACAACTTTTTGACAGCAGTCCAACTTCCTTTCTCCACTGACATATATGATCGTATTACAATGTACGTAGCCATCATTGGTAATAGATGGCGATAGGACAGATTCTAGCTCAGGGAGAGGAGGAGGAAACAGGACACAAAGGAATTGAGGTGGGGTGGGTGGACAACGGCTTGAGAGCATAATGCAGTGATGGGGGACAAGGAAGAAAAGGCTCAACGGGCTAAAAGGTCAAAGTAGCAAGGTCCCTAAGAGTGGGAAGCTGCAGGAGCATGGAAAGACTGGGCTGGCTTAGGACAATATATGCCATTGGCTTCCTCTGCAGTAAAAGACTATTATAACCCCGTGAAGCTATGTGCAAAGTTTATATACACACACATACAGAAGTGCTTTTCCTGTGTACATATTTTTTCTACACTTTCACATTTTGTTATCACTGCTTTTAAAGCCCCTGTAATTTTATTTTATTATGCTCTGAAAGAGGATTTGCTCCCCCCCCCTTGCCAAAGTAAGAATTTCACCTGCAACCTAAAGATTCACTGTTGCTGAAGTGATTGATGTGACAGATGGCTCAGCTCTAGCAAAGCTTTTTTCCACCCTGCAACTGCTAGCAAACAAGGGAGCCTTGTTCCCATTCAACAACTATTTTCTCTTTGCAAACGCATTCTCTCCAGGACAATTGGAATGCGTCACATGGAGGGGGACTCTGAATGTGTGAACTTGTCCTGAATCAAATGTGAACTTTCAATCAATAGAAAGCTTTAAAATCAACATTCACATTACAGCATTAGGCTTGTATATATTACCAGCTCCTAGCTGCATCCACTCTGGATTTGCATAGATCGATTAGATCAGCCTACCTGATGTCCAAAACAGAAGCAGGGCCATGGATATAGTTTTGTGTATCTGCTGCCGTGTCTCATTTAGCAGCGGCAACTATATTAATGGATTTGCATTGGGGAGAACAGTTTACAAGAAACCATAGCCATTAAAAGGTATGCACCCAAAGCTCAGTGAAACGGAATAGACTTTGCATACAGAAAGCTTCTCAAAAAGCATTCTCTAGTTTATTTTTTTTCAAGTAGCAGAGCAGGAAAGATCTCTGCTGAGAGCTACTGGCAGTCAGAGTAGGGTCTACACTGAGAATACTGCTCTATCCGGTCCAGAGAAAGGGAACAGACATTGCTGGGAGTCAACATCCTATCAGCTTCACCAGCATGAAACCAAGTCAACTTTGCTTTCCGTCAAGTGCATGATGAGAATGCTACTGAGCTCTTACATGAGATCCATTAATGAGCGCAATGACAGCAATTTTGGAAGGAGGAGATTAAAACCATTTTTCAGGGTGGCTTTTGCAAGCTAGAATGCTCAGTAACCAAATTTCAATAGTTCCCTCTCTATTTATGTGAAACTAACAGGCGTTTCCACTTTGGGTGATGGGACTTTCTTGTTTCGTGCTGTGATTAATTTTAATGTCGGGAAAATTCGTGAGTTTTAAGTGTGTGGCAATATGAATTCCTTATGAACTTGGGGCTCTCATCAGGGGAATACAAGAGCCTCATTATTAGTAAAAAAACACACACAAAAATTCCTTATTATTAACAAATAAATCCTAAACCTTTTCCTTATCAGAGGAGGATAGGACTGGAAAGGGAAAACATTTCCTCTATTTGCAGTTTGCCTGGACTACAACACAACACAGACATTCCAGGCACGTACACAATTGTTTAGTGAATCTGTCTTTCATAATGGCCTTTAGCTTCAATACAAAGGGCCTTTTTAGAAAACAAAACAACCAAATATCAAAGGCTAAATATTTTCGCACAAACGTTGAAACTGTATGAATGCCTCTTTTCTGCAAAACTATTTCCACAACAAGATTCTTGATTTTTCCATTTTATTTTTTCATCTTGGCAGAAAGCTAATAATATGGTAAACTCTAGCTTCTTGGATCAAAAGTTCATCTCTCGAGTCAGTGCAATCAAAGCTCATCTTGTCTTTACAGGAAAGGTGGGATGACTGTGAGTCACTTAACTGTGTTAAGACAAGAGATAATACAATGGGAATAATTTCTGAAGACGAGTAGCTGGTGGATTTCAAGGGGAAATGGGGACACAGTTTCATAAAACTTTAATGATTGAGAACCCAGTGCGTGCCCACACTTCCATTTGCCCCATGCCTCAAAAGCAAGGGTCCAAGCCGCTCTTCGTTTGTTCCACCACTTTTCCCCAGGAAAACCCATTGTTTACTGCCGAATCAGAACAAACGTCAAGCCACAGAAAAACCAACTGGCATTTGTTGTGAGTCAGTGGTAAGCAGCAGGTTTTCCCATGGAAAAGTAGTGGGACAAGCAGAAGTGTGGGCGAGTTTCTCAGTCAACAACACACTTCCCCAACCTCATGCCCTCCAGCTGTTTTAGACTGCAGTTGTGCATCAGGGCTGGGGAAGGCTCATTTCCAAGAAAGGAAGGGGAGGAAACAAGGGCGATTTGATTAATAGAGATCTTCTCAATATTGTGGCATGTCTGTAACCCAGAGTCTGATCCTTACTTACAATTATGTATTACAGGGTCCTGAGGCAATGGTAAACTATGGTTTGTTGCAGCTCTTGGTATGTTATTATATGGTGGTGCAGAAATGCTGTAAATATATATAAACAAAAAATAATAAATAAATAAACCCACCAACTAACTAAAAAACTGGATTGTATGAGTAGAAAGCAGGGGAACGGGAACAACAGGCATAGGACTTACTCCCATATCTCCAAACCATGGTTTGGTATTGCATGTGAGCCAACCCATAGAGCAGAGGAAGCCAACACTGTGCCCTCCAACTTTTGTTGAACTGCAATGCCCATTATCCTTGAACATAAGTCATGCTGGCTGGGGCTGATGGGAGCTGGAAGGCACCACACTGGCTCCCTGCCATAGTGTCCAGGTTGTTGCAAATTAACAATACTGGTTACAGACAATTGGTGCTAACTTACCAGGCCGCAGATTTAGTGAGATCTTTTGTGGCATTATCTGGATAACATCCGAACTGGGCACACTAGAGCCCTTGCTGCTCAAAGGAAGGTTCTTCACTATTTTAATGCTGCTTTTTGTACTCTCAAAGTGCCCCGCACAACCATTGGCTATTAGATTTTCAGTGAAGTCACACCTTGAAGTGATGGATTTTTTGCTGCCAAATTCCTGCAAGGAAACAAAATTGAAGTATGCAGCGTGAGAAAATCAGTTTGCCCAAAGGATTGTAATGATTCAACACAGAGCTAGCTGGGAAGACATTTTTATTATTAGAATTTTCATCCTGTAAATCCCACAGAAAGCTCATAAAAACAACCTTTGGGGTTATTCCATTTTAACTTACAATCAACCCACGAGTTAGGTTGGGCTGAGAGAATTTGACTGGTTCAAGGTCAGCCAGTAACATTCATCAGCCACCGGGAATCTAATTCCAGTTTGCCATGGTTCAAGTCTAATGAAGACCTACAATTCCAAAATCCATAGCAGGGAAATATTCTTATTTGGCCAGACCAATTGTTATGAATAGTGAGCAAACAAGGTAAATGTTAAACAAAACTGGGGGGAGGGGTGTGGATTTTTTTCTTACGGGCAAACCCTTTTAAAATGCTTACAGTATCACTTAAATAACCATTGCCTCAGGGAAAGGCAGGATTTCTTCAGATTTGAACATACACATGTGTGTTTCTACAGACACGCCAGGATGATGGAAAGGTAGCAATTATAAAGAACTAAAGCATTAGAAACAATGCAAGCCGAGGTAGGCAGGAAAATCAGTGAGTCATTTTTTAATCTACAAACCACCACGATTTAGAGTTCTGCAATTATGGAAAGAGATCAGAGCAGCTGAATGACAAACAGATGGTTACTCTCTTGCTTCAGACCCAAACCTTTCCCCACTATGGACGAATCAAACTTGTTGTTCCCAAAGGAATGTTGGTGTTGGCGGAGGAATATCCATTGGACTAAGGAACACTAATCATTTAAAGAGATCTCAGTAATCAGGGCTGGGGAAAGCCCTTGGAGAACCTTTGTCAAGTAGATAATACCAGGCTAGATGGACCAGTAGTCTGGCTCACTTGTAAGATATCTTCCTGTATTGACTCCAATTGCAGGCTACTACTTGTCAAATTTCTACCAGTTTCTTTGCCTTTGCATGTTTAATAGCAGTCATAATAGTAGTTATATAGTGCTTTCTTTAGGTACTCAAAGCTTTTCACAGCTTTGTAATCCAGTAAAGCAGACCATCATTATCTCGTATTACAAACAAGGAGCTGATACATTAAGGCTTAGTATGAAGGCCATAGAATGTGCTGAGATTCTGGCTCACAAAGGTTCCCCCCTCCCCAGTGGGCTTTAACCCCAGAAGTGCTGCTCTTTTAACATTTTTCAAAACATTTAAAAAATATTAGAGTTTACTTAAACAGTCCATCTTGCTATTCAAGAGCTTTCATAGGAATCCAAGTTCCTGTCAAAATGAAGTAAGAGATCTTTGGCCAGAAGTTATATTTGGTATGTGAAATGTAAATCTTGCCTCATTCCAAACAGTGATATTCTAGTCTTATAATAAAAAACCCTCAAAAATAAAAAACAAAAGCATGTAAACCATTTTTGTGGGCACACACATATTTGATGTTGAAAACTCTTCACCAATTTGAGGAGAGAGGAAAAAATCCCTCCAAATTATCAAGTTACAAATGCAAGGAGTTTGACTTGAAACTGCAAAATCGGCAAAGTATATATTGACCTAGTTGTGGCTTTCTTATTGCTACACATACCCATTATCTACTTCGCAACGATTTTTTAAAAAAAGTTTCCTCATTTGAACTTTCTATGCACAAATCACTAGCTAAGCCTGTGTCATAAAAAACAGAATAAGTAAATTTGCAAGCAAGCACAATCACAAGTATGCAATTGCACAATTCTTGGCAGAGATTTTTTAAAGGACTAGTTAGAAGAAAGGTCAAGCCGGAAATCAGGTCATGCTCAGCAAAGACCAGAGGCCCAGTTCTTACTAGGCAATAAACCTGCATCTGGGTTGAACCATTCTATTGTTGCTCGTTTATTCTGTCCACCATCTCTAGCTATTCACAAAACAACTTTGAGTGTCCATTTGACCAGATAACATGATGGGATGCACCTAGGGGGCAATTATACTTCGCCCATTCCACCCTAAATTCAGAGTGGGGTGGGGTAGAGAAGGACCCTTATGGCTGAAGAGTAATCCAGTACAAATTTATACAGTGGTGCCCCGCAAGACGAATGCCTCGCAAGACGGAAAAACCGCTAGACGAAAGGGTTTTCCGTTTTGAAGTTGCTTCGCAGGACGAATTCCCCTATGGGCTTGCTTCGCAAGACGAAAATACCTTGCGAGTCTTGAGATTTTTTTTCGCTTTCCCCCCCCTTTATCTAATCTGCTAAGCCTTTAATAGCCTTTAATAGCCTTTTAGCAGCTAATCCCCTAAGCCTTTAAGCCTTTAATAGCCGCTAAACAGCTGATAGCGCTAATAGCGCTAATCCGTCAATGGGCTTGCTTCGCAAGACGAAAAAACCGCTAGACGAAGACTCTTGCGGAACGGATTAATTTCGTCTTGCGAGGCACCACTGTACAAGACTAATTTCTGAGACTTCTAAAGAAACAAGTATAGAGGCATTGCCCATCAAGCACCTTCCAGATGTTTTTGGACCACAACTCCCATCATTCCCAGTCAGCACAGCCATAGTGGTTGTGACTGGTACAAAACCTCTGGAGGGTACCAGGTTGGAGGAGGCTAATATAGAGGACTGCACTGCCAATCTCTTAGTTGCTTCCGACATGTGGAAATGTTCTTCGTCAACACAGGATGAGCTGCATGCAGGGCTTCTGGCCAAAGCATACAAATCCATTAAAAGCAATATATATTAAACAGAACTTGTAAGGAATGCATGCCTATATCTCAGGCATCTATGGGATGGCAGGAAAGCATTTTTGTGTGCTTCCCCAGTCAGATATCAATAGCCAGGAGTTTGTTTCACCAGTTTTGGCTGGTACACCCTATATGAAGAGATCTGGCCTAGCCACAGTAATCTGTGTCCTGGTCATGTACTGGCTTGACTACTGTAACACACTTTACATGGGGCTGCCTTTAAAGACAGTTTGGAAGCCTCAGTTGGTATAAAATCCAAACACTAGAGAGTTCTGGACAGGTGGGTACGTGGTTGCATTTCTGGACCTAATTTAAGGTGGTAGCTTTAAGCTTTAAAGCCTGAAAGAAATAGGTCCAAGATATCTGAAGGCCTGTCTGCACCCATGTTGTCTTGCATGCCCTCCAAGATCTGCATCACAGGTCCTCTTTGTTTGCCCGCCAACTAACCAGTGAGACTGGCAGGCACAAGAGGGCTTGTTCTATGGTGGCCCCATGCCTTACTGAAACACCTTACTCCAGGGGTGCGGGACCGTTTTAGCTCAGCCGCCCAGATTGTTATCTTCCCCCGCCCCTTGCCAATGATGCTTCAACAGGTGGGCATGTACTCTTTTATTTAATATGTAAGCCTCCATGGTGGACTTTTATTTGGATAGGCAGCATATAAACGTTTTGAACTAAATAAAGGTGGGATGAGCCCTATTTCTCTACTAGCAAATGCAAAAAGAGAAACAGAGGAGCTTGCAGAGGCACTAGAATAAAATTCACCTCTGTACAGTATATTTCAGTCCTCTCATGTATCTCTTTTATCTAAAAAAAAACCTCCTGCATGCTACCGGCCTGGTACACTCTGAAAGATTATTCTGCACGAACTATTTCAGTGATCTGTGCTTTGTTCTTCTGTATTTTTCCTCTGCACTAAGAGCTACCCAGGAATCCTTGGGGTTTATTTTTTAAACAAATGTGTTTTTTCTTCCATCTCGTTTTGAGGCTCAAAGTGAGTATGGGTATCATGTAAATGCTGTATAAAATTGTTAATAACAGCTAAAGATAGGGGACAAATTTGATTTTTGATTCAGTTTGTGTTGTGTGCCCAAAAAAATAAATAAATGTACTGATGAAAATAACATAAAAATGCATTACACAAGGCAGGTTTGATTTGCAAAAAGATGTATGAATACAATTTTGTACTGAAGAGCCGATTATTTTTTACAAGGAGTCTTCTTTAAAAAAAGCAAACTAACGAGGAAATGTGGAGAAGTGAACTTAAGAGTTCTTTTCTTTAATGAGAAACTGAAATTGACAGATTTGCCCACCTTGTCCAACAGTACAGTAAAGGGTTTTTGTAAAACAAAAACAAAACAGACATCCCCAGTCAGTTATCTCTCTCCTACATCTGTAATACTCCCCCAGCTGTAAAACTCCACATGTTTTTGGCACCAATTACAGAATACACATTATCTGACAAATCTTTGAGTACAGATTACATTCTACAGACCACAATAAAGTACAAGCATTTTTTAAAAATTGCAGAACCAGAAATATAGACAAACCACACCCTCCTTTTTTATTTTCAAAGAGGAAGACATTAGAAGCTTTGAAAATTTTGGCTAAAGCACACTGAAGCTAACCCATAATATGAGCTAGAAGTTCACTACCTTATGCAAACCAGGTTATAAGAAAATACTGCCAATTTTTTCCTTATTCCTTTACATCTTAGCTATCTAGAAAAAATTAACTCGTTCTCTGATGTTTTCTGCTTAGCATGCCAATCATTTCCCCTCTTTTTGCTCACTACTCTGCAACACCAATAATAATAAAAATAAACACTCAGTGATCCTCTTTTAATTTTTGCCATTTCTCCTGCAATATCTTGCCTCTTTCACGCCTCAGCCTCAAGGCAAATACATACCAGGAGCATGTTATTTCCACATACAGTACTACAACTATTTTTTCTTCTTCTGAAAATAGAAGTTTAATGGAAGCTTTCAACTCAGAAACAAAATGCCTCCAGAAATATTCTGTCCAAGGATTTCAGGTGAAACATGCTTCCATTATGATACCATCTAGCTCTCTGACTTTATGAAAAAAAGATCATGCCAGTATAATCTATTGCAGGCTTCATAAGACCATGGTCCACCATTTTTAAGAATTTAAGGAAGCCCATCTTTTGTTATCCGTTTACATGTTGCTTAAATCTGCAGGTGTTTGATTAGAACAAAACTAATATCAAAGTGTCAATTGAAACTACTGTGGCTGGTAAGTAAAAAGGTCCAGGGGTTTAGTAATTCAGCAAGGTCCAGGCCAGGTATACCCAACTTGGCACCTCCAGAAAGTGCTGGACTCCAATCAGTTATGCTGTTGGGGCGAATGGCAGTTGTCACCCAAAACATCTGGACAACACTAGGTTGGGGAAGCCTGATCTAAGATATATTGCACCAAACTCAGGGCTAATCATTGTTATTTTCTCCTGCAAAATCAAAATGTCATTATTCCTGAAAAACAGATTAAAGGGCACAGTGATCTGTGGAGAACCGCAAGTCTTAAAAACCTAGCTTTGGAAATTCCTCAGAAAAAAGAGGCCCTGTTAGACTTGCCACTGGAATTTGGGGGGGGGGGGGTGTCAGGGTGAATTTGAGTATCCTGCTGAGATTCTGCCACTTCCAAACATGCAATTTAGGATGCTCAAAGAATAGCAGCACAAAACTGAATTTGTTAACATTCCATTAGGCAGACAGATTTTCCACACTTCTCAGGACAGGGAAAGTAAATCTGAAAATCGAATTCTGCCTGCGGACTACAATGTAATATTTGCACTGATGGTGCAATCCTATATTCAGAAATGCACGCATTTTTAAAAATTGGATTTATACCACACCATTCCTCCAAGGAGCTCAGAGTGGGGCACATGCTTTTCCCCCTTCTCCATTTTGTCCTCACTGCAAACCTGTAAGGCTGAGAGGAAGTGACTGACCCAAGGTCACCCAGTGAGCTTAATGACTGAGAGGGGACTCGAACCCTCGTCTTCCAGGTCTTAAGGCTTACCCAGACTTGCCCCACCACTTTCCCCCAGGGAAAACCCAAACTCTACCTCTGAATCAGAGAAAACGTCAATCGGGTTTTCTCTGGATTGACGTCTGCTCCAATTTATCGCTAAAGTGTGGGATTTTTGGTGGAGATCAGTGGGACAAGGGCAAAACGGCACAGATCTGTTCCTACAAAGCATAGGGCATGCAGAAAACCACTCAAATCCATGCTTTCCAGGCACAGGATAAGTCTGGGTGAGCCCTTAGTATGACATTCTAACCAACACACCACACTGGTTCCATTGTTTTCATTGAGGTTCCTCCCAGAATAAGTGTCTGCAAGGCTGCTGCTTAAGGGTTGCATTCAGTGAAGTTAAAGAGTTGGAACTCGAATTTGCTGCCTTTCTCAAACAGCGGGCTGCCTTTCTCAAACAGATCCTCTTGCCCGAGAGGTTCCACAAGCAGACAAATGTGTATGCACTAGTGAGTTCTTGTGAAATGGTTCCGCCAGCAGGCCTGTTGCACTGGATCCTTCTCTTGCACAACTTTCAGAAATTGATCTCCATTACTGCAAAGGCCCTTCTGATAACAGACTGGTAGCTTTGGCTGCAACCCTTAGTAATCCTGGAGCCCCATAAACCAAGGACTGGAATTCAATACAGTACTATCATTCAGTAAGTGCAAGCATTTTAGCTTGCACCGTGGAACTATCTCCCCTCTTCCCCCCGCCCAAAAAAAGCATGCTGCTCTCCCGGCCACACAGAGGAGATTTGGGGAGGTGTATGGGGAGGATTTGGGGCAGGGAGCTCAATTGCACTCACAGGAGCCCTTGTGCTGTTTTCCACTAGGGCACCAAATAAGTTTAATCTGGCCCAGGAAACCCTAAACTTTTTCCTTGGCTAACAAGGTTTTCATGACTCTAAATATAAATTTTCCTGGCTAGGGTTTCCCCCCCCACGCAAAGTTGGAACTTTTGTACAAAGTGGGGAAGAAACAAGGACACTTAAAAGGTCTGCTACAACTCTGTACTGTTAGAATATCAATGTCAACTTTTTTCACTAAACATTGAAAACCTTTTCCTTATGGGCAGTGGCACAATTAAAGGGAGGTAATTTAAACTAAGAGCTATTGTGGCCTTCAGGAATTATTGTCTACAAACAGCCCCTTTTCACCTCTTTGCTCTCCAGTCAAATCGGGCGGGGGGGGGGGGCGAATCTAAACCAAATAATTGATTTGATAACGCAGCATCAGCAGCTACTGCTGAAGGCTGACCTATAACTAGCGGTCACAACAACTCCCAGATAAACATTTCTGTTGGCAGAGCCACTCAAAAAATAGCCCTTTGGTGCCAAGAAAATAAAACAATTCTAGCCCAACACCACAGCTTCGCAAGCAATATTTTTTCTTTCTGATGTCACCACCACTTATACACTTGGCAGAAACACACTTCTTACAGATGCATACAAGATGTCTCTGAGGCATTGTGGGGGGGGGGGGGCGGGTGGAGAGTAACCCTTCCCCTATGCGTATGCACTCTTTGTACAAGAGGCTGAGCATATGAAGAACTAAACACCATTATCCTCCTGGCTGGATGTATAAATGTAACAAGAGTGATTGTTTCCCATCCCTGCAGGCAACAGTACTCTGCCACCTATGACCTCAGATGACCAACTTAAGTGTTATCCTATTACTGTGCTTAAATTGAAACTCGCTTCTTACAGGTTGCATCCTGTAAAGTATTTCTACTGGTGCAACAGGACTGATGTTTCCTCTCTTCTCCCCATGCCCCCCAAAATCTGCTCCAGAGAGTCCCACAACATTGGCCTTGGCAGGTCTCCAAGGAAGTGAGCCTAAGTATATACAAGAGCCAATTCCCCCATTCCGGCATGCCCCAGTATTTCCATTTCTATTGCCCTGAAGCTCGATCATCACTGTAGTGCAGGGGGCGGCACGGTTTACCTCGCCTGGGCCAGTTTACTCCCGCAGAGATCGCTCCGTGGGCCGGATCGCGTCTGCACAGACGCGATTTCTGGCACCGCGGAAGCGAGTCCCCGCTCCGTGCTGTGCCGGTTTAGTGCAGCGCATGGGGACTCGCCGAGTGGACGGCTCAGTTGGGGGGGGGGCTCATGGGCCATTTAAACGACCCCTGTGGGCCGCTTGTGGCCCATGGGCCGCAGGTTGCCGACCCCTGCTGTAGTGGAACTTCTGTAGGGAGAACAGAATAAGAAGAGGCCCTACAGGTGGAAATAGGATGGAGAAACTGCGGGTGCTGGTCTCCCTGAAGCACCAAAACCCCACTAAGAGAATACAGATGGAGCCAAACAGTGGAAACAGCAGTGGCCCTGACTGAATGCACACTGTCCAAATGTGGCAACAGAAGTAACTTTTGAGGGACAGTGTTGTGTAGGTCGGCGTGGTTGCTCGCGAGCGAACAGGCAAGACCCCCACTGGTCTTTTCAAAGCTTTATTATCGGTGCAAAAACATTCACAGTGCAGAACGTCTCAATTCCATGTCTTGCTCAGTCACTAGCAAAATCTGGGAGTGGGCGGTCCTTAAACTTTCCCCAGCAGAGTAGTCTTTTGACCCCCATCCTACGTCTACCCTCTCTGCGCGTAAACCGACTGCGCAGAGAAGGCGTGGGCAAAGGGGGACCTGCCTCCCCCCGCTTGGCTCAGGCCCGGTGCTGTGCCTCTCCCTTGCATCCTCCGAGCCCTGCATCCCTTCCCCACTGGAGGCGTGGCTTCCCTCCTCCACGGAGGAAGTGCTGCTTCTCACAATCTTTGGAGGCTCCCTGTAACCCAACTGCCCTTCCACCTCTCGCCTCTGAGCTGATGGCAGTTCCCTGACAGACAGCATATAAGACATTGCAATGAAAACATCAGGCCATTTTCCAAATGTATAAAGTCAGGTTGCGTATACAGCATGATACCCACAACCCAAGGCACATTTTAAGGGGGCAGGGAAGTCCGTTACACCAAAGTGACTTCAATAGCTACCAGGATTCCACTTCAGATCACAGTGACTGCAGGCCCAGGCCCACATTAATCATGTGCATTTAAGTCGCATTGGGTTCAGCAGGCCTAGTGTTACAGAAGAGTCGCCACAAAAGGAGGATGTTTATGCCATAATTATGCAAAAGCTCTATTCTTTAGAATTTTTCTTTTTTATATAAAGGATAAAACATGATAAGCATTATCATTCTAATTCATGAGAGGATATTATAAATAAAACAATTGCACTTAAGCATGTATTACACTGCAACTTAATATTACCGTATTTTTCACTCTATAGGACGCACTTTTTCCCCTCCAAAAATAAAGGGGAAATGTGTGTGCGTCCTATGGAGCGAATGCAGGCTTTCACTGAAGCCTGGAGAGCGAGAGGAGTTGGTGCACACCGGCCCCTCTTGCTCTCCAGGCTTCAGGAAGCTATCCGCAAGCCTTCGGAGCGCTCCGAAGGCTTGCGGACAGCAACCTGCAGCCTGAAGCCCGGCGAGTGCTGCGCCAATTCCCGCTGTGCTCGCCGGGCTTCAGGCAACCATCCTGCTGTGCTCGGAAGTTCCCGCTGCACTCGGAAGGCTTGCGGATAGCTGCCTGTTCTGGGGGCTGGGGTCAGGGGAAGCTCGGGCTTCCCCCGTCTCTAGCCCTGCAAGCTCCGGGAGCGGCGGCGAGGTTGCGCACAATCTTGCCGCCGCTTCTGGACCTGGGGGGGGGGATAATTCCCTCCCTAAAAACTAGATGCGCCCTATGGTCCAGTACGCCCTAAGGAGAGAAAAATACGGTAATTGAAATATTAATATTAACTAATCTTAAAAGAGTTGGACCATTAAAATCAATAGACTTAAGCCCATTGATTTCAGTGGGTCTATTATGACTAATGTTAGTTATCAACCATTTCTTTTTGCTTGGACTGCATACTACTGATGCCATTTTTATTGCAAAGGGGGAGGGGAGAAAAAAATACAACTTCCTGGCACCATTGCCTCAAATGGTCAATTAAGTGTTATTATATAGGTAATTACAAACTTATTTAACAGCAAGGTTCACAATAAGACATGTGAACATTTGAGTTACACAGAACTCCTCTTCAGGCTAGAATTAAAACGGAGATTTTGGGCAGAGGCTTGGCGTCGCACCCTTGGTGTTGTTTATGATTTAGTACAGGAACTGAGGAAGCTATGATTTAATACAGGAACTAAGGAAGTAATCTGTTGACCAGTCTGCCTTGTACAAAAAACACCTGAGGTTAAGGATTCTAGGCTGCAAATATACAAAGCTAGTTTTAAAGTAAGCAGGACCAAAGAAAAGTGACAACTCACCTCTTTATAGCACCAAGCACACTCGGGATGAACAAGCAAACATTCTTCACAGGAGGTAGCACTGCCACTTGTGCAAATATTGAGACCTTTAAGAGAGCAAACCAGAGAAATTGACCAAAAAAAACCCCATGAGAAATAACAGGGTGCTTGTTACTATTCACACCAGAATAAATACGGCAGATCAGAAACAAAACTAAGGCTGAGTAGACATGGACAGGATTGCAGTCAGCAGACGCACTGAAATCAATGGCCATGACTAATTTAACTACAAAGATTTCAGTGAGTGTACTCTAAGTATGACTTTATTAGAGACAACCCTTTAGGAATATCTTTCTCTTGATGTGTGATGACTTTGCTCCCCCCCCCCCCCCAAAAAAGCCTGCATTTGTTGCTTTATAAAAATGAGGTAATTGCTTGTTTTCTACTAAGAAAAGGTTAAATAAACAGCCCTTGCCTAGCAAGTTATCAAAAACTCCCATATTTAGCTAAAAACATGCTAGGTTAGGTTGTTTTTAGTGCTAGGAATTAATGTTTCTATAGGCAGTCAGTCAGCATTTGAACGACTTAACATTTTCAATGCTTGGAGCTAAGACTTGCCACTCTGGGCGCCTTTGGGAAGAAGGATGGGATATAAACTTAATAAATAAAATAAGGGTTATTTTAAAATGAGGGTTATTTTAAAAGCCACACCGTGCACTTTGAGATAGTCTGATCACCAAAGTATTCCACTGTACTGAAGCCTCAAAGTTTTGGGGTGGGGTTTTTTCAGCCCAAACAACCATACAGTGGTACCTCGGGTTAAGTACTTAATTCGTTCCGGAGGTCCGTTCTTAACCTGAAACTGTTCTTAACTTGAAGCACCACTTTAGCTATTGGGGCCTCCCGCTGCTGCTGCTGCGCCGCCAGAGCACGATTTCTGTTCTCATCCTGAAGCAAAGTTCTTAACTCAAGGTACTATTTCTGGGTTAGCGGAGTCTGTAACCTGAAGTGTATGTAACCCAAGGAACCACTGTATTACCTTCCTATGTGTTTGGACAAGAATCCTCTGACAAAGTGATATTCCTATCTACCACCAGTACCCAGAATTTTTATAGCAGGGCTCCTTTAAACAGCAACATGAGAGACGAAAAGTCAACAGTCGTAACTTTCCCATTCATGGCACGGAGATGGGATGATAAGGGAAAGTGTTTATTTCTGCTAGTTGCACAGATGTTAAGAGACAGGTACAGGAGCCCTGACAGAATAAAAAGATGCATCTTACACTGTAAGCAGCAGGCCAGTATTTGAGAGAAGAAAAATCCTAGGCACCTTTCTAGCAAATATTTCAAATTCCTAAGCACCAGCACAAACTTTCTAGGCACATGGCAACCAGATGCTTTGAATTTTCCCCACCCTGCTCGCAGTGTGGTAAAAACATTGGTGAGTTAGCACGCTGAAAGTGCTGTGTAAATTACAGTGTTTTTCTGTGGCTGCGCATACTCAATGGAATTTTAGAAATCTAACTGTGGGCAAAAGTTTGTCTGGAAAAATTATGGAACTCTATTTAAATAAAATATGTCTAGGTTATTCAATGGAATACAAGAACTTGTGGAGGTCAATTGACTTGCTTTTAAAAAGAGGAATCACAGGCACCCCTCATTTTAAGACTATTTAAGATCTGAATGGATTCTGGTTGAACTGAGTAAACTGCACTGATCTGAACTTGACCTTTTAATAACATGGCATTTAATTATGTGTCTGAACGCACATGCAGGTTACATAACTATCTCATTTCATCGCTGTGACCTATTTATTCCTTTAAAGTATTAATATAAGAATTTCCACCGGATATCCATGTTATGCAGGGCAGTTTGTTTATCCTGGACAATAGCCAATAAAACACAAAAGTCAGTGTGTATATGCGCAGAAATAATACACACACCCCATAATCAGACAAGCCACATACATACACACAGAGACAAAAAGAGAATAATAGAATTGTAGCATTGGCAGGGACCATGAGGATCATCTAGTCCAACTCTCTGCAACGTAGGGATCTTTTTGCCCAATTCGAGTCTCAAACCCACGACCCTGAGATTAAGGGTCTCATAATGTACCAACTGAGGGGGTGGAGCGTTATTTAGTATCTCAGTCTATCAGTCTCACAAGGAGCATTGCTTTTACAGAAACCAAGACAACAGCTGATAGCAGAGACTTCTCTCCATGAATTTGGAGCACTTTCTGAATTACTGGCCAAGGGTATAAAAACCTCCTTTCTGCATTTGTGGCTCCTCATAAGACAAAAGAACAACTTCCTCCACCAATGTCTACCTACATCTAAGCTGAGTATGCCAATTCTATGATGATCTCATCATGGATGTGTTTCAACACACTTGGCAGAACTGCGCTCCCAGCACAGATGTGCCATGGCAAGGAAGGAAAGGATCTTGCTGATATCACCTCTGTTCCCTGCTCTCCAAAACACAAAGGGAGCAGGACTGCATCCCATAACAGCATCTTTAAACAATGAAATTAACAGGGAGGTTTTTAATGTTTGGTGCTTTATTATGCTTTTAATTCTGTTGGGAGCCGCCCAGAGTGGCTGAGGAAACCCAGCCAGATGGGCAGGGTATCAATAATAAATTATTATAATATTATTATGTCTCATTTCAAAAATGCTGCCATTTACTCGATTGATAATTACGCTAGGTTTTAGACTGCTGGTCTATTAAAGTTCTCATGTGGTGTTCACTGTTTTATACATCTTTGATACATATCTTTCTTGATGAATCTCATTTCTAAACTGCAGAGTCCTGACATGCAGCCAATTAAACAACTGCACTTAAAAATTCAAGGTGATTTATAGCCAGCAATTAAACTGAAGTGGCTGAAAGCTCAGTACTTCGATTCTGGTTAAGGACCACATTGCTATGGTAGTTCTTTGGTAATTAATTGGCTACCAGATTGAGCTGCAAGGTTTCATCTCTATAATAATCTGCAGGCTATGTTCAACACCAAGGCAAAGTACAAAGCAAAACAAATCAAACAGATATTGCCTGCAGGCTTGCACTCTTATAAGAAGATCCTGCTGGATCAGGCCAACGGCTCATCTAGTTCAGCATCCTGTTCTCAGAGGGGCCAACCAGATGTCCATAGAAAAGGTAAAGGTAAAGGGACCCCTGACCATTAGGTCCAGTCGTGACCAACTCTGGGGTTGTGGCGCTCATCTTGCTTTATTGGCCGAGGAGCCGGCGTACAGCTTCCGGGTCATGTGGCCAGCATGACTAAGCTGCTTCTGGCAAACCAGAGCAGCGCACGGAAACGCCATTTACCTTCCCACCGGAGCGGTACCTATTTATCTACTTGCACTTTGACGTGCTTTCGAACTGCTAGATTGGCAGGAGCTGGAACCGAGCAACGGGAGCTCGAACCGCCAACCTTATGATTGGCAAGTCCTAGACACTGTGGTTTAACCCACAGCGCCACCTGCGTCCCGTTCATAGGAAACCAGTGAGCAAAACAGGACCACAAGAGCACTCTCCTGTTTCCAACCACTGATATTCAGAAGCATGAATTGCTGCCTCCAACTGTTGACGCAGAGCATAGTAGCCACTGATAGCCCTCTCCTCCTTGAATTTGTCTTAAAAATTGCACATGTGAAAGCGAAGGGAAGAGAACTATTTTGTTATGATGTGATAGTATTTATAGACAAGGCAAAGCTATCAATAATACTGATGTGTCAATTTTTCTGTGCCCAGATATTAATAGGGTCAATATCTAATTAAATGAACACAGCTGATGACATTGAATTGACACCGAAATCTAAAAAGAGCCTGACGCAAGGCTAGATTCTAAAACAATTGTGATTTCTTTTTTTTCCACACTGAGGGATCAATTCAATGACAATATGTACACAGTCCTACCGAGTCAACAAAAGCACCGGTCAGTTCCCCCCACGACTTCTCGTTGCAAGCAATCGTAGCTTCAAAAGAGAAAGAACTGAACTACATGGCAAACACAGAATGAACATATTCCAATTCTGTAGTGGAAGATTTCAAGCTTCCCTTCGTAACAGCTTCCTTGGTAGATTTCTTGCAATGTGTGCGGATATGTGAAAACTTAAAAACTTGGGCGGTGGCTGCATACATCATTCCAACTCAAGAACTGAGAATTCCCCAAACAAAGTCCAGAAGTGACACCCTATTCTTTTCACTATATGAAACTTAATGCTTCAGAAGGAGGCAGGTGTCCCAGATTCAGTTTTCCAAAGATCTGAATTTAATCAGACACAGAGCTCAATTCAGGCTTTGGGGCCTAGCAAAAAAAAACCTGTGGCATTTTCAGTCAGGGGATAAAGAGAAGCGCTAGTGTTCTGGTGCTCCCCAAATAAGGCATCCATCCCTTGTCAAAACACTGGGCTGGGTTTCCCTATGTTGTCCAGTTGACTTGGTGGTTCTGTCACAGAAACCCTATACACAACGCTTCTCAGGCTCTTCAAACACCATGTTCATGGAACAGATATGCAAATGATGTTCTTAAGAACACAACTGAAATGTCAGGTTTGCAGCAGCATTCTTGTTTACGCTATGCCTTGAATAGACCATGCTGTGATAAGCAATATGAACTAGCATCTTCCTTGATTTATTACTGAACTAGTGGAAATTCTTGTCCTGGATTCACACGCTCTACTACAGCAATATCTGGAAGGTTCTTGACTGGCCATATAATGAATACAAACATCGAGAAGCCCTATATTGTTTTATAGTCATTTGCCACAGGCGGCTTGGCAGTACATAAAATAATCTTGTTAATGTGGCTTGTTAAACTGTAAACAACACAGAAGGAAATAAATGAATAGAGAACTAAAAGCCACTCCGTTGCACTCCTCCTTTTAAAAAGCCCAGAATAATATTAGGGGGAGGGGAAACTATGAAGAGAACATGGTGTGCTATGCAGATGCATTTTCTAAAGTGGTGCTATTTTAAAGTGCATTTCAGAAGCAGCATAAGAGCATCCCTACTGTTTAAATGGCAGTTCCCTGGAATGAGCGAATTCTTTTACACAGAGCTGATAACTCAACATCAGCAGCAGAGGGAAGGGCTGTTAGTCATGCTTCCAGCCCCACAACCCCACACATACATTAAGTAAAATAGAAACATTGCCTCCCAACCCCAACCCCACGCACCATGGCCCCCTCCACCTCTTCCCCCCCTTTTCTTCCTAATGTAACCCTAATGTCTCAACAAATGAAACTGACCTGCAGAAAATGTAACTTGAAAAAAGAGACATTGCGCATACCTTTGTAAACAATTTTTTTAAAAATAATAATAAACCTTATGCTATATTCTCTCCCTAGAATATGGCTGTTTGGCTTGAGGGCGTAAACCACCATGTGAGGTTAAATACTCAGAAAGATGGGATAAAAATCTATGACCTAATCTAAATCCAGGCCAGGCTCTTCATATGATCATTGTGCACAGTTATTTACAACAGAAACAGGCAGTGAAAACATATTCCAGGACCAGGGCTACCATCCTACAAATATTTACTTGGGAGTAAGTCTCACTGAACTTAAAGGAGCTTGTATCTGAGTAAACATGAACATTATCAAGCTATAAGCCTTTACTCAAAATAACATTGTCCACACACATGTTCAAATATTTAACCACCATCATTAGCTTGTTCCATTGTAAACAAGAGCTGGAACTAGTAAGATCCAGTATATGGGTTGCATCTAGCTAAGTCATACTAAAGAGTAGAACAACTGGAATCAGTGGACTTCAAATATTTCAGTGGATCTACACCGAGAATGACTTACTTGAATTTATCCCCAGGCCTCCAGGTAGACAAGTGATGTATTATTCAATATCTGCCAAATCAGCTTCCATGCACAAGCAAAGCAGTTTACAGTAGTCAATGGCTCCATATATACACAAAGTTTAGCCAATTTATAAATTTATTTGGTTGGGGAGGGGAGCACTCTCTGAAAACTGACAGTACAGGAATCAATGGACTATAGCATCAGTGACCATCAGGCATATTTGCAGGCTAAGAACTGAGGAGGAGGAGTTTGGATTTGATATCCCACCTTTCACTCCCTTTAAGGAGTCTCAAAGCAGCTAACATTCTCCTTTCCCTTCCTCCCCTACAACAAACACTCTGTGAGGTGAGTGGGGCTGAGAGACTTCAAAGAAGTGTGACTAATCCAAGGTCACCCAGCAGCTGCATGTGGAGGAGCGGAGACGCAAACCCGGTTCACCAGATTACGAGTCCACCGCTCTTAACCACTACACCACGCTGGCTCTCACACCACACTGCTTCTGAGGAGTGTATCCTACAGGATTCCCTCCTTAATAAAAAAAAAAATGCTAGATTTTTTTTTTGAGGCATTATGTCTCTGAATACCAGTTGCTGAGAACTATAAGTGGGCAGAGTGCTGTTTCACAAGCAGAACCTGAATTTGCTCCCCGTGGGTATTCGGTTGGGTACTGTGAGAGATAAATTCTGGACTAGATGGACCTCTTCCTTGAATCAACAGGCTCTTTTTCATATATATACACCTTTCCATATATAAGCCACCCTTTCCATAATCTACTGAGGGGGGGAAACATTGAATGACTATCTCAGAACAACAACAACAACAACAACAACAACACCTATATTGATTGCAGAGGGTAAGTGCAATAAAAGCAAGCCTTGACACTGCTCTACTATTGTTGTCCTGCACGCCCGCCACAGAGTTCTTTTCATGCGGCAAATATACCGTAAATAATAATTGTTTTTCCAGCCTTTGGCTACGTATGCTTTGTGAGCCACAAATTTGCTACTATGAAATGTAGGCCAGCCTAGGCTCAACAGAGCGAATATAAGAACAAGAAAGAGAGAGGGGAGGGGGATTCCATTCCACTTATGAAATTCGTCCAGTCCATAGGTCTGGGTCACTGAGACCGAGTCCTCCAACAGTCCAACAAATGGGATCCTCTCGTAACTAAGGAGACCCCACCTGGCTGAGATAATAGTTAAAAGGTACTGGTACTGAAAGGCTGTAATCTACCTTGCCCTCCTCTAATCAAAGCACTTTATTCTGCACCCCAAGTGTTGAAGTCTAAACCACCATTTTAGAGAATCATCCAGGAATGTAGCTGCAGGAAGAAATCAAAAGGGCAACCAGAGAATACACTATAAATATGCATGCTGGTAGCTGAAGAATTGATGCTTTTGAATTATGGTGCTGGAGGAGACTCTTGAGAATCCCATGGACTGCAAGAAGATCAAACCTATCCATTCTAAAGGAAATCAGCCCTGAGTGCTCACTGGAAGGACAGATCCTGAAGCTGAGGCTCCAATACTTTGGCTACCTCATGAGAAGAGAAAACTCCCTGGAAAAGACCCTGATGTTGGGAAAGATGGAGGGCACAAGGAGAAGGGGACGACAGAGGACGAGATGGTTGGATAGTGTTCTCGAAGCTACCAGCATGAGTTTGACCAAACTGCGGGAGGCAGTGGAAGACAGAAGTGCCTGGCGTGCTCTGGTCCATGGGGTCACGAAGAGTCGGACACGACTAAACGACTAAACAACAACAACAACAGCTTTGTAAACGTGGGTTGTTGGAACAATTGCAATATGACTGGCAAGACATTTGATGGCAGAGCCACAGCCGGCCTTGTGTGATCTACAGAGATAACTGTGTCAATGCAGGTCTTATCCAAGCAACTCTTCACTGCCATTTCTAAGGCTTGGAAATGGGGGTTAGATGACCCTCGATCTAAATCGACTGCATGCTATTCTCAACTGCCCCAAGACAAAAGAAAATGGTTCCAAGAGGATATTATTTCCATGACCGCCTAATATATACAGGCAAAGTTCCAATTCCTTTAAAAAGGATGATAAAAATGTGATGATATTTAAAGATTTCCTGTACACAGACATCCCAAGGATAAACTTGAGGTGTGGGGGGTGGGGTGGAGGAAACCACAGTTTGTTTATTTTCAGTCAAAGTTATTTTGAGAAGGGCAAGATTTATTTCATTGCTGTTAAGGTCACAACAACAGACTTTGTGAACACAAGGTATCTGTATTACCCACAATTAAACCTCAGGTACACTAGTACCTACCACGGGTGGAAGCTATAACGAAATATAGTAAAGGTCCAGCGTTTGTTAGACAAAGGACAAAGGAATGACAGTAACTGACCAATTTATCTGGTGGAAACTCACTCAGCTCTTAAAAAACAAGCTTGTTTTACACACAATTATCAAGGATGTTCTGATCCCATCTACCTCAACATCTGTCTATAAGACTAGCATTGTGGAATGCAAGTCCTACCACACCCAATACTTGGTCAGGCTGATTTGGGCTGATGGCAGGCTGGTGAGCCAGAAATTTGCCATCAGTACTACAAACTGTAGCCAACCAAATTATTCAGAGTGGTACACAAGAAAAGTTTTATGGCCCGTCCCCTGTTGTGAGCCCCCAGTATCTGGTAGTCAAGAGATTTATGTCTTTCAGAATGACTTTGCCTTCAGACTTTGCCCTCCCCACACCTAATACAGTGGTACCCCGGGTTAAGAACTTAATTCATTCTGGAGGTCTGTTCTTAACCTGAAACTGTTCTTAACCTGAAGCACCACTTTAGCTAATGGGGCCTCCTGCTGCTGCCGCGCCACCACAGCACAATTTCTGTTCTCATCCTGAAGCAAAGTTCTTAACCCAAGGTATATTATTTCAGGGTTAGCGGCGTCTGTAACCTGAAGCGTATGTAACCTGAAGCGTATGTAACCCGAGGTACCACTGTATACTTATCCATGTATCTATTTTTAAATAAATAAAAAGATATTGAAATATCCTAAGCCAATGGTTTGCTTACTTTAAAAACACAGAAAACAAAGCAAGCAAGCAAAAAACAGCAACGCTCACAAACATGTGGAAAGTCGATTTCAATTTCTATTTGTATCTTACAAAAGACCAATTGATCTGGAAGTAGCCACTGACAAATACACTGTCAGGTGGAAAAGCACAAAAAAAATTATCTAGGCTTTTAGGGAGCTTCCTAAAATGTTATTATAGAATAAAATACACTAGATATCAACAAGCTGCGGCACTCATTTAACAAAGAACAATGGTGCAGAGAAGTGACAACTGGAGCCAACAGTAAGGTGTGCAATGCTTTGACTCAAACTACTTGAATTCCCCCCTCCCCTGCCAAATAGCAAAGTAAAAACAGGAGTCTCAAACAACTCCAGCACCAGATTCTACATATTTTTTTAAGGGAGAAATTTGGCAAGGGATTTGCCACTTCTCAATATTCTTAAACCTCATAACAAAAGCCAAATAGAGGTTTTACAAATATTGCAATTAGAACAGTAAAGGAAGCAGGGGGAAGTACACACATTCCACAAGACATTTAGAAAGGCCCATAATTTATAGGTGCTTATTTGCTAACCCTAAAAACATCTGAGCCAAGAAAGAGGAGACATGCCAGTTTGTAAACAGAAATAATACATATAGTGGGCAAAACTGAGAGACAGTCAATGGGATACAGACTCCAAGGATACAGATTCTATAGAATAAACTTCCAAGCATTTTGAAATCCTAAAAGATCAGTTCAGAATGTTTCCCATTGGCCATTATTTGCATGGTCACTATGAGAGGCTACTACTGGCGAGTTTTTCTAAGGATATCTTTCATATTCCCCCAGCTCTCTCTTTCTTCACCACTATCTCCTGGGGATGCCTGACAAAGAGGAAAGCATAAGGGAGAGTTGAAGATCCCTTATCTGAAGGAGCAGACCTCTATGAGGCCCTGATAAAGACTTGGTAATGACACTAGCATACAAGAGAATATGTTTTTATTCTACCAAAAAATAAATTAAAAGCCCTGTCATATTTCAGTACAGTTCATTTACAAACCAGTTCAACAACAATAGTCCCAACACAGCTCTTTGACAGACATCTGCCAAGAGAACAGGCACTGACATATCTAAAGTTGTCCCGAAGTCATCCCTTATTCTGTTGGTCTGTGTATGAGAAGGGGTGAGGGGAGAACATATGTATGTTTGATCTGAGAAAGGTTATGCATGAAGATATAGCCTATGTGTACAGTGGTACCTCAGGTTACAGACGCTTCAGGTTATGCAATTTCGGGTTGTGCACCGCGCTGAACCCGGAAGTATCAGAACGGGTTACTTCTGGGTTTTGGCACTCGCGCATAAGCACTAAGTCGTGCTATGCGCATAAGCGCCGAATCGCAACACACGTGTGTGCAGACACTGCGCTGCGGGTTGCGAATGTGCCTCCCGCACAGATCATGTTCACAACCGAAGGTTCTACTGTATGTGTAATCGCAAAGGAAGAGGGATATGCATTTGGGCTGAGAGAGTGGGGTGATGTATGTATGTTTGGGGTGGGTGTGTGAAGGGAATAAATATGCCTGTGTGCGGTTTGTGAGAGGGACATATGTATGTTGGGGGTGTGTGAGGGAGGGATACAATTTTGACAGGGGTGCAAAGTAAGTATTAAAAACTCATGCATTATATCTACTTGTTTTTGAAGTGCTAAACGATGTACACCTATTTTTCAAGATGAGAGATGAAACATCAGATCTCAGCTTGCTCAGTAGCTGATCTGGGACAGCAGACCAGAGAGAGGGTGGCATCTCTGCAACTTCACTGGCCGTGCACTAGAACACATTCAGCCATTCAATACTCACAAGCCAGAGGCATGTGATATTGGGACAGCAGCAGCCTACGGGATCTTTTCTGCACAACATCTGGGCAAGAGCAGTCAATCTGAGCAGGAATAATCTGCTATTTATGCAGCAGTATTAAAGGCGTACAACCATTTCTAAGTGAAGCATGCAGTGGGAGGTAGCATACAACAAGCATAATTCCAGGGCATAATTCCAACCCTGGCTTGCTTGAGAAACCAACATCCAAACACTGTTGATACACACATTTTGTGGGCCAGCTACAGAGTGCTGCCCAACTCCTGTCAAGCCACTGACATATTACAAGTCTCTGCTTCTCTGGTCATTCAGAAAACACTTCCCCCTATACATTTTTTAAAACACAATTTCAGTAAAGTAACATAGGAAGTGAACATGTTTATATGAAGCCAGCTCCTATTTTTTTATAAAAGACCTTATGTGACAGCCAGCTCTAGCACGATAAACACTTCTACAGCTTGGCTCTGATGGAAAAACCCACCACAGAAGCCTCTCTTGTGCTGCAAGATAAACATGACCCATCTTTGGTGGCTGCTTTTCCCAAGTGGTCTTTCTTTGTAAAGGATGCATTATAGTGTGCATGAAAACAAGATGTTTTCTGTGAGGGAAGTCTTCATGCATAGCCTATGATTATACACAGTATATATACTATATATGTGAAGTTTTCCTTTTGCAAATTCACTCCAGGGGCCTACGCATGCCTCATTGTGAAAACTTGGCACCTGCATTCTTAATGCAGCACTACCAACCATCTTTGGCTTCTGCTTCTCCTGCCTTTACTTTTGGCAAGTGGTTGCCCAAGATACTTGGCAAACTGATGCTTAGTCACTCACTCGTTTCCACTCCCAAATGCCTCTCCAAAACAACAAACATCAGCTCTACTGAACAAACAAGCATAGGATAGGCTGCAATTAAGTCTGATTCAACTACATCATTACACCTTTTACATTTTGTACTAGAACCTTCGAGAACTTACGATGACTTATTGATAACTACTTTTCTCTATTGTATAGAGCAGGGGTCAGATGGCGAGCCTATCGCACACCAGAAATTGTCAAACTACAGCTCCCATAATGCCAAACCATTGGCTAAGCAAGCTGGGCTAATGGGAGCAGGAGAGCCACAGGATCCCCACCAATGGTCCAGAATGATTATCCACAACTTCCTTCCCCCCCCCCCCACATGCTGTTTTGTTTTAATATTTATGCAAAGTCTTTATATGTGCTGTTTTCACACCCTAGGAATCTTGTCCAGAAGGGCAGTGTGGGTAATTCAAATCATCAACAATGTGGAATAAGTCACATTATTTTAAATATATATTAAAAAGAGTAGCCCCACCGACTTAACTTTCTTCCTCAATCACTTTTGGAGTTCGTGCACACCTCTCTTAAATATTCAACAACTAATTCCATTAGTTTGTCTCCCACTCGGTATGCCAAGCTTTAAAACCCTGTTGCTGGGGGATGGGGACTAAGACGCAGCTTCACATATTCCCTTATACCCAAACACCTTCCGAAGCAGTTTTATTTTCAAAATACCATTCCTCTCTATTATAATTCTGGTTTTGAAGCCATCCACTAACCTCTAACAGTGTTGAAGAGGGAGAAGATGTATACGCAGGCGGCGGCGGCGGCGGGGTAAGGCAGGAGCCCCCTCCGCCGGGACATGACGACCGCAGCTGGAGAAGGGGAAAATAAAAAGGCTCCTCGAAAGTCTTTTGTGCAGCTGCGCCGGGAGAAGGGGAGAGAGCGGCGGCGCTCCTTCAGCAAAGGCCACCGCTAGAGCGGCTGCAGGCACCGGTCGGCTCGGCCAAGGGAAGAGGCGCGATCCTGGGCATTCCTGCCTCGTCCGGAGCACCCAATGCAAAAGATAAAGGGGTGCGCGCGCGTGTGTGTAAAGAACGAGAGAAATGGGGGAGAGAAGACACTGCCTCCTTCCTTACACCTCCACAGCAGGCTCCATCTCGCGCAATGCTCGCCTTGTTGCGCCCGCGCCGCCGCCGCGCACTTCTCCCGGGACTCGGAAAGTTGCGCGACTCCTCATCCGCCGAGTTCTCCCAGGCCCTGCCTTAGCAGCCTCTTCAACATCTCCGCCTGATTTTGCATCTGAATTTCTGACTAGTGGTTTGTGCTCCCCTCTCTCTCTCTCCGCGTCTCCTTTCCCCCCCTTCCTTTACTGGAACTCTCTCTTTTTACTCTCTTTCCAAGACTCAGCAACTTACTTCCTACAGGATCTGAATGGCAAATCTCCGCCCAGCCTGCCCAATAGGCACCCGGGGATTTTTAACTCTCTGTAGCCCGATCAGGATGCACCTCCCCGCCTCCGATCACAGCATTAAGTTCCTAATCTAAACTAAAGGCGCTTTTTTTAATAAAATAAGCTAAATGGATCTATGGATTCCAGGTCAAAAGTAAGCGAGTGCATAATAAACTTGTTCTAGATTCAGGTAGGTAGCGGTCTGACGCAGTCGAAATTAATAAATTGTCCAGTAGCACCTTAGAGACCACCTAAGCTTATACCCAGAACAAACTGTGTTGGTCTTTAAGGTACTACTGGACAATTTTTAAAAAAAATTTAAACTTGTTCTAGACTGCCGCAACCTTAAATGGCAATCCTATACGCATACTTATTACTTGAATAAAATTGCGACTCGGGCTGTATGCACACCATACATGTTAAGCACGTGTCTCTCTCCCCGCCCCCCTCAAGAATCCTGCAAACTCAGTTACAATTCCCAGCACACTTAAACTACAGCTCCCAGGATCCGGTGCCTGTGTGTGCTTTAATTACATTTGGTCGGTACGCAGCTCCAGTACTGAACTTAATTGCCCTCCAGTTACAGGGTAATCATGGATGTAGCCAAGGGAGGGGCTACATGGATGGGGCTACATGGATGTAGACAGGGAGGGGCAGCTGCCCCCCCCATCAATAAATACAAAAAAATATATAATATAGCAAACAGATTCTACCCCCCACCCCACTCAACAAAAGGCCTGCCCACCCTAACAAAAATCCTGGCTATGCCCATGATGAAAATGTATGCTGCATTACTTTTCAGTTATCTCAAAATGTGGTAAGCCAGACTTGCTGCTTTTGAAGGCACTCCTACCCATTTTGCTGAGTGAACCCTGGACTTCTACCCAAAGTGCTGCCCTGAGGGCACCACTAACAAGGCCCTGCCATGCCCAGTGACTTGGAAATACCCTCACTGAACTCACTGAAACTTTCTTCTGATAAAACTTCTACAAGGCTATTGAACTGTAAGGTATTGATTTGTGGTGTGCAATTCTAAGGTAATGCCCTGGAGTAAAGGTAACGTGTATTATCTTCCAAGTACACTTTCCTACTAATACCCTGGGTGTATCTTTTTAAGTAAACTATCTGCCAGGGTTAGGTAAACCCAGTATCAGCCTGTCTCTGTCCACTATTTTAAGGATCAGACTGTTAAGTACTTACATCAAAGGCAAGGCTACTCACTTTGTAGGCCTGGAACGCTTTGTAGGCCCTTGATAAACAAGCTAACACATTACTGCATAAGTAAATGAAAGTAAAACAAGCTGAAGGGTGGATCCTTTAACTCCAACCCATAATAACTGGAGTCATTATTTAACTCTATAATTACCAATTACTGCACAGATCTTCTCCCAGTCCCCTAGAGAGAAATGAATGTGCAGTTTCAAAAATAACTCAGCTCCTCAGCAGACACAACAGCTCCCGAGTGTCCCTGATCAGTCAGTGCATACCTGTACACATTGGATAAATGACTTCATGCTCGCATGACAAGTAGTTAAAGCTTATTGTCTACTCTTCCTGGCTGTGAACTGCTCTGGTCTTGTCTGGTCATGATTGGTACTAAATTGGGAAGCATGCAAAGAATAAGAGGGGGGAAAGAAATTTTGTGACGTACTGCAACTATCAAATATAAGTAAAATTGGCCCCTACTAGAGATTATGCGAACTTAAAATGAAAGATCAGTTAGAGTGCAGGTATTCTATTAATCACCACTGCTCTTCTTCTAGAAAAAGAGGTGCCAGAACTCACCATGAATGCCTCCCTTGTTCTCTTATAATGGCAATGGCGCCCGCCTGAGAGGCTCCAGAACTGAGTTTGGGTGAGCTCCAGCTTTAAAAAAGCCCTGCTCTTCACATATTCCTGAGTTGCCCTTGCTTATGGTGTGATATATGCTCTATCAGCAATAGCCAACAAGGTCTAGATGTTGTGGACTCCAGCTCCCATCATTCCTGCTGATTGGCCATGCCAGCTGGGGCTGATGAGAGTTGTAATCTGAAACATCTGGAGAGCTCCACATTGGTTAGCCCAGCTCATCAACTGTCAGGCAGACATTGGTTTTTAGGGTGCCACGAGTCTCTTTGTTGTGGTAAATTGTGTGTGTGTTTTTTTAGGGGAGATGGGGGTGGTGTTGATTTTACAAACAACTGTACTATAATTTTGACTCTGCTAGACTTATTGCTGTGAGCCTTGCAATCCTTACATTGGGGGGGGGGCATATAGGAAGATATATCCTGATGTATCTAGTCCAGTAACAGTTAATTCTGTTGGGACAAGCCCAATAGCTATTTCCGCTGATAACACAAAAGACGACTTGCTGTGTGTGTTTACTTGGAAGTAAGCCCTATTGTGTTCAATAGGACTTACCCCCTAGTAAGTGTGCCTAGGACTGCAGCTGCAGAATAACTCATTTTATTGGTTAATCTCTAGTTTGCTGATAAGTGCAAAATCTAAAAGCTATTTGCTTACTATCTAAAAACAGCAGCTAATTGCTGATTGCCCCATGCTATTTAAATCACAAACAGGAAACATGTCATAATTCCTTATGTAATAACCAAGTGTTTTGCCCTTTCTCCTTTTCTTGCTACTCTTCTGCCTGTTTTACCAAGTACCTACATTTTTTTACATTGTATTTATTGATGGATTTATTTCAGATGGTTCAGTCGGGTGGGAAGGAAGAAGGGAACGAGGCAGCAGGTGCAGAGCCTGTTCCAGTCAGACTGACTTCTTTCCACACCCAGCTCCAGGGCCAACTTATAGAAACAGTCTTGTGGAAAGGAACATCCACTGCCAGCTCCTGCTCATGGAAAAGGGACATAGTTCAGGAGCAGAGTATCTGCTTCACATTCGGAACGTCCCAGTTCGGTTCCCCAGCATCTCCAGGTAAGGCTGAGGAAGCCTGCTGCCTGAAACTGTGGAGAGCCGCTGTCAGTTAGTATAGACCAGGGTTTCCCAAACTTGGATCTCCAGCTGTTTTTGTACTACAATTCCCATTGTCCATGACCACTGGTCCTGCTAGCTATGGATGATGGGAATTGTAGTCCAAAAACAGATGGAGACCCAAGTTTGGGAAACCTTGGTGTAGACAGCACTGGGCTAGATGGACCATTTGTATGACGCAGTATAAAGAGTGGCTTCTTACCTCCAGCGCAGCTGGTTGTGTTGTGTTGTTTTGTTTGTAGCCTGGTCATGTGCTACTTGGTCTATTTCATGTATTTTATAAGTGTCGTTGGTGGCTTTGATTCAAAAGGCAGGATGTGAATCTACTGAATAAATAAATAAATGAAATAGCCTAGCAAATATTCTTAGGTTCACTTACAATTTAAAAGTAATCTCCCTACCCCATCCTTTTCTAGTCTTCCTTAAGCATTGGGATACATATTTTACATTGTGAAACATTTTGGACAAGAATTATAGGGGAAAGATAATAATAAAATGCACGAGCCCCTCCCCTCCTGGTCTGTGCCCCTCTTACCCGCCCAGGTTTAGTCATATCATGTCCCAGCCGCTGTCTAAAAACAGTAGCTGGCAGAAAAGTAGCTGTTCCTCTGCCCTTCCTGTAATTTGAGCACCAGGCTCTTCTCTTAGGCTAAGCAAGCTAGGAAGCTGCCAAAGGATGAATTAATATGATGCTGATGGACACACACCTCACTGAAGTGTGGTAAGTGTCATGCAGATCTCAGCATCTCTCCCACTGACCTAGTTCACGAACCAGTTTTATGAGTTGCTGGTCTTTAACGTAGAATGCCAAGATGCAATGGAAATCATTCTGTGCTGCATGATGATATATGGAGGGTGGAGGGTTTTTGGTGTTTGTTAAAACAAGCTTGTGGCTTTAAGCCAATCCTTTAACTTAACATGGATAGCTCTTCAACAGCAGTTTAATCATCTTGCTTGTCAAGAAAGACAAACATGAATACTCCCAGTGCTTGCATCGTTGGCTCAGTTAGCCGATCTCTCACTTCCATCATACATATATTGCTTTCTCCCTCTGTGTTAAGACCAACATGGCTGCAAATGAAGCATATGAAAAAAGGAGGAGTTTCAGTTCAACCATGTGCATCCAAAAAAAAATCACAGAAAACAATATGCTTGGAGGAAGAGGGCTGTTGCAAGTTTTTAATTAGGCATTTGGGAGAAATTATTTGAAAAAGAGATTAAGGCTTTGATCCTATCCGCACCTAGCTGGCAATAAGCCCCATTGAACTAAATGGGGATTACTTCTGAGTAGGCATATAATAATAATAATAATAATAATTAATAATATATTATTTATACCCCGCCCATCTGGCTGAGTTTCCCCAGCCACTCTGGGCGGCTCCCAATCAAGTGTTAAAAACAGTACAGCGTTAAATATTAAAAACTTCCCTGAACAGGGCTGCCTTAAGATGTCTTCTGAATGTCAGGTAGTTGTTTATCTCTTTGACATCTGGTGGGAGGGCATTCCACAGGGCGGGCGCCACTACCGAGAAGACCCTCTGCCTGGTTCCCTGTAGCAATATATAGCATTGCACTGCATAGCACTTTTGTATGGCTTCATATGTGTGGTTTTTTTAAAGGATCACAGGTATTTGAGGAAGAGACATTTTTTGGAACTAGAAAAAAGTAGTAAGCATATTCTCAGAAACTGTTGGGGAAATGTCAGGCCCATGACCTCCAATATCGACACCACCCCCATCTCCCCTAAAACACACACACACAATTTACCACTTGTCAACGAGGTGGCAAATTTCCACTGTGCTTTTTTGTTCTGTCCTATGTCCCTGGAAAAGACCCTGATGTTGGGAAAGATGGAGGGCACAAGGAGAAGGGGATGACAGAGGATGAGATGGTTGGACAGTGTTCTCGAAGCTACCAGCATGAGTTTGACCAAACTGCGGGAGGCAGTGGAAGACAGAAGTGCCTGGCGTGCTCTGGTCCATGGGGTCATGAAGAGTCGGACACGACTAAACGACTAAACAACAACAAATGTACCACAGGCCCATGGGCTTCTACTTTTTGCTGCTATAGCCAAATTAAAAATTCTTGTATCGGGAGGGCCAGCTGCCAGGTCCCTGTTGATGGCTAAGGAGATGGTATGTTCTTATGGGCAACATTCTGTGTGGCCTGAGCTGAGATTCCCTAGAGATCTTCAAATAAATCCTTCCTAATTGCCCACAGTGATGGGGGCCAACCAGCATGCATGTTGTTGTTACTCTGGAGGATTCAGCAGGAAGCTGGGAGCAGCTGCCAGAGAAGCATTGTGAGAACTTCTCGCATTCCTGCACATGCCAGCACTTAAAATGAGCCATTTGTCTTTACAAACACGATAGCTGTTGGGAAGGAGAACAGAAAGCTGATCTTGGGCAGATGCATTAAAACTGGATGGTTCCACTGGGATGCTGTGGAAATGTGGCACGGCTGTGGTTTTGTAGGCAGGTTCCAGCGAAAGTGATGTACAAGGCAGGGCTTGAAACAGGCACTTATCTGTTCAGGGCTTTGGGGCAGATGCTTTTAATATATCAGGAACATTATTATACTAACTTATGTGCAGAACCAGCGGAAAATATATTGTTGCTGAACCTAGTAGTTTAAAATGATCAGCATTATCTACAAACAAGTTGTGCATTTTTCTATATAATTCTATATATTTTTAACAACACATATAAGCAAAATCACATAAAGCCAGAACAACCCCCAGAATGGGCCCACACGGCCATCCCTACATGTCCAGTGTCGGTGCTGAGAGGGCCTTGCCTTGCCCTATGTAAGGTTTTTAAGCCCCTCGTCCTGCTTACTGGGCTCTGGGAAGGTTGCATGAGGGCTCTTGCAAGATTTCAGAAAGCCCTTCCAGGAGTTTTTCCCTGTAAGATGCAAGTCACCTGTATAGTCTAGAAAACTGGTGCATCTGAGGCGATAGTCTGCTTTTTGGTTATGAATATAAGGCTGACTGTAAAGGTAAAGGGACCCCTGACCATTAGGTCCAGTCGTGACCAACTCTGGGGTTGCGGCGTTCATCTCGCTTTACTGGCCAAGGGAGCCAGCGTACAGCTTCTGGGTCATGTGGCCAGCATGACTAAGCCGCTTCTGGCGAACCAGAGCAGTGCACGGAAACGCCGTTTACCTTCCCGCCAGAGCGGGACCTATTTATCTACTTGCACTTTGATGTGCCTTCAAACTGCTAGGTTGGCAGGAGCAGGGACCAAGCAATGGGAGCTCACCCCGTCGCGGGGATTCGAACCGCTGACCTTCTGATCGGCAAGTCCTAGGCTCTGTGATTTAACCCACAGTGCCACCCACGTCCCTTAAGGCTGACTTTATTTTGTGGTAAAGAGAAAGGCAACTTTGTACTAGGAAATGCAAGGTTATGAACTCAAAACAAATGATTCAATAATATGCTTCATTTACATGTAGTTATTGCAGTGTTTGGATTTTAATGTAATTTGGATTTCATTTTAATTTCTTTTACAAGGGCATGAAAGGAGAGGTGAACCATGGTGGGAGTTTGTAGTGGCATCTGATTGTCCCGTTCTTCAGCTTTCTTGATCAAGTATCTCAAGAAAACTCTTGTGCTGGCCTGGTCTTCCATTCGGTTTCTGTACTCAAACCATGTCACTGCAAGACTATTTGAATATGAGGAAACAATAGGTGGTATAATCATTCCTGGACTCCACAACCCAGTTTGTGGACTAGCAAAGCCGAAAAAGGGACAACAAAGCCAGTATTTAAATATTTATTTATTGGTTGGCCACACTACAACAGAAGGTCTCCAGGTAGCTCAAAGGTAAAAAGAAGAACAAGAATAATTCATACTTATAAATAAATAAGATACAGGAAATACTATTAATGCAATACAAATATAGGATCAAAAAGTTCACTTTCAAAACAGAGCAGAGGAAGACAACTCAGCAGCCATAGTAAAAGTGAACTCATTATGGGCATGATTTCAGGTGCGGTGATTTGGATATATGGGTAGCAAAAGTAAGACTCTTGTAGCTATACCCTCCAACACTTCTCTGATGAAAACAGGTACATTCCATTCCATATCTGTCAACATTTCTCCGATGAAAATAGGGACGAACTAAGGAAAAGCGGGAAATTCCGGGCTCAAATCAGAAACCAGGATGGCTTCTGTAAATCCCGGACCGTCCCTGGAAAAGAGGGACACTTGGAGGGTCTGTTTTGGGGGCTGTGCATCATAAGAAGCTATGTTTATTCCATGAGAAAATGGTATCCTTGCACCAAAAGTTTCAGGAACACTGGAACTCAAGTTTGTTAACTAGAGTTATAGTTAATGACACAGCACCATCTTGTGGACTGTTCATAATTTTTGCAAAGCAATTTCGGCATTTTTTGGATAAGAACAACTTGACATAAAATAACTGTGGTCACGTATTACATGCTTTTATTTAAACACTTATAGCAAGTAAACAACTTTAAACAGTTTCTTAGGGAAAGCATGACTGACACTTGATTACATCTGTGCGTCATAATTAAGAATAATCAAGTAATCTACAAAGACATGAGCAGGCCAAGAACATGTTGTCATTCAGGCCCTGTTGGAGCCAGGCTTCTAGGGGCCAGTGATATCTGCCTACAAACCATCAGCAACTGATCGAGGCAGGTACAAGTACACACACTGTGCTGTGTAGATTCCAGAGTTAACAGCTAACTTTGGGGCAGTGGCGTAGCGTGGGGGGTGCAGGGGGGGCCGGCCGCACCGGGCGCAACATCTGGGGGTTAGGGTTAGGGTGCGCAAATCCACGGGTTAGGGGGCGCAAATTACTTGCCTTGCCCCGGGTGCTGACAACCCATGCTACGCCACTGCTTTGGGGAACTGGTAATACTACTCTTGGGATCTTTATTGGAGACAGTTCACCCACACACACTGATAGGCTTGGCTTGGTCATGAACACCTTCCCTACTTTGGGGGAGGTTAGCACTGACCAATGAAAAACCACTGTGTAGCATGTTTACCCAAGAGAGGTAGCAATGACAACACAGGGTATTGCAACTATATTTATTTACAAAATAATTTTAAAAGGGGGGCGTTGTGCTTAAGCAGGCTGCTGGAGATATATACCGAGTTAAAAGGATTAATGGTACATTACAGAGGTCATGTCACTGACTTGTGTTGCCTGGGACTGTTCACCTAGTTTCTAAGGCAGAGATACAGGTAATATTTGTTGAAAACAATACTAAAAAAATCCTTTAAAAAAAGACAAGAAGAAACGAATCAGCCTTTCTCTGGACTGAGACTAGAGCTAGTGCCATTTAGGTGGCATGTCGATCCTTCAGAAGTGATTAACAGGATTCTTCTTCTGTATTGTGAGCACTCTAATTACCAAGCAGCAGTGTCACAAAGTAATGCTCACATTCACAAACATCCACAGTCTCTTATGGCTGGACTCAGAATCTGTCTCTTGATGACATTTCAAGCCAGGGATTCTATTAAACAATGTAAAAAAAAAAAAAAAAGGAAAATAATTTAACAGGTATAGATGCAGTCACAAGAGTTCTGTTGCCTAGCCATATATATTACAAAACATGCTTGTTCTGTCTCCTTCCACTAGTCACACCTCTACCATTTAAAAGCTAAAAGTTCGTTCTGTGCTAGCAAGCCACAAATACTTCATTAAGTATCACTTTTATTGCTATAATTGTGTTATTAAGATTATCTCCCCTGTTACCTGAACTGCAATGTTCAACACTAGTTATCCAAATTCACTAGGTGTCCCACGGCAAGAGCCAATATTAGAGGCAAGGCAAGGCAAGGCAGGAATCTGTCCAGGGGATCAGTGCTCTAAGGAAGCTGGGTGTTGAGTTTCCCATTAGAGTTCAGTTCCCAGTTACAAATGCTGTCAACCATTCAAGGCTTCCAGAGCAAGAGCTGCTAACCCTCTGGCTTTTTTCTTTGACTCATTGCATGAAAAGCAAATGTCCAAGCAACAGTGGAAAAAGTGAGAAGATATTGTAGTTCTTGTAGCCATCACTCAGGTTCCAGCAATAGCTAAACAGCTCAAGGAGATGGGATGTTGCAGCTTGGGGGGAAAGGGGAGATAGTTTCTAAGCAGTTTACAAAATAAACTGAATCAATGGGCAAATATTTAGGGTGGGTAGATGGGTGAGAGCACCCTTAATTCTTCTAGCTTGTGAAGTCTTTCTCCCCCCCCCATGTTGTGGCTTTGCTATCTTATATTGTTTTACCTACTGATTGATTTATGGCAACTTATTTTACTCTATTGTATATTTTGTTGTAATAGGTTTTTTCCCGCTGCAGGGACTTTTGTGCTGAAAAACAGTACAGAAAGGAATTGAAGTAGCTGTAATAATAAGAATAATCCGGAACTGTGAAAGGCACAACAGTGCACTAGAAATGAGCAGCATGAATCTCTACTAGAGCAGCCACTTACATTGTCGTCATCATAGTCCCGCTCAGGAACACAAGCCTTGTTTGCTGCGCCTGCTTCACGGAAATTGCCTCCTTGGTTAGCTGTGGTTGTGCTGGTTGCCTCTGCAGGATTTCCAGCTTGGACTCTTGGGAACATCCTCTGCTTTACAGCAGGGTTGCTGTAAGAGCCATTTCCAGGAGTTTCTCTTGTGGTTGAATAATCATTTTGTAGCAAGCTCCTTCTTTCAAGTGAAGGGTCTTTATTTCTTCTAGGAAGGAAGGAAGGAAAAGATGAACACATCTTGGTCTTTTCCATACCCTGATTAGCCTTCCTGTATTCCCCAAAATGCAAATTGGACACTTCCCTGAAATGAGTGATAATGAATAATCACAAATAGTGCTGCCACGCAAAACAATGGCCAGGCAGGGTGCATCTGATTGTATCAGTTTGAGATGATAAATGAATATTTTTGGCGACCGCTGCTACTGGGGATACAGTAGGCCTGTGTCCATCAGGAAGCCCAAGTTGTTCTCTTACAGCATTTTAATACAAATTCAATAGGGGAAGTTAGATTAAAGTTACCAGATTTTTTTCAATGAATCCTGGGACACTTTTCAACTTCAATGGATTTTGTATGGGGACTGATTTGTAAATCCGGGGACTGTCCCCAGGAAGCGGGGACGTCTGGTAACCTTAAGTTCGACTCAAATGGCCACCCAGTGTTATAAACTTTACCGTTATGCATATTCAGACAACTCAAAGAGCCGTCATTTGTACCTGATTACTTTGTAGATGAGCACTCCAATTAAGACTATAATAACAACTCCACACGCAACAGATACTCCTACGAGGGCTGCCAGGTAAACTGAAAAGAGAATGATGATGATGATAATTTGTTATTTATATGCCACCCGTCTGACTGGGTTACCCCAGTCATTCTGGGCAGCTTCCAACAAATTAAAACACAATATGACATCAAACATAAAAACTTCCCTGAACAGGGCTGCCTTCAGAAGTCTTCTAAGAGTCAGATAGTTGTTTATTTTATCTAATTGCACACATGACCCTCTTGCAATATATACATAACATGTTTTATAAGATGAAAACATTCAGCTATTCAGAAGTAGGAATGGACAAATCTGTCAACTTTCAGTTCTCTCAGGTTCTCATTTTTCCAATCTTAAATTCCGTTCTCCACATATTTCCAGAAATTTGTGTGGGATTTCAAAAATCTAATTATGAAAATTATTGGGCATTTTAGTGTAAAATTATCCTAATGAACAGGATTTTGTATGTAGTTTTGACCAATATACACATTTTTGCAAGCTATTTCCCTCAATATAATGCATATTTGTATGTTATTTTCTCTAATATAGGCATTTATATGTAAAATTTACGCTAATGCATGTGTTATTGTACACATTACTAAGCTGAAAAACATCACTGCAAAATTTGGAGAAGTGTGAATTTTGAAGGATAGCTGTGTTTCAGTTCACGTATTGTTTTGAAACATGCAAATTCAGGAAGTTTGCCTTTAAACACAAACTAAATTAAATTAAAGGTATATTTATCGCTGTGAATTCATTGTCCTAAATCTGTTACTATGGACTCTGCTCAACTTGCCTATAATGGTTCTAGGCTTTATATAAAAACCACCCCAAATTCATGCTTACCTTCTTTACAGTCTTCCCCAGAGTAGCCAAAAGCACACCTAAAAACAAAGAAAAAGTTACACAAAGTGACTACTGCACATGACATCCAAACTATATGGGGATTGTCCATATGGTGATAGTAACTACCAAGAAGAAATAGAACAGAGGGATTGACACACTTGTCTTTCTATAGCCCAAATGACCTTTTCTGGCCATCACAGCCTCAAGAGGCCACTGCCACTCTAATTAACCCCCCTCCAATTTTCTGTGCCCCCCATTTTTTTTCTTTCAGTAACAAATTGTGGGGAATGGAAAAATGGGGGGGGGGTCCTCAGCACCTCCCCATGCCTTCACATCTTTATCCTCCCTGTAGCAAAACATCAAAGCACTGAGAGCAGGAGTAGAGAATCATTTCCAGTTCAAAGGCTTCATCCCACATGCCAGTGGCAGGCAGAGCCAGAAGCAAAAAGTGGGAGGAGCAAGAGATGTTCTTTGGGGACAGGTATGGCCTGGGCAGATTCCCGAGGGTCAGACAGAAAGACCTAAACAGCTGCATTTGGTCTGTGGGCCTGAGATTTTCCACTCCTGCTTTGGGAAAGGCCAGGGAAAAGCACAGTAAAATACCCCCTCTTCCATTTGCCTCTTACTTACTCCTGACATTTGTCACCCTCTTTTTGGAAACCAGACTGGCACCGACACTCTGGAACATTTTCCTCTGTCATAATACAGTGTTGATTCTTTTCTGGAGAGCACTCAGTGGACTTACAAACTGCAATGAAAGTGGAAAATGAGAGAGAGTCAAATATAGCATTGTACCGTACCAATGGAAGTCAAAAGTACTTGCTGCACAAACACAAAATATGTGGCGGGGAAATCACAGTGCAAAACATTTCTAGGTTAAGGGGATGCTAACTTTTTTTTTTCCTGGAAGCAAATGACAAGGAAAGGAAAGCTCAATTTCTGCTATACTCCACTGGAAATGAATATGTAGGGCGAAATTGGGAAGACGAAATAAACAGCTTTGTAAATTCAGCTATAAACCCCAGACATAAAGGAAGGGAATGGGGAAAGTAAGAGAAATGCTATGGGATAAAATATTCAGGGTGGGTGCAATTCGGGATGAATGCTCAATAAATAGGTAGTCTGAAGGAGCCGAATGACGGCTGAAAGCAGAGATGAGAAGGGTGAGAAAGAAAGCGCACACATCTGTGATAAGGCCTTACGTAAACAAGCTTTGTCCTCAGGGTTCATCTTGGCAAGACTTGGACGACATTCACAGGTAGGATGAGAATCACTGTTTGTGTCGCTGCATATCGTAGTTTTTCCATCACAGCCGTAAACAGCACACTGTGATAGATCTAATACGGAGTGCAACAGCAGAGAGAGCAACATCACTTTCAGCAACAGTTATTTCTATATGTTAAGCACAACTTAACAGCAGATTCTTTCAAAGAAGGAAGCAATTAACAAGGGCAGCTGGCACATGTGTCTTCAATCAGTAGCGGTTGGTGGTCGGGGTGGGGTGGGGTGGAGTGGCATTGCTCACTTGGCTTCCTAATATCCTCACTATCTTCCCGTCTCAGGAACTATCAGTGACACTCAGTGTTAGGCTGCCCGGTGAGCAGTGCTGTCCTGTTGACTGCTACTGCCTACAGTTGTGGTGGGGCAGAGCCTCTAGAGCTCATGTACACAGCATCTGCATGAATGTAAAGCAGCAAGCAGGGAGCTTCAAACTTTGGTCACTAGCAATTAGTCTCCAATATTTCTGTGCTCTAGGGCAGCAAGCAAGATAGGCTGTATTTTGGAAAAGAGTACCCTTTGAGCTTCACTTGTCAAGCAAACTGGAATAAACCATTGGCTGCCAAGCCAGTTTATCAGTTTATCTGCCTGAGCAACTTGTAGACAGTAGTCTGTCTACTCTCCTGGCTGTGACCTCGCATTTGCCTCTGGCTCTTTGATCCTCATCCATCTGATTCAGTGCCTGCCGTCTGGCACAGATGTGGCCATTTTGATTGCTTTTCTGACCATGTACCTGCGTCTCATCAGGGCCCCGTGTGTACCCTATCTTGGAGCTAGCAAGGTCTGACAACACACCAGTGTGTCAAATACATTGTTCCAGTAGATGCCTTCATCCTGTTTACTGTTCCTTGGCCTGTCACTATGTTAATTATTTGTCCTCCAAACCTCAGGTAAAACATCTAACAATATACTGCTTTAAGGGTGAAATATAGGAAAGATACTTAACTCTCAGATTAAGATTGAAACTTTCTGGTACAACTGAGAGCAGCAGGAGATTTTGTGTAAGATCTCACATACACACCCACTAAAAACTTCTATTAACATAGTAATAATTTAGACAGCAAACAGGTTCTGTCACAGAAAGTCTTGGCTTGAGAACAGCATTGGCATACTATTGGGAATTATAGAACAGCAGCAACTGGGGTTCTGGGGTGCAAAAACTTATCTATAGGGAGCAGCAGCAGTATAATTGTGTAACTGTCAGAAACAGTACAATTACTTTATCCCAACCAACAGGAAGAACTTGGGGTTGGAATATATATATATATATATATAGGCAGGAAATGTACTCAGTGCTATTGCTTTTTAATGTCCTCCCTAAGAGGTGGAAGAATTAAATTCACCTATCTCTGCTAGGCTGGACTTGATTGACTGGTCGCAGTTCATCTCAGCAATTAAAGTAATAGGTATCTACTACTTGGAAGAATGGGACTTTGGTCTCAAGAGGAAGGAGGAACGAGAGCATTCAATTCAGCAGAAGGAGCACTTTGGGGATAGGGATTTCTCTATAGACTACTTAGTAATAACACTGGTGTAGGATCATGGGACGCGGGTGGTGCTGTGGGTTAAATCACAGAGCCTAGGGCTTGCCGATCAGAAGGTCGGCGGTTCGAATCCCCGCGACGGGGTGAGCTCCCGTTGCTCAGTCCCTGCTCCTGCCAACCTAGCAGCTCAAAAGCACGTCAAGGTGCAAGTAGATAAAAAGGTACCGCTCCAGCGGGAAGGTAAACAGCATTTCCGTGCGCTGCTCTGGTTCGCCAGAAGCGGCTTAGTCATGCTGGCCACATGACCCGGAAGCTGTACGCTGGCTCCCTCAGCCAATAAAGCGAGATGAGCGCCGCAACCCCAGAGTCGGTCACGACTGGACCTAATGGTCAGGGGTCCCTTTACCTTTAGGATCATGTAAGGATTCTGAAAAGAGTATGGTACTTACTCCGATCAAACTTGATGGCACTCGAACTATTAACCTTCTCCATCCATACTTGAGGTGTTACTTTTGTGTTTATATCAAACAAATTGATTAATGTAATGTTGACGTTGCTTGCGGCTTCAGCCTTACTCAGCCTTTTCGATGCTTGTGTAGATCGTCTGAAATGTATACACATACATATTTTAGAGATATGTTAGCAATATACTCTGTGTGTGTACACACACACACACACACACACACACATACAGTCAAAGTATATATATGGGTACCTTATGCGCTTGGTCCACCCAAACACTATTGTAGACACCAGCTAAGTGACCTAACATATTATTCATTAGATGATGCCTTATGAGGGGCTACCCCACATTTTGTTCAAAAAATTGCTTTGCCCAGGTAACTACCATAGAGTTATCAAAATTTTCAAATTTTGATAGAGTTGGTAGAGAGTTGGTGGCTTGGCTTTTGAAAAACAAGGGTCCTCAGTAATTAGCTAATTGGGAACCACTGCTCTAGAGTACTAGCAAACTTGATTCTTCCAAGTGTGGCTCCTTATGTAGCCAAAATGATGGCACCATCCAAGCCCAAGAGGGAGGTATCTGCAGGATAGGGGAAACTCCCAAGATTTGCAAAAGTGCAAAAAAAAATGTTTAGAAAAAGAACCCTAATTGCAGGGCGGTGGAGAGTCTGATGAAGACTGAGTATGTTTACTGGCCTCAAAATGCTGGCTGACAGTCAGAGGTAGAAAACCAGAAAACCCGGGGACGGGATGGGACGGGACAGAAAGGCATATCCTTGAAAAGGGCATGAGCTGGAATCCTAACTAGGAACATTCTACACTGCAACATTTTGTTGAAGGCCCTACTGGCTCTGTAGATATTAAACTTGCCATACTTACTTTATGCTTATAATGATTGTTTCCTGGTAACTTTTCTCATCTTTAAATATTTCACTGAACTGTAAAACATGAATAAAAATAAGGATCAGTTTAAAGGAGGCAGAAAACATAGAAAAACAGATGGGGGGGAAATGACAAGTGCAAAACTGAATCCCAAAGCAGTAGCCCATGTACCCCTTCCAGTCCCCTATTTCTTAGAGGTCTCCCATGGACCAGAAGTACAACTTGTGAGTCGTGTCAGTAATGAGTCATGCCTCCAATGCAGTAGACACAACTCTATGGAACCCCTCTCATTAGAAATCACGCAGGCACAGTCCCTGCAAAGTTTCAGGTTAAAATGGTTTTTATTTTAGAAGGCATTTGGACTCTGAACATTGTTTGAGTGTTTCTGTAATCTGGTGTTTTGATCTAAGTTTTAAATTTTTTTGACAGTAGGTTTTATTTAGAACTTGTACACCACTCTCTTGAAGCAGAAGCACCTTGTGTTTTAAGTGCTCTTGAATGCTTAGTTTTTGGAACCAACAGTAGCCTAAAAGTTCCTCTTTCATGCTGCTTGGGCACCTCTAGGGTGCTGGAGGCAGGGAGCCTGCTACACAACAACCGATGGGTCTTCAACCCCCTGCAGCCCGAGAACACTATACAGTGGTACCTCGGGATAAGTACTTAATTCATTCTGGAGGTCCGTTCTTAACCTGAAATTGTTCTTAACCTGAAGCACCACTTTAGCTAATGGGGCCTCCTGCTGCTGCTGCCGCGCCGCCGGAGCACGATTTCTGTTCTCATCCTGAAGCAAACTTCTTAACCTGAAGCACTATTTCTGGGTTAGTGGAGTCTGTAACCTGAAGCGTATGTAACCTGAAGCGTATGTAACCTGAGGTACCACTGTACTACTGCTTGCAGTAAACAACTACCAGGAAGGTAGCGTAGAGGCTCTACCCTAGCTAGCAAACCACTTCTTACAAGATGGCAACTGACACATTGCAAGCAAAGACAAAACATTTACAGAGCTCACTTGTGTGGCGCTCTAAGTAGTTGAATATATATTTATGTCTTCAATCCCCTTACCCATTCTTCTACAGTGGTACCTCAGGTTACATACGTTTCAGGTTACATACACTTCAGGTTAAACACTCCGCTAACCCAGAAATAGTGCTTCAGGTTAAGAACTTTGCTTCAGGATGAGAACAGAAATTGTGCTCCAGCGGCGGCGCAGCAGCAGAAGGCCCCATTAGCTAAAGTGGTGCTTCAGGTTAAGAACAGTTTCAGGTTAAGTACGGACCTCCGGAACGAATTAAGTACTTAACCTGAGGTACCACTGTACATGTTTCCCAAGGCAGTACTCTTTCATTTCCACTCTTGCCTCCATATTACAAATTTATTTTCAGATGTGATGTACAAGGTAGGAAGAAAACTGGGAATAAACTTCATTTGCATGTAACAACAAACCCTGCTTGACCATGGTTTTGCTTAATGCAAACTGAGTTGCTGAGTAACTCCTAGATGTTATGATGATAGCTCTAGAAACGGACCACCATTCAGCTTCATTCAGATGTACTCATATACTGATTTTAAATTATGTCATATTGTTTCTTTTATTTGTATTGCTTCTTTTATTTCTTATATTGTGTTTTATTGTATTAGAGTTTGAATTCCATGGAATGTAAATGACAATGCAATACCATAAAAGAAGCAAGGAAACACTATTTAAAATCATACAGGATCTAACACAGTGCATTACAATTTGTACAACGTGCAACTCACAAGTGGTGCATCAAGAGAAAAGAGTTTTGGAACTGCTGCTCTGGAAGCACACACAGGTTTTAAATGATCAAAAAATTTCAGCAGAATGCATGTGCAAAAATAAAACTGATATTTACACACGTATCTGAACTGCCCATTGGATTAGTTTCCTCCCCTATTTATGTTCAGTGGTGTCTTGTATAAATTGATGGTGAGGTTTGCACCATTTCAGAACTTCCATCACCTCTTCCAATCAAGTAAATCGCCAAGTGAATAAACAAAGGGGGAGCTGGCTTGTGGGGCAGTGCAGTCTCTGCCATGGCCAGGAGAGGGATCAAGTGTTCCCAGGGCTTCCTTCTTTGGCATGGCCCAGAGAGATCTTGAGAAGGGGCAACAGGCTCTTTAAAAGGAATTGTGGGTCCTGACCTTGGCCTTCTTCTTTTCCTTTATTTTCTAGAACTTCATAACCACTTCCAATCAGTCTTTTCTTACAACCACTAGGTTTGATTGGGTACAAACTGGCCCTCAAATTTGAAGGCAATTCGAAGGAGTTTTTTTATGCATGGAAATAGCCGAGATATATCACAAGGCTGTAGACAAGAGTATCATTTTAATACAATTATTAAGTGGCATTTTCTGGGTATTAAGTAAGCTTGCATTACACAAACTTGTTTCTCAACTATAGGAGAAAATGTCAGTTTAAATAAAAGTAGTATCTGCACAAGCAGACAAACTCTGGTTATAATGTGTATGTCAAAAAGCACCCTCAGTGAAATTTTTCTCTATGCAGTTTAATCATACTCACTCTGATATATCTATGAATAGCAAGAAATATCTATATGCACCTATGTCTTTAAAAGAAAAAGATGTAGAGCATTAGTTTATAACAAAGAGGATATACAATGAAAGAAACTTACAATGTTGGTGACATTGTGGTACAAAGCTGCATAAACTTCAGAATGAATATTTTCCATAGCTTGATCATATGGTTGCATCAGAATGAATTCTCCTGGAAATACTTTGCCTAAAATTACAATGGATCTTATATTAGTCATATAACGTCTGGAAAATCAAAATGCTAGACTTGCAATTTGTCAATGTATGCTTGTTTTGAAAAGGATATATCGTCCTGGGTTAGACAAGAAGCAGGGAAAAAAATCATGATTCTAGGATTTGTGTTAACAAAGAGAGAGAATGCTAGGCATTGGTGAATGGATGCATATTAGTATTTTCTTCAGACATGTTCAGCATTCACTAAAACAGAAGCATCGTAACAGAAGCATTTCTATTCATTTGAACAGAGCCACACAAGAGATAAATAAATGCATAACTCACCTTGCTGGCAACCTGATGTGTTCATATAATAAAATCCATAAGGACATTGGCATGAAAAGCTTTGGAACAGATCAATACATACAGCAGCGTATTCACATGGTTGGTCAGCACAAGTAGGGGGTCCTAAAATGAAAACCATAATGAGAACAAGGATTTCCACCCCTCCTTATAGATTATACATTAGTAGAACTTATAAAGCCCACCAGATCCATTAAGAGCGCACAATGGGGCTTCCTCCTCTCTCCTCCGCTGTACATACCTGTCACCACCCTCATATCTTCTCCAAAGAGTTGTATGACACACACACCCCAAGCAGATTTAGGGGATGTGTCTGTTAGGATTCTTTTCCAGTGTTGCAGTCATGGGATTGTTTATATCACATGATGGTGTATGTTTTCATTCCACATTGTGGGAAGTGATGGAGACAGGATGTTTGGATTACTGTGTTTCCGTGATGTAGGACATTTGTCCTTTGTTCTTTCTCTTTGCTGTCTGATACTGAAGAGGAAGGAACTGAGTTATGATGCTCCGAGTGTGTATATGTAAATAAAGGTAGTTTAGCCAAAATGCTGCGCTACTGAGTCTGTACGCTGACTGCCTATACTCTGCTGATCCTGAAGTGTGCTGATGCCTCTAAGGTAGCAGTCGCTGTGATGTTCGGGCTGGAGAAAGATTTTGAATCTCCTGAACGAACAACCAGGAGGGAGAGAACATGTCAGTCAGGCATGTGTCTCTGCCAGACTCCTACTCATGTGTAGGACCTCCTGACACTGCCTGGGCGCGGGAAGAAGAGGGGGAAATATTCTGTCGCGAAAGCAGACAATCTTGTTATACAATATGCTTTGCAATTTAGTTAGTGTCTGGTTATTTTGAACAAAAAAAGCCAGGAAGCAGTTGTGTAATGATTACCTGGTGTAGTTACTATTCCTGCAGTTGCAGTTGCGGAAGTTGGAGCATCCGCTGAGTTTGTGAGCATGGAGACACTTGATATTTCTGTGGGCATGGAGACACTAGAGGCTTCTGTGGGCATGGAGACACTCGATGCTTCTGTGGGCATGGAGACACTAGATGCTTCTCTGGGCATGGAGACACTCGATGCTTCTGTGGGCATGGAGACACTCGATGCTTCTGTGGGCATGGAGACACTCGGTGCTTCTGTGGGCATGGAGACACTCGATGCTTCTGTGGGCATGGAGACACTCGATGCTTCTGTGGGCATGGAGACACTCGATGCTTCTGTGGGCATGGAGACACTCGATGCTTCTGTGGGCATGGAGACACTCGATGCTTCTGTGGGCATGGAGGCACTAGGTGTTTCTGTGGATGCTCTGGTATTTGCTGCTCCTGAAGGTAAAACAAATAAAGGGGAGAAAAGCACCACATCTCTGTGCGTCTAATCTATCTATCTATCTAAACAACAAATAGCAATTACTCACAGAAAGAGTAACAGAACTAGTGTCATAAGCAAGTACACTTATTCAAATTTAGAATAATTAATGTAGCGTCATTTGTTTGGGCCATAGTGGAGTTTTGGTTCACAGTTGTGGTCCAGTGTTTAGGCCATACATATTGTCTCTAGTGGGATCTGGGAGTGGACCTTAAGCCTGCATGACTTCCACCACACAGGCAGCACCTGTACTGTAAACACCTGTACGAAGAGGCCCTGGTTCCATGTGATACATATGCTAAGGGAAAGGAGTGGACAGGTTGTCAGAGTGGGGTCTACTCATGTACATATATATGCACATCGGCCACAGTTCTCACTGAAGGCTCTGCGTGCAATACTGGAGGGTAAGTGAGCCTGAGGCCTTGTCATGTGTAAGAGCCAGACCGTACTTCAATTAAAATGTATTTATAAAATATTTCACTCCAAAATAATGATTAAAAAAAAAGACTGTGGAGCAGTCTAAAATAGACAAACTGCAAAACACTTATCAAATAATTAAAAACACACACACCCAAATATTTGAAAATGTAGAGAACAAATAGAACTCAATTACAAATTATATTTCAAAATTTCATGCCCAGGACAGATGTACAAAAACACAGTAACATAGGAAGCATATACTGAATCAGACCACTAGTGCATCTAGCTCAATATTGTCTATTCTATGCTAACTGGCAACAGCATTTTCCTAGCCCCACCTAGAGATACATGCAAAGCAGCTACTCTACCTAGTCTATTAGAACAGGTTGGCCCAACTTTTCATACTAAGTGCGCCACAGGTGTACTTAGATACGGAACCCCCAAGCCACACACTGCCTTGTCGTGCAAGGGGGAGAACAAGGCCAAAATTTGACATGCCCCTCCCAGCCCTTGTGCTGCCTTTCCAAACAGGTAAACGAGGCGCTGGGTTTGGGGAAGGAGGTGTGAGGCTCTGGCAGGTCCTAGAGCCCTCTCACCTGCTTCTTAAAGTTGGGAAAGCACGAACTAGGCCTTGAGAAGGAGGTGGGAGGACCCTAGGACCCTGCCAGAGCCCTCATGCCTCCTTCCCAAATCACAGTGGCTGAGGGCCACTAAAAAGACTTCAAGGGCCACATGCAGCCCTTGGGCCACATGTTGAACCCCCCTGTTTAGAAGGATGGGACCTAAAGTACAGCCTGCCCAACTGTACCACAGGAGATGAAGCAAATATGTGGCCTTCCTCGAGCTATGTGGAGCCCAGGACCGTTGCGGCTTTGGAGGATAAAACCACCCTGTTGAACTAGTCCTGGAAGCCATTCAGCAGGCTGTTGAAAATGTTGGGGTGCAACTCAGCTTGCACTATAGGCTAATATACCTGCATGAAGAGGCTAGATAGAGAAGAACCTCCAATTTTCCTAGACTGTCCTTGTGCTGATCTCAGGTGCTAGGCAGCTCATTTCCTACTTCCTCCTTCTTAATTCTTAGCTTGTTAAAGGAGCGATCTTTTGTGTGCCCTCCTGCTGAGAACAAAGAGCAAACATGGCTCCTTGTATATTTCCATCTTAGCTAGAAAGAACTTTCCTATCAAGTATAATGAATATACTATCCTGTAATGTTATTTTCCTAAACTCAAAACTCTCAGTGTGATTTTATCCAGGGTAAAGTGTGTTCTTTCAGCAGTGATTCAGTATAAAATTCAGCATCAGTACAGACACCCTTGGTAAGGAAAGGAGTTGTACGCGCTCTGAGGCTGCCTCCAATAAAAGTTGGACTTAAGAATTCTGCACAAGATGCAGGTTACAAATCAGAACAGTTCCACAAAGAGTAGTAAATTTCAGTAATCAAAATGGAAGGCTATGAAAGAATGAATAATGGTAGAAAGTTCTGTATCCTGGAGAAAAGAGTGTCACTATGACATTAGTTGGAACTGATCAGATGTTATCTCACCCACAACTGACACCTCAGAATCAAGTAGCAAAGCTGATCAAAGATCACATTTGTGCGGTGCATCTGATTGGATCTTTTCTGAAACCCTGGAGAGCCACTGCTATAGACAATACTCAGCTGAGTGGACCAGTAGTCTGACTTGCAAGTGAACTGTGACGCATTTTATCAAAGGGGCAATTAAAACCAGACTCCTTCCAATATTTATTATTATTAAAAAAGACTCATTTTTCTCAGTGTGCCCTGACTTTATTCCCTATATAGTTAAGAGACTCTGCAAGACCACACCTAATTATATTATACTCATATTAAGAAGAATGACTAATAAACACACAATACCTGTTTATAACTAGAAACAAACTGAGATCTCCTAATCTGATATTGGCACACAAGGATGATGTAAACATTCTAACTGTATTTCCTGTTACTCCTGTTAAGGAAATGAATGGTGTCTCTTATCATAAAACAAGGTTGCTGGGCTACATTCAATGTATTTTTAGTAACATATAAAGCCCTGAACAACTCAGGATCAACTTGTCTGAAAGTTTGCCTGCTCCTGTATAGACCTATAAGATCACTTAGATCATCTGGAGAAATTTAACTCATGGCACTGCAGTCTACAGAATATCCCAGGGCAGTGACCCGAAAATGGGAATTTTCTGCCATGGTCCCTGTTAGCTGATTTACACTTCTCATGAAGATTCAGGTATACAGTTGGGTGTATTCCTTGTCCTGGACCCTGTATTATCTATTGAGACACATGTGACTTCAGTGGCTAAGAATAACTTTCAGCAACTGTCTGGAGAAGCGGACTTCACCTTTATTTCGCAAGTGCTTATTATATAACGTTGCCAGGAGAACAAAGATCCCTTGCCAATTTATGAGTGTTTCCTTAGTGCACTTTGCTTCCAAAGGTTCTAGTTTTCCTAGCAGAGGAAAGCTAAGAAGAAGCCAGGCTGCACAGGCCCAAGGCAGAATCCCACCAAACATCTCTATTGACACAGGCATCACCTGCTTAAAATTACCGTGGGACCTTTGGATAATGTAAACTCTCCTACTTTCACCTGGCTCGGATTTAATCAATGTCTCTTCGTATGCCAGTTGTTCTGCTTCCTGGAGCCCTTAACTGTAGAAGAATAGGAAATGCTCTTGAAGAAAGGTGTGGATACTGTTTCTGGTTGTATATCCCCCCCAAATTATTCTAATACCATACCATATTATGGCACACCACACCCTTTGAGAACCACTGTGTCTTTACTTATGGGCCATTTTTACTGGACTGACACTAAGTTAGTTTAGTTTAACCACCTTTCCACAGTTAGCTCTCCCCAAAGTGGCTTACAACAATTATCCACTTATTATCAAAATACAAAAGACTGGAGAGAAAGGTGCATAGTTCTCTGCAGTCTTATAAATCAGCCTTGTGAGGTTTTTCACAACTCAGTGTGACAGGACATGGAGGAGAAGCAAAATAACACCGTCAATAGTCATGAAATTTGTTTACCTTTTTACACAAATGTTTCTCTCTTTTTCGTCATGCAAATTACAACTCTAAAACTGAAACTCACAACAGCTGACATCATTATTATTGTCAAGTAAATTTGGACAATGTAAATACCTGAGAAGCCGAATTTCAAACTGGATGAAAAGATAAAGCTTCCTTCACAGTATAGTAGTTCTGTTACATAACTTGGATGTGAAGTGTCTGTTGTAAACTGTTAACCTGTTCCAGCAAAGGAGATTTACCCCTAGAAGGAGGCTATTGCATGCATCACTGCCACAGGTGAAAATTCTCATCCCTATCTGCATTCTGATGATTTTCCAGGTCTGACTGCATGTAGCTTTTTAATCCAGATAACAATGCACAGTACCATCTGGGGTCACTTGGGGTCACATATGCGGTTACTAGTTGGCATGCAGCTACAACTGGAGCCTATATACATATTGTTCATTTCCTTCTGTCTCGAGAGACATTGCAATGTACCACCTGTGGTGAAGTCACACCTCTGCATTAGCAGCACTGAAGTGACCTCCCCAGAGCAGAAGCCTGGGCATGTATATAGAGGTCCTGGGCTGCCCAGACGACAAGACCCCCTCTTGGCTTCGCAGATGTAGCCCAAAGACAAGCAGAGCAATACGTTTGGCACCAGCTTAGCTGCAGGAGTTGCCAGAAGGAGGCATACAAGGCTCTATCCAACCGTCTTAGGGACTCCACTCTGGATTTGTGTAGGGTTCACTCCTTAGCTTTTTCTTCTTCTGAAGATATCACATAAGGCAGTGGAGGTTTAGGATCAGAGTTTTCCTTCTCCTAGATGGGCTACCCTCCCTGTCTGACAACCCCATCTGCCCCTCACTTCCCTCTACATCATGTGCAGAAAACACCTTCCTGACCATTGGACCCACAATTTGCAAGAGCCTATCTTTGCTTGCAGGGAAAGTCCCTAATTCACCAAAGGTTTGAGAACCATTGGCTACCCTCACCTGGTTTAGCCAGGGGTAGAAATTCAGTATGCGGCTGACACCCAGCTCTACCTCTCTTTCAAATCAGAACCAGTGAAGGCGGTGAAGGTCCTGTGTGAGTGTCTGGAGGCGGTTGGAGGATGTTTGGCAGCTAACAGATTGAGGTTGAATCCTGACAAAACAGAAGTACTGTTTTGGGGGAGCAGGAGGCGGGCAGGTGTGGAGGACTCCCTGGTTCTGAAGGACCAGGTGCGCAGCCTGGGAGTCATTCTGGACTCGCAGCTGTCCATGGAGGCGCAGGTCAATTCTGTGTCCAGGGCAGCTGTTTACCAGCTCCATCTGGTACGCAGACTGAGACCCTATCTGCCTGCGGACTGTCTTGCCAGAGTGGTGCATGCTCTGGTTATCTCCTGCTTGAACTACTGCAATGCGCTCTATGTGGGGCTACTTTTGAAGGTGACCCTGAAACTACACCTAATCCAGAATGCGGCAGCTAGACTGGTGACTGGGATTGGCCTCCAAGACCACATAACACTGGTCTTGAAAGACATACATTGGCTCCCAGTACGTTTCCGGGCACAATTCAAAGTGTTGGTGCTGACCTTTAAAGCCCTAAACGGCCTCGGTCCAGTATACCTGAAGGAGCGTCTCCACCCCCAACGTTCTTCCCGGACGCTGAGGTCTAGCGCCGAGGGCCTTCTGGCAGTTCCCTCGCTGCGAGAAGCCAAGTTACAGGGAACCATGCAGAGGGCCTTCTTGGTAGTGGCATCTGCCCTGTAGAACACCCTCCCACCAGATGTCAAAGAGAAAACCAACTACCAGACTTTTAGAAGACATATGAAGGCAACCCTGTTTAGGGAAGCTTTTAATGTTTGACAGACTATTGTATTTTATTATTTTGATGGAACCTGCCCAGAGTGGCTGGGGAAACCCAGCCAGATGAGTGAGTATAATATTATTATTATTATTATTATTATTATTATTATTATTATAAATTATTATTCTACTGGGGTTGAGGTGGGGTATTTCCATATAGTCAGAAGTACAACCCTTTTGGATTGCTTAGCTAGTTACTTAAAAGGCAAAGTTCTGGCCTAAAGCTGCAGAGGTTTACAGTTAACTGAAAAAAGAAGAAAGAAATTGGATTTCATTGCAAATCACCACAACTGCCGTTCATAGCTCATGGATTAATAATTGAAATGCATAGTTGACAAATTCAGTCCTTCTAAAGAGAAGGAAAGGAACCCAGAAATACAATGGGTTTATCCCACCCACATAACTGGTATTTAACCATCTTTCAGAGAAAAGGTTGCCACTTACCTGCCTCTATACAGAAGATAAACCATACAACGGTGAGGAGAACACAGCCTTTCATTGTTGCAGTTGCTCCCTGCTAATCCTACAAGGAAATGTTTTCTCCCCTTCGGGTTAGTATATTTTAGATCATCGTTACCAGTCCAGAGGTCAACTTTTTATTGACGTCAGAACTGTGAATGGATTGTATCGCTTAATTTATGGCTGGTGCCTTGCTAAATGTTGGGATAGTGTTTACGTATTACGCATGCTCCCAAAGACTTATGTAAGCAGGCATCCAAATTGATGGTGGTTTAAATACTGTTTTATTGGTAGTATATACCAATATTTTAGGTTTTTGTTGTTGTTTAAAAAAAACTTTATGAAGAAAGCAGGTATAATAGTGATTGTACAGCAGAGACTTTCTTTCTTTGTTTATGATTGGCATTGATGCCTGTAGGCTGCAATCCTAGGGCTGGGGGAGCAGGAGCCAAAAGCCGTTCTGCTGGCTCACCTAGCACTCCTCCAGGCTCTCAGCGGCAGGATGGAAGTGAAGTCATTTTCTATGCTGTGTGTAGGGTTGAGCGAATCTAATATTGCAATATTAGTGTGACATTTCACATTTGAAACATGTATTTGATATGTTAGTAAAAGTTATATGATCTTTCAGACCTTGGGCACATTCCTTTCTTTTGCCTCTTATGTGCTCAATTTATCCTGCATATATGATAAGGATTTTATTTAATTTATTTTTAATCTTATTCTAATTCACTTGGGGGAGGAAGGATTAAAATTGAGGGCTCAATATAAAATTTCACCCTGGGTCCTGAAATCATCAGGTAGCAAGCAGAAATAAAGAAAAAGAGAGAGTTGGAGAGAGTTGCCTTTTTCTGAACTCGCAGCCTGTGTTACCCGGCCGTGTTGATTCTAGGTAGCAGGCAAACAAAGCAGAAGTTCACAAATCATTTCTGTAGATAGTTACGGTAAAAGCCTTGAGATTTTAAAGCATATACCTGCACCAGAGCATTATGATAAAGACTATTATACCCTGTCCCATAGCATATTGAGTCTGGTAGGATGTTTTTTTCCAAACACATGCAGAAATTCTGGTGCACATTTGTTGCTTCTCGACCTGCAAGGGCTCTTCCATCCATTTCAGTGAAGGAAGCAGGTCCATTTGGGTCAGAAGTGCCTATCCGCTAAGATGAATGTGCTATGGGGTGCATAAGGGACTCAGGATATCAGGGCTTGTGGCTGGAAGCACTTCTCTAAAGATTTTGCCAAAGTCTTGGTCATTTTGTCTCATAACCATCCTCCTATGTAAAACAAGAATTTAAAGTTGCTGCAACAAATTTCAAATCCGGATGAACATCCTAGAAAAATGTACACTGATCCATATGTTGCCTCTCGTGCAAATTATTTCCCGGTGGTTAAAGTCCAGGTTTTTTATCTCCAGGTTAAGCTTTCACAGACTGCAGCAGGTGTTTATTGCTATGAAACTAAGCTCTACTATTTTTTGCAGCTATCCAAGTATTGGTTTTGTTTCCTTGTACTACTTAGGACCTTGAACTCAAGATGAACTGCCCTGGAATTAGGTGCTCCATTTATTTGCAATATTACAGTGGTACCGGAGGTTAAGTACTTAATTTGTTCTGGAGGTCTGTTTTTAACCTGAAACTGTTCTTAACCTGAAGCACCACTTTAGCTAATGGGGCCTCCTGCTGCCGCCGCACTGCCGGAGCATGATTTCTGTTCTCATCCTGAAGCAAAGTTCTTAACCCGAGGTACTATTTCTGGGTTAGCGGAGTCTGTAACCTGAAGCGTATGTAACCTGAAGCGTATGTAACTTGAGGTACCACTGTATATTGACACTATTGTCATAGACCAACCTTTGCTCACCTGAAAGCCTTGCAAGCGTACTGGCTGGGACTGGCAGAAGTTGTCCAACCATCTGGAGAGCACCAGGTTGGCAAAGGTTTGTGTTTGCAACCAAAAGATGGGTCAGGGTATTCAGGACAAACTGCTGCGGAGAAGTGACTAGTGAGGATGGGCTGGGAGAGAGAAGGTTATGTACAAAGATGACTTTAACACCCTCTCCTACCTGCTGCTTTTGCATAGAAATTGCATCCTCCATTTTGCTCTGGTGGAGCATTGTTCATTGACACCCCTGGACTTTAAAACTTCCCTGCCAAGAGAGGTTGGTCTTGCTTCCTGCATTTTGTCTTTCCACTTCAAAGCCAGGAACTTAATAAAGATTAAGATCTTTAGAGGCTGGGATACTAGTTTTTAATTTATTGCCTACTGTAACTATACACAACTCTTTGTGTTTGCTCTTATTTGCTCTTTCCGCATTGTCTTTTTATTATGCTTTACCTATTGTTTAAAATATTTCTAAACTGCCCCTCACCCAGTCAAATTCTGAGGCAGAGAGAACAATGGGCAAGAATAAAATGATCCATAGCAAATGCAAACCATAAAACACCCCAATTCATAACAGCAAAATAAGAGGCAGTCACTTGACTTATAAAGCACACTGAGGTATGCTTTATTATGCTTCTTACTGTTTTGTGGTGGTTTGCTTCATATAGTGTTATATTGTACTGTTTTGCAAGCAGGTTTGAACTTCATAAAGAAAGGAGAGATTTAAATCTTCTTTCAATAAATTATTCCTATTGAAGAGCCATGGTTGCAATAGACCTACTGTCAACAAAAAAATGATTATATAACAAAAATATAGATTTAAATAAATCAGATAGTTGCATCTCATGTGATCAATTATTTTTGATAAAACTTTAATACAACTTGAGCATGGACAAGCTATCTTCCCTGAAGAAGCCAGCAGAAAACAGGTGCACCTAAATCCCACTGTAATAAGTGTATTTTTTTCTACTGGATTTAATAGTACAGGAATGTAAGCCTGTCTAATTATGCCTTACGTCGTTGTCCTAGGCTATAAGAAGCTAGTAAACCACTGTGTGCAGCCTCAGCTCAGAATGATCTGGAAGACCAGTTCTGATCATGGGCTCAGGCTCCTGGGGGCCAAGGCACTTTGGGCCCCCTCAATATATATATTTTTGGATGGGCTGCCCCCCCCCCATTTTTACTGTAAGGTTTATAATTATGAAAAAAGCACCTGTTCTCATTTTCTGAATGTATAATATACTTTTCAAATATGGATTTTACAGCTACAGTAGATTTGCCAACTTTTTACTGAAGGTACATTCTTTCACCTTTGGTGGACGTGCCCAAAGATCAAGGCTTTCTGGGAAATGATATATAATGAATTGAAAAAGGTATTTAAATATACCTTTCCGAAGAAACCAGAGGCCTTTCTTCTGGGCATTGTCGGCCAATTGGTGCCAAAGAAGGATAGAACTTTTTTTATGTATGCAACAACAGCAGCAAGAATACTCATCGCAAAGTATTGGAAGACACAAGATCTACCCACTCTGGAAGAATGGCAGATGAAGGTGATTGACTACATGGAACTGGCGGAAATGACTGGCAGAATCCGAGACCAGAGAGAAGAGACGGTGAAAGAAGACTGGAAGAAATTTAAAGACTATTTACAGAAATATTGTAAAATTAAGGAATCTTAGAAGGATGTTGGATAGAAACTAAGGGTTTTTAGCTGTAATGCTTTAAGAGATATGAAAAAGGTTTGCAACTGGGTAATTTCAATGGTAAGGATTTGCTGAATCAACAAATTGAACTGGAATACAAAAAAGGGAGGTATGAGGAGGTCCGGGGAAATAAGTATAAGGAAGATAGGTTATGGAAATTTAATGTCCTTTTAATTGTTTTATTTGGTATGTTTTTTTTATTTTTTACTTCTTTGGTTATATTTTTTAAAAAAACTTTATTCTTGTTCTTTCTGTATTCTGTATTTTTTGTATTTTTTTTTGAAACTTTAATAAATATCATTAAAAAAAAAAAAAGATTTGCCAACTTTTATAACCAGAATGCACCTGCTTATTGAAATACGATCTCCTCCCCTCCCTTTTCAGGAGCCCTAGAATATTGAGGTAGAGAAAAACCTGTTGTAGCCATTACCTATCAAACCTTTCAGTGGAGACTTTTGAGAAGTGTATTATTTAACTTTTCTCCATATGTAAACGGAGATGCGGATGCTATCTTGTTTGCATGTACCAATAAAAACTCAGGTTCAGAATATTATTAATACTTTTATTGTATCATTTTTATTACACTGACTAGAACGCCAGAAATCAAATATTTGGATGCTGGTATAAAAATAATCCAAACTTTATACTTTATACTTTGGAACTACAGTACTGTATAATTAGTGGAGGCTGCAAATAAGATACACCTTTAAATAACACTGTGTTGGAAACATAAAATAAACAAAACATCTCAGAAGTTATGTTCACAGGTATGCAAAGCTGAAATCCAGAACAAAGTACAATAGACAATTGCAAGTCAAACTGACGGTACATTCAGAGTCATTATGAAGACACACAAACAAGGCTTTATCCATCTTGTCTGAAAGACATGGTAGGCATCACATACATTTTTGACTGGTAAAGATGAGAGTGACTTCCTATTTTGCAGTCCTGCCAAATTTAGTTGTTGTTGTTGTTTTAATGGAAGAAAGCAAAGCAAAACAAAACAAAACAAAACAAAACAAAACCCTTAGCAGATTTCATTTAACAACCAACAACACTGTAAAGAAATATAATATATTGGATGTTGTAAGATCATTTTCCTCCCAACATTGGACAGAATGATATAGCAGAGATAGAACTCTCTAATAAATGTTGTAAGCTTTCTAAAGTTTGTGCAACATTCCATAGGCCTTCCTATGAAACAACTGACCACGAGGTCTCAATAATAATTTAGGGAACATTCCAACTCTCTGCATCCCCCCCACCTCCATCCTGGCAGAGCTTTATGGAATAGCAGAGCCCACCTCTTCAGCTGCAGTCCTGCTGCACACAGTGGTGAGGATGGCAGGTGCTGGGGCAGCATCTCAGGCTGGCTCAGCTCCGCCCTCCCCCCAAAAGTCCAGTTTGGGGCTTTGTGCTGGCTGCTGGTGGTGAGGATGTTGCTGGCCGGCACAAGAGGAGCTCTGAAGGTGGCATCCAGCAGGAGGCCAGAGGAAGGACACTTCCGCCCAGCCCAGCCACCAGCCCAGCACAAAGGGAGGTTGGACTCCTGTGTTTTGCTGCAATCCTAACCCCACGATCTGGCAGTAAGCTCTACTTAATTCAATAGGACTTACTTCTGAGTCGATATGGTTAGGGTTGCACTGTTATATCTGAACAAGAATCCCAAATACATGACCATTTTTTACTACAAACTTAAGCCTCTATCCCACTAGGTCCAATGGGACTTTAGTCACAAAACTGCGTAGGCTCATAATCTTGATTATTTCTGCAAAATACTGTCGTGTCAAAACATTGCAGGCTTTCCCCCATTGTACTACCCATCACAGATTTCAGTATCTCACTGTCACCAAATATAATAAAATATTAGCATAACTGATTTTCCAATTAGTAACTAAGAAATACTCATTCATTTCTACTAAATAAATAAATGTTTTGAACTCCCCTTTATACTGTTCCTCTTGTTGTTGCTTCTTCTATGTGGCATCACAGTGGGACTCTGCCGAGCTTCCACCAAGGACACTTTATTATTCACTTTTGAATCCACAGCAAGTTTGACCCTAAAGGATCTTAGGAACTGTAATTTGTTGAGAGTACTGAGAATTCGCTCTCTCATAAGAAATTCCCAGTTCTGTGAACAGAACTACAACTCCCAGAGTTCCTTTAGCTGAGGTAATGATTATTCAGCTAGTCTGTGGGCTGGTTTGCAAGTCACATTAAATCATAGTTAAAATAAAGTTAAAAGTCATTAGGTGCTCCACTGCCACTCCTTGACTTCCACTCAAAGGGAAAACAAACCAGAGGCTTGCTTCCTGCTATATGCAACCCAGCCCTCGTGATGGTAAGCTAATAACAAAGCTGTATCCCTTGAGGTCCACGTGACCTCAGAGGTAGGAATGCCCATGCCCAGTTTGGGCTGGTGCACCAATTACAATTATTTCTGGACAGAGATAGCTTGGCCACAGTTATGTATGTCCTGGTGTGCATAACTGGTTGAACTATGTGCATAACTGGTTGAACTATGAAACAACAACTAATGCAAATTGCAGCAGCTAGACTGCCAGTAGGTATCTGGAAAAGCTCATACAGGACACCAATTTTGAAACAACTACAAATCTTCCAGGCCATAGTTAAGGTGCCTGTGTTAGTAATTAAAGCCCTTAACGATCTGGGTCCCAAGTATCTAAAATAATGTCTCTTTCCATATCTTTTTCCTTAAGGTGGGGACCCATAGTTGGGCCTTCTCAGGAGTAGCCCCGTTCCTCTGGAGCCATCTTCCCTCTGAAGCCTGCCTCACCACCACATTGTTGTCATTTCAGCGTTGGGCTTTCTCAGGATTTTAGGGAAGGGTCAGGTACATTGGGGTTGGATTTTAATTGACGCTGCTGTTTTATTTGTATGGTATTTAAGTTTTCAGGCTTTATTATTACTAATTTCGGTTTCAATTCTGTGTAGTCCTGCCCTGGGGCCTTTGGGTGAAAGGCAATCCATAAATAGGGTAAATAAATAAAATAAATAACAAATAAACTTTGGATAACCATTGTGGCTGGTTAGGTAGGAAAGAAACAATACACAAGTGCTTGTTGGCACTTAATGGGAAGCCATCCTCCACGGTGTTTCCTCCTCCAAGTGGGAAAGGAAATAGTAGTGGTGGAGCACTACAAGTGTTCACTTTAAACCATAGTTTAAACTGTGGTTTAAAGGGATGCTTCAACGAGGCCTGTAATATAAGATTATGACAGAAAGCGTTGGAAGTTTTTACGGGTGTTTGGCAACTGTTTTGTCAACTACACCTTTCCATAAAAGTGGGCATAGTTATGGGTCATTCCCCTTGCCATCCAAAGCAAAGGTCCTGATCCAAGGATTCCTCCCATGAAGGGAATATGGCTGAACATGTGCTGCTTCATCTAGATTTCTGTGTACACACCCGCCAACCAGATGGCTGGCAGTATCAGCTCTGTTATAGCCGGACTGCACTGACCATCTGGGTATAGCTCCCCCGCCTTTTCTTTCACCCCACATGTGAATCACCCTTGCCAGATCAAGGTGAACAAACTCCCTTTCGCATCCGGCTTCCTTGTGTGGCAATGCAAGATCAGTCTGTGGAAAACACCTGATGATTAATTTTATATTGGGGGAGGGGGGGCTTTTTACGATACAAAGTACACCCTGACGCAATTTGCAGTACAGAAAGCAGTAAAGTGACCTGAACACAGCTGATTTTTTTAAAAAATAGAAATATTGTTCCCAAATAATTTCAAAAAGCAGAATAGGTACAGCTAGAGCAAGAGGAACTAGACTACTCAGGATATTTTCCCCAGTCCTTTTCTGCTTGCAGATGTGGTTGCTGCAGTTAAGCTTGTGAATTTAGCCGTTATACAGAATGGTATCTTAGCCTATTCTATGACTAATGAAATCTGAGGTTGGAGCCTTGAAAATGTCATGGACTATAGTTACAACTGAACTTAATTCATAAGATAACATGGTCACAGAGGGTAGTTTTATCACTGGCAATTAGCCTATGTATTCAGAAGTGGTACACAGACAGTGTATGTCTCTCCCGCTTTCTCATGCCTTCCTTTCTCTCCCACATCCTTGGATTATTTCCTTCTTTTTCTGCACCTTCTGGTGAAGTGCATCCTTTTTCACAATTTTGAAGTGGTTGCTATGGGATACAGGAGTGCAGGACAAGAAACACCTCTGGCCTGACCCAATCTTCCCCCACTCACCCAATCTGAAACAATCACATGCCGCTCTGCAGGCTAGGTCTCTCACTATTAATCACTGCCTCCAAATCCTTCATGATTAAGCTGCAAGCGTCACCACTCAGCCACCCTGCAGCTTCCTGCACACTGTACAAAGTCCTCTTTTCTCATAAAACCACACCTTCTTTAGAACATTCAGAGAGCAAAAGTTGTTTTGCACTAGGAAGAGAACTTGGGTCCAGGTTCAGCTACATATGATGACAATCCCACTTAAAATGTTTCCTGGTTGCTTTCTCCCACGGCTACCTGCATAAAAGTTAAGCCATCTTCCGTACTATATCTTATCTCCACGATATGGAATGGGTCAGGGCTAGCCTTGCAGGTGGGGAAATCTGTTGCCAGGGATTGGGAAATCCTAAAATAAATAACTATGGGAGGTGAGCTATTTAGTGTTGCAGTGGGTGAACACCAGGTCCCTGGTTATGTGGATGGGAGGAAGAAAGAGGCAAAAGCACACTTTTCTTCAGCAGCAAAGGGATGGACATTTTGAAAACGACAAAAATAAATAAATGAGAAGATGTCTTGGGTTACAACTCAAGACACCACAAAAGGGCATTCTAGTATGAGACTCCTTTTCCCATATGGAAGAATGTGGTTCTGGGGCAAACCACAATTTACAAGTGACTTGGAATCCTGGTTTAAGTGCTAGGAAAGGACAATGAGTTAATGAGAGGGAAAATTTGAGTTGGTAAGCTGGCTGTATGCCGTTTAAACCAGCTCTATTAGCTCAACCTCTTGTGGGGTTTAGTCTGGTAGCAGCAGTGCACTGAACAAGCACAGTTTGTTGGTCTCATATCACGGTGATCAGCCTAGCTAAACTAAAAGTGAACAGTCAGCTGCCTGTGAAATTCAACAAGCATCCCAACCAAATTTGGGGGCACATGTTGTGGCATTTCAGGTATTCTCAGCCAGAGTTTCAGATTCCTATCACTTTTCTTCTTCTTGATCTGATGATTTCAGGATTTTATTTTCTGAGCTCAAATTTCAGATACTGTAAACCTGAATATCATAAAACACCCCCACACCCCCATTTTTACTGTGGGAAATCCTCACCCACCATTTGGGCACACATACACACACACACACGTGCTTCTATAGTATGAGACCACCATACATAATCAATTCACTAAGAGTTCACGGAGGAAGAAAAAATTCATGGCTGGAGAAGGCATGGGCATGGGGCAATGATTACTGTTCATGAGACAATGGTCAATAATAAATTCAAACAGAGGGCAGGAACAAGCACCATTGCAACTGAGTCAATACACAACTGAATGACAAGACAGGAAATAAGAAGATGCATTATCCAAAGAAAAGAAAAAGGACCCTGAACTTTGCACATTACACATAGAACCCCCATCCTTAGGCCACATTCCCATACACAATCCCAGCATTCTGTGACTATCTCATCAGTACCCATTAATAGATACCTGGTGACAGAGAAATGGTTCTTTCCATAAAATCCACTCAATGCAGCTTTGCATAAAACGTGGGCAACACAAACACAGCACTAGTTGTTAACTGTAAACACAACACACTTTACTGGCGTTAGATTTAGAGTGTCATCCACAGTGTTTGTTAGCTTTGCTTTAGTGATCTACTATCAAATTCAAGTTATGTGACACAATTAGTGATAAGGAAAAGATGCAGAATGTACACACGGGAACTTCTTTAAGTTTCTCCCTTGCCTCTTAGACAGGCCTGTGTGCTGACTTGCTCTTTACACCTGCCTTCCCATTGCTGTTCAACAGCAGCTACAAATGGCTCCTTTCGGACAACCCTGTTCAGTATCCTCCAAGGGTTCAAAGTTTCCTTTCTGTATACAAAACTATGCCAGCATCTGAGCTGTATAATTAATGTGTACCCAGAAAACAATTAGCAGGCAATGGCCGGTGTTCCATTCACTTTCCCATCTCTCTCCTGCAATTCCATTAAAAGTAATCTCTTCTTCTGCTGTCATCACTAACAAAGGAAGGATTGTATTGGCCAGGGTAGATGCAGGAGTGTCGAGATCCCGGAAGACCTGTGTAAGGTGGGTATAGCCCGTTTCTTTCTAGTTCAGGGTTCCTTGGGTTGGTTGTCTAGAAGGATAAGACATGGACAGAGAAAGGAAGGAAAAAACGGTTCAACAGTCAGCACTTATCCTTTGTGGGATTTTAATAATAATACATGAAGGTACAAATGCTTCCAATAGATAATATGCTCTTCTGATAGAGATTAAGCAGATGTGTTCAGTAATAATTGTTTGAGCATTCTAGGCCACCAGGCTCATGAAGACAACTGAAGAAAAAATAATAGCTGGTGATCTGTTTGGGTTTTATGTATATAATGCACTGCTTTGAAATTTTTGATGGAATTGTGGTATATATATATATGTGTGTGTGTGTGTGTGTGTGTGTGTGTAAACAACATTACCATGAAATTAAAACAAAAATCAGAGCATAGAAGCAGTTACTATTATTATGTCTATATACTGCCACCATGCATGACAAAGGTAAACACAGTAATATCTCTGAATCCCTCTTTTCACTTTTATTTCTCATTCTCTTTCAAACCAAAAATCTGGAATGCCAAAGCTTTGGAAACAGAATTATACCAATCAGATGCAACCTAGGAAAATATATTGCTGCCTAATACTTCCTTAGCATACTGGAAAGCAAGCTTCTCCCACAAGCTGTTACTGGCATGAACAAATCATAGCCATTGCAACCCAGACCAATGAGTACATAGAAAATACAGCACATTTGTTTTGTACTCCGATGCACATGTAGATATTATGGGGAACGCCTCCAGGGCAGCTATTTTGGGTGAAGCACAGCCAGGTAGGAATCAATGATGTAGGAGATACAGTATGCTGCTATCATTGTCATATGGCTGCTAATCCCAGAGATTATAGGATGAAGATGAAGGAGACCAGGATACAAATTTCCACCCAGCAATGAAGCTCATTTGATGAACTTGGGATAATCATTCTCTCTCAGCATAACTTAGCTAGAGAGGGGTGGATTCCATTAATTTATTGGACAAAGGGGAGGCTATGAAGGTAATGAACAATATTCCTGGCCCTCCCCAAGGCCAAGATCTTAGTAATCTGTCATACTGGAGAGACAAAGACATCACTGTTGGATGTTATGGGAATTGTTACATCATAATTCATGTACTATTATGATGCTATAGCGGCTGTATGCTCTAATTGTGGCAGCCTGTAGAAGGCTGGACTATCTGAATGCATAGACATAGTTTTGCCACTAGGTGGCAATGGATTTAACTGGAGCTAGGTGAAGTCGAACGTTTCCTGGGTCTGTTCTGTTCTTTATGGAGAGAGACAATAAAGTTCTCATTTAGCTTAAACCTTCCATGGCAAGATCAGCATATGAGGCCTGCAGGAACATACACTGACTGCACAACCAGTCCCTGCTCAAAACCAATTATCTTTACTGTAACCTTGGTTATATATCACTGAGTATATAACCTTTGGACTTTTGTTAAAACGCACATGTACAAGCTGAGGATTAGTTACCATATAGTAAACATCTGTCATCTGTAGTAGGTTTTTAGTGCTCCCATTCTCTTGCATTTCAATGGTTTCTCTCCCCCAGTCTTGAGCTCGAGGGTTTTTGGGATACTCAGCATATGGCGACATCTGGAAATCTCCACTTTTGAAGATGAGTTTGCTTATGTCATTTTTATTCTTCCTGGGATAAAGAAAGAAAGAAAGAAAGATTTATATGCAAACCATATGAAAAGGACAGGAGATAGCTATAAAACTCCCATGCATCTCTTTCATAACCATAAGAGAGCCAGTGTGGAATAGTGGTTGAACTTGGATGAGGGAGATGCGGATGCAAATCATCACTGAACCAGCCATGAAGCTCATTGAATGTCCTTGGGCCAGTTGCTCTCTCTTTCTGCACAGCCTTGCTTACAGGGGTGTTGTGAAAACACAATTATGACTGGGGTGGGGAAGAGGGGAATGCAGAATATGTTTCCACATATGTTTGAATTTTTTTTTTAAAAAAACCTCATGAAAAATCATAGTTTTACTGCAAATTTCTCATATTTTTTGGTATGAAATGTTGCCTAGTATACTCATTTTTGCAAAGCCATTTCATTGCATATAAACACATTTTGCATGTTATTTTCACAGATATATGCATTTCTATGCACAGTTGACCCCTTCATGGATCACTGCCTTGTTGTGGCGAAGGGGCTTGAATAAGTCAAAGAAGCTATGAGCTATGCCGTGCAGGGACACCCAAGACGGACAGGTCATAGCCGAGAGGTTAGACTAAATGTGATCCAGCTGGAGAAGGAACTGGCAAACCGCTCCAGTATTTTGCCAAGAAAACTCCATGTACATAAAAAGGAGAAGCTCTGAGAAGAAAGTGAGAGTTTCCAAGGCATGCTCTGGTTCATGGAGTCACGGAGAGTCGAACACGGCTAAGATGACTAAACAACAACATGCACAGTTGACCCTAGTGTATGTATTTTTGTACGCATTACTTGGCTAGAGAACTGCATCACAAAATTGAGGAAAGTTTCTTTGAAGGATAGCTGTGTTTCATTTCACGTATCATTTCAGAAAGTGCTGACTAAGTAAGTTTGCCTTAAAATGCAAAGTGCATCAAATTTCTCTTCCATCCTTAGCAGGGAGTCAGATACTACACTGCTCTAGTATGCTCCTTGGACAAATGGTGGTGGTGGTGGGGAAATATAACGATAATATCCCTTTCTTTTGAAAAATTAAAGAAGCTTCTGCCAGATCTTACTTATGCTTTTCAGTATTTATGACATCTGCCAAATCATTTATCTTGATATGGTTGATATACAGCTCTGAAACATTTGGACATTATTAATTTTTGCAAAATCACAATAAACATTTTAAAGGTGCAATTTCGTTCAACAAAAGTATAATCAATAGATAAACAATTTCCCCATGATGGGTATTTAGTATTTTATTTTAAAAACAGGCACTTGGCTTAGGATACCTACTGGCAGCATGTGACAATGAGAGCTATCGCCATGATGAGCAGAAGTCCCCCTCCAGCTGCTGCGATCACAATGGTGATTAGCTGATACGCTAAAGCAAAGAACAGAAACAATATTGCTTCAATGGAAAAATGTTCATCTTTTATGTATAGGCAATAATGTGAAACTGTCACCTTCTTGATGCCTGTAAAGATTCCCTTAGCTATAACCTCTGAGGTGCTCTTATGTCATGGAATGCTTACAAAGCCACCATCAGGTATGGGATAAAGATTCACTGATGTAGCTTAGCTTCTTTAACAGAACTGGAAAAACTAGTTAGCCTAAGAGAAAATGCTCACACAGAGACAATTAACAGGTACTAGTTGATATACACATATTTTACATATTTTGAAATGTCTGAACTCATTGCTGGCTGGTTTACGGATTCAATTCAGTGTGCTGTACTGGTTTTGTTTTGACATATAAAGAACTAAATTGCCTGGCTTCAAATTACCTCACAGAAATTCTCCTTCTGTATGAATCCTCCCACCCAGACAATGAAGAACTTTCAACAGTTTTACATTGACACCACATTAGCTTTCAGAAGATGAAGGGCCTTCTTTGCTGTGGCCCAAGTACTCTGGAATGGCCTCTGACAGGAGTCTCATATGGCTTCTTCTCTGTATTCCTTCCAGGGTCAGGGTGAGCTCTCTTTTTCACAATGTCTAAAAATTAGGTTTAATACTGCTTGCTTAGACATCTGTTGGTTTTAAATTAATGGTTTTTGATGTGCTATAAGTGACTGCCTTTAAAGCCTCGGTCATACACTGTTTTGGAAATCTATTGTTGAAATGCCATATAACTTATTGAAAGAAAAGCAAAACCAGTTTGGGAGTTAGAGCTGCTAGACCAGATACTCACGATTCCCACAGTTGAATCCTCCTAATCCAAATGGGCAACTGAAACAGGGGAAAAAAAGTTTCCAATCAATTAAGTGTTAATTGAACCAATGTGAAAGTGATCAAAATGTGTTAATGACTGGTGATGGCAATGAGCATGAGGGAAAGGAATGAGAAACAAAGAAAACAGATTTCTATAATTTACTGTACCTCACACAAGTGTCATTCACAAGTTTATACCCATCTTCACAAGCTAAAAGAGAAAGAGAATGTCCATAAGCACATCTCAGTGACAGAAAAAGATAATTGCTGGTATCCAAAGAACTACTTTAGGTGAACTCAGTGCAATATTTTTTTTTTACATCCCCGCCCACGTTAAACAGCAAACACCTGTGAAAAACTGCTTTTGAAAGTCCTCTCAGTTTCAAAAGTGGGTTTCCATTGGGTATGGCCAGCATTTGCTTTTCAATCAACACAAGCACATCTTGGGTTGTCCAGAATCAATTGCACCATTCTGTTATATTCTGGCCAATAAATATGCGCAATCAGTAGTGGCTGGCAGGGTGGTGTGGATGGGACCCAACATTAATGAAGAGGGAGTTCTAACACAAGCCTGGTTCAAACCTTGGCTCAGCTCAACTTAGAGAACCAGGGAGGAACAGAGTGGCGGAGAGTTCCTCTCAAGAATCCAGCACATTTATTCAGTCTCCCTAAGGCATAATTTGGCTTTCCATGCAGTGTGGAGCAGCATACAGAAAGAGTGAGAGAAAGCAGTGAGTGAAGACCTTGAAATATGAACTTTCTATTTTTCACCAATTGGCATTGAATTATGTTTTATTGAAGTTTTTAATAATGTTTTTTATGATGCATTCTGCTGATTTGATTCTTCTATGTTGTATACCCCCTTGATATATTCTCACAAAAGCATGGATTACAAACAGCGCAAATAAATAAATAAAAATAAGACAATACTAGGCAAGTAACTCAATGCATTTAAACCATCTGGCCAGTGGAGGTCACTCTTAACACACAGCAATGCTACTTATTAAAAGACTTGCAGCAGTGTCCACATTTCACTCAAATACATCTTTAACCAAAAGCAGCCTGTGCAGACTACAGTGTTGAGCAGAGGAACAGGGGTAAAGGTGGGGAGGGGAGGAGGCATGGGCTGGGCGGTATCAGCTTTTCAACATCGTGGTGTATTGCCAGCCAAACATCGCAGTTTGGCGATATACCGTGATGTTGAAAAAACAAGATGCATTGGCCTCCGCCTGTGAGACACCAGGTGAAACTGCCCCAGCTCTCACCTCGAGAGCTGAGATGGTTTCTCCCAGGGCTGCAGGCTGGGACAATGCAGCTTGTTCATGCAACTCAGTTGGGGAGAGGGAACTCCCCCCCCCCGAGATGGCTTGCAGAAACCAGCTCCTTTAACCGCTCAACTGAGGCAAGGGCAGCTGCACACTCCTCCATCGAGCAGTTTAAAGATGTAGAGGGAGGAACAGGCTGTATCGGTGGCTCCGTTATATGAGTACAGAGTGGGATGGTAATTACACTCAGTGATATATTGGTGGTGAAACTGCCAGCGCTCCTGAGTCCCTCTGCTAGCAGCGCCCGCTGGAGGAAGGAACTTTTGACTCCCTCCAGCGGACACAGCTAGCAGAGGGACTTGGGAGATATGGTGGTTTCACCTGCGATATACAGTGGTACCTCGGGTTAAGTATTTAATTCGTTCCGGAGGTCCGTTCTTAACCTGAAACTATTCTTAACCTGAAGCACCACTTTAGCTAATGGGGCCTCCTGCTGCCGCCACACTGCTAGAGCACGATTTCTGTTCTCATCCTGAAGCAAAGTTCTTAACCTGAGGTACTATTTCTGGGTTAGCAGAGTCTGTAACCTGAAGCGTATGTAACCCGAGGTACCACTGTACTGCTGAATGAAGCTGGCATCACGGTCTGCTCCTCATACCGGTCCTGGGCAATATATCGCTATATCGCCCAGGCCTAGAGGAAGTTTTCACCTCTTTGACTGTAGCCATTTTCCCATTCATAATCATCCCTTGCATGGTATATAGGCACACTTAACTTTTCCTTTTCGGGGGGAAGACGGGGAAAAAAAGAAAGAATGTCCATGACAACACCTCAGTAACAGAGAATATATATAGAGAGAAAATGAATACTTTAGATATCCAAAAAACTACTTTAGATGAACTCAGTCTAAATCAGCTGGGAGTGATATTGAATTTGTTTTTTAATGGCTGGAGGGCAAAGGGTTTAAGTATCATCACTATTCCCTTGCTCAGTGTATCAGGGTCGTATTCAACACTGAGTGGGGAGTTCCACTTTTGCAGTGGGACTTCCCCTTCTCCTTTCCCTGTGTACCCTCAAAAATCTGATCCAGAGGGTTATCCAACCCTCCGGAGCAGATTTTGAGGGTGCTCAGGAGACTACAGGGCAAAAGGATGAAGAGGAGTTCTGTTGTGCAAAGTGAAGTCTGCTGCTCTAGTGGGATAGCAGCACTGGATACAAGCTAGAGTTTCCAGAGGCTGTTTTTGGTTTACAGATTTACATGCCGTTTCTGCCTAATGGCACATATTTAGCATTCACAAGGTCCCAGAAGGCATAGGAAACAAGAGGCAGAATGCATGCTTTGCATTCAGAAAGTCCCAGGCTGAATCCTTTGCATCTCTGGATAAAATGATCAGTTAGCAGGTAACGTGAAAAACCAGTCCCTAGGACCCCAGAGACCCACTGCTATTCAGGATAGACAATGCTGGGATAAATGGAGAAATGGTATAAAGCAGCTTTCTATGTTGTTTCTAATACTTTAATCTGTGGCATTCCTGTGGATTAATAGTGACCTCTGCTAGTCAACTGGTTTAAATCAATGCTGAACCAAAGACCCATCCCTGTACATTTCAGGGGGTTTAAGGGAATGAGGCCAAACCCATGCCGAAGACTGGGGGAGGGTGAACATTTGCAATGGGAACAGCAAAAGTTCAGGAAACTTTTACCAAGTAGTGAGGATTTCCTCCTCTCCCCTTCCACTGAACAAACCTGAAGCACTGCTGCAAGTGCAGCAACAGTGTGGAGCGAGCAGTGGAGCCAGCATTGTCGTTCCTATGCAAATACAGGGCTTTTGATGCTATTTGTTTAAATGCTGCATTTCATCCTTATGTTATAAATTAATTGATTCTGTTATTTATTTAGTGGGGCCAAAATTCAGATTGTATTTAGTTTTCAAGGAGATGACAATCCTCTTTGATTGCTATTGGTCGCATTTATATGTGGTCTATAGAACTTAATAAAGATACGGAAGGTAGGAAAAGTGAAATATGAAACTCGGTTGCAGCTTTCCAGCTAAGTTTTGCTGGAGCCCACAAGGCTAAACAATTTGCACACAGTGATTTTAAGTTAGGCCCTACACGTTTCCTTATTGGCAAACAATTATGTGATGTTCTGGCCCTGCCCTTGATCCATAAAAGGAACCCCTCTAACTATTCAAGTGAGCAGCTTAGAACAGTGGAATGAGCAAGTTAAATAAATTGCTGCTATGCTTGATGGAAGGCGGGGGAGGTTTGGCACCTTGCCTCCACCCCTCTGAGAATGTATAAAGCGTTAACTCCAAAACATGCTATTATCTGAAAGCCAGAAACCACTTTTTCCCCAACACTGAAACACATCTGGATATTTTTTCTGCTGTGCAGTGAACCCAGCCACCCACCGTGTCTAAACACAACCATTTTCAAAATGCAGGACACATGAACAGAACGCTTGAGATCCAGAACTCAAGACAGATAAACAGGCAGGTGAATCTGCATCTGTTAGACAAGTACAGCCAAAGTTTAGGTTGATTTTCATGCAGAAAATCTCTGGAACCAAATGGCACTATAAACTTGGCAGGGAAGCTCCTTATTAAGAGTTGGCAGCGTGTTGTTCTTCACCAGCCAGCCAGCCTCTCTACTGTTCCCTGACCCTGTGTAAGAGTCACATACACTCCTCATTCACTCACTTGCCCTGGCAGGACTTCAGAAATCTAGCTCTGGCTCCTCCCCAGGTGCCATGAACTCCTGAAAATTGCCAACAAAGAGGGCATCCTGGACCATAATTCAGCCATATTTCCCAGTTTTGCTGGGATTACTAATGTAGGTATCCCCAAAGCTGGTCAAGGACACAGCTGTTGCTTAATGGGGCACTTGTGTAGGAGTTCCCAACCAATCTAGAGTGCTGCAGAAATTAAGCTAAACCAAACTTGGTGTTGCTGCACTTAATTCTGGCCTGCTCTGGTCAAGAGAGGTTCAGAGGCTGTAGTCTGGAGCAAGTGGAACTGCAGGTTGTCCAGTTGGTGGCTGCTGCCAGTAAATGACTGAGTGAATTGGTTGATTCACTCCTGTGTCCATAGAAAGGTGAGAGAGGATTCCTCTCAGAGGATGGGTGGAGGAAGAAGCCTTAATGATCTTGGGAATGAGGGTGGGGTGGAACACAGAAAGAAGCTGAATGATTGTGGAGCAAAGAGAGAAAGGCATTGGATGGGGATGGGGGTAGAAGGATGCTGGATGGCCATGCAGAGAAGAAAAAGGAGCTGGGGGTTATGGGGGGAAGAAAGAGAATAAAGATATAAGTGAAAGGAGCTGGTTAGGGAAGAGAAAAAGAAGCACAACATCCCAAGTGCCAGGGACCATACTCCCCAGAAATTGTGGGGCATCTGTATCTTTTAAAGTAAACTTTATTTTGGGATTGAGGGGCCTTGGAGCATAGGAAGAGGAATAGTAAGGTGCTGTCTTGGTTTTGGCCTTCACCGATTTGATAAATCGCAAGTGAATGTGAGATTCTACAAGAGGTTTTTAATTTTTGTCTTTATGATGATTTGTTTTATAATTTTACTTATTATATAGATGAAAGCAGACTGACGAAGTTTCCTATTCCAATGTTGGAAATGCTCCGTGTGAACAAAGCAACACTTTCAGGCTAATGCTGAAGGTGTATTGGTCAGGGGCGCCCCCAGAGTGTGCAGGGAACCAAGGGGACGGAAATCAGCATCCGTGTTCATGTTTGAGCCTCTGCAAATTCAAACTGAATGCCTGCAGAGAACTACAGAAATAAAATGAGGGTTATCTCAGAGCGAGCACAGATGTCAGATTTCCGAAGTTCTTCTGTCTCTCCATGTTTAATTAATGTCTGAGGTGTAGACTAATGGAAGGTCACAGCGGCTACTTCCATTAACAGAAAAAGTGAGGTCATATTGCTGAAATCTAGACAGGATCTAGGCTACATCCACATGGCTTAGTTAGCATGGAGCAAGAAGTTCCTGAACAAGCAGTGGGGATAGTATTTTATTTTGGACTGAACAGGATTCAATCTAAAAGATATCCAATAGGGTAATTAAATGCGATTGGATCATGTTTCTAAATGTGTTATCTGCTTTTCGGGATGAAAAAGCAATTCACACTTTGGGTCAGCTCAATTGGAACATTGTGAAGGATCCACCAAAACAGCCTGTGAATAAAAAGCAATTATCTTTTTTTTACTTCCCTTGGAGATCAGACAAAACAGAGACAGAAATAACCGCACTATGTCATCTCTAAAAACTGAACTTTCGCCACAGGCATATCAGACCCCTCCCTGGCCTGCCCCCTTTTTATTCTTTTCACTGGATCTTTCTGGCTTACACAGCATGCTGTGTAAAAGGATAATATTATTGCTGCACTGAGAGGAAGCAAGAGACCATATCCCCAATTTCTACTGTAGAAAAACGAGCACTGGGTAAAGAAAACTTAAGCTTTTAATACTTATTCGTAGGGCTTAGCACGCATAGAAATACAAGAAATCACATTGATCTGCGGAATATCCTTTGATCTGGAACCAAAAGATTAAAGATGAACCCCAGCGATCCAGCTGCACAATGCATAATACCTCTGCAGGAATGATCCCGTTTGTTGTATTTGAAGTATCCAGCCTGGCACTTGCAAACTGCAATGCCGTCCAAGTCCACACACACAGAAGTTTCTTTGTCGCATTCCGGATCTTTGTGTTTACACAGACCGCCAACTATTGCAAAAAAAGAACATTGGGAAGGTCATTAACTAGGCAGAGGGAAAGTGCACCTTCACTGGATTCTTTCTCCACAGATATCAGGACTCGAATTAGATATTTTGTGAGCAAGGGGTGGGGAAAACCTGTGGCCCTCCAAATGTTGCCGGACAACAGTTTACACCATCCACAGGTTTCCTACCACTTGTTTGACCCTTATTGTTCCCTTTTGAAATTCCACCATTGCTAAGGTACCAGGCTGTACAGCTGTTGCTCATCTCTTAATGACAAAAAAACCTAACCAGCTGATCTTGCTAATCCAGTATCCAAGCATTTCCAGTGTGTTGGTAATAGCTGTGTATACTACTAACTACGGTTGTAATTTTTAGATCGTGTTTTGTGTTATTTGTGCATGATTTTATGCCAGCGTAGATGTCGCTGAGACAAAAGTGCAAACGTGCTGGGAATGTGGTCTTGGGAGAGCACAACTTTGACTGAGACTCTGTCCTGCCATGTGATGCCTAAAATCTTCCTAATAAATGCATATGGAAGGCATTGAGGCGTCGCTCTTGGCGGGTATAAAATGGCCATGATTCACCTCCATAAGGCAGCGTGCTCAGCATGGAAGCCTGGTAGACCGTTATCTTGGTATTGGTCATTAGCATCACACTCTCCCATACCCTTTTGAAGAGGCAAGCCATTGCCACAGATGTCTTCTCAATACAGTGGTACCTTGGTTTACGAACTTAATCCGTTCCGTCCGGAAGTCCATTCTTAAACCGAATCCGTTCTTAAACCAAGGCACGCTTTCCCTAATGAGGCCTCCTGCTGCCGGTGCCCTTCCACTGTTCAGATTCCGTTCTTAGACCAAGGTAAAGTTCTCAAACCAAGAAATTATTTCCGGTTTTGTGAAGTTTGTAAACCAAATCGTTCTTAAACCGGACTGTTCTTAAAACGAGGTACCACTGTATGCTTGTCCAGCTCTCATTGATGGAAAGGTTGCTGGTTATGGTAGAGCCTATTTTCTTGTATTGGTAATTTAACTTTGTGGTTTTGCGTTATTTTGTGTTTCCTCTGTGCATCCTTAGTGGGTTGGACACTGAAATACCATTTCCCTTGCCAGTTCTGACTGTGATCAGGTTTTTTTAAAAAATTCATTTCCCTTCTTTTCCACTAAGGATTAGCATCCTTGAAAAATCTAACTGTCAGTAAGCTAATCAATTTAAAGATCTATATTATTAGTAGTACTACTGTTTTATTTTAAAAACCTGTACTGTCATCTCTCATCCTGTGGCTCTGAGAAGTGTTGCCCCATAATTTTGACAGGTTCGCACCATGTGGTCAGGATTCAATGCCACACCTCTGACATGAAAAGCCTGTACACAAAGACCATAATCCCACGGTGTGTCCCATATTTTACTTACAAGAATGTTTTTGTAGGGAGGCAAGCTTCTCACACATGTGAGAATGAAATCTTTATTTTATCCTATAGAGGCTTTCAAGAGGCTTTCTGTTTCAGTGAAACAAAGCTTTTCAAAGAGAGCTTTGAAGAAAGCAAGCTTTTTTAAAAAAAAGAAAGAAAGAAAAGACAGAATGTTCTTTTGAAAACTTTCTTTTTAAAAAAAAGAAAAAGAAAAAACCAACCCCAGTGTTTCACCATGTCTTTTTACCTCTGTGGAGCAGTGTAAGTTTAGAGATGAACTGGCAAGTCTGTGTGGGAGCCTTGCAGGCTCGAATGTGGCTTCGCACGGTGCTAGCAACCTCAAAAAGGGTGACGTTGGAGACCAAAGAAAAGGTGCTCAGGACAGACACTTGCATGATGCCCGACTGCCTGTGGAAAGAGTGAGAAAATGCAAAGTCTGCATCATCATCCTGCAGTTGTAGAACTACGACACTTATTTGAGAATGGTACAAATATCATACACACAGCATGAACGCATTTTCCTAGTCTTGGCTTGACAGTATCTGTCTGCCTGCGGTGCTTTATATCAAAAAGGCAGGGAGGCAGTGCACTTCAGAGGCTGCTAGAGTCAAAGCGCCCACCTGACCTGACCCTTCTCCAGGCAGAGCTCCTACCACTTTTGCAGGTTCCTGGGGGAAGACTAGGACCATGCCAAGGACCTGACTATAAAGCCAATGCTGGTTGTGCTAGAAAATCTGGCATGGCTGATTCCATTAAGAATCTTCAGAGCAGGTTCATTCCTGTGACCGTGCTGGCTGGAAGCAACATGTACATACTGCAGGGAAGGGTTATGGGTTTGTTTTGCCAAATTGCACCAATTCCACGCAATATAAAGAAGCCACAGGTTGATCAAGGGGAAAGGGGAAAAGAGCTTCTGCTCATTTAGAGTTGTGTACACGAGAAAATTTCAGGAGCGGCATCTTTTATTACTCAACATGATAAACTGCTCCTGCCCAAATTCCCTCTTGTAGTTATCATTTATTATTTCTATAGCAGCATCAATGTTTGTGGCATTTTACAGGGTAGATGAAGACTGCAGCCTGTACCAGAAGGCTTCAATCTTCAATTGAGGCAAAGAGTTAACCGACTGAAGGAGGTGGGGAAAACCAGGGAAAGAATATGCGTTATTGCAGTCTCTCTTCTTCCCAATTATTAATGGCACAGTACCATGGGTGGGGGGGTGGGAGGGACTGTGGACTACATATCACAGTATAAAATGGTTTTTATATGTGCTGGAAGCTGCCCAGAGTGGCTGGAGAAATCCAGCCGGATGGGTGTGGTATAAATGATAACATTATTATTTTTATTATTATTATTATTATTATTATTAAAGCTCTAGGGCAAGAGTTCAAATCAAAGCCCAGCCACCCAAAGTGATGGTTTTACTGTTTCATGATCCTTACCTGGATGCTTTAACAGTGGAAGTGTAATAGCCTGGCAATGTTGAAAGAGAATTGTTCAGCTGGGGGGGAAAAATTGAACAGACATTGTATTGGTTTGTTTGTTTGTTTTGCAAATTGAGCCAGGAGCTCCGAGCTTCGCCATCATGCCATGCATCCCAACCCTGCTGCACCAGGTAGCTGGCCTGCTGCTGCTCGCTTGGTGTGGTCCCTCACCACCATTCTGCCCCCAGTGTGTAAGGAGGTCCTGGTCACCCACAAATAGCAGCACATGGAGACATGAGAGAGGAACTTGGGCCACCTATTGCAAAGGAGAGGCATAGGCATGATGTGTGTGTGTGTTGGGTGCATGTGTGCTGTTGCAAGGGGCCCACACAAATCTGGAGCTGGCTCTGCTTACACCTTTGAGGAACTGATGGTGCTTCCTAACTGTGAAGGTTCCGAATGCAAGCTCATGGGTCACGAGAGGGAAAAGGCAAGCAGCAGCATGATGGGGATAGTTGTCCACGGTGGACAACTTTAGGATGTGCTGGAGAACTTTCTAAGATCATTCACAAGTTTAAAAGACAAGCTCTACTGCGCTGTAGGGCAGGCAAAGGTGCCAGCCATGCCCCTGATAAGAGAGCCTTCTGTAAAAGAGCTGGGCGAGGAGAAGAAGCCCCTTTATTTCTTTCAGCAAACTGCCTCCTCACAAGCTGCCACTGTCAATTAAATACTATGCTTAAAAAGAAACTTTTGACACTTACCATGTTCATAATAGCTTCTTCAACTTGAAACTCTGAGTACTGCCCTCCAGTTGTGTTAAACTGGCCAACAAAGGTTCGAACTGAAGGCAAGAAGATAACTCGTTAGCTATTTTAAGGGCTAGATCTCTCTCTCTCTTTCACGCACACACACACTGAATGCCAAGGAAATCTAACTTTTCTCCACAGCAGTGAAATAGAAACATGTCTTTTTATTTAAATGGAAGCTTTGTTTCTAAGTCCCAAACTAGACATTACACAGCAGAACATTGTTAACTGCCAATCATACATTAATGTTAGAACACAGGAAGCTGCCTTATAACAAGTCAGGCAACTGGCCCATCTAGCTCAGTATTGTCTACAATGATTGGCAGTGGCTACTCATGGTCCTCCAGCCACTGTTGGACTGCAACTCTCATATTCCCTGACTATTGGCCATGCTAGCTGTGGCTGATGCATGGTTGAATCCAACAACATAAGGCACATCTTCTCTACTCCTTTAAAGTCTTGAAGTGTAAAATCATGGATTGGATAAGTTAGTTGAACTTAGGTTTCACTGAAATTGATAACACAAGTTAAATATGACTGACTTCAGTTTCATTGATCTCAATGAGAACCAGTTCCTGCAAACCAGCAAAGTGAGGTTAAATGTATTTCTGGTAATAAGAAGTAGCCAGTGCTAGTAAAACCTTTTAAAATAATAATAACAAATTAAGCTAAATGTGGCTTTATGTTTTATTAAGAAGTTTGCCCCCACCCCCAGTCTCTTCAGTTCTCTTACCTAAATTGCACTTTCCTTTCTCCATCTGGTAGCCCAGGGAACACGTGCAATGGAACGAACCTTGTGTGTTAGTGCATGTGGCCAAGGCTGGGCATGGATTAGACGGACACTCATCTACATCTGAAACAGAAGGAAGAAGCCACAGCCTTTAGAATGGAAGTCCACCAACCCACTTTTCACTGCTGTAAAGCATTGATGTAAAGGGCTGCCTCCATTATTATAACATTATTGTTATTCCTCCATTACCCGTACTGCAGTCCTCTCCCTGCCAACCAGGTGAACACTGGCACTGGAATTTGTCCATCAAGTTATCCACAATGCATTTCCCATTATTAAGGCAAGTCTCTGCGGTGCACGCATTAGCTGTGAAATAAAGCATTTGAAGAATTAAGTCACGATCAACAGATGTGACCAAATTCACCTCTGAACCCCCACATTCAACAAGCAAGGTAGTGCACTGCACCTTTCACCCACATGCACACAAAAGCTTCCTCTTCTGATACCTAGAACCAACAAGTCAAGCCGAATAAACTATACGCTGCTGGGGTGATCACTCTCCAAAACCATCCAATGAATGGCTACTGCTGGTTTCCCAAAACACACGGAAAACCAGCTTCCACTCATCCTGCTGATCTGAGTCTCATTTCTGGCATTCTGAAGGTGGGGTACCTCTGGACCATTACCAGCAATGGGCACCTTCAAGCCATAAAGAAGTGGTGCGCTTCACAATGTAGCCTTACACCTTGGAGACAAAGCGCTATTCAGCCTACATCGCAAACATAATTTTGTGCAAGAGGCAGGCACAGCAGAAAGGGCTTCAACCATAGGTCATTGCCTTGTTTAAATGCAGGAGAATATGGCCAGCAAACACTGGCACACTCTATTAACTAAAGGAGTAAAGGCATTACAAAATAACTATAGTACATAGCTGCAACAAGAGGTTGCATTGTAGAGAGCTCCAGGGTTCTAGAGAGATGGGATACCCCTGCCCTTTTTTCTGCAGATTCCATTTTATTATTCTAGATGATCCTTCCCCCACCTCAACAGACATTCAACATTGTCTGGACACTGCTGGGTTGTTTTGAGACAGGTGTTACTGTGTCCCCTTTCAGTTTCATCCCCTATAGATGCTTTATGTGTGTGTGTTTTTAAAAAACTTATTCCCCCCCCTCCCCCAATCTCCGAATAATTTTTGATTCTGAGCTCCGGAGTAGATGGTTTCTGTTTTTTGTAGAAACGCATAACCATTTTTTTTAAAAAAAGAGAATCTACCAAATGAATTCCCATCCAAAAGTGCAACGATACAGCACCATTAAATCCATTTTTCCTGTTATACCCATTTCCATCATTTCTCAGAGAAGGCTTACCTTTTCCACGGGAAGCTGGAAATGTCCTTGGACTTCCTACCCGTGCAAATGTAGTGGCTTTGGTGGGAACCGGTGAAGGAGAAACGGTCCCTGCAGTGGTTTTGCTGGAAGGAAACATTTTGGGAGGGTGGGCAGTAGTGGCTCTGGAATCAGTGGTTTTAGAAGCAGTGGTAGTGCTCGTTTCCATCCCTTCTGTGGGAGTTCCAGTGGCATAAGATGGCGTCTTGGTGGGAAGGGGAGGACGTACTTTCTGAGGCTTTGTAGTGACCACATAATCCACGCTTGATGCCAACGTAGGTAATCCTAACGTTGTGTGTGCTATATTTACAAGGTTCTTTCCCGTGGTTACTCCCACCAAACTGAAGGCATCCTCTAGTGTGGTTGTATATGGCAACGAAGCAGTAGTTGCTTTGGCTGTCTCTGAAACTGTGGTACTTTCGGCCCTGTACGTGGGAGACATAGTCGGAACAGGAGGCATTTTTCCAACCCTGGTCCCTGGGAGAGAAACGTTTTGCCCCTCTGAGCCCTTGGTTTCATCTAGGGGTACTGTCATAGGTGACAAGTGGTCTGTGAGCTGTTCAGTAGTTTGGGTCAGAATAAGAGAAGATCCTGTTGTCCCCAGATCAGTGCTGTCCTTCAGTGGGTATGTCCCAGTCTGGTTGCTGAACGGCCTGTTGGAACTTCCAGCTGTGGGTGGGTCTGTTCCAGTTGTCCCTTCAGATGCAGCCATAGAAACACTGCTTTCCAAAGACTCACTAGGCTGCAGCAACGACAGTGTTGAGGAAAGAGGAGGCAATAAAGATGAGGATGGGGGCAGCGTGGGCAGTGCTGTTGGCGACTCCCTGCGTGAAAAAGCTGGCAAAAGTGTTTGAGGGGAAGGTGAAAGCAGGGGTGGGAAAGCAGAGGAAGACAATGGAAGAGGGGATTCTGAGGTCGAAAACAGAGTTGGCAGCTGAGTGGGTGGAAGTGAATCCTGTTTCAGTGACACTGAAGAGGAAGGTGTGAATGATAAGCTGCCAGCAGGTGTCAGTTCGGATTTCGAATATAACTGAGTTGCATGCAGCTCACTGACTGTTGAAGAGTAGGCCGGTGTTTTCAGGGCATGTACAGACAACGGTTCTGTTGACGGTGTGGAGAAACCCATGTTGCCGGAGGACATGTTGCTTCCTCTGATCTGGGTCACAGAAAATGAGGACCGTGCTGACTCTGAAGGGCTGGAAATTTCTGCATAAAAAGTGGAACTTTCTGATGAGTCAGCTGATGTGCTGCTTTTTGGAATAGACAGTAACGTCCTTTCTCCACCCCTTGTGAAAGTGGTTGAAATGTACGTGCTGTCAGTATGAGAAACAGAGATTATTTTTCCAGTGTCAGTGCTACTCATTGGCTGGTAGTCTGTTCCAGTGTCTAAAATACAAGCAAAAATTATTATTAATGCTTAGCATGAAATTTCCTCTGATACAGATTGGGGCCCCCAATAACAGTAATAGTTCTAGATTCCATACGTAATAAAATTAAAACAAAAAAATTCCATAAAAGTTTCATTTTTTAAAAAAAGCCTCAAGGTGGCAATTATTGGTAACTTCCGTTATCATTTTATATGAACTCATGGCCATAGGTGGTTTGATGGCTTACATTACAACTGTACACAGAGAGAAAAAATCCTAGACAATAATCATGGTAGGAAGGAATATTAACAACAATTAACTAAGACAGCAATAGGCTATATCCTCTTCTTGCCGATATCTTCTTGTTCTTACTGAGAACAAGTGACTATTGAAGTAACTCACAATATTGGACTGAGCCTCTGCATAAAATGAGCTGTAAATGTGTCATTTTATGTTGCCAGCCGATAAGAGATGGTGAGTAAATATCAATAAACCAAAAGGGATTTACTTATGACTGGACATGCGTAGGATTAGGTGTTAAGACTGCAATGCTATGCATGCTTATTCAGAGGTAAACCCCACTGGGGGTTACACTCAAGGAAGTGTCCACAGGATTTCAGTCCAAAACTAACCCTAACCTTTTACATTTATTGCTTCATTTCGTTTTTCTCTTACACACTTTTTAAAAAGTCCCAAGGATAGCTTATGACAATAATAAATAACTCAAAACAAATTCCTTAAGTACAATTCACAGTATTAAATCCAAACTTTTTTTCCTTAAATCTCCTAACTAGTATCAACAATTACTTCATCCTAACCTCCTAAAGATTTGGAGAAATGTTTTACAATGCTTGAGCTATGGCTCTAAGATTGGCAGGCTTTTCTGGGAAATAAATTCCAGAGAATTCTTTCAGCTCTTCTAGTCCAGAATGCTCCCAGCTGGGGGACCTGATGAACTCACAAATCTGTCTGTTCTCTGAGGTCACCCTGACAGGCCCACTTTCAGAACAAACCTTGGTTTCAGCTCATGACTTGAGCAGAGTGAGATATAACCACAAGCCCAGGTTTGGACATATCGAGAAATCAAACCATGGCTTTGTTCTCAGCAGCAGTAGGACCAGGAACCTGCACACTTGCTTGTTTGCACTAAGCTTGGCTTAGTGTTACTTGTGGATCACTGTGGACATCCAGTAATTGTTGGTCCCAAGAATAAAAAGACATACACAAAAGCAATACCTTTTACAGATTCATCTTCATTCATTTTCACCAACAAGAAAGAATAGTTCAATGAAACTTGTTCCCTTGTCATGTAAAGCTTACATGCACTTGAAGAATATGCAATTAGGGTGATAATTGTGTATTGATAAGTGCTGGCAGGTAAAGCAGGGTACAAAATAAAAACCAACCTGAAGGTTCACTTTGGAAGGAAGAATAAGTTGGTATCCTGGATGAGCTGAAGTTTTGGAAAGACTCCGTTGAAGGCCCAGAAGTATCAAAACCTTTTACTGAGAAGTCAGTCCTTCTAGAGTATGCTTCTGACGAGGAAGGATTTAGTTCTGAGCTGTTGGACTCGTCTATATATGAAAATGTTCTTTCAGTAGCTTCAGCAAACGTATTGTTAACTATGGATTGTAGAGTTTGTGCGTCTCCTTTGTTGAAAGTTGCTGAATGGTAAGTGCTTTCAGTGTAAGAGTGTGAAATGCTTGCTTCACTCATTGAATGATGACTACTTCCAAGAACTGAAAGAGGAATTTGAAAATGAAATTTTTAAATTGCACTTACAGCATATAACTTTGCTATCAGAACCTGTATTATTTATAATGTCACATTATTCATAATGTGTAGTTACTAGACTTCAATAAAGTGAATTACATCCTGCCCCATTTTGAAGGCATGTGGTTTAAGGTGATGCCTACAGATCTGCCAGTGGAATACTGTAAACAGTGACATTTAATTGGTTCATACTATACTCCAGATCCCCTTTTGCTGCAAAAAACCCCAAACTCAAATGTCATGAGAGACTTGATAATTTGTAAGTGTGTATGTGTCAGGGCTGCCTCAAGTCTCAGCTCACAAAAGACCAACGCCTATCTCTTCTTATATACAAAAGTGTTTATTGCAGTTCATTGTTTGCTTCACATCCGAGGCGCGCAGCCCTACGTCTGCTACGCTTAGACCGCTGAAGTCCCCTCTGAATCAGTCCCTCCCCTGCACCAGTTTAAGAGGCTTGCGCTGCTCCACCTCTTTCTCTCTTTCCTTTCCGCAGGGTCCTTCTGCCCGCTGGGGTTTCGCTCCTCCTGGATTCCTCTGACGCGGAATCCCCAGACTGCTCTTGCCCCCTCCTGCGGGCTTTGGGACCTGGCCCCTCCTCCGGGCTCCCTGTATTTCCGCGCGCCTCTACATTTGAACTTGGCGCGCGCGCCCAACCTCTAACCTTCCTTTTAACAGCTACACTACTCCCTTCACTACTCCCCTCCCCTTCCGGGAGGGTGGCTTGCTCCGACCTTCCTCCCTTCTCTGCTGCCGGAGCCGCTTCCCCTGATACACTGAAACCTCCACCCCCTTCGCTGCACTCTGGCGGGGAGGCTGGTCCTGACCCCCAGCTGCCACTTTGGGATCCCCCGCTGGCCCCCTGCTCCTGACACGTCCCCCCTGGGGCTCCCTGGCCTTGACCACCGGCGCCCCTTCTGGGAATCCTCTGATTCGCTGGAAAGACTCATGGAATCTCTTGAGTCATTGTCATCCTCTTCCTCGCTGTCCTGGGATTCATCCCCATCGCTCTCCATCTCCTGCCTACCCTGTGCCTCTGTCCCTGAACCCCTGACAGTATGTATAAAGATACACACACACACACATCTACCTATGTATACATAATATATACATGAAAATAAAGCTCTTTATAGTTCTAGGTGTTTACAGCACGTATAGACATAGTAAAGGTAAAAGGACCCCTGACCATTAGGTCCAGTCGTGACCGACTCTGGGGTTGCGGCGCTCATCTCGCTCTATAGGCCAAGGGAGCCAGCGTTTGTCCGCAGACAGCTTCCGGGTCATGTGGCCAGCATGACTAAGCCACTTCTGGCGAACCAGAGTAGCACACGGAAACGCCGTTTACCTTCCCGCCGGAGCAGTACCTATTTATCTACTTGCACTTTGACTTGCTTTCGAACTGCTAGGTTGGCAGGAGCAGGGACCGAGCAACGGGAGCTCACCCCGTCGCGGGGATTCGAACCGCCAACCTTCTGATCAGCAGGTCCTAGGCTCTGTGGTTTAACCCACAGTGCCACCCGCGTCCCTGCGTATAGACATACATAATGCAAACTATGGTGAGTACAGTCAATTCTTCCTTCACTCTTTTTCCTAAAGAAAACTCACTTGACGGATCCTTTGGTGAAGATGGGGACATTGGAACTTCAGAGGAATGGTGAAGCAGGTGCTCAGTAGAAGATCCAGCGGATTGCACTTCACTTTGTGAGACATTATCCATTTCTCCTCCGGAATTCAAGCTCAGGGTCAGATCTGAAGACTCGGAAGTTTCAGTATTGTAAGTGGTACTGTCTGTTGCATCAGGAGATGTGCTGTTATCTGGTAAAGACCGTGAGGTCCTCTCTCTACCATGCATGAATGTAGTTGACAGGTAGATGCTGTCTGTAGAAGCCCCAGAAAGCCTTCTTTCCACATCAGACACTTTAACTGGCTGAAGACTGCTTCCAGTACCTAAATCGAAACAGAATACACTGTATTTTTCTGTGTATAAGACAACCCCTATTTTTTGAACCCAAAATTAAGAAATCAATATTTTAAACATCAAACAGAACAACTCTGAGATTTTTTGAGGGAAGCTGGCTGCCCACGCCAGAGTCAGAGCCTGAACCCCTGTGCATTCACCATCCATGTATAAGACAACCCCCAATGTTTGACTAATTTTTTAATAGCAAAAACTTTAATCTTATACACAGAAAAATACGGTAGTTGGGGAAGAGGAAAATACAAATTGCATATACATCCCTTCTTTGAATTCCTTTAAGTGTTCGTACTTCCTGTCAAAAGTTCTTTCGATTCTTTTAAGTATAAATACTTAAAAGTCATAATAATACAGCTGATCCTCAAAGGTTTTCAACTAATGCCACACAGCATGATTACATTTCAAAGAAAGATGTTGTTAGTTAGGCTTAAGTGCTCACTTCTTATATCCTTTTGATATAGGCATAAATTATTTTGATTTTAATGAGACTTGAGAATGTATTTGGCTGGGTGGCCCCCAGTACATGTTGGGTCTAGAAATGGAAAATGAGATGACTACATCACACTAATTTTTATGGTTCCATGGAGTTGGAGTATTTTCATAAGGTTGAAGTGGAATGCAGACTAGCACAGAATGTTTTTAATGAAAAAATGGTGCAGAAACTGGACAGTGGGCATTTGAAGTCAGCGGCTATTTGATATGCTTAACAGTGTTGCTATACAATCAGAAATGCTGGTGAGCTGAATTTTACATTGTGTGTAATTTCATAGATCATAATAATAGAGTTTTCAAAGATGGAATACAAAGAATGGACATGTGCCAAGGAAACAATTGCATGAAAGCCACAATAGTTATTGTTGATGCTATTATTATTATTATTATTCCCTCAGCCTTCCTCCCAAAGGAGCCTAGGCTGGCAAATATGCAAGTGATAGAACAATTAAAATATCTTAAAAAAATTGCAATGCAGATATAGACCAGGAAAGATATATCCTTAAAAGGCTTTTTGGAAGAGGAAGATCTTCAGTAGGTGCTGAAAAGTTGACAGAGACAGTGCCTTTCTAATATTTAACAGGAAGAAATTCTAAAGGGTAGATGGCACAACACTAAGGGTCTAAGTCCTGAGAGCCAGTGTGGTGTAGTGGTTAAGAGCGGTAGATTCGTAATCTGGGGAACCGGGTTCGCGTCTCCGCTCCTCCACATGCAGCTGCTGGGTGACCTTGGGCTAGTCACACTTCTTTGAAGTCTCTCAGCCCCACTCATCTCACAGAGTGTTTGTTGTGGGGGAGGAAGGGAAAGGAGAATGTTAGCCGTTTTCAGACTCCTTCAGGTAGTGATAAAGAGGGATATCAAATCCCAACTCTTCTTCTATTGCCAAAGAGTTAAGCTGTTACCCAGTTTAAAAATGGCATATCTTTTTAGCAACAGAAATTGCTGCACCTAAGGGCAACCTCACATTTTTTAATCAGGTATGAGCAGACTTCAGATGTACTATTTTGTACTATGTTCCCCCCCCCCCCCCCGGAACTTGAGGTCCACCAGATGCGAAATAGCAGTGCAGTGGGCTGGGGCTGAGGCAAGGGTAAGGATGCAAAGTAAGAATTCTTCTGAACACATGCCCAGGAATTTGTTGTGCAGAACTGCATTCCTTTCATATAGAAATCCAGTCCTGGTTTTCCCTTAAGTTCTCTCTATTTCAGCAGCCCAATTTGCAGAGTGGTAACCCTACTGGTAAACCTACTGGTAACCCTACTGGTAACCCTTGCTTTACATGATAAGCATATTTGTTCCATGTATAGCAGGGGCTCCAGTTGCATGTGCTTGTGTGTGTAAAGACATACATGCGTTATGCACATTTTCATATGTTTCGCCACAGGAACCACAAATGTATACAAAACACTTTGGTTGTGTACACATTATACCTCTAAAGCATATTTGAATCACAGTTCCTCTCTGAAAGAATTCTGGGCATGGTAGTTTGTTAAGGATTGCTGGGAATGGTAACTCTGTGAGGTGTAAACTACAGTGCCCAGAATTCTTTGAGAGAAAGAATGTGTTTTGACTGTGCTCTAAAGGTATGTGTGCACAGGACAGTTAAATAAAGTGTGGATGTGTTACAAAGAGCAAAGTTATAGTCGCTCATATTCATGTGTATAATACAATAGTTAAAAGCTGATTGTTACTTTAAAAAGGAAGAAATAAGGGGAAGATTATGGAGAAAACTACATAGACAGACAGGAAACAAATGAATGGCTACGTCTCAATCAGATTTTTAACCAAAGCAATAACAAAAATGGAAAACTCACTTGAAAGATCTATTGCAGAAGATGAATAGGCAGAAGTTTTGGAGGAATATGTAAATAAATGCTCTTTTGAGGACTCACTGAAATCCATCTGGGTAGATGGGAAACTTTCTTTTCCACTTTGGGCTGAGGTTGACAAGTTCTGGGTTAAATCTAAAGAACTGACATTTTCCATATCAAAGGTTGATAGCTCTGTTGCATCTGTGGATTTGCTCTTGATAGCTAGAGATCCTAATGTCGCATCTCCACTTTTGATGAATGTGGCAGTAGAGAACATACTCTCAGTCTGAGAGACCCTTTCCTCTGTACCAAAGTTGTTGAATGTGTGCTGGCTACTCCTAACATCTAGAAGAGAACAAACTGGAATTAGAACTTTGTCTACAAGTTCAGACTAAAGTTATGCACATACATTAATTGTGCAACTGTATGCACATTTACTCAGAAGTAAGTCACAATGTGTCCAATGGGGCTTATTATCTTGTAAGTGTGTTTAGGATAGCAGCCTATTATAAAAATCGTGATTTTCAGTTTTCAAGTTTATCATTCTAATGTCACTGTCATCTCATCCAAATACAACTTTCTGTATTTTTTTTTAAATGATATGGAAATGTTTTACATTTCAGGAGAATTTGCTTATTTAGATTTATTCTATGGTGTTCATTTTTTAAAAAACAACAACAAACATTCTGTAGAGAGAAAAGAAAAACACAATGAGCTGGGAGCTTTCCCATGAGTAGACAAAATCATGTATCCCCTATAGTTTCTTTAAAAAATGTGCCATAGTGGCCACCTGCTTTTCATCTTACCTAACCTAATTTAAAATTTCCAATCTAGTACCTCATTATGGCTTCATCTAGCCAATCCAATTAGAAGAGGTAGTCACTATCCTACGTCTCATTATCTCTGGCATGGTCTTAGTTGGGCAACATATTACATTTAGGTCAATGGAATTAATCAGTAGAAACTCTAATAAGCTAAATTACTAAAGCTAAAATGTGGATTTTTTCATTTGAATTTAACCAGAGCAGAGGCCACAACTAGTGAGATGTTCCAAATCAAAAGCAGAGATGTATGTGTCACCTACAGCCTTGCTTGTGTCGCTTAAGAGATCCTAAAAGCCCGTATTTGCGTCTCACAAGAGTGATGGAAGAGTACATAGTAGGTAAAAATTTCCTTTTTCAATACTGTCTTGAGTTACCCAGACCTTTGACTCAGGAAGACACTTCCAGGGTAGGAATGCTATGCCCCTGGGGCCACTGTGAGCCTAACAAGAGACCTGGTAAGAGAAGTTATTATCTTTTTACAGCACGGTTCCTACAGCAGCTTCCTTTCCCAAGAGTTCCAAAAGCAAGAATCTGCTAATGCCATCTGCCCAACGAGGCCTACAAGACTCAAGAAATCACTAGCACGAACTTCCTAATTGAGTTGTTTTAGAATATTTTAACTGTTGTAACCATTTACTTTGTGTGCTGCTTCTTAAATAAAATGACAATTGGAAGCCACTCACCATGTGGATTGCTGACACTGTTTTGAGATCATCTACTCCAGCAGTTACTATGAATGAATGCACAACACTGGCACTCAGATGACAAGCCACTTATAGGTCACATTCACATCATATGTTTAAATCACATGGCTCCCCTCAAAGACTCCTTGGGAACTGTAGTTTGTTAAGTGTGCATTGTAAATTACAGTTCCCAGGATTCCTTGGGGAAAAGCCATGTGCTTTAAATGCATGGTGTGGATGTGACCAGATATTATGTCCCTTGCATGGAAGTGTCACCACATGGAAGTGTTCATCAGTGAACTCAATGTTAACGCTGTAACTTATGAAGTGGCCCTGGAGTATGGCGAAAAGAAAGGATTTTCAGAGCAGGTGATGAAAAGGCTATACTCCTTATGGGGCTCAACATCCCTTTAGAAAGCTTTCCATTCCCAAGTCAAGCCGCAGTATAGCTTGCCACAGGAGTTGGGGCCACAACGGGAAACGTTTCCTTTTACTCCAGCCCACTCATGATCGATAGCAGCCACCATGGAGTGTGTGGAAAGTCCCAACATTATTGCCCTGGCTCATATGGTGACTTATATAAACAATACCACTGAGAGGGAGAGGGCACTTACCACACGGATGCTGATTTCCAGGGAATGTGTAATCTTCAGATCAGCCCTTAGGGAGTGATGGGTGGGGCTGGAAAAGGGATGTCATAAAAGGGCTAAATTGTTCAAAGGTGTCCTCTAAGCTCAAACAAGAATCCCCAGGGCTATAACGCAAAGTTTATGTGAACTTTCTCTCATTGTCTAGGATCGGGAGCAATCCCCTCTTTTTCCACAGGAAATTTGGTTTTACACCAGCCAAGGCAAACCAGTGCTCTCAAATCTGTAACAAAACAGAAGATCTTAATTCTTTACCTGTTGCTTCTGAAGGGGACTGGGAATGTGTAACTGCTGCTTCAATAAAATCAGTGTCCTCTGTTGACAAATTCGTCCGTCCGGTCTGCCTTGGAGTCAACATGTAAGAAGAATTAGGGAGGGCCGAAGAGCTGGAGATTTCAGTATTACCGGCGATGGACTTTTGTGTTGTGTTCTGAGAAATGCTGTTGTTGCTTAGAGTTTGTACTGTCCTCTCTCCACCTCTGTCAGGTAGAACTGAAACAGGTACACTGTCAGTATGAGAACTAGAAATGCTCCTCTCTGTATCTGAGCTGCTTGCTGACTGGTGATCAAGATCTTCAGTAGCTGAAACACACAACAGTAAAAAAAAAAGAGATGTTCCATCTCCAGATATAGAAAGTGTATCTCAAGTTTTATTATGTCGTTTTCTTATAATCATGCAGATCAAATGGAAAACACGAAGGGGGGGGGTGCGCGCTGCAGCCCAATAAAAATAATGAATGCCTAGATTAATGGTTGAATTTTAAAAAAAATCAATGTGCAAGAGGAATGGCTTCCACCCACACAAGAGAACTTTCCCTCCTCTCCTCCCACACTGTATCCCCACACGAAACCCAAATCTATTCTGATGGGTTGCTCTGATTAGGAGGGTTCAGAGGCCATTGGAGGGGAGATGGGAAGCTCCACTGCGAGAGCAGAAGTCATTCCACTCACACAAATATTTAGTTGGAAACAACCCATTGTTTTATGACAAAAAAAGGTTTAATGTTTTTGTACATGGTATGTTTTTATTTCCAGCTGTCATCGTAACATTGGAAACATTAATTTGGATTAAATACATTTTATAGTATAAATTAATAAAAAAGCACCTTTTTTGGTCTTTTTTCTTTCAAGTATATATATACCTTGTTAAATACCTCCATACTTCATTAATAAATTCCTCAATAGTTGGAGAAATTGCTTGACTTCAGTACCTGGTTTTTCAGCTGCTATAATCGCCAAGACTATTAAAAAAAGTATCTTTATCTTTATACTTGTTATAGGTTATAATGCATATGTGGGGTACATGTTGAATCCCCCTGCTCTAATTTATTATACTTTTATATTTCCAGATTTATATTTCCAGTAGTGAACCATAATTTTTATTTAACTATTTAACTAAGGTACCACTTGAAACAGTTCTCTCTAATATCCACCTTTAATAAGAAACAAGTGTTCCCTTTGGCCACACATTTTCACAAATATATATAACTACATACACTCCAGTATATTAGCTCCATCCACCAGATAGTTTTAACTTGATTAAACTCACATATGTATTCCAGGAGGAAGAAAATAGATATTTGACAATACGTTGTTATTATTACCAGTAATCAATCAGTCAAAATATGTTAAGGTTCTGAAAGGCATATTGGGTGACATCCAGTGATCTACCAACAAGTCACTGTTGATACAACAGATCCCCCTGCCCTGCCCTGCCCTGCCCCACTATGCCCCTAAAATCTGTTCAAGACAGTTGGGAGTCAGTCTGGAGTAGCCTGGGGGAGCAACGCAGGAGGTTGCAGGGGAGAAAAGCAGTTGTTCTCATTGCATGTGTGGAGGTCCATTCATGTGATGTTGGACATTGCCAAATGATTCATGTCCCCTCCAAAAGTGCAAATAAATCCTAATTTAAAATACCAGTACAGTGGTACCTCGGTTTACGAACTTAATCCGTTTCCAAAGTCCGTTCTTAAACTGAAACCGTTCTTAAACTGAGGCATGCTTTCCCTAATGAGGCCTCCCGCCTCGGGTGCCCTTCCACTGTTCGGATTCCGTTCTTAGACCAAGGTAAAGTTCGCAAACCAAAACACTATTTCCAGTTTTGCGGAGTTTGTAAACCAAATTGTTCTTAAACCGGACTGTCCTTAAACTGAGGTACCACTGCACTATACTATTTAGACATCCTAGTCTTAAAGAATAATGACCAACAATTAAAACCTCATGTTTGCATAGTCCTCCATTTTTTAAAGTTTCCTTAGTGTAAAAAATCAGGATAATAAATGACTGAATCTGATGCAGATTTGAGTGCATCATAAAACCTGTCCTGTTTTCTAAAGCAAATTGAGATTAAAGAGCTACTGTTAACTTCCTTCAGTTGTCTGCACATTTGTAGACAAGTTTATTTCAAAACCTCCTTTAGTGGTTTGTCTCTCTAATCTTAGCCTATCTCCTCTTGCTCTCGTTTTTTAAATCTATTCATCCTAATGCTTTTGTTTCATTGTTACACTAGGCAAGTGAAACAGTACACTGAGATTTAGAATAAAAGAGATATTCATGCTTTACCTGTCATTCCCAAAGAAGCCTGGGAATGTGCAAGCGTTACTTCGGTGAAATCATTGTCCCCTGGTGACAAATCCATTTGTCCAGTCTGTACTGGAGTTAACCTGTGAGAGAAATTTGTGAGGCCTGAAGAGGTGGAGAGTTCATTGCTAGCCATTGTGGATAGTTGTGTTGCATTAAGAGAACTGCTGACGTCTCTCAGTGTCCGCGATGTCCTCTCTCCGCCCCTATCAGTTAGACCTGAAACAGACGCACCGTCTGTGTGAGAACTGGAAATACTTCTCTCTGTATTTGAGCTGCTCCTTGGCTGACCACTGTTTTCTGCAGCTGAAACACAAGAGCAAGACATTAGATGTGCCATCTGCATGCGCTAAAAGGGCATCACATTGCATTTCTTCCCATAATTATATTCAGACAGTTCTAATGGAAAACAAGTCCATATCCCCTTTTGTCTTACAAAAGCAATGGCGTTCAGAAAGATGTCTTAGAGTATGATGAGAAAGGGTGATCCTGTGTTGAGTCAGTCAAAAGGGTGGTTATCTGTGAGTAGTAGAAAAAGGAGTGAACCTATGATTGTGTGTGTGTAGGGATGCTTCATTTCTGTGCTTTTAATGCTTGCACTGCAGTGGGTGCTGCTGTAGAGGGCGCTCTGGTACTTTTGGGTCTGGGAGACAGAGCCCAACACTATTTGAGGAACACAGAGTTTCCTGTCTCTGAGCTAGAAGGTATTTGCTCTTTTTCTCTTCATGCTTATATTCATTGCTAATGTTTGGGCGTCATCTTCACACCAGACAAGTGAAACAGTGCTCCAAAATCTGTAATAAAAGAGATCTTCATCCTGTACCTGTTGTTTCTGAAGGAGCTTGGAAATGTGGAAGTGCTGCTTCAGTGAAATCATTGTCCTCTGGTGATGAATCCATTTGTCCAGTCTGTACTGGAGTTAACACATGTGAGGAACCCATGAGGCCTGAAGAGGTGGAGATTTCATTGCTAGTGGTTGAGGATATATGCGTTGCATTAAGAGAACTGCTGACATCTCTTAAAGTACGTAATGTCCTCTCTCCACTCCTGTCATTTAAACCTGAAACAGACACACCATCTGTGTGGGAACTGGAAACACTTCTCTCTGTATTTGAGCTACTCCTTGGCTGACTACTGTCTTCTGCAGCTGAAATAGAAGAGGAAGATATTAGGCGCTGAAGGTGGATCTTATTGCATTTCTTCCCAAAACCGCATTCACACATATTTAACAGAAAACAAATTAATTGTGCTCCAGTCCCTGCACCAGCTGATAGAAATGATGAAACCTTGGGGGGAAATTGGGGTTTAAAACCTTTACAATAAAATCTGAGATGAAAGTGCTAGTATAAAAGAACTGCTTTGAAATATTCAAAAATACCTACATTTTAGGAAATTCCTACAAGCAGTAGCTTGCTCCACTTTAAACCCAGTGGAATACTGTAAACCCTGCAAAGCTATAGGATTGTGTTATGAAAGGAACCTCTAGTGTGACTCACGTTTCGGGACCAGAAAGGGCAAGAGACTTGAGAAAGCAAAGAACAAGATCTTGGAAAGACGGGGAAGATGCTAACTTGGGCACAAATTTCTGAGCAATTGTTGTGCAGTATATTTTCTCTTTAACTGCAAGGCTCTCACCCACAAGCCAAATTAGGCTCACGGGGTCTTAATTTGGCCCACAAAGTCATGTCCCAGCTAAGTCCACCTGCACCACAGCCAAGGCACCTTCAGACTTGCTCTGCAGAGCACATCACAACTGTGGCATGCAATGTTGGCAGAGGGGATTGACCAAAGGAGCTGGTGTTACTATTGTGATGCAATCCATTTTCAGCTGGAAGCTCCTCCTCAGAGTGACACTATAACTCTATGCATTATTATAACAAGACTTTAATAAGGCAGAATTTGATAAGACACAAATAAAGAGATGGCCTCTTTGCCAATAAATGGAAGCAGTGCTCCCAAGTCTTGGCATCCCCATTCACTCACTCTTTTCTTCCTACCGGGTCCCAACCCAAAGAATGCACAGATTTCATCAGCAGAATATGAGGCAGCAAATGCTTCTTCTGCCCATCCCTTTTTTACTCTACCCCTGCCTGTCTCACTTGTTGGTTTTCTCCCTTTCTTAGCAACGAAACCAGAGCTAAGTCAATGATCAGTAGTAAACTCCACCACCACCTGGAAGAGAAACTGACAGTGGGGCAATTGAATTGTGTTGCTTTCTTGTTTTGCTGTCCTGGGCTCCTTTGGGAGGAAGGGTTGGGTAGCAAATTAATAAAAGAAATAAATTGGGAAAGGCTATTCAAGAGGTGAACAAATAAAATCCCAGCTTGGATCAACAGGAAGCAATAAAATGGGTAAAGAGGAAGTGTTCCATTTAAAGGCACAGAAGTTCTGAAAAGCATTAATAGTGCTTTGCTGATTGCTGGTGCTAAAACTGTGCCTTCTCATGCAGAGGGAGGTGGGAGTCTGAAAAAACATGGTAAGAAATGTGAGTGAACAAAAGAAGGTGATTCTAAAGAAAAGGGATACTGTGTAGAAGCAGTAGGATTTTCCCCACATTGCATCTCTTCCACTTTTGTCTTATCAGGAGTCACCAGTCTAGAACCTAAATCAACTCTCCAAAATTTCTGGTAAAATTTCTTCTTTTGCACAACTATTAAAAACATAGGAACCATCTTCCCCTTTCCATCTACCTTTTTCCTATAAGTGGAAAAGATGTCTTCCAGTGGTTACTAGTCATGAAACCCCAGATGGGAACCTCAGTCTTTACCAAAAGTATACTATCCATGCTGGTGATTAACAACAAGGAATGGATAGCTTCATCATGCTCTGCTTTATGAATTTCAGTGAGGAATCTTGTTATCCACCATCAACATACTACCATGACATAGAACGACAATTTTTTTAATTTCACATAAAATATCAACATAGTTTCTGTTGTCATTTTTGAACGGCATGCCAAAAATCTAGTCCAGGCTTCCTCAACCTCGGCCCTCTAGATGTTTTTGGCCTACAACTCCCATGATCCCTAGCTAGCAGGACCAGTGGTCAGGGATACTGGGAAAGGTAGTCTCAAAACATCTGGAGGGCCGAGGTTGAGGAAGCCTGATCTAAGTCCTCAAATCGTAATGGTGACTTGCCTTACCACTTCTGGAGAAAACCCCCTCAAAGTAATCATAAACAATCCTTTGCATTTTGGAACATACTAGAGAGGTTAAAGTTTTCACATTTATTATCTCAGGAATCCTTTCAAAAGCTCTGCAAGATAGCCAAGTATCATCCCAATACCTGAGATGCAAGGAGGCTGAGAAATAGTGGCTTCCCTGTCGCCACCAATATTTGCTCAGCTGAGATAAAATCTGCAGCAACTTCCTGGCTCACAGCACACATGGCATTACACTACAGCAGTTCTAAAACAGTATAATGCTATTATTTCTCTATGGGAATTCATTAAGAAGTAGTCATTTGGAACAGAAAAAACAACAACATACTAGTCTTTGGAGGCAAGTAAGACTGGGCAAGCCGAATCCTTGCTGAAGAATCAGGAAATTGTGTGACCTTTGATGTGTTACTTCTTCCTCTGGAATGTGTTGCATGAGATGGGAACTGGGTTCGATCAGGAAAGGTGGTGACTTCCCTCTGAGAAACTGGGTCTTTTCTTGATGAATCAATCAGAGCGACACTGTCTGTAAGAAACTGTGAAGTCCTTTCTGTGCCTCTGTTGGCTGTTGTTGAACTGTCTGTGCTGATGATATGCAAACTGGATGTTGTGCTGTCTGCATCCCACCTTCTATCTATATGGTGGCTGCTCCCAGTAACTGTAAATATGAAATGAGAAAATTAAACCCTGTCAGGCTCTAACAATTTGGTATTTGAGGTGGAACCATGGCTTCCATCCATCTGATGTCTTGAATTACATCCGGTGTCGAGAACTGTACAGAACTTGCAATAACTATATTATACTTGGGCATTACACAAAAAAGCTACTGGAGGGTAAATCTTGCAAAATAGGTGAATATATACAAAATTCGTTATTTGCATAAATGTATGTAGGTTCAGCTTTGTGTGGCATCTTATTCATACCTTTGCTTGAAAAGGGGGGTGTCTCAGATTCCATTTGTTTTCATTTTCAATGAAATTCAACTAAGACTAACTACAAACATGTATAATTTAATGATTACAAACACCATTAAACACCTGTATGTTTGTACATCTAATCGTTAACAAAGGAATGACCATAGCCTTTCAAATTAATCTGTGCCTCATCCAACTTCTCCTTATTCTTACACACACCCATTCAGCTTTATTGTTTCAGGTATTTTCTCAGGGTTTGTCAGTCCATTCAAATACAAAAAGACTTTTGATGGTGGAACTCACTTGGGTGATTATCCTCTGAAAGTGAAGAAACGGGTGTCCTGGGAGAATGTATCCTCAAAGTCCCTGTTTCAAATCCAGCAATATCCAAGGAACTTGGTGAGGTATCAGCTCTACTGGCCTCCATCACCGAAGATGACTGCTGAGCTGTATCTCCAGACCTGATCATTTCAATATAAGCAGAGTTTCTTTTTCTGGCTGTAGACACAGAAGCACTGTCGGTTATCGTCCACAGTGTCCTTCCTTCGACACTGCCAAGGGCACTGAAGGCATCTGTACTGTGTGCATGAGAGCTGGAAGTCCTTGTTTCGATGTTGGAACTTTCGCTGCTCATAATGGCTGGAAGGGAGAAAAAAAGATCATTAAAACAGAAGCAAAACCAGGTCTGATCCTAATTACCCTGGACAAGTCACAAATTTATTAGCGGACGGCAGATGGTTGTTATGTTCGTGTGTGTTCCTGTGCTTATGTGTTTGCATGTGTGAACAAAAACAGAGAGGAAGGGAGAATGTATGTATGTGCATGCCCATCACATCTCATGTGAATCATCTTGGGTTTCCACTCATTTCTCATTTCAGACTACCAATAGCAATGCAGCAGCAAAAAACACTGGGCATTAATTTTTTCATATCATCCCAGAGCCAATAGTTCTCTAGCAACAGACACTACACCACCACCGAATCCTTTGTTTTCATATCCCCTGCCCCTGGCAGTCATAGCTGCATGAATTACTGCACTTTGGAATGTATCCCAGCTTTGTAATTACACCCTGTTGACCTAATTTATCCTCCTAATTATTTTTAACATCTTTCCAAGAGACCATGGGTAGGCTGCAAACAGTTGGTGATCATTACCAGTGGTGATCATGCTTTAGCGAAGCCCACAATCCTTGCAAGTTAAGAACATAAGAGCATAAGAATAGCTTTGCTGGATCCAGCCAATGGCCCATATGGTCCAACATCCTGTTCTCACAGTAGCCAGCCAGATGCCTTTGGGAAACCCACAAGTTATCCATATGTAAAGATGTTTCAGCTTAAACACAGAGACGGGGAGATGTGCTTCCTGGATAATGTATTCCTGGATTCAGAATCTCTTCTAGGACCATACAAGGCAAAGCCAAGTCTATTCTCATAACAACGGTGGTCTGGCAAACCCTGTCCTGTAGGTTCCCTTCATCTGTGAGAAGCCTGTGCGTTCGGTTACTGTTATCAACATTCCAGAGCCAGCACACATGAGTGTCCAGAGTGCTCATATCTGACAGTGTCACACCAACAAATCATGCCCCCAGACAACAAGCTGCTTGCCGGGGCCAGTTTGCTCTAGAAATTCGAAAACCTAGCAGGCTGTGCAACACATGCATTTGTAACTCAATGCCTGGAATGTAATGTAGACCATAGTCCCTTTTTAGCAGCACTCAAGCAGAAAAAGTTGGGTATGCGTGTGGGCATGCAAAAATGTATGCGACTTCCATCCCTCCTTCCAAATGTTTTGAGGAACGAGCCATCAGACTTGACTGCTCAGTGACACATTAATGCCTTATCCGGGTGGAATCACATGCTCTTTTGTGACACAGAAGTTCTGGAAAGTGTTGATAGTCCTCCCACACGATTTTCCCTTTAAGGTTGTGTTATGCTTTCTTGCTTGTTCTCTCACTCGCTTCCACTTTCTCTCAGTGTGTGTCCATGCGCACATATACGGAGATGTAGTCAGAATTTTAAAGAGTGGCATCATCAAATCGGTTATGATATCATCTATACCAGCTATGGCCAAACTTGGCCCTCCACCTGTTTTGGGACTACAATTCCTATCATCCCTGGCCACTTGTCCTGTTAGCTTGGGATGATGGGAGTTGTAGTCCAAAACCAGCTGGAGGACCAAGTTTGGCCACCACTGATCTATACCAACAGTGAACTCATTCTTTGTATCAGTCTTGGGCTGGCCCTGCTGATGCCTAGTTTGTTGTATTTCTGATGCTATACAAGTGGTACTGTTTACCCCTAATTTTAGTTGTTTGTTTCTATCGTTGTCTTTAGTTACGGTTGTTTTTAAGATTTGTGATGGATGATCCTCACTGCATTTTATGTATATATAGCCTTAGTAAAGTTTTGGCTCCTTCACGCTCTAGATCAAGTGCATGAGAAAGACATCCTTATCCTACTATTTGTTTATTAAACTTATATTCCCCACCCCCCATCCTGCAAAAGAGGGTAGCAAGTGTACAAGTGATTAAACAATTAGAACACCTAAAAAGCAATTCCAATCTAGATGCAGATCTTATAACATTGAGGAAAGTAACAAGTAATAGGAAATCTGGTCTTTTGAGATAGATTAGCTAAGCAGAAGTTACAATGGCCTCTTATATAAGTAACTCCCTCTACATAGAGGTAAAGTTCAGTTATAATTTTTTTTGTCACATACAAAGCCACTGCCTCCTGATTTGAGCAGAAATGGTGTCCACCCTCTCCTCTTGTTGAGATAAATTAATTTAGTTGCAATATGAAATTATCGCACAGCCTTCGGTATCTGTGGCTTTCTTCCCGAGTTATAACTACAACATGAGTTGTGATGATTACCAGACTTGCCTATTATAAATGCTACTTCCTCCTACACATTTGTGATACTGTTATAATGCATCCAGCATAAACAGATTCTGCTTTTAACCCAACTTCTGGGTTTCCACTTTAGCTGTTTGACTGGATTGTGAAGTTCTTAAAACAACACATAATGGATGTGATCTATTTGTATAGCACATTACAATGGACTTCATCATATATTTTTTACTCTTGCCATTGAATTTACAGCTGCTATTTGCGTTATTTATAAATCAGTCTGAGTTCTGTTCAGCCCAACCCCCATGAACATTTCCTTGGAAGTTAGTTCAAGATAGTTGCCTTTAAATCTATGACATGTGTTCATCTGTCAGCAGCACCAGCCCTGCCTCTTCTACCATTCCCAATTATGTGGTTGCCCTGCAAGAGATGGTCAAGCAGACAATGATGCCAACAGTTATTTACCTGTCACTTTCAAGGAGCAGGGCCATTTCTGTGGTCTCCCCTCCCCTTTATAGAACTCAGTTCCAGGGGGACATCAGGCAAGCCATGTCACTCAGCTCTTTTAAATGAGCTCTAAAAGTGTGCTGTTTTAGAATGGCCTTTGAGGATTAAAATGTGAGATTGGTAGAATGGTTGGGCCATGCATATCCAATGCTGGTTTCAGCCTATTTTAGTCTGTGTTTAATTGTCTGACTGTAATCAGATTCAACAGTTTTACTTTTGTATTTTAATGATTGTTACTAGTGTATTTCAGGGATCGGAAGCCACTTTGTGGGCTGACTGTTCTGAAAAGTGGAATACAAGCCTTTTAAATAAAGTACAGAGATATATCCCCAAAATTATGTTCCTTATGTGCTCCAGTTGATTACAGGTTTCGTTCATGCCTCAAACAGCAGGAAGCTGACTAACATTACCATACGACTTAAATCTTTATTTTCACAGAGGTCAAAGGCACATAGAGTCTGAATCCTCTCGCTCCATTTCTGCAAAGGGCAGCCACTAAGACTTGTTGAGGCCTGACCCTACTTAACTTGTATAGTCTGATAAGCTCACAACTCAAATCCTGTTCCTGCTCAATTTGATAGCAAAGCTCAAATTAACTCCCATAAGTGAGACTCCTAAAAAGGGGGATTACCGAATGGAAGTATTGGAATGTGGCAGCTGTTAAATGAAAATATTATAAACATTTTAGGAACTTTAAACCCAACATTGTAGGGTTTTAAAAAGAAAGAAAGATGGCTACCTTTTCTAAATTTCACAGACTCTATGAAATCAATGTGTAACAGGCCAGATAGGCTTAATTTATGAGTTTAATTAATTTATACATACCCCTTTGGTATTGCATGCATCCCTGCTCTATTAACTTATTTATGGCATCTGCTGACAAGGGAAACTGTATTTTTCATTTCTGTGTATACAGTATTCTTATTATTTTTAAAATGCATATCTGATCTGTAACAGGATACTTTGTATTGGTACAATTATATTATTTTTATTTGCCCCTTCATTTCCCCACCCTTTCCTTTTGTGTGTATTTGTTACTACATCGGGAAAATGAAACAAAACTTTTTGAAACATTTCTGGGCAGAATATAAAGGCTAACTGGAAGACTTGCAGAAGGGAATTAGAGAAAAGTGTTTGCTTTTCAGCTAGGATGCCAGGATAAGCAACTCTGCTGAGTAGAGAACTGAAGTTCTGAGTTCTGATTTATTCAAATTTTGAATGGTTGAATACTTCAGAGTTAGTCTTCTGCAGTTATCCTTTCAAAACACATTTGCAAATTAAACATTCAGAGACAAAAAGTGGAAAATTATATCACTCAGTAGGTTAAAGATAATCAACTCCTTCCCCACAATTTGTCCTTGGCAGATTCCACCCTTCAATGGCTACAAAAGTGTATGCGTGTATGGATTGGGGGACACAATCCAGTATAAATGTGCTGTTTACACAGCATTATATTTTCAACATTATGATGCACAAGGAATTTGATTAGCAAATCTTATTGAATAAAAGAAGGGATTAATCATTTACTTAGGTTTCTAGTCCTCTCCATCGCAAAGACTCAGGCTGTGCTTTAACAAATTGAAAACATAGATTAAGAAAACAACCAGTTAAAATGAAATAAAATTTAACCATATCGTAACTCTTATCAAGAAGACACACATGAGGTGATTGTGAGGCTATGTAGGCAAGGCCTGCCTATCCACCAGCTAAACATTTAGCAAACTTGGGAAATGGCCTGATCAGGGTATCATCCCATGTACTGTCAGTAGCTGAGTAAGACCTCTTCATTAGCTTGCCTAATATACAGTCAATAGAGAGCATGGTTGGTGGGTGTATTTTGGCTCACTCACACTTTAAATTTAAACCTCCCTAGTTTACAAGTTTCATAGCTGTAGAGGGTCACCGAGAGTCACTCTACGCAACTTTGTTCCCTTCATTTGCTGTTTATTACATTTCCCCCCCTCTCTTCCTCAGGACAGTGTACATGGTCTCTCCCACCCCAACCAACGCTTTACCCTCACAATAGTCTTATGAGGTAGTTTAGAGAAAGTGACTGGCCCAAAGGTATCCTCTGAGCATCATTTATGAATACAATTTATACTTGGATCTCCCTAAACTATATCCAGTACTCTAGCTTATGCACTGATTCAAGGGCAGAGAATGGGGGGGGGTGAGGTGGGGGGCATCACACATCTCTAGCAGGAACCATGTCTGTTCTTCTGGCCCTCAATCTTTGTGGTCTCTGAAATGAGAGGTGCATGTTTGTACTTAATGCAAATGCCATGCTATGAAGTGGTTGGTTACTCCCTTCTCAAGAAAGGGTGTCTTCTAAGTAAAGGAGCATCTGGCAACCTTAAAGCTAAAAAGATATGTTATGTGTTCTTCATCTTTCTGGAAATTAAACCGCACTGAACAAAAAGAGAATCTCATGAGAAAAGTAACTGAAACTGTAAAAGTAATGTTTGCAATCTGGCAAAATCCACAGTAAGTCTTCACACGAGAGAGAGAGAGAGAGAGAGAGAGAGAGAGAGAGTGTCACAGAAGAAAATATGTATTCCCTCATTCCTCAGTCTGTGTAGGAAACCTTTAGCAGTAAGGTTTAGGCTGAAAAGAATAATAAAGAAGACAGTCGGCCTCTCCTGCTTCATGGGGAGGCAGCACACACTTTAGCAGCCCACTCCTTTATCAGCTACTAGGAAAGCAGCTCTCTGGACTGTGTTTTTCAAACACTGCTGCGGATGTAATGATTATGGGTGGAGGCCGTTTTGGAGCCAAGCGAGTTTGTGCTGTGCGAACAAAAGCTTCGGTCCTAAATCTGGACTCTTTCAGTTTCCTTCCGTGTTCTTTCCCTGAAAGGAGCAGCACTGAGAAAAATCCTCAAAGCAGAAAACCAATTCTACAGCGTCCTCAGCATGTGGAGAATATTCCTTAAAAAGGGTGCACTGTTTTCTCTGATAAGCAGGGGAATGCAATTAACCCTTTCCTTAGTGGGACAGGCAACCTGTTCAGCACAGAGGGAAACAATGGAAACCACATGGACAGACCACATACAAGTACCACTATTTTTTTAATAAGCTGCACCAGCATGGTCTCATGCAGGCCACACTCTGGCACGTGCGCAGCCACAGCACGTTTATTTCACATTATTTGTAAACCTTGAATATTGAGCAACCGGCACCAAGCCCAGTCTAATGGGCTTTGAAATTCTGGGAATGTAATTATTTTGTCATTTGTTTTGGTTTCTGAAGACAGGTTCACACTTAGAGAGAGAGCTGCCACACACATGCCTTGGGAGCACACACAGGCCACTGGGAAGTTCACAGGAAGCACTGGTGCCTTTCATGAGAATCTGTGGTTCCATTTGGGCATATAAATGTGGCACTTGCAATCTGCTTGACTGTAGCATCCTAAAATCAACAACAGTGCTGCATGTTTTGTTTTACAGGTGGCATTTATCAAAATATATACAAATCTGTTTTGGTATTGCATTTGTTGAATTACATGCAGTTTTCTCTGCATAATACTCTATACTTCTTATTGACAATCCACATTCCTATTTACTTATGCAGATCACTTCATTTGGAATGTCTCTCCATTTTGTTCCTAGGAAAACAAGCAAGGAGAGGACGCCAATGCCAGATAAATCCAAGTAGGTCTCACAGCCCACCACAGAAAGAGAGAGAGAAAATTACCACAGAGTAGACTAGAAACTGGTTTAAATGCACAGGAGAAGAGGAGAACCTATTAAAAGGGCTAGCCTCCATGCATTAAAAACTCATAATGAGCCAATGCACCTCTAAGGAATTATTAATCACCACCATCATCAATATTATTATGTTCTAAGTCTACAAAAATTAAAAAGGTTGCCAATCCATTATTTCTTTTTGAATAATACTTGAAAGAGGGACTCTCCATGTTTTGTGAATGCTAAAAAATGTTCAGCATAAGACCAGCATAGGTGCTGTGTTGGTTTTTGGGCACAGTCTCAATCTACAGCAATATTTTTTCTGCTAACAGACCCCTTTCTATTCAGAATCGTCAATAGACATTGGTTGGTTATAACTATTGTTTTCTGGTGCATAATGAACACCAAGGCATCTTTCTATAAATTCTGCATATGATTTTGCTTTATTGACGTGCTTTTCAGCTTATCTTCTTGACAGTGCTCAAGATTAGCAAAGTTCATTCTGGTATAAATGGATTTTCTTGCTTGTTTAAAATGTTACTCCACCCAGTATCTATATTCCCATTTGGAATTCTCTTGTGAACTCTTTCTTTTCCTGGTAAAACAGAATTGATGCTTAGGGCTTTAATAACAATAAGAAGAAGAACCACAGCCACCACAACAACCGAGGAATAATGTGGATGAGTAGGAATTATAAGAGAGAGAGAGAGAGAGAGAGAGAGAGAGAGAGAGAGACCCTATTTTGTCACCATTTCAACTTCTACTCATTTCTGATGGCAACATCGTTGGAGTCTGTCAGGCAGCTCAGAGAGGAAGTTGACTGGCAAGAGTCCACCGGTGCAGAGTTGCTAGGTCACTGGAACAATAAAATGGCAAGAAAAAAAACATCCTGGCTGCAAAAGGGGCCAGCCGAGAGTATAAAAGGGCGGGTGGAGGCAGGGGGCACGGGGAAACACAATGAAAACCATGGCAGCTCCCTGAGTGTGTGGAGAACAGGTTGACTGGGATGAAATATAGTTTCAGGCCTGAGTGATCAGAACATTGCCTGGCAGAGCCTTTGCTGGGTTAATTTTATAGCACATCAGATTGGGATAACTGTAAGGAAATGTCCTTAGCTACCAAAGCGTGCCTTTAGAGTAGGCACGAGGAGGCCATGGAAACTGGATTGTTTTCCATATATGAAGATTTTCATTGTCATCCAAATGCCAAACATGTCATGTTAAGCTAGGGCTCAGATATTCTGCTAGACAGTAATCAGGAAACGTCTACATTCTTATATAACCTGCAACCCACAGGAAAGCTGCAATTAAACAGGAACAGAGCTGAACAATAACACAGAGAAAAATCTTTCAACCATTTATAGGATCGGCCAAATGACATGCCAGAGCTGTTCCACATTTTTGACATTTCTGAGTTCAGATTTGGGGTGATGAGAACCCCGTAATTTTTATTAGGGTTTGGTGTCTTAAAACTGATAGCTGAGTGCAATTATTAGCACTTTAACCTAAGAATGACATACTAGTACAACCTGCAACAAAATGCTGCAGTGTGAAGTGTTCCTGTTCAGTGTGCTGGCCAGCCAGCCAACCAACCAGCCTGAGGATACTCCATTCCTTTTGCCCTCCCTGCCAGTTTTCTATTCCCTACCTGCTACAACAGACCCCTGGAATTATGTGGTCACTGAGAATGCTCAGCCCTCACTGGGCTGTTTGGGGTATTAGTTTTCGGTCTGAGACAGAGACAGACAGAGAGAGAGAGAGAGAGAGAGAGAGAGAGAGAGAGAGAGTAAAACCAATAGTTTTTTTTTAAACTTTTTGACATCATTGGATCCCCCATGCATCCTGATATCTCCCTCTCTTGTTTCTAGGCCTCAATTTTGGCTACAATCCTGTCAGCGCTCACCAGCAAAGTCTGCTATTAGAAGGAGTGCTAACATACCAAATGAATAAAGGAGCATTTAGGGCTACCTATGATGGTTCAGCCTCGGCTAGACTCCATGGCAGATGTATTTTATTTATTTTTACTTGTAATTATTGCTATTAACTCCGCCTCCCCTTTCCAAGTCTCAGGAGGAGTTAATCTCATTGTGCTCAGCCTGGGAGTCTGTGGAAGTGCTTCCATGTGCTCTAAAGCCCAGGACCATAGGAGAGGCCACTCCATCATTCCACACACACCCCTCCAAGTTCTCTGAGTTGCACAGAAGACTCTGAAAAAGGTAGGGACAAAACACGGCTAGCAAACCCAAGCCAAAATGTGTGGATGATACCTGCTTCTGTATAGCCTCTGTATCCAACTACTGAAGCACGACCCAAGGCTCATGCCTTTGCAGTAATAAGAGTGCTCATTTCCCTTGCTCCACAAAAATAACCATTGGCTTGCAACCTGACATTTTTGGGTGAACTTCTGCCTCCCTGATTTGGGATCTGGGTGTCCTTAGAGCTTGGCTTCACAGAAGTTAACGGCAGGCTCCTACCGACTTTGAGCAAAGCTGGGATTTCAGCCAGGAAGTTAGAAGCAGAGCTAAGAATAGCCTTCAGATCCCAATCCTGCACTTTAAACCCTAATAATACCCACCTTCCTCTTCTTAATATGCACTTGGAAAGACCATCGTGAGGCCACTAAGTCTGAGAGATAGGGTCGAGTGTCACCCTTTGTTTATCATGGTCTTCCTGGGGTCCTGCTTCTTCCCATACCACAGAATTTAGCAATGCCAGAATGCAACAAATGCCTGTTGTGGCTGAAGCAGGTGGGAAATCCAGATACATGGTACTCAAAGCTACTCTGCCCACTAAGCAAGGCCTTATGTGCTTTTTAAACCCTGTTAGTTCTACCCCCACCACAGCAGCTTCAGAAGCAACAGGCCCCAAGCTGTATGTATGTAACGAATTGTTTTTTGCTCAGCTAAATTTTAAGTGAAGATGACAAACAGGCAAGGCACAAATTTCTGCCCTGATAACTCTCCTAGAGATTGCAATGAACCAGGCCTTGGTTTACTTCAAGACCAAGTAAGGTCGCACTTCTGGGGGGAAAAAGATAAAGGGGGTCATCTATTTTGATAACCTGCAGTGAGAAAGAATTACTCAATTCCCGTTTAAACATTATCTGGAGTGGCGTGGTTTCTGCCATCCTAGATATTTCTAGCATGGTACTCTTTGCTACCTATTTTAGGCATTTCTTATTAAACGTCTGCCTTTCTACCAAGGAGCTCAAGGTAATGCACATGGCACTTCCACCTTCCCCATTTTATCCTCACTACAAACCTGTGAGGTAGTTTGAGCTAAGAGAAGGTGACTGGCCAAAGGTGACCCAGCAAGTCTTGTGGCTGAGTAGGGATTTAAACCCCATCCTCCCAGGCCTTTGTCCAATATTATAACCACTACACCACACTGTCTCACACCACATGGTTAGGTCAAACTATATGATTGCATACCATCTGGGGGAAGGTGCAAGTTTCTGACAGGCTCATGTGCTTGAGAAATCAAGAACTGCATATGGTAGGGAAATGGAAACATACTCCAGAATTTTTTAAGGACATACTAAAGGTTACAGGACAGCCCTTCTCTTGCAACATTAGCCTGACAGGAACTGTCTGTCCCCTTGCAAATACACTTCCAGGAGAGGAAAGCATTTGCAATGGATAAAAAAAAATAATGCAGAGAACAGGCTTAACTCTTCCCCTGCTAGCCCATACTCAACGGTGTTTAAGTCTGAAATACAGACCTGGAACAGCGTAGTAAATTGGTGTGTGGAAGGGGGAGTTTCAAATCACCCCCTCTTGAGCATAAGGTGCAAAGCAGAAGCAGCCACCAAGCCAACCCTACACATGGCTGAAATTTAGTCTGAGCTGGTTTGTTGAGCGAGATCTCCAGACCACTGCAATTGCACAAGGTGCTTCTGCCAGTATGTGACTGAATCCCTCTCAAATGTAGGAACAGCCTGGAAGTGTCCTGAGTGCCACAAATGCATCAGGAGTGAGCAAGGTGTACCATACTGGAGGTGTCCGTAAGGTAGGCTTAATTAAACACCCTGCAGATGGAGGTCACATAAAGAGGCAAGCAAGTACGATGCAAAGGTCTTTCGAAAGGAACAGAGCGATTCTGTGATTTGGTGTTTTGTTCTTTTAGAAAAAGGTCAGCTAAGTGAATTAGTCAAAGGGCAATTAACTAAGAGAAAGCCTTCATTAAAATGATGTTTGCATGAAATAACCAGATTTTGTAGTTGAGCAAGCGTTGCATTTTTTTCCAGCACAGTGCTGCGCTGCACAGATGTAGCCAGTCTGTAGGCACTTGATCTAATTCAGCCTCGTGGAGTCCAATAGGTCTCAACTAGGCTGGAAGGGCAGGCTTCCTGACTTAAGTGGTCCTCAGGGCATGAGGCGCCAGCTGGGAGTATTCCACCTTCTTCACCTTACCTCCTCCTTCCTTGGAATGGCATCCCGTTCCCCACAGCTCACAGAGAGCGGAACTCCCAAGCCCAGGCCCCTCCTAGGCACATCCTTCCAGTGCATTGTCTCAGAAGGGTGTAGCTGCTTCAGTCTGATCTGCACTTGGATCTCTCGACACCCTATAATTTTCACCTCTTCCCCCTTGACACGAACCATCTTGCCTACTGGCATAAAGGAGAGAGAAGATGGCCAGGGGGTGGGGAGCTGCAATTTTTGGGCAGGCTTTTCCTTTCCTAATCAAAGCCCCACCAGTTACATTTCAGTATTGAGCTCGAAAGCCACAAGGCTAGGAGGTAGCCAACAAGCAAAGGGCTAACATTCTCCTGTGATTTAACATCTGCTGCATTCATCCCCACAAAAGCCACAAGCCATCTTGGCTGGAGTGCTGGGATCACTTTACTCCAAATGAGATTATGGGGCTAGAGGAGGTTTTGTGCTCTGCCAAGCCTCCTTCCCCAACAAGCTGCTTTGTGCCGGCTTCCAAGCCACCCGGGCTTCTGCCAAGGAATTCCTGTGCCAACCCTGTGGCTGGCCATGCATCCATGCTCATGTCCTTCTGGACGTCCTCTGCTCTTGAGCAAAAGGACCACCTTCTCCCATTCATTTCATCTGTACACCTGTTTGAAAGCTAAAAGATTGTGAGCCAGGCCACCTGGTATTTATCTTAAACATCCCGTGTAGTTATTTGATTTTACTGCCTTTCTTCCATTAAGTGCAATATCCAAGGCAGTTAACAGCCTGTCAATAAAAGGCCCATGTAAAAAAACCCCACAAAAACAAACAAACAAACAAACAAACAAAAAACGAAACAAAACCACAACACAAACCAATTACTATTACAGCCATACCTCGGGTTAAATATGCTTCGAGTTGAGCATGTTCGAGTTGCGCTCCTCGGCAACCTGGAAGTAACGGAGCGTGTTACTTCCGGGTTTCGCCGCTTGCGCATGCGCAGACGCTCAAAATGACGTCACGCGCATGCGCAGAAGTGATGAAAAGCGATGTGCGCGTGCGCAGATGTGCCGTCGCTAGTTACATTTACCTCTAGATGCGAACGGGGCTCTGGAACGGATCCCATTCGTACCTAGAGGTACCACTGTATATGAGCAGGAATGGGTCCCCTCCCCTTAAGAACACACATCTAAGTTTGTATTTAAAAATAAAAATAAAAAGAGGGAGGAAAAGTCACAAGCAATAAATGAGCAGTGAAAGTCTACATATTTCTATTCTGAAGTAAGTCCCATTGATTGATTGATTGATTGATTGATTGGATTGCAACCAAAATTGCACAAACTGTCCAAAAGAGCACCTGTTGTATGCAGGTGAGGACATTTGAAAGAAGGCCCTCCTCCAATGGGGATAAGAAAAAGCAGCAGCAACAACAAAAAGGACATAGTGGTGAAATGGAGTGTCCTCCAGGAGACAAAGCTGGCTGGGAAGCTGAGCACTTTTGTTAGGTGGTACAGATAAAATATCAACATTTTGTTATAGGTCCTGTTTGTACCCCACCCACCTGAAAAAGAAAGGCCAGGGTACAGTGGTGCCCCGCAAGACGAATGCCTCGCAAGACGGAAAACCCGCTAGACGAAAGGGTTTTCCGTTTTTCGATGCGCTTCGCAGGACGAATTTCCCTATGGGCTTGCTTCGCAGGACGAATTTCCCTATGGGCTTGCTTCGCAAGACGAAAATGTCTTGCGAGTCTTGAGATTTTTTTTCGCTCCCCCCCCCTTTTCTAAGCCGCTAAGCCGCTAATAGCCTTTTAGCAGCTAAATAGCCGCTAAACCGCTAATAGCGCTAATCCGCTAAGCCGCTAATAGGGTTGCTTCGCAAGACGAAAAAACTGCTAGACGAAGATACTCGCGGAACGGATTAATTTCGTCTTGCGAGGCACCACTGTATAAGCAGATGGTGACCCAAATTTAATTTTTGCATTTGTTGCAAATATATGGATACTAATCCTCAGATATGAATTCTAGTTACTTTTTTGTAATTAGCTTTGAAGCCTATCTAAATATCAATCTAAATACAAGTCAGTAGGCATGAAAGTGTATCTTTTTCAACTCATTTATGCTGCCACAGAAAATTTGCAGTTAAAAAGAAAGGTATCAGATCAACTCGATTCACCTCTTTATGCTCGCCTGTTTTTCCTCATTATTCCAAGCAGAGATCACGTTTCTTCTTTAAGAACTACTATTTGAAAGAGCCTTTATTTGCTGTGTTATCTGCCAGCCTAGCAGTATATCACATCCCACTCTGGATAAATGAGTTGATAATGTCCCAAAGAGGACTGAAATGTTTAGCATTTCGCTCTGTAATTTAAGCTGGAATCAAGTAACAATGGCTGTTTAAATTGCTTGGATCTTTTTCAGGGCTACGTTTTCATAGGGGCTTGCAGAACCTGCACCAAGGGCAGAATGTCTTTGCAGGTGACAAGCACTAAAACTTCCTAGACACAGATGCAATTATGCCCAGAGTCCACAATAAAGCGTAATAAAGTAGAGCAACAAAGGTAATTAGACTTCATGATGAATTGTGAGCCTTGACTTGCCCATTAAATAGCCAAGGTCTTGACTTCTATGCTGCTTTTTTGAAATAACTTTTTTTTTAATGGTTTTGCTTTGTCCATCAGAATTGTGTCCAGTTCCTCTGGAAACTCCTAAAAACCAACGTTCCTCAATTGGACAAACCACTTCGTCTACAGCTTTTCACAATTTAGGCCCACTTCACAAATTGTGAGTGGAGAGTCTGGCCCTCCAGATGTCATTTGACTCTAACTCTCATCAGCCCTCAGCTAATGTGGCCAGTAGTCAGGGATGATGGGAGCAGGAGTCCAATAACACTGTGTGGTGGGATTGTAAGAAAGGGAAATGCTTCTGGAATATGATATATAATGAAATTAAGAAAATGTTGAAATATACATATACAGTCATACCTTGGGTTACAGACGCTTCAGGTTGCGAGTTTTCGGGTTACAGATGCACCGAAACCCGGAAGTACCGGAACGGGTTACTTCCGGGTTTTGGCGCTCGTGCAGAAGCGCTAAATCGCACTTTGCACATGCGCAGAAGCACCGAATTGCAACCCGCGCATGTGCAGACGCGGCGCTGTGGGTTACGAACGTGCCTCCCGCACGGATCACATTCGCAACCCGAGCATCCACTGTACTGAAAAACAGGAAGCTTTTCTACTGGGAATTGTAGGTACAGACATTAACAGACAAGATACTAAGCTTTTCCTATATGCAACAACTGCAGCAAGAATTTTATTAGCACAGAAGTGGAAACAAGAGGAATTACTGACAAAGGAAGAATGGCAACTGAAGTTAATGGAGTATGCGGAACTGGCCAAAATGACGGGAAGAATCCGAGAACAGCGGGACCAGAAGTTCCTCAAGGACTGGACTAAATTTGTAAATTATTTGAAAGAGAATTGTAGTCAATAAAACATGTTGGTAGGATTGCAAGAAGCTTTGGAAGGAAAGGTATAAAAATCACTGCAGAGAAGAATAAGAAAATATGATGCTTTGATGTTTTTGATTTGAAAGCAATGGTTAAGTAGTGAAAATGCAGAAATTTGAAATGAAAGATAGAAAATCACAAGGAAGGTTTGAAGGAAGTCATGGCTCTAAAATGCCAAAATGTATAATGTAAGAGGAGAGATTGTAATGGAAAGCATTATTGTAAAATTAATAAAAATGATATGGCAAAAAAAGGAGTCCAATAACCTTGGGAGATAATAAAGCAAGAATACACAGGGATCTGTGATGGTTGCCTTGGTAGCACTGGAACTTGAAACTCAATGTGGATTTCAAATGCAACTTTAGGCTCCGCTCACATTTCAGATCTATTTGAAATAATACCCCAGATATACCCTAAGCTGACCTAGGATATATTAATTTAATTATGCAGTCAACTCATAGAACATTATTAAATTTAAGTCCCTCTTATCTCCTTGTGAATCATTGACTTGCAGGACATCCTGTTTCATTGTTCAAAAACGATGGATTATCTACATCCCAACAGTGTCAGGGAAGGGCTCTGGGGCAGAGGTCCAAAGCCCCATTCAGCAGAATGAGCAGGACGGCCCCCAAATGCAACATAGCTGCCTCATCGCATGTCAAAGAAATATACACATCTTAAAGCAGGGGGATCCATTAACTTAAATAAAGGCACAGTCCTACACTTACCAGGGCTTTAATTCCCACTGAACTTAATGGGACTTGAGTCTGAATAGACATGTATGGAAATAAACTGTAAGACCATTAAGTCCAGAGTCCAAAATTACCTCATGGTATCCCATGATACATAGTTCTTCTTCAGGGGAATATTTAATACCCTGGGTAGTTATACGCACGTTGGGGGAAGAGAACCTTCAACAGTCATCTTTATTTTGGTAGATCACAATGACACTATCTTCTAAAGATTTATATTATAGGGGTATTTTACCCTTACCTTAATCAGAGGTATAAATAATCTAGTTATTTTGCCATCTTTGTCCCTGCATCATTACCTCATTTTGGCTACAATCCTGGGAACTGTAGTTTTCCCCTCCGCAAAGCTACAGTTCCCAGAACCTTTGATCTACAGTTCCCATAATTCCTGTGGAAAGTTAGGTGCTTCAGTGTATGGTGTGTATGTAGACTTTTCCTCCTTCGTGTTAGTGCTGTTCCCATCTAGTCTTGCTGCCCTTCTTGCTCCTTGTTGGCCTGCTGACGCGCCATAGACACTGGCCCTGAAAAAGCAGAGCGAGGCTTATTTGCCTCAAAATGGATGTTGCTAAATTATGGAATGAAAGGTTAAAATTTACGGCCTGTACTGCGTTAAAAGAAAATGTAATGAAAATGGTATATAGATGGTATATTACTCCAGTAAAGTTAGCAAGAATGTATAAAGTGTGTAACAAATGTTGGAAATGTAAAGAAAAAGAGGGAACGTTTTATCATATGTGGTGGGAATGTAAAAAGGTAAAAGGCTTCTGGGAAATGGTATATAATGTATTGAAAAAAATGTTGAAATATACATTTATTAAGAAACCAGAGGCATTTTTGTTGGGAATGGTAGGGAATGAAATAAATAGAAAGGACTGTAAACTTTTTTTATACGCAGTAACAGCGGCAAGGATACTACTGGCCCAAAAGTGGAAACAAGAAGGATTACCATCGAGGGAAGAATGGAGAATGAAACTAATGGAATATGCAGAACTTGATAAATTAACAGGAAAGATCCGAAACCTACGAGACCACAGATTCACCGAGGACTGGAGTAAATTTGTAGATTATTTGAAAAGTATATGCGATGAACAAATAACGTTTGTTGGTTTGCAAGAAGCTCTGTGAAAGATTATGATAGAAATATTGTAAAAAAGGGAGTAGGGAGGGAGAAGGTTGGTCAACTAAAGGCAATATTAAATTAAGAAATGCGGAAGATAGAATTAAAACGGAGGATTTGCGGAAGAGCTGAGGGAAGTCTAAAAGAATGGCTTGGTGAATTGTGTATGTGTTTTTTTCTAAATTTGTATTGTAAAATGAATAAAAAATTAAAAAACAAAACAAAACAAAATGGATGTTGCTGGGTCCTTGAAGCTCAGTTTCAATGAGAGCAGATGTTGGGATATTAAAGATGCCTACGCCACCTGAGGAGAACACTCTCATCTCAAGGACCATGTGTGTCATTTATACACACAAAAGAAAATACTCCCCCCCCCCCAGTGCTTCACTCTGAGCTCCCCTCACCCCGCATTTCAGAAGCCTGGATCCGCAGACAAAGTTACAGCCAAACAAGCAACAGCTATTTTAATGGCTCTGCATGTTGAAGTTTTCAGAACTTCCTTTACTCGAGGGAACTGCATTCTTCTAAGATTATATTATTACTTGGGCTGGCTGCCTCAGCAACACAGCCTCTCATTTCCCTTTTGGGTGGGAAAGTTTTTCTCCTTGTCCATGGACTCTAATTATGATTTCAGCCTGAAGGGTGGATGGGAATGTTCTGAGCAGTCAAAAAAAGCATAGGCTAGCTAGCCATGCCTCGGGGTGAAGCAGGAGGACACGGTGGTTTAGCACCGCAGCATTTGAAATATGTGGCTGCATCTTCTCCCCACACAGTTCACTATGTCATAGATGTGCCTCTTCTGCATCCCTGTACCTAGCTTTAAAGCAGGAATGGGGGAACCTTTTAGCCTGAGGGCCACATTTCTTCATGAGCAACCTCCCATCTGTCAGTTGTGTGGGAGGCCTAAAGGAAAAGTGAGAGGGGCAATGGATACAGTAGCTACACCCCTCGCACACAAAAATTAATTTCTATAAACCGACACAAAACACGCTCCTTTCCATCTAGGCAAGCAAGAGACACGCAAGGGCATTTTATAGTCTGACAAAAGCCCTCAAGGGTGGCCAAGTGAGGAGTGTGGCCTAGGCAGGAACATGGTCGCCTGGCAAGAGTTTTGAGGGTCACAGAGAAAAGCCCAGAGGCCTGAGATTCCCCAGCCCCATTTAAAGGAAACCCATTAATAATTTGCTGCTCTAATCTCCAGATTTTGTATGAATAAGGTATTTTCTCACACTCTCTGGTCTCCTAGTCTTTCCTGAAGCTACCTGATTATAAACTTATTGTTGGGGTAAAAAAAAAGTGCACTGTCATCTCTCCCCCTTTCTCCTTTGCAACCTTTCCCCACCTCTTGTTCTCTTGATCATGCCTCTAAGCATGCCATACGATATGTATCAGATACAGCAAGTCTGCGCTTCTACATGCAGACAGAGTAAAGTCTGTAGTTTTTCTATCTTTCTAGAGCACAAGACTGAACACTTGTGATAAAACAAAAGAGAGTCAAACCTAAAAATGGTGCTGAAAAATAACAGGTAACATTGAGATAATACCTTGCCTGGTTTGGTGTTTTGGTGGGACCCCTTCTGCAGGAGCGTGGGAAGTCTATTTGTTGAGTTATTCTAGTAAGACATTTGTCCACAGAACCAAGCCCAGCGCATAAATAGAGAGGAAGAAGAATGCCAAGGCAATGACAGCTGTAATCCAAAAGTGATTCAGTGGGCCATATGTGACCACTGTTGTGATAATGAGTAATCATTTGTTTTGTTTATTTGTTTATTGCATTTCTATCCCTCCTTTTTCTCCAAGGAACTCAAGGTGGCATACACTGCTCTACCCCCTTCTCATTTAATCCGCACAACCCTATGAGAGGCAGTGACTGGTCCAAGGTTTCCCAGTGAACTTCATGGCCAAGTGGGTGTTTGAACCCTGGTTTCCCAGGTCCTATTTGCTTGAGAGCTTTCTGCTTCTAGTCATATAATACCCAAGACACCGTATATACAAGTGTTAGGGGAAATGCAGTTTATCAACAAATGATAGGGTTTGCGGGCATTTCACGAAGCAACAACAAAATGTCTGCCCATCCGTATGTTGAAAACATGGTTACATTCCAAAATGCCCTAACAGACGGCCTAAAATGTCCTTGCTTAACAAAGAGACCGGATATAAATGTTAGAAACGAATAAATCAACTGCATTCATTTATTCATTTTTGAATCTCAAAGGCACAGAAAAAGGTGGAGGGTCCCAGACAAACATTTGTTTTTCATAACCATCTGAGCTAGCCACTTTCCTCCGAATGCTGTCGCTGGCTGTCCTCACGATACCCCGTGTAAGATAGGAAATTCTTAATGATCCATCATAACCAAATAGGAACTGAGATACAGAGCCAATCTACTGCGTTTCCTAAAGTCACAAAGGGAGGTCTAAGACTGAACCAAGGTCTTTTGAATCCCTGCCCTGTTTCTTATCTACCAGACAATCGTTCCTTCCCTTTAATGTAAATGTCGTTTTCTTTTTTTACATTGTTTACAGTTGAGTACTGAAAAAGTGGCACAATGAGGGCAAGACCATCTAGCCCAGCATCCTGTCTCCAATAATGAGCAATGCTGCTTATAGTAAGTCACCGCCTAGTGGCTTGGACAACATCTAGTAAGCCTGCACATGCACTATACATTTAAAGCCTGTAACTTCCTCCCAAAGAAACTTGGGAACTGTTTGTTAAGGGTGCTGGAAAATGTACTTCTGTAAGGCGTAAACTCAGCCACGAAATTAAAAGACGCCTGCTTCTTGGGAGAAAAGCAATGACAAACCTAGACAGCATCTTAAAAAGTAGAGACATCACCTTGCCAACAAAGGTCCGTATAGTAAAAGCTATGGTTTTCCCAGTAGTGATGTACGGAAGTGAGAGCTGGACCACAAAGAAGACTGATCACCGAAGAATTGATGCTTTTGAATTATGGTGCTGGAGGAGACTCTTGAGAGTCCCATGGACTGCAAGAAGATCAAACCTCTCCATTCTTAAGGAAATCAGCCCTGAGTGCTCACTGGAAGGACAGATCCTGAAGCTGAGGCTCCCATACTTTGGCCACCTCATGAGAAAAGAAGACTCCCTGGAAAAAACCCTGATATTGGGAAAGATGGAGGGCACAAGGAGAAGGGGACGTCAGAGGACGAGGTGGTTGGACAGTGTTCTCGAAGCTACCAGCATGAGTTTGACCAAACTGCGGGAGGCAGTGGAAGACAGGACTGCCTGGCATGCTCTGGTCCATGGGGTCACGAAGAGTCAGACACGACTAAACGACTAAACAACAAGGCGTAAACTACCATTTCCACGATTCTTTATTTGTGGCGGAGGGTGCTTTTATTATTTGGGGGGGAGGGTGCTATAAATGACAAAAATTCGACCATGGACAAATATTCAAGTGGACTTTTTTTTGAGAACAGAGGCATGAGTGGAAGCTCCTCAGAGTCCTCCCCTCAGCTCTGCAGGAGTCAATACCTACACATTTCATTTCAGAGCAGGCACCCCTGACCTGCTTCGTAACCATTATCATATATTTAAATGACTTTTGTCTTTTATCCTTGCTGAACACAATCCAGTACATGAATAGTTGCAGTTAAACTTATTGATTTAAATGGGCTTGAACTTAAGTAACTCTGTTAATGCATATTGGGGCCACGTCTTTATAAGACCAACTAAAATGTCACAAAACAGTATGCAAGCTTTGGAGTTCTCCAGAATGCTTCATCAGGTTAAATGGTAAACAGAGCAATAATATGGATTTTGGAATTTTTCTTATGGGCTAACAAAGCTACCTGTATTTTTTTTTTATTCTAAATGTGGACGCTACACATATTTAGTTGCTTATGTGCACAATTTTAAAAAATAATACATGTTATTTGACGGCATCTTTTTTTATATCAAAACTGCTCAAATGCTTTTAGATGCTATTAATTGTTTTTAATGATTTTGGATACTTTTACTTTTAAAAAAATGTTTAAAATAAGCTTTTAAATGGTATTGTTTTATCACAAATGTATTTGCCACAAGGGACTTCTTTAGGAGGAAGGGTGTGAGCTAAATGTACAGTAATAAACCATCCATCCAACTGTTTGGTCTATCCCTGGTATCACAACATAAATACTGTATCAAGAAATACCGCCATCATTTTGTTTCATTGTTACAGCTTTAAATACTTGTTTAAATTTGTTTCATTGGCTTTAAACACCTGAAACAAATTTATTCTGGCCCAACTCTAGACCTCAAAGGCCTCTTGAAGGGTGACTACAACAAATACTAGTCAAACAAAGAGTATCTCAGTATTATATAACAGCACTGGAGTGCGTCTTTACAGGGGTTGATTTTACCACATTCATTTGCCCAAGTCCCGCCAGGGCAGTCTGTATGTTAAAACAGGTTTGTGGATCCCCGGCCAGATCAAGCCTTGAAGAACCAAATGGAAGCTCCATGCTACATGAAGAAAGGCCCATGCAACAGATGAAAAGGTAGTCCGCTCTAGCAGAAAGGATCATGTACTGGGGTGAATTGTTTCCAGCCTATGGTAAACAGAAATTACGCCATGTGAACCCTAGTCGAAACTAACTTGCCTTTGGATTTGTGCATTGTGCATTGCGCATAGAAGACCTCTGCTTTAGCACAAGGTTCTGAAGTACACCTGGAGTTGGCAAAGCACTGTAAGTATCTACTAACCTTTCCCTCTCCTCCAAAGGTTTTTCCTCTCCCGGGCCCCTTACCACCTTAATCTCCAGAGCATAGAAAGTAAACCGAATGCCGCAGATCTGCAGCGTATCCTCACCAGAGTCAAATCACAACTCTTGCCCCTGCATCTTTATGATGCCATCTGTATGATGCTGGCAGAAATAACTGCGGTACTATAGAAAGGAAATTGCAGCATCTCCAATAATTTACACACCCTAGAGCCAGACTTTCTGCATCACCTTAGCAGATGATGAGACACACCAGCTGGGAAAACCTTATGTTACACAAAACAACCCTATGTGTATTCACTTGGAAGGAACTCCCATCTTGTTCAACATTGCTTACTCCCTACTAATTATGGTTCGGACTGCAGCCCAAACCTTTCTAGTCCTTTTCAGATGAGATGCAGTTCTATGCATCCACAGTGGCCAAAGTTTCTAGGTATCACAGTATTCCCACACTCCAACTGATCCAGCCAGGGGATGTCTGCTCCTTTCATTCCTTCTTCAAGTGCCACTGCCTCTTTCTGGGTTTCAGAATCCCTGTATGGCTGGGAGAGGAAAGAGTTGCAAAGAGGGGACGCCTCTGCTGCATGCTTTAAGTTTCTTTTAACGTCTGCACCAGTGTTCAAATGATGGGAGAAGAGATAAGCCCTCTCCTTTATGACATCCATGAGTCCCAGCCTCTTGTCTCCCTCCAATTTTAGCAAAGGGGACTGGCAGAAAAGGTAAAGCCACCCCCCTTATAATTCAAATCCTGAATTATATATGACTTGTGATTGCTTATCCCTTAAATACATGCTAATCATGCTTTGATAGTCACAAACTTGGGAAAGAAAAGTAGAATCTATTTCATGCCACTCTTGCAATACATACTTCTCAGAAGAGTCTAATTTGTATGACTGTGCAATCCTATAAATGAGTTCAATAGGGCTTTCTTCCAGGTAAGTGATAGGACCCTGAATCCAGACAATATGGGACCCTGAATCCAGAGATTCAAATGTACCTGGGAGTAAGGCCCCATGAACTCAATGGGGCTTACTACTGAATAAATACCGGTATGTAAAAGTCTGTGTGTGTTTCTAACTATTCAGTTTTTCATTGCTCTTTTCTTGAGCCAGGCTCCTGCTTGCTCTCTTCTACAGTATTATAGAGTTATAGAAATAGCAGGAAATCAAATTAACATTTACCTGCATTTTCTACTTTTGTTTATTTTGCATTATTTGCATTCATTTTCAGTTGCTTTGTGACAATTATCATAATCAACAACAATAACATTAATTTTCATCACGCTCATCCTCTTGTGGTTTTTTTTTTAATCCTTCTTGAAAAGACTTTGATCAATTTAATATTAGGAAATGACAGAAAATCATGAACACAAGTGTCCAAACAGTTTATAACTGGCTCAATGTAATTTACAAGTAAAATATTTAACCAAACTCTGCTCTCTGCACAAGTATCCATTCATTCAACTGGAGAAACACTGGTTGTAATGGGGGCAGGCAGAGAACCCTTGTTCAATGAGATAAGGTGCATTTACAGTGCCATGCTATGCATCTTTGCTTAGATTGAAGGTCATTCCACCAAGTTCAACAGGACTTACTCCTAGATATGTATAGGATCGCATCTTAGCCAATCAAGTTACTCTGTGGGGAATTCTTCAGAACTCTGCAAACTTATTTTACCTATAGACTTCTGTACAGTGTGCTTAAAATAGCCAACTGTTTCTATATACCACTCACCTATCAAGCCCAAATATATTTTTTCTTATTCTTTTCATTGTTCCATGACTTCCAGCAGCTTGTTTTCTGGAAAGCCTGTTATTTATCTTTACTTACTGCAACAGAAGTCCTAACTAGAGGCATAATACATTACTACTAGCAGTAATAATAATATTTGTTTTGATCTTTAGATATTAATTAATTGTGAACGGGGCAGCTTCTCTCTCACAAAATAGCCTCGTTAGATCTGCAAATTAAACCCAGTCAAGTTTTGACAGGAGAATCCACCATGCCGTTCATCCAGTAGCCGGACTCCCAACGCCTTCTCCCATAGCCAAGTGTCCCAAGCCCTTCTGCCAACGATATGGGGCCACCAGCCCGACCCAAGCGAGGAGCAGAGCAGCTGTCGAACGAGCCTCCCTTACGGCACTTGCAAGTGGCGCTTAAGAAACCTTTCTCCCTTTGCGCCCCACTTGAACATCCCTCAAAGCCGGATCCCTATAAAGTCCTAAGAGTGGGAGGTTGGGGAGGGGGAGAGAAGAGATGGCGAATAACAGAAGTTATTTTTATTGTTATTGTTTCAAAAAAAACAACAACTCGGTGCTGTCCGACAGAAGTGGCTTTCCTTTGACGCGCAACCCCTGCTGGGACATGGGTGGGAATGATCACCGGACTAGAGCTCCTTTTTTTGCTAAAGGGAAAACTGGTGGTGGCGATGCTGAGGGGGTGGCAGAGGCGCAGAAATCGGCCGGCTGGCATGTTCCTTCTAATCCGTCTGCAGGAATCCTCCCCGCACCACCACCCCCGTCCAAGGCGGGATGAAATGTGCCGGATGAAGCTAAGCCCCCCCGGAGCAGCAGCTGCTGTGGCGGTGGGCGGGCGGGCGGGCGGACACACACACATCCCCCCCGAGCTTCCCTCTCCCCGCTTCTCGCTCTCTTACTCACCCAGGTCTCCAGCGCCGACGGATGCCACGGAAGGCTCCGGGCTCTCCTTCGCCTTGGGAAGCAGCAAGGAAGCCGCCGAGAAAGAGGAGTCCTCCTGGGGAGGGGTAGATCCCCGCGGCCCCGTCGTGGCGAAACGGGAGCGATCGGTGGTGGAGGGAGAGGAGGAGGAGGAAGAGGACGGGGAGGCGAGGGGGAAAGATCCCACAAAGAGATGCAGCCCCACGAGTAGGAGGAGGCAGAATTGATGGATCAGAAAAGTGCACGTTGCTGGCATGATGCTCGGGGCTTCACATGCCCGGTGGTGAATAATAATAATAATTAATAATAATAATTGCTGTAAGCACCATGCTCAGTGGGCGGGGAGGGAAAGGGAGCCGGAGCAAAGGAAAGGAGCCGCCTCTACTCTCGGAGTTCCCCGGGTCCGTGGCGAAGCCGCTGGATCAAGGGATTTCATCGTGGAGGCGCGGCTGATCTGGGAGGGAGAAGAGAGCAGCCCCAGCCGAGTGGCTCACAGCCGCATGCGAACTGCACGAAGCCTGAAAGTAAAAGCACACAAGGGCAAGGCTCCTCCTAGAAGCTGACATCACCGGGCGATGCTGCTCCCCTCCCTCCCTCCGTCCTCCGCCCCCAGCGCGCCGCCCGCCTTCATCTCCCCCACCCTTGCAGGCGGCTCGGGTGGTTCTCTCCACAGCCATGGTCCTAGCCGGAGATTCAAAAGGACAGAGGGCATCCGTAGACCAAACTTTTTTTCGGGGGGGGGGGACAGGCGGGGTTTCCGGATTATCAAAATCATTAGGGAACTTCCACATCACCTAGAAAGCTGGTGTGGAGGAGCACAACAGGCCCAAGACCCTGGATATCTCCCCCCCCCCCCAAAGCAAAAGCCTGAAAACAGGAAATTTTAACTTAGGACAGGAAGTTTCCTGCTGAACAGAAGCCCCATCACAGAATCTGCCCAGGCAATCAGTGGGGTGTAATGCTGACCCGGGGAATTTCCCCTGACCCTTCACACACACAAGTCTTGCATGGAGAGGGGTTTCCAGTAGCAGTCAGGAAAGCTGTTTGTTGTGGGGGGTGGGGTGGGGGGTGTTCCTTAGTTCATGCAAGACGCAGGGATTGACCAATTTGTGGCATCTAGGCAATGTGGATTGCAAAGGGCAGGGTCTGGGCAGGTAAGGACCCTGATATGTGGAAAGAGGACCTGTCAGAAGTTCACATGGTGATAAGCATTTTCAGGTGCTCTCCAGCATGGCAATGAAGCTGTTTTTTTCACTGTCGAATGTAAAACCTGCATTCGATTTATTTTTATAAATCAACCATAAATGCAAGACACATGCGTAAAGACACAGACGGCACAATTCTAGATAGCCATGGAAAAGCATTTTGTCAGCTCCTTCAGCCAAGTGACTGGCTGCAGTAAAAAAAAACTTCCCCAAGCAGTTCTGGCTGAGTAAGTACATCCCTGCCCCAGACAGGTGCTGTAGCTGTCTAGGATTCCATCCAAAATCTTTATAAGCTAAAAACACATTGCATTACAAATTATGGCACTACATAAATGATTAAAGTGACCTTACAACATGCGTATATATTTTTTAAAAAAACTTCAAACTATTGATCTGCTTTTCATCAAATTTATACTCCTCATTCATTCCAGCAATAAATAAAACTTACTTCTGCTGGTAATTATTTATTGCCTGTCTTCTTTTATCCCAGACTTTTATTTCACAATTGTTCCATTCTGTTTTCTATCTCACATTTACAACATTGAGGGGAGGGGAGAGAGACCAGGACTCTTGCCAGCTTGGGAGGAGAAAGAGGTGGTGGAGGTTACATTAGGGGAAGTCCTTATAGTTTAGTGGTAGAGTATCTGCTTTGCATGCAGGAGGGTCCCAGGTTCAATCCCTGCTATCTCCAGGTAGACAATCCTCATGAGCCAATGGACTGACTCTCCATGGTATTCTACTATCCTGCCCAATGCAGTGAGATTCCATTGCGAAGACACCATTACTATCATCCTCCATACCCAAGCTAAGAGATTTAGCTTGCTTATGTTTCTTTGTAGTAGTTGGTCATGCTACTTAGCAAGATGCATGGCAAAAACACAAAGTCGCTTGAAAAAAGCTTTAGGTGTTGCATCTAACTTTACAGTATTGTATTGGAAACCAATACTGTACAAGGTAAGCTGTGATATCTTTATAGCACTACTACTGTTGCTCCAGAATTACTTTACCTTATAGAGCTCACAGCAATAAAATAATTCTTGGCACTTGTATAGTGCTTGGAGAGCTTCACAGCCGTTATCTCAGTGATCCTTACATCAACTTACGATGGCTTGGCATTAAAATCCTTTCATTGCAAATGGAAACATGAGGCTGAGAGAACACCCAGCTGCCTATGGCCCCCTAATTTATGGATTGGCAAATCCAGTTTCCCACATTTCCACATCAGTTTAGATTTATTTTTATAAAAGTTCTCATGAAGAATTATCAGTAGTTTAGGAGATATTTCTCCTAATACGGTACACACATTTTTATATGTGGTTTTGCCCAATATTGCATTTTTGCATGTTGTGCACTTTCCCCTAGTATATGTATTTATGTACAGTGGTACCTCGGGTTAAGTACTTAATTCATTCTGGAGGTCCGTTCTTAACCTGAAACTGTTCTTAACCTGAAGCACCACTTTAGCTAATGGGGCCTCCTGCTGCCGTCGGAGCACGATTTCTGTTCTCATCCTGAAGCAAAGTTCTTAACCTGAAGCACTATTTTTGGGTTAGCAGAGTGTGTAACCTGAAGCGTATGTATCCTGAGGTACCACTGTACACATTATTTGTGGTTGGAGGATTTTAAAACAAAATTTTGGAGGATAGGTATGTTTCAGTTTGCATATTGTTTTGGGAATGAGATAGGTTCCCCATTCATGAGAATTAAATCTATTTTCTCCCTCAACTTTACTCTAAATAATTCATTGCCAAGGTGGAACTGAAACAGGCTCATATTATTAACATCTGTGCTGCCCTAGAGGCATGAATAATACTACAATCACTAGAAAACAATTCTAGTTTATTCCCATCTTTTATTTTGCATGGTCATCACTGCCAGGCATCGTAGCACCACAAAGTTTCTTTTATTTAAGGTTAGCAGCCTACTTTAATACATGGCTTCTCAAAATTGGAATCATTTTCCAAGACTCGCCCCTAACCTTTTTACATTCTGCCTGCCATGTTGTCATTTTACCCTTGCAACCTGGATTACCACCTAAAATCACCCACCTGCAACAAGAACTTGAACTCTTTCCAAGAGGACAAACCAGATAATTATTGAAAGGAAGAAACTGCATGGATGAATTGGCATACAATCAATCAATTGAACTGCATGTAGAGTTTTCAGGAGATAAGTAAATAGGTATTTTTGAGGTTATTGGCACAGGAGCATATAAGACTTCAATGTGCCAAACACACAGCCAATGAAAGCAATAATTTCAGAGAAATATGTATGTATATCCTTGAAGGGAAACGAACAAGAGAGAAGAATGAAGCAGATTTAAAGAGCAGGAATTCAAATAGCTTTTTATCATTGTAACTTCTTAAACATTTGTCATCCTATACCACTGTCGTATTCATTACTGAAAATAGCCAAGGAACTCCAAGTTTATCCTCTCAACAACTTTGTGAGGTAGGTTAGTTTGAGAAAGAGTGGCTAGTGCAAGATCACCCAGCCTTCCTTTCTGAGCAGGGATTTGAATCCAGATTTCCCAGGTCCTAATTCAAAACCTTAACCACTGGCTCCACCACACTGGCTTGGGCATTATGAAAGGCATATCACTATCTTGGAAAAGACCTTAGCTTTGGGACCAATGTAATCTGCTTTTGAATTTATGCTTACATCCCAAACACAGAGCATCACTAGAAGGAAGTGATGTCACCTGTAGCACAAATGTGCTTTGAATGGTCCACATGATTAAGAAAACAACACTGCTCTATATTTGATGCAATCATTTCTTGCAAGCAGGATAACACAAATATCTTAAGCACAAAATTCTGCAACGTACCATTCATCTCAGCTGAATAACTGTAGCATGAAATATGGTAGCAAAATCACCATTCCTCCCTTCTGCCATCAACATTTTGCTTCTGCATAGAACACATTCTGAAAAAGAAACAATGAACTGCCCTAAGATCTAAGGGAGGGGAAGTATATATTTCATTCATACATGTCACTTATTTGTTCTTTGCAATTTCTGGAAGATTAAGTTTAAATCAAAACACACCACTCACAAACATTCGCAGTTGACAAGCATCAAACAAGTTTAATAGTTCTCCAGTGAAGACTCCAAATATGGAATAATGATAAAATTGGCAACTGAATTAATTAGACACAGTATCTTATTATCTTGCATGTGAGAGTGATTATTTAAGCAAGTGAAAAGTAAAAAGCAAGTAAAAGCAGAAGCCGAATTATTGGGCGGGGGTGGAATTACAGAAGTTTGTGTAGAATATTTTTGAATCAGCTGGCAAGACTGGCTTTTCTTCCATTAGAAGCAAAGTGGGAATGCAAATAAAGTGAGCTAATAAAATGAGGTGCTATTGCTGAGTTGTAGTGTGGGGGTGGGGGGGAAGCATAGCAAACGCTTCCAAGTTCAATCCCTGGAATATGCAAGTAGCGCTGTGAAAAGCTCCATCCCAAAATCCCATGGAGCAGCTGCCAGTCACTACAGACAATATTGTGCAAGAATTACTCAATAGTGAGATGTGGTATAAGGCAAATTCCTGTGTTTTTTCTATATTCATTTTATTTAACATAATTTATATACCGTTTGATTGTAAACAAACCAACAAACCACCTCCAGGTGGTTTACAACAATATAAAACTAAACATTAAAAATTGTTGCTAAAAACAGGTATTATAAATATTCATAAGATTAAAATCAACAGCAGCTAAAAAGCTTAAAACATGTGATCATCTTTGTGTCTTGATAGGCTTGCTTAAACAAAAAATGTTTTTAGAAGTACAGTGGTACTTCGGGTTAAGTACTTAATTCGTTCTGGACGTCCATTCTTAACCTGAAACTGTTCTTAACCTGAAGCACCACTTTAGCTAATGGGGCCTCCTGCTGCTGCCTCGCCTCCGGAGCACGATTTCTGTTCTCATCCTGAAGCAAAGTTCTTAACCCGAGGTACTATTTCTGGGTTAGCAGAGTCTGTAACCTGAAGTGTATGTAACCTGAAGCGTATGTAACCCGAGGTACCACTGTATTACGTGGCAGCTGCCAACAATGCCAGTTCTACAGATCAAAGTGGTCAAATAGGCGTATACTGTGTGAGGCAACCCAACTAGTGGTCATATGTTTATATACTAACACCTAGAACTTGGCCCAGTGGCAAATAGACAACCAGCGCAGATTTCTGAGGGGAGCTACATGCTTATAGGGTCATGTTCCTGTCAGCACTCATTCTGCAGCATTCTGCACTTACTGCCGCTTCCAGATCAATTCTCCCAGTTCCAGAGTCAGCAACAAGCTTAGAGCTCCTGAAAATAATCCATGGGTACCCACTAACTGAGTCAATTAATTCAGACCTGGAAATATACTTGCTGTTTAACGTTTTATTACAACTGCTGTTAATTTTTCACGTCATAAAATAAGAGGTTGGTTTGGCGGCAGGGGCATGTTTCATGTTGTCCACCCTAAGCACCATGATACCGAATTCTGGTACTGCTCCAGTCTGAGTCCATGTAACACATGATTCCTCTTGATGACCTGTCTTCCACACAACCACCAGGTATCATTAAAACAGTAGATAAAAACGGTAGATAGTCACAGTAGCTGGGGGTGGGGTAGAGACTTAAGGGTCAGAAGCACTCAGCCATGTTAAAAAAAAATTGTCAAGAGGGTTTCTAAGTCAGCCTTGTAAATGTGCATACAAAAGTACAACAACAATGTTCTAGAAGCTGGCAGAAATGGAGCTCCATCCCTCCTCTAACATCCCACTGCACTTCTATGCAGAATGTGGAGATGGGGGGCTTCCTTCCTCAGGCGGCCTGCTTGATCCAGAGAGAGGTTAGAGAGCACTCCTGCCAGCCTGCTCACTTGTCTGCATGCAGCTTATTGTTAATTCTGTGTTAATTTCTGTGCCCAATCACAACATGCAATCCTCATTTTAAGCTTTGATGGTTTACATTTTTTAAAAAATTGTCAGTTGCTGCATGGAACGTGTCTGATATGGGGCTGTCTGTTTCACACTACATGGATAAGGGGCACTACATATAGATTTAGCATTGTTCTTTCTGGGCAGCTAAAGTCTGACAAAACTGTGTGTCCAAAGCTCAGTTGTCTAGCAACTCACCTGCTGAGTCTACCTATACTGAAGACTACTGTTGCTTCCCTTTTTCATTCTTCTGGTATCCTGTACCTATGGTTTTCTGAATTACATGCTAAGATATGGACATATTAGAATTAAGCGTGTCATATAAACAATCTACAACAAAACCAGAGAACTTTATAAAACTGTATTTTTTAAAGAAAAATTATGAACTGTGGAGTTATCGCACACTAACACCCCCAATGTTCTGGAAAAGCTGCAAAACTCTTTTTTTTGGGGGGGGGGGAATAGAAGAGAACAGAACAGAGTTTGGAAGCCAAGGCTTTAAAACTCCCCCCCCCACTCCCTCCTTTAATTGGAAGTTTCAGTATTCATTAAAATCGGTTCTAAAAGGGAAAGCCTTTTAATCAAGTGGTGTGTCTGTGGCCAGTGTTTTTAATTGGCTGGCAGATTGAATGGGCATGTTGCTTTCTCATTGGAACCGATTAACAAACTCTTCTCTGGTGATAAGAGAGGAATGGTGGTAGCGGTCCCGGGAGGCAAAATCTGTATTCTCTTCTGTGAGCTGAGTGGTCTCCATGCCAACTGTTGCAAGGGACGGTGTCACAACAAATCGCTCCTCCGGGGATGGCTTTCCCCTGAAAAACAAAAGGAACGCAGAACCTTCAGATGCCCCATTGTTTCCCAATACATCTGCAGCTGCACTCTTGAACTGTGTAAACAAAAATAGAAAAAAAAGAGAAAGAGAAAAGGAATCCACTCTGCTATGCACAAAGACACGGCACTTGAAGAAAGAATGCAAACTTTCCCTTATGACATGAGGGTTTGGCCAAAATTCATCATAGACTCTTTCCTTATGTAAGTTTTATTTTTAAATGGTCAGTGAAGGTTTTCCCCCTTAATACATACACTTGCGTCTCTTCGGTTACGGTATTTCCCAGTTGCTTCAAATGCTCCAGGCATATAAAACTGCACTAATGTTTGGTCCAATTAAATCTATACCTTATGGCTGAAGACCAGTTCATGTAAAATAATGCCTGCTCGTTTCCTTTTAGTGCTTTCCAGTTAGGATGTAACAATTCAAAGAATGAAAAGGCCCAGAAAATTCATCCTGCACTTCTGTTGTTTTTCAGTAAAATCATAAAAGACTACTAAACACTTATTCAATCCCTTTTAAAATTATACTTTTATATTCTGAATGTGAATTTAAATGTACTAAAGACCAATCTCAACTGCATTCACATCTAATTTGCAGAAGCATCCTTCTTAAACTGTTGTAGGAAGTGCAGTAGCATTTAAACCCTTAATGTCATTAGGGCCTTTTGAATTACTAAAATGTGTAAAAATGCTTCCAACTAGGGCAGTTTTGCCATATAGAGAGAATGAGTAAATACAGCCCCTAAAAATACTTGTAACATGTTCTTACTGCAAGAGGCACACATTATGGGAGTTTCCATGCCACCAGTTGTGGCCACAGAGTGATTACACCTTGAACTCACAAAAATGCTAGCAATTTTCTCAAAGTGAAAACTAGCTGCTAAGAGACTAACATTGACAAGGGTCAGATGCACACTTTGCTTTGAGTCTAATTAACATCTAATCCCAAGAAAGACATCTCTTTGCCAGTGGTAAAGAATATGGTAAAGGCATGTTGTGGGGAGGGGAGTTGTTATTCATCCTCAATGAAATTCTGGACCACATCCGATGGTACTCTTGCTACCACTTTCCAGACAGCACTTCAAATTGCTATATTCTTCTAACTGCATAAGAACTGCATTTTCCTAACAGCACGTTGCAATTTGAATGCTTAGTCCCCAAACAGAAGCACTTCCTTAAGAGAAGATATCAAGATGCTTATCAACAAATGAGAAACTTTGTATTTGTTGCATTATAAATTGATCATCTGGGGAGAAACACTCTACAAAGGAAGGTTGTTCCTGATGTACAGCACAGAGCAGCATGGGATATAGGAAAGGGGCTCCTGTAACAACTGTAGAGATGTGGGAGTTGGCAGGTTCAGATATTTAGGAAGAGTGCCTAATGTTGCACCTTCTGAAATGCCCTCTTCTACAAAATTACTAAAAGTTATTAAGATTGCTGTCCTCCTTTGTATCTAGTAGAAGTACCTGCTGACAGATGAACTCATGCAAAGTAGTGAAAATGAAAAGATAAACAAGGACTCCTATAGGAAGAAATATAAGGGATGTGGAAAATGGCAAGCAAAGAAAGGTAAGATATGTGTTAATCATCTATGATGCTCTTCTGTATTTCAAGAGACATGGTTTCTGATGGATGGCAATTTCACATTATGCTGTGGATATAGAGCAACTGCAATAATTCTTTGACAAAAACTGAAGGAAGCTGAAACTGAGTTTTTCAGGGTTAGAGAATGTAAGAACATATTTCTAGCATCCTAAACTTGTGTTCATTTGTTTTTTTAAACCCTAATTGAAGGTTTCCCTCAGTTAGTTTGATTCTTACTATTTCATTGGTTTGTAAATTTATTTAAAATTAATATTGTATTTACCAGGACAGGTGGTACTAGGTAAGAGACTTTGCTTCTTTGCTCTATATGTCATCTGGTAAGTACACAGCTAGTGTTTACAACATGTGAAGCAGCAATAGCAAATACAACAAAAGAAGGAACACTTGGAGGGTCTGGGAAAGCGGAAAGCAGCAAATGACCATAGAGAAGGACCTATAGAGAAGAGTAGCCAATATGGTACCCACATCCCCAGATGTTCTTTAACTATAGTTTCCATCATCCATGACCATTGACCATGCTATCTGGTTGGGAGTCATTCGGTACCCCTGCCAGAGAAGCTAACTCAAAACAGCCAGGGAAGTTCAGAATTCTGTAAATGAGTGGTTTGGTCAGGGTGATTTCTGGCAAGAGAATGACTTGGAGGGAAAGGGTTAAAAAGTTCCCCACCCACAAAAAAACCCCACTATAGCCTCAGTGGCTGCATTTTGTAGAAAAAAAGTTATGTACAATGATCACAGAATGATGCTGTGTGTGATATGTAATTCTACTCTTAATATGGCAAAGTTAATGGTAGTGCAAGTACTTATAAAACTAATATTATAGCTATTCACACACACATATCCATAAAAGAGTGCATACAGCTCTAAATCCAACAAAGTGTAGCTGTTGATGACTATTATTATTATTATTATTATTATTATGTATTATTGTATTTCTATACCACCCTTCATCCAAAGATCACAGGATAATTGACAATACAAAAAACACAAAAATACACCCCATAATAACAATCATAATATATAATCCATAATATAATATGGATTATTGTGGAGACCTCGATGACCAACCAGAATATTCTCCCATATTTCGCTACTAATTTTAAGGTCTTCCTCCTTCCCCCTCATTGGTTCCTTGTGGACACAATGGAGTTGCTCTTCATTCAACCAGAGAATCAGAATCAATAAAGTAATTGTACTACCTGCTGATACATTTCAAGAATGCACCGTACAGTGCACTTAAGTGCACTTCAAGTGCACCTCTGTTCATTCAAGTTTGTTAATGTTTCAGTGGCTCTGGGGGATGTAACTGGACATTTTGAAAAATAAGTGGGGTATAAGTTGTTACGTTATGCATCTCTGCAATGTAAAAGATAAAATGGAGGTGGTGCAGTTAACCCTACCTTAGGAAGTGTAGCAAAATTCTTGCTCCCTCAGAATCTACTAAAAGTGAGATTATAGTTGGTATGGTTCCATTTAGATTTAGCAGGTGGGTTGTAGGAGAGCCAAGATTCATTATAAGCAGGGCAGAAAGAATGACTTGGCCTCTACTTAATTAGCTATGCTGAATGGCTTATGAGAAATATGTATTGTGGTATTTGTAATATATCTGAGATCTAAATAACTTAGGTTGCAATCCTATACCTAGGATTAAGTGTCACTGAACTCGATGGGACTTAATTTTTACTCATGGATAGGACTGCACTGTTAATCTCAAATTAATTAAGGATATGAAACGTCTCTTTTCCTAGTTAACACCAACCTGCAGGCATTAAGTAAAAGTTGTTTTATCCATTGGAAAAAGCTGAAGTTGGCTGCTACACCTGTAGAAAAAAAAGACAAAATAAGTTGCACTATTGATAAACTGCTCTTAATAACTTGACACATAATCTAAAACTCTGCATTGATCCTTACTAATCCAAGCTGGCCCAAAGTTTAAAGGTTTAATAATGGTGGGAATGTGTTTTTCATATTTCTCCTCAAATTGAGGCTTTGCGATAGTCGCTGAATCAGTGACTACAGGCTGTAAATAACACCTGAGGGCAAGACAGTTTGAGCATAGATGCCATTTAGTTTCCAGGACAATTCAAAGTGCTGGTTTCGACCTATAAAGCCTTAAATGCCTCAGGACTGCAATACCTCAAGGATTGCCTCTCCCCATATGAATTGACATGGAGCCTTCAATCTTTATCTGAGGCCCTCCTTCATGTAGCTCCCCCATGAGAGGTCTGAAGGGTGGCAACCCGAGAATGGGCCTTTTCTGCAGTGGCTCCCTGCTTGTGGAATATTCTCCCCAGGGAGTCTCACCTGGCACCTTTGTTACCTATCTTTAGCCATCAGGCAAAAACATTCCTCTTTCACCCTGCCTTCGGCTAATTAAACAAACTATGGCCGTTTAAATTGCGGGAGGGGGTATTGCTTTCGTTCCTTACTATATTATGTATTTTTGCGCTTTTATATTGTAAACTGCCCTGTAATCCTCGGGTGAAGGACTGTCATACATACATACATGCATAAAGCATGCTTGTGCCAAAAGGTCCAGGCCTGGAAAGTGATGGCATGTGTCTTTGGACGCAGAGTCAGGATCTTATGAATAAGGAATCCCTGAACGATGAGATCTAGGGGGGCAGAGTATATAAGGTCTCCCTCTTGAGGCTTCAAGTTGCTGGCCCCTTGTTCACAAACCTAGCTAGACTTTGTCCAGACTCCCTGTAGTATTGACCCTGGACTGTAGCCTAACTCTGGGCCACATTTTTGGCCTGAAGTGATTCCCTGTGCTTGACCCAGGTTTGTTTAGATGGCACTACATCCTCAACCTTGCTCTCCTTGGTGTTTTGGTAAGAGGTTTATATCTCCTATGGTTGAGAGCACCCACCCAGCAGGACTCTCCTTATGTTCTGACATGAAGCTCTGCGGTTCTTTTTTTTGGGGGGGGGGGGGATTTGCTCTTTACAAAATGGAGTCATTGAGACTATGATTTGAAAGAGGGAGGGGGCTGTTGTGGAGGGAAGAAGGTGATCTTGAACCCTTTTCTACCAAAAAAACTCCCACAAGCTGCATTTTACCCATCAAGAAAACATGCAGGCAACCATGCAGGTAAAATCTGCACAGTGTGGGCAATATTGGGTGGTGCTGTTTGTTTATTTATTTAATAAAATTTATGTACTGCTTTATTGTAAAACAAACAAACAAACAACCCTCAAACTGGTTTACAAAAAGAATTTATCAATGAAATTAAAAAGGCAGTTAAAACAGCAATTTTAAACATTCAAAAATAATTAATCAACCATAAGTTTAAAAAACCAGAGTAAAACACATGTCAATGTTCTACAGGTTTGAGTAGGCCATCCCCGCAGTGACTTGAGGTGAAAAGATAAGAACTGCCCCTGCAGTTCACCTCAAATTGCTTCCTCTCAAATTGCTTCCTCTGTGGCTATATTTTGTAAGAACAAAACTATCCCTAAAAAGAATCAGGGAGCTACATCTTAAGACATAGTCAGTGAAATTGAATTAAAGCCTGGGAACCACTACGATAGACTATGGTACTTGCTATTTTAGTGCCATCGAGTACTACATTCTAAATCAGACACACACAAAACCCCTAAACACCTGACATGCACAGACTCTTTTAATACTCTTTTAGCTTAAAGAGTATTTCCTCAGATTACATTTCTTGAATATTTAACATGATTTACTTCATAAATCAAAGGGGCTTCTGCTTTGTAGTCAGAAATTCTGGTATTTAATGAGATTCTTATTGAGATTCCAATCTTTGAAGCATTTTTCTCAGGAGGATTTATCTAGACGGGTGGATGGGAGGTTATGAATGGATATGACCCACTTATATTTTCATCTTAAAAACAACATTCCTGTAAGGCAATAACTCCACCTAATTTATTCCATGAAGGTGCAACAGAATAAATTAAAATATTTTGCAAAAGGTATTAACTAGTCGAGCCTGATCATTCTAAATGCAGCCAAGCTATTTAAATGGGCAGCCTGCGGGGCTCCCTAGATGTTGCTGCACCCAGTCTCTCGTCAGACCAAGCTAAGTGTCAGGAATGACAGAAGCTTGTAGTCAACATCTGGAGATTCACAGGTTCCTCATCCCAGATTCAAAGAATCTTATTTTATGACTTGCAACAAAACCATACATGTAATCCGCAGTTAAGCTCAGGGCCTCCGTGTCAGACAGACACTGCCAGGTTCAGAGAGGAAGAGAGCAATGGAGAAACGTTCTCAGTGACACCTCCTCTCCTCCCATCATTACGAAATTCATCTCCACTGAGAACTCCCAATGTTCAAGTCTCAGAGTCTTTCAGAAGTAGTGCAAGAGAATGGGTTGCATTGGAAGATTAGGGTTACATCAATAAAGGGATGGAAAGTGTAACTGCATTTTTATCTGCCTAACATTTCTTCTGCAACAATTGGATTGATTATGCTCTTATCATCCTCCTCCTCCTCCACCCCAACAACTTTTGATAGTCTAAGCTACAAAAATAAGCAAGTAAATAAAAAAGTGTTAACATCAATGAGAAGATGGGACATTTTCATGCAACTAAAACATAATGAAAACTGAGACCGATCTAAGTGAAAACACTTACCAGGTGGTAGCCCTGGACTCACTTGGCCAATGTAGAAATATAGAATAATTGCTAATCCCAAATTAACAAGAGTGTAGATCCACTGAATAACAAACATAATTGCAAGTGATCCTATTGCCTGTTGGAAAATGGAAAATGTAGGATTACTCTGGGGTACAGTAACTAGCGCTGCCATTTCCCCCCAGAATGTTTACTTTATTTTAAAATCAAACATAGCTAGGCAATCTGAAGGAGAGCAAATTGCTTAGAATAATTATTCCAAGTCTCACCCTACTTTTTACAACTTTTCAGGACCTGCCACAAAACCCATTCTGGTACTTAGCAGAGGCGGGGGATAACCTCTCATTTAATGAGTAAGTCTTCAGTGGCATGGGAAACAAGATGCATTTTGAGAATGAAGCAAATTACATGACCCACATTCTCCAGATGCCAGACTGAGCATGTGATTAGTCTAAATTAGAATTTTCAAAGAGCACATGGTGATCCAAATGGGAAAAGCAGCTGAAAATTTAGCTCCATTTAGTTTGAGTGACAGGCAGGAGAACACAAGAGTTCTACTGAATCAGACCAAGCGTCCATGTAGCCCAGCATCGTGTTTCCAATCATGTGACCCGCCAGATGCTTCTGGAAAGCCCAGAAGTAGGGCATCTCATATGCATACTGCTTCTGAATCTGGTAATTCCATGTAACCATCAAGGTTAATAGTTGCTGATACACCACATCTGTATACTCACCTTTTAAAGCCCCCTAAATCACTGTTCACAAGGTAGGTTTTATCTATACTGAAAAACAACAATTTTGAAATCTTAACTCCATTGGGTTCCATCTTACCCAATTGTGAACAGGTTCCTGGTGATGCTATACTCTAACTGGCTGGTTCATTTTGTAGTTCCCTGATTTGAAGCATCTCATAGTGTCCTGGCATTTCACTCCAGATTGCATTACCTTTTTTGCTACTTCTTGTTTCTTCCTAGGTTTCCAACCCAACACCTATACCGATTAAAACTTCATATTCAAAGATACTCTCTTGCATCATATATATGGAACCTTTTCTGTGAAGCTTGAAGCATCCCTATGGATCTGTAAGTAATGTTTGTTGCCACTTGCTTATTATCCTAAAGAAAGGTTTGAAATATTATAGAGTAACTCACACCAACAAGGGAAACCCAACGGTCACAGAGTCTGGAGTAGAAGGATGCTGGCATTTTCTGAATTTCTAATTCTTGGCTTTGTTGTTTTACATTTAAATCTACAGAAGGAGAGAGACAGTAGAACAATGGATAGATTCTGAAGGATCAGGCCTAGGCACTCAAGTGCCCTTGACAGGGATCACATAGTTCACTATGCCTGAACAAAACTTCTTCCTTCTTCTGTCAGAAGTTCAAATCCAGCTGCAGTGTCTTCTCCCTCCCACCCCCCAAAAACCTATTGCTTTCAGAGGATACAATTTAAGTATCAGGTGCTGTGTTGTTCTGAAGTTTTCTAGAAACAGCAAGCTAACTTTTCTCCTTCTCTGATGTGAAAGTCCCAAGAAAGCCCTAGTCTGCTTCAAGAGCCAAAATCTCTGCAAGGAGAGCCTACTGAAGATGGTTAGTTAAGAAAGGGGCTAAAATTAAGGGATTCTTCAATGGCAGCTCCTCTGGAGGAGGGGTTTGGAGAGGCTCAGGTAACAATTTCCCCACTACTAAGCAGATGTTTTTGTTCCTGTCTACAGTCCAGCCTTTGTTGGCCAATCAAGACAACAAGGGGGCTACTCACATAGATGCTGAGGGAGTGGCCTTCTTGGCATGAGGCTTCCCTGACAAGCTCCAAGGTTTCAGAGGAACATAAATATATCACTATACGTGCAGAACATAAAGCTGGCCAGTACTCCAGCTCTTCTCCTTTCTCCATCCCTTTCCTATTACTGTATTCCTTGCAAAAATGAAAATGAAAATCCCAATTATTTGGAAACACGGTTTGTGCCAATCGCAATATATTATGCTACAACTAGTTCTGCTCACAGAATTTAGAATTTATTCACATTCAGATAACACAGAAGTCCAACTTATGAGATCTTCCAATAAGATTGTTTAGGTAAGGAGAGCTTTTGCTGAGCTTAGCTACTGAACGCTGCATGCCTCAGGCAGGTCCTTTTCACACTACAATTATGCAGAAGGCAACATTTTGGAAAGGGAAAAATATACGGGCATGAAACTGAACAATTTCAGTTTCTAGACCACAATTATCTGATGAAGACCACCACAATCATTTCTGCTTGTAAAGAATGGAGAGTTGATGTTTAGGATGTTAACTTTTGGAAGCAATTACCTCCCATGTCAAGGTAAAAATAAATGTTGCGATACATCTCACAGTGAAAGGTTTCATATGTAGACTATTGGCACAGTACACTGTAAATAGTAAATCTTCCTGCACTGAATTAAATCTGGGCAACATTTCCACTGGCAAATTAGAGGAGAATCTCTTGTGAATCATTAAAACAGACTCTACAGTTATGAAAAAAAGGATAAATTGTTGCCAGGTTTGACAGACTGACCCTGTAAAACCAATTTCCATCCTTGCCTATGGAGGAGTACCAGCAATATTCTTCATTTTAAAAGGTAAGTTTAATTGTGTTTCTTGTTACCTTCCACTTGGTGACTGGCAGTTTTGTGCCTCTCTTCAAAATGCTGGCCTCTGTCTTGGTCTTGCTTCCGCTTGGGTCCTACAGCAGCAGAACTCTCTTCATCCTGGTGATTCAGCTCTGAAAAGCTCTGCATACTTTTGTCACTGGATTCCAGGTCACCACTGCAAAGATCCTGGGTAGAGGCAATGTTATTGCCAAGATCCAAGAGAAAGCTGTCTTGTAACGTTTGTTTGACTGCCTTCTTCTGCTTCCCGGGCTTGGCCATTTGGCTAACACCCATGTCCTTTTCTTTTCCCTCAAGATTGGCCCCTGGGTCTTGGCTGGGAGGCCTAAAAATATGATCCATGTCTTTTGTGAATTCTAGCAAGGTGCCATCAGATCGGCCTTGCATTATTCCACCTGATCCATAACAGGATGGCTTGTCCAGTATTAAAGGCCGAGAACAGCTGAGCACGACCTTGGAATCCTCTCTCAGTATCTTTTTGGAGCTCTGCTGAAGTCTGTAGCTCATGGAGACAGAGAAATAGGAGTAATCCACGACAATATAAGTAAGCATGAAGTTTATGGTGACAATTGGAGCAAGAACATTCACTTGGCCAATGAAAACGAAGGCCATGGTGATAAGGCTTGTTAAGCAGATTGCAGCCACCGGGGTTTTGTTTGGTCCTTTCTATAGTTAGAACAGAAAGAATATGAATATTGTTATGTATGGGTAATAATCTGATTAGAATCTTTGCAGATAGAATTCATAGAATTGTAGAGTTGGAAGGGACCCCAAGGGTCATCTAGTCCAATCCCCTGCAATGCACGAATCTCAAGTATGTCATACATGACAGATGGCCATCCAACCTCTGCTTAAAAAGCTCCGAGGAAGGAGAGTCCACCACCTCCCAAGGGAGTCCGTTCCACTGTCGAACAGCTCTGTCAGAAAGTCCTTCTTGATGTTTAGTCAGAATCTCCTTTCTCGTAGCCACACTAGGGGAGGAATGAGTTAGCTCACTCCCCACACTTTCATTACAAATCCCTTCCCTGCCCCTGCTCAGCAGCTATTAATTGTAAACAACAACAAAAAGTACACAAACAGAGGCAGCAAGTGTGTCTGTCAGATCAAAGAGAAACACTGCGATGCATTAGCTTTAGAAGTTAAATGCGGACCCTCACTTAAACAGTGCCTGTGTTCTAGAGTGTTTCTGAATTCCGGCTTGGAGAGAAAAGGTTCGCCACAGGCCTTCCCTCTTAAAACAAACAACAAAAGAGCTTGAGAATCATTTGGCAAAGAAAGATGCAAGAATATGTTGAGAGGTAGCAGATGAGGTACGAACAATGTGGAATGAGGGTCCATTCCAAATAAAGTTCATGGTTTAGAAGCTAGTTTGGGTTTTCTCTTACACAAAGTTAGGAAGATTACAGTGCTTCCTACTCAGACTGACTGGAGATCTAAATATCCCTCTGCTTCTGGAAACTCAATTAGCAGCTAGCTACTAGTCTGGTGAGATAAACCAAAGGTATGCTTGTCTGAACTTTTGTGTACTGTAAAGTAAAGGTGGATTAGTCTATGTTCCATGTTTACATACCCCCCGTCCAAGAAATGCAAGTATTGGTATCACATTTTCTTGGGCGATGCACTGAAGGATTCGGGGTGCTCCATACAGACCTCCCATGCAGGATGCTAAAGATGAAATATACAAACCAAGTAAGAATAAGAAGCCCACCAAGGACACCTAAAATAAAAGAAACAAAGCAAAAATTGGCATGTTTCTTGATTAATGCTGCAGACATTACAGGGCTGGCTCTACCATTAGGTCGAGTGGTGTGGCTGCCTCAAGCAGCTGTTTGAGTTGTACAGATGCTACACCTTCAAAGCACATTTGAAGCGCATTCTTTCCTGCAAATAATTCTGGCCACTGTAGTTTATCCCTCACAGTTACCATTCCCAGCAACTCTTAACAAACTACAGTGCCAAGAATGTGCTTTAAAGGTATTGTGCGCACACGGCCTTAGTTGTTGTGAAAGGACACAACATGTTAGGTATTTTGTTTGTTTTCTTGTACTTCTGCTCCTAGGAAGACATGTTTCTGGGATTTTTTTGTGCACCTCGATTAGGGGTGTCATTTGCTGTTCCACATCAGACAACAAAATGCCCTGAGCCAGTTCTGAACATCTGTGGGGTTACACAAGAGAGGTGGTATAGTATGGTGATGAGTTGGTAAATCTGGAGTCCAAATCTCATCTCAGCCATGAATTCACCAAGGCCACTCACACTCTCTTGTAGCCACTGCAGACTGGCACTCCCCAGCATGCCAGGATCTGATGTGGGAGGTCCCTAGGACTGTTTCCTGGGCAGCAAAGGAAGCCTCTGAGCCGAGCTTGCTGCCTGGGTAATTGGCCCCACCTGCTCGCCTAATCAGCAATTTGCAAGCAGGCATGGGTCACCAGGCTTAGCCAGCGCCTCCAGTATATAACACAGGCCACTCTGCAGCCACTTTTTGTTGGGCCACAGCACTCCCCAGGTACAATCCAGTAGGGGCATTCCCCCTTGATGGAGGTCGGGGACTCCCTCATTTCCAGTTGACCCCATAAGTTATTCTGGCAGGCGGGCCAGAAGGGGCGGGGTCTACCCAATGCCTATGCTAAACTCCTTACATCTGTTGTCAATAAAGTTGTGGCCTGATTTCACCCAAATATTAGTTGCCATGTCTCTTATTCTTGGGTCAGCCTGGATAGCTCAGTTGGTTTGAGCATGGTGTTGATAATGCCAAGGTTTCAAGTTCGATCCCTGTATGGGACAGCAGCATATTCCTGGATTGCAGGGGGTTGGACTAGGTGATCCTTGGGGTCCCTTCCAATACTACAACTCTATGATTCTATTGGGAAGGACCAAAGAGTAGTGAGGATGCCTTGCATGCAAGTGGTCTGTTTTCTCTGCCTCGACTACTATTGTTAATTTATAGGTAACAGCATTGTTTTACAAGGCTGGTGTAAGGATGATAGAGGCAATATATGTGCAGAGCTTTGAACAGTTAAAACATAGTATGCTAGGAATAATTACTTCTAAGAGAATATGATTGTGATCAGGTTGAAATCTAAACTCTAAAGAACATGGCAAAAAGGCGGGTGCGGGGAGGATGGCTCCCAATCCATTGGGAAGCTCTCCTAAAATGAAATGATTGAAATGAATGGCAGCTGTTCAAGTACAATTTAAAATGTAGGATTTCAGTGCAGCTTGCCCAGGAAAACATCCTGGTGGATATTTCATCTCTAACTAACATGAAAGAACACACTTTAATTTGCCCTGCATGGCTAGCAAGCATGAGCTATGAACAGAGTGAAGCAATCCCATAGAAAAAGCTCCACTTAGCAGCAGCAAGAAACCTGCACAGCTTACAGGAAATGCAGCAGATTCTCAGTTCCATTTACATACTGGAAGAAAGCCTGAAGAGAGTTTTATTTCAGGGGAGTGCACTTATGTAGACAGATAATCAAACCGGAAAAGACGCAGAAAGCTAAAAGCCTCCCGATAGCCGGAAAACAATCCCATCTATCTGTCTAATGAAGAAAATCAATGTTATAGATGTTTATTTTTTACATGGAATATAACCAGATCAGATATTTCATATAAATCAAAGTGTTCTTCTGAAACACGTTCTAAATGATTTAGTGCAGAGTGATTTATCTTGGATGTATGCTTCAAAAGGTGGCTCCTATGCCATATCAAGGGGGTTGTGCAAGATTGAGCACTGAGTGGATTGGGTCCTTTTCTTTTCCTGTTTTAAACATGCAAGTCACTTTCTTCTCAAACTATGTTAGAAAAGAACAACTCTGTAGCCCAACCTTGCACATGTTTACTTGGATGTAAGTCCCACTGAGTTTACTGGGTCTTATTCCCAACAGGGTAAAGGACTGCAGCACCAGTGCTTTAAGCAGTTTGCAATTAGAAAAACTGCATTTTTCACCATTTGATCTGGTAATCCAACTAACTTTTTTTCTGTGCATACTAACAAAAGGAAACAAAACAAAGCTAGCACATGTATCTCGTATTTCTTTTCTTATCATGAGAACAACTAGAGGCCTCAGCTCATTCTGCATTACATATTCCCTACTAGATACAAGCAAGGTCTGCAAATATATTAAAACAGCAGACAGAGTAGACTTGCCCAGGAGTCAGATGAGATGTGACCAGGTAAAAGCACACCATGTGCTTAACAGCAAGTAACCAGCACCCCATCTGTCATTAGGCCTAGACACACTACCAAAACTACTACTACATCTGGGTACTATTACCATTGTTTCTGCTCCTCATGAGTAAACACTCTGCTCCTTTTCTGGGTTTGCTAAGGAAAGATGAGGAGAGGGAGGAACACTGAAGTTGCTAAGCATCTGCAGGATAAATTGCACCAATTCTGGATCACGTGGCTAGAATGAAACAAGGATTGAAGTTGCTGAGGGGGCACTAGGGGGGTGGAGAGTGCCATGCTGGGAGAGCTATTCATCAAACCAAGGGTGTTGAGCCTGGATTGGGAACACTAACCTGTTATTTTTTGTTACAGGTAGGTAGCCGTGTTGGTCTGCCATAGTTGAAACAAAATAAAAAAAATCCTTCCAGTAACACCTTATAGACCAACTAAGTTTGTTATTGGTATGAGCTTTCGTGTGCATGCACACTTCTTCAGATACACTGAAACAGTGTACAGTGGACGCTTGGGATGCGAACGTGATCCGTGAGGGATGCACGTTCGCAACCTGCAGTGGCGCATCTGCGCATGCGCAGGTTGTGATTTGGCGCTTCTGCACATGCACGACCGCTGAAACCCGGAAGTAACCCGTTCCGGTACTTCCGGGTTTCGGTGGGTCCGTAACCTGAAAAAACGCAACCTGAAGTGTCTGTAACCCAAGGTATGACTGTATCTGAAGAAGTGTGCATGCACACGAAAGCTCATACCAATAACAAACTTAGTTGGTCTCTAAGGTGCTACTGTCATTTTTTGCTATTGCACCAAGCAATCTCAGAGGGCAGTTCTCTTACATGGGAAGAACACTTAGTGCTCAATTAGCATCTGTTATTTGGGGACCACATAGCTGGCTGCATGCTCCCCTTCGTATTCCCTAATTTCACAGGAAGCAACCTTATCCAGAGTCAGTCCATTGGTTCATCAAGCTCAGTACTGTCAAAGATGACTAGCAGCTGCTCTTCAGGGTTTCAGACAGAAGACGCTTCCAGCCCTACCTGGAGACGCAGGGGATTGAACCAGGAACTTCTGCATGAAAAACAGATGCTCTACCAATGAACCACACCACTGAATTACAAGCCTTCTATCGCTGACATGCATTTAATAATAATTATATAATTTCCTAAGAAAACATTCAGTTTTATGTATATATATCACCTAAGAAAATATGGCATATCATAGAAGTACAACCCCTACATGTTTACTCAGAAGTATTCCCCACTATGTTCAATGGGACTTTCTTCCTAGTAACTGTGTTTAGAATCACAGCTTGTTTCTGCTTATGAAGGCAGTCTGCAGGACCAGGAAGATCAAAGAATTCCTACAGTCTTTCAAAACCAATAAAGCCCACACAAAACCAAACTAAGCTTCTTTCTTCATATACAAAACTGTGTTGCTGACAGAGAAAAAGAACAGAGGAAAGGGGAGGGGGGCAAGGAATATAAGTTTTCAATTGGAAAATGAACAAATAAATAACTGATTTGAAAATAGCATTGCTACCCACTATCATAATATATTTTTAAAAGTCATCTCACTGTGCATTCAAAAACCAATAGTGGATTGTATCAAGATTCGCATATAATTTCAGTTACTCAAAAGGTCTGTATTTGAAAGTGCTACTTGACATTCCATTCACAACTTGGAAGGAAGTTGTCTTTTCATTGAGATGCTCAAAAGTACACACACACACACACAAACACCATTCAATGAAGACAAATTCTTCACAAGGAATTCTTAATTCAAATTTGATCACCTCTAATATCCCATTTACTTTATTTCCTTCTCTCTTAAGTTTAACAAAATTGCATTTGATGACAATGTTACTTTGAGAATAAATGACCAATATACTACCACATTATTTTTCACAAATTACATTTGCCACGCAAGACCAGCAAAGTGCAATTCTGTCAGCATATTTTAATCTTTTTATTACATCAGCAGCACCTTGTATCGCTCAAAATAGAAAGAAAGCCCTTGTCTCCTGATTCCTGTGTTTTCATGTTGAATAGAGATGGGCTCAAGCTTTCTTTCCGAAAGAATTTGCTGAGCAGTCTCTTTTCCGAAAAAAGCAAAATTTAAACTAGCGTTTTCCATATGGCTTGCATTCTCTTTGTTTGCTAAAGGTAACAGCCAAGTGTGCTCTTTCTCTACTGTGCTGGACCCATTAAATACACATTATGACAACAAGGCTGGCTAGACCAGAACACAGTGTGAACTGCATTCACAACAGGGGATTACTTTCTAGCAGACCAAGTAAGAGAGCTCCATCATGATTGGTCTGATGTCTACAGGTTTAATACCTGCCTACACAACAGGAATAACAGAGATCTTGGTTCAGGTCCCTGCTCAGCCAGGAAGCTTACTGGGTCAAAGTGAACCAGGCACTATTTCTCAACCTGACCTCCCTTAACAAGTTGTTGTAAGGAGAACATGGTAGAAAATAGGAGTTGTCTTGAGATCATTGGAGGAACAGCAGGATTAAAATGGATTGTGATGGTTAATAACTTGTGAACCAAAAGCCAAAGGCAGGCTACAATTGAATGGCTATTCAATAACCCTGTTTTTGTAGTCTCACGCTGGCAGCAAAATCAGGAGGGGTTTTGGGTTTTTTAGTTTGGTGGGTTGCAAATTGTTTGAGCTTGCTAGCCCCCCTTTTTTTTACTGCACAACAAAATATGATGAATCAACGGCTAAGTGACCAGCAAAGAGAGCTCTCCAAGGGTGCTTCCAGACTTTCGCCATTTTGGGGTGGGAGTCAATCATGTGCCAGAAAACGGAAGCTGTGCAATTATAGTTGGTTGGGAGGTCTTATGCAACAAACCTGCTTCCCAAAAAGACTGGACTTTTTGTGCTAAGGAAAGTGACTTGAAACACACTGGGAAGTGTGAGATAGGATGCAACAGAGATTTCCCTCGGGCTCTGATGAACTCTGCCATTTGGAGATAGGCTCAGTGCTGCAGAGGGCCTGGCTACACCTGCCAACATGTAGTCTGCCATCCAGGTGCTGGTCCAGACCCATATCTGCTGAGCTTCAACAAGATGGCAACATCATGTGTCCTCAGACCATACCCTGGAAGTATTAAGAAACTGTTCTTGAACATGTAAGGGCAAATTGCTGAATTGCATCCTTAAGGATGCAAAGAACCAAAGAATCATAGAGTAGGAAGGGACCACAAGGGTCATTTAATCCAGGCAGAGGCAAACTCGGCCCTCCAGGTGTTTTGGGACTACAACCCCCATCATCCCTAGCTAGCAGTGGTCAGGGATGATGGGGGTTGTAGTCCCAAAACACCTGGAGGGCCGAGTTTGCCTATGCCTGATCTAATCTAATCTGTTGCAATGCAGGAACCTTTTAGCTCAAGATGTCTCCCCGGACTTTCAAACCAATGAAGTGCTAATTTCAATCACAATAAGCTAGAATGGGGAATTAAAAGGAAACCTTTTATATCAGACTTCATAGCTACAAATTGGCATATATATATCACAATGGAATGTCTAGTATTTAATAATCCTCTTAACTTTCACTGCAGTTATGCTGGGCTAAATCTGAAAGTGTAAGATTGACTTTCTGAAAGGGAGCCTTTATAATTTTATTTAGCAATTTCAGTTTGGTCTGGGGTTCCAGTGAAGGAATAGGGGATACTGAACAATACAGAACATTTGACGTTTGATAATATTGGCCTCCTTTAATTCTTAAGGCTCTTAGTTCAATCCCTCTGTTAAGAGGTAATACTGAGATCTGTAAGAGAATGTAAGCTGCTCAAATCAGTTTTCCACAGTAAATTGTGTGGGATATTCCAAAAGGAAGTAGACCTTCATACTGGCTACAAAGTGTAATTTTAAGGCAGCAGTTCCCATATTTTTGTTGTACAAATGGCCATTTATTGTAAGCTGCCTAAGGAGTACCATACAAATGCTGAAAAGTGAATAAATAAAACTTTGATCTGCATAATAAATGAAATTCTGCAGATGCACAGTATACAGAGTTGTATCTATGTTGTATCTTTGAGGCTTGGTGCATAAAGATATACATATATTACAATATACTACCTTATGATCACTATAGGCATTTGAAACGATTAAGAGAAGTTTGGGAAATCCAAAAACCTCGTAAGTCCCTTCTCTGTCCCCATTCCTCTAACTCTTCCTGGAGCATATAGCTCATATAGTTTGGTCACCTGTGATCTATACTTGCTGCTGCTATTTGTGTAATATACTGATCACGTGTGTAACATGTTGCTCTGCTTCAGGGAGCAAGGGTAGAATCTCTTGCCTCTGACTGAGAATTAAAACATAAGTTTGCTGTACACCTGAACCACGTAGACTTTGGCTTGTGTAAACCATAGTAAGCCTAGTTTAGACAGTGCAAATGCAAACTAAAGTGAAGAAGTGAGGTGGCAAATCAGATCACACAAGGGGAGGAAGACAGAGTGCACAAGTCCAGCACTCATCTACATAGTGCCAGACTATGATTTGGCTTTTAGTCTGAACAGACTCAAGCTCCAGGACACAGAAACCCCATAGCTTGTTTTCAAATATGCAAGTTTTCAATTACGCATTTTCAAATCCATCCGTTTTATGTAGCTAGAGAATCTCAGTTACCTTTTCTGCCATCATAAAATCATAGCGCAGTGATACCCGGGTACAAGTGGCTCCCAACAAAAAAACAAATACTATGTATAGAAACCACCTGCGAAGAAATAAAAGAAATATAAGTGTCAAGCATATGAGGACCATGAATTATTTTTCTAAATTATGTTAGACATCTATTGCCCTACAGTATAAAACTATCCACTTAAGTAAATAATCAATGATAGTAGCATGTAATCTTCCTTGCTCTACGTTCTGAAAATGCTCTAATAGTTGCTTCATTGCTATTCCCATCTGAGTCGCTGCACAAGTGGCGCCCAGAACTAGACACAGGTGAAGTCTGACCAGTCATATTACCCAGTAAGACAAAGCATATAGGAGTATAGTCAAGTACTTTAACTACTGTGCCACAATCTCTGGTTACAAAACAAAGTATTTATCTGTAAACCAAAGTGAGAAACATCATTTAGGCAGCAGTGTATCTCATTTATTATAAATTCAAATCCAATGGGATCCTTTAATTTAAGAATTATTTCTAAAAATCCATTTGCTGTGGAATTTATCTAGGGCTCTGCGGTGGATGTTAGAGAAAGACTAAGCCTGTTTGTTTCATATTCCTTGTGGATTTTTCCCCGCAACTAGAGGAAGAGGTTGGGGCTTTCCCCCTCTTTTCTTTTAAGATTTATATCCATTTCAGAAGAATCTCAGCATCCACAAATTCTTATATATCCTCTAAATCAGAAATAGAAGGTGGGGAGACAAACATTAATTCATTATTCTTTTTGCTAAGCTGCCCAGGAAGATTCTTTGACTGTCTGCCTAGGTTTGATTTGTTAGGTAATAAATAAATCTATTTTCATATTACAATAATCTATATCACGCATGACAGAAAGAAAGTTACCAGGAGGTTTCCTCATAAGCACCACCACCCTGTTTTCAAGGGACTTACGAAACACCTATAGCAGATAGGGATCCTAGAGGGATATCTGTTGCAGGCTTCCTGAGATCACCACTCATATTGAACCCAGCCATCACACCTGCGTTTTGGGAACACGGGAAAATAAAGAGGACACTGTGTTAAATTGCTGTAAGACAGTAGCCTTTTTAAAAACATCACCGGTGCATATGCTGATATCAGGGCCATGTATACAAGCTTTGTGATTAAGCCATCAGGTATCCAGTGGCAACAAGCTACGAACTACATGCCCACAAAGAGGTTCTTTGTTCCAAACTGGACAATGGCACTGGAAGAAAAAGCAGAGATTTAAACAAAAAAGGGCTTATCTCAAAACTATCACTTGAAAGCAGTCCCCTCTCCAAATGACCGCTGACATTCAACTCTGCAAATCATTCAAACAGGCCACACATATTATGTGGGTAGTGTACTCCAAATAGATTATAGGTTCTGACACATTCACAAGATAACTCTTGTTACAAAATGTTTAGATCACGAGCCTTCAGGACAAAGGGATCCAGCATTTGCCCTTTATGTCTGTGATTACTGTTACCCACCCTCTACCAATTTGGTATAGGTGGGCTCTCCTTAACGAATTAATTGCAAAGTGTTCAATTGGTAACTATTTGATAAAACAACAGTCACATACATACACTCAGTACGCAGGGGAAAGGATTACCCAGCACCCTGCAACACGCATCTTTCTTCCAAGTAAAAAGGCACTAGAACTGAACCAAAAGAGCACTTTCCTATGTTACAGCTTACAGCAGCTCAGACAAAGGGCTTATCGGCACTTCCTCTTGTCCCACTGCTCTTCCCCAGGGAAAACCACTCCTTAGGACTCAACTGGAGCAAACAGCAATCGGCTTTTCAGTGGGCTGCTGTTTGTTCCGATTTAGAGCGAGTTTTCCCTGGGAAAGGAGCGTGGCAAGGGAAGTGTGAGCAAGCTAAAAGTCAGTTTACGGTATCAATAATCACCACCTTCTTTGCTCTAACTTGGGCCTTTCATTCTTACCTCAGTTTTGCATTCACACAGTAGCAATCCGTCATTTTTGTCTCAGTTTAAATGCTATATTTCTCTCCTACCAAGACAGTCTTTGATTGCTCTGCTTGTTTTGATTCTGTCTTGTTCCAACCCAAGAAAGGACACCCCAATCCAATAGTGTTTGGGTGCTGCTTGATACTTTCAAGATTGTCCCATTCTGTGAAATCAGTTTCCTGTTAAAGGTTGTACTTTTAGCAGCAGTCACTCCCTGCTGGGATGGAGGACCGATTCAGATGGTCTGCCATCAAAGGCTAATGGAAACTGATTCTTGAGTACTCTGGAGAGTTTCCCAGTGGATAGAGACTGTGATCCTGTTTAGGCCCTGGTCCTGTTGTGGGACAGCAAGATGAGGAGGACTGTTGATACAGTCACTCCCAAGGTCCTCTCCAATGTTACAGGGTCCACATAGCATCTTGGTTTATTAAGGTTGTGTGGGAAATGTTTATTTTTATGTACATAACTTAGAAATGATTACGCAGTATAGAAATGCCATAAACAAAGAGGTGCCTACTTCCAGCTTTGGCTGATTTGCCAGCTATGTCTGTTCCTCAACCAAGATAACATGTACAGTTTTGCATGCTCTAGCAACCTTTTGCCCAGATCACTGTAGCACACACTACTTAGGATTAGCCTTGAAAATTGCCAGAAAAGTGCAGCTAACACAGAATGCAGTTTCCAGAATAATGTTGGGTGCCTCTGTGCAATCTACCATAATGTCCATTCTTGCTACCTATACGTTACCATGCCCAGACCTGGCATTAACATACAAAGCCTATTCTAGTATCAGCTATGCTTGGATTTCAAAGGGGCCGTATTTGGGAATGCCTAAGGCTGCAATTCTAAAAACGCTTACTGGAGAGACCATATCCTATTGAACCCAGGGAGACTCACTTCAGAGTAAACATGCTTAGGATTACTCTGCAAGTACATATTTCAGCCCAAATGAGCAAACTGTTTAATACATTTCTGTACACACACACACATGCGTGTATGGTAAAAAAAAAATCCTTTCTGCCTACATCTGGAATGGCTTTCCCTTTCAGTATTTTTAAACTATCTGTGGTTGTTGTTGCAGTCTTTCTGAACTAATTCAGTAAAATCAACATCTCCCACACCCACAACTTCTCATGCAACTCATGCAACAGTTTAATTGCTTGGATGACAGAGCCACTTCTTTACTATTACATTACAAAATGTTCGGGAAGAAAGCCAGTAGCTTCATCTGAAATGCTTTAAATATCTATTACAAAGAAAGGAGCAGAGCTGCATGACATTATTGGTCGTGTGGCTATAAAATAAAGTAATATTACTGTTACTTACATCAGTGGAGCATGATAAACAAAAAATCCAAAGACACTGAGAATGAAATTTAATCCACAACCTTCAATTCATTACCGTATTGTTATTATTCTCTGTCCAAGCAGTCTCTAGAAACGACACGTTAGTCTGATTTAACTACACTGGAGCCAGATAGTGACTTAGTTGCAGAACTCTACGTTACCGTGAGACCCAACTATGACCTTTGGTTCTGGCAGGCTGAAGTAGGAGCAAGACTGCTCCATCTGTGTAGCTAGAGCTGCAGTTGCCTTGTCAGGCTGTTCAAGTTTTTAGCTCTGCAATCCTAAGGTCCCTAGCAGAGTGCCCCAGGAGCTATAGGGAGCACAGGATCTCTCTCTCCCCAAGGGCAGAAAAAAAGGGAAAGCGCTTTAACCATTGACAGGGATATCTGAAGTCAGAAATCCTTTCTCTACCACCATTAGAACTTCTGCAGCCTTTCCCTTAACAACTTTGGAGCTCCAATATTGGTAGGGCTACAAATTGGGGGTGGGAACTGAAGGAAGGACATAGTCTCCCTTTGCTGGATGAGGTAGTTAAACCACCTTCTGTTTCCATCTTCCTCCCACACTTGGAATCACAGCTTAAGTTGAAGAATGGGCTTGAATTAGTCAGAACCTCATCTTTTTTTCATAGAAAGCAATGGCCTTTCTGAAAATATTGCTCATGTGGCTTTCTGCCATTTCAGAATGTCAAAGCAATTCCTTACATTTATTCTCAGCTTAACAGGTGCATCCAGGCATAAAACCAGCCACTGGCAAACTCCAGTACTGCTAAACCACACTCACTGGTAAAGTAAGAGCATGATTCCTTAAATCTACAAACTATATTCAGTACCGCCCACATGGATCTGCCAGTAAGATTATCCACCACAATTTGCATTTAACCAAATGTTTTGTTATGACACTATATTATAGACAGGGGCCAAGATCAATAAATGGGCAGTCTATGTCAAACACAAGAGAGGATAGGAGTCTAAATAAAAATGCAGGGAGGTCTGAGTGAAAAACCTTTGGCTTGCAAGTAATAAGTTTGCAAACAGTTTGTCAGATCTAGAATGGTTTACAACTGTGGCCCTCCGGGGAACCTGTGGCCCTCCAAGTGTTGTTGAACTCCAACTTCAATCATGCAGCCAGTATTGTCAATAGTTGGGGATGACAGGAGCTGCAATCCAACATCATATTGGAGGACTGCAGGTTCTTTAGGCCTGGATTACACAGATTTTAGAAAGAAGCAAAAACCTTGACTAGGGGCCAATCAGGGCCCCAGAGAACACTAAAAGAAGAGAGACTGGTGCTACTATCCTTCATCACATCTTATGTGCTAGCTCTATATCCCAGGATCTTAAAGAATAACTTGTAGTACTAGCCTCCAAGTGAAAAGCACCCCTCAGTCTGTACAGCCCAACAAGGACTTTATAAAACTTCTTCTAATGTTTGTCTGGGAATATAAAACAAGAGCATTTGTCAAGCTCATCACAGGCCACAATACTTGGCTGGTGGTCTAGGTTTGGGTTGGTGGGTCACATGTTTAAGGCTTGCTTGAGAGGGGAGTTCAGCCATCCACACAGCTTCATTTTCGTCTTTGGCTATTTAGACAAATGCCAGAAACAAAATTCTACAGAAATTCTCTAGAATGTAGGACTCCTACAGAATGTTCAGACTCGGGAAATACCAAGTGACTGTTTGCCATGTTTGTTATGGGCTAAACGGTCTTAATGTGGAGTAAGTGAATGATGGCGTTGCAATAATACATTTTAGAGTGGAAGCCGTGTTTGTTGTAGAAAAAAACAACACATCCTGAGACATTGACTAAGCTTACATCACAATGTCGTCTGATTACTGTTAGGCCCCTTGAATATTACTAGTACTAACACTAATAATAAAAAATAGTATGTTGTGGCTTCAGAATTAAAATCTGTTCTGGTGCCTGAGAAACTATCCAATTCCTCCTATGATTATCTCTAGATACCTGTGTTTCTCTTGCTCTGAGTCACTTTAATTCCAGCTCATTCTTAATTGTGCTTTTATCCTGCTCTTAAATGGTTTCCACATTGGCCTCCCACATGATCCATACCCATATGGCTTCACCAGTGCTACAGAATCAACCATTAGGTAGGACCAGATACCCGTTAATTGCACGGGTGTTCATATTATCATTATCACTTGATGATTTCACTGATGGCAATGTGAAGGTTCTCACATTTTACTCTCACGACAAACTAGTCCTAAACTTTGTTTCAGTGGGACTGAGACTTGTAAAAAGGTTTAGGATTAAGTATACTTTCACAATTTTTTCTATCTTTCACTTTTGGCCCTCTTCATGGGCTTCTCTCTACTTATTCCTCTCCCCTTACTAGCTGAAACTGTTTTCTGAGTCTGTAGCTCATACTCCTACATTATTTTTGAGTTGCTGCTTATCTAGTTGTCTGCAGTTTGTGGCAATGTTAGGTTCCAAATGCTCAAGAGGGGTTCTTCTTCAGGCCAAGTTCCTGCAAGCATTATTTGAACACAGCTAGCTAGAGGAACGGGACGTTAATTTACACATGCCACTGACACACGGCCATTGTGAGAAGCTAAATGCTATAAAACATACTAGAAGAATAAAGAGGAAGCTGTTCGGTAGCAACCAAATTAATGATATTCTTAACACAAAAAATTGCACTCAGGGAGAGCGTTTAGCATAGCTACTGGTTTTACTAGTACTAATGAAGTAATAATTCACCCATACTTTTGAAATAAATTATATCTGTTAGGTTTGGCTTCTTTCCTAGCTGCCAAGAATTAGGAAGAGTGAAGAACCATTTAACAACATTGAGGGTAATTTTTATTGCAGCACTCATAAATATTCCTCCTTCTGTACTTGCCTGTGTTGGATGCAAAGCAACTATGCTTCGGCATTATGTATAGGGTTTCTCTCTGCCTCTCCCCCATCATTATCTATCTCTATCTCTAATTTTAGGAAATTTTGTAAAATAAACAATGGTCTCTACTCAGGTACTAACCAAGCATGTAGCTGGAGGTGAGCCAACAGACTTTCATGAAAGGCTCCTGAGCAATCCTAGCCACCATGTGGATCCTCTTGGGAAATCAGTAAAGGTTAAAGAACAAGAAGCACAGAGCAAGAGTCAATGGACAGTTCTCACAATGGAGGGATGTGAAAGAAATGTGTTGTTTCCCCCAAGATTTGTATTAGGGCCTGTGTTTTTAAACTTGTTCATAGATGATCTGGAGTTAGGGGTGAGTAGTGAGATGACATTGAATTAGTCAGCTTGATGAAAACAAAAGGTGATTACAAATCACTCCAAAGGTGCCAAACTGGGTGAATGGGCAATAAAATGGCAAATTCAGTGTCATCGTTTAAGCTGATGCACCTGGTGGTAAAAGAATCCTAATAAGCAGACTGATGTGGTCTGAGCTGGTGGCAAGTGATCAGGAAAGGAAACTTGGAGTAGCTCAATGAAAATGTTGGCCTAGTGTGTGGCAGCTGTGGAAAAGGAGAAAACCACACGAGGGATCATTAGGAAAGGGATCTTAAAACTGCCAGCATCTTAATTCCACAGGTTTCAGGCCAACATTTATTGTGATAGGTTTCCAGTTTATCTTTGGTGTGTGGCTGGTCTATTTCTGCCATCGTGGAGTTTAATTGTATTGATTTTATTGTTCCCCTGGGAGCTTGGGCAGAAAGGTACAGAAACAAGCCAACAAATAAACAGCCCGCAAAAACACTCCAGAATGTTCTGAGGGCAAGGCTGCCAATCCTGCTTCTGCTGCTTTCATCAAAGACATAGCAAAGAATACACAAGATATTTGAGAGGGGTGGGGAAGAGAGACTGAAAAGTCAAAAGAAGAGACAGAGATCTATGTAGAGTTCAGAAGTCATTCCTTTTTGCACAACCACCAGTGTGTGTGTGTGTGTGTGTGTGTGTGTTGCACTTTTAAAGCAAATAGATAGTGCTCCCAAATTTTCTTCACTAGAATAAGGACTGTAAACTTATGGGTTTTAAAAAAGTACAAGGGAGATGTTTAGGATTCTGTATTTGTGTAGCACACTTACAACCACAAGAATTATTAAGTGCATCTTATACAATTCTACGGTACCTGTAGCAGCTGGGAAGAACACTCCAAACACAGTGAAGAAAGACTCCCCCGGGCTGTAGTTCGGCAGCGTGTTATTCAACATTAGCTCCTCTGAATAACCAACGAAACCATGTTCTGCATGTTTCAAAGTAAAATAACACATGTTTAACGTCATAGCCTGCTGCAGTCTTTATTTATGCTCTCCTTATTTACATCCTCCCCATCATATCCTATTGTTTTCCGTTGCTACTTATTTGCGGAGATGGTCTACTTTCCACGAGCGTCAGAAAAAGGCAACTGCATTGTTAATGAATCACAAAGATATGACAGCAAATGTTGAAGGGGAATACTGCACTATCAAGTCTGAAATAAGACATCTATCATGTTTCTGGACTGTGGTGCTTTGGAATAAATAGGAAACAGTTCTTTTTTAAAAAACAACAACAACACCACCACACCAGCATGTATTAAAATCAGGGATAATTAACAAGCCTATTTTAATCATAAATTGCAAAGCCAGCAAAATTGTATCATTAGAATATTCAAATCCTGATCAGTGTTGGAGATGGTGATCTGGAAGGGAGGCAAAGCATCAGGCTGCTCAGACTGAGAAGCTATTCCAGAGCCAGGGGCTTATAGGACTGGTAGAATCTCATTTGCTCCTTGTATCACCTGATCCTACTGAGTTGGTAGCTGCAGCACTGCCCTCTGGCCACCCAAAGCAGTTGCATTGCAGAAAACCAGCAGGTCCTTCATTCAACCAGATACCACAGTGATCGAGAGGCGAAGACACTTTGGTCCTGAAGCTCAGATTCCCAGTTTGAGACTACCTGACCCTTTACATTAGCTGAATTTCAATTATTATGGCTGGGACTGAGTATTTTTTTTATTATTATTATACAACAATGAATTGAATCTGTGAATTATTTGCATCTTTTTTTTTATTCAGCATTCAAGGAAAGGCATTGAAAGTCATGTCTGGTTTTTGGGAATTGTTTATATAGCCTTCATCTGAGTGGAAGCTGGTTTACCACTTCTATAGTACAATTAAAAAATCACATGTACCTGGAAGAGGGTGGTTTTTTTGGGGGGGGGCTCAATTCAGTTCACATTCAAAGGCAAACTAAGCTAATTCACACTTTCTGAAACAAAACATGAACTGAAAAACAGCCATCCTTCAAAATTCACACTTATCTGAATTTTGCAATGCAGCTCTCCAGTCAATTAATGTGTATAAAAAGCATATACTAAAGTGTGAGTATAAATTCATACATTATTGGGGGGGGAAACATGCAAAATACATTGCATTATAAGGGAAATCGGTTTGCAAAAATGTGCATATTGGGGGAAATTACATATAAAAAATATGTACAATTTGTACAAAAATGCTGCTGAATCTTCATGCTAACTTTTATTTATTTTTTAAAAATCTGCAAACTGAAGTGGGCATGTGGAGAACTGAATCTACGATTGGAAAAATGAGCAACCAGGAGAAGCGGAAATGGACAGATTTGGCTATTCCTGTCTGGAAATAAGCTCTACTGTGTTCGATGCGGTTTATCCAAAGGGTAGCTCAGTTGGTAGAGCATGAGTCTCTTTATCTGAGGGTTGTGAGTTCGAGCCTCACATTGGGCAAAAAGATTCCTGCATTTCAGGGGGTTGGCCTAGGTGACCCTCATGGTCCCTTCCAGCTCTATATTCTATGATTCAACCCGAGCTATGTGTGTATAGGACTGCATCTTAATCGCTTTTCTCTGGCCCGGAAGAAATCTCACCTAACAGGCAAAGAGACTTGGGAAATGTCAGGTCTCTACTGGGGCAGTTCAAGTTTATCTCAACTGTTTCTGGATTTGAGGCAGAGTCTGGGCCCCTTGACATCTGGCAAAGTCACGGAGGTCACATGAAGCTACACATTTCCGTGACCATCTTTAGCCTTCATGAAAAAGAAAAGGGTATCCTTCTTTATGCCTTAAAACGATAATCACTGATCCATGAAACCCGGGACTTGGCATCTATTATTCATGGAGTCTGCAGGCAGACTTTGCTATAAAACTTTACTGAAGGCTCCCTGGGAGGGGTTTCATAGGCAGGGTCATGCACAGCAAGGAAAAGAATCCCAGAGGAGTGAACAACAAGATTTAGCACAGAGGCTGTGCTCACATTCCACACCCCCGGTGTGTAGTGTGCCATTGCAAAAGAAGCAAATACCCCGTGGCTTTCACTGACTTCCCTCAGCACATGAACAGGAAACTTAGGAAACGTTTACGTTTCTGCAGTTTTTAACTTCTGTGTAAGGGTGAATGGATTTTTTAAAAACACATATTTTGGGATGTTAGAGTGTTTAGTGCTTCGGAGTAAAGGACACACCTTAAAGGTTTGGAAGAGTTTGAGGTTTTGGCCGAATGCTTTGAGAACTTGGAAAACGCCTTGAGAGGTGAATAAGCTGCCAGTGAGCAGTGGTTATGCAGGGTGAGCCATTATGCAACTGCCGAAAGGATATCCACCATGCCAAGTTCTGCGAAGCCTGGACTTCATTACAGATTAGTCAAGTTTTGGGTCAAATTCAAGATAAAGTCAGTTGACAATGTTAAAGCTGAGCGAAGTGAAGAGAAAGCAGTAGTGCAATACTCAGCCATGCTATACTGAAAATAGCCGGTGATGATGATGATCACTGAACTATACAGTGCTTGCAATTTGGGGGAGTGGTGGGGACTTTTGGATGTTGAAATAAAGCAGGTTTTTAAAAGTAGGACCTTCTATCATCATTCTGGAGACCTAGCTCAAGACTAAAAGATGCTGGAATAAGTGAAAACTCAGTTAAACTGGGCATTGAATAGGTCCCCCCCCCCTCGTGTCACTGCAAGGAAAGGTGCTTCTAAGATGCGAAAAGAACACATTCTCTACAAACATTCTCACTATGCATTATTTCTTGTATATAGATACAGTGGTACCTCGGGTTACATACGCTTCAGGTTACAGACTCTGCTAACTCTGAAATATTACCTCAGGTTAAGAACTTTGCTTCAGGTTGAGAACAGAAATCATGCTCCGGTGGCGCGGCAGCAGCAAGAGGCCCCATTAGCTAAAGTGGTGCTTCAGGTTAAGAACAGTTTCAGGTTAAGTACGGACCTCCGGAATGAATTAAATACTTAACCCGAGGTACCACTGTAGTATGATGAGAGAAGACATCAATACTCAATATATTATTGTTCTTGCTGTTAATTTATTACCTGCCCTTCAACCAATGGTCCCAGGGTGGGTAACCATAAAATGCTATTTAAAATGATGTTGAAAGGTCAGGAAAGATAGTATTTGCTCAATGGGATTTAACGTAGTTGAGAGGTTGGTTGTCTTTAGTATAGAAAGGAAAGGATTCACTCAATGAGCTCACCAGCACCACTTGTGCAACTTGATATAACTGCCCAGAGATGAGGGAAAGGAAGCCTATATTTATTCAGAAGAAAGCTCAGTTTTTTTAATTCTTACTTAAGTGCTGATTCTTCATAATGGTTGAAGGTATTACAGCACCCAAGACAGAAAATCCAACCAGCATTTTTTCTCCCACCCAGTTAGTAAGTGGCTAACAATTTGGCCTCCTTTTCAGGAATACCAAAGTTTTAGCCCCATGGATCTTTAAAGAAATGTACCAAATCTAACCTCTGCTGACTCTGGGCTCAAACTAAATTATGACTAAGCATATTTCCCCCCAAAAGATAAATGCATGTACAGCAGAAATGCATACCTAGCAAATGTATCGGACAGGACGTACAAAGACTCCTTTCAGAGAAACCTGATCCTATTTTAGCACTAAATATACATTGCAGCAAATGGTTAGGAATCTTTAGCGCTCTGATCCTAGCACATTTGGAAATAAAATCCATTATGAAGCGAGTCTGATTCATTTCATACAGTTTTCTCCTAACTAAACGCTTTTTAAAAATAGAATTACCATGTAAATAGCTGGCTGAATAATCTGCAGCCTCTTTGATAATGGGTCGACCTATTTCCTTGGGGAAAGTGGTGCAATTTATTGGAAACACTTGATTCCTACATCTTTATATACACAGGAACAAAATAATTCATTCTTGCTTATCAGGCACAAGATAAGATGAATTTCAAATGAATTTTTGACATCTTCGCAATATTTCTGAGGCAGCTTCCCAGACCAACTACCACGTATCAGGTATATCATTGAGTTGAACACATAAAATAACTAGAAGGCTCTTGGTGCTGGATCTCAGTGCCTGGGCTGAATGTATCTCGTCGGATCAAACTAAGATCTAACAATCATTATGAAAGTCAACATCCTGTACCCAGCAGTGGTCAGCTAGATGCTTCTAAGGTATTTATCCTATTATGGCTGTTATGAGAAGCAGGACCACACTCCGACAGGTCTAAGGCTTGAAAAAGTATTATCTATAATCAATCAAAGAGTGACAAAAATATTGTATGAAGAGATACAAAGAGCCTTAGTGATGCAATTTTCTTCCTGATTTGTGGAAGCTCTATATAGCAAATGAAAACAAAACAAAATGTCACTACAGCCATGGTGGGTGGGGGGAGATTATCTGTCAGGGCTGGAGTCACAGCACAAAACAATAAATCACCAGAGGCCAGTGACACTAACTCTTTATTCAAGGAAACAAACCACAGCTCTGGCCTAGTGGTCTCAGCAACTCTTTCTTGGACGTCTTGCCCCAATGAAACAGTTGCAAGGACTGAAGTTCTCCACCTTCCCAGTGCCCACCAGGGTCTTTCCCACGCAGTCTCAGGCTGTGTCTACGCACAACCCCCCTCTGTTCTGCTCACTTCATTTCTCTGCATGTTCTAGGAGAACAGGGGAGTAGGAAGCTGGTTGCAGCAGGAGGCAGACTCCCTGGCCTCTGCTTCTGCCTTGGAGTCCACACTGTGCTCTGACACAGCCTTTACTTGTTCACTAATCCCTGCCACTTATTCTGCTTCTGACACCTCCCCTCCCAGTCTGCTCCCTCTTCTCCCTCTGACCACTTGTCATCCAACCACCAATCCTCTGGCTCTGAACCTTCTTCCCTCTGGGGGTTCTCCAGTTGGTGCCTCCTATCATTCCTTTGCGTCCAGCCAGTCTATGACATGAAGACAAAGTTTTCAGCATGTTCAGTTGGTATGATGCCAGTCCTGCTGCAGATCTATGGGAGATTGCACTAGATAAGTGATAAAGTCAGTCTAGTATCAGCACCCTAGTTTTTCACTTAAAATGTGTTTCTTCTTTTAAGTACCCGTCTATCCCTAAAACACAAATAATGGGCTAAGCTCATGAACACACATCTGCAGGGGAGATTTGCACAGAAGGTCTCAAGGTACTAGACTGGTATCACAGGTGTTGAAAAGGTCTCAGAGCTTGTCTAGTCCAGACCATTGTGCAGTCCAGGATGTACTACATTAAACAAAGAAAGATGTCCACAAGAAACAAAGGTTGTAGACTTCAGAACAAATCCAGCACAAAGTATAATTCATTTATTTTGAGGATAGAACATTCAGAATTGTCAATGAGTGGCTGGTTGGCAATGTTACTGCAGATGTAGAAAGAATAGCAAAAAAGAAGATTTTTAGTTGGGGCCTTATTGGGAGGAAGGAATGCTCAGTTAAGAATCTTGCTTTCTATCTTCCCTTTCTACGTCTTCTAGACTACAGCAACACTGTCAAACACTCAATCACAACCGATTCTGGATTCCACATGACAAGCAAAGCAAAGCCTCCTTAAAGCTTACACAGGGCTGTGGTTGAAGGGGTAAAAACAATCTAACTGAGGCCCAGCCCTGAGAAAGGCTATTTGGCCTCCTTATCTTTTGATGGAAAAGAATGTGCTCCCTCAGATTAATGACGTGTTTACCCAAAAGGAAATCACCACCCTTCAGAAGCACTGACTGTTTGTTCCTTCCAAGTCACTGTTTGCTGATTCTGAGCTGATCTCCCAAACCTTCCCGTTTAAAGCCACTGTACAATACAATTTCCTATCAGTGGCCAGCTGCTCAGGGTCCCCCCATGTTAACCCTCTCCAGAAAGCTACCCTGTAGGGGAGATAGAAGAATGCACTCCACCTGTTGCCCCAGCTGCTGTCAATGCCAGTGAAGTGGGAACAGTTTGCTATTTAGGTCACACTGCATTATTCATGTGCAGAGAGACAAAGGGGACTTCTTTTAACATGCAGGCAGCTACCTTACTGCAGGACCCCCAGGGGTGACTCATCTCTAGCTACAGCACGCAAATATTTTTATGCCCACAATTCCAAGGGAAGATCATGTCTGTACACAAACTCAAGTCAAGGGAGAAACCACATCAATTCGGCACCTGCATCTATATACCGTATTTTTCGCTCTATAAGACGCACCAGACCACAAGACGCACCTAGTTTTTGGAGGAGAACAACAAGAAAAAAGATATTCTGAATCTCAGAAGCCAGAACATCAAGAGGGATCGCTGCGCAGTGAAAGCAGCAATCCCTCTTGCTGTTCTGGCTTCTGTGATAGCTGCACAGCCTGCATTCGCTCCATAAGATGCACACACATTTCCCCTTACTTTTTAGGAGAGAAAAAGTGAGTCTTATAGAGCAAAAAATACGGTAATTCTGAACAGGCAGTGGTATGTATATTTGGCAATTTCTATGATTATACCACACGAATAAAGAAAATAGAACAGGACACAGATTCAGGCAATCTGAGAATCTCAGCATTCATTTTAAAAAAAACAAGCACATGCTACTAGCCCATAGGGCTTGAAAGCATGTGTAAAATACCTGATGAAATCTTACAAACCATAAGGGAGAATAAATGGTTTCCACAGTGCCTAGTGAGCAGGACTTCTGTCTTCCTCAAGACAAGCAGAAACATAACAAATTATGACAAATAAGCAATAAATAGCACAATGTGGTCTTGCATTATTTGCATAGGTTAAAAAGTTCAGCAATTTAATGGTGCCGAATTTGGGGTGGATTAGCACTTTTTATTTATTTGAAATGTTTATATTCCTTGCCTCTCCTGATATTTGAAGCATCTTAGGGCCAAATTAGATGTTACGTGGCATGCAGCTGCAACCTGGTGTCTCTTCTCCACAACTCCGAGGTAATATCTAGTGATGACATTGCAGCCCTTCTCTCACTGGTAAGGTGAGGGCTCGAGGGGTGGAATTCTAAACACAATGGCATTATTTTGCTAGCCAATATTGAGCAGATGAGGGGGAAAGTCTGCTCTGAAGGCACATCTGCTGACGTGTGACAGCAGCTATATTATTATTATTTATTAGACTTGTTAGTTGCTTTATCTTGCTCAAAGTGACCCAAGGCAACTTACCACTAACCAACCCACCCAATCAATACGCCATCAGACCTGGTGTTATTGTGCCTTAGGATCAACAGAGGGGGCCCTCTAGGTGATGCTGCCACCATTGAGTGGAGGCCTCCTTATTGGCAGTTTCCCCATTTGTGGGATGCCTTCCCTGGTGAGGTACACTTGTCTCAGAAATCTTTGCACTCTTGGGACTTGTTTGTAGAATGCAGAGCCATATCTTTCAGAAATGGTGATCCTCTGATGTATCTGGCCCCTTGGGTTTTTTTTTTAATCAACCTGTGTAAGACAAAGAATCTATGCAAAGAGAGCTTAGCTGCCATTTTGTTTGAAAAAATATGGGTTATAGAATGCTGAATTTAGAGTAGAAAAAAAAGGGAAAGACAGAAAAGAAAGTTGGTTTTGCAAATGAAAAAGAAAAAAAAAGCTTAGGAGAAACACTGTGGACGGTGACAAAACCTTTTCAAAGCTAACTGTGGGTTAGTCCAGATGGAAAATTTCTTAAATGCACAGATAAAAGATTAATCAAAATGAAAGAAAACAAAGCTTAATGATGGTAAAGAATAATGCCATTTTATTATCGTGATGGAAATGGTAAAAGCTCGAGAACAGGGAATGGAACTTTAAGATATCGTCTGCCCAGCCCACTTTATTGACCAACTCCCATCCTATGACCAACGTCAGAGAGAAAACAAGTCTATCAAAATAGATTCCTGTTGTTTTTCTCAATTTTAAAGTATCTTTTCCCCTAACAGCCATTGCTATCTCACTACATCCTTAGCACTTCCCAAGTTGTTCAAAGAGGTATTTCTTTCCACCAGACTCTCACGTCAAGTCTTTCAAGTCCTATCTTATTATGCGATAAAGTAAACAGGTGCCTTTTGTGATTATCACCTAACGTATGTCTGCGATCCTATTTCTGAAGACTGATTTACAAACTGAAAGCAGAGGTGGAATTAAAAACACACAGGAGAAAAAGTTATACAAGCAACTGATGGAAGCCATGCTTGGAAAAGAACTAAATTGTTTGGGCAATTGAAACTATAAAGGTTACAATCCTATATGCGCTTACCTAAGAGTAATATATATCACGATAATGACTAGAAGTGAAGCACAGGTGCTAGAGGCAACTAAAAGCTTTTGGGAAAAGTGGCAGCAGTGGTGCAAGTAGAGAACTAAAACACAAGTGGAAACAACTACCCACACTCTTTTAGAATCAAACTGCTAACTTGTTGCATACTTACCATATAATTATTGTTATATGGCAGAGCATGAAACTGATATGCAAGCTGGGTTGGCCCAAATCTTATTTTGGCCATGTAAATATGAGTGGTGCTTAATGCAATTCTTTGTTGAGGGAAAGAATAGGAGAATTTATTTTGTAAGCCTTTGAAATGACTCCATTGGCCTAGACAGCTACAGCTTTTGTCATATGAATATACAAGGAGGCCATACACTGAGATCAAATACTGGTCCATCTTGCTTAGGGCAGCCAGGTGCAGGAGAAAGCAGTGCCGTATCTCTACTGCACAACTGCCATCCGCCACAGTCAGCATGGCCAATGATCAGGAATGATAGAAATTGTAGGAGGGCAGAATAACATCTATCCATGGCCTACTCCAGTATTATTTTTCATCCAGATAGCAGGGAGTGAATCTGGGAAATGCTGCATGAAAAAGTATGTGTTCTACCATGGAGTTATAGGCCCTAGCGCATCAGTCAGGACATGTTCAGAATGAAAATTGAGACATCCTGCCTCCCATACACCATACTGAATCAGGCATTTTATCCATTCAATTAACATTCTAGCACAAATTTAACAACAGCTAAAACAACAAAAACAGGGTAAAGCCTCACACATTAAAATGCTTCACATTTCCACAATTACAGCGAAGCAGACTCCACATTTTATGCAGGGCAACTCTATGCATGTTTCCTGGGAAGTAAGTCCCATTGTGTTCAACAGCCTCACTTGGGTGCTTGGGACTACAGTGCTAATCTTAAAACAAAGGGGAGCTCAAGAGAGGTGTGTTTTGATCCAGGAACTCAACGCTTGCAAAGTGTAATTTTCCTCAGCCGATGCAATTCACGCTGATGAAACTTTGCAGAGATTGCAATACCCATTATGGAATATTGGCTTGGTTAGGCAGCAGGAGTCACCTGACCTCGTCAGTTGCATCACTGCTGCTTACCATGATGTGGAAGGGAGGGAGAAGGTGATGGAGTAGTTAGCAGGGTGCCAGAGGAAGCTCCAGATGAGCCAATCTCACTGGCACCTCGCTCCTCTCTCTACCTCTGGGTAAGCAGCAGTAATGCAACTGACCAGGTCAGCTGTGTGCCCATGGGCATAGCCAAGGGGGGGCAGGGAGGGGCAGCTGCCTCCCCAGATCAATGAAACAATAGAAATACTTAACTGACCAATCATGTTGGTTCTGCTCCCCCTAACAAAAGTCCTGCCCTCCCCCAACAAAAATCCTGGCCCAACCACACTGACTACTACCGCCTTTGTTCTTTGGATTTTAAATGAGAAAACTAAAACAAACTACGAAGTGATAGATAGCTACGTATTAGTGTTCTGTCTGCCAAGGAGAGAAGTGTTTGTATGTACTGGTGTTGGTAAACTGAAACAGTTAAACATTCCTCCCATCCCTTCTGCCTCTAAAGTAGATTTACCCATTAGTAAATCTTTTATTTTAGCCATGATCTGGCTCTGGAATATCTACTTCAGAGATCCTGCAGGCCTCTGTGGGCTTGTCAATGTAAGGCCCCCTAACAGTGTTATCATTAAAAAGAAAGAAATACGTCTGCACTGCAATCCGGACTCCAGACAATTGGCAGGTAACCAGTTAATAAATTTCTTCGCCAGACTGTTGAATAGACTGGCCTATGGTCAAGAGTGATGTCACATCAATTCAATGCGCTATAATTGGAAAAATGTGGGTGGAAGCAAGCAGGGTGGGTTTTTTTAAAAATAAATAAATAAAAGACCGCATTAGCAGTCTCCTACTTTGTTCACCCATGGTGTCTACCTTGATCAGTAGCTGCATGGGATTTATGCTGCTGTTTTTGTTCAGTAGTTTTGCAGCTCAGGAATTCAATGCCAATTTCCAGATGTATTTCAAGTCGGGAGCAATCGGGAGGGCAATGCCTGGGCGGTGTGTGTGATTAGTTGCACATCAACATCTTTCTCCATACCGTATTTTCCCATGTATAAGACTAGGTTTTTCCCCTAAAAAATAATATCAAAAATTAGGGGGCTTCTTATACTCTGGGCCATCTCCCCCCCGATTTTCTTAAATCTGAGTCCCCCCAAATAGGGGGTGTCTTATACATGGGGGCGTCTTATAGATGGAAAAATAAAGTATATATTTTACATATATGTTGCATACAATGTCCCTATGCATTCTCTTTCAAAACTGTGTCGAACTGTTTATATCCTGAAATGTTAAAGAAATGTTTTAAAGCATGTAGCTTCCCCCACCCCCAGGGTGTGGGTGTGGGTGTCATCTGGTGTTCCACCCAAGCTCAGCAGACATCCTGTTAACATTTCTTTCTTTGCAGAAATCCTTAATGAAATATAACCTTAATTTACAATCGGCATTAGTGTTTCTTTTTGCTACTAAGTGCCCCACTGCCTCTCAGCGTCAGGTGCTGGGGTGTCCATAGTTAAGACTATGCATTATCTCTGCTGTATCCCCAAAACATAGAAAAAAATTAAGTGACCTATATACCATTAAACACACACACACCCTTCTTCTCTTTCCAGTAAACAAGTATTAATGATGTCATTAACAAAAATTGGTACAAAAAATAACCCCATGGTAAATTATAATGTAAGGTGGTTAAATAATCCACAATAACAGCACAGCAAAATAAGGCATTCATGAAATAATGCAGCTAAGAGTCAAAGAACTGGAAGGGGACCATATTGCCATTTAGAATGATGTGTCAAGCTGCCCAAAATGACACTGTATTTGCACAAGGAAGGCACATTATGATTTGTTACTGTTTGTGCTTTATATATTCTTTCCCCTCGTTAAAAGCTTGTATCTCACATGAATACATGAAGTTGCCTTAAACTAGGACTCTTCATGTTGGTAGTTTGTACAGTAAATGTATATAGTATTATGTCCACTGCTCTCCCTCACTTACACGTGTCTGGCATACTTTGTAAGAGTGGCAGGGTGTGAGATTTTACACACACACACACACACACACACACACACACCTGCAAGAATACAGATCAGGTTAATCAAATTATGTGGCCAAATTTTAAGGCAAGATATTATTGTGAAGGCTAACACTTCCCTGAAATTCTCTGTTTAAGTGCACAAAACCATAGATATGTCTTACATAGAACAACTGTATCTAGGTGGAAGACTTGGGGAAGAAAGTGATGGGAATGCACTTGTATTTGTACATGAAAAATGCCTTGGGTTCATTTCAATTTCAGGCCGAACTACAACAGGCATAGGCAACACAATCTCGTTGGGAATAATGAAACAATACAGGGAAGCTAGAAAGATCTTTATCACAATAGAGAAGTGCAAGTGACTGGCAGATGAATTTGATGTAGAACTTAAAAGCACCTAGAGAAACGATTGCAGCATTAACCTGCTTCCCATTGAGAATTTTAAAAATCAATGGAATGCAACATTCATTATTGTTCTTTTCACTTGGAAAGAACTGATCTCTTTTTATACCTGCTGACTTTATCTGTGCCCCTCAGTTAAAAGTCTGACGTTTTCAAAATAATGCTCACTACAAACATTTAAAATATAAACTAACTTGTATGTTATGTTTCAGCAGATGTGTACTCACAGCCATTTTCAGCATGAAATATGAATTTATGAAATAAAATGCTGCATTACAGAAAGTGCTTACATAACTGACATTGCAATGTGTGCAGGATAGTGCTTGGTAAAATGTTTAAGGTGCCCACAGGATTTGTTGCACGATAAAAACAGAGTGCTTCCTTTCTTGGTGCCTGAGTGGGGGAAATGCGACATGATTTTGTTTGTATTGAACTGCAAAATCATAGCAAACCTGCAATCCTAAACACATTTACTTGGGAACTGTTGTTGGCATCCAGCTGTCTCGAGAGACAATGGAGTATGCCTCTGGCGGTGAAGTCAAATTTCTGCATTAGCAGCACCAAAGTGAACTCCCTGAGACACAAACCTAGGCAGTGTCCTGGGCTGCCCAGATGACAAGACTCCACTCTCAGCCTCACTGATGTGGTCCAAAGGAAAGCAGAGCAATATGTTTGGCACCAGCTTGGCTGCAGGAGTTGCTGGAAGGAAGCATACAAGGCACCATGCAACCATCTTAGGGACTCCACTCTGGATTTGTGTAGGGTTTACTCCTTAGCCTTTTCTTCTCCCAAAGATATCCCGCAAGGCAGAGTAGGCAGATCAGAGTTTTCCTTCTCCTAGATGGGCTACCTTCCCAGGTTGACAAGCCCCATCTGACCCTCACTTCCCTCTACAGAACATGCAGAAACCACCTTCTTGACCGTTCAACCCACTATTGGTCTCGTCCACTCAATCTGCCAGAGCTTGCCATCACATGCAGGGAAAATGCCTAACTCACCAAGGTTTTGAGACCCATAGGCTACCCTCACCTGGTTCAGCAAGCCAGTCGAAGCCGTTCCTTGGGGTGTGGCCATTGTCACATGCTGACAGCTTCTAGGAGCCACAGGTAAGAGCTGAGTGCAGGGTGGGAACCAAAGGTGGACAAACTACCCCCAGAAGGTGCACGATGTGTCCCCCATCAAAGGTACTACCCCTTCCCTAAAACCCCACACACCTACCTGGGAATAAGCCCTACTGAATTCAATGGAACTATCTTTTGAGTAGACATGGTTAGGATTGCCACAACAGTAGCCATTAGCTACTTCAATAACTTTTGCAGCACAAGACTAATAGGGCTACCCCTGTGGAAATTCATTAATTTTGAAAAGGAACACACAGGGAAGGAAATTGATTTGTAAATATCTGTTGATGGCTGAGACACACACATATATCCTGCAGTGTAAAAGACGTTGAAAATTACATATATTTCTGCATCAGTTAACAAGGAAACAGAAGATGGACATGCTAAGTAAACCAACTGCAGAAGAACAGAAAAAACCAGATGAAAGTGTGAAGGAATGTCTGAATGGGTTTGTTTGCTTACTTACTGTTGTTTTGGCTTGTGCAAGGTTATAAATTTACCAAAATACATTCACCATCTGCACTAGTGCTTCTGAGCATCCACTTGCCTAGATTCCTTTGTTAATGATGTTTGCTGATTCTCAACTTTATCCAGTACAAAGAAAAAGGGGATAAGATAAAAATAGCATCTTTAGCATTACCATGTATGGCAAATGGTTACCAATTTGGTATAATCACGAAACATAAAACAAGCCAGATGTTCCTGTCCTAACTTTATCAGATATATAAATATCCAATTAAAAGTCCTAGCAAGAAACACAAAGAGAAACTTTTCTGCTTAAAAACAAAATGCCTGCAACATCAGTTTCTTCTTAAATCTTCCTTGTGAAACAAAACAATACCCAGCAACAACAAAATGTTGGAAATTATTAACAGATTTTGTCTAGAAGGAATAAAAAAGCCACCTACATTTTTTTATTTACATCCTTACATAGCTTTGTTTTAATAGGATTCCTAAAAAATAATTGACAAAACAGGAAAATGGATGCCTCTGTGTAGAGTGCTGATTGGAAGGAATCACAGCCCAAAAGAATTACAGAGAAATGCTAGGATAATGAAAACTAGGTAATATTATTAGGAAGGACTCTTCTTTATTTCTATTTTGGTACTTTACTAAGAGTCCTTGAAAATGAATTGCAGGGCTGCCAACAGGATTTTTTGGGCTTGGTTCTGTACTTGGTTTAAAGAACACGCTTCCTTTTGGGTATGTGCACAAGTCCTAATTAGAAATGCCAAGCTGCTTGAAATTTTGCAATTAGTCCCCTATGGCCCAGTGGGAATTGGAACCCTTTCACCTTCCCAAAGTGTGAATATGAAAGAATACTACATATCCCACTAGGCTTTTATCTCGCATGATGCAAGCACACTAATATAAGACGGTAAGGAAATCTAGTCCTCTGCCGACTCCCATTTCCCACAGCAAAGGGTTTGGGTTTTCAAAGCAGGGGTTTCCATTGCAAAAGAAAGGGAGAGAGGATAAAATGATTTGCATAAGTTTGCATGTGAGGCTTTCTACGGATAGATGCTAATGTTTAAATTATATAACTTAAAGAGAAATATAATTCATCTTACCATGGTGGGGGATACTGAGACTAAGTGACCTATGTGCCTACTCTAGCACATAACTCTCCACAGACCACATGCCTTATCCCAGGGCCAACCAGAGATGTTGTGTCGATGTAGGGAAAACGTCCTGCCACCACCACATATGCCCCCTGCCAGCCCCATCACCACAACTGTACCTGCCACCACCACACCTGTCACAATGAAGCAGAACCAAGGGCTGTGCTGGTGGCATTGGTGAAGCCCCGGTAGGCCTGGAAGCAGCACACCGGCAGGGGTGGGGCGGTCAGATCCGCCACCTGAAGCAAATGGCCTCGCCTCACCTGGCTGCCCCTGCTTACAGCCCCAGATCTGCATCCTTCTCGACTATTTTTGCCTGGATAGAATGTATTTGCCAATGCTTTTTGCTTGCCTAGGTGGAAGATGGAGAGGGTCGCGTGAGTGAATTTACATTGCCATTACGGGGGAAGGAAACCACATGCTTTTCCTTAAAAAATAAGTATCTAATACATTGGTGGGAAACCCTGTGGCCCTTCAGATATTTCTGCCCTACAATTTCCATGGGATATGTGGACTGGGTATGACTGGACTTGGAGCCACTGGTTCTCAACTCCTGGCTTACGATGAACAGATACAAATAGTTGTGTCCAATCTGGTAGAAAGGAGAATGTGCAGCTCGTATCCAGGCACAAAGAAGGTTGCTTTGATCACAGATCTGGCTTTCTTTGCATCTGGTCCCTCTCTGTCAGCTTTCACTTTGTCCCAAAAGCTTTTTTAACCTCAGAAAAAGCCACTTTTTCACAGGCGCCTAGGATTGTGAGGAACTCTGTCTCAAATTAAGCTATGATTGTTCTCCTCTGAAGTTTCCCCTCTTTTTATCTGTCTTCCTTTTCAAGCATAACCTCCAAACAGCTGAATCTGAACACCATTAAACTGAATGCCCTACATACATTTGCACTGATATGTTCCAGAAGGGCATTTAGGGAGCAATCCTGCCTCACGGCTAGGGAACAGGGGGGCTGAATGGACCACCACGTTTGAAACCCTACTGTTCATGACAGCCAGGGCAAAGAGGGGGAGGGGAAGAGCTTTCCAAACCGTGTGTTGTGACACGTTAGTGTGTCGGCTGCAGTGTGTAGGTATGCCTGCAAATCCTCCCCTCGCTCCTTCCGGGGCAGGAAAGGGGTTAATTTAACCTCCAGTTTGCCAGTAAAACTGAATTACTGTGTCATGAAATGATGCATGTCTACAAAGTGTGTCACCAACATGAAAAGTTAGAAAAGCTCGGGGAGGTGATTCTACGAAATTTTTGCTGTGTGAGCTGCAGGCTGTTGCAGTAGAAAGGCACAGATCAGGCCACTTGCTGGCTTAGGTTGTAGCAGACCCATGGCCAGCCCATCTCTACCCAACTGCCACTCGTTTTTTGAGGCTACAGCCAGTGGGAACACCATAACCAATATCCAGTCAATAGTCCATGCTGTTGGCAGGCAAAGGGGGGAGCTGTGGTGGTGGAGACCCACTCACCAGCAGAACCTAGTGGAAATATGCCTCCACTACTCCTAACCCTACCATCACCTGCACAGATAAGGGGTTAAGATTGTTTTGTAAGTCTGAGTTTGTTGATGGGTTATGTTTTTGCTGCTGGTGGCAATTGTTGTAGGTCATATCTTCCACTTGAAGAACTCTGGGATTCACATGATTGGCATTGCCTACTCCTCCCTGTGAACTGGATAGAAATGCAAGGCCTTCTGATTCATTTTCAGGAATCATCCCATTGTACCACTCCCAGTTCTGCAAAACCAGAACATCCTTAGGGATAAAATAACGTAAAAAGCTGCTAATATGTGTGCCCTTCAATAGCAACAGAGCTCTCCTCAAGACAACTGCACAGACACTAAGAAAAATGTATGCCATTTCACATTTAACAAGCTAATGTTTATCAGCTAGCTATCTACCAAAATCTACTTGTTCAGGCAATATTTTCCCACTTAGGATGGTGACTATGAATAGGCCTCAAGCTCCCATCCTGACCCCACTGGAAGGAAAAGTGACTGAACTGAGAATTACTACATTCAATCCCCTACCCCCAAAATCCTTGGAGACAAAGCTCACTCTTTAGAAAGTTTAATCTCGTAGGGTCTAATATCTCCCTGGTCAATTACTCATTTCTCCTCTTATTCAAGGAAGAAGAGGAGAAAATGCATACATTTGAGGTCTGCTTCTGATCTCCTCTTCCAAATGACAATCCTGGGGGAATGGGGGTGAAATGAAATATACTGCCCAGAAAGACCCACAAAGACACCAGAACTTTACGCTCTGTGGAAAAGATGCAGCTGTTTTAATGTGACCTAGAAACAAAATCAAACAGGAGTTCTTTACTTCCAGGATTATACAATATAGAGAGATTATTTTAGGGAAGAACTTATACAGGAAGATGGGAACCCCATCTGAGAAAACCCTCTAAATGTAAAAATGTGTCTCTGCCTTGAAATTCTAAAAATAAAAGCAACAAGGGGAAGGAAGTGACTGAACACTGGGATAATATTGGGTGTGTGTGTGTGTGTGTGTGTGTGTGTGTGTGTGTGGAGTTGAGGAAATGGGAGTGATACAGCAAGGAAACTCCACCCAAGCATAATCACGTAGTAGAATTCATTTGAGAACCAAAAGGAGGGTGTACACAAGTCTGGATGTGAGGTTTCCCCCTCCCCCTAGAAAGTTTAAAAGGGGGGGATCTTTTAAAGTAAGATGATTGTGATGAGTAAGTCTAATATGCGTTAAAATATGTTTTGTCCTTCTGTGAAGGACTCTTTTAAAAGCCTAATTAGCATTGGTTTTATATTTTAAAGAGCAGTATAGTTAATACTTATTAGTATTTCCTATGGAGGCTGATACTTGTAAATTAAATGTTCTAGTTACAAGTGGAGAGAACACGATGCAGCAAAACAAATGATTTTGTAGATGTGCTGTATCACTTAACTAAAATTTGCATGGTTAGAACACACCCATTTTCAGTATCAGATTCCATTGTTTTGTATCCTCACGTTGATTATCATTCCCATTAGATCCCTATATAAAATTCTCAATTATCTTATTACATTCTAAATCACATCAAAGCTTTGGGAGAAGTTTCCATATGGACTTGCTTAAAGTACGACAGCAGCAAACTACTAATAATGTGTTAAAAGCTCAGAATAATTATTGGGGGGGGGCAAGATGCTACATGCAAATAGTATTGAGGCTAGATAGCAGCCTCTTGCACAGCTGCAGTAGCTACTGTTATTTTTAGCATTTATTGACCATTTGTCTTTGTTAGAAAAGAACTCTTTAAAAAAATCTATGTCGATTTATTAAGTGCCTTTGAAATTCATGAGGCTCAGAGGGGAATGCATATCCACCCTTACACACTTACACACACACACACACACACACACTTCTTAAGAATGCTGCCACTTTTCAAACACACATTCTGAGCACAATCTTTTTAATGCCCAGTTTATTCAAAGCTCAGATACCACACAGAGGACATCTGCAGTAATGCAAGACATTCCAAGTAAAGTTTATATGAGTAATTAAAAGGAGGGAGGGACTCGCATACAAAAAAAGCACTGGAAACTACAGAGAGCTACATTTCTGAAAAAGTAGAACAAGTGAGATATTTTATTATTTTGTGTGCCATGCATAACATGCTAATTCTTCCATCTCATACCTCAGCAGCACATGCTGACATTCTGACCAAGAAATGAGTCTCTTTCCTATCAGAAACCCTAACCCTAATCTGAGATGTGTGAGAAATGACGATTCATTTAGTAACGAAAGGCCAGGTGCTGTGAACATGTTCAGATACTATTTTAACTTGTGATGATTACTCAGAGAGGAGGGGAACTATGTATTTTGCTCCTTTGAGGATATAAAAGTTTATTTATTTATGATTACATTTATATTTCACCTAAGTCCAACTGTGTACAATAAGGCTTACCAAAAATATGTGCAGAATCAGAGCTTCAGCAGTCACCAACCCCAGCAGCCTTTCACCAAACTGTCAGGTAACTGCAGAACTCACACCTGTTCTTATAATTTGGACTCATTAAACACGACTGCAAAAATGTTAGGACCTTTGCAAAGTGAATCGTTTTCCTGTGCTGGTCTCCAACCTTTAACTTCAATGTAGATTTTACAAATAAAAGCAACTCCAAAGAAAGAAAGAAAGAAAGAAAGAAAGAAAGAAAGAAAGCAGCGGGATAACAAAAAATGAATCTAAAGTGACACCTTCTGTTTAGTTGTGCAACTACATATAATTTTATGTACTTAAATTTAACAGCGTGATCAAGAACAAATCACACTAAAAATTCTTATTTGTGCCATCGTTCACAGCATGCATCTCTTTAAAAGATGTAACGGTGATTAAGTATTATTCTACTTCGCTTTATGTAGCCAATTTCATGGTAAAATAAAAACAAACTTCAACTGCACAAATGGGAAGGCTCTCCAGTTCTTAATAGGATACTATAATCAACATGTTGAGCAATACTAGCTACATTAGCTATCTTGGGTAGTTTTATGGGATTGGTCAGGCAATAGATCTATGCAAGTCAAAATGCATTTGAAGTAGCAAAGAAGTGACGATCTTTAAACATAAGGAGTTTTTAGGTAGAAATACGAAACTCATGGAGACAGCAACTGATAGACATAGAATTCCATGGAACTCCCTCAAACAGCTGTAAGGGGCCTAGCAACTGGAAAAAGAAGTCCGTTGCTTGAGGTCTCCTCATGGTGGTGGAAAGTTCTAAGCCATTAAGGAAAATGATCCCTCAGGGATGCAGCTGTATGACAGCATGTGAGGGACTTCTTGATACAGTGGCTCCCATTTTCTGACCCCCGGCCTGCCTCTTGTGCATCTAGCTGCAACTTCAGAGAAATTAAGAAGACATGCAAAAGCGCACCATTTTCCACTCAAATTTTGGAAACATTTGATCACGGTTCATCCTCTGTTCATGATTTTACTGGTTGTACTGTTCTTTTAGTGAGCCATTATTTATGTATCATATTTTAACTGATTTTTATTATGATGGAGCACACCCTAGAACCTTTGGTCAAGGGTGGGTAATAAATACAGTGGTACCTCAGGTTAAGAACTTGATTCGTTCTGGAGGTCCGTTGATAACCTGAAACTGTTCTTAACCTGAAGCACCACTTTAGCTAATGGGGCCTCTCGCTGCCGCTGCACCACCGCTGCACAATTTCTGTTCTCATCCTGAAGCAAAGTTCTTAACCCGAGGTAATATTTCTGGGTTAGTGGAGTCTGTAACCTGAAGCGTATGTAACCTGAAGCGTATGTAACCCGAGGTACCACTGTACAGTGAAACCTCGGTTCTCGAACGCCTTGGTACTCGAACATTTCGGCTCCCGAACGCCGAAAACCCGGAAGTAAGAGTTTTCCAGCTTCCAAAAAATGTTCAAAAACCAGAAGTAAGTGTTCCGGTTTTTCAGAAGCCAAACATCCGATACGGCTGTTGGCTATTGTTTCCAGGGCACCTGCACCAATCAGAAGCTGCACCTTGGTTTTTGAACGTTTCGGAAGTCGAAAGGATTTCCGGAACAGATTACATTCAAGAACCAAGGTACCACTGCATGTCCAATAGGTAAGTAGATAAATAAAGAATACCAAATTTACCTGGATCTAGGTGTGTGAAAGATCCAATGACAAAATCCAGCGTGGAAACAGCCAGTAGGAAGAGAAGCAGCAGCTGGAGACGGATTATCCATTTCACACCGGCAAGGTTAATTCCAAGCAAACCCAGCAGCACAGCAAGTGAGATGCCCCTTATGGCCCAAATGTTACTGAAACCCAGTAGTTCAGAGATACTTTCAGAAAATCCAGTAATGTACATAGCGCCTGCAACACACTGAAAAATACTTCCAGTTACGAAACTGCTACAAGCCATATAAACTGGAGGATGCAGATTTTATTTCTTTTACTTGGCCTGCAAGTGGACCCTTGTGGCAGCTTAAAATGTCAGAAAAACAAACAAACAATAAAATGGGTATAAAACAAACTCTGTAAATAAATAATAATAAAACATATAGCTTGCAGTTCTTTAAAAAACAATGTGGTATTAGCAGTATAATGGCAGATAGAAAATGGCCCAGTCAGGTTAAGGCAGCCACCTGACTCAACCTTCTAATATCTGCTGGAATAAAAACATTTCCACTAATTTCCAGGAAGAAAGAACAGAACAAGCCTAGTAAAACCACACTGGGAAAGAAGTTGCAAAGAAAGGGAGTTAATGCAGATGTTTGGAACCTTTTTGGGTCCACAGGCCAGATCCTCCCATGCCGAATTTGACAGGTGGGTGGGGCAGTGGCCTCTCAGCAAATAGGAGGCGCTGCTGGTCTCCTTCCAATGAACTGGCGGGACTGCCCTCTGGGGTCTCCTGGGCTCTACACCAGTCTTCAACCGTAGGGTAATATTGATTTGTTTCCTTGCCCTTGTTTCCACTCCCTGCTTCTTCCCTTGCAGATGGGGCAGGCACATTCTGTGGTCCGCCTCAGGCACAACCATCTATTGGGCCAGCCCTGAAATACTGTGTAAATATATCGTTACATAATTTTGTCGCTGGATGGCATTGGATTTAGTTGTATCTGAGTGGAGTTTCCTTTTGCTGTTCTGCTCTTTTTGAGAGAGGCAATAAAGTTTCTCTCTAGGTTCCCGACTAGCGTGTCCTCTATACCAGACATACTACCAGACTTTTAGAAGACATCTGTTTAGGGAAGCTTTTAATGTTTGACAGACTATTGTACTTTAATATTCTGTTGGAAGCCGCCCAGACAGATGGGCAGGGTATAAATAATAAATTATTATTATTGGAAAACTCGTCCCTCCAGATGTTTTGGGACTACAACTCCTATCATCCCTGACCACTGGTCTTGTTAGCTAGGGGTGATGGGAGTTGTAGTCCCAAAACATCTGGAGGGCCAAGTTTGCCTATGCTTGCTGTATACCAACCATGATAAGTACCTATTTATTACACTGGCTCATTTTTTATAGTTACCACTCAGTGACCTCATTCAAATATCACCCTAAGCCAGCCTTCTCCCAACATGCCCCCTCCAGATGTTTTGGACTACAACTCTCATCATCCCTGATCATTGGGCTCTGCTGACTGGGAATGATGGGAGATGTAGTCCAAAACAATCTAGAGGGCACCAAGATGGGGGAGGTTGGACTACAACTCTCATCATCCCTGATCATTGGGCTCTGCTGACTGGGAATGTTGGGAGACGTAGTCCAAAACAATCTAGAGGGCACCAAGATGGGGGAGGTTGCCCTAAACTAAAGTTTGCATGATATGAATGAGTCAAAACAAGTCACAGTGAGCACTAAGCTTGCCTCCTCCTCCGCTCCCTAATCTCCTTCCCCCTCTGATACAGCTACAGGGAGGAGTTTGGTTTTTCCTTAACCACAGCTTGTCCATCATCCATACCAACAAAGTGTGGTTAAAGTTATCTATGGTTTGTTTGACTTGTCATCCAATTTGAATAGCTATACTTGGACCTTCTAAAAGCTAGAAATAATAACTGCTGTCATGTAGTGAATGAGTTCAGTGAACGAGGCCAGGATGGAACTTTTCTGTCAAAAGACTCAAGCTACAGACAAATTGCCATCCCCTTAGGAATCTCTACTTAAAAACGATGTCTACATTGATGGAATATGGTTCATAGGCACCATGTTCCTCGAGCTGGTTCCTTGCCCAGAGGCTTTTGCTGAACTAAAATTAACAAATCACAAGTGCCAAACTGGATAATTCCAAAGATCTTAAAAGCTTGTAGCAAGCTGGTCAAGTATTTCTTAAACAGAAACTGTAAGAGTGTGAATAAGTGGGAAAGGCAACCTAAAACACAATCACAAGTATAAATGAAGGAATGATATAATAGTATGTAATTATTAAACATTATTGTGGAGGCCTCACTAATGAATTAAAATAAGAATGATTTTTATAATCGTATAATACTGACACAAAATCATTTCTTTATATAGCTGGTCAAGGCAGTTTGATTGGAGTCACAAAGTGGTCTTGATTTATTTATTTTATACTGATTTTCAGCTGTCTTGGGTATCAGTGTCATACTTGGGTAATTCCAAAGCACTCCTGGCCTAAATTTGGTTCTAAGCTCTTAAAATACCTCACAAGCAAGTAACAAATGTGGTACACTCATCTGCTGTGCGGCAGTAATAAGAAATAAATGTTAAGCCACCTAAATTCCTCCCCAGCAGCCCCCAAATCTTGGGAGCCACATTTCCCTTTGAGGTGTTTGTTTGGCTCTCCAGCACAGCAAATGGCATCCAGGACTTGGACTTACATTAAAAAGCATTCCTGGTGCAGAGGTTTGAGCTAACATTAGCCACGTTTCTGTTCCAATACAGACAATTACAAATCTATTCATAACATAACAGATACATAACAGAGTTTTCATAATTTTTGCAATTGCACAATTTCTACTGAATATTTAAAAAATCTTCTTCAGTAGCATAATATAAACTATGAGGTTTGTATATCATTGCCTCAAGCAAAAAAAGGGAAAGGTGACTGGAGATACACACGCACAAAATAATTTATTTAAAAAGAAGTTGCATTCCTACCTGACCAAAAATATAGAGGAAGCCAATGGTCCCCCCAACTTGACCTCCAAGGACAGTAGAAATCATTGAGTAGACTCCTCCACTTCCAATGCTGCAGCGTTCGCAAACCCCAATGCCAGACAAGACTGTTACTAAGGCCACCAGGACGACAATGGACACCAAAAACATGCCCATTAAAATACCGGTGTTTCCCTGAAATGGGAGGAAAAAGAAAAGATTGAAACTTAAAAGAAGAAAGAGATGCATAGATTTAGGTGCCAAGTATAGGCAATTTGGTACCCTCTGGATGTTGTTGTATAAAAATGGGTGCATATATATATATATACCATATCTTTCGTCTCCAAAAATGAAGGGGAAATGTGTGTGCGTCCTATGGGGCGAATGCAGGCTTTCGCTGAAGCCTGGAGAGCGAGAGGCGTCGGTGCGCACCGACCCCTCTCGCTCTCCAGGCTTCGCAAAGATCTCCGCAAGCCGTGGGAGCCCGCGCCGGGTTCCCGCTGCTTGCGGAGAGTTGCCTGCATGCCGAAGGCTGGGCGCACTGAGCTCTGCGCGCCCAGACTTCGCGCACCTTTCCGCAAGGCGCAGGAGCCCGACGCTGGGCTCCTGCTGCTTGCGGAGAGTTGCCTGTTCTGGGGGCTGGGGTCGGGGGAAGCTCAGGCTTCCCCCGCCCCAGCCCCGCGCCTGGGAGGGAAATAATTTTTTTCCCTTTATTTCCCCCCCAAAAAACTAGGTGCACCTTCTGGGACGGTGCGTCCTATAGGGCGAAAAATACTATATATATATATATATATATATATATATATATATATATGATTTGAAGATCTACATTTCAAAAACATTTCAAGGCACACACTTACCTTTGTTTTGCTTGCTACAAAAGAATGCAATGCATTTGTACTTCATCTAAGCCAAAGTGCCTTGCTTACCACTGTCAGAATGTTAGGAAGTTTACATGAAAGCAGTAGGAAGAAGGTATGTGGTTTCTTAAAACTTAACACTTGAACTCAACTCTACTGCAAATCACTCCAATGTCTAAAAAAAGCAACGTAGGAGGACTGGTATGCTGTACATGATTTTCTAAGAAATACAAGGTACCACAAGGCTCTGAGATGGGCTAACAGTGCTCATATCTTTCACAAAAACATGCATATAAAATAACAACTGACAGGACTACTACATTAAGGGGATTTCTAATGCATCTCTTTACAAAAAGCAGAAGCCAGGCCTTATATTCTTCTGTTTTCACAGCTTTTAGCATATGAACCCAGTCAGAAGGCCTTCAAATGTTATCAGCATGTAGATGCTAAATAAAAAAGTGACCTCTTAAGCCTTTCTTCTGAGCTTTAGAGATCCCCATTGTGAACAAACTCTAGCATTTTGCTTCCTTCGTGCCATCTTCAAAGCACTCTGTGTGCTGCTCTTATCCCACAGGCATTGTGTTCCTTCCTGCTATGACTTCTCAAGGAAGGGCAGTGGCTTTTAGGTTCTCTTGCTTACTAATTATTGCTTTGTGCAGAACATGTTGGGTTATGCTTGTGCCATCTGCGTTTCCAAATAGCACCCACTGTCCTGGCTAGTTTGAAGATATTTAGTATACACAAAACTGATAGTGCTTTTGTTTTGTTTATTTTGCTTAACCATTGATGCAAAGCTAGAACAATGCTTTCCTTTTAGGAAAAATATAGCTGTGTAGGGAGGCTTGTATGCTAGCAGATGTCTGCATGCTGAGTCCTGGCTCCAGTTCCCCTTGGTCTGATGCAACTGCCATCAAAACCAGCAGGATTCCAAACTGAAACTGCACTTCATGTAGGCTACAACATTCTGGATACATATCAAGCTAGTTAGAGGAGCGGGCGGGGAGAGATAGGAAATATGATTCTGAGGAAACAGCAGCATCCAGTTTCTAGTTTTGATGAGAAATGAATGAATGGGCCCTCAGATCAGATAATCACTACTAGTAAGTTTGTGATAGGGCAAGGAGAACAGAAGGTGCAAAAGGTAGAAGGCTTCTACAGGTCCATGGGTAATGCTGGTGGACAAACAAAAAACACCCTCAAGGCAAATCTAAAAAAAGTAGTATACAACTGGGAAACACGGACTTCCGGGGTGGCGCCTCCGGAAAATGGCGGAATTCCCTTCGGACTGAAGGGAACCCGCTGCACGGAGGCTTGGGTCCTGCCGCTACGGCGCAGCGGGGACCCTCAAAACCACAGGCGGAAGAAGCCTGTGGACGTGGGACTCGGCGGGCACCGAGAGCGCTCTCTCCCTTGTACAGGAGCCCGGTAACGGGCTCCGGAGTGGGAGGTGCGTGGTGCTGTGAGTCGTCTGCTTCCTCCGTGCAGCAAAGCCGCACTGCCGTTATCGGAGAGCGCTGCCTTTTTCCTGGACAATTTGGCATCTAAAACATCTATCCGTGAGTACCTGATCTTGGAAGAGCTGAACCACTTTTAAGACTGGTGAATAAACAAATAATATTGGACTTGAAATTGAACTTAATTGGGACTCGGAATGGGAAGGTCTAAACAGGAAGTCGCCTTCCGTTCTTTTGTTATGTGAAGAAAGCAAAGACAAAATATACTAAAGCCTGAAAATTAAATTTTAAGAGAACTAGAATTCAACATCTAAGATTTCTGAACCCCCTTTGACTGCAGGAGAAAAAGGGGTTGTATTTGGACTTTTCAATCCTGCGGAAGTGAGTTTAAAATAAAGCAATTTTCCACCGCCCTGAACCAGGAGCGGGCTGTCAGAATTGACGTTCTGAAGTTTATCCAGCTCGACAGTTAGTTAAAAGAAGGGTAACATTTTGATTCTACTGTTGCCTCTTGAATTTGGAAGGGGGAATTTTGGATAAAGTGTTTCTGGAAAAAGAAAGATTGTTGCTGTTGCTTTTATTCCTTTAAAAAAAAAAAAAATTCCATCTAGTGGAATTTAGTGAAATTGCAACGCAGAGAGATTAAAAGAGAAGGACTATTGGACTATTCTCGTGGGAAAGAATTTTCTTTGACCTTGAAGGACAATGCTAGTACAAAGGCTTGAACAATTGTTCCTGGAAGGTTTTTCAAAACTAAGTGCCCAGCTGGACCAGATGCGTCAGGAGACGACCTTGATGATGGAAGTTACCAGAGCACAGCAGCAAACAAATGAAATTCAGTTAAAGGCTATACAAGCATATGAACCTGCTGTAGTGACGGAGGCTTCAGAGATGGAGGGACCTTTGGACGGGCAAGATCAGCCTTTGAACTTGATAAATGAACTTGGGACAAACCAGATTCGGAAAGATGAAATGTGGTCAGATTTGGAAATGGGGGATGGATCGACCCCCTCCATATGGTTATTTGGACCTTCCGAGTCTGGTGATGGGCTATCAGAGGATTGGAGTAGCCGAAGTCTCCAAGCTTTGTGGAAATTTGAAGTGGTATTATTTGCTGTCTGGCTTGGGCAATGGGTTTGGGATGGACTTGTTGCAAAGGGTCAAAAGCATTTTCTTGCTGGAGCATCCACGACTGGAAAGGAATCATCAACAAGAGTGGCGAAAGGGGCAAGAAAGAGACTTGAGGGCCTCGGATACGAGACAACCAGGTTAAGGAGCCGGATTACCGAGGTTAAAAGGACTGACAATCCCGGGTCCAGGGGAGGGGAGGTTGGAAGCTGACTGGACTGAATTTGACTTATTATTTTTTCTTTTTACTTTTTAATATTGGGAATGCTTACAAATGTTTGAAGGATGTTGAATGAAATTACATGACTTAAGTAAGGATTGGTAAATGATTCGTAAAAGGTAATGATGCAAGAATTTGGTAAATATTGATATAAGCTATGAGTTTTAAAGTTTTTATATGACAAGAGGGAAAATAGAATAAGGAAACGTAATGACAGATTGTTATGAAAAACAGAAAGGATTTGCTGTAAAAATTAAAAATTAAGAAACAAAAGAGGGGAGGAGGAGGAAGTCTAGAAAGGAAGTCAATAGAGATTGTAAAGGACTTTATATTTTTGTTTTTCTGTTTCTCTTTTTTTTTTCTTTGCGGCTGGGTTTTCTTTTCTTTTTTGTTTATGCACTAATTTTGTTTTTTGTATCCTTAAATTTTTTTTGGAAATTTTTGTTGTTATTTTTTGAAAATTCAATAAATATCAACTATAAAAAAAAAATACAACTGGGAAACACTGGCCTGTTTATCCTGGAGGATAAAGGTAAAGGTAAAGGACCCATGACAGTTAAGTCTAGTCGCAGACGACTCTGGAGTTGCGGTGCTCATCTCACTTTAAAGGCCGAGGGAGCTGCCGTTTGTCCACAGACAGTTTTTCCGGGTCATGTGGCCAGCATGACTAAGCCGCTTCTGGCAAAACCAGAGCAGCACACGGAAATGCTGTTTACCTTCCCGCTGGAGTGGTACCTATTTATCTACTTGCACTTTTTGGCGTGCTTTTGAACTGCTAGGTTTTGCAGGAGCTGGGACCGAGCAATGGGAGCTCACCCCGTCGCGGGGATTCGAAACCGCCAACCTTCTGATCGGCAGGCCCAAGAGGCTCAGTGGCTCTCGATCCATTCCAGTCCGGCTTCCGCGCTGGTCATGGGATCGAGACGGCTCTGGTCGCCCTAACAGATGATCTCCGCAGGCAGCTGGATCGAGGCGGGTCGGGGCTGCTGATTCTTCTAGACCTGTCTGCAGCCTTCGACATGGTCAATCATGAACTCCTGGACCACTGCCTTGCCGACGTGGGGATCCAGGGCACAGTCCTTCAATGGCTGCGCTCGTTTCTCTCTGGTCGGGGACAGAGGGTGGCGCTTGGGAGGGAATTGTCATCGCGCCACTCCTTGGTGTGTGGAGTGCCTCAGGGTGCGATTCTCTTCCCGATGCTTTTTAACATCTTTATGCGCCCCCTCGCCCAGCTTGTCCGGAGTTTTGGGCTGGGTTGCCATCAGTATGCCGATGACACCCAACTCTATCTGTTGATGGATGGCCATCCTGACTCGGCCCCAAACACACTGACCAGATGTCTGGAAGCTGTGGCTGGATGGTTACGTGGGAGCCGGTTGAAGTTAAATCCTTCGAAGACAGAGGTCCTCTGGCTGGGACGGGGCGATATGGGATTGAGGGGGCAACTCCCATCTCTCGCGGGGGTGCAATTAGTGCCAGCATCGTCCGTTAAGAGTTTGGGTGTAATCTTTGATACCTCCTCTCTATGGAGGCGCAGATTACAGCTATAACAAAGGCGGCATTTTTTCATCTCCGCCAAGCTAAGCAGTTGGCTCCTTATCTCTCTCGCCCTGACCTAGCCACTGTGATCCACGCGACGGTCACCTCCAGACTGGATTATTGTAACTCGCTCTACGTGGGGCTGCCCTTGAGACTGACCCAGAAACTCCAGCGGGTGCAGAATGCTGCGGCGAGACTCCTTATGGGGTCTTCGCTGCGAGATCATATTCATCCGGTACTATACCAGCTGCACTGGCTCCCGGTGGAGTACAGGATCAGGTTTAAGGTGCTGGTTTTAACCTTTAAAGCCCTATACAGCCTAGGACCCTCGTACCTACGGGACTGCCTCTCCTGGTATGTCCCACAGAGAAATTTACGGTCTGCAAATAAAAACATCCTGAAGATTCCAGGCCACAGAGAGGTTAGGCTGCCTCAACTAGAGCCAGGGCTTTCTCGGCTGCGGCTCCAATCTGGTGGAACGCTCTGTCACAAGAGACTAGGGCCCTGCGGGACCTGACATCTTTCCGCAGGGCCTGCAAGATAGAGCTGTTCCACCGGGCCTTTGGTCAGGGCACAGCCTGACCCCCTCCTCTGGCAATCTGCATGGAATTTTGCTTAATGGTTGCCATCAATTTGATTTTAATTAATTTTATAATGAATGTTTTTAGAATGCTGGATTATTTTGATTGTTGTTAGCCGCCCTGAGCCCAGCTTCGGCTGGGGAGGGCGGGATATAAATAAAATTTATTATTATTATTTATTATTAGACCACAACATCATCCGCATCCCAGTTGGAGGATAGTTCTACCAAAAGTGTCATGGACTTTGAAGAAGCACAAACTCAGGACAAAAGGGAGAAGTGAGCTGAGAGGAAGGCACATTTGGCAAATCCTCACCATGATCAACTCCCACCAGGAAACCTATGTCCCCACTGTGGAAAGATGTACAGATCCAGAACTGGCCTCCACAGTCACTTACAGACACACCGTGAAGACCATATTAATGGAAGACAATCTAACTCGGCTATGAGTGATCGTCAAAGAGAAGAAAGAAAGAGAAAGATGTGTGACACTGCACAACCTCTATAGGAGAAGCTATAAGCAGCTGAAATTTCACAGGCAAACTTAAGCAAAACCCAGTGTGATATAGGGGCTAGAATGCTGATCTTGGGGACTTCCGGGGAGGCGCCTCTGGTAATGGCTGAATTCCTCTGACCGGGAGGAATCAGCTCCATGGGAATCTGGGTCTGGCTGCCACAGCGAAGGCGGAGACCTGTTAAAATCACAGGCGGGAGAAGCCTGTGAACGTGGGATTCGGCGGGCACCTTTTGCGCCTCCCCCACTCGCGGGGAACCCCAGTTTTTGGGGCTCCGGAGCGAAGTGGGGTGAGTGGCGCGGTGCATTGAATCATCTGCTTCTTCCACGGAACGAAGCCGCATAGCTGTTGCCGGAGAGCGCTGACCTTTTCCTGTGGACAATTTGACTTTAAAGTAATTACCCGTGAGCAGAGTGGAAGAATTGGATTTCTAAATGTTTAATTTGGTACCGTAACAGGGAGGTTCAAAACAGGAAGTCCGCCTCCCCCTTTTGTAAATAGACTGAGGCAATGAAGTTGTAAGCTGGAGTCCTGGAAGGTCTTTTGTAAAAGATCAAAGTTCCAACGGTAAAGAACATTAAACCCCTCTTGGAGGCAGGAGAAGAGAGGGGGAAGTTGCGGATTGAGTATGCCTGCGGGAGAGAGCGAAGAAACTTAAAACACCGCCGCTCTGACCCTGGAAACGGGCTGCTAGTAGGACTGACGTCTTTTGGAATGTTCATTGACAGCGATTAGAACATTCATTGACAGCTAGTTAAATAAGAGAAATACATTGTTTCTATTGTCTCCGGCTGCTTTAAAAAGGAGTAAAAGTAACTGAAAATTGAAACTAATTTGAAACTAATTTTGGATTGTTTAAAAGAGGATACTATTGACTATTACAAATAGAAACTGTTTCCCCCTAGTGGAAGCCTTTGAAACCGTTGCTTTACAAGAGTTGGACTAGGGGAATTTCCAGCTGCAAGTTAAAAACCGTGAGACTTAAAAGACCTTGAATCTTTTAAATGTTATGGTAAATGGAAGAGGAAAAACAGACCAGTCAACTGCTGACAAAACATTAAGGTCTGGGAGGACTTGGTAACAATCCAGGAGAGGTCTATCATTAGGCCCTCCTGTTCTTTCTGTTGCTGTCTTTGTGCTAGTATTTTTAAAACTAAGAGGAATGTCGACAGAAGAGGCTTTAGTGGCTGCATTATATAAGATAAATGACTCATTGGATCAGCTTCACAGGAAAATGGACACGATAAATGCGAAAGTGGATGTTTCAATTACTAAAATTAACTTAAATACAGAAAGTATAAACAATACCAATACAGAAACCACCCAGAAATCGATACAGGAACCTACTTTGATGTGGCAAACTGCGGAGGAAGCCAGGGAAAAAGCCGTTGTCGCTGAATGTGGAGTAACACAACTGGAGAGAAAGAGAAAGAGAGCCCCAGCCCTACAGAGGCAACTTGAGGAACATAAGTTGACGCTCGCTATGACTGAACTTAAAGAAAAACAGACGAATTTGAGGATTAGAGTTCACCTTTGGTGGACATGCCCAAGGATTAAGACACTCTGGGAGATGATTCATAATGAAATGAAAAAGGTATTTAAATATACCCTTTTGAAGAAACCAGAGGCCTTTCTCCTGGGCATGGTCAGCCAATTGGTGTTAAAGAAGGATAGAATTTGTTTCATGTATGCAACAATAGCAGCAAGAATACTCATTGTGAAGTACTGGAAGACACAAGATTTATCCATTCGGGAAGAATGGCAGATGAAGTTGATGGACTATATGGAATTGGCGGAAACGACTGGCAGAAATCCGAGACCAGGGAGAAGAGCTGGTGGAAGAAGACTGGAAAAAGTTTAAGACTATTTATAGAAATATTGTAAAAACAATGAATGTTAGAAAAATGTTGGAATGAAGTTATATGGCTTTAGTAGAAATGCTATAAGGAATCAAGTATAAATAGATTAATAGTGTATTAAAGGGAAAATAAGGTTAGAATATGTTAAGATAATTATAGGATAGAAAACAGAGGAAGATGGAAAGGAATTGCTGAAATAATTAATAGAAGTGGAAAACAAAAAGGGAGGTGTGAGGAGGTCGTGGAAATAAGGGAATGAAAGATAAGACATTGAAATTGTTCTGTGTTTGAAATGGTTTGTGTCTTGCTTTGTTAGTTTCATGTTTTTCTTTTTTTCTTTTTTTCTTTTTTTTTCTTTCTGTTTTGTTGTGTTTAAATGGTTGAAAATTAATAAATATTATTTTTTTTAAAAAAAATAGAATGCTGATCTTGGAACCAGCCTCAAATCCCTACTCAGCTGTGTAACTCACTAAATGGCTGTGGGGAGGTCCCTGTCTCCCTATCTAATGTAATATGCCAGGGTTGTTGTGAGTGTAAAATGCTCTCCCTACCCTTTAGGGTAGGGCAGGATACAAACATAACAAGGCGGGTCGAGAGATTGAATGGCAACAGCATGATATCTACACATCTAGCAAAACTAACTCAAGCATAGAAGCAGAAGGTCAGAATACCAAGAACTTAATTTGTGCTCTAGCTGATTTTCTGAATCTTTCGCTAAAACCAAAAGAATTTCCATGAGTACTGATAGTGACCACATCCCTAAATAGTGAAAAAGCTGGAAATATCCAGCTCTTATTTGAAGAACAAGGCTGGCACATAGTGGCTGAAAATAAACCTTTTTTTTTTTTTTTACTGCTGCCCTGGTACCTGTTTAATAATGTCATCCAGTGATTATATTCTGTCTCCTCCAGCCCGTAGGCAGATGCCAATGGAACCCACTGTAACCAGTTTGTTCCCCATCAACAGCTCAAGGACCACTTAGCCATTTGTTGCCTGTAGGCTTTTATTATTTCATTATTATTTGATTTATTACCTGTCCTTCACACCAGCAGGTCCCAGGGTGGGCTACAACAATATGCATTCAAGGTCCTCTTGCTGTGCAATTTGTAAATATTTGTTTAAACTCTCTGTCTCTTAAAAAAAAATTCTCCATTTTAACAATTTAATTTTGAATTCTAATCCAATCTGCTTTCTAAATCCAATCTTCACAATGCATACATGCATTCACTCTCAGTAGAAATTTTACACCACCAAGGAGCTTTAGCAAAGGAGAAGGATTTTAAGCAGTTAAATAATTGCCACAGTGGGTCAGAGTTTCCAGTCTTCTAGGTTTAAAGTTCAGTTCATGCATAACTGTTCATAATACAGTTGTACCTTGGAAGTTGAAGGGAATCCGTTCTGGAAGTCCGTTCGACTTCTGAAACGTTCAGAAACCAAAGCGAGGCTTCTGATTGGCTGCAGGAAACTCCTGTAGCCAATCAGAAGCCACGGAAGCCCCATCGGATGTTCGGCTTCCAAAAGAACGTTTGAAAACCGGAACACTCACTTCCAGTTTTCAATCGTTCGGGAGCCGAAATGTTCAACTCCCAAGGCGTTCAGGAGCTGAGGTACAACTGTATAACTGTTATCAACATATTTTAAAAACTCAATAAATTTGGTATAAGGACAATGAAAGAGGGTGTTTGTTCCAGCTGGGCAGAAGGAGTGCTGCTTACAACCATCACTTCAAACTACATTATGTTCTTTCAGTAGAGCTTGGAGGAACATGAGGGAGGACGCGTAACTATGGCAACATGTGTTACCTGAACAGTTATATTTGATCAGCTTCCCTGTAAATAGCCCAAGCTACTATTTTATTTTATTTTGACATAAAGGGAGAGAAATTAACAAAGCCATAGGAACCCAAGTATATTTTAAGCAAGTAATTTTGTGGGCTTTAAAGAGCTGATAAAATAAAATTTAAATCTGGTCTACGCCAACAGGGACTGCAAGCTGTAGTCCTAAGGAGCTTACTTGGAACCAAGTCCTACTGCAATCAGGGACGCGGGTGGCGCTGTGGGTAAAACCTCAGTGCCTAGGACTTGCCGATCGCATGGTCGGCGGTTCGAATCCCCGCGGTGGGGTGAGCTCCCGTCTTTCGGTCCCAGCTCCTGCCCACCTAGCAGTTCAAAAGCACCCCTAAGTACAAGTAGATAAATAGGTACCACTTTATAGCGGGAAGGTAAACGGCGTTTCCGTGTGTTGCGCTGGTGCTGGCTCACCAGAGCAGCTTCGTCACGCTGGCCACGTGACCCGGAAGTGTCTTCGGACAGCGCTGGCTCCCGGCCTCTTAAGTGAGATGAGCGCACAACCCTAGAGTCGGACACGACTGGCCCGTACGGGTGGGGGTACCTTTACCTTTACCTACTGCAATCAGTTGAACTCAGATGAGTTCCAAGTGATTTCAGCAGAACTTACTTCGAAGTAACCAACAATCTGGAGCAGGCTGTAAGAGGACCACAATGACTGCTGAACCAGCAAAAAGCCAGACCCAGTGGTATGGAGGAGGTACCTCAAATCAAACCAGGATTTCACAAAAGCAGTGCCTGTTTCTACCATAATACAGCACAGGGCAAAGTGATTGGGGATGCACCAACCTAAATACATTCTGGCCACCTAAATACATTCTGGCCACCTAAGCACCTAGCTGTGCCAAGGTAGAACCACATGCTAAATATTTGGTAATAATAACAGGATTGTCAACCTAGCAGAATAGCTTTTGCGCCATGTGAAAGGCATGGTATGCTGCTGCAGTCAATATAAGCCACTTTCTGCTCCATCACAGCTTCCCACATTTCATCAGGAGGTGGAAGGATCAAATGGTCATCTAGCCAAATCATCTTGTTCCCACTTGTGACTAAAAAGGATCAATCTCTACAACAGTGTGGTCCAAACAGAGGCCGAGAGGACCAAATACTATGCAAATTTCTCCACATGATCAGAGAATGTAATCAGGCTGGCCTGCAGAGCAAAATGTTGACTTGACACCAAAGCACACTGGTTTAAAATTATTTGCTCTCATTATAGTCTTAACTGGGCTGGATTGGGCTGTTTGCCAGTGCTTGGGTTATATCTCCCACTTGCTTGCATGTGTGTGTGTGTGTGTGTGTGTGTGTGTGTGTGTGTTTTGTGTCAGCAAGCTGCTTAAAAAACAGACACACCATAGCTGGAGGTTGGATATGTGATGAAGGCTATGCAGATGAATATGCATTCAGCAGCTATTACAGAAGAGATGGTGGAAAGACCTAAAGATGATAAGGCAAAAGAATGGTCGCCAGCACACAGGCTTTCAGTACTAATTTAAATGCAATAACTTAAGGACATCAGAACAAATTCCAAGACAAATCAACAGCTGTATGGCTTGTCATTTAGTTCCCCATACTTACCACCAGCCACCCTGTCCTCAGAAAGAGAACTACTCCAAAGATATTGATCATACAAGAGGTAAAGACTCCGTCCCAAGTGCCAAAGAGCACTGGTTCCCAAACAAAAAGATGTATCTTCCACCAAGGTCTGTTGTGTGTCGGAGAACTCTGAATGAAAATAGGATTTAAAGGTTACGTTTGCTCTTTCATCTTGCTGGGCACCAGCGAAGAGGCACGAAGGGTCAGTACTATAATGCCTGCAAAATGCATGCTTTAAGGATGACAGAACTTGCCCCTTTCTTGCCCCCAGGGCACTTAATTGTACGGAAATGAGAATCCTAAATAAGCCACACTACTGTGGCATCTGGTTGGCCACTGTGACAACAGGTATCTAGAAGAGATGGGCCTTTGGTTTGATTCAGAAGAGCTCTTCATCTTATGAAGGGTAATCATGTTGCCTGAATCCCACCCTACTACAAACAAAACCCAGATCCCCTGTTGATTATAGCCTACAAAGACCTACTTATCAGCAACTAGATTCAGTGCCAATTTTTAAGAATGGAGCCAGCAGGTAAGGACAAAAGGTTCTGACACTTATCCCCCGCCCCTGCCATCAAAAAGGAAATCAAAAACAAAAAACTGCTTGCCAGCAAGTCCTGTTTTCACAAATACCACTCTCTTTTTGCCTCAGTAATAACCTTTTTAAATAATAATTTTTGTTGGTTTATTTTCACATTTCCCACTGAAACTATTTCAATTTATGCAAAACAAATCGCAAGACATGAAACAGGGTTAAGGGTTGTTATAAATAAATAATCTACATAAACAACTGGAAGAATTGGTCAAATAAATTGACATTTTCTAATTAACAAGCATCTTCCTTGCAGGTTCCACATTACCCTTGACTCCCACCCAAACCATAAGTTATTACTGTAAACACAAACAAGAATATGCAGCAGGCAGGGCATAATCATGTAAACTAGCTCCTGTATACTCAATAAAGCCATGCCAAAGGACCACAAACTTCTCCTGCGTACTTTGTCCCCTGACAATTCTCACTTTTTGTGCGAGTTTCTCTAATAAGGCAATGTGCCGCAGCTTTTGATACCAATAATCAAGGTCGTTAATTTGGAGATTATTCCAATGCTTTGTAGCAATTGTGGCTCTTGCTACAAAGTGATTAATTATCAATGATCTACCGAGACTTTTAAACAAATAAATCACAATTTATATACATACTGTAAACTGAACACAAATCTGGACTCTTTTCAGAGCATTACTCCCACCACCTTGCAATGTTTCATAATTCAGAACTCAGCTGTAGGGAACCAGGGCTTTTGCAACATACCTGTTGTGCTTCTTCATGAAAAAGTTCTTGCACATATCCATCATTCCTCATGCTGGTGTTGCCCCTGGGCAAAAACAGTCTGCCATTCACATTAAAGCTGTAGCTGGAGGGTGATGCCATAATGATAATGGAAGCCACGGGGCAGGGAACAGAGCTCAATGTCAGCTATTATGCTCAAGTGAGTTCCTGCACAGATGAGGCATGCACAGCAAGGGCTTCATTGCTGTACTTCACCTAGTTCAGAGAAAAGACAGAACTTACCATCACCTTCAGATGCAGGCACAACAGTTTTATCACAGATTCATAGAACAGAAGAGTTGGAAGGGATCCCAAGGGTCTTCTAGTCCAAACCCCTGCAATGCAGGAATCTCAACTACATTATACATGGCAGGTGGCCATCCTACCTCTGCTTAAAAGTCTCCAAGGAAGGAGAGTCTACCACCTCTTATGGGAGTCTGTTTCACTGTCAAACGGCTCTTACTGTCAGGAAGTTCTTCCTGATGCTTAGTCGGAATCTCCTTTTTTGTAACTTGAATCCATTGGTTTGGTTCCTAGCCTCCAGAGCAGGAGAAAACAAGCTTCCTCCATCTTCTGTGTGACATCCCTTTAGATATTTGAAGATGGCTATCTCAGTCTCCTCTTATCCAGGCTAAACATATGCAACTCCCTCAACTGTTCCTCTTAAGGCTTGGCTTCCAGACCCTTGATCGTCTTGGTCTCCTACCTCTGCACACATTCCAAGCTTGTCAACATCCTTCTTAAACTGTGATGCCTAGAACTGGACAGGGGACTCTAGGTGGGGTCTGACCAAGGCAGAATACACGGGGTAGGTGGGGGCCAGAGACTGGTATAATAACATCAGAGTGTAGCAAAAACTTGCGTACCATAGCAAGGATGACAACGCAAATGCTAGACCTGGCTTTGCTTTTCCCAGGTGTGCTGTTTGATTTCCCTAACTCCTTACAATGCCAGCACTGTGACATCAGAGGCACCTAGAACTGAAAAGGAAAAGTTTTGCTGGGCAGGCAACTTTTGTCTCATCCCTCCCCATGCTGGTTGGCGGGAGAAAGGGGAGAAATATAGCACCCACAATGTCTTTGAGAGGATGTAGAGGCAAGATGGATCTTCGAGAATCTACGTTGTGGTATACAAAAGCAGGATTATCTTCCTGACCTTCCCACTAGAGACTCCCAATTCATCTGCAGCTTGATGTTCAGAATCTAGCTGCCACCACTGTCCAAGCTCAGTAAGAAGCCAGCCCTCCCCTATCCTGCTTTCCAGCTGCCTTCCTCATCCTTGCTCTCCTGGTAGACTATTGTGAAACAAGCCCAACCCTTCTTTGCTTTACCTGCCCAGGCACCTGTGATGGTAAAACACAGGCAAACCCTTACACTACCACTCACTTCCTTTACCCTATGCAAATCGCCAGTTAAGCAGGCAATGAAGCAGTTAAGGTTCACTGATTCCCTGATGTTCATTCCCCTCCAGTGGAAGGAAGGAATCCTTGCCAGCTCTACCACTGGTTGCTGTTTTTCAGTGCAATTGAGGCTTCATGCAGCGGAAAAAGCAGCAGGGGGAATGAACTCTCAGCAACAAAGATAGAGCTTTTATGCAAATAGTCTTTGTCATAAAAGCCAGCAAGGAACATTAACATGGCAGGCAAGTAAAAAATGGTTTCTTAATAAGCTATTCCTGCCCGCCCCCAACAATTTCAAGAAGATTTGAAAGAGAAATTTTATTTTGTGAGAGCTTCGGCATTATGTCCACATTTCGTTCGGCACGCAGTGCTTAAAGGAAGTAAAACGAAAAGAAAACCTGTATTGCTGCTCATGCTAGTTTTAGTGCCTAAGTATAAAAAATGATTACAAATGTGGTTTATAAGGAACCAGTTGGTGTTAAAGAGGGTATCAACATAGTAAAGAAAAGACAAAAACATTTAGTTTGAGGGGCAGGTTCAAAAGTTAAAAGACACCAAAGACTGTATCTCCCTGAAGAATGTGGAAAATGACACCAAACAAACCACAAGACCCCTTAATGAAGAGATCAAAAACCCGTTTTCCATATTCAGCTAGATTTAACCAAACAGTAAGGTGTAGCATTTGGATGTCACATTAAACTACAGCTCAGCTGTTATCATTGTTGTCATATTTATATCCCACCTTCTCCTCCAAAAAGCTCAAGGTTGAATACACGGCTCTCCCCCTCCCCATTTTATACTCACCTGTCAGATAGGTTAGGCTGACAGACTGTGACTTGCCCAAGCAAAGTCACCTAGTTTGCTTCATGGCTGACTGTGGAATTGAACCCAGGTTTCCAAAGGCTCTAGGAACACGGGGGGTGCTGTAGTCTAAACCACTGAGCCTCTTGGGCTTGCCAATCAGGTCGGCAGTTCGAATCCCCACGACAGGGTGAGCTCCCGTTGCTCAGTCCCAGCTCCTGTCCGGGAATCAGCGTGTTTTTACGTGTGTTTTTTAAAATGCATGTCTGGGTTATTTGTGGGGCCTGCCTGCTGTTTTTACATGAGTAGAATGTGTGCTTTTATTTAAAATGCATCTCTGGGTTATTTGTGGGGCAAAGGAATTTGTTCTTTTTCTTTCTTTCTTCCAAAATATAGTCTGGCCCCCCACAAGGTCTGAGAGACAGTGCACTGGCTCCCTGCTGAAAAAGTTTGCTGACCTAAAACATGTCCTAAAACATGGATTGTTGTTTCAAAATGCAGCACTAATTCATTCTTCTCTTCTACCACTAACCAGAGCATCCACTAACCAGAGCATAACTGAACTCAATGGGACTTATTTCTGAGTATACATGTATAGAGTTGAGCTGTTAATTCCATACAGCTAAAATGATTGTGCCCAAATTATATCCATAGCAGATTCTGTGGCTTTTAGCATTCAAATATAAACTGAGTCTAAATCACATTTCTCCAAGACTAGTTGAGCCTTTTCTGTTCATTTAGCAACACCAAAATTTCTGCTTTTGCACCTTAGGATATTTTGTCAATAAACACAAAACTAAGGAAGCTCTCTAAGCTGAAATCACTGCTTTCAACAGATGGCTGGTTTATAAAAACAAAAGGGTTAATATATTTCTCGCCGTATGTACATGTGGTCTCACTGACTTCCGATGGGGCTCCCTTTCCTATTAGAGAGGTTACTATTGGCTGTGCTATGTAAAGTGATCCAAGATCTCACATGACTTCATTTAAATAAAAGCCTTAACCAACATCTCACCTCATATCTTTAAAACACCTTATTTTTAGTACTCAAGGGGAAAATAAATTTTTTTTAAGTGAAAATGCATTACAGCAAATAAAACCTAATGAAGAACCTGTAAGTGCACAAACATTCATTTTACTCAGGTACCGTAACTTCCCAGGCAGCCTTCATTTTCAAGTAAAGCCAGGGTAATAGGAGCAGAGATTACACCATTAAGAAAATTCTCCTGTAGTATTATCTTATAGTGGCTTTTCTTTAATACTAAGCACTACAAGAGAACATTGTAAACTGAGCTGCTGCATTGTAACTCTTGAATATTTTATAAATAAAGTCTGGGTATCTCTCTTGAATAATATCACCAATCAATGGGTAGGACTTGATCCATTGATCCAGAGCACCTGCTCAAACAAAGGAAAAGTCCATGATCTCCAATGAGTCTTTCATCAACTCCATCTGTAGCTCTTTGCACCACACCCCACATCATCTCTAAAGTTCTCCAAACCTTCGGAATTGGCTTTATTTTTGGGGTGGGAAAAGCAGACGGTTACAGAGGACTGTATTTGTATGTTGCTGTATGCAGGGGAGAAACTAGGCTTTATTTCATCCGCAGAGAAGAAACTAGGCTTTATTTCATCTGGGTATAAGACCCAGTTTGGCACCCCTCTGTGCACATTTGCATACATATACACACAGGCTGGGAGCCTCAATGGTGCCACTCTGGGGGCTTCACCCAGAGCAAAAAACCTGGCTAGCCCCCTGTAGCTCTGGCTGTTCACACCAGAGAGGGGACAGGGATGTGTCTTCACCCAATGCAGATTACAGTACAGTGGTACCTCAGGTTACATACGCTTCAGGTTACAGACTCTGATAACCCTGAAATATTACCTCAGGTTAAGGACTTTCCTTCAGGATGAGAACAGAAATCGTGCAGCGGCGGCGCAGCGGCAGCAGGAGGCCCCATTAGCTAAAGTGTTGCTTCAGGTTAAGAACAGTTTTACGTTAAGAACAGACCTCCAGAAGGAATTAAATTCCTAACCCGAGGTACCACTGTACTTGTTTGGTTTCCTGGTGCAACCTGGCAACCTCAACCGCAAACTCCTATCCCATAAAGCTGTCATCTGCGCATGTGCAAGGGTTGTCCCAAATGTGAGCACCTCAGCTTAACTACTATGCGAATTTGGCCTACGTTAAAAAGGGGGGGAGCTTGTCTGAGGGAAAGTGCATCAAAGAGCAGCATTTCTACAGGATACCTATGGACTAGGACTAACCTCATGAGCACACCAGCAGTGGGAACACATTGGAGCTGGACTAAAGCGTAAAGCGCACACGGCCTCTGCCTTTGCTGCCTCGTTCCACGCATTTTTCACTCAAATTAGCAGGGATTCACTACTTGTTCTTTTCCCCGCTTTTCCCGCGGGGCTCCTGCGTCAGTAATGGCCGAAATCCAGTATACCCCCCCCCAAAAAAAATCCTGACTCTTTATACTAAGCAAAGCGCTGCACGTTGAAATGGTGTCCTCGTTCACGCAGCTGTTCCCAAGCTCTGGAACCCTACCTAAGAGGTGAGGGCCGCCGGCCGCACGTCGTTTGGCATGCCATCGCCTTGACGCGTGGTATTTTCATTAATGAAATCCTCTTTTTCCAATGCAACTTTTAAATACATACTTTAAACATAGCATTATGCCAATAATTATGTAGTTCCAAAATAGGAAAGAGTATAACGAGGCTTTTATACGTTCTGAGCGAGGAAGAAGGCTCCCCTAACTGCTGCGGGTGTTGGAGCGCGACAGGCGCCGCGGTGGGGAAGGGCGGGAAACGCTGGGGTCTAGTCCACGCGCCTTTTGACTCCCGAGAGCAGCCCTTGGGGCGCGTGCGGGCGGGGCTCTTTTGGGCGGGTTTCCCTCCCGAGCTGACGAGGCCTGCCTCGCGCCCGGGCCTGCCCGCACTTCCACGTTCACGGCGCCCCGCCGTAGGAGTTTCCCGGATCCGGGAGGCACCTGTTGCGACCGCCGCCTCAGCTGCCTGCTTGCTTTCTCACGGCATCCGGGCGGGGCCGCTTGCCGCCTGCTCCTGAACTGGAGAAAACCTGCTGCTTCGTGCCCCTTGCGAGCGCCGCCCCGCCGTCGGTGAAAAACAGTATTATAGCGGCTGCCGGGCTCTTTCAGGGCGACTCCTGACTAGCCTCCTCAGTTTGCAAGCCCCGGATCCTTTGGACTGCTGGAATTCAGCCTGAATTCGCGCAGCTTCGAGAGCACAAAGTCCCAGGCATCTCTAAGAATGTCCCCTGTCAGAAACCCGGGAGAGCAGCTGCCAGTCAGTGTAGACATTAGCGAGCTCCCTGAGGATCTCCCCACTGCCTCCTGAGGGTGCGCTCTTGCGCGCGCGCTCTCTCTCACACACACACAGACACCTTGCAGCACAGCGTTGCTTGATTTTATCCAGCCTGGGGGATCCGCTCGATACTTACCTTGTTTCTTCTCGGCCTCCAAGAGCGAGGGATGCAGCTCCCCCCCTGCGCCCCCGCCGCCTTCCAGTCAGACCCTTTGCGATCAAGTCTTGCTGGACAGCTGGGACGGACAGCCACCCAGGTGCCACGTGGGCCGGACTGGGGGTGGCTGGGTGCAGGACAGGAAGGGATATTCCCACGTCAGGATGTTTGCTTTTCTTTTGGCCCTCCCACCTTTCGGGCTTTACAAAAAGGGTTTTAACTGAGTCGTTTGTTCTTGAGAATACATTATAGATCAGGATTTCTGGTGCGCCTGGATGTGTGCACATCTTGCTGGTTGCATCAGTTTTATTTGTGGGTGAAAAGGCTGCCCTCTAACTTTGGAATGAGGTTTTAGATATTTCGATAATCCTTTATATATAGGTCCGTGGGGACACAAAGCAACCCAGCCAGGGGTGTGTGGTATCAATAATAAAATTGTTGTTGTTACCAATTCTACTACAGTACTACTGCTTTTAAAAGGGGACAAAAAAACTTACTCCAGAAACAGGCTTTCGGTGGGATTTTTGGAGCTCTCAAATCACACACACACAAATATAATACTGTACTAAATACACAAGGCACTTTGTGTTCCTATGTTTTTTCCACATTTATAGAAAAATAATATTGGAGCACAATTAATTACCCAGCTGGTTCTTAAACCACATACATCCTCGTAGCATTTACAATTCTTCTGTGGAAAAGAGAGGAAAAACTACTAAAATTAGCTTTGACCCCTGAAGCTTCCTCTTCATAAGAGGCCTGTCACAGTCGTTTATATTTAGTAGCTTTCTTCTCCTGTCTTAGCATAGCTTAATTTTTTTTTAAGTAGGAAGGGAAATCAAGCGACGCAAGTGTCATATGTTGAATGAGCAAGAGTGCATGACAACAGACCCAGATGAACTGGTTTATCAAGGCTAAACCAAAGAAAATACACAAAATCAACAGGATTCTGGCAAGCAGTACTTTTAAAAAAATGCTTCCTTTTATAATACATTGCATGTCTTTTGGTGCACAAATACCAGAAATATGAGATGAATGCCTCCCAATAGGGTTAGCTGCTTCCTAACAGAACCATATTTTTGTCCAAGGTCTAACAAATATTTTGTATTGCTGATGGTGGAATCAGGAGAGCATTTCCATATTATAGTGTAAGGAGTAGTGGAAGAGAGAACATTTTATAGGTCATTTTATGGTGCATTCTCATCTGGTAACTTCCTGAGCTCTATACATCTGAAGTCCCATTGAGTTCAGGCAAGCGGGTAGATACTTGGAGCCCAAGAGACCCAAGTTGCAGGAGGTCTCCAAGTGAAGTTTCGCCATAGACAGTGCTTTTTACTCATAATGCACATGAAGTGCTTTGACTGTATATACCGTAAAAAGTATTTTTACATTTATATTTGTTGATTTTTTCTTTCTAGAAAGATTCATGAGTCTAGGTTGTAACACCCAATTTGGGCAGTGTAGCTTGGATGAGTGGTGGTTTACTAATGGGTTACCATCATTCTGAAAACCAGCACTTCACTGAATAATAATTCTGGTGAACCTAACAAGTAGACAGCAAATGTAATTTGTGGCTAGGCAATGCCGCAGCTGAACTATATAACAACATGCAATATTTTTAGGCCTCAAGTTGCCACAGCAACAGCCAAGCGGACTTGCCAAATCAGTGGGAACTTTCACAATAAGGTAACTGTTCCACAGGATCGTAGTCTTTGGCTGGTGAAAATGTAAGGCATGCAAAGACCGTCCATTTTATTCCTGTGCTGTAAAAAACATCAAAATTCAACATAAATTGTCAAAATGGAGGGAAAAATCTGAACTATGGTCTTCAGCAGGGAAAGAACAATTTTAGTGTGTCATTAAAAGAAGAGCTATAGCTCAAAGTGAAAATGTAGCCCACTCAGACACTTAAATGTTCCTTTAAGGCAGGCTTCCTCAAAGGTTCTCCAGATATTTTGGCCTAAACTCCCATGATCCCTAGCTAGCAGGACCAGTGGTCAGGCACGATGGGAATTGTAGTCTCAAAACATCTGGAGGGCCAAGTTTGAGGAATCCTGCTTTAAGGCTTTTTTTCAAGGAGCCTTCAAAGCGGACTTTAATCCTAGTGGTATCTGCAATGGATTTGAATTGGTTTTATGTATGTTGGAGGGTTTAAGTTGTGTGTGTGTGTATTGGTTTTTAATTGTATTTATATATGCAGATGTTTTAGCTGTTTTTAGTTTTATGTATGTTTCTCTCACTTTGGGATGCCTCATCAGTAGTTATTCTTAAATGAATTATTTGTTATTATTCTATGAAAACTTCCATGTTTCTGATTAACCTTTAATAACACGCAACGTTTATATGAATCTGATGTGTGTCAGATGTAGAATATTGCCTCTGTCACTACTGCTCATTTGCTAACCCCCTCCCTCTTAGCCAAATTCCCACCATTGGTAAAGGCTGCTGTGTCTTTTCTTTGCTCTTATCACTGGTCACACGCTTTGAGAGGGCAGATGAACAGGCAGTGACAGCAAGGAAGAGGAGCAGGAAACGGCAGGAAGCCAAGCATGAGAAAGTACAGCCTGCACTAAAAGCGAATGGGCTTGAAGGAACGCAGCCTAGTAACCTGGGCAAACCGCAGGTAGCTCCTGTGCACATCGTGAAGGCCCTGCACCTGATGCACCCTGGAGGCAGACCCTTCCAGTGGGAGCAATCCAGAAGCCTGTGATTTATGGAGGCAAGTCAGAGGGGAATTTATCTGGTTCAGACCGACTTTATGTCCACTATATGCAATGGGTGCGATGGAGAGGATGACTTACTGCCAGCCCGCAGCCAGTGTGGATCAGCCCAGCTGGTTGAGCAGAATGTACCCTTTGATGAAGACTTTTATCATGGCCTTTAAATCAGCAGAGTAGGCCAAGGGCCATGTCAGAGTGGGCTAGGAACTAGTGTAAAGGTAAAGGGACCCCTGACCGTTAGGTCCAGTCGCGGACGACTCTGGGGTTGCGGCGCTCATCTCGCTTTATTGGCTGAGGGAGCCGGCGTACAGCTTCCGGGTCATGTGGCCAGCATGACTAAGCCGCTTCTGGCAAACCAGAGCAGCGCATGGAAACGCCGTTTACCTTCCTGCCGGAGCAGTACCTATTTATCTACTTGCACTTCGTGCTTTTGAACTGCTAGGTTGGCAGGAGCAGGGACCGAGCAAAGGGAGCTCACCCCGTTGCGGGGATTCGAACTGCCAACCTTCTGATCGGCAAGCCCTAGGCTCTGTGGTTTAGAACTAGTGTAGAAGCAAAAAAAAAAGGGGGGGGAAGGATCCTCTGCAGATGTGTCATGCAAGATGCCAATGAAGCAAAACAGAAGGCCCTGGCAGGGAATCACTTCACTAAAAGACTAGTTTTGTGTAGAAATTTCATGTGATCTTACTGGGAATGTTCCTAGTTGTCTTTTGTTAGCTGTGGAATACATTTCATCCCAGGACACAGGGAACCACAGCTCATCGAGGGAATGGCGTGGGGTGAACACAAGCTTTGGCTGGGGTATGTAACATTCTAATCACACACTTCACATCTGAGTAGATGAACTGTCAGTGGTAAAAGATTTAGTGGGGAAAGTGCTTTTTGCACTGCAAATGAGATTGTTGTTATGCTTGAAGAAGAGAACAGGGTAAATATTCAAACACAAACGGATTAATTTAGCCTGTGTTTTATTTATCCATTTGGGCAATGTATAATCCACTTGTCAGCCAAATGAATCCCAGAGTGGGAATGTGTGGTTTGATAGTGATTGTGGTGGCAGTGGTTGTTTTAGAACTTGATGACTTCCCAGCATCAGGGGGTGGAGGAATAAATATTTTAGGCTTTTAACTTTTGTGTATTTATGGTGGCAGAGAAAATAAGACTCCAGTTAGCAGAATATGTGAATATGGCACACAGGCAAGAGTAGATCTCCATGACCTTATCCACATCAATGCAATTCTAATTGTCTAGAGCACTGGTCTTTAGCCTGGGGGTTGGGACTCAGTAGTGGATTGCAGCCTGATCCACGGTGGGTTGCAACTGGAGCACTACCACCATGCAAGTATGTGGGGATAGCTTAAGAAATGGATCCCTAAGTGCATGCTTGGGTTAAATGTGGTTCCTGGGTCTAGAAAGGTTGAAGATACCTGGTCTATAGCTAAGTAATAGCGTACTGGAGAGATTCAGTCTGGAATGGTAAAAGGTACCATTGTTTTCACATGACAGCCATGTGCCAGGGACTGGAGCAAAATATTGTTAGCATAAATGTGGTAATTTTTTCACCCTAGAGGGGGAAAGCTACTGGTGAAGCTTTATTCTGAAAATTGCTAATTTCTCACAATGTATATATTTAAAATAAAAGGGCAGGCTAACAGAAAGTGTTTTCCAAGATGAACTGTAAGCTTTGTAAAACAGTAATCCCCCCCCCCAAAAAAACTGAGGACTTATTTTTAACGCGCACTTTCAGCTGAAGACCCACTTACTAATTTTTTACCATGTACCTGAATGGTGTTTGAGTTGCTATAGTGACCCACTATAGGTGAGGCCTGGGGTCTAAATTTACTTAGTGAAATAGTGTTATATGTTTGGGCTGCCTTTTAAGAAGATGTATTTTAGCATTTGTGAACCTGTATAAAAATGAGGTTTGGGTTTTCTTGATTGTAGTGTATGAGTGAATAATTTTGCCTAAAGTGTCACTTTTCACATAAACTTGGGACCGTGTTTTTTATTTTTTTTACAAGAAAGAAAAGCTTGTAGGCACTTCTTTGCAATTAGTCAGTTGTGTTTTTAACCAGTTCCTGGTGATATGAAGCAGACGTTTATGGCATCCAATGGGAGCTTAATCATGATTTCCTCATGATGTGGAAATTGCAAGTCTTTTATACAAGGAAGGGAGAAAAAGCATGGTTGTTTCATATGCCATTACTTTAAGACCATTGGTCACTATATAATGTGTGTATGCAGTGCTTTTGTGTGTGTGGTGGCACTCATTTATATCGAGTACCATGACTTTTTTGGAGTCTATTGCAGCCATTTGTGCTGGCACCCACAGCACTTTTATCAAGTTATGAGTACGGGCACCTAATTTATTTTTTGCTAAAGAAGAGCACCATATATATGCACGCACACTTACATACCCCCATAGAGACTGAAATAGGCAGTGATATTTTGCTGTCTGCATATTCTGACAAAGATGATCCAAAGGAGGAGGAATCCAAGATAGGTATACATATAATGCTTTGTAAGGAAACAGAAAATTTTTCCAAACAATTCACTGCTTCAGAAAAATCTGGAAAAAAGTGGTTTTAATATTAAGTTGCCTTTTAGAAGTGACAATCACAATGGAATACTAATATTCTTCCTTGCAATCCCATAGACATCATCAGCCCACTGTCTTCCTAAAATAGGTAAGGTAATAAAAGGTCTGCCTCATCAATGAGATATGACAACAATCCAGGACCTATTTGCTTCATCTGCAGCTCTTGGGGCTAAATATGCCCTATAATGTCAGCAAGAATGGGAATACCATCAATATTCATTTGGCAATCAGACCTGCCCGCTCTACCTCATAAGGAGCTGAAGCTCTTGGAAGTACAGTAGTAGAAATGGTTATATCAAGCATTCTAGTTCACAGTGATATCAAGTTTGGACCTGCCTTCAACACACAAGCCTTGACTGTAATTAAGATGGCATAGAACCAGGATTTACAGGTACCTGTTCATTACAGCAGTGAAATAAACATGGGCAGGGAGGGGAAACATACAAACAGCTATACTAGATATGATTGAAACTAATGGCATTTATAGGAAACATTGGGCATAGTATGCATTGTGAATTGAGTGTCCCACATACCAAATTAATTCTCAAGCTACAAGGTGCACAAAATCCATTTTACACATATTTAAAATAAGAGCAGATTTCTGAGAATATGCATTTGTACTTTGGACATTGTACCATTTGTACTTTTCAATTAAAATTCCCCAGCATTAGGTTATATACCAGTAATATAGGACCTGCAAATCTTGAAGAGGACACCAATTTTAAAAGCAGCAGGAATCACAAGGAGCCTAGAAGTTAGACCAGGATTGTGATTCCTGGCAGAGACAGTCCTAGTTAAGATCAGGGTGGCCTAACATGTGGCCCAAGGGTGGCATGCGGCCCTTGAGGCCTTTTTTTGGCAGCCCTCAGCAACATTTGTGCAGCCTTGCCAAAGCTGGCTAAGCGAGGTGCTGGGCTGTGGGAAGGTGTGAGATCTCTGACAGAGTCCTAGAAGCTTCCTACCGCCTTACCAAAGCCGAGTTAGCACTTTCCCAGCTTTCAAAAGGAAATGGGAGGACTCTAGGACCCTGCCAGAGCCTCGGACCTCCTCTGGCGTGGCTTTTGGAAAGCAGCATGATGAGTGGAGTGAGGCATCAAAATTTGGCTTCACTCCCAGCCCCCACAAGGGCATGACAAGGCAGTGTGCGGCCCACAGGTTCTGTGTCAAAGTACTCCAGCCTACCCTCCGGGTATAGATGGTGCTTGGATCAGCAGGCTAGAAAACAAACTTATTTAGATATCTAGGTGTAAATGAAACCCTCTTGAAATATCATATGGAGGCAGTGAAATTAAAGGCACAAGAAACCATAGGAACATTGATGAAATTCTATTACAATAAGGGAAGGCAGGTTATTGCTACCAAATATCTTTAGGGGAGGTTCAAAGTGTTTACTCAGATGCTCTACGACATTGAAATCTGGAGCTCTGATTTGAACTCCACTAAAGTTTTGGAAACTCTGCAAAATACTTTTCTTCCAGAAGCCATATTCTCTATCCATCAGAAATATCAGCAGTTCTTCATTGTACATAATCTGGGTAGCCAACAATTAAGGCAAGAGTGGACTGTGCTCGCTCAGTTAAAAGTATGCTAAAAGAATGCTACCTTGCCTATTGAGTGTTTTCCTGATCTGTGCTATATGGAACCAGATGATAACCAACTAGAATGCAGCTTGCCAATGTTTTACACTAACATTATTTTCCAGAACTGAGCTTTGCTTTGACTTTGAATAAGTGTCAACCAATGGATTGGCTCTTTTGGATAGAATCCTGAAGGGACCTGCAACTAATTAGAAACACCGCATTTCCCCCTTGGGTATCCACTCTTGAGAACAGAGCATTTTAGAGCTAGTTGTCTGATCAAACTTTCACCAGCTTCCTTAAGAAATGCCATTATTGAGCTGTTTCCAAGTGATGCCCACTGCAGTCTTGGATGGCTGCAACAAGGTCTCGTATGCAGAAAGACTTTGAATTGGTAGTCAACCACATGTAGAAGACATCACTCATTATCTGTTAGCCTGCCCCCTTTATACAAACACCCAAGAGATCGCTTGCTGAAACCTTTGCTTTCACAAGCAAGCAGGTGCAGCCCTGCAAAAATGGTCGTTTCTTTTGAGACTACTTTCGTAACACAGAGAGTGGTCCTGGCTGCCTTGAAGTTGACGGCCATTCATTTCCACTCATTTCTACATGTATAGCTTGCTGAAATGACAGATTTAGTAAAGAAGTAAAAATGGTATATTGGTAGTGTGATACATAAGCACCATCCCAATCCATTCTGCCAATGCAAGCCCATTAGAGATGAAAATTTGGTAGTTTGTTCGCCTTCAGTTCTTCCTCCTTATCCAATGTAGAATTGGCCTTTTAAGTAATGAAACTGAGGTGTTAGCCATAGACATTTTAATGCAAAATGAATATACCTTATAAAAAATGTAATGTGCATAAACAGTTCAAAGCTAGAGATGCCCTTTGAATACCCAGAGACTGATCATTGGTTTATATCAAGAATGAAGCTGAATCTTCTGCTACATAAGAAATGTATGCATTCTTCAAACGTTGTAACTAAATTATCATGAAAAATATCCTGTGAGCCTTAATTCATAATGCAGAGTTCTGTATTTTTATTTTCCAGCAGCCAGAGCACACTGAGATTTCAGCCATTGCTTATACATTTAATAAGTTTTTTTTAAAAAACCAACCTGTCTTCGTGTACATTTTTCAATAGTTACTATAAACTCCAAATAAATTAACCATAAAGAAAAAGGTCCAAAAGTAGCAAATTGCACTCTGTTTCTTAAACAGAAAAATCCCATTATTATTCGGGCAGAACTCCCTTTCCAGTATTGCAAAGGTCTTTGGGTACATGAAATAACACCCCTGTGCAGTAACGGGCATTGTTGCATGAAAATTATATTGGCTTTTTGTGTTTTTCTGCATCTCCCATACCTGCTATTTGAAACTCTTTCCAATACTAAGATCTTAACTTTGATTCTGTGAGAAGGCAGTGGATCTTGTTGAGCTCCACCTACACAACTCAGTGCTTGTGCCACTGTAGCTGAAGCATGGCACTGTTTGGAAATACAAATCTGGCTCAAACACACAGACCCTGTAAGCCCAGAACATTCAGATCTATAGAAAAGGGGAGCAAAACAATAATGGTCTGTGAAATCCTTTTCAGTCCCAAAGGACATAAGCCCCTGAACAATAGAAGGTACCATTCCATCCATTCCTATGACTTTCAGTTCACAAAATTTGTGAACCAAACTACTGGCCATATTACATGAACTGTGAGATCCAGGACTGAAGATGGCACTTTCTGGTCCAAAATACATAGAGGCATTGGCTGTGAGTACAGAAAGGTATGTGCATCTTCCCTAGACTAGAGTTCAAGTATCCACACAGCAATTTCTCAATGTATCTCACAAAATCCATTAAATGTTCTGATGTTATGTCCATTCACAACTACCACACAAAACATTATCATCACAATATTCCTGATTCCTCAGGAATCCTGCATTACCTAATTTATTTCAAATACAAAATAATTACACAAATTCATACTTTCAAGTTTCATACAAAAGCATCTATATTACTTATACACATTTTTAAATTAATGAAACTGGGAATTTAATTGCCTTTTTTAAAAAAACGCAACACTCACAGTAAAATGGACAGATCGCTTGTATTTTTTAAAGTAATACTGTATGACCACTGAAATCTCCTTTACTGGTATTATAGGGGATTTTATGAACTGAAAGGCAAAGAAGGGGTATGGATGCTGGGGGGAGGGGGGAATACTGTATCAGAAAATGAATTCCAGCAGCATTCTTCTATTCTTTCTCTGCCCCTAATATTTTTTTAAAGTTGTGTATAAGTCCTGGATTTTCTACCAAACGTAAAATTTGTGGACTCATTTGCAAATCACACAATGTATCCTTAAAAAAAGAGCAGATCATCAGGTTTATTTGAATACCAAGGTCCTTTTCCTGACATTGTTAAAATAAAGATAAAACGTACAGAGACAGAATCCAGTATAATTAGTTTCCAACAATAAAATCTCCTTGAACACTGTTGCAAAATTCCTTCTACTGAAATGCTTCGCTACAATAATAAAAAGCATACATTACATATAAAAAGATACCAGTGTACTAAAAGTGACAGAAGTGAACTAGCAAATCCTTCAAAGCACATATTATATAAATGACTAGCATTTAAAAACATTTCTTCCTATAAAATGTAGGTCATATACATTTATAAATCGGCGATCTTTCCCCACCAAAGCAATGATAGTTTTCAAATAATTATGTTGCTCTGTACAGTCTAAAAGCATTGTTCAAACTTTTTGACTTGGTTTTGTTTTGCTTGAACTCCGGATAAAGCTCATCTCAGCAGCTGATAAATCCCTATGGCAAAATTATATCAAAATCAACCAGGACTCAGTGTTCAACTGCAATGTGAATTATGAACAAGAACCACTTTTTGTATCACGTGAACCTGATTTATACCAAAACCATACTGGGATTTAAGGATTTAAAATTAAATTTCAAACTTATTCAATTGGTGTGGAAACTGGAGGAGCAAATCCTTATCCTTCCTTCAAAAATAAGGACACTAACTCATCTTGCAGAAGCTCATCTGAGCCATTAGTTTCATCATGAATGTGTGCACAGGTGCAGATCTAAGGCCTGCTCTCCCTGAAACTCAGATTGTGCTATGTAAACAATGTTATATACTACAAACCAAAAAACAGTTGAATTTATTGATTAAAAACAATTAAGAATATCCATTAACTTAATCAAAGCTATTAACTCCCCAAACAGTTTTTGGAACTTTCCTTATGCTACTTGCAAAGTTAGCACTGTTAGGCATTATTGCTTACATACAGTACATCATATGCCTCCTGATATAAAGCAGTACTGTGATCTGTTTATATACAAGGTTCTTTTTTCCTTTTTTTAAAACAAGCTGTAAAAACATTACATACTTTACAGACAATACAAATTCCCACATTTGTACTCAAGTCTAACAAATGGAATGCATAACATTAATAAAACATCATAAAGGAAGACTGACAGTAAGTCCTTGATTGTCAAGACACATTTATATTTTATATATAAACTCTAACTGTGCAGAATCAAAGATTCAATCATAGGTACATCCTTATTTGATAACTCATATTTACAGAACAATATTGCATAAAAAAATAAAATAAACATTTACACTTTTTTGTCTTTTACCTTTCCATTCACTGGGAAAAAGAAAGCAAGAAACTACTTTGAGAAAGGTTTGCTTGCTTCGGTTTGTGTTCGCTACCAGACTATCTCTCTCTTAAATTATTATTGAAACAATGATTTTATACAAGTATAGCAAAAGCAACTAGAAAATTTCCCTGAAACAAAGTTGTTTGGAAATAATGAAAGTTATTTTTTTTAAAACATAATGGTTTTCATTCATTGCAATACTTTCACAGGACATGTTTTTGTTTTTTGTTTTGCAAAAGGAGTACTTAAATGTCCTACATATACCTAACAAACATGCACTTAACATAAAAAGAAATCATCTCCAAAAGTCACAAGGCTTCCGTTGAGCAGAATTTAAGAAAACATAAAAATAGTTTGTTTTATTATTAATAATAACTGGAAAACTTACATTTGAATTTTTACCAACCAAAATACCCAGATCACTAACACATTTCTGCCTTCTAAAGCTTTGAACTATACTCTAATAGCTACTCCCCTGCAACTTGCGAAAGAGTCCAATGTCAACCCAACAAAATTTTAGGTTGCAATTTTACAAATACAAAGCAAGTTAATACTGAAATACTCAAACAGGCTGATCCTGGATCCATTTTAGATCCTTTTCAAATATTTACGAAATATGATACACACATCATAAAAATTAATCTAAAGAAACATGGAATATGCTGTATGTATCCAAGTGGAAATTTTTCAGGAAACAAGCCAGAAACTTGGAAATGAAATCAAACAGCTATACTAAAAATTCAGTAATTCACTAGTGACTTGAAAACCCATGTTTAAAATCACAAAATAAATAAGCAAATAAAAGCAGGCATATGACATTACAATGTATTTCATTCATTTTGACAACTGTGGTTTAGTTTGCAGTATTTGTACATAGGTTCTGCAATATGCTTGGTTAAAGTTATAGTCATACTTTCATAAGACCTTGACTACACGACTTTACACCACTGAAGAAAAACAAGGAGAAATTATATTGTGTAGGGATTAGCATCCTCATTAATAATAATAAAACGTTCAAGCTTTCACTGTACTTTCTCTGAACTGCTCCTTCTCTCAAAAACCTTTCCACCTACAATAGCTGGGAGTCTGTAATAATTCTCTTAAACTAATTTCAGAAAAGGCATGAAGAGGCGATCCATATAAATGAAAAACAAATCCTTCTAAACTTTTCTTCAGAAATAGAGTACACTGCAGTACATGATGCGGTTTCTCTTCTGATAAATGGATAGATCATCTTTGATCAATTGTTTACTCTGAATAACTAAGACAAAGAGAAGGAAAAGGAGCTACTTCAGCTTTAAGCCCAAAAGTCAGTTCCTTCATTAACTTGCTTTATATTCAAAGTAAAAGGAACAGGAAATTAGTGTTAAAAGGGACACTCAGGCCCAGCAGTCACCCAAAAGACGAGCCATTAAAAATTGAGAAAATTAAGCAGCACGTTTGCACTGAAGTCTAGTTTCAAAGAGTTTAAGTTAACTGAATCCAAACATAACATTGAGCTTAACAGGACTGTAGAGCCATAGCAGAGATTTCCTAAATATACTTTAAAAAGCTTATTAAGAAAGTATTTCTATTAACACTGTCTCCTAGCATGTATATAATAGGTTTGTATTATAATTGACGAGGCTTGAGATATATCTGTGTCATTTTTTCTTCTTCTAAAAAGCAACTTAGGAACAGGTTTTTACATGATTCCCGTGGGCACCCTCAAGAGCCACAGGTGGAGGTTCTGCTCATTATATTCCATCGCTTTGCCAATGCTTCTCCTCAACTACAGCCTCTCATGTTCCCAGCAAGTCCCTCTAAAAATGTTGGAATGCTATAAAACAGCACTCCCTCAATACAGTGCAAAGAGCAGCCACCAGAAGGGTAAATATGGAACTGCTTGGCCATGCACATTTGGATCCTAGCCATAGTTCCTTCCATTCCTCTCTGCTCACTTTTTCATAATGGACACTTTCAGAGAAGCATCCCCTTGTCTTCTCACTGTAGGGATTATATTCAACTTGCACCCCTCCACTCACAGATGGTTCTTTGATGAAGTCGGTGCTTCAATGAATGAAGAAAGGGAAGGTCGTTTCACTTATTTCATCTGAGTCCCCTCTGCCCCCCACTAATCTCCTCCAGAGGGTTGGGATCCTTTTGGAACAGCTTGGGAGGAGGACGCGAGGGTTGTGAGAGAAAGGGGAGTTTGCAAAAAATTGCCTTCCTCGCCCTTCCATTCACGGAAAGCTCTCCTGGAACAAAGAAACTCCCATGAGTGGGACACAAGATACAACCCATAGCCTTTACACCCTGGCCTTATTGTCTTGCCATATCTACATACACACACAGACTCTTAGCCATTCTCTCTAGATACTAAATGTGTACAACTCTCACTTGCCAGTCCTGTTTACTTCTCTGAATCACAACTGAATGTTAATTGTACAAATAGTGGTGCACTCAAACACTGGGCCACAAATGCTTAATTAAATTAAAATATGTTATGTACTAGCTGTGCTGGTGTGGGTCAGGAGACAAACTAAAAAGACCTAAAAAGTTCCATTATTTAGAAGTTTTCATGTGTGCTTATTTTGACTTAGTACCACGGTTGCATTTACTTACTGTACTATGAAATAAATCCTTGGACAACTTATGCGGAGTAATGGGATATAACAACACCGTCCTGTAAAATTAACCTGTTTGTGACCTATAGGAATAAACAAGGCATTTCATAACATATGCGTCTTGGCTTCTGCAGTAGCTGCCTATGACTTTCACGTAGATTCTAAAATGGGTCCGAAATTGCACAGGTAAAACAAAGGAGAACTGTGGCAATAAAAATTAGGAGTACCGTTTGAATTAAAACAAGGTTTTTCTCTGGGAATTGAAATTTTGCTTTCCTTAAATTTTTTGAATGAAGGAGGTATTGTTAGGGCTATATTTGAGAGGTGGTGAGCAGGCCTGAAGCTGTAAAATAATACATGCACCCATCTCCCCTGCCTAAATGTTGAGCATGGTGTTTTTTTTGGGGGGGGGGATGTATCTGCATTCCTGTCGCTCAGCCTTTAGGTAAAACACTGCCCGCAATATCACCTTAAAGCAGCCCATATAATGAATGTACAATATAATGAAAATAAAAGCTTTAGTTTTAAAAATGATTATTATCCTGACATTTATGTTAAGTCGAAGCACAGTATACAGAACTAATCATTGCACCACACAGTATAACTCAAGACAGTCTACTATTAAAACAACCACATGGGATAGGGATAAAGTTTGCAGTTAATTTATTTGTGAAATGCAGCAAAAGTTTGACCATTTATCTTTTGGTCACTGTTCTCAGTCACCAGCTCTAGTTAGTAAAACTGCAATGAAACTGTTCATTAAGATAACTCTTCTGTTGTTATGTAAGGTGATAATGATGCAGCCACATCAAACCTAAAGGTCTAAAATAGTTTTATTTTTGAGAAAGAAAGAAAAATGGAAAAGAATCTAAGTGCTCTAACGTTAATTATTGCAGATTTGTAGGCTGAAGTACAATTTAAACTCTTAAAACCTGGAGTTCACCATTCATATAAACATTATGGAAATGGGAATGTCATCTACAAAGCATTTTAGTTCAATCCTAACCATCTTGATACCTGTCATTTGGAGATAAAAACATAAAGAGTCATGTTTACCTTCAAAGGTACAAAGAAATATGCAATACTTCAGGAATGAAGTAAATGCATTAATAGTAAGTATTTTCCTTTTAAAGTACTTTTAATTGAATCAAACATTTAAATAGGGGAGTGCATCTAGAAAACATAATTACCTTTCTCTAAGTGTTGTAAAAGGAAATTCAAAGAAACCAAGAAGGAATATTATGTGTATTACTTTTTAAGAGTTGATAAAATGGATTTCCCCCCAGAATGCACTATAGTTGTCTAGCCATCATCTCCTGACATTAAAACTTTTAAGTTCATATTATCTGTACAGTCTATATTCATGTTCCCTGCTGAAGTGCAATGGCTTGACTAACTAACCAGGAAATTCCAAAATGAATAATCTCATAATTATCATTCTCCCCAAAATAATCAATGTTACCAAACTAAGAAATTATTACAGGAGAGACATCTTATCTGGGTTTTTTGGTTTCTTTTGTCTTGTATAAAATCTCAGCATAGCAAGCTCCTGATCTCCAGCAAGCAAATAACCATCTGCCTTTTCAGTGGACACCCACATATAAGGCAATTCAAAAAGAATGGTGACTAACCACACACACAAAAAGCAGTTGCCAATACTCTGTACCGGCTTACTTTTCTGTTGTAACCCAAGGCCTTAAATTTGTATAGGACTGACTCCATCTTATACAGAAGATGCTCGCTCTTGACAGACCCATGCTAAAGTGCCCGTGTTATTTCTACAGATTTTCTTAGCCAAATGTCTGGCCTGTTGTGGCATCAGGTGAAGAGTTCATCCCAGCTCGAGCATCATTTACATTCACCAAAGGGAATTCTGGGAATTCGGCGCTTGTCCCTGGTCCCCGCAGGTTCACCTGCCCATTAGCAGTGTTAAACTGAGATGATATTCCAGCTCTTGTTCCATGGTACTGAGCCCTGAACGGTTGCTCAAAGGAACTTATTTGATATGCTTGGTGGACAGGCTGTGCTTCTGCCTTCTTCTGAGAAGTAACTTGATCCAGAAAGTCCTGGGTAGAGGATGAGGAAGAATGATTTGGCTCGTCACCTGAAAAGGGAAAAGAGTGCTGGGAATCGCCAACGATAAGTCCAAAGTGAGACTTGTCTGGAGTTGTTCTTAATGGAGAATTCATTCCTGATCGAAAACTGTTGACCGGTATAGATGCATAGACCTGCTTGTCTATAGAAGAGAACGCTGGTTGCCCTGCAAGAGTCTGGTTGTCACTCACAAAATTAAGGCTTGGGTTGTTCAAATAGGCATCATTTTGGCTAGTTCTATCCAAAGCTTGCTGAAGAAACTTGGAATATTCCTGTAACATACTGGCTTTATCGGATGAGGAACCTTGAGAGCTTGTTGCAACATTCTCAGTTTGTGTGACTTCTGACACCTCGGAAGAATTGATTGATATACTAGAGGTCACTTCCGTATCAGCCACATTAAAAGCTATTTCATGCTGGCCATTAGCTTTATGGGAATAATGGTCTAAGAGAGTCTGAAGTACCTCATCTGGAATGACATTTTTGTCATGGTTGCCTTTAATCTCCACATTCAGCCCCGATGTATCCAGTATTGAGGCTGTGCTACCTTCATCTATGACACTGGCCACAGCAGCCTGTGTGACTGAAGGCTGAGAGGCAATGGTGCCTACATTCATGGCATATTCTCTGCTATTACTATTAGCTGCTTGGAGATACCGCCTCTTCTTTAAAAACTGCATTGCATCATCATAGTTTGTGCTGCTGTGTACAGGTTTACTGGGGCCTTCCTGCAAAGTATCAACTTGGTCAATGTCAGCATTGCCTTCAGAGTCCAACAGGCCTTGTTTATCCACAAGATCAAAGGGATACTTAGAAACCTTGCTGTCTTCGTAAGACGCTAAAGATGAAATGGTCTGACTTTGCTCTAGTGGCTGTTTTAGGCTCCTCTTACTGTTAACTTTTTTGAGCACCAGTTTAGGTGGGTGTATTTCTCCAGAATTTGCTTCCTGTAGGTGCCCTCCACTGACGGAAGAATGTGGTAACTCCACTGCATATTCAGCCACCATATACTCATCCTTGATCTTAGCGCTGCCAGCATACAAAGGCAAAAAATCATTCTTATCTTTCTTATGCTCAGATTTATCTGCCCCGCTTTCTTTATCTAGCCCAGAAGACTTCAATTTCTCCGTTTTTTGCCTTTTCTTCTTTGGCAAAGAGCTGTCCTTCAAAGGCATTGGGAAGCCTTGATCATCATCAGGAGTCAAAAGGCCAATTTTGGTGGCACTTCTGTTGGGTTTCTTGTCACGGTTTTCATGGCACATACGTTTGTGTTTCAACACCCGGTCAGTCCTTGAGAAGAACTGCAGAGGACATTTTTGGTTAGAGAAAAGCCATGCAGCCTTTTGGTCAATTCACATTTTTTCACATGATAAAGTCCTTCTAAGTCAGGGTGGGGGACATTTTTCAGCCTGAGGGTCCTATTCTCTCATGGAGAATGCTCTGGGGTGGCATGGGCAAGGCCAGAGGCAAACAAGGGGGCACATCAATGGATGTGATTCTTAGCTTTCTATAGTAGACCACATTCCAGCCACACAAAAACTGGAAGTTTCCACACCTACCCACCCCACCATCCACGCAAGCAAGCAAGAGGCAATATCATAGTTCAGGGGCAAATTTCAGTCAGGCAAAAGCTCAAATATGGCTGATGTGGGGAGATGGTTGGTGAAGTAAGAGTCCTGAGGGAGAACTAGAGAGGCCTGAAGGGGACAAATTTGGACCCAGAGCTTGAGGTTCCCCAACCCTGTCATAAGTGATTTTGGGAATTAAAAAATGGTCACATGTCACAAAGTGAGAACGTTACCATGTCAGAAGATGTGAGAGTCAATATTAATATTCAAACAAACCCAACCCTTTGTTCTTGATCTATAGGAGCCTACTGCAGTACATAAGGGCCCCTCCTGCTACTTCACATACCTGCAACTGTGGGAAAGGTAAGACAAAAGGACAGAAACCTAAATGACCCCTCCAATTAGCATTAATTTGTTTCAAAGTATCTGTCCTTATTAATTCTGCATATTTTAGATAACTAAAAACTTAAGTTTCTCAATGGGTAAATGTTCTTTTCATACCGGAGAGCCATAATTTCTTTCATATATATCTATAAAATCAAGTTTTTTAAAAACTGCTTTTAATTAAATCCACAATGAAACGTATGGTATTTAGAAGACAATCCAAAGTGCCATCTTACCTCAAAGTTTTGAAACTTGGAATCACAATTGTCACGATATTGTAAAAACAGATTCCCTTAAACACCCTTCTTTCTCCTTCTCAAATTACCTGCAAGCAGTATTCACACTGATAAGGCTTCTCTCCACTGTGAGTTCTCTTGTGCCTTTCCATGTGATATTTCTGTATAAATCTCATGCCACATTCATCACATCGAAATGGTTTCTCACCTAAGAATAAAAATGAAAAGAGGAAGTACTGTTTAAGAAAAAAAGGAGAAGACAGATAGTCTCATACCTCTCCCCACCATGCTATTATTTAGATTTACTTAACAAAAAACTTACAAAGCATTGCTTTGATCAGCTGGATGTAAACAAAATATAGGTCTGACCACACACCAATATTTTTTCATATGGCTCATCACTCCAAACATGTTAAAAGAGTCACACAAATATTGAGTAGAGGTGGAAGAGAATCAAATAAAAAATAAACTAGCCCATCAAAAAAGAATGTCCCAACATTCATAACAATCAGAGCTAGAGGAAAACAAATAAAACAATAAATTTCCATTTTCATTCCAGTATTTTATTCATTATTATTTATTGTATTTTTATCTCACCGTTTCCCCAAGGAGCTGATGTACATGGTTCTCTCACTCCTCATTTAATCAACAATCCTGCGAAGTAGGTTAATCTGAGAGGCAGTGAGGGGCCCAAGGTCACCCAGTGAGCTTTATGGTCAAGTGGGGATTTGATCCTTGGTCACCCAGGTTCTAGTCTAACACTGTAACACACTAGCCCCAATAAGTTGCCAGTATGTACTAGTAAAGTGAAAAAGTCTGCATGTAAAAGCTCCTCGTATTGACAAAAAGGTTGTGTTTATGAAGAGAATTACAGTGGTGCCTCGCAAGACGAAATTAATTCGTTCCGCAAGTCTCTTCGTCTTGCGAGTTTTTCGTCTTGCGATGCACGGTTTCCCATAGGAATGCATTGAAAATCAATTAATGCGTTCCTAGGGAAACCGCCTTCAGACCAGGTCCGGGACAGTCTGTCCCCGGACCTCTTCTGAAGGCTGGGGGGCAAGGGCTTTTCTTCCCACCCCCAGCATTTTAAAACCCGGGACAGCGGAGGACTTCTCCGCTGTCCGGGCGATCTTAAATGCTGGCGGGCGGCATTTAAAATCACCCGGGACAGCGGAGGACTTCTCCGCTGTCCGGGGCAATTTAAAGCCCCTGGGAAGGCAGGCAGGGGGACAAAGACTTTGCCCCCGCCAGCCTTCAGAAGAGGTCCTGGACCTCTTCTGAAGGCGGGCGGGGGCGAAGTCTTTGCTCCCCGCCTTCAAAAGCCCTCCGGGACAGGCAGGCAGGGGAGCAAGGACTTTCGCCCCCGCCCGCCTTCAGAAGGTCTTCCCTCCCCCCGCCCGGCTCGGAGCACCGTTCCGGCCGGGCGGCGGCGGAGGTCTCCCTCCCCCGCCCGGCCGGAGCACCGTTCCGAGCCGGGCGGCGGGGAGGTCTTCCTCCCCACCGCCCGGCTCGGAGCACCGTCCGGGCCGGGCGGCGGGGAGGTCTTCCTCCCCACCGCCCGGCTCGGAGCACCGTTCGAGGCCGGGCGGCGGGGAGGTCTTCCCTCCCCCGCCCGGCCGGAGCACCGCTCCGGGCCGGGCGGCGGCGGCAGGTGTTCCCTCCCCCGCCCGGCCGGAGGAGCCTTCCGAGCCCGGCGGCGGCGGGAGGAGGTGTCCCCGCCCCGCCGCCAGGCTTCGGAGGAGGTCCGAGGACAGTGGGGAAGACGCGCTGCGCTTCCCCGCTGTCCCTGAGATTTCCTATGGGCTGTCGTCTTGCGAAGCAAGCCCATAGGGAAATTCGTTTTGCGAAGCGCCTCCAAAACGGAAAACCCTTTCGTCTAGCGGGTTTTCCGTCTTGCGAGGCGTTCGTCTTGCGGGGTACCACTGTAATTTTCTATGCCCTTGTGATTAACTTGTCTCATTTTTTTCAGACCAGCCACAAGCATGTTCACATAAAGTGCTATTATTTAATATCACATTTTTAAGCATCCTTGTAACAAGATAAAATAACTAAAACTGGAAGAGCTAGTTGCTGACTTATAGCAATAAATATCCTGATCCTTTATTTAGTTAGCTGAAGGTGTATAACAGAATCATAGAATGGTAGAGTTGGAAGGGACCACAAGGGTCATGTAGTCAAAGCCCCTGGGATGCAGGAATCTTTTGCCCAACGTGGTCTCAAACCCATGACCCTGAGATTAAGAGTCTTATGCTCTACCGAATGAGGTATCTGCTGGTTCCTTAGCCCTTCCCAGGGATAAAAGTATCATCTGGCTAGTGCACTGACAGATTTATACACAGTATACCATGGATCTCCCTGAACCTGCTTTCTACTCCTGGGGGAAAAGCAAATGGGAATCTTATGCACAGGTGAACCAGGTAAAAAGTTTGTACTGTGTAAAGAAATAAGGAATGGTCAAAGAATAAAAGACACAACAGAGGTGAAGCAACTCTAAAAAGATACAGTATAAGCCAAAAGACAGACCTCATGTATTACTTTGTATTTGATTACTTTGTATTGAATTGCTTCGTATTCAAGGCAGCGATGAACTAGAGAATATTAAGGCTCCTCGCTTTTACAAAGACTAAAAAAAGACTGAAAAGCTAAAAATAGCTAATTAAAATTCAGAGTTGAATCATTCTGACAAAATATTTATTTATAAAAGCAATGATTTTTTATAAAGACTCAGACTATTTGTTATTTAATATCATAGATGGTTCCATAATTTTGTTTCAAAGACAAGTAGCGCTTAATATCTGTTTTCCATGTTAATAAATAAAACAATATCATTTTTTATAATTTCCTTGCCCTTTATCTATTTTTTTTCCTTTTACACAAAATTGCTGTATTATCTTAGCTCATTGTATTAGTTTAATCCACTACACAGTTATGTTAAGATTCTTTGTATTGAAGCCAATTTGTCTCATTGACTTAATGACTAAGCTGACTTAAAGCCAAGCATTTCAGTTCCCTAGGGGATACAATTTTCTGTTGGAAAGTAAAAAAATAATGTTGTATCTTGTCCACCCTAGCCTCAGACTGAGTCTTTGCCCTGTCTTTCTTATCTCCTATACCGTATATACTTGGAGTCACAACATTATATATTTCATGTTATCAAACCTAACTGGCAAGCAGTACCACCCCACACAGTTATAAAAAGATACACAGATCCAACTTACATATTAAATATATATATATATTAAAGTATGAAACATTAAACTGACAATTACTTTAGATGAAGTAGGTGTAGCCAAATGACACATAAGAAACATACTACCAAACTCATAGGCTCAGTTCAGACTAAAAATTAAACCATGGTTTGTTTAGCTTAACTCTGGTTTGTCTGTGCATGGTTTCTTTAAGGTCAAGAAACTAGGATTGGTAATGTGGGTTTTTTGTAATAGCTGAACTCAGTGTTTTGGTTTCCCGTGTAACTCCATTCTTGCTGCCTGACTACAGAGTCAAGAGGGAAGAATTGCTCAAAAAAGAAATAGCTCACATAGCTAAGAGACTCTTGCCACCACTTTAACAGACCTCTGTTTGGCTACAGGCTCCTTTGCTTGCCTACTAACCAAACAAGCTAGCCATCACAGCTCGGCTGCCTAACTGCAACAGCCCTGCAAGGGTGGCAGGTACACCAGTGCCACAGGTACCACACCCCAACAATCTTAATGAAATGTATGCAGAGCAGATAACCAAGCCACTCTCCAGTCAATTCACATACATTCAGTGCATGCCTGTGGAACTAAGTATACAGAAGGCATTCTAGAAATATTATCCAATTTTTAAAGTGAAGTATGCAAAATTATTCTCAGAAAATGGCATATAGTGAAATATTTTCCAAAAACAGCTTTCTTTTCACAAACTTTTCCATGGCTAAAACTGCATTGCTTCATAAAATTAGTAATATAATGAATAGATGTAATACCAGTCAAACTGGCAAGTTTATATTCTATTAATAATTGTGTAGTATAGTAAAGAAAGGTTTCGTAGATTGTATATTAAAACAGTAATATTACTTTCAATATCTGATTTATTTCATTCCTGCCCATTTATTTTTTGCATTGTTTCTTAATGTATTATGGGTTGTACTTAAATAAGCCATGTTGTTTGTATATGGATTTCCACTTGTGCAACAGAACCTCTCCTCCCACTCCTTCTCCCGTGCCCCCCCTTATTTGTTTTGGGGTTCAATAAGCACAAAATACACAGACGTCAATTGTGAAACAGGGTTATATTTTTAAAAAATATATATTTATTAGTCACTTTTTCAAAAATGAACTCAACCTGACTTACAAAAATTTAAAACAGATATAAAAACAAAGAGTAAAAACAACCTAAAATTCAAGAAAATGCATTTCTTTCTCTATGCAGAACATACCCAACAGCACATCATTTAAATAACTGAATGCAACAATACTGAAAGGCAGCAGCAGCAAGACGCCCGGGTGTACAGAAAAACACATGGCTTGAAAGAAACAGAAGTATAAGCAAAAGTGCAAATCCAAATACTAGTAAGGCTAGTTTGATGATAAGCACGGATACAAACATTCCAAGACAACCGGGGTATTTGTGCAATTTTCTGTCATGTTTTGTTTTCTCAAGGTTTACATGCATACACATAAAGTACTAGACATCAGCACCAGCAGTTTGAACAGATATGAAACCTTTCACCAAGCAATACTCAGCATATTTGCAAGCTCCACTTTTCTGAAATATAGACTGAAAATTGGCATCTAGTCCAAAAAAGACTATATTTCTAAATATTTGCAGAGATAATGAAAGGCCATGCACCAAAATGCCAAAAACCCAGTAAAGCCAAGTCTTTTTACAGAATGTGGTTTTCCGGAAGTAAAATTTTAAAACAAACCAATATAAACTTAACTATCCTGCTTTAACTTTGGGTCTCATTTTTTCTATTTGTCTTTTGCTAAAATGCTTACTCTTGTATAATTTTCTGTATGCTTTTTTTTGTTTTTTAACAGGTTTCAGATACCTATGGGGTCAGGCATTTTGGCCATAATTGTGTTCGAAGTATTCCTATTTACCACTTACCCAATAAAAATATTTTTTCTCTCAAGGTTTGCTCACATCAGCTGTCAGTAACTTCTTGGGGGCAAGGGAGGAAAAAGGCAAGGCTAAAGCAAACACCTAAATTCTTTTCTAGAGTTTCTTGAACGGCATGTTAAAACAGAAGCTGCATAATCACCCAATACTTGGCCATGTTTCAGAAACAGGTCTTTAAACACACCAGTAAAAAGAAACTCAAGGCACTATACTCACCAGTATGAATCTTCTCATGTCTCTGTAGCAGGTACTTCTGAATGAAACGCATCTCGCACTGACTGCACTGAAATGGTTTTTCACCTTAAACAATATAATTCCACATCTGTAAGTTAAAAGCTACAAACATTTGTTTCTAACAGATTCTGCTGAGAAATAAAATAGCTGGCTACTGGAATCCAGCATATGAATGAATTCCAAAATATTTTAGTATAAAAAAGTCTGTCTAAACTACCTGGGCTAAAAAGAAAAAGGCTATTAATTCGGCGAACCTGCTGCTAACAGAGGAGTGCAGCTCATGAGCAAAATCAGGCAGGATGCTGTCATCTAAGGTACTGTAAAACTCTTTCATCTATTCCAACTAGAGTTCCATCACTGGTAAAATAAGAACCCAGAGACTATGCTATGAACAAGACAAAACTGGAAACTGGGTGACTTACCAACCCATCCTTGTACAGAAAGCAAAGCAACACAGTAAATCTCAAATTAACAGAAATGACACTAATTCTTTTCTGGTATTTTTTGACACTTTGGTGCATGGAATACCTAAGCTTAGATGCCACATTTCCTGCACTTTGGAATATAAAGTTTGCATCATTTTTCATAATTCAGTGCATTATTAAAGATCCAACCATTTTTAGATAATATAAAATACAACTTAAATTCAAGCAGTACCTGTATGAATGAAGACATGCCTTTGTAAATGGTAGTTGGTTCTAAAGGCAGCATGACAATGCTCACAAATGTGAGATTTGGTAGTTTTCAGACCAAGTGATCCATCCTCATTTATTGTAAGGATCTATTTTTAAAAGGGCAAAATTCAGTCTCACATTAATTTCTCAACAATATTACAAGATTCATATGAATACATAATGGAGGCAAAACCACAATGTAAAATGGGAAGACTGTAGACATAGATACCAACTGACTATCTTTTAGTTGACCTAATTGAACCTTAGCTTTTCAAGATTTGTGATATATAATACACATAATACATCCAAAGAAGTGCTAGAACAGGCTTCCTCAACCTCGGCCCTGTGAATGTTTTTGGCCTACAACTCCCATGATCCCTAGCTAGCAGGACCAGTGGTCAAGTCTCAAAACATCTGGAGGGCTGAAGTTGAGGAAGCCTGTGCTAGAAATTTATTCTCAGTAGAGCAAGTCAGAATATTTTTGATCATGTTTGGTTGTCACTCAAAATACGGTTAGCTGTGACATGAGCAAGCCTATCCTCCCAGGTTTGCCTGTGTCCCCATCTTTCTCTAACATGGCAGACAAGAGGGGTTTATTTCTGCTCTTAGTTAACTGCACCTTCCTGTGTCATCAGACCACAAATTGTGGTTTCACACTAAATATGGCAGATTTCAGAACTAGCCGATTTCAAACCATAGATAATGAAGTTGGCTTGTCCCAAAACTAACCATTATTTCAGTTATGTTAAAACCACATATTCCAATTCAGACAACGTAGGAAGCTGCAGTTAACGAAAAGCTGAAGTAGAAGTTTCTACATTTAGCTATTCAACAGGAGAAGAGGAGAGGGGAGGGAGCATGCAAGCCTGAGAGTGGATGACATTTGCTCCCATCATACTAAACCATTGGTGTACAAACAGGACCACTATCTTCTCAAATGGTAGCACTATAAATCAGTCTTTAATCTACTCAGTTGGGCAAGAACAGAAAGCTATAAAATTTAGAGGCACTCATGTTATATCCATTTTATTTCTCAAGACATGGAGTACATCCAGCAACTGCAATTTTTTATTATTATTTTTTTACAAGCATACTGGTGACAGGACTTGTAGCTTGGTAATTTTACTTACATGCATTAATGAAATGATAATTGTGTACTTTATCTCTTCCATCTCAGCAGAAAGTTAAGGATAACCTTAATATTTTTCAGTCTTAATAACCCATTACAACAGCCCTGTTTGCATGTCATGCTAAGTCAAAACCATGGCTCAACAATAACAGAAAATCTTACGTCACTCCTCCCTGGTCATTTTTTTACTGTATCACACTGAGCTAAACTATAGTTTATCTTAGTGTGCAGTCCAAATCCAGGGGTGTGGCTCAGGTCTCTGCAGACTAACTATGAGCTGTAGCCAAGGCTTGTTCTATAGGTTATAGTTCAGTATTTGTCTGGGAGAAGTAAACCATGAGCCCAGCTTTAGACAACATGCTAAGCCCACCTATGGCTTCGGTCTGGGTGGCACAGCAGCAAAATGATCAGGGAGAAGCAAAGCAGATACAATCTCCTCTCCTGGAGCCCACAGGCTCGCACATTTGTGCTAAGCTAAACACTGTGACATGAACAAAGCCAACACATGACACTGTTAAAGCATGTTTCAGTAGTATGTTGTGACTTTTAATAAATCTGTTCTGTACAATTATGCATCTAAAATTCTAAAGATAAACAATTCGTAGCTACTTTAAATGCTCCCATGGGCTTTTTTACCCACCCCATGGCTATATCACAAGCTGCTTTTGTTCCCTCCATTTTAACAGCACAGAGAACTGCTGTTCAAGAAGCACAAGCCTAAAGCCCCTTTGGGTACATTAAATTGGTGCAGTTCTTCAGAGTTTGTTCTAAGTGAGTGTAATCCTTTTAAAGGTGCCCCTGCAAATGATTCTTTGCATGGAAGAAAGCCCATCTTTCTTCAGGTATTCCTGATCAATAGGATTCAGAAACAGCAGCAGAAAACACTTGTTTTGATAGATCCTGTTGGTTCTACGGTATTTGGGTGCCTTATACAATTGGCATTCACCAGCATGCGCCTTGCGGTGGGGGGGAAACACAGTTGCTAAACGAGTTATAGTAGGTTGGTTTGACTTTCTTTTCACAAAAAAGAAAATACACCATTAATTATACTTGCTTCCAAAAGAAATATTGCCTTTCTTGATATACAGCTATGAACTTGACTTATACCTAGTACTGCACATTCAAACACTTAAGATTGGGCCCTTTTAATACTTCATTTCCTCAGGGGAGTGTATATAATGTTCATGCTCTAGGTAGTTATAGTCTTCAAAGTCAATACTAGAAAATGACCCTCCAGTACCCAACCTGCTCTCAATGTACCCAACCTGCTCTCAATCTCTCTGGTCAATTTGTGATCTCTTACTATACAATATTAGGAAGATTTGAAGAACAACCTCTACAACGAAATAAAGGAAAAAGGGGGTTCTCAAACTATGACTGAGACAAGTACATGAAAATAGCTTCCAATCAGTTTTCACTAAACTTCAGGAATTGCAAATGAAAACAAGAATAATACTGCAGTGGGCAAGTACTCAGTTTGAATTTGCAAGTGTCAATTGTAGAGCAGGAAGCTGAATAAAAATATATTCAAATGCTTCATATTTTATGCTTCAAAATTCATGCATAGCATTTTTGCTGCACTTCCTGAGAGGAAATTCAAGATGTGCAACTCTGAAAACTGAATTTTAGATTAAAATGGCTCATTTGAAATTAGAAGCCTGTGAATGGAAGGCATTCATTTAATTTCAGGTGCATGCAGTAATCAATTTCAACACTTGTGCACCTGTCTGATTAAAAACAAAGTTGTTAGAAAAACACTATGATATTTAAATAAGCCCAATATTATTATTAATCTAAACAGTCTCCGTAATTGATAAGTGGTCCTTAAAACCACACACTCATCAAAAGATAATATTTAGAGAAGGAGATGCCTGGGAAACAGATGTTAAAGTATGTCAAATATTCATGCTGTGAAAAGAATTTCAAAGAAACAAGCTATGAATATATTGTGGCTTGGCTTTGAGATTAAAGTAGGTGGTTGAATCTATGGTTTCCAAATACTATCATTTCCAATTGCAAATTCAAGGAAAATCTCCAGTTGCCTTCAAGGTTCAAATTAAATGTCTTACCTTTGCTGGTGAACGCTGTTTCCTTTTCTTCTTCTTTTGCATATCTAAACCCTCTCGTATTAGCTTTTTGTCCCTTTTCTGCTGCTCTGCTACATCAGTAAATGTAATTTCTTGTTTCACGCTGATCTGCTAGGATATGAAGTGCCAGCATCAGATAATATTAATTACATATGACACATATAAGACACATTTTAACAAATTCTTTCAAAAATAGTAATACATCTGGGATTACTTTATACCCTTCGTACTGTTTTGGGGAAGAGGGGGAGAGGCTATTTTTAAAAGTCCTATTTGTGGCGAGTATTCCAATATGGTACTCCTTTCATACCTTCAAGCACAGAAGCTTGGATTACATGCCACATATAATTTAACATTTAACGAAGAAATTTCACCTGACAAAAAAAAACCTTTATCATTTAAGATATGGTTATGTTGGCATTTGAACCACAGTTTCACTGTTCTAAGCCAAACCCTCATTTTTGCCAAAGAGCTACTATGATAATTTCAACCCTTCTTTTAAATTCTGGTCTCCTCCTGCTGTGAATCAAACATTCATTTCTGCCAGTAGAACAGAAAGCCACCATGATAATATCAAACCTATTTGAAGGGGCCATCCTTCAAAGGGGCACGTGGATGAGGAATCAGGAACCTTTCCCTACCCCAAAGCTTACTTCCCTGCTTCCCTTCAAACAGTTTTCCCCCAGGCAAGATCACAGGCTCAGCTAGAAACAAAAGCTCTTGGAGCAGGACAGTGTACCACAAGTATCCTGCATATGCTGTGAAAGTCAGACACCCACCTAACCCCCTTGTTTTTTGTTACTAGAGCTGTTCCATGTTCAAACACACACAGCTTCTGTCACCTCAGTTTTCTCCCCTAAGGTTGCGAACTGTACTTTCAGCAACAAGATTCTGTTATAGAATCAGACCAAAAAACCAAACACCTGATGCAAACCAAGTTGCTGATTGACTTTCAATGCTTGAAAGTCTTCCACTACAGTGAAAATTTATTATTTCATTCTGTTAACCGTTTGAAAGCATCTCATTCTTTTCTAAAGTTCCCGTTACTTTCTTACAACAAAGCACTATCAATGTAAAACCGTATTTTAACTCAGCGGCAATCTAAGAAGCTATTCCTCACAAATGCAGAATTAACTGTGTAAACTCCATTGCTTTTCAATCCACATCATTAAATACCAATACTAAGCTGTGTTAGAAGTGCAGGAACCACAACCACACACTACTTCTTTGAATATAACAGAAGCATTTTCAAGTCCTTATCTCCTGTGCAGGAAGAATGCAGACACTTAAAGTCAAATGAGCACCGTCTATGTAAGACATATATTTAAAAAGTGTATAAAATGTGTATTAAAACATGAGAACGTGTTCCTAAATAAACAGTGGTTGATTCACAGCATCAAAGATTCCCAAGATTTTTAGAAAGCTTAAGATTGTTATCCAAAAGCAGTCCTTCTTTGCGCATAACCCCCATGCTGATTGCAAATACATCTATTATGACTATACTGTTTTTTACAGAGGAAGAAATAAGGGAACCAGGGGCTGATAATTCAGCCATTGGCTCTATTCCTAGCCCACACTTTAAGTCAATAGCTTATTACCTCCTTAACTGTGCAAACAGCACCAGAGATAAAACAAGCCATGGAATTTATAGCATTTTGTTGTTGTTGTTAAAAAACAACAACCTCCAATTCTTTTTTCTCAGAGTAATGAACTACTTTTATTTTAGTTTTCATTTGGTTGTTCCTGCCATACTTTTTTTTTTTTTTTAAGCAGACCTTTAGATATGATTTGCTCAACTTTTAAGTGCAGGCTGTGCTAAATAAATTGCTTACAGGGACATTGACTGCATACTGAAGCCCTTGAGGAAGCCTGTCTTGCCCCTCCATCTCATCATCATTTTTCACCGTCTCTTCGTGGACCATGAGTTCATCGTGTGGGATCATTTCTTGCTGTCGAAGTTCACTTTCCTGTAGCACTTCTTCTGCAGAAAGGATTTCCTGGTGCGCCATAGCCCGGTCTTGAAGCACTGCTTCCTGCCGTTCCACAGGAACTGCCGACTGGTCAGATGCAGCACCCATTCCAACCATATCCCTGGATGACGGCATTGGCTCTATGCTACCACATTTAAGAAACAATACTCCCAGCTTATCTTCAATGTTCATTCTTAAGTGCAATTAACCTGCAAATACAAAAACAAAAAACCAATTAGCAGAGTATTTACCATTTATTTCATTTTTGTTACATAAGCAGACAGTTACACCTCAAAAAATACAAACAGAACAAGAAAAACGATTTTTAGAGAATGAAACAATAAAAGAAAAAAAGTAAACGATACAATAGAGTTAACAGGCAGAGTGTTTAAAAACACAGCCCCACACTCAAGCTTCACTGACAATAATTGGGTATTTATGGATACATACATGGGAAATGTAAGGCATGTTGATGAACACTTTTACTATTTTTATGGGTTATTTGTGTTTTTTGTGATACTTTGTTCTATAATTTTAAAGGTACTGTGAGTCACTCTAACTTGTTTGTAAAAAAAAAAACATGAATCACCATAATAAGAGTAATTTCACAAAAATCTGAATACAGGGTATTTGTAAATCTCTCCCTAGAAAAAGGATAAGAAGTGCATCCCTCAACAAATACATGCCAACTACTCATAAAGTCTCAAAATCTGATACTTTTTTGGGGGGGGGGGGAATTCCAAATTGGGAATAGAATTTTAGAGTGCAAAAGATTCACTGCTTCCTTAGGTTTGGATCTGGAGCAGTTCAGGTAAAAAAACAGATTTATGCTTGCAAGATGGATGTACCATTAAATTTTTTTAGCTTGAAATTTTCCAAACTGTACCTTGATTCAAAACATGGGGCAGTAGCTAACAAGGTGCTTCTGCTGGTGCAAGGACTTTTGGCTGCACACTGAAACTTCCCTTTCCTCTCCTCTTCCATGCCCCGAAGGACAAACATAGCATAAGCACGTAAGGGAGAGCTCTGCTGGATCACACTCAAGGCCTAGTTACTCCGGCATTCTCTTCTCACAGCAGTCAACCTGATGCCTATGGAAAGTCCACAAGGAGGACATGAAGTCTCACTGGGTGAGCAGAAGTCCGCTTAGATTTTTCTTTTCATTTGTGGGAGAGGGGTGTGTTTTTGTGACCAACATAACATGCTAAACCAACCTTTATCATCCTTAATTCATCTGATTTTATTCCTAACAAAATTTCTTCTCATTTACCAAATGAGACAAACTGTCAGTAAAGGATCTTTACATTGTTATCTGTTTTCTTGGATAGATCTTTAAATGAAGATTAGATAGATAAAAATAGATAAATTCTGAATCAGCTTGCAAGTCAAACTTCTCATATGTAGAATCTGTTCTACACATGTGTAACATGCTATTTTGAAAACCGTTGCCAGATAATTAAACTTTGGGAAATTATCTTTAAAATGATGCATATGTTAACTATATATGGAAAATGAGTCTGTAGATTGACATTTTCTTGAAACTGCCCTTTCCTGAATCAGTCAAAGGCTGGAAAAATATGCCTTGCTGCCGTTTAATTGCTTTAATTATTAAAGGACTAGACAGGCAATGAGAGAATTGCACTTAAATACATTTCTGAAAAAAGTCACTACATACTAACCATTTCCTTGGCCCTAGCAGTTTTTAAGAATACTGGGTTAGGCAGAGACCTTCATGCAGAATGTGCTGCTAATTTAAGCACTAACTCACCTTCCTATCACCACAAGCCTTGCCAGAAACTTCACCACAAGCCTTGTCAGAAACTTCATGAAACTCTAGTAAAGCGTTCATCAATGCCAAGTCTGAGAAGTCAGGCATTGCCTCTGTTTATGGATACTGCCAGTGATTATGAGGGCCTATCCAAGATGGCTACTAGTGTACACCAGCACCTTATGCTTGACTACACACATGGTGGAAATCGGGAAAGCAACTATATTTCCCAGCAATAATTTACAGCAATGCTCTTGCAAGAAAGGTACATTCAGATGGCAAAGGCAAGACCACACAATTCAAACTGGAATTGATTTTTAAAAAAACATTATTGCGGGCCCCTCAAATTTATTTATATATTTAAAAGATGAAAGATAAAGATAGCTGAAGGCACCTTTGACAAAGTGATAGGCAAATTACCGTATTTTTCGCTCTATAAGACGCACCAGACCACAAGACGCACCTAGTTTTTGGAGGAGGAAAACAAGAAAAAAAATATTCTGAATCTCAGAAGCCAGAACAGCAAGAGGGATCGCTATGCAGTGAAAGCAGCAATCCCTCTTCCTGTTCTGGCTTCTGGGATAGCTGCGCAGCCTGCATTCACTCCATAAGACGCACACACATTTCCCCTTACTTTTTAGGAGGGAAAAAGTGAGTCTTATAGAGCAAAAAATACGGTATTTAGGTAAGAAAAAAAACCAGCTTTGTTTAAAGAGACATTTCACTGAAACTTAAAAAATAATGGAATTCTGCAATAGGTCAGCCGGAAAATTGGATTGTATCTACAAAAGGAAGTGTTTCCAAAACAAACTGACCCTTGACAAAATGCATGATATTATACACCATGTACTAGCTCTGGTACGTTAATATGCTCCCTGGAACAAAATAGTGGCTCTTAAAAGAAGACTTCTCCCTCCTTCTCAAAAACTATATATAACTTACTTAAGTAATCCTGCAGTTTATTGTTTTCTAAAAATATTATCACTTTTTTTAGGACATGCATGCTCATCAATTCAGCAACTGTCCCAAATTCTTTAAATCCTATATCAGTCTCACAAACAGAATAGTTACATACTTTTAAAAAAACCCCAGTATATTTTACTAGGTCTTGATAGGTAGTAGAAAGGATGGAATCCAATTTGATATATTTTCCTTACCATAATAAAATAAAAAAACCTGTGGAAAATGCAATGAATAGTTTTTTCCTGTCCTAAGTAGTCATGCTGCTGCCTGCAAATTGACCCATGGTGCTTGCATAGTTTCAAGCTCTGCTACACTGATCAACTCTACTGCACTGCATCTAGTTGCAATGCATCTCACACCATTTTTTACAATGAATTATGGCTATTTATGGAAAATATAAAAACCATTAGATTCAATTCAAAAGCTACAGATATATGAGTGTTTTGAAAGTCACATATCAAAAGATTTTCCAGTATCCATTTAAGATCATGTTGATGATTCTACAAAAGGAAAGGAAGCAGGAAGTATCAGGAGAAATTGATATTTTGTACAACCATAGAACTGAAAACATCAAAGAAAAGGATTTACAGTGGTACCTAGGGTTACATATGCTTCAGGTTACATACGCTTCAGGTTACACACTCCGCTAACCCAGAAATAGTGCTTCAGGTTAAGAACTTTGCTTCAGGATAAGAACAGAAATCGGGCTCTGGCAGTGCGGCGGCAGCAAGAGGCCCCATTAGCTAAAGTGGTGCTTCAGGTTAAGAACAGTTTCAGGTTAAGAACGGACCTCCGGAACAAATTAAGTACTTAACCCGAGGTACCACTGTATAGTGCTGAAGCATAATCATTGGCCCTTGACCTATTTAGACATAAGGTTGTGTCCAATTTTGTCCCTCTGTTGATGGAGGGCTCCTTGATCCAGCAGAGATTCCATGAGGGCAAGTGATTTTAGAAATTTCCCCCTTTCTCCTGCAGATTTCCAGCGGAGGGCAAGGGATACTACAGATGGAGAGTGGCAAATCAGCTCTTAGCAGCTCCACAGGAACAAAGAGCCTTCAATCAGCAGAGGGGCACAATTGGATACAACCCATCAGGGAATTGTCATTGACAGTGAGGAGCCCAAGTGGTGCCTCTCTGGGTGTTTCTTAAGACATGCTGTATTTTTATTTGCTTTTAAAAAGTGAATTGGTTTCACTGAAGTGTTATTTTATTGTGACCTCCCCTGTGAGGAAGAATGAGTTAGAAATTATCTTATGAATAAATCAGATACATAATTAAAAGTAATTCAGACACACATATATACTGCAGGGCAAGATGACTCTCATCACCCAGTCCGGGATTCAATGTGAATACACAGGTTTTGTATGCGTATTTCCTCAGCTTGTTATTATGAATGGTTGAAGGACCAAACACTTCAGACCAAACTGGTAACCAGAGTACCAAACAACGCAAAGGAGACCAGCCTGTCCTGTTCCAGCTTGGGCAAAGATCTACAAAGCAACAAATTAGGTTGCAAGGCAAGAAATAATTCTTTACCACTAGATCCGATTCTTTAAAAGTAACGTTCAGATTAATAATAGCCCCAAACAGAAACATTGTCAGGAATGATCAATTCTAGTCTACCAGTACAATGAAACAATATAGCAGGCCACTTATCTGACAAGGTTTTAAGAATCACAGAGATATCATAGCTCAGCAATAGCAGCACAAGCCTTGCAGGGAGAAGGTCCCAGGCTCAGTCATTATCTGTTAAAAATGGATCTTGGCTGGGAAAAGTCTCAGCGTGCAACCTTGAAGAGCTGTTGTTGGACAGAATATATACCACAGGGCAAGATGATGAAACGGTTGGATTTTTTATAAGGTCGTTTCATATCTTCTTGTGATCCTCATCACCCAGTTTTGAGAATGTGAGATTTTTCTGAAGGATTGGCACTGCTAGGCAAGATGCCTCCATTGTGAAGAAAATCAGCCCTGAGTGCTCACTGGAAGGACAGATCCTGAAGATGAGGCTCCAATACTTTGGCCAATACTTTCTCTTCATGAGAAGAGAAGACTCGCTGGAAAAGACCCTGATGTTGGGAAAGATGGAGGGCACAAGGAGAAGGGGACGGCAGAGGAAGATGGTTGGACAGTGTTCTTGAAGCTACCAACATGAGTTTGACCAAACTGCAGGAGGCAGTGGAAGACAGGAGTGCCTGGCGTGCTCTGGTCCATGGGGTCACGAAGAGTCGGACACGACTAGACGACTAAACAACAACAACAAGGCAAGATGCCCTAATGTTCTGACTCAGCATAAGACAGCTGCATATACAGTCATGTAACTGCGTCATTATCCAGTGCTGGATGAGTATACGTAGCGTCATATCAATAATTGCTTACGATACTGCCATATCATTATCCACCACATACGATAACAAAAACCTCTGCCCCAGCCACAGAATCTAAATGCATCAGTACACATTACTACTCTAGTTTTGTCCAGTGCCTTTTAAAAGAAGAAAAAAAGGTGTTGGTACTCACCATGAAGTTGTTACAGTAAGTGCCACACTTTTAACGTTGGGTGGGCTGCCAGTACTGCATACCCTTGAGTACCCCCCAAAAAAAGGACTGGTCTTGTCTTTCATGCGAAAAGCCTGTTCACATCTTTTGCAAGTGAATCCAGTTGTATAGCCTTTCACAGCAATGGTAAACATACTGCTCAAGTATAAAAACCTCTGCTCTGAGCTGGGACATAACTCCCTATCTTGTTCAAAACCCCAAAAGAGTTACTGGTAATAGCAGGCAGGAAAATTTTCTCTCATTATATCATTCTTACTGGTCAAAACATAAATGCATATGTTTGTTTTTTCAAAACAACACTTGGAAAGTGTAATTAACAAACAAATATGTGTTTATATGTTTTACTCATTATTACTTTATTTATTGTTATTGTTATTAGAATTTATATACCGCCCTATACCCGGAGGTATACCAGCCAGATTTTTTTTCTCCCTTTCCTCCAATAATATGCAGCAGTAATATGCCTAATAGGTTATTGGGAGTCTCCATCTGAAGCTATAATTCCTTCTATTTAACATTTCTGATTACATCAAAAAATATCAGTAAAGTAATACTGCCATATGTAAAGTTTTCAGTTTTTGATCCTGTGCAGCACTGATGAGAAAGTATTCAGCACTAGAATCCTTCATTCAAATAGGTACTTTATTTGCTACAATAGGTAATAGTATTATATTTACTGGTAGTTCTTTGGATATCAATGGAACTATATTTATTGGTAAAACAGGCCACCAATGGCAGCAATACTGCTGTGGGGCTGAGTCTATATTTTGAAGTTCCCTCATAAAAATGGTATCAGATATTTTCTGTAGAACATGCCTCAAGACGTTCTACTGAAAGCTGGACAAAGCAGTCTTCTTCTTCTTCCCCACTGTGAAAGGACGTATGGATCCAGGATTGGCCTCCACAATCACTTACGGACTCACTGTTAAGACCATGGTAATGGAAGACAATCTTACTCGGCTACGAGTGATCACCAAAGAAGAAGTTTCAAGAGAATGATCAATCTCTGTATACACTGAGCTTCAAGTGCACAAAATTATAGGCAAGAATATCTTCCAGTCAGTTTTCTTGATCTTTACAATAAAAAATAAAAAATTAGCACTGTAATAAAAGAGTAAGAAAGTTCTTCTATTACATGTAAGATTTTTTAATAGTATGTCAGTAAAATTCCTATACCGTACTGTTTTATCTTAGGAGCATTTCCACTTCTGCAGAGACTCCACAGGGGCTCCCTCTAACTTCCCAGCAGCTGATCAGAGGTAGCAGCAACCTCCTTTGAACTTTAAGAGATATCATTGAACTGATGTCATTATGATATCAGGAAACTGGCAGGTGGGTGGTCCCAGCCATTTCTCAAAGTTGGCCAGTCCATGTTTTAAAGACCTGTATTAAAAAGGTATGTTGCTCAATGAAAGAATAAAGTAATGATAAATAGAGAACTTATAGAGAACTTGGTTTTATACCAAAATACATCTTCATTAAACCATGACACTATGTTTTAAATTGATTTGGTCCTATTGATTTCTATAGAATTAAATCACTTGAAATGCAAAGCAAGAAAGAAAGGCAAATGGAAACAGAGTCATAAATTGCAACTGTTACTTGTTAGTTTAGCATATTTATACAACATTAAACTGTATAAACATTATTAATTAATTTATTTCCATTTCAAACCTGCCTTTTGAAAGCTTGGGAATAATGAAACATTAAATAGAAAAAGTCACTATTGCCCCATATCTTTTTGACTTAGGGCATTGAAAGTCAGACTAAGTAAGGAAAATGCTGTAGACTTGAAATCTTGTGAGCCTCTAAGGAGGAGAGTATCACCATTTTGGGGCAGCCACTAAGATAACCTCTCTACATGTCCTTTTGTTTCACCTTGGCAGATGTGCATCTTAAAGACTGGAATGGTACACGTGAAAGTGAGACTGAGTTTGTAAGGTACAGGAAGCTTTAGAGGTAATATGCGTTTCAACAAAAGAAATCAACACACCCTTAAAACTGTAACTGCCAAAGAGAATGGGATCACTGATGCTTCTAAGAGTCTGATACTCTGTGCGTAGAGACAACTGGAAAGAAGAGTGAATGCTAGTTCCACTTGCTGACCAGGAGCTAGACTCGCACTCTGGAAAAGCACTAAAAGCCATTGGCATTACCACTCAAGCAGAGGAAAAAATCCCCTTCACATCACAGAAGCACTGTGCAATGAGGTTTTCAAGATGGAAAGAGAGGTCCCTGCAAAGACATTTCCTAACACCGGTACATCCTTGTGCCAGCAAGGAACTCGAAGCAGAGGACTGTTCCCTTACTCTGCTCTGCATGCCACCACAGATTTTGTGGCACAAAACTTTGCTGTCACAGCAACAACAGGGAACAGAATTGAGCTGCCACTTGGAGAATTTCTCCTGTGGCATGAGCAAATTCGAAGACTGAAGCAATGCCATTTAACTCCACAGCATTAGTGAAGCAGAAAGTTCAACAAGATCAGTGTCTTTCAAATGGTTAGATGCAGCCATTCAGAGCTGAGTGATGGAACCACAATATCATAGCTTGTATTCTGCAACAAAAAGACTGGAGCTCTGCAGATTTGCATGTGTTGAATCTGTAATGCAGAGCTAGCCAGCACAGTACCCTCCAGATGTTGCTGAATTACAATTCCCATCACCCTGACCATTGGTCATGTTGTTTGGTGAAATGGGGACTATGTAATCCACACACAAAAAGGCTTTTAAATGTCTCTTTTTGATTGTGAATATATTGTATTTCTGCTTTGAATCATTTTCAATATAAAGCAATTAAAGATTTTTTTCTTGATAAATTAACAAACATCTGTAGGGCACCATGTTGGCTATCTGTGCTGTAATGTTCCCAACATTATTACTCTAAAATATAAAATTATTATTTCTCTTTGTTCATGTTGTGCTATTGATTTAAAACTGGCTTACTTAATGCTATGTGCAAGGAGAACGGGATGAGGAGTATTTAGCCCTGTTTTTTTCTATCCAGTGACATCGCAATGCAACAGACAGTTAAATTATCAACTGCACTGGGCATTTTTGCCTTAAGGGAACATTTGACCATGGGCTAATCCATTGACTAGAATTGAAAGCAAGGACTCCATACTCATCTGACAGTTCTCATTATTATTATTATTATTTATTAAATTTGGTAGCACTGGTCGATGATCTCCAGCGGGCTAGGGACAAAGGTGAGAGTTGTTTCCTAGTTCTGCTGGATCTCTCAGCGGCTTTTGACACCATCGACCATAACTTCCTTCTGGACCGTCTTAGGGGGCTGGGAGCTGGGGGCACTGTTATACAGTGGTTCCGCTCCTTCCTCCTGGGCCGTGTTCAGAAAGTGGTGGGGGGGATGAGTGTTCAGACCCCTGGGCTCTCACTTGTGGGGTGCCTCAGGGTTCTGTCCTCTCCCCCATGCTTTTCAACATCTACATGCAGCCGCTGGGAGAGATCATCAGGGGGTTTGGGCTGGGTGTTCATCAGTATGCGGATGATACCCAGCTCTACCTCTCTTTCAAATTGGAACCAGTGAAGGCGGTGAAGGTCCTCTGTGAGTGTCTGGAGGAGGTTGGAAGATGGATGGTGGCTAACAGATTGAGGCTGACTCCTGACAAGACAGAAGTACTGTTTTGGGGGGACAGGAGGTGGGCGGGTGTGGAGGACTCCCTGGTCCTGAATGGGGTAACTGTGCCCCTGAAGGACCAGGTGCGGAGCCTGGGAGTCATTCTGGACTCACAGCTGTCCATGGAGGCACAGGTTAATTCTGTGACCAGGGCAGCTGTTTATCAGCTCCATCCGGTATGCAGGCTGAGACCCTACCTGCCCGCAGACTGCCTCGCCAGAGTGGTGCATGCTCTGGTTATCTCTCGCTTGGACTACTGCAAGGTGCTCTATGTGGGGCTACCTTTGAAGGTGATCCGGAAACTACAACTAATCCAGAATGCGGCAGCTAGACTAGTGACTGGGAGCGGCCGCCGAGACCATATAACACCGGTCTTGAAAGACCTACACTGGCTCCCAGTACGTTTCCAAGCACAATTCAAAGTGTTGGTGCTGACCTTTAAAGCCCTAAACGGCCTCGGTCCAGTATACCTGAAGGAGCGTCTCCACCTCCATCGTTCTGCCTCGGACACTGAGGTCCAGTGCCAAGGGCCTTCTGGCGGTTCCCTCGCTACGAGAAGCCAAGTTACAGGGAACCAGGCAGAGGGCCTTCTCGGTAGTGGCACCCGCCCTGTGGAATGCCCTCTCATCAGATGTCAAAGAGAAAAATAACTACCAAACTTTTAGAAGACATCTGAAGGCAGCCCTGTTTAGGGAAGCTTTTAATGTTTAATAGGTTATTGTATTTCAGTGTTTTGTTGGAAGCCGCCCAGAGTGGCTAGGGAAACCCAGCCAGATGGGCGGGGTATAAATAATAATAATAATAATAATAATAATAAATTTATAGCCACACTTCCTCCCAAAAAGGGCCAGGACAGCAAACACACAAACAAACAAACAAACAAAAACAATTAAACAGCTAAAAGCAATTCCAATATAGATGCATGCAATAATCCCATTTCAGAAACTTGTGCATATTAATTCCTGGGACAGCATCCAAGGTGTCAGCCTGCTTGCACAACGATATTCTGTTTGCACAATGGGGCTCCCCTCCTCCTCCCTTTCCCCCCTGCAGCTCCCCGCACACCCCCAAAATCTGTTCTGGGGCAGACTAAATGGGGCAGACTATTTTGGGGAGGAGGGAAACACACATCCACTGCTGCAACGCTGGGTATCTCCTGTGCAGGAGCGACAAGTGGAGCACTGGTAAAGGAACAACAGCAGCAAGTCAGGGGTCAATTGGGCAGTTGTACTGGAAACAATTGTGTAAGCTACCATGCTCAAAGAACAGCTCATTTGATCAGGTGCAAAGTCCCATTGAAGCCTCCAGCTTGCCTGTTGCATTTCGCTTTTGTAAACCTCTTCAGATTTCATAGGTTGCGGCATTAACTCAAATAAATAACAACCAAGACAAATAGCAGTACTAATGATCTGGGCAGGGGCTTCCAGTAAGATTATACATTTTATAAGACTTTCTCTGTTGGATAACAGCCAAAAGACTACAGATGGAGTAGATACTTTGAGAAAAGTGTGTATCTTTGGTGTTCTAGAGTATAATCATTCTTCTGTGAGCTCATTTGCTATTTTAAGGATAAGTGGGTTTCTCCCACACAGATACTATTTGTGTATTTGGTCTTTTATATAAAAGTTGTGTGCAACACCTTTAAAGCAGGTAAGCACCCATTAGAAAGTCTGATTGCCTTGGCTAACAAAAAGAAAGGAGGGCCAGGATATTTATTACCTGTACTTCCAAAGTTCTCATCATTAAGTTGACTTGGGTTTCTTGCTTGAGTCATGTGGAATCAGCAGTTCTACAACATGGTCTCTACAAAATACTTCCACCTGGACTGATGGGGTCCTCAGGTTGCTGATGAATGGGTGGTGGTCCTACATTTTACCAAAATTACTATCTTCCATCACATCAAATTCTGCAATTCTAACGTTTAAAGAGTACTGTTATCACCATATGCCATTTTTAATATTAGCAGCCTAGGTGCATTGTTTGTGGTATCTTTTAAAAATGAGTATCATCCAAGGAAAATTAAACTATATGTTACATTTTTTTTAAAAGGCAAAAATAAAGTAATGTTGTGAACCTGGGTGTTTAACCATTTTTAGGCTGAGGGCCACACTAATCCATGGAGACCAAATGTCAAAGTGAATGTGGCCAAAGTGAAAAAGTGAGTGTGGGTGAACTGTAAAAGGAAGTGAGCCTCCCCCTTTTTAAGGACACCTTCTGGAGGCTCCTGGGGGTCAGAAAAAAATACTTTTCATACCATGCAATCACAGCAGGGGGGCTGTGGGAGTGATGGGGGGAGGAATTTGGGACAAATTTTTGAGAGGTCATGAAACCTTCTGGCATTACAGTATCACAGGAGCAGTCAGTTTAAAACATGTTTTTTGGGGGGAAATTTAAAAAAAATGTTAACTTTGGAGGACCACAATAAACCTCTTGACACATCACAGCAAGGATCCACAGGAGAGTTTTTTAAAAAATTAAACTGCAAATTATGGGAGGGTCAAAAAACCCTATTGGGAGCCTGCATACAGCCCACAAGTTAGCAACACCTGTTGATAACATTTCATTGAAACTGGCCAATCAAATGCAATGCTTTGCAAAATTCAAAAATCGGTGCAAATGTGAAACTGCTCAAAAAATAAAATATTGCACTAGAGTGCTATAATGATATGTGATCCATTTAATAATATAGTTGGTATAACAAGGCCTAGCAGCTTTTAGTTGTTTTATTTGCTGTAACCAAATTCTTGATGGCTTGACAACTCTTTGACCCTAGTAAAGTATAATCTCTTCAAACCAAGTAGGCTGAGCAGTTTCCAAATTGCACAACATCACCCCTTGCAAACTAAGGTTTTAATGGCAATATTCCTATTTAAAAAATGCATAGTGTTCCAACATACCTGTGTCAAACCATTTTTCCCATGCACCTGTTGCATGCTTATGACTTTCTATATGGTTTCTCAGTGGAGGGGCCATGGTGAACATCCAATGATGTCAACATGCAGTGGGACTTCCCTTTCTCTCCCCCCCCCCGCCGCCCCGCAGCTCCCTGTGCACCTTGCAAATACACTCCTGTGAGTTGGGGAACCCCCTGAGCATATTGCAGGGTGCAGGTGCTTTCAAGGTGGGAAAAGAAGAAGGAATGAACCGCTTTTGTCACAATGGATATCACCTCAGACTTTTTCTTTACCCAGCGGTGTGCAGGATACTCTTTAAATAATAGTCTAAATATTAACTTTCATTCCTTGCAGGCTTTGACTGAATTCTAAAGAATGATTAGGTGCTTATACAAAAATAATAATAATAATAATGGAATCCTAGCATTACCATAGCTGGTTGGAGGAAAAACCTGTCTTCTGAAAGGTTTGCAACTGATCTTAAATTAGAGAATCCTTTTGTGAAAGAAAGAAATAACATCCCAACTCTACATTTGTAGTTGAGGTTTTCTTCTTCTTCAGATATTATTCTGAAGCATCCAATAATCATCTCCAATACATGAAAAGAGAGAAGTAAAGTTCAGTATTTTTCAATTCTCTATTAAGTTGTATTCAAATGGCAGAATTATGAGAGCTCTTAAAAGGGTGTCCTTCTATCATCATCTGATCTACTGCTACATAGACCAAAGCAGTCAGAATGATAAAGAGATTATTTACAGAAAAACCCTAAGCAAAACCCCAGTTTATGAAACTTTAGCAGTAATTACATTACCTAATTGTTCCTCTAATCACTTAGACATGACTTGAAGAGGTATCAGTTTAAATGTATATAATTTATCAAAAACGTGTTACTTTGGACTGTATCCAAGTACATTATATTTAAGAGTACAACCACTGAAGTAAATGGACCTAAGTTAGCAATGTCAATCCAAGGGTTTACTCTGAACAGGACCAACATTGGACATAGTCCTCTATCTTTTTAACGGTTATCTATCATATATGGTCACAGGCGAAAACCCCAGTTTTCTTGCAAAGACAAAAACTATGTTTAACAAAAACAAACAAAAGCACTGCCTCACATTTTCACATTCAGGGCAAGATGTGTTATAATAAATAGCCAGCCACAAGTGTTTGTTCAATACTGGTAAACTAGTTCTGCATACAGATTTTAATAGAAGCCCCAGCCTGAATGAACCCTTCTCAAAGTTAAGTAAATATCAAGGCTACAACCCTGCACAAAGTTGCACATCTGCCAGTCCTACTGAAGTCTGAGGAACCTATTTGTGGATAACTCTGGCAGAACCGCAGCCAGCATTTGTGTAAAAAAATAAGCTCTCCCAACTCTCTATTCTGAAAAGGAAGAAAGCCTTTTCCCAAATCACTACCGACAGTTCAACATTTATCTGTCCCACAAAAAGCAATTGTTATTGAAGATTAAAATCCAAAAAGACTAAGGTCCTTCAAACTATTAACAACAGTTAACCTAGAAAATACTAGTTACATAACAAAGATAACCAACAGAAAGGATATTGTACCTTTAAAACTCTATAAAGGTCTCTCTCTTTTTTGTAGACACTTATAAAAAACATGGTGGAATGTTATCCAACATAACTGGACCCCAATCTTCTAAAAATGACACAGAGCAAGAAGGCCTCACAAAAATTGTCTTGAAACGGAACTATCTATTGAATTCACATATTTTAGCCCCATTGATATGTTGAAAATGAATACAATCTTACATTTTAGGAAAACTTTAAATCTAAAACTGAATTTTCATCTACAGTATAAGTGTCTCAACTTGTAAATGAAAGCTTTGATGATCTCTCTTATGCCCCACAAGCACTTACTCCAAAATATTGTTTACATGGAATGTAACCAGACTAAAGAGGGAATGGGATAGTGGATTCAATTGTGGTAGGTAGCAGATAGCCACAGATCTGGCAATACTGCTTTCAGATATTGGATTACAATTATATTTATGTAGTCCACCATTTAAGTCTGGATCTGAATGTTTCTGACCTTTCCACAACCATTTCTGAAAGAAAGCAAATGTATTTGGGCCAAGTTTTAGCAACAATTGAGTTGGCCATTTTCAATGCATTTCTTTATGAGAACACTTTGAAATTAGTCCCATACAAGCATAAATATAAAAACCTCTGGGTTGGAATTGTTCAATCACACAAATTTTTAGAGACAATCTCTGGACAGATAGCCAGAACTACTGCTGACAAACTTTTCCTCAGAAATTCATAGTGGTGACCAATTCCAATGCAAGATCTTCCATTCATGCATCTCTACTGAAATCATTCCAAATGAACTCCCAAGGAGAAATACACAATGCTAGAAGAAGCAGGAAGTGTGTAGATGATGATCAAGTATCTCTATAGCTTAGAAGTAAGTGTATTTCTGGGTCCATAGTGGCACCCCAGTTTTATCTTCCTATTCATGCTGAGCTTGACTCTTAGTAAATACTCCTTGGTGCCCACTTAGCAATGCTCTCCTTATGACAAGGTATGTACTTTAATATACAACTATTTATAAATAAATGAGCCCAACAGTATACTGCAAAATCCTTATCACATAGGAGTATGAGCTAGGCTAAGTTATGTATCCAAACAGTAGTTGTAGGAAGTAGACAGTATGTGCGTGCATGTCTCAGTTCCGTAATTCAGTACCTGAAAAAGAAATGTATTTGGCCCTGTACTGGAAGCGAGGGAAGGAAGGTTTAAGATTGCTCTGCATCTGGAAACTGATGCAGTTCACATTCTGACAGTCTTGTGCAGCCTGATGCTCTACTTACTCAGAAGTAAATTCCACTGAGATTAATGGCATTTACTCTCATGTAAGTGTGCACAAGCCTGCAGCCATAATCTATGTTTCTGACAGTCTGTCTCTAAGGAGACTGGAGTCCCCTGCTGAACAGGAAAAAGAAGCTAGATATCTCTGTTCTGCATATCTATTTACAGGCTCTTCAGAATCAGGGCATGTGGGTCTCTGTGAGACTTACTCTTGCGGCAACAATTCTGAAAGAGGAAGGGGGAAATCCTGCAGAAGATTTACCTACCCATCTATATCAAAATGCAACACTCAGAGCAGGACAAAATTGCCTGTTAGGTGTTGAAGATGCCTGTTCATAGGGATCTGTCAATCCCTTTGTCTTTAATGTTTGCCCGGCTGTCTTCAGGAATCCTAGGGATCCCTTGCTGGAACAGGAAGCAACCAGAGTTGGGGCTGGCCACTTCTGTATCAGGCTGTCAATCGCAGGGTTAGGTAGTTCAAGGGGCTGATGGCAAGGGGGTCATCCTTTGTAGTCATGACTGTCCCAGTGTCAAGCATCTGAAGGGTAGCCTATGTGACTTATTTTTTAAAAAAACAACAACAACCCTCAAGGTTATAAAAACTGCAAAGAGGGGAGAGGAAGAAATCACTGTGGGCCAAAGGTTTAGGAATGTGCATTTCTGTAGATCGGTCATCCCTGCAAGTCCCTTTGTCTGCCAGGCTCTCTTCTCCTTTTTTTTATTTTTAAGGAGGCCACCTTGGAAGAAGAAAAAGAAGAAGAAGAAGAAGAAGAGGGGGGTTGGGAAGCCTCCCGGGGGAGATCTGCCCGCCCCCCCGTTCCCCCCATAACCCCCTTCCTCCTTTGTTTGCCTATATCTTGTCTCCTTTGCCTTTGCCTTTGCTGACCTACGAAGGGCTCGGAGGGCTACCGGAGCCCCAGCGAGGCCTGCTCGCTCGCTCGCCCGAGATCCCAGCTCTCCTCCTGGCGAGCAGTTGCAAGGCCCCGTGCAAGCGGGATCTGGAAAGGAGGCGGGGGGGGGGGACACGACGGAGCCCGGACTCTCCCCTCCCCTCAGCCCCCTTTCGCCTCACGCACTTCGCACCGCCACCCACCCACCCGCTCCAGGCCCGAAGCGTCTCCCTCCGCCCGCCCGCCCCTCCCTGGCGGGGCCGCCACAGAGCTCAGGCGACGAGGCCCCACCAAGGAGCCCGGGCCCGCCTCCCGTCCCCTCCGCGGCTGGATTCTTACCGGCGGCCCGAAGCTGGGGAAAGAGTAGGGCGGCGGCGCGATGACGACGACGGTGGCAGAGGAAGGCGAGGGCGGCGGGGGAAGAAGAGGTGATGGGGGGCTCAGAGCCCCCAGGCCGCGGCTCCGGCTCCTGCCCCGGGCACCATGATGGCGGCGGCAGCAGCAAGCAGCAGCAGCAGCGATGGCTCCCTTCCTGCAAGAAGCTGCTGCAGCGGCGGCGGGCGGCAGGCCGGTCGGGGAAAGCGCAGCCGCCTCAGCCTCCTACTGGCGGTGACAGCGACGGGCCGAGAGAGAGAGCGAGCGAGCGAGAGCGCCGCCGCGGTGCAGCTTGGGAAATCGCCCGCAGGATCCGAACCCGCCACCAGAAGCAGGGCTGCTGCTGCTGCTGCTGCTCTCTCCCCCTGAAGGGAAGGTGGGTGAAAGAGCGAGAGGAGTAGTAACAGGGAAGCGGAAGGCCGAGGGAGGTGAAGGGGAAGGCTTCGGAGGTCTCAGCCCCAGGACTTGTTTCTGGGTGCTGGCGACTCTGAGCGTGTGCCCCTCCATCCCAAATCTCTGAGTGAACCGCGGCCACCAGCATCAAGGGCTAATTCGATTAATCGGTGTGGTTTCTAGGCCAGCTTGGACTTCTGACTTGAAATTCAGCACTTGGAGATCAAGGAGGTGGGGGGAGAAGAGAATAGCAAGGGGGCCTACCTAAAAAGTGCAGAGGAGAGTGCAGGAAGGGAGTAGATGCTGCAACTGCATTGGGGTGAGCAAGGTTAAAGGGTGTTAGGTAGTCCTATCTTGGGTTATTCCACACACCTGATGTCCCCAAACTGACAACTGATGGAACACGGTAAGGCAAACAAAAAAGGGCACCAGCATCATCATGCAAGAGTTGGCCAAAAATAATTTATAATTTATAAAAAGAGAAAGCTACAGTTGCAGAGCCACATCTGAAAAGGCCCTGTTGCCCACCAATCTGGTCTTCACTAACAGTAAGCCGGAAAGCAAAGCCTGTTACTGATCTAATGGATCAGGTAGGTTCATCTCAATACAGTAGTGAGTGACTAGACAGCTGGTAGTTTCCCCTTCTAGGATGAATTCAGATGTGTTGCAGTGAGATTTTGGCCTCCCAGCACCTGCATAATCCCTACAGCATGCTTAGATCATGCTGCTAGAGCTAGAGCTACTCTCCAGAAGTTTGTCACTACAACTCCCATCAGCTCCACCCAGCATTGCCTTTGTTCCTGGATGGTTGAGTTGCAGTCTAATACATCTGGTGGATACCAAGTTGGGGAAAGCTGCATTACAAAGCTGAAGAGACAACATATATAAAAAACCCCGCCTACAATCTATACTCATGGCATTTTTGCAAGTATTAAAAAATATATACCAGCCCATCTATGCACATATACATTGAGTGGTGACTCTGACAGGCAATTTGCCCAGAACTGTTATTCATCCTAAGCAAGCAGCTAACAATAAGATACTTGGACTGCAATCCTAAAAACATACGCACACACAAACTGCGCTTCTCATATGGGGTACTTCCTAACTGGTGGCTCTTAACGCTACCCAGTAGTCCTCCCACTGTTAGATATATGCAGAATTGCAATTGACTTTTCACATTTTTAGGTAAAAAGTGTTGTGTGTTTCATCTACACTACTAAGTGTGATGCAGCTTTATGGGCAGGGAAGGGGCAATTCACCTGAGCACAGCATTTTTTGATTATCTGTTTCCAAACATTAAAAAAATTCATACCAAAGCACTTTTTCCATTTCAGGGACACTGCACAATTACTTCAGTTATGTTAAAAAGTAGATGAAAAGGGTAAAATGGAAAAATAATAATAAACACAGTGATAAAATGGCACAGACTGAAACGGCAGTTTGGGCTTTTAAAAATCATTTTGTACATTTGAGTTAAGACATTTTTTCATTTGTGTGCTGTTGCTCAATTTCTTTTTTTTTTTTTAAGTAGTCAAAAATACAAATTAAATATTGCCAAAAAGCTGTGCAAATGAAATGGCCCCAACCAGAAAGGTAATAGGTGAAATTAGTGCTAGACTGGGACCTAGGAGACTGGGGTTCAAATCCCTACTCACCAATGAAGCTTACTGTGTGACCTTGGGCCAGTCACACCTACCTCACAGGATTGTTATGAGGATAAAATGGGGAGGTAGATAACAATGTACACTACTTTGAGGGAGGAAAGATGAGATATAAATGGAATAACAAAGAAATAATATCACTAACACATCAAGGCCACTTTACATGCCTCTTAACACAGATGGGAAATATTGGATATTGCAGTGCTGTGCTGTTGCTTCCACAGGAGTCTAATTTTCTGGGTAGACTGATGAAACACAGGAGAGCAACAGTTGATGAGAATGTAATAAAGATGCCCTCTTTTCCATAGGAAATAGTGTGGATGCACTTATAGACAGCATTTTATACTCCCCACATCCATGAGTATTAGGAAGTTCCAGGGCAGACTTTTATTTGATGATGTTCTTTCTGAGGAGAGTGTACTGGAGACAAAGAGAAGAGACACATGAATATGCGAATAATAGTATACTCAAGTGTAATATACTTTTTATAGAATGTTCCACTTTTTACAGGCGCTGCCTCTTCGCTGACAAATGGTGTTCTGCTTCCAGCTTCTTTCATTTGTTGCATCTTTTAAAAAGGAATTTAGATTCCTCAGAGCCAAGCTAGACATAAGGAGAAAAGATGTGTAAACAGAGATGTTTAAGCCTGCATCTGTCCCAATCACACTGCTGGTAGGGTTGGTGGATAATAAGCTATGGGGCAGTGGGAGAAAAAGTTTTAGCATCTCTCAGCCCATGTTATCCTTTTTCACTTAATACCAGACTCTCATTTTCTACATGACTGGGACAGATCTGGGTTTAAGTACACAGCCTGCCACCATCATGACTAGCTTTGCCTCTAATGAGAAATAGAATGAAAGGCCTCCAGCACAACAAAAGCCACTCCTTTTTCCGAAGCTGCATCATCTGGAATCCTTTCTCAAATTTGTTTGGCAGCCTGTAGTTAGTTAAATTGCAGGGAAATTATGGTGAAGGCACTGGAACAAATGTCAGCAGGTCTGTGATGTTTCTGATACTTCCACAGCTCTCCCACACTCCCGAGATCTTCAGCAACATACTACTATGGTAGTGCCATTGTGCTGAGATTATCATCTCTCAAGACGCTGTGTATAGCTGAATTAACTTGATTAATCAGTAGTGATGGCCAGTTGATATTCCTGGAGTCGCCTGCCTGTCACAGAGTGTGCCAAGATTGCACCCTTTTGCAGTTTGTAGACCACAAAACTGAAATACTAGTAATTAATGAGCACCAAATTAAACTATTTCCTTAACTGTTGGGCCTGAACTATTCTCTCACACTGAAATGAACTAATACAAACAATTTATAAACATTTCACAGGAATCTTAGAATAAATATCCACAAATATTTTAATATCATTTTATGAAATACGATCTAAATATATTTACTTAGGCTGCAATCCTGAACACAGTTACAGAGGGAACAGGCACAAAAGTGTTCTCTTGAGTTTCCACGAAATGTTATTCAAATGTCAGCACTTTGAATTGTGCCCAGAAATAAACAGGTAGCTTATTAAGCTATTGTAACATGTGCTGTCTATGGCAGGCTCTGGTCAATAGTCTGGCTACAGTACTGTGAAGCAGCTGAGGTTTTCAAACACTCTTCAAATACAGAACTAGTGGTTACAGCTGTCCTAACAATATAACCAAGGCATGTGTTGCCATGGCTAGATCTGACATCTAAGAATGGAAACAGTAGTCATACCTGGGCAAATACTCCTGGTCACTGTTCAAAACTGGTTTTACAAGTTCCGGGCTGAATCGAAGAATGCATCCAAATTATGACTGTGGGAACCTCTTTTTTTGCAGATTGAAATTCAGTTTATTTGCCCTCAACACGCCCATTGGGTTTGGACTTAGAATTTGAACAACTTCATTGAAATTAGATGGAAACAAGATATAGATTAGGGTGTCATCTGCATATTGGTGATACTGAACCCTCCAGACCTGGATAAACTCACCCAGTGGTTTCATGTAGATGTTAAATACCATGGAGGACAAGTTGAAACTTGAGGGACACCATAGGTCAGTAGCCAAGGCACTGAACAGGAGTTGCCCCAGCACCATTTTCAGGAACTGCCCCACCAAGTAGGACCAGAACAACCATAAAACAGGCTCCAAAGTTTCATCACAGCCATCCGGTCCAGAAACATAGCATGTGATGGTATGCAAAGCTACAAAGAGGTTGAGTAGAATCAACAGTGACTGTGACATACTCCCTCCGTCCAGTTCCTGGCAGAGATAATACACCAAGAGAACCAAAACTATATCTTATCTCATAACCTTTCAGGATTAACCTAGTCTTGTAACAGCTTATCAAAGATCATACCATATTATTATTGTACAAATAATACATTCTCAGAATGTTAATGTTCAAAACATTATCTAAAAGGTTATTCTAACACACACAAGATGGATGGACACACACACTTCAATAATTGATTCTGTAGTAACAACCACCAATGTGGCACACACATGCCATATGTAGTAATATTAAATAGGCACCCACAATCTTAAATTGGCACCAGTTCATTTAGTGAGAATTACTTCCAAAAAACTACAGGATCAGGGTGCAAGACATACAAATTATTTAAAAAGCCCTGTCATGGTCATGCAATAGGGCAATTTCAGTACACACACATTTAAAACATAGGCAAGTTAGGAGCAGGAACAATTGTTGGAAGTTTATTTCAAGCAGTGTTTTGCTTTGCTTGCTGAAACCCAAGCCTGTATAATCTAGTAGAATTAGACTGAACAGTATATATGTAACTGAGACACTAAAATGTTGTCAGATGCAGCAGAAAACAGATGTGGATTGTGCTCCCCACCTTACATGCCCTGTGTCAGAAGCCAAGCAGTACAAATAACCAATGATACAAGTGTTGCAAAAATTATACAGGCTGCTGGAAAAAGAGCAACATATTAACGGAGGTATTTGCAAATATCACAGACATTTCTATGCATCATACATCAATGAGCACAACCTTAAGGGGAAGGAGCAACATACAGTGGTGCCTCGCAAGACGGATAAGACGAAATTAATCCGTTCCGCGAGTCTCTTCGTCTTGCGGTTTTTTCGTCTTGCGAAGCACGGCTATTAGCGGCTTAGCGGCTATTAGCGGCTTAGCGGCTTTAAGAAAAAGGAAACAAACTCGCAAGAACTCGCAAGACGTTTCGCCCTGCGAAGCAAGCCCATAGGGAAATTCGTCTTGCGGAACGACTCAAAAAATGCAAAACCCTTTCGTCTAGTGAGTTTTTCGTCTTGCGAGGCATTCGTCTTGCGGGGCACCACTGTACAGTGGTACCTCGGGTTACATACGCTTCAGGTTACAGACTCCACTAACCCAGAAATATTACCTCAGGTTAAGAACTTTGCTTCAGGATGAGAACAGAAATCGTGCAGCGGCGGCGCAGCGGCGGAAGGAGGCCCCATTAGCTAAAGTGGTGCTTCAGGTCAAGAACAGTTTCAAGTTAAGAACAGACCTCCAGAACGAATTAAGTTCTTAACCCGAGATACCACTGTATAGCTTCAGCTAAAGAGGATGCACATCTATAACAAATGGTTTCTACAGAAAAGACTAAAAATTTAGACACTTCTAACATGTAAAAAATGTAACCATGCTACACTAGCGACATGAAGCGCTGCATATTTTGCCAGATACAAATAGAGCAGTCTGGCTACAGAATTTGTGAAAAGTCAATGGCTTAAGGGTTGCTTAGAATAAGCTCTGATTTTTACTCTTATTTTCATGTAGCATACAGCTGAATATTTATTTAGTTCATGTCATAATATGCCACCTTCCACTGATATGAAATAAATTCTTATTAATTTTGGAATATTGCTTATTAATTTTGGCATATTTATTTATTTATTTGTTGTACTGGTTTGTGTATTCTGACTAACATGAATCATCATTGCACATTACACCTGGGGAAAATGTTGAAGGAAGGGCACACTTCCCATCTAGTACTTTTATCAGTAATGTACCTGCCATATGTTGCATTTAGTCTTTGCCATGGTAGCACACAGCTAACACAACAACAAACATGATTCACTTCCCCTTCAAGTCTCTTTGACCGTGTCAGAACTGTAAGGGAAATTACATTTTAGCCACCATTTTAAATTGGGGGTGTCTTGAAAGCAGACCGCACAGTAAATCTGCAATACCTTTCCAATTCTATGGAACCACATAAACCAAAAAATCCGGTACAGTATATAATTTTTTGCCTGTGGCTTTTATGGCAACCCTTGAACTAATATATAGATCTCCTTGAAAAGCTTGCAGTGACTTGTATGCTGCTGTTTTTCCTGCCATACCTGTTTCATTTTTAACCATGGTTTAACACACAGTCCAGCAATTGCTGCACTAGGCATGTCCAAGCCTTCAGCATCAGGCCAGAAATAATAAATATGTGCTTCCCCTGAATTTTTAATTTTTGTTTTGCTGTATAGAAAGCAGGGGTGAGGTTGAGATCATGTAAAGAAACACAAATCTGACATCCTGCTAGAGCTGTCGAAAAAGAAGTGGCTCGTGGATCTATCAGAAGTGGATATGAAACTTTCAGCCTTGATTCTTCCAGTTCCCCTAACACACCTGATACTTAGAATGCAATTTACCTTTTTCTGCCAACAATTGCATTCCATAATGGCTGGCAGTTCCAGAGGTCAGATTAAAGATCCCAGCAACTCAACAATGCGGATCCTACTTAGATGCAACAGGAGAGAAGAATTGTGGCAGAGTCTGGGACAGGAGGGAAGCTGCAGGCAGAAAGGGGCATTTGACAGTTGCAGTCTCCAGACTCTATTTAGAAGGGGAAGTTTACAATGACTTTAACACCCCATTTTCACACAAGAAGATGTTTGTTATGTGGTACCTATTTCTTTACAGATTCCTCTCCTGTGAAAATGTCGTGTTAACCGTTGCAAATTGTTCTGCCTTATTTTTGTGTGTGTTAGGCTACTTTGAAATACTTTGACACTAGGGGGCAATATGTAATCAAACATTTCTTTTACCTAAATACTTTTCATTCTAAAGAAACAAATTTTGGTAGACACTAGTTGGGAGATGTACGGTTATTCACATCTGGGTTTATAAAATGTTTGTTTGTTTGTCAGTAAGTACTTTTTACTACATTCATAAATCAAAACTGTGCCCAAAAATCAATTACAAGAGAGTATATATAGACACCACAGTTCAGTGGATAAGTGGAGTTAAAAAGCACAAAGAGCCTATTCAGTCCATATCAAATTTTAAGCAGAAAGGATAGTCTATTCCTCACAAGTTTTCCTTACCTTGAGAAGCTATGCAGTATCTAGCAAAGGTTCAGATGATCCAAGGCTGCTGCTCCATATCTACCTCTCCAACGAACTCTCTGTCCTAAATTTTCATAGCAGAAATTTCAATTTGTGAGCTCACACCTGTACTATGGGGTGGGGGCAGGGACTACAGAGGTCCTTGGCTACAAAACAGGTCTGAATAATTATTTTTGCAATCCAGCATGTTTAATATTGTAAAATTATTGTTGAAATATCCATCTCTGTAAGGTAGTTGGAGTCAGGAGTCAATTGTCTGAGATGTCAAAACAGATATCTGAAATACCATGTTGATACTGAATATAGAAAGCAAAATGCCCAAGAAGTATCTGAGCATCTATGTGCAGTATAGATATATTCCTTATGCAAATATTAGCTTACTAGTTTACCTGTCTGAAAAATTATTGGAGAGAAATCCATGCATAGTTGATAGTAAGATTAGCTAGCTTACTTGCTAATGGTTGATGCAGGCACATGTTCCATTTGTCTTGTAAATGTTCCACTTCTAATACTTAATCTTCATATAGATGCTGACATTCTGAAGCACAGAGCAAGCCACTGTGATTGTTGGCATACTCCCGACAGCTTTCCCTGGATACTTCAAAATAGCAAAATGTACTGAACTAACAGCTTGTCTTTTGGGCACCATAGTAACATAGTTAAACTCTCTAAAACTGAGCTCAATACGAGTTAAGGTTTTTCAAATATGGCAGGCTAGAGAGAGGTTCTATCAACTGCTATAGTATTTGCAGGTGAGATAGGAATATGTTCCTATCCATCCACTTGTAGAAACATTGTTGATGGGCTATGCACACAATTTTCCTTTTGCTGAGTAGCCAACATTTCAACAACACACTATTAGAACAATTTGAAACAGAAACAGACTTGTTTCACAGTACTGCAGAATGAAATGAGAGCCTATAGGGGATGCCAGCTTTTCTGAGACATGTTGGAAAGTCAATTTGCTCCAGTCTCAAGAAACCAAAGTGAGGCAAACCTTTAAAAATGCTAAAATCCTGCTTTAGTAAAGCAGTACATAAAGTTTTTATGCCTTATGTGTTTCAGGTATAACTTGTCAGATGCAATGCTTGTTTTGTGTTTTTGTCATATCAAAGTTCTCTCCTTTTACAGAAAACTTCTGCTAACGAGACTTTTTGGTCTGCTCCAATAAAAAAAGTTAGTATAGTACCTTGAAGCTGCACTCTCTTCAGTGTCTTGAGGAAATTGGCAGTACCCTTCTTGCCTCCTCCACTGCTTTGAGGGCATTGTTATAATAATATATTATATACAGGATCCCCAGCAATATGATGAAGCATCCTTGCTGAGGCTAATTAGATCTAGGTTGGGTCAGTGCCTGGATGGAAGACTGTCTGAGAACAACATGCACACTCCCTTAAATTCTACAAAAACTAAAAATTGCAAGCAATACTCTCCATGAAGTATTGGACAGATAAGATGCGGGAGTCTGCTGTTACTGAGAATGAACGAGAATGCAGGAGGGCAATGAGCTTATTATTGATAGCCCAATCCATCTTTTAGGTTACATCTGAAGCAGTGCATCAACCAGCATCCTCATCTAAAATAGGACTGATGTACAGTGGTACCTCGGATTACATACGCTTCAGGTTAAATACACTTCAGGTTACAGACTCTGCTAACCCAGAAATATTACCTTGGGTTAAGAACTTTGCTTCAGGATGAGAACAGAAATTGTGCAGCAGCGGCAGCAGGAGGCCCCATTAGCTAAAGTGGTCTTCAGGTTAAGAACAGTTTCAGGTTAAGAACAGACCTCTAGAACGAATTAAGTTCTTAACCCGAGGTACCACTGTACTAGTTTACTTTGAGCAAAAATGAATTTGAGGTTACTTTTTTTTAGAGAGAGAAAGAGATGTATATTAGCAATCAAGAATTTGAGTCCCACATCAAATGAAAATGTACCTCTTAAAAAGTAAATGAAGCCCAATATAGGATACAACCATTTTAATAATTGGACAATTCAAAATAAGTGCAAAAAATACAAAAAATAATAAAGTGTAGTTTTATTTAGCATTTGGCACAAAGCATACAACAACCTTTTGATCCCTTCTCAGATTTAATACAGTTAGCAAGAAAAAGGCATACTAATACATTTAAGTTATACAGCTTATGAAATAGAGGAGCGGGATAGGGGAAGGCACTAGGAAGATCAAGTGCATGGAAAATATTGACTCCAAGTGCCTAGTGGTATTAAATTAAGGCACGACTACTCTAGGAAGTTTACTAGAAAAATCTAACTTTGTAGCTGCTTATTGTTTTTTGGAATGTACAAGTTTTTACTCAGTTTTAGGACCCAGATTCTACAGTTCTTTGAAATGGAATGATTGGCAATAGATATATTCATCTTAAGGTGGATGAATTTTCCACTTAAACAATAAAGATGAAACCATTCTTAAAATAAGTTGTTAACCTTTAAAACCACACATCAAAAATTACATCAATTTAGCTGAAAACATTTTACTCTGGAAACCTGGTTTTATAACTGCAGCAAGAAACAAGATCTGATTTGGGGGAAATAAACAGATTAAGTTCTTTTTGTAATATGTAAACTAATACAGTGTTATCATCCGAAATAATTAAATGCATACTTGACAAATGAATACTATTAATCTCAGAAGCTTTGCTACAATTATGTCTGGCATGATTCCACATTTACTCAAGTGACATTTTAAAGACTCCTATGCAGAAGAGCAAATGTGCATTAGATCTTTCCTACAGCTGGGAATTAGTGTCTTGCATTTTAAGATTCAGAGCGAGCAAGAGCAACCTTGCTTTTGAACACACTGTACCAGAGAAGACACCAAACAATTCATTCTATTCATTTCCCTTTCAAAAAAAAAAAATCTGGACAAAATGAGTGCAGTAAACAAAACAGATGCATATACATATAAATGCAATTCACATTTATGTTGCTACAAGTGTAAGCAAAAGCAATTCAGATTAATAGTGTTCTTCCAGGTGGGGTGGAACGCTGTTACTATTCAACAAGGGAAATAATTTTATGTTCGGCATAATCTTAAAAAGACACATTGATGCAGAACCAAATACTTTTAACCTAATGGATGATGCTGAGTAAATTTAAAGCTGGTGTTAAGCATTTTTACTGAGGTCAGTAACAGTAACTATTCAGTGCTAATTGTTCAATCATGTGCTGGCAATTAGAGAAATTCTATAATAGATTTCTATTGGTTTAAATTCAAGCACAGAAACACCACATTGTACTGTATGGAGCACCCCCACCGTTTAAAAATTTGATATAAAGATTAAGCTAAGTTTTTGAGAAAACGTTTCTTCAGATATGTATAATGCATGTGTTATGTTACAAATGGTGGTTAAACTTTGAAAACATAATTTTGTGCCATGACAAAAAAATAATAATGGGCAAAACATCAGCATATCTTATAGCATTACAATTGTGAAACAGCAACATATGAAGAAGGGGTACCTGGAAATGATTTACATAGTGCAAAGATTGGTGGTTCAAGAGCCTAGTATGTTTATGTAATCATTGGAGCCAACTTGGATCCTCCTTATAGCCTTACCTCAAGAGAGAACTACAATGTTCAATTTGCTACTGCATGCAAAAGAAGCCACAAGGTGGCCATCAAGGAACAGAGACCAATTCTTTGTGCCCTAGTTTCACAAATACACCAATTCCATGGTTTAATAATGTAGCAACTTAGTATCCATGTTCATGCACTTGTGCTTCTGTTATCTGGCAATTTGCCACGAAGGACTGAGTTCCATACATCACATCTTGCTGAAACATTCTTTTGCATTTGTCCAAACTTGAATTCCCTTCATAAGAAATAGGAAAAAAAACAACAAAGAAAATGCTGGTTTTGAAGCGAGCTTTCAAACTGACAGTTGGATAGAATCAACTACCCAAATCCATGCATCCATTTCCACTTAAAAATCCTGGGAATTTTACACATGATGGAGGAGCACAAATCTTACATTCATCAGGATTCAGGATTCATGCATGCTCTATGCTTAAGCACAAACAGAATGTTCCTATCCCCAGAGCATAACCGAATAGGGCTTTGGAAGCAGGCTACTGAGTAATGCAGAGAGGAGTATCCTGAGGCTTCCCTTCCTGAGGGCAGAAACATGTATTAAATCTTCATACTGTGCTTCCCAAGTTTAAAACATTAGTCCAACAGACTTACCTTTTTGCACATGCTGATCTGCATTACAGCATAACTTATCAGGGCCTCTTTCAAGTCATGGTTCTTTTGCTCTTTGAAGCGTTCAATATCAGTCCAGGCACTTTTCATAAAGTCACTGCAATAAATGGAAAACAAATTACTGCAAAAATTGCCTGCATCATGTAAGCCCAAACTATCAATCCTGTTATTTACTGGATGAACAATTGCCGCCATCCTACTCAATGTGAGAAGCAACTGTAGCTGCTCATGAGAAGGGGACATATTCAAGAAAGGTTGTGATTTTCAGTATTTTTTCAGGATTCCTTCTCTCATCTTTGCTCACTAATTGCAGTTGTGCATTTATCAATTTAATGTGTCATTAATTATCAATCCAGATTCTCCAATTAGCTCAACTGGGATCAGTTTTATATACAGGATTAAATTTTTGGATTAAAATACTGGATTAAAATTTTGGTGCCACATGACTACATGTAATTAATGCATTTTCCCCCCTCATGCTTCTTTTACTGCTCGAGGCTCAGATGGAGATCCGGACAGCTTGCTACTTGGAATTTTAACCTTTCACGGAAGTATTTTATTGCTGTGGATTCTGGAATGTGGAAACTATTTCCTAAGCAGCCTTGGGGATTAAAATACAACTTGGTGTCTAAATATACAAATATGGGTAAGGGGGTCGGGGAAGGAAGGAAATAAGCAAGGTGGTCTCCAGGAGTTCCCTCTTGTGTATTCTGCACTGTTTGTTCTTTGGAAAGTTTGGAATAGTTTTACTGGCCAGCTGATGGGAGTTAACATTTTAAGTATTTTATTTCTAAACTGAAAACTTGGTGCCTTTTTCAGTGACCAGATTGCATTTCCCAATCATTTTGACACAAAGCGTCAATGTCTCTAAACATTTTATGAACAGCAAGTATGCATAACAGTCATTATCGATCTATAACCAATGACTGTTCATCCAAACACTCAAAACTGTTCAGTGGATCAAAAAGGTATCATCCAACCAAGACCCCAAAGCTTGGAGGCAATACTTACATGTTTTAACTGTATCAGCTTTGCATTCTTGAATAGAAATGAATGGTAGACATTCATCCTATGCAAGAAAGAAAAGGGGCTGCAATAATACACTCCATTGTGGTGGAAACAAAACCTGTCCCCCTCTTCTACTTCTTATGACCTGACAGATTTTCATTGTCAGACCTTTTTCCAGATGAACTGTGTCAAGGACCTTGGAAGTCTACTGATCAGTCGAAAGGACTACATAGAGTAGCATTCTGTTCCCACAGTGTGCACACATTTAAATGGCTATGAAAAGCCCACAAGCAGAACATGCCTGCAATAGCACTCCCCGGCTCATGCTCCCCAGCAACCGGGGCTCTGAAGCACACTGCCTCTGATACTGGAAATAATAAACAGCCATCATTTTAATCCCCTTTTAAAAGCATTCCAGTTGGTCTCATCACTACATCTTCCAGTAGTGAATTCCAGTTTAATTATGTGCTGTGTGAAAAACCTCATTTTGTTTGTCCTGAGCCTTCCACTATTCAGCTTCACTGAATCAGCCCAGGTTCTAATATTGTGATAGACGGAGAAACACTTCTCTCCATCCACTTTCTTCACACCATGCATAATTTTATACTTCGCAACACTGCAAACTTTCCTTGTAACAGATTGCTCCAGCTTTTCGATTACGTTAGTTGTCATTTTCTGCACCTTTTCCAGCCTTATGAGGCTCTCAGACACAACTTTCCATTCAGGGAAAGGGGTTGCAATCCAAACTGACAGTTCTGTGAAATGAACAAGGTGTGTGGGGATGGAAGAGGAGGCAATTTTTGTCAATTCTCCCTGCATCTTCCCTTCTGTTCTGAAGAGTTTTCCAATCCTCCACAGAAGATTTTCAGGGGCACAATAAGTTGCAGCGGGAGGGAAAAACTGATGAGAAGCACCCTCCCTTCTGTGATGAATATTCCGTGAGCATGAGCCTACTCTCTGAATCCAACCCCAAACCATGTTCCCCACAGACCTGAACAGCATCTATTAATTTGCATGGCAAAAGTAAAATACAAACTTGCCCTTCATTAAATGGAATAGATTATTCAGGGTCATGTGTATGCTGCAATTCTGTGGGAGAGCAGAACTCCCAGCTTCCTGAGAATCTCAGCTTTCATTTTTAAAAGCAAAATTTGCTTGTGATTGCAAAGATCTGTTTGGAAGTGTCTGGGAAACATCTGCTGAAGCTTTCAAAGCCAGAGGGACTGCTGAAGGAGGGGGCCTTCAGTGTCCTATACAGTTCCTTGCCTCGTCTCATGGCTAACAAAGCCAGAATTATGCACAATAATAAAGATGGGGAGAATTCTGCTAAGAACTTGCTACCTATGCAAATAGACAAAATTTACATAATTCATGCAGGTCACAGAGAAATCCACTACTCTTGGCATGAAGCCTGATTTCCCTAGGTGCAGAATTTTTGTTTTTTTAAACCAAGATGTACAGATAACACAGAGCATATTGATCTTCTTAGCTGCAATCCTTACACAGGAAATCGTAAAAGCTGTTTTCCTCTGCAACAAATACACTGGTTTTGGAAATGTCAGCACTTATTTCCTAAGACTTTTGTTCCTAGCAAAAGATCATTCTGTTTGTTCACAAGTAGCCTGCTGATAAATCTAACCTTAATTGGAAGCTACCTATGCTTTCTATAAAATCTCAAAGGGATTTTTTTAGTTACCAAGTTTTCTCAGTGTGAAGAAGCATTATGTTTGTATTCTGCTCTGTGACAGAGAAGCCAGCCTGCTAAACGTATTACTATCTTAATAGAACACACACAATAAACCATGAAACATGCTTTGAAAGTGTTCAGCTTTCTCTCACGAGCAGTAGCTAAGAATATGGAGTGATAGCCAATGAAAGTCATACTATTCAATAGGGCTACTCTGACTAATACTGAATATGTTCTTTTTGCAAGTGAAAGATTTTGCAAAAACTCATAAACACCAGAAATATATAAAAGTTGTGTGACAGATCCCAGATAGCTGCTTCCCTCGTATTTAGCATTTAACAGATAACCAAAGTTTCCAAAGATAGTCAGATGCTTGCAGCATACTGTCAGCTTGCACAAATATGATTTTCACATCTACATTTTCTTTAAACATAATCAACAGTTACCGGCTTTCTAAATTCTTTGCTTTGAGCTGCTCCTCTCCATCACGTATCTGTTCTTCGAGCACTTTTATCTTTGCTTCTCTTTGTTCTGGGGTTTCCTGGCCAAACAGCTTGCTGGTCATTCCCTTCAAGGAGAATGTTCTTACAGTCTGAAAACAGTAAACATGTATTCTAGGAAATTTGCTTTTCTGGAGGGGAAGGTGTCCAAATACATGGATAAGGAAAGCTTATATGGCACACATAATTTCAAAATATTAAGCTGCGTATAAAATGTATTCTATTTTTATCCCAGCTGTCTTTCAAAGAGCTCAGTGACAAATTTGGTTCTTCCAAACCCTGATTTCCTCACAGCCACCCTGTGAAGCAGTTTAGGCTGACTGCCCCCAAGGACACCTAGTGCTCTTCACAGCCAAGGGGGAATTAGAACCTCCCTCATTCAAGTCAGACACTCGTAACAATGACACCATGTTGGATCTCACACTGTCTAAAAGAGACAGACTGTTAAACCTAAATCAAGATTTATTTATTTTTAACTATTTATCTTTACTTAATGCAGCATGGTACAACTCAGACCAAGAATATACTTCCGGCTTACACATTCCCATCCCTGGAGCCAACTGCCTGCTCCATTTCTGAGCAACTATAGTTGGACGAATTAGGCTAGCTTGGCAAACTAACGTTAAGCAGAAATAAAGATGAGAAACAGGGAAAGAAAGAGAAGCATAGAGCAAGTCCCCAGTCCTCCAAATAATGGTTCAGAGGATTCTGTGAAATGAACCAATGAAACAGTGGCTCCAACTCTAAAAAAACTATTACTGAATTTTGATTATAAGTACTCCTCTTTCAGTAGTCCATGTTTATAGCTGAATGTTTAGGTTAAAAGGGAGTTAAGCTACTCCATTTGTTTCAGAAAGATTTAAGTAACCATATGCAAGATTTCAGTCTTAGTGTTTTATTTTTTTACACACTGCTCTATTCCTGGTAGGGTCATGGAGTACCAGTATCAAACTTTATTTTGGTCACAGACCAGCATATGATAAAACATATGGATAAACTGAATACATAAGACTTAAAACAGGTAAGGGATAAAAACTAGTAATTAAAAGGAGATTATATCATACATACTTATGATTTACAATAAATGTAATATTTCCCATGGCTTATATCTTCCTTTCTATTCCTCCCCGACACGCATCCCTTCCATAACAGTTTTTTTAAAATGTGATTAAATTCCAAACAAACAGCTTCATGCCCCTTTGACTTACTCAAATGATCAACTCCATTCTCACAATCACCACAAACATATATGCTGTTAGACAAATAGAGCTATCCATAATAGTATTCTGAATGCAGTACTGTGCATTCTCAAAATCTTGCTAATGAGATAAACTATGGCGATGTCAATACCACCAAGTACACAGAACACTCCTGTTTATCCAAATTCACTGGGTGCCTCCCAGTCCACTGAACAAGGGAAGTTGTTCGATAATATTTTAAAATGTCTGAAAGTAAAAAGTTTCTCCCTCTCTCTCCTGCCTCCCTCTAAGTTCAAAAACTGCACTTTATCGAGCAGCATGTAACACACCCTTGTGGTCAACACATACATTTTCCACACAGAAGTTTTGCATGAACAGCATAAATCGCTGTGAAATAAATTACTAAGATCTACAACTTGAGTAAGACCCTTCACAAGTCTCCTGTCAGCAAGCAATACATTAATGCCATTTAGTGTAAGAACCTGGCTTTCTCCAATTCTAGATTTTGGAAAGGAAAGTGGAAAAAAAATGAAACCAGGCTTACTCCCGTCGCCAATTCCTCACATTGCTGCTTCTTCGATGTCAGATCCTGAGCAGCCATTTCCAATTCATACTGAAGAAGTTCATGCTTCCTGCAAACAGCTCTAAAAATAATTCAATAAAAGAGATTCATGTGCAACTGTTTAAATCAGATTTTTAATACACATCCTAACCAACATCTAGCCTGAATTTTAATAATCCCATCATCATTATTAATGCATTACTGATCCAATTTACATGCTAGGGAGAACTGTTCTCTCAATGTTGCTTTCAACTCACTTTTACAGCCATATGCACCTCTGTCACATCCCATACAACCACTTTTATGTGAGCCCCATTATTTCCCTATCACAAACAGATCTGGAGAAAAGGCTGAGAAAGCAACTTGTTCCAGAATTTCCTGCACAATAATCTTTTACGTTTGTAAACTGTTTACAAATGTGCTCAACTGCAATGCTTTAAACATAACTAGAATCATCATAGAAATTATGCTAATATGCTTACCGAAGAGCTTCTGCATAGAAGAGATATTCTTTCAGCTGGTCTGCATAATGTTCTTCCTCTTCTAGTATATCATCAATTGAAGCTGCATACCTACCAAAAGAGAGCATAACAGATAAAAGAGCCCCTGAAACTTCATCAGTGTTGTAAAATAATTATGTACTAGTCAAGAGACATATTTCTCACAACAACAAAATATATTGAAAAGGAACTTGTGAGAAATGCTCCTTAAAAGCCTTCCAAGCCATTGCTACGATAAATTGATAAATCTTATATTAGTAACATATTTCCTGCTAAAAAGAAAGCAGTTTTATTGCAAGGGAGGGAAACCCAATAAAATAGGTTAGAGTAGTTGACTGTCACTCTTTAGTCAAACAGGCAACTAAAAATATGAAATAAAAGATACGAACTGAATTTTACAAGACAACTATTACATTATGTTAGGTAGCCAATAAAGCAGAAGAATTTTGGTGCTCACCTACTGATCAAATACTATTATACCAAATAACTTTAAGAAATGTTGCAGTACAGCCAGAAAGGGGGTGGTGTTCTGCCAATTTGAAAAAGCTTCTCCAGTGCTTTCCAGGATGCAAAATGTTGAAGACACTTAAAAGAATGCTTAAAAGAATGCTTCTTGAAACTATAATCCTTGAGATGGAGGATCAGCTAACTTTGATAAGCAGGCTCTGGCTTCCTGAGAGCCTCAACTGTCACTCCAGGCATTACAGATGCAAAGACAGCCAGAGAGAAAAGCAGCTCGCAGCCCCCAACCCCTTCCATCACCATTATGGTCAAAGCCCCTGCTGTCTGCTTAAGCAGAGTTACACCATTTTAAGTCCCACTGGCTTCATAATGAGAGAGAATAAGCTTCAAGTTTTACCTTCCCGTACTGATCAATGCAAAATAAACACGTTGATAGCTCTGCCTAAATGATGTTGTTGTTCATGATGATGATGATGATGATTTTACATTATGATCCCTAAGTCCACCATAAGATCCCAGGTGAGTTACACCATTGAAACACAATATTTAAACAGTTAAAAACAACTTTCAATCACAAAAAGGTGGGTCCTAAAAATAGATGTATAATTTATGACAATATACACGTCAGATATCAACGGTCAAGGTAAAGAACATTCATTGGAAGATGTACAGTGAAGGTGCCAGACACACCACTGTTGGGAGGGAGTTCCACAGCTCAGGGGCTACCACAAAGAATGCTCTCTCACAGGTCTCCAGCCACTGAGGATGGAGGAACTACCAAGAGGGCACCCTCTGCCAATCTCATCACCCAAATCTGTAGGGAAAGAGGCAGTCTTTCAGATACCTGGGGCCTGAGTCAAGTAGGGCTTTAAACTGCAACATATTAGGATAACTGAAAATTCCTCAGATTTTAAATATCCTACAGAACCCATTTAAAAATTCAGGCAATAAATAGATATGACTTTTAAAAAAACAAACCCATAAAGTTATATAGTATCTATGGAACAGCTACTGCTGTCAAACAAATGGAGAACATCAGGTTTCATTCTACCAGTTTCTGGCATAGTAGCTTAAAGGAAACTCTGGAAGCGTTTCCAACTTCTTCTATAGTTTCAAAATAATAATAAAAAGAAATCCTTTTTAAGTCACCAGGGATTCCTTGGGCTACTTAATGCAACAGATTCTGAAGCAGTCCAAAGCTAAAGCCAATGAAATACTGAACAGCCTACAGTGCTATTTTTCAAAACACACCATCTTCTCAAAACTACATTTTCCTACACATGCACCCCTTCTTAATGTGTCCATCTGGATTCCATCAACTCTCAGATAGTCAATACTTACACATCCATGTGATGGCCAGCACTCTGCAGCCCATCCCCCATCTCCTTCTCTATTGCACTCCATTCACTAGAGACAAAAAAGAAAAGGAAAAAAAACCTTTAAATAAGAAACAACATAACACATGAAGGGTGAGAAAGTTAATAAGCTGCATCCTGTATGTAGTCTCTCCCCAGGTGGTATCTATGTGGAGAAACCTCCAAGTTATACTTGGCTAAACTGCTGTACTTCCTCCGAGCAAGCAGTAGTTCTGAATGCAAAATTTGAAAGTCTGTTATAAGATATGCTATCCTATCTTAAACACCACATGTAAAATATGACTTTTAAGAACTCCCAACAGTTTAAGGCCCCCAAAAGAAGCTTGTTTGAACATTTAAAACTGGAAAGCATCACCACGTCATTTTACTACACTTAAAAACAAATGACTTCCCAAAAGTTGGGGGAGAAGCACTCTTTCTCACCTTTATATTATTACTAAATTTCCTACTGAATAAAGCTTTAATTTTAAAAAGAAATATTTTCTCATCCATAGCCTGAAACATACTTTGATGGAGTTTGATTGTGTCTATTTGTTATCAGCAGATCCATAGCAGGATTTTAAAACAAAGATGGCACTTGCCTTTCAGCTCTACTAAATCAACCCTTCACCAAATATAGTCTGTTATTTTTTGGCAACATTGTGTCTACTGTCCATGAGTTTCAGTAATATTTTCTTAACGTCTTATATTATTTTGGTATGTTGTTTTATGCTAAAATCTCAATAACATTTTTAGTAAGATTACTGAAAACCTACAGAAATCTTGCAAAGAAACCAAGCACTCCAAAAACTAACGTGCAGTTCATCTTGTGTTCTATCTAGCATAATTACAGGAGTACTACTGATACAGTTTAGAGTTCTAAAATCAGAGATGCACATCTGCAATCAATTAGCCTAGTGGATTAAATGTGCCAGCTGCAGAACACAAAAAGGAGAATCAGATTCTTTAATTTTCCAGTAAGATGGCCAAGTTAAGTTCACAATCAGGCATACAAATCACAAAAGCTTATTGCTTCAGTCAGCTCTTGAAACAACTAAATATAGATCATCTTGGAAATTATCATGATGGTGGTTGGTTTCTTACGGCACTAAAAAGTCACCTGTCATTTAAGTCACATGCAATGTGATCAAAAGGTTCATGCTCTCTAGTCACGTTTCATGATGTCACAGTGTGGCTGGACTTTCTCCCAGGCTTTGCACAGAATAAGGTACAGGCAAAGTACTGCAAAGGGGATCTGCTAATAAGCTACCTCTTGCTTCCCTTTTCTTGATAGCTGGGAGGCAACAAAAGACACTCAAGTAGCAGTGGTTCTTAGCCTTCTGCAGTCATGAAACTTTTTCTTTTGATTCCTGAGACTTCAGCTCTAGCCCAGTCTGTAGTTTGTACCCTTGGATTGGAAGTAGCAACGTATTTTGTTGAACTCGATTAAAAAGGTGTTAGAGATGCTTTTCGGCAACATTTACTGACAAGAGCAAAACACAGAGTTTTTAAAGACTAAATTGCATGCGATACTAAACACATTGATGTTATATTACAAGCTGTTTAAGTGGTGTTAACAGTCACAGGGAGAAAACCTGATCAGGACTGAGACCACAGCATGAACAACGCCCCCACTCCACCTTTGGCCAAGCTTCTATTAGCCCTGGAAGCGAAGCACCCACTAGTCCCTTCCCTCCAACAGGTTTCATGTGAGAAAGGAGCCTTCTGTGGTGTGAAGATGCTTAGGATGTGAATCTCCCAACGACAGGAGCTCCATTTCCCCGCCCCAACTTTTATTCTGATACCAGCTAAAAACTTCACTGTCTGTCTCCCCTCACCACCTCTTGACTGTTTATCTACTGCTTTCCTGTTTTAAAAAGTTGTTTTATAGTTTTGTTTTTTATAGCTGATTTTGTCCAATATGAAATGGAGATGTGGGAATAAAATCTCACTCAATCAAGGGGTAAATTGCTTTCATATCTTACCTGAAAACTCTTCCATAATTCCCATGGACTTTGTACACACCATACAGCCGATCTGCCACTCTCTAAAGCAAGCAAGCAGTGGTCAGTTTTTCCAGACATTATTTAATTGAAGTGTTCTAGGAAAAGTGTGCCATATAAGATATCCACATTAACAAAACTCTATTCCACTTTTTACTTCTGGAATGCTAGCCTGAATTACATTAATAAAATACCAGGGGGCAAGAATTTTATTTTCTCTTCTCTTGTTGGTCTCTACCCAAACAAGAAAATGCTTATTTGAATTGCTTTCTCTTCATTGTTCCAATCCCATCATGATCCACCAAACTATATTCTTTTACATCATGCCTGCTTTGTTTGGTTTAAGACACCATTAATAGAAAATCTTGTCAATTTTTTTTAAAAAATGAATTACAATGTTATCCAAATGGTCAACGGCCTCCAAATGTAAGGATATCAGGACGGGATATGATGGCATTTGCAAAATAGTTGCTGACTCTTCTGTAATGTATCAGGTGTGAGTTTTTTGCCAGCCTTAATTGTAATTTTTGACAATATGCCCAGCACTGAAGTCTGGCTCACTTTCAAGACAAACTGAGCTTTCTGGAATAACAGAATTATATCAGCTCCTTACTAGTCCCTAATAAACAGCCTAAGACAGAAACAGACAACATGGAGACTATGGGCAGAATACAACCAAGTAGTACTGTTAGCACCCTTCCCAAATTTGCTCTGGAGGGTTGAGGGAAACCTGAAAACAGATTAAGGGGCAATCGGGATAGGAGGGGAAGTTCTGTTGCACAACCAGAAGTCCTTGTGCTAACAGAATTGCTTTATTAGTTACTGCCTTAAGTAGGTCAGCAATTGTATATTTAATTTTTCAGACCCATGATATCAGACCCTACACTTAAACCAATGGATATTCTTATGGGACCAAACAATTCCTTACATCACCCCCAAACACAAGGCAGAGGTTTATTCTGAAATAAATCTTCTCCCCAGCCCCACAACAAGCTAAAGAAGAAAAATGGGCACATGCGCTCACAGCACAGTCTGATGTTCTTATGGGAGGGATCAAAGCAAATCTAAGAGGTTGACCACTATACACAGTACAATGGATATGTGGGGTGCTGGGGTGGGACCCATAATAATCTAACTGGGAAACACAAAAAGAAGTATTTGACTAGCCACACCTCCCAAGGGGCGTCCTATTTTTGAGCACCATTTTTTTAATTTGTGAAATTGTTCCTGGTTTTTTTTACCCCTCACATCAGAGAACCACACTTAAAAATGTGTTTGTTCTTCCAACCTCTTGCTATTTCTTGAATTCTGGGACACAAAACAAAGGCACATTTTTTAGAAAAATAAATGGCCACTTCCAAAACCCAGCACTACAATCAAATCAGCTGCACATCAACAAGGGATAGATGGATTCTTTTATTGTACTTTAACCAATGTTGATAAATGTTACTCTCCATTAGAATCCAAGGAGGAAACACTTACAGCTCTGACTCTCAGAAGGTGTGATATGACAGACTGCAGCTCATCACTGTAGTGTTTAAGTTCTGTAAATCTCCTGGGAATGCAAAAACAGATAGCAGATCATTAGCAATCAGGAACACAAACTGCCATAAACTGTATGACAGCTTCAGAATGGAACAGTTTAAGGAAAAGATTGACTTGTTTAAGTAGAATTATCTCTAGCTTCCTGAAGTAGCAGCCATCAGCTAAAGTAAGGATTTGGCAGAACTTTTATTAATGCAAGGAAGAGCAAAACGAGGCCTTGGGTTTAACTACTAGCCTGTTCAGTATTCCATTTGGTCAGCTTGTAAAACAATTTATTTGGACAAAGAGATGCTGGAATGAAATGTAGTACCCTCATTTAGGCGCAATATTACATTTCAAGCACAAACCTCAGCAGTTTGAGACAGATGGAAAACAATACACTGACTTAAGCTACCAGTGCAAAGCAAGGGCTACACATTCACAACATGGTGAATTCAGTTAAAAAATACAGAAACATAAAAATCAGCTATCAACAGAAAAAAATTGGCCCTTCTTAAACCCTTTTTCAGAAGTGCTTTTGGTATGGTTCTGTAGATAATGACCACATTAAGAAAGGGGGGGGGATCAGACTCTTCCCCAAGTAGTGCTGACTGTGGAATGCTTCTTGGAGCAAACACAGTTAATAAAAATTGCTGAAAGATAGTTAGCTTGGGCAAGTTAGCTGTTTTCAAAGTGCAACTGCGTCTCAGCAAAATGAGTATTTTAAGGGTGCAGGCAGATGTAAGAATTTAAGAGCAGTCAGAAGTAGTGTTGCTGGAACTCTCAAAAAAGAAGTCTCAAAATTTATTTTTGCTAGCACACATTCATGAGTGCAGAGTCCTTCAAAATTTAGACTCAGTTCGACATGGGCTTGTTTTGACTCTTGCTACTACTGATTTCATCCCTTCCCTCAACTTACTCAGCTATGGCAAGGAAGGGCTTACAGTGCATCTGTAAATACTGCCACAGCACGCTCCAACAGAATCCAAAGGTTTCAGGAACCACAGGAAATGTTATCTATCACAGCAGTGCTTTCTTCAGCTGCACAACCTGTCAAGATTCTACCCAACCTACACTGCAATTAGGCTTGAAAAAAGTATTCAACAGAAAACTTTTTTCAAAGCCAACTGCAGCAGGAGAGGGGAGAAGAAGAGACACAGAGGGTTAAGTGCAGAAGTCTCGGGGCACATCCAACACAGACCAGCAACTCCCTGTTCCAATCTAAAGCCGGAGGCCACACTGCTATGGGAAAAGTTGCCAAAAATAAAGGATGAGAGGTAGTCCCCATCATCAGGAACATGACAAGGCCCGAACTTTAGCAAAGGCATAGACTTTGTGACTTTTGGGTATGGGATGGGGGAGGAAGGAGTGTGTGGTTGATGTCACAGGTGCTATCTAGTACCAGCTTTCAGCTACATGCCCATGAAAGAACACTGTATGTTTGTACGGAACTCAGTGAAAATACTGTATAGCTAGCCCTACTGTTCTAAAACAATTCCACATCTGTCTCCACACTAAACAAATGATTCTCATTGCCTGAAAATAGCTACCATTACTGTTAACCACGTGCAAGATTAATATATCAGAAAAATGAGAGAATTCTCCCCTCAGTTGGAGTTTGTTGATTTTGGGTTTTTGCCAGCATTTGAAATATAAGGGAAAGGACTAACTACAGTCCAATTTCCCATTCTTATAGCAACAGGGGACAAAGAGGACTGAAAAAGAGTAAGCAAGCATGGCTGAAATAAATGTAAAAGTGGTCTAGGGAATTGAAGGGAATTAGAGAGCACTGCCTTTATCAGCACATGGTTCAGCCAACACAAGCAGAGACACTAATTTCATCATGCAATATGTTGCCGTGTTCTGCATTTGCTTTTTGGAAAGTAGCTGCTGGAGTTGTATAGGAAACTAACTAAACGCTTTGAGCTTGGCAAATTTTGTTTTAAACTGTGAGTGACTGTGAGGGAAAGAGAGGGATTATGATACAAGAAAAGAGTTTAATTAATGCATCACTGAGATATTCTTTACTTTCCATCAGCAGGCCACAACATTTTCATCATCCCTCTTAGTCATTGCTTAGGACAGAAAGAGCTCTGTGCTTAGTTCAAGAACAACAGCAACAGCTAATATTTTGAAATGCTCGTTAGAAATCAGTTTCAAATTATTAAATCGAAAAGACTCTAGCTGAAAATATTTTAGTTACAACAACATTTCATCTTTTTACCAGTCAAAATTCCCAAGCCCTTCTCCTCAAAGTCTACTTCCTCTGCAAAAGACATGGAAAGAAATAGAACCATAGCCAGTCACCAAACCATAAAGCAGAAGGGAAAGTTATGTTTTGTATTTGTTGGTTGTATTTGTGAGAGATCATTTTAACTAGTCATGAAGTCATTTGAATACTGAGTTGCAGCATAAATGAGGGGCTCCCAAAATCACCCATGAAAAAATATCAAATTTGTAAGAGCTTTACAGCACCACCCTATACATGTATACTCAGAAGTCCAATGGAATTGAATTGGGCTTACTCCCAGTAGGGATAGGACAAGGGTGGGGAACCTGTGGCCCTCCAAATGCTGCTGTGACTCTAGCTCTCCGTCAGCCCCAAACAGTATGGCCAATGATCAGCACACCACTTGCACTTACATATTTTTGCATGCTCTATACTCTATTCACAATAAAGCAAAAGTTGGGCTTCCAGCTGCATCATTACCACATTATTCCTTTCACCCCTGGGTTTTCCCCTTTACTTTGGGAAAGCATAAGGATTTATTAGTAGATATACTGTGATCATCTCAATGACATACTATGACATTTAGAAAGCCTATCTGCTTACAGTTATCATTGGGTGGACATATGTCAAGGGAGGAAAGGGAGAGATGCATGTGTAGGAAATTATTACTGCGATGCAGGAGCATTTTCTGTATATAAACAAAAAGAACAACAACACTCTTTTAAAGAGTTGGGAGAGGGCAGAGAAGAAGCCCAAGGGATTTGGGAAAGGGAATGAGGATCACCTTTCAAATTTACATTGGGTGCTCTTTGGAGATAGGGTCAATAAACCAAGAGTGAAGGGAGAGAGACATCTCCAGCCCAAGGAACAGCTGTGAGTGGTGAGAGACTCTGCATTGGCCACTTGGTAATGGCTTTTTCCACCTGCCTTGCCCTACCCTCCAGTCATGGGGGTGGGGAGTGTGTGTGTATGAACTTAACAGTGCTTAGTTCATCTTTTGCTTGCTATTTTGTTAATGTTGTTAATATTTTTTTATAGATTATAAATGCCATATTGATTTGTTAATCATATGCCTTTTGCTTTAATTGTGATGATTGGCTTGTTCTAGTTGTTGCTTTGTTATAGACTACTATACTATTACTATACTATTGCTATTTTTAATTATTCCGTATGATTTATCCTGTACTTATGATGTTCTATTATGTTCTATCATATTATTGTTACTTATTGTTTGTAAGCCACTTTGGGATTCATCTGAATGAAAAACGGCACAGAAATGTAATAAACCAAACCAAACCAAATCAGAGTGTATATCAACAAGGAGGCGGCCTTGTAAGCAAATAAAAAATATTTACACATTAACTGTAACTCCCAATTGCAACACAAACTAAAAACACACACAACACACTTACCTGTCTGGGTTTTTCACTCTGAATGTTGCATTAAGGGCTTTTAACCTAGAATCTGCCTAATGAAGAACACACAAGACACTAATTTTATTCACTTAAATAAATTTAAAACACACATTTCAGAAGATTATCACCAGAATAAAATATGGTATCACTTGTGATTAAAAATGTACTAGAAGCAGTTATTGCAACAATATTTCAAGTTACATTTGAGTATAGAGGCCTAGCTATTACGTCACAAAACCTCTATGAACAGAAATGGGAAAGCTCAGTTGAGACTATTAATCTCAGGGTTGTGGCCTTGAGCCCCACGTTAGGTGAAAAATTCCTGCATTGCAGGTGGCTGGACTAAATGACCCTTGTGGTCCCTTCCAACTCTACAATCCTAGTCTTCAAATCTCTTTACAATATTATGCCAAAACTTTCAGTTACCAAAAATTAATTTTGAATATTGCTCCCCTCACATTAAATTATGAATCTGCAAATTAGGCTTACCCTTTGACAGAATGTCACATATTATAATAAAAAGGAGATAATTACCTTTAGCTGAAATCCTGTTTCATTCACCGTTTCCTTCCATCCACCTTCCTAGAAAAGGAAATTTCATTTCAACTTTAATTTCAATTTAATTTTTCAATGCATTATAAATGTGTGAGTGCTGCCTTTGTAACACCACTGGTCCAACACAAAAAAGTGCTAGCATTTTACTGTATTGTGTTTTTAAGCTACAGTAAGTTGCCCTGAGTGGGCACTAGGACGACGGGATAGAAATGTTTATATAAATAAATAGGCATCTGCATATATAAGACAGGCTTGCAAATAAATCCACAAGAGCTACCAGCCCACAGAACTTTTCATTATCCCATCTGCTCATGCTTACCAATTGTTTAAAAAACCCACCTCTGCTCCAATTTACAATGATTTCCTACCTGTCACCTGGAATCAATTTCTACCCTCTTCATATGAGTAGGCAAATGGGTATTTACCAGTCTGGTATAAGAGCCAGGATATGTATTACTTCCTTCATTATTCTCATAAAACACATTCTAGCAATGCCTGTTCAGAAATCTGAAGGCTCTCTGGTGGCTCCATGCAAAAAACGAGTCACACTCAGAAAGAGAAGAGTTAATGGCCAGTTCTGATATTTTTATTTTAAAAGATTTATCAACTGCTCACATTCCAAAAATATCACAGTAGTGTACAGAAAACTATTGCTCTATCCAGTTACTTCTGTGGCTGTTAATCTTTCCCACTTCACCCTTTTCCCAACAGCTAGAAAAGACCAGTCACCAGAAAAATAACAGAGCAGGCTAGCAGCCCTCCTTTTTCAGTTATGACATCGAGACACTTCAGCTTTGCCTACAGGGCAAATGCAATAAACAATCCTGAAAATCTTTCAACAGGCAGGACTGGACAGCTATTTATATGGATTTGATATACTACAGAACAAGATGAAAATGGGGCGCTTCCATTACTCAAATTCAACTATCAAAAGCCTACAGTAGATTTTTCTTGTTACATTATCCTGCCCAATACACTGCTGGGCATCAAGCAATGGCTTTTCCCACCTGACTTGTCCCACCCTCCAACCCTAGGAGACGTTTTCAGACTATGACTTTAAGAACAGGAGAAGCAGCTGGGAAGAGAAACGAGGACTTAAGGTATTTTTAAAAAACAAAACAAAAAACCCCAACAATTTTATAAGTTATGTGTCTTTGTTTTCAATTTGATCCTTTTTACATGGCTTTGTATGTACTGTGGCATTTTATGCAGCGTGACTTGCTGTTTTTAAATTGACTATAGTTTAGTAATTATTTATTATAATTGTTAGTGAATTTCTGTTTTTTATTTGCTGATATTTAATTTTATTGTTTTCTATTGCATTCTAATGGATTACTGAATATTACTTTATTTGATATACGTTGTTTATTTTAAATTTATGTTTTCATTATGACTTTTTTGTTATAAGATCTTTGTTGCATATTTTCTTCAGCTTGTAAACCGCTTTGTGTAGAGCAGTATAGAAAGAGGGTATACAAATCAAAGGTGAAATGAAACAAAGTTATCTCCTTTCCAAAAAGTCCAGGAAACTTTCAGAAGCAGCACTCCAGTATGTCCATGTAGTATCACTTACGTACTGCTGCTAAAGGAGATATCTGCTTGATGGTCAGAAGAAGCCATTTCCAGCACAACAGAAGAGAGGCAACAGAGGCCAACAGCAGGTGAACAAGGCCTGACAGATTTCATTAACCGTATCCAGTAATCAGTTTATGAGTTGAAGTGCATTACACTAATGTTTATTTTTCAATTAAACTGAAGGATCAAATCCAAGCAACTAGGGGAATAAAACATCTATCCCCTAAAAGTGGACTGGAAAATAAACCAGTAAACAACATGAACATGAGTAGAAGTAATATTACATGCTTTAAACAAAAAACAGGCTTCTATTCGATGTCTATAGTTGTTGGATCTCAGACAGAGCAATGCAGATATTTGCCTTGTACTGTATTAGACCACTGGTCCACTTAACTCAGTATTGCCAACAGTGCAGGGCTGAGAAAGAGTCCTGCATGAAGTCCCAAATATCTGTTCTAGTCAGTGTAGACTCTACACTAACTGGCAACAGATTTCCAGAACTTCACACAGGTGTTTCCTACTCAAAGAGAAGCCACTAATTGAATCTAGAACCTTTTGCAAGCAAAGCATGCACTCTGTCATTGAGTTACAGCCCCACAATTCTTACATAATCTGATGCATTTATCATGAATTAGAATTAAGGTGGGAAAGTTTTTTTAAAAATCCTGCAGACAGAATTAAGGTACCTTGGTTAAAAATGCATTAAAAATCTTCTCCTGACAAAGAATGGGATGTGAAGCCACCCGCAAAAGGAAGTTTTCCAAGCCAATTCTTCTTCTTTCCACAAAATCTGGATCCATGTTATCTGCTGCTAGCTTATGCCAAACAAACTCTGCCTGTGAAACAAGGGGATGTGTTAAGAGCATGATTGTGTATACTTCACACTTACATGTTTTCCATTTCTACAAATTATGTGAATTAAGTATATAAGCAGCTATGTTTGCTTTACATAATTTATTCTGGGGCAAAGGCACAGAAACCTTATGCTCTGGTGACTGAAAATGCTGCTACAGTTCAGTTCCTCCGTCTTGAAATTTCACTAGGCACTGCCCATACTTGTGTAAACATATCTTCACAACCTTCTGAGGTCACCAGCTTTTTGGGGATCCTGGGTATATTTGGAATGTTGAGTGTGTGCTTTGAGAACCACATCTTCTGGCTGCTTCTCTCCCTACTAACCCAGGTCTCTCTTACATTCATATATATGCCCCAGAAAGAGAGAAAGCACACACACAACACTTGTTTTTCCCCCATGTGGTTTGGGTAAAAGCTGGATCTAGTAGTACTGCGTGATCTTACATGGAGTCCACCCAAAAACCACCAAATTAAGGTTTATGTTGGTAGACAGCAAAATAAAAATAGGTGTCAGTAATAAAACAATAATGATGCAAGGCATGAGTGATCATTATTATCATTATTTTACATTAGATGACAACAAAGCCACCATCAAATCACAGAATACATCTACAGTCATATATCTGACCTATGAGTTGATGGTGATTTTGAGAGAATTCCTAGTAAAACTGAGGATCTGTGCTGTGGATCTGCATTTTTGCACCACAGCAGCACTGAAAAGCACTGGATCCATGTTTTTTTACAGCTTGGTCAATGGAAACAGAAATCATGTGTGATATAATGGTGGTCTGATGAGAAACTTGTAAAAAATAATAATACAAGAGGATCAGTTTTACTAGATCCAATGTATGTACATGTGTCCCCCCCCCTTTGATTCCTGTGGCACCCCTGGTTGCTACCCCTGGTTTCTCCATTTTTCTCACCTGCTTCCCATACTGCTCCCCTTTCCCTCCTAACTCCCACAGATTACCAAGCTTTGTGTTCAATTCCTGGTCTAAGCATTAAAAAGCACATAAAGCTGAAAAAGGAAGTGGGAAATAGTGTTGCTCTTCCAACTTCTTCATTTAGCCATATGTACTTTTAGAATAAAACACAGTACCCATCCACACCACATGACAAAAGGGGGCAGAAAGCATGTCTATATATGGTGGTGGGGAGGCACAGAGGTTTTGCCAGGGAAAATTTACAAGGGTATCATTGTTCCCATGGACTCCACACTGGCAACCCCAAAAGGCTGCTTTAAAAAAAAACCAGCTTAGTACAATACTGGATGAATGCTAGTGTGGATATTGCGTCAAGAAAGATGGAAAAACAGAATGAGATGAAGTTGCAACATTTTCTTACCCTTTTTTCTGGCAAAGGTGGCACAATAACATGTGGGTAGTTAACTAGCAAATAATTCCTCAACAATTCAAATTCACTGTATCGCCTCCAAAGAGAATCTGGGGGAGAACATTGCCCTTCAGCCTGCGACTCCACAGCCCTGAAAGACATCAGATCATAATTTTGAAGAGAGAATGCTAAAGATCAGTACAAGGTCTTAGTCTTCAAGCTATACACAATTTGCTAAGAAATGTTATTTTGTGGGTTTTGCAATGGCCTTTATAGAGATACTATATGGGGTTCTGAACTGTGAGAAAACAAATAATGCCAAAGATTCCAACTGTGACGTTTCACTGGTATTGCTATATGAACCTTTTAAAAATGCAGTGGTCATTCTCACCTTACTAAGTGCTTCTGGCCATTTTTGTATATCCGGTGTACTTACTTCATTTAAAATGTTTCTATATTTTAGTGCAAGATTGAGTTGTGAAACAGTGTACGTATACATAAAGCAAGAAGTACCATAAGCTGGAACAGAAACAACTATAATGATATGCACCATGTTAAATATTCACCTAAAATGTTACTGAGGTTCCATGCCTATGAGATAACATACATATATCAGGATATGTACACCCTTGGCTACTATTGGGAACTGACATAAAGCCAGCAGGGAAAGCAAAGGAATATGGAAAATGCAAATTTTGGCTTTGCTAGCATGACCAGCCAAAAATGGTAAGCACTTGAGTTAAATATATAAAATAGATGGCATCCAATGCAGTGAAAGTATGCTCAGACACAATGGGAATTCTGCCTCACTTTCCTCCCTACTGCTGTCCTGTAACAGACTCTCCTGTCATTGCAGTAAATACAATGAAGAGACAGTGGGAACCTATATCTGTGGTCTTGCTTGGTACTTTTATTTATTAACAAAAGCATAGGTTCAGAAAGAGAGATTAAAATGGAAGGCTGAGATTCTGCACTACAATGGAGACAAGGTAGGGAAAATTGCAGGTATTTTTATTCTTGAAGAATATTTTTCCATCTGGCTGCATTAAGTGGCCATAAAATATCACTAATGTGAGAATACTTCTCCCCAGGAGGTTTACTCCACAAAAGGAAGTTAAACCCACAAAAGGTACTCATTATGCTGAATGCCTTCATCATCATTTGATTCTTGCAGCCACATTATAAACTTCATCTCTAAACACAAGTTCTGCAATCCCTGCCTCAATTAAGATGATAATCACTTGCTGACATTCGGTCTAACTTTTCAATTTATTATTGGTTTTGAAACATTACGATGCTTGTCAAGTGTTCTGACAAGAAAACCATATGCTTTCCCACTTAATAAAGCAGTAACAATGGTCCTTGCCATGAGCTGAAGCAAAATGCCTGGGGGAAAAGTTAAGGAAAAGGTTATACCTCTGAATTTCCACCATTTAATGGTGTAAGTGATTAAGATACTGAATTACTCTAAACCCACATTTATTTACCTTAGTGAGAAATGCCAAACTGAACCAATGGGTGGAGAAGATCCATCAATTCTCATTGCTATATAAAACTACAGTGGTGCCCCGCAAGACGAATGCCTCGCAAGACGGAAAACTCGCTAGACGAAAGAGTTTTCCGTTTTGGAGGTGCTTCGCAAAACGAATCTGCTATGGGCTTGCTTCGCAAGACGAAAATGTCTTGCGAGTTCCTGCGGTTTTTTTTCCTTTTCCCCCCCTTTTTCTAAGCCGCTAAGCCGCTTATCTGCTTATCTGATAAGCTGATAAGCCGCTAAAAGCCGCTAATAGCGCTAATCCGCTAATCCGTCAATGGGCTTGCTTCACAAGACGAAAAAACCGCTAGACGAAGAGACTCACAGAACGGATTCTTTTCGTCTTGCGAGGCACCACTGTATCTATCTGAAAATGGGCCGTTAAACAGAAAGAACCTATAAATTAGTAAAACACAAGAAGGACATTGTTTATTTCCCAATTTAAAAAACCACCTTTTGACTGGATGACTTACATGGTTAGGCTTGGTTCACACACTTTTAATACAAGTTTACAAATGAATTATTCAATGTTTAGAAGGGGCACAGGCATATTACCATTATTCCATGAGAATAAAAGTTACGTTTTGCCGAATACTTAGCCAAATGATTGTATTTGTGTGCCTTTCTCCAAAGAAGAATATATTTAAGGGATCCAGTAGTCCAACAGCTATTTAAAATCCTTCTAGACCAGCGTCCTGGTAAATATTATAGGTGCCCAAAATTATTTGAATATGAAATACAGAAAAGGGTATTTGACTGCTAAAGCAGACAGATAAGCAATGAATAAAGGATAATGCAGCAGGTCCTTCCCACCTTAGGATCAGTGTTTTTTACCTACTCATAAATCTCTTTTCTCTTCCTTGCTCCACTGAAGTTGTGAAAAGGCTGGCATATCAAAGGAAATGATAAGAGCTGTCCAATTCTCTACTTGAATTAGGAAGAACTTAAGTACTTAGTAAGATATTTGAAAGGCAGTCCAATATAATAAACTCCATACTTTAACATAAGAAGAGGAATTTTACATTGACAAATAGGTTGCACACAACTGTAATCTAGAGGTGTCAAGCAACATGCTTTTGTAAACTTTGTTTAAAAAAAAAAGCCAAACCCAATACTCCTCATTTCTAACACACAAACAATTCAATACACTATAACCATTTCTGCCACACTGTTTATGCTTGCCCCATTGCTCTATATACAAAGCCAAGCACACACCAAAAGTGATGTATAAATAACGAACAGCAGCAGTATGGGAATACAAGATGTGTATTATACCCTGTAGAACAATTACAACTTGTTTCATTTCCTTAATGTTCCAACAGTCAAGAGACTATGCTAGAACCCTTTGGCATGGGGAGGGTCTACTGGGAAGCCCATTTGAGACCACTGGATGTAAGTTCTCAATTTTTACTGCCAACCATGTCTCTTTCAGTCCTTATTACTTACTATTAAGCAAGTCTTCAAACCTCCTCTTCCCCTAGGATAGTTTTTATTTCACAGATTTATCTGAAGATGATTTAATAAAGTTACCAGCAAGACCAGGGAATCAGCGAAACAGCTACAATTGTCCCTCTGGGAACTGCACATCTGTACTAAGCAATGACTTAGATTAGCATTATGTGTGAACTGCATCATTGTCAGCGTTCAAGTTAGCAATTCTCTTATACAGATAGATCCTTTTAACTAGTCCTGTTCTGACCCAATGTGCAGATCACTTGTAATAAAGACAGCTTGTTAATATTTTTTGGATTGTTAAAAAACAAGTCCACAGAACTTGAATTCTCATTTAGATTTTGTTATTTTAATTGATTTTAATTTAATTTTTATTTTGGTGTTTTAAATCGCAGCAAATCTAGCCTCTCTAACTGCACAGAGCTAGCAAAGGGCACATGTTACTTAAGAAATTCTTAATATGTTTAAATTCAAATAACTTGGAACCTTAACAGATCAATCCTGTCTACTCAGCAGCAAGTCCTGCTGAGTTCAATAAAGCCTACTTCCAGGTAAGTGGATTTAGGATAGAAGTCTAAGTGATTACTCATGAAACACTGGGAACTCAGCAACTGCAGATAGGAAGCATCATGACCACATTTACTATTAGGGGAAGGCTGGAGAATCTTTTTCCTGCTGCAGCTACATTCCCTCAGTGATTATGTGCCAGGAATCTTACCCCAGCAGTGGGCAGGACAGAAGCCAGTGACAAGTGGTACTAGAGCAAAAGTAGACATGACTGTTCCTTTTCTCTCTCTTTGTGCCCACCTCTTTTCCCACCTCCCTCTCCCCTGTTACCCTCCAGCCTGCCCCCAGTCACCCTCCTTGCCACACATAAGAAATTAGTGCAAGGGATACATGAAATTAAGCTGAAGGTCAAAAATTGCCTGTCCCTGTATTAGACAAATAAGGGATCTTATTTTAAAACTGAAAAATCCACAAGTTACTGATTTAACCCATTCTCATTCAAAGCAAAACTTATCCACACTACATTTTTCTGAGTATATCAACTTTAGTAAATTTAACCTAGCTTTGGAGGTTTATTTTTTAGTGATGGAGATACAATGGGCTGATCACCATATATTGATTTTATAGTATCATCCAGCACTGAACTTCAAGAAACAAACAAACAAACAAACAAGAAAGGACTCTCTTGTTTCCAGCAGTCAGAATTAGCCACTGCTCTCGATCTCCAGTTCAAAATAATCTTAGATAAGCAAAGCTGATACAAAATTCATTTATAATAAGGGCTTAAGCAATTCACCAATATTGCTAATTAATAAGATATGAAGAAATAATGTTTGAGATGCTGTAGAAAGGGGAAAACCCTACCATCTGCGCCACAGTGTAGCTAAAAGGTCAACAGGGTAGCAAGGCAGTTTTTTCAGCAGATGAACAGGACTATTAGGATTGAAAACAATAGTCTAGAACGCTCATTTTATTGAACAGAGAAAAATAGTACCTGTGTATTATTTGCAAAAAAATAAATAAAGCTGTGTTAGAGAGGGTGCTACAGTAAGCCTGAACAGCTTGGTTAATAATGTACAAAGGGCCACAACAGTCAACCAACATTTATATGCAAATGCTTCCAGAATGCGTGGTCAGCTAGCTATGTTGAGCTTATATATGGCTACTGATACTAGCATTTTGAATTCTTGTCAGTAGAGTAACTAAACAAGAAGAGACACAAAGATTAAATCTATACAATCTATTTCAGAGTACTAAAGAATTCTGTGGAATACATACAACCCTCGGCTCATAGATTCACCTACAAGTAGGCTAATATGAATTGTCCTTCAAGTATATGTTTCCGTAGTCATCCAAAAGCAGCCATAGAATACTGCAATGTAACTGGCCCTTAAACTACTGGAGAAGAGCCAATCAGATAACTAACCTTGGTTGAATGCTCTTTTACCCACCTTGTTTCCACGAGGTAAGCAGTGTAAGTTTCCTGCATGTTCATGGCATTCCGTCCAGTCCGTTTCTCTGCTTCTGCAACACTAATTTCTATTTTCTTCAATAAGCAATCTTCCATCATCTTTTTACGAAGAGAGAGAGAGAGAGAGGATATTAGTAAGCATTGCACAAGACAAAAACAACTATCAACTCCTTTTGAATTCTGATTCTTCAAAATGGCAGAGAACAATTTAGTTTCGTACTCTTCATTGGTGCCAATATGAAGGGGGAGGTAGGCTGTATGCCGGAGCCGCCTTCTACTTTCTGGATCCAGCACAGATTCAATTCCTGGAATAGCCAGGCTAACTTCCTGGTGAAGGAATGGCCGTGTAAGTATAGGTCATTAAGGTAACAAAGGAAGTGACTTTGTGGTAATTGGAGAAGCAAGACCCTCTTGGGGTATTAATGCTGTGAGCCCCTCCATAGTAGGCCCAGGTTGCATATATGTGTAAATAAACCATATATCATAAAGACACTAGAGTCTCTACTGTACCTCATTCTGAAGGAATCAAGAACCCTGGGTAAGTGTGTAGAACCTGTGGAATCTCATACCACTCAAGAGATTGGGGTAGTGTGCAACAGATTGTTAGACTCTAACCCTAACATTATAGTCTTATTCTTCTGCTTTAACTATATCAGAAAAACTGCCATAGTACCCTATTTGTCTTTTAACTACACCAACAATGAGCAATGGTAGGTAGGTGCATACTGTACACTGAAGCTTATGGCACAGCAGAAGCTTTCTCATATTGTACCACATGCTATTCTTATGTGGAAGAAAATAAAGAATTAAAAACGGGGGACTTTCCAGCATTCCCTTTGTGTTTCTGCTTGCTTGGACCGTCATAAAGTTAATACACTTCTTACATACAATCTTGCCAGTGAAGAGCTGCTTCAGCTATTAAGTATTAAAAAGGAAAGCTCCACATGTACATGTGGAGAGGAGTCATGACTGGCCATGCCTCCTCGCCATATATGCACCATTTATGTGCAGTAATACATATGTATGTAGTACTTCAAATATGACAGCAAGTACACATACTGTATGCTCAGTGATAGGTGAAGTAGCCATAATCCTACTTTTTCACCTTAGTCTGTTAGCTTCCCAATCTTTATCCCCTCCTCAAATGCTGGTGCTCATGTGCATGTTCACAATCACTTAGTTCAAATGTTGCTACCATTTCATATCCACAAGCCAGCTGGTATAAGATGTCCCTCTCTTTCCTATAGTATATTTCAGTCCCAATTTTTGTCACTAAATAGCCAAGCCAGATGGCAAAGTAAGTTAAACTAGAGAGAACTAGATCTAATAGGCCAAAAATACAGAAGGGCAGCCCTGTATAGGGAAGTTTTTAATGTTTGATGTTATGCTTTTATACTTGTTGGAAGCAACAAAACTGATGCGCAGGGTACTATTATTATATTATTTCAGTTGGCCATTTAGAGAATGGGTTATGGGGTGTTAGCAGAATGATAGTACCTACGGAGGGGGACACATTGTGCTCCTTCTTGGGTAGTTAATCCCCACCCTGCACTCAGCTCTCATCTGTGGCTCTGTGTCAGCATGTGACAAGTACCACACACAGAGAACAACTTCAAGTGGCTGGCTAAAATAGGTAAAGATAGCTGAGGGGTCTCAACCCCTCAGTGAGTTAGGGACTTCCTTGCATGTGTAGACAGGGTCTGACAGATTGAGCGGATGAGGCAAACAGTGGGTCCAAAGGTCAATAAGGTGGTTTCTGCACATACTGTAGAGGGAAGTGAGGGTCAAAAGGGGCTCGTCAACCTGGGAAGGTTGAAACCAATGAAACTTACTTCAGAGTACACATGCCATAAGTGGTGCTGTACATTACCACAAGTAGTGCTTTAAATTAAACCTCTGCTTGAATACACACACTAGAGTAACAAGTTTCAGCCTATTTTGATCCAGGGTCTACCTTTAACCAAGGCATGAATCTGGGAACCCACTTACATTTTTAAAGCATGTACCGTATTTGTAGGGCAGTAGTGCAGCTCTTGCAACCCACCTTAGAACATGTTGTGACCCTGAAGTGGGTCCTAGCTCACCAGCTAAAGACCAATGCAACAGTGTGCCTTAGGCAGACCACCTGCTTCAGTTAGTATTATTTATTCAATCCGCATTATCATCCTTCATCCAAATATCACAACACAAAAACACGAAAAGAGGCACAAAATACATAACAAAGCAGAAATGAACCAGGAACATGGAGATGGTGGTGCCTTGCAAAGTGCTCTGCACACTACAGTGGTGCTTCTGGTTACGTACTTAATTCTTTCCAGATGTCTGTTCTTAACCTGAAACTGTTCTTAACCTGAGGGACCACTTTAGCTAATGGGGCCTCCCGCCGCTGCGTGATTTCTGTTCTCATCCTGAAGCAAAGTTCTTAACCCAAGGTTAGCAGGTTTTCTGGGTTAGCAGAGTCTGTAACCTGAAGCATATGTAACCTGAAGCGTATGTAACCCGAGGTACCACTGTACTGCCAAGTCTTTACCATCGTTATTGTCAACCCCTGAATTCCTAGGAGGGTTAAGAGGAGGACGGCAGTTCTGAGGGCGCTGAGGGAATTTTGTCAACAATGACGGATACAGTAGAATCTTTATTTGCATCAGCCACTAGCCATAGCAATAAAATAAAATGTACTGAAGAGAAGAGGTAAAAACTTTGGGGGTTTACATTAATAATCAAATAATAGATCTTATTCTAATTGCCCCCGCAATTTGATTTCGTTAACCGTGACAGAGGAGAGGGGTTTCAGCTGGAGAGGCTTTCCTCACCTGTGCACGCTCAGCTGCACCTGCCAGAACTCCCAGCGGAGAAAAACTCTTTAGAGCCCAGAGGTTCCCCCTCCCTGCTTCTCAACGGTTAACGCCCGCGGGACCCCCCCCCCTCCCACCCACATCATGCAACTAACCCTCCCGAGTCCCCACCCCAGCCCCCCAGCTCAAACCCAGCCTCCCTCTGCCCCCACCCACCCCCTTTCCCGCCCTCTCAGGCCCTCCACCAACACGCCCGCCTCTTGCCCTGCCGCCCTTCCCCTTCTCCGCCGGGGAAGCGGGACTAGGGCGAGGGCCGCGGCCTAACTGCCCTCCTGGTCCCCGGGAGCGGCGCAGCTCCCCTCACCGCGTAAGTGGCCGGGGAGGCGGCCGCCGCCGCCTCGTCGTCTTCCTCCTCCTCAGGCCCGGGGCCTCCGGGAGACTCGGGCTCCTCGCCTTCCTGGCTGCTGGTGCTGCTGGTGCTGCCGCCGCCGCTGCTGCTCCCGCCGCCAGGGCTCTCGGCACCGGGATGCTCCATGGAGGACACAAGGGGGGAAAGGGACGCGGAGACTCCACCGCGCAGGCGCGGAAGGCTCCCTGCCTGAGGTAACTACGCGGAAGGCGGAAGGAGGGAGTGGGCGGGGAGAAGGGGGCGTGTCTTCCCCGATAGGTGGTACAGTAGTCTCTCTCTCTTTCTCTCTCTCTCTCTCTCTCTCTCTCTCTCTCTCCCTCTCCCCGCCCCCTAAGCCCAAGCCCTTTCACGCAGCTCTACTGAAAACGTGAAGTGGAACGCACTCCTTGAGAAGGAGTAGTACCCGCTAGTATGCTCTCTCCCCCGCCCCAGACCTTCCTTGGAGGTTTTTAAGCAGAGATCTGTCATGTTGAGATCCCTCGCAGCGCAGGGGGTTGGGCTAGATGACTCTGGGGGTCTCTCCCAGCTCTACTATTCTGTGATCGTATGGTCCTCGGCACCACTAAGGCGAGATTTGCACCGCTTGATCACCCGGGTGCTGTGCATGTTTCGGTGAGACTTTGCTAGCATCAGTGGTCACTGACTTGAAGCCTGTATATCTTGTTGCGTGCATGTTGTTGCTCAGAAGTTGCGTCTTGGCAAATCCCAGTGGGGCTCGCAAGCAGCCTGACTCATTGGCTACAGTGAGAGATACTCTCCTTGGGTAACTTCCGCCCCACCGACGCCTCCCGCCGTCCAGGTTTTTTTTGCATGTCTAATCGAAGCTCCGGAAGTGAATTCCACCTTATTTGGTGGGGCTTACTATCTAGTAAACGTGTTTAGGCTTTATGTGTTTTCTCAGGCTGTAATACGATATACTGTACACTGGGATTAATGGGAGAATCAGTAAAGAAGAGAGGGTGTGTACCTTTGCATGTGCAGTCTTAATTCTTGCAGACCCCCATGGTCTGATTCCCCTTCCTGATTAAAGGTCTGATTAAAGCTGTCGCAAAATATATGATATCTGGGGTATAGACAAGGCAGTGCTATGGGGGGTATGTGTGTATGCAAATACGTGGGGAGGGGAACCAAACTGGGTCTTTGACCCAGGTGAAATAAAACCTAGTTTTGCAACAGTTGTAAGCATCTACCAGTATTTCCATGCACACGTGAGTTTTAATTAAACACAATACATTTAAAACACATGACTTCTGCCAAAGAATCCCGGGAACTGTACTTTGTTAAGGATGCTGGGAATTGTTTCTAAGTGAAGATACAGTTCCCAAAGATTCTTTGGCAGAAGTCATATGCTTTAAAAACACTTTAAAAACCAGCAGCACTTACAGACTGGCTGAACTCCACCACAATTGCTCCCTCCAAACCTCCTTGCCCAAACTCCAACTCTCCACAGGCCTCAAAGGCTGGTGCAAAGGCTTGTGGGATTGCTAGATGTCGTTCCTGCACTCTTTGGGAGGCCATTTTTGCCCCTTTCAGTGCCATTTCCGGGTTCTGGCAATGCATAGTCACACATGACTTGAATGCACATAAATGGGGAGTTGCCGGTACACTGTTTAATGCAGACTACTTTTGAGTCTTATTTAAGCCAAGCATTCAACACTTTAAGCCTCTCCCAGGCCATGTTAACAAGACAGGATGGAACTAGGCAATTTGCCTGGCTGTGCTGAATGTTGTTCAGCTCAGAGATAACCCCATCAAAAGAGAAGACAGCTAGCAAGACAGCAAGGCCCTGTGTATGCTTTAATGCGGGTAAGGAAGTCAAAAGGTCTCTTTGAGACTCTTCCAGATTTGCTTTTGTTGTCATGAGAGAAGATACAATCCCAAGTTTCCCATTATCTTCATCTTTAGAACCCAGCCATAACAATAATGCTTGATGAGGCATATATGGGATTCGCACAAGTATTTCAGCATCACTGGGGTGGGTTCAGAAAATTCCAATATGCATATCCTTTAAAATGGAAGTGTAACTGATGCAAGAGACATATCTTACTGAATATCTAGAGTAAACACCCCAAAGACCACTTCATAACGGGAAACAGATTTTGGGCGACTGTGCAATCATGCATAAAATGGACTATTGGTTTATAAAACAAATCTTAAATCAGTCATACTCAAAGGGCACATCGGCAGTTCACATTCTTAAAAGGAGTGTTTGTTCCAATAAAATGTTCGTTGTAAAAACTTGGGAAATTCTATCTGACTAGGAATGAATGGGCAAAGGTAACAATTAAAATAACCTTGGAAGAAATTTGTACAAACAATGGAGACAACAGAATAGAAACCAGATACACTGAAAGCACTCAAAAGGTCTTTAAAATCATCTTTGAGTTTATTTTAACTGGAGTTGTGAAGGGAGGATAGGTTAGAGAGGTCAAATGCATGCAAGTTTAGTACAGTATGAATGTTTTGCTTGCAATAGCTAAAAGCTAATTTTACAGATGGAGAAATGCATTCAAAGACAACAGTTGATAAAATAGGTTTAAGGGTAGAGTGGCCCATTAGAAGAAACCAAGATGCCTTGATTGCTGGGACATCAGAAGAGGATTTTGATCCTTGTAACTTTTTGTAGTTTGGTCAGTTGAACAGGAAAAAAGTTTCATGGAAATCTGAACTATAGGTACAGCAGAACTATCACAGCCACATTCACCTGTGTTCAAAGCATACAAAGCAAGTCTGATACACACTGATAAGCAGTAAGCACATGTTTGTGCAAACAAGATTTTAAGGCTTCTTCTGTATGTAAGTAAACTCATTTCCTTAGGGAATATTGCCTTTTCTTCTCTTTGGGCTTAACACTAGGATAACAAAGGGAGCCACCTTGAATAAAATATTGGGGGGCGGGCCAGGTAAGCCCTATCTTGGATAATCGATCACAAACCATTTGAATGGCAATGCCCATCAACATTGAGGGCATGGCCCCCTCAAATATTTTATTGGGGAGCTGAAGGGACCTTGGCCCCTAGGAGTTGGCGCCTATGGATTGCTAAAATTTGCCAGTTCCACATAGACAATACACAGCTGTTACACTGTATTCATCTTAGTGGGCTGTCTTCTGATCATTAGGTTACAAGTTCTGGAGGACTTCCTTAATCATGACATTACTGATGAAGCAAGTAATAAAAGTAGGGTTGCCATACATTCGGAATTTCCCAGAATAGCCGGGATTAGACACAATTTTTATGTCTGGATTTTCACTTTTTGAAATATGGCAACCCTAAAAAAGAGGCCATAAGATGGAAAAGGGAATGGACTTGTAAGGCAAGACACAAAACACATTCCCGGTAATGAAACGTATGCCATGAGAGTGCAGTACAGAAGTTGAGTTACACTTTTGTGTTCACCATTTTCATTTTTCACTTGCCCACTTCTGGCGTGTTAAATGTTTGCCAGCTCTTCCATGATGGTTGGCTGTGTAATTGATCTTATCTCCCTCTACTGGTCTATTGTTTCCAAGTTATGTTTCCTGCTTGCTGGCAAGAATGCACTTAGATGTGGATCATATTTTTTGTAGAACAACATAGAAAACTGCTTTGCACTGAGTCAGACCTTTGGTGCATCTAGCTTAGGACGGCCTAAGGTGACTGGCAGGAGTTCTTCATGGTCTTAGACGAGAGGTTTTTGCAGCCATGGCTGAAGATGGCAGGGTTTGAAGAGGGAATCTTTTGCACGCAAGGGGTGTGCTCGACTTTAGACCTCCTCCAAGTAAACTGTGAAAGTATGTTAACTGCATTTTTGGTCAGACTCTCCTATCCCAGCCTGAGTTCAGGGGGAAACCTGTTGTTCCTGTCTGAAGCAGAAGCAGCTGTGCACAACACTGATTGGCGGGGAACTGGTGAGATCACTAACTTACACATACATCTCCAAAGGAGATTTTCAACATTTAAACAATTGATGCTGCTAATGCTGCTTTTTTGTTGTTGTTTTCTTTGGAGAGAGGGCGAATATTTATTTAATTAATTAATTAAATAAATATATATCCAGTACTGTGGAAAAATAAGAAGGCAATCTGCTTGAGGCACTGGTAAAATGGGTTATTCATTCACCATTTGATCTGCTGCCCAGTATGTCTGTTGAATGGGATATGAAGGCACCCTGCTTTGTATGCATGTACACACACTGACATGATCTTTGAAGAGGTCTTTGTAGCCAAAGGTCTTAAATTCCAGTATGCTGTGGACTACGGTGCATTTTAATTTTGTATTTACTATAATAAAAAAAGGCAAATGCATTTGCTTGTGATGTAAAGGATGTATAAGATGAAAAATCCTAACGGACAGTAATTAAAAGTAAATAATCATTGGTGGCCTTTTCAGCCACAAAAACATTTGCAAAAGGTGCCAAAGCCTGAAGGAAATGATGATTGGAAAAAGGGGGGGGGGACCCTCATATATTGCTGTAGCAGCTTCAGAGATGCCTCCGCATGTAAGCGGAATGGCTGTAAAGAGACCACAAAGACTGCAGGAGGGCTGGGGAAAGCGAATATTAAGCCAAGCAGAAGCAGAACCCATAAAACAGAGTATCTGGAAAGTTTTCAGGGGGAAAAGAGGAGATGGCAATATAATAATAATAATAATACCCCACCCATCTGACTCCGTTTCCCCAGCCACTCTGGGTGGCTCACAGCATATATCAGAACCTAGTAAGACATCAAACATTAAAAACTTCCCGATACAGGTCTGCCTTCAGATGTCTTCTAAAAGTCAGATAGCTGTTTATTTTCTTGACATCTGAAGGTTAGGGTGTTCCCCAGGTAGGGCGCCTCTACTGAGAAGGCCCTCTGCCTGGTTCCCTGTAACTTCGCTTCTCACAGTGAGGGAACCAGCAGAAAATCCTCAGAGGAGGACCTCAGTGTCTGGGCTGAATATATACTGAAGCCAGAAGAAAAAATGCTAATTTCTTTCAGCTCATAAACACCAAATATCCACAAAGATAACATGAATGGTTATGATATTCTTGCAGAGAAACTGGTCAGGGATATATGCCAGTGGAATTTAAGTGTCTGACTGCAATGACAATTCTTGCCACTGAAATATTAATGTATTAATTGATCTTCCTCCTTTTCCTCTATGGTATTATGTATTGCATATTATTCTTTACTGTTACTCGCTCTCGGCCACCTGTCCCCATCATCAGTCTAGCTGTTGTATACCAGCAGGAGCTTCTGATGTGAACTGATGGCACCATGATGAAAATATATTAAAAAATCACTGCAGCCAGGTTATCCAGATCTGGAAATGATCGTAGCTGGCAAACCAGAGAAGAGGTACTCCTAACTGCTGAGGTCATGCAGACATGAACTGACAACTTAGTATTGAGGAACACCCCCAGACTATGTGCCTGCTACCTCATCCAGAACAGGTTGTCTCCCTAAACGCCAGGCATGGAACAACCACTTGCCCACAGCATCTCCACCTTATGGGGGATATAGCCTTAGTTTATCGGTCCTCATAGAGCCAGTTACTGCTTGCAGGCACCACTTGCAAAGCCCAATTCAGATGGAACCAGGAGGTAGAACTGGTTGTCATCAGCATATCGATGACAAGCGTGCTCCGCATCTCTGAATACCCCTCGTCAGCAGTTTCTCAATGGCCAAGGAGCTGAGCTGAAGTCCCCTGAGTTCTACGTCTGGTAGGAGTAGCCCTGCAGGAAGGAGCAGAACCACTACAGTACAGTGCCTCCCTCTCCCAGCCCAAGGAGCTGCCACAGGGAGAAATGGAAAAGGAAAGCCAACGGAGCAGGCCCCCCCCCACCACCACACTCCATCTCTTCCCTAATTAACAGTCATCAACCAGAGTGAGCAAAGGCTGCTTCAGTACAGTGGTACCTCAGGTTACAGACGTTTCAGGTTACAGACGTTTCAGGTTACAGACTCTGCTAACCCAGAAATAGTACCTTGGGTTAATAACTTTACCTCAGGATGAGAACAGAAATCCCGTGGTGGCAGCGGGAGGCCCCATTAGCTAAAGTGGTCCCTCAGGTTAAGAACAGTTTCAGGTTAAGAACGGACCTCCAGAACGAATTAAGTTCTTAACCTGAGGTACAACTGTACTGTGTTTCAGACCTGAAGCCAGACTGATAGGTTAAAATAGGGTGTGCTTTTGTATCCTTTTAAGATCTTTGGACTAGTTTTTAAAAAAAGCTTTCAAAAAAGCAACAACAACAAACCCAATGATGATAACGGCAACATGCTTATAGCAATGAATGTACAGATGTTTTCCTGAATGTCGGATTTTGGTATTTGATGAAACTTAACATCAAATTCCAGTACTTTCTAAAGGAAAGTGATAACATAGGGAAATTGTCACTGCTGGATTCTTTCATTCTCTTTCCAAGAAAAGGATTTGTACATCTAATCTTAGTAGACCTGTTAAAATTAGAGGCAGGAATTTGGTGCTCTTCAAACAGCGTTGGACCATACAGAGCCGTTTTTTCCTGAAGCAGCTTAGCATTGTCATCATTATATCAAGCCCTGCTCTCTGTGCCAACTTTTCCCTCCCCATCCTCCCCCTCCCATATTTGTGTGTGTTCAGAGAGTCAAGCTTAGCTTGCTCATAAACTTCAGTTCCTGGGCGGACCCCACACACGCACAGCTGGATTTGAAACAGCTGGATCTGCCTCCCCTTCAATTTTAGACAGGAGCCCCACAAGCTCTGGATGGGCTGGCGGAGGATGAACCGATCAACGCTGTGAAGCAGGGATTCAGTTGCTGGCAAGATCCAGAAAATGGGTTACTGGAGGAGCCTCACTCTGAGTCTGCTACTGCTGCTGTTGCTCCGTGAGTAAAGAAAAGAAGGGCTTCTGCTTCAGCTGTGCAAAGCAAGAGGCTGTTTATGTTTCTTCTCTCAGCTCCCTTCTCCTCTGCTGACGACTGGAAGGATAAGAAATGTCTGATAATTTGGTATAAGCGCTAGTTGCAAGGCAGGCTTGAAAATCCAATCTCTGCTTCTTTCTATCGGTAGATATTTGTCCTCTATAGTCAGCCTTCTTGTAGCTGCAACTGTTACGGTACTTGCTGTAACCAAACGTGGGTTAATGTTAGATGAAGAAACTAATGGTTTTCTTGGGGGGAGGGAATTGCATTGGTTGTTTTTACATTGTATTGCAGCATTTTAAAATCAGCGGAAAGACTTGGTTGGATAGTTTGAGATGGTCAGGGTTTTGAGATGGTTGTAACATAGCTTGTGTCACTCTCACATTGACCCATTCACACAAATTTAAGTGCAGTACTAACTAAACCAATTAAGTATGATGAGGAGGGAAATGAGGATTTCTGCCATTGCATCTAGCTGCTTGGCAAGGCAGCCCAACTATCGCATAAGTAAATAATTCTTTGTGGCAAGCACTGTGTTTCTGTTTCTGTTAACAGTCTGTTAATACTGAAGATACAACTTCCATGCATGGATTTGATAGTATGCCCCACCAGGCTGCAAAGGCTCTTGTTTAAATCATAGATGCACACATGTAGATGCTATATATACACAAGTCAGAAGAAGTATATACACTTCTCATATATATATATGTGGCGCAAACAGCATGGCTTTATATGGGATTTGTTTATTGTACTGATACACAACATTTTAACAAAAAATGCATTTTGTGTCATTCTATGAAACCATAAGGGTGCCTTTTGATGGATGATTACTTGGCTGTCAGTTATGGCAATTCAGTGTACTCAACGCCTGGAGGGTAAGGCTATCAGTGGCTGCTAGGCATGATGGCTGTGTTCTGCTTCAGAGGAAGTATGCCTCAGTATGCTAGTTTCTGGGAATCATAAAGGGGGGAATCATAAAGCAGGGAGAATTCTGTCGCTCTCAGATCTTGTTTGCAGGCTTCTCATAGGCATTTGGGTCTTACATCTGATCCTGCAGAGCTCTACATAGGCTCATGTGCAAGCCACACAGACAGGACCCTGCCTGTTCCATGTGCTGCAGTTTCCCACAAGCACAAATAACAAAGCAAGGGTTATCCTGGGGGGGGGGGCACTGTTTAAGTAACCTATTTTGGCAGCATTGTCATGTTTCTTCCTGCACAACCCTGAGCTCTTCTTCATGGTTCTGTTTCTCCCCCTTGCACAGGACAGGGCGACAAGAACAGGGGCAGGCTCCTAGAATTATATACCCATGAAGCTGCCTCATGCAAAATCAGAGCATCAATGCCTCTGGTCAAATAGTGCCCACTACAGCCTTCAACAGCCTGGTGGCCTTCCAGGTGTTTGGAGCAGGTAGGAGTTGGAGTCCAAAACATCTGGAGAGCACCAAGTTGGCAAAGACTTATCCCCTTCACTTGACAATGGCTCTGCCAGTTCTCAAGTAGAGGTCTTGCCTAGACTTCTTTGTTTAATAAAACGTATGTATACCACTTGACGGTCAAACCCGCCACCTCAAGCGGGTTATTAGCTGTGGTATCATAAGGGCATGACTTTGGGGCAGAAGTCTAGAATGAGCTGGAAGGCTGGATGACTTTGAATAAGTGAAATAACTCATATTATCATCTAAAGAAAAGGACCCCATAAGGTTATTACATCAGAAATCTTTGGTTACCTAAGTGCACCACTTCATAACTTGAGAAGCCAGGAACAGAATTTTCTGCATGCAAAGCCTATGCTTTTTGACTGAGTTATGGCTCTTCCCTGTTTTTTTCTTGGGGGGTGGGCAGGCAAACTCCTGCTTGCCACCCCCACCCCACTTTCAAACAGTATGCTAAAGAATGAGGACTGGAAGCAACAAGAGTTTCCTTTACTCCCGATTCCTTTAAGGCAGGCTTCCTCAACCTTGAGCCTCCAGATGTTTTGAGACTACAGTTCCCATCATTCCTGGCCACTGGTCCTGCTAGCTAGGGATCATGGGAGTTGTAGGCCAAAAACATCTGGAGGCCCAAGGTTGAGGAAGCCTGCTTTAAGGGAGTGCCTGGATCAAAACTCCCTCTGTTGCCAGTTTGGTGCTAGAGCAGAAATGCAGAAAGCGGAATGCAAAGCAAAGTAACATATAATAGGAAGGAATACCATGTTTCATGTTCCTTTGCAAAACCCTCCCCCAACCTTTAAAAATTTCTTAATTCTTCCCGTGTATGGTATGTAGTAGCAGTGTTCCATCGGTGAAGATCTTGTGTAGTTAGTGAGGATCAGAGACTGTGAATCAGGACCTCTGAGTTCAGATACTGGGCGCCAAACAGCCAAAATGAAGCACTTTGATTTCTATAGAAGGGCCTATTCAACATCCTGATCCAATAGATGCCTACTCTGAAGTAAATTCCACTGCGTTCAATGGGTATATTATATGAAAGACACCCTCTCTGCAAATATTTCATACCTTGTATCAATGCCCTAAGAAAATAATTCTTAATCATTTCAACAGCACTTCCCGGAGTATTTTATAACCATTGTCTTATTCCTACCCACAACAGCCCGTCAGATAGGGCACTGTGGTTTTCATTTCTAAGATGGAGAACTGATTTGCCGAAGGCAACTGGGGAATGTTTAGTGGGGCTAAGAATGCATGACTTTGAGGTCTCAGTCCAGAATGCAAGCTATGGTCCAATGCAAGTACAGATATGCCTCAAGTGCCTTGAATTTAGGCAGACTCCTTCGTGACAGAAAGAAAGACTGTGTATCTAGCCAGCAAGTAATAAGTTTGGCTTTCTTCAAACTGGACATATGGAACAGGCAATCACACATGTTAGACCAACAAAGCCTTCAGAACTTTTAATTTCTGTATTTAATTTGCAAATAGGCATCTTTCCAAGGTTGCTGGAAAATTCTGTAGGATATTCTCACCAGATGTACAGGAAGATAGTTTTGGGGGGTTGCTTGCCATCCTCCATCACACATTCTGTTGTTGTTGTTGTTTCTCTAGGGATATACGTAGTTCTCAAAAAGAGTGATCTAGTCCTTCCTATAGAAATGCAAGGATTACTTGAAGTTGGGGGAGATGAAAGGTGTCTCCCAAGGGGGAGGGGTTTGAGCTGTGATTTGGCAAAGCAGAGACAGGCAAGGAAGAAGTGTCAGTTTATTTCTCAGCAGGGACGAGGATGTTATCTCCTGGGAAGCTATTTGCCAGTCCTCTGCATGCCAAATAAGTGTGTTTTTTCTCGGAAAGAAACCCACCAAATAAGCCAAAAGGAGGAAGGAGGTAACATTAAGCATCGCTTTCTTATGACCGATGAGAAGGTAGCAAAATAGTGAATAACCTTCATTAGGCTGACTGTTAAGTAAAGCATAGGGGAGTGAGAACAAAAGCTGGCTTCAGATTGAAGCCATAATGTCTGCATTAGTGAAAAGTTAATTTTTCTTCAATAGTCTTAGTACTCCAGAATTTATCACTGGCTTTGAGAATGGTAAAGGTAAAGGGACCCCTGACCATTAGGTCCAGTCGTGGCCAACTCTGGGGTTGCGGCGCTCATCTCGCTTTATTGGTCGAGGGAGCCGGCGTACAGCTTCTGGGTCATGTGGCCAGCATGACTAAGCCGCTTCTGGCAAACCAGAGCAGTGCACGGAAAGGCATACTGAACTGAGTGTGGTGTCATGGTTAGTGTTGGACTAGGACCTGGGAGGTAAAAGTTCAAGTTCCCACTTGGCCATGAAGCTCACTGGGTGACCCTGGGCCACTCGCTGCCCTTCACAGGGTGGATGTGGGTATTAAATGAAGAGGGGGAGAACCATGGACATGACCTTGCGCTCCTTGGAGGAAAGGGTGGCATATAAACATAAGAAGAGCCCTGCTGGATCCGGCCAAAGGCCCATCTAGTCCAGCGTCCTGTTCTCATGGTGGTCAACCAGATGCCTATGGGAAGCCTGCAAGCAGAAGCTGAGGGCCACAGGGCTCTCCCCCAACTCCTTGTGATTCCCGGCAACTGGTACACAGAGGCATAATGCCTCTTGACAGTGGAGGTAGAACTTAGCTAGTAGCCATTGCTACATCCTCCATGAATTTGTCTAATCCTCATGTAAAGCTGTCTGAGTTGGTGGCCATCATTACTCCCTCTTGTGGGAATGAATGGTATAGTTTAACTATGTGCTATGCAAATAAGTACTTTATTCTCTATCTTTCCTTTTCTGGCCTACCACCATGTGCCTTGGTTTCTAGTCACTAGGCAACTGTAAATTATTTTTGTCAGAGCAGTGGCTCATCAAGCTCAGTATTGTCTACATAGACTGGCCATGTCACTCCAGAGTTCTTTCTCAACTCTCCTTTTATTGCATAAGGTATCCAAAGGATTAAGGAAGTTTAGGGATGGGATGACGGCAATAGGATGGCGAATGAAGTGTGATTGAGGGAGACTATAATTCAGTGGCAGGACATATATGTTGCATGCAGAAGATACCAACTTCCATTTCTGGAATGTCCTGTTAAAAAGGATCATAATTTCTGCTTTAAACCCAGGACTCAGCTATGCAGCTGCAAATGAAACGTTTTAAGTGTGTTGCGAAGTTCAATATACAAAGGTGACACTAGATGGCGAAAGTGAGCTATGGTAAATTCAATATATTTTTCAAAACTCTTTTTTTTTTAACACACACATTTTCACAGTGGTTTTTTTTATATGTGTGTTGAGTCCACCCCAGTCACAGTAGGCAATGCCAGGAGTTAGATGTTCAAATAACCTGACAGGTGTAATGAAGCTTTCTATGTTCTGCAGATCTACTTTGAATTGAAAAGTTTGCAGTCCAAAAATTGACTCATTAGTTATAACCAACATACCAGGTTGGGAAAAGCTGCTTTAAGTCTATTTATTCCCTCTCAGCCACCTCTCACTAATTCTTTCTTGCCTCATTTCTCTGTCTCCTCTGTCCATTGAGCCTACCTACCTTACCCTACCCTCAGGGTTTGTGCGAGTTTTAATCCTAGCCCACCTTTTAATACCCTTGCAAATCTGGACTAAAAGCATTATAGCAGCTTTCCTCCAACAGCTGGAATGTTTATAAGCATTCCATGCCATCACACAGTTCAATAAATCAGAGGATTTGCTACCACAAGCATAATACTGTATCAATTCAGTATAAACTGAAATCCTTACCAAGTCTAAGGGACTGGCATATGAGTTAGAATTTTATTTATTCCAGCAGGCTTTTGGGAATTTGTGATCCACCTTGAGTTCCAGTTCTGGGGGAAAGGGAGGATATAGATAAATAAACTTAATAATCATAAAATAAAGAAGTCTTATTGCGCTGTTCGCATTATAGTTACTGTTGTAACACATAGAGGGCTATTGGCTGAGTTTTGCAAACCCAGCTGCTGTAACTTGCAAGGAGTAGCAAATAGAGGACCAAGAAATATGAGTCTCGCTAATTGATTATAAAGCAACATTTAAAAAAAATTACATTTCAGTTTTCTAAGACTTTAAAAATAGTATCACTTGGCAACTTTATCAGCTGCAAGGAGATGGTTACTGGAACTGTCTGATTAAGAAAGGGGTGGCATTAAATTTTAAACCCTTCTTCTTGCTTCTCATGATTTATAGCCTCTTGCAAGATTCATCATTGCAATAAAATAACAAAAAAGGCTGGAAAATGCTTAGCTTAGTGGACCACAGAAGTTTGTCACTGAGTTATAGCAGTTTCTTTGCTCTGACATCTCTTTGTTGGCTCATCAAAGTCTTTCTGCCAGATGGTAAACAGAATGCCTGCCAGAAATTTTCAAACACTCCCCAGGAAGTTCATCTAAATCACCAGTAAACCATTTGCACTTAAAACAGAGCACAAACCCCCGTTGCTCAAATGTGACACAGATAACAGTTCTGCCATGTTTACTGTTCCAAGGACAACACCAGATTTCTTTACACTGCCCTTCCCAGTTCCTTCCCATCCACTTAGATGGGTCTACCATTCCTACAGGGGAAGGAAACATGAGTCTCAAGGACAGAGTTGTCACATGAAATTTGAGGTGCTTCCTGTGCGATCCTATGCGTGCCTACTCAGAATAAGCCCCACTGAGTTCAATGGGACTTACTCCTGGGCAAGCACACTTAAGATGGCAGATTTAGGATTCTGAATTTTGGATCCAATGTCGGATTCTTTGCTTTTGCTGCATTTTTGTAGACTTGTTGGATACAAGTCGCAATCAGCCCATACCCTCATCTGCGAAAGAAGAAGCGTATTTGAGCAATAGTTATCCTTAGTTTATGGGGCTTAATTCAAGAGGGAAAGTTGCCCGCATCCTTCTGGACATGATTGATGTGGATTGGTTATAATGTTACAGCAGGGATGGGGAACTGGTGGACCACCAAGTGTTGTACAACTACAACTCCCATTAGCGATAAACCTTTTGTAGGCAAGATGATTGAGGAACCTTGGAAATGTATGGGATCTCTCTGAGAATCAGGTGTAGGGATAGCAGATTTGCTGCCTGCTGTTGGGGTGCTTCTTTACTTTCAGTGTCCTCTACCTGTGTGTCTGTAAGTAAAACAAATATTACAAATGTGGGAAACTGCAGTCAAATAGAACTCTTAAACTCAGGGTTAGTTAATGCATGAAGGGGTTAAGACCACATAAATTGTTTTCTTAGACTCAGTTGGGTCATGCCCCCTCACCTCCAGTGAAGAAGGAAGTGAAGATTCTTTCTTCCTTCTCTTCCACTATGTGAAGCTGACCAGGCAACATGCCTGGGCTTGACTGCTTCAAGCACAGACCGTGTTCTCAGAAATATTTTTCTGTATTTTGTAAACCCAAGATTTCTACTTGTGTTCTTCTTGCTGCTGCGTGGAATAAGGCATTAATCTGAGCTTTGGAGTTTGTAAGTAAAACCTTTAAACTTAGTAATTGTGTGGTCTGTTCATTGCAAGAGGAGTAGACGGGAAATGCTGTAAGTGGCTACAACGGGATATTTAAAAGGTCTATTAACCTATTATTCCCATGCTTCTCTGTGCTGCATAATCCTGTGATTTTAATACTGTGTTGGGGGCTCTCGAGTGTTTTTGGATCCAGCAATCCTTCCAGTTCTTTTATTAATTACCCCACACAGGTGATCTATATCTAATTTCCACCCAATAACAAAGTCACCATAAGATTTAAGGGTTCTCTCAGCCAAAGGAAACCAAACCCTGTGTAGCCCTATCCCTGGAAACTCACTGTTTAAGGAAGTGGAGAGGGCTTAACACAAAATATGATACTTGGGTATCAATGAGCTATTTGTCACTGAGATAATAAATCTGTTTGTTCTGAACCACTTCAGAATGCAGGTGGGAGCTTATGTGTTAAAAATAAATTCCCTTCATACAGAAAATTAGATACCAGGAGAAACCATTCTAACCTATCCTTCCAGACCTCCTTATTTTTAAATGAAATGTGAGGGATATAATTTTTAAATTCACATGTCATCCTAAGAGTCCTGTTACTTGAAGTGCAGCTCATACGTTGACAAAAAGAAAGACCCAAAGATTCCACAATATTAACCCAAACTGCAGTTTGAAATAGTGAGGCCCAGATTCAGGCATTACCACCTCAGCGAGAATCAAGCCTGTGCCCAAGTACAAATGGGTAGACAAGTTAGATCTTGTACTCTTAATACCTGGATGAATGTGAGAACTGTTTGTCTGGCTCTGAGGCCAATCTTCCTGGTATACACATGCAGCAAAGTGAGATGGTAGAATTTGCTGATGACAGAGAATGGACTGTACCACTCCAAGTTGTCAGTGAGGGAAAGCCTTTTCCAGTGTTCCTACATTCATTCATTTATGAAAACACTGTCAATAAAAGAAAAATATCAAACATATCAGAGAGAAAGATTATTATATTGCCACTCTTGAAGTATTTTCTAGGCTTCGGCCAAAGCCCCCAAAGTCAGTGGGAATTTTTGTTGTTGGTGTCAATGGATTTTAGAAGAGGCCACGACTCGCTCTTGGATCCACCAATTCAGTATGCAATTTCTCATCTTCCCCCTTTTATTGAAGGATTTTCTTTGTTCACTGATCTGAATAATTTTCTACAAAGTGCTTCAGTAAAATCTTGATCGTAAATCAGCTTATGAGAGCAAACTCTTTTATTAAACTTGAAAGAGTGCCCTAAAGAGGAGAAAATTGGCTTTATAGCTGTAAATGTTTATTGCTTAATCTTCTAATCCCAGAGCAAATGGAGAATATGCGTTCAACGTATTTTGTAGTTTAGAATGCCATGTAGCTCCTCCATTACTTTATTTCCAAGGGCCTGAGGTCTGATTAGTTGGGAAAAGGAAGAGATTTATTGTGAAAGTAACAAGTAAAAAGGCGCAGAGAAGAAATACTTTTCCATCACACACATGCATGCAGGTGTATGTACCAGGGTAGCAGGATTGACCATGAATCCCCACTGCATGTACACACAAGCAAAAATATATTGGCCACCATATTTTTTCCATATCAGCTTGATGACAGAAGTGTGTAGAATTTTATAATGTATACCAACCAGAGAATAAGAGAGCCTGTGTGATAGCTGCTTTCAGAAAGCAGCACCAAGGGGACATGTGCCAAAACCAAAAACTACAGTATTGCCTTCTCCCCGCAAAGTCACATCTTTAGAGGCAGGGGCTCCTATTGTTCTCTGTTCCATTTCCACTAAACTGACATTCACCTTTGCCTTCTCCCCATTGCTTGCACCAGATATAGAACTGAAGTTTATTGGATTAGACACTAGTGCCGTCTGTTGCCAATGAATACAATGCAATATGCATTTTGCAGGGATAACTGGACTGTCTTCAAAGATAGGAGTTGATTTATTATAAGTTTGCTGTGCTTCACCCCCCCCACCCAATCATATTTATACTAACATGACTATGTAGATACAATGACTTAAACGTTATGCAGAACAAATCTAATGGATTGTTTTAAATAATTTAATACAGATTAATGACCAGCAGAGGCTTTAACCCCTATTTTATAGACACAGAGGTAGCAAAAATGGGGCAAAGGAATGGATTATTCCCCCGGGCATTTTCAGTGTATATTTGTCTTTGAAATATATTTTCTAAGTGCTGCTTCTGTTGCCATTTCCCCCTCCTGCCATGAATTCTCATTAAGACCCTTGGGTTGTGCAAGTTTCCTGTTCAGCGTCTGTGGTTATTTGTGCTGACCAAGTTGTGTCTGAAAAGAATGCCACCCCTTCTCCACAGGCCATAAATAAGTCTTATAATGACTTTCAATTAAGGCTGTTATTAATTTGAACTGTTTCATTTCAGTATCTTTACCGGTAATTTTAAAATCTGTGCCAGTGGAGATTAGAGTACGGTGCAGGGATCGCCAGCAGGCCTGAAGAGATAAATAATTAAACTTTCCTATGAACCCAGAATATCCACCGAGAAAAGAGGCTGAAACACACCATGATAAATTCCTGGGCAGGGACTTATGCAAGAACATGGGGAGTAGGCTCCTCATGATGTTATTATATCCTGTTATCTTCCCCATATAATGGATGAGGCCTGCCCCAGGTAGCATATCTTGGATGTCATGAAAGGGCAGCCTACTATTAGTTACTTAACTTATTATTGTGTTTTTACTGGCAGAAAGTGGGAGAGGCACTTGTGGGATTTATTTATGTCTCAGGTGATAAAATAACTTGACTTGGTGCCATTTGCTGCTTCATTTCAGGCATCAGAATGGATTGGGTCAGCCTTGGATAGCACTGTAGGCATGTTTATTTTTTGAAAGAATGAGAGCTATGGAAAAGGAAAACAGACTAGTGAATGTGTCTTCATTAAGTATAATTTGTGTTCAGTTATCTTCAGCATTTCAGGCATATCACGGGGATTTGAATAATTGGATGTAAACAGGAGTGGTATTTCCTTAACATTTCATGATGAATACAAAAAGAAACTGAGTGAAGAGCCAAGTTCTTTTCACCCTATAGCTAATCTTTGAAACACTATGTAAGTCTATTCTTTGACAAATTTAAAATGCAATTCTTCTTAATCATGATCATTTGGAGAAAGTTCCACTTGAAACTATTCAGATTGGCATGGTTATGTTTCCCTAGGTAAAATAAATAACTCCCTGAAAATATAAAGCTAGCAGAACAGGGAAATAACTGGTCTATAACCCTTCCCTGGTTTGCTAGTTTCCTGCTTGCATGGAATTATTTTCTTGGGGGAACATTATATATATATATATATATATATATATATATATATATATACACAGTGGTACCTCGGGTTACATACGCTTCAGGTTACAGACTTCGCTAACCCAGAAATATTACCTCAGGTTAAGAACTTTGCTTCAGGATAAGAACAGAAATCGTGCTCTGGCGGCGTGGCAGCAGCAGGAGGCCCCATTAGCTAAAGTGGTGCTTCAGGTTAAACACACACACATATATATATATATATATATATATATATATATATATATATATATATATATATTCTCATCCTACAATCCAAAATGGCCCAGCCCTCTCGACCAGCTCATGGGTCTACTATCTCCTTCTCTTGCATGTACAGTAGTTCCAGTCAGGTAAATCCTTTGAAAACAAGCCAAGATTTCCTCCCTTAATATAAGCTATGTGAAAGGTGTTTGGAAATGCAATTACATCCTCAGTGTGAAAAAGTGTTCCTCCCATGTGACTTAAACAGTCTCACCCTGATAAATTTTGAAACCCTTGCTAATGGCCCTTTCGAGGTTAGGCTGATGAGAACCCATCCTCTTGCGCCATAGGCTCTCATAGACCTATCAACCCCTTCATCAGTAGGGTGTAAACTGTGTGCTTCCAAGTAGGAAGCGTATTACATTGAGGAACTAAAAGTAACTGATACAGCAAACAGGAACACTAAGAAGAAGCGTGCTGGCTGAAAATTATTGGATACACATGGAAGAATCAACAACACTGGTGCCTTAGCAATCCCAGAAGCATATTTCTTTTAGGGAAAGATGCCTTGCCTATGTGTCATTAGACACAGCTGTCAGATAAATTGAAGACAGGCAAGTACACAAGTAGAGGCAACATATGCATTAAGTGGCACCCTATGGAAAAACTGAGGTTCATCGCATAAATGAATGGATCACTCTTGCTTTTATCTCCTACTGTCGATTATATTTTCTTTTTCAGTGCCAGGCAACACTGTCACATTCCTCCAGATCAGCCTTTCGCAACCTGTGGGTCCCCAGATGTTGTTGAACTACAACCCCCATCACCCCTAGCTAGCAAGGCCAGAGCTCAGGGATGATGAGAGTTGTAGTCCAACATCATCTGGGAACCCACAGGTTGAGAACCACTGCTCCAGATGATCATGTAGATGTAGTTCTTAATTTTGGGCTCTGGAATCCATGGCCTTGCAGGGGCTCCCTCCATATTCACTCAATTCAAAATATGGCAAGCCAGTCCTCCTGCATTTGGGGTGGCTTTCCTGCTCATTCTGCTGAGAGGGGCCCTGGACCTCTGCCCCAAAGCCCTGCCCTGGCAGCACCACTGTGTGCAGATGCGCAGTGTTGGGTTGTGAAGAAAGACTAGTGCTAAACAATACTGTACATACATGCGACGAGCCAGCAGATATTTCATATCGCCACATCTGTACCTTTTGCACAACCTACTAATAGAAATAGGTTTGCCATCACCCTCATGCATAGAGCCCTACTAGCCTTTCACCATGTGGTTGCGTTGCTGCCTATATAGTTATGCAGAGGAATTTGCAGTGTGAACTGGCCCTGATGAGATTCTACTATCAATCATGGGGCCCACAGTAAACAAGCCCATTAATCGGAGCTATCGCCAAATCACACTAGGAACACACCCAAGTATTGCACGTGTAATCTTTTAAAAAAAGAAACACGTTCAAAAGAATGTTGGTTCTGATTCGTACACGCCCCCAAAAGAAAAATCATCACCAGCTGTGCAACAAGATGCATCAAGACCAGTCTAAATGGGGTGGGGGGTGGGATCTTAAGTGCAAAGGCAAATTAGGGTTGGAGGTGGGGAGTACTAACCAGTCTTCCCCAGCCTAGTGTGCTCAAGATGTTTTGTACTACAGCTCAAATCATCCCTGACCATTGGATCATGCTGCTGGGAGTAGTCCCATACAACTTGGGGGACCTATGTTGGGGAAGGCTGGTAGGCTGGTCCATTAGGGCAAGTGAGGGACTGCCCCACCAAGCTCAGTTAACCAGCTTTCCCTCCTTATTTACAACCAGTCTTGGTGGGGGGGAGGTGTCAGCTCCCTCTTCCTCCTCAATCTCATGGTTTCCCCTTGTTGCAGAGAATTCAGCAGGGACAAGGATGGAGACAAAACTAGAATTAGTTGGCTCTGCCTGTCATTGGCTCTGGCTCCACCTACTATTGGGCTCCCCAACTTCTGCCCCACCAGTCTCAATGGGCACCAGCCACCACTCTATAGACCACTTCATCCAGATAAAACACTGCCACCAAGTTACGAAAACTTTCAGTGAGAGGTTATTGCTAGCTTGGTTCATCATGTGTTTCCCCACCATCTGTTTTGGAAGGCAAGCTTTTGCATAGGAGCCCAGCTTCTTAATTAGTGAAAATCAGGGCAAGAAACTTGCTAAAACTACTATTAGAACTTTGTGTCCCTGAACCATTAGCTTGTAGTTTAACTGCCACATCACTCATCTTACCCCTAATTAAACCCAGATGAATGCTTTCAATGTTAATACTCAGATAATTTAATAAAGCTGCACAGGCAGTAAAGTAACAATAAGCTTCTACAAAAAGCTTTCCAGATGTTGCAGAGGCAAATGCAAAGCATCAAAATAAAAACTTTTTTTAAAAAAAAGTTTGGGAAAGCAAAACTTGGAACGAACTATAAACTAATTAAATATGAGGATCAGGTCTCCAAGAATAAATTGAAGACATAAGGGTTTGGTGGTAGCCAATAATGATTGTACTAGTCAACGTTGTTGCAAAGTCTGTCTGTCTGTCTCTGTCTCTCTCTCTCTCTCTCTCTCTCTCTCTCTCTCTCTCTCTCTCTCTCACACACACACACACACACACACACACATCAGAATTCACCAATCATAAGATTACTGTCTCTTTTGTAATGCAAAATTTCATTTTATGCATCAGGAAATGGGATGGGAGATTTATTGCTGGTTGCCAGAAACTAGAGAACAATAAAGGGTCAAATCTGAATATTGGTATAAAATATTCTTTGGAAGAACATCATGATAATCAGAACCAGATATCTAGGTCTGCTTTTCAGCTTCTGAAACAGCATCCACTGACTCTCGTCTATAACAAATTTGCTGAGTACTGAATCTAACGAAATTGCTCTGCCTCATTCCAAAGAACTGGGGAGCTTTGCAAGCTTCTAGTAGCAAGGGTTAGGAACCCTGATGGTCACAGGATTTCACCTGTGGATGAGATTAAGTTTAATAGTGTCTTCCTTGACCCTCAATGAAACTGACTTGGGAGGCAGGCCCTTGTTCTGTACTGTCTTGATCTTTGAACCAAGCATGTTGCCTTAATTTGCTATTCTGCTACTTTTGGTCTTCTCCATCTGTCAGAGCTGTGCCAGATAGGTCAACACAAATGTTTGTGGGAGAGAAGGCCTTTTCTGTGTGATCAGTCAAAATGTGTCCCAATCACATTTTAGCCCTTGCTTGATACCCCCTCCTAGTCTTGTTCATGTGAAAAGGTAATGTCAGAGCGGTTCTGAGAGCATCACACATGGGCCATTCCTGGACCACAGCACCATATGTACAAGATAGTTATGCTCAGCCCATTTCGAGTGTACAGAACTTACTGGGTTCTGCTTCCTTTGGAAGGAGGTCAGTGGCATGCTTATGGCATTTTGTAATATGTGAGTTCATTTACAGATATGAAGGTTGATTATAGGTAAAGACACAGCTTAAATACTTCAAAAGACAGCCAAAGTCTACATCAGATCACCAGATCATCAAATCACCAGGGGCTTAATTTCCCCGAATACTCTGATTCAAACTGCATTTCCTATCGTTTCTCTTCACACACAAGACATCTAGATTACATCATCAAGGGGGGGGGGGAGGTCTGCTTTTGCCCGATTCATAAGACACAAGGAGGATTGTCTAATAATTAGTTTCTATGGAAACACATCACCTGAATACCCAGGACTATTAACAGCCTCCTCTGTCAAGACTCTGGCACATATTGCCTTAAAACAACTCATGGTGATAGTCCTATTCACCAAAAAAAGAAAAGGAAAAAAACACACCTTACAGCAAAACCCATTGCAGTATATTGCCCTTTGAGTGCTCAGTGGATACAATATCCCCATAACAGAAGTGCAACCTTGAGAGAAGATGACGTTTGCTATAAGCATGTGCCTATGCATTAACATAAATGTATTCAGAAACACCCAGAAAGCTTGTGACTGTGCATGTTAGTGAAAGTTGTTTTGCATGTTGGTGTGACAGTGTGTGGATGTGTGAATGCAAGACACAGAATTAATGAGTGCACTTTTAATGAGGCCTAAAGGGAAACAGAGTATGGTCAGCGTTTGCTACAGAAAGAGAATCCCCTTATCCATATAGCACACACACACGCACGCGCGCGCGCACACACACACACACACACACACACACACACACAGGACTCAGCTATACAGGTGCAAATAAAACGTTTTTAGTGTGTTGTCAAGTGCATTATACAAATGTGACACTAGATGGCGATGGTGAGCTATGGCAAATTCAATCTATTTTTCAAAAGGTTTTTGAAAAAAGCATTTTCACAACGTTTTTGTGTGTGTGTCTAGATTCCACCAAACACACACATTCACAAGGTGCTTGCAATATGTGAAATCTGTGCATTCCCTCCCCGTGGATGACCATCTCATAGTACTGTATGTCAATTAATGACCCGTGTGTGAACTCAGAATCAGCAGATGAGACATATATACAACATTGTTCATTCAAACAACTAAAGATGTTCCTTTTGTTTGATTTCTTTTTACTCACAGCACATGACGGCAAAGGAGGGCGGAATGTGAAGAGCAATTTATGTAAATGGTGTAATAACACGTACCCAGTCTGTAAAGATCAGGAGTGCTACAGCAACTGTGATCTGAGCTCCTATTGTGAAAAGTCAGAGGAAATCTGTGTGTCTATATGGTAAGCAGACGAAGAGCACCAACCCTCATAAAGCACATCCCTAATGGGCAATGAAAAACCTGTCAATGAAATCAAATGCACAGATAATATTAAAATATGGGTAAAAGGAAATATATACATTATAAGCAGGGCTTTTTTAAAGCCGTAACTCACCAGAACTCAGTTCTGACACCTCTCAGGTGGGTTCTGGCACCTCTGTTAATAAAAACATTTACATATTAAATGTAAAATAAAGTGCAGGAACATAGTTACAGAAAGATCAACACTTAGCAGTTACATTTTCCAACTGCTGCACATTATATCTTAGGGATTCTAATAAGTACAAAGTCATGGCTGGGGACAAGCAATTGACATTTTTAATTTATATGGGCGTTCATCTGATAGGAATGAAAGTGTTGTCCTGTACCTCCCCCCCCCTTTAAATGTGGGGGTTTTGATCCTGTCTATTTTGGACTTTCCAAGGATGGAAAAACCTTACATTTCTGGGTTCAAGACAACACTATGATGAGGAGGCTGCCATGTGGACACCACTACTTCAGTGGGGAGGCAGGCAGGCAGGTGCAAATCTGTGTTTTGCTCCAGTGTGGACAAGCCCAAAGACAACTTTTGGATATCCTTCCAGTTGGCATCGGGAAATATTAACAGCCTTGGGCAGCATTCACCTAATGAGCCCCATCAGCAGAAGCCTGTGCAAGGACCTCCAGTTGTGCAACAAGACTCCCCCCCCAAAAAAATGGTCAGGAGGACCCCCAGAACAGTATGCGGGGCGAGGAGAGGAAGGAATCATTCCATCTGGCAAGCCGCAGAACATTTGTAACAGGCAATGGTGAATTCCACCCCTTGTACAAAGCACTACGTAGGCTATTGTGTCAAGGTACATCTATAGAATCATAGAGTTGGAAGGGATCCAAGGGTCATCTAGTCCAACCCCCTGCAATACAGGAATATCAGCTAAAGCATCCATGGCAGATGGCCATCCAACCTCCGCTTAAAAACCTGCAAGGAAGGAGAGTCCGCAGCCTCCCGAGGGAGACTGTTCCACCGTCGAACAGCTCTTACTGTCAGAGAGGGATGCGGGTGGCGCTGTGGACTAAGCCACAGCCTCTTGGGCTTGCCAATCAGATGGTTGGCGGTTCAAATCCCCATGACGGGGTGAGCTCCCATTGCTCTGTCCCAGCTCCTGCCATCCTAGCCGTTTGAAAGCACGCCAGTGCAAGTAGATAAATAGGTACCGCTGTGGTGGGAAGGTAAACGGGGTTTCCATGCACTCTGGTTTCCATCACGGTGTCCCGTTACAGCAGAAGTGGTTTAGTCATGCTGGCCACATGACCTAGAAAGCTGTCTGCAGACAAACACCAGTTCCCTTGGCCTGAAGTGAGAAGTCACCTTGGACTGGACTTAACCGTCCAGGGATCCTCTACCTTTTTACCTTTACCTTACTGTCAGAAAGGTTTTCTGTATGTTTAGTTGGAATCTCCTTTCTTGTAACTTGAAACTATGTTCAGAACTGATTTGTTATTTGTTTATGAACAAGTACATAAATGTTGGCTTACATTATTCTACCTTCACAGTGATCATTTTTTCCGATTAATTATGCATTTCAGGAAACAAGACAACGAGAGCATTAGAGTGAGTACTCTTTGTCATAATCCGCAGCTTCCCGTGGAAAATGTCATGGTTCCCAAGTATAACACATCCCAGTGTGTTATGGTCCGTCAGCACAATGAGGAGGGGATATTTTACATCTGTGGCTGTGTGAATGAACAGGAATGCAATGACAAACTCATTTTTGAAAAGCACACCAATGGTGAGTATTCTTTCTGGTTTGAGTCCATCTTTCCCCATCTTAGAGGAGATTATTTTTATTCAGACTGTTGGCAGTGGCAGGCTTTGGGCTTTACAATTTCAGTGGCACCCCCACCTCTCACCTTCTGTTGTTTGTCATTGTGTGTGTTGTTGTTTTTTATTGGTTTTCACATATTACTTTACAATGCAGATGTACCAAAGCCAACACCATTTCCTCTCCATCCCCCCATACATTTACATTTCTATTTCCTCAATCTATCATATTATTCCTTTCTCCTTCCTCCCACTTCCCTCCGCCCCCACTCAATTTCCTCCACATTATACAATTTACTATAATCTTTGCTTTCTACAACCTTCTCAAATCATCTACAATATTCTTATTATCTTTCCTTACTAATTTTTCTTCCATCCAGTACTTCACATTTTAAGCTAGGCATATTAGCATATCCATTTTTGAGTAATATTTTGCCACATATTCATCAAAACATTTCCACTCCTTTTTAAATTTTTGATTCGACTGATTTCTTATTATAGCAGTTAATTTTGCCAAAATAAAATATTCATTTAGTTTACAAATCCATTCCTCCTTTGTGGGTATAGTTTGTGACTTCCACCTAGCAGCAATCACTATTCTAGCAGCTGTACTTGCATATAGAAAACTCCGCCGCCCCCCCGCCGTTGTTTGTCATTGTTGCGATGCCCCCTGTGTTGCCCTCTCGGTGTAGCACCCAGTGTAGGCAAACTGATTATGCTCCCCTAAATCCGCCTCTGCCGTTGGGGTGCGTGTGTTAAATCCTTTCTCCCCCACCTTCATTCCCAATTATTCTTGCCCCTGCTGCAATTGGGGTGAAAGGGGGGAGGAGAGGACTGATATAAAGGCAATGTTATTTGGGTTGAAATGATTGAGTCAATTCCTAGAGAGGAGGAAAAAAATGACTCAAGCACAATATAGAAAATGGCTAGACTGAACAATCTAACCTGGCGGATTACAGTGGTACCTTGGTAGTTGAACGGCTTGGCTCCCAAACAAATCAGCTCCTGAACGCCACAAACCCGGAAGTGAGTGCTCCTGTTTGCGATCGTTTTTCGGAAGCCAGACGTCCAATGCAACTTCCGCAGCTTCCGATTGAGTGCAGGAAGCTCCTGCAGCCAATGAGAAGCCACACCTTGATTTTTGAACCATTTTGGGAGTCGAACGGATTCTCTTGAATTTAGAGAATCAAGGTACCACTGTAGTAACACAGTTGGCCATTTACACCTGGGGAAATGTTGCGGCTATTCAACTGAATTTTAAAAAGTTTGACTTTCTGAGCTCTGAAGTGGGGGGGGGGGGAGGGAAGCTGGACAGAACATGAGAGGGGGATGTTTTGTTCACAACATTATAGATTCCCAGAAAAAGTGAGAGAATGCAGTGTAAATATTCCACAGTAAATGCTCAGTGTGAAAGTAGCCTATGTGCAAGGCAGGGAAGGAGTTCTGCCTAAGGTCTTGTTGACTGTCAAAGTAGATCAGTTAAAGTAACTGACCATTAAAGTAGACCAGTAGTAGCCAACAAGGTGACCTCTAGATGCTGCTAGACTTGTGGGCCTTAGCCAGCGCAGCTGATGGCCAGGGAAGATGGGAATTGCGGTCCAATAACATTGGAAGGGCAGCATACTGGCGACCCATGGTGGATTGATGGTTTGACTCCGTAGGCATATGTTCAAGCCAGTATTATTTTAGACTTGTAAGCTAAGCCATCGCTTTCAGTGTTGACCTTATCAGATGTTAGTTTTGCGAGGAATGGGATCTGTTTCCTGCTTATACAGTCTAAAAACAGAGATGGCCCAACCACAGCTCCCCCACCTCCCAAACATTCCATTGAAAGTTTGCCTGTCAGGCAAACACATAAAACACCAGGCTGGGTCATGTGTGGGAAGGAACAAAATGCAGCAGGGAGATGCCTCTCCCCATCTCTCCTGCCCTAATTGTGGGTCTGCTTAGTTTGGACCAAACTGTGGTAAAGATTGATGCAGTTTTTGAGCTGTGAAACTGAAACTTGAGTTTATCCAATGTGCAATGATTACGTAGCCTGCTTTAGGAAGAAAATCGCCCCTTAAGTCACATTATCAGCTTCAGAATCTATAGCTGAATTATAAATGGTGCTCCAGAAAATTCCACAGGCATGATGGGCAGACTATTTATTTTAAGGCAACATTTAATGCAAATATTTATTTATATGTCATGTGATATTACATATAAAAATCAAGGTTAGAACTGTTGCATCTTAATTGCATGGAAAAACAAGTAAAAAAGCAACAGAAGCGACAACAAACTGTGGTTGGAAGCAAGAGAGCAATAGAATCTCAGTTGAACATGTAGGAATTTAGCATTCTGTGGTTGCTGTCATTGCACACAGCTGATACTGTTCGCTCTGGTCTGGCTCACACATAACACTAAGCCAGACCATGGCTAAGTGTGAATGTGCAAGTGTTCAGGTAGCAACAGAAAAAAATCACAGCCACTTCACTGTTCCCTCAGTCCTCCTGCAGCCATGCTACCTTGAGTTAAGCAATGGTTTGACATGTTAAATCTGTCCAGGGAGAGAAACTTGAGCATGGGTTTGGACATAACATTAAGCCAAATCATACCTTACCTTACAGCAGGAGGACTGGAATGAAACAGACTTGATTTTTACTGTAAAAACACACACTTATTCAGGCTTAGCCATGGTTTGGGCTTAACATTATGTGCACACAGGGCCAATGACTGTTCTCTCAACAAGGAATATATGAGCAACCAATTCACTGGATAAAGCTATTGTCCACTTTCTTTTTTCAACACAGACCAAGTCTACATAACATAAAACGGAACTGTTTGACAGGAAAAGCATACTAACAACATGTGGCCGTCAGTGGTCATCACTTCCAGGTTTTGCCAGTATTGTGTGAGGGCAGCCCTCAAATGAATTATCATTTTAGTTATCAATAAGTTACACTGCTGATTATGATCACATCTTATGGAAGCCAGTGCCAAGGTCAAATGGACAGTGCAGTGGTGGCAACAAAAATCATTGCTTTTCATTATAGACCAGGGGTGGGCAACCTAAGGCCCATGGGCCAGATGCGGCCCAATCGCCTTCTCAATCCGGCCCACGGACAGTCCAGGAATCAGCGTGTTTTTACATGAGTAGAATGTGTCCTTTTATTTAAAATGGTATCTCTGGGTTATTTGTGGGGGCTGCCTGGTGTTTTTACATGAGTAGAATGTATTTAAAATGCATCTCTAGGAATTTGTTCATTCCCCACCCCCACCCCAATATAGTCCGGCCCACCACATGGTCTGAGGGACGGTGGACTGGCCCACAGCTGAAAAAGGTTGCTGATCCCTGTTATAGACAGTACATTTTTCCTGGAGGGGACGCAGGGGTACACATACCCCTAAACATTTTGTGAATCTTTGTACTTTTGTCCATTTAGTGTATTTATTTTTCCCGATTTGAACTATAAAATGGTGGTTTTCTTGAGTCAAAATGAGAGTACCTCTAAAAAATTTTTAAGAAAAAAAGCACTGATTATAGATATACTGTGTGTGAAGTTTTACCTCAGGCCCTTTAGAGTTAGCAGTATGCAAAGAAACTCATTTTCTCTTGGCTTCCTTGGAAAATTTAAAGCAGTGGCACATTATTGTTTGGGGTTCAGCAAGTAGCATACCATATTCATTATATGCCATTTATCCTCCTACACCCTTTTGAGAGCAGACAAGGACCATAGGAAGGTGGCCAAGGCTATATTATAACTCTAAATCTACCTAATAGAGATTATATTGCTCGATTCAGAATATATTCATTGAGGAATATTTAGATGCCCTCAACATTTCTTGTTTCATTTGACCGTGAGGTGGGTTTTTTTCTTTCTTCCAGAACCAATTCATTTCTGGCAGAGAAAGCAGTGGGAGGCACAGAGAAATATGAGGCGATGGTTTTCCTTTTCTTTACATTTCAGCATTTGTTTTCATAGAAAACAACTGCCTGCCTGATAATTCTTCAGGCTCATTTAATGATCCCTGCTACAAGCTGATGACTTTGCAGCCCGGGAGGCAACATACTTAAGCAGCTGATGGGAATTATGTACACAGTTATTACTTCAGGGTTTGCACATAAGAGAAGTCCTGGAAAATCCTCTGAAAACCATTCTGCTTTCCATTGGATTTCACAGCCTTTAGCGATGTAGTCATACCCATCAGGTAAATCCATTAGAGAAGCAGGAGATAGCCAGGCTTCGCGCTTTCCAAAACAAACTCAAATTATATCATTTGAGGTTGATCCTGTGGTTTGAACTCAATGCCTATTTTAGAAACATTCACAGCTTAGCAGAAGTTAGCTGTGGCAGATTTTTATTTTTTTGTAAACTGCCAAGTAAAACAGCCAAGTGCTTTGAGTTTCTTTTTCCAGTATCTGAACTGTAGGCTGCACCCACTGAGGTCATGCAGCAAAGGCTTTTTGCTTAGGGGATGGCTCTTGAACTTCTCTTCCTCAGTATTATACTTGGCCCAGAATCCTTTCAAAGTTTTTATTTGAATTTCATGAGCAGCAGTGAGGAACTGCACCTATCTCTTTGCAACAGGGAGAAGAGATCATATCTCATATCTTGCCTGTATTGAAAACAACTCCCCTGGCTCCCAGCAGTTTCCAAGTTCAGTTGAAAGTGCCAGTATTAACTCTTAAAGCCACATGGTTTATCTTCCGAATACCTGATGGGCCATCTTCTCCCATATCAATCTGCCCATCCACTGAGGTCACTGCCTGAGGCCTTCCTTAAGCTGGTCCCACCATCTGAATTCTGGTGGGCAGTGACCAAAAAGAGCCTTTTTAATATAGATCCTCAGCTTTGGGATGCCAACCTTCCTACTGAGACCCAGGTAGCACCCTTATTACTCTCATTTGGCTGCCAGGCAAAATTATTTATGCTTTCCCCAGACTTTAAAGAACCTTTAGCATCAATGGTAGCTTTCTTTTTTGTAAACTTAAAATAGTTTCCATTTTTACTAGCTATCTGAATGAACTGTTCCCATTTTAGTTCATTGTGTTAGTTTGTATGCTTTCTTCTATGAGTTTCATTTTTTAAAAAAACGACAACACCTTTAAGCATGTGTACAAATGCACGCACATGGACCTTACTTACGGTTTATTCAAGGATGCAGTCAGTGAGTATCCCTTAGGTGGATCTCAACATGCAGCAACGTTGCAATGTAAACTCAGCAGTAAAGCTTGTTTCATTGCAAATACTCCCAGCTAATGGGGCAGCAGCAGGTTCACATTACAACCAGCAGGTGGCAGCAAAGAGGCTCCTGCAACAGTCTGCAGCATCTGCGAATCAGAGGTGCAAGTACTGTAAGGTGCTATAGTTGCAAGTGTGGTTTACAAACATCCCCATCGTAGTAGTGATTTCAGCCACTAGGAACTGCAGAACAGGATCTTTTCCACAAAGATTAGCCAGCCTGTTCTTCAAGCGTTTGGCATGGTTATAATCCAGCTCTTACAGACCTGGCCTAATAGCAATCAATCTGCTCCATAATCTTCACTTCACAAGGAAAGATAGTGGTGCCCGGTCTTGGTCTCTTTCCTGACCAGAGCTGCACTTCCAGGGCCACTTGGATGCAGTGTGAAACAGCTTCTTACTTGCTGAGTGTGGCTGGGGAGGAGAGGGAGCATCTATGGCAGCTCCACCCAGCAAGCTCCTTTCACAGTGATGCATTTTGTGCTTCTTATGAGTGCATTAACAGCACCCACCACTAGGTGCTTTCTGCTTTTCCCCCTACAGAGATTTACCTATTTAGGTGCCTCTGGGAAATTAAGAGGTCTCAGCAGCACTGCACCTAGCTGCCCCATGATAAAATTAAAAAATCTGTGAGTTAAAAGGGGGGGGGGAGGGAGTGGAAGGAGTCTTGGGACTCAGAACCTCTGGACCACGCTCCCATACTGCCGCTGGACGGACTGCTTTTATTTAGCATTCCTTTCTTAGATTAATCTGATCATTGATAGCAGGACCATTTATATTTTCAAAAGACCTGGAGCAAAGGAGTTACCAGCATTTTCCACCCTTGGTCTCTTGGGTTTATGATCTAAGAGCTGAGTTTTTGTAAAGACTATTCATTTTAGTCGGCAAGAAAGATTTGGCTCTGTCATCTTGAGTGCACATGAAGCTGCTTATACCGCCATCAGATCTACAGTACACATATACTAATTAACAGCACATCTCAAAAGTCTCCGGCATGTGCTTTACCCAATGAGTTGGGGCTTCTTCCCAGATCAGATCTCCTGACTATGTCTGAGAACAAAACAACTAACTTACCAAATTGTAAAATGGGGGGGAAATTTGCCTGTTTCCTAAATGCATGGTAAAGTGCTGCGATACAGATGACTGCGGCTGACTTGGTTGTAATCTTTGAGTGGCTGCTGCTCTGCCGATAGTTGCTGAGAATAAAATGAAAAGCAGAGGGGGACCTGATACACCATCTTGAGCTCCTAGGAGGAAAGGTGGGATATACATGTAATAATAAACAAATAATAAATTAACATTTGCCACGTGTTACGACTGCATGGCTATTTTTTCCAAAATCGCACTACAGTGGTACCTCTGGTTACGTACTTAATTCGTTCTGGAGGTCTGTTCTTAACCTGAAACTGTTTTTAACCTGAAGCACCACTTTAGCTAATGGGACCACCTGCTGCCGCCGCACGATTTCTGTTCTCATCCTGAAGCAAAGTTCTTAACCCGAGGTAATATTTCTGGGTTAGCGGAGTCTGTAACCTGAAGCGTATGTAATCTGAAGCATATGTAACCCGAGGTACCACTGTATATATTAAAGAAAACAGACAACCAAGCAAACCCATGGTAGAAAATGTGAGCACTTGAAATGCTGAGCCCTAGGATACAGGAGAAGGTACATAGGAAGCTGCCTTATTCTGAGTCAGACCATTGGTCCATCTAGCTATTGTCTGCACTGAGTGGCAGCATCTCTCCAGGGTTTCTAGACAGGGAACATTTCCAGCTCTAACTGGAGAAGTTGGGGACTGAGCAGTGATTCTTCCCCACAAGTTATTAGTTTTGTTCATTCTTCGCTAAGAAAAGCTGTTCATGTTGACTAACTGGCCTGTGCAGAGATGTTCTTGCTGTATATTATTTTTCGCTTTCCTTTCGCCATAGGATACTCCATGCTACAAAGCAAAGAAATAATTCCTGTGGCAGCCATCAGCCTGTTGCCCCCACTGCTGGTTGCCATCATGATAACGGTGACGTTCTATCTCTGCCGAACCCACAGGCAGAGGAGGAGAGCCAAGGAATGGCCCCAGAAACAAGTCCAGCACCGCCCACTGCCTGAACCCAGCAGAGCCACTAGCTACGACGAGATACTATCTGTCAAGATTGACCACCGCGTCACCCTGAGCACAGCCTGCGCCAACAACATCAACCACAACACGGAACTGTTGCCTATCGAGCTAGATGAGCGAGTCGGGAAAGGGCAGTTTGCAGAAGTTTGGAGAGCAAAGCTGAAGCATGCCTCTTCAGGACAGTACGAGACGGTGGCAGTGAAGATTTTCCCCTGCGAGGACTATGCTTCCTGGAAAAATGAAAGCCAGATCTTCAGCGATGCCAACCTCAAGCATGACAGTATCCTTCAGTTCCTCACGGCAGAGGAGAGGCACTCTGGACTCCAGAAAGAATACTGGCTCATCACAGCCTACCACAGCCAGGGAAACCTCAAGGATTATTTGTCCAGGAATGTTCTGAGCTGGAGGGACTTGCAGAAGATGGCTGGCTCCCTAGTGAGTGGTGTGGCTCACTTGCACAGCGACTACACTGCCTGTGGCAGTCCAAAGATCCCCATCGCCCACCGGGACATCAAAAGCACCAACATCCTCATTAAGAATGAACAGGAATGTGTGCTCTGTGATTTTGGGATTGCTCTGAGGCTGGATCCAGCCTTAAGTGTGGAAGATTTTGCAAACAGCGGACAGGTGAGTGCTGTAAAATGAAACCAGCAGAGCAATCCATTCTGCTTGATGGGAAGTAGAAAGATCTTAGCTTCTTTCATGCACTAGCCATGCAAAGAGTTCTGCGCACTATGCAAGGGGCAGTGGAGGCTGTGCCACTGGCCCCACCCCAAAACATCATTTGATTTACCAATCCCAGCTTCCATGTGTTGAGCATGGACATTTGCATAGTGGAAGCCTGCCTATATAGGTTTTCCATGTGATCTAGAACCCTGCGTGAATGGGGATCCAGGTCACATGAAAGCCTACTGCATCTGTAGAGCATGACGCTCATAAGCTTCCCCTGGACAGCCTGTTCAGCATGTAAATCTTGGGGGTGGGTCCAGAAGTGCTGCCTGCTGCCCTTTCCATGGATGGAGGGCCCTTCTATGTGTGAAGGGGGTCCTTCAGAATGGCAAATATAACCCACAATAGCAGACAGCAGGCAGTATGAAAAAGCTCTGAAAAGGCAACGCTGCTATGGAATTTGCTGCAGGCATTCAGCATGTTCCATATACAAACATGCAACTATGATTTAAGAGAGCGTCCTGCTTGTTGGTACACAATTGGCTTGGAATCACCTTTGTTGCTGAATGACAAATAGCTACTGTGTTCCGGGTTCTAGAGGTTATCTTGTTTATGGCAGCTAGTTTGTAATCAAAGGCCGGGGCTACTAGATCTTCCCAAGCTCTTTTTGCATTCAAAATCTAACACCAATGCAATACTCAATGTCTTTCCCCTCATGGTGGAGAAGCAGCAGGGAGAGGAGTGATTTGAGCAGAAAGCTGCCCACTGGACAGTAGAGTGGTACTTTCCTCCATTCAAACTCACAGCTGCCCACAGCACCTTTTGGTTTGAATGAAACAAACAGAAAACCCAGGAAAGAAGCTCTCAATTATTGTCACATCTAATTTGGGCCTTGGTTCACATCCCAGTAAGGGCTGGTAAGTTTAGAGAAGATTTTATGGTCACTTTCCTGGCTACCCTATACTTGGACAAAAACCTAGAGATAAAGGGGTGGAGCAACTCTGGAGCATAAAAGGTCCAGTCTGTATCGCAGATCTTCTAACGCATTGCAGCCTCCTTTTAACTTGGAATCACCACAGCTTCTCTCCTCCACCCCTTCTAACATCTACTCAATTTATGGCCAGGTGGGCACTGCCAGATATATGGCTCCTGAAGTTTTGGAATCTCGAGTGAATCTCGAAGATCTGGAGTCCTTCAAACAAATGGATGTTTATTCCATGGCTCTGGTTTTATGGGAGATTGCCTCCAGGTGTGATGCCATAGGAGGTAAGTCTATACCAGCAGAGTCTTTTGTCTTCCAAGCCCCGCTTTACACTGGGCAAAACAAACATGGCTGTTCCAACATGCCAGAGGGAGGTGGGAGCAAACCTTAGTGCAGAGAAGCTAACCTATGGCCATCCCACCCTAGATGCTGATGAACTAAAACTCCCAATATCTCTGACTGCCAGTCATGTAGGTGGAGGCTGATGAAAGCTGTAGTTCAGCAAACATCTGGAGGGCCACAGGTTAGCCACTCCTGCCTTAGCAGAAGAACGCATTTCTCAGATGGAAGGAGGGCATCTCTTGCAAAAATGGGTCTCAGGTAGCAAGGCCGGGAAAGGCTCCTGGCCTCAGGACTCAAAAAGCCACACTGCCCATAGCCAAGGCAAATAATCCTAGGATAGATGGGCAAATGACCTGTCTCAATAGCATGGGGATTTGTGTGGCTCCACAGTGGAGATTGTATTGCCTCTCCACTAGGAAATGATTGTACCATTTTATTATGTTAAAAGAGGCGCCACTAAGAGCCTGCTAAAATGAAAGAAAATACCAAGAAGATTGAAGGAAGCGTTTGGAGTGCGAATGGCCACTAAAGGAACCCACGTTTCATCAGCAGTAACAAAAATTCATTAACAGGGATTAATTTATTGCTTTAGCATTTCCCACTACATAATCAGGCTTTGAACTGGTAGCAGCAATGCTAACCTGTCCCGCTAATTCAAAGTGATTTGGGCTTGTGCTGATGCTAATTCTCATGAGATGCAAGTCCAGACGCTAGCATGTGGAACAGTCTACAAGGGCAGTGTATGTGAAATCTATGGGCAAATGTGTTAACAGGATGGTGGGGATGGGGAGCTATACAGCACTGGTGCAATATGGATTCGGGTTCATTTATCTGTCATTACATTTATATCCCACCTTTGCTCCAAGGAACTCAAGGTGGCATGAAAAGTTTTCCCCCTTTCCACTTTTATCCTCAAAACTAACCTCAGGTTAGGCTGAGAGGCAGTGACTGGCCCAAGGTCACCCTGTGAGCTTCATGCCTGAGTGGGGACTGAACTCCTGGTCTCCCAGGTCCACCACCCTAACCACTACAACAAGCAACAAATACTTAGCGGCCTCTGCTGTGTCCTACAACGTGGTCCATTAAGGAAGTACCTGCTGTACATCCACACACACATCCCTCTGCATCGCCACATCTCATACACAACCTGGTTGGGCTGTAGGTGCTACTGCTTTTAACAGTTTACAGGTTTTAAAACAAACTGTGGGCAGCAACCAGCCAATACCGTGCTGCCAATACTAAATGAAGCAAGCTTCTTTTCTGAAACATACAGTGGCATTTCGACAAATCTTTAAACGTGCTGCCGGAATTTAAAAGTGTCCCCTGTTCACAACCTGGCTGCCAAGCTTTGTTATCAATGAACAGTTCTTCACCAGGTACAGCTGCAAGCCGCCGCTAGAGGTAGTTTTATTATCTGTTTCCTGGTGAATGTTCTCGGTGGCACCACAGCACTGCCCCGACAAGTACATAGTCAATGTGTATCTAAATTGCATGCACATCTAACTAACATCAACGCTTCTTCCTTGCAGAGGTGAAGAACTATGAGCTACCATTTGGCTCAAAGGTCCGGGAGCAACCCTGCATGGAGGTTATGAGAGATGTTGTATTGCATGGTCGAGGGCGTCCAGAGATACCTGGCAATTGGCTGGTGCATCAGGCAAGTACAAAAAAAGAAGGTAAAATTTATGGCTTTGCCATGAGACCACCTTCTTTTGCCTACTCCTCCTCTTGAACTGTTTCCATTCAAGCTTATAACTGAGAACTGGTGCTCGTTTGTTTTCTTCTTTCCTCCTCATCCGTTTTGGTTTCTTTTCTTTTTAGATCGAAAGCCTGAGGGCAGGGGCAGTCTTATTTGTTATTGATCTCATGTTATTGATCTCTGGAAGCCCTTCCTCTGAAGAGCAGGGCAAAAATGCTTTCAATAAATATTTATGAGCAGCAGACCTAGAAGTGTGTGGCTACACAAACAACATTTGCAGAAAACTTGAAGCCCCCTCCCCTGCCCCCCAAAAAACACTGCCCCCCCAGGTTTCTGAGGCAAAATGGAGACTTTGGGGGAAATTGAAATTAACATACTTACCGTATTTTTCGCCCTACAGGACACACTGGCCCATAGGACGCACCTCGGTTTTTTTGGGGGGGGGAAATAAATTTTAAAAAATTATTTCCCCCCCCCAGCCCACAGAACAGGCTGCTGCCCGCAAGCCCGCGGGAACTCCCCCCAGGTGCGCAAGGCTTGCGGACATCTGCCCGAAGCACGGGGCATGTTCCGCAGCGCGCCCCGTGCTTCCGGCTGCAGGCTGCCGCCCCAAGCCTTGCACGCCCGCGGGAACTCCCGCCAGGCTCGCAAGGCTTGCGGATAGCTTCCTGAAGCCTGGAGAGCGAGAGGGGTCGGTGCGCACCGACGCCTCTCGCTCTCCAGGCTTCAGCGAAAGCCTGCATTCGCCCCATAGGACGCACACACATTTCCCCTTCATTTTTGGAGGGGAAAAAGTGTGTCCTATAGGGCGAAAAATATGGTACTTTCTTATCAAACCTAATATGTTTTAACATAAAATGCATCCTAACTTGGCACAGTACAAATTTATATTTGGAATATTTCTGAAATGCAGAGAGTTGCCCTCTGTATGTTTACTCATAACTAATACTGATTCTGTTCGGTGGCACTCTCAAAGTACCTATGATTACAGTCTCAGAAGAATAAATTTTTACGTTTTGTACAAGCACCGTTGCAAATGCACCCAGTATTGAAGAGAGCAAGCTGTCAACTGCTACCGTATGCTGCCTTGCACATTTTCTCATCTTAGTTTCTTGCAATTTGAAGAGGGGGAAAAAAAGCTAAAAGCAGAAATCAATAATTTTGTATTAAACAAAGTGAAGTGTTCTCGGTGGACAAAAATGGCCTCATATAGTCACAGTCCTCTCATGAACAGTCCTCTTCTCCTCTTAAGGCACTGTCCTGAGAGATGGCCCCCCCACTTTCCATTATAACATTGCCCAAGACCCTTCCAGTCAATTTTTAGTTGCCCCAGCAAGTTTATTTTTTGGGAGGTGAATGGAATACGGTGCCCCTTAATAGGGAAAAGGAAATCATGCACAAAGCCAAAAATCATGTTACTGAGCCAGTAACGCACACTGATTGCTCTTCTTTTTATTTCAAAAGTGGGCAATAATTGCAGTGAAGCAGAAGGAAGAGCACGGAGGAAGGTATCATAAATATAACGCATGTCCTTATTTTGATGCCCTGTTCGTTTCGTTCCCCCTAGATTTGAGATTGCTAACTTCCCAGCTTCCTTCTTAATTTCAGGGAATGCATGTCCTGTGTGACACCATCACAGAATGCTGGGACCATGATCCTGAAGCCAGACTCACAGCTCACTGCGTGGCAGAGCGCTTCAACCTGATGGTGCAGACGGATTGCGATGACATCCTCAACAACAACAGCAGCAGCAGCAGTAGCCATGGCAGCAGCCTTGGTGATGAGGCAAGCAAAATGGGTTGCCCAGTAGATGAGAATCAAGGGAGTGACAGGAATATCCAATGACTGGAGGAAGAAATAAAAGCTGGACAGAAGCACCAATGGGCATGCCACTCAGAAAAAAAATATACCTCCCCCAAACCCCATTTAGTTCTCTGAATGAATAAAACGTATTTATAAGCCCTTTTAATTTACTAGGCAAAAAGGCAGAGTCACTGTATTATGTTCAGCACGCAATATAAATCATTTTATACTTATTTTAAATGTATAACACAAAAAATTCTTTATTTTTAAAAAGATTCACAATTAATAGGCATTTTTTTAAAAAAACCCATCCAATCTTCATTCTTTACGAGGGGGTAAGGCAGAGTCTTGACCCTAGCCTGTTATTAGATCACACAAGAAATTGCTGGAACCATTAGGTGTTAATCAGAAAAGAACTCCATTCGCTTGCTTTTAAAATAAATAAATAAATTTTTCTATTAACACAGGCTTCCAAAGTTTTGAAAAATTTGTTACATCTCTCAAAGACTTTGAAGAAACCCAATATTGATACCATGTTTATTCCTAAAGTTAAGGTTTGACACCTAACTCTGTCTGCAAACTTTCCTTCCTAATTTCCACTATTGTCATCTCAGCCATAACCCACATTTTGTCTAACCAGCTTATTTGTTCTTTAAGCTGTCCTTTCACTTCAAAAGAACATCTATTAAATTAGAACTCCAAAGGAATGCAATGTGGGCTTCCAAGTAAGAGCCAGGGCTTTTCAGCATCCCACCCTTTCCACACGAGTACCGCACGCCACCTGAAAAGCCACTTGTGAAAGTCACTGCTCTCTTTGGACAAGACAAGGCGTTGGCTACTGGATGAGGAAGATCTCTGCACAGGCCTGGGGCTTTCTGGATTCTGGACTAAGATTGCAACTGTAAGCATACTGGGGAACTCAAGTTCTATTGAAACCAAGAGGAGATACTTGAACTATATATATTTATGTTTCACAGTGAAAGACACTGGCTTGTGCGGAAACCTGGCATTCTGTAGCAACTACTGGCAGATTTCTATTTCTTTTGTTATTTTGAATGGGCTGCTTTCCACGAAAACTATACAACAAGTTCATGGAAGCATATAGCTTGGCTACAATGCCAAAGCACCATCTCATCTTAACTTGCAAAAGATGTGCAAGCTCTCTAGGAAGAGAAATCTGGATGCTTCAGAAGTGGCATTTGTGTCATCTGCGTGTTTGAATAGACCAGAGCAGTGTGGGACAGGAGAGAGCAGAGATATTCTTAAAAGCCCACAAATTCTGAACTGAAAAATCCTATTCCACAATTTGAAGCTGAATATGCTGTCAGCATTGAGCACCACAATGATATGAACACAGACAAAAAACAAACAAACAGTTCCGTTTGGTAGCTTTATTTCCTTCCCTCCCCATTTTCTCACACATGGAATTGTACACTAGTCGCATTAAGATTTCAGTGCATTTCACAGCAAAAAAAAAAGTACAAGGGAATCTTAACACATGTGCATTACCCCCCCCCCCAATTCCCCCCAACACTTTTCAGACTTTGTGGAAAATGAGGGTGATTACTTAACCACTCTCGGGTGCATTCGGATAACCTTTTCCCTTAATATGGAAGAAAAAAACTAAACACACTTGACCAGCACACACAGAGTTTGAAGGTTTTCATGATGGCAGGGAGAGGCCCCACTGTTGACACAAACCAGAAGATGACAGATAATGGTATATACACTGATTGGAAGACTACATCAGAAGAAACAGAGTAAGGCACCACTCTTAGAAAAATTAAGGTAGCTTGTAGTAACAAGAATGAAAGCCATAAATCAGTACTATTCTTAATTGCCAGCAATTCTTAGACTTCAATAAAATATTGGTATCATAAAAAACAATGGACGATTTTACCTGAACATGGTTTTCCGGTATCAGATTGCAACTGGTTTTGTATGTAGTCCCATAGCAAAAAAACAAGCCTTCTCAGGTGTTGTAGAAAAACCAAAGTGACGGTCTTTGTACTCAGCGGGGACACAAAGATGTCTGACTCGGAACTTACACAGAAGACAAATGAAATCACTTGTCTGGGCAACCTGCAACACTGACTCTGTCTCAGAGATGATCCATGGAGAACAGTGAGTGGGGGCAATGAAGTATATATATAGATATTTAAAAAAGGACACATCAGTCAGGTCTGAGCTTCAGTCTCTTCAAAGAGACAGAACATCTTCAGGGTATTTACAGCAGTTTGCTAAGGAAATGAAGCTGGGGGGAGGTTAAGGGAAATTCTAGAGCTCAAAATTGTTCTGAATTTTACGCTTCTCCTTCCACCTTTCTCTCCACAACTCTTTCACATATAGGAAACACCCCATAGTTACAATTCTAATCTACTTTAGAATGTTGTGGGGGGGAGGGTTTTTTGTTTGTTTTTTTAAAAAGGTGAGGTTTACGTGACTCCCTCATTCTTCCACAGCCATGCGCACATTGCCTCCGAAGAATAATTAAAAAAAGAAGTGTCAAGTCCTGATCCAGACAGTTCAATAACACTGATTCCAAGGTCAACATGAAGAGCTTCCTCTTCAAGGTTTTCAGCAGGAATAATAATTCAGAGCAGCAAAAGGTGTTTCTCTATATGGGCACTGAGTAGTTCAGAAACAAGTGGGAAATGGAGCACAGATTGGGAAGAACTGTTCAGCTATTACTCCAGAAGCAATTCCACTTGGGCAGAACAGCATAGCAGCTCTGAATGCTACTGTTTCTAGAAGATTTTATATATATATAGATATATAAAACATCTTAGGCAGCTTTTGCAGTAGGTGTGCTTAGAAAGAATACAATACACAGTTCAGATAAAATCTTCAGTGCCATATAAAATGTTTTTTGAAGTGGGGGGAGAAGACATACCTGGCAAGGTTCTCTCTCGCTATCTTTTGATTTTCTGCAACTTTAAAGTGCCCTAGTAGTTTATTCCATTATGCTTACTTAATTTTGTGCAATTGTATAAAAATCCCAAAGGACTGTTAGTGAGACACAGCATTTTGGAAGTTGTAGGGATTAGAACAAAAGAGAAGAATAATTTTGAAGAAATGTCATCTAGTTTGTGTCTGCTGGTTGATTTTGTACAGCAGGCATTCTTTTCCAAAGAGGGTTATAATAAACCCAGCCCTCTCCCTGCAATTCAAACAGAGAACAAGATTACTTAGTTGAAGAAAAATTCTCCATGTAAATTCAATGGCAAATGCTAATTGTCCTAAGAACTGAGTAGTACACTACTGCCCAGAGACTGACCATAACCATAATATCTGAAACCACAATTTGATCCTTCTCACTATCCACAGTTTAAACAAGCCACAGTTGCCTGAGTTTGGATACCTTCAGGAAACCCACAAATTTCAAATCAGAAGCTGAATTTACAGGTACAAAACTGGAGAGTTGGAAGGGGACTATATATGCCTAAGGTTCATTATGACCCCCTTAGAAGAAAACCAGAGCTTTCTAATACATCTAGAAACACAGGTGACCATTGTTCTCACCCTGGCATCTGATTGGCTACTGTGAGAACAGGAAGGAGTAGACGGGCTCTTTTTATGTTCTTCCAGGAAGCTGCCTTACACTATGCCAGACTATTGATCCATCTAGCTCAAAATTGCCCACATTGTTTGGCAGTGGCTCTGCAAGGTTTCAGATAAGAACATTCCCAGTCCTACTTGGAGAAGCAAAGGATTGAATTTAGGCCCTTCTGCATACAAGTCAGATGCTCCAACGCTGAACTACAGATGAACTGAGTCAGTGTATAGTCTGGCCCTTACAAGGCAAGAAAGCCTAATTTTGGACTTCCTCCTTGGGCGCTAGAGATTCTTCACCATAGCAGCTAATAGTTCATATTAGGAGATCCCTTGTTCAAATCTCAGCCACAGACAAATCACAATATCTTATGCTTGCAAGATAAGGATTATAATGCTAACCTACTAGACAGGATTGTTGCAAATGTGTCTTATTAATATGAAGCCAAAACTGCAGTTCAGTTCCAAAAAGAAGCATATACATTGAGCATGTAGAGAAACTGAAGTGAAGGCATTAATCTATAAAATAAAGTGGCAAGAAAAATGTTCCAGCAGAGGCTATTTCTATTCAACTATCTTCTGTTTATATGTGAGCTTTTCAAAAAAATGCAAAGAACTAAGCAGAGAATATTTTTTATATTTACAGAGGCAAGCAGTAGCCCCTATGACATGCTGGAAGGTTGCCATTTTAAATATTCAACTTGTGTCGAGTTACTTACATCTTTGACGAAGTACTTAGTTTGCCATGGTTCTCCTGTCTCAGCCCGGAGTCGTTCTTCATTTCTCTGCCGTTCCTCAAGTGCTTTCTTATGCTCTGTCGCCTTATCAATGTCCCCGTCCCTCAGAGACTCTGTCACATGTTGCCACAGCTTCCTGAATTAAAAAAGGTACAGCTGACTTCAAGCTCTCTTAGCAGGTCAGTGTGTTGTCAATACTTGCAGCACATGAGCAGAATTCACAGCTATAATCTTGGCTCCTCTCAGATTAAGAATAAGGTGAACTGAAAGGCAAGAAGGAACTGCCACCGTATCCTGGAAGGGCTTTCTCTCCAGAAAAAATTATGAGGAACTTGCAGTGCAATATAGAATATAGCTGTTACCCAAGTGAAGAATAAAAATGCATGGCAGCAGTGGAGAACCTCAGTGCAGCCACATTTAACGAAAGTGCCAAACCACTCTGTGAAGAACCTCTAATTCTCTGGGCCATTTTTTGAGAGAGCCTCCTATGCTCATTTTGGTTTTCCTTAGGTTTTCCTAACACTTTTTTTTTTAAAAAAAACCACTTTGGCTCCCACAAATATGAATGAAAAAGAAATGCAGGCATCTAAGTGTACTCAGTAAGTGTTAATTGTGAAAACATAAAAGAACTTCTCTTACCTGGATTCAAATGCCCCTTGTTTCTCAATGGGTCGGACTCGTTTTCTTGTGACAGACAGCTTTGTCAAGTCCATGCATTTTGTCTCTCCATTGCTGTAGGTGAATTCAAGGATGCTATTCCATTCCCCTTGCACTCTACAGACAACAGTGTTGGTAGCATTCTGTTTCACCTCACCGGTAACCCTAAAAAAACAGCATTCAAAAAGTAAAATGTGACAATAGCTGGATTAGCCCACGCTCTGTATTCATGTTGGGATACAGCTCACATTGTGTTATTTCTTTTTAGAAACAGAGGAATACATGCAAGTTCTAGTACAGCAAGATTTGAGTGCTCGTCATCTTCTTTGCAAATGTGTTTTAAAAAGCTACATTTCTAATGTTTAACTGTGCAGCTAGTTCAAAACAGTTTTCAAAAGAAACAAAATAGTAAACTTAGGAGCCCACTAATTATTTTTGCACTCATCTCTTGCATTTTACTTCTTTAAAAATCATTGTTTTCTATCGATGGCAGCTCAAGAATTTCATGCCATGGAGGGTTGAGAGAGAGAGAGAGAGAGAGAGAGAGTGAGTTAAGTATGTGGCTTGCCAATTAATACTGAACAACAAAGTTTAATGGGAACTTCACCAAATTTGCCAAATCTAGCGTACCAAAAAAAAGAGAGCATTTTGCTTACAATTCAATGCTAGATGAGTTTCTGGTGGTCTCCTCTAAGCTTTCTAAGATAGGAATACATTAGACTGGATAAACGTTCCTCTGCAACAAGGGTGGCTACCCTGTAGCCCTCTGGCTGTTGCTGGACTCCAACTCCCATCAGTCCCAACCAGCATGGCCAATGGTCAGGCATAAGGGGAGCCGCAGTCCAACAACCTCTTGAAAGGCTATTGGTTGGCCACTGCTACCTTAACAAGCTGATTACAGAGAAGTATTGCAGATTTTGGATTACAGAGAAGTATGCAGTTTTCCCAACATCCTGTTAAAAATACCAATACCAACCAATACTAAATATGAAATAGTGTCTAGATATTATATTCTATTTTAGGTAAAACTCCCTGAAACCAGATGTTTCCCTAGCATTATTTTAAACCTAAGCAAATGCAAATTGTACTATGGAAGCCACCTTCTGCCTCAGCAAATCAGCTGTGCACAATACAGTTCCGCTCAATAAAAAGTATTTAATAGTAAAGTTCTCTGAAAAATCTATAGTGACATTATTTTCATTACAATATGAACTAGCAGCAGAGTCACTATGACAGCATTTTCTCTCTCTTGTACTTATGACTACAAAAAAGCTCAGATAAACACTAATCCAAAGTCCCATTGGTAATTGAAACTACAGACAAGTGCTTTGATGTATTTGAAATAGTTATTGGCCATCTTTCAAGGCAAATGCTCTCTCAGGGCACTTGATATAGAAGCATAATATTAGGAAGCACAATTTCAATAGCACAACACAATACATAACATTCTGCTATTATTTCCCACTACTTCCCTGCCAGGGGCCAGAGTTCAATCAATCTTTTGCAAATATTTAACTAGTTAAATAAATCAAGGTGGTTTTAGACGCTGAAAATCTAGTTGAGATTCCTGCACTGCAGGGGGTTGGACTAGATGACCCTGAGGACCCCTTCCAACTCTACAATTCTCTGAAGATCCTTTTCGAGATACTGAGACTCTTTGACTTGAAAGCAACATTCCAGCAAGCACCAAAAGTATTTCAGAAAAGGTTTAGCTTCCTTTTAAATGTCCTTCTCAAGTTTTCAGAACAAAGTGGTGAAGTGGCTTGCTTAGATCAGTAGTAGTAGCAGCAGCAGCAGCAGCAGCAGCAGCAGCATACATGGACTTCGTTTTTACAACATCCAGCTCAAAAGAGGAAGATGGAAAGATGCCATTCCCATAAGAAAGTTACCTGCAATTGATTCTGCACTACATTATACAAAACGCCTGCCAACCATAAATACTTACCGGTGAAGCTTGCCGCCATAGAATGGTTTGGTATGGAAAGTAATACTTGCAGAGTATCCCGTTTTTGCACAATTAACACTGACTTTTCCTCCCAGTTCTACCCAAGGGACAGTCAGAATTGACCGAGCATATGCACAAGGCAGAGAAAACGTGTATTCCTCTCCATGGTCCAAGAGACTTAAAATACCTGCGAGACAAGAGAGATGCACATCATCTCCACAATAACAGAAACAAATAATTCATACTCCCCATATTTATATTAGAGGATGCAGAGAACCAGGACATTTTTTTAACCATTTAGTATCATCAATGATATACTTAAGGTGACAACAGCCCTTTTCTTTTAACTCACAGAGGAGCTACTTGCACAAACAGTATAGGGTTGTATCCAACCAAGCTTGTTTGTTTATAAAAATATTTATATATTGCTATTTTATAAAGTTATCAGAGTGGTTTACAACAAAAGTACATAAAAGCATGCAGCAAAAACCATATTAGAAAGATTAAAATCAGTTGCTGTTCCGTTAGTGCAAGGACTTTTTCCTGTGCAATATAACTTCTTCCCCTGAGACGACCCCCCCCCCCAACGCGCCTGCAAATATGTTCTGGAGGGTTGGGAGATTCTTTGGAATAGATGGGAAGAAGTCCTATTGCATAGGTGGAAATCCTTGCTCTAACAGGACTTTGTTGTATATACAACCCATAGTATATATGTTAGGAAATTACGATCATTAATTGTAAAGACAGAAGATATACCCCCTGTTTTCCTGTGAGAGATAAAATTAATTGGGTTCATCTCCATTTGCATTTTCTACTTAAGAGGCCAACATAGTTTAGAACAGTAAAGCCTATGACCCTTCCCCCCCCATCACAATTCCTCTACATTTCTGAGGCTTGCTGGTATCTATGTCTTACTGTGACTTGTCAAAACAACTCTACATTACAAAAAATGTCTCCACTGTATAATGTTGAGCAATGGAGTAAGATTAGTTTTGGGTGCAAGATGGATGGCATTGCCTCTCACAAGGAACTAGAGCAAAGCAACAGTTTCAGAAAAAGGGGTCTGTGCGCCTGAAATTCTGTAGGAAATATCTGAAATTAACAGAAATGCGCAATGCAAAAGAAGGAAAGAAGAAACTGTTGATACTGAATGGAATGCATACTAGGCCAGGACATAGGCATCATAAAAGAAGACACAAAATACATCATCTGGAGACAAACTTTTTTTATCATTTTCATGTGCTACAAGATTACCGAACTTTGTCCCAGCTGCTCCTAAAACAACTGAGGTCCCCTGTAAATTCTGACAGGACTGGAGCCTTGTCTTCTTCTCTGACCAAGAGACCAAAGAGAGGTTGCCCTTGGAAGGAGACCTAATCTTGTAGTCTGTTGCATCAGCAGCTGGCTGGGTCAGAGGGCATAAAAGCTCAGCTGCCCTTGGGTGGTAGGCTTGCCACCAAAAGGGTGACACTAAAGGAGTTCATTCCTCATAAGGTGTCTGTGCTTCTTGCACAGGGTGAGAACCTGGACAGTGAATTGTATGACTGGAGAAAGTTGCCAGATTCTCCCAGGGCAAGAGCCTGCAATGTGAATATGAGGCAGGATTGGAGTGTGGCAGGGACTGGGTGGTTTGTACATGCTTTTAGTAAAGCTGTTCTTAACCAGCTAGATACCTTCTGGGATAACTGATGGGTGGTAGTACATTTTTTGTTGTTGGGCTGTTATTTATATTGTGGGCTTGTGAAGAGCTCAACATGGTTAGGGTGAGAAATGGTTATGGGAGACAAGTTATCACTGAAGTTGAGGGAGAGGCTATTTACACCTTGATTCTTTCTCCCACCTCTCCCATGGCTGGGTTCCTGGTGGTTCATCTGCTGTGGCCATCAGCCAGTCCATGGTGCATATGAGACCTGGGTGGGCAAGCTGGGAGTTGATCTGACTCAGCTCTGCCCACCTGACTACAGCATCAGCACAAGCTACAGAGATAGGGTGGCAATGGAGTGGATGTGGCCCATAGTACTTCCACCTACATCACCAGAAAAAAACCCTGTCTTGGAGTTGGTTGTTGGGGCCTGTACCTGTTGTTGGGCCAAGAAGACAGTCAGCAAGGGTCACTGCTGGTTTACCATCTACTCTGCTGCTCACCAGCTTATCTGACCAAGCTGATGGGCATGGTGATGGAAGAACCCCTAACAACAGTCCTGGATGATGTCAACATCCATGCAGAGGATGCTTCAGGTGTTCCTTTTCAGGACTTCATGGCCTCCATGACAGCCATGGGGCTGTCCCAAGTTATTAGTGACCCAACACACTGGCCAGGGCACACCCTCAATCTGGTCTTTGCTCCAGATGGAGGAAGGGGTTGTCTGGAAGTAGCAGGGGGCTCACAGTCAAACCACTTTCTGGTGAAGTATGGTCTAATGGCTTTGATCCACGCCTGCAGGGGTGGGGTACTGAATTGGAGGGCCCACCCCCACCACTGGAGATTAATGGAATCCAACGGGTGCCTAAATGCCCTGGGCCTTTTTCCCAGAGAGTAGAGCAGACAATCTGTTTGAAACTTAGTTGCTCTGTTGAACAGTGAAGCACAATGAGCTCTTGACATGGCCATCCCTGAGCATCTCTGACACCATGGAGCCCCATCTTCACAGGTTAGATCAGTGCTTCCCAACCAGGGCCCATATGGCCCCTGGGGGCCCCCAGGATATTCCAGGGGGGCACAGGCCTGGGGGGCCACAGCACACAGCTGCCCCCCCGGCTATGTCCATGGGCAGGCCACAGGAAGGAACAAGGTCGGAAGGGGGCCACAGTTGGAAAAAGATTGGAAGATACTGGGTTAGCTGACAAGTAAAGCACAAGTGGTGAAAGACACACTGTGAAACCGACCAAATGTGAGTGAGCCTATTGTGGCAAGTGGCTAATTGCAGCGTTCTCCACTTACCTTCGCCAACCATAGTCACTCCTATTGACATTCCTAGGAATTTACTTTTAGTCCAGACGTGAGCATTGACACACATATTCCTTTCTACACATTCGGCATAAAACCCTGAGACTGGAGGGTGATGGGACACTTGTTCCGCTACAAATCTGACTGTGTGGTAGTCCGATTCTGCTTGTTCCTGTGACTCTTCTGAGACAGTCCCTTGCTCAGAGAGGGAATGGGATGAAGAGTTACTACTCGTGTCGGACGGTACTCGGCTCCTCCACGAGCAGTGAAACGTTTCCCCGATGATCGGGTTGTATGGCTTTTTCGCTATCGCCCCTTTGCGACCTTCATGAAAGGAAGTGAGGTAATATTCCACAAAGCGGATCATCCTCTCCTCGGGGCTGGCGCCGCTGGAAATCGCAATGAAGAGATCTGGGTGGGACATGAAGTCAGCATACATTTCCAGCAAAGAGCGTTTCTCTAATATAAAAGTGGGGAGTACCACCTGAAAAGAAAGAAAGGCATGAAGCACACCTAAAGCTTCGAATTGCAAGTGATGGGATAAGGGTATAACGCTTTTCTAAGCAAAGAGCACAACCTTAACTAGCGCAAACAAGAGGAAGACATGTTACTTTGTGTATTCTGAAAACGCTATGAAATACTTCCTCTCCCCCCTCTTCTTTAGGTGGAGGGTGGCTGTCTAAAGCTAAGGCATCACTTACACTTATTGGGGCTCCCTGAGTGTTCTAGAACCCTGATTTTCCAGGGCTCTGAAATGTACACCAAGCCTCCACAAGTGCAGGAAGCTTCCCATTGCAGTCCATGGTGGTCAACAGGAACGACAACCTGGGGTGAGATGGAACTAGTACACACACACACACACTGAGCAGATTCCTTATTACCCAAAAGAATTCCTAAATAAACAATTCTGAGAGCGCAGTTCAACTAGCTGATATAAATTCAGCTGGTAGGAATGTCTTCAGCGAGGGCTTTTTTGTGGGAAGGGGAGCAAAGGCTTAATTCCAAGTTAATTAAGTTGTCTGTGCAAATCCAGATGTGGCTGGGCCAGCCTTCAGTTCCAGAAGCACTTCCCTCTCAATTTCAAGAAGATTAATGTTTCAGTCACTTACTCTTGTTAAGTCCATGCCAAGTTTGAGTTGAGACAGGAGATGCAAGATAACGCTACGCTGTTCTTCCACGGCTCCAAGGTCATCCTCTTTAAGTTCACATGTATCCTCTATCTCCTCATCTGGGTTTATTTCCTCTGGTTCCTAGTGTAAATTCCAAAAACAAATGACACTTCAAATAATTTACCAGCCCTAAATATCTGGGCTGTATAACTTAATCCCTCTTCCTCCCAAGCACGACGGTTCAGTCATCCTCCCAAACCTCACAGATAATCACTCATGTCTCAAGCGACATCATTTGTAGGAGTGATACCGAACAAGCCACTTAACAACAGTTAAGGCTGCAAGCTTCAGTTAATAGTGTGATCCTGAGAATGACAAATCAGAAGAAAGACTTAGTCCCAATTAAACATCCTAACTAATTTCTCGGGCTGACTGAAGAGAATATCACTGTTCATCCTCCACAGACACACTAGCTCTCTTCTCCCTATGGAAGTTTTATTTTTAAAAAACCCACAAATTTTATTTTTAGTTTCTCTACAAAACTAGCCCATATGTATGATTTCACTTCTAGGAATAAGAGACACAAGCTAGTAAAGCTGACAGCACTCAGTTTAAACCAATGTCAGTGTATCTCTTCTGCAATATGGGTGGGATTTCAATATGCTCATTTTTTGTGTCTCTAGGGTGCTATTAAAATAGGAATTATTATACAATCTGGATTTCTACATTGATAAAAAATAAATAAAGATGGTTCAGCAATGAACAGTAGCCTTTGCTTACAAGTTCTTATGCTGTCCAGGAGCATTCTTTAATGATCTCAAACACACTCAGGGTTTTGGTAATATGTACATTTACTTTATCTGTTAATTAAAAGCTGGGTGTTTCATCAATTGCATTTTAACTTCAGCTGATAGACCTGCTTAACAGATAGGTATGATCATATTTTGCCTTTGATGGAACAATTTTTTTATATTTCTAGTACTTGCTGTCAGTTTCCTGAAATGAACAAGACAAAATCACTGAGTGGGAAATTAAAAAAACCCACTTTAATAACAATTAAATGTAAAACAAAAATAAGAGGAGTAGCATATGTTATGTTTAATGCTAATGATCCTCGGTTTCTCCTATGTAGAATGATGACTTCAAGTATTACAGATGGAAAAAAGTGGGAACAGTAAAAGTTCTCTGACAGACTTGCCCTGAATATAAAATGTGCCAACACACAAAAAAGAAATAAATGAAGTATAGCCTGCCTGTATCCATGTATCACAGGATATGAAGTTTACTCTCCCAGAAGGAATTCCTGCTTGTCCTAAGTGGAATAGCCAACTACAAATTGGCTATAGAACAAGCATAGCAGAAGTATTTAGTAAGTTGACCTGGCCTGCCAGACTCAAAGGTCTATTAGCTCCAATGGCAGAGAGGGAATGATATATTCAGTATCATGTCTCACCTTGGAAGAGGCAGACTGAAGACAAAGACAGATAAGGCACACCAAGTATTTGTTTTTAATTAATTTTAATACTGTATTTTAAATTGCTGTATCCCACTCTGGAACCTTGTGGTGAAAGGCAGGTAACATTCTGAATAAACAAGGAGTCTTAACCACTTAACCACTATGGTATCTATCAAAATGAGCAAAGCCTTTTCAAACATACGGACCCAGGAGTTACCCTCCATATTCCACAAAATATTTGTCAGTGATATTAATAGAGACTGCTTATAGAATAGAGTAACTGTGAATGCTTATTGTTCCTATGTCCCATTTGAAGTGCCCTTCAAAGCTATACTGAGTAGACATCTTCCTTTAATAGTTCCTCGGAAAGGTGCAAAAATATTACCCCCCTCTTCCCTGCTTTCTCTACAGGCGCCAAAATGCATCAGTATTTTAGGCTGTGACAACGATTCTTCAACAGTAGGTCTGGGAATGTCAGTGGGTCCAACTGCACTTTCAAGTGGGCCTCACTGACACAGCCCACACTGTGTCTCCTCACTTGCCCGCCCTGCCCCTGCCATTTTGGTTGGACTGGTGCCAGTACCAGCAATTCCTTGCCGAGAAAGATGGGCGGGAGTCAGAGTTGCGGCTGGGGAGGAAAGGGAGTTTTCCCTTCTCTGAGAGGAAAGGGCAAGAGGAATGGAAGGAAATTAGAGATGCAAAAGGCTAATACAGTGGCACCTGAGGTTACAGACTCCGCTAACCCAGAAATAGTACCTCGGGTTAAGAACTTTGCTTCAGGATGAGAATAGAAATCGTGCGGCGGCAGCAGGTGGTCCCATTAGCTAAAGTGGTGCTTCAGGTTAAGAACAGTTTCAAGTTAAGAACAGACCACCGGAACAAATTAAGTACTTAACCCGAGGTACCACTGTACTTAAAAATAAGTAGCAACTGGAAACGGAAAGGAGATGAGAGGAAAGCTGTTGCAGAAGAAAGAAGTGAACATAAAAGGGTAAGGGAGGAGGAAAGGAAAAACTGGCAGCTTAGGTAGATAAGGCACAAGTGTTAAAGGAGAAGAAATAACAGGAGATGAATAAAGACTTTGAAATGGGGTGGGGGAGAGTATAATATAAAAAGACTTCTCCATCTAGAGCCTCTGAATCAGCAAATTCTACCTAAAACGGGCAGGCTGAGTCATATCACCTCAGGGCCAGTATCTGTACAGCGGAACTTCTTGCCACAAGGAAATCGCTCTGCCAGGGAATTTAGAGATTTCTGAAGTGGAATTAGATATCAATGAAGAGCGGTGTCAGTAACTGCCAGCTGATTATGCCTGTCTCCGTCTCTACCTGCCACCATTTTGTAATTGTTTCTGCCCCTGAGACCCAACAGTTTTGTAAGTGGTAGCCTTCAGTCCTCTCAAGTGGACCCTGGGGGTAGAAAGTTTGAGAACTGCTGGGATACCTGAATTAATTTTTCTGGGATGGAACTATGGTGGATATTCATCCCAGTGCGGGCAGAAAAGTAGCTGAGAGAACAGCCACATTCACACTACTATTGTGGAAACTCAAAAGCTTTGCAACAGGCCTTGCTCATTCCAGCAACTGGGAGAGAATACTAAGGAACAGGGAATACAGGAGCAGAGGTTGGGGGGCAGCAAGAACAGCATAGGAAGTGGGCTATGAAACTGACTCTTGCCTATGGCTGATGAGGGAGATGTGATTTCATTTTAAATCATCTAGTTGCATCTTACTAAATGAATTTATTTCTTTGCTTGTATTTGTATTTACTTGTATTCCTCTCCCAGCCTTGCAGTTCCCTGCTCACGGCATACTGCACTCCGAATTCTATTCAGTTACACTCATCATTTAGGAATGCTTGGGTGTGTGGGGATTTCTGCCTCAGTGAAGAATGGGTTGGGCACCAGGTCTTTTCAGGTACAATTCAGTAACTCCTCTAAGTAACACCATCAAGTGCTGCAAGCAACAGGGTGTGTAGTGGGAATTTGCCATCTCCTAGAGCAAAGTATGGTGGTAACCAGGGAGAAGTAAAGAAAAGCTGTAAACAGCAGTCATCAGAACAGGAGCAGCAGCCATGACGGGGCAGGCAGAGAAAGGGAGCCTATTTTCTTGCATTGTCTCTCCAGGGTGCGAACAGCTGCTGAACTGTCAGTAAGTATACTGGCATCACATTCTTCCAGTAAGGGTATTCCACTTCTGTAACTCAGTTTCTTGTTTGGAAGCAACCATGATTCAAATCCTAGCTTTGGCTTCCAACTCATTAAAAAAACTTAAACACACACACACTTTAAGTAAAGTTTAAATCAAATGGGCAATCACTAAATTTCTTCATTTTTAATGTGGGAAATGAAGAAATGACAGCACCTGTTCACTACAACTTTCATTCATGCCAAGGGTCATGGTTTGCTTTCTGAAATATGGTCGTATTACAATTTTTTAAATAGCTTTCATTATATCCTTTCAATTTAAGATATTTTAAGATCAGATATGTAGTTTTACAATGAGATCTTATAGCTTGTTGCTCCATTACTATTCTAATCTGCTGTTAATTTTTACGAAAGGTATCTATAGATTAAGTGGCAAAAAATATATATTAAAAACATCCAATTGAATTCTCACTTTATCTTGACTGATCTGGGCACATATACCTGGAAAGGTTTTCACCGTTTAATCTGCTTATGGCTTTGTAACTATATTTAACTGCATGGGATTTATTATAATTTACTTAATTATTCCTTTCATCAATGCTCGCTTTTCCATATTTCCTCCTGTTAATGACAGAAGGGAAAAACCTACAACTTAAAAAGTGATACCTGTATTGATACTGTGTTACTTTTCCCTGTTTACACTCACAGAAACTGTTTACACTCTGATTTTTCTCAATGATGCCTACTCAAAATAGTAGTATATTAAAAGTCTGAGCCATCCCCATTTCTTAAGTAAAGGAGGAAAAAACCAAAACCAAAGCAAACAACAGGGGCTTACCCTGGTTAGCTGACTGGAACCTGAAATGGACTGCTCCTCTCTGATCGATGATGGCTTGTTTTGATCTGCTGGGAAATTCTGATCTGCTCCATTTTTGAAGTGGTTTGGCAGGGAGATCTTTGGTTCCAACCAGCTGATAGTTGTCCCTGAAGCAAACGAGAGTTTACGCTGAAACTTGCTCATATTCTAGAAGCGTATTTTGTTTTTCAAAAAGGCAACTGTCATTAAGCAGCTTTACTCCCCCCTCCCCCCAAAATGACTAAAAAGCAACTGAGCTTGCTCAAGCAGCTACAAAAAAACAAAGATGGGTGCAGGAGAACACCACCTCCTCGGGTCATTAGAATGATGCCTGTGATTGGGCCATGATGAAACACACAACTTGCTCCTGCGGAGGAGGAGATGGGGTTACGAAAGGTGTAATCAGACACCAGTTAAAGAACCCAATAAGACTGGGTTGTTACGTAATCCCTTTGGACAGGTTGCAGCATCGACATTCTAGCAACACCAGTAGGGGAAAACAATTGCAAACTGCAATTTATTTCTAGGAAGTAAAGTTAAAACTAAAGAACACATGTTTTGCCAGTGGTCTTGCTGGAGCAATGACGGGAGAGGGGGGAATACTTGGTTTTGCACAGCTGAATAAATCTCTGTTGAATAAATAATAGTTGCTTGAAAATAAAAGCTGCATCATTTGGAAAACTGTCACCCGTTCGTTTAATGATTCTGGTGTCTCCAATTACCCCCCAGCTAGTCTATCGGAATGGATACAATTCCTCATCAATAATGAAAATGTTCCATTCTGTTCTCAAAAGCTAGTGTGTGTAGACTCTAATAATGCCCTATTAAAAGAAACACATACACAAACTTGAATAAAAGAACAGTCAATCTGGGACATAAACATTACTGGTAACTTGGCATCTTCTGCTGATCACAGTGCTGGATTCTGAGCTGAGCTGTTACACCATACAAGGACCCTGGGGAAGTTCAGCGGCAGCAGCTATCTAGGTTGACTGAACATTCCCCTTTGGGTATGATCTGAAGGCACATGAGGCCAGCACCATTTGGAAACTAAGCAGGTCTGGTCTGGGACTGGCTGGTGCCTGGATGTTGACCACTTAGGAACGCCATGTACACCATTGTGAATTCCATGAAAGTAGTGATGTAAACTCATGATAGGCAAATGCTAAAGTGCAAGCAGCAAAGTGGGAACGTAAGAACTCCAAAGTACTGAAGGCATTTAAATGTGTTTCCTATTTTGCACAGAAGAGAAAGATCAAATCAAGGCTTCATTAAAAGAAGAAGACAGAGCAAATATAACTCACCAGTAGGTAAGGACCCTTTTTGTTGCGATGCATGCTGGAGCTGAAGAATGTGGAAACAATCATTTAAGCAATTCATTGTGGCCATAGAGGTTGCCTTGAGCATCAGCAGGTCTTGGTCCAAGGAAGAAAGATGGCCAGAGGAAGGAAGACATTCTATGTTCCTTATCAAGTCTCTCTGCTGTCCCTCAGCTTGCGACATCATCTAGCAGGCAAGCAATGCACAAAAGGCTGAGGTTTGGGTCATGTGAAACATCAGCTGAACTCTCATTTACCTAAAACTCCTTGTTATTCAAATTCAATGTGCCAACGTAACATTATGAAAAGAGCACAGGCTTCATCCAATCCCCTGAACTCTTCAAACATCCAAACTATATATATTGTTAAATGAAGCTACTTCTTACTTCAGTGGAGGCAGTGGAACAATGTCCTTCACCATGCCCAAGAGCTAACGGCTAGTTATGGGGGCACAGGACAGGTCATACGTAGCCTGCCTTCCAGCAAAAAGGAACAGCCAAGGGCTCAGCAAAAACATCTGGGGTGGGTGTGTCTGCCTCCATTGCCTCCCAGGTCTCTGCCTAATTATAGGGCCTGCCTTGCGTTGCAGAAATGGCTTGAGACCTCAGGTGGTTCTTTAGTCAAATTATCTTGGGAAATAACTCTATCTAAACTCACCTAGCCAGTTTTTTTGGATAACCTACTCATTCAAACCAGCAATAACATATTGCATATTCATACTAAATAAGCAACCACACACACACACACACACACACAAAACCTATTTTTAAAAGCACCATATGATGGTGCCAATCCATTCCTTTAGAACCATAATCATATAAATGATCACATTCCACTCCTTTGCTGAAACCTATGGCAGCAATTTTTTAGTTATTTAATTTATTAGTATTGCATTTTTATTGCCAGGGAGAGGCGATTGTGGGCCTTTTTGCCTCGCATTCCAAAATAACACAGCCTTGGTTGGGCCAGTGGATTGGGGGGGGGGGGGGAGGTGGAGAAGACAACCATTTATTGTGAAATGTCTTGGGCTGAACCTGAATGGAAGAAACATTCGTGCTACTAATCTACTACACAAAAGTATCAGCCCTATATTAAAAAGAAGCACTATTCTTTTCTCTACTCAAAACAAGTTTTATCTTTTGCGGATGCTTCAGATGGGATGGAAACCAGGTAAGATATCACATATCTCCAGAGTCCTGCACCCTCCCTCTTGTCTTAACCCCCCCACCCTCCACTCTCTGAATGAAATACTTCAGCATTGGTTTTAACCACAGTCAAAGATTAACCACAATTCTTCACCCTCTTGAAGCCTCAAACCTGTCCAGTTCTCTGTCCTGCTTGTTCTTAATGCTCTTTTTAGACAGAGGAAAGCCAGAAATGTGGTATGGTTAACACTGCCGGAGCAAAGCCAAGCACCAACCTAGAAGTTAAGACACAGTAGCAGAAATAGTTCGAACTAGGTTCACCCTGACTTTCATCATAGTTGGTGCTCAGTAGGAATGAGGAGTTACCATATCCTCACCCCTCAAAACCCAAGGGTAAAGGGATGTCAATGGATCCTAAACTCCAGTGTTTTCGACTTTGTTTTGAGCAGATGATGAGCAGGCAGCACAGGACGTCTTGTCCATGATCACTTGACAGAGTACTGAGAGCACAACTGGGTCACTCTACTTTTTGGCTATGTGATCTATTATGCATGGCGATCTCAACCTTCTGTAGCCAGCAATGAGAGCAGATTACATAGATAATTCACTGCACAGCTTATTCAAACGAATATAAGGGAGGCTACGAGAGGGAGACTGATAGAATTTCATCACCATCCAGTGCTACATTCCAGCCCTAAGACTTATTACAGGAGTGATGATGGAAATAGTCATGTATTTCCTGCTCAGTTTCCTAATTTAAAGAATCATGGTCCAAGTGTCTGAGCTTGCTTTTCAAGAAAGAGCCAATCCCAAGTTCAGAGAGTAAGGTATCTCCCCACCCCTGTTAGGTCAAGATAACACCTGTAACCCCTTAGTTCCATGTGTAAGATTTTCTTTTTCATCATGAAAGGATTATTTATTTATTTATTTATTGAATTTATACCTTGCCTTTCCATACAAAATACTCAAGGAAGCCAACAGTAAAATAAATAAGAATAAGTCGCAACTATCACCCCCGGGTACCCAGATAAAGAAGTATAGAGAATGGAAATAGCAATTTATCAATTACTAGTTTTGTACTAGCGACCCATGATTAAGGCAGCGAAGAATGAGAGCACATGTTGAGCTCAATGCTCACTGTCAACCTCAACCTGAGTAGATTAAGGGAAAAATAACCAGAATAAGTCATTGACGCTGCAATGTGTAAATTACTATTATCATAAATTCAATTATCGTGCTGAGTTTCAGATAGTACAGGGACTATTTGCTTCCCAAAGCAAGCTCTTCTTAACCAAGAAACTGGTAAAAAAAAGTTAAGATTATACTAACCTCTCGTACATCGATTAAATGATCTGGCTGCAAAATGGGAATTCTCCTACCAGCTGGCAGCTTGTGATGCCCAACATTAAAAAAGGAAGCTGCATTTTGGCTGGGTCTTCTTTGCACACCAGGGGAGCCACTTCCTTGAGATGCAAGAGAGAAGCTGCGAGATTTCAGAGGAGGATTGTTCTGGTGAACAAACATACATATTAGGAAATACTTGAAAACTAATCTTTAAGTCTCCACCTTTTTTTACTTATATACATATTAAGTACATAGATATACTATTAGAATATGCACTCAGTCATTTAGAAAACCCTGAGGACTGGCTAAATCATCAACATATATTCAGGCCTTGACCAATACTAAATATTCTTCAGAATGTGGAACTAGCACCCATGGGGCTACTGCCCCATCTCCCGCACCATGCTTCAGTGTACAAAAGAAAAGAGACACCTTCTCTGTTGTGCTGTACGCACTGTACACCTAAATTACATCTACAAGAAAAAACAGATTCACAGTCTAATCCCATGCATGCTTCCTCAGAAGTCCATCCCACTGGGTTCAACAACAATTACTCCTAAGTGAAAGGGCTGCAGTTTTAGTTTTAAGGACTGCATTGCCATTACAATTTAAGGAAACAGACTTCAGATATCCCAAGTGCAGAAGAGACAGTGGTCCACGCAAAAAGCCAAACCTAGTTGGAAAGTTGTAGAATTTCCTTCTCTGGGTGTTTAGCTAACTACCTGTCAGATTATTTAGGTTTTACTGAACAGTGCCATAAGACGCTACGGAGAAGTCACTTCAGTGGCAATCAGAGGTGGTCCCCGCTATTCAACTATTACAACAAATACACGCTTAAGTTTGCAGCATCACATTTCAAATAAAACGTCATTAAAACCTAATTCGTCTTGGCATTGCTGTCATCTTTCTATGGTAGGCTGACGCTTCTTCAGCAATTGTAATTATGACCCTTTAAGCTACATAATTGATGGGCAGTTTAAATAACTGCTGCATAACTTAAAGTATATGTTACAGACAGTACCTTTCCAATTGCTTCAGTGTGGTGCTGTGTGCATATCTGAAGCCTGCTGACCCAATGCTGCCGTTCTTTGGCATCAGTAGCTGGATTTAAAAAAAAAAATCAGAAGGAAAAGGAAGTTCAGAGGCAAACAAGGCAAGAATATAATTATTTATTTCAAATTAAGTTTTGTCTAGGGAACGTCACTTCCAGGAATGCAGAAGGAGAGGGTGCGCAAAATGTGGCATGGATACAACCTGTGGCACTTCTTGCTTTGGGTTACTGGGTCTTATCCTGCGGCATATCATAACTCTAACCTCCCACTGCAATGGTTCTGTGATCGATGTAGCATTGGTTGTCCACAGTACGCTTTTAGGTGATGCCAGGGCCACAGCAAAAGTAGAGGAAAATGTTTTCTACAGCAAACAATGGCAAATGTTGAACTAAAACAACTCCTCCTGCACTCTGAGGAAGCTATACTGAAAAAGGAGGGTGCACATGTCAAAAAGGAGCGCTAAGCCCTGGTGGGCCGCCCCCTTACCCGCTTGTGACTGACAGACAGTCAGCCAATCAGGATTTTTCTTCTTCACCTTCCCTCTGTGATCCCGTGGCCTCTTGTTGTGGCCCTCATTTATGCATCTTTCACCTGGGGCCCCCTTAGAATATCCTGGTGGCCCCCGGTTGGGAAACACTGTTCTAACACACCCACACCTTTTCACAATCCACTGACTGGGCTGGGACAAATATGGGAATCAGATAAGTGCAACTGTAAGATATACTAAGTGTTGTAAGTATTCACTATGAGTCAGAAGAAACATTCCAGTCTGAACTACAACAGAAAACTCCTCTTCAATGAAATGTGGCATTTGTCTGAACGCCTGTGTAAAAGGGTGAAGACCTATCGGCCCTCATTCTTCAGCAGTCACATTTTGCAACTATGTATTTTAGTAAAAATTTACAGCACATTGATTGGTTACATCTCTTGTTTTGACTAAAAGCACCACTCTCCCCAAACGATGAATATAAAAAAAATCTGACTGTTTTTATGCCAACTATCAAAGTGGAATGGTTAACATGATTTCAATTGTTTAAAATATATATATTTTTTAAAAAACGTGAATAAATCTCAAGAACACACGGTAATTACAATATATAATTTTGTATATACCTATAATATGCATATAAATATTTTACCACATGGAGACGTTATATTCACCAACATTTGTGTTATAGGCATTATTCCTAAATTAGAGGATTTCACTTATCTTTAGTATTTCTCTTGTCTACTATGCATTTTTTATGTAAAAAGGAAAGTGCTTTATACCTCTAGCAGTTTAATTTGTAAAAAAAATATTGTTCGAATTCAGACACAGTAATTTTTCAGAATGCACAAAACAGCAAGCAGACACTGACTTGAAGAAGGCAGCTACCCAAAGACAAGCAAAGAAGAGGCTAGGCTTCCTCCTAGTGGGGAAGTCCAAGAACTACGGAGTCTTACCTCGCAGCTTATATTGTTCTCCACTAGCTGCATTCACTGTGAACGTATGAGAATCTTCATCACTAGGAGAGATCACAGCTCCAGCCAGCTGTAATGTACCCCTGGGCTTCTGGTTTCTCAGCTGTTCATTCACAAAATACTCCAGGAGACCAGCTTCATTGTTCAAGACAAAATACCTGTAAGTTTTGAAGGAAATAAACCATGTAAGAGTAAAGCAAGACTAAAGGTTAAACAAATTACTCTTTACGCAGATGGCCATATTTAGATATTTTGGGATTACAGAAAACTGGGTTGTGTCAATAATAGAAGTGATTAGTTTTGGAATGCCCATCAACTGACTGATCAAATATTCCTTGAAGACCAGTTGGCCAGCTATAACCAGTTTCTTCCTGTTAGTTCAGTAAATTGACTCCCCACTCAGTGAATAAACTGCCTCTGGATCCACAGTCATGCTAAATGTACAGGCTGAGGGACAGGACCTCAGATCCTGCAGTTCCCCAGACTGGCAAGGAAGTTCTTCTACCACGAAGTAATTGTACATGTGCGTGGACATTTTGTCCTTAGAAAAATATTATTTCTCCCCTTGGTATGTGACTCTGCGCTGCTACCGAGGCTAATGTTTTTGATGTGGGGGTGGTGAGGCTTTTCAGAGCAGAACACTGTTAGGCCTGAATGTTGGGGGATTAGGTCACCAAAGTTCATCAGAATACTCTCTCATCACCAGAAAACCTCTTGAACTTGGAACTGGCTTAGAGGGTTTGCATCTGGTGCTGGGCCATAAAAACAAACTAGGAATACCACTGCTGTGCCATCCCCCTTTGCTGCTCAGTAACCTCAGCGACTGAACTGGCTGAAGTGGTCTCTGGTAAGATTTTGGAAGAACAAGGACAATTATTCTAGGCGATTTCAATTTTCATGTGGGGTCTACTGTCAGTCCAGCTTGGCATTTCCTAGCCTCCATGGCTATGATAGGAACGCCACAACAGACTGTTGGCAAACCACACAGAACAAAGCATACCCTCCCTGAATGTGGTTTTTGCTCTAAACAATGAGAGGAGCAGTCTGAAAGGAGGGGATTTCACAATACCCCTGTGTCACAGACAGACCACTTACTGGGAAAGTGTGGACGTCTGGTGCCAGTGTCTCCCTACAGGGATGGAGGACCAAGAGGAATAGCCTACCCCTGAGATTTATGGAATCCAAGGGATTCCTGAATGATATCTGGAGGATTTCCCACAGGTGAACCTGTTGAAGATTTCATCACATTGAGAAAAAGTGAGGTAACACACAATTGACCCTGAGTGTCCTCTCGGGTGCTGCAGAGTCCAGGCAGCCCCATGGTACTCTAAAGAGCATAGAAGATGAAGCAGGCTGGATAATGACTAGAATGCAAATGGCACATGTCTCATCCTGAAGCTGATCAAACACTAGTTAGAGTGCACAACCATGCCGACTATGCAGTAGTGCAGATGGCAAAACTTTATCAGATGCACTGCACCTTCCAGTAAATGTCCAACTGAGTTTTCTAATGTGGCCTGAAGTTTGATCACAACTGCTGTTGTGGGTGGACCCGTAGTGTCCTTGGAAGCCCTTTGTGACCATTTTGCTTTCTACTTTTGAGGACAAACTCACTTGATGCCCGAAGACACCTCTGTTGAGTTGTCCGTTGCCATGTCTAACCAGCTGCTGCAGCCTGACAGGGTGCATGCAGCAATGCTCTCTTGACCCCTGCTCTTCTTGGCTAATAAAAACTAGCAGAAAGGGTGTGACTGGGTGGGTTCAGAATGTAGCCGAGACATTTCTGCATTGGGGAGTGTCCCTGCTGTCCTCAAGGCAGCAGAGATGTAGCCACTCCTCAAGCAGCCTGCCCTGGACCTTTGATATAGGGCAACTTCCTTTCTAGAGGAGGAAAGTCATGGTGGAATCATGGTGGAGCAACTGCAGGCATGCCTAGAGGATACCGATTTTCTAGACCCTTCCCCGTCTAGGTTCAGGCCTGGTTATGGGATGAATCACCCTTGGGTCATTCAAAGGATTACCTTTATTAAGAGCAAGTCACAGAAAGTAGGACCATTCTCCTTCTTCTATGGTTTTTGATAGTACTGACAACGGCATCCTCTTGGATTACTCTACGAAATTAGTACAGGAGGGACTGCACTGCATTATCTCCAATACTCATCTGCAGGGTCCAGAGAGCAGGTTTATGACCCTCTGCCCAATATTTTTATTTAGGCAGAAAGGAACTTTTAAGAATGCCGCATGATGTTTGCCTTGCTTCCAAAAGATAGAAGTCCTTTAGACTGTCTGCGCATAGGTTGTGGAACTCCTTCCCTATTACTATTAAGCAATAACAATTGGTGCTTTTTTTCAGATTCCTGCTTAAGACTCTTCTGTTTGCACAAGCCTTTTCTGATGTATGGCTCAGTCACTGGTTATTGTGCATTGCAGCCAATATATTTGCTGAATACTTTATAAGGGGAGGGAAACACAGCAGCAATTTAGGATGGAATCATCTAGATTAGGGAACAGGGCTTAGGGACTCCTCCCCAGCACTGATGCTCTGACCAAATTCAGAGTTCTATGCCTGTGTTTTAAAAAAACAGGTTGCTGCTGTTTCTAAAAAAAGATTGGTAGATCCAGCCACATATCATGCAAGGGTTGGTCCTAAGGGTATACATACTTCTGTTGCTGTACTTGTAAATCATGTGTAAAACATTTTAAAAACTTGCTAAGTTGTCCTAGACATCAGGGCTGGGGAAGTGGGGTAATTTTTTGTGAAGGACTTTTGTGGCACTCTGATGGCTCACACACACCAAATAACACTAATGATAATTATATACTATCATTTTTGTTATTAAAAGATGAAATTATGCTACTGCTGCTTCATCACCGCCTGTTTATAGGACAATAAAAATGAAATGGTTTCCTATGGGGTTAGTTTAATCACTATACAGTACCAATAACAAAATGTGTATTTGGGAAACCTCAGTGCAACGAAACCTAGTTGTTGACACACAGAGTTCAAGTTCAAACTGCACAGGCAACAAAGATGGGAGAAGCAAATTGATACAGCAGACATTTAGAGGAAATCGTGAAATGCTGTTCCCTTAGCTCAAAACACACAATGCAATACAACTAAGGCATTAGGAGAGAAAAGGAAGGTGAAGTGCTTGGTTCACTTTTTAATTCTTCCCCTTAACCAGCTCTAAAGTCCAAGCGAATTTAACAGGCTTTTAAAATATACTGATGTGATTAACCTGAACCAAAACATAGTGCATACTTCGGAGAGCCGGAAAAAAATAAGGAGGGGCATACCCAAATCTGTCAAATCTAAATAACATTAAGCTTTCGGGGTTGAAGGAAAGACTGCAGGGGTTGCGAGCAGCAGCAAAATGTGAATTCCTCAAAGCCTCTCTAGATTTGTGAAAAACAAGCATTTCAAACCTTTTTCAAATGTCCCCAAATACTAGGTATGCTAAATATTCTCCAAGAAGTATCTCAGAATACCATCTGTAATATTCAACAGGGATGCAGTATTTTCTCTTGTAAACACTATGCTTTTCTAATGTACTGTACAATATAACATTTGAAATCAAAGCATGCCTCATTATTTGCACTTTACTCCCAAATATTAACTGTGCTCTGGGTTTTTCGAATGTGTTTCATAGCAGAGTTTTTCCTCAGAAACACACAAAACCTACTAGTCAAATGAGGGCATTTACAGCTCAGGCAATCAATGCCTGGCACAAAAATAAGAGATTACTGATGCAACACTTCTGCCTTTCTCTGTAGTTTGCTTATCCTTTTCTAAAACAGAACAAAAGCAGCCCTTGACTATTTCCAGCATTTTAAAACAAATCCCTGCCTACTGATTAAGACAACTTCATTTCATCATTAGGTAACACAGTGAATTTTTAAGAAACCGTACTTACCGGTACTGCCAGCCTGTGACAAGATTTGTGTATTTCATTAAATAGCCCGATATATTTTCCATGTGGTCACTGTGACAAATATAAGAACAAAGTCCATCAGAAAAAGAGTAATAATGACAATGAAAACATTTCACGTAGAAGTTCTGCAATTTCATATTTGCAGCCTAAATCTTCTTCCAATAACTTTATTTTTAGAAGCTGACTCTAAGTCAGCATTAATGTCAAATGACTCTGAAACAGAGACTGCTGCAAGTGCTTGGTCTTCTCCTTGTCTTTGCAGTGTGGATTCAGAACGGAGACGCTTTACACCTACTATGCAGATTAAGGGGAGCCAATTCCAGCATTACTGACACAGAAACCACTTTGAATCTGCATTAAAATTGCGCGGCACCTCTCATTTATAAAACTTCAACATTAAGATTAAATTACTCCACACACTTAAGGTTTCTAATTTCCCCCAAGATTACGTCTGGGCTCTTGGACAACTTTTCACTATGAAAATTGTTCTTAACTAAGGCTAAAAAGAAGAGGCTTAACAGAATGGAGTTAAGCAAATCCATCACTGGGCACTAGTAATTAAGGAAAGAGTTGTTTTCATTTCCAAACACACTGTTCTTGGAACCTCTAAGTGCACATTATAAATTATAACCCTCATTGGAAAATGGAATATTTGGTGCAATTCCAAAAATCTAAAAGAAAGCTCTGAAACCCTGCCATGGTTCAGAAGATCATAGGCTCGTTTACATGTTGCACTGAACACAGATGCAAGCAATCTTTACATACGTGCAAGTGTTTGTGCAAGCGTGTGCACTTCCTAATCGATAAAGGTAAAGGTAAAGGGACCCCTGACCATTAGGTCTAGTCGTGACCGACTCTGGGGTTGCGGCGCTCATCTCGCTTTATTGGCCGAGGGAGCCAGCGTACAGCTTCCGGGTCATGTGACCAGCATGACTAAGCCGCTTCTGGTGAACCAGAGCAGCACACGGAAACGCCGTTTACCTTCCCGCCAGAGCGGTACCTATTTATCGACTTGCACTTTGAGGTGCTTTCGAATTGCTAGGTTGGCAGGAGCAGGGACCGAGCAACGGGAGCTCACCCCGTCGCGGGGATTCGAACCGCCAACCTTCTGATCGGCAAGTCCTAGGCTCTGTGGTTTAACCCACAGCGCCACCTATACGGCTCAACTAATCTGTATAGGCTGTGCACTCATTAAATGTTATATGTGAATGTCTGTAGAAGTGTACATATCAACTCTTTGTGTATACAGATCATACACTTGTTGAATGTAACTTCTGAACACCCTTCATATCTTAGCTTAATAAAGTAAGTTCACTAGGTGCAAATAGTAAAAAGCTGCTACCTCTCTCTGTCTCTCTCTCTGTCTCTCTCTCTCTCTCTCTCTCTCACACACACATACCTCTCCCTCCCTCTCTCTGCCTAAGTGCATTTCTCCCTCACACAAACCACACATTCAAATATACCTCCCCGCTCAGACACTACACACATATATATCCTTCTCTGTGCCCAACTGCATAATTCTTAAAACACACAGTCCTTTCATGGGGTGAAGCAAGTGCCTTCTGTAAGCCACTCAGAGTGGCTGGGAAAACCCACCCAGATGGGCAGGGTATACCGGTAAATAATAAAATCATTATTATTCAAATTATTATTTTTATTCTGCCAGTTCCAGGTAGGCAACAAACAAGCAAAGAGGATGGGCCACTAGGCAAGCAAGGAAGTCATCCCTACCATTTCTCCCCCCTGCACAATCCTTGCAGACCAACCAAATCCAAGGCAGCAGGCCCTCCCAGCTCAACCCTGCCCCCCGCCCCCAAATATTGAGGGTTACCAAGCTGGCAGTCGTAGGCACCATGGTGCCTGGAAGCACCAGGAAAGGCCTTCTGCATTGGTTACCCCCAATTTAAAGAGTGTGCCTGGGCCACTAATGAATGGGCCACAGCACCTACACCAGACTCCCTCTTCCCTTTAGACACTGGATTCCCAGTTGGCATCAGCTCCACCATCTATTCTATATATAGTCTGTTCTTCAGGTCAACAGGGGCTTCTAAGACACTGTTCCTAAGTGAATCCGCTGTAAAGGAAACATACTGCTGTGTAATGAAAGTATACTGACATGTTACTGCCATCCTTTTGGCAATCTCTTCCAGCAGGTCCACATGGACACTCAACAGAAGAGGACAGAATGAAACCCTGACATGCCAGCACAGAATTACCAAAGAGTGGAAGAACAATCCCTGATCTACCTATGAGACTTGCCCAATCAAAAAGGAGAGTTCCACTTCTGGGTTCCTAACCCCAGTCAGATCCTATAACTGGCCCACCAAGTTGGGTTGATATAAATCTGAAGTGATATTTCCAGCCCTGGTTAAAGTACATCAAACGATCAAACTGGAAAATCAACCATTCAATGAATTCCATGTTGCACTGGGAAGTTGTCAAGGTAAAGCAATGCTTCTCCGTGGTCACTTGGGAGAAAAGCAGCCCTGCATGCCTAAACACCAGGAATAAATATTTTAAAACCTATAGAAACTCTAAAAGACCTATAAAAATCCAAAATCAGCATATCCCATACAGCTAAGGGCACAGAGATATTCTACTAGGCACAGCCTTACTAAGCAAGTCAGCACTGCTGGGTGCCTGTTTCATGTGCATAACACAGAACCTGTCCTAGATGCAAGCTGAACTGAAGCATTTACTAAATATAATGACCTATTTTTCATTTAGAATCCTACATCAAAGTGCCTTCCTTTAGAACTGCATACGCAGGGTATTTGAATAATTGAAATAGCATAAAAGAATCAGAAACGTTACTCATTTCAAGGGTGAGACAGAGCAACACATCTCATAGTGGCGCAAACTGCCAATATTTTTAAAGTGTTGGATGGCACAGAACGTGGCATCTAGTACTTTTTCTCAAATTACATCAACATAGAACTACCTTGCCACAATTTGTAAAGGTGTGTGTGAATTGCCACAAGTTGTAGTTCAGAGGCTTGACTCTTTTAACAGAAACTACGGCAACAAAAGAATTAAGCCAAATCCATGATGAAAAAATTGACGAATTACAGACAGAAAATATAGTAAAGATGAATGAGTGCGTGAATCAGTGGCTGCCTCAGCAGAGTAATCAGGCATGTATATCATAAATCAGGTGGCTATGGTATTAAAATCTGGCTCCTATAAAATGCTTGTTGCAACGTGGAGAAAGATAGATATTCCTTTGACCATCTTTTCTCTTTTACTACATAATAATTCTAGAACAGGAGATTAAGATTTAATCATGTTAGTTTTGATGATTTAGTCAATGAAATTGACCATTTTACATATGGACACAGATCGGCCATAGTGGTGCAAGCATTAGGGAAAATACAAAAAAAAGTCTCTTGGTATCCCAGTTCAAGCTTTGGGAACTGCTGAATTGGACTATTGGAATGCATGGGCTACCCATGAGGCTGATTTGGAAACTGCAGCTAATATAGAATTCTGCAGCCTGGTTTTTCCTTCTGGAGTAGTGAGACTAGTAATTTGGAACAATGCTTTTATTGAAATCAGACAGCCACCAGTTTTGTTGCCTACTGAAAACACTTTCGTCAAAAACCTTTAGAGAATAATTTTGACCAAGTGTTGGTCATTTCTTCCATATTTTGTTATCTTTATAATTTTACAGTGTTTTCATGATTCTGTTGTGACCCCTGTGGTTTTTAATGAGTTGGCAATATGTGTGTGTGTGATAAAATACACACTACTCTTGTCCATTACTCTTGTCCATCTTGTATACGACGAAAAGCTTCATTCCATTGTTGTCTCTGGTGTTTTTCACCAGATTCTTTCTTTGCCCTTCCCACTTGCTGAAGAAAGTCTCTTTCCAAAAGGCTAGAGGAAATATTTCTAGCCATCAAGGTCTAACAAAAAAAATTTAACCACATATTCTTTGCTGAGAGATTGGCTGCTGATCACAGTGAATGAGCTGAATTTGTAACAGCATCTCTGTCTGTCTGTCTGTCTGTTTGTCTGTCTGCAATCAGCCCAAATGACATGGAACACAAGAGGTTCTATCCAACACGGCACTACAGTGAATGTTCCATCAGTGCAAGGATTTCTAATTGTGCAATGGAACCTTCTCCCATGCACCCCCTAGATTTGTTCCAGGGGTTCCCTGAACACTCCGGAAAAATTTGAGGAGGGTACAAGGCATACAGTGTGGGAGGGGGGAAAGGGAGAAGGTCCCAGTGTGCAAGAAGAAAAGTTAGTTGAACGTTACCCATCATGTTCCAGCTTCCTCTGGTTCAGCAAAAGCATTACTTTTGCTAATACTATATTAATTTACCGTAATTATGTACCAGCAAGGTAGGCAAACAACAGTATGTATCAGAAGAAAATGCACTGGCTATGAAAGTCACCTCCAGGAATGTTAATGTGTCCCAAACTTTGATTTTAAATGCAAGCAAGAAGTACCAGTAGCACTATCCTGCTTGACATTCACAATACAAATGAAACTGCTATCATTCTGTGCTACTGTTCAAGAGCACTTCTTAGTTAAATACCCACTATCTTAAGAAAAGAATGTCATTTTTATCCAGCATCTACAGGAGAAACATTTAGCTTAAGCACCACTTAAAAGAATTAATGCACTGCTGCCTCCCTGAAATGTTGGGAAACACAAGAGTCTCTGCTTAGATTCTGCTTCTGTTTACCCTGTAAACACAAAACCACAAAATCTCAGCAAATGTGTAATGCCCCACACACCACCTATTGTTTTTTCCTGAGATCACGTAGGGACAAGAGGGTATTTCTTGCACTCACCAAAATACTCATCCTACCCCTTTTCCTGTTAACTTGCCCCTGCAGGAGAGGAGAGGAGTACAAAACAGGTAGTAACCACAAGCAAATAAGATTTGGCCAATCTAAAACAGATTTTCAAAAACTGTTGTAAGAAAAATCTCAAGACTGGCAAACTGTCCTTTAAGCATCCCCAACTGTAACAGGCAAAAACAAGATAGGTTGTTTACTTCAGGTCCAAGAAAAGTGGACTGAAGCTCCAGAAAAGGAAAGGAGCACAGCCCACTGGCCCAGGTGATGCTTATCTATCTGTAGAAAACCAAACTTATATTGGGGGAAAAACAAGTTGCTTTGCTGTGCTGATGCCCCAAGCTTAGTGCGAAGAGTGGGGAGGACTTGCACCTAACTGGGAGAGATGAGGGAGTAAGATAACTCTGCCACTGGTCCTGAGAGAGGAACAGTCAGGGGTGCGAGAAGAAGAGATCAGGGGAACTTTCGTGCTTCCCTTGGCAACTGTCCGTATCTCACATTTTAAAACCCATTGATCTAATGCAACGAACCTTACAAAACAGCTCTGTTCTAAAACAGCACAACTTATTTATATCACAGGCAGGAAATGCAGTATTAGATCCTCTGCAGAGCACTGTGAGGATAGGGAACAAAGCCCACAACACCATGATTTTGCAACACAAAACTACTTATTTGTGGCAGTTCCGATTGCTAAACCCTGCTGCCTAGCCTGCATCAAAATCAAATCACGTGAACTAGCTCTCTCTCTGAAATTAAAGTGCTTAAAATGAGGAGCTACACTCACTGCTGAGAAGCCTGGAACAAGCAAACAGTTCACATTCAATTTGCAGTTCTGAAACAAATCGCTCACATGTCTGGCCAACGTGCACCCCTTAGAAAGTAGCTCTCCTATCAGTCCCTGAAACCTACCTTTGAAGGGTCTTTGAAGAAAAAGCATAGAAAAGCGGAACAAGCCCATAAACAAAGGCTCATTTCCTCTCAGCCTAGAAAGTGAAACATGTTTTTAAGCAGAAGGTAGTAAGCCTTAGTGCTCAAGGTCTGTTTCTAGCCCCTTTTACATATCCAACTCCTCCTGCCCTGCCCAGAATGGGTTAGTTAGTGTCTGTAGATGAGAAGCATGCGCCTACATCCTCATGACCAAGTTAAGAGTCTTGTATGCTTCCACTTACTTTAGCACAACAGTCAACAACCCTCGTTGACTTGCTATCTAAGGCATGTTTTAAATTCTGAACTGAGCAGCGTGAAGTGTTGAGATAACCGAAGGCCACTTCAAAATGGCTCAATGAAGCAGCAGTTTCAGGACTTGATCTGAACTAGAACTCAGTTACAGTATTCACTCCTGAAACATATCACACACAATATCAGTACATGCCTGCAGCTCACGGATTGAAACCTCTCAGACTATGCAACTCCAAAGGCTGCAGCACATATTATGTGTGGCAGATGAACATTTATCACCCTGTGTACAGGCAGTGGAAAAGAACAGGCAGTTTCACCTTTCTAGTGCACACACCACATTTTTGTGTGTGTACACAGAACATTTAGGCTGCTGTCTTATGCATGTTTACTTGGGAGCAACTCAGTGGAACTTAGTTCTAAGTAGTTCACTGCTAATGTGTGAAGAAGCCCTTTTTTCTACTTTCAATTGTATCGTATATTTTTCAAAAGCTGAAATCTGAAGTTGTACTAAGGAAACACATTTCACATTCAGAAGAGATTATTCAAATGTAGTTCCTGCAGAGAGACTGAAAAGAATGTCAGCTAGTGATAAAGCTAAACTGCCATTCATAATAACAAGAACGAATTCTAAGGATGATACTCCAGGTCAGCTCTTAGCCCCTCAGTTCCTAAAAGTTCTTCTTCAAGAAACAGGATGCTGTCACCTTCTCTTGGAGACTAGGACTTTGCATGTTGTTAAACAATGTTCTCCAGGCATATGGGATGGTTAAAGAGAAACACACCCATCCCCCATGAAACTATTCTGTTGAAATCCCAAGCATTTAAGACATGGAAGAGAAGGAATGGAATTTTCCACATCTTATAAATAGGCCCAACCAATTTGTTTGCATCCCACAGTTGGAACTATGGCACAGGGCACCAGCACAAAGGCAACTCCCAGAACAGAGGTGAGTCCAGTCAAGGTCAGGCACATGAGCTGGAGTTGTTGACCAACAGAAGCCAAGGCAAAGTACATAGAGAAAGAGAGATCTTTGGGAGATGTTGTACCAGCAAAGGTCAGTCAGAGATTGAGATGCTAGTACAGATAAATAAACTCCTTCCTGATCAGCAGCTGACTGCATTATACACCTGATGCCTCCTCCTCTTGAGTAGGCTCGTCCTTCTGAAGCTACCTTGTAATCACTCCTTTGTCAATTCATTACCTACGACAGGGCTTGCCTTCATCTTAGTTCATGGGAGTTCGGCATGAAGGGGAAAGAGCCTGGGTCCATTTTATGTGTGGTGCAGCAGCTCATCAGGGGCTCCAAGAGAGTCAGTGTGGTGTAAGAGTATTGGACTATAACTTGGGACACAAGGGTTCAAATCCTCACTCAGCCATGAAGCTCGCTGTGTGACCTTGGGCCAGTCACCATCACTTACCATAAACTATGTCACAGGGTTGTTGTGAGGCTGAAATGTGGAGGAGGAGAACGATGTACACCATCTTGAGCTTCTTGGAAGATAAAGGTGGTACATACATTTAATTAATTAACTAACTAACTAATTAGCTAATTAATTAATTAATAAGGTGTCCTCATTACCTGGAGAGTTAGGTTGTTTAGGGCGCCCTTCAAGTGTGCTGGGGCTTTCTGCAGGGTCCTAAGCCACTTGCTCAAATAAATATGCACATTTTTGTTATTTTTATTTGGTTGAAAGTTGAAAAAGAAATAAAGAAGGTGTATTGTACGAGACCACAAGCTGGTAAGACTCGGTTTTTTCAGAGTGATGAGAACAAATTGGATAATGCTCAGGGTAACCCACGAAGACAATGTGCAGCATTTATAGTTACCATTACGGAGTATAATTTCTAAGATAATTGTAGTTCAGCACCATAGTAACTTAAAGGTTGGCTTCAACCATAATTCCAAAAGCCTATGAGCTTCCAAAATCATGAAGTCAGATCACCCACTTACTTGCTCACTAGGTAGTTTGGATCTTCTATTTATTTCTTATATTTATATCCTGCCTTTCTTCCCAAGAAGAACCCAAGGCAGCTACAACTTTCCTCCAGGAGCAACGGCCAATTTCCACAGCACTGAGTGGCTGAGAGTGCCTCACTAATCACTACTTAGTCCAAGGCTGCAGTCTGAAACACATTTACTTTTAAAGTAAAAATGCATAGGATCTGGTTCTAAGTCCAACTGATGTTCACTAGTCAGCCTCAGACTCTTGCCTTTGGGAAGTGGGTCGTCCATGTACAGTACTTGTTGCTAAGTCCATACTGGAGGAAACAGCACCAAGGATTTCTTATCTCTAGAACAGGTGTCTGAAGCCACCAAGTAAGCAGATCAGTAGCAATGCTGTTTCCCTAGTGCAGGCAAGTCCACAAGACAAACAAACAACACTGTGCAATCTTTTCAGCTAACTCATGGCTGTCTGATCAGATGCCAGCGTGACAGATCTTGTCTATCAGTTCAGATTTTCAAGCCCTGAAGGTCATCCCAGCAACTCTGTCAGAGCATTACAAATCTCAGGGTCCTCATCTGCAGCTGTGCATTACTCATTATTTACATGGCAGTGTACATTCACATTATGCTTCACAGATAGTTCCCCTTGTTTTGCTACTTAAAAGTAGGCTGCAGCCTTGTCAGAAAATATATATATTCACATTGTTGAACACACAAGTCAATTTAATAAAGTTTATACCCCACTAACCCAAAAGGGTTCTCATGAATTTAGTACAATGCAGTAAGAAATAGTGTTTCTGTGGAGACTTGGAATGGTAGAAAGATGTAAATACTCAGAGACATGAAAGGAGGAGAGGTCACTGCTTTGGAAGGGCAAGTCTGAAGGAACACAGACATAAAAATAGAACAGGGGAGTTAAATGGAGAGAGAGAGAGAGAGAGAGAGAGAAAAGGAATGTTAGGTAATGTAAAAGCACACACGGTAGCATGGGAAGGGGTTGGAAAAGCTCATATGAACAACTTGGACTCCATACATTAAAGCACTGGAGGAAGCCTCCCTGAAATGACAGCTGTCTTCTTCTTATGAAGCTAAGATTCAGATCAAAGTTATTTGAGAAAGGTTAGCCTCTAATTTTAAAATACCAATATTGGTTCTAGCTGTGTCACTTTAAAGAAACTAAACGGAAACTTGATTTTCAGGAAGTACAATCTTAAGTAGGGCACCCATAAATCATTACAGAAGCACTGCAACCAATAAATCCACAAGATGGAAACATAAGAAAAAGGTGGGTGGGGGTATCCCAGTGATTAGCAGCTTACTTACTGATGTCACAATTCACCCCACTACCCAATTATGAGCTGTTTTCAGAGATATAGGACAAAATGAATAAGTAATCTTAAGAGCTGGCCAGAAGAAAGGCAGCAGAGGAAAAGCAAACATGCCTGGCTCAGCACAGAATCACCAGGTAAGGGTCTTAAAGCAGAAAGAACAAGGAATAAGGAACCTTAAAGACTTACACAAATTGTGGCATAAGCTTTCGTTTGCCAGAGCCCACTTGGTCAGATTGTTAAAGCAATCATCTTAAGAAACACCATGGAAAAAATAAACAGGTCATGGTAATAGGTTCAAGCTCATTTTGAAGCTCCCAGCTGAGAATGAGAAACTGGTGCAAAGGTTAAAGTACACTGGGTAGGATACTATCTACATCAGATAAACTAATATGCTACAGGCTCTGTGCCCTAACAAGATCAGTCTCAGCAGCTCAAACAACTAAAAATTCTTTATTATTTGGAACATGAGGTGCCGACAAACTGAACTTGGGGAACCAGTTAGAATCAAATGTGTTTCGCAAGTGGAAGCCAAGAGGAGTTTGTCAAAATAAAAATCAGAACAGAACATTGTACGTGAGGGAAGAGATACAAAATAAAATAGGAAAGGAGGAAAGGAAAGGCTGGGATTTTTGAAAGCATCAGAGAAAACTAGCCATCAACATATTACGCAAACAAACCACCTTACTCATCAGAACAGCAGACACTTTCAATTTAATGGAAGCTCTGGCAAAGTCTCAACAGTCTAATCTCCATTAGGTCAATTATTACTACCTATAGAATTCTAATGCACCGTCCAATACCCTAATATGAAAAAATGCAGGGTTAAAAACTGGGAAAGATTCAACAACTGTGTTAAGGAAACCAATATCCCGATTTTCATTTTCATGACTTGCAACCTTAAAAAAGACACAGTGCCACCCGCTTATGAAGGGCTAAACCACACATGTGATTTTGCCCAGAGCACATTGTAAGTATTATACAAATACACTCTTTGGTCCCATAGTCATTTCCAGTAGCCCAATCACTCTAAAGTGAGCTAATGTACCCCGTCTGCCTTTCCCTATTTTTCTTTGAGTCAGGTTTGCAAGAATCCAATTGTATCAACTTAAACAGTAAGTTGATACACAATTGGGCAAATAATCACATTTTTTAGATTTACACTAACTGAAGACATCTGAACTGGGAAAGAGATATTTGGGTTCAAATGGATAACGCAATGATAGCACCAGCTGTGGGGCAGTAAAAGAGGCAAAGTATCTAGGCATCATTAGGGAAAAGTCTGAAAATATAACACTTAGCATCATAATGCCCCAATATAAATCTATGGTGCAGTCAGATTGGGAAAACCATGTACCACTGGAGTCACCCCATTTCCCAAAATGGACAGTGTAGAGCTGAAAAATGGCTTTGCTAAGAAGAAACACTAAAGCACTGGGGGATTTTTAGTTTAGGGAAGAAAGACAAGCAAGGGCAAGAAGGAAAACTCAAGAAATGTATCAAATAATTAATGATATAGAGAATATGGGGAGAGATAAATCTTTCTCCATCTTTCATAATACTGGAACACATGGGAAGTCAATGAGATTGATGGGCAGTAGGTTCCGGACAGAGAGAAACAAGTACTTATTCATGTAATGTATATAAACCTTTGGAATTCGCCCTCAAGATGTGGTCACGGCCTCTGGCTTAGATGGATTCATGGAGGACCAGCCCATTACCAAGCTACTGCCTGTAGCGCAAGTGAACTTCCAGGTTTAGAAACAATATACCAAGTTGCAAGAGGGCATACATACCACAGGGGTGGGGAACAGGTATTGCCTTCACGCCCTCCTTGCCGTGTGACCCAGCAGGACTCTTAACGACCTTAACATTGCCTTTCTCTTTTTACTGCCCCAACAGACAAATGTTATGCTATGTAGTTATGTTGGTGCCTAGAATTTCAAAACATTTTTTAACTGCCCCTGCCTATGTGCTCACTGAAGTTTCTGATAGCTCTGCAGAAGGGGGATTCTGATGAAAAGTACTGTCCAAAAATAGTGGCACTATGGAGTCACACCGCAGATCTAAGATGATTCCACAGGATGACAAATTAGTCCCAAGTTCAAAATGAAACAAAAGTTGAAAATCATGTTACATGCACACAGTATTCGCCTGGTCAAGTAAAAGATGACATCCTTTGATATTTGGTAGATACCGAATGTTTAGAACTTAACCATTTCTTTGTGCAATCTCCTGGCACTCCCATTTTACTCGCCAAAGAAAATGCCTACAATTTAGGGATTTTTTAATCAAGAGTTTGAAATGGCTTAAGTTGGTGTGTACAGCATCTAGCTTTCACACCCACGTAACCTGTGAAGTACAGGCTTAGGGAAGATAATCTAACCTGACATGTGATGAAATGCCAGAACAGAGAGAGTATTATAGCATTTGTGGCTATATAACAACACTGTTAAGACTCAGCATCAGGAATGAAGAACCCTTTCTTAATCTGGGAGTCATATTGATAATTTAAAAAGCAGCCAGCAATCTTACACATGTCCTGTCATCCTTTCCTTTCCCATTCCTCATGGACACACAGAACTGTAGTACACTATCCCTGGGATAGCTCAGTTGGTACAGCATGAGACATCTTAGGGTCATTGATTTGAGCCCCAAGCTGGGCAGAAGACTGCAAGGGGTTGGACTAGATGACCCTTGTGGTCCCTTCCAACTCAAAAATTCTATGATTCTATTGTTCTTAGAGGGCTATCTTCTCCCATCTAATCTAATAAATAATCCGAACCTGCCTAAAAATACAAAGGCACAAGAAGACTGCGTGCACAGTTAAATTAAACAGGTTGAACTGCAATCTATCATGAGAAAACTGGAATGTTCTAAACATTAATAAATTCCAGAATATTTGTCCAAGTTGCCTGAAATTTGGCATGGAGTATCTATCTACACACTGAGTACCATATGAACAGATTTCAGACGGATCCATTACAAAGATGGTTGAAATATACAAGTTTCCCTTCTTAATAATTGTTGTGCTCCCACATAATATCTGTTTTTTCCTTGTCTCTTCAAAGGAATTCTAAATTTAAGACAATTGCAGGGGTCCTTCCTTCTTTTGTCAAAATGCATTGTGCCTTTATGAATATATTACTTTTTAAATTACTACTTTAAATCCATCAGTTAAGGGTCAATCATCTTGAAAGACACAGTAAGTCCCTGATTCAAGTCTTCAGGGTGGAGCCTTTCCCCTAAGCAAAGATGGCTGCCACCAGAATAAGGGGGAAGCTGTTAACTGGCATGAAGATTACATAGCTCTAATGGCTAGACTAAAGCAGGACCACTTTCCATTTTCAATTGCTTTTTCTTTCATTGTCTCGCAAGGCAGATGACAGACCTGTGTGGGAAAGAGTGGGAATTAACGCCTCTCTTTACTACTAGTTTTCAGCTTTGGGGGGGGACGGGGTAGCGGGGGGGGGGCATCCAGTTGCCAAATCATACCTGCACTAAAATCCTGAATTTCTCCATTGATTTTTATGAGGTTTTCTCACTTCCATCCTAGAGGACTTAAAAAATGGCCACTGTAATGTAAACCTAGAAACTTTCTATATAACCTATGAGATTCTTTTTCATATCTCTGCAGCATATTGGGGGAGTGGTTCATATATGTGTATTTGTTGTAACTATGTACAGTGGAGTTAAATGAACTTTGTTTATCATTTCAAAAGAAAATGGGGAAGAAATAAAAAACAGATTTTCATTTTGTTTTCTCCTCATGTGCTCCCATGCCTGCAGAAGCTTTAGTACATTAGAAAAGTCTCTTATCCTTTTATTTCTGGCTGTCAATGTGTCTAAACTAAGACAGGCAGGCATGGGCATGCAAGCCAGCAACTTTTGTAAACTTGTTTGCAACGCTGCCAAACAGCACGTCATATCACATACAAATCCAATGTAGATGTAATTCATTAAGGGCTCTACAATGGATATGCCATAGAAGCACAGACAGCAATTATGGCTTATCTCCTACCTATAAGGTTCGCTTGCACCTTTCGGTAGCAAGCATTTCAGTCTAGCCAAATCTGAAAAGAAAAAGATGTACAGATCTGAGAGATCTCTCTTTGCCTGTTACTTTTTAATTTGATCCATTTTTTAAATATAATACAGCCCTCGAGTGCATTAATACTTGCATCATCCTCGATTCCCAACCATGCTGGCTGCGGCCAATGGGAATGGATTCCAACAAGAACTGGAGAGTAACATATTCCCAATCCATGTCTTGCACTGAAATGGCAGTTGGAAATGGCAGTCCCTTACCTAGCCGAATATCCCATAAATTGAACCTGGGATCCTCCACGTGGAAAGCATAGTCTAAGGGTGGGGAAGCCTCAGGAAGCCCTCCGTGCCTCTTTGTCCAGCCTTGACACACTCCCTGTGGCCCATGTCCCCATACGGCCATGCTCCATGGAGCCAGTGTGGTGTAGTGGTTAAGAGCGGTAGACTCGTAATCTGGTGAACTGGGTTCGTGTCCCCGCTCCTCCACATGCAGCTGCTGGGTGACCTTGGACTAGTCACACTTCTCTGAAGTCTCTCAGCCTCACTCACCTCACAGAGTGTTTGTTGTGGGGGAGGAAGGGAAAGGAGATTGTTAGTCGCTTTGAGACTACTCAGGGTAGTGATTAAGTGGGATATCAAATCCAAACTCTTCTTCTTCTTCTCCACACCTTCCTTAAGCGCACTTGTCTCTCTAGAATGTGCCCTTTAACCCTGACAATGTCTCCTGCTTGTAATGCATGCAGAGTTGTGCAGCTGTAGGTATGCAAAAAGTTCTGATTTTTGCATGACCGGAATGCAACCTACTGTACAAAGGTAAGATTTACAACCATTGCTCCACCACGTTTTGCTTCTGGCCCTGTGCACCACCGACCTTCAGGTTGAAAAGAGTTTCTCCATCCCTAGCATATGCCCTACAGCTGAACTATAGTCTCTGAGCAAAGCTTCTGGTGCCTGGTGCCTTCAGTATGTGCGTTACATTTCTCAAAAAAAGGACTGGATGAGCATATTAAGAGGTAGCATTTTAATGTGTTACGCTTTGCTTTTCAGTCACAAGCTACATCATTTCCTTAAGAACCTCTGCAGTTGAAAGATCTCTTTGTCAAGGTCAGTACAGCTAGTTTTCAACATATGATCAAGCAAGTCCAAATAAGATGATTTAGATTATTTTTTAAGAAATAGTGGAAATTACCATTAAAGTAGCCCTATTCAAGTATCATGCATATCTGGAAACAGTACACATTAGTGGGGAGACAAGCATATTAGCTTCATCCTTATCTGAAGCGGGGAAACTCCTATATGCTTCTAAACCCCAGTTGCAGGGAAACACAAACAGAAAGAGTGCTGCTGCACCCATGTCCTGTTTGCAGGCTTGCCACAGACACCTGGCTGACCACTGTAAGAACAGGATACTGGGCTAGATGAGTCTTTGGCCTGATCAAGCAAGGATTTTCTTGTGTTCTGTGCTCACTGACGATCACATGCAATGTAGAACCTTGGGAAATGTGGGGAGCCTATGAGAGGAGAAGCATGTGGGTGGCAGTGGGTGGAACTAGCAACACATCCCTAAAATCCCTGCTTATGCGTTATAGATCTAGGTTTTAATAACACCTGAGTAGGGTGTACCTAGCTCCACACCCAAATTCTCATAGTCCATTCTTTTAAAGTAAATGCATAGCCCTTCTCATTGCAAATAAAAAGCTTACAAATGTAAAGGCTGTGGGCTGTGCACAATCAATGGCTTTTTAAAGAGCTGGACATGGTATTGTAGAGCTATCATTGCCACACTCTGCCCCTCTCTTTCACCCATCGTGATTTTACAGCTTTCTGTAACATTTCAAGGAGATACATGGCAAAAGCTGTAACTAGCCCTCTGCAGCGTAGCTACCACAACTGCAACAGATATGTGCATTTTTTAGCGTGACAATAGATGCCCATGAAAAATATTCCCTTTCCCTATCCCACCATACCTGGAGAAACTTTGGAAGCATTGTAATGTATTATCTAAAAACAAATTTCTTGTTTAAGTAACAAAGGATATGTGCATATCCACAATGGCACACATTTGGTTCAGGTATGGGGAACCTGACTTAAATACCGTATTAGCCAGCATATAAGCCACTCCCGAATATAAGCTGCACCTTTAAAATTCGGGGGGGGGGGGAGGAAAAAAAAGACAATACCCAAATATAAGCCGCTCCCTTAAAATTCTGCAGGCACTCACACCCATTCCGTTTTACTGTATGTCTGTTTCAACAGTGATATCGTAAAAGCCCATTTTTGTAAGGTCGCAAACTTAAGACGCACTTTAACATTTCACAGTCGGAATTTGGGGGAAAAGGGAGGCTTATATTCAGGCCAATACGGTATGACTGTCGAAGCCTCCCTATCTGGCCAGGCAACACACCCTCCTGAACCATACCCCTCACCAGCCCTGATTCGCACCCTCCTAAAGTGTCTTTGTGCGGATGAGTGTGTCCTTGAACTCTGATAATGCTTCTTGCTTACCTGGGTGGAGGACAGAGGGTGTGTGCATGCAAACAAACTAGCCTACTGTACAAATGTAACATCCACATTTATTGCTCTGCCCACTTTCCCCCCTGGCCCCACTCATGATTAGTCTGGGGCCCCAGGAAGGGAATGTGGCTCTCAAGCTGAAAACGTTTCCCACCCTAGTGCAGTTAGTTTTAAAATGTATCTGTGATTATAAATGCAGAACATGACATCACGTACCTGCTCCTAGATTAAGAGTGTGATACTCCTATGGGACTGAACAGCAAGGAGCCCTCATTCCTGCCTATCATCAAGTCAGCAAAATACACCTCTCTCTTTCTACATTATTGGCTCCATGGCGTATTTGATGCAATCAAACAACAACAAACACGTAGTTGTGTTACAGACCCAGTTTGGGATGGATTTGAGTGCTATACAAATGAAATACATAGTGAATTAACCACTTCCCAGCCCTAATTAAATTAGCTCTACACCACTCTCCCCCCCCCCCACTATTCTAACATCTAAAATAAATTTAAAAATCCAGAGGTTACAAAGAAACCAAAGTTCTGCAGTCAAGAAGGTACAGCAAGTAAGGAAATGTGTCTAGTTTAGCATAACTTTATAAAGTTTTTGAAGCTTTAGTGCTGCAGTGTGTGGGCTGCAGTGTATAAAGTCATGATTAAGAAACATTACTTGCTATGTGATCTATCTGCACGGCTTATTTCCTATTTTGTAACTACTATTCCCTCATGCATTGTATCCTTCTGGGATGTTCCAAGTCAAAACTAGACAGTGAAAGAAAATTTCTGACTACCATTATTTGTCCGAAAAAGGCAAACGTTATCTTCAAAGCTGGTATAAAAGTTACCTTTCAAAGAAAGCTGATTTCCAAAATGTTATAATCTAGCAGAACTGGAGCAACCTGGACTCCCAGATGAGGCTCATGATAATGAAAAGTTGCAGCTTACAGATAGGACCAAGCCTGAATCCAAGAGTAGACTCTTTAAGTAGGCTGATTTTCCATAGTTCATGATTTACCATGAACTTGGGAGATTTCTCCTGCTTTGTTTCCTCCCTCTGTAAGTGTGGGAGCAACAAAACACAATCCATGGCTTAGTATTATGTCTAAAGAGGGAGATCATAGTTTGGTTTGCTCAAACTTACCAGAATTGCTCAGTCTCAGGTTCATGTATCTACCATTTTTACTCTTCTCCTCCAATGCAACCATGAGAAGCTGGGAAGCAGTGATTCTATTTTAAACTAATTGCAGTTTGTAATTTTGTCCAAACTGGTGGTTAGTTTAAACCAGCACTCTAGATTTTGTTGATCTCAAATCAGCTCTTACTACTGGTCATAGCTGGGGTTGATGGGAGTGGGAGTCTAACATCTGGAGTTACAAAAGTTAGCCCCCCTGGTTTGAACTGCAGTTTGTCAAAACAAGTCAAGATCAAGTTGTGGTTTCTGATCCTGACTTGTTGGTACAAACCATAGTTAAAACTGCAGTCCCTGCTTTGGATGAAACACAGTTGGTTTAAAATGAAAGTGGATGCTTCCAATTTCCTCCTTACAGCTTCATGTTCAATTGAGGGGAGGGGAGGAGGAAGCAGGTTTGTGTATGGAATTCTAAACTATATTCTGTCTGAACCAGGTGAATGCCAAGAACTAAGTCACTGGTTTCATTTTGTCATGTATGAAATCATTTACCATGTTCAAAGAAAATTCTAATAGCTTCAAGGAGTAACGTGCTGGCAACTTAGGAGGAGAAAGTGTAATGTAACATTAGAAGTGAAAATTTGAAGTGACATGCTGTAGGGGAGTTGAAGCTGGTGATTAGCAATGTCCTGACATTCAAAAAAGCAACAACATTCCCTAAACATACTTCCTCACAATTGCTTTAAAAAGGAAACACAATGACAATGTATTTAAGGAGCATCAAAGTAGATACATTTAGTGAATTCATTGGGGTTTATTTTCTAGTACGCAGGGATATGATTACACAATTGATGTATAGAACGCCCGCAATTCACAAATCAATCTTATGGGAAACTGCCTTATACCAAGTCTATTGAGCTTAGCATTGTTGACTAGACCAGATATTAACTGACTGTAAATATTAAAAATCAACTGAATGTGAAATAATGAAATGCCTGTATTGGGATGATGTGTATTCATTTTTGTTTCCTTACATCAAGGAACAGGTCATATATTAATATCTAGAAAGAAACAAAATAGCTATTTTGCACAAATCTCAGTGTCATTTCACACACTGGGAGAAATTCAATGTTACGCTTTCCTGATTGTTCCATCAGTGGAAGCATTTCTACATTTATCTACTATATATTTTGGAAAGTTGCTTGCATTTGGACACCTCTTAAGATATCATAACCAAATTTTGCATAACCATTTCTGAGATCAAGCAGAAGGTTTTCATCTATGTTTGGATATAACTGGATGCCGTTTTGAATCAGAATGGGAGACTGAATCTTTCAAAACTGCGCTGATTTTAATCTGACATCTGATATCAAAATTGTACTGATTTTGGGGGGCTTCTTAGAATTCCCAAGCAGCACTGGGTACAAAGCTGCTATTTTTAGGTATGCAGGTGACTCTCAACTAACTCTGGGGTTATGTTCCGGGAATAGCGCCTAAAATCAAAATCAAATATAGTCAAACACATTGGCAGTTCCACCTGCCATTGAACCCAACATTTTTAATCTCAGATGCCCGCCCCCTTTCTATTAATTTTTTTTAAAAAAAATGGCAAATGAGTGAAGCTGAATGCACACTAGTTAAAAGCATGTGATTTGTGAGTTACCTGTATACCCAAATATGTAAGCAGCTCTTGCCAAGGGACAATTTATACATTTGCCAAAACACTAAATGCTTTAAAGTACAACCCAAAGGAGCTCAATGATAAACAGGCAGAAGAACGCAGTTCCACCACATGTGTCCACTGAGTATTCCGGCATATTTAGAAACGTACATTCCGGCCCATCACATTTTACTGTGTTATCATTCCAAAGCCCTCCAGAATACAAAATAAAACACTTGCAACTTTAGAGTTAGGCCTCTGTGGTGAAAAGTTCAGTTGCACCAGAAACTTTACCAGATGCACATGGGATGGTTTTAGGTGTATGCTTCTCATTTCTCAATACTACCCCCTCCCCCCTAAAGAAAGAACCACCACCCACTTAGGATACCAACAAATCAGTGCCCATTAGGCGTCAGCAGAGATACTCACCTATACTGCCAGCTTTTGGTAGTGCTTCCTCCTCTGCTACTGCTGATCCCACCGCTGCTGATGCCACTACTGCTGCTGCTCTTGCTTGTGCAGTTCTGGGCTGGGATCAAAATCTCCAGCTTGCCTTCGCTTTCGGACACTTTCATCGCTGTCGGTGGCGCTGCCGGAGCCGCAGACACAGGCTCCCCACTTTGCATGGTGGGGCCTGTCAGGCCCCTGCCCACCCAAGGGTGGGAGAGTGCAACAAGCCAAGTCAACAAGGGCTGGAGGAAAACTTTTTTTCTCAAGGCTGTCAAGTATCCTTAGAAAAAAACGAGGGGTCACTCCGGAGTGGAACTTTTGTGAATGGGGCCAAATGTGGGCCAGAGATGGAGCAAGTCTGTGGAAATAAGCTCGAATGGCAGCTTTGAAGGGGGGAATATGGAGGGGGGAAGAGCCAGGTTTGGGGGAAAGGCCAGGGATCCAACAGAGGAGTTTTCTGAACACCCAGAGAATGAATCGGGAGCAGGGCAGCCAGCTGCGTTGGCAACGTGGAGGGGGGGTCCAGACACTCGCTGCCAAGGCGTGTGTAAACCGGGGGAGCAGCTCCGCGCACCTCAGTATCCCATGGGAGGGCAGAAGTGGGGTGGTGGGGAGGCAGCGGGAAATTCCTCAATTGTTCAGAGAGGCGGGATGCTGGCGCCGAAAGGAGGGCGGCCGCCTGGGGTTTGTACCTCCTTCCCCCAGAGGCTGCCTGCCTGCCTGCCTGGGGCTGGTCTCTCACCATGAACCGCAAACGCCCCTCCTGCAACCCCCTCCCTCACTCGGCCAGGCTCCGTCTTCCAGGGCTGGCGGCGGCGGCTCGCAGCCCACACGAACCGAGGGAAGCAGCAGCAGCAGCAGTGGCGGAGCCGCTCCCACCCCTTCCGGGTCAGGCTTAGCCGCTCCCCGCCGCCTTCGTCCCTGTTTCTCCGCCCCGTGAAGGCCGAGGGCGGGCGTGAGCGCTGGCGGCGCCATCTTTGTTAAGGGAAACGGGGGGAAGGGATGTCCTGACAGGAAGGAGGAGTTGGCAATAATAACAATAATTAATAAATAATAACGAACAGTGATAAGAATACCTGCCTAAAACACCAGAAGGCAAACATAAAGGGCCTTTAAATCAAACAGTTTTTTGTCCTCTTATTTCTGTGGAAGAAACCAAACTTGGAGCAAGGGTGTGACTCAGCTGCACGCCAACGCGCCCTCTGCGCCCACTTCTGAGTGTATGGGGATGTATTTTCACACAGCCTCTTAGATTTTCGTTCTCGTCTGCTCCGCATTGTTCACGACGTTCTTTGCAGCCCCAGCAGCTCCAGACTGTTGCAGCAAAATAAAAACAAAGGGCTTGTGACCACTTTTTAGCCCGAACCAGACTAAACCCGTTGAAATTAATGGGCATGGCTATCTTAAGTCCATTCATTTAAATAGCGTGCTCTAACTTAGCTGGCTGCAACCCAATGGATCTTGTGGCATCTAAAAAGGCTAGCCAATTGTGATGTATAAGACTTTTTGGACCAGAATATGCTTGATTGAAGCTAAACTTATATTTTAAAAAGCCAAATTATTCTGTTCTTTTCAGCTAAAGATAAAGCCAATTTAAATACGAAAGACAAGTGTAGAAGAGCCTATTGATATTTTCTGGGCCCATAGGGTTGGTGGAAGTTGTCTAAGCCATCTGGAAGGTACCACCAGTGTCTACACACTTGTTGTTTAGCCATGTCCGACTCTTCGTGACCCCATGGACCAGAGCACGCCAGGCACTCCTGTCTTCCACTGCCTCCCGCAGTTTGGTCAAACTCATGCTGGTAGCTTCGAGAACACTATCTAACCATCTTGTCCTCTGTCGTCCCCTTCTCCTTGTGCCCTCAATATTTCCCAACATCAGGGTCTTTTCCAGACAGTCTTCTCTTCTCATGTGGTGGCCAAAATATTGCAGCCTCAGCTTCAGGATTTGTCCTTCCAGTGAGCACACAGGGCTGATTTCCTTAAGAATGGATAGGTTTGATCTTCTTGCAGTCCATGGGACTCTCAAGAGTCTCCTCCAGCACTATAATTCAAAAGCATCAGTTCTTCAGCGATCAGCTTTCTTTATGGTCCAGCTCTCACTTCCATACATCACTACTGGGAAAACCAAAACTAACTATACAGACCTTTGTCTACACTCTTATATTGCCCTAAAAGTTCAGCCATTCCTATATGCTGCTCAGTAAGACAAAGCCATGGATCTTGCTGCCTTGGGATGCTACCTATGCTGCAAAAACACAGTGGACAGTCACAGATGGAGAAGTATTCATCATTCATCCCTGTGTGACACTGCATGGCTTTTCATTACGCACAATGCCAGCTATCCTTTGCCAGGTTGTTCCCTATGAGATCTAAACCAACTGAGACTGCAGTACTAAACATACCCCCTAGAGAGTAGGCCTGCTTATAGACAATGGAGCTTACTTCCTAGTAAAATGCACATAGTTGTGCTGTTAGTCTCTGTGATGTCCTAGTATAGGAGTGGGCAACCTGTAGGCATTCAGGCATTATTGCATTTCAGTTTCCTATCAGCCCCAGTCCGGGTTGTCAATAATAAGGGATTCTAGGAGCTGAATGCATCTGTATCCAACACCTGGAAGGTCACAGGTTCCCTACCCTGCATCTAATGATTTTCCTCCTATAAAAATATGCATACTTTTGGCTTGCAATACACTAGAAAGAAAGGCTATTTCACAAGGCAGCAATTGAAGAGTCCTCGCTTTCCATTGTGAGCATGACAGCTGCTTTCCATATGATGGTTGTTAACGTTCTTTGCCTTTCAGGTTTCAAATATATATTTCAAATATTATATATGTGCAATATATAATATTGATGTACATTGTATAATATAATATACAGTATACTAGATTGGCTAACAGATTCTAATAGACAAGGTATTAGAAAACCTTGAACTTTTAATATAAAAAGTGAAATAACTATCTGTAATTATATGTTCATGTAAGGGCTTCTTGATTACAAAAATTATTTCTTTGCATATGCATAGTATGTGTCTTCCCTAACAGGCTACTTTCAAATCTTCCAGCAATAGGTGCAGTCTGTTTTTTAATAGTTCCCCAGCATTAATATTTAGGCAAACACAATAAAATAAAATGAATCAAGTCTTACACCTGAAACACACTAAAACCAAAAGAGAATCAAATATTTATTTTATTTAGCTGCTGTTTCCCTCTAGTGACCAAACTAAATACTACATGTGAAAGAAGAGAAGCCAGTACAATGTCAAACACCTGTTTTTTAATGGTGATGATGAAAGGTCTTGCTTATCTTAAGTTTTACCAAACCATGATACACAAAATTCACATAATTCTCACATTAAGAGATAGGTGAACCACCACACCTCTACCATATGATGTGACAGGTTACATGTTTCAAGCGAAGGATGTGGCTAGGTTACAAAGTATTGATTTACATGACACTTGATACTAGTTGGTTAACATAGTTTATGCCCTGAAATGTTGCAGCCAGAGGGCTTGTTCAGCTGTTGGGAAACCTATTAAAGGGTTTTCATTAGTGCTCCTGCCTTATAGTTACATAGGAAACATATAAAGAGGGTTGCCTCTTTCCAGCACAGCTGGGCACTCTTGAACTTTGGCAGAGAATTAAGTTTTCTACCACACACAAGATGAATAAGGTCAGACCATCTTGGATGACATGTGATGCCAGGTTCAGTCAACTTTGCCCTATCATCAGTCAGGGAGTACATGCAGTTGCATGCACCCCCTCCCCTTATTATTCATTCACAACACTTTATAATCCAGGGAAACATAAACATACATGGAAAATACGGACCTTAACTGAATGGTTAGTGGCAACAAATATTCAGCTCCCTCCATGGCTCCTGGTGCTCTACAGTACATAGTAATATTTACTAGACAGATTCTGATTTTCTTGATCACTGGAAAACCAAGCGTATATGCTGGTCCTGATTATGTACAGTTCATACCTGCCATCTTTCTCTTTAAAACGTATGTTAGTAATTTGTATCAGGTAATCAATTCAGGTTTATTCTGAATGGGTTTGCTGAAGCTTTAAACAAACAGTAGACAGCTGGGTGCCTCAAACAAACCACATGTAGCTTTGAAAGTGTAGGTAGCAAACTTAACACACCCACAAAAGTCAATAGCTCACATGCCTAATGTGAACAAAACAACCTGTTTGTGCTTCAAGGAGACTAAAATATGTTCCCCTGACAACCATCAAGCTATCTGAGGGGTGAAATCACATATTTATTAATGCAGCTCAAGCATGCATGACTTTTGCCTCAAAGGGATAGGGGAAGGGAATGGCCCAGTTTCGGCTAGAGGCATGCTGTCAGAAGGAGCAGAATAAATGACTCATTATACTGGGGTCGGGGTGCTAACTATCTGTTCAGAACAAATTTAAAGTACCCGAGGATATAGCATAGGAACACAGAAAGTTGCCCTAAGTAAAACCATAAATCTGCCTATTTCAGTCTTGTCCATGCTGGCTGGCTCCCCAGAGTGCCACACAGCAGTCTCTCTCAGGGCACCTATCTGGGGGCACCAAAGACTGAACCTGGGACTCTTTGTATACAAAACATGTGCTCAGTCACTGAGCTTCAGCCCTTCCCCAAACTCTGACCCATATACTGTATCATCATTTCTCTTCTGTTCTTTGTTGCTGACAAGACTGCATCCCTGTTCTCCCTTTCCTACAGCTTCCCTCAATCCTGCTTTCCTGGTTTCTACCACTAAAAGAGTTTGAAGGATTTAAACACCTTATCATGCTGTTTCAGCCTTTGGATTAGTGGATCTCTGGGTATTTATCAGAAATACTTGAGACTGAGGGAAAACTTGGAGATGAATTGGGATCAGTTCCACTGAACTTAAATCTGTGCAATCAGTTCACGGCACCAGTGACCCACTTCAGACCTTTATGAGGCTGGCCTTCATGTGGTGACAAGGAAGCTATGCGCTTCTGGCATGGCCATGTTCAATGTAGCATTTGCTCCTGTAAAAGAACAGTAAGGAGGGAGGTCATATTCCCACCTGATGCTAAGCACCTTTAGTCCTGCTTTTCAACGTATTTAGAAAGTACTTCTATATCCCTTGTGTTGCTTGAGGTCACCTTTATACTTTGAGTAGGGTTAGCTTAGCAAGCATGTATGTACAACCAGTTAGAGAGGCTACAAGAGAAAGAAAGAAAGAAAGAAAGAAAGAGAATCTTGTTTCATCAACCACATCATTTTCTTCTTCAGCTTTGATACTTCAATTCCCTCTTGGTCTATTTGTATCTTAACACAATTATATTAATAGCTGCATCAAATGTGCTGAGTTAATTTTGCTTCCTCAGTCATGGGACTTTACTTCCTAAAAGCTACATTACCATTACTTCTACTGGGGTTTTTTGTGCATCAGTTCCTATGGCAACATGGCAATCTCTGCATCTGCACATGCCACCCACTCTCACTTAAATTGTGTTTCCCTTGGCTTAATTGTGGTCCTGATACTCCAGTTTTATGGATTAGCTCATGACTGCGGGGGAAGAGCAATCTTTGCCTGGCAAAAAGGGCAAAGCTGTGTTTCCCTGGAGCTAGGGATCTGTGAAGCAGGACTGGTAGTTCTGGATCAGGGCTGGGCTGGGGTCTAGATCTGATAAAACAACATACATTGCCCACCTACCCACTCCAAACTAGGATTCTTTATGCCACATGAAACACTATTGGCATTGTAAATCCCAGCAGAAGCCTGTCTTGAGTTAATATGTGGCTTGTGTGTGCACCATATATTTAAAGCACATTTAAAGCACATGTTCAATGGTGCTTGCTCATAGGTGAATGGGATCAGTTTTCTGCTTCTCCAGTGTGACCTATTCTTTCTGTTTTGTAATAATAGACCCTGAACTAACAGACCCAGAGATTACTTGATGGCATCTATACTCCAGCCTTAGTCAAGAAGGCTCTCAGAGCAAGTACAGGCATTGTGCACTCTGTATATCATCACCACATCCACTCATTAGCACCACATCCACTCATTCTTTTTTTTTTTTAAGATATTTATTAAAGTTTCAAGAAATACAAAAAAGAAAAAAACGTACAGAGTACAAAAAAAGAATAACGTTTTTAAAATATAACAAAAAAATAGAAGATAAAAAGGAAACATACAAAATAAAACAGTTAAAAAGACATTGATTTTCCAAACCTATCTTCCCTAGACTTATTTCCCCGGACCTCCTCATACCTCCCTTTTTTGTATTCCAGTTCAGTTTGTTAGTTCAGCAAATCCTTACCATTAAACTTTTACCCAATTGTTAACCTTTTTCATATCTCTTAAAGCATTACAGCTAAAAACCTCTTAGTTTCTATCCAACATCCTTCTAAGATTCCTTAATTTTGCAATATTTCTGTAAATAGTCTTTAAATTTCTTCCAGTCTTCTTTCACCGACTCTTCTCCCTGGTCTCGGATTCTGCCAGTCATTTCTGCCAATTCCATGAAGTCAATCACCTTCATCTGCCATTCTTCCAAAGTGGGTAGATCTTGTGTCTTCCAATACTTTGCGATGAGTATTCTTGCTGCTGTTGTAGCATACATAAAAAAGGTTCTGTCCTTCTTTGGCACCAATTGGCCGACAATGCCCAAAAGAAAGGCCTCTGGTTTCTTCAGAAAGGTATATTTAAATACCTTTTTCAGTTCATTATATATCATTTCCCAGAAAGCCTTGATCTTTGGGCACGTCCACCAAAGGTGAAAGAATGTACCTTCAATTTCTTTACATTTCCAACATTTATTGTCAGGCAAATGATAGATTTTTGCAAGCTTGACTGGGGTCATGTACCACCTGTATATCATTTTCATAATATTCTCTCTTAAGGCATTACATGCCGTAAACTTCATATCTGTGGTCCATAACTGTTCCCAGTCAGCAAACATAATGTTATGTCCAACATCTTGTGCCCATTTAATCATAGCAGAGTTCACCGTTTCATCCTGAGTATTCCATTTCAACAGCAAGTTATACATTCTTGACAGGTTTTTAGTTTTGGGGTCTAACAATTCTGTTTCTAATTTTGACTTTTCCACCTGGAAGCCTATTTTCTTATCCAAATTATATGCCTCCATTATCTGATAGTAATGAAGCCAATCTCTCACTTTATTTTTTAGTTTTTCAAAACTCTGCAATCTCAATTTATCTCCTTCTTGCTCCAAAATTTCCCAATATGTCGGCCATTTGGCCTCCATATTGAGCCTTTTCAGAGCTTTTGCTTCCATTGGTGACAGCCACCTTGGGGTTTTATTTTCCAATAAATCTTTATATCTTATCCAAACATTAAACAATGCTTTCCTAACAATATGGTTTTTGAATGCTTTGTGTGCTTTGACCTTATCATACCATAAGTATGCATGCCATCCACACTCATTCTTAATTAATCAATGAATCAAAGTTCAGTAGCCATAAAACAGATGTTTGTTTTGTGGTCCAGATAGTGATTAGGGAATATGCTAATATTGAAGACATTGGTCTTAAAATTTATATTTCCTTTAATCATAAAATCTGACAGTTTTCTCAGAATGTTTAAGTTGAATTCAAATTTAAAAACCTATTAATTCATATTTAATACATGTGGGTCCTTCCACACATTGTTTGCTCAGAAATGGTACAAGAACACAGCCCAAAGAAGAAAAATGTTCAGCATTAGTTGGTGCCTATTAGGAATGGTAATGCAGAAACAGCACTGGATTTAGGCCAGTGTGAGTGGTTCTCCCCCACAAGCCCTGAGCCAAGGGGGTGCAAAATTGAGAAGACCCATTTGGAGATGCCAAATTTTGGTCTTGCACAGAGCGCCATTGAAATATACTCAGAGTCGCAAAGTGATTTCATGCTCTTTATTCAGCTCATAGTGGTGAGGAGGAATGAATGACTGTCCCCTCACAGTATCTGCTTTATATACATTATTTACACAATGGGCTGCACATGATTGGCTAATTCTGGAATTCTACTGTAAGCCAATCAGGTTGTGGATTCACTTCAATCTGGAGCAGGATTGGGTGGTTCCTGCCAACCAATCATACTGCTGCATTGTTCTAGGACCAATCAGACTGCTGCATTCTGAATCCTATTGTTCTAGGACCAATCAGACTGCTGCCTTTTGGATCCTATTGTTCTAGGACCAATCAGACTGCTGCAGTTTGGATCCTATTCAACTCAGTACATAACACCCCTCCCCTCTAAGTTCCAGTCCTGCCCGGGAGGTCGCATTCATAGTCCTCAAGGTATGCCGGCAGCCTACGTGTGCGTTGTGGCCTGGGGTGTTCCCTGGTCCGGGCTACAGGTTCTGGCTCGTGTTCCAAGGATGCTGGCTGTGATGGGGCTGTTTGGTCTGGTGCAACCGGCTCGCTCAGTCGTGGTTCTGGTTCCGGTGTCCTTTCGGCCTCACGGGTCCTCTCTGTATTTACTGATTCTGCCTCTCCTGCTGGCCCCTCCTGCTCTATGGGCCTCACTGCCCCGCTGTTCCCTTGGGACTCCTCTGACCTGTCCTCCTCCTGGTTTCTCCCGGGAATCGTCGCCGTATCTGGTCGCAGTGGCGGCGCCAGCATTGCCCCCCATCCGTTAGCACCTCGTACGACACGGGGCCAGTGACCCTGGTGACTGTGGCGGGTACCCATGCTGGGCCTGCCCCAAAATTCTTTGCGTACACTGGGTCCTGGGCCTCGAAGGTCCGGGGTTCCTGCCTTCCCCACCACTACCTCATCCTGAGCTCTATCGGGGTGAAGGCGGTCCAATCTGATTGCAAGGCGCCGACCCATTAGTAGTTCAGCGGGGCTCCGGCCAGTCGTTGAGCTGGGGGTGCTGTGCTGTGCTAGAAGGAATGTGGCAAGGCGGTACTCCCAGTCCCCTTGCGTCATGCGGCGAAGGGTGTCCTTGGTGGTCCGCACCATGCGTTCTGCTTGGCCATTGGTGGCAGGGTGGAACGGCGCCGAACGGATGTGGCGGATGGCGTTCTGCGCTGTGAAGGTTTGGAATTCTCCTGATGTAAATGCAGTCCCGTTGTCTGAGACGAGAGTGTCAGGGAGCCCGTGGGTTGCAAACAGCCTGCGTAGTACCCGGATGGCTGCGGACGTGGAAGTGGACGGTACCAGTGCGACTTCCAGCCATTTGGTGTAGGAGTCCACCACTATGAAGAATGTTTTCCCCTGAAAGGGGCCAGCGAAATTCACATGCAGGCGTGACCATGGTGCTCGGGCGGACTCCCAGGACTGGACTGGGGCCCTTGGGGGATCTGGGCGGGATTCTTGGCAGGCCTGGCAGTGTTTGACCCAGGCCTCTATCTCTCCATCGATCCCCGGCCACCACACATAACTCCTGGCAAGGGCCTTCATTCTTACTACCCCTGGATGTGTCTCGTGTAGGGCTGTGAGGACCCTTTTGCGGAGGGGCTGGGGAACAACGACTCTGCTTCCCCATAACAGGCACCCCTTGTGGGCCGACAGTTCATGTTTGCGGGTTGTGTAGCCGGCGAATTCTGGCCCGGGGCTGCTGCTGGGCCATCCCTCCACACCCAGTCCAGGACCCGGGAGATGACCCTATCTTTCTTGGAATGGTGTGCAACTTCTTGTGCCTGAATGGGGCGGTCGGGAAGCAGCTCCAGGCTCATAACCTCTTGTGCAGGTGCTGGGTCAGGGCCTGTTTCCGGTAGTGGTAGCCTGCTGAGGGCGTCTGCATGGCCCATCGCCTTCCCAGGTCGGTGAATCAGTGCATACTGGTAGCTGGCAAGGAAAATTGACCACCTGAGGACACGAGGAGACAGCACTTGGGGGGTCTGCTTTTCGGGGGCAAACAAGCCAAGCAACGGCTTGTGGTCAGTCACCACGGTGAAGGGCCGCCCGTACAAGAAATAATGGAATTTTTTTACTCCCTTTACGATTGCCAGACCCTCCTTGTCGATTTGCGAGTAGTTCCGCTCGGTTGTGTTGAGTGTCTGGGAAAAGTACGCCACCGGTACCTCTCTTCCATCCGGGAGTTGGTGCCCCAGGACAGCTCCAATGCCATAGGGTGAGGCGTCGCATGCTAGCACCACCGGCAGCCTCTTGTCGAAGTGTGCCAAGACCGAGTTTGAGACAAGCAAGTCCTTGACTGCTTGGAATGCGGCCTCCTGGCGCTGGCCCCACACCCAAGGGGCCCGCTTGTCCAGGAGTCTGTGTAGGGGCTCCGCTACTGCCGCCTTGTGGGGAAGGAAGGAATGGTAAAAGTTCAATAGTCCCAAGAAGGCCTGAAGTTCAGTCTTGCTCTTGGGCGCTGGGGCATCACAAATGGCCCGTACCTTGTCCCCAGTCGGGTGGACCCCTTCTAGAGGGGAGGGGTCACAAACCCAGTTATGGTTTCCCCAGGGGCTTGCCGCTTTGCGTAGAAGGCATTTCGACGAGCCACCACTGAGGGCTGCGGCGAAAAGTGCCCCTTCAGCTGTTCCATTATTGTTTTGTATGGAACAGTAGCAACGTCTTCAGGCGCAAGGATAGCCCGGGCGATTTCAAACGTCTCCTCTCCGCAGACGCTGAAGAATATCGCCCTCTTCTTGGCGTCTTCTTCGTCGGTGACCCCTTTGGCTTCTAGGAGGAAGGTGAAACGGGAGGCGTACACTTCCCAGTCTCCAGATGCTGGGTTGAATGGCGAGAAGCTGCTGTTGGCTGCCATTCTGAGTTCCTTGTGTCCCGGAGCTGAAGCCTGGATACACGGTGCGAGGCAGCGGTGCGGCAGGTGGCGGTGCTGCGGCGCTGTGTGTGGCAGTCAGCTCAGCGGGATCCCATCCTCGTCGCCAGTGAAATATACTCAGAGTCGCAAAGTGATTTCATGCTCTTTATTCAGCTCATAGTGGTGAGGAGGAATGAATGACTGTCCCCTCACAGTATCTGCTTTATATACATTATTTACACAATGGGCTGCACATGATTGGCTAATTCTGGAATTCTACTGTAAGCCAATCAGGTTGTGGATTCACTTCAATCTGGAGCAGGATTGGGTGGTTCCTGCCAACCAATCATACTGCTGCATTGTTCTAGGACCAATCAGACTGCTGCATTCTGAATCCTATTGTTCTAGGACCAATCAGACTGCTGCCTTTTGGATCCTATTGTTCTAGGACCAATCAGACTGCTGCAGTTTGGATCCTATTCAACTCAGTACATAACAGCCATATTATAAAAGATTAGCAAAGCCTGCCCCTGGGTTGAAAGGAGCCAACACACTCTGTTGTTGTTGTTGTTGTTTAGTCGTTTAGTCGTGTCCGACTCTTCGTGACCCCATGGACCAGAGCACGCAGGCACTCCTGTCTTCCACTGCCTCCTGCAGTTTGGTCAAACTCATGCTGGTAGCTTCGAGAACACTGTCCAACCACCTCGTCCTCTGCCGTCCCCTTCTCCTTGTGCCCTCCATCTTTCCCAACATCAGGGTCTTTTCCAGGGAGTCTTCTCTTCTCATGAGGTGGCCAAAGTATTGGAGCCTCAGCTTCACGATCTGTCCTTCCAGTGAGCACTCAGGGCTGATTTCCTTAAGAATGGATAGGTTTGATCATCTTCTAGTCCATGGGACTCTCAGAGTCTCCTCCAGCACCATAATTCAAAAGCATCAATTCTTCGGCGATCAGCCTTCTTTATGGTCCAGCTCTCACTTTCATACATCACTACTGGGAAAACCATAGCTTTAACTATACGGACCTTTGTTGGCAAGGTGATGTCTCTGCTTTTTAAGATGCTGTCTAGGCTTGCCATTGCTTTCCTCCCAAGAAGCAGGCGTCTTTTAATTTCAACACACTCTAGTTTTGTCCTTTTTCCTATTGAGTGCCATGAAGGCAACACTGAGGAGGAAGAAGAGGGAGCTATTAGCCGGTGCCAGAACCTGGACTGGTTATAAGAAAGAAGACGGGGGGGGGGTTTCTGGCAGAAGCTGTGGAAGCTGGTCCATTAGGGCAAATGGGGCACCAAGCTCAGCCTGCCCCACAGCAGCTGCCAGCCTTTTTTCTTCCAATCAACCAGTCCAGGGGGTGACACTGGCAGTCAGCTTCCTCCTCCTTAGTCTCAGTGTTATCCTTGTTGAGCTCACCAGGGAGGAGGATAGGTTGGCTTCTGCCTGACCTTGGCTCTGGCTCCCCCTACCGTTGGCCTCCCTGCCTTCTGCCCAACGAGCACCAGCCACCACTGGGCGGCCTGAGGTTGGTGGGGCCGGGCTCGTTTGCCCCAATGGCTCATCCAGCAGGAAGAGAGCTACTTCTCCCTTCCAACGCCGGCCCGCTGGGCTCCCTGACCCCCGATCTTCTCTGACTGGTCTTTAGGGGCTGACCTCCTTCCACTGCGGGCTGGATCCCGGCAGACAAGGCGGCGCATGCAGGCCGGGGTGTGTCAAGCGTCTTTCCCAGCCTCCGGGATACTTAAAGCGGACGAGCGCCGAACTTGACGCTGCCGGGCGCGAAGGGACCCAGAGACGACGTGGGGAGTCCAGGCACCATGTCTGCGCTCAAAGTCTGCATTATCGGTTCCGGGAACTGGTGAGTACGACTCGGACGGAGCCGAGGGGGAATCGCAGGGGGGCAGAGGGCGAAGAGCCCCCTACCCAGCCAGCCACCCACCTAAGAGCTGGGTGCATGTGCGCCCTTGCAACAAAAGCCGAGGGTGGCCGACGGGCTATCCAGAGAGGGGGCGAGGGAGCGCGGAGGGAGACAGCCATCCCTCTCCGGACCTTCCCTCTCTCGCTCTGCCTTCATATCCAGGTCCATATCTGTCCTAACTTGGACACCTGCGCAAAAATGCCAGGTCCCCCCGCCCCCGCTTCACCTTAGAAAATTTAATCGCCTTTGGATTGCCCCGATCGTTCCCCACGAGAGTCCAGAGGAAACCAGCAGACGAGGCTGCAATCCCATCCCATTTACCTGGGAGTAAGTCCCACTGAATTCAATAGGGCTTCCTGCTGAGTAGACATGCTGGTGCTGAGGGCGCATCTGTTATGTTCTATGCGGCTGCATTTGCTCCCCTGAAATGTCAGTACCTTATAAAAACAGGAATGAGGAGCCTCTGGCGCTCTCATGGTTGTTGGACGGTCCATCAGTCCCAGGCTGCAGGACCGATGTTCAGGGGTGCTGGGAACTGTAGTTCCGCAGCAGCGGGAGGCAACCGGTTGGCCACCCCTGCTATAAAATACGGGACAAGCGCAGAGCAGCTCTGTAACCCAAGCAGAAACGCTGTAGACCGATAGACTACAGTCTGTCCGCTGTAGACAGTCGGACAGACTAGAAATCCCTGACCGACACAGACCTGTACCAGTTTACTCCGGGAAAAATGCCCCACAGGCTTCCCTAAGACATGTTTTGGACTACAGCCTTCCAGAGCTTTGCGAGAGGGAATCGTTTGCTTGTTTTGCAGCGTTTCCACCTCCAGTCTGAACCATGCTTCATGTGTTTCTATAGCACCTGCAGATCATATTAGAGCATTGGCCTCAAAGGGAATATATCCAGTGACAGGCTGAGTTCCCCTGGTAGAAAAAGTGCTAGAGGAAACGGGCATGAAATTGTCGTACATTTTATACCCCCCCCCTTGAAATCAGTTTGGGATTAATTTCCCAAATTTGTTTTAGATGTGGTATTATTCCTGTGCTTTCATAATATCAGCCCTACATTGAAAGCCAGCATGGGTACTATTTCATAATGTGTACTTGCAGAGCAAGATGGTGGTTGTGCATCAGAAAGGGAAGGTTTTTGTTTATTCTTCTCAAGCGTTTTCTTTCCATAGTAGCTTCATGTAGGTCTAAGTGAAAGTCATTAGGAGCAACCAGCACAGTTAATAGGAACAAACTGAAAAATTTACTAACACTGACCAAGAAGGACACTCTGGATTTTTAAAATTTATTTCCTAGACCAGCAGAGAAACCTGCATTTTTTTGTAGTCATGTCTTCGCAGCATGGAATAATTTGATACCATCTATGAAATGGAATGTTAGTTTATTTGCAGGAATTATTGGTCTCTCAAGAGAGAGAAATGTTGCACACACCCTGACCGACAGGCCGAGACTTAATTATAGTCATACCTATTTCTCCCTGTCTTCCCCACCCTTGTCCTTTTCATGTACGTTCTCAGATTACTATGCTCAGATTTACATAAAGATTTATGCTTACCTTTCCATTCTTTCAAAGAACAGGGCATTCAGAGACAGGTCTTTGTTATCTTAACATCCAGTTTGGGCACTCACCTAGAAATCCACACCAATGAAAGGGGCTTTGTTCTTATTCCACAATAACAACACTAAATAAATAAATAGAACCAGCAACTACACAAATTTCATTATGGCTGCACATCTTGGTGACCTTTTCTGGTGAGCTATAGAACTCCTTGACCTTAGAGATGCATACTCCATAATGTAAACCCTGGGCAAGTTTCAGAATTTATGTTAAGCAGGGTGGAGGTTGAGCTTGAAAATAACAGGGAGGATTTGTGTATTTTATTCTTAACTTTTCTCTCTTCGTGGCATACTCGAATGATGTCTCAATTGGTAGTTTGGTGCAAATTCACCATTGTTTGTATGAAGAAAGAAAAGACTGATCATGTGAGATGTGACACAACAGCCAAGGGCAGCACAAAATTCCTGTCCGGATAGTTAGGTAGAGATTATACCTCTTTCAGGAGTGAAAAGGGAGTGGGTGGAGACGAAAGGGAGCAAAGCAGTGACAGATCACACAGAGTGTAGCATGGATGAACTGTACCAACTCCACATTCAGGGTACAAGCTGTTGGATACTTTCACAGGAAAAGCTGACACCTTAAATCTGCACCTTAAGTCCACCTACGAAGGCAAGCCCTGCAGAAAGGTAGGCAGCTTCCCTAAGCCTCAGCCCAAAATGCACTAGAAATGTACCATGACAGATAAAATATGGATGTTCTGCTCCTTGTGCTTTGCCTGCTCCTTGCAATTTTTCCACTCCCAGTTGCATAGCTACTGTTCCTTTGTTGGATTGGAAGCTCTAGCTGCATGGAGATTGACAGTAGCAGATCCTACACTTCAGGGGTGGCACCTAGAAGCACTGGAGATATGGAAAATGATGGTGGCTGTTACAACTGCTTTGTTGCTGTGCCAAGGGTGTACTGGGTAGCTGGAGCTGTGCTGTGCTCATGGAACTCTACCCATGTAGCCTCTCTGGTGCCCAGAGTATCTCCACTAGTCCCTTGGTAAGCTTTGAAAGGCTGAAGGCAGCACTGGGGTGGGGGCACCAGAGGGTCATTGTTAGGTTTGATGGAGCCCTGGGCAAGGTGACCCCTGGCAAGCTCCCTCAAACATGGCACCAATCCTGGTAAAGGCCTCTTATTTGCACCCAAACACAAAACGAGCCACAATTAAAGCTGCCCCCGGACACAACAGCATAGCATGGGTAGCTTAAAATACCAACTTTTTGGTGATATCCTGGCTACAGAGGAACTACCTTCAGAAAAGATGTCTGGCTCCCCTACAAGAAATAAGAATTGTGCCTTTCATGTACGCATGCAGAATGGTTGTGCCTAAGAGAGGTTAGGCGTTTGGTCTTGCAACCCACCCCACATCCCACCAGCACCCCAAAATGCAGATGCAGCTCTCATGTGATAGGCTACACGTTAGAGTCCTTCAGAGGTGGGGGGAAATTTTGAGCTTTTTTGTTTGTGAGCTGAGTCAGAGACACTAACCTCCAAGCTTATCTGTAACATTTGCAGTCAGGGTTGCATTCCTTTAAGCTACCAGAATAGATGTGAAAGTTCAATGGTCAGCAATACTGTACTTTCAAAAACATCTAAGCAACCCCTTGCATACTAAACATCGGCTTCTCAGTTGTTGTTTTTGGAGGTTTCATAGTCAGGCCTTGAAATATTTATTTTCCACAATGGTTTACGATTTGCTGCTGGTTTGGCTTTATTGTTATTATTAGCTGTTTATTTATTAGCTGTTAAATTGACAAACAAAATCAACATTTTGGAAATGTGGCCATCAAACTGATGTCAGGCATGACATATGCGAACCTGATTCTCAAACAGCTCAATACCACACCTTCCTGTTTCAGATTAGTTGGCCTGAACTCTGGAACAACCAATGTTCTTGTTTGATACCCACAATCACAAATGTGGACTTGAATCCCCCACCTTATGCAAATGTTTACTTTTCTTTCATCAGTGTGACTAACTAACCCATGTGCAAAAGTTTTGCTTGAAGAGTCTTAAGGAGTAGTTTGTCTGCTCATCTCTGGTGACCTGTGGGTTAGGAGCTCTTCTAGATTGTTGTATATAACTTGTGAACCTGAATTCAATAGTCCAGATTTAATAGGTATCACAAGCTATCTTGCAGAGTCATTAGGAGAATATAAATATATTAATAAAGAAACGTACAAGCTGTCAAAAGCGTTTTGCCTTCTAATGAAGGCAGCTGCTAGGACATGGCTCAGTGAGGCAGAGAGATCCAATGCTGATATAGCAGCCTTCTCTTAGCTAAGATGACCTTTGGCTTAGATATGCTTGACACAGACATATGGAAAAAGGTATTGCCAGCATTTTAAAGATTTATTTAAGTTCTAACTGCAGAGAGGTGAGTGGGTGTCAAAGGAGAGACGTCTGCCCGGGGCAAGTCCCGGGAACTCTCTTTTATTGAATATTACAAACATTGCCACAGGTGTGCTTGTGGCTGATTGGCTGATACAAACACAAAGCATCTTGTTGCTGATTGGTTAACATAGGTACAAGGCGGGCATTACATATTACATTAATCAGTGATAGTTCAAAAGACTGGGAGCGGAGCTGGAACTAGACAGGCATGAATCCTCCTAATTAAATTGTAACTAAGATTAATATAACATGACTAAAACAATTACTAATGATTGATCATAAGTGAAAGGTCCGTATATGTGGTCAGCTATGCATTGAGAACAGAGCATGTTGTTTTTTGTACATGAACTCAGAATGAACTGAAGAATTGAGGGAATGTCTGGGTGTGCTGAGCTCAGTGTGTTTGGAACAGTATGTGCAGAGCAGAAGGAGACTTCCCAGAATCCAAGAGGAAAGAAGCAAGAGTTTTCATAGTAAGCATAGAAAGATTTCATAGTAAGACTTCCCATAATGCCACAGTTATGTGCAGTAAGAGAACTGCAGAAAGAGAACTTCACAGTGAGAGAACTGCAGAAAGAAAACTTCCCTTCAGGTGAGTTTTATGTGTGAAGTCTGTGGTAGCTCAACACACTCAGACCACCTGAAAACCCAACTTTATTTGTACTACTAATTTGAAAAGCTTTTCAAATGGTCTCTCGGCTGTAGCTCTATGTTGCTTACATTTCTGTGGAGCAGCTAGGGATACAATTTTGCTGACAGAATTTTGGGACTCCCAGGTTCTGTTTTACTTTCACTTGTTCAGTCTCAACACAAGGCGCTCAGATATAGCTCTCCTGAGGAAGTTGTGTTTGCTTGAATGACCTTGAATACCATTAATCTAGCTTAGAAAAACACAGTGTAACTTCACTGGATCTGTAATGGTGACACTCTGATGTTGCCCCAAGGAAGCCATTGAGGGAACAGCAGTGGCGGCAAGTCTCACAGGGGGTGCTCCAGCGGCGGGAGCCTCCCAGGCTGGCATGCCATGGCAGGCGGCATTTGCATCCCTGGCAGGCAGATTTTCGCGATTGGCACGATCGTCGTCATGAAAATCAGCCCGCTGATCATGAAAATCCGCCTACTGATCGCGTAATACCGCCCGCTGGGGATGCGAGCGCTGCCCGCCGAGCGGAGCAAACACCACCTGCCGGGGGGTGCCAGGCTGATCACAGGGTGTATTTGCACGATCAGCGGGCGGATTTTCATGACAGTGATCATGCCAATCGCAAAAATCCGCCACTGGGGCTGCTTGCGCTGCCACGCCAATCCGCCCGGGGGAGTTTGTCACCCCCCTAGGCATGACACCTGGGGCAAACCGCACCCCCGCACCCCCTTGCAACACCTCTGGGCGACAGAAGTCCTGGTCTCCTTTCTATTTGCACGGAACAAGGAGAAAAGCGTTAGGAATTATTGTTATAGAGATTAGGCAAGATGGTGTGATAATTCAAGTAAGGTTTGTGTACCGACATTTCTCTCCATTTTTATTTTCATTATTTGTTAAGTTTAATATTGCCCTTCATCTGTAGATCTCATGGTAGTTCACAACAATTTGCAATATAAAAAACACAAAATACAGACTAAAAATAAGAACAAGCCAGAAATCCCACATCACATTTAAAAGGGTATCAATCAGCCTGAGGCCTGGTTGAAGAGGAACGCTTTCACCTGGCGCCTAAAGGTATATAATGAAGGTGCCAGGTGAACCTCCCTGGGGAGAGTATTCCACAAACAGGGAACTGTTGCAGAAAAGGCCCATTCTCATGTTGCCACCCTCCGGACCTTTCATGGAGGAGGCACATGAAGAAAGGGCCTCAGGGTTGAGATAGGCTCATATGGAGAGAGGTGTCTTTGGGGGTATTGTGGCCCTAAGCCATAAGGTTTTATTGGTCAAAACCTGGGCCTGGAAATTGAATGGCAGCCAATTGGGCCAGGATCAGTGTAATGCTCAGACCTTCTTGCCCCAAATTCTGCACTAGGTGGAGAAGCAGTTCTAGACTAACTGTGCACACAACTCTTTAAAGGGGAAACCATACTGTTATGTACTGAAGTTCTCACCCTGGGCCAGCAGGCGGATACTGTATATAGTTTTCACTCAGGTCCACATATGCAAATAAGAGATCGAAAGTGGCGTTCAGTGACTGGATAGTTATAGAAAATGGTTACTGTTGCATTCTAGTGGAGCTCTATATAAGCAGGCTGGCTGAACCCTTCAGTTCAGTTCTGTTCTGGCCTGTGAATAAACAAGAGCTATTTGAAGAATCGCTGTGTCGTCTAATATGTTCACCCACAACTTAACACATACTTCCTCCTCAGTTAAAATCTTTAAGGTCTAAATATGACATAGGTAACTAAACTGCCAATTTTCTTTGCTAAAAAAACCCCACATGGAATTTTGATGTGGGGTGTTGGTTTTGGCATCCGTCTGTCTCGAAAGACAATGGAGGGCATCCTCAGGAATGAAGTCAAACTGCTATGTTAGCATCACCAAAGTGACCATCCAAAGTGCACAAGCAGTGCATATGTACAGTACATATGTTGTATTCCGGTAGTACACACATTGGCAGCCATTTGTGAAATTTACTATAGGAGGTAAAGCTTTATAAAGTTTGCTAAATCCAAATTACTATGCGAATTTTGCTTGTGTCCAAATTCTTGAGATATAGTGCTTGTGCAACCATACGCTTCTGGTGAGTGCGGATGCAGTTAACCCTGCCTTTGATTATTTGCCTTCTTTTCCTCCCCCTCTTTTCTTTTTTTTAAAGGGGAAGTGCCATTGCAAAAATCATAGGCAAAAATACCCAGAAATCCCTCAAATTTAACCCTACTGTAAATATGTGGGTATTTGAAGAGCAAATCGATGGGCGAAAACTCACAGAAATAATTAACCAAGACCATGAGAATGTGAAGTATCTCCCAGGGCATAAGCTACCTCCTAACGTGGTAAGTTCAATGTAACTCCTTAACTGTAGTTTCAGGTTTTAAAGGTAGTGTAGTTGGGCCATAATGGAATGCAATTCAAAGTAACAAAGGCTGCTTCCACGCTGGGAATTTAGTGTACAATAGCTGCATTTTGGGTTGCTCACTTTTTATGAGGCTCGTGCTTAACATTGTGAGCTAAACACCCTACTCCCATGCTTCTCCTTTTTGGCTTTCTTCCACCCCCACCCCACTCCTCAAGCTTAGAAAAATCTGCCCTTTCTTTAAAACAACAACAACATAGCAGAACAGCTGTGCAGCTTTCCCAGGAGCAGACTGAGAAGGGAATTGTACTCAAAATACATCAGAAGGATAATGCAATTGATTAAAGAGCAGCATAGGTACACACAGACACTGATATGAGTTGTGCATTATCTAAACTAGAGAAGAAATCCTGGCACAGCTGTCAGAACAATGCAAGAACCTTGTGAGTTTTGCAATTGGTTAGGCTTAGATACATTATTTGTCTCCAGACCTACTTGGTATTCCAGAATACTCTGAGGAGCTGCAGACCATTATGTCCCAAATTGTAGAATGTGCACAACAAAGACAGGTAATGAGGTCAACCCCCTCCCCCAAAGTGGCTGCCAAGCTTGAGGCTATAATCCTATACACACTTACTCGAAAGCAAGCCTCTCACCACTGGACTTAACTTCTGAGCAAACATTGATAGAATTAGGTTGCTAAGAGAACTGAGCTAAGAGACTTCCAAGAAGTTTTTCAGATGCAAAGCTTAAATCTATGTTTACTTAAATATCTCTATAATATAAATGTAAAAGAGTGGTTTCTCCCTCTCCAAAAATTCATGGGCAGTTATGAAGTTGAACATTGTGTTTTCATGTGAGTTAGTAGATCAATGTTATTTTGTACAGACCTCAATTCAGGACAGCTGGCCATATTAAGACTGCTGCAGGAAACACTTGTGTTGCATATATGGATGTGCCTTCCTGCATGCGCAACCCCAGGAAATACACATTGCATGCTCAAAATGTGTATATATGTGAATGTCATCTCAATCCACTCTTGCTGCTATGGGAAACGCTGTTGGATAGCTGCCCTTGTTTGTTTTTCCATAATAGAATGTTTAAACTTTCTTCTTTTTTGTCTCAGGTTGCTGTAGCAGACCCAGCAGAAACAGTAAATGGTGCAGACATTATAATATTTGTTATACCTCATCAGTTCATTCCTAAAATCTGTCAGCAGCTAACTGGCCATGTAAAACAAGGAGCCATTGGAATTTCACTAATCAAGGTAATTTGTGAACCTTTCCCAAGGGGTAGGACTGGTTAGGGAGAAAACGGAACAGTGAAATTTCCTGGGTCATGACTGCATATAGGGCGCAGCAGGGGTGCCAACCTGAATAAAATATTGTGGGGGCCCAGGTAAGCCCTGCCCCACATAATCAGTAACATGTGTCAGGAACGTGGCTCACCCGTGTGCAGGGGAAGAGTCAGACTCAGAAATTGAGCTAAGTGAGAGACCAACTGCAGATGAGAGCTAGCTGACAGAGCCAAGAAGGGGTAGCTCAACCATCCTTCCAGAAGAAGACACTGTTAGCTCTCAAGAAGCGGGAGAGTTAGGAGCCAGCCGAAGTGTTGCTAGGCAATCAGCGGATAAACAGAGGACTGAGAGTGTGTCAAGTGGAAGTGGGGAGGGGGAAGGCCAGCCTCTCAGTCCCCGTTATAGGAGACTGGATAAGGTCAGAGGACAACGGAAGGGAAAGAGGGGAAGGGCGGGAATTTGGCATCCTTCCTGCTGTGAAAGGGGCGGAGGTTCAGACTGACTATCGTCAATGTGAGCAGGTGAGAAGCCGAGCTCTAGATGTGTGGGGTTTCTTTTGTAAATAAATGTAACATAAAACTGCTGGAGTCTTATTACTTCTTATCGGGGCTTGCTTGCCTGCCTGAGATCATTACAGCATGACACAGTGCACACACTATTTGAATGGGAATGCCCATCAATTTTTTTTTGGGGGGGAGCCCCCTCAAATATTTTATTGGGAAGGCTGAAGCCCCCATTGTCCCTAGGAGTTGGTTATGGATACCCCGAGATGCAGAACAGAAGGCAAAAGTGCCATATTTGGAATGGACTATTCGTTTCCCCACAATATGTTATTTTATTTTCTAAAGCTTATGTTATTATATAAAAAGTTGGCTATGTAACACACATCAAACAATTTTAAGAGAAATGTACTGTGTGGGTCATAACCAAGATATATATCAACCCGACAACTTGCCGTCTGTTCCCATTACCCTTTGTTGTAAACAACTCCTGCACGGGCTCAATTTCATAGAATACAACAGGATCAGATCTATGTTTCATCTACTGAAGTGCAAGGAAGGCTAGTCTTACTTTTGTTCACTGCCTTCCTGTTAAACAGGGCATAGACGAAGGCCCTAAAGGACTGAAACTCATATCGGACATCATTCGAGAGAAGCTGGGCATAGAAGTCAGTGTACTCATGGGAGCCAACATCGCAAATGAAGTGGCAGATGAAAAGTTCTGTGAAACCACCATTGGTAATTCTGTGTTCAAGACTAATGACTAAACGAGGGATCAGTTCAGTCCACTTACTCAGAATATAGATCCAGAATGTTTCCCCTGCTCCACTTTGTGGTGATCTAGAAGATATATCTGTGGATCTATAGCTGCTGTGATGACCCCCCCCCCCAAAAAAAACCCTTGCCAACTTTTTTGTTTGTTGTTGCAGTGTTCTGCACAACCCTGTAAGAATGAAAGGTAGCAGCTGGTCAAAGGTCACCCAATGAGATTAATGGATGAGTGGGAATTTGAATTTGCATCTCCCTAGTCCAACACTCTTATCCTCTACATCTCACTGACACTCACAGCTGACCTAGGTGGTTTTTATTATTATTGCCCATCCTTTTGCAAATGGGAATGTTTGTAGCATTTGAATCCAGGCATTCTTGTGTTTTCGGTAACACAGCACTGAAAGCGTATTTACAAATCATTATTGAGCATCTCTCCCTATAGAAAGCTTACTGGGTTTGGGTATATCTAATGGTGAGTCACAAGCATAGCTGAGATTAGACGAGATGCTTCCATTTAAGTTCAAGTCATATGATATGCTGTTACTTGGCCATCACCTCAGTCCTGATTTACTGTGCTTCTTTTCATAGGTTGTAAAAATCCTGAAAGTGGAAAGATCTATAAAGAGTTGTTGCAAACCCCAAATTTCAGAATTACTGTGGTAGATGACTGTGACACCGTGGAGCTCTGTGGAGCCTTAAAAGTGAGTCATTCCAAATCAAATATTGTGAGGCCAATTAAAGTTTTTTGCAAGCTGTGTGGCCAGCTAAGCTTTCAAAAAAAATATTCATGTGTTTTCCCATTCATTTGTTCATTGGCTTTACAAATCTGTAAAATAGGAGAACTGCACTTACATCCCACTTGCAATACTAATCAAAAATGGCCTTGATATGGGTTGGACAATAGCTGGTTGTTAAATCGCTGCCGCCAGTTAGGAAGCAAATATATGTGACATCACTTCAGAAAAAAAGTAATCCTTTGGACATACTATTCTCCAGTGAGTTTTATTGGCTTTGATGTAGGCAGCGGGAAAATATGTCCAATGACTTCTTTTTTTAAGCGAGATCCGTTAGTTTTATGTTGGGCACTTTTTAGATGACTTTCTAGGCAACGTCTGCACTGGAGTTTGTAGGACATATGATAAAGTACTTTTTAGAGATTTGTTGAAGGTGGGACAACATACACATACTTTTGTCCACTATGAGGAGTTGTGAAATACTTCTTTTCAGGTTTCTGATAGAGGAAGAAAAACCAGCGTCCACACAGCACCATAGGCATTACTCTATAATACATCCAAAGTTGTTTTCTTCTAGGTCAGACTATTTGTAGATCAGCTCTGTCCTGTCTACTGCTGTCATTATCAGAGGCCATTTATTTTCACCCTCTACCTGATGCTTTTAATTTGAGATGCAAGGGAATTTGGGATCTTCCGCCTAAAAACCATGTGCTACAGAGCTATGATCCCTCCCTCATATCACTATCTCACTTAAAAACATTCAGTACAAGGATACACCTCATTAGCTGTTTTGATCCTATGGAAATGTCTCACCAGCTGCTTTGATCCTGTGGAGAAAAACAAGAAGTGTGGCTTGTCACTACCAAGACATATTTAGCAGCATATTCTTCAGCTGCAGCAGCACTTCTTATTGTGACCAGACTTGCAGACACCACTTGCTGAATATATCTGAATAGACCACTGAACTACATGCAATTTTGCTCTTGGGGGCATTTAGGAGCAACTCAATAGAGAAATGCAGCTGTTGGAATGCATTTGGGAATGGCACCTTTTGCTAAGCATTCATGCTTTCTGAAGTCATTAAATGTGATGCCTTTGTCTCATGTGATTTTTTTCTTCTCTCTCTTTTTCTCCCCCTGTCCCAACTGGATTTAGAATATCGTTGCAGTAGGGGCTGGTTTTTGTGATGGGTTGGGCCAAGGTGACAATACCAAGGCAGCTGTGATTCGTCTGGGACTAATGGAAATGATTGCCTTCGCTAAACTCTTTTGCAAAGGCCCCGTAGTAATAAATACATTTCTGGAAAGTTGTGGTGTTGCTGATCTGATTACCACATGCTACGGGGGACGCAACAGGAAGGTGGCTGAAGCTTTTGCACGTGGTGGAAAAGTAAGTGTTTCCCCCCAAGATTAATTGCTGTAATGGGTACACTTTTGTCTTATCAGCCCTTTCCCAATAGTATTCTGCATTTACTTATGAGGACAGGGGGCTATCTAACTAGTATATTACAGTATGCATTTGTTTGTGGATGAGACCAGTGGTAGTGACCAAGGCCCCTTGCTAATAACTGACATTGTGCGATGTTAACCTTTCTAAATTGGGCATAATGTGGAGAAAGTAGATAGAAAGAAGCTCTTCTCTCTCCTCCTTTCATAATATAACCAGGCACCATCCAGTAAAAAAGAATGGTGGGAGATTCAGAACAAAGAAAGGGACATAGTTATTCACACCATGTAACTGTGGTATCCGTTCCCAGAAAATGATGTGATGGTCTTCAACTTAGATGGCTTTAAAAGATTAGACAAATCAGTTGTGGGTATCTGCCACTACTCATCATGATAGCTGTGTGGGCTTTCTAGTGTCACAGAATTTAGCTGAAAATAATACCAAATGAGAGATGCTTGTCCTACTTTAAAAACACATACGTTTTTAGTATGTATAAGTAAACCTTGGGTATTGCTTAGATTGGAAATAATAATTTTGTGCAGACTCCATTCTTTGCAAAAGAGAACAAAGGGAGTTCCAGCTTCAGCACTTTCACATTTATTATTTAGTTTTAAATGGAGTTTAGTGATGCAGTTTCCTTTAAACCAAATACAAATGATTTAACACTCTTTAAAAATAATTTCCAGACAATTGAACAGCTAGAAAAAGAAATGTTGAATGGGCAAAAGCTACAAGGGCCTCAAACATCTGCTGAAGTCTACAAAATCCTGAAGCAGAAGAAAATGGTTGACAAGTATGTAGCTTGATTTTCTAGTAAATATCCTGTCTGAGAAGTCAGAGTATTCTCTGCACTTTGCTAGCTCCTTTGGCCATGGAAAAACTCTTGGGTATCTCTGTTGTGAGCCATCAATAGGGTTGGGGGAGAAGTTTGTATTTAAAGGCGAACTTACATAATTCATGCTTTCTGAGAAGGTATAGGAACCAAAACACATTCATCATTCAAAATTCACACTTCTCTGAATTTTGCATGTAGTTCTACGGCCAAGCAATGTTTATAAAACGCATATAGTAGGATAAAGGGCACGTCTAAGTGAAAATAACATACAAAATGCATTAAATTATGGAAAATTGATTTGTAAATAATGTGTATGAGAAATCAGCTTTAAAATGCTGGTGAATTTCATGAGGCTTTTCTTTTTTTAAAAATTGCAAATTGACGTGGAAATGTTGAGAACTGGACTTGAGACACAGAGAAATTGGTATTCTCCCATTCATACTTGTTACAGTGCTTTAAATTAATATATATCAATAGTATTCTGTCATGTATCTTATGATAAAGTTTACATCATGCATCAGCTGTGTACTGAAAAGCCAGCTAAAAATGACCTTGCTGGTAAAAATTTAAATTGGTTGTATTTTGCATGAAAATTTACTTTAGCAATTGCATTTCTCTCAGGTTTCCATTATTTGTGAACGTCTACCTGATCTGCTATGAAGGGAAGTCTATCAAAGAGTTCATCACTTGTTTGCAAAGTCATCCAGAACACATGTAAGATAGTGTTGTGACTTGCCAGTTAAGTATCTCTGCACGAGGATTCTGTCAGTTTGACCATGCTGAATAAAAGCAAGCAAAACGATATCATCTGTACTACGTGTTCATTGTCGTAGGCTATACAGAAAAACAGTGTAACTATTTCCACAGAAAGTGAAGTCCGCTAGATACTACATCTCAGGATAAACTTCAGAAGCCAGGGAAGTGGAGGATATTACATAGGGCTCGTAAGTTGAAAATGAGGGTGTAATCTCAAAGTCACTCATGAGAATTCGGACATGGAACAGAAGAGTGTGTTCTTGTTCAGGTGCGCTTGTTGAGCCTTTTGTTAAAGACCTCCAATGAAAGAGTGAAGAACCTCCTGAGGCAGTGTCTTTAATTTCTGAAGCTTTCTTTCCCCTGAGTGACACAGGTTTCAACTTGGATCTACTGAAGCCAAAAAAGTCTGGCTCGGTAGTGGAAATCAACTTGTGAAATTGAGTGGGGTAGAACTTGGCAGGGAGGTCACTGTCAAGTCAAAACGCTCTAGGTATCGTATGATGTTTTGCCAGTCTCCGCCTCCCTTCAATGTCTCCACATCCTGTCCCATGCTTTCCTGCCCACTGCCTGCCTTGTTCTTTGTTGGCCTCCTTGGGATTCCTGTCTTTCCCCCGATTCCAGCAGGGATGGGGGAGATCTGCCCCACCAGTTCCACTTCCTCTGCCCTGTTCTTCAAATCCTACTTCACCTCTGCCCACCCTCATCTTAGATTTCTCTTTCTCAGTCCACTGCTGACTCTCAGCTCTTCTTTCAGCTGTGTACCTATTGGTAGCTTCCCCACAAAACTATGCTATCAGTAACAAACTGCTTTCCCTCACCGTCCTGAGGGAAAATGTAAGCTCATGGAGGAAAATGCAGTTATGTGGAGCTTAAACACACATGGAAGCTAGGTCAAATTCCCATGAGGCAATTTAATAGCTTTTGTTTACAATTTCATTTATGAATGAAATAATTCCCATGAGGTATCCCAAAGTGATATCAAAACAAAGTAGAACAGTACTGAAAAGTTTAAAATAATGGCATGCTTATCTCTCAACTGAATAATTCAGTTTTTTCGGAGCAGCTGCAGTGTATTCTACATTTCTTGCTACAGAACTCAATTTCTTTCTAGAAAGTGTGTAAACAAAAAGGACCAAAGATTTTTTTTTTAAGACAAGGTTCTTTAATTTGACACTAATGCTCAAAGTGCTTATGCTAAAAGAATCTTCCACATATTTTAAAAATAATAAAATCAATTGCACATATAAACACCATACATAATCCAGCCTGAAGTCCACTCATGACAGGAAGTGGAAAAGAATAGTTCTGCATAAATAGTATGTTGTATCAATCGGCAAAGTACAATTTACATGTAAAAATCTATGTTGACATTTTGTACTACGGAGTGACAGACTGCACATATATACGGACTCTAACTGTATTACTGTTCTCAGTCATGATCCTGGTTCTCAAGAGATGTGCATCCGCAGACAGTTCTCTACTGCTCATCCACAGCTTATACTGGATTTTAAACTACCCAGCTATAAACTGTATAACATTCATAGAAATTAATTCAGATAAGCATAGTGTCTGCTTTGGCCCACATATGCAGAGATAGGTAAGATCCCCCCCCCAAACAATCTATACCTTATTCAAGCCACATAAAATAAAATAATAAGGTAAAATGTAAGTATGCTCTCATAAAACCCTGCCACGAGATCAAGTTGGGAACCTGAAATAGAAAACAGCTCACTGGCATGGAGAAACTTGTCTAGATAAAATTAATATTTCAAGTAGATTTATTTTGAGCATATCTGTACAATAACTGGGACCTAACACAATGAAATTATTTAAAATGAGCAGCTTTATGTAGGAGATTGCTTTAACATTCATTTCCTTCCTCATAACCAAGATATGCAGCATTCTATAGTATCAAGTAAAACATAGGTCATATTTCCTTATGACATTTCATCAGAAAACATATTTCCCTGTTTAGAATGACTGGTAGGCTAGTGAATGCCAACATGGTGAGGAGTCTTGTTAGGCTAAATACAGTAATGCACCTACTGTTTGTGTGCTTGCCAAGAAGAATAATGGTTGGCAGTGTTATTTCGTACAGTCGTACCTTGGAAGTAGAATGGAATCCGTTTCGGAAGTCCGTTCGACTTCCAAAGCACGGCTTCTGATTGGCTGCAGGAAGCTCCTGCAGCCAATCGGAAACTGCAGAAGCCCCGCCAGACCTTCAGATTCTAAAGAACGTTCGCAAACAGGAACACTCACTTCCGGGGTTGTGGCGTTCGGGAGCCAAAACCTCTGAGTACCTAGGCGTTCAGGATCCAAGGTACGACTGTATTTAGAAACATTGTGGGTATTTAACTGGACACAACAGGTTTCTGTTGTGAGCCACCCTGTAATCTTCGGAGGAAGGGTGGTATACAAATTTAATTAATGATAGTAGTAGTTGAAATGTAAATACAGTCTAACTCAACTGCATCTACTGATTTTCTGTCCTGAGTCAGGGATGTGCTCTTATATTCTGTATTTTGAAATAGTCTATGGCTTCCTACTGCTACTTTTGCTCTCTTTAAAAAACAAACACCACCCTGACCCATTTTTGATGAAACACTCAATCGCATTCTAATAAACTTGAAATCTCAATGCATCCCCAAAGAACAAAACGTACCTGAAACAGAGAGGCAGTTTTATGAAATTATTTGTTCCAGTGTGGGAAACATTATTCTACTGCAGAATCTAATCTAATTTGTCTAATATGAGGCGAGAAGCAGTTAATACATTTTATGAATGCCTCAAGCATAGCATCAACTCCCAATGATCCTCTCATGATGAACTACCCTCTTGCATCTTGGAGTTGCTAACATGACACACATGCATACACGTGTACATACACGTGTACATTGTACCATGGGAAATTATTTGGAGAGGGAAAGATTATCCTTTTTCCTCCCAGGCATGATGCTCCCTTTCAAAAAATGCCACTCCAATAGAAGGCTTTTCTTTCTGCAGACTGCAATTGCAAAGGAAGCTTAATGCCATTTTGGCTTGTAGGTGATATATAAATACATAGCTCTTGTTTCTCCAGCTGCTCTCTTCAGGAAGGTTGGCTGCTTGTTCTCCCTGCCACAATGCCTGGGTGAGGCAGGGCAGCAAACATGCTTTTTGCCAAGCCTAATTTCAGGAGGAAGGGCGAGTGTGCTGCCCACAACAGCTTCTCTGGTTGGCAAATGTGCCCAAGGACTTGTGACCCCTGCTCAGAAAAATGTCCAGAAGCAGTTGAGCTATCTACAATGGTAACAGCAGTGGTAGCAGACCTTGCTTCCTGCACATGAGATTGTTCTGTAACAGTAAAATATGTTTTAGATGTGTTTACCTTTGCTAATCAACCAGAATTTGTCTGACTCATAGAGGAGAATAGACTACTTATATTTTAACTGAGGAGCATTTCTTTAAACACAGTAATCAATACCAGTCACATCGGTTAGGGCTGTGGATTATAAATTGCTACCATGTTCTCAGATATAACTAGAATCTCATATTAAAACTGTCTTTTGCTTTCACAAGATGCATAAAAGCAGCTAATAGCTGCATGCAAAGGAGCTGGAAGGTAACACAGCCAAATGCTCTCTTAAGTTCTGGGCTAATATATTTACAAACTTGCAACTTTTACGGGGACCTTTAGATATTTCTCCATTTCATTACATTCTCAGATGGACAAATGCCTAGCAGAAGAAAAACCGTTTCTCAAACAGGACAATGTTCTATTTTTACGACACAAATTCATTAACATTGGTAAAAATGCCTATACACAAAGTTAGCCAAAAAGTTGATACAGTGCAATTGTTTTGCTTCAAGACAAACAATGAGAAAAATGTTCAAGTATATAAAAGCACCCTTACAAGATGCTATTTAAGTTCTATTATTATTGCACAGATAAGAATTAGTCTTTACTCCATGTTCCATGGAGCCATTTCCTATTAGTTGAGCTATAGATCTATTTAGAGAATTCTCATTCATATTCAAATTGGACATATTTAAAGCATTTCTTAACCCTAATATTTTATTGCTATTTCCATGCCTTCCCGCCCCCCGCTTATTTAAGGCTAATGTCGTGTGTAATATAAATAGCATATTTGTAGTAATGTACACATATTCACATCACTGGAGGAGAAATCCCCTCTCAAATGCTTCAGTCAGCTTTCTCATGCTTCCGGTAGGAAGCACTTTACTGACTAGCTGTATTCACACCAACCCTCTTTGTAAAAATAAGGTTTATTTTAAGAAAGGAAATCTAGCAGGCACTATTCGAGCAGGGGTGGCCAACCTTTAGCTGTATTTGGACCCTTGACCATCCAAGTTATGGTCCAACATCTGGTTAGCCACAGGTTAGCCACTCCCCATGTACTTTCTTCAAAGAGACTGCATTTCTTGTTAATGGAAGAGTTCCCCTGATTCCACTCAAGTTTCCGATCTCACTGTGCTGATCAGCCTGCTACCACTGCACACTTTTTGAGAGGACTGGAAGATTTAGGTAAACATTTGCTTCTCCTAGTGCAGCACTGCTTTCAATGGATCAGAATGCTCAGTGGGACCAGGTGTGAACCCCTCCAGTCCCAAGGCAAAACCAATCTGTGCCAGTTGCAAGAAAGGAAAGTTATCAGAACTATGATCCCTGAGGGTTTTTCAGTCTCACGGGAACAGATTCTTCATCTACAAGTTGCTCACTGACTGACTTTTAGAAATTTCTTAGTGGCACAAGCAGCATACTTTTTTTTAAAAAAAGAAAGTTTACAAGTCTTCATGTACCCAACATAATTGAGCTCAGCAATTCTTTCACCCAAGAACCAGAATAGGGTCCCTGATAATAGAAACCCACATTTTGGCCCCAAAGGTGTCAGTATGGAATCTGTAAGTATCACAGTTTGGTGTTGTTGCTTTTTAAAGCCCCCTCAAATTTAATTATGAATTCAGTGATTTCACTCTTCCTCTGGCCTACTCACCTAAGTGTGTGGAAAACCCCCCCTAAGGACTGGCTGTATACCAGCATTTCAAGAAGGCCAATGCAGTGAAATGAACATTCATGAATGAGGGCTACACCTTTCTTCAAATTACCTTGTAAGAAACTGAACATGAGTAACCTAACCCAAAACAAGTTTACTTAGGAATGTTCAATCCTAAACATGCTTGCTAGGATGCAAATCTTCCTAGCAAGTATGCTTAGGACTGAAGGCTTAAGTCCATCGAAATTACAGCATAATACTTTAGTTTAGTGGTTGGTCTTCAACAAGTTAAGGGGAGATTAAATATTTTCACTATTTAGAATATCAAAAGTGCATGATGTGCAGCTATTGAAAAGTTCCTCCATATTCTGAGCAACAGATACTTCAGAGAATACAGTGGTACCTCAGGTTACATACGCTTCTGGTTACATACGCTTCAGGTTACAGACTCCGCTAACCCAGAAATAGTGCTTCAGGTTAAGAACTTTCCTTCAGGATGAGAACAGAAATCGTGCTCCTGTGGCGCAGCAGCAGTAGGAGGCCCCATTAGCTAAAGTGTTGCTTCAGGTTGAGAACAGTTTCAGGTTAAGAACGGACCTCTGGAATGAATTAAGTACCTAACCTGAGGTACCACTGTATCTTCAAATCACCAGAGTGTACAAAGCAAATAACAGTTCTGGAAGCATCCTAAAGCTGTACCAAAAGGCTAACTCTTTGGATACATCTACAAGAATCCATAAAGCCACACTAGGCTCAAGTTATTAGCAATGATGGTGACTTATTTTCATGGCTTTTAAATTAAAGGAAACTCTGAGGTATATCTCTAAGGATGCCAAAAATTCTGCTACCAGTCTCAGAGAATTCTGCCTATCAAGAGTGCTCCAGACCAGTGGCAACATAACACTACTGGCGATTTTGTTCTCCACAATTTGATACCAACATAAAAACAAAACTTTAATACTGGCACTTATTGAGATGACGCTGTAAACTTCGCCTCTCTTGGGATGGAGGCTGTTTCTCCAGCACCTTCTGCCTGTGATCAGCCGGCCTTCTTGCCACAAGGCAGGTGGAGATGCGTTTGCTCTTCCGGATAGCTGCCTTTGAGAAGAACTCAAATGGAGTGTATTCTAGACGTAGTCTATGGGGTAACCTGGGAGCCCAGTTTAACTCCATGCACAAAGAAGAAATCCAGCCAGTAGCGGAAGCAAGTTCGCCATCAATAGCCATAGGGTTACTACCAGGCTAGGGGAACAGGAACACAAATCTAAAATAAATTTTAAAATGGTATTAGCATAGTTTAAGTACTTCTGCAGATGCTGTTCAAAATAGTCCTTGACAAACAGGAATAGAGGCAGATGCTCTTTGAGAGTCTAAACATTAATTCATCATTTTTCCAAACTAAAGAAAGAGAAGGAGGGGGAAAGAGTTTTCCAAAGCCTAATTGAATTGTCTGTTTTGGTCCTGCTCTCCTCCTCTAAAACCACTGTAGTGTAGAGGGGCCACTAGGGGCGCATCAGAAGATGGCTGACAATAACATCTCTCCGACCCACACGAGGTAATTTGGAGGCTGTGATGGGAGTAAATAGCCTCCCTACCCCCCCAGGATTGTGGGGGGGGGACTGCCCTTGCCTGCTGTGCCCTATACCACCCCGAATTTGTGGGGATGGGGGCACTAGGCACAATGCCCTCCTGTGGGATTTCGGCGCTCCTGGACGCCGTCTCTGATCCGCGCCACTAGCTGCAAGAACTTCAAAAGAAACAATTTGGATGAAGCGAATGCACATATTTCAAGGAAGGCGGGGGAGTAAAGACTGCTAACAGAAGAGATCTCTGATAAAACAAGACGAGTCGGAGGAACAAGTATAAATCATGAGAAGATACGCCAAGACTCGGTATGGCAAAGGGACTGATGGGGGAGGGAAAAAAAAACTTTCCTTTCTTTCCTTTATGTGATTAAACAAGAATCCCCCCCCCCCACAAGTCAGAAATGTCGTTTTAAGGACTTAAGCTGTGGATTTAAGGCTGTGTGGAGATAAACTTTCGAACCAAAGCATGTTTTAAGAATGTATAAGGGCTTTGGAATGACGCAGTTAAAAGTGCTGTCGCCATATTGGGATGTTCTGTCGGAGGACTTAAGTCTGGGAGGAGAAATAGAGAAATAGAGCTGTTTTTATATTGTGGGTGAAACTCCTCAGAGGGACTTAAGAACGACAGTTCTGTAATTAAAGATGGAAAGAGCGATGTTATCTATGAAGGTGATGATATATGGAAACCATCTCGATTTGAGGATTGGAAGAACGGAAAAATTCACACAGGATTATTATTGGTGTTTATCGGCTTAAGGAGACTATCAGAAGAGATCATCAAGAAAAAAGAGAAAATATATGAACAAGATGTGATGTGGAAACAGCAAGATAAGACTGGATAGAATTATGAACTTTGTTTGGACTGATTTGGACATTAACGCAGTAGCAAGAAGATGATCAGAATCCCCCTTCGGATCTTGAAATATGGGTCCCCTCAACAAAATTTAAAATTCGGCTTTGTAATTCGGAATTTATGTGATGTGATTTGATTTGATTTGATTGGCCGGTTAATAAAAATTATTAAAAAAACAAAACAAAACAAAACAAAACAAAACAAAACAAAACACTGTAGTGTAAAAAAGTGAACTAGTTCTCCTGTTCGCTAGGAATATAATTCTGAAAATGCTACAAAGAACATTACACCAAAACAAAACAAGAACTCTCTATTTCACTTAATGACTTTTGAAGGGTTGCTTACCAATAGATGTAAGTCTTGTTAAATTAGCAACTGGAGGAGGATCCTGCTCAGGTGGGCAGAAATCGCAGAAGTCTGAACACGCTGGGCAAATTAGGTTCCCAATATGTACCCATCCATTCATCTGAATATTCACTGTTAGGATTTGACCTGAGCGACTGCACAAATATGACTCATCCTTGACCCAAACAGTCAGCCCACGGGGAGAACAAGAAACCTAAGAAATAAAGTTGGACTAGCTAGATTATTGCAAGCATTTATTTAATTTTTAAACCAAGTCTTTTAAGAGACATGTTGCTTGTAGTCGAGCTGTCAAAAGGAAAAGCTAGAACAATTTGTGTGTACCTTCACTTGTTTGCATGCAGATTTGGAAGATGACAGATTGTTGGTCAGGCCGTGTAAGAGGGTATCTGCTCACTTTAGAGACTTATACTGTTGGCATAAAACTAATGGGCATGAGGTAGGGAGATCTTTTGACTTCCACATGACTATCTGGTCTAATACAATTAGATATAAATATAGAAACATGTAATGACTAGTTAAGAGCAATAATGATTTCTAAACAACACAACTTTACAAAATGCAACCTTAAATTAAGAGCTCCTGCAGTTACCTGGTAGCAGCCACTGCCCCAGTCAGGGTAACTGAGTTTCTTTCTGCATTGTTCCATAACAAAAGCTGACTTCTGAATGAGACACACAGAATTTGGTCCATATTTCTCTGCACCATAGTTTTTGAAAGGATCTAAAAAATCAGGAAAGCACTGTTAACACATACTGTGGACTGCTAACCAGCTTCACACTGTGATTTCAGATCCTAGTTTCTGAGCCTGAAACAAACCTCAGATACAGATGCAACATGACAACCATGGGTTAGATAAAGAAGCCATGGGTTTCCCTTACATTGGAACCCAAAATATCTGAAAGATAGTAAAGGAGAAACTAAACACAAAACCAACTGACCTGGTTGATTTTCGAGTATTCTACAGTCTGAACTTCGTTGAAATTCACCACTTAAGTGCCAGCTAAATTCCTGACTGAACGGACAGAAGTCGGCAATTTCAACAGACCCACCATAATAAGGCAAATCTTCTGATGGTACCCCATAAAGACGGTCAAAATACTGCAAAAGATACAGTGACAGAGGCAGCTATGAAGGTAGAAGCAGCACAGTCATATGATCATCATCACCATCACCATCACCTGGTAGTAATAGCAAACTTTTACAACAACGGCAGAAACCCACATTCCATACATTGTATTCATGTTAAAGAGAACCAAAGCACAAAGCTATAGTTGCTACTGCCATTAATAATTTTTATTTTAGAAACAACAGTATTGCTAAAACTGCACATACAAGTCTGCTATGCATGACAAATGCATTCTCTTTTGACTGTGTGTTGTCTGAACCCTAAACTACGGTTAATCTTAACTATGGTGAGTGGAAACAAGCCAGCTGCTTAAACTATGATTTAAAGTTGACTTGTTTCAACAAACTACAGTTTGCATGTGATCCGACAACAAATCAAGCTGAATCTAAAATGGAAGCAAAAGCTTCCAAATTCTTCCTTGTGGTTGCACTGGAAGAGAAGGAGGACGTGCCCAGCCCCGCTGCTTGTTCTCATGTCTGAATGAGACTGATGGTTCATAGAACTCACATAGAGTAACACCCTTTATACCTGATATTCCTGAGGAAGCTGTTGTGGGAATTTCTGTAAATTGCACACTGCCACTGCTCTTTGGTCCTGTCTACAGGTTAGCTGCAATGGATTAGTCCGCAGAGTGTCACAATATGGATCCACCAATTCTTTCCTGTGAATAAAGTTGAAAACCACAATAAGGGAACTGTTAAAATATTTTTATACAACACTTAACAAAAAAATCAGTACTAACCAGACAAACATTAATAGGCTATTGCAATGCCACTGGCATCACAGAACATGCAATCTAAAGAAACACATTCTTACCTTCTCCTCTTGTGATCAATCCAAAACTTACAGCTTTTCATCACAAAGTCACAGCCTTTATCTCGGCCCCAATCAAGCTTTTCTGCCATGTTGTAATTCGCTTTATACCAGCTGTGAACATACGTTGAAATAGAAATTAGGTTATTGCACTTCTGAACAGTCAGCAAAAAGTTATTTCAAAGCTCTGCATGTGTTAATCAAGCTACCCAATATGAACCATTTCCTAATGCAGGTAGGGTAACTGAAAGGAAAGGCAAATGCATTTCTACAAACAAGCACACGTATTGTCGTCTCCAAGATTACTGCTTCTCTTTTGGCTTAAGAAGCAAAGCCCAAAAATGGAATTGCTCTTCTCCTTCAATGAAGGAATAAACATTGAAAGGGGGAAAAGATTTCAACAGCTAGCACTAATGCCACTCTAAGGTAATTTAAATCTGACTAGTTATCCCCCATTATCCACTTACAGCTGGAGGGAAATGCTCAAGAATTATGATTAGTTCAGGAGTATCCTTAATTTGACTCTACAACTTCACATTGCACCAGCAGATAAATGCAAAATGAACGGAGAAATTTTGTTTTCAATTTCATGTTAGAATTTAAGTTATCCAACTCAAGATATAGGCTTTTCACGTGCATTAAAAATAGCTGACTGGCAGATGCAAATCCAGAATGGAAAGATTAATCTTAAGACAAAACCTCACATGAAACCCCAATATTTACAAGAACAAGGAGCGGCAACAATATCGACAAAATGATTTGCGTAGAAATGTTGCGTTGTTTCCGAAGCCTAAAATTCAAACACCTCCAACTACATAAGTTTCTTAACTATATATTTAAGATCTGTCCAAACAAGGCATATTTATGAGAAAACCAAAACCAACTATACATCCTTACCCAGTGTCTTCCATTAATGCCAAAGTGATGCGGGAGAAGACCCTGTTCTGAGTGTGCGATCCAGTCATAGCTTCATTCTGAAAGTAACCACCCAAAAAACCCGTAAGCTTCATGACAGAACAAGAACTCATTCCTCGTTTTGGGGTGGGGGAGAAGAAAGAATGTGCACCTTTGGGCATAAACACTTATTACATAGGTCCATTAATTATTTCTAACATTTCCTTCGTTATTTCATTTAGGATCCCTCCCCATGAAACGGTCTGAAGTGATTTACATGTATGTGCTATCCCTGGGCCAATTCAGGTAAAGTCTGGGATAGTCTTCATCTCCACTTAGGGGGCTTGATGGTAGAGGATTCAATAGGTGTTTAAAGCCAATGAAGACGGCACCTCCTGGGTTTATAATGGTGTGGTTTCCAAAGGGTAGGCACTGCCACACTAGACATCTAATCATCAGGCTTCCTGATGAGCTGATATCTGCGGGAGGCCCTCTCACCACTGTATTAAGTGTATAAGCCAACTACAGAATGAGGAGTTGCATATGGTCTGAAACACTAGGGGACTACCCTAAATTGCTCCTCTGGTACTGCTCATTTAAAACAAATAGTAAGAAATGGCAGAGTGGAAAGGTAAAGACAAATGAAGACAAAGGTAATAATTACAATATATATTCTTTATATATTCAATATGTATTCTTTATAATGCATGGTATTCTTTCACAAAGCAAGCTGTACTGCTCCTCTTTTAAAAACTGCTTTATAAAATCCCATTTTATCTAGATTGCAGTGACTATCCAATTAACAAGTTCTAATGGAAAGATTAAATAAAAATCTGAGGATGGGGGAAGGAATCTTTCCAGTGATAAATCCTACATTTAAACTTTCATCAATCTGTCATCCTGGAGACAAAGTATCCGATATCACAAAAACCTGCATTTCAGTTTATGATCACCTCACAAAAAACCCAATAGCTACTGTATCATAATTAGCTGTACTGACCTCCAACAATCTCTTTTCCCAATGATTGAGCTCTGTACCCATGCCACCTTGATTTTCAAGTTCCATCCCCTCTAGAAATTGACATCCAAAGTGTTTTCGGGCCTCCTCCTTCAAAAAGATGCACCAGAAGACTGCTGTCAAAATAATTAGCAATACTCTTCCTTGAGAATCAAAACTAACTCCCTCCCCTCATATTTTAAGTTCCCAGGAGGGGCTTCCTTCATCTTGCACAGATTTCCAATGAAAAGGGTCCCCCAATTCTTCTTCCTATATGTGTTGAAATGTAAGACTGCTATCACAATGTGGTTCACATGATTGGCAATAGGCAGCCATGCAAACACCAGCTGGACAGCAGAACAGGCAGGCAAGCAAGCAGTGTGGGTGGCAGGTGCCCCAGGCAAGATGTTTGGGAAGAGAGGCACTTCATAGAGTGATTTGCCCAGCAGCTCCCTGAAGTGCTTCCCCTGTTAAATCCAGCTGCAGCAAGTGTTAACGGAGGGAGGAGGCACTTTAGAGTGTGGTTTTGGGCAAAAAAAGCCCCTCCTTTAAAGCTTGGGGTGAGGCGAAGGGCGAGGTGTAAAGGGAGGAGGGGTTACATATACATGGAGAAGAGAGGATTGTCAAAGGGGTTGGTGGGCAGGGGAGGTTAGTGAATGGAGCGAGCCGGAGATGGAAGCTGCTAGTAAGAAATACTATTTAAAGTTCATGAAGCTGAGAATAATAATAATAATAATTAAAAGGTTTTAAAATTAATTCACCTATATGAAAAACATAACACGTTCTGATCTCATAAAACCCATAATTTAAAGTCTTCAGAATGATTCGGTTATTTGAATCACTTGGAGGATAAAAAGCATATCTAACAGGTAGCTATGCAAGCCACAATGTGAACAGGCTTTTGCCCAACTTCCTTCCGCTTTAGTAGGCTGAAGGAATACAAGCAGCAACCCAGTCTGCTGAAGTTTTGTGTCTGTGCTGTGGCTTCATGCCACTCAGGTTCTATGGCGGCATGATGGCAGCTTCCATGCACAGCTTGAGATCTCTCCTTTAGGTCTCTCATTTCTTTGAACTGATATCTTTGGCACACCTGTGATATCCGGAACCAACCCCACTCCCACGTCTGTGGGTGGCCTTGTTCTGGTGCTCTAGTAGTTGGAGAAGGGCCAGCCACTTTACTATTACAAGGATTGATCATTTTTCTAATGAGAATTATTCCTCTTGACATGCATTATTTTACCAGTAAGCAGCTTGCCAGGGATACTGGGAGTAAGCTATTCCTATAATTCTCAAAGTGTTAGATAAACCTCCTAAAGAAGGCAAGGCAAATTGTGTAGATGTCCTTATCTGAGGAAGTTAGTTAGATTTATTCTGATAAAAAGTGAACATGATACTTACAACTACTTTAGGAGTTATCAGAAGGAATACATTGTGAAGTAGTTTCTTATTGCCCCGTACATCCCATAACCGCACAGCGCTATTTACTACTTTATTGCTCCATTGATATACACCAAGGCTGTAAGGAAGGCAGACTGAATTAACTTGACTGGCAAGCAGGATCAATTCTAAATATGATCAACAGGCTGACATCAGCAAATGTTAAATGCATTTAAAAAATAATAATATTAAACATGATAACTGTGAAGCTCATGATAGCTAGCTATGAAAGAGGACATGGAAGAAAAATCAGCCAAGGAAACAAACCAACTGAGTCACAAGGTATTAAAATGTTGGCAAAAGAATTATTTCGCAACTATGTCACATCACTTCCTTCAACAAAACTACATAGATTCATAAAGTCCAACATAGATTTCAATATATACCTTTCATTAAAGGGTGGCAATCCATTTTGAGATGGGGCAGTCAAAGGATTTCCATCATCATCACGATAAAATGCAAACAGCCCAGCAGAAAAACCCTTTAAGGCAATGCAAAGTCATTTATATTATTTATCATCAACATAAGAAAGCATGTTTTGCCTAGAAGTTAACAAACCTCAAAACAACAAAAAAAGTTGTCTGAAAGTATGGTAAAATAAACATACAGTGTAGGCTAAGTTCACATCTATGTCTTTTAGAAGAGAAACAAAAACAAATAATTTTTTGCATGGTGCAACACAAAGATGTTGCTAGTATTTTAAATGAATGCAACAAATAACATATCTTACCAGTGCATGAATGATTTCATGTTTCACAGTAGACAGCATGCCAGCAAATTCTTGTGCTTGGGTTGAAATCATATTCGGGCAAAGATTAGCATACCCTGCAATTGGTCTGGGAAATAATGAAAAATATATTTCTATAGAATAAAAACTTCACCATCTTAGGAACATGCTAAGCTTAATAAATGAATACAAACAATGTGCACTCAACAACAACCAAAAATCTAAATTTAGAATGCTAAAGCGCGTAAGCAATTGTAGTTTCACCATTTACACAATGGGCAGCAGAGTGAAACATGTTTTCACTCCACCCCCATCTGACCACAAATTAAATAGATTTTGATAATGGTATTGCTAGTAAAATCTCTTAACAAAGAGAAGTTGGATTTCTCTGCAAACAATAGAGATTAAGAGTGCAACATCTACTTTAGTTGGCGATTCTTCTAATTTCATGATTCAGGCTACAAACACAGGCATCTACTGCTCAAAAAAGGAACTCAGAATAGACAATTCTAGTTCCATTAAGAATTAGTCATTAATTTGAGCAGCACAGTTCATCTAGTAAACTGGTCAGTTAAAGCCACCTTTGGAAGTCATCACACCAGTACACTTATAAATGAAAGTTAATTTGGAGGGGGAAAATGTTACCTGTCCATATCAGCTTCTAGTTGACAGTATGCTGCATATGCAATAATATTTTCTTGGCCACACCTTTCAGTAGTCAGAGCACTAACATATAACACGAAGTCAGCATCTCGAACCCCTTCTTGGTCTCTTACACCAACAGGTCCACAATCCAGCATTTCATTACACGCCCTACATTGCTAAGACAATAAATTTAGAGGAAATTAGTTTCAAACAGACATAATTTAACAACTGTCTTCAGTCTAACAGAAGAAATTTGGTAACCAACTGCTCAGACTTGAGGCACTGAAATCAATGGCCATGACTAATTTATAGAATCATAGAATTGTAGATTTTGAAGGGACCACAAGAGTCATCTAATCCAACCCCCTGCAAGGCAGGATCATTTTGCCCAACAGGGGGCTCAAACCCACAACTCTAAGATTAAGAGTCTCATGCTCTACCAACTGAGCTAGCCAGCCATTTAATAGGCCTGCTCTGAGCATGACTTAGATACAACCCATCCTCCTTTCTATTTTTCTTTATCTGACAGAAGAAAGATATTAAGACAATGATTTGCCACACTTATATTGATTTTGTAATACTGCTCACAGCCAATATCCAAAGGGTATAGTTGCACCTGATTATTTTTTAAAATAGTTTTTGAAAGCTATACCCTCCTGGAATCCACAAATGCTTTTTAAGAGCCCAAAGTTCAGAAAATGGCAAGGTGTGTTAGGACCAAATGATATTGAAATAGAGAATGACATTAATGAATGCATAATCATTTCTTCCAGCTTTTCTTTTGGAAAGCTCTCATGCCTACTACACTGTCTTCCAATCCAGAGGCATCCTTCAGATTGTAAAAGTGAGGTGTGGGGTGTGTGTGTGTGTGTATGTGTAGCACATAGCTGTCAACGTTTCCCTTTTTAAAAGGGAAATTCCCTTATTCCGAATAGGATTCCTTGCAAGAAAAGGGAAAAGATGACAGCTGTGTTGTAGAATCTGAAGATGCTGTAGTACCTTATACTGTGACATCTTATTATCATTGCCCATATGTAGATTGTACAAAGCATATCGTCTGCTATGGTCTATATGTACTGTGGTTAGCCTTAATATCTGGTGCCAGAGAATTTACACTGGGCAAGATATATGATCACTCTTGATCTGTTCAAGGTTTTTAAAAATGCAGCTTTCATCCAGTTTATCCAGCTGTTTTGTTAACTCAAGGAAAACTAAGGAAGTAAACACTGAAAAGTGTAATACAGGGACTGCCCAAAACTTATTTTCTTTAATGAAATTGAAAAAAACCATTCAAGTCCATTTAAAAACAAGACATTAAAACTGAAAACAATTTTAAAAAGTAGCCTAGGTCCATCAACATAATATACCTTTGAGTGTTACTGAACCCCACAATTTCTCTGCACTCAAGCTGAAAATTCAATCCTCTCACCAATCTGTTGAACTCAGCTCCTAGTTCTCTCATCCCTGTTGATTCGCAACATTATATGCTCTTCTTAACTTCACTTCGCTTGATGCCACTGATTGATTTGCCTTGATACCACAGTTAAGTACCAAAGGAAATGGAATCTTCTCATTGTGATACTATAACGGGATTTAAGATTATACCCTTGCAAGTGATGACTGGCACAGTTGACTCACAACTTCTGTTCAGAAATTTGCTACTTATAAGAGCTGCTATGTTTTTTCCGGCCAGGGATGTTAACTGTGGATACATAGTGCAACCGTTCTCATAAGAATTGTGCTAAGAATTAAGATATTTTTATTTGTCCGGGAATTTGGATCATGAAGTGTTATTTGTGCTACACAGCTTTATTGCTGCTGTCCATTACATTTTCATTTGTTGGGTTTAGGAGTGGTTTTATTATGATTATAGTATTATATAATTGTTGTTGTAAGCTGCTCTGTGCTCCATTTTGGACAAAGGCTAGGGTGTAGATCAATCAGATCAAATCAAATCAAAGGAAACCTTGCTCAAAGGAACATGTCCCAGTTGTTCCTTTAAAGTCCTGCCCTTACCTGCCCCTCACGTATGATATCAGGTGCAGGGCAGGTAGGCATGGCTTATTGAAAATGAAGGATGCCTGGAAGGCCATCTTCGAACCATGAACTGGAAGTTCCCCACACCTGGGCCGCCGAGGACTGAATTACCTGCAGGTGTTCCTCAGGAACTGTGACTGGACCACACTTTGTATATTCTGCACATGCTTTTCGGCAGTATCGGTGAGGGTCATCTTTCTTTCTTAAATATTCATTTGTTACACACTGTCTTAAAACAAATCAGAATTACAGATTTAGTTATCAATGAAATGGATGCATAGAATAAACCCACATAACAGAGAAGCTAGGTATACCAATGTAACCAAGTTAATTTACTCATCAGAATGGAATTACTCTTAGTGGGGTTTTTTGGGTGGGTGGGAACAATTCTGATCTACAGGCAGAATATAATCTTAAATACAGACTTATGTTGACACTTACTATTAAACAACACTAAACCATGTACATACCTGCTTAATAGAATGGTACCAGTAGGTTTCCGTACTTGAAATGTCTTCTCTAAATAGGAAATAGCTTGCGGGAAAAGCTTATTCTAAATGTGCAGAAAAGAAAAGTCTCTTTACACCAAAAAAAGAGAGAGAGGAAACTAGATTCTAAAGAATGAAGTCCCAAGTCTCACTTACTAAGTATATTTTCACAGCTTTGAACTGAATGAGATAAGCATAAAGAGATGCTGATTTTATTGTATTATCAGACAATACTCATGTATCCTGAACTTTAACAAAATCTGCAGCAAGGTGACACAAATTAAGGTTTGTAGCATACATCAGAACTTGGTTCACACATGAACTCTGGCTAGCGCTAAAACCACATTTATCATTTCTGTAGTTCTTAATGCTGCTTTTGGTTAAAGTTGCCAAGGTAAGGGAGAGTGGAAATTGCACCAAAGAGGGAGAAGGAGGGAGAAAAGTCAGTTTGCTCCTGATCACATAACCACGGTTAGGAGAACACACAATGTTAGGTCTGCACAAATTTCAAAAGCAGTTTCAGATATGGAGCAGGAAAGCTGTTTAGAAAAGTTAAAATACCACTTACAGTCACGGATCATACAGACCAGTGGATTGGTGCAATTAAACTAGAACTCCATTCAGCAATAGGCATGACTGACATACATGCAAGAAGGAAGAGTCACATACCTTTATAAGGTGCTTTTTTTCAGGTGGCAATCTATGAAGAAAGAAAACAATAAGGGGAGGGAATTGTTTCTTTTCTATTTGTATGAAATACTATCATCAACCAATCCCTTTCCACCTATAAAACCAGTTACTCCAGACTCAGTCCTGCAACACAAATCTGTCCCCCTTAGCTACGTATTCCCTATTACCTTGCCTACTTGTTTGGTGAGGAAAGTAGAAGGGGGACAGGTCTTCCTAGCTATCAGCTAATTTTCCAGTACAGGTAAGATGTCCTCAGGTTGGACATGAGCTCTCCCTAATGCTTGAATGCAGGAACTAAAAACTGAAGGCATTTCCACATGTGTGGAGAAATACCTCTCAGGCAGGACCAACAGCCCCTTCCCAACTCAGAATAATAATTTTAGAAGGCTGCCATTATACTTACTCCTCAATACTTTTGTCATATACTGTCTTAATTCTTAGTTGTTCATCCACATTTCTCTTTATAACACGATTTTCCTTAAGATAAACTTTATAGATAACCTAAATAAAGAATAAATAGATTTGACTCAACAAATAACATGTATAACTTTTTTTCCCAAAAAATATAAGAAACAGATGCATCTATCAGATTTATTTACTAGTTTCCTTTGCACCCCCCCCCTTTACTATAAAGTTCCAGGGTTATAACAATAAAAAATAGTAATAGAAATGACATGGCTGCAATTATTTTGCTTGATGCTGAGAAAGCATTTCACAAAATATATTGCTGGGTTCTTTTTGTTGCTTTGGAAAAGTTTGGGTTCCTGCAAGAGCTTATGAAATAGATTATTTCATTTGATTAAAAGAGATGAACAAGTCAAAGCTGCCCTTTTTTTAATATTCAGTTTGTGTCTAGAACTGGTATTTGTGCAATTAGGCAGAAAAGACAAATTCATGGCTTTGTACATGGACAAATAGAATTTAAAAATGGCTACATATACAGATTATGTTTTTTTAAAAAATTAGGTCTGAATAGTCTATATAAGAATTAATAAAAATTATTAATTTTGGTGAAATTTCTGGCTAGTTGTTAATCAGTCAAAATCCAAAATAATGCCAGTAGGCACTATAAATCTATGTAGTTTATGTGTTAATTGGTAATTTTGTTCATGCCACGGTTGTAACATATTAAAGCTCAACTCCTGCCTATGAGGAGGAGGATGTGGCTTGCTCCCCGCCCCACTTTGGGGAGTGTGTATGCGTCCTTGGGGTGGTGTGTTGCTTTTCACTAGTGCATATTGTTGTGCCCCTGTAGCCATTTTTCCTTGGCATATGTGGCTGTCAGCTGCAGGTGTGGGCTTATAATCACTGTGTTTGGGAGTGCCAGTGTGTGCCTGTGTGTTTGCTTACAGTTTCATGCTGGGGCATGATTTTGGTGCATATGTGTTGATGATTGGTCATGAACAAGTAGAGCAGGTTGTGTATGCCTGGTGGAAGGTGGCAGGTTTGGCTGGTGCTGGCAGGGTTATTATAGATGCCGTAGGTATCTGTGTCACCTGGCATGTAGGCCACAGCCTCCCTGGTGGGGGGGACGGGACAGTTTGATGAAGAAGTTTTTACACCACCAGCAGATCACTGGTGGCCACAAAACATGGCAGAGTCTTGAAGTTGTTTCAGATTTTTTTTTTTTACAAACTTTACTGAAAACTTTTAGAACTATTACCAAACAACCTGTTGTCTTCCAGGACAAATGCATGTACAGATGTTAAGTCTTGTATAGAGCCATCTACATGGCATCAAAGCAGACTTTAAAAATATTTTCCTTTACAGATTAAGCTCACATCCACAGGCTATACGTCTATCTAAAACAGAGCTTTCCAAACTTTTCATGTTCGTGACACACTTTTTAGACATGCATCATTTCGTGAAACAGTAATTCAGTTTTGCATCATTTCGTGAAACAGTAATACAGTTTTACTAGCAAACCAGAGGTTAAACTAACCCTTTCCAGCCCCAAGAGGAGCATGGGGAGTGTACCTACACTGCAGCCGACACACTAACATGTGGTGACACACAGGCTGCTGTGACTGAGACGGAAAAGAGATTCCTGTACAGTACTGTTAATAAACAATATAAATTCAGACCCATCTTTTTTTGTTATTCCTCTTATCACCCTCCAATGGTGAGCTGAGCATTACATAAGTGCTATATTCCACACATATTGAATCCAAGTTTCTGCGGTGGGAGGGAGTGCCCCCCCCCCATTGGAAGCAACTATTTGTCTTGTTGCTAGGAGTCTTACAGCTTAAACTTCTCTGTTAGGCCATAATCCTATGCACGCTTAATTAGGAGCCAAGTCCGACTGAATACACTAAAATAAAATCACATAAACAGGATAAGACTTTCTGTTAAATCCATTACCACTGAAAATATCAAGAATTTAAACAAACCAAATTTTCCATTAGAGAAAAGTAATGACCATGGGATCTTAATGGGTGGGTAATAACAAAATGTGATTATTTCCATTTTTAACTTGTGCTGGGGGGTGGTGTGTTTTTTTAAGTGCATCATTAGTTTAGCCGTCAAGAGTATCCTGTGTGCCATAAATGGTGGCAATAGTACTGAGAAGAATTAAAGAACAGAGCATAGCGGCTTTCTTCAGAAAGAAAACTAAACCTAGCTTCTAATCTGAGTATTTTGTCAATTGGATCACCTTGGCTTTCTACAATAAAGCAACAGAATAGGCTGAGTCGCCCAAAACAACGGGAAAACGACGTACCTACCCCGCGAGGTAAATGCCAAAACTGTAGAGCCATTTCCCTGCCTTTAGTCTAACATATGACAAAAAAATATCGGAGCGGCACGGCTTAAAACTATTTTCCCATAGCGTTTCGCGGTCCTCCCTAGGAAAAAATAAGTTGCTGGGATGCGTGGAAGATACAACCGGCACCAACCAACAGGTTACCGCTTTGCTGCAAACCGCGACACGCATCGGCATTCAAAAAACGAAGGATCCCAAGGAAGTGGACGAGCGGAGAGATTTAAATCAGATTTCCGAAACCGGTCCCCACCATCCTCACTTGCATTCAAAGCAGGAACTTTTACGAGCACAAATGCGAAAAACAGGCAAAACAGGCGGCCGACAACGCTGCAAACGCGGCAACCGGCGGAAAGATGCGCGGAAGCCAAAGGCGAGTCCTAACCATCATTGGCATCCGCAGGTCCAGGCGGAGATCCCGTGTCGCCCTCTTAGCCCCCCCCCCCCCGCCTCCAAAGACCCGCCTCACCTCCCTGGCGCTGGGGATGCGGTGGTGACACACAGGGGCAGAAGCGGCAGAAGCTGGGCCACAGCCAAGCAGAAGCAGCACCGCGAGGGCGGCGGGGAAAGCGGAGAGCGGCCGGGGAGAAGCTTGCAGAGCCCGCCGCCTCTTCGCTCCGGCCGCCATCTTGACAGCGGCCTTCGCTACCGCCGCCTCTCCACGGGCAAGGTCAGTTCCCCCTTCCCCGCGAGCCAGTAAGAGAGCGCGGAGCTGAGTGGAGAGCGGTCCTATTGGTCGCACCTCTTTATGGGGCGGGGCGACGGCATCAAGAGACGAAAGGAGAAAGGGCCGGGGGGAGTCCGTGAAGTGACGTCCAATACTGCAAGCCCAGCCAATTAAGAAGAAGGAGGGGAAAAAACCCTGCCGCTGCAGCCTGATTGGATGTCACTCCAAAGGGTAGGACGTAAACTGGCTGGGAGGTGGAATGAGGCATAAATATTCGCAGGGGTTTGGAGAAATTAGGTGAAAGCAGAGCTAGAGATGTGCGGCGCGTCTGGTTTCTGGGACGGGGAATTCGAATTTGACGAGGCTATAAAGTAGTCAGTGCCTCATCTCTCAAATTCGAGCTGAGGAAGGTCGGGGGGGGGGAGAGTAAAACTCATTCGTCATCCTGAACGTCAATTACAGGGTTGCTTTTATATATTTTTTTAACTTCAAAAATAGGCTTATAAATGGATTTCCATGACACAAGCATTTAATTATAACCAAGCCCAATTAAAATAGGCAATAAAGCAACCCCATTAAGAAAATGCAGTAATTAAAGCAGGAGATTTGGGTGCATCCAGGTGTAAACAGGTGTACCTTCAATACTCTTGTATTCTAGTTAGCAGTGCATCCCATAAGAGCGGTGTCATCAGGAATAAATGGGGTGGAAGCTGCCATATTTGGGAGTGGGTTTTGCTTGTGAATTGATTCTTCTGAGTCTGTAAAGTGTTAAGGTCACAGATCTGAGATATATTTGGACCTCTAGGCAGGAGTTTTCATTTATCTTCTTTCTTTGTCTTTCTTTAGTTATGGTTCTACATTTTGAAGCTCACTGGGGACCCAGAGGTTTTCAACCTTTTTGAGTCCATGGCTCCCTTGACCAACAACATTCTTTCTGCGGCACCCCTGTGGGGCTCAGGAGCCCAGTTATGTCACCCCTTGCCTGCAGAGCTGGCAGCCTCTCACTCTTTTTCAAACACCCTTCCTTGTGCAGTTTCCCTCAGCGTCATCTCTTCTCCTTGTGACTCCTCTGAGCAGCTGCTGCTGCTGCCCCTGCTCTCTGAGTTTCCTACCCTTGCCCCAAAGAGAGGTGCCTCTTCACACTGCCTCACAGAGGCCTGGGAAGAAGATGCCCTCAGTCTTTGTAGTCCAACAGAGACAGGCCAAAGGTGAATGTGAGGCCAGCACCTTACCTTGAGAGGCAGCAGTGGCTGCTACTGGGCTGGTATGGCAAAAAGGCTCTCCTTCAGCACTGGGCACTCAGCTCCCAGGCTAGGCATTGCACACAGCAAGCACAAAAAAGACCAATGCAGCACCTGCCTGCCTGGCCTCCCACTTGGCTGTCCATTCCCAATAGCAAGGGCCGGCAGACTAGCTGGCTGGGCTTACTCGCCCTCTTGCTTGCTTATTCCAAGGCTGCCTCAGCTCCTAACAACCAGCACCCCCTGGCCTAGCCCCAGAGCGCCTGCGGAGCTTGTAGCCATGACTGCTGCAACAAATAGCTGTGCACACCTTTGGGAGGCAGAGACGCAAGAGGGCATCAGAACAGGGAGGGAAGGAAAGAGGGACAGAGGCCAGTATTGCCCACAGAATCCCTGACCATCATTCAAGGTACCCCAGGGTGCCACGGCACACTGGTTGAAAACCACTGTCTTAAGCTGTTGAACTTCAGTAAACTGATTAACTTTGCTGCCTGTGCGTGTGTAATGTTGGACACAGCACTGGATTTTCTTTGTCTGCACATGCTACCAGCATGAGTTTGACCAAACTGCGGGAGGCAGTGGAAGACAGGAGTGCCTGGCGTGCTCTGGTCCATGGGGTCACGAAGAGTCGGACACGACTAAACGACTAAACAACAACAAACAACAACAACTGCACATGTCCAGGTACTCTGCTGCTTGGTTTTCCGTGCCCATGTGCTAGAGGTGATTGGATTTTGCACCAGCCCTGACCCAAGGCACCTTTAAACCATGCTGGCCTAGATGGAGAGGATGAACAAATGGACTCCAGCCAAGAAGGATGAAGGTATCCCATGAAGGCAGCTTATCTAAGATCCTCCCAGGACTTTCCTGTCAGTTTGTCTAAACTGGAATATTGTTTGCTTCTTGAATGCCTGAAATATTTTTGCAACACACCCACACCCCTGTCATTTATGTTGGAGTTGTGAAGGATGATGACTGGGAACCCTACTGCCATCACTATGCTTGGTGCCAGTTGTCATTGCTGGTTGGGGTTGATGGGAGCTGGCTCCCAAAAGGACATGGAGGGGCACATATTCCTCATCCCTGGGGGGCGGGGGGGAGGAACATCCTCATTTCTGCCTCCCACCTCCCGATTCTGAGGTCCAATGACAATTTTGATGCTTTGGGTTCAAAATTGAAAGTTTGGCAAGATTATTGCACTCATGCATTGAACAACTAGAACAGATTATTTCACCTGACCTTTCAGGCTGGAATCCTATATCTCCTTGACCCATTAATGACACAGCACAATATTTAGTAAATAAATAAATAAATCGATCTTAATAAATGCTTTTCTTAAAAAAAAAAGGCACGACCACATGATAAATAAAAGCTCCATCAGATTAGCCAAGGAATAGCCTTGGATCTGCTTCTAATTTTCCTCTTCTTCAGAAGGGCTCACAACAAACAGTACTCTGAAATCTCTGACGCCATCTGGGGCTTTCCAAACTGAATTATTTTCATTTCCTCATTCGGCTTTCCAGCGAGCTAACGCTTCGCGGAAATAAAACAGCGGATGAGCATCCACTGAACAGTTAGTTCAAGGATGTCGATGAAGTTTGAATTGTCCCCGTATCTTTTCCCAGAGGAAAATCTGATCCTAGAGATACACTTACACGGGAGCAAGTCCCATTGCATTCCGTGGGTTTTACTTCTAAGTAGACATGATTGGCAAATATCACTGAGTGCTTTTTAGAAATGGATGATTCTCAGTTTCGCTCCGCCCCGTTGTAGTCCCCCCCTCCCGGTTATTCTGTTAATAAGGACTAGTCAGATAAAAAGACAGGATGTTCGAACGTTTAGGTAAGGAAGATAAGACGGTAAGGTAGATTAATCTCCAAAATAAAAGGTGCCGAAGCTGCTCAAGACTACTAGAAAAAGGAGCGTCCCCCTTGTAGACCCTTTACGACGTTATTTAGTATGTGCGCTCTGCACACGTTCAGATGCCCCCCTCCCTTAAGATAACGCGAAACTTTTCAGAAGTCAGCCGGGACGCGAGAAACAACTTCTAAGGCTGAGCTGTCTGTGCTCAGAGCAAAATGGGAAGGCTTGAAACGGAAAGGAGGGGTTATAGTGGGAACGAAAATCGAAAGTAAAACGAGTCTGCTGCTCTCTCTCTTTGCATTTGAGCGAGAAACTACTTCCAAGCTCAGCCATTTCCCAAGATGGCTGAGAGGGAGGAGGTCTACATTTTCCCAGTCTTGGTGGAAGCGAATTGGGGCTGCAAGATTTCCAAAAGTCTGAAGAATAAGCTTTTGCTCTACTTCCAGAGTTCGAAGAGATCAGGAGGTGGAGAGTGCAAGATCCATGTGGAATCCGGCAAGGAGGAGCGGGTAGTGGTCTGTTTCGCAGAGGAAGAAGGTGGGTTGGGGGCAGCTTGTTTGGTTTCCGACTTGTTGACAATATATGGGAGGAACTCAATATATTTATTGGGGAAAGGAAATAAATCAATCCCCATGGTAGGACGGTGCTTTGTGGGTGTAGAAATCCGTCTGATAGGGCGCTGCGTAGTATGCGTCTACTCAGAAGTAAGCCTCAGTGAAAGTGTTTTCTGTAACAAATAAAATGCATGGCGTTCTTTTACTTTGACGTGTCCACTGCCTGCGCTCGCTGATTGGGGATGGTTCACCTTAAAAGGAGTTTTGATGACTCACTGCGAAAGATGAATATTCTTCGACTTTGTTTTAGTTAATACTGTATACAAGTCGCCAAGTTTTAGAAGGAGCCCTTCCGTTGCAGAAATGGTGGCCTTGCAGCGGAAACGGAGAGAATAGTAGCAACCCCAGCACAGTTGTTTGTTTTTTTAAAGTATGAGAAAGAAAAACCAGGAGGCAAACAGATACCAGTACATGGTAGAGTAAGCTTATACATGCTTACGGGGGGAGTAATTTCCATGGTTCTTAATGGGGCTTCTGCATAGACATCTATAGGTTTGCCTCGAAAGAGAGGCTGAATTTTTTGTTTGCTTGAATAGTCTATTTGTGATTGCTTCTCAGCTTTCTTTTCCAGGAATCCATAAATGTTAAGTTTCACTTCTGGTTTCTAAACTCGGGACCCTCTTACATGCTAGTTCTTTCTTTGTTTGTGGCTAGCAGTGTTCACTTCTTAAACCTGAAGTAAATAAAAAAATGTAGTATTTCATAGTGAGGGGGTGCAGCCCCTTATTTTACTAACAATATAAGGCTGTTTACAGCCTCCCATTTAGTTTGCATCCTGAGGTTTCTCCCCACTAGTTTGGGAAGAGGTGCAGTCACTGTCCTGTTATTTCTTACAAAATCCTACATTTTATATTTATTTATTTCACAACACGTACACTGCTTGATTGTAAAAAACACACACCTTCAAAGTGGTTTACAAAAGATAAAGCAGTAAAATCAAGAAAAAATTGCAACTCTACTACAAAAGTTAAAATACCACAATTCTAACTTTTATTGAGATTACAGTTACCTCAACTGTTGATTTACCTCAGCATCATTTGGATGGGTTTCTTCCCAAACCTGCTTCAATCTGAATTGAGAAAAAGAACGGCATAGCTGCAGCTGTGTCTACACAGTAGTGTAGACTTATTTATTTGAGTTGCGTGGAGTTCGTGGTTTTGGGTTAAGGCAAATAAATGCATCTAAACTTCCTTTCCCTTTTTAAAATACTTAGATTTCTAAGATGTGCCATTGAACAACATGTATCAGGATTATGTACCTCCCATTTATTTTCTGCTAATATAGGTGTAGGGCTGGTAAAGATTCCCATCAGAACGCCTCTACCAGTCAGAGGCCTGGTTCTCACACAAGCTAAATCATGGTTAAGTGTGAACAAGTAAGTGTGTGGGTATTTTGGCTTAGCATTGTGTCTGAACCCAGACTCGTGTGTTGCCTCGCTCCAGGTAAATCATGAGCTGTAGTCAATGCTTGTTCTGTGGCTTATGACTCATGGTTTGTCTGAAGGAGACAACCCATGAGCCTGGGGTTGGATGTAATTCTAATGCAATCCGTGGTTTGCAGGATTGGGGAAGAAGCAAATCACTTGCCATTTCCCCTCTTGAATGCCCATGTAATTGCTTGCTCACAGTTTGACTTTTTTTAATGTGTGGATTAGGTGGCCCATTGGTCTGACAGTATGAGGCAGGTTTGTGATGGTATCATAAGGCTACAAGCTAAGGTTATTTTGATACAATGATGGCTTTCCTGTTTTCCATTTTAGTGAGGCAGAGAGTCCTTAACATGAACAAGCATGAACTTGATGTGCCTGAAAAAAAGAAATTGAAGCTGGCCGTCTCTTTGCCTCCTGAGGCAGCAGCTGACGATGAGCCCCGGCAAGAACCAAATGCAAGTCCGGTAAATGTTACATGCAGTTCTACTCTGAAACTATTTGCATAGCCAAAAATCTTTTTTGCCTCTCTGCATTCTGATCACCCTAGGAGTGAATTTGCACTTGGGGAATACAGTGTATATTGCATCTTCCACGCAGAAGCAATTCCAGTAGCTACAGAGGCTGAAACGTGACACAGTGATGGAGACCATGACTAAGAAGGGATGTATTTGTTGAGGGTCCCCAAGTACAGTTACAGACGCTTCAGGTTACAGACTCCGCTAACCCAGAAATAGTACCTCAGGTTAAGAACTTGGCTTCAGGATGAGAACAGAAATCATGCAGCGGCGGCAGTGGGAGGCCCCATTAGCTAAAGTGTTATCTCAGGTTAAGAACAGTTCCAGGTTAAGAATGGAACTCCAGAACGAATTAAGTTCTTAACCTGAGGTACTACTGTAATGTGATGTTCAAACTCTGTCCCCGAGAACTCTAGGATTCCCTGGAACCTTATCAAGAGTTCCATGAATATCGGGAGTAGTAGAAAAGTTTCCTGAAAGGTAGCTTGTGTTCCCACTACTGTCCTCCTTCGGTTTTTAGGGATGCATTGGGTACATTATCAGTTGGTTGGGGTGATAGTGAGGCTCAGCAGGCCTCGCAAATGCCCTGTGTAAACTCTAGGCCCTAGCATATGTCCCGAAATCCTTTTGCAGCAGCATTCAGGGGTCTGTGGCAGGTAGTCTGGAATTTATCAACATCAGTCAGTATGGAAAGAGTTCCCTGAAGTCTTGGACATTAAAACAGCAGCTTTAAATCATATCCATACTTACTCAAAAGTAAATCCCATTATTCAATGAGACATACTCCCAGGCAGGTGTGCAGAACACATGACTAAGGCTGACATTCTGTGTTTTCAACTCACATGGGTTTCTTGGATTGGTAGGACAGACCGTATGGAGGAATATTTCATTATTTTCCTCTGGGCAGAGGGTTTGCTTTCTGATGCCTTACTTTTGTCTTGCTTTCAGAAGCCTGTTACAGCTGAAGAACCCAAAGATCTGGGTAAGTTACTTTTAAAAATATCCTGGGAAGCAACAATGAGTTACTTTTTGTTTTTATACAAGCCTTGTAAGTATGCTTCTTTCTGGGAAAGAATATTCAAATTCTGCTATTTGGAGAACTTTTTCTTTTCTTTTTTTTAATTGGGATGGGTTTGGCTGGTTTGTAGTCAGTGTAGGAAACATTGTCTTTCTTTGCCTTTTGATTCTAGAACTTCCAAAAGATGTGCCAGAAAAGTTGGTGACCCAGGAAGAATTCAATGAAGTGGTAGTGACGCCTGTGGGGAACGAACTTGAGCTGGAGACTATAGAGATGTACTTCGAAAGTAAAAAGCACTCTGGCGGGGGCCCCATTAAGTCCTGCCTTAAAGATGGAGAACAATTCATCATCACCTTTGCAAACAAAGAAGGTATCTTTAGACAGGGCTTGTTACATATATTACAATGGGTGGGGAACCTCAGACCCATGAGCCAAACATGCCCCTCGGCCTTGGACTTTTCCCAGATCACTTCCTCTCCCCAAGCCATTTTTGGTTGGCTGGAATGTAGCCTAAGGAACAAAGGAATAAATTGCCTCTACTCCCCTGCTCACTTTTGCCTCTGGTCCTGCTCGCCCCTGCAGTGTGCTTTATGTGGGGCGGTCCTTGAAAACTTCAATTGGTCCTGCATTGCCGGGACTAAATGAGCCTCTGGATCCCTTCCAGCTCTACAATTCTGTGAAAACACAGCAGCCAGGTTACTGGCTGGAATTCCATTTAGATCTCATAACCCTTGTTTTAGAACAGCTACACTGGTTGCCAGTTCATTTCTGGGTTCAGTTCAAGGTGTTAGTGTTTAAAGCCCTAAAAGACTTGGTCCTCATATACCTGAAAGACTGCCTCCTTCCCTATTGGGTGCTAAATTTGACAAAGAGAAACCTTCTGGTTGTTCTACCACCCTCAGAATTTCACGCCAGCAGTGGTGGCCTGGGAGAGGGCATTCTCAGTGGTGGCCCCTAAGTTGTTGAACTCCCCACATAGGTATATCTGGCAATACTATTCTGGCAAATGCTGAAGATTCACTTTTTTACCCCGGCCTTCGACACTTGAGATGTATATTTGTAGGACTCACTTTATTTTCAGTTGTTTTTAATACAGTCGTACCTTGGAAGTCAAACAGAATCTGTTCCAGAAGTCTGTTTGACTTCCAAAACGTTCGGAAACCAAAGCGCGGCTTCTGATTGGCTGCAGGAATCGGAAGCCCCGTCAGATGTTTGACTTCCAAAAGAACGTTCGCAAACCGGAACAGTCACTTCCGGGTTTGTGGCGTTTGGGAGCTAAAATGTTCGAGAACTAAGCTGTTCGAAAACCAAGGTACAACTGTACTGTATTTCAGTTGTTGTGATATGCCTTGAGATTTTAGGTGGAAGGGCTGGTAATAAATTTTAATAGTAATAACAACACCACCACTGATATTTTATGTAACCTGCCCTGGGCTCAACCGGCTGCTAGTTAGAATAATGAATAAATTAAGCAAGTGTTTATTCTCCATTTTAAACCATCACCTACTGTGAGCCTTGGTGATGAGAGGGTGTGAGAATACAATAACCACCTTAAATATTTTCTCGACATGCTGGGCCAGAAGCTTGAAATGGGATCTTGAGCTGAAGGAGCATGGTGTGAGGAGGCAGGGAATGTGTACACATCAAGAATATGCCGACACTGTCCAGAATAATAAGGTTTTTCTAGTGGGTGATGTTTTGTTCAGGTATCTGGAACAGGAGGTTGTCATTATTCTTTGTGCTTCTTTCCAACTAGATGCTCAGGAAGTTTTGAAAAGAGAGAGTCATGTAGTAAATAAAACCGCACTTCAAGTCAGACAGCCCCAGCAGGAGGCTGCCCAAGCTGCCCCACAAATGTCGGCTTCTCTCGCTGTTGTTCAGAACGATTTGCAAGAGCCCGTAGACGAATGCATGCTAGTTCTGTTGGTGGAAAACACCAGTGGCTTATCAGAATCGGACAAGGATTTCACTGTGGAAATTTTGCCGGAGCTCAGTGCTGCTGTACTCAGTTTCATCAAGCCTATAGGTAAGAGAGAGAATGGATAAAAGGTACTAAATAAGGTCTCCTACCTGCCCCCCTTTTAAAGGAGCCAGGCAATTGGAAAAGGAAAGGAAAACGGGTTTCTACTCAGCGTTGAACTTGTTGGAACTTGCCCCATAGTGTTTAACTTAGGAATAGGGCACAGGTGGACCTCTAGATGTAGCTGGTCTCAAGTCCTTTCAGCCCAGCCAGGGATGATGGGAGCTGCAGTCCAGTAATATCTGGAGGGCCACAGGTTCCCTCTCCCTAGCAGAAGTGATGGGGCTCTGGTAATGGCAAGCCCTTGAGAGTATCCCTTCTGAAACTCAGCAAGTGTCTAAAACCTTTGCTTTGTTCAAGTATGTGGGTTCCCTCCTGAGACAGTGCTTGCCACCTGCCATGCTTAGAAATGCTTGTGTTAAAATAACATCCTAAAATTGATCTACCACCGCCTAATGCACCAGTGCACCTTTTTGTCTGTTCGAAAGCTTTAAAAAATTGTGTTTAGCCCAGGCCTGCCAAGCTTTTAGCCCCGTAGATGTTGCGGAACTACAGTTCCCATCATCCCTGGCTGTTGCACATGCTTGCTGGGGTTGAGCAACATCTGAAGGGCCAAATGTTCCCCACCCTTGAACTCACCGATGCATTGGTTGAACGTTGCAGCTCCTGATGTGATGCTTCTGAATGCATGTGTTTGCTTGGCAACTCTAGATTGTCCTGTCTGTTTGACAAGAGTTGTGCCATACTGGGTATATCAAGAAGACACATGGTCTTTCTTTTGGATTGCATTAATTTTGCCATCACAAAGGCAGCAGAGGAGGGAAAGGTTCTGTCGCTACAGTCATCCTGGCCATATGAACAGAAGGGTAATTGAAGGAAGATACAGTGAGCCTAATCAGAATTGTTCCTTGGGGATGTGAATTTGGAACTGGAATGAGATCCAAGAAGAGGAGATGGGGAAGACAAGGTGAAATCCTGTGCAGTGGAGAGAAAAAATGGGAATAGATTGAAGATGTGAGTGACTGCACCTTGGGGCAGCTTGGTGAATACTCAGTAAAGGTAAAGGGTAAAGGGACCCCTGACCATTAGGTCCAGTCGTGACCGACTCTGGGGTTGCACGCTCATCTCGCTCTGTAGGCCGAGGGAGCCGGCGTTTGTCCACAGACAGCTTCCAGGTCATGTGGCCAGCATGACTAAGCTGCTTCTGGCGAACCAGAGCAACGCACGGAAACACCGTTTACCTTCCTGCCAGAGCGGTACCTATTTATCTACTTGCACTTTGATGTGCTTTCGAACTGCTAGGTTGGCAGGAGCAGGGACCTAGCAATGGGAGCTCACCCCGTCGCGGGGATTCGAACTGCCGACCTTCTGATCAGCAAGCCCTAAGCTCTGTGGTTTAACCCACAGCGCCACCCGTGTCCCAGAATACTCAGTACACATAGTTAATTGTGTTGCTTACTGCTATTTCTTTAAATTCTCTTTTAGAAATAGACCAATTTATCAAAGACTTCAATCAGTACCATAGGGCTAAGCAATTACACATTTCTGCACATTCTCTGGAGGTGACGAAAAGCATTCTGGTAGAAGACATCCCGCCTCGCATATCTCAGGACTTCATCAGTGTCTATTTTGAAAGCAAGAAGCATGGAGGTGGACCAGTGTCAGATGTCTACTACCTTCAGGAAGAGAATTCGGCTGTGGTTACTTTTCAGGATAGCAAAGGTAATTTGTACTACTTGATAAGGTGGGCTCATAATCCTGGATTATTGCTAATAGCAGGGTAATAATCATTGTGATCAATGTATTTTGGTGGTAATCAGGTGGCTTGCCTAGCTTTCTGACTTTTGGGAAGAGAATGAAGTACAATATGCAGCAAGAGTCCCTAAGTACCAAAATACAAACATCAGAAAAAACCAAAAAATATGAAAATATACTTGTAATGTATTCAATAAGCTTATGAAAACGTAAATAAACATTAATGCAAATGGGACAATTAACAACACACCATGGAACAACTGGTTACGGATCTGTTTTTATGAATAAGTCATTTTCACATATGACCCAATAATCTTAAAATTTTGGGAAGAGTATGTTCAACAAATTGCTCATGTGCATCAATGGCAGACTAAGTCTCTTAACTGAGCAGCTTTCTTATATATATAACAGCTTATTAACAATGTCATGGTATGAACAAATAAAATAAATACTTGAGCACATTGAAGGTACAGTATATTTTCATATTTGTGGGTCTTTCTGTTGTTTTTGTAATTCTTAGAAGAGAAAAGTTTGCCAAGCTGACATTGGCTGTAGTTATGCATCTCACGAAGCCATGGTTTGTTTCATGAATTTTCTCTCATGAGCAAACAAGCCACAGTTGTTTCTCCAACCTCTTTTGCAATGAAGTTTGAGAGGCTGTTCTAGGTCTCTGCTGAATATAATATAGGAAAACAGCTAGAGTTGCCAAGATGGCCTGTCCATGCAAAAGCCACTAAGCCCTATTGAACGCTTCTAAGTAAACATACCTAGGATTGCATTGTAATAATTTATCCTAGGCTATACTGTATTAGTTTGTGGAACTGATGTATTAGGAGAAGCACAGCTCATTCCTTGAGTTTAGTCTTGAGTGTAGTCATTTTGATTGCAAAGCGGGGGCACAAAACAAAATACAACCCTCTGTACCAGTTTTAGTTTGAGAGAACATGGGGAAGGTAGGAAATTTGAAAGCAATAGTGATGAGGGTGTTGGCAGGGCTGGTGGAGGAAAGCAGGCTGGAATGGTGTACTGACATAACTAGGTGTGGCTGAAGGAACAAGCAGGTGGATATTTGACCCTTCTGACAGAAATCAGAAACTCTTCCAGAAAGTGAAATGGTCACAGGGAAGGCAACTGGAAGTGATCCTGAGCAATCTTGGCATCTGAAGGAGGGAAGAGAAACCCACTGGCCATGTGGGGTGACGATTAGTTTCATTATTGAACTGTGTCCAAGTCTAATGTGGTGTGGAGGGGGCTATGCAGAGCAGAGCAGTAAGTGTTGGGTTACGTGGAGGGAGTTGCACACTAATCTGGAGTCGATCATGTTGTATTTATGGTAGTTGTGTCTCTTCTTTCTCTCTTTTTTAAAGATGTAACTACCGTCTTGAAGCGGAAGCATTCTTTTAACAGCGTGCCAGTTCTTGTCCATCCATACTATGCCTCTTTGGGAGCAGCTCTCTACGGGAAAGAGAGATCACAAATTAGGGTGCTGGACCCAATCGGACTGCCGATAGATCCCTACCACTGGCAATTTTTACAGCAGAATCCACAGGGACTTGAGGAAATCAGCCATGCAATGGCAGGTTGCTATTGTGAGGTTGAGTGGCCTGCTAGGTATTGTTCACACCCAGAAATTACCCTGCGTCCTACTCTTGCCTTATCTAAGCAGAAAAGCTTCCTGATCAGGACCTGGCAAGAAAATGTTTCTACCCGTTTGACACAGTTCCTGTCCAAGCAGAAGGTTGCCAAGTGTGTATTGAATGCTGAAATCTGGGAAGCCATAAGAAATAACATAGTAAAAGATGACATTTGGATCTTGCTCGATATTGCAAAGAGGATAGTTGTCTTGGTTGGGGCACCAGAAGCTGTCAGGTGCTTAGAGGAGGAAATGCAGGTGCTCATTGAAAAAGCTGCTAAAAAGATTGAAAGAGAGAAGCAAACAATAGAGGCAACTGTTCCTGTTGTTGCTGGAAAATACACTATTTTAAACAATGCTGGACTACGGGATAGTATCCACATGGAGTACCCAGATCTAAAGATTGCATATGATGCTTCCAAAGGACTTATAACACTGCATGGTGTAGCTGCTGAAGTTTTTAAAATAAAAAGCGACATTTTTGAAAGGATATCCCGCATGGACCAACGATATGTTGATGTTCATCCTTACATTCTTCTTTTTATGCAACATGTAGATAATGAACATCTATCACAACTCTTGTTTTGGTCCAAAAAGATCAATGCATTCTATGAGCTTGAGGGGAAGGCAGTTCTACTGATTGGAGCAGCTCGCCAGGACCTTCAACGGGCTGAGGAAGAAATGAAGATGAAGCTGACCTGCAAATGTGTTGAACTGGAGGACAACTCGATTCTCAGAAAGAGAGAGTGGAAAGAACTGACCAACAGTTTGTGCAAGATTGTACAGCTGAATAATTGTTCAAGTGAAACCATCAGAATTCAGGAGATGGAGGATCAAATAGTGATTGCAGGCTATTTCGAAGATGTAGGCAGTGCCTATCAGAAGATCTTTGATTTTGTTGACAGAAACACAAAAATACAAAAAACCATCAGGACTAAATCTACAGCAGTTACAATGTATGTGGAAGAGGAGAAGCGTAATAGTTGGCTTAAATTGGAGCGGCAAGGCATAACAATCCGTTTTGGCACGCAGGCAAATCGCAGGCTGATTTCCCTGGAAGGACCCCGGGTAGAAGTCCTGAAGGGACTTGAGCTCTTTCAAAACACCCTGTCCTCTCTGTATTGTACTAAAATGGTAATAGATAAACCAGGAGCCAAAGAATTCTTCAAGGAACAAGAACATTTATATGTTGCTGGTGCCAAACAACAATTTAACTGTTTGATCAGGATTCAGGAAAGCTCGGAAGAAAGTGAAGAGGAGGGCAGAGATGTGAATAGACCTGAAGAAAAGAGACTGCCAACCTGCGAAGTTAAGCTAGGAGATGGCATTGTAGTAGCAGTTCATAAGGGCGACTTGACCCGTTACTCGGTTGATGTTGTGGTCAATGCATCCAATGAAGACCTGAAGCACATTGGTGGCCTTGCATATGCGCTGTTAAAAGCGGCTGGCCCACAGCTACAAAGTGAGTGCGATGACCTAGTCAAGAAGTATGGATGTTTGAAGCCTGGCCGTGCGATTAGAACACGTGCTTGGAATCTTCCATGTAAAGAATTGATACATGCAGTTGGGCCGAGGTGGAACCATTCAGAAAAAGAGAAATCTACCCAACAGTTAAAGGAAGCCGTGAAGCAAAGCTTAAACCTGGCAGAAACATATAGCCATCGCTCCATAGCCATCCCTGCCATAAGCTCTGGGATTTTTGGATTTCCATTAGAAGAGTGTGCCCATACCATTGTAACATCCATTAAGGAACACTTGGAAGAAACCTCTGGGAGTGGCTGCCTAAAAGAGATACTCCTTGTGGACTCTAATGAAAATACTGTTCGGGCACTGTCAGAAGCCTTGAATGAAATATTCGCAGACACATTGCTCCCATCTAAGTCTTCCTTAACCTCCAAAACTAAGAGCCACACTACAAAGAGTAGTAGGGAACCTCAAGAAGTAACTACGGCTGAAGGTGTGAAAATAGTACTACAGAAAAAGGGAATTGAAGACTCCACAGTAAGTTGCTGCTGCAGTTTTTTCAAACTCCTTTTTAAATAGTGTAGAGTGGACTAAATGGTCAATGCAATTAAAATAAAATCTGCTTCAGTGCAGTTAGTTAGAAAAGCACAAAGGTGAAAAAACAAAGGAGATTATAGAATCATAGACTCAAAGAATAGTGAAGTTGGAAGGGACTCTTCTGTTCTTAGTGACCTGCACAGTAGCAATGTGTCTGTGCTACAATATGTATGAATTGAAGCTTGCTTACACCATTATTGGCCCAGGTGCCACAGAGTAAAATTACAGAATCTCCACAAATGTCTTCTTTCCCATCCCCTACAATAGTTAATGGCATTTGCAACTTCTTGATTTTGAGTGTGTCAGTTCTTAATGATAGTTAAAGCTGGTAGAACTCTTTGCAACTTCTAACATTTCCCCTCTGTGTTGGAATTCTAAGAACATCTGGAGGGTTGCAGGTTTTCCATCTCTGCACAGACGGGCAGGCAGATAAACGGGACTCTGCTTTGCTGCGTTGGGGGTGGGGTCGCTCTGGTGGCGTTGGCAACGAGGGCTGGGCTGGTGTCCCCTGCCATCATGTGCTATTCCTGGCTTGTCTTTCTCCCTTTTCTTTTTTTAGGCGAATGTAATTGTCAACAGCGTTTCCAGGGACCTGCAGCTGGACAAAGGCCCGCTCTCCAAGGCTCTGCTTGCCCGAGCAGGAATGGAACTCCAGGAGCAATTGACCAAAGAAGGTCAAGGAAAGGACATCAAAGAGGGATGTGTGTTGAAAACAAATGGCTATGCTCTGGGATGCTTTCATGTGCTGCATGCCCATTTGCCTTCTTGGAATCAGGGTAAAAAATCTAAGGTATGGCTTTATACTACCGCCCAATGCAGTGGTGGCTGGTTTCCATTGGGAATGCTGGGGCAGAATGTGGGCAAGCCGACAGAAAGTGGAGCTGGAGTCAATGGCAGGCCGAGCCCACCCTCCTGCCTGCTGCGTTCTACAAGGGCAGCACTAAGGCTGAAGAGGGGGAAACTGTCAGGTGGTGGCACTAGGGGTTGCTTGTGAAGGAGAAGGCAGGCAGGTGGGGAGCTGGCTGCAAGCAGACTGAGGTTGGAGAGCACTACTGCCATTTTCCCCAATGGACCAGCTTCCACTAGTCAAGTGTTCAGAAAAACTGACCGGAGATGTGTTATGCTCCAATTTCAGTTGGATAGCTGCCTTCAGCCCATCCAGATTTAGATGTTTTTCATCTTGCTGGTTTGGGGAAGTCCAGCACTGAGGCATTCTCAAAGTAAAGGAAGGATTGAACTCTGATTAATAAGAATACACACAGAGGCTTGAACCAGCAAGACTCTGGGAAGGGTGCGTATAATAATCTCTGCGTGCCTCCACCCCTCGGCCCAGGTCGTTTTATTCACAAAATAACTTTTACAGAGTGTTCGTAAAAACCAATCAGATTCTTCTGAGCATTTCAACAAACCCCACATGGGGACAAAGTTAAACTACCAAAACAAATTAAGCACACATATTTCTGGGGTAAACAATACAAAACTACAAAGGAGTGCATTTGGCAACCCCTGAAGTCATAATCAAGCAATACACATGATAAGAAGGATGGTCAAGAAGACAGTGATCATTATCACCTTCAGGTGAGATCTGTTTCCTGGCCCTAAGATTAACATTCTAAGATTAACATATCAGAAAAGCTACATCGAAGAAACTTGCCCACTATCTTTATGGCCCAGGATGCCTTCCTGGCAAGCAACTGGAAGCAACTGGGCTGCATGCGTGACTTGTCAAGAAAGAGAAATGGGCAGTAGAGGAAATGGCCATAGATGCACAGGGTTGTGGGATTTGATCAGAAATTATTGTCAATGTATCAAACCCAGTCAACACAATGCGTTCATCGTGGACACAATGGCTTGATGCATATTTTATAATTCCTCATAGTAATCCCACCTGACCCCACACTCTGGATATTTGCACTCCTACACAGCACCAACCTATTCAACTCACACGCATTTCCTTTTATCTGGATTAATTCAGCTGTGCTGGCTGTCTTGGAAAGAGTTGCATTCATACAGCTAATTTGATTTGTCTTGGAAACCATTTAATTGCAGATATCCAGAAGATGCCACCTGTCAAGAAATGCTTAAACTGCAGGTTCTAAAATGTTTCCTTTTCCGGCCTCCAGATCCTGGGAGAGATTCTTGAAGAATGTCTGGAAACCACTGAGCAGCTTTCTCTGAATTCCATCGCGATCCCAGCCATTGGGACGGGTAACTTACTATTTCCCAAGCAGTTTGTTGCTAAAGCAATGTTCGATGAGGTGTTCAAATTCAGTCGGAAAGCGAATCCCCGCTCTCTTAAAGAAGTCTATTTTGTTCTGCATCCGAGTGATACGGATACCATCAAGGTAACTATCTCTTTTGCAGCATCCTTTTTGTTAAATACAGCTATTCGATATTAAAGATAGCTTTAGAAGATCCTAAGTGTTACAGGAGCAGTCTCTTCCCCCCCAAAAAAATCAGATCTAGCATGTCCCTCAAAATATGAATCTTTTCCTTTTTGCATGGCCAATGTGTTATCTTGCTCCTATATTGCACATTAACACACAGACAGTGAGGCAGAAAAGCTGGCTGGGACAATCTGCATCAATGAAATTACTGCATCAGTGCAAGAAAAAATCCTCTTCCAGTTTGATGATATCCCTAACATCATCCTACCTGTTCTACTTTTCTCAACTAGGTGATATAGGCTAGATCGCAAATACTCAAGTGCCGCATAGAAATGTGACCCCCTGCTCACCAAATGTGTTTTTTGTGGCTTCTTCTCCTTAGATGGGGGTAACCAATGCAGTGTCCTCATGATGTTGTTGGACTCCAACTCCCATCAGCCCCAGCCATCATGACCAATGGTTAGGGATGATGAGAGTTGTAGTCCAATAACATCTGAAGAACAGCACATGAGCTACTCTAGTCCTGGGAAAATGGATGGAAGGAGAATTTCACTCAAACTGCAGGATAGTCTTTGTCAACTGGTGCCCTTCAGATATTTTGGACCACAACTGATTGGCGTTGTAGTTCAGAACATCTGGACAACACCAGGTTGGCAGAGGCAGCTGTCAGAAAGCATAGCAAATTTGATGTCAGTCAGTTATTTCCCAGTGCTGGATTGGTTGGGAAGTGAAACAAATGGGCTCTGAAGCTATGCAGCTTGCTTGTCTGGACCATTTGATCCCCTCTGCTTAGTGTTAGATGCTACAAAAGAATGCAGCCCACGTCTAGTGTATTGTCAAAAACGGGTCTTGCTTGAGTAGTATTTGCAAACAGCTTTTCTGCTTTACAAAAGCTGGTTCTTTTGCACCATAAATCACTGGAAAGGAACCTCTGGCTCACTGGTGTAAATTAATCCTAGCAGGTGTTTTTGCCTATTATGAAGTCTCTTTCTCCCATCCACCCCCTGTCCTGATGTCAGGTAAAGATGCAGCTTCAAAGGAATAGTTGTGCTCCTGATCGTTCCTTGGCAAGTGGGGCTTGTATGCAATGCCTTTTGAATTTTGACACCAAATGGGAGTTTCTGATCAGGAACTCTGTGGAGTGTAGCCAAGTCATGCGGAAAAAGCAAGCACTGCAGTAATTTCAAGCCCTGCTGGGAAAGGTTACCCTCCTGAGAAGAGCTGATCCATGCAGGGCTTGAGGTTGCTGTCATAGCTGATCATCAGTGACTCACAGTGAGTTATCAAATGTGCATATGCTTATTTGGCACAATATTTCTGCTTCTGCTAGTCATGCAGACGACAAGAATGCATTAAACACACACACCGAGTCCTACCCACCTTCATGAAAGAGACTTAAACTTTAGAGGCAGTGCCAATACTCTTTCAAACCTCTCATCTAAACAGTTTAAATGTAAACATGGCTTCATAATTACAACAGAATGACTGCAAAGGCAGTGATGTTCCAGAAGAAATACCACATGTCACCCTTCTTGTCTCTTTTCCTGATAATGTGTTCATTGTAACGAAACCCTAAAAGCCTGTTTGAAGTTTTAGCCTGTTTTTATTGTGGATTTCCCCCCCTCCTCTAGGCATTTACAGATGAATTAAACAACAGACTGAATCCCAGCCAAACAAATATAGTACCTGACAGCTCCCAACAGCTAGGTCAAGGTAAATCTTGTTTTCAGAAAATCCCACCTGCAAAAACAAAAAGCAAAGCGTTTGGAGCTTGACCCAGAAATAGTGGGAATTCTGGAATCTCCTGATGAGGAAGAAAAGCTGAAAGAGCTGAGGAAAGCTGCAGAAAACATTTGAAGATCAAGGTTTTCATGTAAAATAAGGGAGAAGATGAGCCAGTATATATTTATTCTCTCTACATAGGCCAGTAGCCAAATAGCAGCAGAGCTAGTTTTGTGATGCCAAATGTATGTCCATATTTTTCTTTGAACAAGAGTCCCGTGTGCCATGTGACAAACTGCATTTTGAAATGTACGCTCAAAAAGTACTTTTGTGATATGTTGTGGGATAGTCCTTAGAACAGGAAAAGCTCACAGGTTCCACTGGGCTACTACAAGCATCTTGTGTCACCCTAAAGCAGCTCTTTGGAATCCTGGCCATGACTCTAGCGGTGAAGTTAGTCCCAATAAGCAGTGTGTGAAGTAAACTCAGGTAGCAGTGAGTCTTTGATCTTGCTAGGTCCGCTTTTCTCTTCTACGGCATGACTTGTGAGAAGCCACCTTCTGCTTCAAACTAACCATTTTATGCCCAGGACTGGGAAAACTCCATCTTTCCCCAGTGTGGATTCTAGCAAAAGAAATAAAAATGATTTTATTTAACTCAGGGACTGGATGCTTTCAACCTCCTCTTCCTTCACTGTACAGTAGTACCTTGGTTCTCAAACTTAATCCGTTCCGGAAGTTTGTTCCAAAACCAAAGCATTCCAAAACCAAGGCGTGCTTTCCCATAGAAAGTAATGCAAAACAGATTAATCTGATCCAGACTTTTAAAAACAACCCCCAAAACAGAAATTTAACATGAATTTTACTATCTAATGAGACCATTGATCCATAAAGTGGAAACAATAATCAATGTACTGTACTATAAAATAAATAAGACAGTATTGTAGATAATAAAAATTTAAATTAAATTTTTTTCTTACCTGCACTGATGATAGTCATTGTTTGGATGGGGGGCTTTTATCTATTTCCGCAGTCACACAATCAATCCATCAGTAGCTGAACTGGGTTCCAGACAGTCACGAAAACAAATTAACCGGAAAAGCCTCAAAAACAAAAACACAAAATAAATATCAAAAACAAAAGCACCAAACTTAATCCATTCCAGAAGTCTGTTTGACTTCCGAAATGTTCGAAAACCAAGGCGCAGCTTCTGATTGGTGCAGGTGCCCCAGAAACAATAGCCGACAACCTCATTGAACGTTTGGCTTCTGAAAAACGTTCAAAAGCCAGAACACTTACTTTGGGTTTTCGGTGTTTGGGAACCAAGGCATTTGAGAACCAAGGTACCACTGTACTGGGGCAGAGAAGGGAAAAATGGGACTGCATGTGCCTGAGGTTTGATGTTGCTCATTCATGACCAGGGATGGCAATGTGGTGCCCTCCAGATGTTGTTGGACTACAGCTTTTACCAGCTCCAGCCAACATGGGTGTTGGGATGATGGGTTTTGTAGTTCAACCACACCTGGAGGCAACTGCATTGCTTACCCCTGTGCTACGACTATGCCTACTTTTGAAAAGCTCCAGTGTCTAATGGGGACCAAATTGGATTCAATCTGTGCTGCTTTTATTCAATTCAACGTCCTGACTGGGGTGAAAGCTTTATTAAAACGATGAATTGAGGACAAAGAGTCATCTCCTGAAAAGCATTGGTTGGATAGGTAAATATCCTACAGCTAAATGCTTAGGAGAAGGGGAGCCAAATATATAGACATTTATCTCTCTCTTTTCCCCTTTACAGCTTCCTTTGGGAGTATTTCATCGCCAAAGTCTGAAGTTCATAAAATGCAGATTGGCCCAGTTCTGTTGCAGGTGGAATGTGGAGATATCACCCAAGAAACCACAGATGCTATAGTGAACATAACCAATACCACATTTGATCTTAAAGTTGGTATGTTACAAAACCTATGAGGTCATTCCCCTGTCTGTCTGTAATTGGTATATATGCCTGGGTGTACTCCCTCCAACCTTACCATTCCAATCTTGATAAGCGAGTGCCTTGTTCGTAGCTATGTGTCTAATTCAGTTGAAAGGAATGATGTTTGTTCTAGTTTTGGAATAAAGTCCCATAGCTGGCAGAGGCATGTGATACACATGTGATACACATGACATATTCCACACACACCCCCGTGCTCCACACACAACTATGTGCTGTACAGAAAAAGAAGCAACTGTGTGTATGCTCTGACATCAATAGAAAGCCTCAGCCATTCTGTTCTTGGGGATCCCACTGTGGTCGAAAAACTGCCCTGGGATTTCCTGAGCTTTCCTACCCCAGTGTAGCTTGGTCTTCAGTATCATTCTGCCTAAGTGATAGAGATTTTACAAAGCATCAGATGCAGATGTGTAATAAAATGCTTGTCTCTATATGAGCAGTAGAGAGCTGGACCACAAAGCAGAGCCTTGACTTTGCTTCCAGTTCCTCACCAAGCACCAGATTGTTATCTATCATGGGAATGTTCCTTTTATACCGAATTCAGTTATGCATGCATGCTGCATTCATAGGAACTTGATTATGGCTATATGTGCATGTATCCTTTGCTGTATGTGGGTTGTTAATCTTTACTGGTAATCTTATTTTCTCAGAGAAATGTAATTTTTATTTATTTAAGGTGTTTCCAAAGCAATTCTGGATGGAGCTGGACCAGGGATGGAACAGGAATGTGCTCAACTAGGTACAAATCTACTTTTTACATAAGCAGGGGTGGGTTTGGTTCCCCTCCCCACCGCTGCCCAGCACTGGTGGTCAGTAGTGAATGCCAACAACGTTCTTGATCTTTGAAGCACGAGTAGTTACAGGCCAGTGAAACATGTTAAAGGCTATTTATGCCTGAAGATAACTGAGAGTGACTGTTGCTCATTTGCTACTTTGCACTTCCCTGCTCCTTAAGTTATTGGATCTTAACTGTATACAGCCAGTACAAAAGTAGTGTCTGTGATTTGGCAGGAAATTGCATGTTGGTCATCCACGTGGCTATGAAGTGTCTCATTTCATTTAGCTGCAGACGGTAAAGTAAAATGTTAGCCATCTGTATGTAGGAGCCTTGTCTTCTTCCTTCTGGTCGTGGTAGCCAATAATTTCTCCAAGTAGTCAGTGGGTTCTGCTTCCTGCTTCACACAGGCAAACTTAAGTTTGTGTTCCTTTTTTGTCCCCAAGGAATTCAGTTGTGCATGGAACTTTTGTATCTGTAGAGACTGCCTGCTGCAGATATTCCTCCTTATTCTGCGAGGGACCAGGAGAATTGTCATGGTCTTGTGGGTGGGGCTAAATGTGCAGCCCTGCTATAGCCTTTTCGGTCCTCAGTGGACTGAACAGCTTCACAGAATGGTTCTTGCATACCCGGGACCATAAATGTCTCCCTCTTAAACAGAACTGCATTGCTTGTCAGTTTATCAGTGGTATAAAGTGCAGGCAGTGAGGGGAGGCCCTGCTTGCTTAGAGGGCATGGGAAGCAGCACAGATAATTGGATACTTGGGTTGTTTCTAACACCCTCCCTGGTGTTAGAACATCTGCCCCAGAGATGAAATATTGCTGTTTCAGGACTGGAAGAACAGGATATCTCTGGAACAAAATTGTGGAAGGATATGGGAGCTCTGTGCACGCAAAAATTGTATGGAAAGGCTTCTAAGATGGAAGGCATATACTCCTCCTGAGTAGAGGCTGCCTTGTTTGTTCCACATATCACTCTCCCCCCGCTACTCATTTCTTTCAGCTACCCAGCCTCACAACAATCTCATATGCACGCAAGCAGGAAACCTGAAGTGTAAAAATGTAATCCACCTTGTGGCCCAAGAAGATACCAAGGCACAAGTCTCCAAAGCTCTTGTGGAATGTGAACAAAGGCAATTTTCCTCTATTGCCTTTCCTGCAATTGGGACAGGTCTGTATTGCCTTGAGGGGAAACAATGGTGCAGCAGTAAGTGGGTGGCATAATTGAACTTCCAGTGGTGCTAATGGTGGTGGCTCAGGATTTTTATTCTTTATTCAGCAAAATGTAGACACTACTCAATTGTAACAAAACTACTAAGTGGTTTGCAAAATAGTCCTATATGGCACCACTATACTAAATAAGAAACATGGGAAAGGTTAAGATCGTTGACACTGCTGCTCCACTCCTCATCAGCCCTGCCCCACACCCTCCTTGAGTGTTTTTGGCTGGCTGGGATATTATTTTGAACTCGTGATAATGGTTCTTGCCTGCTGGGTTGAGAATAGAGGTGTGTGCATTATGTGTGTGTGTGTGTTTGGGTAATACAGTATTGCACAAAGGCTTTTTCTGTGTCTAAAAATATAAGCGCTGCTTCTTTATCATTTCTTTTTTCTTAGAGTTTGATTATGTTTATAATGTTCCTTATATTATTCCTCATCTGTCTGTCCAGTAAGAAGGCTGTTTGGTCTTCACGTATGTATGTTTTCAGAGTTTCTTTCATTCTTTTTACCAAAATAGCCGAAACAAGTTTATAATCATTGTTTAATAGTTAGATGGGCCTAAAGTCTTTGGGGTTCTGTATCTCTTTCTCAGATTTGGAACTTAGTGTTATGAATGCCTTCTTCCAAGTTTTGGGTATGCCGCCTCCTTTTGGGGCTCTATTCATTACTTCATTCAGTGGAGGAATTATGATTTCTTGAAATTTTTTATAATAGGTAGATGTGAGTCTATCAGGTCCTGGTGATTTTCCTATTTTTTGCTTGTTTAATGCCAATAGTTATCTCTTCCATTGATATTGGTTCATTAAGATAGTTTATTTGTTCCGTTGTTAGTCCAGAATTTTTATTATTATTGCAGGTCAAGCAAAACGTGACCCAGCTGCAGTGGCCAATGATATGATAGATGCTATAGTAGACTTCATAAGTCAAACACCTTCTCCACAGGTGAAGATGATTAAAATAGTAATTTTCCAGCCACATCTTCTAAGTATTTTTTTTGCAAGTATGCAAGGAAAAGAAGCTGCACCTAGCAAGCATGGTGGCACATCCTCGTCAAACTCCATTTTTTCTAGATTAGTAGGTAAGTAGATGGCTTCTATATGTGTAGAACTTCTTGACTGCAGATGCATTAAGTAGTTAAAAGCATAACCTGTCCCTGAATTGATGTTCTGTTGCAGATTTCTTTAGCTTCAGAAAATCCGCTGAGGGAGCTAAACCTACAATACTTTTGGAGAGAACAGTAGAGCCAACCATTTTTCAAATCTGTGGTGATAGCCGGAAGAATGTCGAAGAGGCAGAATTTTGGATGAAGGATCTGATTTTGAAGGGCCAGTATGAAACAGTTGTCTCAGATAAATGGATCTCAAACTTTGGAGAAAGTGAATACGAAAAACTGAGAGCTCTTCAGCAGCGGCTGCATGTTGCTATTAGGCTAGAGTATAAAGATTCTTCTCCTTCCCTCCACATTGTTGGTATAACCAAAGATGTCTTGAAGGCCAGCTCAATAATTAAAAGCATGGTCCAAAGCATGGAGGAGCAGTCAAAGGCAGATATTCTCAGCAACTTTGTAGAGTGGCAGTATGAAGACAATGGGAAATACAAAGCCTTTGATAGCCTGACAAATATGCATTTAGAATCTGCAGCACACCAGCTTGAAATAACCATAAGGAACAAAAGCTACAAAGTGGACCCAAGTAAACAATGTGCAATGGATAACCAGGGGAGAAGCATCACCCTTCGCCGTGTATCAAAAGCTGAAGGTAAGCTTCTAAGGCATGAACAAATTGATCAGTTCTGTCCCTTGTATTCTCTGTGTGTCTCACACACAAACACACACTTGTGCATATCCAACATTTCTGCCTAGTAAAGCTCTGAAGGAGATAGGCCTTGAGTCCAGATCCAACCTCAACTTGCTTTCTGCCGGCAACCTTCCTGGGCATTTGCTTATATGAAAAGTAACCATATTGCAAGTTATTAAGTGCAGTTTCACAGATGGCATGGTGCTGCATGGGTCTTTTTCTTCTCTTCCTCCTCCTTATTTAGAAACTGAGTTAATGGCTGGAGAACTTTTATTTTGGCTGAGGCCTGCATAGAGCAAATAGCTAACTTGTTCAGTCAGACCCGACTCCTCTAAGTCAGCTGCCCAGGAGTTGGTCTTCTCCCGAGTCATACATAGCTGTCTCTCCTGTAGGGGCCAAATGTCGGCTTTCAGGCCTGTCTGTCTTGCTTTTATGAATCTACCTAGGCCAAACTCCTTCCCAACCCTGTTCTGTGTTCTCAAGTGATTTTGCCTTTGTCCGCAATAAGGACTCACCAATTTAAAACGACAACAGTGCCGCTCAGAATACTAGCTTGAAACCTCAAACTGAAAGTTCATACCGAAACTGAAGTGTGTCCTGAAATAGGCTTGTATGCCCTTAGTCATGGCACTAACAGCACCATGTTCATTACACAGGTAATCTGGCAGTGGACTTACCTGAACAGTGGGAAGACATGGGGCAAGCGCATCTCAAAATAGTGGAGCTAAAACCAGAAACGGAGGAATATCAAACTGTCAAGAAGATGTTTCTCCAGACTTGCAGCGTATTTACTATTGTAAAGGTAAAAACATTATTTTCAAAGTCTTGGTTTTTTTTCCTGTGGGGTCCCTCCTTTCATAGTACACAGCTTATACCATGTGTTTTTTGTTTGTTTTTTTACATCCATGATGGACCTAAACACAAGAGCATTCTCTCCTGCGGTTTTTAGAAGCTGATATTCAGAAGCATTTCTGCCTACGACCATTTAGCACTTATGCTGCTGGAAAGCAGTAGCTAGTACAGTGGTACCTTGGGTTAAGAACTTAATTCATTCCGGAGGTCCGTTCTTAACCTGAAACTGTTCCTAACCTGAGGTACCACTTTAGCTAATGGGGCCTCCCGCTGCCGCTGTGCCGCCACTGCATGATTTCTGTTCTCATCCTGAAGCAAAGTTCTCAACCCAAGGTACTATTTCTGGGTTAGCGGAGACTGTAACCTGAAGCGTCTGTAACCTGAAGCGTCTGTAATCCAACGTACTACTGTATTGGGTTGATTCACCCTAAGGCTCCAAATCTGTTCCTTGTTCAAGTGATTTAAAATTTTTATTCCCAGTGATGATACTGGTTGTTATCGGTGTTCTGTCTTTTTACTTGTAGATTGAGAGGATCCAAAATCCCTACAAATGGCAGCAGTACCAAATAAAAAAGAAGGAGATGGATGACAAAAATGGCCATACAAATAATGAGAAGCCCCTTTTTCATGGAACAGCTTTTACATCGATAAAGCTCATAAATGATTACGGGTTTAATCGAAGTTATGCAGGAATGCACGGTTAGTTGATTATCAAAGTGTGGCTTTTGTATGAATGGCTAGTGACTCTTCATGTGCCAAACACATGTTTCTATGTATGGGGTTAAAAAGAGAGTGATTGTTGTGCATCAATGTCTGCAGATACATATACTGTCATTTCAGCATTTACAATACTCAGTTTTTGTACCTTCCCCATCTGTGATTATTATTATTATTTAATTTTATTAGTCGTCATTTACTAAAAGTGCTCATCTTGCAGTATTGTAAAAAGGACAAATTTTACCCCATCCCGCTGCAGTGTGTCTGATTATGTCTCTATTATAAAAGAGGAGAAAAGGTAGAAGTATTCCCTTTCACTGGTTACAGTTTATGGCTGAAAAGAAAAACTGCAGCTGCTTGAAACTCTGTTTTTGTATTACAAATTTGGCTGCAAACTGGTTATGGCTATTCATTGATTAGGAAGGACTCTTCTCATTCTCAGAGGCTCTCAGAATTTTTGGTTGAGCCTTTATTGCTTGACAAGAGTAAGTGTAATAGTGTTCCCAAGGCAAGGGGAGGCTGCATTGGATAGTAGATTTACTCCTTTTTTACATTAGATTTTCTTTTCTAAGAATTCGGTCATCCCCAGATAGTGCAAGGGTAACTTTTTGCTTTTTAAGGATCTGAGCTGCTTGCCCCTTCTGCACAAGAAGCAAGGTAAAAAGCCTTTCCTTTTCAACCGAGCTCTCTGCTGTACCAGGACAGCTTATAAACAAGGAGGAGATGGTTCATCTGCCTTCTTTCTGAGCCTCTGCAGAAACAGTGCCTTGCAGAAAGGCAGGAAAAAGCTGTCCCACCCTGCATCACTTCCCTTAGATGGGCAAATGGCAAGCACAATTGATGGCTTTGCTCCCAAGGTGCATGATCCGAATTCTGCTCACATGGCAGAGCTTAGTTTTGCAAGAGCATCTTGGGATCCAGGCTAGAAGCCTTCTCCTTGGCTCTGGTGAGAGGCAAGTATTTTCTAATTGGTGCGGGGTGGGGGGAGGTAATGAAGGAAAGTTGTGTTGCTAGTGTATACAGAAATAAAGCACAGTCAATAGACAAGGTTGAATCCTGGAATGAGAAAAGCACACCCTTAGGCAGACCTGCCATCTAAAAAACCCCTCTTGTTAGCAGCATCGCAGCATTGACTTGTTGTAGTCTGCTAATAGGAAAAGGAAACTTCCCCAGATAAGTGTCTGTTACTGTTGATACCGATATGTGTGTTGCTGGAGCCTTTCAAGAGTGAAAGGATAATGGTACTTCGCAATTACTGGCTGCTTTAAACTTTTCATTTATCTTTACAGCTGCAGCATATGGAAATGGAACCTATTTTGCTGTAAATGCCCAGTATTCTGCCTCTGATACTTACTCAAAACCAGAAGCTGATGGGAAAAAGTACATGTACCTTGCTCGAGTACTCACCGGAGAATATTGCCCTGGAGCGCAAGGATTAGTTGTCCCCAAACCCAAAAATGCGGCCGATCCCACTGTTCTCTTTGACAGTGTGACTGATAATGTTTCTAAACCTTCCTTGTTTGTCATTTTCAATGATATCCAGGCATATCCAGAATATCTCATCACTTTTAAGAAGTAAACTTTTCTCTATCTTGCACTTACCCTGATGAAAAGAAGTGCCTCTTGTTATGTAGCAGCATGCTGATACTGTATTTACCTGTACATAAATGGATCTGATTACGAAATAAAATGTTGATTGGGGCTACTTGCTGAGTAAAAAACTTTTTTTATTTTAATTCTTGAAGTGGAAAGTTTGGAAGGGTCGAACCTTTTCAGGTTGCTCAGCGTGTTTGAAACTGGGATAAACAATGGACAATTAATTAGGAAAGGTATAAATAAGTTTAGGAGGAGGATAGCATGGCTAAGGAGCAGAGTCAAGGAAGGTAAGAGTTTTTTAGTTTTTGGGTTTTTTTTAGTGAAGCGCCACTTAAAGCACCACTCTCTTTCAAATCAGAACCAGTGAAGGCACTGAAGGTCCTGTGTGAGTACCTGGAGGTGGTTGGAGGATGGATGGCGGCTAACAGATTGAGGTTGAATCCTGACAAGACAGAAGTACTCTTTTTGGGGACAGGAAGCGGGCAGGTGTGGAGGATTCCCTGGTCCTGAATGGAGTAACTGTGCCCCTGAAGGACCAGGTGCGCAGCCTGGGAGTCATTTTTGACTCGCAGCTGTCCATGGAGGCGCAGGTCAATTCTGTGTCCAGGGCAGCTGTTTACCAGCTCCATCTGGTACGCAGGCTGAGACCCTATCTGCCCATGGACTGTCTTGCCAGAGTGGTACATGCTCTAGTTATCTCTGGCTTGGACTACTGCAATGCGCTCTATGTGGGGCTACCTTTGAAGGTGACCCGGAAACTACAACTAATCCAGAATGCGGCAGCTAGACTGGTGACTGGGAGCTGCCGGCAAGACCACATAACACCAGTCTTGATAGACTTACATTGGCTCCCAGTACGTTTCCAGGCACAATTCAAAGTGTTGGTGCTGACCTTTAAAGCCCTAAATGGCCTTGGTCCAGTATACTTGAAGGAGCGTCTCCACCCCCATCGTTCTGCCCGGACACTGAGGTGTCGGGGAACCAGCCCACCAGGTGCGGAGGAAAATGACGAGGAGTCATGGGTGAAGGTTTAAGCAAGGAGTGAGCTCTCTCTCCCAGCAGCCTTGCATGTTTATTCACCTTGCGCACATTACATCATGTTGCATATACACATGTAGCACTCGGGTGGAAAACAGCTAGGGTTTGCATTTCTTAGAATAACTATTCTCTACCAGGACATAGCTCCAGACAGTATGACAGCCACGTAAGCTTTGTGGTTTAGCAGCGCGACAGTGACCCAGGCGGGTGGGGGAACAAGTCAGCAGATGTTTCCTCTTGCACAATCCCCGACACTGAGGTCCAGCACTGAGGGCCTTCTGGCAGTTCCCTCGCTGCGAGAAGCCAAGTTACAGGGAACCAGGCAGAGGGCCTTATCGGTAGTGGCACCTGCCCTGTGGAACGCCCTCCCACCAGATGTCAAAGAGAAAAACAACTACCAGACTTTTAGAAGACATTTGAAGGCAGCCCTGTTTAGGGAAGCTTTTAATGTTTGACAGACTATCGTATTTTAATATTTTGTTGGAAGCAGCCCAGAGTGGCTGGGGAAAGAGCCAGATGGGTGGGGTATAAATAATAAATTATTAATTATAATACACAGTTTTCTTCCCCTCCAAAATCAATTCAACTTTTCATAATCTAAAACACTTTCCTCTCTAAATTAAAAGGATGAAGTATTCCAACTAAAAGACGAAAATGATTTGTTTCATTTGATCCAGGACACGTCACGGACCAGTCCTGAAAATGTGGAGTAATGAACTCTGTTCATGTGCAGAGTACATCAGAGTAACTGCAGTCAGCCTCTTATGTCTGAGATTAGGGAGAATAATTTTCAGGCAGTGTTAGAAATGGATATGAAAGTTAAGAGCTAAATGGTACCTTAAACTTAGGTTATGGGTGCAACAACAGAACGTCTACAAGAATACAAAGCTGAAAATGAACTGCAGCTAAAATGTTATATTCATTTTTTACATAGTCTAGTCCTTCCCCTGCCCACCCACCTAATATTCTTAAGAGAGTCTCTTCTCCAGTCTTTAGGGAGTAGCTGGATGTGGGGAGGCAGAAAAAGGTCCTTTCCTTCCACTCTGCAGTTTTAATCGGAAATCTTAGGCACAGTACTGCGCCCAGAGCTCAGAAACTGCCCACGCTAATGAAATTCCCTGTCGCAAAATGCGCCTAGAACAATGGGAGTTTCAAACACTTGTTTCCAGGTTTGGGAGGATGTAGTGTGATATTTTGACAGGCATAGACCCCAAACTTCATCATTTTAGAAATTTACTGACCAGCTAACAAGCAAAAAATAATAGCACCAGCATTTTCCTCCAATCAAGATATTCTTGATTTAAGCTAAGGATAGACCTTGTTGTAAGCAGATTCACATTCCTTTTTCTGGAAATCCTCTGGACTTGCATGTCGCTCAGATCAGGCTTCACTGGCCCACCCAGCAGCTCCTGCAACTTTTAATGAGTGGATGCAGGGAAATATAGTAGTTAATGCAGACTTTGCTTAGTACAAGCTATCCATAGTTTTAGGTTGGAATTAGTTGAGTGATTTTATTTTATAAAATTGCTTGACATTCTCTTAGAGATGTGCCCCAGTTATCCTAGTGGAAGAACCTATACTGCTTACAATCTCTGGACCAGAGACTGTTTTATGAAGACATGTGTAAAGGTAAAGGTAAAGGTACCCCTGACTGTCAGGTGCAGTCGCGGACGACTCTAGGGTTGCCGCGTTCATCTCGCTTTACTGGCCGAGGGAGCCAGTGTACAGCTTCCAGGTCATGTAGCCAGCATGACTAAGCTGCTTCTGGCGAACCAGAGCAGAGCACGGAAACACCATTTACCTTCCCACCAGAGCGGTACCTATTTATCTACTTGCACTTTGATGTACTTTCGAACTGCTGGGACATGTTAGTTCAGTCTATTTAAATCAAGGCTCCAAATAAACACCCCAGTTTCACAAAGCCACATTCATGTGATTTATTAATTAACAGGAAACATGAACTTAAAAATCATCACATTGTATTCAACACAGCAGTGTTCCATCAGTGCAAGGACTTTTTTGTGTTCTCCCCCACCCCTGCGCCCTTCCCATTTGTTCTGGGGTATTCTCAACTATCCAGAGCAGATTTGGGGGCACTCAGCAGGAGGAAAGGGGAGAAGTGTCCTTGCCCTAGGGATAATCATTGCACTAGTCTACAAATTAATTTGAATGCAGCCCAGAATTGAATGAACTGCAGACACTTAAAGATGGATCTTCATATTTATACATATGAAATCACAGTTGCCCACATGGGATTAATAAAACTTGCTACTCAGTCTATAATTATTTTCTTAATTGCATATGGGCATTTTTAATTTGTTTAAAATAACTAAACAAATCCGTAAATCATTTTGCGGGATTCCGGAATAAATTTAAACTACATGTCAGCAGCAGCCGTCAATCTTGCTCTCTCTCTCTCTCTCTCCCCCCCCCCCCGCCCCACTCCGAGGCTGCACGCTCTTCCCTTGCCATTGCCAGCAACTGGCGCTCGAATAAATACCTGTTCTACCCAGTGGTAGAACACGAAATGAAAATGATTTTTTTTAAAAAGGCGATGCGGGAAGAAAGGTCTGAAAGCTGTAACGATGAGGACGTCGAAAACTCTGCTCCAACGTAGTGTGAATAATACCCATCTATGATACAGCTCTCCAATTACCGCTTTGGGGCACCAGCCTCCGCTTTGGTCGGCTGTTTTTTGCCTCTCTCCTTTTAAGCTCGCTGGTCTGCTCGGGTTTCTTCCTGGAAAACACCGGAGGCAAGGGAGGGATGGCCAGGGTCGGGTTGGAGGCGGAGGGAACCACCCACCGGCCCTTCCCTTTTCCCCAATATCGCGTCACAGCCAAGAAAAGGCTCGGGAGCGGCGCCCATGTATCGTATAGGAAAACGAAAATGAAAGTGGCGGCTCCTCGGCCACTTTCGGCAACATGGCGGAGGGGAGGAGGCCCTTGTCTCTATTCGCCGTGCGGGTGCAGGCGGATTGGGGGACTCCAGAACCCCCCAAACAGCTGAGAAACAAACTTTTGCTCTACTTTCAGAGCCGGAAGAAGTCGGGAGGCGGAGAGTGTGAGATCCAGCGGCAATCCGGACAGGTCTTGGTTTGCTTTGCTAAGGAAGAAGGTAAGGGGGGGGGGTGGAGAGAAAAAAATTCCCCTTCTTTTCCTGGGACTGGTGCTCCCCCTCGATGCATTTGTAGGACGCTTCCAGAAAGCAGTTTTGCAGCTTTCGTGGGAGGGAAGGGGGGCGAGTTGTTATGTGCCTTTAATAAATATTAAAAAGAAGGGCCTTCCCGCATAGGAGACACCAAAAAGGGGGCTTCCTCCGGTTTAGTCACGCTAAACTGCTTTAACAGCGCCATTCTGTGTAAACTGAAGCCCCTCACAGTGTCTATTGGGTCTTATTCCTTGGGTTGCAATCTTAAACCTACTCCCTAAGTCTGTAAAAGGTAAAGGTAAAGGGACCCCTGACCATTAGGTCCAGTCGTGACTGACTCTGGGGTTGTGGCGCTCATCTCGCTTTATTGGCCGAGGGAGCCGGCGTACAGCTTCCGGTCATGTGGCCAGCATGACTATGACGCTTCTGGCGAACCAGAGCAGCGTACGGAAACGCCGTTACCTTCCCGCTGGAGCGGTACCTATTTATCTACTTGCACTTTGACGTGCTTTCGAACTGCTAGGTTGGCAGGAGCAGGGACCGAGCAACGGGAGCTCACTCCGTCACGGGATTCGAACCGCCGACCTTCTGATCAGCAAGTCTTAGGCTCTGTGGTTTAACCCACAGCGCCACCCGTGTCCCCCTAAGTCTGTAGCTAAGCCTAATAACGTAAAAGTGAAGCCCCTGGCAACCCTGACAGAAGCTGTCTTGTGATTAACCAGGGGCAAGAGTCCAGCAAGTGGCCTGTGAGATAGAAACAGCTCTACTAGACAGGAGTAGTACAGCACAAGGAAAATATGGATTATGGGGGGGCAGCTGGTGTGAGGGGAGGGATATCATCTGGGACATCCTCGTGCTCACTAAGGAACAAAGGTTGAAAATGTGTCCCTTCTTTCGTCGTTATGTAGGCATACATAAAACAGTTCTGTTAATTAAAATGAAAAACAAACAAATGTACCAATAACCACCTTCACTCTCTGAATATCCCCTACTCAGCAAATTGAAGAAGGAGAAAGAGATAAAGAAGAACCACAAAAGGAAGGAAACTGGGGCGTTAGCCACAAGATACATAGAGAAATAAGCAAAACAAAATAATCGGAAGTCAAAGAGGTTTCAGACTAGATATGACTGCATACCCCCACACCAATATAATTCCATTAGTTCTGTGCCTGTTGAGTTCAGAATTTTATCATGTGGTGGTGTTGATTGCTTCCCTGTTGGATTAAAGAATTCTATCCCCAGATCAGGATTTATCATCCCAAATTCCATTGAAACTGATGTTTGACCTTTGGTGTCTGGTCACTCAAAATAGGAAGGCTTGCTCACATGAGTTATGAGTCCAAATACTAACCGTGGAATTCAAGAAGATACACACCTCTTATTTATTTTGGCGTGGAGAGGCATCACTTAGTCATTATGAAACTGACTGCAAACAAAACTGCTTGGCCCTTTCTCTTTGCTGCCTTAACATAGCCATGAACATTTCTAGAATCTCTACAGGGATAGGGAGCCAAAGGCCCTCTAAGACTCTGACCCCTATCAGCTCCAGTTAGCATGGCTCATGTTCCATGTGGATGATGGGAGTTGTAGTCTGGCATCTGGATGGTTGCAGGTTTTCCCATGCCTAACCAAGGAGCAGTAAGCCAGCATGGTGGTTGCTCTGTTATCATGATGACAGTAATTTATTTTTTTGTTTCAGTGAGGCAAAGGGTTCTTTCCAAAGAGACCCATGAACTTGACCTAGAGGGAAAAGGAACATTGAAGCTGGTGGTCACACAGCATGAAAAAACTGCCAAAGAGAATGTGCCTAAGAAGGAAACTGATCTTCATCAGGTATTAAGGCAATATTTGACCTGGTGGAATCTAGAGCTCTGAACCAAGATGTTCACCAAAGCAACAAATCAATATGCTGTTGTTCTCTTTTTAGGCTTCCAGGGGAGAAGACGTGGCAGAAGAGACTGGTATGGTGGTTCTCTTTCAGTATGATTATCATGCCAGGGGCAGGAGTGGGTGGGCTTTCCTATCCCTAGCCAAAGGTGGGGTGGGTATTTTTTGTTCTGTTTAACAGAAAGAAAGCCCAGGCAAGCCCACTGAGGCCACCATTCTCTCCTCCTACTTCCAAGCCAATGATTTATATATATATAATGATGATACTCACCCTGTCATCTGGGGCTCGGACCACATTCTTTGTGACACACAAAGAATATTTCTCTGGTGATGGTTCTCAAAAATAAGGAAGCAAGATGCAAAAGCAGGTCCACAGACAGCTTGGACTGCAACAAAATGGGGGTGCCTTTTTTGTTCTGGGAACTTGTATCCTGGAAAGAAACAATTGGAACATTCCCAGAGCAATAAAAAAATGGTGGGTGGGTGGAGTGGGACCTCCCACTTTCAGAGCAAGGATAGAAAAATTTTGTGCTCCGCCAGTTTCTTCCATGTAAAAAACCAAATCAAATCTGCAGCCCAGATGAATTATTATTAGTAGTAGTATTTGTTTGTTTGTTTGTTTGTTTGTTTAATTTCTGTACCGCCCTTCATCTGAAGATCACAGGGTAGTCTACTGTATAAAAACACAAAATACCTACAAATACATTCCATCAGGGCTTTTTTTCAGCTGGAACTTGCTGGAACTCATTCTGGCACCTCTCAGGTGAGCGCCATTGCCATTCTAAGAGAACGAGGGAGGCGTTCATGGCGAGTTCCGGTACCTCTTTTTCTAGAAAAATAGCACTGCATACCACAAACACATTAACTTCTTACTTAATTTCTGACTCTTCAAGAGACATGCTTTTTTCAGGGTTTATTTACTAACAATCACAGAATTCTGATCAATACAGTAAGTTTCTTTTTCTTCCTTTAGTTAGCTTCTGCCCAGTAATTTGGTGATTTATTCTGGTTTGCTGTGAGCATAGTTCCCTCAGTAAACATTATGGGCTTGGGTGGAAGCATATTAATGGCTGCTGGAACAGTATTTAACACCATCTTACACACAAAAAAAGAAGAGGATGTAGATTAAGGTTAAATCCCAGAAAAATAGTTGGCACACTGTTCTGTCTATGCTGACAAACACTGAGTAGTTGCATATTTTACTTGTTTTTTTTCTCAAATCAGATGTGCAGCAAGACTTGCAAAAAAAGGGCATCAAAGCAAACAGATTGACACATGAAACTCCCTGTCACAAGGAGGATATCGAAGCAAACAGATCAACACATGAAACTCCCTGTCACAAGGAGGATATCCTCACCAAATCCCACACCTCTTCCCGTGTCATTCTTGAAAATGTTGAGGAATTTTTCGACAAGCCTGATGTGTTAAATCTGCTTGTAGAGAATATCAGTGGACTCTCAGAAGGAAGTGATTTTGAGATTGAACAGATAAGTGAGAGAAATGCCGCAGTGATAACCTTTCAGCAAAGCATCGGTAAGAAATGGTAACTTTGTGTTGCTTGACAATTTCACATTGGGAGAATTGTTGGCGTTGATTCCTTTTAAAACGATTCCATTAAAATACCTGTGAAGTTCACATATTCTTGGCTTCTCAGGTTACTGGTCTGTTTTTGGAGCGTTCAAGATAAAAGCTTGATCCTAACTGTAGTTAAAAGTTTATGTAAATGGCCTTTCCAAACTTAGTGCCCTTCCCATACTTTGGTCTGTAATCTCAGTCATACCTGGCCATTGGGCTATACAGGCTGGGGATGATGGGAGTTGTATTCCAGAAAATCTGGACTACAACAGGTTGACGAAGGCTGGTGTAAACATGTTTGCTACACAGTTTCTTTCCAGAAGTATTCCAAACTGCACACTTTCCCAATTCCGTTCCTCTGAATTCTTAATTAATGGTTAGTCCACTCCTTTCCATTTCAGTGTAAAAGTCTTTGCTTGTCACTATGCTGCTCAGTTCCCATATTTCCATGGCTCTTCACTTTTGTTACATTCTTAACAGATAATTTGAATTTTCATTTGGATGTAGCATTGCTCAGTATTTTAGCACCGGCTGAAGGAAAGAGTGAAAGGCAAAACTCGGTCACTGAAGGAAATGGCAACATAGTGAGTTGGCGCAGTAACATAAGAATTGACTCTTTTGGGGAAAGTATATCTAGTTCAGTATTCTTTTTCTGAGCAGGTGTACGCAGCACACCCACAGATGTTCACCCAGCCCCTTTCCCCTCCCAACTTTCAGTTTTAGATTACTCTGTTCATGGCAGATGGGCGGGGTATAAATAATAAATTCTTAAAGGTAAAGGTAAAGGTACCCCTGCCCGTACGGGCCAGTCTTGACAGACTCTAGGGTTGTGTGCGCATCTCACTCTAGAGGCCGGGAGCCAGCGCTGTCCGCAGACACTTCCGGGTCACGTGGCCAGCGTGACAAGCTGCATCTGGCGAGCCAGCGCAGCACATGGAAACGCCGTTTACCTTCCCGCCAGTAAGCGGTCCCTATTTATCTACTTGCACCCGGGGGTGCTTTCGAACTGCTAGGTTGGCAGGCGCTGGGACCGAGCAACGGGAGCGCACCCCGCCATGGGGATTCGAACCACCGACCTTTCGATCGGCAAGTCCTGGGCACTGAGGTTTTACCCGCAGCGCCACCCGCGTCCCAATAAATTCTTACTCTTATCTTGTCTTGGTCATGCCTTGGTTCCTGATTTCTTTGCACTGTCTGTGGTTGCTCTTTAAAGAGGAACAAAGGATAGCACTGAGGAATCTGAGCCTCACTGAGTAAGGTTATAAGGCTGCAGGACCACTCAGGGACAGGCGAATTCAAAAAATCTTTGAGTAGGGATTGGCTTGCCTTTCTAAAGATGAAGTGGCTGAAGGTTTTTTCTTTTCTTCCAGAAAAAGAGGCACCAGCTTGGTTGCCCTCAGCCCCTTTGTAATTCTGGATAGAATGGGAAAAGCGTTGTGCTATGATGAGCATTATCTGGCAGGGTCTTTTTGGTGGTGGGGCATAATAATTGCTCCTGTTGGTGACCTGAGCTGTTTTTTCTTTAAAGCTAATCTCACCTGAAATTTCTTAAGATTCCTATCCCCCCTGTCCCATGCGCCAAACCAATTTTGAGCAATAATAACAACTGTGAATGACAGTAACATCTGTGAATGATCACAGTAGAGCAAGAAATAATTGCCTGATAAGACTTTTGCCTTTTCTTTTCAGATGCTGCAAATTTTGTATCCCAGTGTCACAGGAACATCAGGTTTAAAGAATTCAAAATTACTGCCAAGCTGCTTGAATTGACGCAGACGATCAAAGTTGAAAATATCCCGTCAGGAGTACCCAAAGATTATTTAATTCTCTATTTTGAAAGTTCAAAGCATGGAGGAGGACAAGTGTCTAGTATTCAAATGTCACCTGAGGAGAATTCAGCCATCGTTACTTTTTGTGACCACCAAGGTAGTATATTCTATTTTTGTAGGTGACTGAAAAAACAAAACAAAAAAATTGCTAGTGGGATGGCTCAAAAGCAGGAGCTCTGTTAATGGCTTCTTGGAGATTGAGGCGTTGGTGGATTTTAAGGTCATAAAATAATCACAACTGTCATTCACAAGTCAAGGGAAGAACTGTACTGTATTGATAATCCAAATGGCAGGATCAGCAGGGGAGGTAGCACGAGAATGGTGATGAACCATAGGCCTGGAAAGTTTTAACCTTCCAAGCCTTCCAGGGCACCTCCAAGCATGTATTATGGCAGGGATGGGGTACCTTTTTTGGCCAGGAGGACCAGGTCCTTATCAGATCCTATCCTCATGGGCTAAAGTTGACAAGTGGGTGGGGCTGCTTGCGTGTCCATCACCTCACCTTGCAATGATGTCAGGTGATTGGGCCCTTGAAAGCATGCACAAAGCACTTTGTGTCTGGACTTCAAAGCATCACGCAGGACTTGCAAAGAGCCCTGGAGCTGCTTTGAAGCACCTGAGGCTTTCTTTTCACCTGCGGGTATCTTTCCTGTGGAGAACTCAACTGTGTGGCCCATCCAGCAGTCTTCAGCTCTATTGCACATCAGCCTGCTCTCCTTTGCCTCTGTACTACTGGAAGCACACTTTAAGGGTCACAGTTGTGTGTTGGCAGTTGCATCTCTTTGCCCCCCCCATAGAATAATATACCACTGGAATCGTTCCTCCACTTTGGATTAGGCCTGTGTGCTGAATCTGTTGAGCCAGAGCGTTCTGTTTACCACAGCCTCTGACACAGAGAAGTGCTTTCTCTTTCAGTTGTGATCTATTAAGAACAACTCAGTGCTTTCTTTCAGCTTTTGAGCAGAGAACATTGCATAATAATAACAATGATTTATTATTTATACCCCGCTCATCTGGCTGGGTTTCCCCAGCCGCTCTAGGCAGCTCCCAACAGAATAAAAATGCGATAAAATACCAAACATTTAAAACTTCCTGATACAGGGCTGCCTTCAGATGTCTTTTAAAAGTAAGATAGCTGCTTATTGCCTTGACATTTGATGGGAGGGCGTTCCATAGGGCGGGCGCCACTACCAAGAAGGTCTTCTGCCTGGTTCCCTGTAACCTCACTTCTCACAGTGAGGGAACTGCCAGAAGGCCCTTGGAGCTGGACTTCAGTGTCTGGGCAGAACGATGGTGGTGGAGACGCACCTTCAGGTATAGTGGGCTTGAGGCTGTTTAGGGCTTTAAAGGTCAGCACCAACACTTTGAATTGTGCTTGGAAACGTACTGGGAGGGTACATTGCTTATAAGAGAGTGAGAGTAGTTTCCCCTGTCCCCAGTTGATTTATTTTTCAAAACTTCATCTTTTATCAGTGGCTACATATTTCCAGAACATTTCATGATAATAGTTTCCTGGTTTCTTACTGACTTATACTAGAACTGCAAGGAAAGGTGGTGAGGGGAATCAGTTATTAAGTCCCCTCACCAGCAGCAGTGCTTTCAGCTAACCCAACAAAATGTTTTAATTTCAGCTAATCCAAGAAAAGGATTTAATATGAGCTGAGAATCAGAACCTGCTCAGTCCCCTGCTCAGTCACAGAAATATAACCTTTGAGCATGAGTGTTTCTTTCACTACCAAGTTGCTAATAGTCGTGTTTAGGAGAACAAAGGAGAGAGTTTGTGAACAAAAGCAGCACGAAAGGCAATAAAAAGGTTGTGTTCATCTCACAGTTAAGCCAGGAACTGTGGTTTATAGCGCATGAGCCAGTTGTGCTCACTTTGCTTTTCCATGCTTTCACTGTAAGGAAACAAACCGTGAACTGTTTCTGTAAGGATTACAAGCCATTGGGTGTACTTTCAAGTCATTTCTGAGGCAGCCATCTTTGAGTGGTCTATGCATTTGAGGGATTTGGCATGGTAGAATATTAAGTGTGTTTTATTTTAATCTTTTTTCCCTTTTTTTTAGCTGTGCAGGCAGCATTGGAAAAGCAGCATTTTTTTGACAATCAACCAGTTTCAGTTTATCCATACTACGGTTCTTTAGATATGGTTTTGTATGGAAAGGAGAGGGCTGAAATCAAGATGCCAGACCCCGTCAGAGTCCCCTTAGATCCTTATATCTGGCAGTTTCTACAGGGGAAGGATGGCCTGGTCCAAGAAATAAATCAAGAAATGGCAAAGTGTCACAGTGAGCTAACGTGGCCTCAGGCGACTTGCAAACAGCCAGAGGTTGTGATACACCCTTCAGCTGCCTTATCTAAACAAGGAAGGTCAATGAGGGAACTGATCAAGACTTGGAAGGATAAAATTTCTATGGAGTTTACACGCATCATGTCCAAGTTCAAGGCTGTTCAATGCAAAACCATCCCAGCAGCATGGCCTACTATAGAAAACAATTTGATAAAGGATGTTTTGGCAATTTGGGATGTTTCCAAAGAAACAGTTACCCTCGCCGGTTTTGTATTTACTGTGGACGGTGTGAAGAAATCGATAAACGAATACATGGAAAATTTGACCAAAGATGCAGAAAGAGCTAAGCAAACTATACGTGAAACTTTGGCAGTCACCCCGGGGAAGTATGCTGTTCTGCAGCAGGTTTTGCTTGAAGAGAACGTCTATAAAGAGAACCCAGACCTTAAGTTCTCTTACGATACTTCAGCAGAGATGGTGCAGCTGAGTGGAATGGTTGCGGAAGTCTATAAGATGAAATGTGCCCTACAGGAGAAGCTGTATAACATAAAGGAGAAAAAAGTCAACACCCCCCCTGCAATATTTCAATTCCTACAGCATGCAAATAACAGAAAGGTAACAGTGATCATATTTGGTGCAAATAAAATCAATGCCTCCTATGAACTTCAATATGATTCTGTAGCATTATTCGGATATCTTGATGACAGTCTCTTGAAAGCAGAGGAGCAAATGATGAAAAACCTAGCTCATAAATCTATTACTTTGATGAACCGTGAACTTGTCAACAAAAGGGAATGGAAAGAACTCACTGAGCGATTGCATAAGAAGCACAATTCTGTTGAGGTAGCTTTTGTAATTGATGTTTGCCTCACTTTGGAAGAAGAGGCCAAAGTAACCATTGCTGGTTATACAAAAGCTGTAGTAGATGTTTATCAGGTGCTTTCTGACTTCGTTGAAAAAAACACACAAATTCGAAAAGTAATCCCTGCCAAGGCTGTGGCCGTTGTGCAGTTTATGGAGAAGGAAAAGGGCAACGTTTGGCAGAATCTGAGGAAGAATGGCCTGAAAATCAATTTTGGGCAGCAAGCTCAGGAGAAGAATATTATCCTGAGTGGGCCTAGAGCAGATGTGATGAAAGCTGCTGCTGTGGTTGAACAAGAGCTGTCTTTACTGTATTTTGTTACCGTGTCATTTGATAAACCGGGAGTGAAAAATTTCTTCAAAACCCGAGAACATACCTACATTACTGAGGCAAAGCAAACCTTTCACTGTTTGATCAGGCTGCAGAAAGAAGGAGAAGATAAAGGAAACTTTGATGAAAAACTAGGGCACCCTCACGCTAAAATAATTTTAAAACATGGTGTTGTGGTAGAGGCTTATAAGGGTGACTTGACCCGTTCCTTGGTTGATGTTGTGGTCAATGCATCCAATGAAGACCTCAAGCACATTGGTGGCCTTGCAGATGCCCTGTTAAAAGCGGCTGGCCCACAGCTGCAAAGTGAGTGTGATGACCTAGTCAGGAAGCATGGACGTTTGAAGCCTGGCCGTGCAATTAGAACACATGCTTGGAATCTGCCATGTAAAGAATTGATCCATGCAGTTGGGCCGAGGTGGAACAGTTCAGAAAAAGAAAAATGTACACGACTGTTAAAGGAGGCTGTGAAGCGAAGCTTAAACCTGGCAGAAACATATAACCATCGCTCCATAGCCATCCCTGCCATAAGCTCTGGGATTTTTGGGTTTCCATTAGAAGAGTGTGCCCATACCATTGTAGCATCCATTAAGGAACACTTGGAAGAAACCACTGAGAGTGGTTGCCTGAAACAGATCTGCCTTGTGGATGTGTCAGATAATACAGTCCAGGCTCTTGCTGATGCTTTGAATGAAATATTCGGAGAGGGGTCACCCAAACCCAAATTACTGCCCAAACCCAAATTACCGCTCAGTCAGCCCAAGGAAATGGGAGAGAACGTTCATGTGGTGACTTCTGCTGAAGGTGTGAAACTGATACTTGAGGAAAAAGGCATTGAAGATGCAACGGTAAGCATGTGAAATGACCCACAAAGCATTTTTCCAAATGCATGTTGAACTTCTCTTTTTGTGTTTAAATAGAGAATTACAAATTAATTTGAATTGTAAAGCTCTTGTTAAAACAGGCGTGGCCAGCAGAGTGCCCTCCACATACAAGTCCCTGCAGCTCTCACCAGTGGACATGTGCCGCTTGAGAGTTCAGCAACATTTAAAGGGCATCATACTGGTTACCCCTAGGAGATTTTTAAACTGGGTTGTCCAACATGGCTCCTGGAGGCACACATTCAGAGGCTTTCCATAATACCCAGAGGATACCCTCTATGTGCTGAAATTAGGCTTGAAAGAAGCATACTGTTTTATTATCCATCCATCCATTCATCGCATTTATATACTGCCTTTCTGCCAAGGCACAGAAGGTGGCTTACAATTTTAAAGGGCTAAAACAAGTGATATAATGTTTGAGGTTGGCTGAGGGAGGAGTCACTCTGACTGGAGCAGGGCCTGAAGTTGTCTGTACCTGCCTCCCTTTGCCCTTTTCCTCCTCCTCAAAGGGCAGATGGCATATTGTAGCCATTAGAGTAGGTTGTTGTCAGGGTGGATGTAATAATGATAACAGTTTTTCTGTTTTCCAAACATGCCTATTTGTTCCAAAAACCAAAATGCCATCCTTATGTTCCATGATTTACAAGGCTGTTTTCCTTAAAGAGATGATGACTTGGAATCAGAGATTTGCTTTAATATGTTTGGTTTAGAAAAAAAGCATCTCATATGACCTGGGGATAGGGAAGAAAAGACTACAAATTGCATTTATTTTATGCCAAACCAATACAAAATAAGTGCATGGTGTTTCAGTGATCTCATCCACAAATAAAAAATAGCTTTGCATGATGATGATTGAAAACCTGGTGTTTACAAATATGATGGTTTGCTTGTTGCGGATATTCCTGCTCAAATTGGACTACTGAATAATAATTTACGATGGTCATCTGTGACTGATGAAAGCATAATAATGTCTTGCTGGCTCTTGTCTGTGATCCAAGAGTGGTCAGATGCCCCTGGAAAATTTAAAAGCAAGGCATGACTCTGTGGCTTGATATATGTAACCCCCTTGCAAGTATTTTTATGAGTGTTATGGTTACAGACCGACGTTGTCGTGAGCAGTATTGGAACTGATCTGAAGCTTGGTGTGGGTCCACTTTCCAAGGCTGTGCTGCAGAAGGCAGGACCAATGCTCCAAGCCCAGTTTGATCAAGCAATCCAAAGCCAAGGTGCTGAGGGCAGCTGTGTGATCCAAACAGGCGGATATAACCTGGCCTGTTCCATTGTGCTCCATGCCGTCATTCCCCAATGGGATGCCGGAAAAGGACCTGCAATTCAGGTAATTGCTTCATACCCTTGACCACATTAATTGTGGTGGAATGTAAAATACACAAGTCCTATGTTCCCCCACCCCACCCCAGGGACTCACAACAGCCCCAGCTAAGACGATCTCGCAAGTAAAGTGGTCCTGAGTTGTTTTGGGGATTTATATACAATCAAACTTTGGTTCCTGAATGGCTTAGTTGCCGAACATACTGACTCCCAAACACCGCAAACCCAGAAGTAAGTGTTCCAGTTTGCCAACATTTTTTGGAACATTTGACGTGGCTTCTGCTTGAGTGCAGGAAGCTCCTGCAGCCAATCAGAAGCTGCTCCTTAGTTTTCGAATGATTTTGGAGTCGAACGGACTCACAGAACGGATTAAGTTCAAGAACCAAGGTACCACTGTACTAATAGCAACACCTTGAACTTGGCCCTAGCAAATGGGCAACCACTGCAGATCTCTTGAGCACAGGTGCTGTATGCTGGCAAGGCCTCAATCCTGTCAGCAATTGTGTACAGCAATCCTGTCAGCAATAGTACAGCAATCTGCGCTAACTGCAGCTTCCAGGTGAATTGCAAGGGAAGCCCCACATAATAGAGCACATTGCAGTAATCCAGTCTTGAAGCATCTGGTGCATGGACTACAGTGGCCAAGCAGATGCATTAATTAGAGTTGGTGAAAGGCACTTTTAGCCACAGAAGCTACCTGAGCCTTTGGTGACAGAGATGCATCCAGAAGCACCCCAAAACTGCGAGCCTGGTAGTGTGGGCCATGCTGAGCTAGGCGGACCAGTGGTCTAAATATATGGCAGTTTCCCATGAACCTTTCCAATGTTGCTTGAAGCACCTTTTCCACAGCCCACCTCTGGCTACTAGAACTGAAGTGTTTGAAGCAATGGAGTATTATGAGTTAAGGTTGGGTTACCTAGCTTGGCACTGGGTTTGAACATGCCCTTAATTGGTATATTGATAATGCACACAAGGAGGAGGCAGATGTTCTGGCTTGAATGGCTAAAAATCATATCTGAAGATACCTGGGTGTATATTTTACAGAAGCTTAAGGATATTGTGAGAGAATGCCTGGAGAACACTGAACAGCTGTCGTTGAGCTCTATCTCCTTCCCAGCGCTTGGAACAGGAGGTTTTCACTTTCCAAAATCTGAAGTTGCTAAATTAATGTTTGAGGAGGTGCTTCAGTTCAGTAGCAGGAAGAATTTGAAGTCCCTTCAGGAAGTTCGCTTTCTCTTGCATCCAAATGATAAAGACAACAAACAGGTAATGTGATTGCTTTCCTGTCTTAAATTGTTCCAAATGTTGGTTTGCAAATACTATACTTGATAATATTAAGTCATTTTTTTGTCTCCAGTTCTAGAACTGTGTTCTGTTCCTACATTGGGGGGGGGGTCGGATCTCAGAAACCTTGGGGGTAACGCTTTGGTTTTCTTTCCAGGTCTTCTCACAAGTGTTCTCTCAAGCTTCTGGAATTTCCATGGGTGTTCCCCCGAGTGATGGAGACAGTACAGGCAAGTTGACTTGTTCAGTTGCAGCCGAATTCTGATCTCTCCGGCCCTCTTTGATGATGAATAAACAGCTACATGTGAAAATGAATTTGGACTGTGGCTCTGGGGGAGGGATTTTAACCCCATTTCCCTTTCCTCTTTTGAAATTGCCTACCTCTTAGGGAGCTAAGAGGAGCTTCAGTCAGGGAAACATGAAATAATTGTTGGCTCCTACTTCCCCACTCCAAAATACCTCTCTTCAGAAGCTGCTACAGTGCTACCTCAGTTCTCGAACAAAATCTGTTCCGGAAGCCTGTTTGGCTCCCGAATCATTCAAAAACTGAGGCGTGGCTTCCCATTGGTTGCAAGAGCTTCTTGCACTCAGTGGAAGCCGCGTCGCACATTCAGGTTCCAAAAAATGTTCAAAAACAGAAGCATTTACTTCTGGGTTTTCAGCGTTTGAGAACCAAAACGTGTGACAACGGTGGTGTTTGGGAACCGATGTTCCACTGTAATAACATTTTTTAAAAATTGTGTTAGTTCCTGGTTACTGATCTTTGTGTTGCTTCAACCTTCATCTTTTGTAGCAAAATGAACAGTTTTCTGCATTGGTTATATTCTCCTGCTTCTTTGTTCACTCTCAGGTTTCTTTGGGCCTGTTTCAACCCCTAGTTTGGGAATTCATGAAATGCAGATTGGATCAGTTCTATTTCAAATAGTAACAGGAGACATCACAAAGGAAAATACAGATGTAATTGTAAACTTAACAAATGCAACATTTGATTCCAAAACAGGTACTGAATTTCAGTTAATTTATCTATTGTCCTGAATTTATGTTGATGATGATTTAACTGGGAAATGGGAAAAAGCATTTTAATATGCAAACACGTTGCTGGATACGTGTGTGTATGTTTGTGACATCCACTCAGATAGCTGCAAAATGGGATCAGAAGATGGATTTTATGTAGCATCACTATACTACACTGGTTCAAACTATAGTATACCTATAATACAATGTCTAATGTGATTTCTGACAAGTTTGACATGTAAGTTATAGAGATGTAATTTTAAGCATTTGTTGGTGTTACTTGCAAAAGTGAGCTGAGTTTTGAATAGCTTTTATTACCTACAGTAATAAACTGTCTCCCTCTGATTTTTGAAGGTGTCTCCAAAGCAATTTTGGAAGGTGGTGGACCTCAAGTTGTAGCAGAGTGTGCGCTACATGGTATGACACAACAAACGGTCCGATTCAGTTAGATAATATTTAAAGTTCTTTCATAGAGAGGAACTGCTCATGTCTCATTGTAGATTTGATTATTTCCTAATCAGCTATTATAGGGAGTGGGGTTATTGGGGCTAGATGAATCGTTATGCTGTATAATATGCAGTTGTAATCTGTAGTTTCTCGGTGCTGGGAAGATTCTCGTTATCACAAGATGTGCATTGGCACATTTCCAACTAGAAGGATGTTGCATGCTAGCACGAGAAGCAGAATACTGTTGCCTACTGCATAATACTTAAAAAGTATAATGGGGAGGGATGCAGTTTGTATGATTGTACCCACACTTGAGTTGGCCTGCCTTTTGGGGGACATCTGCTGACAGAGGAGAAAGTGTACCTTATGCATCAGGGATAACCATTCTCAATTCCCTAAATATGATCTGGATGGGGCATCCCATGTCCTTTTTACACAAAGCTCTGGATGTTATACACTTCTTTCTCTTCTCTTCTCTTCTCTTCTCTTCTCTTCTCTTCTCTTCCTTCTCTTCTCTTTCAAAAACATAAACCAGTGTATAATAGCATGCAGCTGAAAAAAATCATCTAGGTGGGAAGTAATCTTGATACACAATAGGGTGATCTGTTACCAAATCTTTGTGCTGTAGGGCATAGCTTTTAATGAAAAGTAAGTTTTATCTTGCACAGGGACGCGGGTGGCGCTGTGGGTAAAACCTCAGCGCCTAGGACTTGCCGATCGCATGGTCGGCGGTTCGAATCCCCGCGGCGGGGTGAGCTCCCGTTCCTTGATCCCTGCTCCTGCCCACCTAGCAGTTCGAAAGCACCCTTAAGTGCAAGTAGATAAATAGGTACCGCTTTCTAGCGGGAAGGTAAACGGCGTTTCCGTGTGCTGCTCTGGTGCCGGTTCTCTCTTTGGCAGCTTCTGACCTTTCCTAACTCCTGGCACTGAATGTGAGTGAGCCTGGTACAAAATGAAATGTATGTTCTCTGTGCACATAGCCAGAAAATGTATCGGAGGTATCTACCCAGCATGGGACGGGACCCCCCAAAATATGGGCAATGTGCAGAGAAAACTCGCTTTGTTTGAGACAATGAAGGGCAGACAGTTGCCAAAAAGAGATTCCTAGTTGCTGCTGGCCACCTGCAGACCATCTCTTTCGACCTGCTAATATTTGTAATCTATGCCAAAGGCATTTCATTCTGCAATATGTCATTCACTGACAATGAACAACTACTGGGAATTTAGACTTGTGTTGATTAAGTATGAATATACAGCTTGTCATCCTTTTTTTCTTTTAGGCTCACAGTCTCACAATGGATTTATAACCACGCAAGCTGGCAATCTGGTCTGTAAGAAAATAATCCACCTTGCGCCCAATTCTGATACCAAAAATCAGATCTCCATAGTGCTCAGTGAATGTGAAGCAAAGAAGTATACATCTGTTGCCTTCCCTGCAATTGGAACAGGTTTGCAAATAAGGTTTCATTTAAGGAGCGAAGGGCAGAATTCTAGTGGAAAGTTTCACCTATTAATAGGTCACTGTCGTTAGGGCATTTGAGTTCCTGGAATAAATTTCAAAGGCAATTCTAGTGGGCTGGCTGCCCGTACACTGCCAGGCCAGGTTCAAGGTTCTTGCATTAATTCACAAAACTTTAACCAATTTGGGTGCAGGATACCTTAAGGATCACCTGCACAGTTCATATCCACCAAGAGCCACATGTTCAATGTTGCTCGATCATGCAGGCAATGCTGGGATCTTGAAATATCAATAGAGCAGTTCAGAATATCAAAATAACAAATAATTGATGACAACAAAGGTCCACATTTAAAGCAGCATAATTAATGGAAAAACACCGCCTGGTGTGGAGAGGACTACAGGTGGAAACATCATTCCTTTTCCTATCATTCTGTTTGGCACCATTGCTTTTCTGCTGTGCTTTCCCACCTCCTCATTCCAGAAATGACAGAGGGTTGCTGCAGCCATAAGGGCTCGCACACTTGCATTCTGTTACCATACATTCCCGTGTATAAGACTAGGTTTATTTCCTTAAAAATCATGGTAAAAAGTGGGGGTCGTCTTATACCTTGGTAGTGCATAGGGTAGACGTTTCATTTGTTGCTGCCGCAGCTGTCAACAACTATTGTGCATGTTATTGGTTGCTGCATTAATGGGTGGTGGTGAAATTTCTGAAATTTCCTGAAATTTCAGTCCCCCAAAATAGGGGGATCTTATACATGGGAGCATCTTATACATGGAAAAGTACAGTAATTTGGAAGAATGTTTTCTGTGGGGAGAGCAGGAAGACAAGTGGTCTAACCTGTCTGCTGGCCATATGGAACTTGTGATGGGCATTTGTTTCGCCTCATTAAGGTGCTCTTTTTTAACATCAGATGCGGGGGAAGGAAGGAGCTATGGGGTTCACTCCTTTGCTCAGCTGATCATTGCTTGTCAGCCATGTTGAACTGGTGGAAGGAAATAGGATCTTCTATATTTTAAAATGAAAGTGCAGACACTTACACTAGCACCTGTTTGTGTTTTCTTTTGTGAGATGAGCAGCCCCTTTCCATTTTGTGCATAATGCATTTATTCTTCTCTGGATACAGGCCAGGCAGGGAAGAACCCAGCAGACGCAGCTGATGACATGATTGGTGCAGTTGCTGACTTTGTGGGCAAAGTACCACTGCAGTATTTGCAAATGATCAAAATAGTTATTTTCCAGCCGCATATGCAGAATGCTTTTTATGCCTCTATGAAAAAGAAAGAAGGTGCTGCATTACCCACCTCTAAATCTGTGTTTTCTAAAATTAAAGGTAAGTGCAGAGGGGTATATCCTTCATATTCCTGGCACGATGTCTTGTAATATTTCTTTGGCATATTTAACAGAACGTCTCTTTCTCTGCAGATTTTATCTCTGGTAAGAAAAAAACCCCTGGAAAGAAACGTCAGTTGGTTGTGGAAACCAAGGTGGAGGTTGCCGTGTTTGAAGTCTGTGGTGAAAGCAGAGAAAATGTTCAGGAGGCCGAGTCCTGGTTAAAGAAAATGATTCTTCGGGAACAGACAGAAAAGCTTATCTCTGATGAATCAATAGATTTGTTTGGTGATGAAGAAATTAAGGAACTGAACAACCTCCAGAAAAGACTGCATATTGCCATTCAGCTGGAAAGAAAGCAATCTCCACCTTTCATTCTCGTATCGGGCATTCCTCGTGATGTCCTGGAAGCCTACACACAAATTGATGACCTGGTCAAGAAAATTAAACGTGACCGGGAAGAGCAATCCAAGGCAGAACTTGCTCACAATTTGGTCGAGTGGCAATATTCCACAAAAGGGAATGATTTTGCGCCTTTTGACAAGTTAAGCAATCTTCATTTGGAAGATGCTAGAATGAGTAAGAAAAACACGAAGGTCCAAATTCTCGGAAGGAGCTACACAGCAGACACCAGAAAAATGTGTGCTGTGGATGGCCAAGGAAAAACTGTAAACATTAAGCGCATTGTAAAGGAGGAAGGTAATGAGGGGCTTAACTAATCAAGGCCTAGGTTAGTGCCTGTATTCCTTTTGGGTGTGTTGGATTCCCAATAGTGCAGGGATGGGGAACTTTTTCACCTCAAAGATTGTTTTCCCTTCTGGGGGCCACGTGCTGGTTTGGCATCACCAAAAACGAGTGGGCAAAGCAACAAATGTATGTAACTTTTACCTCTGTCCAGTGGGCTAGTTTCTGCACTCACTCACCTATTCCTCCCTATCCTCCCTCCAGAGAATCAAGAGGCGTTATCAGAGCTTAAGGACCACTTTCTATCCAAGCAAAAGAATTTGGAATGGGAAGCGGGCTCAGTGAGGGGTGTGGCCTGGAAGGAGAGGGTGTGGCCTGGGCAGAGTTCTGAGGGCATGGAATGTGGCATTTGGTCACTAGGCTTGAGGTTCCCTACTGCTCGGTGGGTGAATGTGACCTCGCTAAAATACCTCCCTCAGGAAGTAACAGCAAGAATCAGCTTGCTCCTGAGTGCTGGAAGGGATGTGGTGGCAGTTGATGGCATGAAACAGTAGACTCCTTCATAGCTCAAATTCCCAAACTCCAGAGCTTAAAACAAACCTCTATACTTACACACATCTTTAATTTGTAATGTCAGTGTCAGGGGTCACCAGTGTATTACAGCTGTACCCATAAAGTTTTCCCTCGGCACCTCCAAGGCCTCTCAGCCCTCAGTCTCACTGTTCCCTTGGACATACAGTGGTGAGGGCATTTACTTTTTTTCTCCTTTGAAAAGTCCATAGAGCAGGAGGAGGAAGTTGCAAGAGTGGCACTCTTTCCTATTTCCTCTTTCAACTGTTTGTATTTTCTAAGCCTCAGATTAATTTTACTGGGTCCAACTTTTACTTAGATCACTTGGAAAAAAGTTTGTGTGTTCATGTTTTCACTCTTTTTGCCTCTCAGGGTGGGCGCGAAGGGTGCTGACCCAAGGGAAGGGAAGGGGAGGGGAGGGAGCGGATGGCTCCTTCAGCACACAAATATCCAAATGTGCTCACCCTTTCCAGGTGGACCGTCAGTACCTGTCCCTACACAATGGGAAGATATGAAGGGACATCGTGTCAAGATGGTTTTGCTGCAACCGGCAGCAGCAGAATACAAAGAAGTTGAAAAGAAATTCCGGAGTAGCTGCCCTACAAACAAAATAGAAAAGGTGAAGTATGGAAGAGGCAACAAGCTCGGGGAGCATGTTCCCCTTACAAGCATGCATCGTTGAGTTGTATCGAAATGCTGTACAACGTTGTCAGACCCTCATGTAATATCCAGACACACAATATGTCCATGCAACTGAAGAGTGTGCATGCGTAAAAGCTGTCATAGTTAGGATATCCCCTTTCCTTCAGCTACAATTCCTATTTACATTCAGTTATATGGAATAACTGTCCATATGCCCTTCACATTGTCTCTGAAGCTGGGAATAGGAGCATTATTTGCGTTCACTTAAAATCAAGCTACTGAGCTTAGTGATGAGTTCAGCTTGCAAACAGGGCTTCTCAGCCTTGTGTTTGCTGAATAATGGGACCCCATTATGGGACTCTTTCAGGGAGAAGCAGCAGGTGCGTTTCTTAAGCATTCCCCACCTACTGATTTTCCTCTGTAACACTTGGATGATGACAAAGCCAGCGTGGTGAAGAAGATTGGTAGTGGGGAGTAGTGGTAGGGAGCGGGAGGCGCTGTGGTCTAAACCACTGATTTTCTTGGGCTTGCCGATCAGAAGGTCAACAGTTCAAATCCGTGCGACGGGGTGAGCTCCCGTTGCTCAGTCCCAGCTTCTGCCAACCTAGCAGTTTGAAAGCACACCAATGCAAGTAGATAAATAGATACCGTTGCGGCAGGAAGGTAAATGGCATTTCCGTGCACTCTGGCTTCCATCACGGTGTCCTGTTGTGCCAGAAGTGGCTTAGTCATGCTGGCCACATGACCTGGTAACTATCTGTGGACAAACGCCAGCTCCTTCGGCTTGAAGCGAGATGAGTGCCACAATCCCATAGTCGCCTTTGACTGGACTTAACCGTCCAGGGGACTTTTACTTTCTTGTTCCCTTCTGTTGCTGTTTCCCTGTAAATGCCACCCCTTTATGTTAATTAAGCATGGGGTTTGGAATACAGTGGTACCTCGGGTTACATACTCTTCAGGTAACATACGCTTCAGGTTACAGACTCCCCTAACCCAGAAATAGTACCTCAGGTTTAGAACTTTGCTTCAGGATGAGAACAGAAATCGTGCTCCTGTGGCGTGGCGGCAGCAGGAGGGCCCATTAGCTAAAGTGGTGCTCCAGGTTAAGAACAGTTTCAGGTTAAGAACGGACCTCCGGAACGAATTAAGTACTTAACCCGAGATACCACTGTATGTGCATGTTGACATAGTGTGTAGTTGTGCCCTTTTAATGTTTCAATGAGACCCATAATCTGTTTTTACAACCAGATACTGTCTTTTTCTTTTTCTTAATCTCTCTCAATGTTGTATTTTCTTTGCAACTTTTGTAGATTGAGAGAGTTCAGAATCCTTACCTTTGGAAATCCTACCAACTCAAAAAGCAGGATATGGATAAGAAGAACACCCATGACAAAAATGAACAGATTCTGTTCCATGGGACTCCTGCTTCCACGGTGACCCCCATTAACCACACTGGATTTAATCGCAGTTATGCTGGAAAGAACGGTAAGTCAATCTGAAATTAGGAATTAGGTAATTTACTAAAGGAATGTGATAGCGAGTGTGATTTGCAAACCGCTCTAAAAAGCAGATAAAGAAATACCTACAATTCAGTAGTGAATGATCCCCTCTATATCAGAGTGGGGAACCTGGATATTGCCCCCATCAAGTTGTTGGATTCCTGTTCCCATTAGACTCAGCCAATATGGCTGGGTCAGTAATAATGGGAGTTGTAGTCCAACAACATCTGGACAGCCACAGGTTTCTAAGTTTAAAAAAAACGGGAACTTGCTTTCTTATAGCCAAATACCTTTTAATGTCTTTTCAGAAATTAGTCTTGCTATTTTGAATAAGACTTTTATACAGGAAAGCAAAGGAGGTGCGAGAGACTTCAGTTGGAACACCTTTGAGAGATTCAGTGGAGAATTCTGCCTTAAAATAAAAACGAAAGGAGATGTTAGTATTGGAAAGGAACACATTATATAAAGAAACAAAACATGTGCCCATGTGGGAACTGTGGGTAACATGTATGCCATCTTGGTTCCCAGATGGAGGAAAAGTGAGATACAGTGGTACCTCGGGTTACAGATGCTTCAGGTTACATACGCTTCAGGTTACAGACTCCGCTAACCCAGAAATAGTACCTTGGGTTAAGAACTTTGCTTCAGGATGAGAACAGAAATCGTGCTCCAGCGGCACAGTGGCAGTGGGAGGCCCCATTAGCTAAAGTGGTGCTTCAGGTTAAGAACAGTTTCAGGTTAAGAACGGACCTCCAGAACGAATTAAGTTCTTAACCTGAGGTACCACTGTATAAATGTAAGAAACTAAGTAAATCCCTCTTCCAGTTGATGTGTTTTTATACAAGGCATTTTTCCATTTAAGGAGAAAAATGGTTAATGTACCTAATTTTTTGCCTTCAAAAGCAGGAACTTGTAATAATAGTAATAATAGACAAAAGTAATGATATAATAAAATAAAAGTAATAACAGTAATAGTAATAATATAATATATTCATATCCCACCCTTCTCCCAAGTTGTGATTCAAGGTGACTTAACAATATTTAAAAGCATCATTATAAAATAGAATTAAACTAGTTAAAAGACAATAGTGAAAATACATCAGAACACATATAAAACCAGAAATTAAAACACAGAATGCCCTGAGCGCACAGACCAGTGATCAGCATCATCTGCAACTTAGTTTTCAAAGGCTGTCTGAATAGGAAGGTGTTAATTCTGTGTTCAGGGCGGCTGTCTACCAGCTCCATCTGGTACGCAGGCTGAGACCCTACCTGCCTGTGGACTGTCTTGCCAGAGTGGTGCATGCTCTAGTTATCTCCCGCTTGGACTACTGCAATGTGTTCTACGTGGGTCTACCTTTGAAGGTGACCCGGAAACTGCAATTAATCCAGAATGCGGCAGCTAGACTGGTGACTGGGAGTGGCCGCCGGGTCCACATAACACCAGTCCTGAGAGATCTGCATTGGCTCCCAGTACGTTTCCTAGCACGATTCAAAGTGTTGGTGCTGACCTTTAAAGCCCTAAACGGCCTTGGTCCTGTATACCTGAAGGAGCGTCTCCACCCCCATCGTTCAGCCCGGACACTGAGGTCCAGCGCCGAGGGCCTTCTGGCGGTTCCCTCATTGCGAGAAGTGAGGTTACAGGGAACCAGACAGAGGGCCTTCTCGGTAGTGGCGCCCGCCCTGTGGAAGGCCCTCCCTTCAGATGTGAAGGAAATATGCAGCTATCCTATCTTTAAAAGACATCTGAAGGCAGCCCTGTTTAGGGAAGTTTTAAATATTTAATGCTGTATTGTTTTTAACATTTGATTGGAAGCCTCCCAGAGTGGCTGGGGAAGCTCAGCCAGATGGGTGGGGTATAAATAATAAATTATTATTATTATTATTATTATTATTATTATTATTATTATTATTTTATTATTATTATTATTAGAGTGTGTGTTTTCATTTATTTAATAGAGTTAGCTGCTTGTCTAGTGTATTAAATAGCTTTGCAGATTAAATATGGTTGTAATGTGTTTCTTTTTTTGGCCTCAGCTGCAGCGATTGGAAATGGGACCTATTTTGCTGTCCATGCAAGCTATTCTGCAAATGATGCATATTCCAGACCAGACGCCAATGGTAGCAAATATATGTATCTTGCTCGGGTTCTTACTGGGGATTATTGCACTGGAAAACACGGACTGATTACTCCACCACCAAAAAGCATTGGAGGCGTTGAAATTTACGACAGCGTGACTGATAACACGGATAAACCAACAATGTTTGTCATATTTTATGATTCTCAGGCTTATCCAGAATATCTTATTACCTTCAGAAGATAAGTTGCTTTTGCAGCCGAAGACCCATTGTGCTGCCCCTTCCCATGATAATCTGAAAATGCTTTTTAGAAATTACTAGTTTTTGAAATTTCTGACTAATTGGTTTAGTTATGCCTTCCAAAGACTCAAATAATTTTGACTGATATCTAGTAAAGCTTGTGACACGCGTTTTGAAAGTGTGCTTGAAGTCAGGCAGGGTTTGTACAACTTGGTAACTTTAGTGTAGGTAGAACTGACTTGAACAGAAAATGCTGAAATTAAAATAGGGTGGGTAATATGTTAGAACCATGTGTGCTGTCATCTCATAAAGGCAATGGGTAAAATATATCAAGGGTGGTCTCCGATGTCTGCCTTTCCCTATACATTCTTCAATGTTCTACTCAGTTTGGGTGGAACTGCGCATTGCACATGGATACAAGCCTCATTGACTGTTGCTTCCAGGGATAGCAGTTGCAGCAGGGCAGAGAACCTCATCTTTGCTCAGTGCCCTTTAGAATTGCATCTTCTGTCCAGTCCCTTTCCCTGCGGCTCTCTATAGAGTTGAAGATGTGTTTGCTCTAAAAGAAATATGGTTGAGAAATAGCTTTTGTTAGTGGGCTGGTGCAGTAGCAGCAGAAGTTACAAAGCAGCCAAGTAGAGCTTTGTAATGTAGGTACATCCTTACTATCTTTGCTAGTTCTCAGGAAATTCTGAGTGTCACCACTGTGCCTCCCATCCACTTTTTCAGATTGTTGTGCCTATTTGCAGTGACTTGTCTATGCTGTTTAGATCAGCAGCCTGCACTACCTATGCATAGTGTCAAATCATTTTTCTCAGGTACTTAAAAGGCAAGAATGTACCTATTTCTGGAGACATTTTTAGCAACGAGCTTTTTTCTTAAAACGAAAAGGCCTGTATGTATTCACTGCAAGAGTTTCCTCTGAAAGCTCCTTATCCCCTCTTTTTGCTTGCTGGTTAGCAGGGAATTAAATGAGAAAAGAAAGGTCCTTTCTATCCCCATCAGGGATAGACTGTTGAGTAATGTTGCCAACTGACCAGAAAAAATACCCAGCCTGGGGTTACTTCTGTGTCTTTGGCAGCAATTTGATACTGAGAAATCAGCAGGTGAGGCGCTTCACAGTATGAAAATTATCTGCACATCAAACAAAGGCCTAATCTTAAGAGAATGGGACATTTTTAAAGGGCAATGGATGATTCTTACATCTGAGGCTTTAGAAAACAGTTCAGCCTCCTGTGAGAAAGCATAAGAGGGTGGACAAGAGAGTACATTTCTAGTAATGTGTACGTCCAAGTGCCAGTTATGCAGACTACATGAGAAGCAACCATCTCTGCTTGTAGATACCTGAACTCTCATGTCAATAGGCAAATAAAGCTGAAGGGCATTGCTATCAAGAAGAGGAAAGAAAACACTTCTCAAGCTGTGGCTTTTTAGCAGCTTCCAGAGGTGGCTCTAAGAAGTTTTGATTCTATCTGTTTGGGTATGCATAGAGTATGGTGTCCTTTCACACTACAGGTGTGGCTTTTGTTCTTAGCAATATTGTTTTATATGGTGTACACATGAACTATAATGGAGTTGTCAGACTGAACTGTCAATTCACATCCCTGTTTACAGTTCTCTCTGCATCTATATGGGCATACATACTGCCACCTTAGTCAATGCTTCACACCTTTTGCCATAATAAACTTGCTGGACTTTAAAGTATCGCACAAATATTTGTTGCTTCTTCTTAGCAGCCAATATCCCTTGCTATTATTTTCAGCTGCTAGGACAAAATTAGTCAAGTGCTTAGCTAACTCAAGGCAGATCATTGGGGGCAGACAGCACTAGGCCTAGGAAGATGCTTAAAAGGTGTTCAGAGCAGTCCTTAAATATACCTCTTTAAATTCAGCCCAATAGCTGCCACTTGCAAAATTGTTAGCTTTCTTCTGCTGCCAGGTTATACCATTGTGTCATTAACTAATTTTGGTTTTGTCATATTTCAAATGCCTGTATTATCATGTGATTTCTGCTACTGCGACTCTCCTTAAAATTAGTTCTAATCTTGCCTCGCATGTAAATTTATTAAAGGTTATAAAAATGCTCAGTTTGTCAAATATTTGAACTTGTCATAGGAATGTTGTTTGTTTCAATCACAAACCATTTCACAGTGGGCATTTGTCTTATTGCTGCTCCTCGCTGAAGCTGGAAACGCCACAAACCACAACTGTGTGCATTATCACAATGACCTAACACAGTATTTTCCTCCACACAGTCCGCCGCCAGTCATTGGCAAGGTTGAGGCACATCACTCATTTTTTTTTGGCCTAACTGCAAACCATATCAAGAGGAGTCCATGATCTTATAATAAAAATGTTGATATTTGCTCTTGTATTATTCACGGTTGTAAGTGTGTCGATTTTTCCCCCATCACAAGAGCTTTTTTTTAAAAAAGTGAACTAGCACTCTTGGATTTGCTCTATGCATCCTGTTAAATGTTTTGGCCTCTATCACTTAAAGTAGAGGTTACTTCATGATCCTGGCTCCAAGCCTCCCCATTTATTGTAGAGGTAAGGAAGTTCAGTATGGCTTTTATAGGAAGAACAGCCTAAATGAAGCCCCAGTTCAAAACAAAAACTTCCAGAATGGCACGAAATCTTCCATTCCATTTCTTCTTTTTTAAATCATTTCATAAAACATTGCACCATTCCTCTTATGAATCACAATTCACAACATAATCAATTTAATACACAAATTGTTGATTCTAATTCATAATTGGTAGCATGTCCCCCAAATAAGCAATAGGAATTCTGACCATTTTCTATCTTGCTGTTACTGTTGTGTGATTCTATTTTTCTGGTATGTTAGATCAAGGTACCTTTACTTAACTAGTATTCTTCTTTTCTTGCTTAAGTAGTTCTTTCAATCACTACTGAAATGCTTGAAGTTAAGGTACATTTTCTTGTCTTTTGCATGTTTATTTATCTTGCAAATCTGTGGCCCCTGGAAGAATATCACATGGGTAAGAGTTCCCCATTTGTGCCTGCTGGCCCAAAGGTTGAATTTTGGGTGTACCAGGGGCTGTCACAAAATGGCTCCCTCCCATTGTGAGAGGGAAATCATCACCATCACATGACAAAAGACTGAAGTCCTCCCTTTATGGTCTTGTTTGCTAATTAACATCATATTAAAATGTGGTGTACCCATTTTAGGAATTGTACGCTATTACTCTTCAGCATTTTCACTTTTAAAATTAGTTACTCCACCCTCCTTTAAAAACAGCAAAGCCATGTTAGCAGGCAGGAAAATCTCACCTACTCCCCAAAACTGGTCAAGGAAAGATCTTTAAAACAAATGAACAAAAAAACAACACCACAGAAACCATTTAATTAGCATATAGAATTTTATTTCCTTTTAAGTCACATTTAACAATTTGCTGATGAATATACTTTAACCTTGCCAGTTTAGTGGCAGCAGCAAGCTAATAGAATCTGTTGCCTCATGCCACATTACATTGTGATATGTGCCATAGAGTGAAGCAAAAAATACACACAAAATGTACTGTGATGCCTTCAGGCTGGTGTTAAATGGAAAGAAAGAAAGAAAGAAAGAAAGAAAGAAAGAAAGAAAGAAAGAAAATATTGCTCAACCATTTGATTTTCAAGAGGGGGAGACCGATCAAAGACATAGTTTTAATAGCCACTTGGTTTCCAGATTTTGTTCCTTTTCTTGTGGGACAACGATGCTCCAAAGATTCAAAATAGGACACAAATTGCAACCTTTAAAAAAAGTAATAAACTTGGGTTGAACACTATACTTCAGTCTGCAGATGGGATTTATCTTAAGTTTTACTCTGAGCAGACTCACTGAAATCAGCTAACGTAACTAATTAAGAAAATTTAGTATGGCCCTGAACTCACAAAATGCTGAACCATTTTTATTGGTTTGCTTTTACTTAAGAATCTTCACAATGCAGAGAAAGAAGGCAAAACATAGCCCAGTTCTGCAAAGGTGAGAAAAACTAAACTTCGTTCCACCCAGTTATGCTGCAAGTGGTAGCAGTAGCAGTAACCACACAAGAGAGGGAAAAGTGTTTAACAGCCTAATCACGCACACTTCTTCTTAAAACCGACACCAAATGACTTCAGCAGAACTTTGAAAATCAAGGTCTGCTGCAATCAATGGGGCTGGACTCCATGAAATGTGGTCTGGTCTACAGCAGCTGTGTGACACTTGTAGCCCTTGATATGTTAAACTCCAACTCCCTTCAACATGGCAAACTATCATGGTTGATGGAAACTGTACATCTCATGGGCCACAGGTTCCCTACCCCTGAACGACAGCTTTACTTAACAGCACTGCAACAGATTTTTAGGAAGTTATTCAACAAGTTATGCAATTCAGAATTTTGTACTGGATAAGCAGAAAAAAGCACCCATAAGCTAAATCCAATTGGCACATCTTTGGACTGGTACAGATTCTGGACAGTCGACTGGAAGAGTGCTCATTCAATTCCTTTCGCCTTCAGTTCTTCTCGAACACGTTTCAGGTAATCTGGATCGGGGTAGCCAAAACTAGGAGAGAAAGAGTTTTGTTTGTAAACCAAGCAATTCCCCAATGAAGAGAGGTTGTTGTCTTAATATATCTATCAAAATACTGTGTACTCAAATATTGGAGAAACAGTGTGCTGACACCACGGTGGCCCAAGAAAAAGAACTCTGCAGGAATCTTCAGTTATTTTGAGGTGAGGATTTGAATGTAACATTTGCGCCTTGGCTTTATGAATACTTAACATGTACACAACATGCGCCTCATAGAAGAAGAGAAGAAGAGTTTGGATTTGATATCCTGCTTTATCACTACCCTAAAGAGTCTCAAAGTGGCTAACATTCTCTTTTCCCTTCCTCCCCCACAACAAACACTCTGTGAGGTGAGTGGGGCTGAGAGACTTCAAAGAAGTGTGACAGCCCAAGACTAGCAGCTGCATGTGGAGGAGCGGAGACGGGAACCCGGTTCCCCAGATTACAATACTACCGCTCTTAACCACTACACCACACTGGCTCTCTCATAGGGGATGTGTTAAGCTGGGGTGAATGACAGCTTGCTGCTGCAGCAGCTTTCCGCTCTCTTGATGGCCTTGAGTGCAGGAGGCCTATAGGGAGTTGACTCCTAGCCAAGTGGTAGGAAGTTGAAGTAGACTGGGCCCAGGGCTAGACACAGGACTGGATTATTGTGATTATTCAAAATACTCAAATGCTATGTACATTATATATACTACTGCAGTTTGAGAACATGGCATGCCTCCTGAGCATGCAATTAACAGACAAAACCTGACTTTGCTGTTTGGATCATGCAAAACAAATATCTGCAGCTAAGATTGTGAAATGTGAAAAAAATGTCAGATCACTGTCCAAAACACTTCTTCCAAAATGGTTCCTATACTTGAGTGAATCTGCATCCAACAAAATCAAAGCTAGAATGAGATTACATTGAGAAATGCATCACTGGCACTTAGAACAAACAAATACAACACACCTGCTTGCCCCTCCATAACAGCTAGTTTTGTGGTGAATGTCATTCCAGGTAACAACATTTTTTGCACCGGTTGTACGTGACTCGCCAACTGTGAAAATCAACTTTTGATCAAAGGCCTTCTGAAGCAACTGCAAAATTTCTCTTCCTTCTGGGTTATCGGGTAAATATGCTGTCCGATTTGCACCGCTGAATGGTCTTCCAGGGTTTGGGTGGCCTTTCTGCAATGCATAGGTATTAAAATAGGTAAAGTGTTATACTTTACTTGCATGAAGCTCAGCAACTGTCAGGGAAGCACTTCTGCTGGATCCCAAGTGTTTATCTAATCCAGCATCTTGTTTCCAACAGTGGTCAGCCAAATGGTTCTGGCAAGGCTCCCAAGGATGGCATAAACAAACAGAAGGAAGCCATCTTCTGTGATTCAGAGGAATCCTGAGAGTACCATTTAGCTTCCATAGCTAACAGACTTCTTGTCACCACACCTTGGGGTAGGGACTCTGAGCATTGAATTGTGTTGCGCTAAAGAATTTACATACATAGATACATTCAACATTTACAATACATCTTCAATCAATATATCCTCTCTATAGACACCTCTGTGATGATGGTGGAATTAAAATATCCCCGTTCATCAATAAAAGAGAAAAAGGGAGACCAGATCGTGTCATATGTATCTTTTTTTGGAGATGCCTTTGATTATTCGCTGATGGTATGTGCTCCATCGGAACGCCTCACATACCACAGAAGTACTTTCTTGTGCCCCAAAACTCCTGCCACAATCAGCATCATTGGGTGCAACCTTCCCATGTTTGTGACAGAAAATCTGTTTACACCATTCATTATTCCATATGCCTCTACCCCAGAGAAGGGCAATCTGTGGCTGTTGGCCTAATTTCATTTAAGTGGCAAGGATGGACAAATGGGAAATGGCAGGTTGTCCAGAAAGGAATGTGGCTCTTCAGCAGAAATAGGTTCCCAAGCCATACTATAGAAGGAAGATGGGGAAACCCAGCCAGATGGGCAGGGTATAAATAATAAAGTATTATTTATTTATTATTATTATTACAGCGGTACCTCTGGATGCGAACGGGATCCATTCCGGAGCCCTGTTCGCATCCTGAGCAGAACGCAACCTGCGTCTGTGCGTGCCATGATTCGCCACTTCTGCGCATGACGTCATTTTGAGCGTCTGCGTATGCGCGAGCGACGAAACCCGAAAGTAACCCGTTCCGTTACTTCCGGGTCACCACGGAACGCAACCTGAAAACGCCCAACCTGAAGCATATTTAACCTGAGGTATGACTGTATTATTATTTTATATTATAGCCAGAATGGCTGGGCTGAGTGGAACTGCTGGAAGTTACAGTCCAAACCATCAGGAGGACAACAGGCTTAGCCCTATGGTTGAGTGAGACAAACCATTCAGGTTCTGTGGAAAGAGAACAAATGTTCCTGATGCAAGAAAGGATGTATGTGGAATAATGGCAGATTCTGCAACTGGCGTAATTTAAGCTCCTTCTTGTTTATGGCTCTGCTGCTCTTGCCTTCTGGAACTCCCAAACCCCATCCCAACAGTATGTCACTAGTACAAGTTTTGCCTGTGCATGCAGCGAAATAAAGTTTTCCTAAAAGGATATTATGAGCAGATATAAGGTGGGGCTGCTCACACTCCCTCATGCCATTCCAATCCCTCTTCAGCCCCCAAAGTGTTCCTTGCGACTTACTGTTTGAATGCCATCAGGTATGTTATATGAAATTTGGATGGTACCATATCCAGCATAACCAGGAAGTGACGCTCGAGATTTCTGGATGTTCATTGTCCCTCGTGGTTGGTTTCCTTCCACCTTCCCATAGGCCACATTACACACAGGGCAAACAGGCTTGTATTTCAAGGCCTGCTCAATGCACTCAGTACAAAACTCATGCTTGCATTTGGGCAGCACTTTCTTTTGGTGGATTGTGTCCATGCAAATGGTGCACACATCCTCTTGTTTGACTTCCATTCTCTTTGACTCCTTTTGCTCCCTGGGAGGAGGGGAGTGCATTTTGGGGGCCCCGTTTTGCTCCAAATATGCACCTTTAGTTTCTCCGGAGCTGGAACTAGGACCTATACTTCCTACAGGTGGATCAACATCAGTTTCCAGAAACCGCAGGATGTGCTTTTCAACAGAAAGCACATGCTCCGGAATACCGAATAGAATTAGATTATTTTTCTTTGATATACGCATTGAGACTCTGGGATTTTCTTTTTGCAGTGCTGAAAAGAACATGTCTAGTTTTCTTTTCTGGTCCTCAAGAAGATTCAAGGGGATGACTCTTTCTATGGGCTGGGTTGAAATCATCTGATAAAAATGGACAAAGCTCTCATAGGCTTGTAAACATGAAACTGGGTTTGGATAGTTCCTATGCTTAAAGAAAACATATGCTTTCTGCATGCTGAGAACAAACTTTTTCTGTGACTCAGTACTGTACTTTCGGTTTATATATTCAATTTCTTTATCCAATTCTGGTTCCAATAATTTAAATGTCTTAAGATCAAATCCGGTGTCAGTTTTCAAAGGGTAAGCTTCAGATTTTTTTACCAACTCTCCTGCCTCTAATTCCCCTATTGCCCCTTTAGCAGCTGAAATCTCCTTTGCAGGGCCACGGAGAACCAACGCATTTTCCTCTGTTTTAACAAGGATGCTCTTGAAATTGAGGTTTAAAATCTGCTGTGCTTTAGCCATCTGGTCGCTGTCAGCAAAAGACATTCTCTCCTGTTTCAGATCTGCGGTCACCTTCTGAAACGCTGTGACAAAATTATGCTGAGCTTTCTCTAGGAGGCTAGGGTCCCCAACAGAAGAGAAGCGTAGAGAAGCCAACCCATTTCCACATTCTTGACTAGTCAGCTTTACACTGAACTTCTGCTCCAGTTCATCAACTTGTTCCTTGCAGGCGTGGCTGAAGTATTCAAAGATAGCTGAAGGAACCTTGATATCATACACATCTACATCATTCTTCCTTCCTTCCTTCCAATCATCCATGGGCATCTCTCTCATAGTTTTTGGCTCTTTAGGGTGCGAAAATTCATTGCTGCGGTGGTGAGGGCCTCCAAGGAGCTTCTCAAAATGACGGTGTAACTTCTCAATGTCATCATAATCTCCTGATACCTTTTCTATGCCAGTCAGCCCTGAGTGCACATCTATTTTTAAGGTGGGACAGACAGTTGTCACCTGACTTCTCTGCTCTTTTGTGAGCAATTCAGTATTCAAAGTGGCAGATACGCTAAGAAAGATCTGAAAACAAGAAAAAAAGAGAGAGAAAATTGGTTTTATTAACACACATGCATACAGGGCTTCTCCAAATGCCCTATGTATTGAACATCCATCCCAATTTGCTTGTACAAGACTTACATGGAAGTTAGATTGTTCAATAAAGACAAAAAAAATTCATTCTGATTTGTTTGTGGGAAGGTTATATGACAATTAGCATTTATTCTTATTTTCTTGTGCGGTATTTATACCTTTCCCAGTTTTTCCTTCTTTTATTCAATGTTCAACTGCCTGATATTAATGATTCAGTTATTATCAAATAAATGGGTAAAAATAGCCAATTGAAGAAAACAGTAAAGATGCAGTTACCCAGTACTGGAAGAAGAGGGGCGGGGGGGCCACTAGGGGCGCATTGGAAGATGGCCGACAATAACATCTCTCCAACCCACACGAGGTAATTAAGAGGCTGTGATGGGAGTAAGCAGCCTCCCGGCCCCGCCAAGCGAGTGGGGGGGGACTGCCCTTGCCTGCTGTGCCCTACACCACCCCCGAACTTGAGGGGGTGGGGGCACTAGGCAGAAAGCCCTTGTGTGGACTTCGGCGCTCCTGGATGCTGTGTCTGATTCGCGCCTCTAGCTGCAGCAACTTCAAAAGAAACAATTAGGAGGAAGCTAATGCACATATTTCAAGGAAGAATGGGGAGTAAAGACTGCTAATTGAAGAGATCTCTGAGAAAGAAGACGGGTCGGATAAACAGGAATATATAATGAGAAGACACACCAAGGCTCGGTATGTCGGCAACGGGACTGGATTGGGGGGGGAGGAACTTTCCTTTCTTTTCTCTATGTGATTAACCAAGAATCCCTCCCCCAACAAGTCAGAAATGCCGTTTAAATGACCTAAGCTGATGATTTAAGACTGTGTGGAGATAATTTTCTAACCAAAAGCATGTTTTAAGGAGATCGTGGAAAGTATAAGAGCTTTGGGATGACACAGTAAAAAATAGCGTCGCCATTTTGGCAAGTTCTGTCGAAAGACTTATGTCTGGGAGGAGGAATGGATCTGTTTTCATATTGTGGGCGAGCCTCCTCAGAGGGACTAAAGAAGGCGGAAGATTTGCGAAGATTAATGATGGAAAGAGTGCTTTTATTTATGGAAGTGATGATATATGGAAACCATCTCGATATGGTGATTGGACAAACGGAAAAATTTACACAGGATTATAACTGGTGTTTACCTGCTTAAGGAGATTATCAGAAGAGATCATAAAGAAAAAAGAAAAATATATGAATAAGATGAGATGTGGGAACAGCAAGATAGGACTGGATAGAATTATGAACATTATTTGGACAGATTTGTGGATATTAACGCAGCACAAGAAGATGATTGGAATCCCCTTCGGAACTTGAAATATGGGTCCCCCCAACAAAAAATTTAAAATTCGGCTTTGTAATTCAGAATTTATGTGATGTGATTTGATTTGATTTGATTTGATTGGTCGGTTAATAAAAATTATTTTAAAATAAAAAAATGGAAGAAGAGGGGCGCAGCTTAGGCGTTCTGCAGTTCTAGGCCTTGGTGGATTCTTACCTTTCTGGTCATGCTTTCCAGATCAGCTGCATATTTTTCAGTCAGCTTTTGCTCTCCAAAATCATGTGGAAGTGGCAGAGTGCTTGAAGCAGAAAGTGAGCTGGCTGCTGAGCTCTCCAAATAATTTGCAAGTGATGTTTCTGTCATATCCATCATTGACACCTCAGAATCTGGAAGGATATTTATCTTTACAGATCTTCCAGAAATTTCTATGAAATGAGGTCCATGTCTCGTCACTTGTTGCTTCACTAAATTGATTCAAATAAGAAACATATGTTATTGCTATTTCGCTTATAATGATACTATGTCACATTTTTGCATTAAGATATCTCAAAACAGCTTACACGATCAGTGTAAAAGATATGTATGATATATCTGTTTTGGTGATATTCATATTGCAAGCCTAAGAAAATTTAATTCTGAAGCCACAGTTACACCAGGTGATATTTGATCCCACATAAGCCAGTGTAACTCAGTCAAAGCCAAACTCCCTCTTACTCTTCAGACTCTCCCATTTTCTGTCCTAAGACAACTTCCCAGGCAATAGACAAATCTCGACCTGGCTGAGAGGATTTGCTGTGACTAGTCCCTTTTTGAACACAGCTATATGGAAGCGAGTGATGTTGCTTAATTTCCAAAACAAGAGAAGGCAGCTAGATTGCAGCCTCCCATTTCAAAAACCTTCCTCACCCCCTTTTCCTAAGTGTCTGGCAGCTAGTTAAAACAGTCCAGTGATGAGGGAAATGCACTCTGCATATACTCCATTCTTTCAAGACGTTGGCTTCATTTTCTTTCACTTCAAGGTATTTCCATGAGATCCCCGGCCTAATCACTTATTATTATTATTATTATTATTAATACTTATACATCACACAAACAAGCATTGAATAAAACAAGCAAACAATACAAAACAGGAAAAAATGTAAAAACAAAATTACAAGGATGTAAACATAATAACATAATCTGCAATCAAAAATACAAAACAGTATGCTCTTCCAAAAAAGGGAAATAACGAAAAACAACACCAAAAAAAGAAGAAAAGGGAAAAAGGAAAAAAGAAATTGACTTCCAACTAACTCCATGTGGATCTTTATTCCTCATATCACTGGTTGTCTGTAATGATTAAATTTTTGGAGAATTATTCTAATTACCTGTGAGATTTTCATTCTAAACTAAGCCAAGTATGAATCTGAGAATTGGTTCTCTTCATATAATTTATAAAGACTTCCCACTCTCTCCTTATTTTCTCATTAGAATAATTTCTTATTAAACTCATAAGTTTGGTCAAATGACAGTTTAAAAAACCCATTCTTCTTTTCTTGGTGTTATGTTACTTTTCCAATGTTCCTAATCATTTCTCTAAATGTGCTTGCCAACTTCTCCCTCCCTGCTTTTTGGCAGGGCTCCAGGGCCTTTAACAGTTAAGCCAGGGATCTAACAGGTGAAGCTTAACCCCAGTATAGAAACCATAGCTGTCAACTGTCCCTTATGTGGCAGGAAACTCCCTTATCCTAGTGCCGTTTCCTGCTGCTGTCCCGGATTGATGATGTCCCTTAAATTTCCCGGGTTTCATGCTCGCCTGGCTCGGGAGGGAAGCAGCGGCTAGGGGTCCTCCACCTCAAGAGAGCCCGCGCACGAGCTGCCGCATCTCTGTCTCTCCCTTTTCCCCCTCAGGGGCGCATCGTGAGGAGATGGGTGGCGGCGGGCGGGCAGGCAGCCCCTATCTTGCGAAACTTCCGCCGCGGTGCCAGGGGAAGCCGGAGGCGGCAGCGGCTGAGGAGGCGGCCTGAGGGAGGAGGAAGAGGAGGGGATGGGGAGGGACGCAGAAGGGCGGCGCTTCCACGGCTGCCACAGCGCCACAACCGCCTCATGCCGGGCTCGGAGGCGAGAGTCTCTCTCCCTCCCTTTCGGGCGGGGAAGGGCCGATGGAACTCCTCATGCCAGGATGACGGCAGCCCCGACGTGCTGCTTAGCATACCCTCCAACCAGTGCAGCATGTTAATATAGTGATTTTCCCTCTCAGCATCCCTTTCATAACTCTATTTTTATAAATCATTTGTCCATCCATAGTTCAAATTTTTACTACAAGTTTTCTGTCAATCCTACCAATGTATGAAACTCTTTACAATAGCTTTTCAAATAAATTATAAACTTTCCCCATTCTTTATTAAAGAGGTCCTCTTCCTGGTTTCTAATTCTGCCTGTAAGCTTTGTCATCTAGATGTCGTTCTTCAGTTTTGTCTGCCCCTCTTCTTTGGTTGGAGTTGTACACACTTAGGGTCATCTAGTCCAACCCCCTGCAAAACACAGTCAGTGGCAGCAAAGGCAGCATGGCTCCATCAGTGCCGGATTGATGTATAAGCTAAGCAAAATCCCTTATTTGGGCTGCTGAGCCCTTATTTTCGAGGCTGCTGGCCCCTTATTTTCAAATCTGTAAGTTGACAGCTATGATAGAAACTCAAGAGATAGGGAAAGCTATAACCACAAAATTTCTGCCTGTCGTGCAGCTGTTGGGTGGATCAGGATGAATTGGGCGGGGGGGTGGATCGGGGCGTGGAAGGCAATAGCAGACGAAACATGGCGAAAAGGGGAATTCATACTAAGGGCAAAAAGGAAGAGAAAGCTGGAAACTCAAGGGAGCTAGGCGAAAGTGGAAACTCCTTCCCTCGAGACATTTCTCCCAACTTTGCTACAGAGAAAGGCCATGCCCACATGCTTGGAGCCAAGCAACTGTACACCGCCCCGTCGGGGCCTCCGAAGCCTCCAGTTACCTTCCTCCGACAGGAACTGCACCGCATAGAGGTCCCGCTCACGATCCAGAACTCGCACTTTACATTCGCCGCCCCCGGAGCGATTCCGGGATTGGAAGTGGCTTTGCAGCTTGAACTCGAGCCTCCCCAAGCCCCTCTCTTCAGGAAGGAGAGAGAGCTGCACGAAGAGCGGAGCAGGAGCGCCGGCCATGGCGGACCAAAGCAAGGGGGCGAGGCTCGGACTTTCACTTTCGGTTCTTCGCCAACTCCCTCGGAGGCGAGCCTGCCTCCTCCTCCTCCGTTCGGGCGCGCCGGAATCCGCCGCTCGGCTCCAGGCTGCGTCGCCGCAGCGCCTCCTGCCGGCCCATCCCTGGGAGCCGAGAAGCGCGGCGCTCTGAAGCTCAGCCGGTGAGGCGGGCCCGGCTCAAATGACTTCGTTCATTGAACTGCTCCTTAGTACCTCTACTTTCTCGTCTCGGAATTGCTGGAGCGAATTAAGGTGCAATCCCATACTTACTTATTTAGGGATAAGCGCCACTGAACTCCGCAGGAGCTTACAAGTAGATATGTATAGGGTTGCACTAGCATACCCTCCAACATTTCTCCGATGAAAATAGGGACGTCCCATTCCAGCATGATAATTTTACTACTTATACCCCCCACATCTGACTGGGTTGCCGCAGCCACTCCGGGCAGCTTCCAATTTGTATAAAAACATAATAAAACGTTAAACATTTTAAAAAACTTCCCTATTCAGGATTGCCTTCAGACAGATCAGGGGTCGGATAACTCCAACATTTCTCCAATTAAAATAGGGACCTCCTAAGGAAAAGTGGGACATTCCAGGATCAAATCAGAAACCGGGATGGCTTCTCTAAATCAAGGACGTCCCTGGGAAATAGGGACACTTGGAGGGTGTGCACTATAACTCCTTCCACTTAAATCTAGAGTCGTATAGTGGTGGTAAAAGGGGGTGGGTGGGAATGCAAAATAATATAATCTAAGAATTTTAACGTTGGATGGGACTCCAGGGATCACCTAGTGCAACCCCCTTGCAATGTAGGAATATGCAGCTGCGTACGGATCGAACCCGCAACTTTGGCATTATCAGCAGCACATTCTATCTGGCAGGCCATCCTTTTTGCATTCTAACTGGTGACCATGAAAGGGTGTTAAAACTGTAAGGTATTTTTATTTGCCCTGATCCTTGCGGTTTGGGATAGGAATCTTAGGCCAACCAAATTTCCGTAGTGGGGTGGTTCCTTTTTATTTCTATTCAACACCTTCCAAATTAGTGTGGATTAAATTTTAGCCAGGCAGCCCAGTCCTAAACATGTTTAAAGGTAAAGGTAAAGGGACCCCTGACCATTAGGTCCAGTCGTGACCGACTCTGGGGTTGCGGCGCTCATCTTGCTTTACTGGCCGAGGGAACCGGCATACAGCTTCCGGGCCGGGTCATGTGGCCAGCATGACTATGACGCTTCTGGCGAACCAGAGCAGCGTACGGAAACGCCTAAACATGTTTACTAAGGTGTAAATCCCTTGTGACATGAAGTAACATACGGAGAGCTGGTTTCTTGGAGATGACAAATACGTATCATTTGGAGACTTTAGGCAAGTTAGTTGGGAGCCCAGAGGACAGGACTGCTGAATACTGCTAAGAGTTTGGGCTAAGGGAAAGTAGGCTGTGTGCAGAGACCCTTCTAACCCCTGAATCCTAATACAGTCAACTCTTGGTTCCCAAATGGCTCAATTTTGGAATATTTGGCTCCCAAAACCCCAGAAGTAAAGTTTTTTTAATGTTTTTCGGAAGCTGAATGTCTGACGCAGCTTCCGCTTGAGTGCAGGAAGCTCTTGCAACCAACTGGAAGCTGCGCCTTGGTTGTCAAACATTTCGGAAGCCGGATGGACTTCTGGAACGGATTACATTCGACAACTGAGGTTTGACTGTGAGTGTAAGCATTTTTTAAAAATCAGGGTTGGGGAGCCTGTGGCCTTCTAGATGTTCTTAGACTCCAGTTCCCATCAGCCCCAGCCAACATGGCGGATGGCTTGGAGTGAGGAGAGCTGTGGGCCGCAGGATCCCCACCCCTGCTTTAAAGGACAAGAAGATTGTGATCTGGGAAGCAACTTGACAATGGGGTTGAAGTTCCAGCAGGGGTCTCCATGGCAACCAGATCAGAGGATTCCAAGGCAGGCCAGTGTGGCAAAAGCAGCTCCTTGCTGCTTACCCTAGCCTAGGCCAATGGAAAATGGAGGAGCAAAGCAGCAACATCTAAGAGGGGACAAAAAAGAGGAAATTCAAGATGGGGAACATGATGAAATTGTTGGTAAGTCAACACAAAAGAAAAAAAAGACTGAAACACAGGTTTTGAGTCGTTGAAGTGCGTTGAGTGGAAATGACCAGGCTGGGGGAAGGGAAGCAGGACTTTTTTTTTATTATTGACCATGAAAGAAACAAGTTGCTCTGAGGCCTACCTCAGGTTCAGAATATAAACATGACACATGAACAAAACCCCAAATGCCCAGTAATCCCTTCAGCACCTAATTCCACTTTGGAATGAAATGAGAAGCCGGAGGATTGATCTTTACTGGCATATAGTGCATACAGTCACTGGAATCCCAGTCTCACTTAACCTGGGAGTAAGACCTATTGAATACAATAGGATTTATTTCTGAGTAGACAGGGTTAGTCATCCAGCCAGCTGGAGTGACTAGTATGGTCCCTGGGTTATGGTCTGAAGGCAAACCACATATGGACCCCATCAGCATTGGCATTCTGCTGGCTCTTGAAGACGACACACCTGTTTAGCCAAGCATTCCCCTGAATTTGAACTTACTCATATAGTTGTTTAAATTGCTCTTCTAATTGTTATACTGTTTAATGGGCTGCTTTCTTGTACATTTTAATTATGGATGCTTTTAATACAGTTTATTACCGTAATTTATTGTATTGTGAATGTGAGCTGACAGCTTTGTTTTCTGTTTTGTTTTTCCTTTTCTGTGCTTTCTCTTTAATAAATTTGGAACAATAATCATTAAAAATGGATTCCCGTAATGCTTTAATGGAACTGATTTATAGTGTATTTTAATTACATATGGGTTTTATAATTGGTTTTATACTTGTAAACTGCTTAGAAGCCATTCTGGCATGTAAGCAGCATATTAAAATAAAATATGTTGAAGCCAAGCAGCTCTGGGTTTAGTCAGTGCCTGGATGGGGTACCACACATGTATGCTGCCTTGGCTTCCATGATGAAAGAACTGCAGGGTATAAATGTAAGAACATACAGTAATTAATAGCATTAGCAATATAATACTGTTTTTATTGAATTATTTTCACAGAGGGTGAAGTAGGGCTTTATGAATGAGGATCACAGTCCACAAACATTAACTTCTGGGACATTTGCCGAAGTAATTTTGATTTCGTTTTTTATTTTTGTTTTTACAGACTTCCAGTTCCGAGACTCCACAAAATGACAATGCAGGTAGATAGTTCACTTGATACCTTTCACTGCAGATCAAGTATAGGTAGTGGGGAATCCTCCAGAGGTTGTGGGCTCCATGTTAACTACCCCTGGGGTAGTGATTATAAACAGGTTTCTGCTTTTCAGAAGAGGAAAGCCTACAGGAGACAGGGATCAGGTTTCTCTCCAGATTCCGATACCGCAGGGTTTCTTCTACTTTGATCCACCTTCTTCATCTCTTCATCTGTCCTTCTATTCATGTGGAGCTATGCATGCATAGTCTGCATATTGGGTGAGGGTGTGTGTGTGGATTATAGCCAATATCCGCTTCTCGGCAGCTTCCCCAATTACTGTAAAACCGGCATAGCAACAAGTCACATTTTGTGATGTGATGCTGGAGAATGTTGATTTAAAGCAGAGTCTCTTGTGCCCAGCGGAAGGATGAGGAAAATGTGTTACATACTCTATATTGCTTTATTTACAGTTCAAAGCTGGTATATTACAGAAAGACATCTTGCCTCTGTGCCGGAGCAGAAAAATGCATCCTCTCTCCTCGACAGCTTGGAGAGAAACAAACACAGTGAAAAAAAAAACAGGAAACCAGTGTACGTCACATCCAGTCTCCCTTTCCCGTGAGAAACTCCAACAGTACAGACTGTGGAATGTAAAACAATGTCTTGTGACTGCAGTTGCTGCTCAGTGAGGGAAATAGAAACCAACATCCTCCCCTTTCTGTGAACATCACTGGGCAGCGTGTTCGTACAATATCAGTACAAACCCAACTTCTGCACATAGGTACAGTGTTGATCCCTTGATACAATCTTGGACAATACATCAGCAGGAATTTCATTACCTGGCATATAGGACACCGTTACGAGTCCCTTCTGAATACATTCCCTAGCATGCTGCAACTTTAATTGCAAGTGCTTTGTGCTTTGCTTACAACCTTCAGACTTCAGCAAAGCCAAACATGCTTTGTTGTCCTGGTAAACCTGGATTGGACATTTGACAGGAATTTTCATATCTTTGCACAATTGTACTAACCATTCACAATCCTTAAGTGAATAAGACAGTGCATTCAGTTCGGCTTCACAAGTACTTAAGCTAACTGTTGTTTGCTTCTTGCATGACCAATCAAACAGACTCTGATTGTACATGTAGCAAACTCCAGACGTACTTTTCCTGTCTGTAGCGTCACTTCCAAAACTTGCATCTGCAAATATCTCAAGACCACCAGACTTCTGATTGTTAAATCTCAGTCTGTAATGCATAGTGCCTTTCAAATACCGCGCTATGCGTTTCAGAGCTTTCCAATCCTTGACACTAGGATTGTTGACTTGTCTGCTTAGCAAATTACAGCTAACAGCAATGTCTGGTCTTGAACATCTGGCAATGAAGTTTAGCTTGCCTAGCACACTCCTGTACAGTGTAGTGTCAGAAAATGCTTCTTCAGTGTCATCTACCTGATAACCTGTTGTCATCGGTGTGTCTACAGGGTTAGCATCCATCAGATTTAGTTTGCTTAACACATCAGCAATTTTCCGTGACTGGTGTACTAGAATGTTACCATCTTGATCTCTCTCTATTTCCAGAGATAGGTAGTTGTTTACCTCACCAAGATCTTTCATGTCAAAGTGCTCTTTCAGTTGAGCTAGGGCGTTATTGTACATTGCGACATCTTTCCAAAAGAATAATAAATCATCAACATAAAACAAACAGTACAGTTTCTTTTGCCCTTCCTCTTTGACAAATACACATGGATCAGCTTTCCCTTGCTGAAAACCTAGAGAAAACAATACTTCAGTGAGTTTTGTGTGCCAACACCGTGCACTTTGTTTGAGACCATAAAGGGATTTCTTCAGAGCACAAACAAATCCCTGTTTTACCTGTACGCCATCAGGTGGAAGCATATAAAGTGATTCATCTAGAGATCCGTACAGAAAAGCTGTATTAATATCATGGTGACTAATGTGTAGATTTTCCTCTGCAGCTAGCTTAAGCATAAGCCTAATGCTTTCATATCTCACTGTGGGTGAATAGGTCTCGTGATAGTCTTCACCTGGTACCTGTGCAAAACCTCTGGCTACCAATCTGGCTTTGTGTCTGACTATCTTGCCATTTTGATCTGTCTTCGCTTTGAAGACCCATTTGCTTCCAAGCAGTTTCATTCCTGGAACTACTGGAACTAGCTCCCATGTTTTGTTCCTTTCTAAGGAATCAAGCTCAGCCTTCATGGCATTTAACCATGGCTCAGCTTCCTTTGAATCCAAACCCTGGATTTCTTGGAAACTTGAAGGTTCAAATACCTTCTTGGAGCTTTTAACAGCTGTTACTGCTATCGTAGCAAACTCATCAGCAAATCTCTTTGGAGGTTTGCCTTTTGTGGCTCTCTGTGACCTACGAATTAGCCTTAAGTCTTCAACACTCTCCTCTTCCTTCTTAGGAGAAAACGACCTATTGTGAACAATGGTTCCTCCAATTCTTGATCAGAGCTTTCAGAGGGTCGCATAGAGGCTTTCGCACTCTGAAATCCTCTGAATCACCCGATTCAGTTTCAGATTCAGACTCAGAACCTTCATCAGTGGGTGTGGGCTGTTGTGGTTGCTTTTGACTATCCTCAGTCTCATCACCGTCATCAGGATAACATTGGAAAATTCCCACATTCTCCCCCCACTTTGCATTGTACTCAACACTTCTCGTGAGCTTAATTGTCTTAGAGTCAGTCATCATTATTCTGTAAGACCCTTTCTGATAACCTAGAAAGATACCATGCAATCCACGCTTGTCTAACTTGGAGTTCTGTGGTGAGCGAACCCACATGTCAGAACCAAAATCTTCATGTGTTTGATGTATGGCTTCTTGCCAAACATCTTCTCATAGGGGGTACAACCAATCGCTGAAGATAATCTGCGATTGTAACTGTAAACAAAACACGAGAGAGATTCGGCCCAATAACTCTCTGGAAGATTGGCATCATGCAGCAAGGTTTTTAGCCCTTGAAGCAAAGTCTGATTTGCCCGTTCCGCAAGTCCATTCTGCCATGGCGAGCGAGGACTAGACAAATCGTGTTGAATTCCTTTCTCAGTCAGAAAAGCTTCAAACTGCTGAGAAGTGAATTCCCCCCCGCGATCACTGAAAAGAGTCTTTATCTTCTTACCATGCACATTTTCCAACCAAGCACAGAATTCCTTGAACCTAGGAAAAGCCTCCGATTTCTGCTTGAGATTGTACACAAAAATATATCTAGAAAATGCATCAATGAGAACCATGAAGTATCTATTTCCACCCAAAGAGGGCGCAAGTGGTCCAACCAAATCAGCATGAACAACCTGGTATGGTTCTGTAGCTTTCCTACTAGACACCTTACCTTTCGCAGCCATTTTCACCTTGTTTGCTGCGCATGCTTTGCACTTCATGTGGTACTTGCAGGGTTTAATAGTCATACCTTCAACCAAGGCAGGCATTTTAGATACTGCCTCAAAATGCAAATGACCAAATTTGCGATGAAAATCGTGAATACATTCTGCATGCAAACTTTTGTTAGAACCTGCAATGCAACAAGTGTCATCCTGCACCACATCATCATAATACAAAACAAACAAATGATCAACATATTCTGCATGCAATACATAATCATTTTTCTTTGTGATGATGCACTTCTTGTTCTTGAAGGAAACGTCAATGTTCCGCTCATTCAGCTGTCCAACGCTGAGCAGATTATGTTTGGCGTCTGGCACGTAAAGCACATTCTGTATCGATAAGTCCAAACTGTGAAGAACAACAGTTCCGTAGCCTTTACTGGGAATAGTGTGGTCATCCGCCTGGTGAATCGCACCTTCCTGCGGTGTAAAAGACACAAACAGTCTCTTGTCGTTGCACATGTGGTGGGTGGCCGCTGAATCAACAACGAAGAAAGATCTAGACGTCTTCTGGACCTCTGCAACCTTTGGAGTGAAGCGTGAAACCATAGCCTTGTGCTGCGTTGTCCTAGACACCGGACCTTTGCCTTTGCCTCGGCCTTTTCCGCGCGATGAGCTTCGCTGCGCTGCTCTGTCTTGGCCCTGGGATGTCTGCATTCCCTCTTCATATGGCCTAGACGTCCACACGAGTAGCATTTCACTGCCTTCAAAGCTTTGGCGCCATCTGGTGGTTCCACTGCACTATGGGATGACGTCTGTGAAGACTCCCCCCTTGCCCATGCAGCCAGCACCCCGGCGATCTGCTTCATTTAAAATCACGGCAGTAACAAAGTCCACTGTCAGCTGAGCAGTTGGTTGCACAGCAATCTGGGTTGCAACAGACTCCCAACCTGAACCCAAAGATTGTAGTATCATGAAAGAATACACAGCCTCTGGAAAGTTGAGTCCTCTCTGTTGCAGCTCATGTCTCAGATTTTGCATCTGCATCAGATGTAAACGCACATCTCCACCTTCAGCAAGAGCCATATTGTGCAGCTTGTTAAAGTAATACATAGTGGATCCAGCTTCTGTCCTTAAGTGAGCCTCTCTCAGAGCGTCCCAAATTTCTCTGGCTGAGGTCTTATCACGCAATAGACAGAGCTCTTCTGGGGATACTATCAATGTAAGAGTTCCCCTTGCTTTGGAATCCTTAGCTTCCCATGCATCTGTAACTGGAACTGGGGGTTCCTGTAATCACCTCAAACAAACCCTCTTTCCGCAGAATTGCCTCTGCATACTGAACCCAGTCGCTGTAATTTTTCTTGTTGAGCTTAGGAATCCTACAAGCATCCTGAAGGGCCATCATGACTCTGGCATTAGCCTTCAGCGTCATATGCTGCTTTAAATCTTGCTGCGTCACTGCTGCAGCTGCCTCATTACAAAGGCACACTTAAAAGTTACTTTCGATTTCCCCAGCATAGTGACTTGTGCCTGGGAGCCTTTTGCCTGTTTGCAAAACCGGCTTTAAAAGTTCAAAGTCCAGCCATAAAGCCATTAACTTGAAGCTGGCAGGCTGCCCGGAGCAGTAGCACATACCTCATCAATCACTTCGACGCGCAGAGCAGATTCCGTTCCGATCTGTCCTCCCTCTGCATTCCGATCCTTTGCCGGCACTCCGATTCGACCTCTGGGCCCATAACCACGTGTTGATTTAAAGCAGAGTCTCTTGTGCCCAGCGGAAGGATGAGGAAAATGTGTTACATACTCTATATTGCTTTATTTACAGTTCAAAGCTGGTATATTACAGAAAGACATCTTGCCTCTGTGCCGGAGCAGAAAAATGCATCCTCTCTCCTCGACAGCTTGGAGAGAAACACACAGTGAAAAAAACAGGAAACCAGTGTACGTCACATCCAGTCTCCCTTTCCCGTGAGAAACTCCAACAGTACAGACTGTGGAATGTAAAACAATGTCTTGTGACTGCAGTTGCTGCTCAGTGAGGGAAATAGAAACCAACAGAGAATAATTGCTCTAGGCGTTATACTCTCTCAACAACTTTTCTATAGGGGCCGTTAGATACGTAGTATTATTTAAAGAGATCAACATTTCTATTGGTCGGTTAGGTCGAGAGGGCATTTTGCAGTTATAATATATTGGCAAGTAATTTTTTTTCCCTGAGCCATTTTGGTGTGGGGGTGAACAGAGAAATCTAAAACATGTGCAGATAGAAAGGTTTTATGTAAACCCTCACCCATAACACCACAAAATATGTACTTTGTTTTGTTCCCCCTAGAGATCAGAATGCCAATAGATGAGGAAATGCTATCCATTCCAATCAGCAACAATGTTTATGCAATTCTTAAGAGGAGAGAGAACTACCTGTGTAGTCTGCTCGAAAAGAAGTTTGGCTGCATAACTGTCCTCAAGAGCATCAGGAATCCCACTGAAGTGTATAGGAAAAGCCTGAAGGAAGGAATTGAAGTTTCTGTCTGGGTAGATGATCTTACAAGGCACGAGGCCGATGCTTTGGTGAATGCAGCCAACGAATACCTGCATCACTTTGGAGGCCTTGCATTTGCCCTCCTGAAAGCTGGAGGGCCAGAAATTGAAGAGCACTGCAAGCATTTCATTGAAAAGAACGGACCGCTCAGCGCTGGCCAGATTGCAGTCACTAGTGGAGGAAGACTCCATTGTAAGCAAGTCATCCATGCAGTGGGTCCAAGATGGTCGGAGGAGCAGAGGGAGGAATGTTGCCTCAAGCTTGAAGCAGCCATCATCAATATTTTGAAATATGTCAATGCTCCAGAAAACAATATCAAGTCCGTGGCCATTCCTGCCCTCAGCTCTGGAATCTTCAACTTCCCGCAGGATTTATGTGCTCAAGTCATCGTACGGACGATAAAGAATTTTATTCAGTTAGCTCCGTTGTTTGGTTACTTGCAAGAAATCCACCTCGTGAACATTGATGAGACCACAGCTGAAGTCATGAAAAGGGCGTGCGAAGAGTTGCTAGGCACCAACGATGTTGTGCCTCTGGCGGGAGCAGCAGACTCCATCACAGTCAATGATCTCTGTCTCCAGATAAAAAAAGGGAACATAGAAGCACAGCAAGTAGGTTACCATATTCTTACAGGTGATATGGAGAGGGTGAATATTCATTACTTTCCCCATTAATTGGGTTTTTCAATGCTCACAAGTACCAGACGAGCAGTATTGTGTGAAAACACATTACAGAACATCAGTGATAAAAACAGAATAAAAAACATACTGACAGACAGCCTAATAATAAAATAGTCATCATAATAACAGTCCCCTCCCCCACACTTTCACATGCCATAGATTATTTAATAGCCATAGGCCTGGGTAAAGAGGAACATTTTTGCCTGGCACCTAAAAACATGTAGTGATGGCGCCAGGCAAGCCTCTCTGGGGAGAGCATTCCACATTCGGGGAGCTACCACATTCCCCAGAGAACCATGCATGTAGAAATCGTGCATAGATTCAAAATGAAATTGTTTCTGATTCTTACATCATTCTCTTCCAGGCTTCCATTATTATTAGCTCTGTGACTGTGCAAGATGATCTCTCTCAAGGAACCATTTCAAGAGCAATCCTCGAAAAGGCAGGTCCAGCTATGCAGGAGCAATTTCTCTCTGAGTTACAGAGACTTCCAGCAGATAACCTGAAACTCATATTCACAAAAGGGTGCAATATTGACTGCGAGTTTGTGCTCCATGTGGTATGGCCATCTTATAGTGAATGCAACGCACAGGAGGTGATGGCTTTTTTTCTATTAGCTTTCCATTTCACTGAATGGGGGGTGGGAATCACCATTATAACTACTTTCCTCCTCCAACAGGCACTAAAAGCTGCAGTTTCTAAAAGTCTTCTCAAGGCTCAAGAGCAGCAGTCCTCATCAGTTTGTTTTCCTCTCCTTGGGATTGAAGATTTACACATGCCAAAGGATGAAGTAGTGGAGATTATGGTGGAGGAAATAATACACTTTGCGGAGGAATATTCTGGGAAGAAGCCAGATGTATTCATTGTGGTTCCTCCAGATGACAGTGATGTTTATGAGGTGAGGTTCTGAATGCTCATGGCAAGTAGACAAAGATTGGCCATCTAATAAATGCATCTCTCTTAAACATTTTTCTATAGTTTTATCACTGGTTTCCACATACTGGTGCCCTCCAAATATTTTGGAATACAGTATAACTGTGGTCAGCTCCAGCCAGGATGGCAAAGGTCAAAGATGATGAGAGCTATTGTCCAACAACATACAGATGGTGCTAGATTGGAGAAGCCTGGGTTATCACTTGAGATAGGCACAATGCTCAGTTTAATATGGGAACTCTCACTACTGCCCATTATACTCATTGTGTGGGATTTTACTGCCCCAGGTTTAATCTTGAACGTGGATATGAAGTAAATGGTAATGGGTTTAGCTTTCTGCAGTGGAAAATGACCATTGTTATTAGATGCTGAAGATTCGTAGTGCTTTGTACACTCCGTCCTAAACTGGCACAATAATGCTTAGAACTGAGCCAAAAAAAGCAGCAATTGTATGTGTTTTCTCTCTTTTTAAAGGCTTTCTTCACCAAGCTTATGTCAGTCAAAAACAAACTGGAAGAAAAGATGGACTGCAGCAATATGGATGGCATGGGTAATAAATAAATGGGATGGTTAAAACTGGTTGAGATTCTCTGTATATATATATAAAATATTTTAATGTTTGACCACAAGTAGAACATGTCAGGAATATTAGAAAACTAAGTTTTGTGTAGGTTTTAATGAGGGACTTGAAAGATGAGTGGAGTTGAAGAAGAGGCAGGGAGAATTAGTAGTTGGTAAGAAATAATTCTAGCAAGGGTTCAATTTAGATTTTAGTAGTGGAACACGGTTTCAAAGTCTACTTTTAGTTTTCTTGTAAGTTCAACCAATTAGCCCTGTCGAGCAACAGAAAAATAAATCCCCCCCCCCCATCATCTATCTGTGTGAGCCCTTCAAATATTTGGCTATCATATCACCTCTTAATTGTCCCTTCTTCATGAGTCATTCACTAACCATTGCAACACCTACCAATAATATTTTTCAGAGGTACAGGCTGACATACAAGCCAATGGAGGTTGTGAAAAAAACGGACCATTTGTGGAACTTATTGGACGCAGCCAGGAAACGCTGGAGGCAGCAGGACTGTGGCTCCGAAACATCATACAAGTTGAGGAAACTCACCGGATCGTTATACAAAATTATAACCTTCTCAACCTTGGCAGTGGTCAGCCAGTTGAGCTGTCTCATCTGCAGCAGCACTTTGGCATAACCATAGTGGAGAGTTTGACCGGGGAGGGTGCAGCGCTCGAGATCGAAGGTTCCCCCCGAGCCGTGATTGATGCAACATTCGCTATCGAATTCATGCTGCAGACGACAGCCAAGCAAGAAATTAAGACAGACGGTATGTGGGGCTGTATGTACATAAGCACAACGCTGTTATGAAAAATACGTGAACACCTAAGAAAGCATCTGGTGAAGAATTTGGCTTATTGATATCCTTCACCTTATACTAAGGGCAGACTTCTAGCCTGCACAAAGAACAGTTTGAAACCATACAGGCAGTAGCCCTATTCAGTTGCTCTCCCCACCAGGCCATTTCCATCGTGCAAGTGGGTGCAAGGGTGCAACCTTTAACCAACCCCTTCCTATATATCACTGTCACTATTCCTGTACCCACCTGGTCCATTGAAGGCTGAACATTTTAATTTTTATTATTTATTAAATTTGTATACTTTCCACAACACGTTTTGAAAGAGCATTGGATGTCAATCAGCCAAAGTATTATTATTATTATTATTATTATTATTATTATTATTATTATTAAATTTGGTGAAGAATTTGGCTTTGCATTGGAAAGCCTTTTCGACTCAAGTAGGCTCCCGGATGTGATTTAGAACCCTGAGAAATCACGGTAAGAGGTTACAGGATTGCAGCCTCAAAGGATTTCAGTTGTCGCTGTCAAAGGAAATATTACCACTCTGTGAAAAAGGGGCCTTTATTAAACAATGAACTCATTGTGCTTACTGTATTTCCATTTTAATAAGCAAATAGAAGACCAGGCATTACCCGTCTCCAGTAAGCTTACAGTTAATTTTCCAATATGAAAGTTGCACTACTATTTAGTATTTTATTACTTGTATCTAGGACCTTTGAGAAACTCTCCTCATCAAGAAGGCCACACAGAAATGGCGAGTAAATACTGTTACCAAGTCACTCCAATAGAGTCATATCTTCAAGAATTCAAGGACAAAGAAAAACAACTTGAAAAAGCTGGCCTCCGGATTCTGAAGGTAAAGAGATGACCAAGGGCAAAGTAATTCTGAAAGAATATTGTGATGTTTTACAAATATCCAAAACCAATAGGAATATAGGAGGGTAAAATCCAAGTCAAAATGATTATTAAAAACTGATAGGTTTTTACCAATATGTGGTATACTCCTAAATCAAACTCAGACCACATTACTTCAAGTAGAGAATAAATCGGAACTGTTTGGTCTTTTTTCATCCTGGAATTTCGATTTTAAAAACAAACAAAAAATGTACTAATCGAAATAAAAAATGTACTTAGCATCGGAACAGTATGTATTTTTTAGTGTTGCTGCTATTGAGCTGGGCACAACTTACTTTCATTTTCATTTCAGATAGAGAAAATATGCAATCCTCTTTTAGAATCTACCTTCCAAAGGATTAAAATAAAAATTGAAGGAAAAAATGCTGGAATGCCAGTATGCCATAGGCTATACCATCGTGTCCCAGCTCAGTACTGTAGTCTGGTGTGTAAAACGGGATTTCAGAAAACCTACCCCTCCTCCTTACAAGGTAAAGCATGCATATACCCATGAAAAGCAAAAAAATAGAAAATCAGTAGATTATCTTCAAACAATTTGACTGCCATGTTGATACATTCATCACAGATGTTCAAGTACATTAATTCAAAGCTTAAAAAGCTAGCTAAATAAAATATAAAATCAAGTGGTATCTATCTGGTTCTTACAATTATCACTATTGGCTTCACAGTAAGATTTAGCTTTTCCTCTGTAAACCCTAAACTGATCTAGAGTTAGACTGCAGTGTCCATTGCTGCCACCAGGGCTGGTGTAGCTAGTGGGCAGTGTGAATCTGCTGCCTCAGGCGGTAAAAGTCCTTGAGGTGGTGCCCAAGTGGGTGCTCCGCCTGCCCCACTGCCTCCACTTCTGGCATCAGTGCAGATTTCACACGAGACCCCACAAGATCTTGTAGTGCGCACAAAATCTCATCTGAAATCCGTGCCACTGTTCCATCAGTAGCCATGGAGCAGTACTTCCCATCTTGTCTCAAGCAGCAAAATTGGATGTGCTGCTCCCGATTGCCACCATGATTGCAATTGTTAAAATACCAGCAGTTTCCCAGCATGTCCTTAAAGCTTGTTCAATTATTACTTGGTCCTCTTATTTCCATTCAGGGCGGGAGTGGGAGCAGACCAAGTCATATTCAGAAGCAATTTGTCTTGCATACTGCTACCATAATGAAAACATGTTTCTGTTTAAACAGTCTGTGTTTTGCATTGTTTTCCAGACCAGAAATATGGAGCTGGCATCTACTTTAACAAGAACCCCAGGAACCTTGTAACAGATACCAGGGAAAAATGTGAAATGGATCACTTGATCTGTGTGTTTGAGGCTGAAGTTGTAACAGGCTCGTATACAAGGGGCAATCGAAGCTATGTTGCACCACCATTAATTAGTGCAAGTAGCATGAAACTCTATGACAGTGTTGTTGACGATATTCACAACCCTGAAATCTTTGTCATTTTCAATAGGGAGCAAGCTCTCCCGCTGTATTTGTTGACTTGTTCCCTGCTTTGGAATCCAGTGCAGAAGACCCAGTTGGAACCATCAGCTCAGAATCTATGAGGCCTTAAAGTTCAACAAATGATAGGTACTAGGTTCTATGAGTTAGGTTTAAGTAATTTATGTACATGGCAGTTCTCCGATGCAGTGAAAAATCTTGCCTCGTTACAATCTTGAAGTATCGTTATTGCTTAATAAGCAATCTCAGCATGGGAAGCTTTAATTTGATCTAAAAGAGAACCGCTGCATTCACAACACAAGTTCTTATATTAAAATGCCAACTTCAAACCATCTGCAAATATTTGGTTTTTTTCTGTACAAGAATATAATAGCAAGTGCTTCATGCAGTTCAGGATCAGCTTTTGTCTAAGTGCCAGAGATGATGCTTTTAGAAATTTAAAACTTCAGAAAATTCCAAGTAACTTTGTATTTCTAGAATGTCTTTGATGGTTTATTGAATTAAGTGCTATTAAATCAGTTGGTTTAAAATCCACAATAAATACCATGCTTCTATCAGATGTACCACTAAATGTCAGTGTAACATTCAGCTCCTTCTCTATGCCATTGCATACATGCTTTGGATATGGGGTGAAGACTACCTGCAACTACATTGGAACATATGACCCAAATTCTTAGGATTAAAGGGGGGCAAATATTATAAATGACCTTTTAATAGGTTATGATCCTTAAACATTACCTTTGTTGCATTAGCTAGGTAAAGGTAAAGGTACCCCTGCCCGTACGGGCCAGTCTTGACAGACTCTAGGGTTGTGTGCTCATCTCACTCTAGAGGCCGGGAGCCAGCGCTGTCCGCAGACACTTCCGGGTCACGTGGCCAGCGTGACAAGCTGCATCTGGCGAGCCAGCGCAGCACACGGAACGCCGTTTACCTTCCCGCTGGTAAGCGGTCCCTATTTATCTACTTGCACCCGGGGGTGTTTTCGAACTGCTAGGTTGGCAGGCGCTGGGACCTAACGACGGGAGCGCACCCCGCCGCGGGGATTCGAACCGCCGACCATGCGATCGGCAAGTCCTAGGCGCTGAGGTTTTACCCACAACGCCACCCGCGTCCCTCGTTGCATTAGCTAAAGGAGGCAATAACTAGTGTGTGACAGATACTAAAAATAGTAAGATTCCTTTGAAATAATACCATCTTTTGAGGTTTTATAGTTTCCATATTTTAGTAGATTCTTGAACATCTGGCAATAGCATTTTTGAATAGTGGACATCTTTATAAATGTGTCCCCCCAAAAAAGAATCTGTTAAGGCTGAGTACTCCCAGGAAAAAAAAACACACTGCTGGTAAGTCTCTTGACTTATTTGACAGATCCAACAAAGTTTGTAATCCCAGTTAACAACAACCAATAAAAGGCTCCCCGCTTAGCAATAACTAAATGTCTTCCCCCAAAAATTGGCTGCTGAAAACAAAGAAAGCTTTAAAGCAAGCCAGTTGTATGTGAGAGAGGATGTGTAGGTGTATGCAGGCACTAGAAACAAATTCCTGAGCAAGCAAAAGCTGCACCTCACTCAGTGGGTTGACTTCCAAATAAATATTCATAAGATTGTGCTACAAGTGTATGGTGTACCATGTCCAGCCACGATTTTGGAAGTGGTAGACTTTGGAGCACAAGTGAGATTTCATTTTTCTCAAGCCTGAAGTTTGCTTGCCCCCTTTTTAAAGATTTCAGTAGTTCAGTACTATGTAATATGCAGTCACCTGAAACTTCCAGTCTGCTACAGAAAATCCCCAGCATATTTGTTCTTGCATCTATTTTTTAAATTTCCTAAAGGCAAACACTGGATTTTGAAAATGCACAAAAATGACTCATCCTCCCTTGTGTAGTTGCATGCATGGGAGCAGATCATTCAGCTCAATGGACTACTTTTCCTTGCTGCAAGTGCCCCACTATAACCTGCTATATAGGAGTGGCGTTTGTGCCTCCCATATGCAGATGCAGCCACATCACTCGCTAGGCCCATGTGCTCAAACTGGAAGTACATGGGGTACCAGTAAAGGGAAGGACTTGCTGGATCTACACATGGGAGAGACACATGGGGCTCCCAAAGCAGGTCATAGCTGGGCACTTGTGCTCAGCAGAAAGCTGCAGGAAAAAGGCAACCCATGCAGACAGATGGCTCGTGGTTCAAGTATTATTGATAAGCAAAGTTGTAAAAAGGCTTACTGAAAAAAAAACACTTCTTTAGTTATACATTCCAGTTTTCTAAGGACGCAACACACTTATTTTAAAGAGGATATAAAAAGAATATGACATTCTAACATTTAAATGAACAAATTTCACTACTGTGTTTTATTCTGCACTTATTAAAAGTTTCCATGTAAACAATTTCTACATTGGTCAAAGTTCCTCTTTAGTGTTCTAATATATAAATTCTTTTTTACAAAAAAGACATCATATTCTCATCTGGTCCTTCAATAAATTTCATATACAGCAGCTAGAAAATAAGAACAGCACAAACTGAATATACCATGAAGTATATATTAAAGTATATATTAAAGTAGTCAATTACCACAGCAATTGAAAATCCCTGATCTTTGTATCTGCAATAGTCAGAATAATGGAAAGCTATTACAAAGGTGCTGTGATTTCTTCATCATCTACAACAAGCATATGAATAATTCCTTCTCTTCTTTTCCCACTGCTGACAGCTTTAATGCAACAGTTATGCTTTCCAATACTGAAATGTGTTTCTGTCCCATCATCTACAAATTCTCCCTGGTACAAAAAAGGAAAAATATATGTTGAACAGGTGATCAAATGTATTCAAATACTCTAATTGTTCATTAACCACCAAAAGATTGTTCTAAAAGCAAGGGTGGCTAACCTGTAACCCTCCAGATGTTACTGAGTCACAACTCCCATACAGCTCCCTGATCATTGCCCAGGTGAGCTGAGGTTGATGGGAATTGTAGTTCAGTTCCATCAGGAGGGCCACAGCTTCTGATACACAGGCAAATGTATTCAAAGTCATCACAATGCACTTCATAGAGCAGCACCGAGCTTAGACTGTCATGAAATTGGTTAGATTTTAAAGGTTTCATTGCAGTCCAATGCTCTGTTCCCAAGTTTTACAAATTCCAAAGTGAATGAACTGTTTAATTGTTCCATTTCCTATGGAGGAAATTTATCGCACACTGGTGGCCTAATGTGTAGTCTATGTCACAAAGACAAGATAATAAATTTTTCCTATGTTTGAATAACACTTAAAAACACTTAAATACCATTCTATAAGTGAGTAGCTTTTAAAATCATTCCCTCATTTAAAAGTCTTTCAGTCAACCCTGGAATGGACTCCCTGGGAAGATGATGGACTATCCTTCCTTAGAGGTTTTTAAACAGAGGTTGGATGGCCATTTGTTCTGGATGTTTTAGCTGAGATTTCTGCACAGGAGGGGGTTGGAGTAGCTGAGCCTGAGGTGCCTTCCAACTCTACAATTCTATGAAAGAAGGAACTGGTCAAGTGTACATTTCCTTGCTTTTAAGGGTATTTAAACCAAGTTCAAATTCTTCACTTATGGAGGGGGTGCGGATAACATTGAATATGCATCTCTTAATTGTAACTTTAGTCCATTTTAATTTAAAAGTTTTCATTTTGGAATATCTATGGTTACATACCGCCGTTTCCACTTTTTTACCATTGCACCAGACATCCATTGTGTCTTTTTCTGTTAAAAAAAATAAAAGGTCACTTAATGATAACATTTTCTTATCTTAAAAACTATTTACTATAACGTATGCATGTCAGATATGTCCAGACCAAGGCTTCCCATTTTGTATCTTATATTTAATTTTGATTTAGGGCTTGTCCACAATTTCAGCCATTATTTAGCTATGAATTCATTTCTTTTCCATTCAAATTAGACCACAGTAATCCACACCTGCATGTATTTGAATCTGTATGAGGAGCAACTTTGGTCTTTCCCTTTCATCCCAGCAGGCATTCTCTTTAGTGTTTTTGTTCCAGCCTTCCAGCTTGTTGATTCTATTATGCTGCATACATCTTTTTTTTTTAAATCACCACCCAGGAAGTGTCCAAAAGCACAATGACAGGCAATTTTAAATTCTCAACACACTCTTTCTTGCTGTTCCATTCCTGTGTCTTGTGAAAATCCAATCTTATCCATTGAACTGAACCGCAGTTAACCAAAATCTCCCTTCAGATTTTCTGTGCATAGCCAATTCAATGGGTAACATCAGATTTTTGCAAGGCACAACTGTGGGACAATGATAAAAACTCAGTTGCAGGGGAACCAATTAGTACACAATATGATCAAAGTACAGGTGAAGCAAAAGTGTGGATGAGCTCTATATCAAGTGTAGTTTTGCACCTTAGCTAGAGTGATGAAGACAATGCTCTGTACAGCCACAGTCAAAGCCAGTAAGATTATGATAACATGAGGTTTTTCTTCCTAATGGACATGTTGGAGCCTAACAAGGGGTGTGTTAATCTACCTATGGGGTTGCCACCAACTAATCTCACCTCAGTGTGTTTTGTAAAGAGAAAATATGGGATGTAATGTTCAGGGTTCTCATAGTGCTTGTAGGGGGCAGGAAATAATACAGGTGTGAGGGTGTCATTTTTTTCTTCTACCAGAGCATGGGTTAGTAGCATTCCCAGATCTCTGTAAATGCTAGCTATGCCCTTGAACAAGTTAGATGGTGCAGGGCATACTTTAAAGAGAGCTAAGAATATTGAGACAAGCATTGGGGCTTGTGCGCTCTCCCTTTCTTCTCCCTTTCTCTGTTGCATGGCAGGGAGAATTATTATTTTTTAAATATATGTTTACTGGCTTTTGAGAAATAAAGAAGTAAAAAGTCAATAAGATTTCCAAATCAATCAAAAGGGGGGGAGGGAGTAACTGTAACCATAACTGTGCTTGAGTATATAATCATCTTCATCTTCAGTACGCATTAAGAAATAAATATGGAACAATGGGTCAGAGTTTAAATCGGTTGGGGAGGGAGAGAACTTTGAAAGTACAGTGGTACCTCGGGTTACATACGCTTCAGGTTACAGACTCAACTAATCCAGAAATAGTACCTCGGATTAATAACTTTGCTTCAGGATGAGAACAGAAATTGTGCTCCGGCGGCGCGGCAGCAGCAGGAGGCCCCATTAGCTAAAGTGGTGTTTCAGGTTAAGAACAGTTTCAGGTTAAGTACGGACCTCCGGAACGAATTAAGTACTTAACCCGAGGTACCACTGTAATCCAGTTTAGCATTACATGCAAATGTCATCCAGTGCCACTAATAAACAAGCCAATGGTAAAATGATCACTAACTCAGATTACTAAAACATACTGAAGTGTTCATATGTTTTTTTCCATATCAAAAAGGCCCTTCATTAATTCCCAGAAGGTTCTAATGATTCTCAGAGCTCTCCAGGATCAGGCTCCAATGAGATATTTGTTTTATAGTTTGTTACAAATAAAGGAGTCACAACAAAAATCAGTGCTCTTGGAACGGCACCACAGCATGACTAAACAAAATATATGGGAATATATGGGTCCATACAAAAGGCAAACATGGAACTATGTAAGAATAACCTACCTAATACAACCCTGTAATCTGTACAATCCAAGTGTAACATCCAAGTACTTGTTGTTTTTGACCTGTTCTCCATGTATTTTGTGAGGCTCTTGCCATTAATTTCCAAGGTATATTCATACGCAAAGCCACTGACAGCATCAATGTTAATAGTAGCCTTTGTTTTAGATGTTCCGACAGTAAATGTCTCTTTCCCCACTAATTTGAACATCCATTCTTTTCTCATTATTTCCTGAAGAGAAAAAAGATAGCACCGATGTCAACATATATATTTGCTTCAGTACTGAAAAAAGGAAACATCACATAGCTTTCTGTTTGTTTACATCATAAAAAGAAAGCTTGATCTCAAGTACACATTTCAGTTTAATAAAAGTGTTACATTACAAGGGAAGGTAATACAACAGACTGTCTTGAGCAACTGGATGGGGTATTTTGACACACACCAGGAAGTACAGTTTTGCTTTGTCCCCCCTGCCCCACCTTGGTTTTAATGTACAGTGGTACCTCAGGTTATATACGCTTCAGGTTACATATGCTTCAGGTTACACACTCCGCTAACCCAGAAATAGTGCTTCAGGTTAAGAACTTTGCTTCAGGATAAGAACAGAAATCGTGTTCCAGTGGTGTGGCAGCAGCAGCAGGAGGCCCCATTAGCTAAAGTGGTGTTTCAGGTTAAGAACAGACCTCCGGAACGAATTAAGTACTTAACCCGAGGTACCACTGTATCTATGTGGGTGTTTTTGTTTGCTTGTAAGCTGCTTTGGGTTGTCTTAGGCAAGATAAAAGCAACTAACAAATTTAATAAATAATAATCATTATTATTATTATCAATGCTAAAGGGACCTAATGCCAAAGCTAATTCAAAGATGGCATCTAGCCCTTGTACACCTATATCACATTAATAGGGGCATGTTGTCCTACTTTTAGACAGAATGTCACTTAACACATTTATGGTGGGAATTCTCATGGGAAAAGAAGCGTTGGCAGGCAGTCTCTGGTATAAATGCAACAGGAGGCCAATATGGATTCAAGATTGGCCTTGCTGTCATTTATGGGGTAGAGAAAATTACTGGTATAATAGTTCATCTCCTAATAGCTGCTTACAAAAAAAACCTGCTCATTACTGGAAAGGTAAGGAGGATTTTGTGCTGGGGAGATGGTTTGATAAGTATTTGGCAGTTTGCAATGGCAGAAAAATTAACAGCAGAGGCAGATAGGGAAGGAAACTTTCCATGAGGACTGTCTCACCTATTGCTTAGAAATCATTTTTGAAAGATTATTTAACCTGTGTTTGGATCTCTACAGATTACAGAAACATGTATATATGCAAGCAAAATGATATTGCAAAACCAGCTAAAGCAAAGTACATACATTGTACCACAGATCACTGCCCATCTCTTTTATTTTTGGGGTGTTGCTATTAAAATTTAAAGGGGGAAATGACTGCACTTTCAGACAAGTATGCATGGACTTTCACATACCAAGAGAACTATGGTGATAAGGCCTTAAGGCCTTTTTCCTAATGGTAGAAGTTTCACCATGATATTGTTTGGATTGTCAGCAAAGCCTAAGCTTTCTTTCTCATATCATATGGAAAACCACATCCTGGCAGAACAGATAGGCATGTGTCAGAGAACAGCTCTATTGCTGGAGCTCTGCATATACTTATTACTAGGGATATAACAGGAATAGGGGCATCCAGAAAGTCAAAGTCTCCTGCTCAGTTTCAGTGAGAAGAATCAAAGCAGGAAGCACAGCCCATGTTGAGTGGATGTCTTGTCCTGATTCTATATGTGAACATATCCATTCACCAGCAGCCCATCCCAGAGCAAAGATTTACATTAGGGGCCAGGCAAGATGGTAGCAGTAGTGCAGCAACTCCTTGGATTGGACAGACTTCCTTGCCTCTTCCCTCTTTCCCCTTTGCTTGATTTTCTTCCCCAAATAAAAAAGAGACATAACCAGCATTTATGTTGCAATGCCTCCTTCTACTTCATATAATAAAAACTGAATGGAACTGCAACCCCCATAATTTTTGGCCACGGCTGGGGATTATATGAGTTGTAGTTTAATTTCCGGGATCTCTAACAGAAGGAAACATCACAGTACACTTCCATTTGTTCAGGAAAAAAAGCAAATGCAGAAGGAGGAAGAGCCCAGGAGTGTGAGGGGATGTCCTTTCCAAGATAGCACTATTGCTATCACTGCTAATATTTTAAGAAAAGTAGAATATCTTCTGCAGAAAAACCAAGTGTTTTTCCACTACATGTTTTAGATTTTAGACCAAGATTTTAAATCCACATTACAGATCAGTGACATAAATTTAATCTAACAAACTTCACAGAAAATAACCTCTTAAGGACTATTGTTTGGTAAACCAGGTTAACTAGGTTTTACTGATAAAAAAACCTCACTGTTTGTTTTTCATACTGTGTGCTTTTCATGTAAGAATCCTACCTTTCCATCCACATACACAACACGTTTTCCTGAGGTGGTCCCATGTTCAAATTCAATTTTGTGGATGCCATCACTTAAACCTACTTCCCAGATAGCCACTAGGTCCGTCATTCTGTCCAGGTAGCTGCAAGAATATATGTTTAAATACAACTGATTAATAAGTAGTCCACAATTCAGAGACCCCCTTTAGGTATGTACAAAAATCTGCACATGTATACTCCATACCCCAAGCAGATCTTTATTCTGAAGTCTGCTTCTGAACAGCTTCCAAATATTGTCCTCAGGTTTTGTGAGACCTCTTTGGAAAGAGGGATATTAAAGGCTACATTCCACTTGCCCTTGAAAACCTATCAAATGGTGCCTTAATCCTGTAGTGTTGTTTTTATTTAGGTAGTCTTTACCTCCTCACCCAAATTCTAAGCTACAAGGAACACAGCAATAATCAAATTATATTAGAAATGGAACAATACTCAGATCACAAGACAGCCTGAACTATTTTTTTTTTTTGTGGGCATTTACTTTGACAAATACAAATAGGATCAAATCTAATTTGGACCCTTGGACTCTAGAAAGGCTTTTGATCTAACACAGACATACACTAATAGGGGACATAAGGAGGCAATTTTGTTGATCATCCTCCAGCCTCCTGAAAACCAGCTCCTTAGAGCTGGATAACTCTCCAAAACAGTGTGCAAGGTGGCATGGTGGTTTGCAGGGGGAAATCAGAAACATTGTCTCCCCTCTTCCACTAGTAGACATCTCTACTACATTAAAAGTCGAAGTGTATTGCACCCAAAACTATTTGAATAATGCTTTCCTTTATCAAATAGATCCCCTTAAATAAATCAACTTTTTGAACCGGCTCCAATTGTTATCTGTGTCACTGTAATCAAGTTTAGTAGTAAACCCAGAAATAGTGCTTTTTTCATATTTTTAAAAATTATTTCATTTTATATGCATTATAAATATAACAGACAAAAATTTAAAGATGAAAAACAAAACTATAACATAGGCATGTAGAATGAGTAAGTTGTACTTGAGTTAAAATAGCTAAGTCCAAGTAAAGACTATCAACTTTATCAAATCATCAAGTATAATTCTAGATGAAATAGTGCTTTTTATAGTTTTCTTGGCCAGTATTTGCAACCTAAAATATAAAGAATGAAAACATAGCTCAAGTTAAAATTCTGTTTGCGTCTCAAATTAACTCATCTTATACGCATATTACAGTAAGCCTACTATTTAAACTATATTGATAGCACGAATCCTATCACTATTAACATCTGGGAAGGCTTTCCCAGACCTCTTACAGCACAGACTACTTTTTACCTTACATCATCTTCATAGTCAGTACTCTCATCACGGGATGCCATAGCAATCAAAACAGGCTTTAATCCATTTAGCAGCAAGAAAAGAAAAAGCAGAACACTAGCAGCAGCAAAGAGATGTTGAAAACTATAACTCCATGTTTATTAGGAAGAAATCCTTTCCCAGTTTTCATCTTGTTTAAACACTATGGTTAGGATTCTTATAGGATTAAACACTGTTAAATATAATGTAATAAATCTGTCCACTATGGCAGTGCACAAAGTAGTGGCAAATATAAATCACTTTGATCTACAGGCTTATAAAGTACTAGATTGTTTTACAGTACTAGGGCTGTGTATGCAACACTTCTTTCTAGAATAACTGAAGACTGAGTAATTGGATATATTTTTGCTCCTGAAAAGCACTAACTGAGAAACAGAATTCATTCCAAAAATAATAAAAGATCATTGTAGATTGTTTCTGCATTATCCTGCAGTGTGCCCAATGAAAACAGATGTACATGGTCCGGACAATGGGAGGTGTACCCACACATGCCCAATACAGTGGTACCTCGGGTTACATACGCTTCAGGTTACAGACTCTGCTAACCCAGAAATATTACCTTGGGTTAAGAAATTTGCTTCAGGATGAAAACAGAAATCATGCAGCAGCGATGCAGCGGGAGCAGGAGGCCCCATTAGCTAAAGTGGTGCTTCAGGTTAAGAACAGTTTCAGGTTAAGAACAGACCTCCAGAACGAATTAAGTTCTTAACCCAAGGTACCACTGTAATCTTGTGAACAGGAATATACTGTACAAAGATCACTATCAACATTTCATTCATCATTCACCCGAGACTTGTTCAGGGAAGAAAAAGTGTGAATAACCTAATCAAGGGAAGAATCTTCTAATGCATAACAATAACTACACCCATTCTTGTGGATCACAAGATCTAGAATTGATCTATATTGAAAGCAACATGTTGAGGACCAGCATGAATGATTCAAGATTGAGAAAAGCTACATTTTTGTCCTACAAATGGATTAGCATGTACACAGCTCAAGTTTTTATTTGCTAGTTATTCATAATGTTTCAAGTTACATCAGCTTTGCAACTATGTTATTGGCCCTCAATGACTTTTACAAACATACTGTCTAGACCAGGGGTCTGCAACCTTTAAGACAAAAAGAGCCACTTGGACCCGTTTCCGAAGGGAAAAAAAAACGGGAGCCGCAAAACCATTGCGACATTTAAAACAAATATATCTCCAGAGCCGCGATCTGACAGCGGACGGGAAGGTGACGTCGGGACGGTGCGTGACTAACGCACGCACCGCCCCCATGTGACGTCACAGCCAGTACAGCGCCTGCCACAGTGGGGAGTGTTGGGGCGCACAATGCACCTACTCCCCTCGCTAGTATCTGCCCCGGAGACGCGGCAAAGGTGTAAAAGAGCCACATGCGGCTCCGGAGCTGCGGGTTGCTGACCCCTGGTCTAGACTCTAGACAATTGTATTTTAACAATTTGGAGCAAAGAGATGGCCTGAAAGGACAGTTTTGCCAGAAGGTATCTACTCAACACAAACTACAAAGTGATGGCTATAAACAACCCTGAGTTACATCATGGCTCTGGATTGGGTTGACAGCTCTCCCAAGTGTTGAACATGTAGTGATAAGTGATACTTTATATTGAGACTTAAAGGTAAAGGTAAAGGGACCCCTGACCATTAGGTCCAGTCGCGGCCAACTCTGGGGTTGTGGCACTCATCTCGCTTTATTGGCCGAGGGAGCCAGTGTACAGCTTCCGGGTCATGTGGCCAGCATGCCTAAGCCGCTTCTGGTGAACCAGAGCAGTGCACGGAAACGCCGTTTACCTTCCCGCTGGAGTGATACCTATTTATCTACTTGTACTTTGATGTGCTTTCGAACTGCTAGGCTGGCAGGAGCAGGGACTGAGCAACGGGAGCTCACCCCGTCGTGGGGATTCGAACGACGACCTTTTGATTGGCAAGTCCTAGGCTCTGTGGTTTAACCTACAGCGTCACCCGCGTCCCATATTGAGACTTATGCTGAATATAAATAACCCAGTATGGCCTATTGGACTGACACCAGGACTTCTTTAGCCCTGGTATCAGGAGATGCCAGGAACTGAACTGGGACTTTTTGCAAACCCACTTTAAAACATGGCTTTGGGGTGGGGGTGGGGACTGTGGCAATCTCAATTAGCTTTAAAGACAGGTTGCTTATTTGGAACATTATTTGAGAAGTCATCTATGCACACACACATCTGGGATATCCACCTGCACAGAACAGCAAGCAATTAAGAAACTCTTACCTGGAACCTGCCGGACAACAATGGAGATATCAATAAAGCTAGGCAGGCAAGCAAGTGAAAACCTAGTAGCTACTGATAAGAGTGCTGGAAAAATAGACCAGTGATGTCATAATGTCACCTGTGTGTGACTAGACACTGAAATCTAAGAATTAAAGAGAAATTCCCATTAAGCAAACTCCCTGTCAATCAAAACCACTGATACTGCTGCCTCATATTATTTTATCCTAACTGCATTTCTCCATCTTTTGTTCCTGGAGGATAAAAAAGCAACTAGAGGATAAAAAAGCAACAATCCTGTATTACACTGTGTGAAATCAAGACTGAAGAGGAGGCCCTGAAGAAAATCAGAGATAAAAGGCCTATATTTTTAAAGAGCAATAATAAAATAGAAATAGAAGAAGGAGATAGGAGACAGAAGCAGTTATAGGGAAAAGAGAATGTAAAAAGAGGTAGGAGGAATGAATGAGAAGAGGGTACAAGTGAAGGAGATGGGTACAAGAAACAACCGGAGATGAGGAAAATACTTTTGAGAAGCATGAGTGGGGAAAGAGAAAAGGGATATATATATATATATATATATATATATTCCTCTTCAGAGCCTTAGGATCAGCAAATTCTGCCTAAAACGTAGAGACTGTTTCACAATATCTCCAGGGTCAATATCTCTACTTAATGTGAGAAAAGCTGAACTATGAAACTCCCTGCTGCAATGATATTGATTAGACATCAATAGAAAATGTCAGTAATTGCCAGCTTATTATGCCAATCTCTATCTCCATCCACTACAATTTTGTTTAATAGTTCTATTCTACACCACCACTGTTTGACTAGTGGACTTTAATATTTTCAGCCCTCTCAAGGAACCTCTGGATTATAAGAAGTGTGGGAGAGCTACTCACCAAGATATCCCAGGCTTGAAGTACTTTTAAAAAGAAAGCCACAGCCCTTAAATTAGGCCTGGAAGCTCACAGGCAGCCCATGTGATTTGCCCAGAACCAACTGGATGTGGTCCCACCTGCCAGCAATTCACACTGAGAAAGGCTGCAACAATCTGTGCTCGCTGCCATTTCTGAGCAGTCTTCAAGGAATGAGAGCACCAGGGACAAGAATATGCCAAAGAGAGTTGGGGTGAGAACACACAGACCTGTTTTACACCATTATTTACATCTGAGGACCGCTGGGAGGTGCATAGAGAGAAGAAATGCCATAGTGCATATGCCATAGCATATCCAGAGTCCTTCATCTGCCCCAACTGCAGCAAAGTATCGGTCTCTACAGCCACAGTAACTCTCCAAGGGCTTGACTTCACCCCCAAAGGCACATTCTTCCATTGTCTCCAGAGGCAGACAGATGTAGCCAACAACAACATTCAAGGAATGAGAAGGTGAGAAAACCCTGTCCATGCCACAAATTCAAATACCAAAAGCATGTGGAGAATATGTCTCAATCTACATTTATAGCATTCTAGATTCTTCAATGGAAGGGTCACCAGAGGTATCAGAAGAAGCATCACTAGGCTTTCTCTATGTGCTGCATTCGGTGGCTCAGGCCAAGTAAGGTTGGATGTATATCTAAGTGTGCATTACCTTTGCAAGAGGATGCTTCTTTATTCCTGGATTAATCTGAAATAACTAGGAGAGGTGGGTTCACCATCATTCATCCTTCCACTCACAGAGTAAAAGAAAAAAAAAGTTGTTCGTAGTCTAGGGAAGGGTTGTTACAGTGGGTCAAGAGAGCCATGAATAGTGTTTGTGTCCTTGAACTCGCTTTCTAAGGGCAATGCAGTTTGTCTCCAGGGCATATGTGTACAAAGAGGAACAGAAATGGTCATGTAATCCGGATTAACTCCCTGGTACCTTTTTACATTAGCAAATGGATGAATCACAGCTCCCCTCCCCTCTTTATAGTCGAAGCGAGAACTCCAGCCACAGGTAGTCGATGTGAGTTAGCAAGGGGTGGCGGTTGTTAATCCGGAGGAATAAAGGCAGAGCCAAACAAACGGTCTGCTGCTTTCAAAGATTTTACAGGGATTTATCTAGGCCGGGGCAGTTGAAAGATACATACAGTAAAGGGGTGGAGGAGGTGGGTACATGGGCTGGGATTGAGGAGGCGAGGAAGAGACGGGCCAACCGTCGTGTCGGCTGGTGACAGGGCCTCCCCTTCCTCCCACCCCACGGAGTCCTCCCGAAGGCCTTTTTCCTGGGGACAGTGGCGAGGACCTGTATCTATGGGCGACGGGCCCGTAGCGCTACAAACAACAACTCCAACCCAGGCGAAGGAGGAAGAGAAGGAGATAAAATGGCGGGGCGGGGCACGACAAGTTACGGCGACTCTGCCCTCCTTCCTCCCTCTCCCTCAGATACCTGCGCGGCTCTCCCAGACCGTTACTCCGCTCGCAACGGACTCTCCCTCCCAAAATGGCGGCCGAGCCTGGAGGAGGAGGAGAGGGAGAGGGAGAGGCCGCCCAGCGCCTCTTCCTTCCTCCACCCGGCAGCTCACCTGCTTTGCTCCGTCCCGCCTGTCCGTCAGCGGGCTGCTTCTTTCATCTCACACACACCCCGCCCGCCCTGCCTCCGTGGAGCAGCTTCCCTTCTCCCGAGGGAGGCCTCCCTCTTCAGCGCCACCTCTGGAGGCGCCTCGGCTGCTCGCTCCCCAGTTCCTCCTCTTCTCCTCAGGCTCCCCAAAGCAACTCGGGCTGACTGTTCCCCGCCGTGCCCCGCTTAAATTTCTTAAAGGATGCTTCTTCGTTCTTCCTTCAGCGCCCCTTCACCTTTTCTTCCATCATTACTTTTCCTTACTCTTTTCCCATGAAGCAGCTGCAAGGCGGACAGGGCTTGTTCCTAAATCAGGATTTATAGTCCCTCTGAGGAAGGAAAAAAACAATAACAACCCAGTTCGGATTTATTTCCGAGGAACAGGCGTAGGCGGTTTTTCTTCCGTGCTGCCTGAGTTTTGCAGTACTTTTCTTTCTCTCGGATTGCTGGAAAGAGATCGTGTCGAATAGTCTAGAAACGTAATGTAATTCTTTGTACGCAAGCAAGAGTATGTTATCCTTCTATGTTTGCTAATAGCAAAGAAATACAGGATGGCGGCTACTATTGTATATTCTCATCTGGGAGAGTTTGCTACGCGCCCTAGCCATAGGTGTGGAAAATTCAAAGAGTCTTAAAAACCCAATCCTGTATACATTTTACTCAGAAGTAAATAAACCCCACTGCTTCCAATGGGATTTAATTCCCAGATAAGTGTTCATAATGACTACAGTCTTACGGTGCAGATTAATGTGGGAGCCTTTAAGGAGCAGCAAAATCGAAACGATGCTGATCGGTGTCTTTTCCCTGTTAATCACCGAGCGCACCCATCGACGGAGCCCCAATAACATTGGAAGGGAACTAATTTGCCGGGGGCTCATGACAGAATTCCCCACAGGTGCCCTTTTGTCCTCCACAATCTCCTTTGGTACCCGTATGAGAGGGTAAATGCAACAGGTGCAGCTTTCACAGCATCGTGGAGTTGGAGGGAATTTCCCTCGAAGGCCTCGATCTTACCGCAGCACCTTTGTCTGATCTGGTGCAAGAGCACCCACGACAGATGGCTGCCCTGAAGACATAGGATAGTGAGGGAAAGCTTCACCTGTTGAATAAGATGCACGGGGTGGGGTGGCAACTGCTAAAGGCGCAGGAGCGCCACCAGCAAAATGGGCCATCTTGCTGTCACAGAGAGAGAGAGCGCGCCTAGAAAACGTGAGGTATTTGTCTCCAGTATAAAGCGCAGCATCTTTTTCCTGCGGCCGCCAAGTAAAGAGGAGCGAGCGAGCCAAGCTCAGAGAGTAAAACTTGCGTGGGATAGAGGATCGCGATGACAGCTCCTCTTTAGAAATGGTTCCCTCCCAGTCCCTAGATGGAGCCGAAAGGCGCCCATATTTAGAAGGGGAGGAGACTGAAGCCCAACCCTGGGGGCGGCCTTGCTGCGAGGATTTCCTCCAACCCGCAGCTGAAGCTGCAAAGCCCGCCTATAACGGCTGGGAGAGGCGCAGCCCCGGGCTGCTGCAGAAAAGAAGAGGCTGGAGCTTGTAAAGTCGTCCGCGTCAGGTAATGGGCTTTTGAGTTCTCGATGTGAGCAAGTGAAAGTGAGGACACGTGTCAAAGGAAGGCGCAAGGGCTCAAAGGGAACTTAAGGTGTTGGTGGAGGGAGAAGGAGGCGGCGGCGGCGGCGGCGGCGGCGGAGCCTGTGGGGAGATGTTATTGTTTTTACATGTGCTGGTGCTTTTCATTTTTAGGCCTCTTTGCACAGACAGCGTTTACTAGAAGTATAGTAAGGGCTTTAATTTATATTCTGGTTTGCCACATGAGCTGCAACCTCAGAAGATAAAAACCAAATAAAACAAACACGCCTCTGCAGCATAAACAAACTTGCTCATCGATTCTCGGCTTCTGCCCCAAGAATATTCAAACCCGCTTAAACTCTAGCGTGTGCAGGTAAAAGGCAACACTGTTTTCTGCAGTTTTTTTTAGTAACTTGAAACCTTGCGTGTGCTTTCACCAGCAGAAATGCCCTTCAGGCCAGGGAATACATATAACCATCAGCTCCTCGTAGTTGGCCCGACTATTACTCTATATAAATACGGTGGTACCTCAGTACATACGCTTCAGATTACAGACTCCGCTAACCCAGAAATAGTGCTTCAGGTTAAGAACTTTGCTGCAGGATAAGAACAGAAATCGGGCTCCGGCGGCACGGCAGCAGCAGGAGGCCCCATTAGCTAAAGTGGTGCTTCAGGTTAAGAACAGTTTCAGGTTAAGTACGGACCTCCGGAACGAATTAAGTACTTAACCCGAGGTACCACTGTATTTGTTTTAGTGTTTTAAAATTGTAAACCACCTTGGCAGAAAGACAGTATATAAAGCCATCCAATAAATCAAATAAGAAAACCAGGCAAAACCCACCCACTCTACAAAGCCAACCTCCACAAAAAGGCAAAAAACCCCCACAGACAGACAAAAGCCACTTTACCATCCCCAGAAGCACTCTTCACAAACCCAGACAGGCAAAAGCGACTCATTTGTCCCAAAAATCCACACACACAAAAGGCAAAGTTACCCAAAAACCCACAGATGACAAGCAAACCCACACATACCCCCAAACAGTAATACAGCCCCTACCCGCAAGAAACAAAAAAAATCCTCCTCAAAGGCAAAAACCGCATACCCCAAAACATGGAACAAGCTTCCTTTTGCACAACCTGTGCAGACATCTCAGTCACATGCACACATATAAAGCAAACAGGCACCAACCCAACTGGCAAAAAGATCACTTTCCTCTTTACTGAACAGTAGAATCACCACTGTTTCTAATCACCCACAACTATTATGCTGCTATTCAGATGTGCAATGAGCCCTGTTTTGCTCTTGCTTATGATTTTTTGAAGAATGTGCAGGAGTCTTAAATTGGAAGGTGGGTGCTTTCAGGTTGTTTCTCTGTTGTACTGGGCAGTGTGTTGTACTTGCATCAGTAATAATACTGTGTTGTACTTGCATCAGTAATAAGTTTGAACTAAAGGGGTTTTTATTCAGTGATAATGTGGCCTTCCCTGTGAAGGACCTCTATGCTAAAGGATAATCAACAATCCCTTTGCAGACTTCATCCATCTGAAATGGAAAACAGAAGGGGAAATAAGAACTTATAATATTGCCACATGTAAAATTTATTCATATCAAATTTTCCTCATATATGTTTCACCATATTTTTCTCCTAAATGTATTTTCAGATTACAGAAGTGATCGGAATATTGACCACTAATCAGCTGAAACTAAGGCTCCAAAACAATTTACTATGGCAGAGGTATTTGAATTTTAGATAATTCATAACTGTACATTGACAATTCATTTTAAAAGAATTGGTAAGCAATAGTACAATAACCTTTGGTATATTATGTGTATAATGTATTCTTTAAAATGTTTGAAGTGTTGAGGGAAGAAGCCATTTATCCCCACACATTATAATAAATTGCGCGACAAGATGTTATTTAGTCTACTGTCTGTGCTCACTTTCTCAGGAGTAAGTCCCATTGAATTCAGTTGGGCTTACTTCTGAGCAGACATGTTTGCACATTGTTCTGCTAGGCGATAGTTTAACCTTACATGAAGAAAGTTAGGTGAATCCTATTTACAATTGCAATCCTACTCTCAGTAACTGGGAAGTAAGCCCTTTGAGTTCAACATGACTACCAAGTGATGTTCTGTATTTCTCTAACTCTGGATTCTATGTATGCAAATACTATCTAACTGTTTATTAATCTGTGCCCAGTTTCCTTTTCCTTTTCTTTGTAAAGCAGAAAAATAACCAGATTAAAGCTGTACAAAAATATGTGTTTTTCAGATGAAGTCTGCATATTTTTAAAAAATGAAATCCAAAGGAATCTTAAAAGATCATGCTATCAGAATTCCGCATAAGACTTGGATCTCTTGTTCCTCCTTCTAAGCTTCTATACAGTAGTATGCATCCACGGCTGCAATCCTATATCCACTTTTTGGGGAGTAAGCACCACTAAGTAGAGTAGATATACATAGCATTTTGTTGTGTTTTTAACACATTCCTTTTGTTCGGTTTTCAGAGCTCTCAAAGTTGTAGCTTGCCAACAGAGGCAGCATCGGGTTCTATGATGATACATTCCTGCCCAGAAAGAATGTCTAATGATAGTCGGAGAATGGATGAGGTAAGAAGTTAGGAAGTTATACTTTCTCAAAGTGTAGAACATTTTGCACTGAATTAATTGGGCTTTTGTAGAATGTCTTAAAATAGATGATGGCTGTTGAACATGTGTGAAACAGGGAGCCATTTGAGGGGAATATTGAGGGTGTGTTTTCTCTCTCCCTTTCTCTGTCTTTTCAGTTGCTTGATTTTTCTTTTTTTTTAATTGTGCATATGGAATTATGAATGGGTCGGAGTGGTTGAATATATAAAGAAGGCTCATAACAAGCCTTTAATTGGAATGAGCTTTTATGGAGGAGGGGAACCTGGGGAAATTAAGTGGGAATAAAAAACACAATTAACATGAATGTAGTGAAATTAATAAAATATAAGTTCTATACAGTTTACTTTTACCCCATTTTACAGTAAAGCAAGAAGTGTTTTTATGGTATTGCTCAGTGAAGGAATTTGTTATCACAAATTGAGGAGGTGCTTTCACTTATGACCAAATTGGATCCAATTGAAACTCATAAAATGTTGTGATGTGGGGTTCATAGTCTGCCATTGTGGCACATTTGCTGCCTTAGGTATTTTGGCAGTGGTGTTGAGTGAATAATTAGGAGAGAAGCAAATTAGAGAACAAACAAGAAAAAGATGTATACTCTAGCACGAAGAAACTCACAATATTTTCCATTTTGTCTGACTTTAAGCAGGAGCAAGAAGAATGGGGAAAATTAAACAGGTTATTAAGGCAACATGGCTTAAAACCTGTGTACCTTGATAAACCTGGAACTAGCAGAAACATAGCAGGTAAAACATCTGTTTTAGAAAAGAAACTGTAAATCAGCCTTCAGTTGAATTTTTCACTTTTCTAATTGCTTGAAGATGTGAATTTTCAAGTGTCCACAGTGTCGTTCATATTATATGGCTGCAAGGGAAGTGTGCATGATCAGCTATGTTACTACAGTTATGTTACTTGGTTTAATCTACAGTGGTGCCTCGCAAGACGAAATTAATCCGTTCCGCAAGAGTCTTCGTCTAGCGGTTTTTTCGTCTTGCGAAGCAAGCCCATTGACGGATTAGCGCTATTAGCGCTATCAGCTGTTTAGCGGCTATTAAAGGCTTAAAGGCTTAGGGATTAGCTGCTAAAAGGCTATTAAAGGCTATTAAAGGCTTAGCAGATTAGATAAAGGGGGAAAAGCGAAAAAAATCTCAAGACTCGTAAGGTATTTTCGTCTTGCGAAGCAAGCCCATAGGGGAATTCGTCCTGCGAAGCAACTTCAAAACGGAAAACCCTTTCGTCTAGCGGTTTTTCCGTCTTGCGAGGCATTCGTCTTGCGGGGCACCACTGTACATGCAAAATGTAGAAAATTAGTATGGACCAAGGCAAATGTTAGATGTCATGTATTTATTTTTTTGAGGATGCCTCCACCTGGCTCAAGCACTACGAAGTGTCAAAAACAAACACACTGCTCTCTTGTTTAAGCCATCTGGAGATGTTAACCTACACTTACTGTTTTCCTATAGGTACCTCTGCCACAATGTGCCTTCTTCATTCCAGTGGCCTGTTTTGAGACATTTGTTATAAAATGTGGTATTTTTTAATGAGCTTGTCAAGGACTGCCTTATTCCATATGAACCTACCGAGACCCTGAGATCATCTTTTGAGGCTGTTACTCGTGTGCTTCCTCCAGAGGGTGGCAACACCTTACGTCTGAAGGACGGCAACACGAGAACAGGCCTTCTCTGCAGTGGCTCCCCATTTGTGGAACACTCTCCCCAGGGAGGTTCACCTGGGACCTTCATTATACACTTTAAGGCACCAGGCAAAAATATTCCTCTGCTGTGTGTGTGTGTGGGGGTGTTATTGGATTGTTCTTGTTTTTATTTTGATTATGTATTCTGTGTTTTTATATCGTGATTTTATCCTGTGAACTGCCCTGAGACCTGCGGGTATAGAGTGCTATACAAATTTAAGAAATAAATTAATAATAATAATAGTGACTTTTTAAAATAAAAAACACCTTTGCAGATAGGATTGTTATGGACAGACAGACTTCGCAAGCAATACGATATGCATTGAGATCATTAATGGAAGAAACAGAGCGTCAACGTAAAATAGTTCGTGGCTTGATAGAAGAAAATCGCCAAATTAGGTAATAATGTTTCTTAGAATTCTTCTGCGGCATCTAACAGGCTCAATGCAGAGAGTTCTGAACCAGCCTAGAGGCTGGAAGGGGACCATCTTCACCTCTGTTTTTTGCTAATCAGAGTTCTTCACTCTTGCCATGTTTTTCTTTACAGTGGTAGAATTGTTGCCGGGGAGACTGGCAGGCTGCTCTTGAAAGCAGAATGTCATACTAGATCAGCCTTCTCCAACATGATGCCCTCCAGAGGCTGCTGTACAACAACTCCCATCATCCCTTACCCTTGGCTGTGCTGGCTGGTGCTCATGGGAGCTGTAATCTTAAGAGATCTGGAGGGCACAAAGTTGGGGAAAACCTTAACTAAATGCCCTGATCAGCAGTTTTTCCTTACTTCTGCTACATTGACTTGTCAATTTTTCTGCTTCCTAGATTTCACAAAGTCTTGCTCACAACTGCTCTGTTTGACTTGTTTTCTGCTTAAAAGTTCTGACCTGCCCGTTACGGCGTTTTGGAAGCTGCTCCATGCATTCTTCTCATTCCTGCACAGGAATGCCAGCTATTGGGGGTTACATGATAGGTCAGGATTTGTCCCTGTGTCCATTCTCCAATGTGAAGAGGTATGCCTTGTTCTTCAAAGAGCGAGGAAAGAACATGTGGCTTGTTTTTCATCAAGTCGAGTTTCCCAACTGATGCTTCACTTTGGCTCATGTACTTACAGCATGTGAAAAGCAACAAGAAAACGGAAAATCCTTTGGGAGAACTTGTTTATATTGTCTTTTAAATGCAGATTCTTTAATTCAGATTAAATACTTTAATCTGGAAAACTTTAATTCAGATTAAATTCACTGTGGTTTAGAGACTTGTAGTTTTCACTGAAGGAATTTCTTTATTTTCTATTTTATTTTATTTTTTAAAAAAGAGATGAACTACGTTTAGAACGAAGTCGGGCTTCTCGGCAGGAACAACGAGCCAATGAGCTCGACATCATTGTGGAAAACGTCAAACAGAAAATCTGTCAGCTGGAAGATAAGTCTATAGCTCATGCTTGTGAGCAGCAGAACCAAGTCAAGGAGCTTCAGAAAGATCAGCAAGCTTCACAGGTACTTAATTAGTAGAGATGTGGAGTTCATAAGTTTATCATGTCAGGGGATTACTGATCACAGAATCGATACCATTGTACAGTATGTCATGGCAGAATGTTTTGACCTTATTGGTGATGCACTTTTAAAATGTACTTGCAAGAAAAAGAACAAAACGAGTTACCTCTTTTAAGAAAGTGAGAGACTTCTTTTAGAATGGACAGAGCAAATGAATTCTGGCCTACCATTTGCTTCCCTTCTTAGGACCGTTCTGCCTTCTGTGATTCCCTTGTGTTCTGCTTGCAGGCAAAGAATCAGCAGCAGATCAACAAGCTCCAAGAGCAAGAAGAGACTATTGCCCGTTTGGAAAAAGAGCTTAAAAAGATGGACATGGAGGAGGAGGAGCGTTTGGCTACACAGAAAAAAATATTCCGGCAGTTCTGCAAACAAGCTCCAAGAACTCACTTGGATCAGCAGTAAGTAATTCTGGATAATTCATGAGAGTTTTGTGCAAATCTTAACATTTGCAAGTTAAGTATTTCTCACTATAATCTGAAGCATGAGCTTACTTGGGAGTTGCATAGGATTCCTGGCCATTCTTGGTAAGAACTTGGGTCCAAATACTTTACCTGTAGTGGCATTGTTGCTGCCACCTCTGTGGATGTTGTGTTGCCTTGGGTGAATAAGGAGAGGCAGGACAATCTTGGTGGTGCCATTTAAAATCTTGTGTATTTTTATAGTCTATGAGTAGTATTCAGCTATTTTTTACTTAGAGTAAACTCACTGAAATTAATAGACCTAGCTCAGTTACGTTCATTGCTTTACCCTGTCTACTCTGAGTAAAAATTAGTTGACTACCACCCTATATATTTAATAAATATACCCCCAAATTTTAATATTCAGGCTGCACACGTACCATACTTTTAAAGAACGTAAGTTCTCCCAAATCATCCTGGGAGCTTTAGTTTATCTCTCACAGAGCTACAGTTCCCAGCACCCTTAACAGATTATAGTTCCCAGGCTTCTTTGAGGGAAGGCATGTGTTTTAAACGTATGGTGTCTATGCAGCCTATTACTCCAAAGAAGGTCCATAGGGAAAAAATCAGAACTACCACAGGGTGGCAGCAAAAGGAAGAAAATGTCTAATAATCTCTGGCCTTATAACAAAGCTAGTTCCAAGCAGCAATACATTGACTTGTTATGTACTGTTAAGTCTGATTTTTTTACAAAATTAGCTCACCTCGTAGATCATTGTATGACAAATACTGTAAATTCCTGAAGAGTACAAAGCATTCTGTAAAATCTGCAGTGGTGATGCTTTTTTGAGAAAAAAACCCTCTACTACCCAAACTTGATGGAGATCTGATTTTGTGTGTTTCTTCCACTTATTTTTAGTAAACAAAACTAACATTACATGTTATGTAAGTATCTGAAAAGCTTTTCTAACTTGTCATAAATAGTTAGAACTGAAATGTTTTTCTTGCTGGGGCAGGGGAATATTCAACAAAGATATCTTAGTTTGGTTTAAGTGTTTATATTAAAATAGAATCACAAGTACACACTGTGATAAATTTCTGAAGAGAGTTGTTGGAAGAGATGGAAAGAGTCTGAGACATTACTGTCGCCTGTTTTTTCTGTTTTAAGTGTCTTCTGTTTTTGCCTACTTCCTTTCAGGAAGTGTGGGGGCTGGTGGCCTCCTTCAGGGTCTGGGCCTTCCTCCCCCTCATCCATCTTGCTACTGTTTTGAACTCAGGTCCCAGAGCTTCTGAAAAAGGATTGATTGCTAGGAGGGAAAATGAGTTACATATGCTTGCACTGCATAGGAATAGTTACTTGAAGACAAAAGTTAATTACAAGTTGATTTTAGATTTTCCCATATTAGATCCATTCCAGTTGCCCAGTTGTATTCATTACGGTACTAATTGCTTGTATGTATTTTATTTTATAAAGAATTGTTCTTCTGAAGAATACATAGTAGTGAAATATATTTTGGAACATTTCGTATGACATAGCTTCATTGTCATCGTTATTGCTATAATAATAATAATTTGTTTATATACTAAAATTGGATTGCCACTCTTATGGTGTGTTTTCCCTTGTTTCTTTCTAGGATTTGTTCTTTAATTGACCATTATGAGTCTCAGATCAAGCAAGTGAGAAAAGAATTAAGGTAAGAAGAGAAGTCATGTTAGGAGGGATTTCATAATACGATAAAAAAGATGAATAGGAAAAGTCGTCGATACAAAATGAATGATTCGGTGGTGATGTATCAATGGCTGAATAGATCAGCTATTCAGGTTAGTCTTGCGGAATAGGTCTCACCAATCAAATGATTTCTAGTTTTGTAATTTTAGTATTTTTCACTGTAGTGGAACACATTTTAACTTGGATTTCCTTCCTAGGAGATATAACAGAGAGCCTGATCATACACAAGGAGAAGGGAAAAATGAGGAAGAATTCTTGAAGGACATAGATGCCACTCCAAATTACAGAGCCCTACTCATGGTAAGGCACAAGCAGGTACCCATGGATGTAGAAACTGTCCAACCTCTAGGGAGGAAGTTAAAGGTGTCCACTTCAGGTTTATGCTGAAGACAAGATGCATGAGTGGCAGTCTTCCAATGACCTCCCCTCCCAGCAGCTGTTCCCAAGCTGTTTTCTACCTTGGAACAAATATTTCTTGGATGTCTGTCGCTCTCCCCCGGATGACTGCCAGATGGAGCGCTTCTGCAATGGGTGCAGCAGGGTTGCACTTGGTGGCTGCATAGTATATAGCAGCCGATCGCTGGGGAATTTTGACAAAGGCTCCTATGCACATAGAGTTCCTCTGTGCAAGGGACAATCCTGCCCCCGCCCCCGATGTGGAGGAGCTGTTGTGTGTACGCCCCTTCTTGCGCTTATCAAACATGTGTCCAGCAAGCCCACCAGGTTTCTTGGTGGGAGGGGAGATAGCCCATGTAGTCTTGTATAAAGGTTCCCATTGTTCTCTTCTAAATCTACCCCATCCTCCAAAAAACCTGCCGAAGTTAATCCCTGGTTTGATTAAAAGAAAACTCAGCAGTTTGCATCGTCACTTCTGTTTGATTCTCAGCATATTGTGTGGAGATGGGCACCCTTCAGTCATCTGGTTACTGTTTGCACAGCATGGAACAGCCTCCAACCCAATGACTGACTGGCTGTTTAATTTTAAATATCATATGTAATATTTGGCTTTTATCACCTGGTTTTATAATTTGAGATATTGTGAAAATGGTCATATACTTAAATTTGAATAGCTGTAATTTTAAACTTAAGAGTTCCTGATTCAAACCACAGTTCACCTGTAAGCTCCCTGGCTGACTATTTGAGGAAGTCAGTATTTCTCAACATTTTGTTGGTAAAGCCCCTTAGTATATAGCAATAGTACAGTATACTAGTGACTTATTTAGCCCACTTGTTGTGAAGACAATTGAGATAGGTTAGTGACATTATGAATGCTTATATGACAACATATTTATTATAAAAATCTTCGAAGTCTTTCCAGACTCAGATAATCGAAACAAAAGCCAGAAATGAACAGCTGTTACGTGAAAATACAAATCTCAGGAAAGAGATGGAAATCAGGTAAATAGTGTGAATGTTTTATAGGCTGTTAGGAAAGCATAGCTGCTTCACAATGTAATTATTTCTTTAATAGTAAAAGTGATCTATAGCCTTCTATTCAGAATAAATATCTTCTTGATGCAGCTTCAAATTAACTAAAAAAACAACAACAAAACATTGAAGCCACAATAACCACCATATGAAAAGTAATTGGGATTCTTCCCATTAGGTGGTTGCTGGCAGATGGCCCTGTGGGAGGTGAGAGAAATCTAGCTAGAGCTGGCTTTGAAGTTGTCTTTACCTCCCTGCCTCTCTCTACTGGATTCCTTCCCACTGGGCAGCTGTTGCCCTATGAGGAAGGTGAAAATCCACCTGAAGCAGGCTCTAAAGCAGCAAGCAATCTTCCACAAATCTGGAAAAATCCAAAATATGCAACTGTCTCCATAGATACTACTTAGTGGTTGATGAGGGAGGGTGGCATGCTTTTCTGCTCACTTTAAAAATTATGATTCTCTAGAAATGCACTGGATATTTTTTTTCCTTTTAGACCAACTGTGCAAGAGTTAAAATTTTACAAACACCAAGTGAAGAAGCTGGAGAAAGCGCTGAAGAATATCAAGTAACTAATTTCCATTAAGCATTAACAATAGACCTCTGTTTTGAAGATGGAGAAAGCAGGGGCCTTTTAGAAATAACCTTCTTCTGAAGGCAGGCAGACTTAAAAGAAAGCCAAAGAACAGAGGCACACAAGCTTTCACTGTAGTTCTAAAGATGGGCTGGTGGAAAGCAAAAGCCCTGTTGTGAAGAATAAGAGCAAAAGCATGTCTCAGTACTATCCCTGGAGATTGTGGATGTGCTTGTAGACTCAATCACATGTGTGAAGTGATGGGGAAAGAATCTGAAGTTGGTGAGAACTGCAGGTTTCCCCAACAACCACTTCTGCCAGTCTTCTACAGTCAGGCCTTGGCTCCCAAATGCCTCCGTTTTTGAACATTTCGGCTCCTGAACGCCAAAAACCTAGAAGCAAATGCTCCAGTTTTCTAACGTTTTTCGGAAGCTGAACATCCAACGTGGCTTCCGCTTAAGTGCAGGAGGCTCTTGCAGCCAATCGGAAGCTGCGCTCGGTTGTCGAACATTTCAGAAGTGTTCTGCTTCAACACTTTTTGTGGTTGGGACAGTAATTTGTATGAAGCATTAAAACTGGGTTGAATTGTACATTTCAAACTAATTTTAATACATCTATTTCATTGTGTGTGCTGAATATTGCTGAAGCAAGAGAGGTTATAGAAGCATTTTTTGAAATATTTCCCCCCTTCTTGCTATAGTTCCTTTTTTCTTTTTTACCTGCAATATAGATCCCATGAGATTGATGAAATAGAAAGCATGAAAGAAAACAGAGAATGTGGAAGTACTACAGGAGGGGTACTGCAGGAAACCTGCAGGAAATACTTGCAGGTAGGTGGGCTGCCGTTGCAGGAGCTATTAAAAATGCACCCATTTCCAAAATAAGGGTGTTTTCCCACCCTTTTACATGATGAGTTGTGGAGTGCCTCAAGCTCACATTCATACCACCTCTCCTCTTTTGTGTCTCTGAGAAGATTTGAAGCTTTTGCTTCCAAGTTTGAACTAGCTACAGTTTTCCTTGACATTTGAACTTTGGAAACTTCAGTTTCATTTAACTGTAGCTAGAACAAACTAGGGCCAGACTTTGATTTCAGTTCTTGGTTTGGCTGCTCACTGGATATTTTAAAATACCCCCAGTCTCCTGTGAAAGCCAAGTCTTCTATTGCATTTTTAATATTAATTAGAGTGTGTATTTAGCACTGCAATAGTATCTGTCATAATTTCTGCTGTGTGTTTTTTCTGACAAATATTTAACATTAAAGGTGTTGTCCAGCATTGACGCTATTATAAGAAGCCCAAGAAGAGCTCCGTTGGTCACGCATTTGCAGCGGAAAGGGTTGCCGCAAAGCTGCCCCAAAGGGGATGAGCAGGAATGTGGATTTGAGCACCTTCCTCTTACAGTTGAGATGTGGGCTGACCAGCTAATGGCCCTAAAGGTACGGATGGTCTTTGATTTCAGTCTTTCTTTCTCTAGCTAGCTAGTTCTTCAGATGTGTGCCTTGTGCGTTTTCCAGAGATAATAGTCTTCAACTTAATTTCAAACTAATTATCCTGATAAGCTGCCGCCTTCTTCTGAGAGGAGCAAAAGAGAGGAATGTCAGCCTTTTCATTTTTAACAAAATGTCATTGAAGATTTGTGTGTTGTTTAATATATTATTTGCTCCTTTTAAAATTCACAGTACAAACACAATGAGCTCTGACCATTAAATAGAAATTGCACATGCTCATATTCTGGCCATTTGAGTTACTCCTGATAGTTTTCCTGAGAGTTAAAATCCTTCTAGCTGTCATTTCTCCTTTGGGAAGAACATACTAACAGCTCTCTGTTTTCAACTACAGGATAAATGGCTTTGGAGGAAATTTTAATTAGAAAAATGGTACTTTGGGGAGGTCAGATATCTCCCCGTACTCCCCCAGCCCTGTGGTCCTAATCTGATCTCCATCTGCTCAAGCAGCTGCTTTTTTACTTTTAGAACAAAAAAAAATGTGATTCTGATTTGGATGTCTCTCACACAACACAAGGATCACTTTCAGATAGGCAGAGCAATCTGAACCTCCCTTATGCTGGACTGGATTAAGTAGAGGGTTGCTCTACCCAGCTGCCCTGGCAAATATCACCAGTGCCGACTTCCACTTGCTGGCATGATCCAGCAAAAAGCCCCCAAACACAGTGCTCTGGTAGTGGGGCTATGCCAGCCCTGAATCGGCTGGATCCCATGCTGTTCCCACAATGGCGCTGGGTCTGGTCATCTTGTCCCCACCTTCTGAGCTGCAGGGCAGCGACTCCGCAAAGCCTCACAAGTGAGAGAGGGGAGTGTGGATTGTGCACAAAATATGTTAAGTAAAGCAGGAACTGTGATGGCTTCTAATAATAATTTCTTGCTCTTTCAAGACTTTGCATAGGTCCCTGAAAAAATTGTTTCTGCAACTAGTGCCTTGGTGTATGGTCACGGTGCAGGATAACAGTGAATATATTAGAGTTGAAGACCTTCAGCTCATGGTAGATGAAATCTCTGAAGAAGTAGTAAATAAAGAAAAGGTAATTTTATTCCAGAGTTATGTCTTTTCAGAGTTCTAGTATGAAATTCATTTATTTGCATGTGCTAGTATCGAGCCCTGTATTTATTTTATTTTACAATTATTAATATGCCGCCTTTCGTTGTGAAAGATAGCAGGGCATTTTCAGAATAAAACCAAGAAAATATAAACCACAACTTCCAGAGTTCAGGAAAGATGGTACTATTTAAAAAAAATAAATGGTACAAATATTCAAATAAGATATAGGACACACTTCCATTAATGCAATAGAAAATTTGGGTCCTTATTGAATTTTGCTTCAAAGAATCACTTTGGCTGTGTTAGGTTTTTTTAATTACCTCAGTCCTGATTCTGCTTATACTGCTTATAAGTAAAAACCAACCAATTAATTCCTTTAAAGTCTTATAAAACGCCTTGCACTAGTGTAACTGTTTAGTTAGATACGGCTTCTATGTTTTGAGGAAGACATATTCAATGTTTCTGTATGCATCCTCAGCCAAGATTTAAAACTACTTCATCCTCCGCCCCCCTTTTTGTCTTGCATCCTACAGAGAAGTTGTGTGCCTTCACAAGAAGCTTTGTATGCAATGGTGTCTCACTTTCAAAAGCTCTTTGATGTGAAATCTATTAATGGAATTTATCCTCGCATGAATGAAGTTTATACAAAACTTGGCGAAATGATCAATGCTATGAGAAACCTCTGTGATCTTTTAGAACTAGGTATGGATAATCTTTCCCTTCATTTGATGTGCATCCCTCAGCTTGGGATGCAATAATAATAAATAATAAATGCAGGGTGCACTAAAGGTAAAGGTAAAGGTACCCCTGCCCGTACGGGCCAGTCGTGTCCGACTCTGGGGTTGCGTGCTCATCTCGCTCTAGAGGCCATGAGCCAGCGCTGTCTGAAGACACTTCCGGGTCACGTGGCCAGCGTGACAAAGCTGCAACTGGCGAGCCAGCACCAGCGCCGCACACAGAAACGCTGTTTACCTTCCTGCTATAGAGCGGTACCTATTTATCTACTTGCACTTAAGGGTGCTTTCGAACTGCTAGGTGGGCAGGAGCTGGGACCGAAGGACGGGAGCTCACCCCGCCGCGGGGATTCGAACCGCCGACCATACGATCGGCAAGTCCTAGGCACTGAGGTTTTACCCACAGCGCCACCCGCGTCCCTGTGCAGGGTGCCATAATAACTGCTAAAACATAAATACGATTTAGAATCTCATATTTTCTGGTTTTTGTTGTTTTTGTTTTGGGTAGTGGTGGGAAATGATTTCCATGTCTAAAATATGGACTTTGCAAAAGACCATTGAAAGTCAGCCTCATACTTTTTAGACCTGCTTTAGATTGATTTTTTTAAAAACTCCCTAATTTAACATGTTTCTCATAATGTAGTCACTACCCTAATGATTATGTAAAAATGTTGCTTCCACCCTCCCAGTTACAAGGTATTCCATGCTGTTTTGCAAAGCAGAAGGATCGTAGGTTATACTTGATATGATGTTATATTTTAATTTATGGTTTTCTCTTTTAAAAAAGTGCATTTGTGATTAGAACCGATGCACTAGGTGCCTTGGTGATTGCCAAATAGAACACACTTCATTTTGCTTACTTCAAAAAATCCTTAAATACCACTATAATTATAATAAACTTTTTTGTTATAATGTATTGTCTCTTAATTTCACTGTGTCTCTAGCTCTTAAACAATGTGTCTTTTTATCTTAAAGACAATTTGCTCTTGTTTGCTTGGGCATCTACCTTGATATGTATCACTGATCGTCAGGATCAAGAAGAGTATTGTCTGGCTTCTGTGTGGGTGTCTGTTGTACTTTCCCAGATCTGCTCTTTGTGTTCAGTATCTCACAAAGCTTGGTTCTTCCCTCCTGTCCCCCGGTATCCTTATCATAATTGCTTTTAAAAACAATCTGTATCAGGAATGGAACCTCGAGGATCATTCCACATTTAGTGTGGGTATTTGTGTTGGCAGTCACTTCCAGTGAGATTGCTCCTTGGTTTGTGTGTGATGTTCTTGAAATGGATGTTTTCTTCCCAGATACTTCTGCCCCACCCAGTGTCCTGGTCAACAAGGTTGGAAAGCTATGCAGTCTGATTAATGAGAATGTGTCCCAGCAGGTTGAGCAGCTGCTGGGCACCCCTGACATCCAAAGGTATGCAAGCCCTTGATAAATCATAGTAGTAACTCTTGAATGATGCATTTAGATCCATATTGCTGTAGTCAATCTCAGTATTTCATTCAATAGATCGGCTCTCAAAACCGGTAACGTCCTTTTGAACCCTCTGGAATAACCCCTCAGGCTTAGTGGTTTGGAAGACTAAGTGCATGTAACTAAAACGACACTTCTTTATTCTGTTTGCTTCTACCTCTGCTTTCCTTGTGTCAGTTTCTGTATTGTGAGCCCAGCAGGTCCTGGTAAGGCACCATTTACCTGGATGGTGGTACCCAATAGTTGGCTATTCTAAGAAAGTATTTTATTGGTCATCTCCATGCAGCTATGGTGCAACCCATTCTGGGTGGAATCAGGCTTTGGCAAGTCTTCCGCTGCTGTGTCAAATGACCTTTGTCAATCTGGTGCTCCATGTTGGCTGGGGCTGATGGGCGTTTTAGTCTACTGTACCATGCTGGCAAAGGCTGCTGTAGAAGACCCTCACAGCCTTTTTACACAAGCCCTGCTTTTGCAGTTAAATAAGGTAGAGGGACCCCTGACAATTAAGTCCAGTCACAAACAACTCTGGGGTTGCGGCGCTCATCTCGCTTTACTGGCCGAGGACACCAGCGTTTGTCTGCAGACAGTTTTTCTGGGTCATGTGGCCAGCGTGACTAGGCCGCTTCTGGCAAAACCAGAGCAGCGCACGGAAACGCCGTTTACCTTCCCACCGGAGAGGTACCTATTTATCTACTTGCACTTGATGTGCTTTTGAACTGCTAGGTTGGCAGGAGCTGGGACCGAGCAACAAGAGCTCACGCCGTTGCGGGGATTCGAACCACCGACCTTCCAATCAGCAAGCCCAAGAGGCACAGTGGTTTAACCCACAGCAACACCCTGTGGCAATTGAGGAAGTACATATATAGTGACATCATAAAAGTAGTTATAGAGCATTCCATAATGGGACCTCATTTAATCTAATCCTAGGACTAAGAATCATGTTTAGGGGTTTTCTTTGGGGGTGGGGTGGGGAAGCACTGTGACCCTCTCAATAGAATAGCTGCAATGATAGATGATCTCAAGCTCCATCGATGAGTGATATTATTTCTGTTACCTTTTGATTTGTAATCTGAAGTCCATACTGCTTCCCCAGCCCATTGTGACTTGGCTTCTACATGAGATCAGACTTAAGTTTTAATAAACCATGGACTGCACAACTTTGTTGGTCACTTGGAGTATCCGTGACACACTTCTTTTGTGGAAATTCCTTAAACTATAGCCTTTCCCTGCTGTTGTGGCAAAGCGGGGTGAGGAAACTTTAGGGGAGAAGCTGCATCATGCCAGTTGAAAGCTGTTGGAGTGTAGTGCCATAGTTGGTGAGGCCAGACAGAGGGCCCCTGCCCCATGGAAACAGACATCCTATTATTGCTGACTACCCTATTTAAAAAGGAGAGAGAAGCAGTGCACAGCTTTGGTATTGTTTGTTTTCTTAGAGGCTAGATAAGTGTTCTCATGTTTCAGCAGTACTGCAAGGCAGCAGTTAAGCACCTACACTCCTAGCTGCTAAAGAGACAAATAGCATAGCTCTGCCAATTTACACTATTCGAATTGCTGGCTACATGTAGCCATATACCCCATAGAGTAATTGCAAGAGAAGAGAACCATATTTGGCCCCAGTTTCAAGGTAAAACACATCTATAAGCAGAGATGTAGCCTGAAGTAAAAGTGTGAGTATTGTGTTAGAAACATCTAGGTGACCCTAGATATATCTTATCAAGGATAATTCTTATAAGGAGTATTTTGAAACTTGGAATATGGAGAGCTGGGAGGAAGGAAGCACAGATTTCAATGTGTTAGTTTTTGAAATGAAAACTGCAGGAAAATGAATGTGGCACAATTGATTTTTTTCAGCATTGTCGACGAGTTAAAAGAACATGATAACTTCTTCCAAGCATTTAAAGGTCTTATTGAAGACTTGCTTCATATTCTAGGTAAGTGCTTTCTGCAACTTTCATCTTCCTGGTTCCCCAGAATCAGAACAGATGTAGGCAGGCATTCTGTTATTTCTTATCTATACTAATAGGAAGTGCTTGATGGAATGTTTCTCTGCTGTGTTTTCTGGTTCCTCAATCACTACTCTCTATCTTTTCTAGTTTTAAGCATGCGTACAGGTATTCCTATACCTGCAAATGTACATTTTACACACACCCCTTAAAGCGTACATGAGCATGCTTACTAGCTCCTTAGTTGTCAAGTTTCCCAGTATGCAAAATTTAGGACTTTGCCTTTTGAGAGGGAGACAAAATCATTTCCCATTTTTAATCCTAAAGTCTTGCACAAGACCTCAGTATTTATTTTTTTAAAACACCCAAGCCCCATTTATGTAGTGCTATTATAGTCTATTGTATCCCCCCCCCTTTTATTTTTACTAGAATGGAGATCTCCATATCCTCTTTTGAAATAGACAGGTGGGTAACATTTGGGTTGCTGAAAACAAAATGGCTAGGTACTTATTTGGCTGAGGTGCGAACAGAAGTAGGGGCAAGGCAATAGATCACTCACCAAAACACAAGAAGTGACAAACCACCCACTGAAAAAATGCTGTAAGGAACATCCATGTCATCAGTAGCTGGGTTTATACAACAATTTTATACTTAGATTTTATATTAAGTGGGCTGGGGAAGCAGGCTGGCATTTTGACGCCACAATAAACTCCTGTTGGGAAGTGCCTCTTGCCAGACATGTTACTAGCTAGGAGACCTCAGCCTTATCCAGCTATACAGCCTGCCCTTTCTGAGGAGACACAGCCAAAGTTTTTTACTTTGCACAAAGTTATTGTCATCTAGATTTGCACTGTAATAAGTACTGCATATAACAATCACTTTTCTCATTTCAGAGGTCAGAAATCTGACAGATATAGTACCTGCTGTGCAGAAGCTGAAATGGAAAGCCTGATGATTATGTAAGCCATGTCTCAACTTAATATTTACCTACCTCTCTGTGTGTGTATAGCTGTTGAATAAAAGGTTTTAACTACTGAAATTTTGATATTCACACATAATGGTCCAAGGGATTTTTCTCTCTCCAAAAAGTCACAATACCACAGCGTTTAAGTTTCTTTATTAAAATCAGTTTTGTACTCAGTTTAATTTCAGAAAACACATGCATCTTTGGCATAATAAATATAATTTAAGATTGTAGGGGTTCAGAATGCACTTTGGTTGTGAACCAGAAGACTTTAGCTGCAAAACAGTTTTCCAGTCATCCCTGCACTGGCTAAAAAAAAAGCTGGCACTGAAGTAAGAGTCATCACACACATACCCCCTGCTGCCTCCATCTCAGGAAGAGGGTGGAGGGCAAATAGTGACATATTCTTATCAAAACAGTATATAATCAGTGTGAAAGTTTTATATAGCCCTCTGTTATTACGGAAGGTTCCTGAGATCTCTGCTTCTCAATCAAATATACTCAGAGGTGGTGGTCTTGAAGTACCACCTGTTTCATTCAGCAGTTGCCTCTCTGCTAGAGCTCCAGGTGAGGTGTGCTAGCACTGTACTGCACTACAACCTGGAAGCATTTCCTAGACTGAAGACCCAATGCATGCCACAGGCATGCATAGGATTGTTCATTTTAACTGTGTATTATTGCCAGCAGTACTGCCATCGCAAGTGACCGCAGAACTATTGCCAAAACAGTGCATCTTGAATAAATATTTTATAGAAGTGTATTAAACAATGTGATGAAGATAAATAAAAAATTACAAAGCTATTTTGTAATTAAAAAGTTCAAAATATACATATGTACACTTGCTTCAGCTATTCATCAGGCAACAAGTATCAACTTTGGGGCTGCTGTCCAGGCTGTCCATTTCTTGTCAGCTGATACCTACAGAAGAACGAACAGAATTGCATTACAAAAATTGCTGGACAGACACTCCCCCCCGCCGCCGCCACTTTCTGAAGCTGATTTTTCTAGTAAGGTTAGACTAGAGGTGATCCCTCTTAGGAAAAAGTTTTGTTCTAAAAACAACAGCAATCCATAACAATTGTAGGAACTGTTCAGGCATTGAAACTACCACATATATTAGGGCATCAAAAGGTTATAACTAAAACCTATATAACTTTTTTTTGTTGTTATGTTCTTATAAGCTGTAAATGTAAACATACCATTGGGAGAAGCCCCTGACTAAGTCTTCCTTTGACAAGTCAATCAGCACCTTCAAAACAAACAAATTAAAAATTAAGAGATATTTCAAATAACTTGCTTGAATATTTTCATTAACTGTCTGAATTACAGATAAATGGTTCAAAAATAAGTAGAGATGATTACCAGGCATAGAACCTGCAAGCAAGTTTTTATTGAGTTATAACCATCCTTGGAATGCAGGTGTGCTCTTTAATGCAGAGAGGATGTTGGGACAGCACCAGAATTTTGAATATAGCAGCAAATGCTTGATTAGTTGGGTACAGGAGATTTCTCTCCTAAGAACGCAGTAGAAGATGTGAGAAAGGGGGTATCATGGCACAACTGGAAGTATATTTAATCTTTCTGCCATGCAATCAATTTCACCAGCTTATTTGCCCTCATGGTCTTAACTTTTGAAAGCAGTGCCATACCTTTCCAAGCTCCTTCCTTTCATGTGAAATAAATCGCCGTCTGTTTTTCACTGCAATGTCTAAGGCTCGTTTCTTGATGTCTTCCAGAGTGTCAAAAAATTCAAACCTAGAAGTAGAGACAGGAAATGCGTTTATGCTGAATAGGCATGGAACACAATACGACAAAGAGGTTAAAGCTTTGCAAATTAATTGAAAACACTGCTTCTGATAAGCAAGACATTCTTAGCCTCCAAATGTTTGCATCATTGAGATTAGATGAACGGATGAGACAGTTTGACCACACAATCAAGTGGTATATAAATTTTACGAAAAACTAAATAACCATTTCGCTCACTGGTCTTTGCACAGTGGGAATCATGATTTTAAAAAAAAATGTTTTAATGATTTTTAAAAATAGATAACAATTACAAAAGCATTATGTTTTCTGAAGCCCAGGTTGATCTGAAACCACCTTCATCCTCTATTTCAGAGACCACAATTTGGGGGTATGGTACTAGAATCTCAGATTTCCACTTTTTACCCACAAACTGAAACATTAAGACCGTGTGTGTGTATGTGTGTGCGTGTACACACTGCAGGCCAGTGCTACCTTTGACCCTTCTGGGTACTTCATGCAAAACAGAAAGATTACTCCATTTCAGAGGCACTCAGTGAACCATCTCCTTGTTACCTCTAAATCAGGTGTGCAGAACCTATGGCTTTTCACTTGCTGGACTCCCAAGGCCCATTAGTCCCAGGCAGCATGGTCAGGGGTGATGGGAAATGTAGTTCAGCAACAGCTGGAGGGCTAAAGGTTCCCCATCCCAACTCTAGACAGATGACCTTTTCCTGCTGAGTGTGCTGTAATCTCATGCTCAGAGCTGAAGATACCCAGCTGCTCAGGGGCCATGGACATAGCTCAGTCTGCACAGTGACAGTCTTCTGACAAAAGCCTAAGGCAGATCAATTTATCCTCTGCTTTCAGCAGACGTTGCTTACCCATTAAGCATTCAGGATCATGAAAGCAAGCCTTTCGCAGAAGAGGGAAGCTGATATACAGAGGAGGGTTCATATTTTCTCTGTTCGGGCTGAGCAGCCTTGCTTTAATATTAGATGACAGAGGTCATTTGGTTTGGATCCTAATGAGGTTTCCACTTGTAGGAATGTTTTTAAATGATGCACTTTTAATTGTGTGCAGGATAGAAATACATTTTTCAGATTCTTTGTGCTCTGTCGCAGATCTGCTCTGGAGGGTTAAAGGGGATCCCTCTAGAGCAGCAGGAGAGGGAGCTGGGAGAAATAAAATTTGCCTTATTCCTGAAATAATCCTCTGCTGAATCCCAGTCCTGCCCATGAATGAAAGTAGCCCTTCTGTTCACAGATGGCTAGCTGGGATCCAAGCCAGGGTCAGATTAATGTTCACTTAAAAATTGTGATGTGCAGGATTTTGGAGGCTACTCTTTGCACGTAAAGTAACAAAATAACAAAATTCTGGTTATTTCAGATACTGTATACACAGGTTCTATATACCACATCAGAAGATCTACAAAATTTTTAAAGCACCTTCCTATAACAGATGTAACAAAAGCTTCGAAAAAGTGAGCAAAACCAAACAGGGAAACAAGATATAAGAAACTGCTCTTCACTTACAACATTTTCACCCAAACGATGACAGACTGCCACATCCAGTTCTCCCAGTAAAGGCATAACTTTAGCCAATGACATATTTAAAGGCTTGGGTGCAACTGCACATTTCTGGCAAATAAATAGCAGGTAAAACACACAGGGTCTTGACAAGAAAATTCCTTCCAGGTTTTACTTACTTTTCATCGTAATGAGGATTCAGAGTTCTTTTCTTGACGGTAGTTCTTCTTCGCATTACCCATCTTTTGTCTGGGAGTAAGTAGATGCGGACATAGGGATGTGCTCCTTGCTGAGAGCAGGGCGTTAAATTCCTTTTGGGAAATGAGATACCATCCTTAGGATTAACAGGTGGGAAAATGGTTTATTTATAGTGTGTTAGGATTGTGTGTATGGGTGTGCCCACACTTGTTTTTCCTGCATCTGAAGAAGTTGTGAGAAAAGCAGATTAAGGAGTAAGAGGAATCTTTGTGCCTCCCAAGCTTTTCTGTAGATAGGGCTGCTGCTAATACAGTGCTTGAAGCCAGGCAGTTATTGGGCACAGCCAGGCTTGTCACTTCAGTACAAAGCATGCGGTCTACAATAAAGACCCAGTACCAAATGAAGTGGTTGGACCTGGGCTGGCGTCAATGGGTGGCAGACTGGTAAGACAGCCAGCAAGACCATGTTCGTAGCTGCATGTGATCCACTCCGTATCAGAAGGATGTAACAGGATGTTTGTAAATGTGAGCACACCTATGTAGCACATCCTGGTTGTGCCTACAGCAGAAAATTGTGCATACCAAAAATCAAGCCCTAAACAATTATCAATCACAGAAGACAAAGAGAAACAGCTCTCTCAGGGGTTACCTGCATGCATTGACCAGCACGATAAGAGACTGCCGTAGGGATGCATAGCGCACAGTGAGGTGAATCTCTCCCAGGGGCATTCCATCATAAAGTGTCCCACTGCAAGATAATGAATTACATTTAAACAAACAAACAAACAAAACCTCCTCCAGAAGCTGAACACATGCTGCGTAACTAAGATCCCTACTAACTTACACTAGTATATCTCATCCCCATAAGCTAAACCAACTGTAAGCCATTCCCAAGAGAAGGAATTCTCTGTGCCAAGGAAGATGTATTTGATTCCAGCATCTCTTGGGGTCCATTTCACCTTGAGGTATGTTCTGAAAACTATTCAAATCAGAAAAAACTGTCACAGTAGTATAGATGCTAAACATGAAGTACAAAGAGCCTTCCATCAAAGAGACCTGGAATCCCAGCAGAAAGTAGAAGGTAGGTCAGCTGCCCAGGAGCAGCTACAGGCATCTAACCTGAGGGTTATTACTTTATTTCTATGGGGTCTGTGTGCTGACTGCTAGCCTTTCCAAGCCCTTTAGGGCTTGCCCACACTTTTGCTTGCCCTGTGCCTAGAAAGCATGGTCTGAGAGGTTTTCCATTTGTTCTGCCACTTTCCCCAGGAAAACCCGCTCTTTACTGTGGAATCGGAGCAAATGTCGATTTGCAAAAAACCCAACTGATGTTTAATCCAATTCTGCAGGAAAGAGTTGGTTTCTCCCAGGGAAAGTGGTGAGACAAGTGGAAGTGCATCCCTTCCTTTCCTGCTGCACTTCACTGAACTTATAACACATGTTGTGTTGCTCTGATCTAAATGCATATCCTGAGAAATAAAAGCCCCCCACAGATTTTGGGTGATTCCAGAGGGAATTCTAATTAGGTCACTGAAGTATTGAAGACAGGTCATTGGAGACAAGTTTTTGTTTTTGTTATTTCTTTAACTTCCTGGATTTTCCTGGGAATGGGCTGGCATTCTGACAATGTTGTGTGGGTGCTGCAAAAGTTTTGCATGAGGCACCCCGGTGTCACAAACACATCTTTATCTTGGAACATGCTTAGAGAATCCTACACAGGAACACTTATGTACCTTGAAGGTAATGCAAGTCTCAAAACAAAGAAACACCACCCTCTAAAAATAAACTAACCTGCCTTAAGGAGTTCCTCTTACCCCTTTCTCAATACCATGAACAACAGGAAATAGCCACAGTAATGCTAGCTTAGAAGATTAGCATCTGCAAGCATGTCTTTTATTTTCCAAATGTGTGCAGAAACAAGTGTACAGCTCATGCTCAGTTTAGGCAAAAATTCACACCAAGGCAGACTTACTTATTGAGATCCAGATTGCTGCAAGTTACATCAAAGTTTGAAGCAGATATTGAGCCCAGAGATGCAATGCTGGGGGCAACCTGGAGTCTCTGCAGGGCTGGCAGCATACGGCGTGATGGGATGGTCTGCGCAGGTGTCAAGGATTTGGGGCGCAAGCCGCCTGTGCCGGCTTGCTCATTAATTCCAGCCACTGCCTCTATCACAATAGGCCCTGCCAATTTCTCATTTACATTAAGGTTAGCATTGCTCTCGCGTCGGTCACCTTGGGGGTCAGACAGGCCTAAGTCGCTGCTACTCTCCTGAGGTGCTTTGGGCACTTCTACTTTTGGTGATGGTGGAGGAGGAGGAGGCGGAGGCGGAGGAGGTGGCAAATGTGTCTTGCCTTTGGGTTCATCCTGCTCAGTGGCAGGGATGGGAACTTGCTTTGAGGCATTAACCCCAGTATAGGTACTCTCTGGATCATGCTGCTGTATGTCCAAAGCCTGAAAAGAAAATGGGGGAAAAGAAAGAGTAAACAACATAGTCATACCCAACATTAAGAGGCACTGGACAAGGAAGTAGAGTTTTGTCAACTTGATCTGCCGTTCTTCTCTGGTAGGGACTTTATCCTCAGATCAAGTTGATGGATTATGCCCAAATGGCTAAAATGGCCAGAAGAATCAGAAATCGGGAAGACCAAATTTTAATAAGGAATGGGGAAAATTTATAACTTATCTTAAAAACCATTGTAAACAGTTAAAATCGTTGGTAGGATTGGAATATCTCTTGTAGTTTAATGGTGAATTTTGGACACAATGGAGAGGTAAAAGATTTGAATTATCATAAAAGATGCAGGAGGAAATGATTAAGAACAGGACCCACAAAGGGGAGGAGGGAAGTCCAAGAGATTCCTTGGAATCTTGTTTTTATGTTGTATGTTGGATATGTGACTGTAAATTTTTAATCTGAAAAACCAAATAAATAAATTAAAAATTAAAAAAGGAAGTAGTTTTGTCTTCCACTAACAAAGGATACTTCTAAAGTGCTCCAAATTCACAGTGGGAAAAGTTCTCTCTCTCATGCACATATATACACTTTTCTCTCTCTATTAGTTGCATGAGACAAGGAGGAGGAGCTTGCCCTCTGGAATGAGCCTAGAAATCAGGAAAACTAGGGGCATGACCCTAACCGTAAAATACGTAGGAACAGCAAATATTCTCTTGTTAGGTACGAAGGAGAGAACATTTTAAACATTTCCTTAACACCACTGAGTGTGTGCAGTTAAAACAGATACACAATTGGACCGCAGGTGTTTAAGTGCTGTTGGCTTTCAAGTCAATTCCCCAGTTGCTGATCTGTCTTGGGGAAGAATACAAAGCATCCATCTGCATCAGAGCACGGCATGTGCTTGAGGTCATTATTTTGAAAATTGAAGGGAACTCTGTTCTAAACCACCTGGGTGCTTTTGGAAATCCTCGTATCCCATTTGTAGAACATGGAAAACAAAGTAGGTAAGTACTAACTGTGGTTGAATTCAAGGTAAGACATTATCATGCTTTTTACTGAAATGCTCCAGCCACTCCTAACCAAGCAGCTTTTTAGGCTTTTATTTTGCATTGGCCACAATATTATTCCCCACCTCCTATTATTATTATTTGGCCTTTGGAAATAATAAATTTAAGCCAGGCATGTGGTACCCATGATACGCTTGACCTTGGCAGTGGTGGCTAGTGTCCTTTGGGACTGACAGGGCAGGAAGCCGAATAGTAGCCAGAGCCAATGGCAAGCAGAGACAACTAATTCTAGCCTTGCCCCCATCTTCTTCCTTGCTGAATTCTACAAGGGCAGCACAGAGACTAGTGAGGACTGGTCTGAGGCTGCTTACACACTATACCTTTAAAGAACGTTCTTTCCCTCAAAGAATTCTGGGCACTGTAGTTTGTTAAGGGTGACTGGGAACTGTAACTCTGTGATGGGTAAACTAACCCATAATCCCACAATCTGATAAATATTCAGCATTTTAATCAAGTTACTTGTTTTAACTGGTTTTCAAATGTAGCAGATTTATTTATTTATTTATTTATTTATTTATTTGCACCCCACCTTTTCCCTCAGCAGAACTCAAGGTGGTTTAAAGATAAAAACAAGAATTGAAAACCAGCCTGCTTATCCAGGACTATTGCTTGCATATCAATATGGACACCCAAGACCTACCCAATTACCTCTTTGAGGGGAAGCGGGGTTTCAAGAAGGAAGTTTCCCACAGGACCCATGAAGGGGCTTCTAACATGCCCCCTTCTAGGTATGCCTCCCAAATATTCCACCCACATAATTTAATAGATTCATCCGATGTAGAGATCAAGAGCTTGTTGTACTTCTGTACTTCTGATGGATTTGAATTCATATCAATTTGGCACGGAGCACAAATCTATACATGAAGTAAGTTTGGTTTCAGTATAGTTCTACAAGACAGAACTCATTGTGCCCCATGTCAATTAATCACCTGTTTTTGAAGTCTGAAGCAATGTATCTTAGGATGTAAACAGAGAGATTCCTGACAGCCACTGCAGAAAATTAATTAGTTTCAGGAAAGCACAACAAGTTCCTACAGGAAGAGATACAACAGAGAAGCGAGGAGGAGGAAGAAAGATGCAGAACCTTAAACTTACCCTCAACACAACTTTCAGCTTAATAGAGCTGTCCACACCAGAATGATCCAGTTGAAAGTTCTGTTCAAGTGTCATATCAGGATTTTTTAGTAAGTTGCCAAGAGATAACACAAAGGTCCCCAGGGCATTCTCCCGGTCCTTATCTTTTATCTAGAGGGGGCGGAAGCAAACAAGACAGTATGGTGAGTTATGATTGGTATGATGAGTTAGTTCCAGCAATGTTTTAATCCTTTTACCAGTTGTTGAAAACTGCAGGAAGGGAGAGGGTGCTCTTATGCTTGGGTCCTGCTTGCCGGTTTCCCACAAGCATCTGATTGGTCTGAGAGAAGAGGAACCTGGACTGGGTGGGCCACTGACCCGATTCAGCAGCATTCTTCTTACGTTGTTAAATCATTTGTAGCACCATTGCTGTGGCTCAGCAGTGATTAACCATTGAACAAGAAGGCATTTAAAAAAAAAAAAAATCACTAGATCAGCGTTTCCCAAACTTAGTCTCCAGCTGTTTTTGGACTCGAACTCCCACCATCGCTAGCTAGCAGTACCAGTGGTCGAGGATGGTGGGAGGATGGTGGGAGGATGGTGGGAGCAGCTGGGGACCCAAGGTTTGGGAAACGCTGATCTAGATTCATCACAAACTTTTTACTAAACTCCCCCCCCCCAACTGGGATGTTTAAGGTATTTGTAGGAAATGTTCACATTTTTCTCCTCTCCCCCATTCCCCGCCAGAAGTTTATTGGATGGTGGAGGGCGGCATCTGATACCAAAAAATAGGCTATATTGGGGGAAGGGAGAAATGTGCCGATATTGAGGCAGCTGAAGAGTCAAAATTTACCCCAAAGGGCCACTTGAAGCCTCCTGTGGCTGTTTTGTGGGTGAGGGTTGTGTGTGTTTGTTACATGTATGAACTGTAGGTGTTTGCATGAAATATTAATGTTTTTACATGGTCTTTAATTGTATAATGTATTAAGGTAACAGGGACGCTGGTGGCGCTGTGGGTTAAACCACAGAGCCTAGGACTTGCTGATCAGAAGGTCAGCGGTTCGAATCCTCGCAACAGGGTGAGCTCCTATTGCTTGGTCCCTGCTCCTGCCAACCTAGCAGTTCGAAAGCACGTCAGAGTGCAAGTAGATAAATAGGTACCGCTCCGGTGGGAAGGTAAACGGCGTTTCCGTGCGCTGCTCTGGTTCACCAGAAGCAGCTTAGTTATTCTGGCCACATGACCCGGAAGCTGTACGCCAGCTCCCTCGGCCAATAAAGCAAGATGAGCACTGCAAGCCAGAGTCGGTCACGACTGGACCTAATGGTCAGGAGTCCCTTTACCTTTATCTTTATTTAGGTAACAAGCAACAAGTCATAATAATACACGAGCATCATATCATTGAATCTGAAGTCCCCAAAGGAAGGCTGAATAATATCTTGACTGCATCTACAAAAATAAATAAATATGGTCCCTCCTTCCCTCAAAACCCAGTTGTCCCTTTCTCAGTAAAAATAATGACCACTTCTTTGAAGTCCCTTTGCAAAGCAGCAACAGGAGCTTATATACACAAGAGCACGTGTATACAGAGAAGAAACCCGTGCCAATTATTATTATATGGTCAAAGACCCATTAAGCATGAGCTCATGTTGTGCCACATGCTCATAAAGCAAGAGAGGGCCAACTGACCTCCAGATGAAGAGACTGCGATGGAGCACTGTGGACGAAGAATGTGAAGGCCTGGCCCCACGCAGGATCCTTGGTGAAATTACAGGTCTGAAGGGTAAGAGAGAAAGAACGACATCCACACATTAGCTACAGAACACTTGACCAACAATTATTCCCAACCTAGCTGAGAGAAGGCCCCATTGAATAGGACATACTCCCAAGCAGCCGTGCATAGTTTTACTCTGCTAGAAACTGAAGAGCAGGAGGTTTTACAGGACAGTATACCAATTCAGAAGACAGTTCCACTGACTTCAACAGAACATGTTTTCAGGGATGTATAGGTTTTCCCTGTCTTAAGCACTACCATCTTACCCAAAAGGGACAAAACCCAACCCTTAAAAAGCCTCTTACCCAGTTCACTTTCTTTAAGTCAGACAAATAAACACACAGAACCAGTTAGGTGCCCTGTAGACTCCCCCCCACCCGTGACTCCCCACACGATCTGATGAATGTTAATGCTGAAATATGCCAGCTGAGTTATAATTGATTGTATCCGAAACTCTATAGAAGTAGGCACAGTTTCCACCTGTATGGAAAGGGAGTTCTCTGCTGCTTGTTGCAGCAGGTTTTGAAAACCACACCATAAATAGGCTAGCAGCCGATCCAGTCGGCCTAGATCAATTAAAGCTGGAGCTCAACATGGAACAAGAGAAAGTATTCCCTTCCACCGCCTGCTTAGGGCACAATAATTGACCACAGTAGAAGCAGCTACGAAGAAGAGCTCAAGGCTTGAAAGAACAGCCCAGACTCCTCCCTCTCCAACAGATTCATTGCCAGTGGCTTCAGTTAGCTAGGTTGAAGCGGCAAGCCAAAGTACCTGTGTGCTAGCAGGCTTCCTCATGAGTAAAGAGGAAGATTGCTGTGGTCATGTCAAGCTACAAGCTTACCACAGGCAATTATTCTTAATGCGCAGGAACACTGTGGGAAAACCAAGTGCCTCACTAAGGATGTATTCATTAGCACTCAGTTGCATCACTGGCTCTCAGGACATAGCCCAAGAAAAACAGCTGGAGCAGACGTACACTTAAGAAATGAATTTTTGGGAAGGGGTGTAGCATCCATTTTGTAATCAGAGTGCCCAACTATATTAATACGACACAATGCATTATATTCAAGACTTTTCCATACTAGCAGTTTTTAATGCAACAAAAACAGACAAATTGCCCCTCATTTGTTACAGTCCAGTTGCCTTCACCTTACTCAAGGGGGATCTCAAACCTTCCCCAGACTCTGTGTGCTCTATTTTGTTCCTGAGAAAGCAAAACCCTGCCCAAAGGTAGCAACTCAGTGGCGACAGTTATAGAATATAACAGCACAAACACCACAGGTTTGGCTATTTTGACCAACACTGTTATTGTTCAAACTCTGCTATGGGATTCTCAGAGCCACCTGGTTGGCCTTTTGGTCCGATCATCTAAAAAGATTCCCGTAAAAAGTTACTGGTGGATGCAAAAGTAGCTCAGTGTGCTAATTTTAGTTCCAAAATATGACTCTTGTCATTTCAAGAATCTTAGCTATTTATTTATTTTTTAGTCAGAATGTCTCTTTGTTAAAAAAACAAAAAAAAACCCCTTCATGTTGGCTGTATGCTCTTAAAAGAGGGCCCACCCTACCACATACAAAATAAATATTTACAACACAGCTATGTAACTATTCCCACCAGCCCAAGCAATGCGGTCACTTCCACCCAGTAAGTGGGGACAGGACATCACACCACAGATATTTCATTGGGGCAGCACCTACAAAACACCAAAGTGTTGCTTTTTAATTATCCAAGAAGGTACACTTGTATCCAAGATATATGCTACTGGAAAACCACACATGCCCCATGAAGACAACTGTCCATTCAAGTTTTTAAAAACAAAAAACCAGTAATTCTTACACCCCTTACCTTGCTTCTATGAGTTTTGTTGCCCACTGTGAGTAGGACAAAGGAAGAAGGTTCACGTTCCATCTTCTTTATTATTTAAATTTTTGAAAGAAAAGACAGTGTCAATAGCATCATGAATTCCAAAAGACAAGGAGGTGGATTGAACAGGGAGGCTGATGTTAGCTATTAAACATTGGGAGTTCTGCAAGATCTAGGAAGGGACAGGAACCCTGTTCTGAGCAGAACTTTAATCATTAAAACAGTAATAATTATTAATAATAATTTATTATTTATACCCCGCCCATCTGGCTGGGTTTCCCCAGTACATTCTCCACAAAATGCAATGCAATACAGTGTTATACCCTGCATTTATTTCGCTGAGTGGAATTAAGCCATACATGTTTGGAGCTAGAATTTGGGCATTATATGGTAAAGATAACCTCACAGGGGTCAGCAGCAATTGCTGCTGCTGCTCTTGCAATGCAAGACTGTCGAGTTCATCCATTATAGCTGAAGCACAAAACAGCCACACGGCAAGTATAAATCAGAAGGCTACAACCAAGTTGCCAAATATGTCAAACACAACTCAAGTTTGCATTACAATGACAGATGCAGCACCATTTATGACTAGACAATTATGTTCTTGCTAGAGGTGTTCCAGTAGCTGGGGAAACTAATAATAGGAATAACCAATAACTATTGGATCAGGGCTGGTCCAAAAATAACAATGGCTAAGTTTTTGAAATAAAAACTTGCTCTTGTAGCACCACAAGGGCTAGAAACATGTTTTTGAATGCATTGAAGCAGAGACCACCCATGTATTTTACTGGGATCCATTGATCATAGGTAAGTGCTATGAATGTCTTGTGCATTGCCTAATCTGGGTTTAAACATTCCTCCTACATACTGCTCACCAGTTTAGCCTCACCTGCACCATCAACTACAGTGTCTCTGTTCTTCCTTGTGGTATGGGACACTGACATACCATTGAGAAACAAACATTAACCCCATAGATGCAACATATTTTAGGGTTTTAGCCATGGCATCCATTCAGTAGGCTGGTTCAGCGCGTGTGCCCCTTTTGAGACACAGGGGACTCTGAAGCATTTACCTTGATGTATCTGTCTTTTCTATATTTCTTTGCTCCACAGTCACCATTGTAATATTCAAACTGATTTTTCTGTATTAGGGAAGATATTTAGGAAGGAATACAAAAACAACAGTTAGGTGTCGTACAGCAGCAGTTGATCGCTTGCCCCAGGTAGGCTCACCAAGGGTCAACCTTGATGTCATTTCAGCACCAAGGATATTTTCCTTCTAAAGCCTTCCATCAAAGTTGGTCTGTTTTTATCCTGGCTGTTAGGTTTTATGCTGCTCTTATTATTCTACTGTGTTTTAAAGAATATACATGCTTGTTTTTATTATGTTTTCTGATTTTGGAAGACACCCTTGAAATCTGATTGACAGGCAGGGTATAGATCCCTGTAACAAACAGAAGTAGTGTAGGATTAGGCTATGGACACGAAAGAAGAAAAGAACAGGATATTGCTGCCAGCAAAGGGAATCCCAGAAAATAGCAAATCACCTAGCAGGAAAAGAAGTCCTTGCTTCCTTCTCAAAAACAAAGGCTGTTTTTGCTTTGTTTTCAGTTCTAAGGCTAACATGGGTCAGAAGCTAATTTTACTGAAAGTAGATTAGCAGCATACATAATTGTGAACAAGGGCTTAATCTCAAATCTAGCAACAGACAAGGAATTCAATTCAGTTTGCATTTAAAGGTGAAACTTTCAAATTTGCATTTTCTGAAACAACGTGAGAACTGAAATGCAGCTAGCCTTCGAAAGTTGCACTCCTTGGAATTTTGAGGTGCAGTTTTCCTACCAAACGATGTTTGCCAACATAACACATCGGGTAAAATGGTGCATAAAATGAATTTATTAGTGAAAATGCATAAGGCATATTATTAGGGGAAATTTGCATTGAAATGCTTATGAATTTTCGTGATTTTTTTTTTAAATCACAAACTTCTGCAGAAGTGTGGAGAACTGAATTTAAGACTGTAAAAAGGTGAAACTGAAAGAACTGAAGCTGACAAATCGTTCCATTCTAGGGAGGGAAGACTTTTCAGCCAGCTAAATTCTGAACTTTCTTTCCCTCACTCCATCCCCTAAACAGGTGAATCCCTCCCTCATGGAGCCTTCGCAGAATGCTTGGTCTTATTCATTTTGTTGTTTGAAATCTCAACTGCCGCTTTTATTTTTAAAAACCCATCAGTTCACATTTGGAAGTCACAGATGTATATACTCGTCAATCACCTCCTTTCTGAAACAGAAGTTTTCAGAACCTGGAAGGCATTAGCAAAGTTGTGGATTCTAGTTTCCAGATAACACAATTATTATCTCAGCTAAACTGGGATGCTTGGCACCAAAGCAGCAGCATTCGGTGCACACCAGAAAGGGGAAACTGTGGCTGCCCAGGTGTTGTTGAACAGCAACTCCAACCATCCCTGGGCCAAATGACAATTGGTACCCAACCACAGGTCCTCCATCTCTGCCACTGCATCATGAGCATGCAGACACTAGCAATTGCATTGTGTGCAGCTGGTCAGTTTGAAAGTGTTGTTCCATCAGTTTACTCACAGGAAGATTGAAAGCCCTGTCCAAATACACAATGAGAATTGCTGTGGCAAAACCATTCTTGTCCTGTGGGAGGGAAATGAAATCCAAAATAAGACAAGAGCTTTTTTGATATCCTCACATGCAAAGCTGGTCTTGCGAACAGAGTTACTGTTACTGTTACTATTCATCTGCCATGTGGCTGGGCAGGGGAACAATCTGGATGCAAATACTAAAATGGGTTGACCACAAGCTGCAGCCTTGCCCTAAACAATGAGCCACTTCCAAAATGTCCATGCCATTGATTGACTGTCCAGTCCATGCACAGGGCTTCCTTAGCCCTTAGCTAAGGAAGGGCTTTAAATGCAGCCACCACAAGAAATGGTTGAATTATGTAGCTAGCAAAGTACACACAGGCACAGAATGGAACTTGGATCTTTTCAATCAACTTGCGGCAAGTATCTCACTTCAGCCAACTCCGATCTCTCAGAAAAACTCACCTCGCAAAGTTTCTCTTGATTGGTGACCAGAGAAAACCACTCAACCTTTAAATGCACATGTCCACTTGCAATCTTGCTTAAGGGGAACCACTTTGTAAAGAAAGAAAAAGCACATCAGTGTCATAAATGCACATTAACCTGCAAATGTGTCATGAATTGTGCACCAAGGGGAACTGAAGTGGCAGAACCAGCCATTTATCTTTAGTGCTTTATGGGGCTGAGTCTATCCAAGGTACACTTTAAAACCCTGATGTGCTTAAACTGCATTTTTATTGCCAGAATGGTGAGGTCCATAACAGACTCTGCTCCAATAAAGAGGCCCAGCTTGAAAATACATAGGGTACTTAATTCTCCCGATTAATTGACAAGCACCTGCAGCTTTAACCTTTTCTGTCATGGTCCTTTGGTACTGCAGGACAACAACCGTGTGTTCCTTGCCTGCCTTTTACACATCAGCAAATTGCTCTCAGGTCAAAAGAGCCTCAAGATTATAAGTCTTCAAATGACTTCATCCTACAGCTAGCAGTATTTGGGCTATGATTTCAGTATTTTTACCCTAATTTAAAGTTGTATTGCAAAACAGTTCCTACCCCCAACTTGCACATGTGTGTGCATACACACAGAGAGTTATAGGCATCTAATGAAATAGGTTCTCGCCCAAGAAAGCTTATGTCAGACCCTATTTGTTGATCTACTCTTTGTAGCTTTTGTAATCTTCCATCAGCTGTTTTGTTCAAACACTTAAGATATTCGATGATAGTCGTGAGAACTCAAGTGATTTAAATCATCCCTATGGATCATTAAAATTTCGTAAAACTTCAAAGCCTATCGCAAAATCTGCACACTTTCAAGAAACATTATAAAATGAAGAGTTAACGTGAGAACACATTTTACCTCATCAACAACTCTGTCTTTCATCACATCTGCAAGGTTTATAAGCAGGCTGTAAAAAGACAGAAGAAGAATAAGATGTTTAGGGACTGCAGTATCTTTCCTTGCTTCTATGAGTTATAAACAGAACATGTATTGATGTTCCTGGTGTTTACATCTCCTCACCTGCATCAATTATGAATGGGTTGTGCTTTTTGATCAAAAGAATCCTCTGTTCTAATGTAGTACAGAGGCACACAGAACAGAGGTACAGAAAAACAATCCCTTTAGTATCATGGAATATTTAGCCTCCTCCCCACCATCTCCAACTGTGTGGCTACATTGCCTTAGAAATGTCCAGTGGCTCTTACAGATTCTAATCATCTATTGTTCACCAGGAAGCTTTGCAGCCCTTAAGGTGAAGTCAGAAACAGCAAGGTTTGAGGGTGCTCCTTAAATCAAACAAGAACTGAGATAGTTGCTTGTTATATAAATTGGTAGGTCCATGCATCCCCAATCCATAGGAATTAGAACTGGCTCAGACAATGAACAGTTCCTTGTCTCAGGTAGGGATGGAGGAGGAATTTGTTTGGACTGCTTTATGAAGCATCTTGACAGTCCTGAACTTGCTTGTGGATTCAAACACAGCACCTGACGAAATCATGCACTTCTCTGAATTTTGCAATGTAGTTTTGAGTGTACTCCAAAAAGTACACACAAATATACATATTTTATAGTTAAAATGCGTATTTACTGGGAATTGAAAAGTATGCATTTTGCAGGTGCCAGGCTGCAGCATTCTACACAAGTAGCAATTTCTGAAACAACCTCAAGGGTAGCCCCATGTAGAGGGCTTTGCAATTGTTCAGTGTAGTTTGCCAAGCTACTCCTGTCTAGGAATGAAATATTACTTTTAAACTTACCAATGTGTTTAAAAAGGAAAAGGTATAACTGTACTGAGACTATACCACTGCAGAATGCAGATAGAGCAAATGTATGTCAGAATGCTTTCCCTTGCACTTTTACACACACACACACACACACACACACACACACACACACATATATAACAAACCAGCATGTCAGGGGGAGGAATTTAACTATTCTCTATCCTCTAGCCGTTGATGGCAGAATGCTTTTGAAGCAGGAAAGTATTGCAATCTGCAGTTTCCCCACCTGAATTCAGAAATGGTATAGCCCATGGAGGGTTGTACCCTGGCACTTTTCTTTTAATACTAATCACACTTTTGCTGCAGGAGGGGCAGAAAGAGATAAAGCAGAAGGTTGCACAGATGAAAGAGGAAAATTTATATCCATCACCTGCCCAGAAAGTCATCTTTATCGGGATCTTCATCATACAGGTCTACCTCTAAATCCTGACCAGGTATCTCATGAACAACAAACTGTAGGGGGAGAGAGAGTGTGTGTTAAAGTAACAGAATATTGTACAGCTATTTTTCTCGAAATGCAGTTGCAAGCCTTCCTATTATTCTGAAGCTTGCAGAAAGCGAACTTTCCTGTTTACCAAGCACAATCCAGCAGAAGTGGGGAAGATGCCGAAATGCCTCCGTGCCCTTTCATGATGCTCAGTTAAAATCAGAAAGGTACATGATTTCCCATCTTGTAACTCAGGAATGGGGAGCCATTTTTAGCTTGATGGTCGCCTTCTCTTTTGGACAATCTTCTTAGGGCAATGTGCCATAGGCAAAAACGGGCAGAGTGGTGAGTGTAAATTATCTTTGTAGGGGAGGCAAATTTCTGCACCCACTCACTCACTCACCTTTATAGTCTCCATTCAGGCAAACATTAGCAGAGTTCACACACCCATTCCAGCCAAGCACAAAAGTGGATGCAATGGGGGGCTAAGGGGCTGGGGCCTTTGGAGAGTCTCATGGGCCAGGTAAAGAGACTTGGAGGGCCACACCTGGTGCCTAGACCCCTGATGAAGCTTAACGAGGGCCTTGCTCATTAAAGCCTTGCTACACAATTCAAGCAAACAAATGTTGGTTAAGGAGCCAGTAGTGAAATATTTCACAGGGAACTTTCCCCATCTATTCCACTTCAATTTTACTTACTCATATAAGTAGTGATCTGTCTTCTTCCAAAGGTAAGGCTTTTTTATTTTATTTAACTACCTTCTAGAATTCTGTCTAGAATTCTGTCTAGAATTCTAGTCTAGAATTCTGAACAAGGAGAGAGCACTGCATTCCAGATTATTGCTAGTAAGAGTTCAAGGAGAAACATCACCTCAAACATTTCGTTCCAGATGGGGTTCAGGTTCCTGTGCACTGTCTTGCTTCGGAATTGCACCTGACCAACCCTCAGAAGAGCATACGGGTCCGACTTCCCAAGGAAATTGTCCATTTGGACAAGATTTTCAGCTTCTTGTAGGTACACTCTTATTACTCCCTTGGAGAGCAAAACAAAAACACAGATAAACATTAAAAAATACCGTATATACTTAGAATCCTCACTAGATGCCTACATTATAAAAAGCTACGATTAAGAAAACCCTATAAACACAGCAGTAAAAAACATGCCTGCTGTCTATCACTACGGAAGCTGGTTAATGAAATTTGACGAGGGTTAGCTTTTTACTAAAATAATCCACCAGAGTTTTTACTGGAGACTCATTCCCAGCCTGCCATGTTCTCTCTTTGTACCTCCCCATGAGGAAAGAATCAAGTGGTGGGTAAGAGCAAATGCAAACCAGAGGTATAGTACAACTCTTTCGGTAGGGATTCCATCGCACACACCAGCAAATTCAGGTTGCACAATTTAAAGCCGATATGAAGTTCTTACGAAACATGCCCAACTTGCTCCCAGAATTGCAACTTTTGTGACAAGGGAAGAGAAAATACCATGGAAATTGCTGCAATATTGTGTAGCCCCCCCCTCAAACAAATTGGAGTGAATGCTCATTAAACAGCCAGCACCGTCTCATCTCCCTGCAAACAAAGCAGGACGATCTGTCCCTTGCCTGAAGGCGACTTGGGCAAAGGAGCTAGAGGACAATGCTTGTTTAGAGAGTGCTCTTACTCCCTGAGCCAAGACTTAAAGAACACCATTCTCAGACACGACTCACATATGGAATAGGGAACTTCAAGCGAGAAATGTCAATGTTCTTTTTCAGTGGGATGGTGATTCTGTTTGGCAACACCAACCGGGCAGCAATGAGATCTTGAATCAAGGTATCTGAAAATGAACTGAAAGAGGAAAAACCACACATTTATTATTATTATTATTATTATTTTATTATTATTATTATTTTATTATTATTATTTTAAAAAATGCTTTGTACAGCAGCTGTGCTTAAGGCAGACTTATCAGGCTCAAAGCCACAGCTACAAAGTTGATTGTCTTGCCGCAAATAACCCAGAAGAGGAATGGGTGTATGTGTCCTGGTTAAATCTGACATGCTTGGGATTTCTTTGGCTTCAGCAGGAAAAAAGAAAATCATATTGGCTCATGCTGGAGGAACTCTAGGGTAGGCTTTGCCAACCTAGTGCCGTGGACTGTCATTAAAAAAATCTCATTACAAAGTCAAATATCTGAATGCCCACGATATTAAATCTGAGAAAAGTTGCAAAGCAAGCTAATAAATCCTACAAGCGCAACTGTGGCAAAATATATTCTTATCCTTCCCCACCATTTGAGAAGAGTTCATATATTTTCTGGGATGTCAAAAAGTAACAGAGGCATTCCATGTGGTGGGCAGAGAGACACTCTGCATACCTACAGCCACTAGTATGGAACAGCTGCCATACAGAAGGGGGTGTCATAAATGGCCTTCATTTTGGAGACTGTAATGTGTGAATTGGTCCCAACACGACTCTGACATCTCTGGCACATCACCTTCCTTCAGATACAAGCCTTTTCCTTAGGATGATGGAAACAAGTGAACATTTACCTAATGCCTGGAGCATCTAAGAGGTTCGTCAGTCCTGCCCAACTGATTTCCAAATGCTATATTAGGAATTAAAAGAGAGAGGGAGGGAGAGGGAGAAACCACAAGTTTAGCCACAGGAACAGACATGTATGTATTTACTTATAAACAAAGAAATCTGTAGAATACAGAACTGGCAAACAGTAGGGACCAAATTAGGAGCAAATTAATTCCATTTGTCTCTAATGTGTGGGCATGTCAGTTAGGTATGAGAGCTGCGCCGTGTGGTAATTCTGACTGAGTTCAGATTACTCACAAACACTGAAGGCTTAGAGAGTCATGCGGCCCTAACTCATGCCTATTATAAAGAAATTGTGGCTGCTACTGTGAGTTCCACAAGCAAAGAATTAGCACACACATCGTGGAAGCCTCAGGGCAACAATGTGCTTGAGAAGGAGACGAACTTGAGGCTTGCCATACTGTCTAGATCCTTCCCATATATTTGTTCAGTGTGCGTCAACTTTCTCAACTCCATTAGGCATGCCTAAGTCAGGGTGGTATTTTGCAGCACAATAAATCGCAATGCAGTTTCCAAAGCCAGCAATATGAGTTCTGGAACTGGTTAACCTGTATTTTAAATTGGTTTAAATTGGGTTCCCCCTCCTTTCCCCCCATTATGTTTTTACTTTGATTTTATTGGTGTTAGCTGCCCTGAGCCTGGCTCTGGCTGGGGAGCGTGGGTTATAAATAAAATTTATTATTATTATTATTATTATTATTATTATTATTTACTGAGGACTCATCCAGCCTTCCTTTTATGCCGCGTTTCTAGGCACAGATCCATGCTTTAAAGCTCTGTGTCCGTGTTAAAGAGCGGGCTTTCCTGGGGGAAGCTACAGTCCCACCCCCCTCTAAAAGGCACTCAGACGTGGAGCTTAAAAGTGCAGACTTGTGCTTTCACCAGACGTGGTCCCTCCAGATGCTGTCCAGACGTGGTCTAAATAATTAACAAATTCCAGAACTCTTTAGAAATGGCATTATCATTCGAAACCTACGTACCATAAGGCATTTTGCTTTTCTTACCTAACAGAAAACACCACAGCCCTAAGAGAAGAATTTAAGCTTTCTTCCTAGAAGCAGCCCTACCATGCAGCCATAAGTACCGTATTTTTCGCTCTACAGGACGCACCCGACCATAGGACGTACCTTGCTTTAGAGGGGGAGAACAAGAAAAAAAAATCTCTCCCTCTCTGTGCAGCGCCCCTTCAGCGAAGCGGCAGGAGAAACGGAGCCCCTTCCATTTCTCCTCCCGCTTAGCTGAAGGGGCGCTGCGCCTTAGCTGAAGGGGCACCTACCCTTCAGCGAAAGGAACCCGAAGCCTCTGGAGCACAGTGGGAGCTCCCGCTGTGCTCCGGAGGCTTCAGGCGGCTATCTTTGAAGCCTGGAGAGCGAGAGGGGTCGGTGCGCACCGAACCCTCTCACTCTCCAGGCTTCAGCAGAAGGCATCCCAAAGCCTCCGGAGCGCGGCGGGAGCTCCCGCCGTGCTCTGGAGGCTTCAGGCGGTTATCTGGAGAGCGAGAGGGGTCGGTGTCCAGATAGCCTCGGGTTCCTTTCGCTTGTGGGGCTTGTGGTGGGGAAAGCCGAGCTTCCCTCACCGCCAGCCCCGGGGAGCAGTGGGAAGGCTGTGTGCAGCCTTCCCGCTGCTCCCGACCTGCTCTTTGGGGAAAGCCACCTCCAGCCCCAAAGAGCAGGTCGGGGAGCAGCGGGAAGGCTGTGTGCAGCCTTCCCGCTGCTCCCTGAGCTTATCGGGGCTGGCAAGGGAAGCCCGAGTTCACCCCCCCAGCCCCAGGGGGACCACACATTCGCTCCATAAGACGCACAGACATTTCCCCTTAGATTTTAAGAGGAAAAAGGTGCGTCTTATGGAGTGAAAAATACGGTACAGTGGTGCCTCGCAAGACGAAATTAATCCGTTCCGCGAGTGTCTTCGTCTAGCGGTTTTTTCGTCTTGCGAAGCAACCCTATTAGCGGCTTAGCGGATTAGCGCTATTAGCGGTTTAGCAGCTATTAAAGGCTTAGCGGCTTAGCTGCTAAAAGGCTATTAGCGGCTTAGCGGCTTAGAAAAGGGGGGGGGAAAAAATCTCAAGACTCGCAAGACATTTTCGTCTTGCGAAGCAAGCCCATAGGGAAATTCGTCCTGCGAAGCAACTCAAAAACGGAAAACCCTTTCGGCTAGCGGGTTTTCCGTCTTGCAAGGCATTCGTCTTGCGGGGCACCACTGTATATAGTAGGGGAGCTACTGGGGCGATTGCCCCGGGTGCAAATTTTTTAGAGGCGCGCCCCAGCCCAAGAAGGCATGCACACTGCTCCACGACAGCAGCAGCACTGAGTGGAGGCGCTGGTTAGGGGGTGCAATACTTGTCTTAGGGGACACAATACTTTCCTTGCCCCGGGTACTGGCAACCCATGCTATGCCACTGCATGAAGCAGGGCGAAGTCACCACCCTGAGTGAGTGCCTTTCTCTCTGGAGAGAGGGGCACTATTGAACTTTATTTCAGCCAGCAAAATGTACTGAGCCAGAAATGATCTTTCCGAGACTAAGCAAAATGAGAACAAGCCTCAATGATTTAATGACCCCTGCAGAAGGAGATCAAAGGCTGTCACCCTATTCATACTTAGTACTAAGGGCAAGCCCCTTTCAACACAATAGCATTTGCCTCTAAGGAATGTGTATGGGATTAAGGTTGTACATTATGCCCTCCCCTCCCTTCCCCATCTTGCACCTCTGTTTTAATTGCCACCTTTTCCACAGTGCAGCAAAAAGCTCACAAGCATTTGGAAAAGGTCTGCTGATTACCTTTACTTTGTACCTCCTTTAAGTGACACGCTGACCAATATGTAAATTAAAAGCAGAAATAAACTCCAGACTAGAATTCATAACTTACAGGTTTCTGGATGAAAAACAAGGTTACAGCACCAATGAAAGGTGGATCTGTCAGCAGGGGCTCCAGTATCACTCGCAATGTCCCATACAACTACAAAAGGCAAGGAAACCACATTTAGTGTAATGTTTTCAGCCGCTCACACCATTTAGTAAACTGCAAGTAAAGTGCAACTATACATACCTGTATTCCTTTCATTCCTGCTTTGAACTTGGACAATTCCATGTGAATTTCACAGTCACCTATATAACTGACAAAGGGTTCAAATTAGCATGTCACTAATCTTCAAGGAAAAAGCCCCTTGAAATACAGAATACCAAATGCCCTTCTCATTGTCCTAAGCGGCTTTCCTTAGCTGCAAGTCACCTGATTACAAAATCAAGAAGGAAACCCAGTTTCAAGCTCCCTGTAAACAAGGGGACAAAGATTTTCCAAGCGGGGCTGGCCCACCTGCTTTGGGCGGCAGGATCAGCAGGGGCGGCAGATCCAAACTCCAAGGAATGCATCACCTTCTGCGGCTACTATTAATGTTTGATGTTTGATTATTATTTTTATATGTGTTGGAAGCCACCCAGAGTGGCTGGGGCAACCCAGCCAGATGGGCGGGGTATAAATAAATAAAATATTATATTATTACCGCTGCTGCTGCCCTGTGGCATGCACTGGGGTGGCATCTAGGCAAGTAGGAGGTGCTGCTGGTTTCTTCCCACCCTTGTTCCCACTGTAGATCTTTATCCCTGCCTTGTTCCAGATGTAGATCGTCACTCATTCCTTCTTGCCTGGGGACACACCATACTGCGGTCCACCTCAAGTGCCAAAATGTCTTGGGCCAGCCATGTCCCCAGGCAAATACATTTTATAAGGTTCCCGAACAAATATGTTTTACAGTTTGCTCACCTGTCATAGGCAGCTGGCAGCTGCTTAGAAAAGTCAATTTATCTCTCAGATATTTGCTACTACTTCTTACTATGCTTCTTAGAAACCATAGCTTCCCCCACCCATTGTTTGGATTGTAAGAAAGCAAAACACATCTAAATAAACATAGGTCTCAAGATTAGCTTTATGCCACTGGTTAGGGGGCAACAGACTTGCATGCATCTTTTTCTCATCTTTAGAGAGAGACTGATCAAAGCACATATTTGTACCAGACTAGTCTCACAGCTTCAGATCAGATGAACAGTTAGTACATATGAAACATATAAGGTTAGCAAGTGACTAAACGCAGCTATCCTACACTCCGGATCTCTCAAGTTCAATCCAATTGAATTTGATGAGATTCGAATCCGCAAAGACATACACACAATAATCAGGCTGCAAAATTTCTTTTCATTTTCCAGTTATTTGCAGCTATACAAGTCTAGAACTGAGAGGTACCAGAACTGTTCAGATTTTATGTTCAGTACTGAAAGGAGGTTTAGAATTAAACACCTGCTTAGGAAAGGAAACTGATGAGGAACCTGTGTTCTTCCAGATGTTTTTGGACTCTATTAGCTCCAGCCTGCATAGCCAACGGTCAGGGATGATGGGAACTGGAGGATGCAACATTTGGGGGAAATCACAGGTTCCAGAGAACCATAGCTGAAAACTACTGCAAACAAGAGTGCAAAAAACTACTATTTTAAGAAATCTATAATTTTTGTAGGGGCATTGCAACAAGTGATTTGCACATGAAACTTTGGGAGGCTTTGAAGACGATCGCCAGCTGGCTAAAATACTTGATCAAAAATAGCATTTAACGTGTCTGCTCATGATTAAAAGAGCTTCAGGAAACCATTTCAGAAAACTGTTCTGCGCCTACTGAGAAGTGTGATTAAGTCCCTTGCTGCCAGACAAATATCTAACTGGGGTATCATCACATGGGGTGCTGTGGCCTCCAAACATCAGATGAAAGACAAACATACATCTGCAGAGTGTTCACACACAAGTTTCTTTTTTTTCTTTCATGCGCAAGAAAAAAATGTCATGTGTGAAGCCCCAAGTTGTAATGCAAACTGTGTAACTGGGTTTAAACTCAGAAGTACAAAAGACGACAATAAATATGTTCAGTTTGCCTTGAAATCATACTACTGCATTTACATTTTCAGCCTTTGCTCCACAGCCACAATTGGGGTCTAAAGGTAATTTTATGTGTCCCTTCTGAATTAAAAAGCACACATTAAATACTGTGTGACTCCTATAGCAGCCAGAAAGGCATACCAAAGCAAACCTCAGTTTAGCCAAAACTCACATGTCACAGAATCTCCAGAGTGTTAATCTAAACTTGCACATCCCTGTGTGAGCTGCATCCCTATGCATCTTTCCAAAGGTTTCAGCATGTATGTCACATCCTGCTCCATACCAAACTGGTTCTTTGATGATAACATGCTTATTCAGCTCCTGCAACTCTCACCCACAAATATGGAGCCCTTCTCAAGCATGCAGCATCATGCTGCGACAGCCAACAAGGGCTAAGCTACATTTCCCTCAACACACCCTGCCCAATTTAACAAATCTAGCGGGAGAACCTTTGCACAGCCAATCCACCCATCAGCCAAAGACTAGCTTCCTTGTGGTTTGAGATGTTTTATGTTAGATCTTTTAAACAAAAACATTGTATACACAATATTTTCAGGAGCAATGTATATATACAAAGCTCTATTACCAAAACCAGAGGGAGGCAAATTTAGGCTGTGTACACATTACCATTGACTCTGGCTTCATTACATTGAGATTAGACACAATCCATATCTATCCTGATATTTTAGGGAAACTTCCATTCCCTTTTAAACATCTAACAGCTTGGTGTTAAAGCTATGATGTGTCATTTCCAGTTCAACTTTTGAGGAAGCCAATTATATTTTGGGTCATCCTGCCTCACAAATCGGACCTTTTGAACTCCATTAGAACAACAGATAGTTCAGTTGGTTAAAGCGTGGTGCTGATAATGCTATGGTTGCGGGTTCGAATCCTGTATGGGACAGCTGTAAATTCCTGCATTGCAGGGGGTTGGACTAGATAATCCCTCAGGGTCCCTTCCAACTCTACAATTCTAAGAAGATCCCTTAGTGGAGGCAGCAGCAAAGGCTGGGCCAAACAGAGCTATGCAGCAGGATCAGAGGAGGAAAAGACTTGCACAACTTGCTTGTCACAGGGGTATGACAGTGAGCCAATGCTGATTCACATATTTAATTGGATACCCGTTTTCCAAGCTACTTCCTATGTGACAGCACAAGACACGTGCTATTAAATCCAAAATGGGTTGCTCATGCATTGTAGTCTATCAGTTAACATATCTGAAGTGACTCATCCATTTAACATTGCTTTGATGCCCAAGTGAACTAAGCTCACAAGCACCTTAGTGCCTAACTGTTTGGGGGAAGATTGCACAGCAAAGCCTTTAGGTAGGCAGTGCGGGGGGAGCAGAGAAGAATCAGGAGGCCAGATCAAGTAGCAGCCACTTCTCCATGGAGTGGAACCAATCCCAGCAAAAGCACCAAAGGCCACCATGGCTGCAAAGGGATCATTCAGAAATGTACGGTCCCAACTGCTTGGCGGTGAGCAACAGGTGAGTCTGCCCAGCCCAAAGCAGGCACACAGTTCATATAAATTTGGCACCAAATGGAAGTTGTGCTGCTTTTTGGCAGGGATCAGGAGCATCCGAGTGGTACCTATCTAGCCCAAAAGCCATGGGGCACCAAACCCAAACGGCATGTCAGATATAAGCCAAGGCTGCAAAGGGAGAAATCAGGAATGCAGTCTCATGCTTGCAATTGTTCAACTGTGGCTTTACCCATCCTGTGCCTAACCTTGGGTCAGTTGCACTGTTGCTGCTTACTGGGAGGCTGGAGGCGGCAGTGAGATGGAGCCAACCCGGTGGTCCCCCGCCAGGGCATTTGCACTGTGGCAACCTCCACCCCATCTCACTCCTCTATCACACACGAAGCAGCAGTGACATGAACAGCCAGAGGTCAGATGAGGAGCAATGCCTCATCACACTATTCACTACTGCTGACAAGTGGGTGTGGCCAGCCCAAAGCAGTCTGAAAGACAAGTATTTCCTTACACTATTCCCACCCTCCCTACAAAATGCTCGTGTTTTGCCAAAGGGGCATGTGTGAAATATACTTTTGTGTTAATTGCTGCAACTATTATTCCCCTGCCCCCCAGACTGCACTTATGCTCACAGTCTGTGTGTTTCACATCCTCCAAAGCAGATTGCACTAATCAGGCAATTATATCTTGCATGTTACTGGCTTTTCAGTTTCCTCCGTTGTCTTTGAGCCACGATGATCAGATTACATTAGTAATAGACAAGAGCCATGAAATAAATTATGTCGTCATATAATCACCATCATGCGGTCTTGTGTAACTCTCGAAGTACTGCCAATTATGTTACTCAGCTTTGATCAATGTTGAATTCACCTAGTAATGTGCAGCAATGATGCACTTAAGTAAAAAGCAGTCACGGGCATCAACCAGGTCAGCCTTAACTACCCCTTTGGGGCACCTGCTTGGCCACCGTGAGAACATAATGCTGGATCAGATGTGCCTTTGGCCTGATTCAGCAGGGCTAGAGATCTTATGTTCTTATGACTGTCAATTCCACACAATCAGACTTGCCTATGCTAATCTAAAGAATTTCTAAACCACATAGACAAGACTGCAGTAATGCCAACGTTTAACAAAAGCTAAATATAAAATCTGGAAATAGGGTTGAGTCAAAACAGCAATGTTTTGTGAGCTGTCTCATACCTGCAAAACCCATATGTTCTTTTTTTTAAAAAAAATCTCCCAATCCCTTTGCAAAAGGTGTAAACTATTTGCAAGGGGGTGGAAAGAGGTGCGTGCATTGCCCAAGTCACCACGCCAAAGCTCTCTCTCTCCCCAACTCAGCTGCACAGAATGGACTAGCTGAGGCAGGGCATGTGTTCGCATTCTGCTGCAGCTGGTTGTGTACAGCTATGCACAAATAAGAGCTAGGCCAGGGAGGAAAAATATCTTGCCCTACAGCAGGGGATGGAATCACGAGTGCAGCATACCAAGAAGACACGGTGCATTTCCCTGCTGACCTGGACAACTAGAGATCCTGTTCCTCTATCCCTTCCTCATTCAGAGTGAGGGCAATGGGAGTCTTTGCTTGCCCTAAGTGATGTCATCACATAACCACACCTCATTACAGAGTCCTGTGTAATTCCCATATTCATCACGTGTTTCCCTAATTGGTTGAGATCAGGCAGCGAAGAAGCCTTTCAAAGATAGGGGAAAAAATGGCACCAAAGCAGCAAGTTGCAGAAAGAACTGTTGTGGGGAACAACATGGCAAAATGTGGTAGGTCCTCATTTCTCCTCAATCTTGACTATTTTCCTTCCCCCCAAAACAGCAATTTCACATTGAAAAGCAAACCTCACAAGACTTCAGCTCAGAGCTAGAACTTCCCAACCACCAACACTTTGATAGGAGGGAATTCTTCTCCATGTTTAACCTGCTTAGCTTTGTTGCAGGTCACATTTAAACTCGCTGAAAGTTGTGGAGCATTTGTCACATTACAGGTGTAAACAGAGAATTCCAGCTGCTCCCACTTTTTCTTTTGAGCCGCAGAAAGGATTTGACAGCTGCTCCCAGTTCACATGGCAAGGCAACATTCTCCAAGGTGCCCAACTGGATGAGCCAGTTTTTCTGTCCACTTGGATCCTCCCTCTGCTGGGACTCTTCCTTAGGTGACCTCAACACAGCATCCTCTGTGAGTCATAAGGAGGACTGCGGATACCAGCCAAGCAAGACTGGCCTATTTGTAATGGAAAGCTACCTGCATGTCCAAGCCCTATCTGAGAGGACACCCACAAATCATTTTCACAATGATATGCCCTACCCCAGAGGGCACATAGTTGTGTCCAGGACACTGTTCCATTAAAACAACAACAACAACCCAAATGCATTCCCCACTAAAGCAACTCAACAGCACGTCTAATATAAAGAACTGGCTTGAACAAGCCAGCACCACACAGTACTTTGCCCAAAGTAACTTCTCTGGAATCTGCAGTTTTATGGGGTTTAGGAGACTACTGTAGGTTGGGGTAGCTCAGCTGGTAGAGCATGAGAGTCTTAATCTCAGGGTTGTGGGTACAGGTCCCATGTTGGGCAACATATTCTTGCATTCCAAGATGTTGGACTAGATGACACTTGTGGTCCCTTCCAACTCTACAATTCATGATAAATCATTTTACTTTGCCCTTGGAGAGCAAGGGGACATCCAAAGTAGTATTTTTGCCACTCAGCACACTCTTTAAAGTCTATTTTCATAGCTATAAGGACTAGAAACTTTGAGAAAGTCAAGATGGCAGAAGGATTCAGCATCATAACAAATATAAAATCAAATGGCTTTTCTGTAGTTTTGTAGAATATGTGTAACACTCCGCTGGTGAACTTTCACAGGCACCATCCACATACCTTCAAGTGTTTCTCGTTTCTCAAAACCACACCAGTTTTGAGGTTGCTGTTTTTAAAATTTGCCATGTTCTAAATGCAGCCAGAGAGACAGTCACCTGCAGCATCATGAATAAATACTGGCTACAGCTTGTGGTTAGTTAGGAGAGAGCTTAACCACAATCCTGGATTTGGGCGACAGGCTAAGCCATACCTTGCCTTGCCTTGGTATGGGAGTAAAAAGACTGGTGAGGAGGAAAACAACTGCAAGTTCCTCCCTGGGAACCCACACATTCCCATAGTCCTCCTGAGAAGCCATAGCTTGGTTTATCATGATCTGACATGCGAATCAGGCTGCAGAGACCCTTGTAACTGCCCATTGCACTTTTTCTCTTTTAGCAACGTAGGAACAGGACTATATGCAAGCGCAGAAATAGCAACAGACAGCACAGGCTCTGCATTCATTAAATACTAATAAAGGTACTTTCCTTAATGGGCTCAGCATTTCCCCCAAACTATTTTCAAACATCTCTCAGTGTTGCAACATACTGTATGTCCTTCTCGTTGAGGCCCCGGAGGAGGAGGATGGAAAACATAATTGATTGATATAATTGATTCATGGAAAGCAATTCTATCAAGGTGCCCAAATCAGCTCATTGACTTTCCTTGACCACTGCACTGTAAGATCGGAGAATTCTCAGTGACAAGCTATAGGGCGGCAGCAGGGGGCGGGGAGCAATACTGTCCTACCATATTTGCAAGTCCAGGATCACTTGTCTTCTATCGACTTCTTTGGTATAGGCCTTTACTCCTTTGATTTTAGGGCACTGAAAGCAGAGAAGACACACAACTGTGTTATCTGCCACTGTGATGAGCAACATACTGAAAAAAGGTCCAATTGCTTTCGAAAACAAGAATGTTCAAATATCAGACTAGACCCATTTAAATCCCAGAGGAAACAGAACTTCGAACTTGGTTATAGCAGACAACTTGCCCTCTGAATCCTGTCCTGCTAACTTCTAAATCAGAATGCAACAAGGCATCCTAAACTGAACATCCCTCCCAGAGAAGAGGAATTCTGGTATTTAACAATGCTGCTAAAGAAAATTAAAGGCAGAGCCAAATATTTTGGTTAGACTGACACTAAGTTGTTACAGTCCTAACAAAGGCTGGCTGTTTACACTTCTTGATATTTTTTAAAGCGCTAAAGAGCAGAAACTAAGCAGTTCACACACTTAGTATAAATGGAGGTGCAGGAAGAGAGGAGGAAATCTCTCACAAAGAGTTATATGGAAGTTACTTTGGTTTTAAGCACTATTCCTCCCCCTGCCTGAGCCACATATCCCAAAATCAATTAGCTTAGGTTTTCACAGCCAATGCCGTCACCTTACCTTGTCTCCAAACTGGATTTTAGTGAATGTACATGTTTTCAAGTGCACGTTCTTTGCTCTGATTTTTGGTTCAAGGACTTCCTTAAATGTTTTTTCCATGATGCTCCCAAAGTATGGCCAGGCCTGTTCAAGAACCTAAATACCACACAAAGCAGAAAAAAAGAATAGAAGCTTTGCATCATACAATGGAGTCTGTACTGTGGTTCTGAGTATCTAAAGATAGCAAGCAGAGAGAGAGAGTTTGCTAGTTTCCTCTTTTAAAAATAAAATAAAATATCAGATTATAGCAGGAGCACTCAGTGAGGAGTGGAGTCCACTGCCATTTACTGGGAAGGAGAGAGGGAATGGCGAGGTGGTGAAGAGGCTGGCAGTGTGCAAATACATCATCACCTTTTCACCAACCGTTCCTGGATTCTAGAACAGAAGCAGGAAACGCATTCAGCACCAAGGATTGCACTGAAAACACATGAGAAGGACAGAGGGTCTCAAGTAAATGCAGTCCAAAACTAGAATAGCCCAGTGGCCAGTGATAATTCTTATGTAAACTGCCTGAAAAGTGGTATGCCCAACATGAGCATTTAACCCACCCACTCACTGGAGCAAATATATTTATTCACTGGACATTTATGTGCTGTGTTTTAGATCTAGCTTTAAAGGGAGTATATAAAGTCTATCCAGATCAAACTTGTCTTGATGTTGGTTCGGTGCCTCACCTTGTTCAGCCATTCCACCCGTTCAACATCAGGGAAGTGAACCTGGCAAGCAAGAACGAACAAAAAAGTGAGATGTGAGCTCATTTTTTGAGAAAAAGAATTATAGACAGGGTGCAAGTAAAGACAATGGGATTATGAAAGACATTGATGAGAACCTATGGTGCACAGAACAACTTGTGAGGTTCTTTTCAGTGGGAGATAGTCCATTGATGTGTGTGCGTTGGCAAACTTAGTAACGGGTTTCCAAGGAAGCTTGTGCAAATCTTATTGCTACGCATTCAAGAATACTGCTTTGGGCTCCCCTTTCCCAACAGGGAAATTTAAATTCATTGAGTCAGTGGCCTACAAAAGACAGAACAGTCAGCATATAAGGCATTCTTGACAATACAGTCAAAAGAAACAAGCACACAGGCAGGATCAAATTCTCAGTAACAGGAGGCCAATCCTCCAGAGTCCAAATCCTAAACGGCTGCTTTTTTCCTTGCCATACATTTCAAGCACATCAATTTCCTGCAAACTGTAACTTATTCCTCAAAAAGCTATAATTTCCAGCTCCTTTAACGAACTACAGTTCCCATGATTCCTTGGGGGAAGCCATGTGCTTTAATTATATAGCATGGATGTCTGTCTCTCTCACACCCATCCAGTTATGCTCTGCCTTGGCTAATTTGAGCTCCCTTGGGGATGAAATCCGTGTCTATTTTAGCTGCCTGACAAGCCAATTATTCTCCATCATGACCAGGGCAGTTTTTCTATGCTGCAGTAAGAGGACACAGCTCAAAACGAGACCTACAATGCCTACAAACTATGGGAAGTTAGAGCATCACTTAAACTGCAGACCCCCTCATACACCAGAAGCTTTGGGGTTTTCACAAGATTATTTGTTCCACAAAAACTCCAACCGATGTAGAATTTACATAACTTTCCTGACTATGGTGCTTGGGGTTCTGTTCTGGGCTTCACTTGCTTCTGCACCATTCAGTTCTTAGAGCTCAGCCAACACAAACATTCACTGTGTCTCTGTGGAATAGACAGGACCTCTTCAGACTCAAGCTGGGACAACTGTGTTTTGAATACACCTCAGGGTAAAAAGATACCCTGATTGTGGAAGGCTAATATGTCAAGAACAAGAAGGGTTTAATCCTTGCATTATTATTGCTGTTTAAGCTGGTAGAGCATTAAAATACAGTGGAACGTTGGTTCTCGAATGCCTTGGTACTCAAACATGTTGGCTCCCGAATGCCGAAAATCCAGAAATAAGTGTTCCGGTTTTTGAACGTTTTTCGGAAGCTGAACGTCCACTGCAGCTGTTGGCTATTGTTTCCGGGGTGCCTGCACCAATCAGAAGTTGTGCCTTGGAAGTTTTGGAAGTTTAACGGACTTCCGGAATGGAATATGTTCAAGAACCAAGGTACCACTGTACCTGAACCTTCAGTCTGACTATGCTATAGCCTGCTATTTATTAACATTTGAACTGGCTCCAAGAATGACGAATTCTCCATTTGAAGATCGTCTCAGACACCGAATCTCTTCACTCCAAGTTCCTCTCACTACTGTAAACTTTGCTTCTGTAGCACTGTCTGAACCAGCCATTAGTGACATGTAAAATTTGGTAGATACACACTGTTCATGGCCCAGATAGATGTGAATCCAAGACAATTACTGCTGTCCCAAAATATTCACAGCAAAAACTTAACCCTGTCTACTGAGAGGTAAGACCTATTGATGTCAACGGGGCTTAGGTAAAGGTAAAGAGACCCCTGACAATTAGGTCCAGTCGTGACTGACTCTGGGTTTGCGGCGCTCATCTCGCTTTATTGACCGAGGGAGCAGGCATACAGCTTCAAGGTCATGTGGCCAGCACGACTAAGCTGCTTCTGGCGAACCAGAGCAGCGCATGGAAACACTGTTTACCTTCCCGCCGGAGTGGTACCTATTTATCTACTTGCACTTTGACGCGCTTCTGAACTGCTAGGTTGGCAGGAGCAGGGACCGAGTAACGGGAGCTCACCCCGTCGTGGGGATTCGAACCGCCGACCTTCTGATCGGCAAATCCTAGGCTCTGTGGTTTAACCCACAGTGCCACCCGCGTCCCTTTCCCTAGCACATTGGATTGCAGCCTCAGCAATCTGCTTCCACAGGTTTCCACTTGGGAAAAGTCTCACCTTAATTCAAACAGTTTTATTAGAAAGGTAGAGCACATGCCATGCATGTCAAAAGTCCAAAGTACAAGCCCAGCATTTTATTTTTTTTAGTTGAATAGTTGAAATGATCACGTCATGGGCAATACCTCTAGCTAAGCCTAGGGAACACTGCCGTCTCTCACAGTAGACAATACTGAGCTTGATAGACAGATCTGACATGATATAAAAGAGCTTCATTCTTATGAATTAATTTGCATCTTTTCTTTTAAGAGTGGAGGTTTCAAGCTAAGTCTAGTTCTTGCCATCTACAAATTAAAACATAAAAGCCCTCCAGCATGCTTTTCTACACACAAGCAGTTACTATGCTTTTTCTAGAGGTCAACACACACAGGATTTTAAAATCACCTCATCTTCTACAGTAAATGGTATTAACACATTGGTGTTACTCTTATATGGTAAAATGTGCAGCCTCTCAGGTGCTAGAGATCAAACGCTGCTGGCATTTAGTAATAAAGGAGACCAGTACCACAGGAACCAAGTGGCATTGATCTCAACTGGCAAGCCTGTCTGCAGGATTCACTATGAACTGCAATTTTCATACTAATCAAAACTGTTCTTCTTCTCTACAAAATACCAGTTTATTACAGCTTTAATACACAACTGAGCTACATCTTACTTCAATGTTCTAAGAGAATAATGTCTACTTAGATTATTTGTGATAAAATATCAGTTTCTCTAAGGGAATAATGTTCTGAATGTGGATCCAAATTTATGATGTTTTAATTATTTGGTTGTATACTTCCATGGTGTTGTTTTTTAAAAAATGAATTGGTGGTTTAAAAACACTCTTATAAAATAGTTTGCCCTATATACAAGTGTCAGTGGAAATGTTTTATGAGAGCAAATAGTATTCCAACCTCTGGAAACAGCTTTTGTGAAGAGCCTGGATGCGTATCAGTAATCTGCAAAAATGAAGTCACCCCACCTTGTGCAAAGTCACCACTGAATACAACCTAAAGTTCTTCCTTGCCAGTGATATGAATGTTATAGCCGACCTTCAGTTTTACAGGTGTAAATAGAAAGTGGAGCATTGCTGTCCAGTAAAAACAAAATGTTTTTCACCTCAACAGCTTCCTCTTTGTTACACAAGAGCAAATGCCACAACATGCAAATAACTGGGCTGGAACAATAGCAGGAAGCAAGATCAAATGGTACCGTCTGAGACAGAAAACATCTGTATTGTATGTTGTATGCAATGTTAATGCTTTATATTGGGTATACGTTGTATTTATGTACGTATATGTGTTCCAAGTGTAAGTTGTTGGGAGACCTTTTAACTTCAAGCAACTAATGACTCTAATAAAATAATAATAATAATATTTCTGCCTCTAAGATGTTGCCCTTCCCCCTCAAAGTGAGACACTTAAGCTGCCGTCTAATACTTACTTTGGAGTAAGTACCACTGAATACTGCAGGTCCTACTTCTGAGTAAACATGCAGAAGTTTGTATTATTAGGGAGGCTGTTGATACCTCCACAGCCAGTATCTACTGGTGGACCTGGGTGAAACTTCCTGCAGAATCAGTACTGGGAATTATAAACCCAATAATTTAACAATCGAAAGTTATTGGGCAGAAATAAATAAAAAATCACATGCAGTACCAATTATTTTACTCTCAGCCTTAGCTTTTATAACCTGCCAAGCTGCTGTATTAGTTGGATGCCTTTGACCAGGTCTTTATTCATCTCTGTTGGCCAGTTTGCAGTTAGGATTTGTAAAACTTGAATATTTGATTTGCACTTGTATATGCAGGTCAACCCAATGCATGGCTCACGGCAGGGCAAGTCAAAAATAGGAAAGAACAAAACTCCCCAACACCAAATCCATGTACTGAAGCAAACCAGAAGTGGCAGCTGAATCCTGTTTTAACATTAGCAATGGGACAATGTCCCACACTGTACCCGAGAACAGGAAGCTAGCTTGAATGGTGTAGGATAGGCAACATGGCAAACACACAACTGTCCATTCCCTGCACCACTGCTTCACTCTGCCTTGTGGCAGGGCTGACCCTGACTTGTGGGGCGCAGAAGATGGCCCACTTCTGAACTAGATTGTTTCACCTATTGACTCATTTGCTAGAGCATCACATAGGCATTCCATTCAGGTTGAGGATTTGACAGTATATTATATACAAAGTAATGGGAGCATCAAATATGAGTTTCCTGAGAATTCCATCCCAATGACTGAAGCTAGCTAGACAACCAGCAGGTTCAAGAGTTTGATGTCAAGAATGAGGGCCCCTCCCACTGCAAGAAAGCAGTAAAAACTTAAAAACATGCATAATAAAACCTCACACACAGGGAAAGCCCATTTGTCGTTGGCAAACCCAGCTCTAAACAGGCCCGACTGATGCAACCTTCTGCTGTTTACGCTACCCAGACCAACACTTTCATCACAGTGACCTTGTGGTGGTGAATGTATCCTATGTAACTCCAAGCAGAAATGATCACACAGAGGCATCTACCTTTAAAGCACTTCCTTCTGAAAGTCTAATAATGTTCTCAATTATTTATAACTGCCAACACCTTTACCTCGGGTTACATACGCTTCAGGTTACATATGCTTCAGGTTACAGACTCCGCTAACCCAGAAATATTACCTCAGGTTAAGAACTTTGCTTCAGGATGAGAACAGAAATCGTGCTCCGGCAGCGTGGCAGCAGCAGGAGGCCCCATTAGCTAAAGTGGTGCTTCAGGTTAAGAACAGTTTCAGGTTAAGTACAGACCTCCGGAACGAATTAAGTACTTAACCTGAGGTACCACTGTACTACGTAAAATATTTTTTCCCAGTGAAGGAGGAAAAGCTGCTCTTGACCTTCTGCACATTATGTTGTACAGAAGTAAAAGAGAAACCTATGAAGCAATAGAAACTGGACAAGCAACATTCAAGGATGGGAAAATATTTCAGATACTTTAGGCATCCATCATGATAATACATTGGAAATTCCAGAGTACAATACCAAGGCCTGCTTCTGCCGGAGTGTGTGTGTGTGTGTTATTGACTGCAACATTGGCACAGCTGCAGCAAATAGGTAGGTGGAGTCAAGGATTAGTGATATTGCCAGGGTGGAAGAGGCTGAAACACAGACGAAGGCCAGGTTCACATTCTCTTTTACTGTGAACTCCCAGAGTTGCCAGTGCTGGGTTTTTCATTCATGTTCACTCTCCAAAATGCATATGTAACCTTTCTTATAAGATACATCAAACTGTTTTACACAGGTTAGAGTCCTTCAGTCATTCCTAATTCATCTCTAGCCAAGGTGTGAACACCTTTGCATAAAGCATCCCTGTTCATCAATCTGCTGCCCCCCAGTCTATGTATAAGAACGTAAGAAGAGACTGCTGGATCAGACCAATGTCTCTCCTAGTCCATCATCCTGTTTTCACAGTGGCCAACCAGGTGCCTGTGGGAAGACCATATGCAAGATCTGAGCACTTTCCCCTCCTGTGGATTCCAGCAACTCGTATTCATAAGTATTGCTGCCTCCAACTGAAGAGGCAGAGCAATAGCCATCTGTCTACACCAGAGGTGCACAACCTGCAGCCATCTAGATGTTTCTGCACTACAACTCCCATCAGCCCCAGCCAGCATAGCCAGTGATCAGGGATGATGGGAGGTGTAGTCCAACAAACATCTGGAGGGCTGCAGGCTGTGTACCCCTGGTGTACACAAACAGAAATTAATCAAAGCCATACTGATGTTAACAGCTGGGGGGGGAGAGAAGAGCTGTGAAATGCGGGGAGGGGGACAACTTCACTGCTCTCTCAGGTGGTAATGTGAACACACCTTAAGCTGTTTGGAGAAAGGGTGGGATGCAAAAATGATGCAATACATAGATAAATAAGCTGCCAGTGCTACAATACCACGCAAGGATTAAAGAAGGATACACTAATATAATATTTAGGAGTCACAAGGGCGCCCTGAAGACAGATTTTCTTGTGATCCCAAGGTTCTCCAAGAATGTGGCTCAAAACAAACAAATGCGGCTTCTGGTGGTTTCTGAGTGCCTTGAAGACAGTATTGAAAGAGATGTTTGGTGGAGAGAGGTGAACAATATCAAAGCTATGAGTGCAGATGGGACTTGAAGGAGGAGTAGCAATATCTACCTCCCTAGGTAAAAGACTGGGGGGAAATTGAGAGGAGACCCAGGGGTGAGAGCTGGAAGAGAAGCCTGCAACAAGGGAATGGTGTGGCTACATTTAATGCATGCAAGTTGAGCTTCTGTAGAATAGTACAGTACAGTGGTGCCTCGCAAGACGAAATTAATTCGTTCCGCAAGTCTCTTCGTCTTGCGAGTTTTTCGTCTTGCGATGCACGGTTTCCCATAGGAATGCATTGAAAATCAATTAATGCGTTCCTAGGGAAACCGCCTTCAGACCAGGTCCGGGGACAGTCTGTCCCCGGACCTCTTCTGAAGGCTGGGGGGGGGGCCAGGGCTTTCTTACCACCCCCAGCATTTTAAAACCCCGGGACAGCGGAGGACTTCTCCGCTGTCCGGGCGATCTTAAAATGCTGGCGGGCGGCATTTTAAAATCACCCCGGGACAGCGGAGGACTTCTCCGCTGTCCGGGGCAATTTAAAAGCCCCTGGGAAGGCAGGCAGGGGGGACAAAGACTTTGTCCCCGCCAGCCTTCAGAAGAGGTCCTGGACCTCTTCTGAAGGCGGGCGGGGGCGAAAGTCTTTGCTCCCCGCCTTCAAAAGCCCTCCGGGACAGGCAGGCAGGGGGAGCAAAGACTTCGCCCCCGCCCGCCTTCAGAAGGTCTTCCCTCCCCGCCCGGCTCGGAGCACCGTCCGGCCGGGCGGCGGCGGGAGGTCTTCCCTCCCCGCCCGGCTCGGAGCACCGTCCGGGCCGGGCGGCGGCGGGAGGTGTTCCCTCCCCCGCCCGGCTCGGAGCACCGCTCCGGGCCGGGCGGCAGGGGAGGTCTTCCTCCCCACCGCCCGGCTTCGGAGCACCGCTCCGGGCCGGGCAGAGGCGGGAGGTCTTCCCTCCCCCGCCCGGCCTCGGAGCACCGCCCGGGCCGGGCGGCGGCGGCAGGTGTTCCCTCCCCGCCCGGCTCGGAGCACCGCCCGGGCCGGGCGGCGGCGGCAGGTGTTCCCTCCCCCGCCCGGCTTCGGAGGAGCCTCCGGCCCGGCGGCGGCGGGAGGAGGTGTCCCCGCCCCGCCGCCAGGCTTCGGAGGAGGTCCGAGGACTGGGGAAGACGCGCTGCGCTTCCCCGCTGTCCCTGAGATTTCCCTATGGGCTGTCGTCTTGCGAAGCAAGCCCATAGGAAATTGCTTTGCGAAGCGCCTCCAAAACGGAAAACCCTTTCGTCTAGCGGGTTTTCCGTCTTGCGAGGCGTTCGTCTTGCGGGGTACCACTGTATTTGGAAATAGCCCCCCACTCCTGTTTTGCATGCTGCCACTCTTTCTCTTGCTTAATTTTAAACTGTTGGATTAATTAGGTTAGCATATTTACACTGTTTTATACAATGCTCTTTGGGCTGATTTTTAAATATTTATTTACTGAGATCATATTGATTTCAAGTTGCTCCTCCTCCTTTTTTTTATTGTTATACTTGCTCTTGTTCATCCTGTGAATGACTTTAGGCACAGTTTTGTGAGGAAGCAGCACAGAAGCAAACAGATGATCAAAACTTATGATCAAATTGCCTCAGGGTCAAGTGTCGCAAATTGCACTTTTCCCTCTTCATGTTACTGCTCTTGTAGAGCCAATTGCATTTCAAGCAGAGAACACGATATGAGTTTGACAGTGCAATCCTATTCCTCACAATGCAAACACTTGCTTCAGAGTAGGGGTTTCCCTCAGTACCTCAGCAAGAGAGGCAAGGTTTAAGTTCCCCCTCTGATCTCCTTCACTGTCAGTCCCAGCTGATGCAACTCTACATTTAAAACAACAGCAGCAGGTTCAGAAACAAAAAATGGCATCCAGCTAAGTTTTAACCAGAATAGGCCCACTGAAGTTAATAGGCCCAACTTAATCATGTTCATCTGTTTCAATGGGTTTACTCTGAGTAAAGCTTAGCTATCACACAAATACCTATTAACCTCACACGAGAGCACAATAAATCTGAACTCCAAACTCTCCATCATCTCAGTTCACTGAACAGATGAACCACCACAGTTATTTTAGCCATCACTGTTACATCTAATGGCATATTAATGTCAGTGGCCTCACAAGCACATACATTTCAAGATACTGCCTGTTATCCAAGTGTTGGGCTGGGACTATTCAGATGCTGTACAAAACCTTCACCTTAATATAAAAGTGGGGGTGAGGCTGGGGGGCGGGAGGCGGAGGTCAGGTGTGTCCCCTTGTCAATAAACATTTTCCCTCTCACTGCTGTGATAAAACTAACACTGTCAAGCTCAGTTACATCTTTAGAGAACCTCTACAAATCATCAGAAGATGGGGAATCTGCACCTTCCAAATGCATTCCTGACCATTGGTCATGGTAGCTGAGACAGACTGGAAACGGGGAAACCAACAACATATTACCTTTTCACTATCAGGACAGCCAATCAGAAGAAGAAACAAGCACAGGGGAAACAACCGCAAACAACTACAGGTGGCAGCCATGAGTTTTAAGTTTTCTTTCCTGATAAGTTTTTGTTTTAACCATTTCATAAGCTGCCTGGAGCCTGAAAAAGGCGGCACAGAAGTATATGAGGCTGCAATCCTACAAACAATTAACCAGAAGTATGTCCCACTGAATTCAATAGGGATTACTTCTCAGAAGAAGTTTACAGGATTGCATTATAAGTGACCTACAACATTTCAGAAGCATGCTTTTAAACATCAACCAGTGTGACCACAAAAGATTATCAAAAACCATTCAAAAACATTTAAAGGCTATTAACAGCAATTAAATATACATTACAAAACCAGATACTGAAAGCTAGACACCCATTTGGCTTTTAAGGCCTCATGGGGAAAGGATCTGTAAAGTTGTGATCCTAGTGACAAGAACATTCCACTCCAATCTTCGATTTCTACTGAGTATGGACCACAGCAGCACTCAATGCAGTAGCTTAAGGATATTAAAAAGTCACATTAATTACTAACAGATTTTTAAAATTTATTTACCTACTGACAATAAGCTGGGGTGGCATCTCTTGGCTTAGTTACCACTTACCTCCAAAGTTTCAGACCAATCTTTCAACATGACACCACCAGAATGGAGAATTACCATTCAGAAAAAGCAATAAATTACAAGGGTGATTACTGCTGCTCTGTTTCAAAAACAGACAACCTGAAGGGAATCTGCTTTGGCTCAAATATTGTTCCAGTTTCCCTCTGAAAAGCTCCTCACCGGTTTGGAAACTGAAAATGAAGCAGTCTATAAATGCGTAAGACAAACCTCAGCGCAAACAAATAAACCTCAGCGCTGATAAAGAAGGAGACGGGCAGGATTTTCCAGATTGCCATACGGGATCCAAAGCGGTCCCCCCCAAGCGCCCCCAGGGCGCCCCTTCCCCCGCTCGCCCGCTTACCCAGGCCGGCAGCTGCTGCAAGGCGATGCCCTGGCTGATGGCTTGCTTCTCATCTTCGACGAGCCCGAAGGCTGCCAGCAGCCGGGAGCGCTTCTCGCGCCGGTTCCTCCGCCACCACATCCACAGCAGCAAGCCGATGAGCACCCAGCTGGAGCTGAGCCCCACGTAGCCGGCCAGGTACACGGGCGCCAGGCACAGCAGCGCGCGCGCCGCGAACGAGCCCAGGTGCCGGAGCACGGGCGACACAGGCTTCGGCTCCCCCGACGCCGGCGCTCCGGCGCTCGGCTCAACGCCCGGCGGAGCCGGCATGGCAAGGAAGAAGAAGACGCAGAAGAAGAAGAAGCGGAGCTGCTCCCAAGCGAAGGACCGGCGGCGGCGGCGTCGCTTTTCCCCGCCCGTCCAGCCAGGCGCTTCGACGGAGCTGCCGCTTCTCTAGCGCGCGGAGAGTTCCAAAGCGACGACCATCGCGGACGCCACTCAGCGGCTCCAAGGCTTCTCACAGCCCGAGCCACGCAGGTGTTGTTGTTGTGGCGCTTTGCCCCGCCCCCCTAGGCTTCTCTCAAGGGAGGGGATAGGGTGGGAGAGACCATGGGCGGAAGAGGCACCCACTGCTCTCTGCTGCCCTCTAGAGTGCCTCTCGTTTCATGGCGACGGAGGAAGCATCGAGCAAAGGGCCATCTACACCAGGGGTTGTCAACCTGGTCCCTACCGCCCACTAGTGGGCGTTTCAGGGTTATAGGTGGGCGGTAGGGGGTTCTATAGCACAAGCAGAATCCTCGTTCCATAGAGCACAGGTGGGCGGTAAGGAAATTTTGCCATCAAGAAAGATGCATTAGTGGGCGGTAGGTATAAAAAGGTTGACTACCCCTGGTCTACACAGACTGGCAGCAGCTCTCCAGGAGTCTCTCTCTCAATCCAACTGGAGTATCGAGCCTGGGGTCTTCTGCTTGCAAGGCAGGTGCTCTGCCACTGAGCCAAGGCCGTTCCCTAAGTTAACTTTGTTGTGGATTAAGCCTTGACTTTTAAAAATAAAGCCTGGTTCAGATTAGTGGTGTGTGTCCCTGCCCTGGGTATTCTGTGACATGTAGTTGACATAATACTGCATTAATACAGTGGTACCTCAGGTTACATACGCTTCAGGTTACATACGCTTCAGGTTACAGACTCTGCTAACCCAGAAATATTACCTCGGGTTAAGAACTTTGCTTCAGAATGAGAACAGAAATCATGCTCCGGCGGCACGGCAGCAGCAGGAGGCCCCATTAGCTAAAGTGGTGCTTCAGGTTAAGAACAGTTTCAGGTTAAGAACAGATCTCCATAACGAATTAAGTACTTAACCCGAGGTACCACTATAGTGGGTTTATGATGGACACACGGCTATCCTTTATTAGTTCTGTGATACTATTATGTACATTATTGGCATCCTGAGGGGCACTCTGGCACTGTAGTGTTAACAAAAGTGACACACACACACACACACACACACACACACACACACAGAGAGAGTGGTGCACAGCACAGTGACTCTGCAGGTGAGTCGCTGCTGCATGTGGGGCAGGAGAGTAGGAGGGGCAATATGGGTGGAGATTGGCGCTGTGCAAATGCGCCGCAGCACTCATGCGACTGCATTTGCACAGCGCTGACCTCTCCTGTCCCTCCTTGGCCCTCCCAATCTCCCTGCTGCTAAGCAACATTGACTCCACAGCTGAGAGGTGAGCTAAGTGCCACTGCACCATCCCTCTGTCCACTACTTTATTTGTGGTATGGAAAGTTACAGAAGTTCAGCAAGAAGCTACGGGGCATGTGCTGACTGGGAATGAAGCTGTATGTCCACCCTGGAACACGTGCAGGTGTTCACTAATGAAAGCAGAATCACATATAACTGCACCAATACCAAAAAGAGCACAAATAAGCATGAATGCACGAAAAAAGGGGTGCTAAAGTGGTGCTTCAGGTTAAGAACAGTTTCCGGTTAAGAACGGACCTCCGGAACGAATTAAGTACTTAAGCCGAGGTACCACTGTATCTTTAATAATAAGAGACACCATCTTTTAAAAGAAAAAGAGGGATGGTGCAGCCCTGGAGGGTTGAGGTCACTATAGAATGGTAGACCAATTACTGGCAATTACTAAATTCCACAGGCAGTTACTGAATTAATTAGTAAGGAGCTACCAGCTGAAGCAACTATGAAATGGCGTCTAGGGCATGAAAGATTGTGTCACAAATCTTTAAGTGCCAGGAGGTTCTTGGTCATGTCTTTTACAGACTAGCATGGGTAACCTCTCTGGAATTGTCAGCACACAAACTGGTGCTTCCAAGCTGTCTTCAGGGGCTGCCCCACGTAAAGTGCATTGCAACAATCAATCTGAGAGAGCCAGCTTCCTGCCCTGCTGGGAATGCAACAACTAGTTTGCTGGATGAGACTTGACACACATGGGGTAGTATTCAACTGAGTTTGTTATTATTTATGCTATGCATTTTTGTGTTTTTATATTGTAAACTACCTTGTGATCTTCAGATGAAGTATGTCGATAGGTTGATAGATATTTAGATAATATTCTCTCACAAAGAAACCTGCCCGGCTAGTTCAGCAATGGAATCCTCCATTAGAGTTTAACCCTTGCTTGATCTAGGGCTCCAGGAATTAGAAGTGACTCAGGCATCACACAGATAATAGCCTAGGATGGCAGGGCTCACAGCATGAACACCCCAGCATGTTTTGCCTCCTCTTTTTATTTCCTGGGCAACCCACAAGCCATAGCTCTGGGTTCAGTGCAGAACAAGATAAGCCTCCCAGAATCAGCCAAAAACTCACACAACCCCACATCTGCCTCTATTTTATTTTACTGTACTTTTCTGCATTTGATTAATTTGTTGTTGCTGCCATCTAGTGCATAAAACAAATATTGAAAGGGAAGCTAGGTGAGCAGAAAATTCTGAGCCAAATCAGAATAGGAATGTAGTTACGTGCAGCCAACTCAGGGCAGATTAACTTGTAATCATGATTAAAATGTATTCACAGATTGAAATTGTGAGGGATGCATTTGTGCAGCAATCAAGTGTGCAGTGAACACACTTTTTAATGGAGCAGGTAAAAAGTTTCAATTATTTATGTTTTAATCTGCAAACCCCTTTATTGGATTAAATCTATCATAGATAGACATACAAAATCTGGACAAGCACTTGTCATTACTTCAGAGGAGCCTTGCTGGATCAGACCACACAGATCCATCATCAAGTCCAACATTCTAGTCATTTCTTGTGCGCAGGATTCAACTATAATCATTGTGCAGTAAGTGTGCAAGCACCACAACCTCTGCTTCTGCAAGAGGGCATTCCCTACACACACCCTAAATCTGTTCTGGGGGTTAACCCAAACCTTTGGACCATGTTTGGGGGCAGCACACATGTGGGGGAGGAGGAATGGCTTTTTGTATATGTAGAAGTTGTTCCACTAACACAATATTTTAGTTGAGTGCTAGCCTTTAAATACAGCAGGAATGGCCACACTTGGCCCTCCAGTTCTTTTGGGACTACAATTCCCATCATCCCTGACCACTGGTCCTGTTAGCTAGGGATGATGGGGGTTGTAGTTCCAAAACAGCTGGAGGGCCAAGTTTGGCCATGCCTGACTTACAGGCTGCCTTTCTGGACAAAGTCCTCTCAAGGTGGTGAACATAATCTACCCTTCTGGAATTTGGGTTCAAGTGCATTACAATAATTATATAGTTTTAAAAAATGCGCTGTAGGTGTTGTAACAGCAACCGTCCATTAAAACTGTGTACGCAGTTTACTTACAGCGGGTGTGGCTGTTCTTCACTAATGTTCCCAGTCTAAATGCCAGCCAAAGGTCCTTTAATTTTGCCTCCTTTGTCTTTTGATTGGCTTACATCAGGAGAACTTGTCTGGGCTGGAGTTGCTAACATGTGGTTTGCAATTACGTTGGAGTGCTATTTCTAGCTCCTTGCAAGAATGAAAAGGAGAGAAGAGGTCCAGTGATCTTATGATGGCATATAGTAATGATGCTGAAACACCTACTGCTCTGGTTCACCATACGAAATCCTCTAGCTCATAATGTGTAGCTGTTTTCTGAATCAAGTCAGTGCTTAGATTATGGGAGAAAAGGAGGGAGAACTTTACTGAAATCCCCAAACCTGGCACCCCACCTGTGACTCCCCTCCCCCAATTTTAGCCATTCATGACCCTCCCCATAGCTTTCTGAAAAAAGCTTTAGTGTGGCAGCATCTGTTTTCTGGAACTCAGCCTTTTACTGCATTGTTTTTCTGCATGCTAAAAACCATTTTGCTCACACAAGCCTACCTAGACATGTGATTTTATTATGTGCATTTGCTTTTGAAACTGGGTTGACTGTAACTTTTCCTGAGAGTATCATTAATAAAAACTAATAATAATAAAAAAACTTTTGCTCAGTAGACCCATTGAAATGAATGGTCTCAAGTTAGTCATCATGACCATTAATCTCAATGGGTCTCAAAGACCGGGTGTGTGAACAGCCCCTCTTTCTACTCTTGACTGTTCCAGGAGTTCCTGATCTGCTATCAGGGCAGAGGACCCTTCAAGGGGAGGCTCTGCACTGAATTCAGGGACCCTCATCTGCTTCTCCTCAACCTTTGGGGTGCCTGGTTCATCCTTTGAGGACTCAGTGTCTGGTACGAGGTCAGGGCTAGGAGTGACTGATACTTAGATGTTTCAACAGAAAATGGTCAATAATTTTGGGTCTAAGAAATGTCTACACAGGTGTATGGGGTGTTAGGGGAGGGGTAGTACCTCAGGTGGGGGACACGTCATGCACCTTCTGGGGTAGTTTGTCCACCTTTGGTCCCCCACCCAGCTCTCACCTGTGGCTCCTAGAAGTTATCAGCATGCGACAGTGGCCACACCCCGGGAAACGGCTTTGACTAGCCAGCTAAACCAGGTGAGGGTAGCCAATGGGTCTCAAACCCTCAGTGAGTTAGGGAGTTCTGCATGTGAAGATAGACTCCGGCAGATTGTGTGGACGAGACCAATAGTGGGTCCAAAGATCAAGGCGGCAGTTTCTGCACATGCTGTAGAGCATGGGTAGGCAAACTAAGGCCTGGGGGCCGGATACGGCCCAATTGCCTTATAAATCCGGCCCACGGATGGTCCAGGAATCAGCGTGTTTCTACATGAGTAGAATGTGTCCTTTTATTTAAAACGGATCTCTGGTTATTTGTGGGGCCTGCCTGGTGTTTTTAGATGAGTAAAACGTGTGCTTTTATTTAAAATGCATCTCTGGGTTATTTGTGGGGCATTATTTTTTTCCAAAACTTAGTCCAGTCCCCCACAAGGTCTGAGGGACAGTGGACTGGCCCCCCTGCTGAAAAAGTTTGCTGACCCCCACTGTAGAGGGAAGTGGGGGGGAGGTGGCAGATGGAGCTCATCAACCTAGGTAGCCATGTAGAAGGAAAACTCTGATCCTAAATCTCCACTGCCTTGCGGGATATGTTCAGGAGAAGAAAAGGCTAAGGAGTAAACCCTACACAAATCTAGAGTGGAGTCTCTAAGATGGTTCTGGAAACTCCTGCAGCCAAGCTGGTGCCAAACGTGTTGTTCTGCTTTCCTTTGGTCCACATCAGCAAGACCAAGAGAGGGGTCTTATCAGCTGGGCAGCCCAGGACCTCCATACACACTGCCCAGGCTTGCACCCCAGGGAGGTGACTTTGGGGCTGCTAAAACAATGGCTTGACTTTACCCCTGGAGGCACACTCCATTGTCTCTTGAGAAGGAAGGATGCCAACACACGTGAAGCTGAAAATATGTAACGATAATGATGGTTGTAAAATTGATGTATTTTTTGTTTCTTTTAATATTTTTTTAAAGAAACCTCTTAGTGTGTAATGTAGCAGTTTCCCCCAACTGTCGCCAGCTCTGATTATCCAGCTGTTTATGGTCACCCTGGTGACTGTATCTGTATCCCCTGTTTCCGTGGAAGACTGAGGTCATGACCACATATTGCAACGAGGCAGCACCCCATAGCATAAAACTGTGCAGGAAATTAAAAATGCAACTCCAGCATGAAATAATGGAAATTAAACCTTTGCACCCTCATTCAGCTGACTGGGAAATTTAATCAAGTGGCACATGTGGACAATAATCAATAGCAAATGTTGTTATTTGTACAGCTATGTTAGGTGGGTTATCTAGCAAAACCTGATTGAATCTGTAGTGCTGGCTTTAGAAACTTCAAACACACTTTAACAATGAATCACGCTATATAAACAATAACACTTTCGCAGCAGGGGACACAGAATACCCTCTATCCACACAGGTAAACTGGGAAGATTGCCCAGGGGTGAAGAAAGCCTGAGACTTTTTTAAAAACAAGAAAAAAAGCTATTGCTTTAAAGGTGCTGGCAATGGCTGAGGGTGACGATTGTGACTTTACATATCTGTCTAGTGGTGGAACACAAATTTTGCATTAAAAGGTCCCAGTTTCAATCCTGTGTTTCCAAGTAGGGCTGGGAAAGACCTGTTTGAAATCCTGGAGAGCTAATTGCCCGTCAGTATAAACAATACTGAGTTAGATGGACTAATGGTTTGACTTCATAAAAAGCAACAGGTCTGGAACCAACGGATGGCAGGGCTGGGCACTGGCCAAGTACCCCAGGGGCTTGGAAAAGCCACTCACCTGGGGCTCCAGATGCTTTTCAGAAGCAAGGCCAGGCTCTACCCTGGTTGGGATGTGTGTCTGGAAAGCCCACTAACAGCACAGCCCTCCAAAGTCTGGTGATGTTAAGAGAGCTTCCTTAAGTTCCATTGGTCCAGCCATAATTCTCTGCCACTCTTGTCTAGTCTGCCTGGCAGCATCTCAAGAGCTGCTGGGGCTAAACCAGGAACATTTCCCAACTTGAGTGGATGTACCCTGTATATTAACTTTTTGTTTTGTTTTGTTATTATAGTTGAATGTTGCTCTCTTTCAGATTTTAGATCTATTTTCAGAAGGTGCGTCAGTTACTCCCCACAATCCTATAAAGCCTAATTAATTTAAGTGGCTGGCAATATATATATTGCACTGAACAAGGATACTGATGTTAAGGAACATGGCGTTTCCCCACAGACATCAGCTTATGAAAATCTTAAGCATTTTTCCAATTTTCCAATTAATAAAGCCCATAAATCACCACTTCTTATGTAACTGGGGGTGTCAGTGATAAAGGATGACTTGGAATTTTATGTATTTTACACTAGGTAATAAAAACGTCTACGTGAAACCAGACCAGACCAGAGAACAATGCAGAGAAAAACAACGGCTTGGCAAATTAATCCAATTAAAAACTAGGGGGAAATGAAGCAAATTTGTTTTGTTGTATTTAATACTAGAAAACTTATTTACAGACATTAGTTTACATGACATTTCCTCAGGCTAAGTTCCCGTTTCCAATCAAACTTCACGTTGAATGAATGAATTTATTAATACGGTCACAGACCAGCGTCAACACACACAATATCACAGATCATAAAAAAAAAAAATATATCAAACTTCACGTTTAACGCTGTCTGTCACTGAGACAGCTCCTGAACATGCAACCAGTCGGCTCCTTGACAGGCCCATGACAGGGCCGATGTGATAATTCACTTTCAATCCCCTTCACTTTGCTGTCTCATTATGCCTAATCTACCTGCCTGCAAGATCTTGAGGGGAAACAGTGACCCTTTGAATCCAGAAAGTCAAAGAGTCCAGGCTAGAGTCTGAGGTACAGTTCATAATTGTTGTTATTCCACAATTAAACAGAAGGCAATGAACTCAAATATAGAGCGCATCAGTTTTTTTCTACCTTTTTATCAGAAAGCAATTAATGCTGTCACACAAGATACACAACACTGTGCTCTTTCTTTCTGTGTATGCACAGGTGGGTAAGCTATGGACCAAACATCTATATGGGAAAATATATATACACAGCAACATGGTTGTCAAAGAATCTAGACACAGGGTTTCTCAGAAGCAGCTTTGTATAAAATAATAAAGATGGGAGGGCATCCCACCACTGATGTTAACTGTTCACCTGGTGTTTTCCCCTCAACCTTTCTCTCTGTTAGTGTGTGAAGCTGCTCTTGCAAGCCAGCTTATACACAATAAGGCCCATTTTCTGAAGCAACCGATGTATAGGTACGGAGGGGAAATGAAACATATTATACTTCCAATTCACGTGGCATATAATCTGCAATGTTCAGGGTCCTCACATGAAAATATAACAGTGTGTAGAGCTTTTATTTTCACAAGAAGCTATGCTACATTAAAAAAATGTAGAAAGTTTGGCTGATGCATGAAATTATCTCAAGCACAGTATTTAGTTGAGGATTAGGTGCTTCTGAATGGCCTTTTCTTTCAGTTTCTCCATAGATTCACCTATCCTTTGTCCAAAAATGTTGTTCTGAGTTTGAATATACCAGTCCACAATGTCTCTTATATCTCTGAAAAAGGATAGAGGAAAAAGTTCAGGACATGAAACAAAGCAAACTAGACTGTTCCTGGAGCAGCCGGAGCTAGCACTAACTAGAAGTAGCCAACATTTGGCAGAGCACATTCAAATGATTGGGAAGAGAGGAACCTGTTCGGAAGTTAAATGTTTGGCCTGCCATACTCAGAAGTCTATCATATATAATGGCCCACATTCTGAGTGAATCCAAAAGTGCATCACACAAGCCAAACATATCCAAATTTTGGTATACATACAGAAAATCCAAGGGCTACTGAAACCGATGGAATATATTCTACCAACACCACTTCATTTTTCATTTATTGAATTTATATACACCGCCCTATACCCGGAGGTCTCAGGGCAGTTCACACATTATATATTTGCTTATATTGTTAGAAACAATGTCTTGTAATTATAACTCCTCTCACAGATAATATATACATATCCAGTACATGTGGACATGTATACTGACTGTAATCTTACATATAATTCATGAAATTGTAAATCCTGTTGTTTATTCTTATGATAATAATATTTCATATTGTGGCTTAAAAACCAAGAGCCAGATTGCATAAAACAAATACTGTGGACAAAATTGTATCATACCAACTGCAAGAAATGCTGTGTAATGTTATATACTTTCCTAATTTATTTCCCCCAATAAAACATACATATATATGAATTCCACCATGCTCCATCTTGCCCATAAATCTTCAATCTAATCTCCTTTAAAGTAGGCAGCAGTGGGGCTTGGTTCCTATACTGAGTCCACAGAATAATGGCCATTTAGTAGCCTTTTTGTATCCATCAATAAGGATCATTACAGTTTCTACTTAACTATACCAGCAAAGCAATACAATGTCTATTCATATTCACATTGTTCACTTACCTGGAAACAGGTGCAGAAGTACTCACAGATGTGCATGAGGCAGCTTTAAGCTCTATATTTATTTCACTAGGAAGAGAAAGTAATTCTTAACTGCTGCAAGGATCATAACAGCCTTCAGAAGCGAACCTCAGTTGCGTACAATAGGAGTAAGAGCAAATGGTATGTTTAATGCATAAATGCATTTAGCATGCCTGTTTTTTCTTAGTAGTAGTTGTAAGGTATAGGGACGCGGGTGGCGCTGTGGGTAAAACCTCAGTGCCTAGGACTTGCTGATCAGAAGGTCGGCGGTTCGAATCCCTGCAACAGGGTGAGCGCCCGTTCCTTGATCCCTGCTCCTGCCCACCTAGCAGTTCGAAAGCACCCCTAAGTGCAAGTAGATAAATAGGTACCGCTTTATAGCGGGAAGGTAAACGGCGTTTCCGTGTGCGGCGCTGGTGCTGGCTTGCCAGCTGCAGCTTTGTCACGCTGGCCACGTGACCCGGAAGTGTCTTCGGACGGCGCCGGCTCCCGGTCTCTTGAGCGAGATGAGCGTGCAACCCTAGAGTCGGTCACGACTGGCCCGGACGGGGAGGGGTACCTTTACCTTTACTAGTTGTAAGGTAAAGGACCCCTGGTTGGTTAAGTCCAGTCAAACTTGACTATGGGGTGAGGCACTCAACTTGCTTTTCAGGCCGAGGAAGCCGGCATTTGTCCACAGACAACTTTCTGGCCAGCACTGACTAAAACGCTTCTGGTGCAAAGGGACACTGTGACGAGTGCCAGAGCGCATGGAAATGCCATTTAGTAGCAGTGGGGTGTGTATGTGTGTCAGAGGGTCTGGACCATGGCATGCAAGCAGGGAAGGGGTTAACCTTCCCCCATCCTGTGTTCCCAGTGAAAATCCTCCTGCTTCTAAGCTGCCATTTCCCCTGGGAGGGAAAGTGTTACTGCTACTGATGGCTATGATAACTTATTCCAGTATAAACGACAGCATAGGGTGGGAGCGATTTTTGTCTCATGCTATGGTTCTGATCCTCCCCCAGCTGGTTTTATTTAAACATACAAGTTAAATGTATGGTCCCAATGCTGATCTTCCATGGTTTCTTTTTTTTAAAGGACATTAAATTCTTTCATGCATTTAACACACTTTATGCCTACTCTAGCCCTTATCCTTAAATAGGATTGCAGACTACATCTTCATACACTAACTCAGATTAATAAAGCTAATTAGATGGATACACAGTCCAAGGGCCATTCTCACCATCATCTTTGCTTCTCTATACGCTTCGACTTAAGAACATATCAGCTTAATTAGGGCTTACATGCTATAAATAGGTTTGGTCAATATTATGACATTTATTGCTTCACTACAGAAATCCAAGCAAGCTTGAACCGAACTCAGGCGCAGTAACAGGCTTCCAAAGTACAAAGGATTATTTTTTAGCAGAACAGTTCTGCACAACCTGAATGCTTGCCTTCCCCACCAACTGTCAGTACAATTAAATCTCAGTTTCGATCTCATCTGTTATTTCTTTACAAGGAATGGCAAAAACATAAAACAAATCAAAATAATTGTGCATTAGGAACTGTGCTGTATTATTAATTCAGGGGTGGCTAAAGATGACCACCAATGATATTCATCTACTTATAGAGGGAAACAATAGCTGAAGGTTATTGTTGCCATATTTCAAAAAATCCAGACACAGATTGGGGGAGGGGGGGGCAAGTTGCTGGTTGCTGAACTTTTTTTTTGCAAAATCTAAAAGAATAATGTGCCCTTTTGAACTATTTTTGATGAATTTCACCAAAATCTACACTACCGACATGGGCTGCCATACGTTCTTAACTGCTGTGTGACATTTTGTCGTAGGGTTGTGTGGGACCCCCAGTTCCCATCAGCCCCACCTACTATGACCCATGGCCAGCAATAGTGGGAGTCATGGTCCAATATCATCTTAGGCCAGGTGGTTCACTCCCCACCCCTCTAATGGGAACAGGCTTACCTTCCATACTTTTGTGATCTGTTCTCTTCAGAAGAGAGGTCAATCTGTGGAAATTCAGCTTTTACCATCTCTGGTATAAGCAATACTGGAGACTCCACGTCAGCCACTCTGAAGATGAAGTTGACAGCTATTTTATTGTTAAAGTTGTTTGAGGGCATGTCTACACAAAAGCAGATTCTATTTAATTCAGTGAGGCCATGAAGGCAGGATGGCGTTGCAAGCTTGGCTTCCCAATGATGTCGCTTTTGCTTACCAAGAGGGAGAGGGGTGAGGCTTGGGGAGCTGAGTGGGGTGTGTGGGCACAGCAGCACTGGATTGACTCTGCCGCCATCCGCACCCTCTAAATGGCAGCAGAGACGCTCACCCTTGGGAAGCAAGGTGCGCAACACTGCCCTGCCATCACCACTCCACTGATCCTGCTGCTCCCAGGTTTAAGTGGGCTTAGGACTGTAGCCTAACTTGTCATTCAGGAACCCAAGCATCATGCATACAAGAGCAACCTTGTACACCTTTAATCATACACATACACGTTTGCTATCAAGTCCCAGCGCTTGAAACACAACAAAATTGTTTCAAAAGAACAGCGCAGAGGAAACTTACTCGTCGATTACACTTTCCTTATCATGCTCTGGCAAGTCATTCAGTATTGGAGGTACAGCTTTTGGAATCATGACTTCATTGTAGGGATCAATGCTGCGGAAGACAGAACCACAGTGATGCAGGTAGGAGAGAATGGGAGAAACACAATCTACACCCTCTCCATAATGTTATCTTTTCATAGATAACTATATCAATGCCTTTCAAACGAAAAATAAGGAATATGTAGTGTGTGTGTGTGTGTTGTCTACATTCACTGTTGGGTCTTTTAAGTTGTTTTTATTAGTAACTATTGTTATTCTTGAAAATGTTATAAAAGAAACAAGAGCGAACACAATGCTATGACCCTCCCTACCTCCATCATAACCTTTAAACACATAAAACAGGGTCTGACCTTACGGGTCACAGAAAACTTTGAGGGGATGGACAAAAACGCTCTGCCAATGGTGTGGGTGGAAAGTGGTGGAACAGCAGGAATCCATGACTGAAAAAACCAGAAATGTGTGGAATGTGCCCGATGCGTAGACAGAAAAATCCGATCAAAATGAGCCATTTGCATTGTAAGAGTGTTGCTTAGAAAGAGACCCTTTGTTCCTTCAAACCCAAGTGGTTTGGGGCCACCTAAGCAGTCGACAAAACAGTAGCCACAATCTGCCGAGCTAAGTTCTTCCTTTGAACAAATCTAGCAGCCAACTTCCCCTTCCCTCAACTCCTCATTGAGGAGTAACTTAGGCTTAGCCTGACCTCTACTGACCACATGCAATGCCGTATGCACAAATCAAGCATTTCACTTTGATATTAATAAGCCTAGGACAAACAAACAAACAAACAAATAAATGGCTAGCTGCCAGATGAGCACTCATCGTTGGCTCATCTGATCTGGCCAAAGTACAGAGCAATGGTCCGGGACCACCTGGCTGTTGTTCTTAGCACCGTTTTTCATCTGAAGAATGGGATACGAATGCTTTGAAATAAGTTAATAGTACAGTGGTACCTTGGGCTAAGAACTTAATTCGTTCTGGAGGTCCGTTCTTAACCTGAAACTGTTCTTAACCTGAGGTACTACTTTAGCTAATGGGGCCTCCTCATCCTGTTCTCATCCTGAAGCAAAGTTCTTAACCTGAGGTACTATTTCTGGGTTAGCAGAGTCTGTAACCTGAAGCGTCTGTAACCTGAGGTACCACTGTAAACTGTAAACGAACTAGCCTATCAGTAGCCTGTCAGGAAGCCCACACTTTCAGTCTTGCGACATTCCCTGGGTTGTTTCGGGTATACACAACTGAGGTGCAATAAACCTAATTAGGTGCTTCAACAAAAGCACTCGTTCTTACTTACCAGAACGGCATTGGTATGTTGTTCAGAGCAGGTACATTAGGTAAAGTTGAATGGATAACTGATGGGAATTTTCTCCAGCCGGTTAAGCCGTGAATCACCTCCTGAAAAGACCACACATCAGAAAATTCTGCTAGCAATCTTAGCCAGTAAAAGAAGACAAGCTCCCATGTCTTGGATCCCCAGTGACTTCAACAGCCCTTACCCTGTGATGAAGGAACTTCTTCTGTGTCATCGGTATGCAGGATTTTGCTGGGAACTGCTTGGTAAGTTCGTATTTCGGAATGGGGCAAATATGATATTCAATGCTGCTTTCTGTGTAGGGAAATGGCTGCTTGAACTCACAGAGTCCTGGGCTAGGATTCTGAAAAGGAAACGAAGGGCGACACTGAAGCAAGAGCCACAGACCACACCCCCAATTCTTGCTTCTTTTGAAGACAGCCAACCAATAAGGAGTCAGGAAACTGAATACAGTGGTACCTCGGGTTAATAACGTAATTCGTTCTGGAGGTCCGTTCTTAACCTGAAACTGTTCTTAACCTGAGGCACCACTTTAGCTAATGGGGCCTCCCGCTGCTGCCGGAGCACGATTTCTGTTCTCATCCTGAAGCAAATTTCTTAACCCGAGGTACTATTTCTGGGTTAGTGGAATCTGTAACCTGAAGCGTCTGTAACCTGAAGCATCTGTAACCTGAGGTACCACTGTAGTCAAGCCATTCAGGATGTGGCCCTGAGGCCTGCCCTTTTTTACTTACGAAAATTTGAAGTGGATGATCGGTTGGAGGATGAAGCAAAGCTTCGGGAGCTCTGAGGTTTAGCAGGGTGGTGTCCAGTTCGTCTTCTTGTGCCTGGAGTTTTTCCTCTGAAGCCGGTATTACTGGGATCAACTCTTCCTGATAAAAAGGCAGAAAGTAAATGTTCTGGAAAGGTGTCTTTCTGTTAGTTAGGTTTTTTAAAAAGTATTTATTGAACCACCAAATGCTAAGATTAACACGAGAAAAGGGGTGGGGGGCAATACTGGAGAAGTTTTGTTACCTCTGCACCGGTCCTCAGAATTTGGGAATATTTTGGAACTTTGTAACTGGTTGCCGCATGGTGCACACAGAATGGCTGATATGCCATGAGGGTGAAATGCTGAGGGACCTTTGGACAAAGTGAAAAGGAATTGAAATACGGTAGAAAACCAGAATAAAATTTAAAATATTAACAGATGCAAAGGAAAGAGGTGGATTTGCCCTGCCAGACCTTAAACTTTATTATGAATCAGCAGCTTTTTGCTGGTTGAAAGAATGGCTACTTCTTGAAAACACTGACATTTTGGACTTGGAAGGTTTTAATAATGTATTTGGATGGCATGCATATCTATGGTATGATAAGGTCAAAGCACATAAAGCATTTAGAAACCACATTGTCAGGAAAGCGCTATTTAATGTTTGGTTAAGATATAAGGATTTGCTAGAAAACAAAACCCCAAGGTGGCTGTCACCAATGGAAGCGAAAGCCTTGAAAAAGGTCAATATGGAGGTCAAATGGCCGAAATATTGGGAAATTTTGGAACAAGACGGAGATAGACTGGAATTGCAGAGTTTTGAAAAACTAAAAAACAAAGTGTGAGACTGGCTTCATTATTATCAGATAATGGAGGCATTTAAATTGGACAGGAAAATTGGCTTCCAGGTGGAAAGATCCAAATTAGAAACAGAATTGTTAGAACCCAAAACTAAGAATTTGTCAAGAATGTACAACTTGCTGCTGAAATGGAATACTCAGGATGAAACGGTAAAATCGGCTATGATTAAATGGGCACAGGACGTTGGACATAATATTATGTTTGCTGACTGGGAACAGTTATGGACCACAGGTATGAAATTTACGGCATGTAATGCCTTAAGACAGAATATTATGAAAATGATATACAGATGGTACATAACCCCAGTCAAGCTTGCAAAAATCTATCACTTGCCCGATAACAAATGTTGGAAATGTAAAGAAACTGAAGGTACCGTATTTTTCGTTCTATAGGACGCACATTTCCCCCTCCAAAAACTAAGGGGAAATGTGTGTGCGTCCTATAGAGCGAATGCAGGCTGCGCCGCTAAGCCCAAAGCCAGAACAGGAAGACGGAGCACTGCGGAGCGCTCTGTCTCGCTGTTCTGGCTTGGGAACAGCCTTGTTAGCTTCTGCAGGACAGCGGGGTGAAGGCACCCGCTGCCCTGCAGAGGCTTGCGCGCAGCCGTCCCTAAGCTAGGAGCAGCGAGGCGGAGCCCTCCATCTCGCTGTTCTGGCCTGGGAACAGCCTGCTAGCTTCTGCAGGACAGCGGGTGAAGGCACCCCGCTGCCCTGCAGAGGTTTGCGCGCAGCCCTCCCCTTGGGGACGGCTGCGTGCAAACCTGCTCCAAGGGAGGGCTGCGCGCAGAACCTCTGCAGGGCAGCGGGGTGCCTTCACCCCGCTGTCCTGCAGAAGCTAGCAGGCTGTTCCCAAGCCAGAACAGCGAGATGGAGGGCTCCGTCTCGCTGCTCTAGCTTGGGGAGGGCTGCGCGCAAACCTCTGCAGGGCAGCGGGGTGCCTTCACCCGCTGTCCTGCAGAAGCTAGCAGGCTGTTCCCAGCCAGAACAGCGAGACGGAGGGCTCACTCTCGCTGCTCTAGCTTGGGGACGGCTGCGCGCAAACCTCTGCAGGGCAGCGGGGTGCCTTCACCCCGCTGTCCTGCAGAAGCTAGCAAGGCTGTTCCCAAGCCAGAACAGCGAGACTGAGGGCTCCGTCTTGCTGCTCTAGCTTGGGGACGGCTGCGCGCAAACCTGTGCAGGGCAGCGGGGCGCTGCGCTCCAAAGGCTTCAGGGATCTTTGAGGCTGGCGGTGGGGGAAAGCAGCGCTTCCCCCCACCGCCAGCCCCACAAGCTCTGGTGAATGTACCTTGAACGCACCTTGTTTTGGAGGGGGAGAACAAGGAAAAAAATCTTTTTCCCTGTTCTCCGCCTCCTATGATCCGGTGCGTCCTATGGTCCGGTGCGTCCAATGGAGCGAAAAATACGGTACATTTTTTCACCTTTGGTGGACGTGCCCAAAGATTAAGGCTTTCTGGGAAATGATATATAATGAATTAAAAAAGGTATTTAAGTATACCTTCCCTAAGAAACCAGAGGCCTTTCTCCTGGGCATAGTCGGCCAAATGGTGTTAAAAAAGGATAGAACTTTCTTTATGTATGCAACAACAACAGCAAGAATACTCATCGCAAAGTATTGGAAGACACAAGAACTTCCCACGCTGGAGGAATGGCAGATGAAACTTATGGACTATATGGAATTGGCGGAAATGACTGGTAGAATCCGTGACCAGGGAGAAGAGTCGATGGAGGAAGATTGGAAGAAATTCAAAGACTATCTTCAGAAACATTGCAAAATTAAAGAATGTTAGAGTGATGTTGGACTGAAAATAAGCGGTTTCCAGCTGTACAGGTTAAAGTTAATGATAGACTAAGATTAAAGATTAGGATAAAAGATGTTTAAAGAAATGGAAATTTGATATTAAGAGGGAAAATTTTAACGTTATATGATACTAAGACCAAAGATCAGGTTTAAAGAAGTTGAAGTTATATATTTCAATATCTTATTAAAGCTAAAGATTGGGATTAAAAAGTGGAAAAGAAATTGCTGGACAAACAATTTGGATTGGAATACAAAAGAGGGAGGTATGAGGAAGTCCAGAAAATAAGTAACTAAAAAACGGAAATGGAAAAGAGATATTGTTTTTAATTGTTATGTTTTCTGTTCTTTTATTGTTGAATCTTGTTTTTTTTGTGTTTTTGTTATATGTATTGTGTATGTTTTTCTTTTCTTTCTTTGTTGTTCAAAACTTTAATAAAAAATATTAAAAATAAATAAATAAATACGGTAGAAAACTCTAATGAACCAATGACAACTACCTAAAATGAATTAACAAGGGAATATCATATTCATCGTAATTCACATGCCTTCCCATGACACTGTGTAGAGGAAACACTTCACATGGCAGGCATTTCAGGATCAATATCCCTCTCTCTTGACCTAGTTATACAATTTTAAAAAATAATAACTGGAAAACTTAGAAATCTGCCACCTGTTCCCTCTTGATCATGCCTTGCCCAACATCTAGTAAAGGTAAAGGGACCCCTGACCATTAGGTCCAGTCGTGACCGACTCTGGGGTTGCGGCGCTCATCTCGCTTTATTGGCCGAGGGAGCCGGCGTACAGCTTCCGGGTCATGTGGCCAGCATGACTAAGCCACTTCTGGTGAACCAGAGCAGCGCACGGAAACGCTGTTTACCTTCCCGCCGGAGCGGTACCTATTTATCTACTTGCACTTTGACGTGCTTTTGAACTGCTAGGTTGGCAGGAGCTGGGACCGAGCAACAGGAGCTCACCCAGTTGCGGGGATTCGAACCGCCGAGCTTCTGATCAGCAAGTCCTAGGCTCTGTGGTTTAACCCACAGCGCCACCCGCGTTCCGCCCAACATCTAGCATAAAGTAAAAAACAGGACCCGACTTAGCAGCCATCTAACCTTTAATTCATAGAAGTGGTGAAGTTGTTTAATCTTAACATTTGCAGACCTGACAGGAACTATACCAAGAGCTTCAGGTGCCTGGGGAAAAAATCAAAACAGTATGTAAGATGGTATCACATTTCCAATAGGCTATCTGCCATTTTTTAATTATACTAGAAACCCAGAGTTCTTAAATTAATGTCTTCCAGCATTCCACCATGTGGGCTGAGCCACCACTAAGAAGTGAGCAACTCGTTCTTGATTCTTATTGTTGTGATCCTCAGCCAAGAAGAAAATTAATAATGCTATCTGTGGAAACAATGGGATTGGCTGAGCAGTAGTAAAGGCAATTTAGGCAAAGTCCCATAACGTGAAATTATAAACCTCAGGCAGTCCCACTAGACAGGTCAGTAGGTGCCTACAACTTGGCATCCCTTCCAAGAAAAGCAGACACATCCCTTGGGGCAACACAAGACAGATGCCTTGGCGTTAAATACGAACCATGGACCAACTTCAAATGCAGCTCCCAAAGGTTTAAATGGAACCTTAGACCAGTGCTTCCTCCAGATTTTTTCAATTGAAATTTCAAAATTCTGGTCCCACCAGACTTTCTGATGCAGATTATTGTGAAAAGTAATCTCAAGTACTGAATTGTACCTTCCACTATCCATCTTTCAAACAGGAAAATTTGTCTTTTCTTCTCAAAACAAACAAATAAATAAATATTGTTATTAGTTTTCAATTTATGTAACAACAATCTTTTCTAATGGTTGGACTGAGGAGGAAATATCATAACTGGCATACAGGTAACCACAGGATGCTTTTTAATTGGGATCGATGGCCTTGAGAACGCCAGTTTTGTAGCCACAGGAAGCAGCTGCCCAACCGAATGAAAGGAGTGCGACACTCTCATCAACCATTGCTAACGTCACAGAGGCACCTACCAGCTCATCAGCCCGAGACGAACTGTAAGTGGGGAATTCAGAAGGCAGCAGGCGATCTTCCGTGAGGACACAAGGCACTCTTCCATCATCACTTATCGCTAGTGTGCTGGTCGTTTCGGAACTGCTTTCTGTTGAACCAGGACAGAAATGTACAAATGCTAAGACTGAGTGAAGAGTGGGTATGCATTTTGATCAACAGAAACGGTGGGATACTTCTGTCCCTTCGTTGCTCATTTTGACCCCTGGGACTTGGAAGATGATGGCAGAAGGTGTCCCCACTTCCCAATGCTTCCCCATGCTTTCTTCTGCTGTTCTGCCTAAATGGTCACGGGACTGCCATCAGAACAGGGGAGGGAGGCAGGGGAATACAGAGAGCCTCCAATGCTTCTGAAGAGCAGATCCTCGTCCAGGAAAGCCACACCTCCAGTGGAGCAGAGAGGGAAGGGGCCAGCCAAGCAAGGAGAGGGCTCGAAAATCCTGCTGAGAGCCCAAGCGCCTCACCTAGCCCGGCTGGCCAGGAGGCAGACACGCCATTTCCATTGCCCAGCTTGCGCAGAGGGGTGAAACGAAAGGGGAGGCAGAGATTTGGGGTGTCTAATGTTGGGGGAGAAGCCGGAAGGGGCCACTCCCGGATTCTGCAAGTGACTAAGACGGACATGAACTTTGTGGTTCTGCACTGTAAATAAAAAGGTAAAGGTAAAGGTACCCCTGCCCGTACGGGCCAGTCGTGTCCGACTCTAGGGTTGTGCACCCATCTCACTTAAGAGGCTGGGGGCCAGCGCTGTCCGGAGACACATGGCCAGTGTGACGAAGCTGCTCTGGTGAGCCAGCACCAGCGCAGCACACGGAAACGCCGTTTACCTTCCCGCTATAAAGCGGTACCTATTTATCTACTTGCACTTAAGGGTGCTTTCAAACTGCTAGGTGGGCAGGAGCTGGGACCGAAAGACGGGAGCTCACCCCGCCGCGGGGATTCGAACCGCCGACCATACGATCGGCAAGTCCTAGGCACTGAGGTTTTACCCACAGCGCCACCCGCGTCCCGCACTGTAAATAGTTTGCACCAAATAAAACCTGTAAAAGACAGGTTGGAGTCCTGCCTGGTTACTCACGAGCAACCACCACCTGCATCTGACAGTAGCCGTTGCCATTTATGGCACAAAGCAAATGGTATGACATTCCTGTTTCTTGTTTTTACAGTACTTGTGATGTGTGGCCCACCCACAGAGGACAAGAGGAAAAAGCATAGTGGAAGCATTGCAGGGCTGTGCTACAAAACCCATCTTGGTACAGAAGGATTTTTCTAGCTGTTCCTTTATTCATTCATTTATAGCACACGAGGGTGCGCATCACAGCAGTGTGTCATGGCATCCTTTCTAATCATTTTTCACAACGTGACACAAAAACAAATATTAAAAAACAGTTTCCAAATTGGAGGGCTTACCTGATGGGAATGCTTCTTCCCAGTCTTGGGTTTTCATATTTTTAAATACTCCACGCCACACACTTAGCACACGATTGAGCCGGCCGTGAACCAAGATCTAGGAGAATCATTTAGGATATTGTTCAATCCATTTTCTATGTGGCATGTGTCTTCTAAAACTTTTCTGGAATCTCTGTGTACATAAGTCTGGAAACTGCCAAATTGTTTTGTTTCATTTTTAAGCCCCAGGGTTTTCTAGACCTTACAGTTGTGAAACAAACTTGGAAAATATATGCACAAAGAGTGCATGTGGCCCTTTAAAAACTAATTTGAATTCGTAAAAGAAGGCACAAAAATTATAACGCCTTTAAAGCTGCCTACAGCTACCTATCTGAAGCACCGATCAACATACTTATGGAACCTTAAAGTGTAGGAATGTTTGTTGTTCTTGTGAAGCCGGAAGGCGAGGCATCCAACGGCCTGGTATAATTGCTGCAGTGCATCTACCTGTGACTTCCACTTTCTCCTACCCATGCAGAATTAGGCTTGGCAGCTGGACTGGTGGGATTATCAAACAGCTGGCATACTGTTTCCTTTTAATGCAAACACTTTAGGCAGTGAAGCCATCATACCCACAATATAGATTCAATCATAGTTTCACAGCAAAACTGTAACTTAAAAAAAAAAAGTTATAAAACACACTTGCAAATTCAGGAAGGATTTAGGAATGAGCAGCATTCCTGCAGCTGGCAGGTGGCACACCAGTATTGAACTGAGACAATTTGTTTCAGTACCTTTCGAGCAGCTTGTTGGAACCGTCGCAGATTCCAGTGCCTGTGACACCAAGGGTTGTTTAGCAGGAGATCAAACGTGGGATAGAATTTCGGGGGCTGCACGGCACACAAAAAGGGAACAGTTTCAGTCTTAAAGGGTTACAGTTAGGAATAAACACTTTCAAGCTCTTTATTTAATAGCAGCCTATTTATACTGGTGAAAGTATCTGCAATTATACAGAAGTATGACCCATTGACTTCTGTAGAACTAAGGGCTCCTCTGGATCGCCTGTTTCTTGAGCATTCATCCCAATTTGCTTACATGGAGGTTTGACAGCGGCCAGTCTTTATGGAACATTTGTTCTGATGTTTGCAGGAAAGTTCTACATCTATGAACATTCATCTTGATTTGCTTGTGCAGTGGTGATACTCGTTCCCATTACAGCAGGGTCACAACTTGTGCCCTTTTAACTTGTGCAATCACAGCTTTATGTGCTCAGTGGCAGGCCAACTGGTATCGCACAAATTAAACACATGCAAGGCGGAGAGCTTTAAAGTTTCTTTCCCGGCTGAGTTTTCCAGGCACAGCAAGAGATTTTAAGCTCTCAGACTTGCTTACCAGGCTTTGGGGAGGTTTTGCACAGGCTCCAGAGGCCTTCACAAGATCTTGGATGGCCCTGTACGATCCTGCGCCAGCTCTGGCAGGTAAGATTCAACTGTGCACGATTCCAGCTTTACACGCCACCCCTCAGAATGTAACCCCTGCGCAGGACATGATCTTACTGTAATCAATTGTTTACACTTTTCAATAAATTTTCCCATCACTTTCCTAACCACAAAGAGATTGATTTAACTTTAAAAGTATCCAGGGCAGCTGTCTACCAACTCCACCTGGTATGCAGGCTGAGACCCTACCTGCCCGCGGACTGTCTCGCCAGAGTGGTGCATGCTCTAGTTATCTCCTGCTTGGACTACTGCAATGCGCTCTATGTGGGGCTACCTTTGAAGGTGACTCGGAAACTACAACTAATCCAGAATGCGGCAGCTAGACTGGTGACTGGGGGTGGCCGCCAAGACTACATAACACCGGTCTTGAAAGACCTACACTGGCTCCCAGTACGTTTCTGAGCACAATTCAAAGTGCTGGTGTTGACTCTTAAAGCCCTAAACGGCCTCGCGCCAGTATAACTGAAGGAGCGTCTCCACCCCCATCGTTCTGCCCAGACGCTGAGGTCCAGCGCCGAGGGCCTTCTGGCGGTTCCCTCATTGCGAGAAGCAAAGCTACAGGGAACCAGGCAGAGGGCCTTCTTGGTAGTGGCGCCCGCCCTGTGGAATGCCCTCCCACCAGATGTCAAAGCGATAAACAACTACCTGACATTCAGAAGACATCTTAAGGCAGCCCTGTTCAGGGAAGTTTTTAATGTGTGGTATTTTAGTGTATTTTTGGTTTCTGTGGAAGCCGCCCAGAGTGGCTGGGGAAACCCAGCCAGATGGGTGGGGTACAAATAATAAATAATTGTTGTTGTTGTTATATTAAAAGTGGATTTGTTACACCAGTGCACTTTAATCCACTTTAATTGTGTAAACCTAAATTTCCAGCATGTGAGTGAATCTCTCCAGCAAAATACAAAGAGCCTGGAGGCAACCTTATTTCCAAGAAGCGCAAGAAGATTACAATAATCAGAACTTCATGGTGACAACTTGTTTCATTTCTTCCTCTCTGCCAATCATCTCTGGGATGCATCTGGCTGAGATTTCTTTTTAAATCAACAAATTTCAGGTGGCTATGACACCCCCACACTACTGCTGCAATCTTAGGCTATCCCCACACAACTGTTCTCCCTAATAAATCTCCAAGTGCTCACCAGACTCTTTCCCCTGTTATTTCCTATTGGTGAGAGACACCAACGAAAGGAAGTTTCCCAGTTATATTCACAAGGATTTCTTAACGCAAAGGCAAGCTTCCCTGCTGTATTCCCATCCACCCATTTGACTCTGACACAAAGACCTACCTCGCCAATGTCTCGGATGACACGTTTGACTGAGACTTCAACATTCTTCCTTTGAAACTCCTTCTCCATGATAGGCTCTCCCCTTTTAATCTGCCTCAGCACCATAAACAAAGATATATAAATACCCACATTAGTACATTGATGGATCCTTAAGCAAAGTCTTGCATTTAGGGCTCAATAAAATTGTAGTCTTCCAAGGGACTTGCAAAATGTAAGCAGAACTCATCAGTGAGGCGAGTTCTGGGTTTGATTCATGGGTTGCCACTGAAGGAGTGGGATGAGATCGTTCTCCAGCTGAGACAAAGTTGTCTGGAACTCTAAGGGACAGGGTGTTACATTTCTGGATATTACGGACTGTGGTGCATTGCTTTTTGTCATACTTTGCTGTGAACTGTGAACCACTTTGAGCATAAGATGTACAGAAAAGGAGTATACAAATAAAGTGGACTGTAGCTCAGTCGCAGATCATCTGCCTTGCACGCAGAAGTTCCCAGGTCCAGTCCCCAGCATCTCCAGAGAGATCCCCTTTGGAAACCCTTGAGAGCTGCTGCCAGTTAGTGTAGACAATACTGAACTGGATGGACAATGGGTCTGACTCAGTACAAGGCAGATTCCTGTATCCCTTTGACTATTTGTCTACGTTGAATAGGCATGTAAGACTATGGCATGCTCCAAAAGTAGCACTGGTATATTGATGCCACAGGACCACTGTCCAACCTACAGGGTACATGAAGCTATCCCCGGAAACCTTGTATAGTGGGTGCCCCCCCTCTTCTTCTGTTTCTCCCCCACTTTCCTTTTTCTTCCTGCTATACATTGCATGTGAACTCTGAAGACAGGAAATGGGACTGCACATATTATCCAAAAAAATTAATGGCAGCAAGGTGCATGCTTCCTCTCAAGGTAAGTCTTTAAGCCACAATCCTGAACACATCTTGTATACTCTAACAAGATGGATCTAGCGCCTTGGTACATGCATCCCAGCTGTCGCCTGCAATGTAACAAACCCACACAGTTCTTTTAAAACAAAAATATGCCCTACCTTGTACAGTTCTACTTCTCTACGTCGGTCTTCAGAAAATTGCTTTTGAAAAGTTGGAGAAATTGGATCTTTGCCTAAATGAACCTGCCTGCATTCAAATAAGAGAGGAGAGAACAGTTTTCACTTTAAAGTTCAGCTCAGACAAATATTTACAGTGGTACCTTGATTTACGAACTTAATCTGTTCTGGAAGTCCGTTCTTAAACCGAAACCGTTCTTAAACCAAGGTGCGCTTTCCCTAATGAGGCCTCCTGCCGCCAGTGCCCTTCCACCATTCAGTTTCCATTCTTAGACTGAGATAAAAGTTCCCAAACCGGGACACTACTTCCGGTTTTGCGGAGTTCTTAAACCGAATAGTTCGCAAACAGGGCTGTTCTTAAACCGAGGTCCCACTGTACTAACAAGGCTTTTGCAAAGAGTAAATCAATCCAATGCAAACATTGTGCAGATTTTTTAGATCGCCTGCCTATTGACTTGACATGGGCAAGACACAATTAAACTTAAGCACTTTTAAGACCCAGTAATTTCAACGGAATTTCTACTGTTGAAATCCACCTAATTTCAAAATGCTTAATTTTGGCTGAATCACTCCCTTCTGTTTTCAAGTATTCTTCTGGTTATAGCCCTGTGCTTCTTTTTTGTTTCAACCCAAAGACTGCATTTGTATTGGCACATGAATGATTTACAAACCAAGATTCAACAACGAGGTGATTCACAGAAAGTGCTTCTGCTTATGCTCAACGCCTATCTTTTGCCAGTTCCTCTACCTATTGCAGCCCCCTGTGTCATAACCCTTACTGTTCCAGAAGGCCTCCCAATATCGGGGGGGGGGGATTGCACATTGCAAAAGCGGAATTGCTTTCCACTAGTGCAAAACCATCACTGGTTATGTCCCAGTAAGTTTTTTGTTCAGTTATTGACCAAGATAAATCACAATCATATAATTTTTCACCAGCTACAAACTGGGAAGCAAAAAATAAAATCACTTTATCCACTTTTTGCAAAAGATACACTAAGCGGCGTATTCAGTTAGTCCTAAATACAATGAGCCGTTATATTTGTTTATTTCTGCTTGCATAATATGTGAGCGCCACTCACCATTTAAGTTGGTTGGTTAGCTCTGCTTGTATGTCCTGCTTGACTTTCAATTCAAAAACAGCTTCTTTCACCTGCCTTGTTATAGCTCCTCCATCACCTTGCCCTCCTAGGACTGTAGGGCACAAATACAAACAGGATGCTCAGGAGACAGAGTAAAATAGCCCTTCCACCAGGGGCTGCAGTTACAAATGGTGAAATATTCCATTTAGTATGGCGTTAAAGAGACTGCAGAATGTTGAAAAAGTGTGGATTATATTGCTACCAAGATCTGTTTTACAGGAGTTTATGATGAAGCTTCAGGTGTTATGGGAATAAGACCTCGGCTCTATGAATATTTTCAAATGAGACGTTTCTTGTTTACATAACATAATTCAAGATATACAACAAACCCTCATCAAGTGGTACACATGTGAAGAAGTGATCATATGATGACCAGGGTGGCACAGCGGCAGTATCAGTACAGAGAAGGTCCGAGGCCAAAACCATGCAGGGAGGTTAATAAGTGTGGTCCTCACAAACACAAAGTTATACTGTGTCGAAGGGACCTTCAGTGCTCAGAATTGCAAGGCCATGAGAGTTGGAAGTGATTTATTGCAACTGGGGGAAGATCCTTCAGATTCAGATGGAATGGTTCAGTTTGTTTGTTTATTGTCCAAAAATATTTATAACCACCTGTCCATCTACAGTATAGACATACCAGGGCAGTATCCATCCATCTATCTATGTATGTACAATATATCATATAGACTAATCATACAATAAAATTATGAAATTATTCATACTATGCATATTATGTAAGAACTACAATGAGACATTATTAGTACTTGTAAGTCACAGAATCAAATTAGTAAATGTACAGAGATGCCAAATTTAGTCAAACTAAGCTGTGTTTTATGGTGGGAACAAGTTCCTCCAACTTCAAATCACTTTCCTAGGGCTGACTAGCCAATCTGCCTGAGGTGGGTTGGAGGAAAAGATGGAAAGTGATAAAATGAAAGCAAAGTTCCCTACCACAAAGAGCATACAATTTAGAAAACATCACAAGGGACACAACAGAGGAAGAGGAGGGAATAGAATGCAAATGCAAATAGGTGAAATAGTTTGTGACCACTGCACTTACACACTTAGATTGAGTGTGTTTGCTGCCGTTTCCATGTATTCTAGTCAGGCCCAGAAATTCCAGCCCTGTAGTACCACACATTACACAAACATGTAATACTCCAAGTTATTACCTTCTTTTAAGTATTTAATCTTTATTTTGCCTGGTTCCTGAACCAAAACAGTTGCCACAGCATAAGGATTTGACAAATCAGCTGGGAATCTCAAGTTTTTATATTCAATGGCCTACGAAATAAAATGTGACACATCAAAACAAATAATGGGCCCAATTTCATTCTAACAATTTTTGCCGCCGTTATTGTTTTCCTTAAATCCCCCACCTGTGGTTTTTGTAGAGGACTGCTCCGTTCTTGCTTTGGCAATGCTGTCTTCTGCAGTAGCCGTGCCACTGCTTTTTGTGGAGACTTTGGTATTCTCGCCAAAACTGCTTCTTGCTTCTCAAAGTCTGCTCTCCTAGATTTCATAAGAGACACATAATTTTAACTGTGATAGATGGAAGTACAGCTATAGTTCTGCAAAGGACTGCAGATGTGGTTCAAAAAACGTTGGCTTTTAAGTGGGAGTCTAAAAATATTGTGAGACTTGAATCATTGTGTATGCTTTAGCAATGGCAGAAGCCCTTGAGACAGTTATATCTTCCACATGTGCTCAGAGCCCAGGCACCCTTTTATGTGCACAATGTTAAAATGGAGAAGGGGGAGAACAAGCAAATACCCAACCTCTCTTCTCCTTCCTTGCCTCTGCTGTTATGCTTGCCAAGTGAGTTCCAAGGTAAGAAGAAGGAAAGAGTGAGCACAATTGGGGTGGTGATGGCTGAGGAGCTCTCAAAAATTGTTCTCTGCTTCAGATTATAATCTGAGCCCGGTCAGAATTTGTAAGTTTATAAAGTTAGCCTCTTGAGACCTAGCCAAGAGACTATGAAAGCTGCCTACATTATTGTGAAAACACTTTAGATTCTATTTTTTCCTAAGTTCTAAAAAATTATTTGGAGGATGTAAAGTCCTCATTTATATGACTCCAATATGAAAATACTCATCTCTGCTAGGGAATCATATTTCTGTGACTTCTGATGTGCATTTTGTGACACAGTTCTCAACTCCATATTAGTTACCAAAAATGCTTATTTTAGGATAAAATATGTTGAGAAATGCATACCCTGAGAAAAAAAATGTCAACTCTTAAAAATACATATTTAACTATACATTTTCATCCAGATTTTTATTTAAATATACATTAATGCAGAAATGGGACAGAATGGAACTAGGAATGAGCACATGAAGTACCGGCCGCACATACGTTAATGTAGGGCGTGGTGATGATGTTCCTGTGAACGCACATATATAAGGTTTTGAGTTAAATTGTGAAATCCACAACTCCATTTTCATCTGGGCTGTTCCGTATTCAAATGGTGCAAATGTTACCATAATTTCTGCTTTCCCGTTGGCAGGAATTATTCCTGTAGTGAATGAGTGAATTAAAACAAAAACAAAAAAATAGTTAGTGCATTCACCTTGAAATCACAGCACTTTTATGACTGAAAGAAATTGTACAGAACAATCAGGGATTTTTGGAAGCTTAGTTTGAGAGGCATTAAAGGTAATGCGAATTTGGCAAGGTGATTGGAAAAGCGAATTACTAGTATAGTTCAGCAGCTGGTGGCACTTCTTGGTAAAAACAAACAAACAAACATGATTATCCCAAAAGTTCAACCTTTTGGAAGCATCTTGGTGCAGATAAACTATGCCATCAGCTCAAGGCAACATGGCCCAATTTCCAGGGATGATGAGCATTGTAGTCTAGCAGCAGTTTGATGCTCATAGGCTTCCTTTTCTCCAACTGGGGAGGCTGTAGCAATTAAGATCTCTGTTCTTAATTTGTGGAGTAGGGGGCAATCCTAACATCCTCCCTACCACCGATGTGGCTTTATCTACAGCCCTGCCATGCATGGCAGCCTGGAGTGGGTGGACAGGACAGTGAGATTGGCTTGAGATCCAGAGAATTATGGGCCAGCTTGGGTCGGCCCTTCGCACTGAACCCCACATTTTGGGGCTTTCAACTGGCTGTCAACCCACATATTCAGCAGCTGCTGTAAAGATGTCTTAGCTGGGTGAAGGGACACTTTTCCTCATTCAAACCACCCACCCATCTACCTACCCAGCCCAGCATGAGGGGTGGTGGCAGATTGTACTATAATATGTTTATATACACAGTACATGCTATTTAAGATACTAGCATTCACACATTAATGAAGTAATGCTCCCCCTCCCAAGATTTTACCAGATGTTGGATGAACAGTAAAGGCTTTGTGAGGCTGAAGAAAGTCTATGTGGAACTCAAAATCTATGGGACAGCTGCACTCCAGGGGAATCACATATTCTTTACTGGAAAAGGTGATACAGGACAAAAGAATCAGAAATAATTACATTAATGTTCATTAGCACATCTGCCCACCCCTGGGCAGCATGACAGATAGAAATGTACTGAACAGGTAAGTACAAACCCTCCTTAGCTCTGGAAATTGACCTTAATCCAACGGTTAAATGCAAAAATTTGGCTCCTTTCATGTTGGTAGCAGCTTGAGATGGCTGTTGCTCAGCAATGGAAGTCTTCTATAGAGATATCCAGAGAGACCTGGATCAGTAATGTTTGGGACTGATCACGGGATCCCAAACTTATTCAGTTGTATGTTGTGATGCCCTATCTTTTCTGAACTGGTTGCTGTTCTTTCTGCAATTATTTTTAGTCTGACTCTGCACTAAGTGATGTAGGGCCTTTATATATAACTGGATTTGATTTTGTGTAGTTACACAAGTCGTTCTTTCCTGATATATTGAAATAATAAAAAATTTGTGGGAAATGTAAGTACAAAGAGACACGAATATGAAACCCTTGTCAAATTAATGCAATATATGAACCAGAGACAGGTGACAATAAAGTAGTATTTTTATTAAAATTAGCAATTCCTGGAAGAGAAAAAACACAATAATCTGCAAAACAATCATGCATTTAATTTGCTCTGATGCTGTATTTTTTCATTACCATATTATCTTGAATGAAAATTTATATTATTTTATGAAAATAATAAGAAAGAAAAGGCAGCTGTAATCACTACAGTGTTTTTAATTTATATGAGGCTTGGGCAGAAGGTAAATATTTGGGTAGTTTTCTCTAGATCAACAAGGATTTCTGACACCAAATTGTTTAACAACAGATGAAACGGGATAACCTGCCTAGCCCAGCAAATTCTACTGCTGAAACGACAGAAGCTTGAGATAACCAGCAATGGGTCCTTGCATGGAAACACTGTGAGTTCCTGGACTGATAATTCTTTAATTCCAAGCATGTGTCTTTTGCACCAGGTTTTGCTCTGTGAATCTCAGGGTTCTAGCAAAAAACAAATGAGATCCTGCGAGCCTGGGGTCCCACTGGACTCAATGGGGCTTACTTCCGAGTAGATGTGTATAGAATTGCGCTGCACATCCTGAATTAAAAATTGTGTGACCTCATAGATCAGGTGTTTTAGAATTTAGTTTTCAGCAAACTCCTCTGACAGTCACTCAGGTTGTAGGTCACAGTTTTGACTACTCCACCCCATAAAGATCCCCCACTTGTACACTACATGTATAAATAGATCAACAGATAAAAACTACATCCATTTTTATCTAGACTGAGCAGCACTCAATAATAATAATAATAATAATAATAATAATAATAATAATAATAATTTAGTATTTCTACCCGGTCCATCTGGCTGGATTTCCCCAGCCACTCTTGGTGGCTTTCAACAGAACATTAAAAGCAGAAGAAAACTTCAAACATTAAAAACTTCCCTAAACAGGGCTGCCTTCAGAAACTTGACTTCTCCATCTGTGGTTATAAGAGGTAGCATCCAGGACAGATAACATGAAACTATTGGAACCATTATCCAGCTCTTGCTTAGTTACATCTATTGATATCAATAAGGCTTATTCAAAGGTTATTGGGATTAGACTCATCTTCTCAGCCAATGATTAGACGCGTACCCTAAGCTTAAAAAGCAGCTTTGGATTCCTAGCTGGCTGACATCCGGATGCCCTGTGCATTTTCCAAAAGCCAAGCCTATCTGTAAGGATTTTTGCATGTCTGGTTTTAACTAGTCAAAACAAAATGACTTAGAAAAACACAGCATATTCTTCACTTTGTTAAAAAAAATAATAATTATTTTTTACTCAAACTCCTCCAACATTCTATAAACTGTTGACTAAAATCCTGTCTAGCTGATAAATAAGGAATGTAGTTTATATGTAGTATTGCCTTGAAACTTTTTCTTTTTTTTTAAGTTTGGATGAAGAAGAGATTTCCTGCTTGATAGGTTTTTAACATTTCCAATTTGGGTAGCAATTGTGGCCTTCCTAAGAAGGAAGGCATGGGTGGACAGGGTGAGATGGGTGTATGTGAAAAATGGAATTGATCATGGGACGCAGGAGAGAATTTTTTAAAGAATAAACTTACTTTCACTTAATGAACAGGATTTGTAAGAAAATATATATATATATATATATATATATATATATATATATATGCAAAATGGTCCCAATGAGGCCTGTGCGTAGATGCTACACACACACTATACCTTTAAAGCACATTCAAAGCGCTTCCTCTCCCTCACTTGAATGCATTCAGGAGAATGTTTCTGGGTCCACAACCAGGGACTTTCATGCATCGGGAAGTCATAGCTCAAGGGTTTAGCATCATAGAATTGCAGAACTGGATGACCCAAGGTTCATCTAATCCATGGGTAGGCAAACTAAGGCCCAGGGGCCAGATCCGGCCCAATCGCCTTCTAAATCTGGCCTGCGGACGGTCTGGGAATCAGCATGTTTCTACATGAGTAGAATGTGTGCTTTTATTTAAAATGCACCTCTGGGTTATTTGTGGGGCATAGGAATTTGTTCATTTTTTCCCTTCAAAATATAGTCTTGCCCCTCACAAGTTCTGAGGGACAGTGGATCGGTCCCCTGCTAAAAAGTTTGCTGACCCCTGATCTAATCCAAACCCCAGCAATGTAGGAATCTTTCCTCTGCTTTAAAACCCACAATGAAGGAGAGTCCATGGCCTCCCGAGGGAGACCGTTCCAACTGTCCAACAGCTTTCACTGCCAGAAAGTTCTTCCTGATGTTTAGTCAGAACCTCCTTTCTTGTAACTTAAAGCCATTGGTTTGAGTCCTTCCCTCTGGAGGAGGAGAAAACAAGCTTGCTCCACCTTCCATGTGACAGCCCTTGAGATGTTTGAAGATGGCTATCTCATCTCCTCTCAGTCTCCTCTTTTCCAGGCTAAACTTCTTCAGTTCCCTCGACTGCTCCTCATAAGACTTGGTTTCCAGACCCTTGATCATTTTGATCGCCCTTCTCTATACACGTTTCAGCTTGTCAATATTGGACCATCTGTTTTGCATACAGGAGGTCCTATGTTAAATCTCTGGCATCTCCACGTATGACTGGGAAAGACTCCCTTCTAGAACCCTGGAGAGTCTCTGTTAATATATGTAAACAATACTGAAACAGGTGGATCAATGGTCTGATTTGTTATAAGTCAGCTTCATTTGTTTCTAGAATACATCATCTCTGTACTATAACTCTGTAGTAAGAGCACAGTGCTAATGAAAAGCATTTATACAACCAAGGCTACCGTAGTGGCAGAATACTGCTGGAATATAAACACTGTCTCTCAGAAATCTCATCAGCCTTGGAGAAATACAGCATTACAGTTGCAGATAATCTTTCAGAATAATCAAATATATTTTACAATGCCTGCCCACTGAAAGCACACTGCTATGGTAAAACCAGATGCAATTGTATTTCCTGATTGAGTTAATATCATATGAAAAGGTACTGTTTCGTTCGGCCCTCTCCCCAACCCGTCACATTAAGCTAATTATTTTAGCAACACATGAGAAACAGTTTAATTTTTAAAAAATCATAACAGCTTACCATTGTCCTAGAGAAACATCAGATAAATTAATGAAGGATGGAAATTCTACAGTGTTCATCACAGGATAGGCATGTAGAGGAACCAGCAACGTGTCATCTCCCTGGAGGGAAAACCAAGAAGGAAATTACATAGACTGTTACAAGAGATAAATATTAATTGACATGCACTGGGGTGGTTGCTAACTGGCTCCTCTTGTACTGCTGAGTTACAAGAACCAAGGTTACGTGGACTGCAGGAATTTTGTGAAAAATGACTGGCTTTCAATAGAGAATAATGGAGATGCCTCCCCTATCATTATAGGAACATACACAATGTAGGGGAAAGATCTTCAGTCTGATTTTATACATGTTTACCAAGATGCAAGACTTACTTATTATCAGAACAATTGTTTATTATTTATAAAAAGTGCCAAATATATATTAGGCACTGTGCAGCAACAGACAAGAGAGGTCTCTGACTACAGGGTCACTTTGTGTGTGTGTGTGTGTGTGTGTGTGTGTGCGCGCGCGCGCGCGCGCAGGATTATGGCCTTATTCCATTCTCAGATATGAGAACATGGAAACAGATTTAAACAGCCATATGGCCAAATCACTGTGCTTTCTGCCTAAATCAGGGATGGGAACTTTTTTTAGCCCAAAACCAGAGAAATCATCATCATCATCAAACCTTTTATTGGCATCACATACAAACATCCAAAGCAAATCAATACAGAATTACCACTTCCCCAGTGGCACAAAACATTTGCTAAAAGAAAGGAGGCAGAGCAGTCTAAACCAGAGAAATGGATGTGGCTTTTAAAATTGTACAGTGGGCTACATTCCAGCCACACATGCCAGTGGTTTTTATAAACAACCTTGCAGTTTGAAAGCATGCCAGTACAAGTAGATAAATAGATACCGCTGCAACGGGAAGATAAACGGTGTTTCCGTGTGTTCTGGCACTCATCATGGTCCTCTAAGTACCAGTAGTTTAGTCATGCTGGCCACATGACCTGGAAAACTGTCTGCGGACAAATACCTGCTCCCTCGACCTGAAGCAAGATGAGCGCCCCACCCAAAGTCACCTTTGACTGGACTTAACCGTCTAGGGGTCCTTTACCTTTTTGCCTTATACAGAGATATATCTCTCCATCCAATGGTGATAAATGACATTTTTTTGCCTTTAAAGGCATGTTTCTAGTCCTCTTGGGGATGAGGAAAAATTGAAAAACATAGAAGCTTTCCTGAAAATGTTCAGCATTCTAAGAAGCTTCATTTTTATTTTTCTGCAGCACTGAGTTGAATTTCCCATGCAAATTTTACAAGTGTACTTCCTATAAGGAGACTGCAATCCATTCCAACAAAAATTTGCTGCATTCGAGTGAAAAAATTACCAGTTTTGAGGATTTTAAAAAACCTGGAACCATTGTTCTTCTGAACACTTCTATATTGTATTTCAAACCAAACCAGACACTCCTAGTATTTCCTCATTAGGTTCACATTAGACCTCTGTTTGCTCCTCCCTCCCCCCAAATTCAGTGTGTTATCTCTTCACTGAGGGTAGAACAAAATAACACAAAGGAAAGGGATGAATAATACAGACTGACAATACAGTGAATAAAATTGAGTATTATTAATCTGTAAGATCAATCCATTATTTTTATGTACCGGTATCATGGAGTACAACAACATTTATTTCACTCATACAAAGTGAGGAGGAGGCCACATATACATCCCCCCCCCCTTGTGGTGTCTTACCTGAGAATGGATTCTAAGGCAGTCATAATAGTATCGCCATTCATCAGCACAGAAATCAACCGTAATTGTGAAGGACAAGCCAGGGACAAGCCGTTGCTGTAAAACAGAGAACGGTAATTTCCCAAGAAGTGCCCAGCTGCCATTTATATTGCAATGTGAAAATGGAAAGTGGAGAATTAAATGCAAATGATGAGAAGGTTACTACTGACACTTACTATTTTGCTGTATTTGATCTGAAAGTACTTTGTCTCCGGTGGAATAACATGGAAATTTATAACTTCGCTTGAAATATTCAGAAGTTTCTGCAGAACAAAATAAGCAGGGTTTTTTCTGCCTTTCATTTTAAGAACAAACATCTATGTTTTAAAATCTTAAGTGACAGTCTAACTGTAATGAATTCGAAGTGCTATCTAGTGAGCTTTGGAAAATAGTTCCTTGACCGATCATTTCCTTCAGTATTGTTCTTACGGGTTTTCTCCCCCTTTGTGTTTGCAAATGAAATAGAAAAGATATTCAGAAAGTGATCAAAAGACAGTGGCCGCATTTCTATATTATGCTTACACTACGGTTTAGAGACACTTTCATGAGCAGGAAGGAGCTACAGCAAGTTTAGAGCTGGCACACCACTTGCTGCCCTGGTCCAAGGAGAAGCTCTGGCAGCATTTTCACTTCCCTTGAATCTTGCTTTGTGTCTAAGGATGGGGGAGAAATCTATTTTTAAATGGATTTAGACATAGATTTTCACGGTTCTGACCAATCGAGTTCAATTCCTAATGAATCACCTCTTGCATCAAATGCTGGCTTATGTCCCAGCCACTTTTACACTATATTACATAAAATATGCAAGAATTGTTTGAAGCTTCAGAGGAACCAGGGTGGAGAATTCACTTCCTGTCAAAATTAAGGAGCAAGACGGGAATTAGAAAAAAATAAATCTGTGTGGATAGGCTTGACATAGAGATTTTTCCCTAGCTGTGTTGTCTAACCCAAGGAATTGTAGTTTACTGCCAGCTGCAACTAGTTTAAACAAGCCAGCTTAATAAACCATGATTTTGAATCTGACAATGGCTTGCTCTAAACCATGGTCCCTTCTATGGATGGCATGACAATTCGAGATCCAGTGAAACAAAAAGCAGATGCTACCAAAGTCCTTTCCCCAACTGTACAGGAGGGGGAGGGGGGAGGATAAGAATGTCCAAGTCCAAGATGCTCTGTGGCTCCGTCCTGCTCATGCACATCTTGAGCGAGATGAGCATAGGTGGCCAGTGGGCAATTCCAGGTGTAATTATTTCATTTCAGCCCGCTACCTAACAACACCATTATTACTTACCAGTACTTGCTGGTGATGTTGTTCCATTATATACCCTCCAAAGTGCATGATGGCAGGTTTAGCCTGTATGACATCATTTCTTAGAAGCTTTCTAAATATCTCTGAAAAAAGAAGAAAAAAAGAATGAAAGAAATCAGAAGAAATAATTGGTATACTGAGTCAGATCAGCTGGATCAGAGCTCAATTAAAATTAGCGGTGACTAATGCGTTCCATTTGTTTTAATGAGGCTTAGCTGTGATTAGCTTAGGTAGATCGGTGCCACAGTCTAATAAGTCTACCTTCTTTGTCGAAAAAGCTATCAGGGACCCGCTCCCAACCTGCCCATTCCTATCAGCCTCACCACACTAACCCAGATGTTGTCTTTTTGTAAGTCTCCTCGCTTCCTGCCTGGGCTAAGTGGGCAAAGGATTTAGCAGCCATTCTGCCTGCATAGCAGCAGTGTATCTCTGGATTGCTTGGCCAACCAGTCAACTTCATTAGGAGCAAGGCTGAAGGTCTTTCAGATGACCTATTTGTTGAGCATTCAGGGAGATTAGATAACCTTGGTTTATTTAATAAGCGTTTGCTCTGATTTGTTCGCAAGGAAGTGGCATTGTATCAAAGCAAGTATTACCCCACCCCCTCCACTATCCAATGTACTGCCCCATCTCTTAGCTTCTTCCAATAAGTCTAAACTTTTAGAAGGGTGGTTTTTGCGTGCAAGACCTCCTAAGCAACTATAACAGCACAACCTGGATTTCTTGGTAATGAACCTCACACCCCACCGAAAACAGTTAACATTTGGAAGCACTCGAAGGCCTTCAAAAACCTATAAACCAAGAAGTCCCGCCTGCATAAGTATATCCAATCACCTACTGGATTCCACAAGGCGATTGGGGACATCAGTTGCTTCCTTAGTATCATCCACCAGGCTGTCCAAAAGAAGAGATTGCAGTTTCTCAGGGGTTTCTTTGGTGTTGCTGAACTCTTCGGAACAGGCTGATTTCACCACTTCCATCTTCTTGTGGTTAATACAACTTCACAGGCATCAAAATGATCATTCCCTGTAATCAAATGCAAAAATATAGTAGTACATATGAAAATCCTACATGCACAAAGACACTTGTTGTGCAAATTCCTAGTCGAAAGTTCAATTCCTGCTGCCGTGGATGACACTGTTACACAGCTTGCCGAGCATTTCCAAGGAATCCCCCCCCCCTTTAAAAACCAACAAATGCTTTATAAATAGGATATTAGATTCATTCATAATGGCCATAACAACATGCAAATAACTCCACTAATTATACAAACCTACCTGCCCACGTATATCTATGTAATTATTTTATGGCAGGAGAAAAACCCAACAATTTTTAATGACACTTCCTTGTTTAGTTGCCTGAAGGTGATTCTCATGTGGCATATACAACAAGCAGGGGCCTTTTTACAAATCTGTTCTATAATCCTTCCTCCCCCAAACTCACTCATCTGGAAACAGGGTAGACACTGAAGGATATGTCTCAGTTCCCTCAGAAACAGGTTTGCAGAACAAAGTTTAGTGGAGGGCGGGGAAGGCTTAAACCTTAATAGGAGGCTGAAATCTAGACCCTGTCAGATTATTAACAACCTTAACAACCCTTAACAACCTGGAGCCAGTTTACTTGGAGGACTGCCTCACCAGTGCTATTGTCCGAAAATGAGAGAGGGATGGTGGTGCTGGAACTCACCATGAACACCTCCCACATTTTCTCAGAACGGCAATGGCACCCACCTGGGAAGTGCCAGAACTGAGTTCTGGCAAGTTTTGGCTGGAAAAAAGCCCTGCCCCCCCTCCCTGTATGTGCCTGCTTCAATCTATGGAACTGGCATTTTTACAAGTGCCATATGACATGACAATAGGCACCTTTGCTGTTATTAATTCCTACTAAATACATTTCTGTTTAGGGAAGCCTACCCAGAAATGTAAACTTGATGTTTATTTAAATATGTAATTCTGGGAGGAATTCAACGTAGCACTAACCAGACTGCTGTCAACGCAAGCATTTCTGCTTGCCTGATGGAACAAACGGCCCTCTCTTTCCCTGCTGTGCTGTTATTGGGGTTCTCCCAACCCCCCCCCCCCGAGCCAACTTGGGGCGCACAGGGGGAGGAAAGCGAGGAAAGCCCTACTGAGTCAACAAAGTCCTTGTGCAGGCTTCTGCTAGCAGGACTTGTTAGCTGAATCCAGCCCCTTGTTTTAGAATGCATATTTTTTTTTAAACCTGATGATTTCTTCCTGTACATACATAATACATAAAATGTTGAGCTGCCATTGTGCAGCTCCCATTGGAGTACTGGTAGCACCTCACCACAATCCTGGATTTGCATGAAGTCAGGAAAGGGGATGCGGGGAAAAGAGAAGGCAGTTTACCAAATTAACAGACCTAATAAGAAATCACTCAAAAGAAAGATTAAGGATAGGATGTCTTTATAAATTGTATGGAAAAAGAAGGCTTCCAGAGAATCACTTGGCTTAGTGTTGACTAAACCCTACTGGCAATCAGAACGTTTCTCCAAGACTTACCATCTAAACACAGTTATCTGTAAAAAAAAAATTGATTTACTAAGTACGTTCATGGATAGCAGGAAGTCATGATTCGAATTAAGGAGTCAAGCCAAAGCTGTGTAAAGGCTTGTACTCCCTATGTAGAAGTTAATTTGAAAATATTTGTTTTTTGAAGTTAGTTATCTATTTTTTTATTCTTTTTCTGTTTCTTTTCATTTTATTTATGTATAATGGATGTATCTATGAGTGTTTGCAATAAAGAAATAAAAGAGAGAGAGAGAGAGAAGGCAGTTTGCACCACAGCAGTGGCCCTAGGACAGGAGAAGGGAGGTAACACTGAGAGGGGGAAAGTGGTGGTTTAAAACAATGACAGAAGTTTGAGTAAAGCAGGGATAGATGGAAATTGTGGTTTTAAACAACAACAGTTTTGAGTGAAGTACTATGGAATATTTGAAGGGGTTGCAAAAGGAGGGAGCAAGAGGCATGGGAATGAGGTTGAAGATGAAAGCAGGGGCATGAGAGGATCTGAAGAATAGGAGACGGTGGATGCTTCATAGCTGGGGAAAATGTAGAAAGGGTGCTTAGGACTTGGGATGAGAGGGAGGAAGAAGATTCAGGAGGTTCTCATGGTATAGGCATGAAAACAGGAGTGCAAAGCAGGGCTGCAGAACAGAAGGGAGAAGTGGCTTCAGAAATGGGTGAAAAGCAAGTTTAGTAGTTGCATGGGGAGGAATCTCTGGTGGGTTAAATGTGGTGGACTGGCAAGGGGAGCACAGCCCCTAGTTATTTATATTTAGGAAAAACAATTAGGCCAATTTATTTTTAATCTCTGATATTATCAGTATTCTTAAATGTTTGTTTGTTTTCATGTGGACCGCTTAGAGGTTTTCATGTTTAAGCAGTATATAAATCCGGTTAAATAAAAAATAAATAAATCAGTATCACAAGGGGGATACCAATATTCTCTCACTAATTGTTTCGGAGTAACTGCTGCTCACACTAATCTTCTCCATACTGTGATACCAAAGCAGACTGCCCTTGAACTCTCCTTATAAGTAAGTAAGTGCTTAGCCCTTTCTATGGTTTAGGTTAAAATCCTTTTGACAGGATTTTGACAGGATCAAGTCCCATTGATCAAAGCTAGACTTACTTCTGAGTAAATGTAGTACTGTACTTAGAATCCCAAGGAAAACAAATGCCCTTTCTGACAGATTCGTTTATTTATTTTGTTTTAATACTGAAAAGCCAGAACTGAAAACGAGAACTGTGTTTGTCTTCCAAATAGAGCAAAGGCCATTTCTCAGCAAACAATTTGACACATCAGACACACAAATTAAGGCTTCATCACAGAAATCCAGACAGTAATGTTAATTATAATTGCCAAACTTCATTAACTTTAAGAACCTCATAATGGCTCAAATGCTTTAGAGTAAGTCAACAATCCATAATTCTGCCACATAAAAGGATCACAATTCAGATATACTCTTATGCTTAAGAAACAGGTCCTGACCAAACAAATGTAATGTACAGAAAGTTTATTTCCATCCATCTCAGAATGTTCCAGGAAAGGAACATGAGCTGCTCTCAAGGCCCATCTGATTATTTTTTTAGAGTATGATAAATTAATCTCCTCGGGCAATCTTTTAAAAATATCTTAATTTTTCCAACTTCCTCTTCATTTGTTAGACATTAATATGTGGAGTTATAGTAACGGCATTTCAATTCCCTGCTTTAAATAACTTTAGAATGAGTTGTTTACTTCATGAAGACAATTACAAAAGGCAGCAGCAGCAGCTAAGAGGAATTGCAGGTCCAGTTGAAGTAAGCAGAGATATCTAAATGTAAATAGAGCCTAGGGCTTGCCACAGAAAATTAAGCAATAAACCATCTGTTGTGCTCGCAATACTTCATCTGCTGGACGTCTGTCTCAGCCAACCCCTTCATGACATCGCAAAACCAGGTGAAGCCTTGGAACAGAAAGGGAGAGAAGAGGAGCAAATTTTTTGGGTGGAATTACATGTTATACTGAGGACTTTTTTCCCAGCCGAAACTTGCCAGAACTCAGTTCTGGCACCTCTCAGGTGGGCGCCATTGCTATTATAAGAGAACAAGAGAGGCATTTGTGGTGAGTTCTGGCACCTCTTTTTCTAGAAAAATAGCACTGGTAATACTTGACATAAAGTGGACACTGAAACAGCATCCCACTTTCAAATTGGCCCGCCCCGCCCCATAATGCTTACCCTGTATCTTGATGATACTGTCACACATTCCTGAGCCGAACTACATAAATGATGGCTGCAGCCAGATGGAGAATGAGGCCAGCAATACTACCCAAACTGAGGGAGAGGGGAGATGAACTGCTGCTTTTGGTACCAACCCTGTGCTATGTATTTCTTGCACAACACAGCTTCCTCACCTATCTATTCTAAAATAGGTTGTATGTGCCATACTGGAACATACTGTTTATGGTGGGAAATAAATAGAGAACAATGTACCTAAAAAAATAAAATGTGTGAGAACTTCTGCCTAGGACTCGGAAGACCTGGGTTCAAATTCCCAACCAGCCATGAAGGTCTCTGGATGAGTTTGGGCCAGACACTCCAGCTCAGCTCAACCTCCCTTTGTATAGTGGAATCTCAAGAGAACATGGACTCTTAAAAAAATACAAGGATGGGACAAACTTCCACAGGTATTTCTAGAAGAGTGATAGCCAAACATTTGGGCAAGCACACTAAGTCCACACTATGTAGTATTACAACTCCAGTCCACACCACCTCAGTGCATATAAAATTCTCCTTGTATCCAGAGGCAGGTGTATCTTTAGCTAGTAGCAGGGCAGCACTGAAGAGAAAGGAACAATAGCAGGCCATTATCTAAGGCCACAGGACCTCTTTCTCAAGCATCCTTGTTGAAGTGCACCACCAACACCCCTGGCCCCTTATGGCACCCATGCCACAGGTTGGTCACCTGTACTCGACAATCTGCTGCCTGAAGCAGTAGACATGTATGACCCTCAAACTAACATTTGCGCCATGTTAGCAACACCTGGGTGTTGTCTGCAGTTGCTCATGTAGAAACTCACTACAAGCCGAGTTAGTGGTTAAGGAGGCCGATGAGGCCTGAGCCTGCATAGAGAAGCAACCCAATTCTCCAGGAGCTAAAAAGGACCACATGCCAAATATTTAGTCTATAATGCAATGGGCAGTAGGATACCAAGGGTCATTTATGGGGGTGGCTTTAGGTTCCTTAAAAGCAAAACATCTAAGGGGGTGTCAGGGTGGCACTAGAGGCATAAATGACTATCAGGCTGTGGGAAACTGGTGTCATCAGTGGATCAAATCCCTCAGTTATGTTGAATTAAACTAAAAAGTTTTAATTGGATTCTGAAGAAACACGCAATTAATTGTTCCTGTTCTAAATTTTATGATGCGGCTTATGCAAACCGTTAGTTTGAATAATGCCTTTTAAGAGGACACTATGAATGAGTTTGTGGAACTAAAGGGGGTGGGAAGCAGCCTGAAAAAAGTTTGGGAACCATTGCATTGCACCCTGGAATAGACAACACTGGGACAGATGGGGAAATAGTTGCAATGATAATAATAACAACAACAATAACCACAAACCCACACCCTCGTCCGCTGCCTCACGCAGGGGAGCTTCTGCTCTGACAATGAATCCCCGGGCAAACAACAGCCTGCTGCGCTTGCAACCTGCCGGGCCCCCAGGGTAAACCTACCAGCCCTTCCCTGGCTCTTCTGGGCTCAAGGAGGGACCTACCGTGCGTGCGGGTCACTCCACGCAGCCCAGGGCCAGCCGGCGGAGCCGGGTAGGTAGTGGGGGGCTGCGCGGGGAAGGGGCATGGGGAAGGCGAGGGGAGCAAAAAGAAGGCGGCGGCACCCGCCCTTCCCCTCCGCACGGAGCTTGTCCCTCCACCTCCGTTGCTAAGCCGGTCGCCAAGCCGCCGTTCCGAGGCACTCAGCACGCTGTGGACCGTGCCATTCTCGGCCGGGGGGGGGGAGCGAGGAAGGGAAGCCCGCCAGGCAGCAGGAGGCTTTTCTGTCTTCCCCACAGGTTTATGCTTCAAGCTGTGGCTTTAGGTTCCTTAAAAGCAAAACAAAACAAAACAAAAAACAAAAAACCTCGTGCTTGCTACCTCGGAAAGGGTTTTCAAGACAGAGGGGGCTATACCATTAGTTTGAGCAGGTTAGTGAAGTGAGTTTGGAAGGGAGGATGAGAAAGACATGGGTTTCTCCTCCGGCGCTTGTACTGTACTTTTGGAAGCTGCTTTTAACGAAAGGGCTGGTGTCGTGCGTTGCTTTAATTATTGGTATGGTTTCAATAGATTATTTCTTTCCATGGCTAATTGCTTTTAATGTTTTTTTTTTGGTATGTTTTTAGCAGTACACTTATTGTTATCTGTAAATTGCCTTCCAGCATGTTAGTGGCTTTATTTACCGGGCTTAGTTTGAACTGACTAGCAGCCGCTCTCTGGGGTTTGGGGCAGAAGTCTTTTCCCTGTCCGACCTGGAGGTGCTGGGGATTGAACCTGCGTCTTTCTGCGTGCAAAGCAGATGCTGTCCCAATGGGCTGTGGCCCTTCTTCCGTCAGAGGTGAAAGGCCAGGTCCATGCTCAGCCGCAGCAGTAATAGTAGTATTCATTCCTTATATTCCAGGGTTGCCTCTGCGATTCAAAACCAATTCCAGAATCTAACTCTTGGACAGTACGGAACTAGATAGATCAATGGTCTGACTTGGCATATGGTAGCTTTTGATGCTTCCAGGCATATCAGCCGCCAGCATCTGCACACCTAGGATTAGAAGGCAAAACGGGGGTTTCCAGGGTTGGTCAGATTATATCCCCCCACCCCTATTTTAGACATTAATTATTGCAAGTATTGTAGTTCCAGGGACCCTGGAAGCTTGTCAGAGCTTCTCTGATGATTGGTAAGAATTGTAGGGAGTTTTCCATGCAATACAGCTTGCCCATCAGTCCCAATTTCCCTCTGCAACCTTTTCCTGATACAGTGGTGCCTCGCAAGACGAAATTAATTCGTTCCGCAAGTTTTTTCTTCTTGCGAGTTTTTCGTCTTGCGATGCACGGTTTCCCATAGGAATGCATTGAAAATCAATTAATGCGTTCCTACAGAACCGACTTCAGACCAGGTCCGGGGACAGTCTGTCCCCGACCTCTTCTGAAGGCTGGGGGGGACAAGGGCTTTCTTCCCACCCACCCCAGCATTTTAAAAACCCGGGACAGCGGAGGGCTTCTCCGCTGTCCGAGGCGATCTTAAAATGCTGGCGGGCGGCATTTTAAAATTGCCCGGGACAGCGGAGGACTTCTCCGCTGTCCGGGGCAATTCAAAGCCCCTGGGAAGGCAGGCAGGGGGACAAAGACTTTGCCCCCGCCAGCCTTCAGAAGAGGTCCTGGACCTCTTCTGAAGGTTGGCGGGGCGAAGTCTTGTCCCCCACCTGCCTTCAAAGCTGTCCAGCCAAGGCTTCGCGGACCTCTCCGCAAGCAGCGGCAGCGCTGCCGCTGCTTGCGGAGAGTTGCCGGCATGCCGAAGCCTGCGCGCGCTGAGATCAGCGCGCCCAGGCTCCGCGGACCTCTCCGCGAGCAGCGGCAGCGCTGCCGCTGCTTGCGGAGAGTTGCCGGCATGCCGAAGCCTGCGCGCGCTGAGATCAGCGCGCCCAGGCTTCGCGGACCTCTCCGCGAGCAGCGGCAGCGCTGCCGCTGCTTGCGGAGAGTTGCCGGCATGCCGAAGCCTGCGCGCGCTGAGATCAGCGCGCCCAGGCTCGCGGACCTCTCCGCGAGCAGCGGCTAGCGCTGCCGCTGCTTGCGGAGAGTTGCCGGCATGCCGAAGCCTGCGCGCGCTGAGATCAGCGCGCCCAGGCTCGCGGACCTCTCCGCGAGCAGCGGCAGCGCTGCCGCTGCTTGCGGAGAGTTGCCGGCATGCCGAAGCCTGCGCGCGCTGAGATCAGCGCGCCCAGGCTTCGCGGACCTCTCCGCGAGCAGCGGCAGCGCTGCCGCTGCTTGCGGAGAGTTGCCGGCATGCCGAAGCCTGCGCGCGCTGAGATCAGCGCGCCCAGGCTCGCGGACCTCTCCTGCCTTCAAAAGCCGTCCGGGATAGCGGGAAGCGCTTCCCTGCTATCCCGGACTGCTTTTAAAATGCTGGCGGTGGGGGTCAAAGCCTTTAGGCCCCCCGCAGCCTTCCTGTACCTCTTCTCACGGCCGTGGGGGGTGGTATGGCTTTGCACCCCACCACTAGCATTTAAAAGAGGTCCCCGGAGATTTCCCTATGGGCTTTCGTCTTGCGAAGCAAGCCCATAGGGAAATTCGTTTTGCGAAGCGCCTCCAAAACGGAAAACCCTTTCGTCTAGCGGGTTTTCCGTCTTGCGAGGCGTTCGTCTTGCGGGGCACCACTGTATATAAGAGGTTGTTCCGTTGATGAAGGGTGGTGGAGAAGGTCCAGCTGGCCCCAGAATCCTTTGCAACATGCAGCAGATCCACAGCAGACCCTCAGGGTTTGACTGATGTAAAAAGTATTCATTGAAGGCATAAGTTTGCAAAACCACTGCAATAGAAGAAAACAAACACGCACCTTTAAAAGTTATGTGCAACAGTCCCCCACCTTGCTTCTACATGTAACTGTGAGATGATAAGCAGTGCCTTAGCTGCATGTTATATCAATGCCGGATTTACGTATAAGGTAAACAAATTATAGCATAGGGCCCCACTCTCTTGGGGGCCCCCAAAAAAAATTTACCTGGATGTACATTTCCAAAATTTAAGATAAAAAACAAATAGAATAAAACCTACATATAGCAACAGTGTTTTGTGTGGTGTAGGCTCCTATGATGTAAGTAATCAACACAAAAAACAGCGACAATTTGTTGTTGGCAAAGGACAGCTGGACATATAAAGGGCTCCATTACCTTCAGTAGCTCAGGGCCTCATCAAACCTAAATCCGGCCCTGTGTTATATGCATGACCTGGAAGTTCAAAACAAGCAAGAGGAAGGCGTCTTGCTCCCTGTAGTATCTGACGATGACCTTACAACCTGAAGGTGGAACTGCTGCCTCATATGCCACCTTATAACAGAAACACTTCTATTATGATGCATCCTTGCCTTTGCCAAGGGGATGTGGCTGGTGCTTATAGCCAGCCATAGCAATCCCAGGCAAACAAAAGTCTCATTATTTTGTTAGTAGACTACCTGTCTAATTCAAAAATGAAACACAAATTAGAAAGTTAAGAAAAAGGGCAATGAAAGGTAACGGGAAAGGAACGGTGTTGCAGCAGGACATTGTAATGGTGAAGATACAAGCAGGCAAAGCAGGTTAAAATTCTGCCAATGGAGACGGAATCTGTTGTCCTGTTCCTTCTCTCAAATACCTGATCTCTGGAATTTTCCAAAGGGCTTCATGGCTGGGGGTCGGGAGGAGAGAATGGTCTTGTATCCAGGTCTGGCTTAAGTGTGCTTCCTATTTAGGCACCTGGTTGGCCACTGTGAGAAGAGGAGGCTGGACTAGATAGGTCATTGGCCCAGTCCAGGGAGCTCTTGTTAGATTCTTTTGCTAAATGCAGGGCAAACATTGCAGAAAGGTGAAGCGTCATTGACCACATCACTAGCTGTCTCATGAACCATTCCTCTGCACCAGATGGAGCAAAGGTACTTCGCCAATATGGATGTGAAACTTTGATGCACCAGTTGTGTTGTGCAAGGCAGAAGAATTGCCACAAACTAGGCCTTTAAAATGTTGGGGGGACAACAGGGATTTTACAGGGCTATAATAATAATATAATAATAATAATTTATTATTTATACCCCGCCCATCTGGCTGGGCCTCCATAGAAACCAAAAATACAGTAAAATATCAAGTCATGGATGGCAGTGGTCTTATGAATCATTGACCTGGCATTGCACAGCAGCACCTTCAGGTCATGTGGGTATCCCTTGCTGATTCTAGTATCCATCCGGTCAGGACCAGACCCGGAGGCAGGAATAGTCCTCAGACAACGACTAAACCTGCCCCCTCTGTAATGACATGGTCTAGTCTTAGCGTAACTCCTCCTCCTACCCGTGATCACTGAGATCGGTTGTCCCAGTGCATCCCCCCCTGTGGAACATGCCCCAGCTAGCTCTTCCATTAGCGGTTTACTAATGTCGTTCTGGATTCTTAAGAATATCTGAGGGAGCAAATCATCTCAGTACCTACAGATGTTGATAATATTAGCCCAAAGTATATTTAATATGGTCTTGTAGCATTATAAGAAAAATAATGCTTCTAATTTAATTCTACATTAGCCTTTCCTTTTTTTCTTTTGCATTTGTTGTATTGCTGCACAGTGATTAACATTTTGTGGCAGATCAAATATCAGAAATGCAGGCAGGTAAAACATTCTAGAGTGCAATATCCCCTTCCTGGACATAGCTAGCCTTTTTTAAATGGGCTATTTGGGCAGCAATCCTGCTTGCAATTAAAAAAAGGATATGACATATACAGTGGTACCTCGGGCTAAGTACTTAATTCGTTCCGGAGGTCTGTTCTTAACCTGAAACTGTTCTTAACCTGAAGCACCACTTTAGCTAATGGGGCCTCCTGCTGCTGCCGCACCACTGGAGCACGATTTCTGTTCTCATCCTGAAGCAAAGTTCTTAACCCGAGTTACTATTTCTGGGTTAGCGGAGTCTGTAACCTGAAGCATATGTAACCTGAAGCGTATGTAACCCGAGGTACCACTGTACCAAATATAATCAGTGCAAGCCAGCAGTAAGACACGACAAGATCGGGGACTCAGATCTGTAGTCAAATTTCACACTTGATAATAAGCATGTGTGTTCAAGAGTTGGAGGCATGAAATGCATAATCTGTATATGTTTGATTTTGGTCGAGGGCTCTGAAATGTTTTTACCAGGTTATAACTCTGCCCTCCTCCCAAAAGTCAATAATACAAGGATGCAGTTTTGTGCACCATTACTTAGATGTGTAAGTCTTGAATAAATGTGATTAGGCATGGGCTGCACCTGTGGCAGCTGTTGCCCTACTTTTTACACTAGATCAATATAGTTGTCGCCATATGTAGCTTCCAGGGAGTACTTGCATCCCTACCCACGTGTGTGTGAACAATGAATCATATTCCATAAACCCACCCACTGAAGCTTGCTCCTACTAAAGCTCCGCAGGAGTGGAGCTTTCATTTCCATTGAAGTCTCTCTCCATCAGTTTTCCTTTGTGCTCTCCGGTCATCATTCCAGGCAGACATTGGCAGAGCCATTTTGGTCAGCTTGAATCCCATTGTGCAAAGCTCTCCCCCCACCCCATCCCACTAGTTTTTTTCCCTGTGTGCTCACCTGCTTCCTTCCAGTCTCCAGGATATTAAATTCTCTCTCCCCCCCCCCCCGGCTCCTGTGACATCTGTGCCAGAACTTTTCTTGTTGCCCTTACCGTGGGAACGTAAAAGATTGACCTTTCCTTGCTCAAGTGCAGCGATAACAATGAGTAATGAAAGGGGGCACGGGTGACGAAGATATCTGGGACATGGACTGCAGAGTTGCCTGCAGTGCAAGGTGTGTGTCAAGCACCCTGCTTCAAAGAAGCACCAAGAGCCCTCCTGGGACTCAGTAACAGAAGCAACAGCAGTGGCGAAAGATGAGGCGAGCTCAGGAACCCAAGGAAACAGACTGGGAGAACCTGCTGAGGATTGCCCATTGAAATGACTTCTGACCCTGCACCTGGGAGATGAAAGAGACAGGCAACAGCTGAACATGTGGACCATCGTAATAATAATCCTTTCCTCTTCGACACTAACTGTAAGTAACCAAAGAGCCTTGTATTATTGTTTTGCTGCAAACGCACACAAGAGCCCATCCACTGAAAAGGGAAAGGGGGAGAAATTTGTGAGAGCCTGGTTGATGCACTAAGGCTATGATCCTATATATATACATACGATTCTGCGAGAGTAAGCCCTACTGAACACCAAGGCATTTTTCTTATTGAATAAACAAAGCACTGTGGGATAAGGCTGGAAAAATTCTGAGCTTCATTCCCCAAGGAGAGGACATGAAACTCCCTAAAAACTTGTATGTCCCATACAAAACATTCTGATGCATCAGCAAAGCAGTGAGAGGATAGGAAAAGTGTGCTTTAGAAGAGAGATTAGAGTTTAGTTATTTCAGGGGAGCATATTCACACTGGCAGCTTCAATTTAGGAATGCATGAGATTTTCCTTGGGAAAAGTTTCTTTCCCTAAAGGTGTGCTCAGTGGAAAAGTAAACTTTTCAGACCACGTAGCACAGTCTTGTCCTCAAATAGTTTCTGTGTGCTATGAGGATTAGAATGTTTAAGTGCTGTGCATATGCAGAGGGTATTAGCTGAATAGATAGTCTCCCGATTTGTTCAGTCTATAAACGTAAGTTTTATGACAGCTGCTTTCTTTATCTTCATAAACCATATTGAGACAGCTGCTGGTTAAAAGCATATTTGCTTATGTTTTATATAATCATTATTGATTGTAACTGATATACTAAATTATATGAGAAATAAATAGCTTTGTTGACATACACCTGTTCAAAATTTTATTTCTTGCTTGTTTGTTTCCATAATGCAATGTTGTTCAGTTGGGGCTAGAGGAATAAATGTCATGTGGAGGCTAGCAAAACATTTAAAAAAACCCAAAAACTAAATTTAAAATATATAGAGTTTGTAATTAAACTTTTTTTAATCAATCCATTTCAAATATTTAAAAAATGTGGTATCCAATATTATTTAAGGATCGTGTAAAATTATTGCTCAAAGTACAACAGTGTATCAGACTATTAGTTTGAAAACAAGGGTATTATTTGACCTGTATAACCAGATTTTCATATTTGCACACAAATTTCTGCCAATTAAGTTGCTTAGCTTAAAACCATAGCTAGACCTGTTGTCACAATAGGAAGGAATGACTCCCACAGGTTGCCTTTGACTTGTGTGATTATAACGTCTTACATTTGTTTTAAATATGATGTAAAAAGAAGTAGCCATTTGGCACCGATTTCCTGAGATAAAAACAACCTATGCATAGCCTATTGCCCCCCCCCCATCTGCAGAATTATGGGAAATTGGCACATGACTGAGTATGGATTAGCCATGCTGCTTGGGATAATAGGTGCACTGAATGAGTGATTCCACTCAAATCTCTCTTCTGGTGTGCACACACCACGGCCACATACATCCTAGAGGTCTAACAATTCAGTGTTCAAAGTGCTTCACATATATTACCTCAGCAGTTCTTACTGCTGCAGATACAGGGAGGGGGGCTGAGATTAAGGATACATTAACCCTCCCATTAGGGGACGCGGGTGGCGCTGTGGGTAAAACCTCAGCGCCTAGGACTTGCCGATCGCATGGTCGGCGGTTCGAATCCCCGTGGCAGGGTGAGCTCCCGTTGTTCGGTCCCAGCTCCTCCCCACCTAGCAGTTCGAAAGCACCCTTAAGTGCAAGTAGATAAATAGGTACCGCTTTCTAGCGGGAAGGTAAACGGCGTTCCGTGTGCTGCTCTGGTGCCGGTTCGCCGGAGCAGCTTCGTCACGCTGGCCACGTGACCCGGAAGTGTCTGCGGACAGCGCTGGCTCCCGGCCTCTAGAGTGAGATGAGCGCACAACCCTAGAGTCTGTCAAGACTGGCCCGTACGGGCAGGGGTACCTTTACCTTTTTAACCCTCCCATTTACAGTGCTCTCGCTGCATTTCCAGTGTTGGGTTTCTAATCTGTGTTCATAGAATGCTGTGCGAAATCCATATCCATCCTGTACTTTGTTACACAACTTTGATGTGCTGTTTCACATCACACAAGTAGCTGTGAACACATTTGCATGGAGTAAAGACACGAGAAAGCCCCCTGGTGTGTACACAGACAGAAACGAATCTGACACAATTGAAGCCAAGCTGCTATGCACAGCTGGGTGGTACTGTGAAAGCATCCTAAAAGACAGTGGCTTCCCTGAGGGAATTCATTGCTGAAACAAGATTTGAAGCAGGACTTCTTGACATATGTCTTACAGGCTTATCCACTACAGAACATCAGCTGTGCCTCACTTACTCTCTATAACTTTTAAAAATAAATAAATATTTGTTTTAATTGAAAATACTTCAATAAAATATAAAGTGATACAGAAAAAAAGGGAAAGTGAGGGGGAGAAAAAGAACAACAAAAATATATCTAAAAGTGGTACACACACCCCCATTCATAGGTTGCGAGTGATATCATATCGCCAACTCATTGATTAAAGGGTATCGTATCATTACTTTTCCAGTTCTTCAATATCAATCTCTTGTCCACCATTACGGCACGCAGGATCCATTTTTGTTGTCCTGTTGTTAATTTCCATACAGTAGGTAAATACTGTAGTTCAATAGAATATTCGCCACTGAAAGATTTAACTTTTTCTGTACAGTCATAGCTACACAGTCCAGCACTTTCTCCCAAAACTTAGTACAAACGTATGTTTCAGGAACTCATTGTCCTTGCCACATTTCCAACACTGAGCTATCTTAGTTTACCCTTTTTTACACAACCATAAAGGAATCCTGGCTGCCTGCAGGAGAGCTGTGCCCTTACCTTTTTCAGTCATGTTGCTTGAGCTACTTTTTAAAGCGCCCCCTTGTTATTTAGAATGGCAGACTCAAGCTGAATAACATCCGAACCCATTACGCTGGAATAATAGAACTGTAGAATTGGAAGGGACCATAAGGGTCATCTAGTGCAACCTCCTGCAATGCAGGAATATTTTGCCCAACATGGGGCTCAAAGCCATGATCCTGAGATTAAGAATCTCATGCTCCACCGACTGAGCTATCCTAGCTGACCAAAATACGCATATGCTTACATTTTCTGACATGTTTATATCCAACAAGGCAAGGTAAAAATCCCCCTCTCTCATTGGAACTCATCTGGTTTGGAAACAAAACAGAGCGATCAGACTATTTTAAGTCATGGCTTGGTATATATATATATATATATATATATATATATATATATATATATATATTCTGGTTTATTTTCCATTTCAGAGCTTGGACACATAGTTCTCAAAGCATGTAACGGGGCTTTCTAGCGACACACAGGTGGCTGTGAGGGAATTAACATGCTCTATCTACGCTGCTGAGGCATTTTTCCACCAAAGATGGTTCCAAGCTCTAGTCTATGTCTGCAGACAGAAAGGAAGCCTTTTTTGTACTTGCTGTCATCCAGAAAGCTCCCTCTTCTAAAATGCAAGGCTAGTTGTCAAGACTGTGGCTCTCAGTTCAGTTTTCCTAGCCAAGTGTCATGGTTCACGATGAGTAATAGTTCATTGACGTAAGGCCCAGTGTCAGGGGTCAGCAACCTTTGTCAGCCACGGGCCGGTCCACCGTCCCTCAGACCATGTGGTGGGCCGGACTATATTTTGGGAGAAAAAATGAATGAATTCCTAAGCCCCACATATAACCCAGAGATGCATTAAAAGGACACATTCTGCTCATGTAAAAACACCAGGCAGGCCCCACAAATAACCCAGAGATGCATTTTAAATAAAAGGACACATTCTACTCATGTAAAAACACGCTGATTCCCGGACCGTCCGCGGGATGGATTGAGAAGGCGATTGGGCCGCATCTGGCCTCCAGGCCTTAGTTTGCCTACCCCTGCCCAATGTCATGAGCCATGGTTGTGGTTGAGCAGGCCAACCATCCCCACATTTTGCTTCCTTTTCCTAGTGAGGGCCCAAGAGTACACCTTCCTTCTAGGTGTGATTGTGCAAAGTTTGAACCCTACCCTCCCTTTCCTAGTTTTAGGCAATTGCAAATTTGTGTGTCTTTAGATTACACCCCTGCTCTTTGTCAGGCTTCTCTGGAATCTGAAGCAAAGGGGCACCTTCCCTCGTGTGTTTCCATCTTCGCCTTGAGTCAAGTACTGTCACAAATAAGTTAGGATAAATATTATGATTTCCATGCTGAGTGACTGACAGATAAGAGAGGATCTCCCCTCCTCCTGTCGTTGCTCAAATGACCAGCCAAAGAAAAGAAAGAAGCCCTTAAAAAATGCAAGAAAATAAACCCAAGGACTGTGTGTGTGTGTGTCCCCACCAGTCACCTCTATAATCTATCACATATATCCCACCCCTTCAGACTGCCCCCTGAGTATGACACCCTTCTGGCACTTGCCATAGGGACCAGTCCAGGCCATCTGAACATCTTATGGTTTAAAACTGTACAGATTACAATCAGACAGGTTGTAAATCTTTTTTTTTTAATAAATAATAAATTTAGGCTACATTCCTAACCAGGAGGTGATATGTTCAATCTATAGGCAGATTTGTGCAAACTTAAGAAATGAGCTGACTAAAATGCATACAGATAATCTATTTCAATGTATTTAGTTAACTTCCAGCCCTTCTTTATGGGCCAAGGCTCAAATGAAACCCCAGTAAGGGCCGTAGCCTTGTTTGCAGCATTTAATCTGTTTACCTGTTGCTTTCCTGTGTCTGTCACTGCTAACTGGAGACCTTTCTAACACTGATGAAATGTATGCTGTCTGCAGTTAACACTGGCCAGTTTTGGAATGGTTGCTATAGCTGAGCAGGACTGGCTTTTGTTAAGACTGAAATAGACTCTCCCCATTTTGATTTCCTGTGTGCAGAAAAGAACAAAAGAAAAGAGCGGGGTGGGGGTGGGGGAATGGAAATTCCACACATTTGTTATCCTGAATTTTAGCAGGGCTGTTCCTGTCTAGGTTGCCTTTTCCGCTGCCAGTTGTGAGGGATTTCCCCTCTTCTTCTCTCTCTTTTTTGTGTGCATAGTTATCCTGTTCCGATAATTTTTTTCCAATTTTTTTATTGATTTTCCATATATATATTAACAAACAAATAAACAAATAAAATCTTAAGTATAATAATTCCATTTTTCTTTACATTGTTGAGTGACTTCCTCGACTCCCCCAGACTGAATTTCAATGTATATATTGTAACAGTTTTCCAAAACTATTTTCACATGTAATTTACTTACTCAATTAACATCTTTCTTTCTTTTCATTTTTACTTTAAACATATTATTCTATAACATCACTTATTTAAATCCTAGGCCAATCTGGTACCTGCAAGTATTTCTATTTGAATTATCTTAGCATATTTAGCTAAATAGTCTTTAAATTTCTTCCAATCCTCCTGGTACTCCTCCTCCTCCTGGTCACGGACTCTTCTGGTCAGGTCGGCTAGCTCCGAAAATTCCATCATCTTCGTCTGCCATTCCTCCATTGTTGGTACTTCTTGTAATTTCCAATTTTTGGCCAACAAAATTCTAGCAGCAGTTGTGGCATACAGAAACAATCTAACATATTTCTTGGGCATGTTCTGATATTTTTTGAATGGCAAATGGCAAGGGTTCATTCATTTGAAAGAAATTTTTTTTGAAAGGCAATCGAAGGAGCAGCAGACCAACAAATCCTGCCGACACATTTTCAAGAACTGGCTGGGTTACCTTGGTATCGTAACCCGATGTGTTAATGCAAGTTTACAATGTACATTAGATTAAAAGCATTAGATAAATGTGCAGCTGGCATGGAATTTGCTCAAAGCAGTGCAAATCAAATATGTGCTAAGGGGAAACAAGGATATCCCGCTGTTATAGGACAAAGCCCCAGTGTGCTTTCAGCTATACCTGCTACAGGTCTTGTCAAGCTAATCTGGGGTGGCTTTTGTATAAACTCCCTCTAATTCCTGAACATATCTTTTCAGTGAAAGAAGCTGACTTAAGCCCTTTGCAATCTAACCCTGATGACATAGACTTTTTTTGTCAACATGGAACTGGTGTAGTTCAGCTGCTTTCACTGAAATCAGTGGCTTGGGAGAGCCCCAAGGACCAGAGCCAGAGACCTGGAGGGGCTGCATTTGATCCCCAGACCCGAGGTTCCCCACTCCTGCTCTAGTGAATTCAAAATGAGCTCAGAAGGGTAGGCAAAACTTCAAAGGGCATTCTCTGATTTTAACATGCTGCACTCTTAGGAATCCATCTATTTCTATAGCTGTAACCTGCCCATAAACCTTTATGTGGATGTTTTGTAGGGTGTGTGTTTGGCTACTGACCAATAAAAGAGCAAATGCTTTCTCAACTAGCAGGTCAGAGCCTTTATTTCATCATGTGAAATCATGAAAATTATGACAACAGAAGAACAACTCTGCAGCTTGGTCCTCTCCAAGGAGGAAGTGAATGCGACAACTGGAAATGAATCGCTCCAGAGTTCAGGTAAAACTGTGTGTGTGCGCGCGAGCGAGCGCGTAAGAAAAAATTAGGCTGATGTTGTAGCCATGGGTTCACTTCTGGAACTCATTTCCAAAACAGAGATTGCAGGCTAGAAAAGTCCCAGTCATTAGAGATACCAGGATACGCATCAAGGATTCTGGAATAAAGAAGCAGCTGTTTCTTTTTGTCATCGTTTTTGATAGAAAATTAGACTAATTTCAGCCTCGTTTCACTCACATCCTGCTTTTTTGCTTCTTGTATAATGTTTGAAAAAGGAAGCTCCAGTTTCAAAAACTTCAGTGTTGCATGGAATCAAATCTAGTGTGCTCAGAGAGCACAGTGGTACCTCGGGTTACATACGTTTCAGGTTACATACGCTTCAGATTACAGACTCCGCTAACCCAGAAATAGTGCTTCAGGTTAAGAACTTTGCTTCAGGATGAGAACAGAAATCGTGCTCTGGTGGCACGGCGGCAGCAGGAGGCCCCATTACCTAAGTGGTCTTCAGGTTAAGACCAGTTTCAGGTTAAGAACGGACCTCCGGAACGAATTAAGTACTTAACCTGAGGTACCACTGTATTGTATTTAGTAGCTAGACTAAAATATTTCCCCCTACTATGGTGTCCACAGAGACCTGGGTGAGTGAATGTGGGTGTGCATGTTTCAGGTGGTATAGGGAATGGTTGACTTCTGGGAAAGAGATTTCAGAACAATGACTGGCTGAAAGGTAGTATTGATCTGTTTCCTCCTGGTCTTGATTAATGATGTTTTATCAATATAGTCATTTCTTAAATAAACAACACAGTGTCCTTGCCCTTCCTGTTTATCAGTGAGGTGAAGTCTGGTGATAGGCATCCAGTGGGTCTGTGGGAACCTTTGACATTAATGGCCCTGTCTGTCATCTATCTGCTCTCCCCCAACTACGCTTTATCTCTATATGCCATTGGCATCACGGGGGTCCTCTGTTAGGAATGACAAATGCCTACTTCAGAAGATATGTATATGGTGCACAATAATATACAATTAAACAAGATCACTTCTCCTCCCTTTTCCCAGCACACTCATCACAGTTTCCTTCTCAAATGCTCCTGGAACTGCCTGATTAGTGCCCACTTGGCTTAGTTAATGGATGCCTGTAGGCTGCCAATTCCCGTGGTGTCTGGGCTCTACATGAAGCAGACCCAAGTAGTCTAAAACAAAGTATGAGCATGTGAAGATGCAGAATAAATAAAAGGAGCCCTTTGTATTTTTGCACCAGCTGGAAAACACTTGTAGCGTCGGGTGGTGGTGGTGGCGGCAGCAGAGGGAATTATACGAAGCTTTGCTATACATCAGGCATTGCTGCGTGATACATGGTAGGTTTTTCTCTTCCTTGTAGCACCTGCAGTGCCTGGATGATGCCACGTGGGCTGCTCAGATTAGTTTGCAGTGAGTAGAGCTGCCATCTAGCCCCTCCACATCATCTCAAGCACTGATGGCCAAAATTCTGGGGTTTGCTCAGAGAATCAGCCAAACTGATTTTCCAGCTAATCCATCAGAAGCAGGGAGCCTCAATAGAGGAAAAGCTGCTCTGGACAGAAGTGTGTGTGTGTGTGAAAAATGATCGCTAATGCCTGCACAAATCTGGGAGTTTTAAACTTTGAGTTTCCATCACAATTTGTGACAGCCCTAGAGAAGCCACAAGCTTTCCCAGAAGATAAGATACTAATCATCTCCACTATAGGTGTAACAAATGGAAAATGAGGTGTAGAAATGTACTTAAAGCAGGGTTGAGGAACCTCAGGCCTGGGGATCAGAATGTGGTAATTCCTCTTCTTCGTCTGGATGGCGTGAGGTATGTAACTTTTGTTGTTGTTCTTGACTCCTAGACAGATGCCTTGGAATGTGGGATAATATAACCTGCTGGCTGTCTTCTTCCATTGGGCAAACAGTTAGCGTTCCTTGCCCCAAAGCCTTCCAAATGGTAACTGGGAAAACAGGTAAAACTTAAAACATAACACTTCCATAGGCACTGTCTGATGCCAGGCTTTCCTTGTACCCTGTCAAGGATTAAAGGCTGAGTCCTCAGTGTAACACAGGCTGTAATATGGTTTGTCATGTACTGTTTTTCTAGGGAATGTAGAATCTTACCTAGAATCTAGGAGCTGCTTCCAGAAATGTCTGATGCTGCTACCTTAGCCTTGCACAGAGTTATTATTACTATTATTAATTAAATTTATATACCACCCTTCATCCAAGGATCACAAAGGAAAAAAAGAAAGAGGTAGAAACGTCACAGACCAAGAGCCCTTCTGGGGCTCGGCTTAATTGATGTTGCTGGATGTCCCATAAGCTGATTGGCATCAGGAGGCATAGCAGGTTTCTGCATTTGCTCCTTGCCTATTCCCCTGTGGGGCAATTGCTGTTCGGCAAGAAGGTGAACAGTAAATTCCCATTCCCAGGATCCCATTCGGACCAGAGTGTGAATTCTGTAAATGTTATGTTGGCCTTTTCTTTCTGTGACGTCAAGCAGAATTTGACAAGTGGCACAACCTATTTGGATTTTTAAAAATGTCATTCCTAGACGAATCCACCATCTATCATGGGCAACTGGTTGTGGTGGTTGTATACATAATCTCTGGATTCATAGGCAGTATGGCACTGAACACCAGCTGCTGGGGAGCCAGAATGGGAAAGAAGGCTATTGCCTTCATCTCCTGCTTGTAGGGTTCCCAGAGGCACCTGGTTAGCCACTGTGTGCAGCAGGATGGTGATTCAGATGGATCTGTAGCCTGAATCATCTTCTCATGTTCTTGTGCCACACATGGAGAGAATTTGGACCAAGATCAGGGCTCAGATCCCAACAATGAAACTTTTTAGGCTTCCTATCTGCAAAATGAGAAAAATAATGGGCTGCCCGCAGAGTGCTTCTGAGGAAACTGCTTGTTCATATAGATATAGATATGGATCTATAAACACACAGATAGAAGTGGTAATTTCCCCTTCTGGTCCATGGGAATAAAAACGAAGCATAATATAAACAAGGAAAGACGGCTCCTGCCTGTGTATTTGTTCTGTGGTGTTTTCATGGAGCCACAGTGAAGGGTTGCTTTGGATGGTGATTAAGATCAGTGATAAGCTAAAAACATTAAAACCCATGTAAACATTCTGCATATTTGGGTAGTCTTCTCTAGGAAAAAAATGTTTTTAGCAGGCACCGAAAAGAGTACAGTCAACTGAAGGTGCCTGCCTGATGTTAATGGATGGGGAGTTCTAAATAGTGGGAGCTGCCACCCTAAAATACTGATTTGCTACAAATGGGTGTTATGTGGCACCTTTGCAGTGCCAGTTCTGCAGATTGCAGCAGTTGAGTGGACATATAGGGTAAGGTAAACTGGCTCTTAAGGGCTTTATATTCTAATAGTAACACCTTGAGCTTGACCCAGCAGCAAATTGGCAACCAGTGCAGGTCTCTGAGCACAGGTGTTATATGCAGACAAGGACTCACTCCTGTCAGCATCACGTTGCACCATTCTGCATTAACTGCAGCTTCTGGACCAAGCTCAAGGGAAGCCCCACATAGAGTGCATTGCAGTAGCCCAGTCTTGAAGCAACCAATGCACGAACTACTGTGGCTACGTTTTCCTGGTGCAGGAACAGTTGTAGCGGTTGTACCAGTTGCAGCTGCAGAAAGGTGCTTCTAGTCACCAAGGTAACCTGAGCCTCCATCGACAATGCTGGATCCAGAAGACCCTTTCTGGGACTGACAAGTGCGTATCAGGGCAGGGGGCGGGTGGAGTCTGACTCAGGAGAGGGGGGCAGTGGTTTGTGGGGACCTGTATCAGCCAGGAGGCAATAATCAGAGGCCGGTGGAGGCTGGTGGAGCACCAGATGGGTTGGAGGAAGAGGCAGGTCAGGCAAGGGAAGGGTCCACCTGCTTCCCCACCCTCTCCTGTCTCCCAGAACCAGGAGGGAAATGAAAAGGGATGAGCAGAGGAAGTTTCCATGTGAGCACAGTCTCCAGCTGCGTGTATGCAGTCCGGCAGAGGAAGGTACATAAACTGGCAGAGGTGGAGTGGTCCTCTGTTGCTGCAACTCTCCCCAGAGCATGGAGCTGTAGAAGCGACAGGAGTCACTTAGCCACAGAGCCCCTGTCTTGCCAGGATTCAAGCTCTTCTGGTTCTTCCTCATCCACTTCAGCACTGCATCTAAGGACTGCACAGCCTCTCCCAATTCAGGTGTTATGATTCAGCACCTTAACAGCCTGGTTGAGAGGGTCTGGAAAAGGGGCACCGAGCAGCTTGTCGCCTGATCGCTGGGAACACTGCAGAGCTGCTTTAGACTACAACTCCCATCAGCCCTGCTGGCTGGAGCTGAGACGGATGGAAGTTGTTAGTTCCAGAGCAGCTGGAGGGCACCAGGTCAGGGAAGACGGACAGCCTCTCCCACCAGCTGCTTGCAGATGGAAAACTCAGCCGCTAGAGGGAGCTGGTAAAATTGAAACAACTCAGCTCTTGGCTTTTTTTTCTTGCTGTTTTGATTTGTTATGCTTGCTCTGGGCTTGATTGCTTTAATGATGAAGGGTGATAAGAAAACCTTTAAATACATATTGATCAATCACAGCGTTGCCCCAAGACATTTTGGTACCGGACGTGAACCACAAAATGTCACCCCAGCCTACCTGTCAGGGAAGAAGCGGGAAGAGTATGAGAAGCTCTGTATCAGGAACCAGGAAGGAATAAAAATCTATATGTGATGTGTTCCTTGGAGGCCAGATATGCTGCCCCAGTGGATCCTGCTGCCCAAGGTGATCGACTCACCTTGGCCTTGATCAATCAGTTACATTTTAAACAACCTGAAGCCTAAGTATACTTAGAAAGGAGCCAGTCTCATTGAACATAGTGAGACTTACTTCCAATTAATATACTTAGGATTTAACTGTATACCATTTACTATACTATAGGTGACTGATGCTAGTGCTTTATGGTTCACAGCATGCCATAACAACCACAGCGTAAGTGCAACCAGTTGTGTGATATATCTCCGCACTTGCAATCCTGAAATGATGTTTTCATTCTTGGGAACCAGTTATTTTTATGGTGCCAACAATGAACTTTGTTCCTTGTAGAACAAAAAAGTAAAACAGAGACAGAAGCAGGAATGTCTGTGTTCAGACAGAGTCACTTAATTGCTCTTAAACATAACAGGATTAATGCATCTCTTTGGAACATAATGAATACAGCTATTTTTGTCCGTGGTTTAAGAACAGTAAACAATTTTCTGCTCCACTAATGGCTAATCTTGAAAATGCTTTGCTGAAACAAGCCAGCTTCATAAACTACAGTTTGAAATTGGCTTGTGAAGATGAACCACAATTTGCCCGGGTTCTGACATTACAGCAAGCTGCAGGTAATCTAAAAGGGAAGCAAAAACTTCCAGACTCCACCATGTGGCCTTGAATGTGTATTTACTGTATAATAGTAGCTTTCACCAGTGCTAATTGCAACTACTAACTGTATGACTTATTTTCTTTCTGTCATTGCAAACCAAGGGTTTATATATCGTAACTGCACCAAGGATGGCTGGTCGGAAAAATATCCAAGGCCCTATATTGCTTGTGGTTTAAATGTGGAAGAGATTAATGCTCCTATAGTTGCGTGGCAGCGTAGGGTAAGTACAAATAATCAGTACAGTATCCTATGGGCACTTTTAAACGGTTGCTGTTTTTGGGTGGAATTCAATACTGAAAATTCAGGTTGGGCAATTATAGTTGATCGGAAGGTCTTTCACAATAAGCCTGCTTCCCCAAAACATGACCTTTTGTGATAAGGAAAGTGAAGGAGAAATTCACTGGGCAATGTGGGATGACATTCGCCTTAAAGCAATGTCATCTAACCTTCCTGCAAACAAACCAGGATGAATGCTCAACAGGCAGGTCATCGGGAAGCATCAGAAGTGGGGTGGAAGTGGTTTGAGCACACGTTCCCTGTATTCCTGGGTATTTCTGCTTGTTTAGATTGACCCTCAAAGCCACAGGTGGAAAACCCATTAGGATATCCTCTCACCTGACTCTTTTGGATCTGCATCATTTCCTGATAACTCTGGATGAGGTTCCTGCTGATATTCAAAAACTGGAGCCAAAGGAGAGGAGGAGAATCCAGTTCCATGGCTCTGTCTTCTGTTGTGCTTTTAAAACTGCTGCTTGTTTGATTTTAGCTGCTGTTGACTTTGCTTCGTAGTTTCTTTTGTTTTTAGGCTGTACTTTTATTGTACTTGTTTTTAGATTGGCATAGAAAGGTGGGATATAGAAATATCATAAATACATATGTTTTCATTCTGCAGCAGGAAAAGTGCGCTCAAGCCACCTATACCACACTTTTAGATATCTGCCTTCATCCTATGCGTTTATCATCCGCCAGTGGCTTACTTGGGTTTGAAGCACAGCACTAAAGAGCAGAGTAGGAAAAGGTGTTGCAAATAGCCCCACCTGGTGACAAAACATAGTATTATTCAGTCATAATACAGTACAAACAGAGCCTTTCTCCCTTCAAAAATTCGTTATAGGACAGCAGTCTGTTTTAAGTGACTGACGCTCAATTGGGATTAGTTATACACAAGTGCAGTTGACATGGAAGCAAAGCCTACTGCCAGGCCATTGATTTCTGGCACATCAATTCTGCACCTGTAGACAATGGTAAAACAATTTAAATATGTTGTAAACCACTTACAACCCTCTGTGGGGTTTTTTTGTGTGTGTCTCTAAATTTTAAATCCAGCCTAATTCTACCTGGGGCAGTGTTTTCTAATCACTCTGATTGCAGGCAAAGCCTAGTTCATGGTCGTGCTTTTAGAACAAATGATGGGACAGCATGTTCTGAAAAAAGACATGTTGTCACTCTTTTTGAGACAAGTGGGTTTCCTACACATTCACATCTCTGCCTGGACTGAGTGTACCTGGATGTTTCTTGACAGGTGTCTTACCTGAGGAAGTTGGAGATTGTGTACACCATCGGAACCAGCGCTTCTCTGGTGGCGCTGACAATTGCCTTGGGCATTCTGGGTTCTTTCAGGTGAAGAAGAATTATTCATTCCTTTTTAAATATTTGTTTCTACTTCCTGGTTAATCTGTGAAAAAACCCAACCCCAAATGAATAGTGAAATAAAGTGTTATTTCAAAAGCCGTTCCATTGATCTTTCGTCAGATATTCATTCTGAAAGGGCTTCCTGTTTTGCACAGTAACAGTGGGGAAGTGTACATTCTGTTCAAACGTCAACAGGCAGAAGTGTATATTCAAGTGGGTAGAAGAAAAAACTTAAGTTTTAAAACTTAAGCTGTGGATTTGGGAAGATGATCTGTATGTTAGGTGGATCTCCTGCTCATTGGATAAGTTTTTCAGGTGGATCTGATGAAGCCTGGCAAAGAAGCAATGACTGCATCCCCCCTTTTTATTGCTCCTTTATTAGTTCTTTTGTCTTTCTATTAAAGCAGAGGTGGAACCCACAGTTATCAAGATGCTGTAGGACTCTAGCTCCCATCAGCCCCAGCCAGCATGGCCAAGAGTCAGGGAGGTCTAGTCCGGAAACATCCAGAGGGTCACAAGTTCCTCACCCTAGTGTTGTGGGAAAGATGATCTTCAGTCCAACAGTTCTCAGTTTTACCATCAATACGTCAGTTTTGCTTCATGATGCTATCAGATCAGGCAATGGTATTGGATGTTTGCAGAGTATTGATGGGGTTCCTGTTGATTTGAATGACCATTGCTGAGTGATAGCACACTTTGCCTTATATCCATGAGGCCCTATATTCAATCCTCAGTGACTTCAAGTAGCAAGACTGAGATCTCCAGGACTGAGATCTTGGAGAAGCAGTTTCCTATCAGAGCAGATGCATGGGCATAGCCAAGGGGGGCAGGGGGGTAGCTCCTCCCCGCTAGATCAAGTAAAACCATAGAAATGCTTAACTAACTGACCAATCATGTCAGTTCTGCCTCCCTCCCAAAATCTTGGCTACACCCATGAGCAGATGGGTTTGATAGATCAATAGTTTGGTTCTGCTTTAAATGGTATAAGATCTGTTCATATGTCTGATAAGAAACCCAAGCAGTTCCTTGTTTAGAAACCATCTTGATGCTCTTCTCTTTGGGCCACAGAAGGCTTCGCTGTACGAGAAATTGCATCCACATGCAGCTCTTTGCATCGTTCATTTTGCGAGCTTTGGCAAACTTCATCAGAGATCCTGTCCTGTCTGAAGACACTGACGATGCAGTCTACTGTGAGTTACACATGGTAAGGAAAAAGCCTATAAATATGGCCTACCATCCAGCTCATCACAGGTTGAAGAAAGGTGCCTGAGAATTAAATTCCCTTTCCATCCCTGTGAGCCATTTTGTCAGAGAAAATGGCAGACTTGAGGTGCAAGCTTATGTGAACTTCCCTGGTGCAGACCCATTGAAAACTGAGGATTTACGTATGAGTAAAAAATGCTAAGGAGTGTGCTGTTCATCTGCTTGTTTGTGTATGTATGGTCTGAACATAAATAATATATTGTTTATATATTTAGTTGTTCTTTGGTTTTATGAATACCACAACCACAAGGGAATAAAATAATCACAAGGCCAAAGAAACCAAAGAACAAAACGTGTTTAAACACAATTTGGATAACGTGTCATATGGCATCATGACACTTTAGGAGGAAATTAATTGAAGTGCATTAATCAGCTCTTATAAAGATTTCCCAAGAGAGTGAATGTGAACCTCTGTGATTGGCAGTAGGTTTGAAAATGGGAAAACTGTTCAGGACTTGAACAATAATAATTTGTTGCAGACTAGTTGATTTTAAAAGATAACGTTTTGAATCTTCTACATCTTTTTTTTTAAAAAAAGAATACAGCATACATTTAAACATGGATGCTAATGGCAGAAATAAAATAATCCAAACCAATACATAAAATACATGGGCAATAGCGACTTATATCCCGTGATATCATACTCAGAACAGACCCATTGAAATAAATGGATTTAAGCAACTTCAGTCCATTGATTCCCACAGGTCTATTCTGTGTGTAATTTGGTTGTGTATCACTCAAAATCTACAGTGAGAATGACAAAAACGAGTGTAGTAATTGTAACAACCACAATCCGACTTTTACACCAGTGATAAAGCAAGCATGACACAGCAAGGTGAAGCTCGGGAGCAGGACTGTGAAATGCCTAGGGAAGGGAGACAAAGCACTTCTTCCTCTTTCCTCAGGGCCGATGTAAGATTATCATGATCTTCATTAACTTCTGTATCATGGCTAACTACAGCTGGCTTCTTGTGGAAGGGCTTTATCTTCATACCTTGCTGGTGATGTCTTTCTTCTCCGAAAGAAAGTTCTTCTGGTGGTTTGTGGTTCTGGGATGGGGTAAGTACCAGTTGACACCAGTGGGGGAGCCGCAACAGAATGCTGCACAGTATTATCCCCCATTGACTCCATTTCAGTCCTTGCTCTGCTTCCCTTGCCTTCCTGCACTCTTCTTTGCTTCCCCTCATTTCGTGTGTCTCTCACTTCCTGTCTTACTCCATCTCTGGCACCACAACTTTAAAGCACACGGCTTCACGCATATAATCCTGGGAGCTGTAGCTACAATTCCTAGCACTCTTAACATGCTCCTGTTCCCAGAATCCTTTGGGGGAAGTCATGTCCTTTAAACGTGTGGAGTGTACACAGCCTCTGGCTCCCTCTTCTTCGTTCCCTGCTCTTGCTTCCTGCTTTATTCCTCTTTCTTTCGTCCTCTTTGCTACATTGCTTCTTTTGATGCTTCCCCTCCCTCTATTTCTCTTCTTGCCTCCCCACTCGCCGCTTTCCTTCTGTCTCTTGCTATCCTTTGCACAGCTTTGAGGTGTGATGGAGCAGGGTTTGCGGGGGCAGAATGTATTGCTTACACAGCTGAGGTAACAAACACATTTCAAAGAAGCCAATAATATGCATTCATAGTCCTCAGCAGCCAGTTTTCCACATGCTCTTTTTTGTTGTTGCTCCCTTTTGAGTTGGGGACAACTGAACTGAAACATGATGTGCTTGTGTATAGCTTCATATTCCCTGGGTATACAGTGGTACCTCGGGTTACATACGCTTCAGGTTACATACACTTCAGGTTACAGACTCCGCTAACCCAGAAATATTACCTCGGGTTAAGAACTTTGCTTCAGGATGAGAACAGAAATTGTGCAGTGGCAGTGCAGCGGCAGCAGGAGGCCCCATTAGCTAAAGTAGTGCTTCAGGTTAAGAACAGTTTCAGGTTAAGAACAGACCTCCAGAACGAATTAAGTTCTTAACTCGAGGTACCACTGTATCAGGGGAACTTCTCTTTGGTTTGTGGTTGTTCCCATTTTGCTTCAAATTGATTGGCACAGAACCACGGGAGTTTGCTATTATGAGTCAAAATATTCATTTAGCTGGTGATGGGATAGCTGCATATTCCTGCTTAGCAGGCCAGATAATCCTCAGGGTCCCTTCCAACTCTACAATGCTATGATTTCCTGTGCGTTGTATGATTAAGGGCTTTCCCACACTTCCGCTTAGTCTTTAGCTCTAAATTGGAACAAAGGGCAATCCGCAAAACACCTGAACTGCTATTTGCTCCAAGTGAGCACTAAAGAGCGGTTTTTGCTGTGGGCAAAAGGAGTGGGAGAAGAGGAAGTATGGAAAAGCCTTAAGGGTTGACGGGGGGGGGGGGTTCCTCTTTTTTTCTTTACTGCAGGCACTCCAACTTTCTTTGCAATTGCATGGGTCACGGCCAGACTATTACATGAAAATGTTGGGTAAGTTGTGTTTCCATTACATCTTTCCATGCTCTGTATTTATTAGCGTTGCCTCAGCTGTGTGCCCACAGAACCTTTGACAGCTGGTTTCAAATGGCTGCAATCCTATTTTCTTGCAATATTCTGAAACACTAAGACAAGAAGAGAATAACAGTAGCAGTTCAGTTGCAATTAATACTGATCAAACCACACCTAAAAATAGTGTGTATCCCATTATACAAGTGCCTGGCCAGTATAAAAAAATCTGCAGCTTCCTTGTGAAAACAGAATCCGTTCTTTTCTCTTTGCCATCTCCCACTGCCCAGACATATATTGTCTCAAGCAATCCCCATCATTCTATGCTGGGAAGTCAGGCCAGTTAATCTGGTTTCAAACCATGTTTATGTCTTTTGTTCTGTTCCAAGAACCACTTGTAGCCTTCATTTGTCATCTAGAACTCATACTTTTATTATTATCAATAAAATAAAATGGGCAGAGTTTTCATCTGAACATCACATCACAACAGCAGCAGCAGCAGGGCATTTATGAAAGACTCTCATTGTCAGGAACTCTCTGTATTAAAATGGCAAGAAGGGAAGCAGTTGTATCTGCAGTTATTGTGTTAATAAATTCCAGAAGGGCAGCTGTTCTTCGCCTGTTGCATCAAAAACAACACAGATTATTGTGGAACCTTAAACACTTATTTTTTAAAAAACGTATTGTTGCATATGCGTTAATTTGATTATGATCATTTCCCATCCAGCAGGGGGAGTTGGGTTGTTTGTGAAGTGCTGTTGTTTTCTCGTTGCAAAGACCGCGCTAAACGAAAACACAATATTATCTTGAAAAACAAGGAAGTGTTTTCGGAACCTCAAGTCAAAGGATAAGAAGCTGACTCAGCTGCATTGCTGTGAGGCCTCTGGACTTTGACGTTTGACTGGGGTTGGAATACGGTATCAGAAGTAAAAATCTTTCAGGCCAGCAGCCATATATACCTGTGTTATAGTCAAGGCTTTTTTCCCCAGCCAGAACTTGCCAGAACTCAGTTCCAGCACCTCTCAGGCGGGCACCATTGCCATTCTAAGGGAATAAGGGAGGTGATCACAGCCCCTCTTTTTCAAGAAAAGTAGTCCTGGTTATAGTGAGAGCCAGGTGAAGCTGTAGAGGCTGCTCTATGAGACTCTATTAACCTCAGTCTGTCCTCAGCCAGCCCTCACCTCAGCCCTGGTCTTCTTACTTAGCCTGGGGCCCTCCAGAACCACAAGCCTGTTTTGGCCCAGCAGCATCCTCCTGCTGCACATCTGATGTCCTATGTGAGGTTAGCTGTGTGGCAGGTAAAGGAGCAGCTGGGCAGAGAGGCTGCCTGCAGTCACCACAGGGCTATGCAAGCCCAGACAATCAGCTGATCCTCAGGGCTTGCATGCATTGTGTTGTGCCTTTGCCCGCACAGTTTGATTTCAAAATGCACAGGCAAAAATGGATCATCTGACACCATTGGGACTTCCCTTACCAGGTTGAGGGTGATCAAGGTCTAGATGGATCCAGCTCCTCCCCACCCCTAGACCAGGGTACACTTCCCGATCCTGGGGGGGCTTTGGACTACAACTCCCATCATGCTGTGACCATTGGCCAGACTGGACGGGGCTGATGGGAGTGGCGAAGAAGGGCATCAAGTTGAAAAAGGATGGCGACTAGCACATTGCCAATTTGTTGAGCTCCTCTGAATCATGACTCACAGTAAAATGCAAATGTATTATTCTGCTTTTCCTGCTTGTTTTCTGCACACTTGAGTATTCTAATAGTTTCATCCATCCGGTATAATTTGAAAGGCCAGGATGGATGCCAGCTCCTATCTGCTGGGCATGTTGCCTTGCGATATTTTTCCTTTGAAGACAAATATTGCTAACATGATGCTCCCTGGCATTTGTTGACCTGAAAAGCATAATGAATGAATTTTGCTATCTTACAGATGCTGGGATACTCATCTTACATATGCCCGGTGGCTCATTCAAGGCCCTGTGGTAGTTTCTATTGTTGTAAGTCTGAATTACAATGCCTCTTCTATTTTTGTACCAAATGTTATTCGTCTGTGACCGTAATAAACAAATTCATGCTATTGCTGTAAGTCCATTTCACAGCCGATTTCTGAGATGAAGATCGAACTGAAGAGAGCAAATTTGATGCCTGTCTTTCAAATATGTGAATGTCAATGCCAGCTTTTCATTCTCTTTGCAGATCAATTTTGTTTTGTTTGTTAATATTGTGAGGATTCTAATGAGCAAACTTAGATGGCCAGATGGAAGGAACAAGGATTCCAGTCAATACAAGTAAGACAGCTTAAAACAAAAAACAAAAAAACCCTCAGCCTCACACATAAGTACAACAGCAAGAGATACCTGTGCACAGATGTTTTACCTGTTTGCCTGCAAATATATGCAAAGATATGTATCACCCAGATAAACTTGTCTGATTAGCTGCCTCAAGGACACCCGCCCCAATAAAATGCCTCCAGGTCTGCTTGTGCTTCTTTTGGAAAGATCTTATCCCCATCTATAGTAGCAGCAACAGAGCACAAATCTGGATGCAAAGCCCTGAGCGTAGTGTGATGAAAGCTGATGGAGAAAATCCCCATTCCCTCTCTTGTAATACAGTCATACCTTGGTTGTTGAATGCCTTGGTACTCGTCTGTTTTGGCTCCCGAATGCCGCAAACCCAGAAGTGAGTGTTCTAGTTTGCGGACGTTCTTTGGAAACTGAACGTCCGATGAGGCTTCTGCGGTTTCCGATTGGCTGCAGGATCTTCCTGCAGCCAATCGGAAGCTGCACCTTGGTTTCTGAATGTTTTGGAAGTCAAACAGACTTCTGGAACAGATTCCGTTTGACTTCTGAGATACCACTGTACTTCGGTTAAGGGCCATCCCGTGAAACTGAAGAGGCAGGCGATTCAGGAGAGAGAAAATGAAGCACTTCTTCACACAGCACAGAGTTTAAACTATGGTATTCACTTCAAGGGGGCTTAGATAGATTCATGGAGGATGTCCATAGTGCCTGCTGCCCATGTGTAAAAAAACAGAAGCTGCAGGGACTTCTGGGACCTAGACTCTGTGACCTGTTGTCTGGCACTAGTGATACTGCTGATCTTTAAAGGCAGACCTGCACTGCCCCTGAAACTTCCCTTTGCGTTTTCTGCTGTTGCTACTGGAGGGGATAGTTCTGCCTACAAACTGAGATCAATATGAAGCTCACCCTCTTTAGGCCGTTTCTTTATTTATGTTTCGTTCTGTTATCTCTGTCTTTACTCCTAGGAGACTCGCTAAATCCACACTCATCCTCATCCCTCTCTTTGGAGTCCATTACATCATATTTGCTTTCTTCCCTTTCGATACCACAAACGGCACCATGGAGATTCAAGCTCTGTTTGAAAAAGCCATCGGATCTTTCCAGGTAATCTGTTCCTTGGAAGGTCTTCATCATCTTCAGATGAAAGAAGCCCCACCCGTCTTTTGCAATCAAAACAGGCTGTGTTGGCAAACCTCCTTAATGTTTTCCAGGCCCCCGGGTGTCTAGAGCAAACAGGATGCAAAGAGGTAACTGGAATTCTTAGGTAACTAGGACAGGGGTGGTTATTGGCTAATGCTTTTTTGGCAAATCTTTTGTAGGTTGCATGCCAGTGGTGGATATGGCTGCACCACTCTCTCTCATGCATACTTTTACATACATGGAGAGAGTGTGAACAAACACAAGCAGACACAGACATTGGCACACAGCCCCCTCCTCCCAGATCTGGGCAGATCAACTGAGGAGGACAGGTTATTACCTTCTTTCCACTGGTCAAGTGGTTGATTAGATGACTGGGGAGGGAACATTTTTTTATCCCTATCAGGGTGTTGGTCTCTGCCCATCCCAGTACTGTCGATTCTCCCCCACCTTTCACCAACATAATTGTTGGGTCTTGGGCACTTCATAAATTGGGAGAAGGCAAGTGAGTCCCTAACCCAAACGGGTTTAGCCATGCCTGCTTTAGGAATAAAGTCCTCCCACAAGGACAAAGGTAGTTAACAGTCTTTCTCTTTTTTTAAATGGCACAAGGAATGAAATACACATTCAGGTTGGGCATGATGTAGCCCTCCTCTGCATTGGGTTTCTGATTAGACCAACACCCCAGAGATCCAGTATTTCTCACGGCACCTTGCAGGACCCTCTTTGTAACAAGGACCTGTTCCATCTTGCCCCATGCCTCACTTTCTTCTCAGAATGCCCTTGTTGCAAGAAAGACCTGCACGAGTTTGAAAACACTGCAACTGCTAAAATATCCAGTTGGTCCAGCAAAGTGTATCATTTCTCCTAGTGTAACAATCCAATCCTAACCCATGGATCTTTGCCACTGGAGGGGCTTAACATATGGCACAGGTGACAGGGACCATCACTTCTGCTGCTACTTGCTGTGGTAGCAGAAAGCATAGCACTTGAGACGCTAAGCATGGCAGCGTTCGCACAGGTGGTTAACCAGCATGGGCCCCCGAAATGGGGTGTTATGGGGCAGGGATAGAGCAGAGCTGACCATGGATCACAGGTTCCAAAGCTGCTCCAGCTTTCTAATCCTGGAGCTCGTGGGAGTGGTATGGTGGAAATCCCACTGCCACCTTCTGCCCTGACCAGGGGCACCAGCTTCAGGGGGCCAAGCCCTTTGGGGGGGGGCTATGTGCCTGTGATTCCCCCCCCCCACTGCACCTCTCGTGGCAGGACTTGGGATGCAGTAGTAGACAGACCACTCTTCTCCGGCCCTAGTTTAGATTGCTCTGTAAGTCACTCTGTCTTTTCTTCACATCTGGCAGCACACTGCATGCCTGGAAGGTCTACATGAGCTTTTTCTTGCTTCTATATTTATTCTGGAGTGCCGACCTGCCATTTCCAGTTGTATATCTCATAAATGACATGGGTCTCTTTTGTTCTCAGGGCTTTGCTGTGGCTGTGCTTTACTGTTTTCTTAACGGAGAGGTGAGTTTCCCATAGATTGTAATTCACTAACAATCGAAATACGTGTTCTTCTTATTTGCATGTTGACCCCATAATGTTTTGTTTAGGTCCAGCAGGAGATCCACAGAAAATGGCGGCAGTGGCACTTAAGAAAACACATTCATTCGCAGAAGCATCACAGCTGCACATTTCCGAATGATGTCAGTGGATTCACCCAGGTGCTGCAGCTGATGAAGCCCAGCCCCCAGGAGGAAAGGGGACCTTCTGCCCCAAATCTGAGTCAAATGTGATGGATCTTGTGCAGGAAAGAACTAATTGCTCACTCGGAGGGAACTGGAAAGCTCAAGAATTGAGATTATGGATCTGAAAGCTAAATTTGCCCCTTAATTAGCTGTGCGCGGAGTCTGGCTTTGTCTGTGCCCAGAATCTTTATTATCCCCTGGAGGATTTTTTAAATTTTTTTTTTACAAAGAAGATGTATGAAGATTTGTTTCCTGGTGGAAGATTCCCTTCTGACTACACCATTCTAAGATGCCATTTTCTAGTGGGATGTGAGTGCCAGATTAAAGGGCTTTTCTGATTTGTTTTGTACTGCTGAATATTGTGCGGCATTGAATAGTTTGGACAAGACATGACTCATGAGTTGCATTTCCCTGGGGAAACATTGTGTTGTCTGGAGACACTTTGTAGAATACAAGCATTAAAACACACACACACACACACACACACACACACACACACACACACAGCAAAAAATTACACCCTTAACTGGCTGCAGGATTCAACGATGGATTGTGATCAGCACTGAAACTAGATCTCACAGGTTTGCAGCTTTGGACCTTGGACATTCAGCTGCCATGATGGCTGTGGGAATATTTTTAAAATTACTTTACTTTCTCAGAAGATGATGTCTCTCTCAGCCCATGTATCTGTTGTTCATGCTTTTGTAATCTAGAGGCTTGACTGCTGTAACACATTCTGTGAAGGGCTGCCTTGATGTTTTAAGAATAAGGAAGCTGGGTGCCATATCTATTCTCCATTGTCTACCTTGATTTCCTGTTGTCTTCTGGGGCTAATCCAAGATGCCTAGAAAGCCCTAAACATCTTGCGTTTTGCATATATTACACACTACCTTTTCCTCCCATCGTACAATGATCTCTTCAATAAGCTGAGAATGCCCAGCTAATGATATTGGTACCAAACCAGAAAAGACATCAAACACATGCAGAGTGTTATTTGTGGTGGCTGATGTATTACTATTGAACTCTTTCCAGGTAGACTTGCCAAAGCCAGAGCTAAGTTAGATGTGTTTGCAAGACTGTTCTTGAGCAGATGAGTGGGGTTAATGTGCATTTTTTACCTCCTTATTACTTTCAATGGGTTGCATGTCTGTATTTTTTTATATAAACATATAGGTAGATAAACATGGCTTAGTCATAGAGTTGGAAGAGACCTCAAAGGGTCATCTAGTTTGACTGCATGCCAGTAGAGCTTGAGCTGACAGAACTTCAACTGTATCATGTCCAGCACAAGTGGAACAACGCCACTCTGCCAGGCGGACTAGTGGAGACAATCCCACCATTAAAAACTACTTCCAAATGTCAGGCATGTGTGCTTGGGTCGTTGCATTTGCTTTGCTTTCACGGCTGCCTCTGCAAAATGCTTTCTCTCCCCTTCCCTTGGGGAAATCTGTGCTGCTGCTCATCTGGATCATGCCCCTATGTCACATGATGCAACTGCAGGAGCCACAGCTAGCCTGATTGGGGAGGGATGGGTGTCAGGGACTCCCCCCCCCCCCGTTTCTTGGGAGCAATGTGTGCGCATTGAGAAGCAGCAAATTCTTCCTCCTTGGGTGGCAATAGCTAACAAGAAGATTCCAGCACTCCTCCTTACTCATAATTTGTGGCTGTGTATTCCTGGCCTTCTCTTCTATTGCACAGAGTTGCAGCCTGGCCCACAGAAGTGCAAGAGCCTTCAAACTGGTAGAGCGAGCGAGCAAAAAAAGAAAGAATGCATCTGAGGCCTTTTGATTTGCATGTGCAAATAAGGATGTGCACATTTGAGTTCCCCTCTTATGGGAACCACATGCAGGTGTTGCTAACATGTGAGATTCCAACATGAACCTACCAGGTAGAAGAAATTCATTAGCAAATGTGACTGACACTGTGAAACTGGGTTTCAACAGATCCTGGGTATTCATTGCTCGCTAGAGAAAGTAATCATTCCCCGCCCCCCACATTATTGATTTTCTTATGCCTATATATCACTAGCAGCTGCCAGTCACACCCATGCTAAATGGATCTTGATTGGATTCGGCATTCATGCACGTCCTGCATAGTACAGCTTGTATTGTTTGGCCTTTTGACCTCCTGCTGTAAAAACTGAATACTTTCCCCTCATTTATTTCTTTGCAGTCAGGGTGCATGTGTATGATCCAAGCACACTTTTCGGTGCCCACTTCATGCATCTGCCAAAGCGGGCTCTGTACTGACTGTGGCAGTTTGTATGACCAGTTGTCTGAACCAAAATCCAGAATTAAAGCAAAGGACTTATTATCTCCAAATAAGAAATATACCGGTATGTAGAAGCCTCAAACTAAGGATAAGGGGAGTTGTCACACTTTTCCAACATGCTAGGGTTAAAATAAATCCTGAAAGTAAAATGCCACAGGGGAAGTTACCAAAAAAATCTGAATTAGCATTTCTCTTAACTGAACGTCGTCATCCATCTTTTCAGAGCTACTGTTTCTTGTCTCACATGAGACCTTGAACAAATTGAAGCATAATATACGTCAGCTGGGACCAAGCCTCTACGATGCTCTCTTTTTTATTTTTGCATTACATTGTGTTAATGATGCAGAAATATGCACTCCTTAGTTGTGGTCCAATAGCTTACAGGTCTCCCAGAAGGCTGCAGTGTGGAGCAAGTAGCCCATTCCTGCTGAAGAGATAATAACAACATCTACTCTGTGTGATCGTTTGAACCATCTAGTTTGTCTGGTGTGATCATTCTGGACTATCCCTTATTGAACAAATAGTTGTGATGAATCCAAAGCTAAATATTAGGTGAAAACAACATTATACATAGGCAGATAGGCTTAAACTGAATTGCCCTCTTCTGCTTCCTCTGGTTGTCATCTTAGCTTCTTTCTAACTCATAATAAACCTTGTGAAATTGGCTGTTGAAGTCCTGTGTGCATTTCTGCCAGGCTGAAAGGGACTTGCTTTTCTTTTCAACATGCCTAGATCATTTTGGCATCGCACTACACATGCATATGAGTTGGGGATCTGAGAGAAAAGCAATCTGCGTTGGGTTCAGGGAAGAACCAAGTAAGCTGGATGCTATCCCTGTTTACTGGGAAATTCAGTAATTAACAAAACAAAACATCCCACCTGTACTGCCCACAACCCGTTTGTGGCATATCAATGACCCATTTACAGTAGCGCCCTTCCAAGTCTGAACTGTTGCAAGCTACTGATGCTGCCGCCTTGAGCCAAAGTACTAATTAAGAGCCTAAGAATTGCCTGTGGAGTGCCAGACTTTTCTAGTCTGTGGCAGTGGCCAACCGGATGCCCTCGTGAAGCTCCCAAGCAAAGAAAGATGAAGATAGCAATTCCTTGCTATTATTCAGCCCTGGGTGTGAATGTGCACCCTTTTCCACCATGTGACTATGCACAGTACCAGTTGCATGTGTATCTTTGATTCAAGTTGAATATTTTCAAATATAATTTGGTCTCTTCTGCTAAGCCTTCCATGCACTGTATCACTCTGCTCTAGAGAAATGTGTGGCTGTGAGACTGTGCCATAGTCTGTGTTCCAATAGTCTTCCATTTTCATTTTTGATTTTGGAGGAAAGCTAGGAAACACTCGGTCTGATTCAGTATTATTTACACTGACTGGCAGCCGTCTCCAGTGTCTCAGAGATGGATCTTTGCTAGTTCTACCTGGAGATGCTGGGGGTTGAATTCGGGTCTGTCTGTGTGCAAAGCATGCTCTTGTTTAATGGCTACCTGCCCCCAAATTGCGACAGAGGACTAGAACTAGCAATTCACAAAGTAGTTTATTGAACATTTGACATTCAGATCTGAGATTTCTTCCTATATTCTCTTACCATTTTTTTTTAAGAAAACAGTTTAGAAAAGCTGCAGGTTTCATAATAAAAAACAACAACACTTATTTGAGACAAAGACCACATACAAACACGCCCCTTTGCTTTCACACTCTCCAGTCTTTACTGACAAAATGGCCTTTATTAGGAATGGAATCATACGCCCATAAGACGAACCAGCTATAGAATGGCGCGGAGGGCTCCTTCAGATTGTCAGCTCAAAATGGGTCTCTAATGCGTTTTAACCTCCATGGGATAGTCTTGAAAGCTTCAGTTCAGTGGAAATGGTGTGATACCCAGGCCTGCCTAATGCATGTGGGATGCCTTATCATAGTGTGCCAATTTTAGAAAAGTCTGAATGATGTGTACTTCAGGGAGTGTTGGAGTGTTGAGCTTTTTTAAAAAATGGAGCTGAAACTCTTAAGAAGCAGCCAGTGATAGGGGGAGGGAATGCAAAAGTCCCCCAAGCATGTGTCCTTATTTAAGGGAAGCTATCACTTCTGTGGCTCTTACACAGCAGATTAGTCACAATTGCACAGTTGTTGTGCTGCAAGATGATTATCTGGGGAGGCCCGTGGGGAACCAAGCCTTGCCACAATTCCTTCATTCACTAGACTGTTCTTCCAAAAAGACAGCATGTTTCCTAAACAAACATTTGGGATTGCCCTTGAATGAAATCCATGGCACAATAGTGCCTCTTTCCAGTTGCCAGATGTCCATTATTTTAAAAGGACTGTGCTTAAATGGAGAACAGCACAGTCTCTCTGAGGGCCTGTCCCATGTTTCTGATAAGGGTTTGCGTTCATCAGCCCTTTCTACCATTTGACAACTCACCTAGAATGCCTGGACCATTTGTGGACAATTGGTCAACATGTCTGCAACATAATCATGAACAAATGTGTGCCAACCGCTCACCATTTTGACAACTATTTGGGGGTCGGGTGTGTTGAACAGCTTCACATAAAAGCCACCTTGACCAACCCCTTTTAAGCCATTGTGGATCGTGAGGATACTTCTCTCTCCGCTAGTCACGAAATGGTTGCACTGGGTAAATGGTGGTTCTTTAGGGTATTACAGCTGTTGTTTCACAAGAAACAATTGTCAATCCATACAGAACTACATAGGTAGTTACATGTGCCCCTGGATGTATTTTCAAAACAATCCTGCCAGCAGATATACACTAGATCACTCCTGAAACCCAAACAAAAAAATTTCCAAGCATTTTTATCAAAGCCTAATTTTTTTAAAAAAACAAGAAGAGAATTTGAACAACACTCCCAGCTTGGATGACTGCCTTCAGAGAAAGAGAGAGCAGGAACTTTGCTTTCTGTGATTTTGAGAAGGGGGAAGTGAAATTGGCAATGCTAGCACAGCATTCCCTGATCTACATCCTGTTCTCTGAGGACTGCATAGAGTGATGGCGTTTTGAAAGATCATCTCTAGCCCATAGGGAAGAGTTTGCCTTGTTTTTTCCTCATTAACTCTGAGTAGCAAAGACCTCTTTAACAATATATTGGGCAGATAGCTCTGCCTCTCTGCAGCAAAGTGCCTCTGTTGCTGCTAAGCTGCCCAATTCACCTCTTCGGCTCCAACCCAATGAGGGTTGTGGATCTTCTATAATTGAAATCATTCTAACCCATCTGGCCACATAATGAGATTGTGGAATCATGTGAAGAAAAAGGGAGAGGGAGAATAATACTTATTCGTAAAGATGCTTACTCTAAGATAGAAATGACTGGGGTCCATGCTTGCTATTCATGAATGAAAGAAATAGCAATCAGACATAATATTAAATTATACAGCATAAATTCCAGACTGCAACCCATATATTAAGCATTTTGATTCTCTGTGTTGCTCTCCAGCAACAGGGGTGCCTGAATGTTACAAAATTAAAGGTGGACATCTTAAGGAAGTTTCTTTTAAAATCACTTATACTGAACCAAATGAATACTGCAGGTGTTATTTTATCATTTGGCCGGTGTTGTTAAGAGTATACCTACTGTCATTAGGCTCCTTGTTGTGGTTCAAATCAGGCAAGGAGCTTTGTCATGATGACCAAAGTCTGGTTGTCTGTGTCCATCTCCATCAATGCGCCTTCCTGTGGTTCCCCTTCAAGCCATCCTGCTTCCAGGTAGGAGATGCGGCTGGGCAGTGCTTGGAACCTGTGGCCCTCCATGTATTGTTGGACTACAACTCCCATCATTCCTGACCACAGGCCATGCTGGCAGCAGCAGCTGATGGGAACTGGAGTCCAACCACATCTGGAAAGCCATTGAAATCCATTCCAGGGCAGCCCAGCCACCTCTTGCACTCTGGCCTGAGATCTCTTCCTTTCCCACTTGGAAAATGGTTAAGAGAGACACCAGAATGTGGTGAGATGTAAGACAAGCCCTGTATCTCGTGAAACCAAATTGTCACCATGAAAAGCTTCATGGGAGGTACAGTTCAGATGAGAGCAATAATCTCCACAGTGCACGGCTGGTTTGTTGAAATGTTGGCATTGTATATAAATCAGATATACTCTCATGGCAGAAACAACAAGGACCAAAGCCCATATAATGTTTTTTGAATAGGTTATGCTAAAATGCAAATTATTTGAATTTGGAGGTGAGACCCTAGTTAGCATTCTCAACATTTTGCATAGTACAAATGATCCTAATCTTGATCCCAGCTGATGTGCAAAAATGAAACCATGAAGTTTTCTGAAAAGGACAAAGCACATTTATAATCTTGTCTCACTTGGATACTGAGTATGACCTCCAGTGAGATTTCTTAGTCCTGACAATCTGACCTATTGGTTTTAATGAGATTAAGTCACAATTTACTGTGACCTGATTGGGGCTTTTGATTAATAAATCTAAGAACTCCAGATAGATTACAGTAAGGATGCGCCTTAATTAGCATTAAAACCAGCAAACCAAGTTTGTTTTGCTTTTACTGGGCCACCTTTAAATGAATGAGCTTTAAACAAAGGAAACCAGTCTTTTGCACTTCCATTTCTGTGGAGAGTTACATCATTCAAAATCTAAGCAGGTCATAATAGCCAACTTCCAGTATCCAGCATCCATTATCAAGTGATCTTGGAGACATCCATTTCATATGTTTTCTCTTAATGTAAACTAAGAAAACTTGGTCTCCTTTTGAAAGGCTTCAGTTTACTTTTCTGTGTATCTGGTGAAGCTAATATGCACCATTCTTTTAATTTTTCCTCATTCTATTCCACGGAAATGTGATGTTGTTAAGATGAAGTCCACTGATTCCATTCAGGAAGAAAAGGAAGGCAGAAATGAATTCACACCAATAGGTTAGTGTGAAACCCGTGAGAGTGATGTGGTCCCTCAGAAGGAATAAGAAGCTCAAAACTCCAGTGAATGAGAGCAGGAACGAGAGAAGAACGAGGATCGATCCCATCGACCACTTCTTCCTGGAGTTGACGTCTTCACAGACTTGGGAGACCATGAGAAGTTCCAGGCCAAAGATTGCGACGACAACAGCAAAAGACACCAGACTTCTTGCAAAAGTCATTCCCGCGTTGATCCCTCGAATGTTGGCCAACGTGAGATCAGTGGCACATTTCAGGGCACTATTGTTCCCGACTGTGCAGAAGTGCCACAGTCCAAAGAGCTTTCCCTTGGCAAAAAGCCAGTGCCCATCGCACACAGCAATGGAGGACAGGACAATGGCTATCGCAACGCAGAGGATAATCAGGCTCCTGATGAACATCTCAAAAAACGATCTTGTCCGTCTTCTACGAGTGAGTAACCACTGGGCCTTAAAGAGAAGGTCCAGAAAGAAAGAAGTTAAATACCCCTCCTATTAAAGCAACACAGATTGCTTTTAAATCGCAGTCAGCAATTATATTGCTATTGATGTTGTGACCAGTTAGAAAGAATGCTCAATAACAGCAAGAGTCGTTGAAGTCGGTTAAATACACCGTGCAGACAAGCTTGGTTGGGTACACACTATACATTTAAAGCACACTGCTACCCTCAAAGAATCTTGGGAATTGTAGTTTGTTAATGGTGCAGGGAACTTTAGATCTGCGAGGGGTTCCCAGGATTCTTTGGGGGAAGCAATGTGCCTTACATCTATGGTGTGTACGCAGCCTTAATATACAAATGATTTGAGAGTGCTGTGAGAAAGGGAAGACAGTGATTAAACATTTAAAATGCCACAGAAGCAGTGGAAGTCTTACCAAACCACTCTTTTGAATATAACATCTCGTGTGTGTGTGTGTGTGTGTGTGAGAGAGAGAGAGAGAGACAGAGAGACAGAGAGAGAGAGAGAGAGAGACAGAGAGAGAGAGGGAGAGGGAGGGAGATGCTACATTTATGCTGTTAAGAAGAGAGTCTGGAAAGAAAGTAAATTATCTGCCATATTTCATTCATAAGAAAAAGAAGAGTGAAGCAGGCTACACTTAGTCACATCTTTCTTTGGTCTTGTAGGCAATGCCCTGGCTGACTACTATTCAGAGAAGCAACAAGGCACCATATACTAGCAAACAGTTTTTATTTCCCACTAGCTGGACCATAAAGAAGGCTGATTGCTGAATAATTGATGCTTTTGAATTATGGTGCTGGAGGAGACTCTTGAGAGTCCCATGGACTGCAAGAAGATCAAACGCATCCATTCTTAAGGAAATTAGCCCTGAGTGCTCACTGGAAGGACAGATCCTGAAGCTGAGGCTCCAATACTTTGGCCACCTCATGAGAAGAGAAGACTCCCTGGAAAACACCCTGATGTTGGGAAAGATGGAGGGCACAAGGAGAAGGGGACGACAGAGGACAAGATGGTTGGACAGTGTTCTCGAAGCTACAAACATGAGTCTGACCAAACTGCGGGAGGCAGTGGAAGACAGGAGTGCCTGGCGTGCTCTGGTCCATGGGGTCACGAAGAGTCGGACACGACTAAACGCTACACAACAACAACAAAGCAGCACAGACCTGTTCTTGGCTGAACCAGGAAATCCTCCCACCATCGGAGCATTTTTTTAAAATTGTGTGTGTAGGAACAAGTCTATTGCGCATGTGGCTTGCCCCACTTTACGAACTTGCCTCCCTCGCTGCCACTGCAGGCTTGCCTGCCCAGGCCGCCCGCCCAAGGCTGCATTGAAACTTCCCCAGCTTAACATTTCGATCTGTCTTGCCATGGCTTGTTCTGTGCAGAAGTGTTGGCTGTCATTGACGCCGCCTCCAGAGTTTTAAAAGTGAGAGATTAAAATGTTCTACTTCTCCCTATACACACTTTTCTAGTAATGAGCATTGCAGCTCCACCAAGTTCTGATTTCCTGTGTGTTGGAGGAAAGGACCCTGGCTATTTTGATGTCTCCATCAAGATAACCTTTATTGCCTGAGGAGCTGTCTCATGGGTTTTCCAGGGCCATCATTTTATAATGTTGTGACATGATTTCACAGAATTGTAGAGTTGGAAGGACCCTGAGGATCATCTATTCCAACCCCCTGCAATGCAGGAATATACAGCTGTCCCATACAGAGATTGAACCTGCAACCTTGGCATAATCAGCACCATGCTCTAACCAACTGAGCTATCCAGGCTGCTTTGGATATGGGCACAACATAAGGAGCAAAGGAATATCATTGCATTGTACAGCTGGAAGGGACCTCAAGGGTAATCTAGTCCAACCTCCTGCAATGCAGGAATCTTTTGCCTAATGTGGGTGCTCGAACCCACAACCCTGCGATTTAGGGTCTCATACTCTACCGAGTGAGCTATCCCAGGCAGAGAGGTATCAAAGAGAAAACCAGGACTTCCTCTCTGATCAGCGCGATGAATGGTGATGTTTTCAAAGGATAAGGAGTGTGAAGCAGGAGAGGAATAACTTGGGGGGAAAGATGGGAAATTCAGTCAAGCAGAGCTTGCGTTGATGATGAGACATCCAGCAGAGGAATAATAAATGCTGGATAGGAGTTGCTTAAAGGTTAAGTGTTTTTAAATGCTTGATTTTATTATTTAATAATTTTAAGGGTGTGTGTGTACACATGCATAGATTTATATGATTTTGCTGGAAACTGCTGAAATGGGAATTTGAGGAAAAGGCTGTAGCTCAGTGGTTGGAGCATCCACTCTCCATACAGAAGGTCATGGGTTCTAATCCCAGCATCTCCAGGGCAAGGAGAAACCTCTGTCTGAAATCCTGGAGAGCAGCTGCCAGTGCAGAGAGGATTCAGTTAGAAGGACCAATGGTCAGACTCAGTAAAAAGCAACTCTCTATGATGCCATCCTGCTCCCATTTCTCAGGAGCTTAGTTCACAAGCTAAAAACATTCGCTGTGAGCATATCTTCCTTGTAACATCCTATATCTCTTCTTTTCTTAATTGCAGCCCCTGTGGTTCATTATATATCTATCTATCTCTATATATTAAAATATGGCTCTTGCACAAAATATCCTCACAAGATCCACTGAGCAAGAGTCAGTTTTGCTGAAACATCAGTAATAATGTCCCGGGGAGGAACAGAGCCACTGATCTTTGTAAACAACTCATTGCATTCCAGGAGAGAAGGGAGGAAATGGAGCAAGTTCAGAATGTTATTTGAGTCCTTAAGTTGACAAAAGCTTACACAGTGAAACCCCAACGGACCATAGCTCTGCCTCTGGAGCAGAATCGTTTTGTACACGTGATGTTAAAAGGGGTTTCATGGCGGAAGAAAGGCAGGGCAGAAATGTCAGAAAGCAAACAAGTTTTTAAAAAGTCCCCACCCCTGAAGTATGCAGCTAGAAAGCACAGACTTTGCATATTCAATGGGACAACAACCCTGTGAGGTAGGTTTGGCTGTGAGGCAGCAACTGGCCCAAGGACACCCAGTGAGCTTTATGTCGAACAGGGAGGATTCGAACCCTAACCCCCACGCTCTAACTACTGTCTCTCATCAGATTTCCCTCATTGGATGGTGAATGTAAATCTAGAAAAGCAGTCCAGACATTCAAAGTCAGATGTAAATGCCAGACCCTCCAAGTGTCTCTATTTTCCAGAGACAGTCCCAGATTTACAAAAACTGTCCTGGTTTCTGATTTGATCCTGGAATGTCCCTGGAATGTTCTCATGGGAGAAATGTTGGAGGGTATGGAGTTATGTGATCCCTTCCCAGCCAAGGAGATAAGGTACCATTTTTAGATGTTTGAAGGCTGCCCTGTATAGGGAAGTTTTTTAAAAAAAGTTTAGTGTTATATGTATATGCATATATGTTATATGTATATACATATATACATATATGTATATGTATATATGTTATATGTATGTATGTATGTATGTATGAAATCTCCCAGAGTGGCTGGGGCAAATCAGTCAGATGGACGGTGTATAAATAGTGAAATCATTATTATGATGGAATAGGGTGTCCCTATTTTCATCGGAGAAATGTTGGAGGATCTGAAACACACACACACACCTACAGGAAGAGGGAGCGATGGAAAGAGAGATTTTGAGATTGCAGGAGGACAGAAGATCTTCTATCCGGGAAGCTCTCCTAAAGGAAACGACAGGGAGAGACAGAGAGTTGGCCACAGCCAAGGGGGATCGACACAATAGCACATAAGAGAACTTTTTCCGCCTTGCTTCAAGACAAAGCGATGATAATAAGCGGGGAATTTGCATCGAGCAACAGGTGGCCAAAGAAAGTCGGCTAGTTTGAAGCGCGGGCTGCGATGAGCGGCTCTGCCTGTAGGGCGAGGGGGAAACGCGGGCAGAGGCGCTGCAACGCCAGAACAAAGGGCGGCGGCGGCGGCACACAGCGATGCCAACAAAACACACAGCTCCAGCTCAAACAAAAAGAGATAGATATATATTTGTCCCACCCGCCAGAGAGGAAGAATGGCTCCTCCTGGGCTCCCGATTTTACCTGCACTGCGATGGCTGTCATGCTGCCTTGCGCCCCTTCCCGCGGAGCGAGGCGGCGAAGTCCGGAGAGCAACTTTGAGGTCGGCGGCTGCGCGGCGGAGGAGAGCGCGAGAAATGTCTCCCGGGCGCCCGCTTCACGCGCCCGCTCCCGGCCAGGGGCCCATGGCGGCGGAGTGGGGCGCGTCAAAGGCCGCTCTCGCCCGCGCGTCCTGCCGAGAGCGGCGGGAGGCAGGCAGGCAGGCAGGCGAACTGCCCTTTGAGTTTTCCCTGTGGCTGAGTCAGCAGCCGAGCCGAGGAGGGAAGGAGGAGGAGGAGGCCGCCGAAAGCGGCTGGAGCCGGCGAGCGGCTGGAGGAGGAGCAGGGGGAGGAGGGCCGAGAGAGGCGGAGGGCGCTCCGGGCAAGCCCGGCGCCAGGGAAGGGCCGTCGGGGCACAACCGCCGCCCTCGCCTGGGCCGCGGCAGAAGTGCAGGGTCCCCTCCTGGGTCGCCGCGGGTGGCAGGGATCCACGCAGATCTCCACGGATCGCCTTTTCCGGGGGGATCCGCTGTTTTCTGCGCGCTTACATGCGCAGGTGACCTGGAGTGCTCCAAGCCGCCTCTTTCAGGGCGACCTAAGTTGTGCTTCCTTCCTCTGTGAAATAGGCATTTTATTGGTTTGTTTCACAGCAGGGCAATAACCGCAAACAAAACAAGACTTGGAGTACAGTTTGTCAATTTGTCAGTAACAACAACTTATTTGTACCCCATTTTTGCTCCTGACGGGATTCAAAGGGGGGGGGATCACTAAAAACGTAGAAAAAAACAATAAAAAACAAGCGTTTTTGTAACACGTGTTTTAAAAATACCAGCAATTGTGATAAAAAGCAGCAGGGCACCAGCCCTTTCATTAAAAGCAGTCACTTGGCAAAAAGCCTGTTGGAACAAGGTCTTCACCTGCCAATGGAAGGACAACAAAGAGAGCCAGGCTAGCTTCCTCAGGGAGGGAGTTCTGGAGTTGCTACCACCAAGATGGCCCTTTCCCACATTCTCTCAGGTGGAGATTGGCAGAAGGGCCTCCCCCAAAGGTCTCAAAACCCAAGCAGGTTTGTATGAGGGAAGCAAAACCAGACACCTTCATCTGCCTCAGCTGCAACAAAACATGTCTCTTCCATACAGGTATTAGTCTCTACAGCCTGCACTGCAACCCTGCAACAGTTTGACTTCACCCCCAAAGGCACACTTCTCCACTTTCTCCTGAGACAGAGAAAGGCCGACAACAGCAACAGGTTGCATTTCATTATCATCCAAGGTCACCTTTTGAAAGTCCACCAGTCAATTGGGGATAACGTGTCACAAAAAAGCTTCTGAAATAATCCTAAGGACATAAGAAGAGCCCTGATGGATCAGGCCAGAGGCCCATCTAGTCCAGCATCCTGTTCTCACAGTGGTTAACCAGATGCCCATGGGAAGCCTGCAAGTAGGACATGAGCCCAGTAACATTCCCTTGTCCTGTGGTTTCCAGCAACTGGTATTCAGAAGTGTTATTGCCACTGAGAGAAGCATATCGCCTCCATTTTGTTTGTTTTAGAGGTGTCACTAGACACGCCCCCCCCAACAGATGAACACAGCACGCGCGCACGCATGCACTCTCTCTGGGAGTTCTTACTCACTGTAGGGATCTCCCAGCAAAGATTGCACAACATTTAACATAAGAAAAACACAAGAAGATAAATGCCAGTTGAGCAGCTCTGAGCAGCCTGTGAAAACTGGATCCAATGCCAGCTTCTTGCCTGGGGTAGACTGCACATGCTTGCAGTTAAACTGGCATTGGCATGCTAGGATGATTGAAGGCTGATGCTCTAACATATTTGTACCCTCAAGTCCTTCTTATGTTCACTGCCTGCAGCTATCAAGGCATTGCTGAGCAAAATAAGGGAGGCAGGGTGGACAGAGGATCCTTCTTACTCTCTTGCTGCTCACCCTTGCAGTGAATTGATTGTTGGAGCAGGGTGGTGGGCTTATTGATTTGTCTGTGCTGTCATTTCCATGTAAAGTGTATATCCTCAGTTTCTTTCTTGTTCTGAAATCTATAGCTCTCAACATTTAAAAAGCTATCTTCTTGTGTTTGATAATTGCCCACGCAGTATTTGCACCAGCACTGTGAAATGTTATTTCTTGCAAGCTGTCATCCACATGCTTTCCCTGATCATTCCATATTTCTGCATTCGAAGGCCAATATTGTTTCGTACTTGGTGACTGTTTCATTGACTAAATCAGGTTATGTGGAAGAAAAAACAAAATGGAAAGAAATCTACTTTATTGGGATTTCATGTACTTGTAGTGCTGGTCAGCTATTTTCTTGTTTCATGCTCCCTTTGGACTATGTCACAAATTAGGAGTCAAGTCTCTTTTCTGAGAGCAGCAGCTAGTTTTCAGGATCAACTGAAACAGCAGTTAGAGTGAAATACAGCAGATATAGTCCTCTGCAGCACACCTTAGGGGATTGTATACAGCCTTGTATAAAGTCAGGGAATGGGCTAAAGGTCTCCAATTTTACATGCCTGAGATCTGATAGTGTTATAGTTACTCCACATAAAAGTAAGGAAGCTCCTAGCCAGAATAATAAAACAGCGAACTTTTGCACTCTCTCATTATATTTGATAAAGTCGTTACTGCTTTGAAAAGATTGCAGCATGTGAATCACAAGGAAAAACATCCAACTTTATCAGAGTCTGCTGTCAAAGTCCAAGCTTTGTCTTGAAAACATAGCAATCTAGCGTTTTAAGAGTGTGATTAGGGCAGTTCGCAACCCCACCAAGGAAATACTCCAAACCAAGTGGAAGGCTCACAGTTCAGGGTGAGACCATGTTTCAATCTTTGGCATCTCTAGTTAAAAGGATCTCAGGTAGGTGTACTGGGAAAGGCTTTGTGGAGAGGCACTGTGCGCCCAAGTAGAAAATACAAACCTAGATAGTCCAGTGGTCTGACTCTGCATAATGAGAGATGTAAGACAACACTTTAAAACAGCTGCCTCATCTTGATTAAGCATACCTTAGCACATTCAAAGTGTTGAGCATGATTTATGGTCACCTCATTCATTTTTACAACAGTCTTGTAAGGTAGGCCCGTATTATAAAGTTCTATTTTAATGCTGGGGCAGAGAGAAAAGAAAGTGGTGCTTGAAAAGAGTGCCATCAAAATACATTTGGGGCTGAGATGACATTTGCAGTCTTTTAGGTGGGAGATACGGGACCAGATGATGTTGGACTACAACTCCCATAATCCCAAATCATTGTTCCCCGTCCTTTCCTTCAGATGCTGTAGAAAATACAGTGATACCTCGGTTGCCAAACGTAATCCATTCCGGAAGACCCTTTCACTTCCCAAACGTTCGAAAACTGAGGCTCAAAGGGCGGCCTGCAAATTCAATAGAGGAAATTGAAAAAAAACAACAACCCAGAGGAAGCCGTTCGACTTCCAAGGTGCATTTGAAAATGGAAGCATTTACTTCCAGGTTTTCGGTGTTTGAAAACCGAAATGTTTGACTTCCGAGACGTTTGAAAACCAAGGTACCACTGTACAAATATTTGAATGTGCCCTTTCATAGCACACACAAATGAGATAAATATAAGGTTACGGGCTCATGTTATATCAGTGTAGAACAGAGGCATGATAGAAAAACTTGCTCAACTACAAGGGCTGAGACTGAAAGAAGGGCTCATCATGTTGACTCACTTCAACACCGCAAGATAGTTTGGCCTTTTTTGATGCAGAGCTTGTAATGGAAAAACAGGATGTCCAGTGGAAGGGGTTCTGTGCAAAACAAAGCTAGTCAGCCAATGTATTGCGAAACAATATGATAATCTGAAACTCAAAAGATACAGGGGGTTGAAAGAGAAAGAGAAGAGAGATTTGGAGTGTTTAACAGTTTTAGATACATTCCAGGGCAAATTTGCTTCAAAGGCATCAGTACAGCTGTGAGCCAGCTCTAGAACTGTGTGCTCTCAACTCTTATAGAGAACTCTTGCAATGTGCAGCTCTGAAAGTCATTCATTGCACAGCAGTCAGTTTTTCCCCAACAGTGGAGACACTTGCAGATACAAGGTGTACAGGTGAATCCATTCACTTTTAAAGAGCTTTGGGACCTTTGGGTGAAGTTCGTATGTGTCCGTTTATGAATATGTGCTTCTGCCTTTAACCTTACGCCCAATAATGAAGTTCACAAAACAGAGGAATAAAGGTTGGTTTCTTACATGAAATAAAATGAAGAGAGCATATGGATGCTGCTTAAGGCAGCCTGTTTACATACAGAAATTAAATAAATAAATAAATAAATAAATAAATAAATAAATAAAATAATCAATCAGTGCTTTTTTCCTAAAAAAATGTTTAGGGGTACTCTCATTTTCCTACTCATATTGAAATACTGCCCCTCAGTGAGACCAAACTTAGATTCACAAAATGTTTAGGAGTATGCATACCCCTGCAGCCCCCCAGTAAAAAGCACTAATAATAAATAAAATAATAATAATAGGCAGCAAATTATGTAGTACATAGCTTGATCATAAAGGTGAAATGATCCTCCCCCCAAGGATCCTTATCTATCTAAAAGCCTAGAGTGGATATGATTTGCTGTAGTATCCACCCTAAAAAAAAGGGGGGGGGGGACACATGTATTTGTTTTGAATCAATCAGAACCAAAGATCTGTGCCTTGTGTGTTAAGCTCCATCTGTTGATATTCTATAGCAGCACAACTACAGTGTCTCTCACCTGTTTCTTGATCTGTTAGTTTATTCTTGAGATTGTGGTGTGAAAAGTGGGTCCCTGATGTTGTGAACTTCCCAGAATCCCAACCAACTTAAATATGGGGTTTAAGTATAATTTTGGACCAACATAACTGGGGAGAGGCAGGATCTTCCTGACTGTTATACTTCATTTATTCATTGTACTATTGTTTATTCCTACAAGTTACTGTCTGTTTACCAAGTCTGAAGTTGGAAGGACATGACCCTAGTGAGACATGACTGTTGATTGTATGTTTCCTGAATCATTACTTTACCTTTGGAGAAAGATGGCACTGCCTATGCTGAACCCAATTATTTCTTACAGGAAATGGCAATTAATGTTTTCTGGTAACACAGGATTGTGTGTGCTGACCATTACATTAAGTATTAGGTCAGGATATTTACTTACATTTTCTAGGTCACATTTAAGTTAAGGAATAGTAACAGGGTCAGAATGGGGGCCTCTTTTCATATGAAGTAGTGCCAACTGCAGTGATACTGTGATCAACAGAAATAAACTGTAGAAAAAGTTCAGATTGGCATCCTTTGTTACAATGCATCCATAAAAACAAGAGTCTGCCCAGTTATCAGATTTTCTTCTAGGCCTGGGGTCTGCAACCTTTAAGACAAAAAGAGCCACTTGGACCCGTTTCCGAAGAAAAAAAAAACTGGGAGCTGCAAACATGCGCGCCGCTGCCCTCCGATCTGACAGCGGGCGGGAAGGTGACGTCGGGACGGTGCGTGACTAACGCACGCACCGCCCCCATGTGACGTCACAGCCAGTACAGCGCCCGCCACAGTGGGGAGTGTCGGGGCGCACAATGCGCCTCCTCCCCTTGCTAGTATCTGCCCCGGAGCCCCGGCAAAGGTGTAAAAGAGCCACATGCGGCTCCGGAGCCGCGGGTTGCAGACCCCTGTTCTAGGCTGAGCAGGCAAAGTGGCAGCTTAATCAACCTTCAAGAGTTGTAGCAGGAGCTCTTCAAATCCACAAATAAGGCCATTTTCAAAACATATCTAGCAATGGTATAAATAGTGCAAGGGTTTGTTTTTTAATGTCTGGCAAGAGGCTGTTGTTGTGTCATGGTACAGACCCCTATACACACTCAAGAGATAAGTTTTTATTTGTTTAGAAACAAATCCTTGAGTCACATCTAGCTTGTGACTCCCCTCTCAAGGCAACACTCAGCCTCAGAAAAGTAGGTGATAAGGAAAAAGATCCTCTCCCCTTTCCTCCTTTTTTGCTGAAAATAGCCCACCTACCCACAACTACTATTTTCCATCCCATCTCCCAAAGGAAAAAGATATGGGAACTATAGATTTTCTTCCACAGGAGAAATCTTAAACACCTGAGATGGAGAACAGCATTTTTTAGGAAGGAAAAAAAGACCCAACCCCTGTACAGCCGTACCTTGGTTCTTGAACGCCTCATGACTCGAATGTTTTGGCTCCTGAACGCCGCAAACCCAGAAGTGAGTGAAGTTTTGTGAACTTGTTTTGGAAGTCTAATGTCCGACGCAGCTTCTGCTGCTTCCAATTGAGTGCAGGAAGCTCCTGCAGCCAATTGGAAGCTGCGCCTTGGTTTTTGAACGTTTTCAGAAGTCGAACAGACTTCTGGAAGCATTCCGTTTGAGAACCAAGGTATGACTGTACTTGTCTTCTGAAGCACATAACACACACATCCATGAGGAAAACAACACATAGCCAGACTTCATTTGTGTATGTAGCTTAGCCTTCTCACAGGATATGTTTTTTATAGCTTTTAACTGGAAAGGCTTGGTCCAAGTGGCACACTTCTGCTCATTTTACCTGCAGAGCTCTAAGGAGCAGGGCCTGGGAACTTCTTTTGGTCCCAGCAGCTACTCAAGGAGAGTCAGCATTCAGTGTTAACAGGCATCATGGAATTCCAAGTCTACTCTGATATGATCCAGCTTAGACCTTCTTACCTGCTCCTGTACGAAGCCTGCCAGCCTTAGTTCTTCGCTCTTGATTCCACTAAGCTTCAGGTTCTTTTGGCTACCTCCAAACAGATAAATCTGAGCTGAACCAGCAAGGTTTTTGAGCAGCACACACTAGCTTTAGGAGTGAAAAGATTCTACTTAATCCTTCCAATTGAATATTGTAACAGATAATGCTTGAATACCCTGTAAAAAACAGTAGTTGCAGTTAAGAACTTTAGTTGCCAAGAGTAGGCAAGGGCGTCCAAATCGCCTACATTAAGAGTTATTTGGCTCCATCTGGTGACCAGGATAGGCTTTGCAGCTCATCTTTGAGTTATGACCCAATTTGCTTCTCAAAATTGCAGCGGGGAACACCTCATCGTCCTAGAAGCATCACCTAGATTGTTGCCCATAGTAGGATTTAGGAATCTTCCCTATTGTGCCGGATTTACGTATAAGCTAAAGAAGCTATAGCTTAGGGCCCCCAAAAAATTTAAAGGAAAAAAAACAACTGGATGTACATTTCCAAAATATAAGATAAAAAACAAATAAAATGAAACCTACATACAGCAACAGTGTTTTGTGTTGTGTAGGCGCCTATCTGTTATGTGCAAATGGCTTTAGATACGTATTGGGTCCATAAATTACCATATAGCATATATTCAACACAAAAAACAGCGACAATTTGTTGTTGACAAAGGGCAGCTGGACATATAAAGGGCCCTATTACCTTCAGTAGCTTAGGGCCTCATCAAACCTAAATCCGGCCCTGTCCCAATACAATACAGGCTGCCATGTCTCAGGGCCATGGCTCTGCTCTGCCAAAAACCACCTTCACACCATTTCACTGCTTGTCTTGGGGTCCCTTGTGCTGGCACTTCTTTGAATGAAACCTGTGGAAGATACTAAGCCTTTAAGGTGACACACAGTCTAAGACCGCCTGTGAATAGGCAGTTTTCAAAGAATATGCCTGCATCCAAGGGATTAAGCTGGCTTCCTCCATCCTGTTCTGAAGGGTCATCTTTGCTATTTGAAGCTAGATCATAGGGCAACATCCAAAGCTAGATCATAGGGCAACATCAAGTGCTGCTCAGAGCAGACTCCCTGAAGCCAATGCAATCTAACAAAATCAGCCCATTTATTTCAGTGGGTCTACCTCCAGGTATGGAGCAGCTTGATATCACTTCTAGTATTTTCCAAACAACTTGAGGGGAATATGCCTAATGCATCTCATAAGCAGAAGGACTGCACAAGGGCTCTCACAATATGGGTTTTCCTTCTGCTCCTCTTGAAACCAGCTATGGAGGCGTGGAGGGAGCATAGATATAGCCCAGCTAGTTAGAGAGAGGTGCTAACAACCCTACGGTTGCAGGTTTGACAGCTTCATATTTCTGCATTGCAGGGAATTGGACTACATGGTCATCAGCGTCCCTTACAATTCCATGATTCTACAAAACTCCCAGAAGAGTGCATAGGGGAAGCTGAAATGCTCGTGTAGGAGACACGTTTCAAATCATGCGTTGTTGAACTTCCCTCCAGTGCTTTACACTACATTATTTGTACAGCTGCTATTGAAGGTGTAGGGATGTGTGTGGCGCTGTGGTCTAAACCACAGCCTCTTGGGCTTGCCGATCAGAAGGCTAGCGGTTCGAATCCCTGGGACGGGGTGAGCTCCTGTTGCTCGGTCCCTGCTCCTGCCAACCTAGCAGTTCGAAAGCACGCCAAAAAGTCAAGTAGATAAATAAGTACTGCTCCGGTGGGAAGGTAAATGGAGTTTCCGTGTGCTGCTCTGGTTTCGGGTGTTCCGCTGCGCCAGAAGCAGCTTAGTCATGCTGGCCACATGACCCGGAAAAACTGTCTGCGGACAAACGTCAGCTCCCTCAGCCTGTAAAGGGAGATGAGAGCTGCAACCCCAGAGTCGTCTGCGACTAGACTTAACTGTCAGGGGTCCTTTACCTTTTTATTGAAGGTGTGCCCCACACTGGCTGCATTGTTCAACTACAGTAAGTGCGGCATCATTCTGCTTGGCACCTACAAGTTTTATAAGCTGCATACAGACAACAATATTTGCAATGCACTTCCAATCTTACATCAAGAACAAGGCTCCTTAGCCTTTGTGGTTTGAACTTGCCACTTTTTTGACCAGTGGAGTGTCTCGCTGTTTGTTCACGCACAAGATGGGCAAGAGACTTGGAATTGTGAAGCAATGTCTGCCCCAGCACTGGAAGCACTTGAGCAGCTCTTAATGACTGGCCAAGGGACAAAGAAGGGAAGCGCCAAGGGACTCCAGCTAAAAGCAGTCTGTGGCTGGCTTCAGATATTTCAACGGTATCCTGCCATCCTTGCTGGAGAGCCAGACAGAGGCCAGCCTCTATACTAGTGGTCCTCTATGCAACTTGTGCAGGTACCATGCACAGTAATGGACTCTTCCTGATCCACGAGACTACCAACAAGTGAATTTGATAGTGTTTATTATACAAACCGTTAGAAGTAAATTTACACAGCTATTAATTATAGAAAGTGGCATCAAGTCTTGGCACTGCCATACTGTGTAACACAGTTTAAGTTAGTAGAGTAAGGCATGATTCCATTTTAAGGCATGCAGGAAAGGGGTTTATTGCATTCCATATTTTTCCTTCAGCTCTTCCACTTTTTTAATATATGCTTTCATTGCATCTTCTTTGGACATTCCTGAAAGAGAAAAAGGATTATGCATGTGAGCAGAGATAAAACATGAAGTAGTGTTCAACCCATGCTAGATCTATGGTATCAGCCTGCCTCCCTCGCCCTAGTCACCCAAGCAAGGACTCCTCTGTGCCCATTTGTTACATAACTGTATGGTAGATTTACCTTTACTTCAGCAGCCTGTGAACACGAATAGTCAATTCAGTCTAAAAGATGGCCCAGCTGTATGTTGAAACTAGATTAAGTGGTGGAGATCATGATCCCTTAAAATGGATAAGGTGGGGGAAAGGAAAGCAACAAGCAACCTTGACTCCCATGTACACCCTGCAAGTTATGTGTTTTGGCCGAAGGAACCTCCTAGCTTCTCATGCCATATGTGTTGCAATATTCCATTTGGAAATGAAAAAGATCCAAAAAGATAGATTTCTCTCTCTCTCTCTCTATCCAAGGACACTTAAGACAACAGAGCTATGAATCTATAAAAGACGACTCTTGGCAATTTTAAAGGTGCTGAAACAGCCTGCTAGGAGGAGTTTCAACACAGATACCCTCCCCCCACTGCATCCATTGACACCAGCACATCTGTGCACATGTGGAAACATGAAACAGCTGCAGTATAGCCAGCTTTTGTGACACTGAAACTAAGGGCTTAAAGGAAGGCCATAAAGCTGAAGGAATGAACTGCTAGAGTTAAGGCAAGTAATGTTGATCTATGGGTGAGATTAAGTTCAGTCAGCCATCCCAGTGATTTGATAGCAATTGAGTTGTATTTGCTGTTACACTTAAGGCTTACCTTTCAAGGAATTCCAGGCGTCCCACTTGGCCTTCCCTTTGAAATCAAGCATCCCAGGACGGTCTGAAACAGTGACATTTTAACATAGTAATGAAACAGCCTTGCTTTCCCCCCACAGTACAAGAGATCACTTTGGGTATACAAACAAAGTCAAACTGCATGAACTTGCAGGTGCAACTTCTTAAAAATAAAGATGATCACGATCCTGACCAGTCAGTGTCTTATTTATCTTAAGCTTCCCATTTAGATTTAAGAGGCAACAGCATGGTTGGGGTATAGATGTTGGCATCCCTTTGTTACTTATTATTTTTGTTTGTTTTTTGCAGCCTAGAAACAGAAGTTTAGTCCTGCTTGTTAAAAAGCTTTAAGCCTGCCAAATATTTACTTCCTGCATGTTTTTGTTCATTGTATAGTAAGTTGTTTGTTAACTCTGAGTTTCCATTAGGATAGATCACATTTTGCTGTGTGCTGATTCTAGCTGTTTTTCTAAAGTTGATATCCAATCTAGAGGTACTCCCTTGAAGAGTTGCTAATGATAGCAAAGTTGCTGCCTCTCAACTTTTGAAGGACAGCTTTAATCCAAGGATTGTTCAGTCAACATGGCATGTTTGTTCCTGGATGAAGGGTATTTACTAATCATTGTTCAAAATGATTTCTTATACATGGTTTAATGTGCAACCTAAAAGCCAACCCATATTCTCGGATCCAGGATAACCAAGTGCTGGAGAGACGGCAAAATAAGCACCGTATTGCCTACAATGGAGCCCCCTGAACCAAGATGAGCAAGTTTCCTTTGGATCATCTAACTCAACTCACTAACACATCAACAGAAGTGCCTGCATATTTGTTCTTCCATAAAGGTAGGAAGCCTGTGTTGCCAAGTTAGGCAGCCTAGATGTTAAGATAAATATGCCCATACTGGCTGCACCTATCAGAAACTGACTCATCAATTCACAACTAATTTTAATGGTAGACAACTTGCTCAATCTCATGCAGGGTGCAATGCCCTGTGGTTTGACATTAGGGAATCACCCTACATTTTCATGCAAACTGCATGCCATATGTGTTGCAATATTCCATTTGGAAATGAAAAAGATCTGAAAAGATAGATTTCTCTCTCTCTCTCTCTATATATATATATCCAAGGACACTTAAGACAACCATTCACTGGGACAGAAAATGCACAGAATATCTCAGGAGCAAGCTCTGGTAGTTACTTGATGCTCACTTTGGGACCACTGCTGCCATATTGGTTGTTCCACTTCCATCTACAAGTAGGATCCTTTTCAGCAATAAGGAAGGCAATATTCTGGCACTCTCTTCTCTGATCTACCCAACTAGCTACTCTATGGTACACAGAGATACAGGGGCAGATTCCATTGCGGAAATGTTCACCTGGAACAGACGGCCTCTTCCTTTTGGCTCCAAGCGATTCTGTTTTTTAGGGAACCGATCACAATCTCCATCGTACCGTGTTATATTGCATTTATATAGTGAACCTCAAGCATCTGAATAAGTTCACATATATTTCCAGTAATCTTTATACAGCCACCCTGTATGAAAAGAGACAGCATCCTCCAAAGGATCGAATGAACTCTGAGCCAGCAACTTCTCATCTGGCTTCCGGTTAACCATTTGTAACAGTTAACCATTTGTGCCTTGGCCTAGTGTAGTGGCTACCGTACCAGAGCAGCCTTTGTTTCCTTGGCAACCTACTGAACACCAGCATTTGGTGTAGTAGGTTTGTCCGTATTTGACTGCTCTTTTAGAAGGACTTGCCTGAAGGCCCAGGATGGTCAAATATTGCCTTTTGACCTACTTTCCATGCCTGTGCTTTAGGAGTGGGGCATACATAAACAAATGTATTGTGCTCAAGTTCTATGATTAGCATTTCAGAATGAATTGCATGCAAACACAGCCCTATCATTTTTACTCCAGGATTGGCAATGGGGCTATTCATGAAAACCAGCTGCTTGCAAGGTACTGGGTGACCTTTAGCTCTAGTTGGCACTGTCATCCCAGAGGGAAGCTAAGCTACTGCCTGACCCTTGCACTGCTGGCACTGGAAGCGGAGGCAATTAGCCAAATGTTTCAGATCTCCCTCCTGCAGCATGTCCATCAGTAATCACACTGTTGCAAAATAAAACAGGGACACTCATGTCAGTCTTCTGGTTGGTCCCATTATCAAGAACCAGTATGCTATCCTTTATTCATCTACCAAGCCTCTCTCCCCTCCCCATCCTCCAAAACACACACAAGCTACAGAAACAGCAGAATTATGCCTAGACTTTCCATCCAGTTTTACGTACTGTAACTGGACTCCCTTTTCAGCTAACTTCCCTGCATTCGGAGTTACCCAATACAGTAGTACTTCAGGTTACAGATGCTTCAGGTTACAGACTCCGCTAACCCAGAAATAGTAGCTCGGTTTAAGAACTTTGCTTCAGGATGAGAACAGAAATCACACAGCGGCAGAGGGAGGCCCCATAAGCTAAAGTGGTGCTTCAGGTTAAGAACAGTTTCAGGTTAAGAGCGGACCTCCAGAATGAATTAAGTTCTTAAGCCGAGGTACCACTGTAGGTTGAACCACCAAGTAGGTTGGTAGATCAGGGTACCAGCTGTGGCAACATGAATGGCCTCTAAGAGCAGCTAGTCATTCTCGTGATCAGTACAAAAGTTGTGTTTGCACGAGGGGCTTTAACTTTAACTTCCCAAGCATCTTTAGGGCTCTTCTGAATAGTTGCTTGTAGGACACCCCAACCTGACTTCAGCTACTTATTGATACTCCTGCAAAGGATATCTAAATATTAACCCCCACTGCCCCAAACAGTGGTATCCAGTGCAACATGAAGACTCTGCAGGTGTGCTTTTAGTTGTAAGATACCAAATGGGTGCTTCTGTCCTCGACTAGCGAATCTGATCGTTTCACCTTCCTCTTGAAAGATGAAACCCAAGCGTAATACTAGGCTGTTATGCGAACCCTAGTCTAGCTGTGCAATAGTCTGCTATCTCAGCTCCAGCCAACTAAAAGTGGCCCGACCTATCCTTTTGGAATTCACTTTCTGAACACTCGTCCAATAGGATACTTGGAGTGCCAACATGGCAACACATCCAAGCAGCAGACACATTCATATCCTGCTTAACTGTTGTACTGCAATACTGAGCAAGGGTTGTGGAGAGGGGTAAAGAGGATCTGGTTGTAGCTTCTAAAGGCAGTCACTCAAACTTATAGCAAGTTCCATTGGAACAGTTTATAGTTGCCATTCTCACAGCAGTTTCACGAGTTCTATGCCAAGGACCCTCACAGAAAAGGCATTTTGTTTTGAGCTGTGTGCAAATCAGAGCAAGCTTTGTCACAAGTATCTTTCAGAGCTGCAAGTGCTCCTAGCCCAAAGCTCTTGAGAGTCAGTTAGACTAGGACGCCAATAAGTTAAGCAATGCCCTGAACTACTGGATTGGGTAAATTGCTTCACTTAGAACATGGAATCTCTGCAAGGATCGGACAACTCATCCTGACTAGGCCTTTGAAATGTAGAACATTTCTGCAGGCACTACTGCAAGTTACATCCCACTCGAAGTTTCTACTCTTTCATAATAACCAGCTAAATCTGGCTACACTCCTTCAAGTATGTGAGGTATTACATATTTCAAAGGAGCTGCTGTATCAGAAGTTAGCCGTGATGGTCACCTCAATAGGGAGACTTGATGTGAAATGATGTACCTGAAACTATAGTTATGTTTGCTGCAATATTACTTTTTAATCCACTTATTTATATGCTGTTGTATGAAATCTATGCACATCGCAGGACTCCATGCTATGTATGCAAGCAGTAGCAACTGATGCTTTTAACTATTTATGGTATGAAGCAGATTTTGAAAGAGGTTACAAGCAGCTAAGTAAATTGCTTACTATTGCAAGTTGCTTTCAAGCAAACGAGCAAGTCTGAAATGAAAGGCAAGTTGATCTCGTTGAAAGGCTGCCCCGGGCATTTAAGGAGCTCTGTATTGAGGGAGCACATTTACTATCAAGTGTTACATACAGTTAATATACCCACATTTAACTTACGGTGCTCATTTGGACACACAGCATATAGGATCTTTACCTACCTGGTGTAAGTTCCGTTACCTTTCAGTATACAGTAGTTTATAGTTCTCAATGAAATAACTCAATAGATTAGGATGAAAGAATTGCTCAATGAGCAATCCCAATGAGCAACGATTGCTCAATGACCAATCCCTAAGCATGGATTTGAATGTAGTATGAAGTTAACTCATACCTGTATTTACATCTCCAACTGTGGCCTGCTTGTAATGGCTGTAGATATCCAGCATTTCTTGATCTGTTGGTTGGGTCTTCAGCTTCTTGACTTCTTCTGCAGCTTTTTCAAACTCTGCCTATTTCGAATAAGGATTCAAATTAAGGGATTTACTGCTGTTCAGTACACTTAATGTAGGCAAACATAATTCATCTAAATCAGAATAAATTTTAGCACCAAACGTTTTAGAGCTTCATGAACTGTGGTACAGTCCTTTACATGTTTACTTTGAAATAAGTCCCACCAGGTTAGTTGGACTTACTCCCAGACAAGCATGCATAAGATTCAAGGTGTGGGAATTTAGTTGGGCAAATAGTGTGGAGATTTGAAGCTTGATAATTATCCTGAGGGTGGAAGGTTGCAAAATGAGTTGCTTTACTAACACTTGGCAGAAAAGCTGTTCCAGCACGACTTACGAGGGCTGCCTCCGATGTTGCCCAATTTTTTTTCAAGTTCAAGTTCCTGCAAGCCACTTTCACCAAGACATTGCACACGCCACCAAGTGCTGCCGGATACCTTGAGCAAGCTGCTCATGCTCTTGGCAGCGGAAGCCACAAGGGGCCATTATCTCCAGCTACATTTGCATGCTTTTTCCCAGGCCCAACTTTGTAAATTCTCGTTGCATCCACAGTCAGCATGCTAAGGAATCCTTTCACACAAGAGCCTCACATACCATAAAAACTGAGGTTTTATCATCCATCCTTCAACCACTAGATCAGTTAGGCAAAAGTGCCTGTTCCAGATGGGAGGGGGAGAGAGAGAGAGAAAAGAAAAGGCTGCCTGTACAGTATTAGCAATTCTAAACAAGAACTCAGCTTCAAGCTATTATGCATAAGGACTGCAGACCCACTGTGCAAAATCTTGAAAGTCTGGCTTCTGGAAAGTTTCAACCACCATGACTGAAGATACAAAGTAACGGCTTTGGAAGAACTTTTAAGAATTTACCTGGCTAGTACACGCTTCACATTTGTGGTTTTATAATGATCACTGGCTATTATTTCAGACGTAGCGACTTACTTTTAAGAGTGGGCCACAACTTTGCAGAGGAATAAGCCCCTGGAGAACTTAGCACTGCCTACCAAGGCACAAGCGCGTGCTCTGCGATGCGGGAACAAGGGCGCTTCATGTCTCCTCCTGCCCGACGAGGAAAGAAAGAGACACCCCCCCACCTCATTCCGGGCCGCCTATATTGCGGGGTGGGGTTTGTGTGGGTGCTTGCAGGAGCAACATAAAGCAGAAATTTATTAGGCAGCGGCCAGAAGGAGAAGTGTGGAAGACACACTTCCAACTAGAAAGAAAGCAGGAACAAGACCTCAACACCCTTCCGCCGACAAATGCGAAGAAAACAGAAACCGACACTGAGAAAAGCCTAGCGAAAGAGAAGCAGACTTGCCGCGCCTGCAAAGGGAGTGGGGTGTCTTGGAAGAGCGCCCTTTCGTTAGGGAAGGGGGCTTACCTGTGCCATGGTTGCAGAAGCGCGCAGCGACCTCTTCCTGATGCAACAAAAGGCTGAACTGCGCCCGTTGCAGCTTCTTGCCCCAGAGTCTCTATTTCACGAATCAGCCCAGCTCGCGCGGCCAATCAGAAGAGAGGGGGCGGGCGCTCGCCGGCCTTTGTTCCCACCGCGATTCGGCAAGCGGCTGGGACTGACGGGCGAAAGGCAACGCCTGACTCCAAGGGTGGCCACAGATGTACGTATAACCAAAAAGCAAGACTAGTCCACCTCGCTGGTTCCTTACGTTGTTTGAAGACCCTCTTCGCGAGTGAGGCAAAGGCCCATGGCCAATACTGTATTTTTGTTAGGGAGGGGCAGGACTTTTGTTAGGGGGGAAAGAACCGACGTGATTGGCCAATCAGTTAAGTACGTATTCCTATTGTTTTATTTGATCTGGGCAGGGGGCAGCTGCCCCTCTTTTGGCTACGCCCATGGCAAAAGCTGATGAAAATACATAAGGATATTAAGGTTAAAGTAAGCAAGTATTTTGGGGGGATGGGGGAAAAACAACAACAACGATCACGTCTGTCGAGGAAGCTTCGGGCTGCACATAAGGAGCAGCGGCGTGGACTTTCGGAAGTCGTGCGCGTGCATCCATCCTGAGCTTAATTCGAACTTTAAAAAGCAGACACCCATGATTATTAGTGGACCGTCCAGCGCTTGCTGGCTTGTTTTCGTTTGCAGACGTAATGCTATGTTAGGTGGACTTTGCAAGCCGCTTTTTTTTTTTAATGCTCTTAAGCAAAACTGCATGCTCAGAATAGCTACGGTTATTATCTGGGGTAAGAACTCTTGATTAGCAATTTCAAATCATGGAAATTGCCCTAATTGAAGACGCAGACTATGCTGAGAAAATGTCATTTTCAGCAGACTATGCTGAGAGAAATGTTTCTGTCAATGCGTGGTTTCCCCCATTCTTGACCCGCACATAAAGTATTCCAACAGACTAGTCGAGAACCGGAAGTACATCAACGTTAAAGGCTGGCCTCTGGATAATAAGCGTAATTAGGCGAGGGGGCGCCCGGCGGAAAAGAGAAGCGCTTGCAGTCGAAAGGGAATGTCGAACGCGCAGCTTCAAGCCCTAGACCCCGCCTCGCCAAAGGAGAAGATTGTTTCCGTCTCCGTAGACCGTAAATTATACTATTTTAATATGAAACTGAGCGGTTGATTTGGGTTGGAAGTGGGTGTGTCAAGGCAACTTCAGTTCATTAAATATTTGCTGCAACGAAAGGAGCGTTTTGCAGTATTAACAGTGGGCTACACTGCAGGGTTGTCATAAGCCACTATTGGCCACAGCCTTCTCCCCAACCTGCAACAATGGGGAGAATGGACTGTACCGCAAAGCAATTTTAATACATTTTAAAATTCTGATTACACTTTTCACGCCAATGTAAACGTGAATAATAATAATAATAATAATAATAATTATACCCCGCTCATCTGGCTGGGTTTCCCTAGCAACTCCGGGCAGCTCCCAACAGATTCCGCTGTACAGTGCAAATCCCAAATAAAGCAGAGAACATGAAACACGTATGTAAACCTCTCTGAGTTTCAAGAACGCGTATGTATATAAGATTGCAGGTTAAGCTTTCTACAAGTTCCATATCTCTATATTTCCCATATATTGTTAACCGGCCCTGGGTTTTGCTCTCTGTATGGGCAAAGTTGCCGTCAATTATAAAGGGACCAGTGGGCGACGCAACTCCGCCAGTAGGGCGGGAGAAATGTGCTCGCGACAGCCAATCGTTGGCGAGTTCCTGGAAGGCGTTTGCAGAGGAGGCGAGGCTGTGGAGGCTGCCGGGGAAACGCGGCGTTTAAGTACCAGGAAGTGGAAGTCCTCTGCCTGAGATTGGGCCACGTGTTTGGAGGGAAGGCGTTTGCCTGGAGCGCCGGTGAGGCAAAGTGCGGGGAGGACGAGGAGAGCGGGATTCGTCGTGCGAGTTGGTCAGGGGATTCCCAGTAGCAGCAAGAATGACATTTCCTAGCCTGACATGAGAATGGGGTCAAGCGCAGAATTGCTCCACATTCTGTTTGACACTTTGGTTGGTCGCTATAGTGGTTTTGCAGAGGATTGACGCAATTATTTATATATTGGCGCCCGCCATAAGGTGATCTCACCACTCTGAGCTAAGTGGCGGTGCTTCGTCCCTGCACCGCTATACCATTGAGCAAGAGACCAATAAAATAAAACAAAAATAGAGTTTGGAGTGATACTCAGGGAGATTTGGGTTGGGTGGCTCCGACCCCAGTGCCCTGGTACATTGTGTGTAACGAAAAATAGTATCTGGGAGAGTACAACGTTTGTATTTGTGCATTATGAGCAAACGTACAGTTCATGGTGCTAAAAGCTAAGTGTCTTAGTTAGACACAGCACTGCTTGACTTTTACTAAACATTATTTATGCCACCCTGTGGTTTTGGTGTAGCTTGCATGATGCTCTGAACGTGCCAGACCAAAAGTGGGTGGGGCAACCGATGTGATTCTTAAACAAACACCCTTTTACTTAAATGGTTAAAACGACAAATAGTATATTCTAGCAAATAAGATACAGCAAGTAAATGAGACATCTGTTTACAAGTACAAACCGTATTACAACACACTGGAAGTGGCACAAGAATGAACATTGTTAAAACTTTGCTAAATCCCTGATTAAACAATCTAGCCTTTTGAACAGCAGGGGTATTTTTTTGTTATTATGCTATGTATTTTTGTGTTTTTATATTGTAAACCTCACTGTGATCTGAGCATGGAGGGTAGTATAGAATTTTAATAAATATTATTCACACAATAGTACCTGCAAGTAACCATTTTAGATTTGTTTCAATAGGTTATTTATTGTAAACTGCTTAGAGGTTTTATTGCAGTCAAGCGGTATATAATTTTTGTTCACTTGAAAGTGAGTAGAATCCTCAATTGGTGCCGGAGGGGAATCCTTCCAGTGCAAATGCTAGATTCAAAAGAATGATACAGAATTCCACAGGGCAGGGATGGGTTAAATTCCCCTTTGCTGTCTACTACAACCCTGCCAATTGTCAGCCCCTAGGGGCTGCTCTTTGTATATATATTTTTAAAAGTTCTGGTTTGATATCAATCTGCATTTTGGGTACAATCCTTTATGTACAATGCTGGAATGCATCTTAAACATATAAACAACAGAACTTGAAGTTTCTTGCTACTGAAACATTGATTGTACCCAATGCTAGGACCTTATGCTCTTGTTTTTTCCAAAAGCAAGCTCCTTCATTATGTTGCATTACATTTTTGCCTTCCAGGTACTTGTTAGATAACTCACATGTCATCAGAAGACGTTACTGTCACTGTTCGTCTCGTTCGCTCATTTGAGCACCGTAATTTTAAACCTGTTGTGTACCATGATGTTACTCTGGATCAGACTGTCGGAGAGTTTATTGAATTTGTGAAGAATGGTAAGGAACTGTTATGGCTGGCTAGTGCTTCTTGGTGTGTGAAGGAACATGTGGCAGGGGGGAAAAGGGGGGGGGACTGCCCCATGCTGATAGGCCCCATGGAAGAGCTGTAGCCTAGTGCTTTGCATGCAAAAGGTACCAAGTTCAATCCCTGGCATCTCTAGGTAGTGCTGGGAAAAACTCCTGCCTGAACCCCTGGAAAGCTGTAGCCAATCAGTGTTCATGATACTAGGATAGATGGGCCCAATGGTCTGATTTGGTATAAGGCAACTTCCTATGTTTTTACTATGTCATCGCCTGGATGAACAATGCTCTAGGCATCCGTAGGTTCCATTCTATTGCTCATCCTTCAGAGGACCCTCAGCTTTTCAGAGACATGTCACATATAAGGCTTTCTGCAGTTATGGATCTACAGTGGTACCTCGGGTTACATATTCTTCAGGTTACATACGCTTCAGGTTACAGACTCCACTAACCCAGAAATAGTACCTTGGGTTAAGAACTTTGCTTCAGGATGAGAACAGAAATTGTGCTCTGGTGGCACGGCGGCAGCAGGAGGCCCCATTAGGTAAAGTGATGCTTCAGGTTAAGAACAGTTTCAGGTTAAGAAGGAACCTCTGGAATGAGTTAAGTACTTAACCCGAGGTACCACTGTAACAGTGTGGATGGGATTCGTGGGATTATGATGACTTTTCACAGATACTGGGATGTATTGTGCATGATTTTAACCTGTAATTTCAAACATCCTTTGGTACACTTAATGTGCCACTATAAGCCTTTTCCATGTTTTTTTTTTTGGAACTTGGATTCCATTGATTTGTATGACTTGGACTGCAGGAGCACTTGGACTGCAGGAGTAAGCTCCATTGGACTCAGATGAACATATTTTTGTGTAGACATGCATAGGACTGTGCTGCTGGTTCTAAGAACAGATAATAACTGTGGGCAGGATTCACTTAAAGCAGAAGCCCAGGGCAAGAACTTCTGTTTGTGAAATGGGGCTTCCCCCATCTTCTCCCCATGCCCCCCCAAACTGGCTCTGGGGGGCTTGGGAGAACCCTCAAAAGAGTGTGCAGGGGAAGGAGGGATGATTGCTCCACCTGGAAAGCTGAAATGCTTGTACAGATGGAACAATTGGAAGAGTGCAGTGTTGAATTTTACCCATTGTGTGTATCTTGTTAAATCCAAGTGAAAATGGTTAATGTTCCTTTTCAACATTTTTTTTCTAGATGTGGTATTAAGGACAGGACTTCCACCTCCTTTTAAAAAATATAAATACGGTATGTATCTTTCCTTGCACTTCCATTAAATTGGTTTATCTGCATCGGGGTTAGCCTGTGATGCCCTCTGAATGTTGTTGGACTACAACTCCCATGAGCCTCAGCTAGCTTGGTGAGGGATGATGGAAGATGTAGTTCAACAACATCTGGAGGGGACCTAATTAGATACCCATTGTGGTTTTTTGTGAGGGGTAGCGGGGTGTAGAGGTTGGGCTGGAAAATAATTGGGAGTTTTGGTTCCATGACAGGTTAAGCTTTACCTCATGGAATAATTAAACAGTTGTACATCTTGGAATTCATTTCAGTATTAGCCTGCAGATTATTCATGCTGGTGTTAATTGGTAGCATTGTCTTTTGGGTATTAATTTTTTTATCATCTTCCTTAAGTGCCTCTTAAACTCGCCTCACATGTTGAAGTGCTGCTCATGACCCACAATCCTTTGAAACTGCAGTTTCCTCCGTGCTTCTGCATTTCAATATCCAGCAACTAATTGTGAGGTCAGAAGGGGTAGCCAAGCAGGAGAAAGAAGCATGGAATGAGAGGCTTACGTGTGGAAAGAATTTACATAGTAAATAAGAAGAGAGTGGGAATGAGGCTGGAGGTAAACAGGAAAGAGCTTAAGTATGAATTTGTGAAACGGATATAAAATTAAAGCAAAGTATTTTATTAATCATTGAAAACAAACAGGATTTAGGCTGCAAAATCAAATATATTTGATTTGGCAATATAGTATATATATTATATTTAGCTTGGAATCTGACATTTTGAAAACTTTCAGGGAGCAACAATTAAACAGCAGGTTTCTCCTGCTTGTTGTCAAGAAGATCTAGGCTTGACTCAGGAGTTACAGGGGACATTTGTAGTGGTTCCTAGTTGCATAGTAGAGTTCCAGTGCTTTGCAGTTCAGTCCTGTCTTGGGATAGGGGGAGAAACTGAATTAAGTTTGCCTTTAATGCTGAATGTGTCAAATTTGCATTTTCTGAAACAAAGTTCTCTAACCAGTGTTTACAAACATGTACATAGCTGGGGAAATGTGTATAAAAATGAATAGATTAGTGAAAACAGCATGCAAAACATACAGTAGCATATTAGGAAAAAAATCCTTGCAAAATGTGTACATTAGGCGAAAATAGCATTAAAATTTTAATGAAACAATAGCACTAAATTTTAATTAAAATAGCACTTAATTTTTTATGAAAAAATTGCGAAGTGCTGCAGCATCTTGGAGAACTGCATTTAAGATTGAAAAAATAAGAAACTAAGAACCAAAACTGACAGGTTTCGCCCGCTCCCACCCAATCCATTATAGTTCTTCACTAACTGTCGGCAAGAAAACAGCAGTTTAGTTAATGGATGGGTGGTTTTTTGGTTGTGAACATTTGCCTTTTGCCTTGCTTTGCTAATGCATAACATAACATGGTTACAAAAGCAGCAGGTATTGATAATAAGAAACCAGAGTGCAATTATCAGAAAAAAGCAGCCATTTGAAGCACACCTACTTTAAAATAAAACGCTGCTCAAAGCTTGAGGGTATGACTTTCCTGAAAACACCGATAGGTAGGCTGGACGTTCAGCAACAGTATAGCAATTGCAAGACATGGTGGTTGTTTCATATTTTTACTGAGATTACTTTAAATAGGTGATTGCCACTTATTTTGCAAAGATAAAGAAAAAGTCAGTTGTAATGTGGCCTCTCTGTGTTTGGTATAAAAGGTCCTCAGTGAGTGTCCTTAGCAAACACCACCAGCTTTTATATTTCATGCACAATTCAGCATGTTTGTTGCAAGTAGAGGTTTATCAAGTAGGGATGTATTCTGAGGTTGCCTCCAATCCGGATTGGGAAACTGTGATTATATTAGGAAGAAAGATGATCTCGTATCACACAACTTCTGATTAACAGTTTAAAAAGGGACCTGCTTTCTGTGTGTGTGTGAGTTTTTACTTTTAAACCATATAACTACTAATCAAAACTGCGATTGGAAATTCAGATTCATTTTGTGGCTTGAATTCTGCAGCCTATACTGTCAACTGGGTTTTTAATTTATTTGTATTTTTGAGTAGTCTTAAGGATTCTGCTCGGCGTTTGTGTTCAAGGCTTAATGGATGGGAGATTAGATTGCATGTTTCTAAGTATATAAACCTTCTACAGCTGATTCCGTTAGTATTTTTGAGCTTGTAAAGAACAAGTCTCTGTTGAATTCGGAGGGATTTTCTAGGATTGTGATGATGTTGTACTGCCTGTCCAATTCTAGTTGAGAGAAGCAAAATAAGAAGAAAAATATTGCAAGGTAACAAATGTGCGGGAAGAATGTATGGTGTGATGCACAAGACCTTAGATGGAGCATTATAGCTAAATGCCCAGTAGAAGAAACAAAAAACCTATCTCAAAGCAAGCAATCTCTTTCAGATACAATGAAGATTCTTCACCAGGCGCATGGCTCTAAGGTACATCTTATGACTGCTCACTCCCCTCCTAAATCTCTCTAAATTTAATTTGTTCATGCTGGAAGGTGCCTGCCTTCTAGTAGGGTATAATGTTATTTGACTACTCCGTATTTATTTTCATCCCCTCCTCCCCCTCCATTTCTAGACCAATGAACTCGTCGTGAGTTTAGAAGACGATGACAAACTCATTTTGGCAGAGGACAGCACCCTGAAAGCCGCTGGCATAGGTTGGTAGTGGGCTGGGATTGACTGAGGCCTCAGCTCGTTGTTCTTGTCATTATCCTGGCTGATTATGTTTGGATAGCCTGCTGAAAAGCAAATGCTAAACCTGATGTTCCGTACGCAACCTGACTATTATTGAGGACCAGTGTGTGTATGCTTAACGTACATTCAAATCATTGGGTTTGAGGGCCCCATGTACCTCTCTTCAGAATGCTAATGGGGGTATTCCCTCTGTCGTCCGTCCCCCCACCGCGAAATAAAAAAATTATGCTTGGAATTCTGTTGAAGGTAATTTTAAATGACTGACAGCTTGGTTATTCGTACCGTGCCTGCCTCATCTTTTCAGCGACGTTTACACTGATGCTTCGGTTGGAAATTTAAGCAGTGTAACTAGTGAGGAGTAATGAGGAGAGCCTGTTCAATAATGTGCAGTTCTAGAGAGTCACCAAGATCACTTGAGAGGGAATATAAGTATAAAAAGGGAATATTGGAACACATTTGCTTGCTACCCGATTGGGAAGTGCCATAGGCCATGTCATGCAGCGATAAATGCAAGGTAACAGTGTTGTGTGGCAAACCAGGTGTCCGCTGGGTGGGTGTAAATATTTGCTCCACATAAGCCAGCTGAACTTCTGAAACATTCGTTGAGCAGGTAGTGATCACATCTCATTCGATTCACATTATACGAAAAAGAAAAGTAAGCTTTTGGGTTGATACTCTGGCTGGCCTGTGAGGTAGTCAAACTACTCAGGCTTACTGATGGCATGAGGAGAGCTAGGTTCTGGTCTTTTGTTTACTGGACCAGCAAGCTTCCCAGTTAACTGCTGAGATTTTAAATATATGTATTTTAAAACAAAATTTTATTGGGTTTTTAAACAAGTACAAATACAAGAACCATTAAACACTTAACCAGCAGTACAGCTAAAGGTGCTTGTTTTATATCTTTATACACTCGCTTACATATTCAGCAATCAAATGTATTACATGATGAAGAGATTTTAAATATTAAATCAGTAAGGTGTGTTAGGGCATTTCTGCATTCAATTAATTTTGGGGGTTGATAAGATCCCAACCTGGTATTTCCAGATGTTTGGCACTACAACTCTCCATCATCCTTAGCTCTTGCTGGTGGGGGATCATGGGAGTTGTAGTGCAAAACACGAGGAGGGCACCTGACTGGAAAGCTGATGCAGTGTTGTTAAAAGCTCTGCACCTATAGGGGAGCTTCATTATGAGACAATGATACGCCGTAGCCTGCACGGCTGGCCTCTTTCTCCTGGCAGAAATATGCTTTTGCTACTGTAAGGGAAAATTTCCTTTGTTTCTTAGAAGTGTTCTAAAGCAGCTGTTTAGTGGAACACCGGTGGGATCTGCAGCAAAATGTTACAGCATGGAGGTGGCTGTTCCATCCCATCTCTCCAGTTTTTCCTGCCTCTCTCCGACAGTCAGCATTCCATAGTCTCTGAGCATACCCAGCCCTCATTGGATTGTTTTGGGCTCTTATCCCCCTCAGAGCTTCTCTCTCCCTTCCTAAAGCTTTTTGCACGTCTTCAAACTTTTCAGTCCCCCTCCTCCCACCCCTTTCTTGCCCTCTGACAGTAGCGTTTTGGCTGCATAAGCAATGGCACTCACAGTGTAAACATCAGGAATGGAGGGAATGACTGTGGTTATAAACAGAGTAACAGGGATGTGGGCTTTCCAGAAATGTTTGAATTGGCTCATTTAGGCTAATTTGCATATTCGGCTGATTTGTAAAGGGTAATTATCATTGCAAAATGTTATGGCGCCCTAGAGAGTGACCTGACGTCACATGCTGATGCTGCTTGGATTTTGTAAGCAAATCCAACCACTTTGAAGCTGCCAGTTCCCGTATTTGCAATTGGCATCCATTCATTGTTGCTAATGAACTTATGGAAATGGAAAACTTTCCATGGGGTGGGGGGTGGGGGAGCTCCAGAATTCTTTTCATCTGCACTGAACCAGAAACATGGGCAGCTGCTATGTAGGTATAGTCTCAATGAAAGCCCTGGAACAGATGAGTCCTGTAAGAACCTAAATCAGACACCCCCAAACTCGGCCCTCCAGATGTTTTGAGACTACAACTCCCATCATCCCTAGCTAACAGGACCAGTGGTCAGGAATGATGGGAATTGTAGTCCCCAAACATCTGGAGGGCCGAGTTTGGGGGTTGCCTGACCTAAATGCTTTTTTGCTGTCTTGTGAGATTGGCTTTCTTAGGCCAGTCTTCTCATGGTGGAGATGTAGGAGGCAAGCATTAAAGGAAGCTGTATACCTTTTGCCTGAATATTTGGACCATAGAAATTTTGCTTCATGAAGTGGAAGAATTATGTTCAACCCTCCCCAAGAATGGGGTTCTCAGCTGGTGAAACACTTAATGAATTGAATTTGAATTGAACAATCAAATTGAACAATTAAATTGAAAAGCTAAGAGACTTGGGCACTTTTAAAAAGACTCTATGATTGAATTGAGTCAGATACAGAGGGCTGTCATCACTGCCCCTTTTTACTATTTTGGTTTGGCTAGTGATGTAGCCCAAGAAGATACAGAGGAGGGGATATGGACCTTTGTGTTCTCTACTTTCTGAAGTTGGGAAATGCATCCTTCCTTTATGGCAGCGGTGCAGAAACCTGCAGCCTTCCAGCTGCTGTTGGACTCCCAACTCCTAAAAGCCCAACATGCTTGGCCAGAAACCAGGGCGGCAGCATCAGGAGTGCCACAAGTTACCCACTTCTCAACCTGTGCTGCTGCTGCTGCTTCTTTGGTGATCACTTGTAGCCAAGTAAGATTGTCTTCCATAAACACAGTTTTAACAGTGAGTCCATAAGTGACTGTGGAGGCCAGTTCTGGATCCACATGTCCTTTCACAGCAGGGACATAGATTTCTGGGCGGGAGTTGATCACGGTAAGGGTTTGCCAAGCGTGCCTTCCTCTTAGCACGTTTCTCCCTTTCATTCTGAGTTTGAGCATCTTCAAAACCCATGACACCTTTGGTAAAGGCTGTTCCCCAACTGGAGCGCTCGCATGCCAGTGTTTCCCAGTTTTTGGTGTTTATACTACATTTTTAAAGATTTGCCTTGAGAGAGTCTTTGAACCTCTTTTGTTCACCACCGGCATTGCGCTTACCATTTTAAAGTTCAGAGTAGAGTAGTTGCTTTTGACGACGACAGTCTCCTTGTCACAAGAAGGCTCTAGTAACTAAACCAGAAAGATCCTGCATTCAAAGAAATGTGGTTCTTGAGGGAGTGGACAGTGGGGGTCAGTGTGTGAACCTGAAGCTTGCTGCTTATTTCTCCCAGGTTATAAACCCAGGAGTGAAATGTTATATACAGGGTGAGTCTTTTAAAAGAGGCCCCGTGGAACATGTGTACTCTGTATCCATAGGGCCTCTTTTAAAGGACTCACCCTGTAGAAACAGGCCCTATACCTGGAAGTGCTTGGGAGAATTAACTTTTTTTTAATTGGCAACAATTGTCTGATAAATGAGGCTTAACTGTCTCGTGGGGAAGGGCTGGAACTCAGTGGTAGAGCATCTGCTTTGCATGCAGAAGGTTGAAGGTTTATTTTATTTATTTATTGAATTTATATTCTGCCCTATACCCAGAGGTCTCAGGGTGGCTTGCAGAAGATTCAATCCCCAGCATGTGAAGAAGCTCTGCCAGAAACCTTGCGAGAGCTGCTGCCGACAATACTGAGCTAAATGGACCAGTGGTCCGCCTTGACTTAAGGCAGCATCCCACCATCTCCCTTTTGTTTTGCAAGTACAGTGGTACCTCAGGTTACAGACACTTCAGGTTACAGACGCTTCAGATTACAGACTCCGCTAACCCAGAAATAGTACCTCGGGTTAAGAACTTTGCTTCAGGATGAGAACAGAAATCGTGTGGTGGCAGCGGGAGGCCCCATTAGCTAAAGTGGTACTTGAGGTTAAGAACAGTTTCAGGTTAAGAACGGACCTCCAGAACGAATTAAATTCTTAACCCAAGGTACCACTGTATATTGAATGACAGAGGTTCCCAAACTGTGGTCCACGAGCTTCATTCAGAGGGTTTGCAGCGGGCCTGTGAGGAACATTTAGAATTTGAATGCTGTAGAATTTTATGGCATTCAATAAAACGCCATATAAGAAATAAAAGAAGCAATAGAAATGCAATTAAGAATTACAACACAGCACGTTACAATTGTGAAAAAAGGAAGAAAAAATATGATTAAGTGACCCACCAAGACCCTCAACCATTTTTAAGAGGTCCAGGGGGGAGGGCAAAAAAGTTTGGGAACTGCTGCTGTATCTTCCTCACTTTCCCTTGCCTCCAGTTTCCGCAGGCATCCTAGCCAATATTCAGAGTTGCCGTCCCTCGCTCCTGTTTTGCATTACACAGGCAGACTTCATTAACTTCTGGTTTAGTTTATTAAAAAAAATAAAACCGGTGGAACTTAGTCGTGGCTTGCCACTTCAAAAGAATCCGACGTCTCTTAATTGTGATGGCTTTCCGTCAGCTCCATCCCCCGCTCTGAATTAGTAATGTTGCTGACTTACTGTTTTAGAAGAGGAAGTCCTTGACCCGCTGGTGGGAAGAATTGTGGCTGCTCTGAACCTTTGCGGGTCCTTCAGCTCTGCCATATCCCCTGTGGATAATTAGAGGCATTTGAAGGTATTGCTGGAGAAGCCAATTTGTGTCTTTCACTTTGCATATTGTTGAAGCCTCATGAATTAATCATTGGCAGGGCAAAAAAATTAGCTCCCTCAGACGCACGTTTTTTTATGGGTCATGAGGGAGAATGTAAAGTGATCTGTAAAATATTCTACTCATCCTCTAAGTATTAAATTATTATGGCTACAGGTTAATTTCAGGGGGATATCCCCCCTCCTGCGGAACAGAATGAGGAACTTTGTTATTTTCCCATGTATTCTGAAGAGAAGCACTGGATTTATTTATGGAATGCTCTGCAAATGGTTTCATAGCCCTTGTTTTAAAATGGTGCCTTTTAACAAGGGTGCTGTTCTTGCCCCTGGCTGTAGTATGCTTTTGGGGGTGGGGTGGGGTGTACTAAGCGCATTCTCGCTATTTGGATCTGATGTTAAAACAAACAAGCGAATAACTAGCAATAGCCTTGAACCATAGAGTATTCAGCACCATCTGTGATTCTAATTAATGTTAATCTAACGTTCTGTGGCTTGAAAATTAATGTTTTCACCAAACACGCTCAATATTTTTCCTTTCAGCAAATGAAACGGAGCTCGCATTTTTCTGCATGGATGATTACAGGAAATATAAAGCCAATCCTGTTGCTACCTGGTGAAGACTTTGCAACTTGGGAGAAGATTCCCCTGCTGCTTGTTTTGTGAGGCTTTATAAATTCTTAAACCTTAAAAAGCTGTATATTATAAGTATTATGAATTTTGTTTTCAGGAACAACAAACCCTGCTTTTCATACAGTTGCTATCTTCAGTTCTTTTCAAACACAAGCCCCTACTCACAAATCGTATGGGAAGTGTTTTACAGTGGAAACATACCAATCCACCATACATTTTTAAAATGTGAAATGTTGGCTGTGGACAAGATGTAAAATGTAATTAACTAACACCAGTATTTTATTAGGGCTGTGCCTTGGCCTTGGATGAGATGCAGGTCAGAGGCAAAAATCTCTTCCTTGGAGGTACTTGGACCTCCTTAGAATCCAAGGCAGCTTGAGTCCGAGGTGAAGCTGGCTGACTTCAAGACTTAGGAAATATATTGGGCTATTTTTTTTATAATTCTGTTCAAGGGGAAGACATCTCAGACTTTGGGAAATATGGCAAGATGAGCTCTGCCTTGGATCTGAGGCAAAATATGATGCTAATCTGAGCTACGAAGCCATAGCCAAGCCTATCCTATGAGGTGGGTTTTTTCTGTACACAACCCAAATATATATGTAAGCTAATTTTCCATTCTTTTCCCTTTGTAAAAAAATCCTTTCTGTGTCTTCTGGATAAAATGTAAATGGGTACTTGCTCCTGAATGGTTATATGTTATTGCTACAAATCTGAAAAATTTCACGGGGTGGGGGGTGGGGGTGGGAAGTGTTGTGTACAAACTTGGAAACTTTTGAAATAAAGGATTATTTATCACAAGTGAGTCATTACTGCTGGGGCTGGGAATCCTGTGGGGTTTTGTCAGAATGGCTGCTGTTCAAAATCTTGTCACACCATAGCCAGTTCCTCCCTCAGAGCTCACTCTCAAAGATCCTTTTCTGTGAGGAAAATAATAAAGGAACAGGTGTGACTGATCCATTAGCACTAACTCATGCCAAATCTTTCATGTTCCATATTCAAATTCATTTCTTCAGCCTTGCAGACAAAATGCTTTGTTTTTTAAAGGGATGGCTAGAGTTCTAAGTGAAATACGTTCTTGTAAAGCACAGGGGTGATCCTTGGTGGATTTGTGGGCAGCAAATGGAGAATTTTGTTTGTTCTTTTTGGAAAAAGGATGGAATTCCTTGTAGCACTGAGGAGATTGTTCCATCACCATAAGTATTTCGGCTTGCCTTACGGAACAAGCTCCTCTTTCCCCCCACCCACCACCACATGTTGTTCTGTGGGTTCTCCTGACCCACTAGAGTAGATTTGGGGCAGAAGAAGAAGCTTCCTTGTAGTTGAACCTGCCCCCTACTAGCCAGTCATTTACCCTGGAGGGCATAGAACCACTTGCAGAGTCAATAATTTCTAGCAGCCCCTTCTGTGATGGGAATTTTACACCTGCTCTCCTTCCTTGGTTTTCTGATTGGGTGTAGATATGCAGTAAAATTCCTTGCACCATATTGGCTGGTTACTGGGGCTTCCAACAAGGTGGTGTGTTGCCATTTGGTCGGTGGCCATCCCAAGGCATGTTGGGATTATTTTCTCTGTTAGAATAATAGAATATACTTTGGTCTTAAGGGATAGCCATTTGGAGACCAGAATGCATATTTAAGAGGTGGATAGTAACATAAATGCCTTGCAGATTTAAAGTCTGTAGCTTCCGTTTTGTGGTGTTCTTTAAAGAAGAGAGGTACAGTGTGGTTCAGATATTTTCAGAACCTGGCAGCGTTTCTTTCTTTTTTGATGCACTTTGTCCATTGTGGACTGGCTCTTTTTGAAGGTTATTACAGTTGTTCCACTCTGTGCCTAGTGTTCCCACATTGTCCAGTTGTATTGCGCAGTGTAAGAAATCTGGAAATATATAAAGAAACTCTTGAGAGAAAGGTTAATGCTGCTGCTGTTTCAGGAATTCTCCAGTGCAAAAGCAGGGGCACTTCATTGTTTGAGTGAGCTTTAACAATAGGGTCTCTGTTTTATTCCTGGCAATGATGCGTCTGAGTTACGACTTTCTGAAGTACTGATTATTGTGTGTTTTCACTAGCTCTTTAAAATGACTCCCCGCCCCCAAAGGTATGGAGAAACACTAACATTGAAACATTTTAGTTTTAGATTTCTACCCCATCCTCTTTCCTCTACAAGCTGAGTGCCTCATTTCTGCTTACAGAAGGAGTCAGAAATACATAGTTCGAAATTGTGTAGTGATAAACTTTGGTTGGCAGGCAGCAAAAAATGTACTGGTGGAGCTCTGAGGTATAACGTTTTGAACTGCAATACAAGATGATGGCTGGAACATCAGAAACCCCAAGTAATTTTTGGCCTTTGGGAATGCATAAACTGTGCCTTCCAATTTTCTTTTCTGCAAAATGGTGGGTGTGAAAATGCCTAGGCTTCCTTAGAATTTAGTCCCAATCGAAATAAATGTGTTTTATAACTCATTCAGATTTTATGAGGGATTCCAGATGCACGAATAACTAACTTCTGAATATTTGATTAAGTTAATACCTGAAATGGAAAGAGATGCATCTCCTTGTGTGTGCTGTGCAGTTCAGCTTGTGGCAGATACCTTACAGGGTTAGATCAATCACGATGCTTCAAGAATGTGGGGTGTTGGTGGTGATTTGGAAGTGCAAGCGATTGCAGATAAAATAATCTCTGCTACCAAAGTAACATGTGAATTGAACCTGTTTTCATGTCACTGCAAGCATTTAGATATACTGCCATGTAGAGAAGTGGATGACTCTGCCATGGTCATAAGGGAAACATCTTTTATCGTAGGGAGAACACAAATGTGTAGCTGCTCTTGGCTTCAAGGTTAAAAAGCAAATTTATGGTTTCTAGAGTGCTGAATTGAATTGACTGTAGGAGAAATGGTCAGGAGGATAAAAAATTTGTAGCCAGTGAGAAAACCATGCCTACAGGGGGGCCAAAACTCTTTGGACGAAAAGTCACAAATGCAGAAAGAACGTATATGCTTCTGAACCTGGGTGACACTGCCTTGCACTTCTGTGATGATGGATTTGAGGAGAACACAGAAGGGCTTGGAAAGAGTTTTGATTTTTATTACATAGAAGAGATAAAGCAGTGATTGGGAAGCAAAGTGAGAGATTTCTTTGGTGCCCAAGGAATGTAAGAGACACGTTGGGGGAGTTGTGGATGAACTACGGGGTGCAGGAGGCAAGAGACAAAGTTTCTGTATACATCCTCTTCTCACCCAAAACCCTGCAGTTTTTAATCTCCCTGTCACCAGCTGCTTTGAACTGATGGATATGCACCCAGTGACAGGGTCACAGAGCAAAGAGAGCATTGGGAGTCTTGTTAGGCGAGGGATTTTCAGCTCCTTGTGTTGTCTGAGCTGTGCTAGCATGCTATTTTTCTGCAAAGGTAAGGGGCAGAGACTCCTTACCCCCCCCCCCATTTAGCCGCCTAGCACATCAGGACGCTTGTCCTCTACTTGAGTTGGTGCGAGTGTCCCATTCAGTTTGGTTTACTCGTGTCGTAAGTGTCACCTTGCAGCTGTTCTCCGAGTGACAAGCACATGGTTTGCCGACAGCCGTTTCTGGAATTTCAGCAAGCACGACTGTGACAGACAGACACACTAGTTGCTTTTGAAGAAAGACCAATGCAATTTTACTCTGCAGGGAGAAGCGGATTTGTCTGCGGCAAAAGCCACAAGGTGTCAGCACAGCCTGTGCTTTTGCTTTGCAGGTGCAAGGAAAAATAGTGATGCCTTTATGAATAACCATTAGTGAACTGGTTTAACCCAAGGGGCCTGTGTTCTCTATGCCCGACGAAATGCCAAAGGCTGCGCAGACAAATATTTGCTGGACTGATGTTAAGCAAAAAGCCAGGGGAAACTCCTAGCTTGCTTCTCCTGTATGTTAATCCTCTTTATTATATGCTAACCTGAATCTATTCCCTGCAGATCATGGATGTGGAATCTTCTTCATGCTGTTAATTTAGTTCTGTTTGTGTAAAACAGATCTGGTTTGCTGAAATAGTGTGCATTCATTGCAATTCGGTCGTTAAAGATATTGATCACAGAAAAAGTCATCTGCATGTTTACTTGGGAGCAACTGCCATTGTACTGTTACTTCTGAGTGTGCATGCATAGGATCAGGCTGTACAGCTTCCTTAAGAATACATATGCAGAAGCAGGTGTGGCTGAAACTGATGGGGCTTCTGTAGGAATAAATATGGTCAGTACTGAGTGCTAACATCAGGGCTCCCCTCCCCCCCGCTGGAACTCACCTGAACTCAGTTCTGGCACCTCTCAGGTGGATGCCATTGCCATTATAAGAGAACAAGGGAGGCATTCACGGTGAATTCCGGCACCTCTTTTTCCATAAGAATAGCACTAAGTAACATGTATTTATTAATTTACAAAACATAACCAATACTTGCCTACAATGGATGCAAATATAGCTGGGGTATTTCGTGTCTATTTCGTTGTATTAAATTACAGTTGTTGGGTGTGTTGATCTTAGGGGTGAATATAAAACATTCCCCCCCTCCATAAATCCTGCTTCAAATTAAGCGCTCGCTAGATCCTAAGACTTTGAAAGGGAAAGCTTTGCATAATGGAAACTAGTGGAATTGAAAAAAATCAAAAAAATCCAGTGCAAATACCTAGGGAGTGTTTGAAAGCTTTACCTGCAGAGGTTAAGCTTCAGTGCAAGAATTTAAATGAACTCACTTGAAGCCATGTGCCAAATAAGCTCATCAAAATTCTGCATCTCCTAAGTAGGAGATGGTGTTTTCGACATGTTGCATTCTTTTGAGGTAGTGGCTAAAAAGAAAAGTGATGAAGAGGGAAGGCAATCATTGCCTTTCCTCTTTTGCTTCTTCGCTTTTTCCTGCTATAGCTTTTTAAAATAGAGAATGAAGTGACTTTTGTTGCCTCGAGATATCCTAGGTCATTGTATGGATCAGTAAAGGTTCCCTGACAGTGTTTCCTCCCTATCTTAAGCCAAGAATGAAACTGTGGCGAGATGGCAGAGGAGCTGCTCAGAACATCATCCCAGCATCCACAGGTGCAGCGAAGGCTGTTGGCTAGGTCATCCCTGAGCTGAATGGAAAACTCACAGGGATGGCTTTCCGCGTCCCAACTCCCAATGTTTCTGTCGTGGACTTAACATGCCACTTGGAGAAACCAGCCAAGTATGATGACATTAAGAAGGTTGTGAAGGCAGCTGCCGACGGCCCTATGAAGGGTATCCTGGGATACACCGAGGACCAGGCTGTCTCCTGTGACTTCAGTGGTGATACCTACTCCTCCATCTTTGATGCTGCTGCTGGCATTGCTCTCAACGATCACTTTGTGAAGCTGGTCTCCGGGTACGACAATGAATATGGATACAGCAACCTCGTGGTAGACTTGTTGGTTCACATGGCATCAAAGGAGTAAAGGCAGAGTTCCATTTATTTTCTTACAACTCGGCTCTGTATCTTGCAGTAGGAGGCCTTCTCTTGTTCCATCTGCCTCTGAGGAAGTAGAGAGGCTGGAAGAAACTTGACTGTTTCAGTAACATCTCCCCTCTCAATAAAGTCATCACTGTCTCAAAAAATAAAATAAAATAAATAAAATAAAATAAAATAAAATAATGGCTCACCCCTTCCTTAGAAGAAGCTCAGAGGGCCAGGTGACTAGCCTATTAAATAAAAATAATATCAAATAAATATTAAATAAAAACAATAAGTATTAGTGCAGGGGAATCTCTATTGGCCTTAGGATTTCCTCCCTCCCTGGAACTTGGTGTTTCCCAAGGGGAGAAAATGTGCCTCAAACAACCGAACTAGGATAAAATGCAAAGGAACTTTAGAAAGAACTTTTTTTTTTTACTGCGAATAAGAAAGAAAATAAATAGCAGGGCTTCGCTAGTACCAGTGCTTCCATTTCATAGATATATATCCTGGTTACACTTTGTACAAGATAGCAACAGGATGCATTAAAGTTCCAGTATGAGGCAGGATAGTAACTGGTTAAAACTCCCAAGGCACAATTGGGGCAGTGCAGAAAACATCAATGGTAAGCAGTATACATTTTCATGTCTCTCATTTTGCAGCAGTATATCCATACAGAATATAAATAGAAAAATAACATAGGTATGTATCTTCAAACAAGCGTCACGTAACCCTTCTGTCCCAGTACTGATGGGTTAAAAATGCAGAAACTATTTACAAAAGATTTTTGTTTTGCAACTTTTTTTATTTATAAAGAGGCTTTATTCTGTTTAACTTCTCGTATGTTCTTGTATGTTTTATGGGTTGTTCATTGTAGTCAAAGGAAGGTGCTGAAACCTGGCCTCCTCCATGTTTGTATGTAAAGCAGCTGGGGTTCGTTTGAAGAAATGATGAGTGAGAATGTAACAACTATATGGGCATCTTACAATATGAACAGGTGGCCTGTCAAGTTACAGCTGCCAGAGCTCTGGGTCTTCCTTGTGTGCACTGCACAAGGATCTGTCTGGGGCTGGAGGGTGTGTGTTTGTGTATTTCTGGATCTTGTGGTTGTGGAGGGAAGTCGGAAAATATCGGTGGTATCTGTTAAAAGCAAAGAGGCTGGATCCCCACAGGATTTCCATTGCGAGGGCACAGTCACGGAGGCTTACAGTTCTCTCACCATGACTGTCGTTATCTTCCAGGTCCCCAAACAACTGCACCCCCTCCTTCTGCTTGGCCCCCCTGGCAGCACAGTACAAGCTTAGCCCTCCCTGCTGAATTTCGCGTCTTGAAAGCAGACAAAAATGTGGAAAGCAACCCTGCAGAAATACGTTGACATTTTTCAGAATATCTGGAGAGGAGCTACGCTTTGCTACTCCCGAGTAGCAGCCTTGGCACAGTTTAGCAAGGGAGGGGCATGTTAGAGAACATAAGGGATCACTTGCCTATGGCTGGTGGTGCTGTTCTCTCCCAGCTCTTTTGCTTCTTCCATGATAGTGCGGTAGCTACCCTGTTGCTTGCCAGAGAAAAGCAGGTAGCGCTTAGGTGTCTGATCACTGGGAAGTTTCTCCTCTAGACCTGCATAAAATTGTGAGGAGTAATACTCCACCTCTCTCTCCGCCTCAGCTCTTCGGTCACATTGGATCTCTCGATTCTTGTCCTCACTGGGTTTTTGCTTATAAATAGGGTCAGCTGGCTACTTTTCAAGGAGAGATGTTTCTTGATCTTGCAGCTGCAGGCTTGATTTTGAAAGGATAGCGTGTGAATGGAGTCAGTGGTATCTGGTGTCCCATTGGGACTGGGGGGGGGGGGAGAAGGCAGAACCAGAGGCAATGACTAGGTGAGCCGACTAATTCTAGTTTTGTCCCCATCCTCCTCACTGCTGAGTTCTGCAAGGGGACCTCTGAGACTGAAGAGGAGGAAGCAGATAGGCAGGGCCACTCCCTGGACTGGATGTAAGTCAGAAGGCTTGATTGTCCAATGTTCCATTGCCTCCATAGACCAGCCCCCACCGAAGCAAGCACAACTCTCTGGAAGAGACATTCAGATACATTTGCTTTCATAGCGCCCTGACTGGAATGCCATTCATTCATTCAATTTTCTTCGTATGCCGCTTTTCCACACACACAAAAAATCATGCTCACAGTGACTTACAACAAAGAAACGTGGGTGTCCTATACGATTGTGTTACATCTGGTGCCAGTGTTCACTTTTCTATACCAGATGAAGACAGCTCAGATCCATGTCAAACTCTTGAAAGGAACAATTGCATTTCTGTCTTTCCATCCTCCATGGTAACAATGGCTTAAGGCCAGCCCATTACTGAAATTTTTTTGCTGCCTGAGTTTGTTACCTTCGACAGAATCCTTGTTTGCCTTCTGCCTGATTCTTCCTCCCTCTGCAGCGTTTTGAAAGCCTTTCAGACGATTCATGTGTTACACAACATTGTGACCCAAAGGAGTGCTCTTTGCATGCACCTGAATGTTCTTTAGTTAGCTTTTCAAAGATTGCCCTTGCAGAACTCCCAAACTGCTTTTTAAACTCCTCCCAAGATTTTGTATGACAGCAGTTAAATTACGGGAAATTGTAAATCGTGCACAACGGTCATTACTCCCCAGGTTTCCCTGTAAATTGTTTTTTTTACCCAAACTTTCAAAATTGTCTTTCTGAACTCAAGCAAAGTGTAAGAGGAAAGGGTGGGGGGAATTATTATTAGTACAGTCCCCAAGAACATCTTCCGGTACATGTAGAGAATGTATTCATGCTTCTTATGATTGTAGGCCACAGCCTGATACTTGCCTTGATATGCCCCTTCTAAATTGTATAGGCAGAGTAGCCTAAAAGGAAACTGCAAATTGTGGCCTAAATGGTCCTGTGGTATGTATCAAGACAGGTTCCATATCTAATATCCTAACAGTAATCAAATAATGCTACTACTTCTAAATGTCTATGCTGTATCTTCAGATTCAACGAGCACGTCTGTGGTCTCAAAACATTTTGGCACCATTTAATCCATTCAGCAGTCAGGATCTGATCTGGCCAGGGTTACAGCGTTTGTCCTCAAGATATGAGACAACACATCAGAGCTAGCAGTCCGAGTCCCACTCTACATACTGTATGTGTAGCAGCTGACGGTAACATGCATCCCTGGTGGCATTGAAACTGCTATCTGGTCAGTTCAATGGGGTTGCTTTGCAATGCAAGTGGGGTGTGCATGGGTGCAGCAGCCCGTTTCTAGACAAAGATTTCTGTTGCTTTAATGGAGTAATAAGCTGTCCGTGCTGTGAATCAGTAGTCTTGGGTCGTTATTTTATTTGTTTATAGTGACTTTCACTAGTGTTAACTTAGGAGACGTGGTTTTTCCGGACAATACTGAAAGCAGCTTCATCCCACTTTCTGCTCAGCTGTTTCTTTTTGTTAAGGTTGTCCCATGGCTTTTTTTAATTACAGGTGTTCCAGCTTCCTTCATTGGCTTTTCCAGGTCCTGGAACAAGCGGTTCTGAGCCGATGAATTCATTCCTCATTAGAACTTTGTATGCGTTTTTACCGTCCAGAACCTTAGGACTTATATTTGGCATGCAGAAATGCCTTTCCATTGCACATCAACTGTGGAAGTTGCTTCATTAGATAATGCTTTGGCATCAAAGTTGTGAAAAAGGTTGGGTGGGAATACAGCAGCTCATTAAATGAAGATTTAAGATGCAGGGAGTTGAGGTGCCCTGGTGTTTGGGGGCATTTGACTGGCAGTCTTGAAGGATGTGAATTTAAAATGTCACATTAAATGCTTGCCCTCTGGTCACCTCTAGGTGGGCCAATGAGCCTCTTTCTTCCCTACAAGATGCCATAAAAATGGATGCTCTTCAGCCATGTCAGCTGGTTGTAGAAGCTCCTGGTCAGTAGTTGCGTTTGGAAGTTTTCATTGTTTTCTCAAGTGGTTGGCCAGCAACCAAATTACTACTGCTCCCTCGTTTTTCTCCCTCCTTGCCTCACCACCCCCAATTTCCCCTGCGCTGTTTTAAAACAACTCTGCAATTCTATGATATAAAAGGGGCACACTAGATGAGGTGGTGGGAAGGCTCATTTCTTCTCTTTCTATAAATTGTTGTACGTATTCCTTCCTCCATATTAAATGGGTGGGGAACCACGACTGCAGGGGCCAAATGCAGCCTTCAGACCACCCTGTTCAGCCCTTGACCAGCCCTGCTCAGAGCCCTCCTTAAGTGCTTCTGCCTGGCTGGAACATGGTCTACAATACCAAGGCACAAAGAGTTGCATCCATTGCTTGGCCCACTTTTGCCTCTGGCCAGACCCACCACTGGCACACAGCCCCCAAAGGTTTCCTCATAAGGGAGTGTAACCCTTGGACTGAAGAGATTCCTTGCCAGCCACTACAAACTTTGTGATCCATTCCAAGAGATCTTTCCCTGTGTGTCACCTGAAGTGGCTGGAGGGCGAGGTGGATGGGGAGACCGACATGCTGCAGATGAGGACACAGGAGGACGTTTCATAGGGCAACAGGCTCTGCTTAGAATCAACTGTTCCATGTTTCTAGAGAGCTACCAGCTTCTTGTTACTCCCTCTTGGGAATGGAGGTTGCTTTCCAACTTTTGCACCATTTGTTTGCAAGACATCTTGAGGGAATTCGTGTTGAGGGCCAGCATGTGCTCAGTTTGCAGCCTGGTTCCTCTTAAGCTCACTTTACCTAATTTGTTGACGTGCTAAAACGATCACTGGCACACCTGCCGTTTCACTTATTCAAAGCTGCCAAAGAGACTTGAGCAATTGCTGCATGGATGACATAGTGGCCTGCTCCAGTCAATGGACACCAGTTGTGTGGGAAGGAGAAGAGAGAGGCAAGCGGGCAAAGACAACATCATGGTTTGGTTTGCTCCAGTCGGACCTATTCCCTCCTCCCCCACCAGCTCAGTCAGGGCCAACTTTACATTTTGCATCATTTATTTGTTCAATATTTAAAAAATCATAAATTGACTTGGGCTCCTTGGCAGAAAGGTGTTATATAAATGTAATAAATACATAAGTAGTAATGTGTGAATTTGGCCCATGCAAAGGAAAAGTGAGGCTGGAACTGCATTTAAATGTGTGGCAGTTTCACGCTTAGTTCTTCCTCTGCAACAACCGATGACACTTTTTGGTTTTGTCCCGTCAGCTTCAGACCATCATGTCGGGTGGGCAAATGCACAGGCTGTGGCATCGGGGCACAGGTAGTTTGTATACAGAAGGGGAGGAGGGATTTATAAACATGTGGTTGCTGTTTTAATGGCAGCCATGTAATAAACTTAACACTTACTTCCAATCTGACCTAGAGTATTTTTTTTTTTACACCGTTTGTTATCGGAGAATAGGCCCTTCCAGAGTTGCCACTTTGGTTTACGGGTGGACTGATTGTGTGCTCTGTGTGATCATGCAGGAATGCTGGCTTAAAAGAAGAAGACAGAAACCATTTGCCAGGTGCGCAGAAAATGCTGTGTCCCACCCCTTTGTTGAATGCATCAGCAGAGTGATTCTATTTTCCTATGCATCATTAAACTGTGCAACTAAAATTGTGCACTGAGGTTTTAAGGCAACCATTCTGCACCCCCTACATCAGGGTTAGCCAACATGGGCCCCTCTGTGTGTTGTGGACTGCAAGTCCTATCAGTGACAGGCTAGGCAATAGTCAGGACTGATGGAAGTTGCAGTCTAAAACTTCTGGGAGGGGCACCATGTTGGCCACCCCTGCCTTACATAATTACCAATATATTCCAAATACTGCGGTGTAAGCCAGATACATTGGTAACGTCTCTCCCCCGCCACATCAAACACCCCCCAAAAGATTTAAGTTTTAAGGCAACCACTCTCCCCACCCCCCAGAATTACCAGTATATTCTAAAACACTGGTAACATTCCTTCCTTAAGTGCCTGAAATAAGATGATAATTATCACCACCATTCAATAATACCAAACTTACAAGCTTCAAAAAACAAACAAAAACTATATTAAGAAACCCCCAGAATCTTCATAGTGCTCTTTGAAAACTTGTCATGATGGAAGAGAGAGAGAGAGATGCTGGATCACACAGTGCTGCTGGTTTCTCCACTCGAAAATTCCCCTGATGCTCTGGGCAAGGTGAACTTGACATACCTGCCCCTCTCCCACCCGTTCCTGATGCGCCGCAGTCTTTGGTTCATACAAGGGAGCTGGAAGAAGAGTTTGGCCAGGATCACAGCACACGGTACCAGCAGCGTGAGAGTAAAGGTGGGAGGCAGGTAGAACTTGTACTGGCTTTCATCAAAGGCCCTGGTCCAGCCGTAAGTCAGGGTGTGCAGAGTGCTGATCACCAGAGCGACAAAGCCAAGGGAGGACTGAAAAGGGGAGCAGAAGAGGAACAACAACATTGTTTTCAGTGACGTGGCTGGAGTTGGGTACTCTTGTTTCCCCAAGCGTTGCTTATCCTTTGTATGTAGCTGTATCCTACCCAATGCTACAGTCCAATACAGTACACAATTCCTTGGCTGCAAGTCCCACTTTCCTCAGTGGGATTTACTTCTGAGTAAGCACAGGGTTGGGATGCACCTGAGCAGCAGCTTTGAAATGCGCCTTATCCCCAAAGGCCCTCCATCCAGGTCAAGTTAGTTTTAATTAGGTCCGAAACCAATGAAAATTATTATTGGTAGCCATGTGAATGTGCGTCAATAGAGCAAGCATGACAGGTCCCTGAATGCTAAAATAAGGGAAAGCAGATGGAGGGGGAAATGGAGGCATATAGGCAATATGTGCTTATGTCAATTAGGTATACTTTAGCTTTGTCACAATAAGGGACACAGACTTGGAGAATGAGGGGGGCGGGCAAATCCAAAAAGAACAAGAGATTGGAAAGAGAAAATGAATAGGAACGATATCATGATGGAGAGGGTGGGTGGGTGGATGACCTAGTATCTGAAACAGGCGTATCTATTGGGACCTCCAACAAGGTGCATGTGGGTTCTCTGGGGCTCCTGGCATCCTGAGCAGCCAACTGGACAAAGCCACCACACCCGAATGGCCCTGATTTACCTCCTCCTAACCAAACTGCTAAGCTGTTGATTTCAATGTGATGTAGTTATAACTAATTTGAGTGGGATAGGAGCTAAAATGGGTAATGCTGACATTTTTGTTGTTGTTGTTGTTGTTGTTGTTGTTATTAGGCCAGATTCTGTTGGTGGGAATATATGAGCTTCTAGGGCATGGGTAGGCAAACTAAGGCCCAGGGGCCAGATACGGCCCAATCGCCTTCTAAATCCGGCCCGTGGACGGTCCAGGAATCAGCGTGTTTTTACATTAGTAGAATGTGCCTTTTTATTTTAAATGCATCTCTGGGTTATTTGTGGGGCAAATTACCCCCCCCCCCATATAGTCCGGCCCTCCACAAGGTCTGAGGGACAGTGAACCGGCCCCCTGCTGAAAAAGTTTGCTGACCCCTGTTCTAGGGCATTTTACTTGGGCAGAATGAAGCTACTCTTTTCAAATTCCCAGACTCTCACAGCGGATTGGCCTGATCAGATGAGCTGTCCTCACATTTACATTCCTGGTCAAAGGCTGGCACAAAGTAATCAGGTCCATTGCCAAGTAATCAGGTCAATTTTAAGTAATGATTTGTAAAAGTTTACAGCTCCCTTTATGCAACCACCACCACCACAGTGAAGCAGTTTTAACACAAACCACTCTAACTATAGGTATGGAACAACTGTAACACAAGCCTTTCTTTTCTTATAAATGAGCAAAACTCAGGCAGCTAAAATTCAGCCTAAAATAGATACAATGACTGGCGCAGGATACTTTCCAGTGATTTGCTTCTGATGAGTCATTGGCATGGATCCTAAGTTCCTGAGAGTGGAACTCTGCTCATGAGATCCTGCTGCTGGTGGCGGTGATTTTTTTGCAGGTTCCCACTGTATGTCCTCTGCAAATCCACTCCAGAGTATAGAGGGGACGCTCCAGAACAGCTTGGGGTATGTGCTGGGGGCTGCAGGGGAATTGATGTACGTAAACGGCCTCTCCCCTCTCTCCAACCCCTAACCTCTTTCTTCTAACAGGAAGAATTGTTGATTTGGGAGTCCCTTCTGTTTATGGAAGGGCAATTCAGTATCCAGACCATTGTCTTAGTCCAATGGCTTCCTTAAAAAAGAAAGAGCAGCACAATCCTATGGATATTTGGTCAGAAGTAAATGGCCATTGGATTCAGTAGGGCTTATTATTAAGCAAGTGTGCAGTGGACTGTATCCTAATACACATGCATGGAAAATAAATTATTGATGTCGTTTTACAACATGCATGTCCTAGTAGAGATCTTCTAAACTAGTTTTTACACACACAAACACAAACTTTCACCACTGGGGGGCAGAGGAACAACAAAGTCCTCTGTTAGGGTAATGCAATGTAGAGAAACAAATAGCAAATGACGAAATGAAAAGGAAAATAAAAAAAATGGATTTGAACTAGTATTGAACGTATTTTGTGCTGATATTTTCTATATTTAATATGGGGTGGCAGCCGCAAATCAGTTCTTAAGTGTCAAATCTATGCTGCAGAACTGTCTGGGGTCCAAAGAACCCCAACACTCATCCTGTGCACCAGAGGAACTTAGGGCTTGTACTTCTCAAACAGCAGCAGCAAATGGCTTGAGAAACCAAGGGGCTGTTCAAATGCTTTAATGTTGGGCATGGCTAAAACAGCTCTTGACCCTTCTTTTCAATCTTCTGAACTACTTTCATTACTTTTACTTGTTTTATGGTGAAAACGAAAAAAGGAAGGTTGTTCCCAGCCACCCTGCACTGGAATGAGATTAGAAAAACATCCCTTGCTTTTTATGTGAACAACAGCCTTGTTGTGTCTGGTTTGGCCCTGGGAACTGTCTTCCTCCCCCCCTCTCTAAAAACCCTTGAATTGCAGCACTTACCTGAATGAAACTGAATTCCCTCCAGTTGAGAGAGTTGGAGATGGAAGGAAGTGAGGTTATGGCAAGCAAGGACAGCAAGCCCAAGGCCATGATGCCAAAAGAAATGTACATCTCCATCCTCCAGACTTCCTCCTCTACCCATGGATCTGTTTTCTTCTCCACCTGAAGGAACAAGAGCAAAGGTGTGTAGGAGCAACAAAAGAGGGTTTAAAAGATACACAGAGTTCGCTCCGTACCCATGAAGCATTTTCATGGGGTTTCTTTTCTTTAACAGCAGCAGCCTGGTGGCCCTTCTGTCAAAGGTGGCAATGATTAAATTCTTCTGCACCAGCACATGGCTGACTCCCATTCCAGTCTAGGCATTTAATTCTGCCATTGGCCTCAATCTACTGCTGGTGCAACCTGCCTCCTCTCCTGGACAAAATGAGTTTGCACCAATGTTGTCCATCCAGCAACCTTATATTTCATCCGTCGCCATCATCATCATTTACAAGTTATATTTTGCAACTGCCACAAAGAATACCCTCTCCTGTGCTGCCAACTCCCTCTAAACTACTGAAGACGGTGGAATTATCAAGAAGGTAATCTGATTTTAACACTTGAGGGGGTCTCTAAGAAAGGAAGTAGCCTTTCAGACATTTTGGGGACTGAATTGGATCTGGACATTTATTTTATTTATTAAACAATTAAAGTAAGTTCATCCGAAGATCACAGGGCAGTTCACAACATTAAAATACAAATAAAAAGAACACAAAATACTTAATAAAAACAACCCTCCTGTCCGCAACACATTTAAAAGGATATAGGGGTTTATGTGTGTTCTAAATGGAAGCCAATCCCGTAACCTGGCTGCTGCGTTTTGGACCAGCTGAAGTTTCCTAGTTGTTTTCAAGGCCAGCCCCACTTGCAGCATGTTGCAGCAATTCAAGCTGGAAGTTACAGTGGCTTCGCTTCTGTTCCAAAGGGCTGTAGCTGGTCAACTAGGAAACTTCAGCTGGTCCAAAACGCAGCAGCCAGGTAACTGGAAACAGGCATTCCTAGCCACTGAGGTCCTCCAGTGACAAATGTGACCCCAGGAGTACACTGAAGCTACAGACCTGCTCCTTCCAGAAGAGTGCAGCCCTGTTCACGGCAGACTGTCTTCCCACCTCTTGGACCAGAGAACGTCAAATACGCAACACCTCTGTTGTATCAGCCTCAATTTCCCACTGACCTCTGCAGGGCTTGCCAATAACTTGGCACCTCCATGATCAGACCATGCTTTGCCATTGAAGGCTGCAATTAATATGTGAAATCAGCTCCAGTTTTGAGCTAGGTCCACAAGTGTCGCTCTCTGAATACTTGACTGCTCAGGGCTTAATGGGATTTGGTTTAAGTGCATTTAGGAGAGAAGCGTTCAGGCTAATGGAAAAAAAGAAATGGGATTTGTACTATATTACAGAGTCTGACACTTAGACCCAGCCATTTATTCCATTAAAATCAATGCGATTCATGAAGCAAGGATGTTGCTCAGGGGGGAAAGAAAGAAAGAAACAATGCAAGAAAAGAGGGAAATGGGCATCAACGGCTTGCAAGGGATTTATTTACAAGAATCACAGAAGAGAAATAAATGCAGCTGGAATTAAGAGGCTGTTGAGGGACTGCATCCCTTGCACCGAATACAGCAAGGTGATCGGGAAGGAGGCTCAGACAATATTAGCAGGAATAAAAAAACTGAAAAGTGCTAACTCATTGCGGCATCTTGCATTCATCAGTATTTCTTAGGCTGTGAGTCTAAAACTGCTAATGTGGAATATATTTCCACTAGCTGCACTGAAACTCCCATGCAATGCTTTGGGGAACGTAAGAAGATCTCTGCTATTAGACAAAAGGCCCGTTTCATCCAGCATCCTGTTTTCCGGAGTGGTCCATCAGCTGCTCATGAGAAGCCCCATAAGTAGGACATTGGCGACAATAGCACTCTCCAATTTGTGATCTCCAGCAACTGCTACTTAAGAGACAGACAGTCTCTGATACGGGGGGTAGGATGCAGTCAGCATGATTCATTGTCACTGGTAGCCTTATCTTTGATCAATCTGTCTAATTCTCTTTTTAAGCCGTACAAATTGGTGGCCATTTCTACACCTTGTGATAATGAATTCCATAGTTTGTGTGTGTGTGTCCACTTTCCTCACATCAGGTATGGTTTTATACACCTCTGCCACATCCACCCTTTCTTGCCTTTCCCCCCCCTAAAATGAAAAAGCCGCAAACATTCCAACCTTTACTCCAAAGGAGAGTCGCTCCAGGCCCTTGGTAATTTCGATTGCCCTTTTCTGTACCTTCCCCACCCCCCCAGCTGTACAATACAGTGGTACCTCAGGTTACATACGCTTCAGGTTACATACTCCACTAACCCAGAAATATTACCTCGGGTTAAGTACTTTGCTTCAGGATGAGAACAGAAATTGCGTGGCAGCAGGAGGCCTCATTAGCTAAAGTGCTGCTTCAGGTTAAGAACAGTTTCAGGTTAAGAAAGAACCTCTGGAACGAATTAAGTACATAACCAGAAGTACCACTGTATCCTTTTGGAGGTGTGGAGACCAGAACTATAGACAGTATTACAAGTGCAGCCGCAGCATAGATTTGTATAACACACTATGATAATGGCAGCTTATTTTCCTAATGAGGGAATTTGCCTTTTTCACAGCTAGTACACACAGTGGGGTTGGCATTTTCATCAAGCTATCCATCGTGATCCCAAGATCACGATGGTCAGGCGTATCTAGCTCAGAACCCCATTAGTGTACATGTGAAGTTATGGTTTTCTCCTCCAACCTGCATCACTTTACACTTGTTTACGTTGAACTGCATTTGCCAATTTTACTGCTCATTTGCCCTGTTTGGAAATATCTTTCTGCAGCTCCTTGCAGACCTGTTTTGTTCTTACCCAGCCTAAACAATTTGGTGTCATCAGCAAACTTGGCCACCTTACTAATCACCTCTAACCAGGCAGAGGGTCTTCTCGGTAGTGGTGCCCACCCTGTGGAACGCCCTCCCATCAGATGTCAAGGAAATAAACAAGTATCTGACTTTTAGAAGACATCTGAAGGCAGCCCTGTTTAGGGAAGTTTTTAATGTTTGAAGTTTTATTTTGTTTTTAATGTTCTGTTGAAAACCGCCCAGAGTGGCTGGGGAAACCCAGCCAGATGGATGGGGTAGAAACAACAACAACAACTCTAGATCATTTGTGAACAAGTTAAAAGCACTGGTCCAGTACTGACTACTTAAATCCCTCCACTGTCTTAACTGTCAGTTTAGTCCTACTCTCTGCTTCCTGTTCTTTAGCCAGTTACTGATCCATAAAAGGACCATAAAGTGACTTTGGTGAGGGGGCAGAATGAAAAGCTGTTTGAAAGTTCAAGTACACAGTGTCTGCTGGATTACCCTTATCCATATACTTATTTGACACACTCGAGACAAGACTTAACTTTGCAGAAACTATGCAAGACTATGTGCTTGGTAATTTTAGCTTTAATAATGCTTTCCACCCCTTTTCCTGGTTCAGATATTAAGCTACCTGCCCTGTAATTTCCAAAATCTTCTCTGACCCAAATTGCTTTTTTATTTATTTAAATGGTGCTAAACTGACCACTTTCCAGGCCTCAGGTATGGAGGCTGATCTTAGGGACGAGCTAAGATCACCAGCATTTTTTTTACACCCACATCATTTGCAGACAGACCAGACCATGTACCAGCATTCCAAAGAATTGGAAGTACAGTACCTGACTGACAGCATCTCTGAGCAACGAGTAACGATGGGATCGCCGCATGGGTAGGCACAAGCTGTACACAGCGTGCAGGGCTGCACAGAAAAAGCTTAGCAGACCTATCTGCTTCCTGTGCTGCAGCCACTGGTCAAGCCAGTCAGGGAACCGCCTATACTTGGTGCAGCGGTAGAGCTGGAAAATGGCCGCCAGCACTCCAGGCAGGTAGACGAGGGATAGCATGACGTAGGCGACGCAAGGCAACGTGGTGTTGACGACCTCCACAGGGATCTTGTAAAACTTGTTCTTTTGCTCCCGGATGTAAGGGTGCAAAACTTGCCGGATGAAGTTGTATGTGTAGAAGCAGAGAAAGAGACCCAGGGCCAAGAAGACGGGGATCTTCCAGGCAGGGAGAAGCCGTAGCGGAATATTCTCAATTTCACGAGCTGAGCACAAGGAGCCCATGTCCACCGGGGTGAACCCCAGCATGTGAGCAATTTCGGCAATGGCACGCTTGGCTTCTTGGTTGTTGGAGCATATGAAGACCTGCAGGAAACAGAAGACATGTGATGGCAGCGACTGGCAAGCAGAGATCAGGAGCACAGGTACGGGGTTCAAGGACGAGCGATGGCATGGCGAGTGCCATACAAAGCAATAATACGGACACACCTGAGCATTTCATGTGTGCACCTTTGTCTCTGTTGACTCATATGTACTTCCTCTTCCCAAGTTTCTTGAATTTTGAGGTAAGTTGTAGGCTATGACCCAGACTCCTAGAGAACCTGAACACCAGAGAGGGTGGCTTTTTTTGGTTTTTGTTTCGCAAGGGCTGTCACTAGATTATAAAAGGTAAAGGGACCCCTGACCATTAGGTCCAGTCGTGACCGACTCTGGGGTTGTGGTGCTCATCTCGCTTTATTGGCCGAGGGAGCCGGTGTACAGCTTCCAGGTCATGTGGCCAGCATGACTAAGCTGCTTCTGTCGAACCAGAGCAGCGCACAGAAACGCCGTTTACCTTCCCGCCGGAGTGGTACCTATTTATCTACTTGCACTTTGACGTGCTTTCGAACTGCTAATATAAAGACAGCTTAATTGATTGCTTGAATTAATTCTGTTTGACTCAATCAGATAATCAATCCATTTGCATAAAAATCATGGCTCTCGCAACTCTGAGACCCAGAATTTAGTGTTTTACTTTAAAGGAAGCTGAGAGTTTTGGGGTTTTGCTGAGGTGTATGCAAAGCAGCAGGCTGTGTACAAGTTATCTCCAAACTGCAAAGAGCCCTGATCACAGGTATGAGAAAAAATGTAACTGCATTTTTAGCCATGTTTTCTCCCCCCCTCCCACCACATTTTCTTTCTCTCCAAGTGTGACAGGTCTGGATGTATACACACAACCAATATATCAGAACAGTACCTGCTTATTCCCATCCCTTGGGCCTGACTGTAACGTCCACGCTGAGATGACGTTAAATCCTTTGACAACAGTGCATGATGGGAAAAGTGACGCCAAATACTCAGCATTTGATTCTTTGTGATGGTTGATTTCATCGTTGTTGCTGACATCCACCAGGATTTTGCCAGACAGCTCATCACTGAGGTCGCAGAGTGTGGTGTAATGTTCTCTGAAAACCGCCACAAAGATAATATCTGTCTTCTTTATAGCATCTGCCTGGAAAGTTACTTCAGCTGCTGATGGAAAGAGGGTGGCATTGCGCTTTGGGTTCCGGCTTCCAATCACCACTTTGAAACCTGAGCACACCAAGCGCATAGACAAGGAGCGTGCAAAGTCACCACTGCCCAGGATCCCCACCGTCGTGTTACCAGTGGCTGCAATGAGGCTTGCATTACTTTCCACATTTTGTCGGCCGAGGAGTGGCTTTGCCATGTCACCCTCCGGCATCACGATAAGCTAAAGCAAACAAAACACAAAGTCGCATCAGATACCTGGCTGAAAATGGCACCTTCCTTTCACCCCACTTTGTATGAAAGTTGTGGAATTTCTTCTGGGACCAGTTGCAGAATCTCTTTTTCCCCTGAAGTCCAGCTGGCACCACCATTGGCCATCTTTTGGGGCCAGCTGGAAGCCTACCCTTTTCTCCAGACCTTCTGATTTAGGAGCCCTGGTCTATCTAGTAGTATGCTGACAGATGGAATGATTTATGTAGTGAATTGCATGTTTCAGTGTTTATTGATTGGTTTCATGCTGTTTGGTTTGACAGTGAAGGGTGGGATATAATTTTGCAAACAAACAAAACAAATAACATGTTAGAGCTTAACAGGAAATCTGTAAACGGGTGGTCTCTTATTCCTAACTAGTAAGTGAATGTATGTCTATATTTCAGCACTCAAGATAAACAGCTGGGGTTAGAATTGCAGCCTCATGCCATATTATCATAATTGCTTCGAGTAGATTAGCTTAGCCTGAATTAATTTTAACCATCTTTTTTTTGTTCACATATTCAGGGTGGTGAAAGCATGGGACGAATCTCTTCCATCCTCCAACGCATTGTTTTCTTGGCATCTTTAGGCTTCGCTCAGCCCTACCTTAATCTATGTGTTTTACTCTGGAATAAATATTTAGGAAAGTTCTCACACTCATGAATATATGGATAAGATGGATCAGTGCCTTTTGCTGCTCTGATGCAAATAAGCCTTGAGGTAGCAGTCACAAGAGTGAGGTAGCTACCATAAGAGGGTTGATTGACATATTTTCTATTGCTCTGCCCAACATACGGGTGAGAATAGAGTGCAGTTGCAGACACATGTTAAGTTTTTGCCTTGGAAGGAACACAGGAGTAGACAAAGCTTGAGTCAGGCTATGAAAGGTCACTTGGGTTATTTATTCGTTTGAGCTGCATTCTAAGTAAGAAGTAGTCAAAGCAAAGGTGAAGAATTTGAGATCCTCCAGATGTTGATGTACCCCATCGAGCATGGCCAATGGTCTGGGATGGTGACAGAAGCCATAGTCCTACAACATCTGGAGGGCCCACAAGTTCTTCATACCTGTCTCAAAACAAAGAGAAATGCATTTCTGAGCGAGTGAAATAAAGATATATTAATATTCAACACGTCAAGGTAGGTTTTTTTTTCCTGGCGACTTCTCTCACAATGGGCCCACAGCACTTCAAAAGCACCGTTACGTTCTCCCTAAGGAGCGGCAAACTGCTCTGCTCTCTTTCATAGTTTGGCATTTATATTCTGTAATTAAGTGCCATTCAGAAATGGAAGAAAGATGTGATTGCAAAGTTTTGAGAGAAGCAGGTTTTTGTTTTGTTTTTCACGGGGCAAATTGATGGATGATGTGGCTTGCGCAAACACTGACAATTAAATGGTTGAAAAATGTAAGCCAAGCCAAGGTGCTTTAAAGGAAATGAACAGGCATGGCCTCTGTAATTAAAGGTGGATTAAATAAACTCCCTTGTTTTAAATACTGCACTATCATGAGCTCAAGGCGATTAAGCCAAGTTGTAAGATGATTGTTTAAGAAACAGTGTGGTCTAGCAGAATGGCTGGCAAGAGCTAAAGTATGCATCATTGGTGGTCCAAAACCTTATTTTGCTGATTCACATGTAATGTTTATCTGGGACTGGTCATACATACGTACTCTGCTCTTGTTTCTCCTTCCCATAATTGGCACTTATTCTTAAGAGCAGTGGAAATAACTTCAACCTCAACGCAACCAGGAACAGCTCTCATCCAATGTTGCCAGTTTGAGAGGCAGCCATACTGCTGGTTGAAAAGTATGCTGAATTCCTAACCCATATCCCAAGGACAGCAATTGCTACTCCTCTTCAAGTCAAAGAGGTGGCGAAATTGCTTTACCAGTTTGCAAGCAGCCCTGCTTAATTCTACTCCTGACTGAGAGTTCCTTTAATGTCAGGGCACTGGTCAGAAGGAAATAAAATGTGCACTGATTTATTATTCTTTTTAAAAGGCTGCAGATAAGTGGATAGGCTCTCATTTAATCATGTCATTTTAAAATTTACATTTTAATTTTTCAACACATCTGGTATAAATTTGGGCACTAAATTAATTTCTCAGTTCTATACATATTTATTTGGTCTCAGGACTGTGCAATTAGTCATCATTAAAGGAAGATAGGAAAATAAGGAGAACATTGGCACCTGAAATAAACGTCAGTTTTAACCGATTTTTCTTTTAAAAAAGTGGGCCCCCAAAAACTTCCTGCAGCTGCTTCATTATGAGGGAAACAAAGTCATTTAATTCCTTCCTCAGATCTGGAGAGGCTTCTCTCAGAAGAACTGAGCAGGTGCCACATCCCTGCTGTGAACTGAACAGATTTTGGTAAGAAAGAGACCTTTTAATCAAAGACTCTTTTTTTGTCTCCAGCTCCACAAGATATCCCAAGAGTCTCTCCATCCAGAAAGAAAGTTAATAAACCTGACCCATCTGCGTACAATTTGCAGTTACAGCAGTAAAGATGCCAAGCAGAAATCATATATATCTCAGCACCACCACCAGCGTAGAGGAAAAGTAGAGCCGCTGTGTTGTTGTGTTTAGAGCATTGGACTAGGATGTGAGAAGCCAGGGTTCAAATCCCCACACAGCCATGAACCTCAGTGGGTGACCTTGGGCCACTTACCATCTCTCAGTCTATGCTACTTCACAGTATTGCTGTGAGCATAAAATAGGGAAGGGGAAAAACAAGGATGCCACACTGAGCTCCTTGTAAGAAAGCTGGGACATTATTATTATTATTATTATTATTATTATTATTAAAATGTAGAGACCATTTCATGGCACAAACCCATCAAAGTGGAGCACACTGTTAAACAGAATTAAAACACAGGAACACGAACTTGAAAGAATAAAATCATTCTACGAATTCTAGACCAATAAAGCCACCCATGCAAACGCTTAAAAGAACATGAAACATTTCCTCAAATATAAAATTGATCTTCCGTAAACGACTGAGTTGCACCTCAGGGAAAGCCTTCCCAAACAAAAATGTCTTTAGCAGGTGTCTACACAACACCACACTCAGTGCCTGTCTGATTTCAGCTGGTAACTGATTCATGAGAGCTGGAGATGCAACACTAACTGCTTGGTTTCCAGAACAGGTTAAGCACACCTCCGATATAGCAGCAGCAGCAGCAGTAATATCTAGCAAGACAAATTTATGAAGGTGAGTGTGTGTCAGTCATGGTACCTTTTACTGGCAGGTACAAGCAGCAGTATGCGAGGCAAAATTAACAGTAAGGCAAAGGCTCCTGTCAACCTCTTTTGAAAGTTAGGAAACTGACGGTATGATCCTTTGCATGTATCTTTGGAAGTAAGTCCCTCTGTGCTCAGTAGGGTGTAGTCCCAGGTAAGTGTACTCTGCATAAGATTGCAGCATGAGAGTGGGAGGGAGGCAGCCACCTACATGTCTTGAGAGTGTCAAAAATTGGGAATGTGATTTGCCCGATACGTATTTTGTGCTTCAGGGCAAGAAAATGTGCTGTTCCGATTTCTCTTTCTGGGACATCAGGGGCTTCCAAAGCTAGGCTACAACATCTAGAAGGAAGTCCAACGCAATTGCCACACATGATACATTGTGCATAGCTACCTCCCTTGCCCCCATAGCTACAGGAGAGATATTTAAAAATAATACATGATTGCGAAGAGCCTGTACCTTAAACATCTCTGTTTGCCAAGCTTGAGAACTGGAAGAAGTCAGCATGTGAGTTAATACGATGCCTTTATTTGCTATAATAAAAAACGCAGTTTGCAGGATTTTCTGAATGCAGTTACTCCTCCAGTGCAATAATGGAATGACCTGCATGAATCCATTTCGTAATAAAGAATATAATTACATTAGAATTTGAGAGTGTAACTTTAAGCCTACGTTCTTGTACAGCTGTGTTCTATTTAGTGAAGGGCTTTCTCACTCTTCTAAAAGTCCATGTTGGTTGTGTTACATCCTATAGGGCAGCTCTCCAGTCTAGGAGAGGCTTGTGTGTCCTGTTCTTGCCCAATAAAACCAGCATGGAGCAAATCCATGGGGAAATACTGTACATGGGCTTTAACTGAGCAGAGTCAATTGCTGCCACCATGGCACCATTGCCATAGGGGTGCGAGTGGCGCAGTGGTATAAACCACTGAGCCTCTTGGCTTGCCGATTGGAATGTCAGCAGTTCAAATCTGTGGGATGGGGTGAACTTCTGTTGCTCTGTCCCAACTTCTGCCAACCTAGCAGTTCAAAAGCACGCCAGTGCAAGTAGATAAACTGGTACTGCTGCGGTGGGAAGGTAAACGGCGTTTCCATGCGCTCTGGCTTCCATCACGGTGTTCCGTTGCACCAGAAGCGGTTTAGTCATGCTGGCCACTTGACCCGGAAAGCTGTCTAGACAAACGCTGGCTCCCTCGACCTGGAAAGCGAAATGAGTGTTGCACCCCATAGTTGCCTTTGACTGGATTTAACCATCCAGGGGTCCTTTGCCTACCTTTACCTAATGCAGGAGACAGAACCAGTTCTTGGTGTCTAAGCAAAAGGACAAACAACCCTTTTGCTCCAACACTGAAACCCTAGTATAGATCATATGTTCTGTTGCTGGAGTACAGCATCCAGCCCAGAAGGCATATTACATAACCAACTGTGTATAAATATAGTTATTTTTGTAGCGCAGATAAAAGTCAAGGAGTTTGACTCAGCATTCTACTTAAGCATGTATTTAACACTAAGACACTAAGAGCATAACTGAATCCCCTTGGGATTGAATCGCAAGGGCTTAGCTGAATCAGGTTCTTAAGACTATAGACGCTATAAAGTAGGCAGAGTAACATCATGGCCATCTGCAAGATTCCCAATATCCTAATAGACACCACAAATAGCAACAGCCTTTTTTGACCGCAGTGCAGGAAGCCCTGGCTCCTCACTCACAACTATGAAAAGCTAATGGCTGATTATCTAAGGGCTCTTTAAGACCTTTTTTTCACATATTTGTCTTTTATTTGTAGCTAACAGTTTCCATATAGACTGCTTCAAGGAAGTCTCATTTTTCCAAGCAGTCAAAAGACTTTATTTTCCAATTCAGAAAATGTGATGCTTCTCCCAGACAGCACAATAATTGCTGTTGCAGTTTAATTGTGGAATATGGTTGTGTAAGGGTCATAAGCATTTCTTGTGTACATTTAAATATGCATTTACTGACCTGCAAAATACCTCTCAAATTCCATTAACTACTCAAATACCTGGCGATAATAGTTGTTTTTTTTAAAGAACTCTTTCTTTGGAAAGTCTGAAAATGTTAAAAGTTGTTTTGATAATAATTGCCAGAGATTTGTTTGCTTGTCTATGCATAACAGGTGTTCACATTTGATACCATCACTGCCAATGGGCCAGATTCAACTTTGTTGTTGCGCTAGCAGAAGCCAGCACACTAAGTCCTGCTAGCGCAACAGGGCACTGTGGTCAATGAGCATACAGGAAAGGTCTTAAAAGAGGCTCTTGTTGACTTGCAGACCCACCACAATGGCTTCCGCCATCATGCCAAGAATGTTATGATTCCACAAAGATTTGCCACAGAAGAACCTAGCATAGCAATCAGGGCCAATTATGAGATTAACTATGCCATGAAATATATCCATTAATCTTTTAAACCATTGCCGTTGTTGCTGCTCTCTGATTTTATTTTGTTTCTGCATTCCTTTTAGCCCAGACCTTTGCCAAGCTGGTGACCTCTAAATGCTTTTGACCACAACTCTCATCAACACCACAGCTGACATAACTGTGCTGGCTTTGGCTGATGGAAGTTATAGTCAAAAACATCTGGAGGGCACCAGGTTGGCAAAGACTCATGTAATCTATGTGATCCTCCCCAGCATTTGAGATGCACTAATGATGAGGACCGGCTACAAATTATATCCTTCACTGAGGCTAGTTTATCTTCCTATTTCTCTGCAAGAGGTGTGTGCAGCCTCTTTCCTCTGTTGTCCTTTCAAAGATGAATGGGAAGTTAAAAGATACCTGTTTGAAAAAAAATTTGCTTGCTGGTTGCCTTTCTTTTTAAAAAACAATTTTGATTTTATTGGGACCAGTTGCTTTTAATACTGCCAATTTTATTCATTTAAAGCATTACAATAAATAAAACTAATAGCAAATTTTTAAAACCCTAAAAATCAGAGCCATCAATAAAAAGCAGCAGAATAAGAGATTACAATAAAAACCTCCACTGATTTAAAAGAGAAAGCAGCTAATATATATTACTACAATTTTAAGTTTTTGAATTGTTCACCTATTTGAAACTTCACAGGGTTGTTGTGATGATCAAGAAAACCTAGAAATTGTACTCTGTCCCTTGGAGTCTTTGTTTGTAAAGGTAACTAAGGCAGGCTATGAATCAATATGGGCCCACTCAGCAATCAATAGGTTTTTTTGGGGGGGGGGGGGCTAGAAGCCTCTTTGGTCAGATAGCACTTATTAGGTAGAGCCATAGATTTGTGGAAATGGACCTCACCATTCTAGATGCATGACATAACATGACCAGTGGATGGTTGATTGAATTTAGCATGCCAGAAGCCCCTACTCATGATAGGCAATCAAGTAACCAAGGCTTAATTAACCTTAAATCCTACCTGTCAGGCGTCTGGAAACTTGCCCAGCGCCTATGCCAAACAACCACCAGTAAACAAAGTTAATTCTTTCCCATTAATAAGAGGTGACATTTACTACTCACATCTCCTGTTGCTTTTTGCTACCATTACCCAATCCCTAAGCACTTTTGATGATCAACCATGATTTTAGCTTAACAAATAATGCAAATTTACAGTTTTTGTGGCAAGGGAGTCAAGCACTTCCTTCCCTCCCCCCACCATGTGAATATAGATTTACACACACACAAGTTCGCAGAAACGGGATTGGAAGTCTAATTGTTTCCAGAAATTTGCATTGCGAATTATTTTCTGAAGCTGTGTTTCACAAGAGGCAATGCTAAAGATAAATATCCAAAGTCAAGCCTATCATTATCACTATGATAATTAAGCACACTTGCACTCACTATGCCTTATTTAGTCTACTTTGGAAACAAAGACTTTGCAATAATTTTAGAATCTCTCTCCAAAGACACACAAGGCTGCAGGCCATGAAGGAGGTGAACGGAATTAGAGAAGAGAATGTGAGATGAATTTAGGTGGAGAATGGGGACAGGAAACAGCATAGAAGGTTGTGGAGCTAGCTGTAAGGGACGTTTTTAATGTTTTATTACTTGCTTGCTTTTTCTTTCTCTTCTTCTTCTTATTACTCTGTTGGGAGCTGCCCAGAGTGGCTGGGGAAACCACCCAGATAGGCAGAGTATAAATAATAAATTATTATTATTATTATTATTATTATTATTACTATTATTACTATTAAGCAGGTGTGGTGTGGTAATCAGTGTATTGGACTTGAACTGGGGATGCCGGGTTCAAATCTCCACTCAGATGTGAAGCTCACTGGGTGACTTTGAGCCAGTCACTATCTTTTAACCAAACCTACTTCCTTGTGCTGCTGTCATGATACAATGGAAGAAACAATGCATGTTCACTGAGCTCCCACTGACAACAGCCAGTTGGGCTCAGCTGTGCTCCTGAGATGGCCATGTTCAGGATGTTTTGTTTTTGGATCTATACGGGTTTGCTGACTGCAGTGGTCACATTGTTGCTGAAGGTTTTTATTATTATTATTCATTACAAACATAAGGTAAAGTACCCCTGGACGATTAAGTGCAGTCGAAGGAGACTCTGGGGTTGTGGCGCTCATCTTGCTTTCAGGCCGAGGGAGCCGGCATTTGTCCACAGACAGCTTTCCGGGTCATGTGGCCAGCAAGGGATGTGGGTGGCTCTGTAGTCTAAACCACTGAGCCTCTTGGGCTTGCCAGATCAGGTGGTCAGCGGTTCAAATCCCTGTGACGGGGGAAGCTTCTGTTGCTCTGTCCCAGCTCCTGCTTACCTAGCAGTTTGAAAGCATGCCAGTGCAAGTAGATAAATAGGTATCACTGCGGCGGGAAGGTAAATGGCGTTTCCATGCTCTCTGGCTTCTGTCACGGTGTTCCGTTGTGTCAGAAGCGGTTTAGTCATTACAAATATAGCATAGAGCTGTATATGAAAATGTTCTTTAATGAAATGACTACCAAACCACAACACTAATAAAATGCTGAAAGTTAAATAAATAGAAATGAAACCTGGCTGGGCAAGTGGCCGAATTAATTACTGCACAAAATCACCAAGTTTATACTGGAACGGATGTATTTTTATTTTAAACTATTATTGTTTAAATGCACATCCCACCCTTCTCCAAACGAGCTTAGGATGGCATGTGTGTATACAGCCCTGCATTTTGCCTCACAAGAACCCTGCAAAGTAGGCTAGGCTGAGAGATAGGGGCTGGTCCAAGGTTACCCAATGAGCTTCATGGCAGTGGGGTGGGCGGGATTTGAACCCACGTCTTCCTGAATCTTAGTCCAATGTTCTAACCATTACTCCAACCCTGGTTCTCTGCACATTTGCTGCCCTACTTTTTCTAGAAAGGTGGTTGTGGTTAGCAGTACTCTCTCATGACTCCTTTTGCACCAACTTTCCTACATGCACTCTGAGTGACATGCAAGGGCTGCCTGCCCCTTTTTGGCATTAACAGTCACTTCTGAGAACATCAGGAGCCTCTATTTTCTAGTAGAGTTTATTGGTAGTTCCAGAAAATGGGTATTTTCAACTTTTTAACTTTCCTGTCTGGTACTTAATTACTACTATGAATACTTTGAAATGGTCCCCCGCCTTCTTTTTATTTATTTTTAAAAACTTCTTTCTACAGTCTTGTTTAGAACTCACCTGCAAGACTGTGTTGTTTGCTTAGATACAAAGCAAGGAGGCCAGAAAGGTTGTTACAGGTTTACAAAAGAGATTTCCCTCAGCTCTTAAAGGGCCACATGTTTGAATGTTGCCTCGCACACATGAAATGAAGCAAAAGCTCCATGAGAAAGAATTTAGGTTGAAACAGGCTTCTCCCACTGGGAAAAAACATCACAGAAGATTGTTTCTTCATTAGATTACTGACTCTGCAATCCTATATATGCTTACTCAGGGAGTAAGGCCCATGACACTCGTGCAGTTTTCTCCCAAGTAAGTGTCTATGGAACTGCAGCCTTAATAGGACTTACACCTAGATAGACTTAACTGAATTTCAAACTATTATATTTGCAATTTTTGACTTTTAAAATATAATGCTTCTTTTATTTTTATCTGTAAGTTTTCTCCCAGATAATGTTTTGATACTATTCTATTGCATGCAATTTTTGATGTGGCTGAAATATATCATGTTTATTTACTGCACCCGTTGCTCGGTCCCAGCCCCTGCCCACCTAGCAGTTCAAAAGCACGTCAAGTGGAAGTAGATAAATAGGTACCGCTTCAGCGGGAAGGTAAAAGGCATTTCCGTGCGCTGCTCTAGTTCGCCAGAAATGGCTGAGTCATGCTGGTCACATGACCCGGAAGCTGTCTGCGGATAAACACTGGCTCCCTTGGCCTATAGAGCGAGATGAGCATGCAACCCCAGAGTCACCTGCAACTGGACCTAATGGTCAGGGGTACCTTTACCTTAAATACTGCATAGTATTTCTGGCTACAGTGTGTTTTGTTCATTCTCCTGTTTGTTTTCCATAATCTGCCTACCCTACTGCCAGACCTGAAAAGATAATGACCATTGCACATCTGTTGAATTCTATTTCCTCGTAATTATATTTTTGGAGATGTGATTTTTTTTATATAAAAATGCTTAGCAGATGCTGGCACGACACGCTTTGAGAACCTTTGATCAAGATTATTTCCATTTAGTCTCTTACTGGAGATGTTCAAGGGCAAAGTCAAGGCATTCTTGAATGCTAGACTAAACAACTGGCATCTATAATGCATATTTTCCAACGTTTTTGTTGTTGCATAATTCACTCAATCTTGGGGATTTTTCCCCCTTCAGTTTTTGTTGTATGCAGTTATGGCATATAAAACTGCACCATCAAATTGGTATCTGCTACAACAAGCAGCACAAAGAGTCTTAGTGTCATTCTTAAATCTTTTTTTTAAAAGAAGGAGGAAAAAAAAGCTTTGCAGGAATTTTGATACTATAAGCTACACCTCCTTTCCCAGCATGTTTGGCCACGCCAGGAAGTGGCATATTTCAATGCATACATTGTATTCTGAAAGCAATTTAAATGTTCTTAGGAGAAGGGCTCATATTCCTGTAATAAATGTGTGTGCACCAGCAAGGACAAAAGGGGTGTGTGTGTGGGGGGGGTCTTGTACAAACAGATGCCATATTTGATGCATTCATTAACTTTCTGTCACCTAACAGCTTGCTGCATTCAGGATTTGATCTTACCTGACCTTATATACTCACACAAGCACCAAAATCAATATTTGATATTGCTTCCAATCCCCTTTCTCAATTTCCGGAACATCAGTACATTTTGGAAGATTACGACCCTGACTGACTCCAACCACAAACAGCCAAGCACTAGGTCCACAGTCCATTGGCAAGTTCTCCTGCACAAACACCACCACAACCAGTGAAGAGATGCACGTTTTCTTTTATTTAATTGGGCAAGAAAACTTCTCAGCTGCCCTAAAGTAATTTGAAGGCTCCCCTACACGCAGGATTATTATTATTATTATTATTATTATTATTATTATTATTATTATTTGTACCCCAGCCACTTTGAGCAGCTTCCAGCATATACAGAAACATAATAAAACACCCAGCAATAAAATGTTCCCTGTACAGGGCTGCCTTCAGATGTCTTCTAAAGGTTGTGTATCTCCTTGACATCTGATGGGAGGGTGTGTGCCACTACCGAAAAAGCCCTCTGCCTGGTTCCCTGTAACCTCACTTCTCGCCGTGAGGGAACTGCCAGAAGGCCCTCAGAACTAGATCTTAGTGTCTGGGCTGAATGATGGGGGTGGAGATGCTCCTTCGGGTCTACAGGGCTGAGATCAGCACCAACACTTTGGAGGATGCTATAGAATCAGATGTAGGTTGCCTCTAGTTTTGCCTATAAGAACTTTTGCAAGATGGATTCACTCACACACTGGAAATTTATGTCTGAGCAATTAAAGTGAAGTGAAGTACTTTGTCACAACATATCCACTTAAAAGAAAACGCAGTGGGCCTTTTGCAGTTAGGAAGGTGACATGGAAATGCACAGGCAACATGGGATGAATGACCAATTGACAGGAAGATGTATATGCGCCATGCAGGCAAATCAGGATGAACGTCTACTTTTGTACAACCTCCCCACAAACAAATCTGAACAAATGCTCAACGAAGAGTGAACACTGTCGAACCTCTGTGTGAGCTTTGTACAAGCAAATTAGGACGAGTGCTATAGATAACTCTAGGTATAATGAAGATCCTGGGGCCTAGCTGCTTCACTCACTGCTGGGGTATCAAAGCTGTTCAGGTACTTCCATAAAGTACCAAAACCTTGAATTGGTACATGCAGAAGAACCCTTCTGATATACCCTAACAACTAAGAAAACCTAAAGGCTTCTCTCTCCCTTTCTCCGCTCTGAAACTCAAAGCGTGAAGCCCCTTCCTCATCAGAGTGGCCACTTTTTCGTTAGTCAAGTTTCTTCTTCTTTATTTATGTTAATACTTTCAAAGCAGCAAAAGCAAACCTGGGAAGAAAAGGGATGAAAACTCAAGTGCCGTCTTCGTTTTTAACATTCATTTAGCATTCTGCTATGTGAAACCACACCAAACCCTTAATGTCCCATTCTTCATTATTACCTGGGGGAAGGGAAGCATCTTAAACCCCAGTAATTCAAGTTCAGCAGAAACATCATCTGCAAAGTGCAACATCACTTGCTTCTCCCCCTCCTGCACATGCACACACACAATGTGAGCTAAAGGCCCTTTCCAGAGAGTCGCTACTTTTGGGGTGGGACTTAGCCACATACTGGCAAATTCAGCACACGAATTATAATTGATTGGGAGGCTGTGCACAACATATCCACTTCCCACCCCCAAGCTGGACTTTTTGTGGTAAGAAAAGTGATGGGGAAATGCACTGGAAATTTGGCACAATGGCACCTAGCTTTCCCACAAATGTGGTGCAAAATCAGGATGAATGCTTGACAAACAGGTCATCTGGAAGTGTCCTTAACTCTGATCATGGGAGAGAGGTGCTGATAACATTACAGCATTTCCACAACACCTCCAGAAAAATTAAGAGGCATTAAGAATTGGCAATAGAGAATGGCACAATTATCAACCGATACCAATAGTCTCATGGCACCTTAAAGACAAACTGATTTATTGTGGCATAAGCCCTCTGTGGACACCTTGCAGCCCCTCTGTATTACCCCACCTCAATGTTGTTCCAGAGGGTCCCCTCCCCAGGTTTCCGGAGCAGATTTCCAGGGAGCACAGGAAGCTACAGGGCAAGTTGCTGAAAACTGCTTCTGTGAGAGCAGGATCTTAGGATCTTGCTTAGTCTTTCAAGGTGCTACAAGATTCTGTTGTTGTTTCTACTGCTGCAGATTAACACAGTTGGCTCTCTAGAAATTCGAAACCAGAAACACACTGACCGAGAATAGCGACCATATGCAAGGTCAGCGCTTTTTTTTTTTTTTACGCAGAGCTGGAATTAGCATGGAAGACCTCTATGCCCACAGGTTGCAATCCTAAGTGTTGGGGGTTGGTCTCACTGGATCCAGTAGGGCTTACTTCTGAGCAAATGGGATTCAGTAAAGTGCATCAGAACCAACCCCAATGCATGACCCGATAACTCTTACTAAAATGCATTCACATTTATCCTTCAATCAGCTGTAGTTTCCTCCAGCAGTAATTTACACAGTACAGTGGACGCTCAGGTTGCGAACGTGATTTGTGCGGGATGCACGTTCGCAACCAGCAGTGTTCACAACCCACATCTGCGCATGCGCAGGTTGCGATTCGGCGTTTCTGCACACGCACAAAGCACAATTTAGTGCTTCTGCGCATGCGCGACCACCAAAACCCGGAACTCATTCTGGTACTTCTAGGTTTCGGCGGTCTGCAACCTGAAAAGACGCAACCTGAAGCGGCTGTAACCCAAGGTATGACTGTAAAGCATTTACTACCTACTGCTTTGGTAGTATGGAGGAGACAGAAGAGGAGTACTTTGCAGATGATGTTTCTGCTGAACTTGAATTACTGGGGTTTAAGATGTGTGAACAGAGCAAGGTCTCTCTGTTGGCTGTAAACAAGAAATGCATGCAGGTGGCTGGAACAGAAACAGAAGTTCCAGGGCCAGGGTGGGCTTGGAGAAGAGGGACAACAGAGCTCCAACAGGCTAGTAACATATCTCTTTTTTTGCAGGCTAGTAACTTTTGTAGTTCAAGGGTCTGAATAGATAACACAACCCACCCCACCCCACCCCACCCAATACTTGCTTATCAGTGGGCCTACAGAACAAATGTGCCTAAGACTGTACATACCATGCATTTAAGACACCCCTCAAGAATCCTGGGAACTGTAGTTTAAGGGTGCTAGGCTACATGAAGGGTAAACTATAGTTCCCAGTTCTTGGGTGTGGGTGTGCTTTAAATGTAGGGTGTGCATGCAGCCTTGGCCACATGTGATGTTAACAGCATGATCCCATTTACTCGGAAGCAAGTACCATTGAGTTCAACGAGACAGTCCTGGAAGTCTTAATCAGAACATTATCAGAGAGCAGTACTTTGTTTTCTGGGGGGACGCATACCCCTAAACATTTTGTGAATCTAAGTTTGGCCTCATTGAGGGGTAGTATTTCAATATAAGTAGGAAAACGAGAGTACCCCTAAACATTTTTTAAAAGAAAAAAATCACTGTCAGAAAGCAATCATATCTACACACACACACACACACACACACACACACACACCCCAGAAAGCGGAGCAAGCCCGGATGCTCCCCTCTCATTCAGGTTTTCAAGACATCCTTCCTATGCATACTATACTAAATCTTCATGGGGCGTGGGGCGGTCAGGGAAAGGGCCTCCCTTCTATGGGAGCTCCTCTGGGGTGGGAAACGATAAAGCACCCATGCCTTTGTAACAGAGGGAAGGGTGGGGACGGCAACCGTGAACTACTGACCCCGAGGACACCACCTTTCGGAGCCTATTTCTACAATGCGATACTAAACAAACACAACTCGGAGGCGGCGGGGCTGAACGGGGCAAGGGAGACAGGCGAGCAAATGCAGCCGAGGTGGTCAAGAGGAAATTGGCCGTGTCCTTCGCGCGCGCACTTATCCACCCCACCCCCTTAAAAACAAACTGTGTTTTCAGAGAATCATGGATTGGGTATTTGGCCTGTGGGCTTCGGAAAGGCCAAGGAGGAGAGACCCTACTTTGAGGCCTGCCTCTTACCAGAGAGAGAGGGGCGCGCAGAAAGAGCTCTCTGCGCGCAGTCAGACGCCTTTTGGGGCGGCCCGGAGCCTCCCCGGGTCTCCGCGCCCTTCCTTGCCGAGTCCCGGGAGCGCAAGCCCGCTCCCCTCTGCGGACGGCGATCCAGTTCCGCGTCCTCTCCCCCCCGCCCGAGTTCCTCCTTGACACCTGCGACCAGCAAATGGGATTCAGCCGGAGTCGCGCTGCGCTCTCGGTGCGCGCTCGGCTCCCCAGCCGCCTCGCCACCTGGGGCTGTTTACTCACCGCTCCTCGGGCCCCGGGCAGCGAGCAAGAGCACGCAGGCTGGTTTATGGGCGCTCGGAGCGTAATGGAGTAAGCGCGGGACTCCGCCTCTTCCCTCCCTCCCTCGCCTGCCCGCCCGCCCGCCCGCTTCCCTCCAGCCTCCCTCCCTTCCCCGCCTTTGCTTCGCGTGAGGAGTCGACCTGCCTCGCCTCTCCTTATCCAGGCCAGGCTGTGGCGCGTTGTGGCTTTGGGCATCTCTCTGTGCAGACATATCGTGCCAGACCCACCCACCCAGATGCAGCCCTAGCTTGGTCGGTGGTGACAGCAGCAACAAGCCACAACGCCAACAAGCCACAACGCAGGAGCAGTCCTCTAGCAAGAAAGCTTCCTAAAGCCATATAGGACCAGGGCAACGTGGGGTAGCTTCAGCAGGTCCCAGGCACTGCCCCAGGTGGATTTGGGGGTACATGGAGGCACACACCGTTGTGACATTGCACAACATCTTTGTGGACCACAGGTGACTCTCCTGTTGAAGCATTTGCCTTAGCTTCCACTTTCCTAGGTTTGGGACAACATAAGAGGGCCTTAAGGGATGTGGGTGGCGCTGTGGTCTAAACCACTGAGCCTCATGGGCTTGCCGATCAGAAGGTCAGCGGTTTGAATCCCTGCAATGGGGTGAGCTCCTGTTGTTCGGTCCCAGCTCCTGTCAACCTAGCAGTTCGAAAGTATGCCAAAAAGTGTGAATAGATAAATAGGTACTGCTCCAGCGGGAAGGTAAACGGCATTTCCATGCGTTGCTCTGGTTTCGCTGTTCCATTGTGCCAGAAGCGGCTCAGTCATGCTGGCCACATGACCCGGAAAAACTGCCTATATGCGACTGAACTTAATTGTCAGGGGTGCTTTACCTTTACCTTTAAGAGGGCCTTAGTTTTGGTCGATGTTGGCATCAGCAATAGGGTGTGCCTCTGGGGGTGAAGTCAAACGGCTGTGTTAGTAGCACTGAAGTGCCATCCCCAGGGTGCAAGCCTGGGCAGTGTGTGTGTGTGTAGGTCCTGGGCTGCCCAGATGACAAGAGGCCTCGCTGATGTGACCCTAAGGAAAGCAAAACAATACATTTGGCACCAGCTTGGCTGCAAAGTGGCAGCGGTTTTTCTTGATCAAGGAATAATGCCAGTACCATTTGGTGATATATTTAGCATAGCTGTTTTTCCTGTTTACTACATGCAGAGAGTTTTGCTTTGGAAACAAAAAATGTTGAGGCATTGTTCTCAGCACCACAAGGTGAGTTAGCGGCTAAATAAAGTTGATTTGTCATAAGGCCTGAGAGTCTGCACAGAGCAGCAATCAAACCTTTTCAGCTGTCCAAGAGTTGGTCTCTTAAAGGGGCCATGCGCCAGGTATTTTTACAATTGATATGAGACCATGTGTTTTGCTTTATTGTAGGGCTGTCTGGTCCAAGCCAGGATAAAGCTGCTAAACCAAAAGAAGTAAGAACAGGAGCTAAGGGCATAAGAAGAGCTTAGTGAATCAGGCCAATGGCCCATCTGGCCCAGCATCCTATTCTTACAGTGGCTGAACAGTTGCCTGGGGAAAGCCAGCAAGCAGGATTCGAGCACAAGAGCACTCTCCTCTCTTGGGATTCAGAAGTATTGCTGCCTTCATCTGTGGAGTTGCTGGACAGCTGACCAATCAAGTCGCTTCTTCACAGTCTTCTTTCCTATGGGGAACTGTATTTTATTTCTACTTAGATTGTAGTCATTGTTTCTAAATGTGCATCTGAATGTATCAATTAGTATGTGCAAATCTGACTCGGCAAGTGCAAATTTTATGCAAAACCTTTTGTCCTCTTTTTCTGGTGATGCATGGGCCCGGTCTTATTCAACATCTTTATCAACGACTTGGATGATGGACTCAAGGGCATCCTGATCAAATTTGCAGATGACACCAAATTGGGAGGGGTGGCTAACACCCCAGAGGACAGCATCACACTTCAAAACGACCTTGACAGATTAGAGAACTGGGCCAAAACAAACAAGATGAATTTTAACAGTGAGAAATGTAAAGTATTGCACTTGGGCAAAAAAAATGAGAGGCACAAATACAAGATGGGTGACACTTGGCTTGAGAGCAGTACATGTGAAAAGGATCTAGGAGTCTTGGTTGACCACAAACTTGACATGAGCTAACAGTGTGACGCGGCAGCTAAAAAAGCCAATGCAATTCTGGGCTGCATCAATAGGAGTATAGCATCTAGATCAAGGGAAGTAATAGTGCCACTGTATTCTGCTCTGGTCAGACCTCACCTGGAGTACTGTGTCCAGTTCTGGGCACCACAGTTCAAGAAGAACACTGACAAACTGGAACGTGTCCAGAGGAGGGCAACCAAAATGGTCAAAGGCCTGGAAACGATGCCTTATGAGGAACGGCTAAGGGAGCTGGGCATGTTTAGCCTGGAGAAGAGGAGGTTAAGGGGTGATATGATAGCCATGTTCAAATATATAAAAGGATGTCACATAGAGGAGGGAGAAAGGTTGTTTTCTGCTGCTCCAGAGAAGCGGACACGGAGCAATGGATCCAAACTACAAGAAAGAAGATTCCACCTAAATATTAGGAAGAACTTCCTGACAGTAAGAGCTGTTCGACAGTGGAATTTGCTGCCAAGGAGTGTGGTGGAGTCTCCTTCTTTGGAGGTCTTTAAGCAGAGGCTTCACAACCATATGTCAGGAGTGCTCTGATGGTGTTTCCTGCTTGGCAGGGGGTTGGACTTGATGGCCCTTGTGGTCTCTTCCAACTCTATGATTCTATGATTCTATGATAAGTGGCTGCCCTAAATGTGGAGTATTTAAAAATATGTCCAGCATTCTACCACCTCCTGTGTAAAATGTAGAACTGTTCTCTACAAAGTCAGGAGAAAACACTGCCAAACATTTACGGACACACACTGCAAAGTGGTGAAAGACTTGGTTGTACTTGTGTGCAAGCAATGCATTGAAATCTCCAAAGGCACTTGCACTCCAAGGCTTGGTCTGTACATGCAGCAGAATGAGGTGGCAGAGATATGAGGTGACAGAATTTGGGGGGGGGGTGTCACTTCAGGTTTCAGGCTGGAGGTCATAATTGTGAATGCATTCATTTTGGTGACATCTCCCTGCAAGTAAGAAAGCTAGCACATCAGGGAGAGAACCTTTCTCCTTGATGTGCTAGCTTTTAAATTATATATATATATATATTTATTTCCAAGGGATATTTACATAAAAGAGTATTTAAAAAAATGTGATTACTCCTGCTTCATCTGTGGTCTGACATGGTACAGTCTTTTCTAAACCCAAAGCTGAAAGTATTTTAGAGGCAAAGGAGTGGGGAGCTGATTATATGTGAAATCCAGTTTGAATAAACCCACAGAGATGAAATAATGACAGGTGGATTATCGCGCCATCAGCATGCTGGAACAAGATAGCTCCAGTTTCTTCTCCGAGACAGGAGTCCGACACAGATCTTAATTTTCTATTAGTGAGCACATTTTACAGCTGCAAAGATGTGGCCTCTTCCTTTTCCTTAGGAGAAAGTGTGGGATTTTTGTTTATAACTTCTCTGCGTGCTATCAATAGCCAAGCCCAGAGATGCCAAAGGGTGTAAAGGAGATAATAGAATTTACCCTCGCTAGACAGGGAGAAAAGCTGATGTGTTGAAAACAATGCAGCTAACTTGGCCCCTCGCAGCTCTGTTCCATTAGCCTCCAAACGCACGCTAGGAGCGCCTGCAGAAGGCAATGTTATACTTCAGGAAAGGAGATTGTATTTAACCCCTACTGTGAATAAAGGACGATCTTATGAATAAAATCACCAGGCAGCTAGTGACGAACGGATCTGATTACAAACAGTCGGCAGCATCTGATTTAAAACTAGAAAGTAGGGCGATGGTCATATTCTTTTGTTCACATATCTCCACGGCTGTGGCTCCCTCTCCAGCTTCTTTGCAGCTGAGCTGCTTCTACCTGGAACACTCCCCATGTGGGCTGAGGCAATAGATTGAGGAAGGGTGGTGTTAGACAAGTTATGAGGCCCTCAACAGTCGCCGCTATAGGTGGTGGTGGGGTTGACTAGCTGAGGACAGCTGAGTTTGCAGCAACACATATTTGGGCTGTTGCTGCAGTAACCGCTGTAGTTTCCTGAGGCATTCTGGGATGGATTCCCAGCACACATTCCTGTTGAAGCTGCTACAGATCCCAAGGCATCTGGGGAACTGGAATGATGCAAGATGTTAAAGGGGGGGGAGGAGGGTAGTTAAATGATTTGATAACTTTGTAAGTTTGACCCCGGCCTGAATGTGGAAAATGTGGAACACGGTGGGAGGAGGAGGACAAATTAAGTCAGTGTGGAACAACAACAGAAGACCCATAAAGGTGTCTGGAACTGTCATTTGATTCCTTATACTTCATACATGGGTATAATCGGGGAGGGGCAGGGGAGGCAGCTGCGCGCCCCTAGATCCACAAATATTATTGAAATATTTGAAATACAGTGGTACCTCGAGTTAAGTACTTAATTCGTTCCGGAGGTCCGTTCTTAACCTGAAGCTGTTCTTAACCTGAAGCACCACTTTAGCTAATGGGGCCTCCTGCTGCCGCCACACCGCCAGAGCATGATTTCTGTTCTCATCCTGAAGCAAAGTTCTTAACCCGAGGTACTATTTCTGGGTTAGCAGAGTCTGAAACCTGAAGCGTATGTAACCTGAAGTGTATGGAACCCGAGGTATCACTGTATCTACAAAGCTCAACAACTCAATTTCCTTAAAAAAACTCAACAACTTTGGCTGCCCCTACCCCCCAAAAATCCTGGCTACACCCATGCTTATATAACTTTAGTAAAAAATGAAAACCTTAATGAAATTAAGAACAGAGGGCCAAGTGCTTCTTTATTGTTTATTGAGTTACTCATCACTTTTGTCAGCATCACTCTTTCCTTCCCATTGCTAAATGAAAATATACAGCTACATAGAAAAGATAGAAGAAGCCTTTTTCTTCCTCTGTGGTTTCTGTTTCCCCCCCTCCCTGCTTCAGGCAGCTTCCTTCCTCACTCCACTGCTTGAGATTTTAAAGAATCCAGATTT